TATGAAAACAAATGATTGTGCATCGCAATTAATGTCTCCAAGTCGCGCAGGATAATATACACGGGCTGTAACACGAGAGGCTCGGTGACCGAATGCTTTAGCATTTTCAATAATGGATCTTAGCCCGGCCGACCAGCGCAGGCCGACAAGCCCCGGTACACGGACAACTATGGGTCTTTTACCCATCGAAGCAGCCTCGTAGCACGACAAAAGAAACGACGGTACGCCAATGCTGGCCTACAACGACGGGGGAAAAGTGTACAGGGCCCCTTCGCGCAGCAGGCTTGATCCTGTGATCGATGCAGCGAGATTTGGGGGCTGAAAGAGAAAAACGATAAGATTTTTCAGTATCTTCGTGTGTCTCGTAAGCCATGGCGAATCATGACGACTGGATTCGGTTACATTTGGGGAGAGTCGTCAAAGTTGGAATTGAAAGTTCTCGAGCGCGTGCTTACCAGGCGTAGCTTTCGCGGGAGGAACAAGGTGCTGACGGTAGTGCTCAATGGCAAGCTTAAAAAGAACATCCCCAGATAGAAGCTTACCACAGCCCTAGAAACCTGAAACGAATTAAGAGAACAGGGCTTGCAACGAATAATATCTACGGTGCGTGATATACTGAATTGTCTGGGCATGGCTTGCATACGGGGCTATACGTCAATCGCTTCTTCAGCGGCATAAGCAGCCAGGCCTGTTGAGTTTACCCTAACCGCATTGACCACCTTTTTGCATGCACCCATATTTTGCAGGGTCTAACTGAATCAACCTAAATACTTCGTCCATATTATTTATATACAGAACATATTTAATTTAAGTGTCCGAAGACTTAGATATATTCTTTCGAGCCCTCTTTTTAGGAGGGACCCTTCCTTCGAGTAAAGTATCAATTTCTAACTGCTTATCCGGTAAAATAGGCCGTATTCGCTTATTTCGCTTGTCCTGGGCTGTTCGGATCGCTGATAAGTTAACGAATACTTTATTCGGGTCTGGCTCGACGGGCTGGCGTATATCTGGAGCGTATTTATCGAGTTCTTTATATGGTTGCTCGTTTTCGAGACGTAATTTGGCATTCTCGGCGGCCTGGAGTGTAAGGGCCTTGCCCGCCTTGTCTACTAGGGTATGAATCTTACGAGATACCCCGCCCTCGGCTTTCTCTATCGACTGGAGTTGGCTAGATAGATGCTGCGCTTTCTGAGGAGTAAAATCAACTAAAGGTGGTGATATATGAGGCGGAGGATCACAAGATACGTCAACTAGTCCTTCGGAGCCTAGGGGCCATGTACCAGTCTTCCGCCAGCCAGAAAGTCTCGGATCTTGGTCGAATCGGACGCTCTAACTCGGCTAGCATCTACGACGCGCCCAATTTTGGTACGTATCTGTGGATGGCGGCTAACGAAGTGATCCACCCAGTGTTAGCCGAGTGTATTGTTATCCCCTTGAGCAAGGAGGATTTCGGCAGCGAAGTCGGCCACATAACGCTTGCTAGGAGCCCGTCCACATACTTCTTCGTGTAGGATCCAGTTCACGATAACCTCCTCTTGCTCTGGAGTCAACTTTTGTTGCCTGGAGGCGGCGTCGCGATGCGAATTACCGTGACGAATACGGTAGGACAGTGTAGTCCCCTTGATACCGTACCGATGAGCTGCTACGGCCTGGGAAGAGCCCTGACGGACAAGCTCTTTAGCGCGTTCGATTCGCTGCTCAAAATCGTCCAGACTATTCTCCACTGGATTAGCCATTTTGTACGTAGATAGGGAGCAATTGCGAGGTAAATTGAGAGACGTCGTGTTGTTGAGGCGTAGAAATTCCCTGCAAAATGGGGGTGCATGCAAAAATGTGGTCAATGCGGTTAGGTGGTTGTCTGGGTATTGATAACGCTTAGGTTTCATCTTTTCTAATTGAGCCCATACTCGTTGCCAAGGGGCTGGAGGCGGGACAGAGTACGACTAAATAAGGTTGGGGGAAGTGGTCATCTCGGGATCGTTCGGTCGAGGCGTCGATGAAGCACTTTATTAGCAGGAAAAGGGAATGATTGGTCGTCTCGGCGTTGGTTTGATCCGCGTCTAAACCCAGTTAATCGGCTCATTTTTTCCTTTTTGTTTCTTCACATATTACAGCGAGGCGATGAATATAGCCCGTCACCTACGTCAATGATCTTTATGTTAACGAAATGAATGGCCCGTTGCAGTTGCTGGGTTGCAGTAGGTAGCAGAAATAGAGACTGCATATCATGTCGAATGGTATGTATATCGCCAATGCCAATGAGTCCCCATAAAATCGCGACCGCTGGTCAGTCAGGCCCTGGACTTTTATATAACTAGCGCATACAAAGCCACCGGAAGGCTGGTGCTCAGTCTTACCAGGCTTGTCCTCAATTAAGGAGCCATTGAGCCTTTCCCATTTGGGGCACCCAGATCGACCACTATGCAGATTCATAGTGGGTTGCCAGTCGGTCGGATTGCGTCAAGCTTAATTTTACTCCATAATTAGTGTCTCGCTTCTCGGGATGACTCGATGACGGCTGTGGTGCCCTGGCTACAGCTGGATGAGGCTGGAGGCTGGAGAGGCTCGCCCTCCTTCACATTGCTCAAAGTGGCCTAGCCATTCGAGATCTGCACTGAAACACTGAAACAATTTCCACCGGCGTTTGGCAGATGTCCCACTGTCCCGGGGCGATGGATACCCATGCTGTGCCGGGTGATAGTGTTAGACCCTGCGAACTCGCGCGCGGCACCTGAGAGAAGGAGACGAACAAACAAACGGATGCTGTTGGTCGGACGGCTGTCTCGATAGTGGACCACAGAAAAAAAATTAGAAGCATCCGAGGCCATCGCAGGCTCTGTGTGGTGTGCACGGATGACTGCGATAAGGGAACACACGAACTCCAAGATCCGTATGGAGTAGTTGCTGGAGTGGTGTGGGAAGACTTGATTCGCCAAGGTGCGATTAAAAGACCCGAACCCCCACCATGATAGCAGCCCCCAAGCCGTTTTAGAGGGCACCTCGAATGCTTAATTCCATAGCCCATCCCTATCAGGTCTGGCTCCCATTGCGTTGCCTAGTAAACATCTAAAAGCCGTAGGAAGCTCTCAACTAGAACCTTGAACTATCCAGTGCCTGTAAGGGGTGTGTGCCTTGGTCACTGTATAGTCGTCGAAGATTTTGTGCAATACTTGCTATCGACTTTGAGTTTGGAGCTGATCTTTGCCAAGTCGAGGTTGCTGACAGCTTCAAGGTCTTCTCGTAAGATCGCAGCTGCCTCGCTATCGGCAACATGGTCCGTTCATTCCCCACATAGAATGCGGCAATATGGAGAAGTCGCAACGGCGTTAGACGTTTGATTGCTCATCAACGTTATGCCCGGGTGTAGTCGCCGACGGCTGTGTTTCGTTTCGACGAATTTATCTCTTGGTGAGACACAACATGATGAGCTGTCTGTTACAACCGAGCCGGAACTGATCTGACTGACCCGCCACGACCTTGGAATTGGAACTGGCTTTCTTCATCAACCTGCGGTATGCTGGGCATTATTGCTATCATGATCAATGGTCCACCTCATCGTGAACGGCATCGTGGGCAGTCAGAGCACGGTGGGGCGTCGTCGTAGCGGCTGAAGGATCGTCATCGTCGGCGGCACTAGGCGAGCGCCAGGCCGCAGATCGTTTACCGTTTGATCCAACACCGAACCTTGCAGCACTAGTTGATCTGAGGGTACCGAGTACCACCGTCCAGCTGGCAATGCTGCCGCCTGCGCGCCCTATCTCTTCCATTTTCGCATCAGCTCAGGCACAGCAAGCTTCTTCCCAACCCATCAACAGACTCTCCGCGCTGGGCTCCTCTGCTAAATCATCCATCGCGCATGTATTTAGCTCCTTCTCTATTGCGGTAGCCCCAAATGCCTATTTCGGTTATTGACGCACCCCTACCCGACTAAATCATCACATCATCACTTCGAAGTTCGAATTATGGCCTGCTACCCACCAAGTGTACCACGACTTTGTGCCGACCTGTTGTCAGGCCTCTGCTTCGCTGTCACCCATCACCACCCATCACCACCAATGCACACTTTTCCCACTACTAGGGTTCGCTAGGGCCGAGATGCACAACAAATCTTTACGGTGGAGAGTGGTAGTGGGAAAGCTTTTCCCTCCCTAGGCCACAAGTTTGTCGACCCGTCACTACGTTTCTGTTTCTGCTACCCGTCGTCCCCATTGCCGGGAGTATGGCAAGCATGGTTCCCCCTCCTCCCCCCAATCCCTGTCGAGGCGCAAAAGGCGTTCAAGGTTCCTGGTGCCCCTCCTTGACGAGTCTGTTTTGACGTTTCCCATGAAATTACACGGTCGAGTAGCCCCTCTACCCCAGGGCCAGGGCCCCTGGTCTCGGCGTGGACTGTTCGGCCACAGGGTGTACCTGGCCATGTACTTTTGGCGGCTGAAGTGTCTGAACCAGGTCGGGCAATTTTGCTCTAGCCGCATGTCTCGAAATACCTTCCTAGCTACATGCATCCCCGTCCCGAGTTCCAAACTTGGCGCACTTGTGCTGAGATGATGAAGCTGGCACCGCCATGGCCCACAAGTTGTGGCCTTGCGCATTTGTCTTTGGCTCAATGTGCCCGATATGGAGGGCCGTTCTTTTCATACTTAGAAAAGCATATTTTCTAACCGATTCCCCGGCTTATCCTTGCGCATTCACTACCCTGCTGCTGTGTATACTTCTATTTCTTGATCCTCCCTCAATCATATTTGACGGGGACTCTTCGTTCGCTCTTAGCTTATCTAGCCTAATCTGCTCCTTCCTGCGCTCGCTTCGCTTTGGCTTTGCTTGTTGATCATATATCCTGTATTAAAACTCGGTATCACAATTTCTCGACGCACATCCTTCGATACTACACATACTCATACTGCCAACTGTGGTCGAGCCTCAGCGCAGACGACAGTTACTAATCAGTTGGACCTTGACATGAGGAACGACTGACACCAATAACTCCTGGGAACCCTGACAAGATGGTGTTCTGTGCATATTGCGGGAAGAGCTTCACGCGCAAGGAGCACTTGGAGAGACACATACCTATCCGTCAGTATATTCTGGTATTAGTCCTGGTTCCGAGCAATTTTCTAATCCGAATATACAGACACAAACGTAAAGCCTCACCGATGCAGCGCATGCCAATTGTCTTTTGCGCGGAGAGACCTCCTGCAGAGACATCACTCGACATATCACGAAGCCCATCCGATGGAGCCGCCACCTGGGGGGGTTCCGACTGTTGCCGGGAAAACACCTATCGCTTGCCTGAATTGCGCACAAGCAAAGACCGGTTGCGATAAGAGAGTGCCTTGTGCTCGTTGCGCCGACAAGAACCTTCCATGCGCTGCCCGCTTCGCCAGACGGTCTTCCAAGGCGGCGCTCCGAGCTGCTCAAGCCAGCGCAGCCATGAGCAGTCAAGTTTCATTACCACCGCAGACCACCTCGGATACACCAACGGTCAACCCGGCATTTATGGACATGGACCCTGCGACAGCAACAAGGCAAGACTCACCAGGTCAGCCCGTCATGACCCCTGATGGTACTATAACTATCGACCCGAGGATACAACATCAAGACAGTCCTCCGAAGAAGAGTTCGCCCGCCAGCTCCAACCATTTGAGCCCGGAAAACTATCCTTCACCGCACGCGAGGGTGGATGGCATGGACGATTTCATGCAACTAGGCAATGATTTCATGCCCCACGATGGCAACTATCAGGACATGTTAGTATGGCAGGATTACCCTTTGTCCATGGACATGTATCCTTCGAGTATGTCTCTTGGGCGCGCCGATGTACCCTTGCCTACCTTCACCGATCTCAGCGACATGTCATCCAATTCGGAACACATGAGCTCGTCGAGGGGCTCTATTCACACCAGAAGCACCAGCATCATGTCGAGTGGTGATTTTGAGACTACCATCAAGACAGTTGAGATGGCAGCGTCGAGTCCCAGCGAAGTACCCGAGTTCGAAGTTGTTATCGCAGCCGAGGCCGCCTGGCCGCTCGCGCGTTGCAACCCCCCAGTTTTTTCAGGCACCTGCCCTCGAACTGCAATAGTACATTTGGAGTCGCTGGAGCAGAAGTCCAAGCACGAAGGTACTTGGGACGCCCTGGAAAAGTACCTGGAGCAAGTGGACTGGGACGCAGCCGATTTAGCATCTGTCATCCCTATGGACTCGCGCACTCGCGACAAGATGCTGGCAATCACCCAGACCTTCCTCCACAAGGCCCTCGAGATTCACCGCGGCGGTGTCAATAGCAATAGTAACGGCCGATACAGCAGCGCCGGGATGCTGACATTCCTGGTGTTACCGCCGCCCAAGATCCTCGAGTACTTCCTCCGGAGTTACGTCAGGAGCCTCTCTTTTTTCTATTCTCTTGTGTCGACGGGCTGCGTAGATCCCAACGAGATGATCCAGAACAATCAAGCATCAACCCTCCTTGTGTTGCTCATGATTGCTCAAGGTGCCTCGGCGGTACCTACGGCTGAAGCGAGAGCTTTGGCTGCGGGTCTCATCGAGACGTGCCGCATCTCTCTGTTCGACATCATTGAGAAGGATATTGAGATGTGTGCTGATCCCATAGCACTCCGCTGCGCTCTGCTCTTCACACTGCTCGGTGCGTGGAGCGGCGACAAGTGGCTGATGGACATCGCCATGGGCCAGCGCGGCATGTATCTTTCGGTGAGTGTCCAACCGCATTGTATCGGCTGGTTTGGATTGAATGTCTAATCGATATTTGCAGATGCTTCGACACGCGGGAATGCTCGAGTCGCAGCCATCCATGATCCCCTCATTCCAAGGCTCCACCAGTACCGAGCTGCAATGGCGCACTTGGCTACACAGAGAAACGCAGAACAGGTGTGTCACTGGAGTCTAAATCATGCCGCACTAGCGGAAAATATTATGTATAGTGCTGATCTCCACTAGGCTAGTGTACAACTATGTGATGGTGGACCAAGAACTCAGTTTGTTCCACGACACAGCTCCCATGCTGTCTGTTAGCGAGCTTTGCGCTCCTCTTCCTGGGCCCGAGTTGCTCTGGATGTCGGCCAATGCTGAACAATGGATGGCCGGCATGCAGTCCATTTACGGTTGCACTGCCAATGTCAACGCCCAACTGCTCACCACACCTTCTCTTACACCCTCACTATATGACATCTTCCAAGACTTCCTTCACGACAACCTGTCGAGGAGGCAAAGCAGCTTGACGCCACAGCAGCTCCGGTTGCTTTTGCACCCACTGCAGTCTCTGCTGTGCCATCTGCGTCAGATGCTGTCCTGCTTCTCCGACCTGCTCAGCACGAGGCGAACCACGGCACGAACCGTCACCAAGGCATCAACAATGTTGCGTCTTGAGGAGGTGCAGGCGCTGCTTCAAAAGTGGTATGAATTATCTATCACGTACCACAAAACCAACCCCAACTGTCCCGTCAGCAAGACAAATTTAGTGCTTTACCATCTCATCTCATTGAACGCTGTCACCCATTTTCCCGAGATTGAGCGCCTAGCCCGTCGCGAGGCGTTTGACGGCTCGTACTGGGAGCTCGGCCTCCGCTACAAGCGCTGTGTTTACCAGCGTGAAGAAGCCATTTTCCACAGCGGCCAAGTCCTGCGTCTCGTCCGCGCAATGCCCGTGGACCGTCGGCCCTGCTGGTGGAGCGTCGCACTCTACCGCGCGACTCTCATCCTTTGGACCGACAGTGTCTCAAGACTTGACCCCAACTTTCAGAAGCATGACTCGGGAAATCCGGTCGCCATCGACCAGGTCACACCTGAGGATCCGGCCCTCATTGCTTATCTTTGGAACGGAGACGGCATCCCCGTCTTGACACATCGCGACGGCACCACAGCCAATCTGGAAAAGCCCAACGATGTGCTGAGCTACGCGGCTAAATTTATTGAGGAGGGCATCAGCTCCAGGTTGAACGACGGTATCAGGCGCAAGATTGTGGCGCTGGGGAACAATTGGAATGTGGACGGGACGGTCATGACTACGGCATAATGATGCGGATGCATAGCGCTCATTAACTGCGTGTCAACCTGGCTCTTGTCTACTTTCACTTTAGTCTTCCCCTTTTCCTATGTTGATCGCTCTCATCATTCTCTTGACCCTGTACAAATATAGAGCTTTCTCGCAACAAAGACGAAGAATGGGTATGGATTGGACTATGGGCATATACAGGTTATGTTTGGGCTATGAATCTTTATGCGCGGGTTGCTTACTGGGCGTTTTATGGATCAGGGGATTCTTGTTTTTTTTGGATACGGTCTGATGAAAATTCACATACACCACAGGGAAACGCTTCAAGTTGGACCCGGTTGGTTGGTCGGAGAAATGGAGTTAGGCTGGTTGGCATCCGTGGCATGTATCACTGATTTATGGTTTTTCTCATATTTCCCTGTTTCCCTAGATCTAGATCTGAAAGTTCGGGTTTCGCTGTCAACCCTAACTAGTTAATGCGAGGGGCGGGGTAGGGGGCGTATCGGCTGCTGGCTACCGCAATTGCATATCGGTTCTTATTCATGTCTATTCTTTTTTTTTATAGTTCGATATTTCATTCATTGACTCAGCTCGGGTTAGACGTTCCCGCACCCCTTAATCCTTGTTTGTGCCGAGTTGGAAGAGAAAGGAAATATACCAAACCAAGATTTGCTAGCTGAAACTCGAAACGAAATTATTCAATGCATTGGATCATCAGGACTGCCTAGCCACGTGATGAATCATATACTACTGTCTTCTCTCCTGTGCTCCTTTGCAAGCGTTGAGAGTCCTTGGGGCGCTTGCGGGGGCTACGTCTTCAAAAGGTTTGAAACCAGCTTACATGTGAAATATCGAATCTTTGTATTCTAGATTTTCCCTTTTCATCATTTACCGCACAATAGACAGGGTCGTGTTTCGGTTCCCTCCCTACACTGTATCTCCAGGTTCTCAGCTCCGAGGACTGCTGGGCTTAGCCTTGCATATTTTCCATGTCATGTCTGTTAGACTGGGCCGTATTTAGCGAGACCAAGAGACGGATGGGGCGGCTTACAGTGGCAGTGTTCCTCGGATTTGATGTGTAGCTTGCGCTCCCTGGACAAATGCTCATGTTGCTTACATCCTGCCGTGCTGCAGAAAAATAACCCGAGGTAGATTAGAGGTTCCGTTGCTGGGCCGCAATTGAGGGCAGGATGGCTCACTCATCACATGATGAGCTGTTTGTGATGGCCAAGTCGTTTCTCTATACATATCTTTTCTGGCTAGTGTCAATTTCTCGAAACTTTACTTACCTAGCCTGTGGCAATTCCTAGTCGATGACAGTGCGTCTGCGTGTTGCCACAGCAAAGAGATATCCAGGTCAGCTTATTAGCTTGGTATACCAGGACCATTGAGGTCAGGCAAGGCAACAAGGAAGGTTGAAGTGAGATGAGGCGCTAACGTCAAGCCGTACTTTGGACGGTTGTGATGGGCTCAGATTGTTAGTTGCAGCGCTCTGATCTCTCCAAGTTGGCAAGTTCCCAGGTGAAGGAAGGGATGGCGAGATACGGGTTCCAAAGGGCCAATGTCCATTTTTCTTACAAGTGCGTGCATGCTCTCAATGACACATACATATAAGTGCTGACACTTCAGCAGAGGCGCATTCGCACTCGCCTCAATGACGATGGCATTATCTTGCGCTAAACATACGATACGGCACACCTTGTCTTCGAAGCCCAGGAGCTCGAGCTGTAAACGGATGGATTAGGTGGGATTGGATTAAGCCCACGTAGCCACATTTGCTGGGTTACGAACTCCACACAACGTGCTTGACAGGGTGGGCGCTAGTGCAACGAGTCTGTGCTCTCGAGTTCGATATATCCTCTTGGCCCGATCGATTAGGTTGAAGAACACGTTCCGTTCGAAAAGTACCCGCGACAGAAGCTTGGCGATCTTAGCACGAAAGTTGGGGGCGTTGGGGACTCTCTGGGATTGCGCGGACCAACATAATGCGGCGGTATCCATATATTGTATTTTGTGTGGATAGACGTGAAGCAGGTTGGGAATGTTCACACCGCCTTGCTATCTCGCAACTCCACAAGCTAGTCGAATAGCACGCGCTTGCGATGTGAGGCGAGGTGCAGGCTCTGTTATACGGGGTATGCAACATGTAGCTAGCTGACTTGGTGACTTCTTACAGTATTACTTGGTTTGCATTTTGGCCATGCTAGCGTCAGTAATTTACACCAATAAGAAAATAGATAACAATGTGGGTTTATATAGAAAGAGCCTTGTGCCGAGCATGACGGTGCAACATAGCCATACGCTTGAATTCTTCTGTGAGACTAGACTCGAAGACGACCTGATATGATTTCTGCAATATGAGTGAGAACTCTGGATCTTTCTTGGTCTAGACCGTTGGAAATAGACAAGCTGGTGATCAACCAGCACAGGAGAATGTCGCGTCTATACACGTACTACACAAGCGACATGCTGCATCTGCGGCGACGTTCGATGAGAGCGCAAGCGAAGAATCTGATGGTGGAATATTACAAAAAAATCGGCCCAGCACCCAGAGTGCGGTTGCCGCACGGGAAACCTAAGTGGTCAGTCGGAAGGTAGTAATTCCGGTTTGCATTACACAACTGCATTGAAGTACTTCGTGTCAGTAAATCTGGGCCCTTTTGGGAAGTGGCATTCTCTACCAAATGACTTGCATCGCCAACCCGCAGTCACCAAGCCAATATGACCGCGACACCAGCGATAACAATCAGCACATCTAAGGGTCCTCTCATGCGTGGCTACTTACACCCCTCAGGCAAGGTCCCGAATAACACCCATACACCTCCACTGTTTGCTCAGCTTGCTGGAAGATGTCTGGATCCAATTTCCTGCAACTCATACGAAGCGTCGACCCGCAGTTGTGCCCACCTTTCCGATGTGGATTTCACCATGTAAGCTAAGCTCTCGTTAGCGTCGTCGCTGATACATAGTAAGAGACGAAAAGCAAAAGAGGGCAACACGAAGAAGGAAAATCATCTGATCTCGCCTCCGACGTAAGTACTTAGGCAACCGAGCGGCAGCCGTGATAAGATTGCAGCTGACGCCGAGCCGCGGACCAATGCCGGTGCTAATCAAAGAGGAAATTGTTCGGCCAGGTGCACAACACAATATTGTCTACCTGGCGAGTACGGGGGACCGTCTGGGAATTGGAGGGTTGGTATATGTCGTTCGATCTATATGCAGGCTAGGTCTCAACGAACTCAGGGCTGACTGTAGTTTTAGAACTGGTTGTGATATGGTTATGGATGCTTTCCGTGAGTCAGCGTTCGTTAAGGAACCAGTGACGGCTCTGGAGACCAGGGTGGAGAACAACATGTCCCGGCAAACACCGACCGACCTCTTCGGGCAGCTGAATGCATTCTTGCATCTTGGCACGAATAGATACCGGACCCGTTGCCGGTTGGCTTTGAGCATGCCTTGTCCCGTATCGGGACTTTGTGAGCGGATGGCCGCCGATTCGAGGGTCTAGATTGCATTCAAAAACATCCCATGCGTCTACTCTGCGCGTATTCTTTCATTATTGATGATTTCAACATGTCCTCTTCCAACAAAATCCTCAGTTGTCTCCGGCTTTTCTCAACCACGTAATCCCCATACTGGATAACACCCAGACGCTCCTGTAATCTGCCCCGCAACAGTGCGTTTGTACGACTTGAGGTTGCGATTTGGCGCATTGCGTTCAATGAGCCGGTTAGGTTTCGCATCCTAGGGCCCTTCGCTGAGACCCGAAGTCGCTGAGGCCCAAGGTCCTGTGCTACCTCTCTCAGTAATGGAATCGGAATCAAAATAATTCCGCAGCCGTATTGTGGGCGAGCTGTAGCCAACGGACGTCCGTTGGGGCGCTCGACCTGGATGTCGCAGGGCACTTGTAGTAAACTGGAAGCCTAAGGCCACTGCGGGTTTTAGTGCCTAACAGAGCGCTGTGGGACAATATCCGGCTGCTGTGGCGATTTGCTTCCCCTGTGATTCGTGCAAATAATCTTGAAACTCCTATGAAGCTGCTAAACGACTCTAAGTTGCTCGAGGCAAGGCAACATGTCCTTGAGAAAGTTGGGTTTTCTCATAGAACTCTAGAACCTTAAGAGCGACCACTGTTCTGTCCAGTAGTGGTCCATTGTAGAGGAAAATAGCGGATGGCGGTGCACAGTGTTCCAGGTCCAAGCCCGGCCGTCCCTGCGTCCGTCCGTTCGAGGGGAGAGCTCCGGACGATTACCCCAAACATGGGCTTTGAACTTCGTCCGGAACGGAACCCCAAAATACGGACATCATAGCGATTATCAAGTACGTATAAAGGAGTGAGTGTTTGGGGATCGTGATAGACATTGTTGTTCATTATTCTTCGTTCGCTCTTCATATTCTACTTCTATTTCCATCTATCTCAAAAGTTCCCGACTCGGTTAGTCCACTTCACTCTTATTCCACAATGGCCCCCTCCGCTGTGCAAGACGTTGCCTCCTCTGTGGAGCAGCAGCCCATGAGCAATCAGACCAAACCTCTGGCCGGAAAGGTCGCCCTCATCACCGGCGCCGGCCGCGGTATCGGCCGGGGCATTGCCCTGGAGCTCGGCAAGCGCGGAGCCAACATCGTGGTCAACTACGGCCGCAGCTCCAAGCAGGCCGACGAAGTGGTTTCGGAACTGTCCAAGTTGGGCTCCAAGTCTGTCGCGCTGCAAGCCGACATCAGCAAGCCCGAGGAAGTGGCCAGCCTTTTCGACCGAGCGCTCGAACACTTTGGCAAGATCGACATCGTCATCTCTAACTCGGGCATGGAGGTCTGGTGCGAGGAGACTGAAGTGACGCCCGAACTGTTCGACCAGGTTTTCAACCTGAACTGCCGCGGCCAGTTCTTTGTCGCCCAGAACGGGCTTAAGCATTGCAGCCAGGGTGGGCGCATCATCCTAACTTCGTCCATTGCTGCGCAGATGGCGGGAATTCCCAACCATGCCCTGTACGCTGGCTCCAAGGCCGCTGTTGAGGGGTTCACTCGCTCCTTTGCTGTCGACTGCGGCAAGAAGAATATTACTTGTAATGCTATCGCCCCTGGAGGTATCCAGACCGATATGTTCGACGAGAATAGTTGGCACTACGTTCCTGGTGGCACTAAGGACATGCCTATCGAGACAATTAAAAATGGGTTGAAGAAGATGTGTCCCCTCGACAGAGTTGGTGTCCCGGCCGATGTAGGAAAGGCTGTGTACTGCCTGGTCAGTGATGAGGGTGAATGGATTAACGGTAAGAGGCTCTTCCCATCCTGTTCAGGAACTATGGAAACTAACGTATGACTAGGACAAGTTATTCGATGCTCTGGCGGGGGTGTTTAAAACTGGTGCATCAGTTTTAAACGTCTTTGCACGGGGTTTGTTCGTACAGAGGCTAAGTTGACAGCTCCTTTTCCACAACCCCTTTTAGTGTACTAGTTAAAATAGGTTTGGATCTTGGTGCGTGAGCCACGTTTGAATAGGGTAAATGTTTAACTCCTTTACTTGCCTATGAGCAGTCGATACATGTTGAATTTGAAGAAGCTGCATAAGTAACATTTCTATGTCAGGCATTCACAGGTCACAGCTCGCCATCACATGCACTGGGAAATGTGAGTCAACGTGTCGCAATCCAGTAGGAAATATAGCATTTTACAACACCACCTTTCCCCGGTCCCCTCTTCCCCGAACCCCTTCCTCCGGAAATAATCAGAAGCTGCACACGCTCCAGTGCTGAAAGATGTAGTCTGCCAGTTCAGTCTCTATCACACAGCCTTGTGAGTTTCCCATTGACATCCATTGCGTACTTTACTATTTACCAAGTGTCAATCAGTCCAGGGATATACTGATTGGCTTTAGGGGTACTTATAAGTCAGGTTTAACGTATTGTATAAAACCGTATAAAACACCTGGGAGGATTTTAGGCCTTCCTCCAAGCTATAGACAGGAGAATTGATGATATGCGATCCACGAGCGACTGGAAATGCACAGTCGAACAGCCCTCCACAGATGATGTTACCAATCAACTTGACAGCTGGGAATGGGAAGCCCAGCGAATACAGCATCGCGAGATCCGAGTGTTGTCAACCAATCGAATTCTCATCCTATTCAGCGAAACCAACAAATCCAAGAGCCTCCTAAAAATGAGGCTTCCAGGCACCATACTAGGGCCTTGCGGCATTGGGATGCCGATACTCTAGCTTCCTCCACCAACCCACCAGTCAAAGTCCATCAGCCCCCTTTCGCACCATGTCGTTCAATCAGGCCGATAACTACTTGAAGAGAATATGAACGGATCTGGTGGGTGTAACCATTGACCACAACCACTCTTCTCTCTTCTAATCAGAGTCTGGGCGAGTCCGCCGCCGCTTCGGTCCCGTCGGTTCCGTCGATCCCGTCGATAACACTACTTTTGGCGAGCATTTAGCCAGCCACGGCGGCCTAGTTGTCGACTTGCTACACTGCCACGTGGAAAACACAGCGTTATCGACCAATCCATGTCAGAAACAGGCTTGTTCGGAAAGAATCATGGGTTGCCATCATTGATCGGTGAGAGCGTGGGATCATCGGGGATCATACGGTGGCAAGGCTGGATATCATTACTTCGAGAAATTCCATCAGCCACTATATTAGATGCTTATAAACTCAGTAAATTTACTTGTTGCCCCATCATCGAGCTTGGCGCCGCCTTCAAGGCCGTCATACTCGGTGGACCTATCGGAATCCAAGCTCTCAGCAAAAAGGGGTGGCGATAGCGTCCACTCTCTCTGTAATTTGTAAGCGACGCCAAAGTGAGGCCGATAAAACTAGGTAATTCATGATAAGGCTCGATGGTCCCCCAACTATCCACCCATGGCCCTGTGATGCAGCCCAGCTTGGCTTGGGTTCACGTCGTACAGCGTATTTAAGTGGCCTGAGTCAGAACTACCAGAACGGCGGGTGACCAAACACAGAGTGGGACTCTGCCGAATTTGTAACGAATCCAAAGCCCCGATATGTAGACAAGCTTAAAAGAGAGAATAACTGAAACAAGGCTATTGCTATTTTTTCTCCGACTGGTTGAGAACCCGGGACATGTAGTAGTCTCTAATCGGATCCCAGATGGGGTATCAAGCTGGCTACCAAGACGGTCGGTCAGCTAGGAACTGCAAGATTGACATCAAATTGTCTTGAATACTAGTTTCATGTTGTGTACATGTACAGAGAGATAGAGGACAAGACCGATAATAACGGCTCGATATACTACCCCCGACAGGAAGACCCTGGCATGGGGCATATCAGTGTAACCCCAGTCAGCAAACTGAATAGCAGGACTTTTGATCTGGCACCCTGCCTCTGGAAGGATGAGAGACGAGTTATGCTTACAATGAGCCACCCTTAGGTGTCGGCTTTTTGGGTGGGGAGGGAGCCAAAGTATGTTAACATCCTACCATAATAGATGTATTTATAATGGTCAGGCGGCGAAGACGAACAATCCTGATCGACTGCGCTGCATTGCTTACCTTGGGCCGCCACAACGAATGCAAACTCTGTCACCTGGTGAAAAAGAAGCTCCCAAGTCCGTCACCGCAATTCGGAGAGAACCTTGCGCCATAACACCAGTTCCTTCGGGCATGTGGCATGGGGAGCTCCGGAGTAAGTGAGTGTGCAACAACTTCTTGTACCACGGTTTAGGGATAAGGTTGAATAAACCTCGTCACCCTGCAGGAAAACTTGGGCGATAACATGACGTTGCTGAGATCTCAAATCCCGAATCAAAGTATGATGCTCATTCCTGGGGTTCTCTGATGCGTTACCGGAGCACGACAGCTATATGTGTACATGGTCTCCGACGTTCATTGAACAGCCAAACTCGTCATTATTATTACTCGCTGACAGTACGTTCGAAGGGCATGGCGAGAAGGAGCAGGCAGCAACCATACACATTCAACGTAGCATCTGTCACACTGCATAGCTTTCTAATGTCAACAAAAAAATCCAGCTCGAGTCGGACTTTGCTTTTGATACTAAAGTGCGAAACGAATTCCTCCAATATATGTCCGAATTGCTAAAATAGTTCCGCAATTCGCGATACAGAAGGGCCATTCGGGTGCATAGCCGAGTATCCCCCGTCCGGCGCTGCTGCCAACACACTGCACTGCAGTCGCCCTGAACAAATTGTTGGATCTATCACGAGTCATCATCGTAGCAGTAGCTCTATGATTGTTTATTATGCTTATATTATGGAAAGGAAAGCAGCAGCTACATGTGTGTTGGGTATGTCCACAATATTGAAAGAAAAAGCAGCAGCTATATGTGAGTTGGTTATGCCTATCTTGAAAGAAAACGCAGCATCATAATAGCTCGGCTCCATCGTTCCAGGACCTACTGGTACAGCGGCGGCACACATCCGGGGTCACCCTGGGAAAAGGCTCGCGCTGGACCTGTGAAATCAAGAATGTCCAGTTGACAAGCAAATCGGAGCTCCCAGATACAGTATAATATCCTTGGAAACGTATCATGTCATAGACGTATCACCACCGCCAACACGGCTATCAAGGAAATGCTCTCCTACCCTCCGAGAACTTGGTGCGGTGTGCACTCAAGAGTCAACAGATACCCGCGGCAGAATCCAAGGCGGGAAACCCTCCAGCCATGCAGTACTTATTGTGGCATTCGTGGTAATATCGATGATTGACATCGTCTTGTCCTGCAAACCACGTTTGGTGATTTAGGGGGCGGAGGGGGGTGGCTGGCTTGAAAACCAAAACTGCGTCCAAAAATTTCTTCTCGTGAAGAAAGTCGTCGATGTATCGGCTCTTTTAACCACGAATCTCGCATCTCAATGATGCATGCCCGCCTCGATCTGGGATCCGAATGGTCAACCCGTGCATGAGTAGACCAGGTCCACCTGCATATAGTGGTGGTTCCTTATTCCTCTTCGGTCAAATTGCGCGAGCCGCTACTGGCTAGAATATCTGGTGTGTAGCACCCACCATTCGTGAACTCCAATCGGCTATTGAGTTGTCTTGACTAAGTGACGGAACAAATACTTTTCTTTTCAAATAGCCAGTTGCGGGACAAAAACAGCTTTCGAGAGAATACTGGGAATTTATATGGCATCAGGTTATTCACTGTAGATAATCAATAGTGTGAACTCACTAAGTCCTACGCCGCCATGGTGATGGAGTACCCGTTGAGACATTCTGGGCTACTCTAGTATAGCAGAGTTGGGGGAACTTCCACTCTACGATTGCAAGTCTATAGTCAATGGCCAGCCATTGGTGTGTGCAGCTTGGGAAGTGTTCGAATGTTGGTACTCCAAGCTGAAGGTCCAAGCCAATAAATGCGTTCGACATGGCGTTGTAATCACATTCCGAGGACGATCATTCCTGTTTAAATGGCAGGAAGAATGTTGTTTGCATAAAATCGGGTTCCCGAGTCAGCGTTGGGACTTTGTTCTTGTTTCTGATCGACCTGCCGCAACCAGTTACATGGGATCTCGTGTAACACTCGGTTGTCCGCCTCGCACTTCATTGCCATGCCACTAATTATTACCGGTACTATGGAGGAAAAATTCGGTATCAAACCCTATGGGCTGGTTCCTTGGTAACTGCTCGCAATCACCCGGTGCCAAGCTTTTCCCACAGAAGCTCCAGACTCGGTAGCCTGGTCGCAGCTAAATTAATTCAGTAGATTGACCTCCAAATATCCATGCAGAACAATGCTATATAGCATACGAAGAGGGTGTGTACTCCATCTAAGAAGAGCACACACCTCACAAACAACAGGTGCGGGCGGCTGAGACCGACTTAGATCCTAGATGAACTGACATGTCGAAGATAATCAATACTTTGGTGCCGAAGGATGATTCGGAAAGACTGATATCCAATCGTATAAATGAAGGTGTCATCGACAAGGCTTGATATTCGTGGGTACGATACGCAGCCGTTTGACGTGATCAGCATATTTCCTCAACCGATCTAGGAACAGATACAATACTGCAGGTATAATTAATATGGATTGGTCATATGGAATGGTATTTGAGTTTCCCGACGATTAGGGTGATCCCACGCTTCGCCGCCCTTTTTTACTTGAAAATGAATTGACGCTAAAGGGGGAGTCACACTTAGATCCTCTCTGCTTATACTGTGACGTACTTGTCAAGATCACACCCCGTAACTGTTCTTCTTACTTCCTCCACTCGCCAGTTGCAGATTGATCAACTTTTCTCTACGTACGTAATAAAACATGACTTGCAGCTTGATAAAAGTGCGACTCTGAGAAGTTTTGAATTTGAAAAGCCCCCAATTCCGCGAATCATGCAATATTCCTAGTTTGGGAAACGAAAGGCAAGATGGTACGAAAAGAAAAGCATCTTCTTGTGAATTTCCCGTGCTCTGACATCTTACATATGTCATTGCTTTGGTGTCACCAAACTTATGCATATGGGCTTCACCCGACATTATAAGCCAGCCAGTGGATTGTGAGATCTATCGGAGACATCATCAGCTAAACACACTGACAAATAAGTTTTACATAATTATGGACACAATCGCATGAGTCATACGTTAGATATCTTACATTATGAATGCTCAAATGGATTTATGATGCCTCTGTACAGCCGTGGCGACTGGTAGGAACTTGGTGCCCAGTGCAAGTGTAGGCCGCGCAAATCCAGCGGCCAGCAAACTACAGCGATGGTGAGAGCGTATGGTGGAGATCAACTTTCTTTTCAAAATTCTATTCTTGCTCACATGCCGGAGATAATTCGCTGCTCGTCGCATCATCATAGTGGTACACAAGAAACGTCATACGTACGAATAAAATACCGACCAAGTAACCAGCGCCACCTCCAACGGGATGTAGAAAGCTAATCTTGTTGGCTCTACCCTTCGTGACCAACCGAGACGCCAAAGGGAAATAAAAACGTACACTAGTAGTACTGCCGCTATACTGTGAGTCTGACCAAGCACTCAACAGCTCGAATAACATTGGTATAACAACCGGCACCTGAAGTTTTCGTGTTGGGCATATGGTGACATAAAGGTTTACCCCTTCCCCCCCTCCTCCCCCTACCCCACCCCCCAAACCGCTTTGATACTCAGAATTCATGAGCACCGACATCCCGCATCGCTATGGCGATCCGCATATGTAGTCCCTCATATCCGGGGGAGAAATGAAGACGAGAAAAATGTGATGGCAATTATATTAGTCGGTGTGTGTGACTAAGTGAAGCAAAAACTTTTGGCATGTTCACTCGTAACTTCATTCATTCGCTTCGGAGTTTGTGCCTTTTCTGTTTCTGTGAACAGCCTGGGAAGATGGTCAAGCATAGGTCACATCGCCCTTCCTGTGACTGATCACCTCTAGCGTCGACCCCAAGTTCTGCCCAAGGTAGCCAATCATAGCCTTGCTGACCTCGGGATCGTCAGATAAGTCGGAGAAGACCTCTCGAAACCGCGCATATACCTCCTCGAGCTTGCGGAGTTCTCTCGCCAAAATCTCCAGCTCCAACCATCTTCCGTCTTCGCTATTGAGCTGGTAGGCGCCGAGGCTGACGCCCAGCGCACTCGGGGGGCTACTGTGACTGCTCATGCCCATGCTCCCGTTTTCAAAGTAGGAGTGCGACGCGTTTCTGTAAAATGAGGTAATCTTGCCCATCACAGTCGCTAGGAGCATAGCCGCTGTGTGGGTGCCCGAGCGATTCATACATTTGGAGCAAGAGAGCATGGCGGCACACCCTTCGACAGCCTTCCTGTTGAGTGACAGGACGAGATCAAAGGGTGGAGAGACCTGCCCCGAGGCATTGTGCAAATGTTGAAGAGACTGCAAGCAGACAGTAAAGCAGTTGCAAGAACCCCCGGCGGATGTCGAAGACGATGGCTTGTGCCGCGAACTTGCCGGTCGAATGTGTGGGGTGGCGGTAGGGCTCGGGAAGTAGTTTGACGGCATACTGGACGGGGTCGGCATATGGCTATATGCCATCATATCGTGGGTGCTTGGATCGGACCATCCCATGGGGGCTGTCATTGACAGGTCGAAAGACTGTGACCGCACATGTGCCCCTGGCATCTGAGCTACCGAGACGGCAACATCCCCGTATGGCGCACAGGAAAGGTCTGTCGGAGGGGTCCACGGCATCGAGGCGGGATACATCTCTGGAGGTGCCGACATTGAATCGTGTTCGTTCATCATCTGCTCCTCCACCCCCATGAGAGACAGGCCAGTGGAAATGGAGGGATTCCTGCTCATAGAGCCGTCAACGCTAGTAGGTGGAGTGGTCCAGCCAGTCTCGATTTTGAAAAGGTGCTCGGAGGGCCGAGTATTATAGGTCATATTGGTGTCCTCCCCCATACGGTGTCTCTCTGTCAGATCGTGGCCGGCACTCGCATGGTGACTTGCGTGGGCATCAGACTTTGGCTTGCCAGCCCTGCTGGAAGGTGAGTATCGACACTCAATGCCGCAGGCAAGGCAGCGGGAACATATTGGCCTGGCCTTGGAGCACTTGACCTTGGCCAAGAAACAGCCGTCGCACGACGCTCGGAGTCGGGGTTGACGAGATTTTGCGGAAGACGACATGATTTTGATTTGGTTATGGGAAATGATGGGTGTACTCAAGGAAGAATCGGTTCCTCTAATATAACAATCGTGGGCATAACTCAAGAAGGAAAAAAACGAAAGGAGAGGCGAGGAAACGCAGGTAGTAATATAGGACATGCGTGTATAAGCAAGACTTAACGGGAGTAGGGGTAGCGCAAAGCTTATGGGGTTGTATGGCAGTATGGCAGGGATTGGGGACGTTGAACGAAAGAGGGGATCGACGTTTCTTTGATGACCAAAGAGGAACGACACATGTCATTCTGTTGCTAGGAGTCCGGGGATGAAAAACGAAACAAGTTCAGCTGGTCGAAGTGGCAGAGCATTATGAAAAGGTGGAAGATGTGCAAAGCATCCGGGGTGTAAGAGAGGGAGTCTAGTTAACCTTGAGGTGGTACCGGATAAAGGCACGGGCGCTAGGCGCTGATTTGACGTTTGGGGGACTAGAGAGAACAGACCCACGCATGGAAGCAGAGGCTGTCTGAGAAAGCCTATTATCGAGGGGCCGTGGGGTTGACAGTGGCTGTCGAACCCATCGAGCGCAGTAGCAGGTGCTTGTCTTGGTGAGGTTCGCATGGTGTGGATGAGCTGCTGGGATTGCTGGGATGCTAGACTAACGGTAGAGCCGCCGGCACATTTTGACCGTAGTCCGCTGGGGAAACGGTGAGTGAGATAACCCAGTACGTAGTCTCAGTACACGTACCCGCTGCGTGAAGTACGTATGTGGCACCAATTGGCTGCGGATGATAGTGGCCGTTACGATGGGGGCATTTCCCCCAGGCAAGTCAGGCTTCTGTTACCAAACGAAACCACTTGTTTGGGCAAGAAGCGCTGATCGTCAATCGAATCTGCTGACAATAGACTGGATTGGTGTGGTTATTGACTGGCTACAAAGCGAAAATGTTGGCCTTGGCAAATGGAAACCGCAGCGTCGAGTCTGTAGCGGTACCATGGAAGCAACAGGTTGCTTACTGGGTTTAGAATATGCAGGCTCGGGTCTACCAGTGACACGAGATGCATGCGCAGGCCTGTATGCAATATACAAAAGGAATTGCGAAAGCCCCCAGCAGATGTACATGGGCAGAACATGGGGACGCACACGTAGATGCAGACGCAGATACCCACAGCAACAAGTTGATGAGATGCGGAGCGTGGGAGCCGACCACATGTGGACACTGCCAAGCGATCGGAGTAGGGATGCTCCAGGGTGAGTAAAGAAACAAAATTGGAGTTGACTGACCAATAGCGACTCGGGTGGAGGTGCCATATCTCCCCAAATGTCCCTCCCAGTCGACAGGGCCAAGTTGGCAAGCATAGACGGCATTGGCAGACCGCAAGATACATCCCTCCATTCCACCCATTCCTTCGATGAAGAACAGACATCCCGGCAGAGTGTAGACCTTTCAGAGTTCATCCTGCTGACAGTGATCCAAGTGTGGCCCTGCTAAGGCGATTTTGCCTGATGGAAGACAAGGGTTGTCGGTCCCGAGGATGGATTGGCCAGACAATTCAAGCTCTCTCGAGGACGACAACGACTTTGGGGATGGGCGCAAACATGTGGATGGTGACGGAACGCTTGCAGAATGAAAGGCCAATTTGCCCAATTTTCAGCTCAGCCCAAGCTGAAGGCCATTGAACGCTCTTAAGCCTCGGGGCGCGTTGACGCGAAGCTCCATCTTGGCAACTGCCAACCTGGATTTTCATCAAACTGTGAGGAAAGAGATGTTTGAGAGGCCTGAGTGTGCCTTCACAAGTGCTCATGCCCAGCTTCTGCTAGGTAGTAGATCATAAAGTGTAGATTTTCAGTGATTGCACGACATTAAATAGGTCGAGGTTGAAGTTCTGATGAGGACGCTGTAATAATGCCTAGGTACCTACCTACCTAACCTTGTATTTCTTTTAGGCAGAGCAGGATTGTGCACGTTCCTTCCCCATTGAAGTTCCCACGGAACAACTGGACTCGCCGGCGCCACTGTCACAATACCAGGCAGGTAACCTCGACCTCGTCTTTTGACGTATGTAGATGCTATCAATTTCTGTCAAGCTCTTTTAACTCGATCTTTCCTTTTTCAAATTCAATCTGCCCAACTTTAAAAGCATTGTGACAAACTTGCGATTGACCCCGTCACCTAGCGGCATTTTTGCTCTCTTAATCGCCTCATTATGGTCTGACATGCGCCTTACGAGGCCCCCCTCTAGTGGCATCTATCAACCCAAAAAAATTCACGATTGTTGGTCTCGCCTCAGCCCTATCTGATCCTCCGAGTTGCCCCACAATTCCGAATAATGCACAGATTGCTACCCGGTTTTGTCATGAATGCATTGTCATGAACGCACGGCGTTCCCATAAGCATCAAGCATCACATCATCGGCCTCATGGGCCTAAACAAAGGAAATTCGTATAAAATACATTGCCTCAAATCGACCATGAGTGGTGTCGCTTATCCATATATATGGATGGTTCTTCAGCGAGCGGGAGTCGAAAGGCCGGCCGGCTGAGGTCCTGGCCAGTCGGCACGACACAGCTCCCGTCCCCGTCTTATGTGAACGGACGCCAAAGTCGACAGCATCATGTGGTGCAGATATACGACATTTAACTTGTACGAATTAGGCCGCTGCATTTCCCAAGAACACGTGGTTGTCCGACCTGATCCTACTCCGCCCCAATGATCAGATTGTTGAGAGTAAGCATCGAGGCTGTATCTACGAGACAGAAACTATCAAGAACGGATATCATCCATCTGCAATCATGCACAATTGCAGTCAAGCAGCAAATCACATGCTTCAAGCCTCCGGCAAAGCAGATAGGTGCAGATGGGTGCAGAACTGCGGGTCGGTCGAATAGCAGGACCTATACCGACTTGCTGCCATGCCGTCGTTATCAAGAAACAGCGAGATCAAGTTTTGTTGACCGTTGATCACGTCGGCTCAACTTCCTCGCTTCTGGATGGGGTAAGGTCGGATAGTCGTCGCCATCGTCGTCGCCATATACAACTTCGTCGCCGCATCCTAATCTGGCTCTGGCTTAGGGAAGTCAATCACTTTTGACGTAGTATCTCGACATTATTAAGAGTTTCCTTTCTGATTCAGGCTCATTCCCAGAGTCATTTATCATAGCCCATCACATCAAGCATCATCTCAATATAACCAAATCCATAACAAATCCAAGGATGAGAGCACCTTGGGAGAAGACCAAGGCTCGGTCCTGCCTTTTCAGCTCTCCAAAGACGGTCATGTACGCACGCTGCATCCCACTACGCACGCCGTAATGTCGACTGGACGAAGAACGAAGGGGAGACTCCTATTGTTTCCTATTATTGCCTTGGCCTGCTGAGTCGAAGCTCTACTGAAGCTAGTGCCCGAGTACGCTCAGCTTGCAATGCATATTGTCTGCAGACGGCGATATACATGCAGTCGGGGCCGTTGGCTTAGGAAAGGATCGGCACGTATCTTAAGCTGAAGGGTGTATATTGAGATGTGTCGTGGTTGGCGCTGGCGCCTCTCCTTCGCCTATCTACTCTAACTGGCCTTGTCTGACAGCTGCTCCTCAAATCATGCGTACATGGCCCACAATATAATGGCTTGATGACGACCAGGAAGGATGGTGGGCGACGTGGCTTACTTGACTCGACGCTCGACGCTTGTGGCTGGCGTCGGCACCTACAGAATTGGGCCTGGGTCTGCCATTGCAAACGGTCACAAACAAGCTCGACGGGTGTGGACAAACTCAGCAAAGAGAACTCAGTCGAGCCTAGACCGCAGGATTGAGTTGCAACCTTCATGGCACGGTGATAAGCCGAAGGCGAGAAGGCGATAAACCATCATCACCAAAAGTCAAGCTTAGTGATAGACACATAAGCGAATCCCAGCTGGGACACAAGCTTAATTGCTAGTTCGCCCGATCCGTTCTAGCTTCGATAGGCTGCGGAGTGACAGGTCGACAGATCCCTACGAGGGGTTACATCCCAAGTTACGGCGGGCTGGAGACGGTTACCTATGATGTAACTGACTCATGGCGAGCCGGGAGATATTATAGTATCCTCACCATGAGGGCACTCCAAATGATGAATCAGCACGAAAACGATTCCGGTACCTGAGACTCTACTGGGGAGGTGTTCTTGCAACGCTTCCACGCCCAGAAAGGATTTCGTGCTATAAGGAAAAGGCAGGGGTGATGTGGGGTTGCTCTTGCAATAGTGAGTGCACTGGCCAGAAAAGCACCTGCTAGGCCGCCTCTAATAAAACACATCCTGCGATGGCTAGTTGTGCATCTAGTTATTCAGCCCAAGCTCACTGACGAGGTATGACCTAGCTTCTCATTGGACTAAGCCGTCACGTTACTGCTGACTAAAAGGTATTATTAAAGAGAGCGCAGAGCACCGCGCTATTATAATACAGACCCTAGCCCTCAGTCGTCCCGGACAGGGGACCATGGCATACAAAACAGCCTCACGGTTGAGATCCCTGTCAGAAGCTTTCTGACAACTTGTCACGAGCTTGACCTGATGTCATAGGCTATAGCACATCTGTGGTGATAGGAGTTCAAGGCAATCTTGACGGTCCTGTTGATGCTATATCGTTCCATATTGAGCGTCGTTTTCTGGAAAAACGACTCGTCTTCCACGACAACCTGCCCGGCGCTTTGGGTATGCGACCCACAATGCCCCGCTTCAGCTTATGCCGATCACTATTTTATCTGGTCGAGCGCACCGTATCCGTGCGGACGTTCGAGGACGAGACCGCTTTTTTTTTGGCCTGACAAACATGCTTGGATGAGTCCCGCAGCATGAATTGGCTCTCTGACTTCTGCGCGTCTTTGCTGATGCGTGGGATGAAGAAGCAAGCAATCGTGGCGCCCATGTTACCCACGGTCTCTAGACTCTTTCCGGCCGTCTGGCTTCCGGCTTATCCGGGGTTTTCACATCGAAACACTTGGTTCCTAGCAGTCGCTGGCTCATCATCTCGCCAACGAGGGCAAACGTCGAACACTAACAGCTTCAATTATAGATTCGCGTGCATATGCGCCCAGGCTTTCAAGTCGGGGACGCTGTTCCGCTGGGATGTCCCTGACTATAACACCGTGATTTGAACCTAAGCAAACCTTGAAGGGCTGCCGTAATTGGTGCTGATATAGCATTTATGCTTCTTCAGATGAGTTCTGATTGCTTATCCGCATCCAGTGAACAACAGTACACGCCAGCTTCCACTACGACTCGTCTGCGAGGATCAAGCTATTTTATTTACAGGAACATGAACCCAAAGATTATTAAACAATGAATGACTCGACATTCAGGCGAGCTCTTTGTAATGACATATAGACGCCAGCAGTTCCAGCTGGGTCTAACGCTAACCAGCATCGCAAGACCCCAACGAGATTTGCTTACAGCTAGCATTCCGGCTTGGAGTCAAGCTGGATTCTGAAGTTCGTATTTCCTTCCCCAGCTTAATAGACAACTAAAGGTATCGCGCTAATGGACCTTTGCTGCGGTCTACAACATGAATTTGCGATTCGAGAAGCCGTTGCGCAACCGTCTCATCCACACCTGCCTTCGGATTATTCCCACTTACACCCCGTCCGCAAGTGCCTCAAGCTAACAGCCTCAAAGTTTCTTCCTCGCAGCTTTGCCATGCAGAAAAGCTTTCCCGGAAAGGCATTTCAGAGGATTTGAGTTTGGGCCTGCTGCCAACGGCTGAGTCAAGCAAAGCAGCCGGTTTCCGAGTCTCTGGGCGCAGTCCGAGAGTTGTCAAACTTCTAAAGAAGAGCCATCGCTTTACTTGGCAATGCCGCTAAGAGCAAGAGAGCTCACAAATTTGGGAAACTTGGGCAAAATGCCTCTCTAAGATTGGGGGAGAGAGGAAGAGCGCGCACACAAGATTCCAAATCTGACGTTGCGCAAGTTCGAAAAGAGATCACACACCGGCACTTGTGTAATGAAAGCAGTGCTCATCAAAGAGCACAGCTTCAAGACGAGGACCCTGCCTACGCGCTAGCATAAGCAAATTAACCAGCACACTACCAAGAAGCCGTGGCGGAGCAAGACTGTGGAACCAACGGTAATACCTCTATGAGAGTTACCGCGGGTCACGGCATCAACAATTGCGTCGAAGCTCATTCATTCATTGAGCTGCTGGCCGGAAACGCTTCCTGAGCTTGACCTGCCCGCATTTAGTCCATGCCAGTAGGCAAGCTGCGTCGCATGGCTTCGGGGGTGCCTACAGCATCTTGCTCGTGCCTTTGCTTTTGCCCGGTCCACGAGAGAGCCCGCCTGACTGGTTCTAAATGAGGAAAGGCGCCAGAAGACAGCAAGAATGGGCCACCCTTTTAGGTCAGCACCGTGGTCGTGTATGTTTGCGAGTTTTGTTTAGAGTCCAGCGGGAGGAAAAGGAATGGCATTGATGGCAGAGACTAAAGTCTGACTAAGAACCCTGAAGCCCCACAGACATTTTTGGCATCGACAACCGTTCGTCGTCGAGCTTGTTTCACCACGAGGCAACAGCACTAGCAAGTCTTCCGCAAGCTCCAAGTCCAAGGAAACTCGGAGCAGAAGCTAGGGAAGGGAAGGGAATTGAGGCTTTCCATCCTTTTTCGAACCAGGGCCACGGGTTCATCTATTGGCAAAGCAGAGACGGACTACGCACGCCCGTTGTACATCGGATGGAAAGTTCTTGTCATGTGCCCCAACTAGCTTGGCAGCCTTCCTCTGTGACACAAGGCCCGTCCGGGGAATTTAGCTGTTTCCTTTGGAGGTCGGAAACAAAACATGGGGGCTTTCGTTGATGGAACCGTGGACTCTGCTCCCACGTCGCAAGCTTAGAGCTGCGGTGGCACGCCAACGATCCCCCCTCCCCCCGCCCCCCACCACCACCCCCAAGCTGTTAACAAAATGAATGGCGCGTCCATGTGGAATGACTAAGGTTATACCAGGTCTACTGCACTGGAATATGGATCTATCCCATACATTATCCCACCCTGTTGCACCGCTTGTTTGGTTATGCACTTGGCCCCCTTATCATGGTGAGGGGTGCTGTGAGGTAGTCCCGCAGCCTCCCCCCTTTCCTTCCCAAGGCTTTTCCTGGCGATCGAAACGTGGTGCCGATGAGGGGAAGTAAAGTATCGTGGTTACTTCACTTGGGACGGCAGAGGGCACGCCCCTTCAAAAAGAAATAGAGTCACCGATTGGCACAAAGGCAATCGAGCGTGCGTGCATACGTGGGGACGGACGGACGTGCGTGGCTCGGGACATCGTGAAGCGAGTGAGGAATGCGAGCAGTTTGTGCATATTTTGGTCTTTACTAGTGTACCAGTGTACACTTTAAGCCAATATGCGTGCATGCCATGCAATGCAATGCAGCAGCTTAAGTTGGCTGGGAGTGTAGTTCAGAGAGAAGACGTGAAACGTGAAACAGGGTTCCTTCCTACCAGAACGTTGGGTTCTGCAGCAGCAGGAAGAAAAGCTTTCGGATCACCAAATATGTGTAACTGCAACGTTGAACAAGCCCGCCCGTTAGTTATGTCTAGTATTCTCTCTGAATTCGTCATTGATGTCATAGACGCCCGCCAAATACGGTTGTGGGTTATTGGTTGCGCAACATGTGCGAGTTCGATATTCGCATGTGCCTACCCGTCACTTTCCAAGCGTGATGTCTCTGATGGGTTGGGGGTTTACACCGCGTTTGGGTCACACGAGGGATATCGTGAAAGTGGGCTTTGCCGTTACACGGATTGCCGTTCTAGAAGTTGTGATGTTTCGATACGTGATAGGCGGTGAAAAAACCACCCCCCCCCTAAAAAAAGAAACCAGAAACTAATGAGGCCATGACGGTTGTCGGCCATGTAGAAAACGGTGAGCATATCGGTTCGGCAACAGTTTGCAGTTATTGCCATTGTCTTGGAAAGTGGCTCTGGTCAGTTAACAGACAGTAACTGAGGCTGTCTGCGGTTTGCTTGCTCGGCATCTGGTATTGGTCGGTGATATTGCAAGTCCGCTTGACTCGACCGGTCAGACTGAATCATTCGGGATTTGTCACAACCGTGGGAACCTACTCAGATCACGCGGACCTCCATGGTGTGTCGAGCTTCCAAGACAATAGCTTGCGATATCGTGAACTTGGTGAAACCCCCAAAGTTGAACGCGACTCGCGCTATTCTCGAGATGGAATCTCCATATTTTGGATTCGAAACCACGAGCTGAGTAATCGGTGGATGCTATACTGATGAGATGGGACGGGTAACAGCGCTGAGATGCTTAGATAATTATCTAGTTGATCTAAATCTGTTGCGACTGGCCGTATTCGGCTTGAAGAAAGCTCTACGGGCCGAGAGCTGAGTAATCCGCGGTTGGTATACACATGAGATGGCAGCAATCTTAAAAGATATTAAGTAACTAAATAACACTGCCAGATCAGTTGCGACTGGTCACTGTTTAGATGAACAACGAAGTACGGGCCGAGGACTGAGTCAGTAGAAGGTGGTATACTCATGAGACGAGAGCGTCGTTGGGATGATTAGATAATTATGAAAGTCGCGTCCAGCTTGGTTGCGATTGGCCAAACGCAGGATGAAAAGATATAGGGACTGGTTAAAATGTTGAAGCAGCGTATTCCGAAGGTCGACGGACCCTGATATGGGGCTGAATACGGGAATTCCTTCTAGTCATAGCGCCGTTCGTATACCCGAAAGAGGAGAGACGAACCGAAGGCCGACCCGGCTATATGTTGACCAATAGACTAGAAATCTGAAGATGCTTGATGAGTAAGATAAACATGTTTGAAACCCGGGGTAACCGCGATAATCACAATATTCAGGTCCTCAAGTGGTTTTGATAAGTCTGCGTTGTGCTTGTGGGTTGATATATCGTCAGATACTCAGTTGACATACCAGCTTAGGACAAGTAGAACTACTGAGATAGCTTCAGACAACGCGATTAAGGTTAAAAGGTGACTAATGTGAGTGGAAGTTGTGCACCATTACACCGACAGATAGATCTACGGGGCGTGTTTGTCGAGTAGAGGAGTTCACCATGGTGAAGATATCTGACGCAAGATCAGGGAGGTGATGAAGATACCTTACTCATATCGAAACAATGGGAGAAGAAACAACCGGCGGTGAATGAGTTTCGTGACTAGAGAGGCGAGAGCTGACATGATGTGGTATCGATCAAGCTTCATGGGAACTGCGCAACGCCAAAGACTTGGCTCGCCAGGCTGTTCCATGCGCATGATATAGTTAAACAATGTGACACAATACTATCCTAAAAAGAAGAGAAATTTGGCAATACTATGGCCCAGACGACAAAAACGGGGTCCAATGACGAGAGGCAGACTGCCGCGGTCAAGTCAGAAGAATACTTGTTCAAGACTTACGCGGAAATACTAAACTCGCTATCACGAAGGACCACTACAATGGAACAGACGTGCTGAAATGACCAAGTCTTAGTGACGAGATGATGGAATAATAAGTACTCTGAACATATCACTTCCAGCGCCGGAGAAATACCCCGGAGTAAACAAGGCAAGAACTCACATAAGTTCAACAAAGACCAACAGACCAACAAGTAGAATTACAGCGTCGATGTCCAGCCAACATACTCTATGATATGTAGTATATCATCCATAGCTGAGGAACTGACCCCTATTCCCCTATGGACTCGCCCTTGGACAATTATATTTTGTTGTCATATTGTGCCACCCGTACGGGAAGCAAGACTTAAGTGGTTCCATTTCTTTCTCCATGCATAACTCCTATAATTCATCAAAATAGCTCAAATCTCCAAGCTGAAGAAGGCCTTGTAGTGAGGAAGTCAATTCAACATCGGGACGTTCACCACGCGAAGTATCACGGCAATGTCATCAAATGGTGTGAAACTGAAGCACAGATATCCTGTACGTGATATAGATCAGTCCAGTCAAGATGCTTTAGGGGAAACGACAAAACGTCGGTTGTAAAAATAGAAGCTCGCCTCCGTATCCTATGATAGACGGTAATAATAATTTCTTCGCCAGTCAGGATAGCGAAAGAACGATTCACTCGCATAGAAAGTTTGGGCAACCTGGGTCAACTTGAAAGAGCTTCACCCCACGGTCTACAAGAGCCATCAACGACGTTTGATTTTCTGATGCCTTGTACAGTTGCTCCGTTGAGATTCCAGCAGTTGTCTCACCGTTTGCGTGACACGGCTTACTCAAATATATTATATTTCATCGAAGCCATCATACTCAATGGTCGTGTTCGACAGCTGCCAGTTATCTCATATGGTAGACAAGTCAAAAATACCCAGAGACTTTTCTGAACAGGACACGTATCAAGGGTACAGTAGTTTCTTCATTATATTTATGCGAGGGATCAGGGGCTTGACTGTTTCAACAAGATAGGTGTCCGAGACACTCATTACCTTACTTATTAAAGGTCGGAGCAATATTCTTCCCCAAGCTACACATGGCACTTTGTGAAGTCAGGCCTTCGATTCGGAAAGCAATAACTGAATATCAATGTTAGTCTTAACAATGTATGCATACATGTACAAACCCCCCACAAGAACTAATGGCAGCAAACCTTCAGATGCCCCAACGCCAATGCTATATCCGTTCACTTTTCTTTTTTGCCGTTACTGGAGCCGATTAGGAACCTCCTGCGTGTCCTTTTAAGCCTTTCGCTTCTTGCGTTCCTTCTGCTCCTCGCCCCAGGCATCCTCGAATGTTGTACGCTCCTTCTTAAAGTCCTTATCCTCCAAGCCTAATCGTCTCACAACCTGGAACGCGCCAGTACCAACACTCATTGTCTGGCCCATGATGATGCATTCCGAGACGCCCTCAATCCGGTCAGCCTTCATGCCGGCCGCCGCCTCAAACAAATGGTCAGGCGTCTTCTCGAATGACGCTAACTGCAGCACCGAGTCACGCATCTTGGAGAGGCCGAAACGTGTGATGCCGAGCACCTCGCCCTTGTATGTCATGACGTCGGCAAGAAGCTGCATATGCCGCGGGTCGATGTCCATTTCACCCATGACTGCGTTGATTTCCTGTGCGATTGTGGTGCGTGCCGCCTCAATGCCAAGGATGTCCTTGGTTTCCATCACGGAATTCGACCACACCTCAGTGCCGACCACTCCTTCTGTATTCATGCAGTCGCGGAGTCCATAGCCTTCCACCAGGACAGTGTTGAGTAGTTTTTCATCGGTCTGGATGATGGCTCGAAAAGCCTCGGGATACCCAGAGATAGGTACGCTTGGGAGAACGCGTTTCAGGTGACTCACCCGAGTGAGCAAATCAGCTTTGGTCTCTACAGTTGCGACCTTGCTTCTCACGGTTCGCTTCGCAGCGGAATCCTCAGGGTTGTGCACCGAAATCTCGATGGTTCCATCTACCGGATAGACGCGAAGATCACCAGGTAAGATTTTCAATTTCTTAGCCTTGACAATGGCAGTCTTGATATCGTAGATGCCGATACCAAGATGCATGCTTTCAAGAGCTTCGGTATCAATGGCAAGAGTGATATAAGCGCGGTTCGACTCCCACTCGTCTTCGATATATCGAAGCACGTCTTCAATGTACGTTTTCTCAATGCGACCCTTCACAACGCGCGCCGCCTCAATTTGCGTTTTGTTCTCCAGCGGGCAACTAATGATCGGGGTGCTGATGGTCTTCGATGCGTTGATGATTTCTTTGATACGGGGTACACCTTGCGTCATACTCATACCAGCGACACCAGCAAAATGGAAAGTCTTCAGTGTCATTTGAGTACCGGGCTCGCCGATAGACTGCGCACCGACGGCTCCGACAGCATGCCCAGGTTCGACATGCGCCTTCTTGAACTTCTCCAGGCACAACGTGATGAAGGCCCGGAGAGTGGGTTCGGAAACTTTAGCAACTCTTTCCGTGTATGTTTTTTCAGCTTTTCCTCTCTCCTCTTCGTCAATAGTGCCGGCGCTTACGTCTGGCTTGGTGTAATACTCCTTGAGGCCGACGCTCTTCCTCGTTTCAGCCAACTTGCGGGCTAGATTGATACAATGAGCCTCGATTGTTGCCAAGAAACCTCGACTACTCTCATGCTCATCAATACCATAGTCAGTCTGGTCGTCATACGAGAGTGGTTCTCCATGGAGAAGACCCTTCCTCTCGTAGCGCGCTCGCTCCTTGTCGAGCATATCGTTGCACATCTCCAGAATCTCGAAAGGCAGCAGAGCTCGGTCTTCATTACTCCATGTGATATTCTCCGCATGCGAGAGAGTCCGATTGAAGTTGACCGGAACCGCCGTACCCTCCATATCAAGGGGATCTAGCTTGTCGGCGCCGAACTGGAATTGCACCACGCCACCTCCAGAAGTACGCACCGTATCGTCATACTGAGTGGAGAGATCCTCGAGTGACTTCATGAGACGTCGCGACATGTATCCAGTCTCTGCCGTTTTGACCGCTGTATCGACTAGACCCTCGCGGCCAGACATGGCGTGGAATATAAACTCGGTCGGTCTCAGGCCGGTGTAGAAACTGTTTGCAACGAATCCCTTCGCGGCAGGTTGACGAGCGAGCTTATGGAAATGATGAAGTGTTCGATCTTGGAATCCATCAGCAACACGCGACCCTCCAATAATCTGCTGCCCCACGAGCGCAATCATCTGGGCGACGTTGATGTTCGAACCTTTAGATCCTGACGATGCCATGATCCATGGTGCGTTGTTCGGGCTCAAAGTCTTGATACAGTAATCTCCGGCGTTTTGACGAACTTTACTCAGAGTTCCAGAGATACTGTTCTCCAGGGTCTCTTCCAAAGAGCATCCTGCCGCCTTCTCCAATTTCTTTTCGTTGTACTTGTTGATGAGCTCGTCCGTCTTGAGAACAGCATTTTTCACCAGTACTTCTTTCTCCGCTGTCAAGGTTGCTGTAGGGAACACATCACCGATACCAATCGAGAACCCCTGGTTTGTCAACGTTCTTGCGCATAGTTTGGCGAGGCGGTTCATCGCGACGACTGCGGCATCCGGTCCGAAATCTCTCATGATGACGTAAAAAATCGAATCCTTCTTACCCGACCCTACTGTGGATTTGTCCATTCGGCCGCACATGACCTCGGAATTGCGGACTACGAGCCAGCCGTCGCGTGGACACATGTCAGGGGCTCGATTTGCCTCTCTCGGGTCCGAGGAGGATTTGTTCGGTGCCACGAATTCTCTACACTTAGCGTCTAGGTTAATCTTGACGGGAGACGCCTTGTTGGGTCGCATCAACACGCTGAAGACCTGCTTCCCAGTCCACAGTCTTTGAGGCTTGAAAATGGCGGGTGGGGGTAGATCCAGGTGGGTTTCCCCATCCACCATCATATGCATACAGACGTATGTGAAAGTCTTACGGTCGAAGAAAACGTCTTTGCCGCTCAGGATGTATGCTGCAGTGATGAAATCCTGCGTGGCAGCAATGATGGGCTCGCCATTCTTGGGTGTTTGTAGGTTGTGCTTTACCCCCATCAGGTTGATGGCCTCGGCACGAGCTTCTTCTGTCTGTGGAATATGGAGGTTCATCTCATCACCATCAAAATCAGCGTTGTATGGGCCGCAGACACATTCATTGAGGCGGAATGTTCGCCAAGGTCTCACTTTGACGAGATGGCTCATGATACTGAGTCTATGCAGCGAAGGTTGACGGTTAAACAGCGCAATGTCGCCGTCTTCCAAGTGACGCTCGACGACGTCGCCGAAGCGCAAGCTCTCAGCCACTCTTTTCTTGTCTCCAAATCTCAAAGACACCTTGTACGTTTCGTCCCCATCCTGCTTTATCACTTGCTGTGCGCCTGGATAAGTCTTTGGCCCGTTGATCACACACTGTCTCAACTTGGCTATGTTTTCTCTCTGGACCCTTTCCGGGTAGGTCATGTTCATAGCAACGAGCACGGGCACTGCCACCTCGTCGATTCCTAGGTTGGGATCGGGGGAAATAACGGTTCGGCCGGAGAAGTCGACACGTTTTCCTGATAGATTGCCGCGAAAACGACCTTGCTTTCCTTTCAATCGTTGGCAGAAGCCTCTCATGGTTTTTCCTACTCCACTGTTCTGTAACCCGGGTACATCGCTGTTCACGTAGACCGCGATCTGAAGTTGAAGGAACTCCCATTGCTCCATGATTGTTTGCAGGCCAGTTCCTTTCTGCAGCGCGGTGCGGATCAGACTGCAAGCCCACACGATATCTCCGAGTCGTGATGTCAGATCATCCTCATTGCTTGCTCCCTCTTGAGCGACGGAAGGACGAATGCAGACAGGGGGGGCGGGGAGGTACTGCCACAGAAACATTTCCGGTCTGCCCTCAACCGGATCGAGACCCAAAAGTTCACAATCGGTGGCACTGACTTGCTTGAAGAGATTCAAGACTCTCAGGGGGTTTAGATCTTCCATAGCCTTGCGCACGTGCTTATCCAGATCTGTGTTGTGCTTCTTGGCCTCGGCGAAGGAGTTGTCGAAGTCAATCTTGGCTTGGGGTGTCATCTTCTTCTGAGACGTCGACTTGTTGAATGTTACAAACTTGTCGTGGACGAGCTTGAGCGCTCCAGCCTTTCGGATCTGACCATTAACGTCACCACAATAAGGGCATGACTTGCACTTTCTACAAGTCTCATTGATCTTCTTCAGAATGGCGGTTCGGCGCATATTGTCCATTCCAGGTTGTCTCAGTTGCTTGAGAAATGACCGACGTTCCGCCTCGGGCAAAAGAACCCTCGAACAATTTTTGCATATCTCCTGCAGCACCATCATGGTGAAACGGATGTAGCCAATGTGAAAGGCGGGCAGAGGTAGTCGAACATGCCCAAAATGGCCGGGGCAGTCTTGCAACTTCATTTCGCAAGTGACGCATTGCGCCGTCTTGCCAGAAATGCCGAGGCGCTTGTCGAGAACCCCATTTTTAGTGGGCTCGCGTCCAGCCTCGACGTCGTACATGTTTCTGTCAGACACTTCGACGACGGCCTGGTTGACGATATCCTGATTTGACTGAATACCGAATTTGAGCTGCTTGAAGCGCTTAGGCAACTTGTCGACAACTTGACGCTTGACAGGCGCCGCGTCACCCTCGTCCTTTGTCGCGGTTTCCGTCATGGTGGCCATCTTGTCGCAATCGCAATCGCGTCGATGTGGTTGAGGGGTCTTCCTCTTGGTGGTTTGAGATGCAGGCAGGTCGTGCTAGCTCAAACGTGAGCTTGAGGTAGTATTCATCGCCAGAGTTCGTAGCGCGCTTGATCGAGCAGAGACGCCTTTCAAGAGCGGGTCCCTAAGCTGAACGGTTCGGTTGGCGAAGAAAGGTGTCGACGTGAGCCAGGTGAACGAGTCTCACCCATTTGCACTTGTTGAATTTTTGCGGGCTGCACCGTTCGAGTCACATTGCCTGAGCCGATCCAAAGTCTCGTAGTTTGGTGGGGCACGATATCATATTGGCGGGGCAAGACAGCTACAGGTGGGGTGGGGTTTGTGGAAGCTGACCTGGGAGCCTCAATGGAAAGGGTATTAGTGGCTCATGTCAACAGCAAAATGCAGACCCTACCAATATGACGGGTGCAAATATCCTCAAAGCGCAAACTGGTACAATACATAATTGTAGTATCGATATCACCTGATTGCACTAGTTGAAGTGGCTCGACGTCATCTATGGAATTACCTGAGATGAAATAGGTAAAGTCTTTTCCGGGGGTATGGGAGAGGATCATGTCTTCGAAGTAAAGCGATTCCTAGGACAACGTGATGGTGGTCATGCTTGAGTAATGTGAAATTGTCCAAGACTATTATGAACCAACTGATCACCTTCATTGCTATGGAGTCACGGAGCTTGCAGAATGCAACAATAGCCCCCAACTCCTATTTCACCATATTGCTCTGATCTATCGACAAGAGTAACAGACCCCTTGCGTCTCGTCTGCCCGAATCATTACAACACCTAGAAATTACTTATCCTTGCTAACTCTTTTCATCCTTTCTGGTAACTTACAGAATAACGCTTTCGCAGTTGAGGCGCTTCCCTCTTCAAAGTACTGAGTGACAGATTGCCTTTCCCAGGCTGATGGCTGCATTGTATCTTATCGCTATCAGCAGCACGCACCCCACCAGCTAGCGCTGCGCTAGTGAAGCTGAGCCATTACGTAGGGTCTATCAACATGTGAATTACTCAAGGTTGCCATTCGACAGTGGGCTTTTAATTGCTAACAATCATCCATTACTTGACTTCTAGCACCTACCTTTTCACCCCTCTATCCTAAGAAGCCAGGCCCGAGGCCCTTGGCAACAACTTGGCTTGCCTACCGCCACATGCAAACCACTACTCCTTAGTCCTCGGTCCTCCACCCAATGGGTAATTGAGGCGCGTTAACAGCTGACGCATGCGGCCAAGAGACACAGTGACACGAGTCTCCAGCCGTGGATACTTCGCAGCTCAAATCCTCAACCTCTACTCCTCGTACCTCCATTTCGACAGATAAACACGTTGGCTTACCGTGGCCTAGTTGTTTGGAAAAGTTGTGGACAGGCCCCGAAACTCGCGGTCTCACCACAAACCCGCCACTACTGGAGCGTCCCCAAGGGTTTTCTCGGATGGCCTGGTTGTGGCACAGACAGGATGCCCTCAGAATCTGGCCGTCGTGGAGCAGGGCCTCCTAGTGAGAAGAAGGTTGAGAAGTCATACCTCGCCAGCGCTGTCGACTCGCTCAACCCTTGGACGACTAGTCGAAGCATTTCTCCCGCGCCGAAACAAAAGGAGATGCCACCGCCTTCAAAACCCGTGCCCGCCCCATCTAAGAAGGCCGATGACCACAGCATCAATACTCTCTATGGCCAGAGTTTCAAGAGATATCCTGCCGACTGTCCACCGCTAAATGTACTATGGTTTCATGCCGTTGATGTAAGCTGCATTTTTCCATCCTATCCTCAGCTGCCGTGTCTAATAATCTGCTGCCCTGGCAGGTCCCGAAGCGGAAGCCTCAGTTTCTGAAGGGGAAAAGAGAGAAGGAAGAGCAACAGAAGCCGGTTGCCCCGAAGAAGTTCGTCGCATTCACTACTAATGACTCCCGATGTATCGAGCTCGCATACCAACAGTTGCTGGAGGAACTTGAGGATGCACGTGGAAGGGGCCCAACCCGCCAAAACCCGCGGTCAAGTTCCCAAGGAGGCCATGCTGTGGTCAGCGAAGATGCGCAAAGCATTAGCCTCGACCAGGAGACGGTTCCCAGATCTGATGGTGTGCGAGTTCCCGTTAACGAGGACTTCTTGTTCGATGTAGACATCGAGCAACGCGAGCTTGCTCCTGTGTACTGGTTGGGTCCTGTCTACGATGTGCGCCGAGGAAGCTGGTTTTATCAAGAAGGAAGTGCGCTCCGGCCCTGTGAAGAAAATCTAGCAGCTCAAATCGAGGAGGGTTACCTAAAATGCAGACCCTGGGCGTACCCTGCGCCTAGAAGTCGCTGTAATTCCGGCATGGCCCAAGATATTACCCCTAAAGCTTCAAGGGATAACTTGAGGGCTGCAGCTGCATCTCAAGCGGAGAGTTCGAGCAAGCCTCCTCCTTCGCCAGCTGGACCACAGCACCAGCCTCTGAACTATCGACTCTTTGGGACATACATGAACAGCACTGTAACTTACTCAGACGCGACCACTGCCTGGCTTACCTCTGACAGTATGCTCTCCTGGGTGACCTCAACAGTATATCAGAGATTCGCTGGGGGTGGCTACATGAGCGGCGTGAAGTTGGTTCGTGGTTACTCGGAGCCTGGCAAAACAAAGGAGGACAAGCGTCCCGCAACTCCCAACATGGCCACGATGCCAACGAATCAGGAAGCTGAGGACGATCCAAAGGCTCTTAAGTGGAGGTCCGCTCCGCCCCTCTCCCGTGCTGACTCGGCCGCCAGCCTTCAGGAGGAGGCCGCCTCTGAGATGGAAAGACAAGAGAACAGACTAAAGCGGCAATTTTCGTCTTACATTGAGAATTCGGATGATCCAGTCAAGCAGGAAGAACAGATTCGGAAACGCGAGGAGCAAGAGATCCAAGATGACTACAGCGCCCCTGCCGGCGAGACCCAGGGGCGAGAGATTGAGCATCTGGTCTTAGTGACACATGGAATTGGCCAACTTCTCGGATTAAGGTATGATTGCAGCCCTTCCCCGGTATGGCGCTCGAGCTTCTGATCCGCTCCAGGATGGAGAGTCTCAATTTTGTACACGATGTCAACGTCTTCCGCAAAACAATCAAGGGCGTGTACACTCACTCGGCCGATTTACGAGCGCTCAACGCGGAGACTGGGGACAGTTCCAATAATTGTCGAGTTCAGGTCCTGCCAGTCTGCTGGCGACATCTCCTGGACTTCCCCAAGCGCCGGGAGAAGAAAGCAGAACATGACCTAGGAACGACTTTCGACGACGAAGATGATTGTAAGTAGCACCACTGGTCGATGTCACCATAACTGACACTTTCTGCGCAGATCCATCGCTGGAAGATATCACCATAGAAGGCATGGCCTTCGCCCGGTCGCTAATATCCGACTTAGCCTTGGACGTCTTGCTGTACCAATCGGCGTACCGAGAGCAAATTGCTGAAATTGTGCTGAAGGAGTCTAATCGGATCTATAAGCTCTTTACGGAACGTAATCCCGAGTTCAAGGGCAAGGTGCATATTGTCGGGCATAGCTTGGGATCCGCCATCATGTTTGACATTCTCTGCAGGCAAAAAGAAAAGCTCAAGCATGCTGAACAGCCCCGTAACCCGCTGCGCATCTGGCCTGCCAACGACCGACCCGAATCGTCAAAACATCCGCGGGAGCTCGCGTTTGGCTTTGATGTTGAAGACTTGTATTGTCTCGGTTCGCCCATTGGTCTCTTCCAGATGCTTAAGGGGCGGACGATCGGGGCTCGACACCTGCATGGCGCCGCAACCGAATCACCGCTTGACTCAGAATACATGGACGACCCATTCTCCACCGCGACGTTGGATCAGCGTGTCTCTCCCATCACAGGGCTACCCTTTTCTATCTCGTCGCCCAAAGTAGCACAGCTCTTCAACATCTTCCACCCTTCGGACCCAATCTCGTACCGAATGGAACCGCTTATCTCGCCTGCGATGGCCTCTCTAAAGCCTCAGGCACTTCCGTACACAAAAAAGGGGATATTCAACTCTGTGACCCCGCAGGGCTTATCTGGCATCGGTGTCAAGGTTGGGCAAAGCGTCTCAGGTCTTTGGAGCAGTATAAGCGGCGGCATTGCCAGTTCTCTGCTCAACCGCAGTCTTGGCCTGAGCAACGAGGACGTAGCAAATCTGACAGCAAATTCGAACTCTGCAGCGGCAGCCAGCACACCGCAGCCACACTCGTCTTCGTCCACGCTATCCCCAGGCGCCGGGACCAATATCACCGGGGGCGGTGTCATCGACCTAACTTTGCAGTCCGAGAAGTCAGCTGCCCGCAAGAGGGTCCTCGCACGGCAGAACGCAGCTGGCTCCTCTTCCACACAAGATCCATACAACGAAAATGCTACGCTAATCGACGAAGAACTGGAGACCTTGTACACCCGCTTCCAGAAGAAGCGCGTGGAGGAATACAAGGAAGCAGCTAGCCGTGCGGACGAGGGTCAAGAGCTCGGTGATGCCTGGGCCGCAGAGGAGCAGAACGCCCAGAAGTACAGACGGGAAGAGCTTAAGGTGCGGGCTCTTAACCGGAACGGGAGGGTCGATTACAGTATCCAGGAGTAAGTACCTTTTTCGGGGTTTCCTTTTACCTTTTTCCCAATAATGTCGGTTTTCTTTTGAGCCCGATTTTGGAGCCAGGGCATGCCAAGATTTCATAATACCAACCGCTAACATCAATGATAGGAGCGTGCTCGACTTCAATCCTATCAATACCATTGCCTCTCACATGGCGTACTGGCAAGACGAGGACGTAAGCCACTTTGTCCTATCGCAGCTCCTTGCCAATAAGTCCAAGTCAACTACGGCACATGGGCAGGGTAAGGATGTGGCATAGTAAATAGGGGTAGATAAAATTGCTCGCAGAGCCTCTATCTAGCTATCTAGTCTCATTCATAGTGTTGTGTGGACAATATTCGCCGGAGACAGGTGGGGAATCACAATCATCAGCCGTGCTGCTCCTAGCTCACCCCAGGTCTAGTAAACCAGCGTATTATTAGTGAAGCATACAACTCTCCACCTCCAATCCCGACTTGAGCTTTGTTTGCATAGATTGGCTAGATTCTCTGGGGAGACTGCACAGGGTACGGGAACGCACATTTGTTGATAGAGTGTGGGCCGGAGCAATTGCCAGACTTACAGTGGATGTCGTCAGCTTGGCTGAAAAGTCAGGCTACTTTAGGGACCAAGTTCCTTGCCTACGTAACTTGGGTTGGGGCAAGTATGATTTGTTGTTCAACTGCTGGGTGCTGCAAGTCAACTCAGGTCTCATAATCACAGGAAGGCAACCATATGCAGGCTTTGATCTGGCATGGACACGGCTTAACGAGACTCCTTTCAATCACTCTCGGAAGCGCATAAACCTTTTGCATTACAGCACGCGAATCAGTTTCATTCCTAGGCTGGCAGCATCTACACCTGATGACAAGCCTAAGTCGCAGAAGATTTAACCCTCAGGCAGATCTGAGCTTTGCTTGATGCAAAAGCGTCGAGATATCATGAGAAAGACGTATATCATACCCTTGCCAAGCTATGTCATGGACGCCATGAACTTTTCCAGGCCCAATGCAGATTGTGAGGATCCATTTGCAGTACCAAAATCAAAGAAACGGACCATGCCTGGAGAGCGTGCCAGCTAATCCACGACCATTGACCCAGACGGAATGTGGGAACGAGTCACTCGCATGACCGTCCACCACAAGAAGGGAGTATACTCCAAGATGCGCGTCGAAAATCCATTAAATCCTCTCCTGCCACATCCGACATATCTTCTGAAGCCGAGAGGCAAAATCGAAGATTGGTTGCACTGCTTCGGTCGTCTTGGTGGGTCAACTGCTACTCCGAACCCTAAGCGTTGGGGCACTGAGCCTGGACGTGACCGGCCTGCTGGCACTTGTAGCAGATCTTTTCACCGCCAGTGGACTCCTTGGGGCAGTCTCGGGAGAAATGACCGTTCTCGCCACAGTTGTAGCACTTGCTGCCGTTGACACATTCTCCTGTATAAAAATTAATATCTGTGGATGTTGATGCAAATAATGAATGGAGAATGGCAATTGACGTGATTGCGTGGGTCACATAAAGATTAATCTGGGAAAAACTTACGGGACATATGGCCGTAGCCGCCGCACGAGTAGCAGGTCTTGCCGGCTCCTCCTCCACCGCCGTAGCCTCCTCCGAAGCCGCCACCACCACCGTAGCTGTTGGCACCACCGGCATAGGCATCGGGGCAGCTTCGAGCAATGTGGCCGACCTTGCCGCACTAAACAAAACGTTTTAGCATATACCCAGGGCAGAGAGAGTGATGTTGGCCAGCTTACCTTGTAGCACTCTTGGCCGCCCCCACCACCACCACCAGTTTGTCCGCCAGCTGCGCCGCTGCTGGGGCAGTCACGGCTTATGTGACCAACCTGTCCGCAGCGATAGCATGACTTCGCGTCCTTGGGGCCATCGGGACAGTCGCGAGAGATGTGGCCCTCGTTGCCACAGTTGTAGCTGTTGATATTAGCGTGGACCACTTTTTTCCTCATCACCTCCATGTTTACTTACCACTTCGAAGCGCCACGGCTAGGACAGTCACGAGCCTGGTGGTTGGTTGCACCGCCTGTAAGATTGGTCAGATGAGTTCCCGTTGTTTGCTGGCACGATAGACGTGGAAATGCTGAAGCTCTATCCGGCATCACCATCGGCTAAGCGCAAGGGCAGACACGATGTTGTCGCATGTAGACCAAATATTGGTGAAGCTGGTGAAGGGGCGAAGATGATGGGTCAAAAAGACTGTTGAACGATGCCCATTCAACAGCGATACTGCCAGATAATTGTGTTGAATTTGGGTGGCGAAAACATGTTGTATGGCCACGCTGCCGTAGCAGACAAAAAGTCCAGCTAAGTAAATTCGAGGAAACTTACACGTGAAACAGGCACGGCCTTGACCACCGCCAGCGAAAGAATCCATGATGATGTCGAGAGGTGTTGGTTGGTTGATGAGTACTTATGTCTGTGAATGGAGAATGTCAGTCGCAGGCGACCGGATGGTATAAAACAATTGGTTCAACGGGTCATGGGCGTCTCGACGATGCGCGATGCCTTGGGGCGGCAAGCGGTTGAACCGTTGCCAAAATGAGGGAATACGAGAAAGACATATTGGCCGCCGCACAAGGTTGGCCGTTTGAAGTCGTTGCAATCGATGGTGGGGTTGGAAATGTCAGGTACCACGCCCGCGGGCAGCTCTTGAAGCTTGGGCTGGCAGAGCAGGTGGACAGGCAAGTGGGGTTGTTGGAGGGGTGGGTGAAAGCCGTTGCAGAGCTTGAACTTACTTTGTAGATGTCGACGACAACGATCGACAATGAGAGGTGTTGTTTGGGAAAGAAGGGGATGGGCGAGCTGGAGGTATTCGGTCGATATCGAGCTCAATAATCGACGATGTACGTTTGAAAGAGGGAAACGAATCGACTCGACGAGATGAAGAAAAGGTCCAGAAACTTTCAGGGAAGCGGTGAATTTTTTTCTCTCTTTCCCCAAATTCTGGTTTCGGTTCACAACGTCAGAAAGTGGGAACAGTGCTGCTAAATTGCCCGGTCGCTTAATCTCCGGGTTCTGAACTTGAGTAGTGGCTCGTGCTTTCCATTCTGCAAGTGGTCTGCCTGTCTGGCAGACTTCTGGACGGGAAAGAACGATATAGAGCAAATTGATGAAAAGGGGTTATTCCTTCTTTGTTGTTGTTGATTTTAGTCAAGGGTTCTTCTTCATACTATGTAGAAATGAACAGCTTGCTGTTATCCCTGTCCGTACAGCAGTAATAATTATATATCAGACAAACCAATATCAACTAACGTACCCCACAAGCAAGTTGGCCACTTTTTCTTGGCACCGTACGAACAACCTTTTAATTAACATCTTTACACATACTAAGATGGGATCGAATTGGAAAGAAAGTGACATGATTCTAGCGTGTCAGGCGCTTCAATCGAAACCCGAATTAAGCATCCGACGCGCTGCCTAACTCTACAATGTCCCTCGTACAACTCTAGCTAACCGAAAACGCGGACTACTATCTCGACACGATACTCGATAATCTAGTTATAAGCTTACGGAATCAGAAGAGTTAGCGGTCGTATAATACATACTTGACCTAGATTCGCGATTATTTCCTCCCCGGCTCTATGGTGTTGAAGCTATGGCTAACCGACTGCTCCGTGACCGTGGCGCTGGACGCGTCGGCGTCAACTGTGTCAGAGAACAGAATGCCATAGGCACCAGTGGGTGTCAGGACACTGAACGCAAGACACCGGTGGGGCGCCGGAGGGGTGTTTCGGACAAAAGACTCCCGAGTCATGATTACAATCTATGTGAAGCTTTGGGATGACGAGAGTCAAGATCCTTGGCATCGCCGACCCTGCTGTTATGCCGGGTCCAAGCGGCGGCCTAGCTATCTATATAAGGACCATCTCGAAGTAGGATAGGGAAGGAGCAGAGATCAATGCATCACCGTGGGCACCCCTACCTGAGACCGCCAGTGACCACCCGGTGCTACGTAGGAGGGACGCCCGTTACTCCCCATCACTCTGTACTATTGCCTTCGGCCTAGCCGTACCCTGACAAACTGGGCCTCGAACTTCGTACGACGACAACCAGACCTTCGGACGCGTTTTAATCGAAGAACCGACTACTAACGAGCCTATTGCAAAGATCCTGACGCGTATCGCGCGTGGTTTACGCTCGTACGAAATACAATTGCGAAATATGGTATCCAAGAGGCGGATATCTATAACTTCGACGAGATAGGGTTCGCGATGGGCTTAATCTTATCCGAGATGGTAGTTACAAGTGCCGAACGACGCGGAAGGCCTCGTACAGTCCAACAAGTCAATCGAGAATGGGCTACAGTAATCCAGGGTATTAATTCGTCCGGCTGGGCTATCCCGCCGTAAATGTAAGGGTCAAGGGTAATGTCGATGCAATTAGCCTAGTCTACTCTACGAGTACTATCCATCTATGAAGAGAAAAACATTAGATATATTCAGTGTGGTGAACCCTTCTCCCTTTTATCCTTCTGTCCTCCCGTCTCGTCGTTTCAGGAATCTTCGAGGAGTGAAGCTTACTCAGAGATTTCCGTGGGTCCAAGTGCTGTAGGAGTGAAGCTTATTCAGAGCTTTCCGTGGGTCCAAGTGCTGTCGGAGTGAAGCTTATTCAGAGATTTCCGTGGGTCTTTCTGGCCGAAGGCGTCGCAGAGGCCACATACCGGTCATAGACCGTGACAGTATATTATTGTCGCGGGTTAAAACCACCTCTTATCCTTGTACGAGAATAGCCTATTCCCGTCCGATTGGGTAATCGCTGTAACTAAAAACGGTTGGACAACAAATGAGCGAGGCGTAGACTGGATTCAGCACTTTGATCGCTATACGAAGGATCGTACGAAGGGTATTTATCGTCTTCTTATCCTCGACGGGCATGAGAGCCACCACTCGACTGACTTCGAGCTATATTGCAAAGAGCATACTATTATTACACTTAGTATGCCTGCTCATTCGTCACATAAGCTCCAGCCTCTCAATGTAGGCTGTTTTAGGGCTTTGAAAAGGTCGTACGGCAAAGAAATTGAAGACCTAATACGGGCGCATATAACCCATATCTCGAAGGAGGATTTCTTTTCGGCATTCTATAGGGCGTATCGTACGACTATAACTAAGTCGAATATCCAGGCAGGTTTCAGGGGGACAGGACTTATTCCGTACGACCCGGAATATGTGATTTCACAGCTGGATATTAAGCTACATACGCCTACACCTCCTGGGAGCTCGTCTGGCGCCCCCTTAATCTAGGAATCAAAGACTCCAAATAACCCAACCGAGGCGCAATCCCAGTCTGAATACGTTAAAAACAGAACCGTACAGCATCAGAATAGCTCCCCGACGACAATACTTACGGCTATTGACCAATTTTCACGTGGTGCGACGGCTGTTATGCACCGGTTAGTTTTACTTGAGGATGAGGTCACTGCACTTCGGAAGGCTAATCAAGAGCTAAGCCGTCGTCGAAGGACTAAAAATCGACAGCTACAAGATGGAGGATCTCTTAGTTTATGAGACGCTCAGGACTTATAATCTCAACGGGATATTGAACAGCAGCTACAGGATAATATACGTGCAAGTCGTCGTCGTACGAGACCGGCCGAACCACGCCGACGGCGCTGTAGGATCTGCGGAGAGCCCGGACATAATGCTCGTACTTGTGAGAATGATGAAGATACGTACGAGGAAGAGGATTCCGATTAGTTTGAATTATTATTTTCTAGTTTAGTTAAGTTATTGAAGTTATTCATACGGTGCCAAGAAAAAGTGGCCAACTTGCTTGTGGGGTACGTTACCCCTTTCGTCTACGACACTATTTGTTCTGATTACTCTTAACTTCCGAGTTACTTCGAGAAACCTACGCTGATTCTCGAGCCTAACATTGTGCTATATCTCTACCATAACCCATGTTTTGGTGGCTTATTACCATATACTACTGTGAAGTCCTTTAATTAGGTAACATAATAAATGTTAACAACGTTTTGTAGTACGAAGTAGTTGATATAAGCCTTCCCTCCACTCTTTCTTTTCAGGGTTCGTTTTCTGAGTTATCTCCTAACGATAATTGCCTAATTCAAGTCAGGCACACAATAAGATTTAGGTCTTCGGAGTCTTAAAGTTATCTTCCGTCTGCACTACGAGGCAAATATCCTATCTAGAAAATCCAATTGTGTATTAGAATACATTCTTTGCACGTAGCATCATTAGCCATCAGCCGTATGAATTGCCTGGGCAAATCCTCGTGAGTCAACGTAATCCCATACTATAGCTTGCTGGAAACTACATCACATTAAGTACACCATGATAGCACATGTTCATATATAAAGTAATCAACGTGCTCTGTTGTCCTTCAGCAAATTCATCACTGGGTATTTCCACTGGCCAACTGCCCAATAAGAGACGAAGGACCTGGTTAAACCCCTTAATCTTTTAGGCAGTAATGAAACTTTCCTATATATTCTGAGATCTTCTTGAAAAAATTCGACTTTGTTGGATCAGGCATGGACTTTTCGGGGATTGAATTAGCAATTTGTTCAAATGCATCAGGTTTTCCAAGCTGAAACAACCAGGAAGGAAAAAAAGCATTCACCAACTGCGCAAATTCCGTGTCGCCATACCTGCTGCCAACCCTTCCACCAACTTGGGCTCGCATCTCAGCAGCTTGTTCACGACGATTATCTTGATCTCATTTCCGGCAAAGAACCTGCCAGGACACGCGTGGTGTCCGTACCCGATGGCCGAGCTGTTCTGGTTCACATTGACAAACTGGTTCTGGGTGGAGACATCGGCGCTTTCCGACATGGCCTTCTTGCATAGCCGGTGGAAGCGAAAATTTTCGGCTTCGGGAAACCGGTCGCTGTCGTATTTGATAGCGTAGGTGGGACATTCGATGGCCATGCCAGCCGGGATGATTTGTCCCGTGGACAGCTTGAAGTGTTTGAGGACCTAGGGTTGGTAAGTTGCTAGGCCGGTTAGTCGTCTTCGGTACGTCAACCAAGGGATAGTGAGTACAGTTGACAGAGGTCGAGACATACCAAAAGCAAAAGGATGGTATCGCAACATCTCCTTCATGAAGCTATCCGTCTTCTTCAGGCCTAGGAGAGCTTTGCTCGAAAATACTCTATCGTTCTCCGCCAGCACTACACGAACTTTACAACGAAGTTCAGAAGCTACCTCTGGCATTGCGGCCAAATTGAAGATGACATGTCGTAGTTAATGTCGTAGTGTGAATAGTAACAAAATTGACTCCTAAATGCTGCTCTGTTAAGTCCCTGTCGCTCACCCCTGGATTTACGGGCTTCTCTTGTGCATCGGTTAGCTACTGGAGCATGTCGTCTGGCTTATCGGTAATAGAATTACTGAAAACTGCCCTTCCCTCGCTTATCACAGGACGTAAGAACTCTTCAGGTTCCGCGCGTGACTGGTTCAGTTTTTTGATTTTCGGTAGGTAGTTGGCCAGGAATTTTCGAAGCCATTGCTTCGTCTGCTGCACTGCGTTCTGCGCTGCTATGACTTCTGTGCTGAGGTTTGATGGAGGCATTTAGGTGCTTTCCTAGCGACAGAATTCTGGCCCGACAAAAATTCGTCCAGATGCAGTTGCCACAATTTGGAGAGAACAGGTTGGAGATCTGTAGGCTTCCATTCGTAGCAGGATAATAATCCCTGCCGAGGCCCGTCTGCACCTCTTCTGCAATGGTGGGACTGAGACGAACTACAGTGATATCAGCAGGTTTCCTCCATCTGCTGGTCATCAGAAGCAGTCAAAATATCCAAAACATGTGTTATTAGTACCTTTATCGCATATGGAACGATTGGTATGGGATGGTGTATTTGGCTTCTATGTTCTAGGTTTGCGGTTAGTACGTGAGGATAACTATACAGCGATGTGGAGACATTGACTCGCTTCAGGGTGCGCAACAACAATCAGCACGGCTGGAATGGGTTGCTTCAGAAAGGCTATGGAATATTTGACAGATGCTGGTTGAACAAGTACTTCTGGAGGTGGTGATTTTGAAAAGCCAATCTATGAACTGGGTACTATTGAGCTTGTAGTACGGTTAACGCCGGCTTCTATGACCGCACCTTTTGATATCCTGCCTTGTAGAGGTTCTTGGCTCTGGTTAAATACATTAGCCGTCGTGTCTCTTCGTTCCCGATTTCCAAGCCGACGAAGGGTATCTCGGACAGAGAGCCAGGGGAGGATCGATGCTACAAGAATAGATCAACAAGACCTGCCAAGACCAGAATCACCGCCGATATGGCTTGCTGCTCCAAGCTGCGATAGTTCTTAATCGCGTCCATCGCTAAAACTAATGGATCTGGAACATCGCATTGTTCAATGGTTGTACAAATAACCTTCATCAGATGTGAGTAGAAACATCGAAAGATCACAAACTTTGAAGGGTGCTTTAATAGAGTTGTGTGGGATGTAACATTAATAGGTTAACTAGACTGAATCGGGTAAGTATAATGCGTGACTGAGCTAGGCTTACTCTAGGCGGTCCAGTAAACTAGCGCCTCTAAAATACAATATGAACAGCGTGACTGGGCTTTTAGAGAACGAGTTAGTTATATTTGAGGTATATATCAAGTCACGTGTGAAAGTAGCTCGATTCTTATAATTTGAAGGAGCTAACTCTTAATATTGTATTTTACGTCATTCCAATATCTCTGGACAGTAGTTTATGGGACACCAAGTCTCCTGGGGCATGTACGGACATTGCCTGTGTCGCATGACATCATCCGGATTAGTGTGATGGCACTCGGCAGCTTAGAGCCTCTTGAAGACTTATGTGTCGGTTGCAAGTTTAGTTCTATCAGACATGGCCAATACGTGAGATCTCGTGGATTGCGTTGCATAGCAAATTTACTACGAAGTTGAATTCCGAGCGTATAACAAGAACTGGAAGGAGGGAGGGGCGGGCAGCTAAAGTGCGTGCACGGACCCTGACGCGCCTAGTTTGACTGGACGCGTTCTGACCAACAACAGCTGGAATGACACTTTGGTCGTGTATTCAACCTTGTCTGACACAAGGGTACATGGTTTCAACAATTGTGAGCATTGCAGCAAAAAAAAGGAAGCCAAGAATGATATAGTATGATTTGCATCGCAGCCATGGATGATTGGTTCACTCAACACAGCACGCCTGCTCTCTTGAATGCCCTCAAAGAGGTCTGTGGCCAGCTTGAAGAACATTATCGAGAGGGTAAGTCGAAGCTTCAAAGTCATGGATCATGCAGTCCTTGGTGGGAGATACTGAATCATCTACAGCCGCACAGGCAGAAGCTCACAGCCGAGAGTTGCTCGAAGCCGAGCTGGATGTTCTCAGGCTCAAGGCGGCAAATGTGGATCGACTACAAGAACAAAACAAAGCTCTAAAGGACGAGGTCGCCCAACTCAGAAGATCCAATCGGTCGCTGCAGAATGCGCAACAGAAACAAGGAAGTCCGAGCAAGAGTCGACCGCCCTCGAGTCGAGACACAAGGTCACCTTTGACGCCGGTGCCTGTCAACGAGGTTTCAAGTCTTCGAAGGTCGGTTAAGCAAGACCATCCTGATGTCGAGACCCTCGCCCGCCCTGAGCTCCTCATTGAGTACAAAAAGTTGGACGAAAAGTACGAAAAGCTGCGGGAGACTCAGTCATTTGCTGTCAAGTCCAACAATCAGCTCCAGGAACTTCTTCGAAATAGGAAGAAAGAGTGTGACAAGTGGGTGGAACATGCGGAGACACTGGGTAGCCAAATCCAAAGTTTGAGGCAGAAAAACAAGAAACTAAAGGAGATCTCTGAAAGATCTACACGCAATGTCAGTGGTGATTCTTCATTCACTTCCGAAACGCATTCCAGCCATGGGGATCCTCACGGCGCACTTGACGGAAGTCTTCAGCGCGCTGCCCCGCAGCCGGCGACCAAGACTACAGAATGGCCAATAGCCACCTCAAGAAACTCAGTCGACCAAGCTTTGACTTCGGATAACAATGATGATATGCGTGCGACCTATAACGGGACCGCAGGAACCCCCAAGGTTCGAGTTGGGAATACCACGCACACTGATTTTAGTGATGCTGCGGAGGTCGAAGACACGATCACTTTGCCTCCTCTGTCAAGAACATCAAATGTTTCTCGTCACAGCCCTGTCAAGAATGAGCCCTCTTCAGATGCACCGGTTATTGTGTCTGAGCGCCCTGTTCGCAAGAGAAAACACAACGATAAACCAGTCGCACAAGGTCCGCCTGTAACAAAAATCAAGACGGAACACAGCTCTGATCCAGTAGTCACAGACGAGCAGTATCACTTCGCGCCACAAGAAAGCGTCGACTTCGACGATGCTGAGGACCGAGTGTCTACTCCTCGGAAAACCCGCATGAAGCATCCCAAATCCGGCACGGAAGAGCAACTCAACAGGACGCATGCCTGTCGATTTAATGGCGGCCATGCACGATCTATACTGGAAAATGCGGATCTACCTTCTCCACTTTCTGCTTTGCCTTCAGGTCTTAACAGCCCTCTGAGAAGGAGCCGGGCGAATCAAGTGGTGACTAAAGACATTCAAAAGTCCGATACCAAATATCCAGGTCCACCACATGTTGAGCAAAGGAAAATGAACCCAGACAACAGTGATGAATTTTCTCGATCCACTGTTTTACAGCCCTTAGATGCCAATACGCCTCTAGCGAGAAGCTTACTAAGGAAGCCAAAATTCAAAACCGCCGTTGCTTCCTCTATTCGTCAAGGCATAGAAAGCCTTGCGGAAGACGGAGAGCGTCTCGGCTGCTCGAAACCCGCCACGCCCCTGACGAAAGGGACTGGTCGTCTCGAAACTCTTCTCAATGTTGCTTCACCGGGACGGCAGTCTCTGCCTACGGGTGGACGAGACGAAGACACCAGCGCCACCCAGCCGTTCCACTTCGCCTTGCCCCAGAGACGTGATTTACCGCTTGGGAAAGAATCGCGCAACAAAGTGAGCGAGGCTCTCGAAGTATCTGAAGATTTTAGAACATCCGAACCTAAGCGAACATCCACTGAGATTCAGCCGAAGGCGAAAGCCCCAGAGGCCCAGAAGAAGAAACCAGCCCAGGAGTCAACTCCCCTACGCGAACGGGCAGTGAAGGACCTCAAACTTACAGACTTCAAAGTTAACCCCAACCGTAACAACGGGTATGACTTTGCTTTTACGGATGTGGTGCGCAGCAAGGGTGATCGTATACACATGCTAGGTTGTGTCAAGGAGACATGCTGCGGGCCGAGTTTTCGAAAGCTTGCTGAAGCTCAACTGCCCGACACTGGAATCCTGGAATACACCTCACTTTTGGAGGACTGGCTTGGTGATGACGCCCGAAGGCTGTCCACAATGTCCAAAAAGGAGAAAGACGAGCTGTGGCTCAAAGCTAAGACGCAAGACCTTTCCAACAGGTATGGGAAGCACCGGGATAGGTATCATCCCCAGCCTTCCCCCCCCGGTTTTTGGGACACGGATTTTCCAAGCACGCAGGAATTGGCAGAAAGTCGAGAGAAGACGGAAGAGATGGAGCAACGGATTGTTAAGGAGAGACGCCGAGAGGCGATGAGGCCGGCTGGGCTCTGGGTTTTCAGAGATGAATAATGGCCATCGACTGTTTGGTGTTGGCATTGTTTGGTAAGGTGATCAAGGCATGGCTAGAGGCATTCACATACAGTGTAGCTGCAAGGTTTCCGTGTACTAGCTCGAAAACGGCGTAATAAAAGATAACATTTGCTTGCAGGGGTACTGTATGAAGATGCTATTCACAGCCACATTCCAAGGACATGATATAAAGTTCAACAATTATTACCTACCTAAGTAGGTAGACATGAAAAACGTCCCATATAGCCGACTGTGTTAAAATCCATGGATATGACAGCATGACACTGAGTCTCGGCATTTGCTTCGATGGCTGTCGTGACACATTGGCACAACAAACAACTGTAAGTTCGGGAGTCCAATGGGATCATTGGTCACCTCTAGAAAGGGAGTTTAACAACTCGAATTATGCGGAAAGCTTAACAACAACTGGATTCTAATGTTTCTTTCTGATGTGTTGGAGCCTGTAAGCACCAATATTCCAATCTCAGCTCTCCAGAGTTGAAATTCTACTATAGTAGCTCAGTTGCGAGTTGCTCAAATTGCTCCGAGCACTTAGCCACACTGTGCTCAAGCCCGCACGTTCCATCTGAGCAAGTCGGCAAGCTAGAATCGGAGAAAATCCATGAACCCAAAAATCTGGCCCCGATTAACTTTGGTCTTGACCTCGATCTCATCCTCTGCCAAACGCGACTGCTGCGCAACCAGGTCTACCAACCTATGTTCAATCGATAACCGCATCCAAGACAGGCCTCTCTTCGTCGCGCTCCCTGTTCATTTTCTTCACATGCTGCGCCCTTCCTGGACTCTTATGACGCAGCATCAATCTCTTTCGTCGTTCTTCGTCAGATGCGAAAGTCGGGTGGATCGGAGCTGATACCTAACAAAAACGTGACGCACCGCAGAGCCGCAGCAGCTTTGACGCGACCTCGGCAGCTTTAACAAAGCCGAAAGGTTCCATTGACGGCCCGCAAGCGAACCCAGCAACAGTCGTTACACATTACATAGCCAGCAGCCAGCAGATACTACCCAACCGTCTCTGTCTACCCGCCTGGCATTGCAGCCTCGGCCAGGGGCAAACGGCAAATAGAGCAGGGCAGAGCACGCCTTCGCACTCGCGGCGCTTTGCGGAAAGGCAGTGGTCGCACAAGCAGTGGATAGCGCAGTCTAGCCACTGCTTCATACACCCCAAGCCGGCAAGATGAACGGTAGTCATCTGCCGGCTGGGCAGCCCATGCCTGGCGGAGGTGTCGGCGGCGGACCTGGACTTGGAGGAAGAGGCCCGCATGTCGTCGACATGGGGCCAGGCCCAGCGGGACCTATTGTTAATGGCCATGTTCATGCTCATGCATCGCGACGGCGTCCGCCTCAGTACCCATCGCTCCAGCACCAGCATCAGCATTCGTACCATCAGCAACACGTCAACCACGGCCACATGTACTACAGCAGCCCCATGAACCCCTATGCAAACAGCTACTATCCTCAAGTCCAAGTGCCGCCTCATTACCAGAACGGCACCATACCGGCCGCGCCCTACATACCCTACAACGCCTATCAACAACATCAGCCAGCGCGCTCTCCTCCGACTATGCACCAGCACCAGCAGTATCCCCCCATCGTATCTTCCAACATGCAGCCACCTCCGCCTCCTCAATCCTACTCAAGACCGCCTCCACAGCCGTCCCCTGCCATGTCCACGCCGCCTCCCTTCCCGACTGCCGTGCCCCCACCTCCTGTACCTATACCACAGACACCTGTCTCCTCGCACTCGTCCCAAGCCGTCACCGCCTCGCTGACGCCCCCTACCCCTCAATCCCAGGTAGCGACTTCCCAGTCAGAGGTCGAGGTCACACCAGCGCGAATCCCCTTCAGAGCACCTGTGAGTCAACAGCTTAGAATGGAAACTAGCTAATTGAGCTATTGCTAACTTGTGTAAACCTCAGTTACCATGGTTATCACGGCCCGAACTCCCCTTCCCGGCAAAAAGCAACAAGGCCAGGAGGAGGCGGCGCATAATGTCAAGCGAGAATGGGCAGGTGGAACTTCCAATCATACAGCCAAATGGTGTACAGCCAGTGGACGAGTCCCCAATCCAAAACCAGCCGGCCGAGACCCCGGCGCCCGATACTCCCACCCAGACGAACACAGGCGGATCTGCTGAGCCGGCAGAACGGCCAGAAACACCGTCTACCCAGAACATTACCTCCGAATGTGCCGAATCTACGTCCCCTTCTACACCGGTCTCCGTTCACACCGCCCAGACCACCACTGCCGACAGTGTCACTCCCACGAAGCCTTCCAAGCCCACCCCGCGGGCAGCGAAGCCTGCAGTCCCTATTGCTCTTCCCGTGCTGCCCAAGGCGAGCCCCAAGGACACACGGAGTACCGCAGGCATTGATAAGCTTGCTGCAGACCAAAAGCAGGCGGTGCCCCCAGCCACGTCAGATAAGGCCGCCGGTGCTCAGACTAGCGCCGAGGCTACACAATCGGCAGAGACAGAGGCTAAAGCTGAAGTAGCATCTGCTTCAGTCAAAGTTGCACCGAAGAACTGGGCAGGCCTGTTTGCCAAGACAGTGCCGGCTGCTGCTGCGGCTCCTGGAGTCAATGGCGTGGGTGCTTCTTCTGTGACAAATGGTGGCTCTTCTGCCGAAGCAGTAGCTGCTGGCAATGGCGGCGCGGCCTCTGTCGGATTTGCTAAGGCTAATGCTAGTTCTCTCGCTGAGGCTTTGCGTTCATATCGCGTTACGGGTGACTCAAAAATTGCATTTCTCGAGCCCAGGGGTTTAATCAATACTGGGAATATGTGTTATATGAATTCGGTAAGTCGCAGGGTGCATACAAATCCGTCTAGTTGTCGTCACTGACATTTTTCTCAGGTTCTACAAGTTCTTATTTTCTGCATACCTTTCTATGACTTCTTGGATCAGGTTAGCAAGAAGGCGGCGTATAGTTTCAAGAGCGAAACGCCCCTAATTGATGCCATGTAAGGAAACATGACCGGCCAGCCTCGATGGCATCTTGCTAACATATTGTGGCAACAGGGTCATGTTCATGCGCGAGTTCAAAATCATTGACTCTGCAGTCTCTGTGGACCTGCTGCGAAGACGTTTAAAGAATGAGGAGCTGGAGCAGTACGGAGAGCCCTTCATTCCCGAGTTCGTTTACGAAGCCATCAAGAAGCTTCCACGATTCGCCAGCATGAGGGTAAGTTCAATGGTGCTTCAAATTTGATGCGTATCAGCTGACGGGGTTCCTCCAGCGTGGCCATCAGCAGGACGCGGAAGAATTCCTCGGTTTTCTGTTGGAGACTTTGCAGGATGAGTGCTCGCTGATTATGCGGCACCTACCGGACTCGTCTTTGACTACAACAACCGCAGCAAACTCTTCTGTCGTGACACCGACGGTGTCGTCCCCCACAAGCATCGTCGATACAAGTGACTGGCTTGAAGTCGGCCCACGGCAACGTGCAGCAATTACACGTTCTTCTGGGCAAGCAACCTTATCGTCGCCTATTACGAGAATCTTCGGGGGGCAATGGCGATCCGAGCTGAAGGTGCCAGGTTGCAAGGACTCGGTTACTCTCCAGCCTTTCCAGTCGCTACAGTTGGACATTAGCTCGCCCCAGGTACATAATATCGTAGACGCCTTGAAGAATTTGACGCGGCCGGAGATTTTGTACGGAGACTTCCATTCGCCCAGGGGTAAAGATGCTACGGCCACCAAGCAAGTCTCCATCGAGTCTCTTCCGTCTGTCCTAATCCTCCACCTCAAACGCTTCCAGTACGTCAATGCCGAGGGCGGTACTGTCAAGATCTGGAAACAGGTTGGCTATCCCTTGGAGCTAGAGCTTCCCAAGGAAGTCATTTCGCGGCAGAAGAAGGCCAGTTTGTCCGCCGAGGGCGCCGGTTTCCCCAAGTACCGACTCATCGCTGCAGTTTATCATCACGGTAAAAACGCAAGCGGTGGCCACTACACGGTAGATGTTCGCCGCCAGGATGGCAAGGAATGGATTCGCCTCGATGATACGGTGATCCGAAGAGTAAGAAGTGAGGATGTTGCCGAAGGTGGCGTGGAGGAAGATGTCAGCAAGCAGAACGAGAGCAAGGACATCGGGGGTTCAGCCAACCGGTTTGACAGCATCGGCGAAGAGGAAGGCTGGAACAAGGTCAGTGCCCCCACCGGGGGTGCGAAGAAATGGAGCAGCGTGGTCAACGGAGCTGCAAGCAAACCCGTCGCCGCACCCAAGGGCAAGCAGGTGAAGGATAACATGAAGGACAACAAGGTCGCATACCTTCTGTTCTACCAAAGAATCTAGGAGGCAGGTGGAAACCCTCGTCTGGGACAAATGGGACAGGCGGTGGCCGCCTGTACAGCGACCGAGGGCCAAGCGAAAATGCCATGCAAAGGAGAGCGCCCCAGCGATTCGTTCTTCCCAGGCGCTCCAAGCATGCTTGGTTTTGGCGAGTACGTTTTCGACGGTATTTTGACGTTTTGTGACGCTGTATGAAATTGCATTCGGCGTCATGGCGGTTCAAAAATAAAGTTAATCGAGGAGCAGCTTGGAATTTGCGGGTTCAACCAACGGCAACGCCACTGTGCTTTCCAATATGGTAGTGCATGACAAATTGGCAACGATTCCCTAGGAGGGGGGTTTTATGTGGTCATGATGAAAAGGAGGTTTGCACGGGCTGGGAGCTATGCTTTCTTTGGGCGGATGTGGTATGTATATCGGAGCTCCTGTGGACTCCGACAACATAGCAGCGGGAAATTTACTCTAGCCTGCCATGAAGTACCATATAGGTGCCAAAATACAAGTCCATTGTAAAGTAAAGGAAAGACGATGACGACCCTAATAGATACCATTTCTTACCATTCCATCTTCTGTTATGACGTTTCTGGCAGTTTCGACCGTGTTATTCGGCTACCATTACCTGAGTAGGGTGTTATTACTAGCGGCACATTCATGATATCGCATGTGAGCTTTACGCAACACTGTTGTAATGGAAAATTCGAAAACGACTGCCCTTGTGCTGTTTCCACTCGAATCTCATCATGGCCAGGCTCGGGAGATGATCTAGGGGAAAAGGAATCTTATAAGCAGTGGTCATGCGAAACTCAACCATCAGGGAGAACTTGAAGCAATCAGAGATGATTAGCGTGATGTTCCGTATGTTTTATTCAATAACTTACACGAGGCCTTTGTCGTGCTGGAACTGCATATCGCTGCACAAGGTTCACTTCGACGGGTGCGTTGTCTTTTAGGTCCTGAGAGATATGAGAGAGAGAGGTATGGCGGTTAGGATCATGTACACAAGGGCATGTTTGCATAGGAGCTGCAACGCGGAGGGTTTGGTTGTATTCAATGCTGACGTTTCGTATCACTTAGGCATGAGGCAGTGGTGCCCCGAGCAGCATGCTTCGCGCGACAGCGAAATCGCACTTCGGTATATTATGAGATCAACGAGCAAAACTCAGAAGTCATCTGCGAAGATGAAAATACCGCACAGCCCATGTTCGTATGACAGTGTCCTCAGCGGGCCACGACTTTCCCTAGAGACAAGGCAGCGGCACGGAACGGGAGACTGAATAATAATATTGATGAGTGTCAAGTTCGAAACCCTTATTACCATCACGGACATAGACAAGACGGGTTTTTGTTAGAATAGTCCGTCAACTCTGGGAGACATAGGGGCTGAAGGTGATCTGGAGTTCCACCTCGTAACTCCGCATAATAGACCGAACTCTTTGTTCCATATGGAAATGTGTAATAAGTCAACGAACGCTCACTAGACATCCGTACGAGACTTGCAGAGGCTGGACAGTTATAGGTGAGACGTTCCCCCTCAGGATGAGAGCTAAGCAAATATGTATTACTACTTGAAGGAACAAAATCTCATCCTCAAACAAGTCTTGCAGCTAAGCAGGGGTGTTGATCGCTGTTGGAATTCAAAGGCTTAAAACTATCCAAAGCTCTTGTGACTATGCGTGAAAATATCAGGTACACTGGACGGCACAGTTGGTTCAAAATTTGCTGGTCTAGTGGCCTGCTTTCATCAGTTTGTAACACCCCCCCCCTTGTTGTGTTCTTTGTCACAAAGTCTAACCTGTGTAAAACTTAGAAACCAACACAACGCATTCAGGGTTGTACGCAGATAAAGAACAACTGACCAGTTGCGATTCTGGGAGTAGGCCGTGTGGTATATATCGTTGTATGCTCCTCCAAAGCGTTCGCGTCGGTTTTATGACCTCTTTCCATTTGGCCTTTGAGATCCTATTTTCTTAAGCATTTTCCATTTTAGGTCTGCTTCTCACAGCCTTACATCTTCAGGAAAGGAATGTCAACCCCTGTCATCATCCTCTACGATCCTTCAGGTCAGCGCGTGCCGCTTGCAGCTACATTCCTCAGACCTAGGGCCGCTTCCCTCCCCACAGGACTCACCACAATGGATAGCATCACCACACCCGCTAAAGCCGCAGGAAACAAAATCGCAGAACTTGTCGCCAGCATATCTTCCCTTCAGGTCTCCACCTTGGTGAACGGCTGCATAGAGACAACAGGGAGATGTTCTAACATAGCTCTCGAGGGGTTTACCGAGGGCGATGGTCGACAGCTCATCGATCGCGCGCAGGTCAAAATACTTCGGGAACTCCTCAAAGGCAAGAAGCTCGATGAGGCGGTGATTGACTCTATTTTCAATGTTCCCAACTGCACATCACAAGTCAGGCTCGTGCGTCGTCGACCCGAGGGAAGCACCATAAACTCCGTGTCGACTGTCATGGTCGCGATACGAAACGGCGGTAATGAGAGAGTATCTCCAGAGGCGTTGAAGGAGACTTTCAAAGCCACGAAGAAGTTCATCCAAGCGAAGGGTTTCAAATTAATATCGGGCGTAGCGTTGGAGATCCACGATTCTGCGTGCTTGAATAAAACGTTTTGGAAAGAGAAGGAGGGCTGGTTGGATGAATGTAGTGTAGCAGAGATGGGAGAGGGTTCCACGGGGAAGTGATTAGAGGGATCTGGTACCAGAGTGTCATGAGGCGCAGCCTTTGACCAACTATGCATCGAAGAGCAACAGGCTCCCTAACTTGGTTCTCCGGCGTACTTTCACCAAGTCTTCCTTGGCGTACAGTTAAGTGGGTATAGATAGACAGCACAGAAACCTAGTGATTCCATAGGCTATTTTTCCTGCTGCGCGGATGCAGTGAAACTTTGTACTTTTATTTGAATACTGAGGGATTCAACCCTCAGATGATGACTCTGTACAGATCCTGTATTGGTTACGATGCTCGATGCGCAGTGTGATGTGTGTATTGACTGCTCGGAGTCCTATGTAAGAAGTTACATCTGGGGTAGGTAGGCAGGTGCCGACCTTTTTATCTACACAAGCGATTTCACTGCCTTAGGCACCACCTCAGGCACCACCTCAGGCACACATATGGCGCTCAATCCCACAAATACCATGAATGTGTCGACGGAACCTACAGGACACCTACAGAGATGCCGTACTAGATGGAATTGCAGATATCCGAAGATGAAACAGCTAACCTCCTGTCCAAGGACACCGTATTCAACGTTCAGACTCATATAGAATGTACCGGTCGCCGGAATTTGAGACTCTTCTTTGCTTGCTTGCTCATGTAACAAATCCGCAAGCGGGTGTATGTCTAAGATAAAGCCAAATTCGAGCCGAAATATTAGCTAGCGTACCCTGGGGAAACACAAACATGGACGCCCAACCTGCATCAATCCACAGAAGACAATTCTTCCATGTTTCCGATCATATGATTACTAGTGACCGTTGTTTTCTTGCCCATTCATAGCCCCTTGTAGCCAGACCCTTCAATTTACCTTTACAGCCCACGATGCGACTCCACGAAACATGGCCTGTCGATCGATAACCACGGAACATAAGCCCACCAATAAATGCATTTCTTTCCCAAAATATCAAAAGAAGGTACAGAAACAGAAATAGAATTTACACAACAGGAAAGAGGGCTGCCTCGGCGCCCTCCTCCAAAAGCCACGACCTCCCCAACCCCTGGCCCCCTACGGAAAACCAGGGGAAGTCTCCAAGCCGGACCCACTAACCAAATTCTAACTGCTGATCGAAGAAGCCCATGTAGCAAGACCCCGATGACCACAACGCCGAGCCACCTTTCAGCTACACAGGACGTACGGCGTGGGTTAACCCCCTGTGGTGGTATAATATAAATACCGTCAGGGTGCCTACTATTGTGGTTGGGTTGGAACGTACACTGGGAAGACGGGGAGGAGGAGGGAGTAAGGGCGTATAGGCTCGGAGGGTGCTACTACTACTACTACTGAAGTGTGGCTGGGTATGTGCCAAGTTTTGTCGTTGTTTTAAAAATAAGCGGGCGTTCTGGTGAGGAAAGGAGTGACGTATTTCGGGCTGGAAGTTGCTGCTGAATTGTATGAGTGGTGTTTAAACAAGGGAACTTGGACAGACAGCCTGTCCGAGGCGCTGTGGGGATATTATTATATAGGTTCGGAAGGTGACACATGTAAAGTTGTGTGTTGAGGAGATAGGAAAGACGATGAATAAGAGGCATTTTCATGTAGCACTGCTTCCACTCTGGAATACGTTATATTTGTTACATTAGCAACTGCCTAGCAATTCAGGTGTTCACGTGGCATTGCCAGAAGCTAAAGTACGGGATAAGAGGATTTTCCATGATAATACACATCACTCCTGACAATCCCTCCCAATCATCCTCCCTTCCACCGCATTCCGAACACCGTCAAGACCGCTTCCACCTTTGGACTCAGCTCCTGTCCATAACGCTATGCCGAGCTGCCGCTTCGAGAGAACATCCAACATGGCCTTATTCATAGCCAGCTGATCAGAATGAACCCAAGTTCTGTCTGGCTATTCGAGCCTTATTTCTCGGAATCAAGAGTCTTGATAAAGAGGTAGTTGGTCTCCCGGAAGCTGTAATCTAGGCTGGTTCGTATCAGGCCGTGGTTGAGATACTCATCCTGCAAACTTAAGCTGATACGTATTTCAAAATTGCTTGATAGACTCTAGTCCTTTTGCCCCCAAGATGATATGAATACGGATGTCCATGTAATTACATACGGATGGTCTTTGTGTATATTCATTGTTGACATGAGTTGTCATGAAATCTAGGCATGACGAAATATTTAATTATACATGGCAGGGAGGGGGGTTCCTTGGCATAGCACGCTAGTAGCTTCTCTAGTTAAAGCATTAATGCAAGTTGGTCATGCCCTGAGGCACCGCAAACCCCCAACAACATTTTTATGGCTCTATGATGTTCATGTCTTTTCCATATCATCCTTTCTTGCTTTACACAAACACCTATTCGATAAAAACGCGCCAATCCGTGGCTGGCTGGCTGTATCAGTGCACTGTAAGACGCTGTTAAAATACGAAGATCATCGCTATACGATCATTCAAAACTCGAGTAAATGCTTTTGTAACCAAGGTAAGAATATATGCGCCTGTATACCCAGAAGAGATATAGACCCCTATCCATCAGGTTGCGCTACTTCATGTAACGCTCACACGTACGCTGGTCATTGGAGTTTAAAGTAAGACTAGGGGTCCAGGAGACCGTAGAGAATAGATTGGACAGTGAAAAAGTACAATACTGAGTCAAAGCACAAACATGTGTTCCTTGATTAACTCCACCTCCTGCAAACTCAATACTAAAATAGCCCCAAACTTCGGTACAATGCTTGATATCAACTATACGTCGCATGAAGACGGCTGTTTATTTTTACTGACATCATAATACAAGCCCATGCCTGTACTGAATAGCGTCAATACATTAGGCGGTGACATAAAGCGCCGCCAAAAGAGAATGAATGTATCCAATGAGTATCCCCCTGAAACGATACGGAAATAGAATAACCCTGCGGGTGCTGGGGTTGATGAACATGCCTCGTTGCGAAATTAAAATCCATGTCGAGCATCATCAAGTATAATAAATGTCAGGGTCTTGCTCTTAAAATTTCGAAGATATCATAGTTATTAGAATATATGTATTTAATTAAGTTTGTCAATTCTTGTATCATCCACCATTTGCATCAATAAAATCTCATAGAGCAGCCAAAGCGAGGTTGTTCTGAAAGTTCGCATCCTTAAACGGCACATTCGCACTCCCAAAGTCCGTGTTTGTCAGGACGGTCCTCGCAGCGTCCGTCATGCTCTCCCAGGCAATGAGAGGCTGCTCGCCGCCCTTAGTATCAGTAGTTCCCAGCTGGTGGTTGGTGGGCCAGGTGCTGTAGTACTGAATCTTAGCGCGAGTGCCGTCAAGGGGCGGGCTGGTTGTAGTGGCGTATTCGCCATGGGCTGACGTCGCGACGCCCAGAATGGTGGAGTAGGATGTGTCGGTCCAGACAACGATGCTCTCCCAGTCGTGGCGGTGGCCAAGGCCGCTTGAGGGGGAGTCTTTCGGCATGTACCTATTTTGCGTGGTTAGCGAGGGAAAGGGGAAAGGAGGGTCGGGGGTTTGAGTGTATGGGCGACTTACCAGGAGTACATAAAGGCGTACGAGGAGCCCACTGCCGTGCTGCGGACGTAGACCTGGCCGGTGCTAGAGTCGCAGTCGCCGTTTGATGCGCCAGTTATGTCCAAACCACCCCTGTCGGATAAAATGTTAGCATAGGGAAATACTGATGAGCTTTTGCTAGAGATGCGAAAGGAGAATTTACCCAGTATTGCCCGCGGTGTCAACAGCAGGAAAGGGAACGCAGCCGTTGACCACCTTCAGCCAAGGCTTAAACTTCAGATAGGCGCTGCCGAGGGTGCCACTGGGAACCGTCTCGGCAAAGCCGACCACGGCATCGTGGGAAATAACAGCGCGGGCCGCAATGGGAGCAGCACTGACTCCAAGACCGGCGGCCAAGGCGGCAACAATCTTGGAGGCGCGCATATTGGCAGAAGAACAAGAGGCAGCAGGTTGATGGCTTGAGAGTATCAGGGCTGTCAACTACCTTGGTTGATAAATGATCTCGTAATCGCTGGCCATGCCGTTACTTATAGACCCAGGGCATTGGCAGACTTCCTGTCAAAGGGCGGCTCTTCATTAGACGGGAATCCGGCATAACTTGGATCGGGCCTGCATGCAAGATAGGGTCTTCTCCGCAACTCAGCAGGGATTGTAATACCAGTCGAGAGTAACGAGAAGAGAGGGTCATAGCTCGCCCGGATGCAGGTAGTGGTTCACTCGGGCGGCGCCGCTCGCTCACGTTGTCAACGGACTCCCACTTCCACGAGTCACAAATCAGCGCGACGTTGCAATGTGTTCACTCTGGGGCGCGCATGGTCTCCAAGTAAGCATCTCGGGAAGTAATCACAGCCATAGAAAGCCACAACGTGGTGTCGTCGTTCGATCCGGGCAATTTAAACGTTTGTGCAAAGCTTGAGACGACATGCGCTAACAGCCAGGGTTCACCCCCCTTGTTAATCAGTGTATGAACCTGGCTGGTGGGTTTCCATGCCCTTTTGAGACGCCGAGCCGCCTTCTGCTCCAATGGCTTTGTTCGAGAGCGGTAAGGTCACACCAGCGTGCTAATCGATCATCTTGGCAATGTCGAAGAGCAAGTCATTACACCTCAGAGGATCTGGACCATCGCGGCGGGCCTCGTAAGTCGTGATATAGTTGGCGTGGTGTTGCTTACCGGGGGCGGCTGGGTACACTAAATCGAGTTCCATTCCCAGTGTCTCGCTGCATTGGTACGAGTCAACAACGCCTGGCGTTCCAGCAGGATTTTTGGCATAATCGCGCCAAGTCGAGACATTAACAGACCCTATATAAACATTCGGAGTGGGGAAGTTCATTGTTCCCCAATATCTTTTGGGTCAAAGTGCGGAATGTACTCGTAGTAGATATCGTGAAGAGCGTGGAGTTGAAACAAGGAGCTCACTAACGTACAACCCCACCTTTCCGGCCACCTAATCTGCAAACTACAACAACCTTCGGCACAACAGATTATCGTCGGTATTGGCTATTATTATACAATGCCTCGATATTCAGAAAATTCGATTCAAGGCGCTCTCAATGATATCAATCAAGGGATATCCCAGCGCCAGGCTTCCCTCCGATGGGGCGTTCCACGCTCTACCCTATAACTTCGTTACGCCCCAAACCACGTAAGAAGGTACGATTAGGGCCTAATGAACGATTTGGTAACATTGTACAGATTAAGGAAGCGATGGATCGAGCCCTTGAAGTAGAACGGCAACGAGACCAGGTACAACGTCGGAATCAGGTAATACTGGACCCAGCTAAGGCGTCAGAATCTATCAGATCTATACCTCAGGAAACCCTAGAGCACAGCTTTCTATTAGAGCTGGTTGTACATGAATAGCTATAATAGTACGTTGAATACACTGTTTCGAATACCTTCAATTGGATTGCAATATGTGGCCAGAAAGGTGGGTGGCCGGAAAAGGTGGGGTTGTACGTTATGTTTCTGCTATTGAGCTCACTTGTCATGGCCATTCGTGTAACTTAGATTGAATGCATTCTCAGCGCGCATCAATAGCTCACGCATGTGAGGAAGTCTGGTGCATACGTGCCCATACAGACTAACCTAGGCATCGGCAGTCAACATTACCTCAGCCACTAAGGGTGCCTGAGTTGTCCGCACAGGAAAAAGCAGAGCCAATCTCCCCACTCGCATACGCATTCATGATAGCCAGGATCGTAGAATAGCTGGTACCAGATGTCAGTGCATCTCAAATCAGGGTGCGACTGGAGCATGGACTTACGTTCCGCCCACAGTGATAAACGCGCCCAGAAAAATGAGGAACCAATGGAAAAGAAACTTGGCCTTCTGCCAAATGTTTCCTTTCCGGTAGTCCCAGAAATCGTAGAGCCACAGTACTGCCGGTATCATAATCGCCATTGGCGCAAAACAGACTGAGCCGGTCAAGGCAATGATGTAGCTGAAAAGCGCTATTGCCTCGGCCAGGATCCAAGCAATCACACCGAGTGAGATAGAGCACCCAAGCCACGTCGCCCAGTGAGTGACCGTGTTGGACTGGAGATGTTTGGTTCCACGTAACAAACGCACGAATAGGTACTTTGCCGCGACGTGCAAATATAGACAGCCGCTGACCATTAGGCCGATGAGGGCGATTCCGTATGACACCTTTTTCAGGGTGCCACCTGCGCTACCAAGCGACGGATTCGTTACCCAGGCGCCGGCCCACCGGTAAACGACAAGGGAGAATGACAAGTACATACATAGCACAAGTCCCATCTACCATACTTGAGTCAGCCAGAAGTGCTTTCGTGGTTTTAAGCACGATGTTGGGCGCCCCACGGGGCCAAGACCCGGTCGACTCGGCCGGTCAAACAGGATTTGCTTTTGACACAAACTAAGAAGAGAACGACACAACTCGAGAAAAATCGCATACGCATATGTATAAGGCCTTTTTATAGTCCCTCGGATTTCTCATCTCGGATATCACTGGCAAAAACGCCGAGGTTCCAGCGCTCGACACAAATATTGTCGCCGTCGCCGTCATACTGAAGCGGTGGTTAGCGCCAGCACTTTGAAGAATACCAGAAATGTGTGGGGTTTTCAGTTGCGTCTAGAAGTTGAACGTCCTGCGTGGACCGTTTCCCCACTCCGAAGACAGCGCTCGAAGGAATGAGGAAACGCGGATACTGACCCTTCGGCGAAGGTCGGGTATGCGATAACGTGGTAGCCAAGATCGAAATCCCCAGTCTGTGGAGCGGCAGCGGGACGAACCCGCAAGGTGACGCCGATCACCACCACCAGAATAGCAATAAATATTGAGAAAAACCCAACCCAGGTGAGCCATCCAATGTTCCTAAGTGTCCTCACTGACGCAGCTGCCGTTATGAGGACCATCGACAAGAAAGACCACCAAACGGTGCAGGCGGCATGGTCGCTAAGGGCGTTGAAGCCGACGGATAAACCGACAATGCCACTTCCCGTGCAGAGAATATATGCGACCAGATATAGGATGCCGATGATTTCTCTAAACACAACGCCGCCGACTTTATGGCCCATATCGGCCAAGGTGTGACATTCGGGATGCCGAGTCTTGAAGTTGCCTTGGATGACGGCAGTATCTTGGAGGAGGTATCAGCAAACCAGCCTGCTTACCAACGCTACTTACACTCACAGGTATTCATGAAAGACCATCCTATGACGCTTAATGCGCCTCCAACAGCGCCCAAGCTGTACATGGCCGTCGGGATGGACAAGACGCCAGTTGCGAAGATGATCTTCAGAAAGATGATGGTGGCTCGCGGCCAGCTGACGTTTCGGAAGTCCACGCCGTCCTCCGTAATTTGGAAAACCTCATGGTTCTCGAGTTCGGCCTCTTTGGTTGACGCCACCTCTGGTCCATCGCTTTCAGCGGCCGGCTTAATGCCAAGCTTTTCATGTTTGGGCTCGATTTCGGCCATCTTGTCGGTAGCGAGACCGTCGGTGGAATCAAGTGAAAAATGTCACAAAACCAGACAACGCAAATATTGACAGCAGATGTGCATAGCATGGGATCGTTCGCGTCCAACCTTTCTGGAAAGCGCCGTCGGAGGTACTAGAAGGAGGTTATGTACATTGCAGAAGCCATGCTGTGCCATGCGAGAAACAATGGCTATCATCGTAGCACAACGTCGGCCGTTATGATAAGATGAGCTTGGCCACATAAAAGCGAGCAATTGTAGCGAGCAATTCGTTATCAAGCTCAAGAGCTACCACACACAACATGGCAGGATTCTGTGAACATCCCAAAGTGTCCAAGAGATAGGGATAAGCTGTCCAATCAAGCAACACAAGGGGTTGTCAGGATTGGTTAATGTGACATCGGAAGCTCGATGCTGTCCCACAGTAACGTCGGACTCGATTTTCATGTGAGATAATGATGTTCGGAGCCTATGGAGGGAGCTGGGAGATAGTGAAGTAATCTTTGGCTTGTTGAAGAAAGCTGCCCTGATATCAGCGTCAATGACATCGGCAGGTCCGGAAATACCACTGGTCCCATTTCCATGTTGCAGTTGTCAACTTTGACGTCAAAATGGAGAAACCCCCACGATTCATTTCTGGCAATCCCTATCATCAAGCTGGCATTCCGGCATTTGGACTCCTGATGAAACAGGTGCAGTCATCCAGCGTCCTCCGACAGAAGCTGCGAGGTTGATGTGTTACACGCGAAGCTCTTCGATAGACGACGCCATGCTCATGTACACCATTTGACCGTCTTGGAGTCCCAGCTTCGAGATTCGGATCCAAATCGGCCTATGATAGCTGTGTCCGTCATCAAGCACTTTATCGGTGTCAGCGGGCTTGAATGATGGACCCCTTGAAATCCTGCATGCCATGTTTGGTAGGCTGCGATTTGTGCTTTGACAAGGTTTAGTTTTATTTGTTGCTAGAGTCCTACACGCGGCAATTAAACAGCCTAAGTCGAAGAGAAAGTGGAACAGGCAGGTGCGTGCCTGGCCTACTTCAGGATATTAGCACGGGCCACGCTACTAATAAGTTAAGCATTACAGGCATTAAAGCAAACGACGTTTGAATGTTTCTAACACTCATAACGTTCTATTGAAGTTCTATGAAGGTTATGACGGTCAATAGCTGAATTCCTATCGTAGGGTATGTATCAGAAACTCACCAAGGAACGTTGTGCCTCTGTCGTGTCACATGATGACAGAAGGAACTTTTGGAATCGTCCGCGCCAGGCGTGATGCTCCACGTTTGTCATGCTAAGCAAGGCCCGCATGGGGCGCGATGTGTTGAGGGCTAAATGCTATATCTGCGACGATGCTGGTCAACTATAAAGTCGTACGGTCATAGTCGCCAGCGTTGTCTATAATACACAGATATTGCCTGCCCATGTGAGTAAGGGCTGGGCCTCATGGCATCGACAAAATTGTTCCATGTCTCTCGACAAACGTTAGCCATTCCATATGGAGCAAGTAGTTCCTCCCTATATATCTCTCATGGCCGCTTGGAAACCCGAATCATTACTCTTCCCTGTATGTAACATTTTGGGGTCAAAATTCTGCTAATTTTCACAGTGCTACGCTGACAGAATTGTCCAAACTTCGGCGCAGGGTCGCAATACAAGTTCTTGGGTGGACAAGTTTGCAAAATTATTATGCATTGTGAAGGAGCTGCGTCAAAACATGAGCTGTTGACACAACGAAGCGGTGATTCAAATGTTTCTTGTAAGTCGTGCGATGACTGCTTACTGCCTTGCGAAACAATATAACAATACTTGTACAACTTCTAGCGGACCAACCCCTTAACTTTCCCCTTTCACCCAGCTGTGAAAACAAATGTTTGCCAGTACAATCAAAGCCAATTATTCCACCTAATTCCACCAGAACAGATTAACCAAAGAGTCAAAGAATCAAAGAATCAAGACTAAATCAAGACTAAACCCCCTCTCCCCACCCGCATTCGCGTATGAATGCTTCTATTGCCGACGCCAAATATGTAGTGTAGAAATTGATGTCCTTTACATCTGGCCGCGGCGGCCGTTGCCAGCAGTAGCAGCGGAAGTGGAAGACGCGGCTTGGCTGACGACGACAACGCCCGAAGGGAGGAACGTGGCGACTCCGGAAGGAAGCGAAACGCCGGAAGGCAAAGAGATGGTTTGAGCCGATACCATGGCTGTCATGGCGGCGAAGATGGCGGTGAAGATATAGGTCTGCATTTTGATATTGGTGGTTGAAGAACTACTTGGAGGTTTTCTTGAGGATAGACAAATAGTATGGAAGCTTGTGAATGTGTGTGGAAAAATGTAGTAAAGTTCTGAAACTGTGGTGAAGACGATTGTTGATGATTGATGCTGATGATGAACAAAGGTCCTGTATGATGGCTGGAAAGGGGGGTACTTATAGATTGTGCTGCGTGTTGCTCGAGGGGAAAGCCCACAATGTCATCCTATTACATGCCGCGAAACCATACAGTTTGGCACATTGCGTAAGTCTCTCGATTGTCTGAGACTTGATGATGGCACGTCCACCCGACGGTTTGGAAGCTATGTGGCTGCATGTGCCTGGGATTGTGTCACCCATCCACGTAGCCCCCTACCTTCGGAGTGCCATTCGACATGAATTAGAAGGTGAGATCCGTTACTCAAAACCTGTGAGATTACTATTTTGGGCCGAAATAAGAATATTGGAAACTTCCTATTGGCGAGTTGCGTCTTAGTGTCGCATCCTTAACCTAAACTGCCCTCTGCCACGCAAGGTCCAACTCACTGAAATCAAGCTACTGGATTCCACCATAGACCTTATGCCACTTAACATAATCCTCTGTGCTCTTTCGACATATTTTTCAAACTTACTTGCTTTAAGTCTCACGTACCCGGGTTATGAGACTAGTGTTGGATAATACGCCGGCACAATACGGAGGATCAACTTAGAAAAGATATGGCGGCCTGCGTGCCTGCCAAAGCGTGAACGTGCTGCACGATAGAATTTGCCCCAATTGGGACCTCCGAAGTACAGTCAACCTCGCAACACCGGTAACGATTCATACAATTGAGAAGTCGGAGTGTTCAGGAAGGATCGGTTCCTTCAAGTAGTACCAAAAGACGGACTCATAGGACTGCATTTCTAAATTGGGAACTACTTCGTCGTCTAAGTAAGTAGGCTAGGAATTATGCACACGACTCAAACGGCCGCTCGACAATTGCGCGCTGCTGCTGCCACCGATTCCAACCTCCAGCAGTTAACATCCAATCCGCCATGCCAAGAAGTGATTCATCACAGCACGCGCAAGTGGCAGCATCAGCACCTAACTCTATCGTTAACACTGATCACTAACCTCCATGAATAATCTAGGCTCAAACTATGCTCAAACGGAACCGATCCCTCCTGGTCCTCACTCGCAATCCCCAGGACGTAGCTCATCTAATCCGCGCAAGCAAATATATTCACAAACGTGAGGAGGTCAAAAAGCTGATATGCATGCTAAGTACCTGATTGCTTTGGTCTCTTATCCGTTCTTTCTAATGGATATACCAGGACGGTATAATCGTGACGCAGACGACTGGTGACAACAAACTCGATGATCCAACCAATTTCGAAGATTATTACCCGGCTTGCGTTTGGGCTTGAAGACATGGAAAGCAATGCGCGTCCACGCCCTTGATTGGGTAAGGCAGGCTTGGTTGGATGAGTTGAAGGATGACTAAGATATGAACAAGACCATCGAAGACATCTTCAGAACATGATTTTGAAGGAAAGACCCAACTTACTGGCATGCCGATAGCATCGAACGTTATTTCAACAATACGTTGACGAATGCCATGCCAGTGACCATGAAAATAGATGGCTGCTGAACGTTTCTCCGCAGCATGTTCTCTGTAATATTGGGATTTGACGATAATGATGAGTATCAGGTTATTTGCTTTTGTATCCAGCCCTGAGCTTTCTTCTTGGACTTTCACAGAACGAAGAGGCATGCTGATACTGTTTTGTGGACCACTCGAAAAGTTCCTGCGCCCACAGGTACTCAATATGCATATTGAGGAAGAGAGGAACAAATAAATAGTTACCAATTAGAAGCTTTAGTAGAGGCTTCTTTTTTTTGTTCTTTTGTTTTGCAATACTTTGGGTGTCCTGCCGAGTTTTGCATCCATATGTGCTTTTCGCATTGGTCGTACGTCCCTGTGTGGCTTTCACGAGGCAGACGGGCAGAATAAGGCTCTTGATACTCTTTTTATAGTGATGTGGGTAAGTATAATCTTAACTACGTACCATGATCTCTTCAGGCAGCATGTTTTGTCACGCAGAGCAACTCCCCGTGTACGTTATCTTGAGTCTTCGCAAAACTCCGCTGAAGCGAGCCCCTAGAGCTGGAAGCTCACGAATTCGTCCAAATAGAAGCTTGCCATTCGCTTAACCATTATGCAAATACTTTATTATATTGTATTATGACAAAGGAGACGATCGGGAAACCTGAATCCCGATAGCATTAACCACCATTTTTCGAGACAGCTGCGGTAACATACCTTCGAGGGGAGACCACTATGCCGCTCCTACGACGACACCTCATTGCGTTGACACAAAAGAACAATTCTTACCTGATACACTGACCAACAGATGGCGCTTTGATATTCAATAATGAAAATTGGATTGTTTCGTTGGCTATGTGTTCGAGTAGAACGTCCCGGAGAAAGAAGAGATGGATGCAAGATAAGAAATAGGCTTGTACAGAAGGCCCTGGCTGTCATAAGACCCCTTGTGGCAAGCTGAGTTGGGAATAGTCACACTTTAACGCAACAGTGTGAAATTTAATCACGCCGATACTATGTACTTGTTTCCCTTTCCTGTTTACTTAGGAAACAACTACTTCGGGATGGCATTGAAAAGGAAAAATGAAACGGCGTTCTGGTGGGCAGAGCCTTACTATTTATGATTTCAATCTTCACGTCATGAAAACAATTTATGAAGGAGAAACCAGGTCTAACAAGCTAGCTACCATCGTTTGGAAATATATTCTAGAGCCATTGTAGGAGTAAAATGTATGTATTAACTTGAAGGGTAGCTTATACGGGGTGTCTTTCGCCAACCTCATTAAACATCGTGTTGAGGGAAAGTAACCCACCCAAATCAGTCTGGCAATTCAACCACAGCTCTTTTTAGACAAGGGAGTACCCAGGAGCTTTCAGAATAAACAAGAGATGTGAACATGCCCCAACAACTGATTCAAATAGTAAAATTTGTGTGGCAGGTTGAATACCTGAATACCTAGCGATTTAAGTACTGTAGAGTTGTTATGGCTGATATAGGTGTTGAACTAAATCCAAGCCCTAGTGACCCTACCATCTCTAGGCTGATATAGGAGAACCATCGCATGTGAGAGAATAAGTGGACTCGCCCAGCAAACGATAAGATAGACCCCACGCATTTACTGATAAGATAGGATCTGCCATCTACCCCACCAAAATTTCAAGCTCTCCCTGTCTGGGAGAGTCATTTCCTTGGCCAGATGTCCTGCAACAAGCTCAAGATCTGTTGCAATTCATATTTTTAGTCCACCGAACGACGGAAGAATGGAGGTCGACAACCCCAGTCCTAAGCCGGAGGAGGCAAGACCCGTGGCGAGTTCCAACAGCAGCGACGACCCCGACCCAATAATAGCATCCTACAATGTTTTCACGAACCCGAGTCTCCCCTCGACGCGCAAGATCTTCATCCTCCAACACCCCAACAAGCAAGGCGCGGCCGCGACGTCATACCCGTCCATCCAAGAAGTGCGCATCAAGCCATCCTCTGGCATGATCGAAGTCGACGTGCCGTTGCCGTACCAAGACGCCGGGTTCGACCGCGACAAGGGCATGAAATGGGGCGGCGCGCTGCAGAAGTCCATGGGATCCAAAAATGGAGGCAGTCACGGTCTGGCTGGTGGCTTTGGAGTTGGCGTGCCTCCTGCGAGAAACGGAAGACGAGGCGAGGGTGACCGCGAGATCTACGATTGGAGCGAGGCAGTGCGGCAAGATAAGGTGTTACGGACGCAGACGCTGGGAGGCATGGTGGGCAGCGGGGAGGATTGTCGGTGGATGGTTGGTGTATTCAAAGGGGGTGAGTCTTTCTAACATACATATACTACCACGTAAGTGGCATAGCTGACGCCAATAGGAAACCTCCACCTAACCCCCGCAACCTCGGAGATCCAACTTCGCCCCCAAATGCACCACCTCGACGCGCAAATCGAACAAGAGCGCCTGAACCGCCCCCGTGACGGTGGGCTCGGTCAAGGGCCCCTCGACGGCAAGACCGGGCCGACCCCAGCAGCAGCCAAGGCGATCACCATGACGGTCAAGAGTGCCCTGACCGGCGGTGAAGTCGTCACAGAGACCATGACGGACCGCCTGCGGCACGTGCAGATGGAGGCCTGGCAGCGGCTCAAGTACATCGGCGAAGAAGAGGACGAAGCCTGGACACTGCACGACAACACGCTCCTGTTCCAGGGCGGCGCCAAGCCCGGGGATGCCAACGGCAAGAGCAAGATACTGAAGGCCGAGGACGCAGATCTGGAGAAGGAGGCCGTGAAGCTGACCACACGCTGGGGCGAGGAGGATTTTCTGCGAGCTGTTGCAGGCAAGAACCGCGATGGTGTGCTCGAGGGCTACGGTTCGACGGCCGCGGCCGTCAAAGATGAGGACATTGAGTTCATCAAGAGCGAGGAGCATCTCGAGGGAGGCATCTCGGCAGTAACGGGCAAGAAGGCTGCTCCGGCTGCTGCCAAGGGCAAGGGAAAGGCGACTGCGGCTGCATCGACGGCGAAGAAGCCAACGGGCACCAAGGGGAAGTGAGACCGTGACGTGGATCCTGGAGAAGGTACAGGTGATGAAGTTTTCTTTCGGCGCTGTTGATCTTCACAAGGAGTGATGCCTAGATCCTGTGAACTATGATCCCGATTGCAGTCCTGTAGGGACTGCCTCATGTATTAGCTTTGTTTCTCCCGTACAGAGACATGGAGGGAAAAGGTCGCTTGCTTGGTCCGGCATTTCATGGCTGCATCTCACATAGGCAGGCGTAGGAGGAGGTAAAAACTTGATTTCATCCCAATGGATTTACTTCTTCATCTGCAACTACGTAAGTACCAATGCTATTCTACTCTAACAATGTATGATGACTCGACTAGCCGGATGATAATTTCCAGATTTCCATCACCCACAGATCATTTTCATTTGAGTGCCACCGGGTTCTGTGACCTCTATAGACATGTTTGCTGAATTCCAGCTTGATTTCGCGTCAGTCGTAAAGTCCACCAATGTTGACACCGGAGGGCACGATCCACGGGCAAAGATGATTTACAGAACCACCTGCTCGCACTGCATACTGCCGTTGATGCGCCGTTCGTAACGTGGCCCAACTATCAATTCTCGGTTGAAATCCAAGCCCAGTTGTCCCCGCCCCCATCCTATAAATCCCCTTGTCTGGACAAATCCTGGTCCAACAGCATTTTGTAAAAAATATCTCTCTTCACTGCAAGAGCTCCACGTCGAGGCCAATGGATCGCATGAACAAGTTGACATTGTCCAGACGCTGCTTGGCCATATCGGCAGGAAGCGTCTTCGACAGAGCAACAGTGTCCATTACTCGGTCCTTGACGGCAAGAACCAGTCGTTGCTGTTCGTCAGGACTGGCTCCAATGCCAATGGCGGCGAGGAACTGCCAGACGTAGACATCCTCTCCGGATGTGACACTGCCGGGGAAAATATTGGGAAGAGTGGGTTCCAGATGGTTGAAGAAGTCGTTGAATTGAACAACCCTAGCACGATGTTAGCTTGAAACGCACTACGGAATTCGAGTTACGGACCATTGTTGCCAAGCTTGCTCATTGGCCAACCCGGCCTCCTTGATGATTTCGGCACGACTGAGAATCATAGTTAACATAGATATGCCAATACGCGTACGAGCGATGGTGTCAATGCTCAGCTTCTGAATGATGATCCCAAGTACGGCAGTAACGATGTGGAGTTCAGTGTCATTAAGAAGGTTGAAAAGACACGGCATGACAGCCATGGAGAAGGCCTCGATGCTCTCACGCATGGCAGCGCTCAGATTGATGGGTTCACCCGACTGAACTTGAGCTCCCTGAACAACATCGAGTTGGTCCAGGTGGACGACGATCAATGTCAAGATGGTAGTTCGCTGCTCGTGACTGAGCTGTCTGAACACTCGAGGAATGACCTTCTTGCCCTTAGGGTAAGATATGAAGGCGATGAACGGATGGACGGCGTTAGCACCAATCGGCTCGTGGACCTTCAGGGCATCCCACAGCTGATTATTCAGCTTCTCTGCGACAAGTTGCCACTCAGATTGTCGTTCCACGGATTCCTGATCGGTGTCGCCATTGGCCAGAGGTGGCATGGTCCGCTCATGATCCTCCATTTTCATGAGAATCATGTAGACAGACTCGATAGCGCGCAAAGTCACCTTACGATCTGTGACACCAGTGGCCGCCGGGGTGCGATGATGAGTACTTGCAGGCCGGTTGACCTCGGTACCGCTTTCAGTTCGCTTGATATTCAACAGAGGCTTCGGCGTCTTCGCGTTACTGAAAGAAATCTTTCCGAGACTGCCTTCAATCACAAGCTGTTTGTTCTTGGGCTTGTTCTTGGCGGCCTCGACAGCACGCTGCACCTGTTGCTCCATACGCTGCATGTGGTTCTCAGGCCCGCGGTTGTGGCGTCTCATGCCACCATGTCGATTGCCGGTCTGGAAGAGATACGTTTGAGCAAAGTTGTTCAGGGGTTGGCTCGGGTTGGGTCGCTGAGCAGCCAAAGAGCTATGGACCTGATAGTAGAAGTCCTCAGCCAACGCCGCATCAGTGCCGTATTCGTTCGGGTCTCCCGTGGCCGAGACAAGCTGCTGTAGCTGGATCCTGGTGATGAAGCTCTTGTCATGCGGCGTCATCAAGCCATTATCCTTGCTAAGAATATAGATCTTGTGATTCCGTTTTGCGCGCCGTGCCTCAGCCTCCAGATATGTGGCCTTGTCCTGATCCGACATGGCAGGCAGCTGAGCTGGATGACTGACAGCCTGTGGCTGGCGGGAGAAGGAATTCTGGGAGCGATGCATCTGGTGCATGGGGTGCGTCGGCTGCGCAGGGTAGCCCATCCGCGCGGCATCGCCCGACATGCGACTAGGGTTCTGCAGGATCTGAGTCGGACCTGACATCGAAGGTTGCTGGAGATGCTGCTGCTGCTGCGGAAGCGAGCTAGACATGCTCGGTCCAGCCGGTACAGGTTTGGACGAGGGGCGCTGCAAGATGGTAATCGGATGACCATGCGGACCACCCTGTGCTTGCGCAGTATGCCGGACATCGTGCGACTGGAATACCTGCGACTGGCCCTCAGGCTGCTGGTATCTGTAGTCGACCGAATCTTGACGACCAAACTGCGGCGGGGGCTGAGATTGAAACTGAACTTGAGGCTGCGGCGAAGCGAAGTGGGGCGGATGTTGGGCTTGCACTTGAGGTTGCGGCATCACAGCAGGCTTGGCTGCGTGCATGGCTGCCTCAACTTCCTCTAGGCTCATCATCTTTCGACCAGCGGGCGGCGGAGCATATTGACTCGGGTTCGCGGCAGCTGGTGTCGCCGCCTTCTTCGGTGCAGTGCCCCAAATGGACGCATCGACCTGAAGATCAGCAGTCGGCTCTGGATCTTTATACTTCTCATAGCCAGTTCGAGCGGGTCTCGGAGGGTAGGACGCCTGATTGTATCCGGGAAGACCATAATTGGTGCTGGTGCTAGCGGCAGTCGCAGCCGCTCTGGGAGCAGGGGGTTGACGGTTGAAGCGGACGTATTCCTCCTCCATGGCGTTGGCGACTTTGGCAGTAGAGCCGAAAAAATCGAAATCCCTGCCGACCGGCGCATTGGAGCTGCTGATAGCTTCACCACCGAAGGTATCGTCGTTGAAGGCGTCGTCCGTCTCATCAAGCTGGTCGCCCAGACCATCGTAGGTATCTTCGAAATCCAACGCGTCCGCATCATCATCATGTCTGGACAGTTCAGCAAATGGATCATACGACTGGCTGAAGCCAGGCGCGGCCATGTTGTGACCCGCCATCTTGAAAAAGTGGGTGGCGCCTTGTAGAAGAGGGATGCTCCTGAAAGCGAAGCTCAAACAAATTGGTGAAAGAGCTAAACTCGTGAATCAGTGGGATGTAATCAAGACTTTAAGTAACTGTGTGGTAATTTGCGCAAAAGTGCATAAGAGAAATTGGTATAACAAAGGTGGAAGGAGGGGCGCTCCGGGTTCAGCTAAGACAGTGGGATTAAAGATCCCCAGCAGGGCTTCACTTCTCAATCCGCAATATTCCTCTTTGTGACTGGAGCCCCACGCTGACTTGAGACAAACAGACAAGGTCCTTGGTGTGCATCAAGGTCTTGACAGACCACCCCAGGGAAAAGTATTGTCTATGTCAGGCTGCGTTGCGATTGAAGAATGCGAGGAACGTGGGGTAGGCAGCGGGGATGGCCTGTGGGAAGTAGCACTTGCTGGTACAGGCTGGTTGCAGGACCAAAAAAAGAGCAGGCACTAGGTAGTAAAATCAGTAGAGACCACTCACCAACTAGGATAACTCGGGAACTGGTCGGATAGTAACGTCGTCCAGGTGCTGAATCATGATGCGAAGGTGAAGTGAAAGATCAAAAAACACGACAGAACGCCTAGTCGTGAAGCGCAGTGCAGCTTTGCGATCCCAGTTACACAATTTCGTGATAAAGAGAGTAAAGCAGAAGGCAAGCACCGTTGATTCGGTGCAAGTTAAGAATGAAGTAGGGCTTGCGAAGAGTTTGACAAGTGTTGACACGAACGAACTCGACGCCGCACGGTTGGCGATGATGAATTACATTACATGCAGGTGGATTTGAAGCCATTGTTCAAACGCATGGCACCCCACCGAAGCTCAATGGGCAAGTGCGGTTTAATATTATTCCGGTGCCGAAGATTCCATACTATCTCCGACCTTTACCCTCTGGGACGGTTGCTATGGGCTTATTCTTGACATCCGATATTCCAATAAGAAGCCTAACCACTATAACTTCAACGTAAGAAGGGTTGAGTTTGGCAAGGAGAGGTCATTCCAAAGAGTCACTGAACTTGCTTTAATACATAGGTGCTGTTCTGTTTTGTAACTTCAAAAGAACGTCCTCAGGATGTTAGTGACCCAACTTCTAGCCCACACAGCATGGGTACAACGCACTCTTCAACTACTTCGGTTTTTAGTACTTGTTAGGCGACTTATTAAATCTGCAATTACTATACTCCAAACATGCTTACACATATCCATTGTTATATATTGCCAAATTGACAACTTGAATAATGTAGGGATAGAGTACGTGAGTGGTGAGAGGTAGTTGACACATAGTCCCCTGTTTCATTCAGGATGAAAGTCGGCAGCGAATAGGGCAACAGCCGACTATGGCTATATTGCAAAGTTTGGAGAAATGCTGTACTTGCACCAATTCTTCCTTTTCGCGTCTCTGAAAAATATGATTATGACATGCCGTACGTAAAACATGCTCATCATAAAACTCTAGAGAACAATGCGCTCATGGCTTTGGGTTTTTGGAATATGCACTCTCTTCTCAGGGACGCAGACTACATCTCCTTGTTCTTAGCCTATCATAGTACTCTTATACTGGGTACTCATATTTGAAGAGGACCAGTTGCGCAAATGCTGAGGAAATTGTTGTGGGCAAAACCATACTGTCAACCCATTGGGCTTATTGAAATTCACAATAAGACTGTGCAACCAAAGCGACTCAGTTCATTAGGATACTTTCACATGTTTTTTTCCTGCAAACGGGAAAGAAGCCAAATGTTGTCATCGCTTTTCATATACCTTAAGTACACTTCATGGATCAGTGAGCCTGATATTCCAGGTGGCAATGGAGAAACTCGAACTCAAGATCGCATGTTAAGGAAGGTAGCTTCAAGTGCTGTACGACCTTAGAATCGTAAGCGTAGTACCACAAAGAATGGTTCGAACCTCTATACAAGCGGTATATCCCCAGCGTGGCATGACGGGTCATTTAGAGTTCGGAAGAGTTGTTGAGTAGTTGGGGATCGGATGGCGAGGAGGTGACACACACGTGAGCAACAATATACACTGTAGCGGCTCAATTGTAACTACGTCATAGCGGCGTTGGATGCCAGGATTCAGGAGGGATGCCAGCCATCATGGATTTGGTTTATAATGCGCACTTGCACAAAGGTACAAATGAAATAGAGTTTGCTTCAGGACCCCATAGTTCCGGACTTGATTCAGCTACCCCTAGGCACTTACTGCCGCTTCCCCAGTAACCAGTAGCATAATGATACGTAGGAGATTGACACCAGTTTTGATGAGCAGCTGCAGAAGACCGCTTGTGCTAACAGGGCTGGGGGCGTACAAACGTCCATACAATGACCTCGGCAGTATGCATTGGTAACAAGATTGTAAGGTACAGATAAGGAAGGGTTGCGTGTCTCAGGATGAAGTTGTCACCACAGGCAGTGCATCTAGCAGGTGGAAGGACAAACTTCCTAAGAGAAATGTTAAGCAAAAAGAAAGATGAGTATGCCCGATATTGACGCTTGTGGGGTATACATGAAATTGAAGACTGACTGCCACACGACAAGACATCGGAATTGTACGCAAGCCGGGAAGGCGCTCTACAGGGGAAGGAGAGGTCTGGGGTCGACGTGTTCTAGACTGCAAGGGCCTGGCAGGGATACGACTTCAGCAGCTAGACCCAAATAGGGGATCCTGGGTAGAATCTATGGATAGTGGCCTGTTGGCCGCTGGAACATTGAATTGACCGCTGGAATCGATTCACTTTAGGAGACACCTCATGGCTGACAGAAAAGCTCCATCGTACCCAGGGTTACGGACGAGCTTGAGGGGCAGTTACGCGCGGTCGATCCTCAACTAATAGAACTTAGAAAGCTAAGGTATCTTGGATGACAAGCCTCATTCATTGTCTTACTTCAGCTGTGTACTCTCCTCTAGTTGTGCTTTGGCACTTTCTTCGATTCCCCATCCTGCTTCTTTTCTTACCTTACCTTACCTACTTCTCATTATTTAATTCCTGTCAAGTGGAAGATGATCAGCATGATTTGAATGCTTGAGTGCCTCGCCCCGCACAAACCCCTTTTACGCGAAACCTTGCAGCGAATCCTCGATACTGTGCATTCCGCGTCGAGCAGCATTCGACGAACCCTTGAAATCTGGCAACTCCGTTTGCAATTTCCGCGATCCAACGTTCTTTCCGACACGACGTATCCAATTGTGCATCAATTTGGGCAACATGGCGGCTGGTAGCGCACGTATTGTGCGATACATCCTTTTCGCTTTCTTTGTAGGTTGCCCGTCATTATCCTGATCCGTTGCGCTATTACTGCCCAGGCTGCCATACTAATAGACCCATCAAGTTTATCGCAGTCCTCTACTTCATCTCGCACTCCTCACCCCAGGGTCTACCGCTGACGCCCGATAACTTTGGGGTGGGTAAAGGCTCGAGTTCGTCAGGCTTGGGGAAAACTGAAGGCGCGCCATCAGGCGAAAAGGAATCGACTGGCTTCGGCTCGACAGGCATAGAATCATCGTCATCAGCAGGCACATCCAAGGAGGACATACCTGGCAGCAAGCAGAGCACCAAAGGCAAAGGCAGCAGTAGTTATGGCGATATCAAGGATTCGACTGCCCATGGCGACCTTGCCGAAGCCCCAATGGCACTCACGCCGGCGGATGCTGGATGGGACAACCTTCTCGGTACGGCTCCAGGGCCCCGCATGAATGCCACCTTTGTCAGTTTGGCACGAAACAGCGATGTATGGGACATTGCGCGATCGATCCGCCAGGTCGAGGACCGATTCAATCGGCGATACAACTACGACTGGGTCTTCCTCAACGACAAGCCATTCGACGCCCAATTCAAGAGAGTCACCACATCCTTGGTGTCGGGCAAGACCTTCTACGGCGAAATCCCACATGAGCACTGGTCCTTCCCCGATTTCATCGACCAAGACAAGGCTAAGAAGGTGCGCGAGGATATGGCCCAGCGAAAGATCATCTACGGCGACTCGGTCAGCTATCGTCACATGTGCCGCTTCGAGTCCGGCTTTTTCTTCCAACAGCCTCTGATGTTGAACTACGAATGGTACTGGCGTGTTGAGCCCAGCATTGAACTATTCTGCGACATCCACTACGACCCCTTCCGGTTCATGGCCGAAAACAAGAAGAAGTACAGCTTCGTGCTCAGCTTGTACGAATATGTCGAAACTATCCCCACTCTCTGGGACAGTGTCAAGAAATTCATGAAAAACCACCCCGAACACATTGTTGAGGGCAACTCGATGGGGTTCCTCAGCGACGACGGCGGTGACACGTACAATCACTGCCACTTCGTATGCAACACAGCATCCAATCCAATCCAAAATGACACCATTGCTAACATGGAAATAGTGGTCCAACTTCGAAGTTGGCAACCTGAACTGGCTGCGATCGAAGGCTTACACCGACTTCTTTGAGGCTCTTGACAAGGACGGTGGTTTCTTCTACGAACGATGGGGAGATGCTCCTGTCCACTCCATCGCTGCCGGTCTCATGCTTAAGAAAGAGGAGATTCACTTCTTCAACGATATTGCCTACTACCACGTACCCTTCACCCATTGCCCGACTGGCGAGAAAACTCGCATCGATCTCGGATGCCATTGCAACCCTAAGGATAACTTTGACTGGAAGGGCTACTCTTGTAAGTCATGAACTACAATATTCCAAATCCGAGCTCACCGTGAATCAGGCACCGCAAGATATTTTGAGCTCAACGGGCTGGAAAAGCCTGAGGGATACGAGAACCAACAGGATTAGGTGTCACATCAATTTGGAATTTTGTAAGATTAGTATTGCTATAATGGTGGGTTCATGACAACTCAATCGCGTGCATGTTAACCGGCTCAAGAGGGAACGGAAACACTTAGGGGGATGATAGGCGTGACAGGTTTTTCTAAATCGGACTGGAAATCCAGACTTCTTCGTGTGTAGATACTTCACATTTCATGGGTCAGGTCATCGTTCGAATCTGACGCCGGATTGCTTCTTCTATGGTACAACAACATGATTTACAATTGTGGCCGATTATTGACGTGATTGTAACCCCTTGTCCTAATCATGACACGGGACCTCCGATCCCTATAGCCACCACCAATCCTGCACCATATTGTCGCGTCTATGTTCCTACCGAAGCCTTCTTGGGCTTCTTGGTTCCGTATTTACTACGACTCGTCGTTCGGTTGGCAACACCACCCTATAAGTAACCCCTTAGCAACCAAACTCCAACCTCGCTCCAAATCTTCTCCAAATCTTCCCGGCTTTGGACCGTCGTGAACGTGAAGGTGCAAATCCTAAGGAAAGCTTGACATGAACTCACCAAATCCAAAGCTCCTCTAACCAAATGGTACCGCACACCGGGACAATCCTGGGCGCGCCCACCTCGCACCAAGACGACACTGTGCTGTTGGATATTGTGGCCCTCACCGGGGATGTACGCCGTAACCATAGCGCCGCTACTCAAGCGTATTCTGGCCGTTTTCCGCTCTCCGGAGTTGGGCTTCTTAGGGCGTTGGATACCGACTTTCAGACACACTCCTTTGAGTTGGGGGCAGTCAGGCCCGGCGAGAGCTGGGGAGACGGCGTGGCGAGCGCGCTTGCCTTGACGACAGCCCTGGATGAATTGTTAGTATTTTTGCAGCATGTTTCGTGGATATCATGGGGGAGACGGACTCGCAGGACTTGGTTCAGCGTCGCATTTGGTGCTGGTGTGGTCGAGAATAATCGGGACGGTGAGAGGTGTTGGGGGAGCGCTGATGGCACCGTTGGCCGCCGTGCGAACGATAGGGATATGTATCTGAGCATTGGCGCTGCCATGATCGAGTCTGGTGGTTTGGAGCCGAGTTGCTGTCCCGAAGGCTCGAACCCGCAGTACATCCATACCTACAGGCCGACTCGAAAATTGTCCGCTGAGGAACGGCGCTGGTGGCCCAAGCTCAACAACCAGGTTTAACTCCGTCTATCTCAAGCTCAGACGCCTCACTCATTCAGCCAGACCTTATGAGATAACAAGCGCCGATGTCCGACCTTTCACATGCAACTGCTTTCAGAAAGACCTTCAGAATGATCTGTGGCAAGTGTCAACAATGCCGGCTTCAGTCGTTCGTCAGCTGACGACCAGGACTGTGCTTCCGGCTGCTCTTTTGGCTGCTAGAGGTTATCCTCGGGCTGCCTCGGAATCTAACCGGTGGTGCGCTCTGTCTAAGAAGTCAAGGTCTGGGGGCAACAGCAGCAATTTGGGCGTAATCGATGGTCGAACAGGCGGACATAACACTTGCACATTCCGAAAACTCTATTGCTGGTGAAATATCAAGACGTTGATTTTTCTTGCATCCTCTTCAGTTCGATCTTTCAACTGCTTTGTTTGCAATCATGTCTTCTATCGCGAGAGTGCTTCGTCCCGCATTACGGCGGGGCAATGGAGTAGGTGCCAGAGTCTCGTCAGCCTCACGTTGTAACCGAACAATAAGACCGTTCAATGCGCCGCAGCAGTAAGTGCAACCTGCTCGAAATCCTGTACTCGTTAACTACATTGCCAATTCTCATACACAACCAACCAGACTAAGATGCCTCTCGGCAACGCCCCGTCGCCTCAGCGACATCAGCGACATCCCGCCCACACCAATATCCCACCTGTCCGAAGTCGAGGCGGCCATGCAAGAAGCTGTGTCCAAGTTCGCCAATGATGTGATCCTGCCCAAAGTCCGCGATATGGACGAGGCGGAGAAGATGGACCCGGCCCTGGTGGAGCAACTCTTCGAGCAGGGCTTCATGGGCGTCGAGATTCCCGAGGAGTACGGTGGCTCTGGCATGAACTTCACGGCTGCTATTGTCGGTATCGAGGAACTGGCACGGGTCGATCCCAGTGTCAGCGTCATGGTGGATGTGCACAATACGCTGGTCAATACGGCCATCATCAAATGGGGCAGCAACGAGATCAAGAAGAAATATCTGCCCGCCCTGGCGACCAACACCGTCGGCTCCTTCTGCCTGTCGGAGCCTGTATCTGGGTCTGATGCCTTTGCGCTGGCTACCAAGGCCATCGAGACGGCCAATGGCTACAAGATTTCGGGCAGCAAGATGTGGATCACCAATTCGATGGAGGCCAACTTCTTCATCGTCTTTGCCAACTTGGATCCCAGCAAGAAGCATAGAGGTATCACGGCTTTCATAGTCGAAAAGGACACCAAGGGTTTCTCGATTGCGAAAAAGGAGAAGAAGCTGGGCATCAAGGCCAGCAGCACGTGCGTCATCAACTTTGACGAGGTGGAGATCCCTAAGGAGAACTTGCTCGGTGAAGTGGGCGAGGGCTACAAGTACGCCATTGGACTCTTGAATGAGGGCCGAATCGGCATCGCGGCGCAAATGACGGGTCTGGCGCTCGGTGCGTGGGAAAATGCCGTTAAGTACGTTTGGAATGACCGGAAGCAGTTCGGCCAGCTGGTGGGCGAGTTCCAGGGCATGCAGCACCAGATTGCCCAGTCGTACACCGAGATCGCTGCCGCTCGCGCATTGGTGTACAATGCCGCCCGAAAGAAAGAGGCCGGTCTAGAATTTGTCCAGGATGCTGCCATGGCTAAGCTGTACGCATCGCAGGTTGCGCAGCGTGTAAGTGGGCTGGCCGTCGAATGGATGGGCGGCATGGGCTTTGTCCGCGAGGGCCTGGCGGAGAAGTACTGGAGAGATAGCAAGATTGGTGCTATCTATGAGGGAACCAGCAACATCCAGTGAGTATTCCGAAAGACTGAATCATTGAATTGCAGCTAACAACCAACAGACTCAATACCATTGCCAAGTTGCTGCAGAAGGAATACACTACATAGTTTATATTTGTCGAAATAAGGGATAGTGTTGAAGCCCATCAGGCGAGAGCCAACTTGTTACAGTAAACTATGTTGATCGATTGCGCGCATTCGTTTCTAAATTTCATAGTCCAGAGTGTACTGTTGATATAGGATGTAGAAATAAATTGTCTTCATATGACCGATTTCGGTACTAGAGAAAGAAAAGGCTAGAGGAATCCTCAGGGAACCTGTCGACACCACTCTACAATGAGACTCTTCGGTCTAGTCAGTCGAAGGTACCTCATGGCAGCAGCACAGCTCTGCCTCCTCACTGGCACTTCCCAGTACCGAATGAGCCCGACCGACCAGGCGAGTGGGCTCGCAGGGTTCCCAATTCAAATTCTGAAGTGCCTACTACCATGACCTATTCGAGACATTATTCTCGGCATGGTTACTCCTTTCATCTACACTTATAGCTATCGAAACAGTCCGTCTCCTACATCTCCGACTGACATGGACATTGTTATAACTTCGGCTGGCCACGTCTCTTTACGTCTACCAGGTAACACCGTCATTGAAATCTGTGGATTCCCACGTGCAATGTTACATGGCAATAGTTGATTGAGTTGATCCGGTTCAAGCCACACAGCCCGTAGACGACGCTCTAGTGGGTTCCATTTTTCAGTCAGCGCGTCAACTACTCAGACCTCCTCTAGGAACCCCATATTATGAGCCTCATGCCAGCTCAATCTAGCGCCATGACTTAAAGTCCCGATCATGCCAACATCGAGCTGGATCCCAATAGACTCACTTGGCACGTTGTCTGTCACCATGACTACTGTTCCCCATCCCGGCAAAAAGCCCTACCAGTGACTCAACCCGGCGGCGCCTCCGGCATTATTAGAATTCTCAAGGCTCGATCCGAACCGCTGTCAGTTTACGGGAAATATCTAAGTAGTCATGAAACCCAAGCACAAGCACAAGTTTCGACCGTTTCCACGTTCTTGTCTTCTTCCCTCAGAACTCGTAGACAGCGTCAAACAGGATGCTGCAAGAACAAAACGATATGACGTCTCATCTAGACGAACCCTCGCACGAAGATGACTGCGGTCTTGCCCAAACGAAGCTTCTTTTTTTTTCCAGCCCAGTGGCCAACTATGATGAGATTACACAACAAGATTTCATAGTGCAAGACCTTGAGTCCTCGGGTTCAAGGCATGACCATACTGCCGGTTGTCCAAAGTTTGTCAAGGTATAAATTTCAGGGGCCATGTTGACTTCACGAGCTGACTTGACGTAGCATACTGCATCGACCAATTCCGAGGTATGGGCTTGAGAAGAATTGCCAACACAGTGGATACTAAACATGATTTCAGCTATTTTATGATTTGTGGTTTGTTGCTAACTTGGAAGTCTTCTCTTCGGTAAATATCTCAAGTTTGATGAGATTGCCTTCGATCTTGCCATTTTCTGACAAGTTCCAGGTTCATGAAGTCACTCAAAACACAAAGCTGTACTCATATATGGGTTACCTGACGTATGTTCCTCTCCTATGCCGTATCTGATCTCACCAACTCTTGCTAATATCACGCACTATAGTATCTTATGGTTCACCTGGTTTCTCGTCGGACTATTCGATGTTCGATATGTGACCGACAGCATCTTCGAACGCCTGGCCCGGACCGTCCATCTCGGTGTCATGGTGGGTTTTGCCGTTGTGGCATCGCGTTTTCACCCTGACAGCCAAATCAAATCCATCTTTCAAGGATTGTGTAAGGATACCCCTATTTCCGACTTCCATGATTTCGCCATATCTAATCAGTGAAAGCAATCATCCTCATGGTCTCGAGACTCGTCCTTGTGGTTCAATATGCCGCGATCATCTGGCATGTTCGTCATTTCAAAGACGGGAAATGGCCACTCACTCTCGTGGCCGTGTCACATTTCCTTTTCGCAATTATATACTTCGGTCTTCTTTTTGGTTTCAATGATGGACAAAGTCCCCGGATCTTCATCGCGTGGTATGTCATCGCGGCATGCGAGGCGTTGCTGAACCTCGGCCTTGCACTAAAATGGAAGGTCCTCAGCTTTGCGGGCACGCACTTGACCGAGCGCATGACACTACTCACTCTCATTATCCTAGGAGAGGGTGTTATCACCATTGCGAAGAATGTGGTGCTTATTGTCAAAAATCAAGGATGGAGTAAGTCGCCCAACTTCTGTCGTTCTGGTTGGTCTTATAACCTGGGCAGCTTCTGTGACCATGGGTATTTTGACAGCTGCAATCACGACGGTGTACATATTCTTCATGATTTACTTCGATTGGATGAATCACCACCACATGACAGGAATTCGGCAGCTGTTATGGACCATCCTGCATTTCCCCTTTCATGTTGCCCTGCTTCTGTTCATGGAGGGGGCAACCCAATTCATCACTTGGTGGAAGCTGGTATGCCACCTAAATTCTTATCAATACAGCCCCCTGAACCTAACGCGCAACGCAGCTTGAAGTCCAAGACTTCGCGAACGACGAATTCATGAACGTGGCCGCCAAGCTATCAACACATGACAACAACATCACGAGCGAGGATGTGGCTCACTCGCTAAACGACACAGTTAACCACCTCTTCAAGCAGTACCCTGCTACCTATCAGCTGACCATCAACGAAATTGCCAACATCCTGCAAAACATCGGCAACATTACGAATTGGTTCTGGTCGTCCAACGAGACGGGATTTCCCGAGATCAACCAGCGGTTCACGCGGGATATTGACAATCTCTTCGTCACCGTCATCAATTCCATCTTCGTCAACTTCAAAGTCGACCCCTTCGAGGATAATGAGGAGGTCGACCCGGTCAAGATGCAGTATAAGGCGTATACTGAGACCAATAACAGATTCATTCTTGTAGTTAGTTAACCACAGGTTAACCCGTGCATGTGCGAGTCTAACACTTGCGAAACAGTTCCAGTACACCTATACCACGGCCGGAATCACCCTAATCGTCATGACGATGCTCTACGTCCTTACCAAGCGGCAAGGTTTGACGCCCTACAATATTCTTCGCACCTCGCTGTTCTTGGTCCTCGGGATCGGTCTATCTCTGGTAACGCTGGTGTCTATTAGAGATTCGCATGGTAGGGTGTTTATCCGTAGTCCCTGGCTATTGCCTACTTTGTGTATCGTATTCCTTTGCGTGCTCATCCTAACACACCTCCCCAAGCCGCCTCCACTGATAGTTCCTTTCAGGGGCGGGACATTCAGGGATTTCAACAAACAGGATCTGGCGCCCTCTTCCAGGGCTCGAGTACACAATGGCAATCAAAATCAAAGCTTTGATTCTACGGAGCGGGTTTATAGTGAGAGAGAGTATAGTAAAGCGTCCATGCATCATGGGCAGGATACCATTTCAAGGGCGCAGACTGTAGTAGTTGATCAATCTGCGAAGCAGAGTTAGCCAATACGGATGCTCATCTCTTGAATAGAAATCTTTGTTGGACTTCGACCTTCGAAATAATGGGAATTTCAGAAAACAACTGATATATTTGTCCCACAGGTCTGTAGCTTTTTGCTTCTCGGGTGCCGTGTGTGTTCACAAGCGATACGTAAACAACGTAACCCTCGTACTCGAGTCCTCCAGTACACGGATTGCCCCGAACATCAGTGATCCTTCAATGCACCCCCTTTTTAATACTCAGGGACTTGGGTACGTGGCATTAGGACAGCGATGTTGCCTAATCCGCTTGACCAGGCGATGGAAAACCCCCTCAACCTCCGCTTCTCTCTTTATATAGCATTCATGGTGTTCCACCCCCAAGCGAAACGCTAGTTCCTCTGCCGTCCCTCTGGGGACTTCCCGCGCCACACCCGGCTCCACGTCCACCGCCACCAGAATCACCGGCCACATGCACCGATCGATACCTTCCGCCTCGCTAATCAACAACCTGATCGCTTTCTCTGCAACCTCTAGGGACGAATGATGGGCTACGCTGTACGGAACGATGATACCGTCCGAAATATGAATAAACATCTTGAGCAGCGCAGCGTAACATTCTTCCCACGTCGTCGACATAACTTCCAACGAGGTAGACTGGTCATCAATAACGCAGTGCGTTCTACTCGACGGCTCCTCTTTAGTCGGATCGAATAAGTCTTCGTGACATGTAAACTAAGGACATACATCCCCCTCGAGTTAGAATGTGTGCCGTTTCGGGTTTCAATCTCGTGGCCAGGAGAACTTGAAAAGAAAAGCGCATAACAAACCATTTTACCAAACTCCCGGGCTGAGTTTTCATGTCCGCCCATGACGGTGATTTTGTGTTCGATGATTTGAGTGCCAGCGAGAAGTCCCCCGGACTGACTTTGTTGCCGCACCCATGCCTGTGGACAAGATCGGGTCGATACTGGTTCAGAATCCTGTTCTGGCGTTCCGTGGCTTCTATCACCACGAAAAATGCTGGTCCACTTTCGGGCGACGTCTCGTCCTCTAACACTAGATGGGCGTGGGAAGCATGAAAGTGATCGAAAGCCACTCGCCTTTCGTGGACTCCTAGGGGTTTGCCTTCGATGCTCTAGGCGTTGTTTCATCTAGTTCCCTTGATAAGATCGCAGCGCTTGTTGGCTTGGCTCGGGGCAATGCTCGAAGTTAATTCTGTGAACTAATAGCCCAGTTGGCGCATATTTCTCTTCTTCCACGATACATTTGGACGGCTTATCGAACTCTATTATACTAACCGTCCCAGGTTGGCCCGTGTTTGCGTCTTCCTCCACGGACCTATACCTTGGTGGATATAAATCGGATGGATGCATCTTCTCAAAACGATATGCCGACGTGTCGACAAAGCAAAGACATGTTTGGGTTCTTGTAGCCAACAAAGAGGATGTAGGAGCACCCGGCTCCGTTACCAATAAAAAGGCATAGTACTAATTTGGCCAATCATCATATTAGCTTAGCATTCTCGGTAGTGCCTCCCTTGTAGAAACAAAGAGCACGAACACCAAGCCGGCTAAGGTCTTGGGGCTACACCCTGACGTTCATTCCCAGGCGATGGACGCGGACGGTATGCTGTGCTGGTAAAATCTGCGAGCTTTGCGATTGCAATTAGCCCTATCCGAGCATGAAACCATTAGGTTAGGAAGGCCTGCGAAGATCCACGTAGTTGTTAAAGACTTTTGTGGGACTTGCTATGGAGGAAGATCTGATAAGATTGATAAAACTTACGCGGGGCCCCCTGCTCACTTGACATCGCTCATTCGGTACCAAGTACACGAACGTAATTAAGCTCATCCGAGCTCGGCTCAGATAGCTAGCTATCGTCCCAGCTCTGTAAGCCGACCCGCTCCCGCTTGGCACGCCATAAAATAGCTGCCGCCATGAAAATCAGAGCCGGTTTCTCCGTGTTCCCATCTCGTACCGAGATCTGGACTGGTAAGACGAGAAAATGAATGCAATTATGGCCGTTTCCGGGCTCAATCGGTGGCTGCTTTTATTACTCTTAATTGGCGTCGTCTCTGCTTCCGTCGCAAGCAACCCAAAAAATGCTACTGGGCCAATTGGTGGCATCACCCTTGCAGACTTAGAGGAAAGAATACAGGTAGGTTATCGAATCGCACAAAGTGTCCATGCAAACTCGAGCTGACTCGTTCCTGCCTCCACTTAGCTATGCCCGGTGGTAGTCGACCTCAACACTGAGAAACTGGCAGCTTCCTCGGACGAATCGACCCTCATATCCCGCATCTTCTCAGTGCTCTTTCCAGGCAGCCCTGCCGTGAACGCCCTCCTCGCAACGCTATACATATCCGGACCGCCCAATTTCTTATTGGCATTATGTCCGCCCAACATCGACCCAGCGTCACTGTCCGTCATGGTAGCGTTCGCGGTCGGTGGTTTGATGGGTGATACTTTGTTCCATCTACTCCCGGAGATCTTCCTGGGCGAGGATAGCCCCCAACATGTCCGGTTTGTGCTTGTGGAGCCGAACCGAAACCTGCTACTTGGTGTCGCAATATTGGTTGGGTTTATGACTTTCGTTGCCATGGACAAAGGACTACGCATCGCGCTGGGTGGCGAGGGGCATGACCACAGCCACGGAAACCACACCCATAGCGGACACGAGTTAACTAGTAAAGCCTCTTCCACCGCAGTGGACGTATCGAACAACGAAGTCAAGTCGCGCAAGAAGGGCAAGGAGGGCCAGAAAATAGTCGAGATCAAGGCTGAGAAGGACATCAACCCATCCGTCAAACTAGGGGGCTATCTCAACATGATGTGAGTTGCATCTTCTGAGTGTGCTTCTCTTGGTCATTAGAATGCTAACAATACCGGCCAGTGCTGATTTCACCCACAATATCACGGACGGCTTAGCCATGTCCGCCTCGTTCTATGCGTCGCCTACAATTGGGGCCACAACAGCTCTTGGTCAGTATCATCTCAAGCAGCTCGCGGAGGCTATACTGACATATGTTAGCTGTTGGCCTGCATGAGATCCCTCACGAAGTTGGCGACTTCGCCCTTCTGATCCAGTCTGGATTTTCGAAAAGAGCGGCAATTGGCGCACAATTCGTTACAGCCTCTGGTGCGCTCTTGGGGACATTGATTGGAATCGCAGTTCAGGAATTCGGCGGTAATTCTGAAGGCAACTCCATGGGCATGAAGGATGGTCTATATGGCACGAGCTTGACGTGGGGCGACATGCTGTTGCCATTTACCGCCGGGACGTTCCTCTACGTGGGGACCGTTGGGGTGATACCCGAGCTGCTCGAAACTGGACCGAACAAGAAGGCGGAAGCTCAAAAGACACTGGCGCAGTTCGTTGCCGTTGCGCTTGGGGCAGGTATCATGCTCTATATCTCGTGGAGTTGAGTATAAGCGGGGACCATTCGACCCACAGCAAGGCTTGGCAATGGCCAGGCTGTCGTCAGCGGCAGGATGACTCAACTCAGCTATGCTTCTGGCATGGAGGAGAAGCAGGTTGTGATGCCGAGGACAGGGCGGTCGCGGCTCTCAAGTACATGGTGATGGTGATGATCGTCATCGCTTGATGAGTCTCTCAGATCCTTTTATTGGGGGAGCGGGGGGAGGACGGACCTTATAAGAGTGACTGGTCAACCAGACAAGCTGTAGTAGTTGCGATGTTGTCCGGCTTGCGTATCAGGGGTGAACATATAGATCATAGATTAAGGTAACCGTTGAGGACAAATCTCAATGTGGTTGTAGCATGAACCCTCATACCCCCGGCTGCCTTGTGTAACTTGGAATTTGTGACCTCTATTTGCCAGTTTTTCTTACCGTACAGCCAATCGGTATGGATGCCCGTATCTCGTGGTCTCGCATAGGTGGGTAGCGCTGGGAGAGTTGCCCCGTATTACTCCAGCTTACCATTATTCACCAGCGGATATCGGGACTAGATTCAAGTTCCGAACTAAAATAGTCGTGTCGTCCCAAAGGCGCGCGCAGCAGCAGCACTAGCAGCACTCCCGGATCGTGTCAAGTCAGCTTTTAGGGCGGATTTTGCCGATCGGCAAGGAGTCATCAGTGTGGCCCGCCAAGGCGTCAGTTCTCTCTACTGTGAAGACCTAAGTTCCTGCGTCTGTCTCCTTCCCCGCGTTTTAATGATCTTGTAACTTTGCAGTAATGTTTAAATTCAGATTCAAAGCCAGAAGCTCAAGATTTTGTGCTAAAAGATCGAGACCGGTCCCTTGGAGAACGCCAAGGACTCTGCAGATGGTGTCGTTCGACGGTACGCTTACCCGGTTCACGAGACTGGCATTCAAGCACGAGATGCCACCTCGATATGGCCTCACCAAGTAACTTGAAATATGATCATATCAGGCGCTTCAAAAATAACACTAATAAAAAGTGGAACGAGAAACAGACCGCCCGACTCTCGCGCACTTGGTGACTCGTAAAAGATGCTAGAACACGACTCACCGTAAATCTCCGGTGCGATATAGCGGCTTCTATATCCCGAAGCCGGACATGAATCTGGCCCCGGGGCTTGAAGGCTGACGACGCGGGCATTCTTGGTGACACAGTTGAGTTGACATGCATGTAAACTGTGCAAAAGGAGCTACTCCGTCTGTGGTTGCACCCTATAGTTTAGTAAGCACAGTGCACCGCGGAGTCTTGCCTATTCGTATCATGCCTCTGGCAATAATCATGCATTCCTGTGACGGCATTTCTCATCCGCCATATCATCCCCCGAGGAATTGTTATGTATGCCTTTTGGTGCCGGCCAACAACCATAAACCGCAACTGACAACATGGCTTTGAACCAACGGCCTGAAATCTGCGAATTGGAATAATTGACATCGGATGGTTACAGTTGAGGCTGAAGCCGACTCATGACGAACCTCCTTAGAAGACAAGCTCGCCGCCGGGTTTGGCAGGTGAATACCAAGATGGAAGAAGGTGTATCGAGGACTTCGTGAGATATTGCTTGACCCGGTGTTTTGCGGGTGGGAGTATTAGCGAATTATACAGTTCCCGCCAGAGCTATGACAAGATGCACTGTGCGAAGGGCGAGCGCATGTAATTGATAATGGACAATGTAGCTCCGCTGACGCTAGAGAGGGCCCTGAAGCGCAACCAATAATCCCCCATCCGAAAAACGGCGCTGCACTAGGAGCACTTCGCAAGGATTGCACCACATACATACAAGCATGAGATGGGCGAGAAGGGTGCACGACATGGGGCCATCCATCCACACCCGATAAAATATAAAGTTGCAAGCCGTCTTACCGTCACTGTGGACTATGATATTGCACCATCCACCACGACGCTAGCACGTCAAAGGTTGAGAGTAGAAGGGCGCATGCGTCTTGAGGAGGGTCAGAGGGTCAGCCACTACATTCATGCATGGCTCTCCAATAGACAAGGGAAAACTCCTCCTCGAGATGACTCAGTGAAGGATATACCCATGAGACCGGCCCGGTCAGTGGCTGTCATGGTGAGCATCCTTTATCTTCATGGTTTCTATATGAGCCGAATCCCCCAGTCCGGATGCGATTCAACTGGAACGTCGTATCTGAGCATATAGCAACAACACGCAAACTCCAGGAAAGCCTACCAATCCACCCAACCCCAACGCATCTTGGCATCAAACTGGCTAGGATCGACAAGCAACAGCACCCGCGGAGTTGAGCGAACACTTGATTCCTGAACGGGCAAACTCATAAGGCACCGACCCCGCAGATTTATGTAGAGTGGCATCGTCATCTTACAACAAATCAACCCCAAACCGTCCATCTTCACCCGCAAGACAGCAAAAATGTCCGTCTTCACGGACGGCAGCAACCACAGCTCTCTGGGTGGCTTCAACCGCAGGTTGTCAACTGGACCGAAGCCGAGCCTGAGCATCCACGTCGACAACCACTATCAAGCCAAAGTCTACACGACGTCGTCGTCCGTCTCTGGCCGCATCAAAATCAACACATCGAGGGATGTTCGATTCGACCATGTCGAGATCCTCTTTTTGGGCGTCAGCAAAACCGTCGTGGAAACCAGCTTTTCGCCACATGCAATCAACCACACATTCCTGAGGCTTTCCATGCCACTCTCACAACTGGAGGATTCCTTCCCCGTGCCTCGAGTGTTCGAAGCAGGCCGCACTTACACCGCCCCATTCCACTTTGTCGTTCCTCAACATCTCACCATGAGCGCTTGCAGGCATGGCCTTGAGTCAGGTCCCGTCCACCAGGACCATCTGTGTCTCCCACCAACCATGGGTCGCTGGGAAGGAAAAGACGATTTATCGCCAGAAATGTCACATGTCGAGTACAACATTAAAGCGCGGGTGTATCGGGACGAAGAAGTGAGTGGGAAGCGGATCAAGGTCATGGAGGCGGCGCAGGAGATCAATGTGCTCCCTGCGTTTTCAGAACGAGCACCCTTGAACGTCACCAAGAATGACAAACTCTACAGTATGAGCAAGAGCAAGATGTTGAGGAAGTCGCTCTTGACTTCAAAACTGGGAGTTATGACGCTATCGGCGACCCAACCCCGCGCAGTCATGATGAAGACAGACGGCCGCTCCGCCTCGAGCACAGATGCCATGCTGGACCTGAAGTTCGAGCCTGCATCGAGCAATTCGGTGCCGCCCAAGGTCACGGGAATCTCGGCCAAGATCACCACGGTCACATACTTCAGCTCAGCTGGCATCAAGGTCGCGCCCAACCTTGGAGACTGGAACCGGTCATTCGACAGTAATGGGCCCGGCTCCTATTCCAACACGATGTCCATCTCCTCAGCTGAAGCTACCAATAACAAAGTCACATGGCAGCAGAAACTCTCCCCGCAGGCAAGACGGGACTCGGGCTACGCAACCGACGAGAACTCCGACAACTCAAGGAGCAGCAGCGACGGAGGGGATCGTCGGAGAGGCAGCAAGGCATCGAACAAATACAAGAGCGCACCCTTTTACTACGCCGCCAACCTGCAAGTCCCCATCAAATTGCCCACGAGCAAGAAGATGTTCATCCCATCCTTCCACTCGTGCATCACGTCGCGGGCCTACGCCCTGCAGGTGACGGTCTCGCTATCCGCCGGGGGAATGAGCTCGAGTCTGTCTGTTTCAGTACCACTGCAAGTCGGCGTTGATACCACCGAGGCCGACGTCGATAGCACGGGTCTGCCGACCTTCGAGGCCGCCGTGGGTTTGGTGGACGTGGATGAGCCTTTGGGACCGCGGTCGATGTTCCCGCCGAGGATGGAATTTGAAAGGCATCAACTTCCGGGGTATTCGGATGGGTTGGTGGCTGTAAGGTCATAGCTCTGAGATGGGCGTTGGCCGGTATTGGGCTGCATAGGGGGCGGGTGGAGGGTTGCAGGTCTGCATTCTTTCGGGCCAACATTACGCAACTGCCTTCAATCCCTTTCTTCTCAACCAAACTTGCTATCGGTGAGATTTGGTAAGTGGGTACTGCAGAATCATATCCCAGGCACAGGCACGATGGTGTTAATAGAGTTCGGCATGTTCATATAGTCATACGCATTCCCATACGAATGGGGTAGTTTCACATAATCTTATCTACCATCAATGTTCCTCCTGCCGATAAAGACACTCTCAGTTAGTCGCCATTGTCCGAGTTCAACTTATTCATGAGACAAATGCCCTCTGGTCTTCGAGCCGAAGGCCGATCAAGTCGCGAGCCTGGGAGGAATACGGACCTGGCTCGGCGACAGGACCTCGAGATGTGGAATGGGGTTCGAGGTAGAGAATACACATAATCCCCGGGACGTTGCAGAAGAACATGGCAGAGTCAGACGACGTAGGGAAGATAGTGTGAATCGCACGGGTACATACGCAGGAACTCAACATCTTCGGACATGATATACTGTATGTTTCTACGAGGATGGGTTGCTGAGGTTGGATGACCGAGAACACCAGCTTGCAGTCATACTCCAAATATACCTATTTTGACTGCGTAGATACCGAAGCACTTTAGCCGAATTAGGTGGGTCGAAAACCTTGTTTAGATGATGATCATTACAATTGAGGTCAGCTGCGTCTATCGGCTTGTTCTACAAGACGTGAAATGAGCCAAGCCACCATGCGATAGCGCATATAAAGCTCGAGTCGGAAGTCGCAGTCGGAGTTCTCTGTAGACTTGGTATGACGTATGTTGGTGTAATTACTTTTGGTGGTGGCTGTGTGGTCTGTCTGTCTTGGAGATGAAGCAGTTGCGTAGAGACAACCTTAAATACTGGCTCTCAATCACAGCTATATGATCGCCTAGGAAGGTTTGAGGCGATGGACCCTTGGAATAGTTCCCGTATTGTGTATTGGCAGTAAGCAAACCCGCTCTTCCGATGAACTCTAATGCCTCCTTTTCAGGAACGCGGATATTTTGAGTCACAACGCCTAGACAATTAGTGCACAGTTGACCAGGGGCAGAAAACGTTGGCCAGGGTTAGGAATTTTGTGGCGCAGCTAGTTCATTGCTTTTATCAAATCTTTATCTTTTAAGCCTCTTCTAACACATACACGTTGTATATGCATATCAGACATTTTAGCTCTATATATGTGCTCCTATATCGCTATATATACATGTTAGACACTTCGGCCCTATATATATGCTCCTATATCGCTGTATATGCGTTGTATTTACTCCGTATGAGTTTTGCTCTTATACTATAGCCGATGCCTAATATAGTTAAGCTATCCTTGGCAAAGGTTGGTCAGGGTTAGAAATACTTTCAAACCTCATGAACCTTGCTGCGCCACAAATTTCTACCCCTGGCCAACTGTAACCTGCTAGACAATGACTTGAGTTGTATCAACAGTTGGAGCAATAAGAATATATCAGGCTACCCCACAGGGGAACCGAGACCGAAAACACCCCTCTCCCTGTTGCGGAGCTCTTGTCCCCAGCATCGGTCCGCTTTGCAAGGGGATACTGAGTCCTGATTGGTCCCGGCTGGAAATAGCTACTATAACTATGTGCTGGGCACGGGAAGTTGCTACGAGTGCGAACGGGAAAGGCTCGTCGGTAACAAGTGGAGCATTGCAATGAACCCCGACGAACGCGCGATGTGTACAAAAGACGGTTCATGCCTCGAAATTCTGGACGTCCTGTTCAGTTGTTATCGGCAAGATACGTATTGCACCTCAGCATGACTAGATTCCTGAATATCGCCGCTGGCATTGTGGCTCTGGCTGCTCTTGGGTCCGCCAGCCCGCGACAACGCGCCGAGCCAGCCGGTCTCGATGCTTTCATATCCGAGGAACGAGGCATTGCCCTGCAAGGGGCGCTGAACAACATTGGACCTAATGGCTCATTGGTGCCTGGAACGAGCGCCGGCTTTGTTGTCGCGAGTCCATCAAAAGCCAACCCAGACTGTAAGCCAACCACGTGATTGTCGTAGGCACCATCTAACACTTCTCAGACTTCTATACTTGGACTCGGGACTCGGCCTTGACGATGAAGACGATTGTGGACGAGTTCCTCTTTGGCGACACAAGCCTGCAAACGTACATTGAGGACTACATCCACGCTCAAGCCGTTCTGCAGACTGTCACCAATCCCTCTGGAACGCTGCTCCCCTCCGGCACTGGACTCGGCGAACCGAAATACTACGTCGACGGAACCAGATTTAACGCCGCCTGGGGCAGGCCGCAGCGCGATGGCCCAGCACTTCGAGCCATCACCTTGATGACGTACAGCAACTGGCTTATTTCCAACGGCCAAGAAGAGAAGGCGCGAGATGTCGTGTGGCCTGTTATCGCTAATGACCTCTCATACACCGGCCAGTATTGGAATGCGGTAAGGGCTCCCCAAAATTACCAGGCGCATTGCGTGTACAAGGACTGACGCTGTTTTTCTTCCAGACTGGTTTCGATCTATGGGAGGAAGTCTCGGGCTCCAGCTTCTTCACCACCCAGAGCCAGTACCGTGCGCTATTCGAGGGCGGCGAGCTTGCAGAAACCCTCGGCGTTGAATGTACCGGCTGTGACGAAGCGCCTCAAGTCTTGTGTTTCCTCCAGTCCTATTGGAATGGCGAGTACATTACAGCCAACATCAATGACCAAAGCGGAAGATCGGGTCGCGACGCCAACACCATCCTTGGGCCAATATCGGTGTTCGATGTTAATGCCCAATGCGACAGTCTCACCGTCCAGCCGTGCAATCCCCGCGGACTGGCCAACTTCAAGGTCTTGATCGACGCTTTCCGCAATGCTTCGCTGTACCCCATCAATGAGGGCATCCCGCAAAGCTCGGGCGTGGCCGTCGGGAGATATCCCGAAGACGTCTATTACGGCGGCAATCCCTGGTGAGTAACATGGTTTCACCGTCTACTTGAGTACTTTGGGGCCGCACGCTAACCTGGTGCTCAGGTATCTGATTACGCTGGGTGCCGCAGAGTATCTCTACGATGCCGTTGCACAGTGGAAGACACAAGCATCTCTTACCGTTGACAAAACATCCCTGCCTTTCTTCAAGGATATATACGCGGCCGCTCGCGTCAAAACGTACAAGCCAACCGGGAACGGCACAGAATTCTCAGACATCCTCGCAAAAGTCACCGCGTACGCAGACTCCTTCGTCGCCGTGGCCCAGACTTACACCCCCTCCAACGGCTCTCTCTCAGAGCAATTCAATAAGACCGCCCCTGGCAATCCCCTGTCGGCGCACGACTTGACTTGGTCCTACGCGTCCTTCGTGACCATGGCCGAACGCCGCGCCGGCCAATATCCCCCAAGTTGGGAGCCATCGGTTCCGGCCGAGGTACCTGCCCAGTGCGCCGCTTCTTTAACCAAAGGCACGTACAGCCCCGCCCTCGCGGCGGGTGCACCCAACGTCACGACCACCTGCATGTCCAAAGTGCTGTTCGCTGTGAATGCCTCTACCTACTACGGCGAGAACGTCTACCTCGTGGGTAACACGACCGACCTCGGGTCTTGGAATATCCGCAACTCGCATCCCCTACAATCGTCAAACTACACTGAGGAGAACCCCCTCTGGTTTCTTCAGGTGGACTTGACGGCTGGGGAGACGGTGAGCTATGGATATGCTAAACATGAAGACTGCAATCAGCCTTACATCTATGAAACGACGAACCGGACGCTCGTTGTGCCGGCTTGTGTCGAAGGCGCGGATGATGTCGTCGTGGCGAGAACGAGTGATGAATGGGAGGGACCGGATGGGTCGAGTGGTGGGTGCGCGAGTTGAACGTGAAAGGGAGAGACCAAATGACCGAGATGTACTATATGGATAAGGTTTTCATTCATGGTTGTGACTATTCTACAGTAATCATTCATCCCACCACCATATGAACCCATGTCACGTACACATATGTAGCAACAGTCAAATGAACGGGAAGCCAGCCCCACGTGCGAGAATAAGCAGTGTGCTTCAGTGCGTTTGACTTTGCTTTTAGTGCACCTCTGGGTGAAGTATCACATCTGACTCTGGATGGCGACGCAGACAAATCAACCTGCGCGTGGAGCGGGACAATACGGAAGAACCAACACTACTGTATACTTTGGTCGACTGCTCTCTGGATTCATGCAGATTAAGTTTGCGGGTGGTTGATAATCGAAGGCCCTACTTGAGTATGTAGCAATACATGCGGTACATCTACATCCTATCCTTCCTTTGCAATCCGGTGGTATGGCTTGATCTAGCAGGCAATCTCTTAAAACAGCTTAACAAGTGCTCCTCTCTCCTTGCTCCAGCGTCTAATCGTCAATATCATCAATGCATACTCTACCAGTCATGAATGCCATGCCGCCATGAATGTCCCCAACAGCCCCCTGTACGCCCAAATTGATAACCTCAAACCAATTCCCAACAACCGTAGCTTTCCCAGCTCATGCCATAATTGCCCGAGTTCTTCGCACGGATGAACTCTTCCTTGCGCAGCCCTCTCACATCCTTTGAATTAAGCGACGTCAGCCCGTACAACCAGATAGTCTGCCCCGGCGCGCCCAGATCTCGAGCCCTGATGTCGACCCAGAACCAGTACCCGTCGGTATCCAGAGGCACCAGATCATCTTTCCGACCGTCCACACCGTGGATCTTCATCATGAGTAAGTAATTTGGCCCTTTTCCGTGCTTGACCGGATCCCAGTGCTCGCAAAGCTTTGAGCACTGAAACCGGATGACTTCATTGCTGTGAACCGGAATATGTTTTTGCACGGGACTAAAGGTCCACTCGGAAAGGCCTTCCCTCAGGCCGTGCCACTGCGCTCGTTCGCCAGCTGGGACGCCCGCATAGTACTCCTCCCACGTCAATGTTCTCCCGTCATCGCGGAAGAGGTATTTGCTGTCTGTAGGGAAGTGCTTAAGCCCGAACAAATCGTTTTTGAGGTAGAACATTTCGGGACTGAATTTGCGGTTGTATCTATTGCCGTCCGCGAGATGACCGGCTCCCCAGCATGGGTCTATTAGTTTCCACTCACCGTTGTCGATGCGGACGGCATTCCAAGCGTGACCTGCTTTTTGAGGCGGAGGCCGTTCACCCGGAGCTACAGGTTTGTGACCGAATCCCTTACCGTGGCCACTGATGAGAACGCATTGCAGTCCTGCTCGCTGCGCTATATCTCGATACGTTTCAGCATACCCCTGACAGACTGCCTTGCCGTGAAAAATGGTTTCTTCGACCGTGCGGCGCTGCTTGGCACATTTCCCGAAGAATTCATCCACGTTGTAATCGATGTTGTGGTGGCACCAGGTAAATATTGCCCGAGCCTTATCCGTTGCTGACGGGAAAGGACCGCAGAGAACATTGGCAAGAAAACCTACGGGATCGGCCCGAGGCAGGGAGTGGGCTGGATACTGAGCTGCCACAACGTCCGGTTGTGTGAAATCCCGGCATATCAAGCACGACGTCGCTGCGTTTGTTGTACTACGAGTGACCAGTGCATCTATTTGGGAAGCCGAGGGTCGCGAGCTCACAGGAACCGGGGGCGGCGCATTCGGTGGCCGGTTCGATGATACAATTGGCGGTACAGAAGGAGTCGATCTAGAGAAATCGCTCGCAGGTGGTGGTGGAAGCCGCCGTCGCGGCGCTTCATTATCTTGATGCGGCATAGCTGGGGACTTGGGTTGTCTGGAAGGCAATCTAGGTGGTAATCCAGGTCTGGGCGCATCCTCGACTTGACACACCACCGGGCCGGATTTGATCGACTTCAATGGTGTGTTGATAGTGGCAGTTGCTTCTCTTTCTGCTGCCTCCTTTGCTGCTTGCGCCTCGCGTTCTCTCCGAGTGGGCGGTAGAGGTGGAAGCTTTGCTTGGTCGAGCGCGGGAGGGAGTTTTCGAGTAGGCTGGGTTTCAGTTGAGGTGGTGCTGGTGCGAGAAGAGACAGGATTCAACGACAAGCTGGACATGGTAGACATGTGCGACATATCCGAGGCATTGGAGCCTCTTCTCGTGCCAAGAGTTTGCGTAGACGGTCTTCGAGGCGGAAGAGTAGGAGAAGACTCGAGTTGCAAAGAGTTTGTGTTTGTCCGGCCGGGTAAGGGCGGAGGCGCTCGTCGGCCTGGAATCGAGAGGCTCTCGACAGCGGAATCTGCAGTCGGTGTGCGTCGAGGCAGAGTAGGCGCCGGTTCTCTCTTCTGCGGTCGAGCGGGCATCGTCGGACTCCGCTCTGGAGCGATTCGATTCCCATTTTCGTTCCCATTTCTATTCCCGTCTGGTGCTTCTAACTTTGTTTGACCAGAAGGTGGTGGTGGCGGGGCGCGTTTCCCAGTGCTGCTGAAGTTCTTCTGCTGATTAAGCGCTGCTATCCTTTCGGAAAGAGAGCCAAATTGGCGCTCTTCCACCTCGGCCATGGTGAATTGGTGCAATGCGTCAATCGATCGGCTGTCTTCTGGTGTACTCGAGAAGGATTGTGAGAGGGCCAGGGTTGAGGGAACAGGGGGGTTAAAGATGAGAAGGCCAAATTAACACATTATAAGCAAACGAACTACGAAATGCATTGCGGAGAAACGAGGTACCGTGATGATGATGATGTCGTGCGACAGAAAGACTCATCCACCGGCCTACCGAACCAAAGCAGCCAACATTGCGATGCCCTAGCAGGCTTCGACGACTTTTGAGTGTCATGGCCATGGGAAGTGCGGCACAGCCTTGCGAGTGGGGAATTGGCGATCCTTCGCAAAATCAAGTACGTAGTACAGTACTTAACACTAGAATGGACCCCAGCTCTGGAGGATGCTAAGAAAAGAACAAGAACAGGCTTCGTCCAATTGGACAGAAGCTCGTTTCAATTTGAATCAGGTACAGTACGAACGCCTTGATGCGAACTGGCAGGGGACCCCTTGAGCCGTGTGAAAACCTCACGCGTTCGCTAGTTTATACTGTCTGCAGTACCTCGCGTAATTTTTGTCGCCTATGGACCCCGGGTCTTTACGAGGGATTGTTTCAGGGGGCTTGATATGTTCAAAATGTCTGGGTTGGAAACATCCTAAGTATCTTGCAGTATGTTAGATGCGAGTACGTTAGTTATGTGTACGGCTGAAGGGGCCCTTGCCAGTTCACACACTTTGGGCCCGAGGCTCTGTATGGACTTCCAGCACTGCCCAGGAGGTCAACGAGTTCCACTTTATTGTGTGTGAGTGTTTTGGAGCTCAGCTTGTTAGTTGTTAGTGTTCGTGTCCCATTGATAACAAGCCCAGTTGCCGATCCAGAAGGCAATGTACATGTCCTTCCTTTCGTTCTTATGAGTTGGTCCTTGGCTCTTGGTTTCATGGGGTGGTTCATAATGCAGCTCACACTCGCACCGAATCCGTAATAGTGTTGTAAAGCAAGTCTGAAGAGCTGAATCAAAGCTGGAAATGATATAGGCTTACAAGAACTGGTGCACCCACCGAGATCTGGCACTGGGTTTTAGCTCGGCATTCGATCAGACACTTCGGCTCTGTGAATTGTTTCGGGCCGAAAACGCTTGATGAAAAATATCAAGAAGTTGACTTACAGTTAAAGAGTTTGAGAACTGGCCATTGTATACTAACGCATGAGGCGGTGTGATTCGGTTATATAATGAACACATTAGAAAATGAAGGCTTCTCGTGAGAAATTCTTGCGATGTGGTCAAGAACTTTGCATCCTGCTGATTTGTCTCGGGTCATGGTCTCAGATAAATTCAGCCTCAGGAGCATCGACGAGTTTCCTACTCCAGCGTACTTAGTATGATAACAGACCATAGACCATCGGGGCAGATACCTCTCGACGATCCGTGCTCCCCCGAGGAAACTGCCTCGATCATCCCAGCTTTTGGAGGCCCCATCAGCGCTGACCAGTGCCCCGCTTGCCCGCCTCAAAAAGAGGAACCGCAAAGGTGGATCGAGTCCCGCATGGAACCACTTCGATTGCGACTTCCGAATCGCGTCGCCGCCTTGGGCTATTCCTACAATTAATTCATGGACCATGGTGAAGGTACCTTAGTTACCAACATCTATACTCCGGAATCACTAACCCAACAACCTCCTGGCCAGGACAAAGAACCAGTCAACCATTCAACATCCTTCAACTACGGGTTTGCTACGTCTACTCTCCAAGCATCAATCTCCACCTGACGTGTGGTCTGCGTTACGCCTTCTCAGAATCGTAGGCTTTTTATTCCGTCCTTACAATTTCTGATTATAGGTGCACCGTATCTATTTGGCTGCAAGCTCAAGAGGCGCGACCTTGCATCTGTCGCCAATCATTTACATCCTTCCGGCACAGGCACGCCCCAAAGCTTCACGGCATCCCCTGCACGATGGCTGCTACTACCGACACAGAAGCTCTGTCAGCCGCTGGGGCTGCCTCTGCCCCCATGAAAGCTGGGAACATCCTCGACTTGCCTGAGGAGGTCAAGAAAGAGATCGTTGGGCACGTACGTTATGTTATTCGCAATGCGCCTTGCTTCACTGGATGACTAACTAAAGGACTTAGTGCTCGCAATGCGATCTGATCTGTCTTTCCATCGTCTGCAAAGACTTCCACGAGCTTGCCGCTGCCCAACTGTACCGTAACTTCCACATCGTGTTTCCCGACGAAGACGACCCCAGCTTCGACTCGCCTATTGATGGTTTAGCTGGTGGGCTCGACACGTTCGTGACCAGTGAATACAACTATGCGAAACATTTGCGCGATCTGTCGCTTGACACGCTCTCGTCGGGGAACAAGGCTGAGATGGCCTATAAGCCGTACCTATATAGCGTGAGCTGTGGCAAGTTTATGAACACATTGCTGCTTCTCACACTACGAAAAGCCAAGCTTCTTGACACTTTCAGGTGGAACATTCGTGTCGAGCTCAGCAGGCCGGTCTACAAGGCGTTGCATGACATCCCGACACTAAAGCATCTACTTGTGCGCATGCAGGCGGGTCCTTCGCTATACGAACCGCCACCACCCCTTCCATACTACTCGCTTCCGTCGCTGTTTTCTGCCTCACAATGGCCTGATGCTGTACCTCAGTTTCCACCTTTGCAGATGAACTTCAACGTTCCCGTCTCTACAACGTTGCCAGTGACTATGGCGGGCTTGCCTCCTCCGCTACCGGGCACAACAATTACATATGGACCGCCGCCGATCCTGGGACCACCCACACCTATTTACAAGCCTTCTGTGAAAAGTAAATCGAAGACACCACCCGGATCGCAACCCCCTACACTAGGCGGGTTCAAGCAATTGGAGAGTCTATCGATTCTGGACATTGACAACCTCGACGACGTAGATGAGATCAAAACCTCTGTGCGGAACTCGGCTTCCACATTGAAGAAACTGAAGCTTTCCTTCTCGGACGGCCTCGCTACGCAGGCAAGAAGGCCATGCGTCGACATGGACTCTAATGAATCAGATGACGACGACGATGACTTTCAAATCATTCCCATGCACAGTTACGATGATGGGAATAGTCCACACAAGGCCTTTCACGCTCAGGAAGAACGCAAATCTCAAGAGGGGTTTCTAGGGCGCATCTTCGAAGTTGAACCCGCTGGCCCCCGGATCCAGAAGTTGGCATCGAAAAAGAAGAAGACTAAGGAACCGACGTCCAAAACCCCCGGCAGAGAATATATTGATTCTATGCAGGAAGTATCTGGGCGTTTGCTCGGAAGCATCCACGGCACCGGCGATCTGACACAGGCTCAGCAGGACATATTGGATATCATTGTGAAGGCTGCGAAGAAGTACGTTGATGCAGAAGAAAAACACGCCCCAGCAGAGCCCGGTGCGAACTCAAAGGAGAACATCAAGCCGGGCTCAAACTCAAACTCGGGCCCCGAACAGAAAACCATGGGAGCGGCGGGTACTTCAAAAGACGGCCAGGCATCATCTAGTTCTGGGCTTTTTGACAACAAGACAGCCAAGTCGAGAGACGACGAAAATGGTGCAAAACCCGAAGATATTGATGTCACTGCACCACCTGACGAGCAACTGACCGTGGAAGCACAAGAAGACGCAAGCTTTGGTGCTACAACAAAGGACGATTCTTCCCCTGCGAGCACTTCAGTTGCGACGCCAATGGCGACAGACTCGACGGAAGAGGGCACATCTCAGGCCATCTCCCAAGCGGTAAGCATGGATGTCTATCAAGCTCCCATAATTTCTTTGGCTCATGAAGCCAATTACGTCGACATGTTCACTGATGATATCACACTCAAGGCTCTCAATGACGTGTTTAACAAAGATATGGCCGATGCTCTGAACGAGCAGTTGGGGCATAAGCAAGAGAGTCTCGAACTTAACATGACCGATGTCCAACATGAACTGAACGTATTGGAGGCCGAAATCACGGAAGGTCAAGATGACCAGGATACCCCTGGTACCCAGGATAGTCCGCCGCTGGATAGGCTCGACGTCAAAGAAGAGTTGCAGCGTCAAATCAGCGCGTACGCACGAGGGACCAGAGGCATTTCCCTTGATTCTCTTAGCATCCACCTCATTCCCGTCAAGGCTTCTGTGCTGGGGCGCGCAATCGACCTCCGGTCCCTCCGCAGGATTACGCTCCTGAACGTTGGGAATCAAGTGCCAATCTGGACCTTGATGGCTAAGGAGAACAAAGTCCAACCTCTGGCATTACGCAAGATTTTCACCGATCACGTCTCTCAGCCTTTTCTGCATTTGGTATCACAACTCGAATGTGTCACAGACTTGTTCATGCTAGAACGAAACCAAAAGCACAAGCCTGAAAGCTTTGCGCCGAAATCCAAAGTGACTCTGGAGCAGATCCGGAAGTATGCACTTAGGAAACACATGGCGACCATGAGGCGTCTCCTTCTCAGGAATGAGGCTGATCATTCCTGGGATGTTGACGAAAGGACGATAAAGCTGATCTGCAAACGAGGGAAAGTACTCGAAGAATTAGCTTTGGTTATGGGCATCAGGGCTATTGTGAGTCCCCCGACCAATTTTAGCAACCGAAATACTAATATATCATCCCAGCACGCTTTCTTGCAGCATATATCTGGTCTCATCAAGCTCCGCGCTCTGCACATCATCGCCTTTAGAAACGAAGATACATGTCTGTCTGTCATGCGGGAGACACGTCACTTTATAATCGACACAGTCTCTCACTATCCTCAATTGCAACTTGAGTGGATCTCAATGGGTGACGAGGATAAGGCCGAACGCATTATTCGCAAGACGGATGCACAGAAGAAATCGAAGCAGGACAAGGACAAAGGGAAGGGCAAGACAACTGCCAACGATCTGGATGCCAAGCCAAACTCAATCAATCCTTATCCCATACTCCCTGTGGATGGCCTGGACGTAGCGGAAAGTGAAAGTGAGGATGAAGATGACGGGCTGGTACAACCTATGCTCAAGTTAGACCTGATCGACAATATTCAATTCTACGACGTCTGGGGGGTGCGGATTTTCAAGAAAGAGGTCCTGTCAGCACGGCTCTGAGGAGGGTCTGTCTTCCATATAGCACCGGAGCACGAGGTAATTTGGGGTCAAGAAGGCGCCGCGCGAGAGTCTTTGGTGGGCAGTGACTCGAACAAAAGGTCGACAATGGTGCGAATTACATGCACCTCTGACGTCGGATATACTCTAGACTGGCATTCATTTCGCATGGCGTAAGCGAGCATCGCGGCATAGCGAGGACCATGGCATACAGGAACTTTCTCTACCTGTCGGTTATATACCATATTTTGTTTCAATACAAAGCGATCTGTTTCCTAAATTTGTGGGCATTTTTCGAAATTGTGCCAGAGTTGTCAGGAGGCCATGCCCTCCTTTTCGGGTGCAGATCAACCAAATGAGTTCAGAAACCCGATCTTCATCCCCGGGCACAAGACTTACTCACTGTAGCAATGCCCATATACGACTTGTTTCTGATCCATTTCCGGACATGGTATTTACCTCCCTTCATAAATACCAAATTTGTCATTGTGGGTCGCTTATACACCTCAGAGACGAGACTTCAAAGTATTCACTGCCCCTTATGAGCTGGAAACAAGCAGGGTGTGCTTTTTCGGACATGGAAATCCCTCGACTTTTAGTACAATCCCACGGCTTAGCAGCAAAGCTACCCACCCCATGGGAGTCTGTCGGTCGGTACAGTAAGACAAACGCACATATACCGACCGGAGGTCAGTCCATTAATAGTAGCCGGCATGCAGCCTAGGATAAAACAACAGCAAGGGTTCTACAGCCTCCTGTGTACTACGCCCGATGTGTATGCGGCACAGCTGTCTGTGCAAGGCCTACTGAGTCTTGGGACCGGCGAGCTCATGGTACGGAACTTCGTTGGTGATACTGCTTGCACTGCCTAGTTCCAGAGAGCATTTATTCTGCGGGAGGCCGCCGTCTAGTGCATACAACGTATCCTGATAGGTTATCTCTAAAGGTGTTTGAGAGGTGGATGAAGTGTATGGCATAAGCTCTGGCGATGTAGCCTTGCCCCCTAGTCCATAAACATATGTGTGAGTAAGTGTTGTTATGTATTGGCGCCCTGAGCTGTGGCGTGCAATTCTATAAGTCGTACAAGTCGCTCAGGGAAATATATTCATCATTGAGTAGTAGGGTTTGGGTTTTAGAGCCTGAAATAATATGGTTTCTATCTGTAATCTGAACATGCTTTCTTCATGTATTCCGCAGCTGGTATCATTCTTCCACATACGCCTTAACGCCTGATTCATACAACACACCGCTATATTTGCATTTTACTTGTGTGATGGTGTTTGAGCCAAGTCTAACTCTTGAAATTGGTCCCTTGAAGGCTCGAATGGTTCAGCGACCAGTGTATCTGCCGCAGATTGCCTTGCACTCTGAATATCGTGAGGCTTGGAGAGTTCAGCACTGTACACAGTGGATGTTTCGTCAACTGGATTGGCAGACTGCTCTAGGGATTTGGGGGTGGGAATTCGAGGTGGTTCGATGTCAGATATGGCTTTTGTGGATTGCATCCCCTCTGGCGGGTCACTAGAGCCAGGGCTAGCCCTTGGCGGTCCCGTCTTCTTGATATTCTTCCACTCCATGAACAGGGCGGCAACAGTACCGACAAGTGCAACCCCCATCCCGCAGAGAAAGATTCTCGTCAGGGCGTGGTTGTAAATCTCCAGGACAGCCTGGCGGTTTTCGGCGGGCACCTGGTTGACCAGGTCGGTGGCACCCTCACCGTTGACACTGGAGGGGTCGAGGCCAGGAATGCCAGCCAGCTGGTCCGCCAGTTGGTTGCTCAGCAGATTTTGACCGACGCTGGTGAAGATTGCACCTCCGAGTTGCTGGGCGAAGAACATGATGGAAATGCCAATGGGGATATCAGGCTTTGGGAGAACGGCTTGAGCAGCAAGGCCGGATGCCTGCATGCCGATGCCAAGGCCGAAGCCAGTGATTAACTGGTATCCAATCCAATGAGAAGAACTCTCATGGACCCTGAAGGTGCTCATAAGTCCTTGACCGACAGCCATGACACTAGGACTCATGAGCATGGCAGGAACATAGTATCCAATCTTTTGGGTAAAGGCTCCCGACATGATACTTGCTACGACCAGACTGAGAACAAATGGAAGCGTGTAAATACCGCTCTTGACGGCACTTACACCCTGAACTACCTGAACTGAGGTTCAAAGTTAGCCTGACGGCGTCGATGGTTGGAGTCGGGGGGCTTGCACTTACACCACAAAGGTACGAAGTAAATGGACATCAACATGGAACCTGCAAGGGAAAACATGAAGAAAGTCCCGGCCAAGATGCTTCGCTGGGTGATGACCCGAGGCGGTACGGTCGCATTGGGGTTGAGAATCTGCACTGCTGTAAAAGCGAGAAACAGGACGGCGAAGACGACGAGCAAAGCAATAGCACGGGCAGAATTCCAGGCGTACGTGGACCCTCCCCATTGCAAAGCCAACAGGAGACTGACGATGCTGGGAACAAAAAGGAAAGTGCCAAGCGGGTCGAGCCGTACGACTTGTTCCCGAACCGTTGCTGGTGGCGTCGTCTTGACGGGAATCTTAAGGATCAGCATCAGGCAAGCAACTACCACAGCACCAATGGGCAGATTGATGTAGAAGCACCATCTAGAGCACGTTAGCATAGATCGGACCTTGGGTCGATGTTACGAACCTCCAGGAAACGCCGTCCGTAAAACCTCCACCGATCAAAGGACCCATAACTGAAGCCAGACCAAACACAGTGCCGAAAATGCCTGGTATAGGTGTGTTAGCTGATGGGCGCCATATGACATCGGAAGACTCGCAACTCACCCTGAAACATGGGTCTCTTCCGGAGGGGAATCATGGGGATCATAATGATCATGACACCGGAGAAGATGCCGGCGGACCCGAGGCCGGCGACGGCGCGACCGATGATGAAGGCAGTGGAATTCGGGGCGGCACCACAGATGACGGAGCCGATCTCGAAGATGGCCACACACCAAAGGAAGGTTCTGTCAACGGGGTTAATTGTGCTCACACTAGTGACGCCACAGCGCCAGCGACGGAATACGAGTAGGTGAACGTACCTCTTGGTCTCGTAGAACTTGTAGACTCGGCCGAAAATCAATTGCGACGCAGAAGTAGTCAACTGATACGCCGAGCCATACCAACCAACATCGCCCAGGCTCTGGAAATCAACCGTGATTTGGGGAATGGCGGTACCGATGATGGTGCGGTCGATGGCCACCAGGAACAAAGCCAGGAAGATGCTGATCAAAACAGCCCAAAATTTCAGCGTCTTGGGCTTGAAGTTGTCTTCTGACTCATCCACCTCTGGCTTTGCTTGGGCCACCTTCTCGACATCATGGCCATCACCGGCGGGCTGCTTGGCTGGCGGGATCTGGGCTGCAGACGAGGCAGCGGACATGGTCAATTCAAGGTTTGGAGAACAGACCGGAGGGATCAGTAAGCCAAACGGAACGAGGGCACTTGACGGTGGCTATAACGAGTTGCAAGCTGCTGGTGAGGGGAATCAACGAAAGCTAAATTTGAGTCATGGCATATGCGATATAAAGCGAAGGGCAGGGTGTCAAGATGGAAATATCGAGAGGCAGTCCCCCAGGGCACAAACAGTAGATATACGATGGCCCCCAGATCCATGTCCGCTCCGTTGCGTCTTGCACACGCATCTCGCATCTTGTCGGGCATCTGGACCCTGCAAAACATGGCAGTCGGTCATCCAAAAGCCTCTTACACGGGAATGTAGCGTGCTCTGCGTTGGGGACCTCCGAGCGTTACCCGTCTACCCGTCTTGCATACATGCTTTTGATTCGGCAGCCCTGATGCGACAGCCAGTTACATCAAGTAGTCAAACACAACTAAGCCTCTTTGGGCAGTAGCCTTATTCGCTAGTAAGCATTGGTTCGGCGGGCAAACGCTGGCTTCGGGACCGAAGTGAATCTGGAAGCTAATCTCGTCTTCATGTCGGTCGCGACTGCCCTCAGCCATCACTTCCCAGTCTCGGGCTTTGAAGGCTCGGTCGTGGATGCCCGGTCTTGCATGTCTCCACGGCTGTTCGTCACCGTTCATTTACTACCATGTGCCCATTTCTCATAACCTTGCAACGCTCCAGGTTCTGCGCGTCTTGCCTCGATTTGCTTTTCAGGGTATGGACCTCTCAAACTGCATGTAAGGGCAGGACTCCGGTTGCCTCCGGACAAGCAAGAAGCAACGCGCTATTGGTGTGGTAATTGTCGGTTCAATCCTTCAGGTCGTATCAAGTAAAATCTCATCCGTGACTCTCGCTTGTTGGCCACAGTACTATTGTTTCCCCTTCTTTTTAATTCAACGGGTCGTATACATCCCACGACTCCGCCATCCCATCGATCGTCCGCGTGTGGGACTTACTACTCTCGAAGGTAGCGAGTCGGTCCCGAGACCCTCCAGCTTCCCCCATCAGCCACCCTCGCTTGGCGTGCATAGCCAGTGCTAGCCCATCTACCCCATATGTTGCAACTGATGATTGATCCATAACTCGACTCATCTCGGTTGCTGCACGCACTCTCTAGTCGTTTTCGGGGCCGGTCCACCACTGATCATGTCAGATACGGCCGACTCCAACCCTGGCGATGGCGATTCATATAGACAAACCTCGTCTCCGGGCCCGAATTCCTCGATTCCGGCCAACTTCTCCGTCTCCGATCTCTCAAATGCCATGAAGGTTACCAGAGGCCATTCTTGTGTCTTGTGTCAGCAGAGGTGAGTGTCCAATCCAAAACTCCACACAGCATGTCAGCCACCGCCACTTTTAAGTAACCAACAAGACGCTCACATATATGTTGCACCCAAAGGAAGGTGCGTTGTGACAAGAGCAAACCCTGCTCCAACTGTGTCAAGGCCGGTGTCGAGTGTCGGGTCATACCTCCTCAGCCTCCGAGGAGACGGAAGAAGCGCATTGCTGAAAGAGATCTGGTGGAGCGGCTCAGAAGATATGAGACTCTGCTGGCCCAGAACGGCATCGAGTTTGACGGCTTGGGACCCGACGTGAAGATCACGGATCCGGGAACAGCCCAGGAGGGAGATGAACTGGATGCGGACTTCGTGAGAATCAAGGAGTCGCCCGCCGCCGTTAACCCCGAGTTGATCTCCTCCCCAGGCGAGACCCCCCATATGCCCAAGTGAGCAGAGTCGTCTAGATAGTGTATTATTTGAGGAGGTGCTGACAAGTTGCCATCAGGACTTTCAAATGGTTTCCGTTCCAAAAAGAGGTTTGTTGCCCCCCGCACCGCCCCCATAAGGAATAGCACAAACTACGGAACACAAATCTAACCGTCAGGTTTCACAGTTCCGCTCCGCAGAAGACATGCTTAGGGACTCATCGGAAGAAGACGATATTGGCTCGTCTATTAACGAAGCCTACGACAAGATGTTTGATAACTCGGACGGCTTTCCATTCGTTATAGGCAATTCCTCCCAGAGCGTTACCGACAAACACCCATCTGCCATCCAGATATTCCAGCTGTGGCAACTGTATCTCAACAACGTCAACCCCCTTCTCAAGGTGACCCACACCCCGACTCTTCAGGGCCGCATCATTGAGGCCAGCGCGAACCTGGAGAAAGTGACCAACAGTCTTGAGGCCTTGATGTTTTCCATCTACTTCATGGCCATTATCTCGATTTCCGACAGTGAGGTTCAGGAGACGTTCAACGAAGAGAGGCCCGTGCTTTTGCATCGATATTATACTGCTTGCCAGCAGGCGCTGCTCAATGCTGGATTCATGCGGACACCAGATTTGACGCTTCTCCAGGCGTACTTGCTGTATTTGGTGCGTCCCCCATCGTGCCTGCCTCGAACCCTGCGCCTAATGTGATCTAGCTAGGAATACGGCAGTACGTAGATCCTCGGCACCTGTTCTGCCTCACTGGTATTGGCGTCCGGCTTGCATATAGGATGGGACTTCACCGGGACGGGGCTCAGTTCAACTTGTCCCCGTTCGAGGTGGAGGAGAGGAGACGGCTCTGGTGGACACTTGCTGGATTCGATAGGCGCATTGGGGAGATGACGGGTTCAACCATCACCGCCATTTCCAACGGTGGGGACTGCAAACTTCCCCTCAACATCAATGACGCCGACCTTCATCTCAACGCCAAGGATCCTCCTACGTCGCACATGGCCGCCACCGAAATGATGTTTGCCTTGACGCGACTTGAGTTCTCGAAGGCACCGGGAAGTGACAAGATGAGGTCTATGACGACGCAAGGTAACAACCTACAGACCGTCACGAATCTTGCTGATCATCGATTGGACACCTACCTCGAAGGTTTTTCGTCCCATTTGGAAGAAACATATCTCAAATATTGCGACCCAAAGGTCCCTATCCACTACTTTAACCTGATGATGACTAGAGCTATGGTATGCAAACTGAAAATTATGTCTGGCTTCTTCCGAGTTGCCCTCACCACCCCATCTCCCCTTCCTGCGCAGGAGAGCGAGGCGCTTTTTATCGAAGCCATCAAAATGATCGAATACGACACCATGATCCAAGCCAATGAGAGTCTGAAAGGCTTCCTGTGGTACACGCTCATGCATTTCCCCTTTCCGGCCTACATATGCCTCATCACCGATTTACGAACTCGCACAACCGGGGAGTTGTGTGAACGAGCGTGGCAGACAATCTTCGACAACCACGAAATCAGGCACATGACCAAGAAGACGCGCAGCCCCATGCATTTGGCCTTTAGCACACTATTCGTCAGAGCCTGGGACGCGCGGGAGGCGGCCGAAGCCCAGCTGGGCCGCACCATAGCTCCGCCGCGGCTGATCACGACCATGAGACAATTTGTGGCCCGGATGGGCCCTAAGATCAAGAGAAAGACGCCCGATCCGGCCAACCGCTCTCCATCTCAACCGGCCGTGGCAGCTGCCTTCTCGACACCTAGACCGCCGCAGGCTCAGATCCAGGCGGAGCCCACCCTGCAGTTGTTCCCAGACAATAGCCTATGGGCTAGTGTCCCGGACGTAGTCGCCAACCGGCATTATAACGCCGCGTTCCAGGATGTCGACCTCGGCGGCGAGATGGATTGGCAGTTCTTAATGACGCAGTATGGCGGGTTTATGCCGCAACCGGACATGTCCAATTTGCCCGTGGGCCAGGGCGGGCCATGGAACTGGAATTAACTTGTACAACGCAGGACTAGACGCCCATGCATGATATGCATGATTTGTATAGGAGCTTAAATTGTAATTAAACCCAAGTGTACGAAGACGTCTCGCTGAACAGCAAATGGTTAGACCCAGCTTCGAGCCACGGCTGTCTGATGAATGTGTTTGTGTGATTCGACGAGATTTCAGATCCTTGTTGCATCAGAATCCAATTATACCCACCTGCTACCACCCATATCTGTCAGATAGGGCACCTGGTTCCTAGGTTCAGAAATAATATGGCACTAGAGAAGACTAATGTCACTTGAAGTTCAGAAGGCGAAAGGAACCCCTTTCCCAAAAGTAACACCAAAGTTACTGTCCACTTAGGGGTCAGACACCTGAACAATGTACCTCCGACATGTTCTACAGAATCTATAAAAGACAGAGCAACGGGAGTTCGCGAGAACAGAGAACACAGAGAACAATACACCTCATTCATATACAATCTTACGCACTTCTGACTACTCGATTGGACACACGTGATATTCGACAATATCAGACATTCATGGCTATTCTTACCTTGCTAGCGTGGACCTATTTTCAACCGGTGTTCACAAAATACGGTTCCCATGTGCCCAGCCGAACGTAGCATACGTTAGACCAGCATTAACTTACTTTCGTGGCTACAAATCTCACGCATTCTTCACTGTAACGTCGCGGCATTAGTTTATGGAGAAGGGATGCCTTTTATGGTCCCAGAGCGGGCTGACGTGTGAGGACATAACTATCGTAGCATCGCAAGTACTTCGGTAGCCGTGGATGGACGAATGTGGTACCCTCACTGATGGGCCCCTCTTAGAACCATGCTCTAACCAATGTTGGCGGAGTATTTGAAAGCGTTAGATATAGAGCCATTCACGAACAACCGTTCAAGGAACAATTACAGTTTGCCTTTGCTACACTGCATATTATACACAGACCCGCAACCAAGCAATTAGCTAAAGAACGGCCAACCTCACTAGACTTTTGGTGACACTCTCTACTCATGTGAGCATGGCCCTGCTAAAAATAAAATGGTATCCTATGATGGATTCCGTCCTTTGTGCCCCATTACCAACCACTCCATCGCCTCGTGCCGCGCTATACAGAAAAAAACAAGTTCGGTCAAATAGAGAAGAACGAATCACCGCGATGCTCTTTGCTGCTGCGCCTGGATCAGCTGCAATTCGAGCGGGAAGGGACTCCACTACGACTTCAGCGCTTCTTGGCACCTTCCATGCTTCCGCCTTTGTCAAGTTACGAATATCAATCAAGTACAATCCCTCAGTGTTGTCCCGGGCAAGCCGCCCAAGGCCTTCGTCCGCTTCGCGGCGTCAACGTAGGGGAGAAAAGTCCGGCTTGGGAGAAGAGGGAACTGCATTAGTAGAACATGGTGAAGAATTTCATGAAGCAGTCGGCGTCTAGCTCGACCCATAGGCCTCTGCTACCTCCTTCTCGTACTTCTGGACGAGGCCTTTGCGGTTAAGCTTCTGGGCCGCGGTGACAAGGCCCTAACTCATCGTTAGCTGCAGTACATTACCATCGGACATCTTAGTTAACAAGATTACTCACGTTCTGTGGTGTCCATTCCTCGTCGGAAACGACAACACCGTCGATGATCTCGATTCCTGACAGACCACCCTGTCGTCCTGCACTCTGCAGCTCCCTCAGCACCGCACCTTGCAGCTTCTTGTTGTGCACGAGTTCTTCGAGACTGCCATCCAGGACACCAATCGACTCGGCCAGCTTCTTGAGTGCCGGTTCCATCGGTACAATAATGGCGATGGGCTTCGCCTTGGTCGGCTCGGCGTAAACACAAATGTTGGCGACAACGGTTGCCGAGCGGTAAATGGACTCCAGCTTCTCGAGCGCAATATACTCGCCGTTCAGCGTCTTAACCAAGTTCTTCTTTCGGTCGATCAGCTTCAAATGGCCGTTGTGGTCCCACTCGCCAATGTCACCCGTCCTGAACCAGCCACCTGGTGCGATAGCCTCGGAGGTTTCTTTTTCGTTCTTCCAGTATTCCTGCATGACAGAAGGACCGCGGATCCAGACCTCACCTTGGGCATTAGGCTTGTTGATCGCATAGTAGCCGGCGTCAGGGAAATCAACCAGCTTGACCTCGATACAGGCTGGCATGGCACCATGGGACTCGCTCGACCATTCCAAGGGGTTCATCAGCGTACCCATGGCATTGGTTTCAGTGAGGCCGTAACCAATGATCATGGGCGCGATGGCCATGGAGATGAATCGCTGCGTATCTTTGGCAACCGGTCCACCACCGTTCATACAAAGCTTCAATCGACCACCTGTGGCAGCCTTGATCTTCTTGAACACAATGGCGTCGAGAAGCCCGGCGCCTGGGAGGCCCGTTGCCATCAACTTGTTCTTGGCCCATAATGCGCCCCAGAACATGTGCTGCAGGATTGGACTGCCGGCACCCACCTTGGCAGTGATGCCCTTCTTCACGTTTTCCCACACAGCAGGGACGCCGACCAGAATCGAAGGCTTAAACTCGCGGATATCACCGGCGCAATGTCGAACCGACGTGTCCGACAGGGTCTTCGGGTTGCCGTAGCCCATGGTCGATCCCCAATACAACGAAGCATTCTCAAAGACAAATTCAAGAATGTGCGCAAGAGGAAGGTAGGTCAAGACGCCATCGCCGGGGCCAATGAATGGCTGCACCACAACACTAACACCAGCGACTTGTACTGATTAGTTTTCATAGCAAGCCCCGACGGGTTGATGAGAAACTTACCCGCAGCAATGACGTTGCTATGCCTCAAGGGTACGCCCTTGGGCGTACCGGTCGACCCCGAGGTATACATGATGCAGCAGAGGTCTTCCGGAGTGGGCGGGACCGGGTCGAAGGGGTTATCCTCGCCCAGCTGCTCTAACTCCTGGAAGCTGAGAACGGTGATGTGGCTGTAGTTCTTCTTGAGGCTGTCGATATGCTCCTGCTTGACCTGATTCTGGTTGTTCCAGATGACGTAACGCACCGCGGTCGCATCCTTGAGGACGTTGCTTAGGGTCGGCAGCAGATGAGGGTCCAGGAAGATGGCCTTGGCTTCCGTTGCTACCATGGAGTGTCTCAGGCCCTCCTGGCCAAGCGTGTCATATGCTGTGACAATGGGCATCGACTGCGAAGCAGCGGCGTGTGACATGGCCAACCAGTGGGAACTAGTCGCGGCAAAGATGTGCACCCGGTCACTCTTCTCCATGCCCAGCTTTCGCAGGCCCGAACCGACGCTCAATACTTGCTTCTCGTATTCGTTGTAGGTCAAGTACTCGTACGCGCTCAACTCGAAGAAGGTCCATTCCTTGTCGACTTCTTGCTCGACGCCGTCGATGGTCTTCTTGACCTTCTTGGTTTCAAGATGGGTGCGGACCAGACGGCGCGAGCCCAGTGCTTTGGAATTGCCATACTTTTCGGCACTCACGCGCAGCAACTCGTACGTTGTGGATATGTTGTCGGCAGGTTTGTCGATGAGGCCATCGGCAGTCAGCGGGTGTCGGCGGGGGATCGTCTCTCCCTCGACGGGCTTGCAGTCGGGGGACTCGATGGAGAAGGGCGCCACAGCTGTCACCTTGGGCTGCAGCGCCATGTTCCGGAATTTGGCCTCTTGCCACGACATATTTGCGGGCTGCGGTAACAAAGAGCAGTACTGTTGGGGAAGCTGCAGCAAGTAAGGGGGGGTTGTGTGGATGTCTCGGTTTGGCGGGTGAAGTTTCAAGGTAGATGGAAAGGATAAAGCTCGAAGTCGCAGGGACGAGACTGGTCACGACAGGGAGGTAGGTTGGCCAGCTATATCTAATCAGTCTATGAATGCGCGCCTAGCCGAAAGCGCGTGCGTGACCCAAGTGCTAACGAGAGGACAATATGAGAGAACCTTATGGAGCGAGTTTCGCCAAAGCCATCCAGGTTTCCAGGTCTGGGTAGATTTCTTGGACCTTGAGTGGACTGGCTTGGCTCGAGCTCTCTCAACCGCAGCGCCGATGAAGATGACGGGTTGTCATCTAAAATGTCAAGGGCGGGCCCATGCATTCATTGTCAAGCGGTAATCGCTGCCGAGAAGCCAATTCCGGTGCCGCTATGTCCAGACAGGCTAAGCGTACCTTCTGCAAAGACGACAGACCCAGCTTCCAGGCTCTCCGAGCTTGGATTGGAGCTGTTATCTCCACCTCTTGGAATACATTCACACGAGACAACGTAAATGGCTGTCCAAGAATTCGGGCGTCACTCAGCCTTCAGCCAAGAGAGGCTGTACTGCTAGACCACGGGCTGGTCGGATTGGAGCATAATGCGGACGACAGACGCTTCGGCACCTTCGTCTTGCGTTATTGTCACCCTGCCAAAGTAGACAAGGGCCAGTGAATAGATCCCAGTCGTGTGACCCAAGCTCCCGCCATGCGGGGACAGTGAGTTCCAATAGGTAAAGAGATTGTCCTGCAGGTTAAAATGGCGTTGCAACTTGGAACAAGTTTTACGGTACTTCCATATTGGTCATCCAATACTCTACCCTCCTGATAAGTGCCTTGAGGTCTATTATCCCAGCTTCTGCATGCAAACCCCCTGATCCGGTTTGGTGGATTATCTTGACACGCAATTCCTCGAAGTCGGCCACTTCTATACTCCTCTTGCCAGACCGCGGCGACTGAGTTCGCGCCGTCATAGCGTACGCGATCAATTCGGGCTTAGGAAACTCTAAACACGGCCACGGAATGTGAGAACCTCTTATTTGCTTTTCCAACTGTCCTGGCCGAGGTTGTTTCCATATTATTCTGGAGCTTGTGAAGACCACATGATAGGCTTGGCATAAACTCGACGCATACGAAAGAGCAAGGGAGAAACCAGTATATTCGCGCGTTCATGGGGGTTGGCCGAACGATGAACTTCCATCATTGCTCTGGATCCGTGTGATGGCGATGGAACAAACAACTGGCCTCCTTTGCATACCGCTTGGACAAATTCCAAACTGTCGGGGGCAATGACAGGTTGAGAGCAACTCCTTCGGCCGATGCACATGCTTACCCCATGGTTTCTAGAAATTTCCCTGTCACCCTCCCCCACCCCCAACCAAGTGTCAGAGATGGCTATACGTACGCTACTGGAAAGTCTCGGGCCTGAAATAGAGGATCCTGAAGAAGGTAAGACTCTCCACGCGGACATAGGTGGCTGGACTAACAAGCCGATCATAGAAACGTTCCTTCTCTTTAGCCGGGACATCCCGTCGCAAGACCTAGGGTTTGTAGACTCGCGCGCGTCCACGCTTGATCTAGTAATTGCCGACAGAGACTATGTAATCCATCAATCACCTGCTGTCCTATCATCAAAGCGTGCAGGAGGCACGACAGGGGCGGGTCAGCTCATTATCCTTCCTAATTCACAATCGGTGTTGCTAACATTGATGTAGTTTTGTGGAAGATCACGCCTATGTTTTCTGAATGGATTGTATCTCCAGAAAACCCCCTATGGAAAACTGGGGCTCTGAACTCGTCGTCAAGCGTCATCGAGCTCGGGTGTGGCATCTCGGGACTCGTTGGCTTGGTACTCGCTTCGACTATATCGCGGTACGTGCTCACAGACCAGCCATACGTGTCCAAGTTGGTGGAAAGCAACCTGAAGGAGAATGAAGTCAAGTCCCGCCCCTCGGCTTCTGCATCACGGCGCAAGGGAAGGACAGCGGCGGTCCCACCCAAAAGTAACTTGACTTTTACTCCGCTGGACTGGGAGTTGGATGAGGTAACGTCAAATCTCACAGGGGCCGTCGATGTCAAGAGCTTCGATGTCATCATTGCCTGTGACTGCATCTACAACGATGCGCTGATTCAGCCATTAGTGCAGACATGCATGGCGTGCTGTCGGCTTCGGGTGTCGGATGATGGGGCTCAAACGACATCGCAACCGGCTATCTGCATAGTCGCCCAACAACTCAGAGACCCAGAGGTATTTGAAGGTTGGATTCGGGAGTTCCACCGATATTTTCGCACTTGGCGGATCCCTGAGTCGGCGCTTTCGGTTGCGTTGGGATCAAATAACGGTTTCGTCATTCATGTAGGTATTCTACGAGAATGAATGATCAACCCGAGAAGCGTTGAGAAAGCAGGTGGCCATGTTCCAAGAGAAAGTGAAAGTAGCGGCGCATTCACTTTTTATGGTGAGTGGAAGAAGTCTCAAACGCTGAAGTGCGAAGCAAGCGCTCGGCAAACCACCTATTGCGATTAATCGTCGTCCATAACCTTGGTCTTGAAGTCAGGGAAACTGCTTGGCTGGGACTAGCTGATCCGGTTTCCTAGGTTCACCTAGCTTACATTGGGGGGAAGGAACGTTCTGTTGGACATCTGGGAAGGCAAGGCACCCAGCATTGGAAGCTACCTTACCTCGTTGACAACCTCATAACTGCAAACAGCGCGTCTGCGCTTCAATAAACGGAGATGATCTTTGCGTTTCAACAAACGAAAAGAATAAACATCCCAATTGGTGTAGTGGTGAGCATGCTAGATTCTCATTCTGGAGACCAGGGTTCAATTCCCTGATTGGGAAATACTCTGCGGTTACTGTGAGTATTTTTGTTTCTTCTCGCCGACCAACCATTCGCTTCAATCCAAAGTGTTCACCCAGAATACTAAATACCACTAAGATAGCCTTTAACCTCTGGGAATTTGAACTTGAGCTACTTCACTATTTTGGAAGCTTTCAGACAATAGATTGTATATAAGATTATGGACTTTGCTGCCGTTCGAATAGTCATTTGCCTCGTCTCATACATTACAACCACAGGTAGTCGAGGCGTGGGGCCCAATGTAACCCTGTTCTTGTCCCTATATCGTATATTCACTGCTGCGGACTACAAAAAGAAAAGAAATTGGACAAAATGGGAAACCCGCGGCATACATCTGTTCCATCACCCAAGTCTGCATAGAGCTGTCATTAACGATCTATATAGACAAAGGCATCGGACGACAATCTATAATGACCTCCTTGGTTGCTTGCTAGTCTAGCACGTGCTGAGTTACGCTGAGCACATGATACTCGAAGTTAAATACCACAATTGCATCAATATAAATCAACTTGATGCTCTACTGTAATCAACTAACTAGTAATGAAGGATATATAAGTAGGGCCAGAGGTTCCCACCTCGAAGAGCACCCTCTCACCGGCTTCTCTACTGTCTGTTCTCGCCCTTGTGTCCTACCTTTTCTTGTGAACAAGGTTCACGTATTATTCATCTCTCGTCCAGCTATCCAGGGGGTCGATCAGGTGCAAAGTTTTAAGTATCGAACCGCTTCGATTGGAGTTCATCTAGTAAGACCTTGGAGCCGATATGTTTTGACAACCACTCATATCAAAAGTCTAATTTAGGCTTTAACGCAATGTCTGCCGTTTGAGTCATCTCGAAGTCGGGTTTCTGGTACGGGTGGGAGAAATCGTGCCACCCTCTAGACAATCGTTTCTCCCGTGTTCAACCCTTCTGCCAGTATAATCATCTCTTGCTATTTCAAGGGCCACAATCCATCACCCGCACATGGTGTGGCCCTGTACGATGGCGGGAAGTAACGGCACAGGCTAACGTCAAGTAACTTCGGATGAACGAGTTTCAATTCTCCCTTCATCCAAAAGCCCTCCGCACGAAGGTACAACTGCTTGGCCGTCTATTCGGTGGTGAAACCGGACTCCGCACTCCTCCTCGTGGGATCACCCGGACTCGTCAAGACACGAACACAGAAACTCACAAGAGCATACATGCCATCTGAAGAATTCCGATCCTTCCTGAACACGTTGTTCATTAATGGTATGAATCGCTACTGGCTTTGCCAGGCTGGTCGTGCTTACGGGCCCTATGGGGCTAAATTCGATCATATAGTATGCTCACGCTTTAGGTAGGCGCGCGGGCCTTATATCTTATCTAATCCTCGGTATTGTACCGGTGCATTATCCGACATCATCTACAACTTTCGTTTCAATTGACCTATCAGCTCGACTCACCTTGGCCTCGAGTCAGACCAAATATCATTAAAGCAGCTGTTTGGTGGGCTTGTTTGGCAATTGACCGGAATTCGGCTGTTAAAAAACTCAAGAGTATTAAGTCGACTTGGGGGCATTGTTAGGAATATGCCCTGCAACTGTTCAGGTTAACTATGTAGTTCATGTTATCTCAATTTGCTCTGTGGCACCCAATCCATCAACTCGCGTAGGCGTTTCATATAGCTGCAAACCAATTGCTGTCTGTTAACCAGCACAAACGCCAACAGTAGGTATATTACTTTCCGCAGAAGACACAACAAGCGGGGGATCATACAGTTGTAAACTATGCATACAGGTGAAACAACTTCGTTATTCCTGTATACTACACCGGAGTATCGGGTATCCCAAATGTTCCATCCTGGGGGTGTCGTTTATTCTATCCTCCGCTTAATATAAAGGTTGACTTGTCAGTCCTGCACTTCTTATTCCACGAAGTGCGTTGTTCCGGTTCTCTCTATACGTTGAGCACCCATCGTTGCTACTGAATAGTATGATTAGAAATCTTCTAGACAGATATTAATATCCTTTGGCTTGCCTGCAGTAGATCGATGTTAATTGAATACGATGTCTTGTGAACATGCCTCAATGATTGCGTAAGGGAGTAGCTTGTAAATTGCAACTCAACTCTCCATGAAGACGTCGCACGAGCGCGGTCGAAGGTTATTTGGGTTCGGGGTGGAGATCGCGTCATGGGTGTCCAAGTTCTGAGAACGGACGCTTGAGCACATCCTCTTCCCAAATCTGGAGTTGCCAGCATCCTCTGCAATGCCTCTGCGATGCATGACGTACACCGAGACTAGGGAGGAAGGGAGAGAGGAAGCTTTGATGAAGGCTGAGTACCCTTGGCTCGACAAGTAGATCCCCGCGTGTTCAGCCCATACTGAACTGCACTGAATGTTCGTTTATGCGCTCCAGGATCGTGCAGATTGCGAAGAGACGAGCGAACGGCAAACCGAGACTAGAGGGGTGTTTGGAACACTTGGCAGAATCATATTTGTATCCTGTCTCTTGGTTATGCAGGATTTAGACGTAGAGAACAAGCCAAGTTGGAATCCGCGGGAAGAAAGATAATATAAGAGCCGTCCGTTCATCCATCCATCCATTTGGTCCTCTCTTCTCTGTTTGGAGGATGGCCTTTTCTGGCATCGTCATCCATAACCATAAGCTACTCCCCGCGTTCTGAGCGCATCATTTATTTCCTCGCGTTTCTACTCACTTCGTTGTCCGACCTGCTGTTCCTCTCGTCCCACACCGCGGCCATGGAACGCGTTCATACTAGGCCATCGTAAAGGGAGAGGGCGGACACGATAGTCTCGTCGCGTTTGCTGCCCTCCTTGAATTCTTCCATGTCTAGACTCCCGTTCTCATCCTTGTCCATCATGCGGAATATCTTCTTCACACGCTTCTCGGGGGTATCTTCGTCTTCTGGCAGCTTCACCATGGAGCCGACCTGAGGGTTCCACGTCAGTTCCTGGGGTATGCACTCATAGGCTCCAGACATACCATTTTGTAGATCGCCTCGACAATCTTGAGCATCTCATCGTAGCTGATCTTGCCGTCTCCGTCGATATCGTACAGCTGGAACGCCCAGTCGAGCTTGTCCTCCATCTTGCCACGGCTGGTAACGCTCAAGGCGCAGATGAACTCCTTAAAGTCGATGGATCCGGATTTGTCGCTATCGAAGACGTTGAAGACATAATCGGCGAATGATGACGGGTCTCCGAACGGGAAGAATTGGCGGTATATCTTTTGGAATTCTTCCTTGGTGAGCATACCCGATGGGCAGTCCTTCAAAAAGCCTGCAATGATCCAAATTGTTAGCGGCAAGATTGAAAGACACGAGCTGGCCCGCAAGGCCGCGCTTCAGTCGAAGCACTCTATGCCCTACTAACCCTTGTACCATTGCTGCAGCTCCTTCTTGTCAAAGTGAGTCGATTTTTGGAGTTCGGCCAGCTGCTCCTGCGAGAGCTTGGATTGACTGTACCTGGCATGTTAGCCAAACTCGTGCTCGAAGTGGCAGCAATGCAGTGAGGGCGGTTGCGCGTCTTCGTGTGTGTTTGATGAGCGCTTGCGCATCTGCTGCGCGGCTAGGCCACGACCGAGACCGACCCGGCCTGTTGTCGCAAAGCGCGCATATATGCCGGAGGCTGGAGAAATGGCAGACTCACGATTTCCCCATTTCGCAAGCAAGTGCTCCAACTAGTTTTGGGTCGTGGTGGTGTGTTTGCTAGGTTGCAGATGAGTTTGCGACGTGAATGCGACGGTTGTGGAGGTGGGGATAGATGTGCAACCGTCGGAGATGATGAGGAATGTTATGGGTTATGGCTTGATCGTCATGTATCGCAACAAGCAAATCTTGGGCGCCAAGTCGCGGTGATCGCCGTGGGTACCGCAGTTTAGCTGTAGCCTGCGTATGTTATCTCAAAAGTAGATTTACTGATGCACGCAACTTTGTTTCAGGAACGAGGCTGATGAACAGGCAGAAAGACTAAGCCGCGCCGCTGACAGACCAAGTTGGAACCTTGACAAGACGGGATGAGGCTAGAAGGACGCTGTTAAGAATTTATGCGAGGCTCGGACGAGGGACGAGGCAGGCGAAGGACAAGCCTGGCAACCCTGGATATTGTATCGCAACCGCAAAGCAATCCTGTCCTGAGAATTGATAGAGGTAATTGCAGTGAGTTCTGGCCGAGGTGTTGACGCCGCTCGAGCTGGGCCTGGACTCTTGGGTTATGGAGGGGTGACGGAGGTGGGCGGCGAAACCTGGCGATGTATTTGTCGTGGGGACTCGTCACGCCCGTCTCGTCTCCCGCTTCTCTGGCCAATGCTCAGCTACACGCGCGTAAGGACCTTGTGACGTCGCGCGATAGGAGCAGGGCCGAGGAGCAAAGATGTGTGCCTAGTGATTCAGGTGGGGAGCACGATTATCGTTTTCTTTAGTTACGAAGGCAGCTGAAAGCAAAACGAATGAATGTATCAATACTGCTTGCAAACGCCAACCTGTGCCAATCTGTCAGTCTGTCAGTCAATCAATTGTTTTTTATCTACATTAGCGGGGTTGACTGAGTTGAGGCGGCCCAGCATTCTCACGGTTTCAAGGAAGCAGGACCCGCTGCCCTTCGCACTCGCGCAATTGCCAAAAGCTATCCAATGGCGTGGAGCAACAACCTCCAATGCTGACATAATGGGGCTGTGTAAAATTACGCTAAACTGCGTCAGGCTAGGTGCGCAACCATTCATCTATGTATCTACCGTATTACTTCTCGGCGCCGAGCTTGTCTTGTCAGTGTCCTGGACCCAAGCTATATTCAAGGAACGTGTGCCGCACAAGAAGTAGTGGTCATCATCCAGGTGGAATGAAGCGTGTGCGTAACCAATTTCATACCAGCCTCTTGCACTGGTGCATTCGCTTTGCCGATATTGTGCCTGTCTATTCCACTGTAGTATCAAGGTACCCCGAACTACTCCATTCGATGCAGCTAACATCGCCAAGCTCATCACCAAGCTTTCGGAACTGAGCCTCAAAATGAGGCTATGTCGCCAATAGCAACCTTGACAACAATAGTATATATACAGCCGATTCTGTGTCGAAATGGTATATACTCAAAAGAATAGTGGAGATATTCTTATTATGATGACTCGAGGAGGCCGAGTTCTAGTGTTGACCTCTGATGATGCTATTTGGGCAGAGTCCCCAAACTCAAACGATGCCCCTAGTAATTGAGATGGACCACGCGCTGTCTTGCTGAGTAGAGGGGTTTGTGGACAACAGGTTGGCTGCTCACAACTGTTGACCCAAGATTCTTTGTCGCATCGTTATGCGAAACAACACTCGAGGCATGCCGGATGAACTGCAAGGTTCGAATCTCCATCCGTCCTCATGTTTTGGTATGCACTACTAGCAGAAAACGAATTGCCGTCCAAGAAATTGTGGGCCATGAACCGACTCCATCCTTGAATCTGATGAGGCAAAAGGTGTGAAGTTAATGCATTAACAACATCTGCCAGTATCAAAGTTGACCATCAGAACCAATTCGAACGAAGGTAGAGTTGCGGGGTCATACGAGTCTAAAAATGCAAGTCAACAACCAAAGGGCACTGTAATGCTTGCTGTTCCTCCGGAAGGGGCCGGAGGCGGCGGAAGACAAGAGCAAGTGAAATATCACGGCGGTGGCAATCCTTGATATTTCAGGACAGCGTGTAACTAGTATGCAGTTCTAGTTGCGACTGGCAGTTTCCAGCTTCATTGGCCTGCCGTACAGTGACTCTGCGTGGAATTATAATTTATTACTTAGATATCATATGATGATGTGCAAGCGCCAATGGGCTGTATGTAGTACATGAAAAGACCGATGCCTATATGGAACCGTTGGAAAAGCATGATCAAGCATGTATATTGTCTCGACCATGATATGTTTGCGTGGAAAAAGCACATGTCGCTACATTGAGTATCCACAGCGACACCAAAAGCCCCAATTCGTCATTATCCATGCATCGTGAGCTCACTCCAATTGTACTGTTCACTCTTATACTTAAGTACCTCAAACCCGAGCCCTTCCATATTCACCGAACAAGCCGAATCGCCTCAACGCCAAGTAGCAATGCTCCCGTAGCCGGATTTCAGCCCACAACAGCCTTCATGCTCAAGCTCTCTAGGAAACCGCCCAAGTCATCTTTGCGCACCTCCACGACGCAGTGCTCAAAGCTATCGATCCTGACGCGGGCATTGGTCTCAGCAATGACGTCCTGGAACGCGCTGCCGAACTTGTTCAGTCCATAGCCGCGCTCCTTTCGGGCTTCCAAGCCTTCGTCTTCGTCTTCCGAATCCGAAGAGTCGCTGCCATCCGATTCTGTTTCGTCGTCCTCTTCGTCATCTTCATCATCACGCTCCGCCTTTCTTGCTGCTCGTTTCTCCTCCCTTATTTTGTATTTTGCTTCGCGCTCTTTGGCTTTGGCTTCTCTCTTGGCAGCCTTGCCTTTGGCACCTTGCCTGTCCAAAAATGCCAAGTCCGGACCGCCTCCTCCGCCCGTGCCAACGACAACGTAGACGCCCCTTTTCTCGTTCAAGCTTGCGACCACGAGTGGTGTGCCACGGCCACCATGCGCCAGTTTCCCCGTAGCATCCTTCTCCTGCTCTGCGAGCGCCTCGCCGATCCACAACGCGAGTTTCGTCAGTGCAGCCGGGTGGTTGAAAAGCGGCGCATCAGGGACGTCTTTGATGACACACATTCGAAACGCGTGCAAGTGTTTGATCTGTCGTTTTCCGAGAAGACTCGTGCCGGTCCGAAATATGGCACGATGTAGGTACTGCGCAGTTGGCAGGCCGGCCTTGAGAGCATCGATATTTTCAAGCGCATCATACGCCTCCCAGAAGCGACCGACCCATTCCTGTGATTCGGCTACGCCACCATCGTCTATGACCTCTGTAACTTGGCTAGATTGGTTCCGGCTGTCATCTGCGATACTTGCACCGTATTTGCCTACTTCCAGCAGAGCACCGATGACAACGCCCACATCCTGTGCTGAGAGCGTAGCACGCCAGCCCCAGCTGCGGACGAAACCCCAGCCGTCTTTAGTGCCAGCGCGGTCACGGCCGTCTGTTTCTGCGGCCGGAACCATGTCGTCAAGATTGTACAAGGAGGCATATTTGAGAAGCTTCGTCCGCAGTTCTTTTTTAAGCATCATGTCCATATGGGTGTAGCTCTGTTTGCATTGCACGAGACTGACGCCCATCTTGGCAAGAAGCTTGTGCAGACGCTTCAAACCACTCTCGCTCCAAATGCGTAGTTTGGCAAAGAGATAAGGAGAGTGTAGCATGCTATCATAGAGAGACCAGTGCCGGATGAGGAGGAATTTGGGCTCAGGCGAGAGCCGGATTGACGTGTCTTCGGGACTGCGAGCTGTAGTTGGGATGATTCCCGCACTTTCGGCTGGTGACACCCGACCATTCAGAGGCGCAAGGTCTGGGGGGTTGAGGCGTCGTACTTCATCTCGTAAGAGTTGCCGTAGTCTCGCGCCGCGCACGCCCATCCAGCCTGTCGAAGATGTCGTATCAGGGCCTCGGACAGTGACCGCAAGACCTGCTGATGATCGACCATAGAGCTCCATTGACGTCACACCCACAATGGTCAGCCAAAGCACGTTATTGTCTTCTCGACCTAGTTCGGACGCCAAGGAATAAATCATGGCCGTGATGGGTTCCGAGTACGAAGCTCCCATGCGGTAGTATTTGCGTAAGACTCCCTCGTGTTCAGCTTTCATACGCAAGAGCTTTTTCCGGAGTGAGCGAGCCGACGGTCGTTTGGGAGGCTGGGCTGCTGAGGGTGGATCTTCTGCGGTGTCAGATAGTATCATGCCAGGGTCTCGTATCGATATCAGGCCGCGTTGAGCTGGACGAGGTGAATCTGGGATAGGCGTCGACTGGAATAGTATAAGCAACCACACTCCAGATTAGCAACTGTGGCAACAAACTTACTGAGTTGCTCCGTCGCCTTTGCCGCGGCCGATCATCATCATCACTGCTTTCCTCATCTGGATCTGACCATGACTTCCTTTTCTGGCCCGGTTTTGGCTGCTGCTCCTCCACCTCATCGTCTGATTCCGAGTCGCTGTCACCGTATATATCGCCGTCGTCTTCGATGTCTGGCATATCCACCAGGGCCAGGTACGCGTCTCGTTCGGTGTCGAGTCCTTCTGCGACGTCACCATCATCGAAGACCACGATGCCACCCTTTCCAGGCTTATATGAACGTCCAATTCGACCTGAGATGACGCCCTCGGGTGCGCGTGCTTGGTAACTTGTCGCTACATCGGAAGCTGGCTCCAGCGGGTATCCTCCAAAGACGTTGCCCAAATTCCACGGCCGATGTGCGTCAACAATCCAGACTTCAACACCGCCAAAACTCGACTCCTCGCCTTCAACTTCCAGACCCAGAATAGTGCCCATGTCCACCATGCCACCGACACCCAGGCACACAACGACTCCTCCACTACCTCCCCGCGTTTCCATCATGGGAGCTACTAGCGCCTGTCCTGCGCGTTCGAGATCGCCATACCCAGCTATCGGATGGATCTTGTGTGGTATGTAATCATGCTTGAGGAGTCGGGTCAGAATGCGACAGGCGCAGAGGGCATCTGGTTCGAGGGCCGCGAGGATGAGGACCGGAGGAGAAAGTGGATGCCGCGTGTTCTGGAGATGTACATATAATTTCGAAATCAATTCGCGTGGCAGATACATGTTGGGCAATATCTGGACGCGTATTTGAGGACTACCAGGCAGGATTCATGGAAGCTGCGGCTGTGAGGTCCTTCGCGCCGAAAGTTATATGGATCTGGAGGAGCAAAACTGCTCACACAACAGGACTATTCGACGTTACCGTGGGCAACTGACATTTAGAAGCAAGAATTGACGCAGGGTTCTGACCATGAGTGCTGTGACGAGGTGTTGCCGAATTACGGTTAGTACAGATGCACCGCGGTGCGAGAAAATAGTTTGAGGTGCGGTGTAAGAATGTGGCAGAGTGTTTATGATAAGAACGCGCCTTAACACAGCAGACGCGACTGAGTGGTTTGCAGGTACTTGCCCAGAAGTATCCTGTATCCACTCTTGCACGGGACATTTCGTTAGACCTCGGGATACAACAACTTGAAGTGTCAATCTTTTTCAGTTCGGACGGGGGTATGCAAATATGCAATTAAGCGAGGACAGGCATTGCATCACCTGTGAGAGGGGGTGCCCAACAACTTTGGCTCATGGTGCCCTGTTCCATTGCAAAGGCTATGGGAAACTTGCTTCAGCTATCCTGCGAGTTGTACTCGCCCTGAGGTTAATTGATTCTGCTTCACTAACATAACAAATAAAGTACACTCATCATTTCCAGATCGGGAGCAAACACTGTCTGAAAAGCAACTTATACTTTGGTCCCAATACTATCCCACCCGCAGGTGGCGCCCTGAGTAGCTTCAAACCTCATTGTTTTAACTCAAGTCAGGATCTCATAATATTGCTCCATGTTTCCCTTTCAGTATTGAACTCTCGAGATGGTTTGAGATGGCAATTTTGATTGTTGCCGATAGTGTTCGTGAGATGGTGATCAGGATCGTTTCGACCCTGCTTCTCCGACGAGAATATTTGCAGTAGCTAATGCTAAGAAGTGACCGTCATACTAGCTGGATGGATTGCATTTATTCTCAGCACCCTCAGAGCAAGGGGCCTTCTCCGCTACCCAATTCCTGCGGGGTATTCTGCCATGTTTGGTCGGACCGTGTGATGCCAAAGCAAACCGGATCTCAGGCCTTGATCACATATCGAGGTTGGTTGTTGCCTGCTGATATTTACTGAAAGACCAACGATGATTTCCAAGCTGGCGGGCCATCCCGCGGATGTCACGGTGCATCCATGATCTTCCTTTACCTCCTGCCTATGTGCTCAACCCATGCAGTGCTTATTAATCATATTTTGCCAAATCTTTGGAGAAGTTCATCGGTTGCATGTTGGTTCTGCCGTATATGATGTATAGGAGCCCCCATGGGCTAGTACAGATCTGCCGGCATCTCATCCTTTTGGAGGCAGTGTAGTGTTCATCCGACAATGGCCATTCATTTCTTCGTCAGCAATTTTCCATGTATTTGATTTCGGCTGCTTGCCCATATGCCTCTAAGTCGCTACCGCGTGGATCAACCTTCTGTCTTTGTTCCTTCCCATATAATTTTCACTACTCCAACATGGCCGAGTCTGGTGCCAAGTCCAACCCAGACTTTGTAGTTGAAGACATTGAGGCAGCCGCTGAAGGAATACCCTACCAGGATGGGTTCTCTCAAGTACTTACTTTGATGCTCCTTAGCCCCTGACGGTATACGCTGAGCAGCAGCGTCGCCCGGCATCACTACGAGAATGGAAGGTACTTGCTAAGTCAGCTAGTGAGTCATTCTCTGGTATTTTTCAATCACATCACTGACCGAGGCTGGTGGTATTCGTAGTCAAGTGATGGAAGTAAGAAGGCAAGAGAAGAGATTCGCAGCATATTCTGGCTTGAAGTTCTTGAAGGCAGACTCCACCTCGCACTTATAGGGAACAACCTTCAGAAGGTGCTTGATGTCGGCTATGGATTTGGCATGTCAGTTTGATTTTCCCTCCGTGTTTTGCGAAATAGACCACTGACATGAACACGTCAACTTACTCAGGTGGGCTATAAATGGTGCCAAGGCTATTTACCTTGCATCTGCTCAGATACACCGGTAACACTCGACGACAGCAGCGGAGAAGTATCCGGAGGCGGATCGAGTTTCAGGAGTACAACCTCATATTCTACTGTCATGATGGAAGCATGACTGCCGAAGAGACTCCATATGGATAAATACCGCGACCTCTATGTACCAATATTCCAGTACCATGCAAAACATATCGACTTTTCTCTAGAACGCCACAAGAGTTAGAGACCGCGGGCTCCACCAACGTGCGCTAGGTTGTCTATAAGATAACTATGGGCGTCTGGGCCAAGGACCCCGGGTCGAGGTATCTTGGTTTCCTCATGGCTGAGACGGTGTGAGAATCATTAGGCTTCTATGGTCGGCTGATGGATCAAGTCAGGCATGACCCAGAGCGATAGCAACGCCCTGGTTTTGGACTTTGAGGATTGCCTCGTGGATAACAGAGCGCATTCATACGTCAAGATCTGCTTTGCTTTAGGCCAGAGGCCGCTTGATGCACATTGGGCCGGTATGGTAGTTTTTTTCGTGTTTTCTGTAGCGATTTTACTGATTTAGGATTTACGATAGATGGTTCGAAGCCTAGCCTGCCATGTTCTATAATATGAATCAGCCACTTCGGTATGTTGTCGTCGCCCCTTTTCCCCTAACGTACTATGATTCAGCCTCCTTTTAATCCTGCCTCACCTCTCTTTTTCCAAACTGGGTCATAGATTGTGACTGTAATGATTGAAGTACTGAAGCCTTATACTTATTTGGTTGTTTGTCGTTCTCTACCCCTTTTATGTGAACAATGTTCCGGACCAGCTGGTACGCTACTTAGCCATGGTTATTGGTCCAAGTCAGCTTGATTGGCGAGATATCAGCGCTTGGGTGAATGCAGATTAGCTTAAAAAATCCTTTATGCCGGGTGATCGACCTAGGCCGCTCCACATGTGGTCAACGATGTACTACTGAATATGCATAAGGATGAGCCGGTTTCATCTCATACCTTGTCGACATACCATTAGTCGCTTGTATATACAGCTTTCCTGCTTGAATAAACCTAAACAGTCCGTACTTGGAACTCGTACACGTCGGCAACGGACAGGGAATACCGTAGCAAAGCACTATCAGTGTACCTGAAGTGTTCTCTAACCACACCTCGTCATGTTCAAAAGCCCTAATAAGTAGTTCAGCAATCTATCAACATTGAGTAGGAGAGCGCCTTGTATATGGATGCTAAAAGACCTGCAGTAAGCTCCGGCTAGAAAGAGTCATCTGATATTCCCAGCTATACTTGTAGTTGGTAACGAAATAGTATAAACACAGTTAGTACGTCTTAGGAAAACAATTTGCCATTCCAAGCACGTTGGAGTACAGTATCCCAAGCATCAGATACACACTATCGTCTTCATGGAGTAGTTAGGATGTGAGCTTTGAAGCCCATTCATTCTCTATTTCATAGCACCGCATCAGCAGCTTCGGGTTTCGCTGATTGGTATATACAATAAGTGCAACGTCTTCCTCAAAACCTAATGATGGAAGTAGATCTCTGCACCAGGCAGTCTTGTCTTCCTTTCGCTAACAAGGAGATTGCATCTCATATTCCTCGGTCTCCTTTCGTCGTGTATGTTCGTATTACCGGAAGACTTTCTAGGTACTCGCAAGATGATGCTGGAGTTGATTTCAAATATTTTGGTGCTTTTTAAGTGGCCCTCGGCCGTGAGCGTACCCAGCGCTGGACGGCACGCAGGCTCGGGTCTTCTGCCGTCCAGCGGCTCATAGTCATATCCGAGGCTTGCAGTTGACCGTATATGGTATTGTCGGCGATCTGTGCGAATTCCTTTACATGCAAATGATTGTCAGCCCCCTCTACTCATCCCTGTAACCTCCCGGGTCAGGGGCTAGCCTTTGATTTCTTCTTACATTGCGCAGTTGCTCGTCACATGCTCTCAGTTGTCGTCTATGAGCCGTGCTGGGTCTGTTGCCCTGGAGAATATGGTCTCGATACTCGACCCAGCGTTGTGCCGCAGCCTGGCGGAGGTAGATCTTCTGTGCCTCGTGTCGTCGGGCGTAGGCGTCGAGAGCCACTCTATCAAGATTGCAAGGGTCAGTTCTATCCACAACAGTACCATCCATCTTATGTATTACCGTTATTGTGTTTGGAGATCATGACGCACTGTTTTAATTCGGCCTTGGCCTGCTCTTCCTCGCCGCCCGTCGTTTCCGGGACCGAAGTGTCAGCGGCACAGTTGAGGATATGTTGGCCGTCCAGGGCACACTGCCGCAGAGCTGCCCAGCCTTCCGTGTAGTAGTCTTCCGAGTTAGCCGGGTCTACCGGTGCTGCCGCGATGTAGTACTGCAGGGTTCGAAAGTCCGAGAGGATCTCGGCCACCCGTGCCGTGCGAAATTCGTTGTCTTGAAGTTTGGCAGGTTAGGCAAAAATGTCTATACAGCAACAGGAGGCATCCTCATAGTGCGAATTGGGCATTGGAAACGCATATCATCCCGCGCCTTATACTTACAGCCATCCATGGTTTATTGACAAGGCGCTTGCGGCAGCAAGTGGATGCGATAGAGTAATTGGGTTCGGATCACCGGTAGCCAGAAAGGACAAGCACCTTAAAACAGCTGAGGAAAACGCTAGGCCCAATCATCAAAAGGAGCCAAACAAGACACAACAAAACTCCGAGTTCAGAACAAAAGGGGCAATGAGCGACGAGACTGCCGAAGTTTGTAGACTTCTGTCGATGGCATTGGGCTTGAGGTTTCGTGATAGAAGTGATCCTCATGGTGGCGGCGGAGTCTCTCGCTTTTGTATTATGGGATATCTGACCACGAGTATTGTGGACGCTTCAGAAGTTATCACGAACTCTTGCATCGAGGAGGGTTAGCCCCCGTTAGGAAGTGGAGATAGTTGCTTGGTCATCCCCGTTAGGGTGCAGGAGAAGAGTACATCATAGTCAGCTCGCGTCTTGAATTTCATGGCAACAGACCATCTCTACCAGATCAGACATAATATCTGGCCTCTCATTCGCAAAAGACAGTTGCAAGCTCAAACCTGTATATCCTGACAGAGCTGGAAGATGCATCATTGGTCCCGTCTTAGTTGCCGTTGGGAAAACCAGACCCTGGTTCACCTGGGAGGTTACGTGCAGGCACAGCACCAATCTAACTTCTCGAAGCTGCACGCCACTGCGGGCACGATAACGTTTGCCGTCAATGGCTGGCAGAGTCAATGAGTCGGTAACCAGCACAAGGTACCCAGCAAGTTGGCCGTAACAGTTGTGGAGAGAAATCATATAGTAGTGCCCACTGGGAAGCATTGTCGCGAAGAGAGCCTGCCTCCTGGGCGATAATGGGGCAGCCAGGGCCACTATTCAGCAACGCCACCACTGCAGCTTTTACCCCAAAGCGGAAACGCCGTCAGGCGCAGATGGGTAGAGTTGTGTGGAGGTTATGAACAATAGGATAGAGCTAGCCAATCAAGACGCGCAGCCGCTTCAGGTCGATGGCTGGCACGTTTTTGGCGCAGCTGAATGTATATTTTCGTACGAGTCGCCCACATTGGGATAATCAGCCCCCACGAGCCCAGCTTTTGTTTTGCATACTCGACAGAATCAAGCCAAAAAGTGCTGTCTCATGGATGCCCAGCTGGGATAGTATGGTCACTGCGCCATCCTGATGTCATGTGCCTTCGGATCGACGAGGTACCACGCTTACGGGTTGTTGGCGTATACAGTTTCGCAGCATGCGTAGCATCGTCGATGGAGATGATTAGTTTCTGAAGCGTGAAAACACTCACTATGGGACTAGCCGTAGAAGAAGTTGACGCCGCCACCCTCATCCTATTGCTCGCCCTATACTATGCCACACCGGTTCCACGAGATGTGGCTTTCCTGATGGCTGCAGCTGAGGAAGCCACCATCGTAAGGCTGATCATCTCGATAGCCTCAAGCCCTTGGCTAGAGCCATGGATGGCTGTGCTCGAGTGACTGCATATTTGACCTGGGCTTCGGATCCGACCGCTTCGAAGAACACTCAGTCCCATGCTGAACGGGTCTATTGGGATATCGCACTAGTAACACACGAGGGATGGGCAACACATAGGACTTGCACCCCACACCCTCTAGATTATGCTGCCAAGCTGGCGAGCCAATCGACATCTCTCCTTGCCACCAGCTTTACGCCGCAACCGCCTCGCCCCCCTAGTCCTTCTCAGCAATGGCCTGTAATCTCTCATCGATCTCATCTTCTGTGAGGGTCCTGAAGTTGGGGTTCGGCCCCTCCTTGCCGTCTGGTTGAGGGCCTCCAACGATTCCGATCTCAATCTCACCCTTCTTGAAGTCCATGCTAAGAACCGTGCTGAGAGTGGTGATGGCCAATTCCACGACGTCTTCCCACGTTCCCTCTGCATGATCCTTGTTCTTGAGCTTCTTCTCGAGATGATTGAGCGCCTCTTGCTGCTTGGGTCCCGCAGCCGTGCCCTTGTAGCCGACATAGTAACCTGCAGGGTCGCACTTGAAAAGTTGGGGTCCAAATTCGGAGTCCAAGGATATCAAGGTCGTTGCTACGCCGTAAGGTCTCATGTACGCCTATGGTTGACGTGAGCAAAGGCCGTAATTTGAATGAACCACCGGTACTTACTCTCTGAGTGTAGACTTGGCTGATGTTGGCCAGTCTCTTAGCCAAGACGTCGCATGGCATTTCGTATCCGAACTTGTATCTGAACTCAGCAGCCTCACCCTGGGCACGCTGCGCAAATGCACGAGCATCTGCAATGGAGCCGGTCATAACGCAACCAACGGACGGCGAGATCTGGAAGATGTGCGACACAGACGAGGGATCGATCAGTTTATCCTGGCAATATTGGTTAACTTGAGACTTAAAGGTGTGCCCAAGACAGCTGAGCAGCGAGTAATGTGTCGCAACTTGACTTACTGGGACCTTCTTCTGTGACAGCACCACGGCGCAATCCTTGCCTCGGACACCTATCGCCATGATGTTCGCCGCTGTGATTGCTTTGAAGGCATATTCTGCATCGACTCGAGTCAGCTTACACCGCGCCACACATGCCCAACGTTGACTTGATCGCAGCCCCAATCACAAGTGACCTAGAAACCAGGCTCGACAACGTTGTAGTCAAACGGAAGCCCACATACCGACTTGATACAGTCTACCCTGCTCGGAGAAGATAGTGATATGTCGGTCGTATCCTGCGCTGCCTGTGACGATGATGTTATGTTAGCAGTGCGGTACCAGTTGGGGGGGGGGGAGTGGCTGAAGACGAAGCGGTAGAGCTGGCGTACCCGACATTGTGAAGAATGGACGACGGATTCAAGAATTCAAAATATGGTGAATCGGGCACGTATCGAGCAAGTAATTTGTGCAGCTGTTCGTCGTCGAGGTGAGTGATGATCTGAAGTTGCGAACGTAACAAGGCGGCCGGACGACAGTGAGCTCTACCCTAGCCTAGCTCTGAGACGCGTGCTGGAGCTTCAGCCTGGCCAGCTACGAATGGCAGCTCTGGCCGAGCCGGTGCCTTCCCTTCCAATTGCCAAGATTTCGTTACCAAACCAGCTTAGCTCAGCGGTAAATGGATCATCTTTGCTTCCGCAGTGGGTCATTTCTATCGTCACTGCCCCACCGGCCTAAGGAAAAGTTCAGATTCCCTGCAAGTGTCTCTGCTCACAATAAGGCGGCATCCATTGGCGATCCAACGTTCTGGAGCCCAGAGGATAAAAATTAGTATCCACGGTTGTTTTACAGGACTGACCTTGCAGTGGCTCACAGCAGAAATCTCTGATTCAGTGCTGCTGGTCTGCGTCGTTCTGAAGACACCACCCTATCACAACCATTGCAAGCTCCGAAACAAGCTTGCTTAAGCCTAAATTTACAAGACATCTCGATACCTCGACAAAAAGGTGCATCCACTACCATAACTGGAGCCAACGAATCGATCAGTCGCAGATACCTTGTTGCCATTGGAAGAGAAGTAGCACTGCAAGCAGTATTTCTAGCCGTGATATTCTCTTGCATCTGTTCTGTACACCTGTCTGCCTGCCTCTCATATCATTTGTCTGGGCGCATCTCTCGTCATGTCGTCTCCCATGCTCTCCACTGGGAACGCGCCAACGCAGCGAGTTCCTGCGTGGAAGCGATTGGGTCTCAAGCTCAAGCCTGCATCTGAGCACCAAAGTGAGGGCCTGGCGCCGCATACAAGTACGGCTCATTCTTCGGGCACTTCTGCTTCAGTGCCCAAAAGTCACGGATCGCCGCCCGGTGCCTACGGTGCTGTCAATGCCGCCAAAAGGAAACCTTTTGGTGCCCCTGCGTCAGACCATTTCGCAAAAAAGGCACGACAGGACAATTTTAACTCTACCGCGACTCATCACTCTTCCCTGAAGAAGAAGAAGTCTGTTTCATTTGCGAAGGACCCCGAGGCCTTATCCTCCCCTGCGACAAACGGAAAGCAAAACACGAATAAGCAAAAGCGGACATCCAACAAGTTGCCTGCCAAATCTCAACCGCAGAGACAAACTGCCGTCAACCTGGGGCCTGCGCTCGACTATTTGCGGCAGTGGCACAAGGCAAGAGACCAGTGGAAGTTCAGTAAGCTGAAGCAAACTAAGCTGCTAGAAAACGTGTTCGCCAACGAAACCACTATCCCGGCCGTTGACATCAATACCTTCTACGACTACATCCGAACGCTCAAGGGCTACGGCAGAATTCGATTGAGAGAGACCGCTACCGAACTCAAGGAGAAGGACATGGAGCAGGGCCCCGCAGGCTTCTCGGCATCCTCAGACGAGGTTGCGAAGAAAAAGCAGGAGGAGTATGATGCAATACTTGAAAGCTACCTACGACAAGAACGGACACCAGAGAAGCGCCGGTTCGACGAAATGGAGTATGTGCTCCGGACCGCCGACATGGAGATGCAGCGACGAGTTGTTAAGCGCATGCGAGCAGAAACCGTCCTTGAGGAACTCGAGGCCAGTGAAGAAGATACAACAAGCACGACCACGACCACGACCACATCTACGACAACAACTGGCACAGCAGGGGAGGCAAGGGAGGCAAGGGAGGCAGGGGGGTCTATGACCAATGAGAGCCGTATAAGGTTAAGCGATGGCACGCTCAAGCGGAAGAGAAGCAGGAAATCACGCACCGCTGACGTTGTCGAAACCGAAACAAGCAGCTCTGAATCCGATTCGAACACCAGTGATAGCTCATCAGAGGACTCAGAGGACTCAGAGGACTCAGAGGATTCAGATGATGAGGAGGAAACCGATGTCAATCTGACAGCGAATGACTCCGATGAATCATCCTCCAGTAGTTCATCGTCATCCTCAGAGTCAGATTCAGATTCGGACGAAGGTGGCGCGGCTGGCGCAGACAGGAATGATCAATAGCAAACATGTGAACCGTGCTGGTTGATCAGGTTGAGTATCAGATACCCTACCAGAATGGCCACATGGCGAAAGTCACCTAAAGGGTTTTGAGACAAGTGACTGAAATATTACAGCACGTCCATCCGTAGGGGAGCTACTTCAATTAAGGTACTCGGATGTTACGCTCATAGACAAGTGCTACACATCAACGGCGAATCAACTGGGGAATCACATGCGATGCCCTCTGGTTCAATGGTCAACTCCCCTTTTACCATGCATTCCGGAAACCAAACACCCTTGACGCCTTGTCCCTATTTATGCCTTCGTATACGTACAATGTTAAACATCAATAATATGAAGGTACAGCCTTCATCGTGTTCTGCGTATACATTTAACGTGACGGAAATTCGCATTCAGAATCCCTGAATTGACTAAACGTCGTCGATAGGGTCTTCCAGGTATTCATAGTCGTCTTCCGGCGGAAGCAAATACGCAGATGTCCCGAGAACGATGGCGAGGAGCACCGATACGCTGGCACTAACGGTGCAGAGAATCCACGAGTAGTCCAGCTTCCATCCTGGCACAGTGAACATCTGGTCGTGGTCGAAGAGGTAGGCCTGTGGAGTGTTAGACATGCCCTGAAGCGAAAGCAGTCGTATCTGCGGCCCCTGTCCACAAAGGCTTCGTGGTCAAATAGAGCACAACTTACAATCAGACCCATGCCAAAGAACTCGATGACAGCATCAGCCAACAACAATCCCCCGATTAGCTTCCAGCCCTCCTCGCGCTTGTACTTCCCGCCGGCCATGACGACGACGAAGGAGACGGCGGTGGCGAGCTCGACGATGGTGGCAAAGGACATCAAGAAGCCGCTGCTCCGCCACATGCTGCAGAAGAATTGGTCACCGCGGCAGTCATCGTCATCGGGGAAACGGCGGCAGTTGGGGTCTGCGGTCGAAGAGCACGACTGGTGCAGGCCCATGTGGTGGCTGAAAGTCGCGTTGGTGTTTTCGGCCGACACCGTGTAAGTAACCCAGTTGGGCGTCAGTATCGATGTTATCGTCATGACAGTGGCTGCCCAAGGGGAAGAAGGTATGTTAGCATCATTGTCATCCCGTGGTAGGTGAGCTGATGATGTTGAGGGTGAAATGGGAGGGGCGATTTATTGTTGGGTCGCACATAGCTAGGACCAAAGAGCATCGACGAAGCCATTCCACCAGCATGAGCAAGCACACTTGCGCCCTTACTTCTCAGCAGGCCACTTGAGTACATCGCGAAGCACGAATAGCTACTTGGCTCGCGGCCCCGGGTGAAGGCGTGCGCTATGGTGGGTCGGCGGGCGACCGTGAGAGATGCAATCGGAACAGGGGCATGACGTACCAGCGACAAAGACACCAAGCGCCACGCTGTAAACAATCATGCGAGTCATGATGGGCGATTGAGTCGAATCCTCGATTCCTACGCTATCCTTCTGCTATGTATTCCTTCAATTCGAGGGTGTTCAGTTTGGTATCCTCATATCAGTCTTTGTCGGGAGGTGTCCTCAAGTTGGTCTGGTGCTTGTGCCGATAATAGGAGTGTAGTGTGGTGTGATATGCACCTTGGAGAGAGAGATCATGGATTACGCATTTTGCTGAGGCGCCACTAGAAATACCAAACAGGCAGTTGCGTCGAGTTGTGTCGCAGGTCATTGATAGTGCATCGCCGATCCTGTGGCTGGTGCACTAACATACCGAAACAATTGCAACAAACCCGGGGTGTATCAGAGCTTCCCAGCTTATCATAGGCAGCTGCAACCGTTCATCGGAGCTTGGCCTACAGAAACCCCGTGCTTGCGGGTAGGTGAGATGTCGTGTCTGTGTGCGACGAATTGCGACCGCTTATCTTATCTCGTCAGCCTGCTTGCCAGGACTCTATTTGGCGATCGGCAGCGAAGCCAGCCTTTTCGGTTTACGAGATACGATCGTCGTCGACCAAGTGGGCGGCATCAATGTCGTCACATAATTGCCGGGGTTGCCACAGCATCTGCAGATCATCTGGGGAGAAATCCAAGTATCATCATGCCGCGAGCAATCCTACAATATCAGTGTACAAAGTGGTTCGAGGCTCAATTCACTCAGAGCATCCCACATCATTGCTCCACGACCCTCGTGGGCTAACACAACGGCATTGTTTTACCAATTACACCCTGTAAAATGATGGAACGGAGGAATGGCTCCAATATGGGAGGCTAACATCGATACTCCGAGATCCTGTCACCGCTTCGAGTGTCATGGCTCTAATTCGAAGTATCCTTATTAGTACTCGTCTATTCCATTGACATAGGAGCTGAGGGGCAGTTACACCAGAGATACATGTCGACACCCATAGGATATTTTTTTTAAATACGCTGTAGGTGTTAACCCTCGGTCCCCCTGCAAGTTTAAGGGGCTATAGATGATATAGCGGGTTCTTAAGCCATGTCGGGCGGTTATACAGGTAAACTTGTAGCCAAACAACTACTAAAGCTCCTGTCCCTCCCTAAGTATGTGCTAGGGCCCCTGCCTGAACTACCGATAAGTGTGGTAATGTGGCACTTAAATTCGTCCTCAGGGGTGGGATGCTGCTGATGTGCACAAGATACTCGACTAATTTTTGTCGCGGCAAGTCGTAGTATCTGCTAATTGGGGTTCTCGTCGAGCGTATACATCTCAACCATACGCTCAAGTGGATAGACCGTAACGTGGGCTAGACGCTCGCAAGAATCGCGGCGAGAGGGCGTGCTACACCCCTTCTATCGTGAGGGGACGGGTTCACCGACGAGCGTTATCGGATAGCCTAGGTCCGATAAGGGGCCGGATTAACGATTCGAATTCTGGACCGGCTGTCGAGTTATATTCCGCCGACATAGTGCTTGACGGTCGAATGGCTAGGATGCTCGTAATCCTAAACTGCACCAATCTTCCTATTATCGCTAGGTAGGCGAAGTCAACAAGGCGGGCAGCGCGCCGTAAGGGTTGACTAAACCCCCTTGTGTATCAGCTGCGGGATTCGAACCCGAAACTCGTCACCGACCCAAGTGGGTGAGGCTCAAATCGGGACTTATCTACCAGCGAAGTGGCCAACTACACCAGCCGACTGAAAAGACCGAAACGAGATCCTAGTTCGTAGCTAAAGGCAGCATGATAGAATATGTAATGCTGATATAAATGATTGACCACATTGATAACCTTGAACAAGTCCAACCAACACCAGATTTCTCACCGTTCGAATCACGAATTGTTTTGGGTTTCCAGTGCCGCAGCGCGCGATCTCAAGATCTCCACGACAAAAACTTCCCAGTCCATGGGATGAAGGTTTAGCATAAATAATGGAAGGATTATGGAGTTATTTGCGGTAATTCAGACCAAAGCCAAGCCGCGATGCCCACAGCAACGTGTCCATCTATAATGATACTTATCTAGCGCGCAACGCAAAAATGGAGACGTGATTTCATGAGCGTAAGAGTTTCGACCGGCTGAATAACTGTATGAGGCTCGTGGAAACAGGCCATGTGTGTCTTGCAGTGCGGAGCTTACGCAGCAGTCTCGACGGGAGCAGAAGGCAATGAGATTGCGAAAGTTTCGGGAAGCTGGAGCTAACAAAGGCCTTGGCTGCATGGATAATGGACAATGGGACAATGGCCAGGTGTGTGCTACTATATCCCAAGTCTGTATATTTCACAGACTTAATTGACTTTTATAATCCATATCTTAGCAGGGCGTACCACACCGTCGGACAAACTCTGTCGAGCTCAGCAGTGGCTGCTTCCAGTGCTTGGCTGACTTCTGCCATGTGAAGCGATGGCCGAAGCAGGGAAGTCGATGCATCATCACCCTGCCCCCACCAAGACCACTACCCTCTTTTGATTTTACCACCATGGAAACGCGCGATGGGGACCATGCTCATGATTCAACATCTGTGATTGGGATCTCGTCGGGGCAATTCAAAGGTGTCCAGGATCAGCACATACCGCGCTACGCCGTCGATATGTCGAGATAGGCTGGCACTTGCGCATTACGCTTCCAGCATCGAATCATGCCCGGACCTGTCTCGCCCAATCCTTACGTTGTCTTCTGATGCCTGATGGACACCTCATGCGGGTCATGCTGCCTATAGCTACGAACTAGGATCTCGTTTCGGTCTTTTCAATGGTCTCCCTCTACTTCATTAGCATGCATGTAGGGCAAAAGTAGGGTAGTATCTCGCACTTCGCACAGGATGCACGTCCGAAGCTACTTACACGATATAGAGACGGTTCGGCACAAGTCCAGATCACGCAAGAATGCACCCACCAGGCGTGACGGTAAAGCCCGAAAAGACCCTAATTGCGGTCGACCGACCTGCATTCCTTGACCTACCGTATCATGATTCATCAGGAATATATAAAAGAATCCACCAGATACGCTTATTTTGTAATTGCATTTCTTCTTTGAGCTAGCTCGCCATTGCACCCCCAAAGGTTACTACCAGAGACGGTGGTCTATGCGGAGACCGGGCAGGCCGTCCATCTATTTACAGTCGATGTGGTCTTCACAGTTTCTTGTCGCATTCTGAGATTCTACCTTCATCCTTCTATACTGTCGCCCGTTTCACCGGTTAGGCCCTTGAACCAGGACATGCGCGTTTCGAACACCATCGGATCTAGGGCAGCAATCGGATAGATCCTCTTTTCTATTCGTGCCATATAGGGCCCCACCCTAGTGATTCTGCACAAACAGACTTACGTATACTCGTGTCCAAGACTGAAACGGCGGCCAATTTATTTCTGGCAGAGATTACTCTGACTCCAGTATCAACACTGTCGACACCGTAAACGGATATCAAATATGGGGAACTGAAGTCAGCTCGCGACAAGGGAGTGCTCAGCACCCTGGGATATACCCGTGGGAACATTTATCACGGGCCACAGAGTTACCTTAAAGAGTGCCTTGGAGGAACTCGATCCTGTAGTTCGTCAAAACCACCAAGCGTTGCAAATTTCGGAAGGAACAACACCCAGTAAAATGGTTGAACATCATCCCGTACAGACGAGCGCCGTCTACCTATGCGGCTCGGCGCAACGCCCACTCGTCGCTCCCCCATCACCTCCTTCCCCCATCACACCAAACGCGACACGGCCCGCCACGCCAATCGAAGAGCTTTGCCTAGACGACGAACCAGCGACAGACAAGCTTGTTGCTGCTGCCGATGCCCACGCAAAACAAAGAATTGCTGGGGCAGTTCATGTATTGAATACCGAGGCAACGTCCTTGCGGAATCTTACTCATCTATACGAATCGGATCCGACCACGGCGGAAGGTTTCAACTCAGCTATAGAAACCATTACAAGATATAAGGGAGGACGGGGCAAAACCGTCTTCATCGGAGTGGGAAAATCGGGCCACATTTGTAAGAAACTTGTGGCCACGTTTAACAGTCTTGGCGTCCATGCCACATACCTCCATCCGACCGAGGCTCTGCATGGCGATTTGGGCAAGATTGGTGAACACGACACCGTCCTCTTCGTCACATTTTCTGGAAAGACACCCGAATTAATCCTCCTCTTGCCACACATCGATGCGGACTTACCCACCATAGTGCTCACGTCTCACACGAAACCCGACGAATGCGAGTTGATACGACAGCGTCCGGGCATGATATTGGTCCCGGCTCCAATTCATGAATCGGAAATGGCATCTTTCGGGGTTTCTGCACCGACAACATCCACTACAATGGCACTTGCAGTTGGCGATGCCCTAGCTGTGGTTGCATCGCAGGAGTTACATAGCAGCGTCGCGGCACTGTTTGGACGCAATCATCCCGGTGGGGCTATTGGTGCCACATACCAGAAACCGCAACGCATAAAGGACCTGATCATTCCTATCTGCGACATCACGTCGGTTTGCTCATACACTGAAGACATGCGAGGTGCCGACGTGCTCAGAGCTGGCTACGATTCTCCTACGGGATGGGTGCGATACGGCGACTTACTAGCCTCGCCTTGCCGCATCCGTCGGCTCGACAGTCTGGACCTAATCAAGCCAACCCGTGATATCCCATGGCTCGGCGCAAGCCGGGAAGAATGGATCACTATTGCTGCAGACACACGTATATCGCAAGCATCTGAGTGGATAAGGGATATGCGGTCGTCTCCAGAAGACCCCTGCGACGAGCATTCCATTCTCGCTGTTATAGATGAGAAGGATATTGTTGGCGTCTTAGAGGCGGGCCAGCTATTAGGGTGGCGAGACTGAGTGACGTGATTGTTTCATCTCATTTTACTGCGCCTGGATCCGTTCTGCTGCGTCGCACTTCATAGCGGCAACAGGGAAAAATTGCTTTTGCGTGAGAATTACTGACGCTGGGCCAGAGCGATCTCTTCCCATCAGTTGGGTGATGGTAAAAACTGGGGCATGAATGTTTGGCAGAATTGCTTGGTAAAGCTTGGTTCGGTATTACTTGTTTCGCGCTATGGTAATGGCACATAAAGAATTTTGGGCACCGTGCGGCGGTTAGAGTAATTTCATGTTCTAGAAACTTGATGACTATTCGCAAGAACATCATGAATTTAAGTGCAATACGTCTACCAATTACTAATTCGCACGCAAAGTAGTGATTTGGCGCATGCGAATTACCCTGATATGAGGTGATATATATTTTCATTGCTAACCGCCGGTCCCCTCCTACGGTATCCACAATTTCAACAATATCAATCTAATTATTCTACAATCTTTATTAATTGATTACGTGACCTAGTCCTCCGCTCTTTTACTTTCCTACATTCTATATGTTGCGATTAATTCCTTATATACCTACCTGTGGAATTGGTGGTCTAAGGTCACATGAGATACAGGCAAGATACATGTGTGCCCCCTGTACTTTCCTTCTTCACCTTCGTATGTTGTCGGAATGCCAATACCAGTACGACCCCACACTACCAAGCCTACTAGCAGGACTATTCGTTATTTCTTTTTAATCTTGTTTACTTTGCTGCCCGACAGAAGCCTACGGCTTATGAAGGTAATGAAGTAGACTAGCTACTGTGTGTGAAAAGATAGCATGGGCCTATGCCTCTATACTAACCCCTAGGCTATTGAGGCCTACAACGAAGGGTAATCTCCGTCTCGCTTTTACATCAGTAAATACTAAGAATTGTTCCCTCGTAACGACATTATCTACAAGCTGTTTTCGCACCTAAGCAGTTTTCGTATAATACTTACCACTTTAATCTCCTGTCTTACTACCTGAAGAGCGGGCTAATCATCCGGGGACTAAGGGTGAAGGTAGATATATTCCGAGACTATATGCCTAATACCTAGTGCCCCCGCTGCCTAGGCTTCTCTCACAACCACAGTGAGTGTAAAGAGAAGCCGGCTTGCAAGTACTGTGCCCAGAATCACTTGTCTTATAAATATAAGTGCAAAGCCTGTAGCTACCTAGTAGCCCTCTACGCCAACTATAAAGGAGACTACGAGGTACTTATTTAGTATTTACGGACATAGAAGTGAGACAGAATTTACCCTTCTTTCTAGGCCTTAACAACCTAGGACTTAGAGTAGGGGCACAGACCCTACTACATTTTCACACACAGTAGCTAGTCTACTTCACTGCCTTCATAAGCCGTAGGCTTCCATAAGGCAGTATAATAAATGAGATTAAAAAGTTATAAAAAAAGGAAATACGAAAAGTATCTCTAACGGCGCCGTTTTCCTTTCATAGGCTAGTCTCTTAGCCACAGTTCGGGCAGTTATTAAATCTGATCCGAGATTACGTGTATATGGCTATGCGATATACTTGGCTCCGGCTTTGCCACCACTGCACGCAGTCTCGTGACTAACTACTTGCTACCACCATGATGAGGCAGGCCTACTCTATTCCAGGCTTGCTATCACCCGGCCAGTCGAAGGACCTATCGCAGGCCCCTTGCTGGCTCTGTCGTTCCGGTGGCGCCTCACTCGGTCATAAGTGGACTGGCATTCCATTTGCCCTCGTAGCGGGCTTGTTTGTGTGTAGGTTTTTGGCGATATCCTTTGTGAGGCTATGACGATGTTATTGTAAAAGAAAAGAACGGAAGAAGGGGATATTAAGATCAAGGGACAAGGCAACACCTAAACTAGACCAGGAGAAGGGATCAGACGTTAGCATTACGCCCTCAGCCTCTTTAATACAGGCAAGCTAGGCGCCTACTGCCAGTTTCTCCACATACACAGCGATGTCACTGATACTACTTGCCAAACTGAATATTCAAGTATTACGACAATATCAGCACTGTTGTCTCTAAATTAGAACCTAGGGGAGTAAATCTTCCTTACTATACACGCTACTGAAGTAAATAATGACATACAACATATAAAATACCATTATGAAATTTTTATTATAGTTGGAAACCCGCTGATATTAAGAATAAGGGGGGGGGGGGGGGGGAAAGGTTGTGTGATTCGAAATGGAATTCAATGAATTATCCTTCCAGCGGAATATTCAGTAGCCAAGCACGTCTGACATGGTGTACCGAAGATGACATCCGGCCATCGGGTCAAGTGCTTTATTGAATATGTGTCAATGTAGCGTTTAGAATGAGTAACGAGGAGTCTAATACGTAAGGGCTCTAATAGGGGTAGATTAACATTATAGTTTTATCACTTACTTTATACCTATTCAGTATTAGGTAGTATATATAAGGGACGAGGTCCCCGGCATTTCATAGATAGACAGTCTCTACTTCAGCAATTGGTCTAGGCATCAATCTAACCCGTTAGTGAGGCACACTGCCTTAACGACTCTATTCTAAACTACCCTTCGTTACTCAGTTACCCAAGCACGTTCCCCATACGTACCTTTATTGTTAATCAAGACCCCGGACGGCAGGACTTACTTGCTAGCATAAACCCTCACAAACACTTTAGTGGTTTACACAACTAGACCACAGAGGTTTCGTTACACCTCAACGCTAGGACGGTAGAGTTAGCCTTGCGCTATTATGCGATTATAGGCAAAACCTCATAAATTTAGCCCGACGTACGTTAACCGTTAACCAAAGACCTTGGTAAGGCCTTCGCTAGCTTATTAGATATCCGGCGCGCCGAGGACAAACATAGAAAGCGATTACGGCTTATAGAAGTAGACAAACAACAATATATCACCGCTTTTCTTGAAACCCCCTCAAAACCGGCAAAGACACGAAAAAACTGAGCACAACGCATAAAAGACAATTGAAATCAGCACTATGTTGCTGCATTAATCAATCGAGTGACAGTCTTAACGATTTCGCTTAATTTTCCGATGTGGTTCGCAAATAGGGACGCGCATTTCATTGAGGAGTCAATGCGGTTATTCCTCACATTTCAAAATGTCATGACTTTTTATTCTTTTTCATTAGTTCCATGGGTATTCGTACAAGCACGACTCCAAATATCTTCATGGTTCAATCGAAGTAACCCAGTCTCGCAAATTCAGTCTTGCACTCCAACCTCACATCTAGTACCCTCGGCCAAGATCCAGGAGACTGTGGCAACAAGAGGGGATTCAAAATTGTCGGTCCTGGATTCCTTCCCTCCTTTTCTTATTCAATGGTCTAGTTCTGTCCGCGCACGGCGTCCTCTCTCGGACGTCGTCTTTAACGCGGGGGGTATATTCTAGGTAATAGTTGACTTTTCATTACGGAAAATGCGATACAAGCTGGGTAGACAAAAGGAAAGGTATCCGGGAAAAGAGGGTAGCGTACAGTGTATGGCCCAAAAGGAATAAACACTCCTTCCCGATATATGCAACATTAGACAAAAAAGGGATTATGTCGTGATTTCGTCGCGACTAACCAAAAGCCGTCCAGACCCAGCCCGGTTGACTCGTTAAGCAATGTTTAAGCTTCGTTCTTTTTATCAGTCGTCGTCGTTGGCATACCCTCCTGGTTGTGGGCTCACGGCGCCACTACCGCTCGCACTGCCGCTGCCTGAGAAATAGCTCTGGTCGATGCGGAAAATCCAGTCGAGTTTCTCCCGCTCGTTGCGAGCCGCAAACAACCACGTATTGTCCGTTCCATAGACGGCAAACACGCCCGATTGTAAGCGCTCGCTGAGACCGCCTAGTCCGGGCCCAGAGGAGCTCATGTCACCGGTTCCTGTCCAAATGGTGGAAACGACGCGACCTGACGGCGTCCGACGATGTCCTGGTCGGAAGTCACCGTTCGTTGTGCCTTCATCCTCGTCTTGTTCGTGATCGTTTCCACTGAACAACGCTAGGATCTCAGGCTGGCTGTCAACCCTCGAGTTGCGAAGACCGACGATCGCCACCTCGTCACCGTCTGTAGCGTTGTGAATGTGGAGATATGGCCTCCGAAGCTCAACGAATCGTTTAACCCACTTGCTGGAGTCGTTGTTCGGCACCAGCAAATATCCACCCTTGAGCACCTTGGGATTCTTGGGTACCTTGACAATCGTCGTGATGAGAGCTGGTGGTTCGGTGGATTCAGGGACAACACCATTTGCTGGTGGCGCCGTGTTCTGGGGACTCAGAATGCGAATGACAGGATCCGGGTGCTTGATCCAAAGTTTCAGGCACTTATCTAAAATCATTGCTTCATGTTCTGGGTACTCTGGCTCCTTGGGTTTCTCCGTAATCTCTTGCGAGCCCGAGCCCGGTGGCTCGGTGTGTGGCTCTCCGGCGGTTTCGGCTTCGGCGGCATCGACTTCTCCAGCTCCTTCTTCATTTGGTGGTTTGGGCGTTGAAGGCCGGGAGGTTTCTGGGGTATCATTTAGCAGTGCATGGATGGAGTCAGCGTCATCGTCGTGACCTTTAAGTGGGGAAAGGCCCGACTCAAGGTGGTTCTCGTCATCCTCAACTGGTTTGTTCTTCGGCTCAGGCAGCCCAATTTTCTTGAGAAACAGTTGCGCCGCCCCAATCTCAGCAATACGCCGCTTCTTCTTGCGTGAAGCAATGAAGTCGCTGATTAGTGATACACCCCTGGGACCCCAGTTGTTCAAATTCTCCTCGCCTTTGACGTAGTCATGCTGGCTGTTCATCCTCCAAAGATCACCAACGCGCTTGATCGGCGCAGGTCGTATACGCACCGTGTACATGGCAGACGACGAATGAACGATTCGGACTCGCTCCCAAAGCGCCGAGAGCATCGAAGCCTGGCGAATGAATGTTCGACCGAGGATCCGGCAGAACAAGTTGGTAGAGAACTTCATAGGTTCGGCCAGTCTCTCAGAGATTATTTCCCAAGAAAGAGACATCTGGACTTTGTATCTGTCGGAGGTTGTACGATCGAGCAAGAGAGAATTGTGCAAGCTCGAGTCCCATTGGCCACTGATCGTCAAGCTTCGAGTGCCATTAGCGTTCTGTCGGAAGGTGGGTTTGGCGCTCAACCGCAGCGGGATGTTTGGAGTAGACGTGCCCATGTCGGGAGTTTTCCCAGCATGATCGACGAGTTGGATCTTGCCAACACAGACTGAGCTGATATCTTCCCAATGCAGCGCATCACCAGAGCTGTGGGTCAGATTTATAGCAATGCGCCGTTGGAGACCTTGGTGCAGCTGGAAAGTGCCACTGTCCAGTTCACCAGTCTGGGTAACCTCGACAGGAACATAGTCGCCATTCTCGGACAGTTCGAGGATCTGGATTCGGGCCAGCACATCGTGCTTCTCCTCGGTATAAAATTGGGATTCGTTCAACCGAGCACCTTTCTTCGCCTTGCCTGCAGAAGCTGATGTCGAGTCGCGCATCTCATCCCAGCTGAGCAGCTTGTCCAAGTGCATCGTAGAAACTTTGGCGAAGATAGCAACCCGCAAATTCACATCCTGTGACCCAAACAAGGGAACGCTCATACTATGAACGCTGTCGAATCTGATAGGTCCCTCGTCGAAGTCCTTGATCATCTGGGTCGTCGTAACGCCGTCTTCCGAAACGCCAGGGATGAACAGTTGCGCATGGACGTCGGTTCCTTCTCGCTCAGCAAATCCAACCATGTCGTGCATAACAACATTGTATTTCAGAGTGCTGGAGGGCGCTCGCGCGCTTGACGGCTCCAGAGAGAGCTTGACTATGCCGATAGCGTGCGACGTGTGCGGTGATAGGACATCCAGAGTAAAATCTTGGACTCGGCTATCAAACACGGCTTTCAAAGGTACGTCTACCTCGCCGACGAGAGAGTATTCGGGCATGCAAGCCTCGACGAATGGATTATCAAACTTGAAGTGTTGAGAGTACTCAGGCTGGTCAAGATACTGGTGCAACTGCCTCATTTGCCGTACGCGGTCGTGAAGCTTATCCAAGCTCCAGACATGTACCACTGTGTTCTTGTAGTCAACAACGCGTACACCGACACATGGTTTTTGGGCTTCTCCAAGCGACATGTCGTCACTCTCGTTGTCGACTCCGTTAAGAACCATATCATACGAGGAGCACAGCGCATGCCCAACATCCACAACGGTAAACTGGAAAACAACATTTTCCCCTAGTTCCTCACTCATGATCTGGGCTTCTTTCAGAGTGGCAGCGTGCTGGAGAATGGCTTCCGCCATTTGGACGTAGTGTCGACTTCTCCAGTGTTTGACGATCTTTTTCGCTCTTTGAATCTCTTCTTCGGAAAGTTTCGGTTTCGCCTTTGGCCTCTTGAGCGGATCCAGCTTCTCTATTTTCGCTTGAAATTCCTGCTTTTGAATATCAAGCTGTTTTTGCATGTCAGCCTTCAGCTGAGTGAGGGTCTCCTCCATCTTGGCCTTTTCCATCCTAATTTCTTCGACTTCAACATTGGCAGCCTCAGCACTCTTAAGCTGACCCTGATATTCGTCCTTCTGTTTCTCTAGTTGCGTCTGCATGACTTCTCGAATCTCCCTCAGCCGCTCGTCCACTTCGCCTGCCTTTGGCGTAGATGGCATCGTTAACGCAGTGTCCAGTGAGAAATTGTCGAGTGTGCCTGTCGACATGTACTTCTCGCGTATCGCATAAGAAGTAACCGAGTCCATGTCTTCATCACCCTCCCTGACGTTGACTCGCTCAGCTCTGGCGCGCTGTACATCCTCGAAGAGGAGATTGAGCTCTTCATCATTCAGGCTAGAGAGGTGCTGTTCGGTTTGGCCGAGTATGGCACCTGCAGCTTCCCTTCGAGCCAGCGACCAGTCTGAATCTCGACCATCGGCCGCGGGGGAGTCCGGACGAATGTCACCAAACTCCGAACCAGCTTTGCTAACCGATCTCTCATGGCTAGGTCGTGGCGGAGTGGGCGATGTACGCTCGAGACTTTGTAGTTGACTCGCAGTAAGCGATTGGCGAAGAAGACTTTGCCGGTTTTCATCGCGTTCAGCTTTGGCCTCCATGGGGTGATTGAATCGGAAGATATGGAAATCCCCCAGGATCACCCGGAAACCAGAGTGTAGACGACTGGGTTCGCTGATACGCTTTCCATTCACCATTACGGCAGCACCCTCGTTAGGCACAATTGTGACAGTCCCGTCGGCGGCATTCTCGAAAGTGCAGTGCTCATGCAGAATTCTTGTTCCGTTCAACCGAATATTCGCCTGGTTCTCGGCGTTTGATTCCACATTCCCAACCGTCGTTGTTCCGGGTTTGATGTTGTATACCAGACATTCGGCCAGAAGAGGATCGTCCGACAGGTTCACCAAATGCGGCATCTTTTTCGGTGTGTGAAGTCCAACAAAGCCCTTCTCAATACTGATTCCGAGCTCTTCGAGGGCAGCTTCCCGTTCCTTGTGGATCTCCTCGGTCTTCTGAAGCTTCTGTTCCCATGTTTGATTCAGGTCCGTCAACAACTTCTCACTTTGGCTGAGCTGCTCAGCAATCTCTGCTTTCGACACCTTCTTGACGGTTCCGTCCGATGATGTGATGCTGACGATCTGCTGTTCTAACGGTGTTCCTTCGGCGTAGACCTCCTCAGGTGGAACGGCGACCCCACCAGCGCCTGCGGCTCCGCCGCCGCCACCCAACTTACTCCGCAGCACAGCAAGCTCTTCTTTGAGTTCTCGTATCATGCGAGCATTCGCATCTTCGTTCACGACGGCGTGGTTCTTGATTCGCTTGGCCGAGTCGGCATATCGGAGTGTGCTGAGAGTTTCATCGTAGTTGATATCAGCAGGACTGATTGCTGCTATCATAGCAGTCATACTGTTTCCACCTAATGAGTCCTTCAGCAGCCATGTAAGGATACTGTCTCTGTACGGGACCTGGCCGCCGGGTCCTTTTTTCTTTTTCCCAGTTGACAAATCAGCCAGTGCAGCAATGACACGACCAAGGGTGGAAAGTGATCTGTTGATTTCGGCTCCTTCCTTGAGACGTGCGCCGGTTGCACCAGTCGATGTCGCTCTTTCAGAACCAGCAAGATCAACCAGACTGATTTTGGCGACTTTCTCCATTTCCATCTTGGTCTCTACGTCAAACTTCTTCTGGGTGAGCATGAGGGTAAAGACGGCATGACTTCGACTGGAGGTTTCGTTCATGTTGGTAGCGGCAACTGTTCTTGCTTTGTTGCCCTCGTCCATCAAGTTCTCGATCTCCTCAAAGCTACCGACGACCAACTTTGCCAAATCTTCCACATATGGACCGGTCGAAGGGTGTTCTCGGACCTTAAGGTTACCCTTGGTGGAAGGGTTGAGAAGATCGCGCACCCGCTCGTTATAGATCTCGAGATACGATACCTCGACCGTACACTTGGAATGGGGGTCTGCTTGCATTGCCGTAATACGCTTGAACATGTCTTGGCAGATCATGGGGATGATACCGTGCTCTTTGCCGTATCCCATCATGGAATACGACTTTCCAGAACCAGTTTGTCCGTAGGCGAAAATACAATTGTTGTAGCCCTGAAATGCATTATCCAGTAAGGGCTTTCCAAGATCCTCGTGCAAATTATCCTGGCCGGCGTAGTTGGGATCGCTCTTGTTGAAAGACCAATACGACCTATCGAAAGCAAAGGCTTTCAGGGGGCCAGTATCTTTGCCACCCTTGGCATTGGTACTATGAGCGATGTTGTCGGGTGTTGTTAAGACGGTCTGGTTGCCTTTCATTTCCACGATACATTTTGCTCCGCGGTCGATTTCTCTCCCGTTGAACGGCCGACATCTCACCACCACCTTGATGTTCCCACCACCACCGGGCGCCATGATCGCGGTTGGAGAGGAGCAGCTCCTTGTCGTCTCCTACGTTGGTACACGGAAGGGTTAATGTCACCGAGACATGCGAAGGTCAGGAGAGGCGCAAATAGTATGCGACGGGGCTGCTGTCGTCGCCGCAAAGGCACGACGAGCGCACTGCCTTGCAACCGCGTCGCAAATGTCGTCGGGTCGGTCGTTGTAATCTCGACTGGCTCCTTATGTGCTCCCAACAGTTTCCTAGCAAATCAGCAAGTTGGTGTTGTCGACATCCCCTTGGTTACGCGGGGAGCTACGGCATGAACCAAAAAAGGCAGCTTCGTGGCGTCGAGGCTGTCGGGCAAAGATGTCGGGGCAAAGGTGCCGGCGTGAAGCGGTGCGTCGACTTTGCGGGATGGAGGAGATGGCCCGGCGGACGGCCGCCGAAGTAGTGGAGGAGGGATCGCTTTGCGCCAGTGAGGATTCGGTTGCAGAAGAACTACTTATCGATATGGTTCTGCAGCTTGTCGGAATGGAAGGGGGGTTTGGCGGCGTGATGATGTTGGCGGAATTCACGGTCACCTGTCAACAAAAAGGTAAAGTTCGGTAATTTGATTTGACAGGAGCCACTGACGCGGTGTTCAGTCGCGCCCCCAAATGTTATGTTCAGCTTCGTCATTTGGTTGAGCGGGAAATTGGAATTGTTCACGTGCCAAAAGGTCCAACCTTGCACACAGAGATCATTCCGATGGTGGGAGGCAGCTGGTGCAGGCTGTCCCCGAGCTGCCAACCTCCACACTTCTAAAGCACTAAAAACTGACAACTCGAAGTTGATGTTTGCTCTGAGAGTAAAAGCTGAATTCCTTCTCAGTAAACATATCTGAGATATACGGCTAGCTGTGTAATGGATGGCAATTAGTGGGATGTGCGATTCGAAGCTTGCTGCTATCAGGATGTACGGCTTATTCCAATGATTGAATATCTGAAAACCGAAAGGGATTCTTGACTGATCTCATTGCCCACTGCTCGGATAGCCTCAGGACATGGAGCCAGTCAGTCAACTGCCAAAATCTCAAGAAATTAACTGAAGAACGAGAAACAAGAAATGAGGAAATGCAAGAGAAATAGCATAAACAGTACGAAGTCCAAAACGACAACTATAATCATCATGTCAATTATCACAGGATTTCCGAGGTGACCATATGCACCGATTGTTAAAGTGGCGATGAAATAGTAGCACCTCTGGAAAACATATCATTTCCAGGTTTATGGCCAGGCTCACATGTACGCAAATAGAAAGATTCAAGAAATAAGTACTCTAATTTCACAGATGAGTAGGATTAAGCTCTCATTAGCCTTGTCTTGATGGCTGCCCTTTGACAAGTGTCCAGCAAGACAGAGCCCCATGGCATCGAGTATCTGACTTGAGGGCGGCACCTGTTGCAGGTCTACTTCAAGCTTAAATCCTTAGCTAACTGCGACTTAGTGGTCGATGGGTAGAAGTTCTTGTTCTTCTCGAACGTCTTGACCGCGAGGTCCCTGTCCACCGCATTGAGATGGCGATACAACGGCCGCACGAATTTCATGCGACCAACACCTCCAAGAAGCTCGACAATGCCGGGGAGTTCCCGCTTGTCGCCGGCTTTCAAGGCGATGACGTAGTACGCCGACTTGAGCTCGACGTTCTTCGAAGAACTAATGTTGTATGTGGTACCAAGAAGATGCGATCTCTCGGCGCTCAGGCTTGGGGAGAAATCCTGCACAGCCTGGAGGAAGACCAACGTCTGATTTGCCGTGAATGGCTCGATATCTTTGGCATCCGGCTTGTATTCCTGCGAAACGTCAACTCGAGTCTCTCAAAGTGACGGTAAAACTGACCTCCTGTTTCCATTTCTCGGCCAAGGCCAAGCAACTGTCCACGTAGGAAGTGTCAAAGTCTGGCTTTGGGGGGAGGCCAGGCTTGTAGAAGCGCTCCTCCCAGGGGATCTGCGCAATCCTTTCCTTGATCTCTTCGTTTCCATAGCCGTTGAAGAAATCTAAAAAGGTCTGCTTGAACTCAAATGAATCCAGAGATTTGCGAGCCCACGTCTGGAAATAGTGAGGAATGAACTTGTCGAAGTGTTCCCGACCAACTAGCCTATCTAGATAGTAAAGGAAGTGACTAATGCACGCTCAGTGTTAGCGATCGCTGCTTATAGCTTATCCCAGAAGCGTCAAATTCTCTCACTCGGAGAGAGTTCTCTGCAAATTCACAAGAAAGGAAACAAGAGGGCGCAGAGAGTGACGTACAATCCCTTCTCGTATGGGACGGAGCTAAAGGCATCCTCTGGGTCGACTCCTTTGTGACTGACGATTAGCTTGGTAAACTCGTGGTCATCGCCAAACAGCTTGACCGAGTCCTCTAGCGCTTTCCAGCCTATGATGGCGGAGAAATCGAACTGAGGCTCGCCGTGTAAAGCAGCGCCTATTCGGCGTTCGAGATAGGTCGTCCACCCCTCATTGAGCCAGCTGCCACATATGATGTTAGTTCTCAACGCACAGTTAAGGGGGAGGGAATTTCCAGGGTACGAACAAATGTTCCCAGCTACAAGTAGAGACAAGGTTACCGCTCCAACTGTGTGACAGTTCATGTGCAATGACGTCTACATTCTGTCTATCTCCACTTATGATGGTAGGTGTCGCGAATGTGAAGATAGGGTTCTCCATGCCTGGTTCCTGTCAGTGAAGTGCTCGATTTGGTTTTCCCGGTATCAGTTTGCATTCTCACCTCCGTAGGCAAAACTCGGGGGCAGCACCAGAACATTATACTCCCCCCATTGGTAGTCAAACACAAGCTTCTGGGCCACATCAAGGAACTTGTCCACTGCGACACGGAGTGTTAATGCTTAATACTCCATCGACCTATCAAGGACCTCAGGCCATGTCTCGAAAGCAAAAGCTCTTGTACCGGTTCAATGATAACAGATTTTGCTCTTGAGGCTGCCTGGAAAGGGGTTGAACGGGGCTAGACTTAGGGGGTTATATACTGTCTCCTTTAAGTTCCCATTGGGCACCATCAATCGCCTCCGGACCTGTCGCCACGACCGAGTTCTTGCCAATGGGTGCGAAAGCCAAGTCTCCTGATGCCAAGGCGAAGAGGTACGACGGGATAGGAACCTTCTGTTCGAATTGGAATAGCTTCTCTCCCTCACCCGCGGTGTCCGAAGGAACTGGAACACCGCTTGCAACGACGGGAAGACGAGAAGTGATATTGAACGTGAAGGTGGACTTTACGTCAGGCGTATCTTGACAAGGGAAGATGGATCGTGCCAGAATCGCCTGACACTGCGAGTAGACGTACGGGTGTTTCTTGTTGCCCGTTTGTTCAGGAGTCATCCACTGGAGACCCAGGCATTTTGACGTGGTCTCGAGTACGATATCAAGCTTGACGGATTCTCCTTTGGTGACACCATCGGGCACAGAGATATAGAGTGGTGCCCCATACGGCTCGACTCTGTCCCGGATCTCCCAGGGAAATTCCGAGGAGTCCAGCTTTACCGAAGTGACAGTCAGGAAGTTGGTGTCAAGCACGATCTCCTTGCTTTCCTTGTCCGTTAGCGATTCCAGCTTGAGTGAGACGGAACCCTCAAGACGCTGCTTTTCAAAGTTGACTTTGAAGTCAACCGTGGTGTGGCGGGTGAGCCAGCAGTTGTAGTTGGACAAGGTGTTGGGGTCTCGTGGTGCCATTTTGCTCGGGCCGAGACTGTACTGGCGCAATTGCGAAGGACTTCTTGACGACCACGAAGGACTTCGTATGGTGACTTGCAGACTTTTGAACAGAAAACTGTCCTTGGTGAAGCTTGAAGGTCCCCGCATTAGGGTGTTGCTTCGACGTTCAACGATGTGTTTTGTTAAACTTTCTTCCACATCCGAGCTTGCTGTAAAAGTTGACAACGTTTGACGACGTCCACTTCAGGTTGTGGCTACCGTTTACTTCCAACCAATCACAATTGCAAGCCAAAAGCTTTTCCTATTCAAGCCACAGATCGCGCCGACTTCAAATTGGTTCACCAATCAACTTTAGCGGTATTGATACCGGGTAGCTTCGCAAGTCGTTCTCCTCACAATGGCATGTTCAGACCAGTACAGTTGTAAAATTATCATTAATTATCATGACCCCAAGGAGGGTCACCCTGTAGCTATAGATGGGATAAGATAGGCAGCCCAATAGGGCTTTCGGCTAGCTAGATAGCTAGCTAACCAAGCTTCCCCAATATAACAAGTCACACCACTATATGCACACGCATCAAGCTACTGAAACAAGGTCAGGCAGTCAGTAGGATGTGCCCACCCCAACAGGATTCTATCTGTTGGTCTGATCAGACGAAGATCGTGGCGCTGGCTGTAAGAGCTTCGGTCCTACAGCTCTTGTGCGCAAGTTGGTCAGATGTGCCTCTGTAACCGCCGCGGGACAATTCACAGAATAAGACGCCTGCCTCTGAGAGTCGAATTGAAGCTGTCGCCGGCACTGGATTAGCCTGATCAGGACAAGATGAAGGCTTCTGTAGCTGTCAAGGCTAAGATAAGGGCAAAATAATGGATCGTTGAAAGCTACGTCCGAATGCCTGTATGTATGAAATGAATAAGCTCAAGATTGACTGACTAAGTGAAAGACGAAGGTTGAGAAGACGATGATGATGATGAAAGGGATGGTCATGGGGAAGATGGTGATCGGTCCCCGCATACATCTTGAAGAGAAGAAAAGGGAGTCCTCCCTGCCCCCTGCCACCCATTTTCCCTGATGACCGGCCTGGCCCCACTACACTATTTATAACTTACTACTCTATATAGACTAAAAGATCTAGTAGTTCAATTACGTTATATGAAAATAGCAGCCTAACGTTATAAAGTAAGGTATATCTAAGATACCTCAGGACCCTTATACGGCGTAGACCCGTGTACCTATACTTCCATACTTTACCTGATTATATAGCCGGAATGTTAATGCCAGTACGATCCTATGCTTTCTACTTAAATCCGGGCTTATCTGTGCCTTTAAGCCCTATATTTTCTTTTAATGATAGAGTAATAGCTAGTCATAACTGCTTTCTGTAAACTATAGTCTATGCGCTAAACTTCATTTAAAATTGTGTTCTTAATTTAGTAAAGACAACTAAATAGACTTCCCCTAGTATAAGCCGTGTTTCGAGTAGCTAGGGCTACGTTGACTAAATCCCCGGGTTGATCATAGCGAGAGAGAGAAGCTTTTAGTATCTGGTAGTAGCAAGCCTATGGACTGTAGTAGAGATAATCCAATAGAACAACTTGATATATGAAAGAAGAAACATTAGAACTTGAAACAACTGGCAGTTGATTATGTACTTACTGAGACGAAAGTAAAGCTATTACAAAAATGTCGCTTCCAAAACATGCTCGGTTGTCAACAGCCCCAAAGCCCATCACTTCCTGCTGACATCACATTCACCTGCCGGAAATCACGTACTCAAGTCCCCACAAACCAAACGATTCTCTTCCTTGAAGGTGCGTAACTACGCAACGCCTGGTGGCTTTGCAGCATGAAGGTGGCGGACAAAACTCGAGGCATTTCTACTTGGTGCAAGCGATGTTTCGGCTGAGTTCATGCTTTGTTAGGGCAAAGACAAATCAAAACTGAGAGCGCGCTCGGTCTGGTTCGTCCCATCTCGTCGGTGCATCAAGATCCATATTCGGCATAATCGATCGCAGAGCATGGTGTTGTCGATAATGGATGGGAGCTCTTGAAACAGCTACCACCAAACAACTCCATCCCTTGTTCAAGTCCAGCATCGCGATTGGAGTAGAAGAAAGGGAAGTGGCAAGGAAGTTCACTGCCCACCCGGCCGCATACCAAGACAGGCAGGTGGCCAGCCACTTTGCAGTTGGGACGAAAATTCTCCTAGGCTCCCTTGGTAGGTTTGAATGTGATGCTTCAAGAGCCCCCTTTCTTCCCAGCATGCCAAGCATCCGGGGTTTGGTGCATCGTCGCACGACATGTGGAAAAATTCCTAGAAGGCTGCAACTACGTGGAGGTTCGTTGAGACGTAGTATCTACAGTCACAGCTGGTAGTCGCTGGAACTCGGCAAGGTCGGTTGGCTGTGGGTTACGTACCACCGCACTGGCCAACAAGTGGCTGCTCAACGGCGCCGCCGAACGGCAACGACAGTGTGACACAGAGCGTGGGGTGGTCATCACGATGTTGCTCGATGTGTTCCCCTGCAACAATCAAAGCTACGCAATTCTTTGGTTACGGCACTGCCTCGGAGATTGACGAGTTTAATCAATGGCACTTTGACAGGTAACCCAAGCCCTCACCATCTTGGGAAACGCTGTGTTTATTTTGGGCCAAACGAAGAGCCGCGCTTCTCGAGGAGGCTTGGGTACCTTGCATGGTACTTGCAACTGAGCGCTTCGTCTAGATGTGTGGGAGCATCTTTTATGAGAGGAGGCACGCTCTCAGACACAATCCTGATAAATGTCTCGGTACCCCAGATTAGCCAATGACTAATGCAATTGCGGTTGCGACATGTAATCGTCTTCGATTTGGGTTTTGATGAGTTCAGCAGTCTGGAATTGATATCAATTTTGACGCTCGAACAGCGTCGACCAAAGTGCTTTTCTGACGAGCTTAATCCTATTGGTAGTCGAAATTGACGGGTAGAATTGAAGCTTAAATCAGCCGTTAAGGGATCGCGAACAGGTGGGTAAGGAGAGTTGGCACCCCGCGTTGGCCGTGATAGGCGGACAGATGCAATAAGGTTGCAACTTTGGTGCAATAACGGCCAAGTCTTATGGGTCCCAAGGGATCAACCAACCATGACATAGCCATGGCTATTGTGTGGAATATATCAATTTTACCCAACAAAGCCCGACTCTCAAGCTCGAACTTGTCAAAACACCCATGTCTGTTTGATCCCATCACATACACATACATAACAAACCATCTACAGTGATTAGTATGCAGCGTTTCTGCGCAACCCTCGAGCCTCGCGCAACTTTTGCTGAGATTATGCGGGTGACGACAGTAAGCACTTGGACCGACTGGGAGCCCAAGTAGCCGGGACGATGCCGTTTCGAGCAGAGTCGACCGACATTTGTTAGCCGCTCAGCCTCCTACGAGCCCTGTTGCAGGATGGATGCGTCGTTAGGGGTTGATGATGGCACGATGCAAAAATGCCTTCGCCAAACGCTAGCAGGGCTCGGGAAGACGGGGTTTTAGGTTTAGCTGGAAGTTCAGAAAGGTATGTTCTTCAGAGAAACGGTTTGGTGTGTCTACGAGTCCGGAGATGACATCTGCTAGCCTCAACCCCGGAGACTACCTCAGGTGCCTGTCATGGCATATGCCTTGTGCGCTGTTTGCCACACAGATACTCACGATGAGAGGCATTGAATTTCCGGGATTTTCTCAATCTTGACAGCCGGCGGACGTTTTCTGAAGTCCTGGGACAGACTGTCCGGCCTGCCAGGTCTAGTGGAGGACTAGCTCGGTTTTCAGCTCTGCTCGGTCTGCCACAGCAATCGCAAAAGGATAATGGAAATACATTTTGCTCCAGCATCGCACATCAATGTAGCCCATCTCGAAGAGCTTTGGACGCGATAAAATCTTGACGGTGGCCTTTTGCTTGCGTTACCCTTCTAACAGGCGGGTAGAATTCGACGACCCCGAGGCCAAAGAGATTTTTACGGTCGCTAATTGGCACCTACATCCCTGCCGCTTCCTAATTAGCGGACATATCGCTTGGACACAAAATGTACCGACTTACAGACACTCTAGTTATTATGTGCATGAGTTGATGAAACTGCATTAGCGAGCCCTCATCGCCACGGTGCCCAAGTTCCTGCTTCGCTATATTAAAGTAAGGTTGCTCCTAGACGCACATTGGCTAACCGAATCTCCTTGTAAGGAGTCCGCCCAGATTGGTCCAGAAAGCCTGAAACATTGCTCATTGGCACCCCGCACTTTGCAAAACAACAAGAAAGGGGGCTTTGCTCAAGTGCGCGTGCAGGCAGGTTGCTGGACAGCCTCAGTCTCGTACGAGCCAACGAGTCAGGAACAAGCTGTTGCCCAACAATCTCAAGTGCTTGGATCATCTCACTTGCAAACGACGAGCCATTTTCGCGCTTGCGATGAGAGCGACTGATAATGCGTCAACTTATCTTCGGAGTATTGACACCACCATTTTCACTGGTTTACGCACTTGCCCACGGCATCGTCGCATCTCGACGCTTCATGCATGCAATGCAATGCACCAAATTTGTCCCGAAACTTGTAAAACGTCCGAAGGGTGCCATTCCAGTGGGAACGCCTTTGTTTGCAATGACGCGAAAATAGCAACGCCCTCACACACACACACACACACACACAGTGTCGAGGAACAGGTACGAAAGTACTAGCCCATAGTGCGGGAACGCCGGTTTGTCGCCGATAGGCCACGGTGCCCTGGAAAGACGGGCAGCGTTATGGATGGACCGACGGAGGTAGGGTTCCTCTTCGATATCGTAACAATTATGATTGAGAACCCCTGTGAATCGGGCACACTTTGCGGCAATGGACGAGATCTACAAAAAGATCTCGCCTCCCTATTGGCTGAGAGGCTACTTAGTTAAGCCTTGTCTCTCGACACTTCTGCAGCAACTACTTGGTGTAACGCATGCCTGTTGTAAGGGGTTCATTTTCACTCTATTCGATGATAGCTCCACCAAGTGCCGCTGTCGCCACCGTGAGCGAGATAGTTAGAGAATCGGTTTGAATATAGAGAAGCTTATCGAATCCACAGAAACAACGGGCATGGATGATGAGATAACAAAAGATAAAAATGCCCCAAAAAACCCAATTGCCGCCAACCTCTGTGGCAGTTTGAAATTTCGGCTTCATCTATTACCGTCTCCTGGTCCCCACGTGGTTTTGGCAGGGACCATATCGTCAAAACTCGTCATCTCTGTGAAACTTGGGGGACTTGGGACGACGGCCAGGTAGCCAGGCCACGAAAATGTTCCACTTCCCAAACCGCCGCAAGTGTCGGTTTTAACGATGCACTGGACTAGAGAATGGTGTTCGAGTTGAACGGGCATGCAACCGTTTCCAGGGTTGATGGTTGCTCGGTTGAATGTGTCGGTGTGACGGGCTGCTTGTCATCACCTTATCTTCGACGCCATTGATTCACGATCCCGGAGATATGGCAAGTCAGGTGCGACCCGTGGGTTCCTGATATCAGGGTCGTACTGAAAGCCCAAATACCAACCTGGTTGGCATTGCGGAGTTCATTGTGGCTTGCAGATCTGGACTTGCTCAAGGTGACATTGTAATGGAAATGTGATTGAAAAGGGCGCACAAAAATAGAGAGATCCATCCAAAACCCCAGGTCGAGTTTTTGCTACGGGCTGGGGATAGAAACTGACCATCCTGCTGTGAATCTCGATGGCTGTGAGAGGTCAGAAGGTGTAGTTACCTTACACGCCCCCACGGCACCTATTGCGAAGATGCGCAGAAACGATATCATATGACAGCATCTCAGAGATTACATCGGAAGAACTTGACAATATTGGCCACAGTCGTCCGAAATTTGTACAGGGGATTATTACACGCCTTGCATGACCGGTAGTTGCCTTCGCCCCAGCAGCGGAAACCGAAACGTAGAATAATAAAGTGGCGGGCAGCTTGAAGCATCGTAGAGTGGAGACCTGCGAGTGGTTTCGGACAAGAACATGATTGTGATGAGGCTTGGCAGATGTTAGTCGACTACTATATAGCGCGGGAGAGACAAGGGACTGACACAAGTGACAAGGGTCATTTGGTATAGTCTACGGTGTAGTCGGGGAGAGTTGGAAGAGTTGCCGCCGCCAATTGTTTCCTCGAACTGGTTTTGGCAGGGTTCCAGCGCGACTTCCTACTTTTACCAAAACTTGGGCTCGTTCGCAGACTTCATCATTATGAAGACTCCCATCTTGTCGGGTGTCTTGTGTGAGTGCTCAATCGACGATGGTCAGGGTTCAGCATAAACTGTATCGACAACCTGCGACTTCAACCGAATACTGTCGTTGCTCATAAGGGCATAGAATCTAGGCTGTAGCCTGCTACTATAGCTTCTAGCGTCGCTTGACGCCGCTACACCCCACGGACCACCAGCGATTACCTACGATGCACTGAACTCTCCCGGAGATGCTGCACGCTTTGAGCTGACTGACTCCGGCATGAGAAACCCACGAGATACAAATGGCATTTGCCGCTAAGCATTATTGGCCCCAGTCGCACATGTTATAATCTTTAATTGCATGCGCGGTGACAGACTCGTTATCTGAAGTCAATTTATGGCACAGATTACTTACAAAGTACTTGTAGAATGGAGGCTCCGGCTTGGCCCTTCGGCTAGACGGCAGTTGGCTAATTACTCGACCACTGTAATTCCACGTGGTTTTAAACCACCTTCGCACCGTCCAGTGTCAATGCCGATCTCGACGGCTAGACCTAACGTTGAGATTGTCGTGTGGTCCGTGCGGAAACATCATATACAGTATCTGAGCATGGTTTTACAGAAGTAGGACCGCCACTGCCGTCATTGCCTCTCACAACTCGACATCCTACTACGGAGTATTAACAGTGTGAACTGGATAAGCGAACGATATTAATGCCCTAAATTTCCATCATAAAATTGGGATGGAGGCGAGTTGTTTCGCAAAAGATTAGATGGTACATGCAGTGGAAGTTATTCTGGCATGTCATCTCGGACTCGAGCTTTCATGTATTGTCGGCACTCGAAGTTATGATGGAACAGCAGGGCGAAATCTGGGCAATAGCCGATGCAGGCGGTCATTGACCCCTAGATTGTACGCCACGAGGTCTACAAGTGGTGGAGAAGCTATCTGCTTGCTGGACAGATTGCCACAGTGGTTTTACCCTGAAAAGTTCTTCATGCAGCTTGATAACAACTCTTGGGTCTAAACTCAGGCGTTCCCCGTCCCCGCAACCACGGGAAAACTCTCCGGCGGCAGGTGCTAGTTTCGTCAGCGAATCATACCTAAAGTTGTCAAGACTCTGCATGGCGGATGGCATCATGAATACACTTCTCAATTGATGCCCTAAGGTTAACTTGCCCGTGTCCGTTCTCACCTCATAGCTGTTGCGAATACTTTCTGATATTCACGCACCGCGTATCACAACCAGCCCGGTTTTCGTCAAGCTGCGGCAAAATGCCTTGATGCAAAAGATTTAAATAAAATAAAAATAATGGCATTGCAAGTCAAGTCGGGGAATCAATTGTTGACCACTAATAATGCTTTAGGTAGCTGCATTGGTTTCAACCAGTATGCAACTATGACGATCTCAGTCTCATGTGAACAACCAGGACCACGCTGACGACGTTCCTGGATCCCCTAGACGTCAGAAGAAATTGCCCTTGCATCTGTCAAGTATATCCCTCTTACTCTCAAACGTGATATACTTCGTAGTCTGATCACCGCTGTTGGGGATACAGCCATGCACTTGTCAAGTGGCGGCCATTGCGTACTACTCGTCAAGTCACCATGAGACAACGGAGATCAACATGATGATTCATTGCAGTCGTGAGTCATTCAACATTGGATTGTCTGTGCTGGCAGAAGCTCTACGTCGATGTGTCTATTTCTCATAACAATGAAGCATTGTGCATATCCACTTACTCATATCATGTCCGTCGGTTGGCCGCACGGGCGCACATCATAGAACTGCGGGCAGACAAACTTGGCATTTGCTCTAATCATTGGAGGTCCACTAAACAAAGAAACGGAGATCGTCGACGACAGGGAAACAAGTTGTTTTTCTCACCAGTCTCTTCCGCCGATGGAGACCGGTTTTGGAGATTTGAAGCTGAGACGAGAGTGCACAGGCTTTCATGATTCATTCCAAACCACCTTCGCTTCCGTTGATTCTAGTCCATAATTCCACTGAGTAGATATGTGACAGGTGCCACTCCACCTGTGACTTTAATGTCTGCCTTCTGGGTACGTAGCTATGCAGTAGTGGCGGCTTCGTTATGTGCATTCGCATGCTGAGTTCTATAAGCCATTCGCAATGCCTGTTTCAACCGCCTTTTGTCACTTGTTTGGTAGCTGGGCAGTCGAAACGGAATTCAAGTCCTGGGAACAGGGGCATCCGGCGGATGCAGGCAGCCAACGGCGGTGATTGGGGCAGCCAGCCACAGCAGCTGTACGTGTAGTCAAAGTAAAAGTTAGCGAAGTCGCAGATGTCTCCTTTTTCTCGATAGAAGAAATTCATATCAACAAGCATGGCATACTGCAGGGTATACCTGGCTTCGTTCTAGCCTGACAAGACCCTGGCTGCGGTAGTAGCGGGGTGGGCCCTGTCTAATTGAGAAACCCTGTCGAGGGCTTAAGCGGTTTCAGTATCCCTCGTCCAAGCAGCTTCTCGACTTGTTCCCAGCAACCGCCTATGCCCTTCTCGTATCTTTGGCCCGATCCTAGGAAAAGCAGAGCTTTCGTCTCGTCACTCTGCCAAAGGATTCAAGTTGCGCATTGGATCTGATGCGATGCGGCGCCAGTCCGCCTTGAGGCATGCACGCCACGGCAGGAGGTACCTTTGAGGACATGCAGCAGCATCCTGTCTCGGACCAGACAGCCAGCCCACTGGCTGGCTCCAAGCTTTCCCATGCAGGTCCACGGCGTATACCAATGCCAATTTGATATTCTCCTGTCCCCTCTGTTCTCTTCACTTGTTGACCTGCGGAATACAAGAGCAACACGTGGACGATATATTTGGAGTCGTGGGCCCAGCAGACCCCATCCCTCCTTTGCTTCTCTCCCTATAACAGGCAGGGCCGTACTTTAAGAGTTGGCATATACCCAGATATCGTAGGGTTTCCTGTCCCTGTCGCGCGAGGAGGACCATGCGAGAGCTCTCCACTGCCCGACTTGAGACATTGCTATGGTACTAGTGCAAACATATATATCGTCACCCGTCTTCTCCTCTCCTCCATCCGTCGAGACTTAACGGGGGCTTTTGTTTTTTAATCTATTTCCTTGCGCGTAGCGGTCTCGTCTTATTATCGCCCGTCCTGCCATTTATATCATACTCGGGGGTCATATAGTCTCCATGGCCCACATCATTACCTGCATGGTCGAAGGAGACGCCGAACCGAACAATGTCAAGGAATATATAGGGAAGCGGCTCTCAGCAAAGGCTTCAGCAGACTCGGTAAGAGTGTTCCCACTCTCCACCCATTAACGGCACCCTCAGTTCGACTTGACCTCGAGCTGACTTTTTGCTTGTTACGCAGCTGGCCTCGACAAGTTCATGCGAAGAGAAGAAGCCGTACGCCTGGAGGATGCACCAACCGGAGACGCGAAAATACCATCTATTTCCGAAGGAAAGGCAGCTTCCCGTTATCAAGGCGTACGACCCCGAACAAGCCTGCTCGGCCGCCATGAGTCAACCAGGAGACAAGCCTGACCGGGTTGAGGAGAAAGAAAAGAAATCGAGTGGACTACGTATGAGGATCAAGGAGCACAATCTCATCCGCCGGCGGAAAGTGAGCCTTGCCGACCTCGGGCCCATGACGACGGTGCAGGAGGTCCCCATGGATTCTCGTAAGTTGACTTGTTTACTTGGAACAGGTTCACATATGTGCAGCGGCCTAACAGATGACAGCAACCATCCCAGGCCGACCCGCCTTGCATGAACGGTCAATCAGCTCGCCAGTCAATACGTACCGCCAGCACAATCTCGTCGAGTCTGTTTCATGCGAGGAAGATACGACAGATGAGAGCAGCGGGATGAGCACGACGATAGTGGGTCCCGATGAAACGCCCAAAGCCTACCACACCATGGCACGACAACCACTTTCACCCAAGAGTCTGGCTCCTCTGGTGATACCGGCTCAAAACTGCTCGATGCATCAACTGGCCCGGCAACTATCCCTGAGCCGGTCTCGATCCGGGAGCACGCCTACCGAATCGGCTTTACGGTCCGCCAGGACGGACGAATCTCCATGGACCCGGACGCCCTACACTCCCTTTACGCCCTCGTCTTACAGTACGGCCCCTAACTCGGCACTAACGACATCTACCCTTCCCACGCCCGTCTCGGCATGTCCAGAATCGCGCGACTTCCCCCGATCGTGGGAGAACATGTCCAACATGTCTACCTTAACGCCGGTAACCACGCCACAGATGAGCGGTAGCGAGTGCTCCTCAATGTGCAGAGCCGAGGGCGACTTTACGTCACGCAGCGGGACTGCAATGTCTCACAGGAGAAACGTCTCCGAGACCAGCAGTATTATGGAGCGTGGCCGACCAAGGAAACGTAGTGATGGGACCCCCGTTGGTGCGACGGCCAAGAGGACTGGCTCCAAGCGAGATGCCAGCGCCGAGCGTCGTGCTTTCGAAGTACTGCCTCAGGGGTTCAGGCCCACCGAGGCCGCCAAGATGATCGATCATAGCGAGCTCGACTATTTGCAAAAACAAGCTCTCGGACAGGCTCTGAGATTCGAGGTGCTGAAGAAAGATGACGTGGAAAGTCTGTCCAAGGTATGTGTGAACCTGACCTTTAACCACATTGGGAGGAGGCTTGACTAACGTTGAATAGGAACTTCGCCATCTTGATGAACGAACTGAGTATCTGCGGCGCACTTACACCTCTCTGCGTGCTGGTCGTCGCAACCTTCATTCGCGTATTTGCCAGTATCTTCGTTCACCTCGAACTGCTAGGTTCAGTCATGAGTCCATGCTCAAGCAGGAGGAGGCTCTGGCGGAGCTGGATACCTCCATTGACGACTGGGTGACCAAGCTGGAGGCTGCCGACAACCGCCGCACACGTGTTAGGCAAAAGCTTCTCGAACACGTCGCTGCTGCAGCCACCATGGCCTGTTCTTCAGACATCGGCCGCGTCAGCGAGACACTGCAACTGGCAATGGGTGGAGCCCAACCGTCAACCGACGCCACGGATATTTCTACACCCCCTCGAAGCCCAAGCAAGACGCCATCTCTGTATGCTCAATCCCCGTCCCCATCTCCACACCGATTCGTTCCCCGCGTTCCGTCTGTCATTCCAGAGGCTCCTTGTGAGGAGGCTGCTACTGTCGGTCTGGGACTCGACGCTGGCGACTGCACACACCGCTCCACTCTGCAACAACGAATGGAGAGTATTCGCATCTACGCCGATAGCGATGTGTATGCTCTACTAGCTGATGTCGAGAGCGAATTCACCAAACTTAGCGGTAGCGGTCAAAGCCCCATGAGTCCAGAGCCCGTCAAAGCCGATCTGTCCGAAGAGAAGATGAAGGAGCTGCATCGTGCCCGCAGTCACGAAATGCTTCACGGCTTCGTCTTCAAGCCGACGGACAAGACACTTACCGCCTGCCCGCCAGCTCCTCCGCCTCCCCTGAAGGATTCACCCACCGGCGACGGTGATATTTTTCTCACCGCTGCCGTCTTCAACCCAGGGAACCCCGCCGCTGCCAAAGGCTAAACACTTCAACATTACACTCGCAGCGCGGACGTAACCACCACCAGCATTCCAGTCATTTCCTTATCGACTATCTAACCGGGCTTCCATATTTTCCTACGAAGGCTCCACGTTAAATGACATTACGGCCGACCGGAACACACTCATTTGCATTCTACTATAGAATCGCTACTTTCATTACCACTCATTGCATCTTAGCATATATTTGGCAGTGCCAACTCTGTCCGAGCCAATGGCTTTCGTTGTCACATCACACTCTGGTGCATTCTTTACCTGTATAACTTACACTCTTATTTTCCTTTCTACATTTGGCCACTTAGAGTTGGCGGCACTATTATTGTACTTGTTCCTTCATATATACGACCTCACGGCCGTACAGATACCCCCTGTTGCGCTAGCTAGCTATACTTAGACTTCGGTCTTGCGATCGAAGCCCCAACATTCACCCATATATTTTCTCACCTGTCTTTACTATGACACTTGATGCGTATTGCATAGATACGCACGGCCTTGATCTGGTTGGTGATGGTAGAGTGGTGAAATAAGCTTAGGAAACAACTCATACCAACAACACAAAAAGTTGTCATAACCACAGTACCTCTCTTCGATATTGAGCTTCGGGGTTTCCGTTACGAACATATTCATAACTCAGAACCTGAGACAGTACATACATAGGCAGCAGCTTGAACAATACCAAACACTGTCTCAAACACAATTTCCACTGCAATGAATCACGCCGACGTAGAAATCAACTCGCATCAGTAATAGAACCTGCCCTTCAGGTGCTACCACTCTGCTAACATAAGGTAGTACACAACTGCGAGGTGTTACCGCTCAAATCGATTCTCGCATCCATCCAGGTGATGCTCCCACGGAACCACGCGGGCGGATTGATCCACTTGGTCACTACCTGTCTAACGAGGCAGCCGAGTTGATAGATGTTTCAGGCTACTCAGCGTAGCAAATATGCAGGTGGGGTTGATTGAGGCGTCTTGGCATAATCTCCTGCTCTCTGTACCTCAACCAGCTGATCACCGAAGTTCGAGGAAAAACCATGCACAGCATATGACTTCAAGAACAGTCAGTCATGATACCTATCCACATCGGCCGATGCGCACCGAATCTCTCTGGCTCGCGCCCTCTGACTTGAGTCGAGACAGCGTCACCGTCGTATTAACACGATCGGCTGCAACATACCGGTAGTCTGTTCTACCACTCTACTCCAATTTAATCTAAATCAATCTGGAACTACGATCGTCCCGCCTTCCCTTTCTTTCAACCCACCATATCGTAACCTAAACATCCGCCAGACGAGGGTCAATCACTCAACCCAAAATTGGACATCCAAACCTATGATGGCTACGACGTACAAAGCATCGGGCGGCAGAGAAACCTCGGCCACAAGCAACGCTCAGCGACCCGTTCATCAGAGGTGTCTCGCCGAACCTTGCGCAAGTCAAGCTTTTCTCCAGCATACTAAGGAAATAATTTCAAATCACCTTGCTGGCTTGGCAAGTACAAAGCAGTTCTCAGCGCAAGCAAGGCTCCTGCCTGCTTTTTCAACGGACTATCGCGCACGAATGTAACGTCAAGGTCCATACGCTTGCATATGGGGCCAACACGGAAAAGGAAAAGAAAGCTGCCTACAACGTACACGAGGATGACATACTCCACAAACTAACTGCAAAGCGGGACAGGTTGGTCCCTGAAAATGGGGCAACCGCAGATTTGACTTGCACCAGACCGCCCCGGCGGCTGTCAGGGTGAAGTCATGAGGAATGGGGTGGAGGACAAAGCGCACATAGGCCGGTTGCAGGGGAAAGGATGTCCACTGCTGGCGTTGAGCTTGCGGGCCGAGCTTTTCATTTGTTCTTTTTTCGTTTTTTTTTCTTCCTTATTTCGGTTGCGCCTGTGGACACCATCTGTACCAGGCAGTGCTCGGGTCAGTTGTAGGAATCGGTCAATTCCCATGGTTGATTGTCGCCGGGGAAGGATTTTTTTCTTGGCCAATTCCAATGCGAGATTCCACGGATCAAAATAATTCATATGCGAGCGGCATTATAGGAGGGTTTGACTTGTATGGAAGTCCCTTTAACCTTCTCTGAGCTCTGACAATAACTTCGAGAGGCCCGACACTGTGCCGTCCAAGCCGCCCAAAGATTGGATTGTGGAGTGCCACGAGTGTTTCGGAGTATAGCCAGCATAGTCGGGAATTTCACTGCATATGCACTACGTAGGCAGATTCATTATTGCAGATCTACAAAGTACCATTAAAGCGGTTGTGATATACTGTGCTATGGACAAGGTTCTTGTGCATGTCAATCGTCCGATAAATTGATTGGAGGATCCGTCTGATGTATCGTGTATGCATTCAGACCCTCAGACCAGGTGTTCCTGCCTCTCTAGCCTCCGTCGCTGAGCCCGGGTATTGGCTGAGCACATATCGCTTCATGGGAAAGAGGCGCGATACGGGGCAAGAGGTATGCAGGTGTGGCGTGCAAGGTCCGAGGGCAATGCTTTAGATCTGCTCATTGCGAGTCATGTTAGGAAGCTATATGCAGCAGGGTCACACTTTAAATCCTCGACTTATCCATCTGCCCATCCTGCATATCATCCTCCATACACACATCGCCTGCGATGTCGCTTGCATGCGTCAAACGGACGGTCAATATGCAGCTCCCAATTCCCTCATGCCCCCGCATGTAACGCCCCTGCCTCCAGCATCGCCGTCCAGATGCCATCCATTTCTACTGCCACCGCCTCTGCCGTGCGACCATGCTCGTCCTGAAGCGCACGAATGTCGTCCATCGGGGCCGTGTGCGGACGTTGAAGACCCAGCGACTGTGCCGCCGCTACCGCGGGCTCAGGAAAGACATCTGCAGGCAGCGAGGATGATAGCCAGAGGAGCAGCCAGACGACCTGCTCATGTCCTTTCTCTATGGCTAAGTGCAGGCCGCTCTTGTTGTTGGCAAGAGGGTCTTGGTACCGTAGCAGCTGCGCTGTTGCCATGACGGGCTCATCCGACTCCCCTGTCTCTGCATCTCTCAGGAGGTCCACGATGCCCTCGGTGTCGCCCTCGCTGCACATGATGTGGTATGCGCGGGCGGGGCGGGCTTCGGGGTTGGCCTCGAGGTATGCTTCTTCCGTAATGCTCGGCAGAATGTCGAAGTCCTCTTGGACACCGCCTTCGTTGGTGTACTTGGTCAATATAGTGACGCCAGATGCGGCATGAAGAAATGGGTTTGTGACTGATGGGCCTGCGCTGTTTGCAGCGATCTGGCTCTGACAGGCGGGGCACTTCAACGAAATGGCGATTTCAGACGACTGGTCTAGCAGGCACTGCCAGTGGAAGTGGTCGCCACATGACAATTCCAAGTCATCAGGTACAGTCTGTTGCTGTCCGTTGCCGTCCTCATCGTCGACTTCGAGCATGAGAGGCTCATTGCATGCTTTGCAAGTCGCCATCTTTAAAAAATGACGTTATCAACGGATAATAAGAGGAAGTCTTGGTATAGAGAGATGTGGTCCGAGCCAAAAATCTGCAGCCACCACGTGTGAGAGATGGTCCAATAAAGAGAATGGCTCAAAGGACGATATTCAGTATCCGCCACCCGAGTGAATCCAATGCGCTATGGTGCAAGGAGCTGCCGGATGCAAAGAAGATAGCGGTATTGAGACGGTACATTTCGTACTTACCTCGCGTCGCGCCTGAAGTTTCAACTCGCCTACTAGAGTATTGACTTAATCCAACATGGATCAACGAAAAGACCAAAGCAGGTACTGCGGATTGCTGCAATGACAAGACTTGTCACAAAGTCCTACAACGCGTCAATAAAGCTTTTCGTCGACAGTTTAACATCAAGCTGCGATTTGTTTGCCAAGTGGGTCTGTCGATCGGAGAAGGCTCGGGGAAACCCCAGCGTTCGGGGTGTCCGCGGTACGGCATCAGTTATAGCTAGCTGACTTTGCTCTGGTGAAGCTTGATATCCAATTCAACTGTGTTCCTCTTGATCTCGCAGTTGACTTCCTGCCGCTTTTCGGATCCCTTGGATGCCGTTATGAACTGTTGTCGACGTGTAGGTGGATGGTTATTTGAGCTTGATTGCCATGAAATCCTCTTGGACTCTTGGAGGAATGCTGTACTAAAATCCATGGGTAAATGTCGGATAATATGCGGCACGATACGGAGGATTAGGTAAGATGTGGAGGTCTGCGCGCCTGCCAAAAGCGTGAACATATTGTAAGATACCTCGTAAGGCCAAGTAGTGATTCATTCTATCGAGAAACCAGGATATTCAGGAAGGATCGAATCCTTTAGTAAGTAATCAAATAAGGATTGACGGATCTAAGCATTACATAGATAGCGTTGATCTCAACTCATAACAACAGCTGTGGCCCACGACATTGATTTGCACACTTCATCTCATAAGCCAAACTGCACGTATTTGAATCAACTCGCGGCGACTTACATGAAACTTCTCTCTTGATCGGATCATTCATCAAGCGACGCTTTGTGCAATGCCTAGTCTCGTCTGTAAGTGAACTCTACGACCGAGTCATCGCAATTGTCATTCAGAATGTACGTAGCTTGTAGACCTAGGTCCGTGTAAGTAACATTTTCCTAACCCGCCCTAAACAATGCAGACCTGAATAGCTACAAATCTGCAGCACAGACATATTTCGCTCATGAGTTCGAAATTTGTAGTCACCGAAATTGGTTGCTGAGCTGAGAATGAAATACATTGAGGTCTGATACAGAAAAGCCAGCAAGCATAATTATAAATTTCCTCATTGTTTTCACAGAAAATTACTTGCCAAGTGGCATGCTTTCAGTCCAGCGCCTGCCAATCAAGTCTTCTAAGTAAATAGCAGAATAGACCGCCAAACAACTGCAATGATAGGGCATCTTAGATCTGGTGGTTCGACTCAGATGGTGTTAAAAGGAGGATAAAACAAGCGGCGCACCCAGACGTAATCTTGAAGTTATTCTTGTTCACTATACCGCAATACTGTGCTATTCCCACGTTATTCCACTCTTGTTGCGCCGTTTATTCTATTCTCCACGTGGCTACTGACTACTGGGAAATGTGTGTCTATTCTCACTTCCAAAACGGAGCACCGCCAGATCTTGAGAATTGAAGAAGTCGAAGGATGTCAGATCTCATTAGAGGTGTCCTTGGGGCTTGTTTGGCAGCAAAAATAATGCAATTTCGGCGGGGCGAAGCAACCTCCGCAAGAACATGGCGTCGCATGAACCTGAACTATCGAAGTCCAACCATCAACTTAGGACAATTGCAGATTGTTTCCGTTGTAAAGTGGACTGCTTGCTGTCAAAATCGTATCAGCTGCTTCACTTTTCCGTCCGTAGATCACTGTGAATATCTCAAACCATTTGTTTTACGAAGTACTACAACAGCGTCTGAAGATGATTGTGCATTGTCATTAAGCCGTGGTTTCACCGCCTGCTGGGTTCCCCACAGTTTCTAGTGAGCGGTTGTGCATGCTGGCCCAACTGTGTGTAGTATACTTTATAACACCTAACATTAACTGATTCTTTCACCAATAGCTCATCCAAATGCAGAAGTAGCTGAGTTTCTCCCGTGGCACAATTGGCTAGCGCGTCAGACTGTTACATAACTGCAATCTGGAGGCTCGTGGTTCGAGCCCACGCGGGAGAGATCCACATCTTTTTCTTTGCAATTGCTCCCCTCAACAAATGGGATGATTTATCATGATATTTTTCAATTTCATTTTTTATGGACTCTGTGCATATCTACATAAAAAATGTGCGTCATTCGCTCAACCTACCCGGGTTTAGAATTCTTCGCGTTATAGACTGTATATTTGTGGCTAAAGATACCCTATTTATTTAGTAAAATTGGCCTCGAAATGGCCGCCGGATCTGATGCCCTGATATCAATTATACGCACTTCCTTCAATTATACCCTCTATCCCTCTAAAAATGGCAGTACTTACTCTCCGTTAGATGATACACCTTACGGACTTCTAACACTTAAGATCCTAGTCCGCTTAGCGATATACCTAGCTATTGTTAGAATCTAGGTACCAGGGCTGTATTGATACTATGAAGGGGATCCCTAAATACTACATCGCGTACCTGCCTGACCTACGTCCTTCCACACCTGAGACCACAACTTCCCACAGCTATTATTTAATAGTATTAGAAAGCGTAGACTAGCCGATTTATGGATTGGATATCTGGTTGTATTGTATTATACCACTGGCGCCAAATAACGTACTTGTCATGCCCTGATAGTTGAGCTGATGCCCATTGTATTAGTCCAATATGCTGGGCAGCGTTGTCGGTCTTCGAAAAGGGGGTCATTCCTGAAGGTACACTAGCTAACTTGGGATGTGAAAATCTCCAGTTGAATACAGGCCTCACCCGTGACCGACAGCTCAGCCTAGATTGTTGCAAATGCCTAATACCCTGATCCCATGTGGTGTACACGTCAAGGACACTAAGTCACCAACTGTTGGTTTCTGGCCATTATTCTGCGGGCATAAACAACTTCAGACTACGATGCAAAGATCACAGACACAATTTAATCTGAATTGTCTCACATCAATAAGCAAGTATGCGAGTTGTGGTGATAACTTGCCCGAATCTTTGTTTAAAATAGAAGGATGAGTTATGGTTAAATAGACTGGAAATATGACCTCGAGCACCAAATTACTGTGTCGTGATCATACGGGCTGTCCAATAGGCCACTTCGACGAACCTGACTTGTTGAGTCTTTTTGAGACTGAGTGTAAAAGTTTGGCTCCATAACTATAACCTTGACAATCCTTCTGTAGTCACTAGTCTATATGAACTATCATTATTGACCTGAACCGCAGCATTGCGTAGTTTTCGTCTCGTGGCCATGAATACCAAGGTAGATACAGGTCTTGGGCATCTTAATTATGGCATCATTTCTGTATTTACGACCGATTTTTAAACCCCGTCGAGACTATATGAACAAGTTACGATGAAATTTTCGACATAGAATCTGCGAGAAGGGAATTAGAAATATTACACCGTAATAGTAAAGCCGAGGACTGCAATTATGACTGAACATCAGTAGACTCTTATAAAATTACATATATAATGCCTTATACTTTTTACTGCTGCCATATTTTAACGTTAATTGAATAGGAGTAAAGCATCACCATCCAAAAAGTGCATCAGAGTGAGCAAATGAAGGCTACAGAGAGGGGCCTGAAATTGGGGGCCGACACAGCCTTCTATGTCATCCCCGAAATTCATTCCGACTCACTTCACTTGACGTCCCGTCTACTCTCTATGGAATCTAACTCATCATGCAATTTCCCGAGAGGAACTTATAAACAGCAACATAAGCCAGACAAATGACGATGTGGCTCGGAGCTTGCGATTGGTCGTTGGTTCACCCGGGGATGGACGTTGCGGGAGCAAAACTCCAGGATGAATCCAGAATTTTAAGGATTGTTTAGAGCTACCATACTATATCTATATACATTTTACCACGGAATGGTTGTAAAGGGTTCGACGGGCGATTGACGGGAAATGGTGGCAGTATGTGCTTTCAACAGGTACGACAGAACCGGACTATGTTTATGAAAGCTGAGGAAAATTAGCCGGGGAACAGGAAACTACTAATAAAAGCCGCAAGTTATCCTGTCCCATCCGTACTAATAATGTGCGCGTAACAAATTATGAATTATATAGCGCGTGGTATTCTGGCCCATTCTCCCTGAGTTCTCACATCATTCGGACTTCTATGAATGCTCAGCCATAAGAACACCAATCGCGAGTTCGTCTTGACAAACAAGCGAATCCAATTCGAAGGCCACTTATCCCTTGCCAATCTGCAAGAGCTGGGCTATTCCTTGTGCTCGAGTGTTACGACTGGACCAAAGGGTCTACGAGCCAACTTCGCGCCGTTGCTATCCTTCTAATACAGCCGAGTATGGCTTCGTGAGCGCGTAGTACACAGCAAGGCCTCTCGCTTCTACGTCGCAAAGGACTTGACGCCAGCTCAGGTATCACGGGCTCAATACCAAACACATTTCATCGTCAGTATTCTGGAACCCACGAGGACATGTTTTTCTGACTCTCGGCGCAACGGGTTTCTCGGTTACATCCGTTTTCACTTCAAGTTGCCATCCAGTGAAACAGCAAATGCTAATCTCTGGCATGTGGCTTACGAAAGCCCAGGCCGAACGAGGATCTCGTTGAAATCGTAGGCAGGCGGTTATAGGGTTTGGCGCTAATTGTGGACAGACCATGGAACAACAGCAGTGGATGAATATCCTTTGCCAGGAACCACCGGGGAAAACGGTTGTCGCTGGACGGACACTGGCTTGAGCTGAGGGGGTCAAGTATGTGTCAAACTTTTGTATCGGCTCACAAAATCGGCAGAGACGAAAAAATGAGCCGATGATGGGCGAGGTCCCTCAATTCAGTTTGTAGCTTCCATTCGAATGGTTACAATGTAGTGAGGACATGGACTAGTGATTTTAGTTCGATCGAGCAACTGACATAACATGTATTGGCTAGTTCGTGCATAGAGGATTGAGATACTGAAACTCGGGTGATTCAACAAGCGCGGACCCAGAATAAGGTACTTGGATAGTGCATTACATGAATCCTCTCAGAATGGGGTTTAAAAGGACAATATTGAATTTAAAAGCAACAGATATGTCAGAGTATCACCTTACTGTTAGGCCGCGTACGGCTTAGGTGGCCAGCAGTTGAAGAGGACCTCTACCAATCATTATCTAGCCGCAGGTCACCTATTTCCTTTCGTACATCTATCCCTTTATTCACTACACCCCTAGTCGGTAACTGAGCCATGAATCAATCACTTAACTCACTTGGTCGAAATAGCTTTAAGGCTTCCCTGTCAATATGACAAATTTCAACAAGAGCATTTAACTCTCATTCAGGCCTAGTAACGATTCTTACTCCTCACCCTCCAAAGCTATTCGATCTACTATTTTGCTACCCTTTAGATATACTATGGAGGTATAACCCTTTACAACTTCCATTAGATGGCGGAGCATCCTAAATACTTACTAGTTGTCTCGGTACTTATATTGAAACCTTTACATGCTAAAAATCTAGAACTAGGAGCATGCTTGTTATGATCTACTAATGTTAGTTTACCATCAGCGTTGTTATATACTCGTACAGGAGTAGTTTCATTAGTTGCTTTTTAACATTTTTCAATAACAATTATTTTTCTGGCTGATCCTCTAGAAATGAAGTGTGATAGATTCGACATCGGGTAGGTAATACCCATTAAGCAGCAGATCTGGGTAAGACGTTTGTAGTCATTCCATGATACCAGTGCTGGAATATCCGCTCATTTCATACCTTTTTACTCCATATGCCGTTTATCCTGTTATTCGCTTACCCATAGTGGTCCCGATATTGAGCGGGCACAGACCAATGAAACCCGATGGCGTGGGTTCCGGCTGGGTGGGTCTCAATGGCGGTCGAGCTTTTGCCCACTAGACAGACTGTTTTCAAGTGGTTTGTTGACATTTTGGCAGGCTTGCGGCCAATCACGCGCGCATGTTCCCAAACTTCAACATCCAGCCCACAGCTTAATTCTTGCTTCTCCAACTTGCTTCCAACTAACGTCGTCAAATCATCCTCAACCCATACAATCATTCTTGGGCCATGATTAACTGATCACCGATTTATACACCACCGGATTCCCCGTCACCGCCAGTCGTTCGCTACCTGGCGCGTCCCGTCACGAGCTGACACGTCCTCGCGCTTTATCTTGTCTTTGTCCGCTCCCGACACTCCACAATGGCTAGGCCACGAGTGGCCCGTCTCCAGGTCGGCTCTGCACCCTGGATTGCAGAGGAGAGATCTTCAGCCCTGCAGATCGCGCAGTCTGAGGTCGAGGAGTTCTCCTTCTCTGCGCGGAACGATTTCGAATGGCTCAACGAACACATGGCAGAGCTATTCAGCGAGAACCAGATGTCAGTAAACGCCACTACACTCGAGCTGTTGTGGACTGCGTTGCTAATGTGGCAACAGCAATGTTGCTGAGATTTTCAAAACACCAGGGAAATTACGAGGCAAAACGCCGCGAACAGTACGGAAGGTGAATCCGGGCGAAGCCCGAGTTGTGAGTCTACCTGCCGTCGAACTCTAAACAAGATTGGCACGACTAAAACAAGTCATAGCCACTCTCCAACATCTTCTCGGCTACACCGAAAGGCGCTCCTAATCCCTTTGCCATTCCCAATCTAGAGCGGAGCCAGACGCCCAAAGTCCAGATTGCTCAAGACCCCGAACCTCAGACCAGTCCCGTGCGGACTAACAAGCCCGCAAGTCCACAGAAGAACAGCATTCCAGTCGCGGATTCTGGATATTATGGAAGCCAGTCGCAGGACGTGATGGATATTGACGACGAAGCTGCGGACCTCGAAGATGCTACACAACCTTTCAGCCCTACCAGAGTTATGAAGGGTGGCCATGTTGCCTTTAATGTTTCTTCGCCCGACCAGGGTGTACTCGAGAGTCCTGCGCAACCATCATCCGACCCTCTCATTGAGGCAATGGGTGATGACTTAGACACCCAGTACTTCACTGCGAATGTCGCGAGGCTGCCATCGCCAACGGCCAAATTCGCGCATGAAAGCACGACGCCCGCCGGATCTCCTGGTCACGAGCCTGAATCGGAATCACCAAAGAAGACGTCATCGCCGGTTAAAACATCACCTGACAAAGCTATGGTCGAGCAACCAGCGCTGCTACCAAACGTGGAGCGAGATGCCCCCGAGGCCAGCCTCGACGAGACGTCGAGGTCTCAATCTGATGGCTCGAGCCCAATCCGGCCTATAGTTCGAAAGAGCAGTCTCAACTTTGCTTCCCTCCCAGCTCGGGAACCTATCACCCACAAGAGCATTGGGAACCGCATATCAAGAACCAGTCATCTCGACCAGAATCGAACCAGCTACTACAACAGGCATACAGGCGGAAAGAGCTTGGGCAATGCGAAGCATGACGTCACGGACGATGAGAACGATGAAATGGATATCGACGATGACGACAATGAAGACATTGCTGCTGTTGATACCCGAGATGAAGCCGAGGCCGACAGTGCCATTGCTCATAACAAGACGTATACACAGCGATTGCAGGACCAAATCAGCAAACTCGGCCAATCGCAACCGACCACATCGCGGCCGTCCAAATCAATAGTCAGTTCAACTTTGCCTACAACTGCCACTCAAGCACCACAATCTCCGTCCAAGACACAGGCCGTACCCTCGCCAAAAACGCACACAACACCGGGTGCTTTTCCCGAGGATGAGGACGAAGATGAGGATGATTGGATCGAGCCACTTGGGCCTCCTGATAATGCCTCAGCGCTATTCAGCCCAAGACCGAACATTCTAAAGAGTCACTCAACCGATGTGATGGAGGGAGTGTCTGGAAAAGACACAGTGAGCGAGGGTGATTTCGCAGTAGCCAAAACGAGGGAGCGCAGCGGCCGGTCCAAGTCTCCTCAGCGTTCCCCCATCCCTGAGAGAACCACAAATTCAAAGGGCCATCACAAGTCGGCATCTGTGCCAGTTTTGCCTCGTCTCGACCAAATCAGCGGGGACGGGGCTAGTCTTCAGAAGAGTGTATCTGTCTCTAACCCCGCGCTTGCCACTGTCTCTGAGAATGAAACCTGCGTTAGTCCCCTAAAGTCGCCCTCGCGGACGCTCAGAGATAGTCCTTTAAAACAGGTGAAGAACAAGCTGTCTTCCATCCTGAAGACCTCGAAAGGCCTGCTGGCTAGTAGCGCTGCGATCAGCGCAGAGGGCAAGTCTTCGCTTCTGTCACCATCCACCACACGCCTTGGTCTCAATGCTGCACCGTCCACCGTATCTTTAGCCCAGCAGTTCAGCCAGGATGACCAGCCATTGTACCCGGATCTGTCTCGACATGTCACAGACACTCAGATTGTACCTAGCACAACCAGTCCGACGCGCCCTGAAGGCCGCAAAACAAGGGCATCGATTGAGAAGGAGAAGGCTGAAGAGAAGCGTAAGGAGAAGGAGGCGAAGGAGGCTCGACGAATGGTTGAACAGATGCAGAAGCTTGAAAAGGCTCGCGAACAAGAGCGGGAAAAAGCCCGCGTCTTTAGCAAAGAGCAGGAGAGGATTGCTGCCATGGAGAAGCAAATGGCTCTGCAGAAGGAGCAAGAAAGGAGGGAACGGGAAAAGAAGACTGCCGCTCCACCACCTACTCCAACGCAACCTCCCAAACCAACACGCACGAGTCCCCGCAAGGTCAAAGCCCAACTCGAGGAAGAAGGACTTGCTGCTGCCATGGTATGCGAACCGAAGGTCGATGAGGATACCGAGATAATTGACGCGGCAGCGATAATGCCGCCTCCATCAGTTCCGCGATCCGCAGCACCGCCTTCGGCCGCCAAAGGTCGTGAAATCAAGCGACCCATGAGGCCAACGAAGGAGCCACCGAGCAAAGCAAAACAAGCTCCTACCGTCATACGCGTCAACATGGGCTCCCAGTATCACCCTTCGAATACCGCTTTGGCATCCAACCTACAGGACACTCTTGGTCCAGCTAGCTCGCAGTCTCAGCCCAAGGGCAAACCGACCCAGCCGGCTCTGCACATGAAATCCTCACTCCAGAGCCTCAAGAGCTCACAGTCGTCCACTGGTAGACCCAAGGCCCTTGAGATGGCTGCGCGAAGAAAAGAGCAAGAGGAGCGGGATGCCCAGCGCAAGCGCGAAGCCAAAGCCGAAATGGAGCGAAAGAGGGCTGCCATGCAAGAGGAAGACAGGCGTCAAGAGCAGCAACGAAGGCTCGAAGCCGACAAACAAAAGGAAGAGGAAAAAAGGCAGATCGACGCGAAGAAGAATGCCCAGAGACAGGCCATAATTGAGAAGGCCAAACAGACACGAGCTCCACCGCCTGCCGTCCGACCTCAAGCTAACAGCCAGGCAAGCCACACAAGCGAAAGCCAGCCGAACCGGCCCCCCTCTCGCTTGAAATCGACTGCGAATAGTGTCAAGCCTGCGCCGAAGCGGCAGCTTCAACAAGAAACCAAAGACTCGAAGCGCATGCGCATGACTGAGGAATTTGACGACGATTTAGAAATGGAGAACCAGCCTAGCCTGAAGGGGGCGCCCGTTCGTCCATCGGTTGGCTTTAAGAAGGTAACTGCTGCGACTATGCTCCCGCAGAGCCAGAAGCTCGCAAAGGCCCAGGACTCGCAGAAGAAGTCCATGTTCCCGGCTGGCTACACCAGTGCTCCTCAGACCGGCCCCAGAGACTTGTTCAAGACGACCGTTACGAGCCAGCACACCGGCCAGCCTAAAGCTGGACATCCGCTGGACATGGCGCAGGTGTCGAAAGCAGCCATTCCCTTTGCACCCAATCCGAACCCAGCCGGCCCGGCACACAAGACCCCCGCCAGGAACGCAGGAGTCGCGGGCGCCAAGTCGGTTGCCAAATCAGCAACAAGGTCATCCCCGCGATTCCAGAATGGCGAGTCAATTGAGCTCCCGGAGATCAATACGGACGATGAGGACGAATACGACGATGAAGAACACAAGCAAATGTTTGCTTCTTGGACAGACTCGCCGGTTCTTCGCAAGGCACTAATGGAACAAGAAACCTTGGATCCCATGCATGTTTTTGGGGCACCGGGTCCGCTCAACATGGAGGAAGTGTTCAGCAAGAGCAAGGAACGATGGCAAAAATTCCGAGCGAGAACGTCTAGTGCCAACTGGAGCGGTGCGGATAAACTCACTGAGGATGATATCCGGAAGGATTTGGCAGCTAGAGATAAGCTAAGGCGCGAGGGTGGCTGGAGCTACGAGATGAGCAAGGAAATGCTGTAGGATTAGGGATACGCCTTGGGATTGGCGACGACATTTGCGTGGTCAGGTCATGCGATGAAGCCGCAGGTACTCGAGACCGTTGATGGCATGGTTTGGAGTTGGATGAAGCTCCGTATAGAGTAGATTGTTTGTTTAGGCGTTGTGGCTCGGGTTTTGGGGATGCCACGAGCCGTCATCTTCTGCGTGTGCCGACAAGCAACCAAAAATCGGGCATGGATAAGTATACACATATACATTTGCCGGAGGTTGAAATAAACATTCGGCCATCTGAGCACCAATACGCATATTATTGTTTATCCTTGGTGTATGCGAGTTTGACAGTTCCACTTTCTGTTTGCTCCTCCCAGTGCATACTTGCGGCAGGTAGCCAGCAAGGATGCGCCGTAATGTTGCTGGTCCCAAGGAGAGTTTCCTCAATGCAGCGGGTATGCGTGTACTATGCCGGGATTTCGGGTTTCGGCAGACCATTTTGTTAAAATGACGATGACTATAAGCTGTGGCAGAAGAAATCGTATTTGTCAACAGCGGTAGTGACCAAGTACTATAGAGTATAGAGCTTGACATTTATTTCCCCAACCGGGTTCCCGGGTTCCTTGCTTCTGAACATGAGCAAAACCGGCTAGGCGCTTCGGGAAATTTGTATACGTCGTGACCACAGTTTGTCTCAGACAGTTACGTGCATGAGCTAGTCTAGGCAATAGATTGACAACATCATGACTTTGACCCTGAGGCTCAGCCCCGAATGCTCAGCTCGTGGCATCGAAATATGATTCGCCATCATATCGTATTCGCAGTTGATCTGCTGAGCCTCATCGTTAGCTTCCGAGCCGGATGAGAATAACAACCTGACCTAGACACACGCACTGTTTTCTGTCAAGTCTGGAGGTGGTGCTTGGTTGCAAAGTCGAGTTGGTGGGTGAGATTTTTTGGGGAGAGACCCTTGACAAGCTTGACTTTTTCATGAGCTTCACCTGGACTAGACATGAATGTCCACATGACAAACTGCATCATTCACTGCAACTTGCCGCAAAACCAGGGCGGATTTGAAAACGTTAATTCGACGAGTCTATCGTCCTCTTTGTTGCCCGGAACTTGCGGACCGGAATGTGCTTGGCCAAATCCATCTACTGCTTCGTAACTAGAACCGACGTCATCTTGCTTCAATATCGTGGGATAGCTCACGGAACTATCTGCATGCCAGCGGAATTAGTCTAGACGTTTATTCTGAACGTTTATGACCTGCCATTACATCCGTTGTGACAGTAGGGACGGAACCTAGGCCAACAAGAATGCCGGCTCCAATACCGCATCCCATCACACAACGTTTACCTACCTACGTGCTGGGTGGCCACATGCATGTATGTTCAAGACCTTGAAGTGATGATCACTGTCTCTTCAACCACCCCATTCTTGTGCAGGCAATCGCGTCGGTTCCCCTGATTGGCTAGGCCTGCCAGCTTCCTTTTCATCATCTTCGACTTCGTTTTTACAATTCCCTTGGTCGATACCGTAGTAGATATACCCCGGTTATCTCAGACGTATTTCCCCTATCCTTCCCAACCTGAATTGCGAGGGGGGGACGGTCTGCAAGCAATCCCCAGAACATCAAAGCCGTACAAACAAGCTCCTCTGCGCCCGACTCGCCGTATGGAATATCAGATAATTCGTTCTATCTTACCGTCTGCTGATACACAAATATTCCGGTGAGCTAATTTCCATCTGGTTTAAAGCGCTGGCGAATTTGAGTTCGCATTGAGATCAGCATACAGCTTTTGGGACGGAAGCCGTAGAAGCCGTTTTTTGAGGTCCTGGCATCCAAACTTCAGCTAGGCAACACTGCCCCACCTGTCCCGCCACCATAAGGCGACCGTGGGCGAGCTGCTTACAGTTCTGACCCCAAGTTCGGGCAAGAGCGCAACAGTGCCGTTATCCCTGGTGAGAACTTCTTTTGCGATGTCACAACCCCTCGCCGCTATTTTTCGCCAACTACGACGAACTGACCAGGTTCGACGTTTGGAGTACCTGCCTTACTTTTTCTTAGGATTGTGTCTCCTGGATTACTCTAGACAAAGCTTTGCGCTCATCGCATAGGCTTCCCTTATTGTCGACTGGCAAGATCTCCGGCGGATTCCATTGCACGCACGCAGCTCATTCCTCGGCAAACACGAAACTGTCGCGACATACGTAGACTTCAATCTCAAGTCTTTGAGAAGCAGCTGCGATTGCCTGGGGCAGATCAGCCTTGCATCACGAACCTCTTAGGGGCTTTGTTTGCCGGCAAAACCTCCGGGCGTCGCATTTCCCTCAGAACCTGCCTCTGTTACCACCGCACCGAGGCATCACCGTTTCCGCGCAAGCTCTTCATGCTCGACATTAGCCCGAACCTCTCATGCATGTACGAATCTCTTGCGCTGGCATGACACTGCTGCAACAAGTTCCTGCCACGACCCGACACTCTGTCCGTTGCTCCCGTCATTGATCGTCCAACAAGACCGTCAAGATGCCGAAGCTGGATATCAGTCGCAATTACTACGCGGATCTTGAGATTTCGCCGAACGCCTCCGGGGAGGAGATCAAGCGGCAATTCAGGAAACTTGGTGAATACCATGCAAGCTGACACTGTTGAGAGGAAGCAATACTGACTGGGGTGGATCACAGCGCTCAAATACCATCCTGACCGCAATCCAGGAAGAGAAGCCGAGGTGAACTCCAAGTTCCAGATCATACAGTCAGCCCACGAGATCCTTACCGACGAAACCCTCAAGCGAAAGTACGATGACTCAATTCGCCATAGAGGCCCGAAATATCCCACTTCATCCGGCGTCAAGGGAAACCCCTGGCAGAATGTAGCTAAGGACTTCCCCGTGCCGCCGCGACGTGCCGCCGCTTCAACCGGGGCCCAGCCTAAGCCCGCCTCTGGTGCCCATCGTTATTCCGGCTTTACAAATGGGGTGCCCCGTCCTGCAAAGCCTGCTCCGAAAGAAGACCCCGAATCGCGCAAAGCAAACTACAAGGCTTGGGAGGACATGCGTCCATCTTCTAGAGGAAGAACCAACCCTCCACCAGTGCCGAATCGTCCTGTGCCGGGCCGTCCACCAACATCGGCGGCCAGAGACGCGAGGACTTCCGACTCTGAGAGTTTCCCTAGGACCGCCTCTCAAAGACAGAAAGCCCAGGCCTCATTTGGTAACGCAACCAGAAGATCCGGGTTCACGCCGCGGTCCCCAGGTCTTGGAGACGAACCCCCAGTCACTAACAATAACTACTTCACGACCCGGACCCATACCAACATTTTCAACGAGCAGTCCGCCGCTTCGGTGCGCAAGAACCGCCGCGCATCTGGTACCTCAGCAACAGCTGATCCACTAGCACAGTTCAGGAAAGACAACTTCATGGATGAACGTCAGAGCACGCCCTACCATACCCCAGGTGGAGAGAAGACCAGTCTGTTCGATGAGGGTTCAGGGCTGGGCCGGACCAGGAGCACACGAGAGCCTCCTCGAAAGTCCGGGGCTGAGGGACCCGCCACAGGAACCTTTCCTTTTCCCCGACAGCGACAGCGGAGTTCTAGTACGCCAAGAAGCTCGAGTAATGATGGCGGATCGGAGGACTCTACAAAAGTCAACACGGGAGCTGATGACATCCGTCGGTCATCAAATGGGGGGGACCCTTCCAGTTCCCGAGCCAGCGACCGCTATAAGCCTAAAGCCGACTCGAGTAACACCACTGCCGCGGGAAAACGCGCCACAACCGCCGGTGGTAACAACTGTATGTCATGCAACGTTCTGATACCGACAATTTCACTAACAGGGTACAGCATTTCTACCAGAAGGAAACACAGCTCAACCAGATGGGGGCCCATCAGTGTACGCACCACCATTCATTTCTTCCCAGCGTCATTTCTCTTTCGCCGGCTTGCAACCGCACAATTCTGGTTCGGTCGGATGGTCTTCAAAGTTGAGCTTCGCCCACTACAATGGCGCCTCAAGTGGGACAGCCAAGAAGTCTGATTATTCAACTCTGTATCCTCTCGAGAACCTTCTCAAGAAAAACGCGGAACACATGGTCAACAAGAAGCCGTACGTGACACGCGAGAAAGACATATTCAAGCTGGTGAACGAGGCAGAGAAGATGGCGGGTTGTCACACAACTCAGGGAGGGATCCGTACTGACAACTGTGATTCAAATAGTTTTAGCTTCTCCGCCGACGACAATGCTTCAGAACAGATGCAGAGCCCGCATAATTTTGCGAGCAGCAGTGCTGATAACATAAACACAAGGTTCGTGCAGGATGAACATCCTGACGAGTGGGAATTCAAGGCCGGCAATGCCTCGGCCAACGAGCCGTTCACGCCTTCCAAATCACGCTCGCAGTCGCGAAGTCGCCTGAACCATCGTTCACCCGCGAGAACCACCCCACGGCCGCAGCCGACAACGCGCATGTCGTCAACCCAGGAAGGCTCGGAGGACGCCATCAAAGCGGGATTCTCAGCTGGGGAGTGGAGTGAGAAGATAGGACCTCACCATTTTATTCCACAGCCTTCGTACAGTGCATCAACCTCTCCTACGCGTCGTGCACCTTCAAGAAAGAACTCGAAACCGGTGAAGATGACTATGGGTACAGCTGGGTTGGTTGATGATGAGAGCAGCAGTGCTGGCGAAGGGTGGCAAGAGATACCCAGGCCGCCGTCGGGAACGGACAGCCCAAATGCCATGGATATCGATACACCTCCTTCAGAGAAAACGGAGGACACACCTAAGGCTTCTCAGGCGAATGGCGTTCGAAACATCCATGTTGAACCCAGTAGACCCGAGTGGAGAGCCGGAAATGCACAGGTTGACGGAGCAACGTACCCACGGCCTGCACGCCCAAATCTGGATGGCGATAGCACCATCCTTTCCTCGCATGGACTCGGTGCGAAGACGGATTCAGGTTCCGCGATCGCGAACCCTTTCATCTCTCAAACTGGGGGTTCTGAGGATACGGAAGAGTTCAGAACCACTTTTGCTGATTTCAAGAAAGTGGAGCCATTCACGGATTCAACCCCAACAGGCCTTAAGTCGTTCGCGGACCTGAAATCTACGCTTCCTTTCGAGAGCAAATCTTCGGAGCAAATACCACTAGACACACAGATCCCGGTTGCACCGTTGAGCTTCCCCACGCCGCCGGTCGCGCCACGACTCCCGGCCACCATGGCTGTCGCAGGTATCCGGCCCAACCTCAGCTCATTCCGCAAATATGCTGTTGACTTCTACAACTACATGGACAAGTGGGAAGCGTTCAATCAAAAGGTTCTTGACCACTTTACCGCTCGTCAAACGAACTACAAGAAACGCCGGCAGCAGAACGGCCTGTCGTGGCTTGACTCGGCCGTGGTGGCAGATGCTGCACGTATGTACCAATTGGAGCTTGACCAAGATCATGACGTTCGCAAGCAGTGGAATACGGCTTGCGAGAATCACCAAACGCGGATCCGGGAGTTCTTGGCTTTCAAAGAACGGGTCAAGTAGGACAGACTGTTCTGAACGACAAGATGCAACCTCAGACAATTGAGGTAGTTGCTTGTTTGACGAAATACTCGTCGACGTCACTGTCACATCATATCACGGTCAATTGATACGGATCTTCTTTTATTCTTTTTGGGCCGCTGGTGCCTTGCATGCTCAGGACTTCTGGTGAGAAATATCCTGTGCCTATTGCAGTGCTTGACTTGGCGGCGTGCTTTCAGCCGAGGTCTAGAGAAACTCTGATAGTAGAAGTCGAGACAATAACGCTTGACGATGAAATTGGGCTATGGAGCGAAGTCGTTGTGTTGAGATTTTGTTTAATTATAGGAGATACAGGGAGGAGTCAACATGGTTGGTCAGTAGGGTGGTTTGGGGCATAGTCAATATCTCCGATATTATATGGTTGATGGCCCAAAGGCGTACTGGGGAAGCTAAGCTATGCTACGAGCTGAGCACGATCAACGAGTCCATGATTCAAGACCACCCCGCTGGCATCTTTCGTCCGAATCACGGCCTTCCCCACCGAAGCGTGAGGGGTGCGATTTTTATGTGATGGGATGAGAATTTTCAAGCGCTCTGGTTTGTGCTTTAGCTAAAGAAGAACCCGCAAGGCAATTACACGCACCGAGCCGCCTACGTTATCGCACGATCGGCATGCGGACTGCGATTTGTTTGTTTTACAGAATGGTTTGTCCACGAACGTGCGTGGCTAGAGAGGTAGATGAATAGACGAATGAATAAAAAATTCACCATGACACTCGAGGGGGAGTTGCGGAAAGGACCCACGAACTTGGACGCGAAACACTGAAGTGGTTCCATACAGACGGCAAGGCTCTATGGCACGTAATTGCACGTCCTCCAGGGTGGTTTGTACAACCAATCAACAGGCTGGTCTCGCTTTGGCGAGGATTTTCGAATCCTCTTGGGTGATGGAAGCTTTGGCTGATGTACCAACTCATCTGAGCCACAACTTTACGTAGTTGAGGGCCTAGCTCTCCATGTAGCAGTGCAAATGGGCCAACGGGGCTTCATCGCAAGTTCCCATGCCTGCTCAGCCTCGTGGTCAAAACACTAATGGTGTATCAGAATCAAACTATTTGAAACGAAGTTTCACGGTTGGGGGTTTTTGAAGAACCATCCAGCGGTTATTTGGGAACATGCTAGACACCGGATCGCCAATCGCAAGCGCGAGGAAAACGAGGGCGACCTTATCATTGGCGGCATTCGGATCCCTACCACCAAAGTCAGGAAGGAGACAAGTCGAAATTCATACTCCAACATGGAGCGAATCAGTATTGGCACGGCTTCTTGCCTCGTACCCCTACTTGGTGATGGTTACTGTACCAGCTCAGTATACAGACAAAGTGGTTGTGCCCTCTCCACCTGGACACTACGGGTTAGTGTCAACGCCTGCACCCATCGACTTCGATTTCACCCGACTCCAGAGCATGCCTTGGCTTCGGTTAAGTAAACACCTGTTGACTGTGAGTGTTCAGCTCGGGGAGATTCTAAGCCAGGCCGTCATGCTAAACACGAAACCTAGCGCACAAGGCAACCAGGCGTCGAGCGTCAGGGGTGAACCTCCTCACGCGCTAGAACCCGTCCTCGATTATGTGGCAAAGCCAGATGCCGTACGCTCAAATGCAAGCGTCAGTAGGCTAGCTACGAAAATGGGCACATTCATGCCGAGGCCGTGGCTGGAGTTATAGATTGGAGAGATATGTCCGTGCCCCACTGGTGGAAGCGCTCCATGATCCAAGCCCTCGGGTCCCTGGCATGCTTCTTCGTGCTGGCTATCAGTCGAACACGCTCCTCGGACTCGCCGCAGTCTACTGGGAAATTTTAGTACATGAGGATACTTGTCCCATGGGGTTCAACCCAAAGCGCAGGTATTCGTGGTCTGGCACGGCTTTACAGTATGCTCGCTTAAAGGCAGGGTCGACAGTGTGCAGTTTCTGCTTTGCATGGGCGTAAGTGCCAATGACCCCTATTTCTAAGCATAATGGATACGATTACTTGCCTACCTGTAAGCATGACGAGACATAGCTATGCAGCTATAGAGCCCATTGTACGAAGCTTTGATTACCGTACTCCAATCTCTCCTTTCGACGGCACGTATAATGGCTTCAACTTGGTCCAATCTAATCAACGAGAGTAGCAGAGTTTGCATTGCATTATGGAACGCTATACTCGTCTTCTGATTCATGTCCTCGCCTAACGATGACTCTTAGGTCGACAAAAGGGTCGCAATTTCGAAGTCAATCCCGTGGTAGAGACGAAGGGCTATGGTCAGGAGTCGAGGTACTCTGTCTTTGGAGGCCATTCGCCCGTACCGTTCGCTTCCAGGAGTTCGCTTGGTCTGGAGGGAACTTCGTGTTGGTCCCTGCTGAGTTCATTGAGCAAGGCTGAATGTTGAATGGTCTTCGTAGGCATTTTGTCGATCTCTTGAACACGGCGTCTTTAGTTTCTGATCAAGATGAGTATACGATACATCGAGATAGAGGCAGGCTGGCAAGGAAGAGCCCAGTTGCAACACTTGACAGAGAAGTCTCGAAGAAATATATCATCCGTTTGGATCCAGTCGAACAAGTCATAATGCGGAAGAGCTAACACTTTATGTCGAGACACGGCGGGAAGGGACCATACTCTGAACAACCTAAATCTCTCTCCCCATGTCCCCTATCTTACTTGGCCAAGAAGAATCGATTCCTACGGAATAGCGACTCACGCCATATTGAAAGACCACGCGGCTGACTTATCGGGAACCGGACTACCTCTTGCCATATTCAATCTTACTTCCCACAATGACCAAGACCCCCCCGAAATGGCATTTATTTCCCCTTCCAAGTCTCCACTTCACGTATTAAGGATGGATGGTCGAATTCCCTCCCCCTCAATCTGGAAATAGTATGTTTTCGGTCCCCGTTGAGCGTACCCAACATAGCATATGATTTGCAAGGCGAATCTAGCTTGATTGTCTATTTCTAATGGGGTGAGAGGCATCCTTGTCATGCGACTCATTCGCCGCGCATTCGCAGGGGGGAACTAACCACATACGTCTACTCTTAGCGATTCGATTCGTAGTGCTGCTGCTTGGCAGTTGCTAGTGTCGAATCTGCTCAGCTTTCTCCACGACCTGTCAAATAATGTGCAGAGGAGCCATTCCATGTAGCAGTACTGCTAGCCGGTGGATGACTACGTCGATTGGCCGCTATAGATAATCAGTGAGCTATACCCTACCTCAATGTGACCCGCCATCACTAGCTGCAGCATGCGGGTCTGCTGCCGTGTCACCCGTCATAAACCTGAATTCGATGTCGGCAGGGGTCGTCATTTGTGCAGCACTTTTATAATGCTGGTTGGACCTGGATGGCAATCAAGTCTGTGAGATCCCTCGCTAGTAACTCAACCATGGAACAAGTCCAGACTTCTGCGCAAATATGATCGAGAAGTATTAGGTGATTTGTGCAATCGGATTTATTCATCATTCTTGGCAGCTAGCATGCTTTGATGCAGCAAAATCAAAGCCTGTATCTGCAATATTCCTCAAAATTCAGATTATCCCGTCATTTGTTTCTCTCTCTCTCCTCTTTTAGGGTTGCTCGTAGTGATACTCCAACATCGCAAAGCAAACGCTCGTACAAAACACTTTTCTCCCAAATGAGTCTCACCAGTCAATGGGGTTCTGGATCACCTCGCCTCGGTTCGTCTTGGGTACCGGCGCGGCTTTCACGGCAAGCTTGCCACCCTGGCCCTTTCTCTTCAGATAGGCTCTACCATCAAGCCAGGGCATGTCTCTCGTGATCTTCTTCTCATGCTCGCAAATCTTGTCCTCTAGCTGCATGGTTAGACCAATGTCGTCCAAGCCGTTAACCAAACAATGCTTGCGGAACTCCTCAACGTCAAACTTGCAAATCTCATTACTGGATCCGTCACGGATGACCTGGTTGGGCAGATCGACCTCTATCTCCTTGCCCTGGCGAGCCTCGGCCACGATCTTGTCCATGTCGTCCTTGGACTCGACGACAATGGGAAGCATGCCGTTCTTGAACGTGTTGTTGAAGAAGATATCGGCGAATGACGGAGCAATAACACATTTAATGCCAAAGTCGAGCAGCGCCCAAGGAGCATGTTCACGCGAGCTGCCACATCCAAAATTGGGACCCGTGCAGATAAGAATCTTGGACCTTGTGTATGGCTCTTGGTTGAGCACGAAGTCAGGGTCTGGCAAGCCATCCTCCTTAAATCGCCATGCGTAAAAAGCGGCAGAGCCGAGACCGGTACGCTTGATAGTCTTGAGGAATTGTTTGGGGATGATGGCATCAGTGTCAACGTTGGACCGGTCTAAAGGTGCTGCAATGCCCTTGAGAACCTCAAACTTGGGGACACCCTGAGATCCCTCGGGTTTTGAGGCAATAGTATTGGTGTGAGGTGAGTTGTCCTCGGGCTGGTCTGCGAGCTGCTCCTGTGCCTCGTCGTCGTACTTGATGCGCTCATCAACCTTTGGCTTCCCGGACGGCGTCGGCTTGAAAGCTTCAATATGAGGGCTAGTCTTGTACTCAGTCAATTTTCGGACATCGGTGAGCCGGCCCACAATAGCTGCCGCAGCCGCCATGACAGGCGACATCAAGTGGGTTCGGCTGAGAGCACCTTGTCGGCCCTCGAAATTTCGGTTACTGGTGCTGGCGCATCGTTCTCTGGGGGCCAAGATGTCGGGGTTCATTCCTAGGCACATACTGCAGCCAGCTTCCCTCCACTCAAATCCGGCGTCCAGAAAGACCTTGTCGAGACCTTCAGCCTCGGCCTGATCCTTGACCAGACCAGAGCCGGGTACAATCATCGCACGTTTCACAGACGGAGCGATCTTCCTGCCCTTGACGACCTGGGCGGCGGCTCGTAGATCCTCAATCCGGGAATTTGTGCAGGATCCGATGAAGACCTTGTCAACCGGAATATCCTCCATCTTGGTTCCCGCAGTAAGCCCCATATACTCAAGCATCCGTCGGCCACTCGCCTTTTTGGCTTCGGTTGAAAAGGTCTCAGGGTCGGGCACTACCCCAGTAATTGGAACCACGTCCTCAGGGCTAGTACCCCACGTGATTGTGGGGGCAATGTCAGCACCGTCAATCTGCACGTCAATATCGTATTTCGCATCCGGGTCGGACTGCAGGCTCTTCCAGTACGAAACGGCTCGGTCCCATTCAGCAGACGGGTATTTAGGAGCGAGAGGCTTGCCCTTGAGATACTCGAAGGTAACCTCGTCAGGGGCAACCATGCCAGCCCGAGCACCAGCCTCAATAGACATGTTGCAAATGGACATGCGGGCCTCCATACTTAAACTCCGAATGGCAGAGCCGCAGAACTCGATGACACAGCCGGTACCACCAGCTGTGCCAATCAGTCCAATGGCATGAAGAACAACATCTTTGGAGCTAACGCCGGGAGCCAACTCGCCATTGACTTGTATCCTCATGTTCTTGTTTCTTTTGGTAATGAGGCACTGGGTGGCCAAGACATGTTCGACTTCGCTCGTTCCGATGCCAGAGGCAAAGGCGCCAAACGCGCCATGGGTCGAGGTGTGGCTGTCACCACAGACGAGAGTTGTGCCAGGGAGAGTGAAGCCCTGCTCGGGTCCAATTACGTGGACGATTCCTTGTCGCTTGTCGCCGAGTCCGAAATAGGTGACTCCAAACTTCTTGACGTTCTCCTCAAGGGTTGTGCATTGGAGACGAGAGTCCTCCTCCTCCACAAATGTGGAGATGTCCTTCATGCCTTTTCTGGACTTTGTGGGGACATTCTAGAAGACCTTGTCAGCGAAAGACCTAAACGATATCAACTGTGCAATATTACGAACATGATCTGTTGTCGCCAGTGTCATGTCAGGTCTTCTGACTTGGCGGCTGGCATTTTCTAGGCCTTCAAACGCCTACAAGATAGCAAGTCAGTATCATCTTGACTACAGCCAATGAGACAAGTGCGTGTTCCGAATCCGGAAAGAGGCCGATGGGTAAGGACTGTACAGCTCTCCTGCAATTTGTTTCGCAAGCCGCTTTTGGTTTTGGGATACTAACCTGGGGTGATGTGACTTCATGAACCAGATGACGATCTAAGAGGGTGCAGTGTTAGTTGCACTTCTGAGCCATCAGCTAGCTCTCGGCCAATTGACTTACCTATATATAACAGAATTGTGCCATCAAGCTTCTCGTCAACAATATGATCCGCCAACACCTTGTCGTACAGAGTCCTACTGCCTGAAATCGACGGCATTGTGACAGCTTATAACCTGTTCGTCCTCTACGGCTTGTTGGTGGTAAGGTCCTGAACTAACAACGTGGTCTCGTTGTTTTGATACGTGATGGTATCCTTTCGCTCGAACTGGACAAGGGAGATGAGAAAAAGATGAAAAGCTCAGAATTGGCCCCAGAAGACCGACAACGAGAGGAGAATGCGGGGAGATAAATACTCGTCCAAGATAATTGAGGGCGAAAATTCACCAGGAGGCGTAAATGGTGTCCGATACCGTAGCAGGAATCTGGTGAAGATCATCCGCGCCGAACATCGGGGGATCATTTCCTATCCCGATTGTTAAAGCAAGGTGTCTGATTGGTTCATAAAAGGCCCAGAACCCACTTCTCCACACTTCACATGAGGTACCACAGCCGCTTGTCCATGCCGGGTCAGTCGGTCCGACAACGGCTCGAGATCTGGACTATGATGGACGAAAAGCAGTGGGTAACGTACAACCCCACCTCTCCGGCCACCCACCTTTATGGCCACATATTGCAATCCAATTGAAGGTATTCGAAACAGTGTATTCAACGTACTATTATAGCTATTCAGGTACAACCAGGGTATATTCCAGTTGCAGAGAAGCCTGGTTGTATATTATTGATCGTGAACGACTTCGTATATGCCTCGATGTATAGCGAGAGGAACGTCGACTTTTTAAATGGAATAGAACAGTACTCGATCGAGAGAGAGGTCGCTAACGAACGATAGTACCGCTTTAATGGAGCAAATGTGGCGACGTCAAGAGGTTGGAGCCCGTGAGAATAGTGTGCTGGCAAAAATAGTAACGAGTTTTTGTTACAATAGGCTAACTACATAAACTCGACGTTGTCGTGAGCGATATGACCATCTAATATCAAGAGCTGCTGCTCGAGGTATAAAGATATCACGAAGCCATCGAACGGCGATATCTGTACTGATCCAACCGTTAGACGAATAAGTATATTGCCAATCAGGTGTATCGTCGCAATCGTTAAACCATTTCCCTAGATAGCTTCATCGACGCGATTGACGCGTCAGAATGGCTGAGGCCATCGCCGAGTCGTAATTGGAGGGTAGAGCGTGGAACGCCCCATCGGAGGGAAGCCTGGCGCTGGGATATCCCTTGATTGATATCATTGAGAGCGCCTTGAATCGAATTTTCTGAATATCGAGGCATTGTATAATAATAGCCAATACCGACGATAATCTGTTGTGCCGAAGGTTGTTGTAGTTGGCAGATTAGGTGGCCAGAAAGGTGGGTGGCCATAAAGTTGGGGTTGTACGTTAGAGCTTGCTGAGTAGTGTGAGGACATGCATGAATCTGCCAGAATCTTTGGCAGTGACGATCACAGCGCCAATCAGAGACGTGATGAAATCCAACCTGCCAACTCCACACATTTCAGCCTCCAACCAATTGACCTATGGACATTTTCTCCAACTTCATTTCGACGGACGAGGCCAGATTTGGCCTCTTGGAAGCATGTAGGCACAGCAGGGTAAGCCCGATCGAAGAAGAGACGGGGAAAAAATAGAATGAGTCGTACAAGCACTTTTGGAGTTTGACTGTACATAAGCGATGTTGATTGGTGGGGTGGGTTGATGCTATGGTATGCTAATAGGACTGGGGTTCAAAGGTTCCATGGTAGAGCAGCTCCGGTTCGGATATCCGCACCGCCCACAAGTCCACGAGCCCGACAAGTACAGGGGTCTCGGATCTAACCTTCCATGCTACCTTCCGTCACAGCAACACCTTGAGCAGGATCTTCAGTCCACCCAAACCTACTATAACACCCATGACACACGAGACTGCGGCCAAGGAAAAGACGGCCAGATCCTGCCAGGTCGTCTCCTCCTTCTGCCTCCGCAGCCACAGGGCTGACTTTTTGTGAAAGGCCGGCTGCACCACAATCCACCATGCTTGCCATGCTTTATAGAGCAGATGCGCTACGACCAGACACCAAAAGGAGATCTCCATGACGGCGTCACGCTTGCGGGGCAGGTCTTTGGAAGGAGCGCCGGTGCTTGCGACGCCTGCCTTGCCTACTTGGCTGGGGCTTTGTTTCTTGTCCGGCTTCTCCACAATGTGGGCGGGTTTTGCAGCTGTCTTGCCTCCCGCTCCCTCTACCGAGCTGTCCTCTTTCTTGACGGTCTCCTTCTTGGTCGCTTTGCCGTCTGTTGGCTTCCGGAGGGTGGACACCATAGAACTCGGACTTCTCAGCTTCGGCGTCACTTGCGCTGGCATATCCACCGCGTTGCTTTGCGACTTCTGCATAGCTGTTCGCGCCGCGGTTTCGCTTTCTGATAGTCGGAGCTGATGAGCTGGCTGGGACGGCGACGGGGGTGGGACCGGAGGCCGAGGCGGAGATGGGTCGGTGAGAGGAATCATGGCCGTCTGTCCAAGGCTTGGGGCGTCCAGTTGACCGTCGCCGGTTCTCATGGTCTTGCGAATCACTGGCGTTGTTAACCTGGCCGACTTGGGGTTGCTTCTTGGTGTCGCAACGCGGGTTGATGCAATATCGGTCCTTAGAGTCGCGAGAAGGCGCGTGGGACTCGGCGAGACGCTCCGTGGTATAGTGCGATGGAAATACGTCGTCCTTTCCTTTGGCGTGGGCGCCGACGGCCTGCAGATGTGGTCTCGCAGCTTGTGCGACGACGGAGTCGCTGGAGCCACGGTGGTGTCGTGCGCGGGTCCGTCGACTTGGACTACCTGATTTGGTATTTCTGGCTGGCTCGGCCGATCGGGACCGCAACCAGTAGTGGTGGTGGTGGGTATGGAGACAGATTCGCGGCGGACTGTCTTGAGGCAACTGTTGAAGCTTTGAATCACCTTGCCTGCCCATTCGGGACTGCGCTCGTGCTGGGCTTGTTGTGGGAGGCGTATCGTCTCTGTAACTAGGGTTTCTCCTGACAGTTCTTGTTGGCTGGTCAATGTTCTGCGATGGCGTTGGAATATGCTGCGTGACCGGCGCGGGACCTGGGTAGCGAGGCCATTCTCGTCGGCTTGAACGGTAACCGACGGGCTTGGGCCCGACCTTGGGGGGGTGGAGGGACGCCTCATGAAGTCTTTCCACTTCGACTGGGATGAGGTCGCTGTAGCTATGTCGGTGGCTTGGCTGTCTACCAGCGTCTTGGGTAGGTCGAGCGGCTGCAGAACCGGGCTGCTCTCCGCAGTGCTTTCCGAGCGGCACTCTTCCGACGGGCTCAGGGCATAATTCGACCCCTCCTCCGAACTCACGAGCTCTATGTCCGGCTCTGGGCTTATGAGCCCCAGATAATGGTCCGGAATCTCTACTGTGAGGCCGGTGAAGTGTTCCTGTTTGGTCGAGCTCTTTGGGGAGATTGACTGGGACTTCAGGTCTGACTCTGTCATCGACGATGAGATCGCTGTAGCTCGATCTTCGCTGTACCCCCCTGGGTCTGTCAATCCCCGGTCGCGTCCCCATAAAAAACGTTTCCCACTGTCATCTTCAGCTGGCTTTGTATCTTGAATACTCGAGGTCGTTGCGGACAATGAGGGATCAGGCAAGGGGTCAGCAAAAGATACACGATTACTACTGCGTCTTGCCGGCGTATGAATGATTGTATCCGTGGAATCATTACGGTGATGTTGATGTTGCCGAGGTTGGGCTGGCTCGAGTGCGTGTCTTCTTCCAGTTCCTCGCCCAGTGCCATGGCTGTCGTTTGCGGTCCTGCTGGGCGACCCGACTTGAATATCACCCTCGGCGTCTGAAATAGAAAGTTAGGTAAATCTCAAAGTACTGGAACGAAAGGCTCACCTTTGCTAGGGGCAGTACTATTCAACGACGCAGCAATGGGGCTCAAGTTGGGCTTCGCGGCAGAAGACCATTGTCCTCGACGATGACCCAATTTCATGGATTCCTGCTGGCGTTTGATCCTCTCTTTCGCTCGATCCATTTTGTCCAGCCTCGCCTGGTCTCTGTCCATATTTATTTTCTCCCTCTGGGCTTCGGCTTGAGTCGTCGCACGAGCAAGCGCGAGTTTTGCTTCTTCGACGCTTTTGATGAGCTTCCCCATCTTCTCCTGTGTAGAGGGACTTGTCGTATCCGAGCTGATGCTGTTGGTAGGTGTTAAGACATTGAAGTTTCCAGTCAAGGGGTCAGCTCTAGTCACCCCCAGCCAGTCTCCGCTTGCTTTTAGCTCGCGGCGTTGTCGACGAATTCGTTCTCGATCTTCCAAGCGAGCACTTGCGTCAGTTGCAGAGAGGCTCTCGGTTCGGCCAGGGGCCACTGGCGGCAAATAAAGGTTGAAAGCACGATTTTCTGGGAGCTTGCCGCGTCTGATGTCTAGGCGTGACTGCGTCTGGGACTGTGGAGTTGGGACTCTAGGTTTCAACTTGCGAGGACTGAGGCTGGCAGCCCGCCGATGACTCTGAACAGATTCAGGAGCTACGGTGTGCGCACAACGGGTTTGGGGTAGATCCTCAGCGAGATTCCACTGTGTCAACTCTTCGGGGTTGATTCCAAGATCATGGTAACCAGATTCTCCACTGAGGTTCAACTCGGGACGAAGCGTTCCGCCTTGTTCGGGACGATGACTGGGAAGGAATTTCCCTAGATTTTGGAAGAGCCCAGCGAAGGAGGCCGCCCTCTTGCGCGGCGCCCACTTGGAGTCTTTCGCAGAGCTCGGTTTCAATGACTTTGGCATTGTGCGGTGTGCTCGAAAAGGACTGTAGGCTGTGCAAGGACTATATGGGATGATGCAAGCAAACGCAATTGCTGGACGCTGCGTTTGAGGGAGCGATTGTATAATACAGATACTCAAGTAGGTGAAACACACCAATGCATGCGTCGTACTATTCATATTGTTTACACTTGAATAGGAAGCCACCAGGTGGCTGTGAATACTCGGCTCCCAGGTTTCAAGTTGAAGGCAGGAGCAAGCAGACAATACAGGAAACCACGTAGTAGGTCCGACAGAGTCACAACCTTGCAACTTAGAAAGGCTCCTGCCAGTGCTTGCGACCGTTCTGGTTGTCAAAAGTCCCAGCCTCAAGAACTCCATATAAGTAATCAGAAATTGCAATAATAGTTTAGAGCATCGCCCGCTCCTAATAGTTATAACACACATGACCCACGCAACGCCGGCAAATGCTATCCCGTATGTATCAATGCAGAAACAGAAGCCAGCCAGCCCATAGTTACTTACTCGTGCATCAATATCCTACCCCCACATGGAAGGATATCGCTCATATTGATTCCGGTTCCTTACATATGGTTGAGATGGTTGTGAGGCCATAGTGCCTGTGCTGTTTCTTGTACCCTTTAATGGACTAGTACTACGTTCTCTCTGCTCTCTCGCTTTGTAGGCTTGAAATTGCTCCAGTTTAGCCATCTCGCTATTGTTGCGAGGGGATCTGAACTGGAGTTCGCCTAGACTAGGTGTTTTCTTCAGGGGTGAGTTTGGGTGTGTAAATATCCCCAGGTAGCCCCCGTTCCCTTGGTTCTGGGTTTGAGTCTGAGTTGATGACCGAGCTTGTTTGGTGGAGGCAGGTACTGAAGCGAACAGCCCCGTATTGGCAGGTGTGGGCTGTCCAGGAGTGCTTCTTCTCATAGGGGTTGGGCGGGCTTTGAGGGCCGAGGCGAAGGACTCTGGTTGCCGAGGAGCGACAGGAGGCGTAAACAATCCAGGATTCGTGTCTTGGGTAATTCTAGATCGGAATTGTACGGTAGCGTCTGGATCAATGTGCTTGATGTAGTTGAGATTCGGGTTTGTTCGGAATCCACGGCGGAGTACGGTTGTCGGTGTTCCCACTTCCACGGCTTCTTCGCTGTGACCAGACTCGTTTTGGGACAGTTGCGTTGATGCATCTCTCACAGTGGGGTATAAACGAGGGTGGACAAACTTGGTATCGTATTCGTGCATGACCTCCTTCTGAATGATAGAGGTGTCCTTGTTCTGCTGGGAGAATCTGGACTGAAGGAGAGTCAACTGTCCCGATAGAATGAATTGCAACACGAGGCAGTTGAAAACGGTGATGCTGGGTCTCACATCGAGAGAGGCAAGCGGCAAAAAGAGCATGTACACCAAGATATGCCCCGGGCTGAAACAACAGAACATGCTGAGAGAGATGGGCAAAGGATCCCAGACTGCGATCTCCCAAACATCCCGGGTTCTATCCGGGTGGGCCCGGGATTCGGCACTCTCAGAGCCCATCATATCTGTCAAAAAGCGAAGAGGAGATGAAGACACCGGGGAGGACTGAACTCGTACGCGCTGCGCTGACGGGGTTTGCTGCTCCTTCTCGACATCGGCTTCAAACAGGCGGTATTTGCGAGTGCGGTTCAGGGTGTACACGGCGTTCAACACAGAAAATCCGGCTAGAAACCAGACGAGGGCGCCAACCTACATGGTAGAAACCGATTAGCGACACGCTTACATCAAGACGACAAAAAGGACGCACAACAAAGGTCAACCATCCCGATTCGCCTCCATCGCCAAAGACGTCGTCAGCCGTAGTACTCTTGCTGGAATTGGCTCTGGCCAGCAGAAACATGAAGTTCATGGACAGTCCCAGTCGCGTACCCACGACCTTGGAGTTCCAGTCCCTGGTCTCGATCTCCTCCGAAAGCCACAGCAGAAAGTCCATGGGGTTGAGCATGGCCTTGACGCGCTCAGCGAGAGGCGCCTTGCGCACGAGCCGCGGCATCGTGGATTGTCGTGCAGGTGAGCTGTCCGCGGATAAGGAGCTGCGCAACTTTGCGCTTTTCACATTGATGCTGTAGCTGTCAATTCGTCAAGTCGGCTGGCCAATTTCCAAATGCGGGCCGCGACGGCGGATCGTGGTTGTTCTGCCGTTTTCGGTCGAGGTAGTCGTCGAAATATCTCGCGAGGCCCTTTGTCCCTGCCTGTGTTTACAACCGGCCGAAGAAGTTGGGTGCGGTTGCTAGAGGATATGGGAGCAGCTGGAGTGGACCTCAGAATTGTAGCTGCAGGTGACTGAGGGAAAGGTACGTACCGAATGGCGGGGGTTTTGACCGCAAGCAGTCAAGCTGTGAAGTGCTGGTCCCAAGGTTCGCAGGCGGTCAGAGCTCCATCCATCCACAGCAGCTGCCTTCTGACGTTCCAGGTAATTGGCGAGGCTTCCAGCGTTTCAACGGAGATCTTGCAGTCTTGAACCTATGTGAAAAGTCGACGCTGTATTTTCCGCTCATTACCTCCATTCTACCTATTCGAGTACACTTCCATTCACCATGGCTTCGCAAGCAGACTACAAAGACAGGCAGTTCCTTGCCGTTATCGGTGACGAGGTACGGGCGACATCTCGCCCTTGAGCGCTTTCCCGACTAATACAGCTTCTAGGACTCGGTAACTGGATTGTTGCTGGCAGGAATAGGAGTGAGCATTCCCCTAACCATGTTGCTTTCGCATGTCCCGGATCGAAATACTGACATGCCAACCGCAGCATGTCACAAACCCTCCCGACTCGCAAAAGAACTTCCTCGTCGTTGACAGCAAAACCGAAACGTCGGCGATTGAGGCCGCCTTCGACTCCTTTACCACGGAGCGCAAGGATATTGGCATTGTCTTGATTAACCAACACGTTCGTGCGACTTGGACTCCTGGACAAGTTCGTGTTGCTGACGGTGCATACAGATTGCGGAGAAGATCAGGCATCGCGTTGACACCTATACAGCCGCCTTCCCTACCGTCCTCGAGATTCCGAGCAAAGATCACCCATACGATCCTGAGAAGGATAGTGTACTGCGCAGAGTGAGACGACTGTTTGGAGAGTAAAGAAGCCGACTACGTCTGGAAGCGTACATGCATATGGACTAGACTGTAATCGTAGCCGGGAGAGCCTTTAGACAGGAAAGAAGCCACAAAGCTGGAAGTCCATGCGGACAGGCTTTCGCAAGATTCGTACCACGAGGGTTACAGATGGTATTGTCTACTCTACGTAGGTTGAAACGGTAACAATGGTACAAAGATTGGCTTTTCGCATTGTCAACGTAACGTCAAGGGATATCATTGTGTACGTGTTACTCTTGCTTGCTAGCCTGCGGAGGATTATATTCCCTGGATGAGGGATGATGGATGCCATGTGAATACTGGAAAGTAACGAAAATGAACCTCCTGAATGGGTACAAATACAGACGGGAAGTCCGTTGTGTCTCCAGCGTGTCTGCGACTACTGTCGGTCGCCTCTACCTTCTCCACATCTTTCGCCTACCCAACTACACCATCGTGGTGCTTGCCATCATGATGCTGATCTGGACCGGAAGGCCTTACAGCTCGCTGTCAGCAGCATGACCGCCGAAAGTGACGGTGGCATCAAGGCAGGTGATGGGCTTATCGTCGGCGTTGAAGACCTCAGCGTGAACAGTGTATTTGCCCTACGGCTTATTAGTATTGTGTGAACCAAGTGTTTCGAGCGTGGGAGACATACAGGAGGAACCTCCTTGGGAATATCGACCTCCTTCGTGACGGACAGAATTCCCTTCTCAATGGGGCACTTCAGGTCGGCCTTCTCCGTCTGCTCGCACAAATCGGCCTTGGTGTTGACGAGGCGGATCAAACCATATTTAACGGTCACTTGGATGTAAGCGCCCTCCTGGATGGGCTCGTGTATGATGCCGGTCGCTTGAATGGCGAGCTGAGCACCCCTGTACCTGTGTTAGCTTGGATTCGAATGGCTTATCGCGACGGGCTGAACGTACGACTCAGGCGGGTTGGGTGTCAAATCGACGTTGGTGATGCTGACAATATCCTTCTGAAGATCATGGTCTTTGCAGAACACCAGAGGATTCTTGCCTGGCACAGGCGTGGCATCGTCGAAGGTGGTGACGTCCTGGGACTCGGCAAACCAACTGGGCAACGCCGAAGCGAAGCCGGCGGCCGATAGTGCAGCCGCACATGCGAAGTTGAATTTCATGGCGATTTCCTCGGAGATAATGGAGAGGGAAGGATAAAGGTAAGTTGAAATGATGCAGAAGTCCAAGACCACAGGCAACTGGGGTTGCGCTGAAATGGAGGTCGTTTGCGTTGAGGACGAAGGACGTGGTGTCGATTCAAATGGCTTGTTGATCGATAAATGAGGGAGGCGGCGCTGCGGGCACTGCTGTGTGAACTACTGCAGCAGCTGTGGGGAACTCATGTGGTTGGGTGAGGGGACGTCATGGGGACTCAACACAGCTTTTGATTGGCAGAAGCCATGTGGCGACCGCCGTTTCTAGGTTCCCAGTTCTAGGACCAAGCGAGCTTGGCGAGGTCTCGACTTCAGCCATTCCCTCTCGCATCGTCAGGGTAGCATTGACGGCTGCCAGCATTCATACACTCCCCATGGCCATTCATTCCTTCAGCACTCGTTTGTACGAAGATCACATGTTGCGTATATCTTGGATCCGGGTTTTTAAGTTATGTGCCTGACATCTAGCCACTCCGTGGAGGTACTCGACATACTTGACCAAGAAGTATCTCGCGGCGGATTCCGCCCCTCCCGAATTTCTATCTCTTGGGAGTACGGTGTTTAAGTGTATAGGTGTCATCGCAATAGGTCCATGTAAGGGTTTAAGCAAGTGCCAGTATCGAATTGTCTCTACCACTGGCGAAACAGAATGACTTCGATCCTCCGCCATGGCCTACGAGTCTTGTCCTTTTCCTGGCCAATGCTCGTGTAGTTGTTTTTCGCAAGCACCAGCGTATTTTACAACGGACTTGACGAACTTCCCCGTCAATTTTGGCCTCCGTAAATTGGAAACTCTGCATCCTCTCGGCAGCAGCTGGGTTTCTATTTCATGTCTTATACTATATGCGCGGCAACCACCTTCACGCAGCTCGGGGCATCTCAGAGCTCCACGTCACAGCGGGCATGGCACTGTACCTCACCTCCTGCTTGCACATTGGCCTATCCCGAGGCTTAAGGCTGACTACAGCTGTTTGCGCATTGTATTTGGCCACAAAGCTCCACCTACTTGCCGCCTCCCTAGTCCTCTCCATCTATATTGCAAGTAGAGGCCGTCAGCACTGGGAGCACCTCAAATATCACCGAAAAATACGGCAATCTCTTCTGGGTCGGTATGTATACCACCTTGTATTATCCTCCCGCTATTTGTCTCTGTTTTATTCATTTCCATTTATGTTATCTCAGGCTAATATTCGAGGATTTGAAAGCACCCGATGAACTCATAATCAGATCTGTATGCGATTAAGAAAGTACACGAGGTGGAATCTCGCTGTAGTACGAGCGAGAACACATCTGCGCTCTTCACATTCAACAGAATCTTAAACTTGGATACTACGACATACCTGGAACACCGTGTGAGGAACGTGGTCTGGAAAAAGGCCATGATGGGTCAATTAACGATCCCTCTTCTTTTCAGTTTCTGAAGTAGCAAAAGCGGTGCGAAACCCTTTTCCAGCCCAGCACGTTTATGAATCTCGGGCTCGAGAGACCATCAAGGGCTGGAAAGATATTCTAGCTGAAGTCAATACAAGAAAGCAGTAGATGAGTACTTCATTGTATTCCAACTTGCTCCCGTTTGACAACATGGGCCAAGTCGGGTTATTCCATGCTCACTAGAACGACTCATTATCCAGGACTACCTCGAAGACCACCAGTTGAGAAGTCCAAGGCTCTCACAAAACATCAATGTATGCCTATACGTCGGCAATCCTCCTCGGTGGCACGGATACCATCGCCGTGATGCTTTCGTACTCGTTCTTCGAGTTGTCAAAGGACGCCTTGAGGAGACTTCGCCAATCGTGATCTCGAATCTATCGGCTACCTCGACGGGTTCATCAGCGAGTTAATGCGACTGATAATCCCCCCTGTAGCAACGGCCAGAGAACGGCATCGCCAGAGGACGTCGGGATCGACGGTGTCGGGGGCATGATGATGTTGCATGAAAACCGACCTGTAGTCATTTATTATACGGAAATCTCGCCATTAAGGGTAGAATTTGGTGGTTTTGGTGGCCGTCTGTGAGATGTTTGAAATGGCTCGTTGCGTGCGTGGCCCGGTAAGTGAGATTCACCTTATAAGACAATTACGCATATACATCATTCAATGTGTGTTAATACCTACCTACTTTAGGTGGGTAGTAGCAGCAGTTACTGTACCTATCTGCTTCAACACCTTGCAGTGATACTTTCCTTGTCGACTGTCATCACTGCTCCTCAAAATTCCCTCTTACACTTTTCTTCTAGGGGTCTTGCCTGGTTGTCTTCGTTATCATCCTCAGAATTCTTCGTAGTTATTTCTCACCATGGTGTTTCGGTTGATGAACCATCCAACTTTGAGGCCATGGACCCCTCGCCTGACCTTCGCCCCAAGCAGCTTTTGGCAGTCTGTGTACCCTCAGTTTTGGTCACGGCACTGAATGCATTGACCTTGGGTGCCATGGTTCCTGTATGTGCTGTCTACCTGTTGAAGAGGCGAGAGATGGCGAAAATGACTGGACACGCGGATTATATCCCAGGAGCTGGGCGGCGGGTTCGCACAGTCAATTGGCTGGAGATGGATTTTCTGGGTTAATGTGCCACTGTGCATACTCGGTTTCGCAGCTGTTGTTGTATTCCTGAAGCTAGACCATGTCCTGGGCGCATTCGTTACTGAGACGGCCAGATTTGACCAGCTCGGCGCTGCCATCCTCATCGCTTCTATCACTAGCCTCCCGGTGGCTATGTCGTGGTGTAATATTATGTTCGCGTGGCCATTATGGCAGACGATCTTACTATTCGTAATGGGGCTGTCTGGTCTGGTTGCCTTTGTTCTTTACGAGGCCAAGTCACCCAACGAATCTAGGGTTCAGTCTCCATGTTCAGTCAGCGGATGGGGCTGGTCCGTTACTTGGGCACCTTCATCCAAGGCATCATACTCTGATGTCTCCTCTGCTACACACTCCTCTATTGCCAGTACGTTAAAGGCTATAGTGCCAACGTGTGGCGTGACGATTTCCCCCGATAACTTTGCCATTTCTCTGGCCTGAATCCCTGTAAGTCTCACCGTTACCAAATGGGGCTAATTTCTATAGGCCATCTGTTCGGGTTAGTTCTTGACTGTGCTGGGCATGGGACTGTTTTATCTTCTTGGCCTCCACGCTACCGTGCCCGGCTGGATCTTCCTCAACGTCGTGACGCGCCTTGGGTTGGGCATGCTCGTCAGCAGTCCTGCCTATGGGACCCTGAGAGCTGCAGAAGAGAAGGACGCGACCTACGCTGTCTCCTATACACCTTCTCACGCTCCTTCAGATAAAGTAACGGTGTGACGACGGGCGGTGCCATAATGCAGTCACAGCCCTCGCGGGTCATGCCTCTAGTCTTTCCCAGAAGGCAACTGCGCTGGTCGGATCTGTCAAGACCCTTGATAAGGCCTCTTCTGAGCGCCAGATCATCGTCCAGGCTTATGCTGGCAGCTTGAAGGTCTCTCGACAGTCACGGCGGGTCTGGTATTTGTGGATCTCGTGGCCAGCGGCTGGAAGAAGGCCTTAAACTTCATAAGACCGCATGAGACGCCACAGTTGTTGCGCGCGAAGCCTGCCGGATGAACTTCCTGTAGACTGAGATACATGTAGCCACCGCCAGCAGAACCGTCACTTGGGTGTGGATAACGACGGATCTGCGATCTGTTGATCCTCTGAAATATAAGTTCAGACCTATTCTTGCGTCCGACGTGGTGCGAACATGTGTACGGCAAAGCGGTCGAGTCTGGACTTGTGGTTGGAGAAATAAGACAACTTGATTAACACATCTCCTATCCTCCGCAAACGCCGACCCACCTACCCTATTGGGAAACCGCGGCGAGTCTGGTTCGTCCAATAACTTGATTCACGTGCAGGGCCGCAACGAGCATGCAAGCTTAGATGCAGGAGGAATATCGACTTCGAGAGTATCCCCGCAACTGGGGTTGAACGCATAAGTCCTCGAAATACAGCCGCATCCTTCCAGGGAAAAGATGACGTTACTGGACTCTTCATATGTCGAAGACGCAGTTTCCAGAACTCGAATGGGCATGATGCAACCTCAGCTCGACACTAGTCATCAATGACCGACACGCAGATACAGTTCTAACCCTTCTGCCACTGTACGACAGTTGGCTTGGCCTGGCCTTACACGGAGGGCCCCCGAATACGACCTCAAAAATACTTTGTGCCCAAAGGACTAAGAGGAGATAAGTGAGAGTTCCGTCTTGCTGGCACAAACGCCGCAAGCGGTCCTGGGGAAGCGTACCCGAATTCGTTTACGCGACCCTCCGTGTATGAATGCTGATAGGCGATCACTAAACCACTGTCCTAGGGACATCAACGAATCTGGGTAGAGCTTTGAATTTCCCGAAAAGGAGCATAAACCCGCTCCCTTTATCTCTCGGTGTAGGCATGTGGATTCTTGCCCCGGGTTGTCTGCCATTAAAAGGCGGTATGGCATAGCCTTTGGCAGCGAAGTGGAAGGAGTTGAAATCAGGACCATCTTGAAGAGATCCTATTCGGGGTACCAGTCATCCTCCGGATTGACTTGGATCCTCCTACTACAATGAAAACCCGACAAGCAGCCATCGCAGAGGCTCCGACGGTCGCCTGGGTCAGCACCTAGGCTTTCGCCGGTGACTCCAGCTACACACATTTCTACCCGTGGCGCGACCACCACCCCTAGGACTTCTTCCCTCTGCGCAAGTACACGCAGCTAAGATGACGACCGGCTACTGCATCATCGTGTTGGTACTGGGGAGGGTGGCCTGAGCAAGGGCGTTGCGAAGAGCGACGCCGGTAGGATCAGCGTCCTCTACACGGCGTACGGAGACTTATTGAGAGTCACTGTACCGGAGCCATGGTTTCCAGTTGGAGTTTAATATTTTTCTCTCATGTGACCGACGCCTTAGTTAGCCGGACCATGAATCCGCCCGGAACTGTGATCTTTTCTCCGTCGCAAGGTTGATACCGCCGTTACTCTTTCTTGCGATATTCAACAATCTCGTTGTAGATTACTTAAAGGTAAGGAGTAAGACACGAAGTTCTCTAGTCTATTAGGCGAAGGTAAAGTTATCGTGTAAAGAAATAGCTATGCATTAATATGGGTTTTGTAGTATCTAGGAGCAGGCCGGTGTGTAGGTAAACCTTTATGGGTTGGTGAACTCTTAGACATGCCAGGCCAATCCGCCATTTCCCACTGCATTAAACAAAGAGCAAACATCTCGCTTCTCCAAATAGCACAAGAGTTTCATTAAAATAGTACGGATGTGAAGATTACAGGATAAGTCAAACAAACACCTTGTGCTAAAACGGGTATCAAGGCATTGGGTGCACCTTATTATCATTGCCAGTTTCCGCCCCTGTTCTCTTGACCACCAGCCAAATCGTTCCCGCCAACTGGGATCGGCAACGCAAAACATGATGATTACACCAGAAAACTTGCTTTGCCTCTTCGAAGTTATGAAAAGTGGGTGCTAGAACACCCGGGTATCGCTTAATAGTAAATCTTCTCCTCCCAGACGGGTGGTCGAACCACTTCCGTGTCCCATTCTAGCTTGTTCTTGTCGTTCAAAATGCAGCCCTCATCTGTGATGGGGATGACCTTACCGGTGTCCCTGACCTCCTGCTTCGAGATGCCAGCAGCATCCTCAGGGATCCACAACAGAGGGGTAGCGCTGGTGACCGAAGGTGGGTAGTAGGCGTACCGCTCAATCTCAGCTGTATACAGATTGTTGGCATCGAACGCTTCACGTGGGACAAGTTTGCGCATTGCTGCGTAGTCACAGTGCACCCAAGGCTTGAAGAACTTAGCGAAAAGGTTAGGCTTCTTGCCAGTTTCTGAAGCAGCGGTGGGGAGTTCCTTGCCACCCCCAGAAGCACCGTTCTCGAACCCGTTGTTGGCACTGGCGGCCGACCCGAGTTCATTTCTAAGCGACTCTTCCTCGTACTCGAGCGACCTCGGTAGATTGTAGAGGAGAGGGTCAAGCGCGCTGTTGATGGTGACGTGGAACAAGGCTGTGAAAACGGTGAAGATGATCATGAGGACCAGGGGACCAATCGCAACGGAGGCGCCAAAGAGGCCAATCATGCAGAGCTCGGCCACGTAGATACCAGCAAAAAGCTGCTTCAAGGCTCGCGGGTAAATCAAGCCGCGCGTATCGATCTGAGTGTCCGTGACAAAGAAAACGTTGTAACGATACGCCAGATAGAAGAATGACATCCCTATTGTCGCGAAGCCCAGCATCAACGGGGCAATTGCAGCATACGTAATACCTGGCAAAGTTAATACTAGCTGATTGAGAGTAGCTTGGGGCACCTACTAATGACCGCTATGTTGGTATAGATGGGCAAGACGCTTCCCCAGGAGATGGCACTGAGGTTGGCCCACTTGGTATACATGGCTCGAGGCGTGCCAGTCAGGTATTTGTAAAGGATAGTAAATATAATGAACCCAACAACCTGAGAGATGACTCCAGATGCGATGGTGAGACCTTGGATCAGGAAGTAGCTGATAAAGAAGTTGGAGGCCTTGGGGAGATTAGTCGCCAGAATCGAGGTAGCAGAAGCGGGATTTTGGCGAATTTGGTCGACAACGGCGGTGGCAGAAGAGGTCACTGTCATTATCAAGAACACTTGAATTAGCTGGAAGGCAAAGTATGCGTTCTGAGTAAACAGCTCGACGCGAGACAAGGAGGGTTCTCCAGAGAGCTTGGCGCAGACTACCGAGCAAGTTAGTAAAAATCCGTGACGATCAGTGACATAGCGAATAATAACTTACGTCTCATGACGACCGGGACCAAGGCCATGAGAATAGCCAACAAGACGGACGGAAGGAGACCTTGAACCACGCCGATGATGACACTTGGTATCTTGTTGATCCAGTTGAGGAAGAACACGCTGTTGGAGATAGCTGTGATGTTGCTAATGATACCCACCACACTGACGGGAATAGCCCAAAAGATGATCATAGCAGAAATAAAGCCAATAACGGCAAAGCGGCGAATGACTCGCTGCCACCACGAAACCTTGAGCGCACTCCAAACAACCTCGCCAGGGGTGATACCGATGTACTTGGGTGACATTTGGAGGGCCTGGTGGTGTGCAAGGACCTGATATGCGGTCTCGGCTTGGGCCTGTGTGAAGAACTCCATGAAGACAGCAGGAATCTTCTTGTAGGATCCGGAACGGTAAGAGCTCTGGGCCTTGTCAACTTCGGGTATCAGACGCTCAAGCTCAGTCCGGCACCAGTTGATTGTGTCCACTTTCTTGCCAATGAGGCCCAGAGGACCAAGGCGGTGGCTGGGGCGTTTCTTCGCAGGAACCCAGCGAGCAGCCAAGCTGCCAGACTCTGCATCAGCAGGACCTTCCGTCTGCTCGTCAGCGCCGCCCTTCTTGACGGCTTTGATGCGCGTGGCATTCGCAAGCTTGAGCAGCTTAACCTCGGCCTTCTCAAGTTTCATGGCGACCTCATCGCGCTCCTTGACCAGCTTATCCAATTCATCAGTGTCGCCCGTGATCCAGATGGATTTGACGCCATCGCCGAAAATCTTGCGCAACTTAGCCTCATCCAAGTAAGCTGCCGGAACAGAGACAAAAAGGACGGTGCGCGATGAGATGCGGTGCGAGTAGAACGGTGAAAGGAGAAAGGCCTGTCGCAAGTTGATGTAGTAGATGCACTCCCGCAGCACCATGTACATGACAAACCCGTAGAACAGCCAAGCAGTGAAGACGTGAGCATAGTAGCGATTCGATTGGGTGTCCGGGTTAATATTGGAGTATGCGAGCCTCTCTAACTCCCCACCGGGTCCGCCTCCGGTGATGTTGACAGGGAACAAAATCGGCCAAGTGATGCAGCATCCCACAAAGGTGATTGTGACGATGATGCGTAGGAAACGAAGGAAGAGATAGGCGTCCAGAGACTGATGCTGCAAGGCGTATATGTCAGGTATTCTCCAGAATGCGCCGAACCAATTAAAGAGTCCCGAAGGTAAAGGGGGTGATCGCTCGCTGCACGAGGAATTAGCAATGAAGAGGCGACTTTCGTATAGCCAACATCGAAATGGAGAAGACGCACCTTTCCCGAAGACTGCCGAGATATGTTCTCGGCGCATAGTAACGTCTCTGGCTCTTTCTCAGTATCAGGAAGATACCGATATAGACGAGAGCGACCACGAAAGTCGGCACCAAAGTAGAGATGAGGCCTGTTTCTTGTCAGCAATTATAGTCCAGGTTGGTAGAGGATCAGCGTGGTTTTGAATCTTTACCCGACAGCGAGTTGGGCGCTGCAGTTTCGACCGCTTGCCCTTGTTTACTCATCGTGTCGGCTGTGCCTCAGACGCGTCGAAATGAGTAGCAGAGCTTAAATCGAGGTCGCGTGGTGTTGTGGAGGGTGTTGTGGAGAATGGAAGGAGAAGGAGTCCAAGGAGAACTTGAAATAGGAACTGCCGCTGAAGGGAAGGGCGCGGCGGTGAGACTCAAGTGGCCCGTTGCTCCAAAGTGATGACTTCCACTAACGAAGAAACCAGACCTGATATATAACCCAAGCGATTCTCAGGTCTTCAAGATATGGGGAAGGGGGGGGGGGAAGTTGAAAATTGCTGGAGCCACTAGTATTTTGGACCCTCCAAATAAAACCTTCCTTCCTGTAGAGGTTGATATCCTAGATTTTGTGCAGCTGCAGTCTTTAGATGTTCCCTTATGACGCAGACTCTTCCTTACCCCTGTCAAGCTGATGCAGGCAAGCCAGAAGAGATGGAATGCTTTCCAAGGCTGGGGTGGTACGAGTGGCAGAAGTCAGGGAATGGGCAGCAGCAGTCTGTAATTTAGCGCGAATCGTCCCTGCTTGATGGGCGAGTACAGGAAAGATGCCGGTAGTGGAGCCTACCGAACACTAAAGTTGGACTGTCTGGCCGTTTTGGTTAAAGTTGTGCAGGGATGCACAGCGCTTGATGGAGAGTTTCCTGGTCTGAGCTCAATTTGACAAAGCTCTGGCTGAAACTGATGTTCGATGTCTCCAACGTCAATGGGTAGACATGCAAGTGAGGAATGACACCGGAGTTAGTTGGATGGGGGAGGCAGAGAAGGAAGTTCAAAGGAATTGCCGACACTATTTGGGCTCCCCATAGTTCCAAAGTAAAATTTCTCAGGGGTGGTGACATCAGACACAATTAGTCTGCTTTGCGCTATCAGCTGTCAATCCACTTGTGGAAATGTGCCTGAACGATGTCTACCAGATAGTGCCGAAATTATCCGTGGTTTGTCAACTCCCTATGCTGGATCTTGGCTTTCCAGTCCCGTAGCTCCAGATGCCAGTCTATTGCTGTTTTGCCTCTGGGTATTGCTAGGCACACCAATGCCGTGTTACTGTTTCCCAGGACAAAATCATGGCGGGTGTCACTATTTTGGTCCCCTCGTCGCTTCCATCGCTGTGTTCCTCTGCCAACAATGCCAGCCATTGTGGTCGATGCACCCAAACCATCCTCCCTCAAGCTCATCGGTGATCCAATTGTCCAAGACCGCTTAGGAAACCTCGCGGTTGGACCGTTACGCACGCGAATCGGCCACACTTGCCGTACTACTGTCGTTAGCGTCGATCGGAGATTCCTCACGATGCTGCACAATCTAAATTTTGCACCGCAAGCCAACCACTCGCAGTTGTGAGACTTGCGTGGTATGTGTTGTGGGTGGCAGAGTTTGCCTTCGAGACGTTCCAAAGTCAACTCCTCTACCGGCATGGCCGTTGGCGGCCTCTGGAGGAAATGGCCTGAAGATGCCAGGTGTGGTGTTTCGGTGAGAATACTGACAGCGATGGGGCTGTAGTCTAGATCCAGGTCGAAAGGACCCTGGTTACGCGGGGTTGACCGTTGCATGTGCACAGCTGCTAAACCGAACACCGTGAGATTGGCTGGATGAGATCTCAGTTATTGATCTAGAACAGTTTCATGAAACTGCAGCGGGTACTGCAATATGTCGCGCCGCATCGTAAGGGATATGCGGTGATATTCGATTGTGAGACTTGACATCTCCGGCTGTTGGCTTCATTCTCCAATTGAGGGCGGCTTACGTTTTCAGCGGTGTCATTCCATAACATCACGACATAGCAAAATGCCCTTGATATCTCGACGCGTCCACAATAGAATTTATATCTTTCGCTGTTCACTCACGTGTATTAACCAAAGATTGCGTACAGGAATTCAACCTGTGAAGGACACGTGTCTGTGCCCGTTGCTGGTTTGGTCAGGACGAGGCTATCCAGTTTCGCCAGCCGCTTCAGAATTAGATGTTGATAGTAGCATGCTTAAGCAGATGGAAACAATGGAACTTCTCAATGTTGGAAACCGATTCCGGTAGCGTTTGCTTCGGTCATTCCAACAGACCGTGCTAGTGGCCTTTCAATCTTCAACGAGGGTCAATGGTCTTTGTTCAAGAATAACCCGTGTGTTCACATTCCTGGGCAGCTTCTATCTTCTTCCTCTCGACAGATTCGGGTCGTCAACATATTTTCCCAGTCTGCAGTCCTTTCCTTTGCGCACCACTTCTCCTCAGTAGACATCACGAAGTGGTTCGCCTAACGACTGTATTCGAATACTAGGTCAACTTAACTTACTTGGACCTCAACGGAACCTATCCCGCTAGCCTGTCCCAACAATGGGGTTCGGAGTGATTGACCCTCATAAGGTGAAGAAAAATGGATATGTTGAGGCGAACGACTATGCGCTGCCATATCTGAGTAGTCACTTTGAAGAAAACAGTCTTAAGGATGACAACCTTAACATGTTGCAGCATGTCAACTGCAGCTACTTATCAACTCCTGGGAGGCCGCCAACTTTGGAAGCACTGAAGAAACATGCGCAGTCGCTGACTGTACTCATTTCGCAGTTCGCTCCCTCATCAGGCCCAGGCGAGATCAACAACGCAAGATCCCAAGACCCCCAAGCTCGGCGATTCAACAGGGATGAGGCATTTGACTGGCTGAATGATCTTCAGACACCCTACAGCAATGCAGATCGCGCACACCATCGCCCCCTCAACAGCCTGACCAACCGAGTCAAGAGCAACAGCGACATCGACGGTGTCCAATACCACTGTCCACTGGAGGAGCATCCCATATTGCCTCAACAGCCGAAAAGTGAGTCTGCGAAGCTGTTCAAGAAAGAACGACAGTTCAGGCTCCATGCCAGACACACCAACCTGTTGATGCATGCGAATGAATGCCTCGAAATGCTTGACCATGAGTTTTCGGCGACGGGGGGCCTGCTGTCGATACTGCCGACGCAGCAAGGACTCGAAGCAAAGCAGTTGGAATCCGTGAAGGACACTCTCGTGGGCCAATGGCTTGTCTTCACCCAGCAGCTCATATGTCGAATGCATGAGCTAGAAATAGCCTATGCCAACAGCCTGGATCTCCTCAAGGGTGAAGCAGTCGTTCCCATGCAGCATCTGAGCATCCATGGGCCAGATGGACGGTCCGGAAGGACGATTGTGTTTCCCCAGGATCGTTGGATCCTGGCCAACGCTGGAGACGACGTCCTTCAGTTCCTGCACCAGAGTCTGGACAAGAAGGAGATCAGCGCCGGCGATATCGAAAAACAGCAAAAAGCTATGGGCGTCATCGGCGAAACGTTGATTGGGTCAACTGCGACGGCACGCGGCATTGTCCATCTCGATCTCAACACGAGATTCTACCGGATCAAAGGAGACCAGCGCGGCCCCATTTACGTCCTGCCAGCCTATGCTGACCGCCCAGGGACTGCTTATACCCGGGAGATGGAGAGCAGGCCAACTATAGTCGCGATACCGACGCCCAAGTTTCCTGAGCGCGTCAGCGAGTGGGAAAGGAAATCCCAAGGAATGGAACAGCAGCTGCAGAGCCTCAAGGACGAAGTCAACAAGCTGCGCCGACAGAACGACTCGGTTCACAAGGAAAACGGGCAGCTCGAGGCGGAAGCGGACAGCCTGCGCAGGGTTCTCGACAGGTACAAGAAGACGTTCGACACGCCTGAAGGGAAGGCCGCCCAGAAGGACATTGACCACTGGAAGCGGAGACTGGACGAGCTCGGGAACCAGTTGCATGTGGAACAAGGCCTCGCAGGCATATTGCAGACACAGATCGATGCGCTTACGCCAAACGAGTATTCGTGGAAGAACGTGGCAGGCGAGTTGCCTCGGGATGTGGATGGCAATATTACAAACAAAGCTATGAAGGGGATGTTGGAGACTATGAAGAAGGTCTCGCATGAGAATAACTCTTTGAGACAGAGACTTGCCAGACTTGAGACTGCCTGTCGTAAGACCTGAGCAGGCAGAGTTGAAAGAGGTAATTTAACCAGCTAGGTTGCGCAACGTAGGGTTAGCATAGCATTAGTAGTGGGATTTTCTGGAATTGCCAAATTTGACACTTCATCAGCAAACTTCCTGGTCCAAATACTACCGTAGTACTACAAGTCATCATCTGGTCATCGAGGCGACCAGATTGCCGACCGTCCCTCTCAATGCTTCAATTTTGTTGTGATGATGAGGTGGGACAAGACATGTTCGGCTTGATCCGGCTTGGTGAATCTAGATGTTCGCTTGCAGCGGCTCAACTTGAGACGAGCTCGAGGTGGCTGGTTGCCCTGCCAACACCAGCCATGTTCCCCAAAAAAACAGCGCGTACGGAACACCAAACCAAGATTATCGGCCTGGTGCTATTGCAGGCTCGATATTCCTTTTTAGAAGGTTAGTGATCTTCGCAGATGTGACTGACTGACTCGATGCTCGGTCCCTTTATCCATCAACTTGAAGCCAGAAATTGATTTTTGTGCGCGGCCCCAGCTGCAACCGAACTGCGATTGTGTTACTTACACCCGCATTACTGCCCATTTTGTTGACAGCGCTTGATCTACTTGGTATTGCTCTGTGCTGCCCCTGCCCCGAATTGACAACTCACCCATCGGGGCCCCGCTTACCTGGTCTTTACGTGACGATCTCAGGGCTGTCTATACGGATACTCTATAGCAGAGTGGTCCGTCTCTATATTAGTTCTTTGACGACGGTATTTGACACGACGGGGAAAATAGTGAACGATGCTTTGAGCTGAGACAATGCTCACTTCCTTCGGGACGGCAACGCCGCTGCCGTTTGCTCGCCGCGTTTCATCCACAAACATGGCCGTCCGAGCAGCGGCAGCTATCCGCCTTCTTGCGCTTTTGGTGGACACGGCGTCGGCGCAAACCCTCCCATACGCGCCGACGACGATCCTTGTTCCCGAGAATACGGTACCGCTACAACAGAATGTCGGCGCAGACATCGCCTATATCTTCGCACCTAAAGATGGCTCCGTCGAGTTGCTCACCCTGAACATTTCGAGTTCTGTTCAGGCCTCAGACCTGTCTCTCCGCACTTTGTCGCCCAGTCTTCCTTTCCTCACAGGGCAAAACACGGCGTTCGCGCCTAACATCGCCGAAAATGGGTCTCTCATAGTTTACGCGGGAAACTGCTCGTCATCAACGCAGTCGAGCATCTGGGTCCTCAACCTGCAGGCAGATGATGCCCAAGCAGACTGGACCGAACAGGCCACAATATGGGGCAGCGATGGCGTTCAGGCCGGCCCAGGATTTCTCGGGGCCAGCTTGAGTTTTTCAACGACCCTAGCCCCTGTCATGTCGACCGAGAATGTCTACGTGTACGGGGGCATGTGCCCAAGCACAGCTGCAAATGCGACACGGTCACAGTCTGAGGCCACATACTCAAATCAGATGATCAAACTTTGGCGATCCAAATCTGACAGCTCAACCTACTCGGTTCAGTCCGTCGGCAGCAAAAGCGCGCCCATTCCCGAGGCAGGCTTTACCTTCACGGGATTAGTTCCGTCAATGTCGAATCAATCCGGTACCGTCACTCAGCAGATCAACCATGTAGTACTTGGTGGGCACACCCAGAGTGCCTTTGTGAACATGAGCACCGCAGCTATCTGGAGTTTGCCCGAGGAAAGCTGGGCTTATGTGGATATAGAGGTCGCAGATTCCAGGACAGCTGGTACTGAACTGGCTATAAAGAGCGCTTCACAGTCAGTTGATGCCAGGTCGGGCCACAGTGCAGTGATGAACCAAGACGGCGATGCTCTCATCATCTACGGAGGCTGGGTTCAGAACGTTTCGATAGCCGCTACGCCTCAGCTGGCCATTCTGGAGATGGGAGCCGGCTACGGCGGCGCTGGAAAATGGCAATGGGTCATTCCAGAGAATCAGCCCTCGGGTCCGGGTATATACGGACACGGTGCGGCGCTTCTGCCAGGCAACGTCATGATGATTTATGGAGGGTACGACATCTCTTTATCTGGAAGCAGTACCAAGAGGCAGGCAACGAGTACGAACAGCAATATATTCCTCAACCTGACAACTATGACATGGTCGGACACGTACAACAACCCGGCCTACCTTGCCGCCGGCGGAACCCCAGCAGAGTCGCGCAGTTCCAGCAACGATGCTAAGAAGCGCCTCGGGCTCGGATTAGGTCTTGGCCTTGGGCTGGCTGCTGTTCTTGCCACGCTGTTGGTGTACCTTTTCTATCGCCGGCGTCTGCAGCGGAAACGAGCAGCACGCGAGGACGCGATCCGTGCTATAGCCCAAGACACAAACCGATTTCTCCACCACGACATGATGGAGCGCGACGATGGACACGGCTCCTCATGGTACACAGGAGCAAACGACCCTTATCGGAGTGGAGGGCGGTCTCTAGGGTTCGAAAGCTTGCGTGGCCGAGGTAACATAGACGGCAGTAACAGCAATATCCCTGGAAACCAACAGTTTGCACAAATAGCTCGTAAACCTATTGCGCCGAGAGGAGCCAGGGGTCAATATCAACCAGCATCTACGAGCGATTACGAGCCGCGGTCGGGCAACAGGGGAGGTCGAGCTGGGCCGATTCACCCCATCTACGAAGCAGACGAGGACGGCGAGATGCATGACGAAAACAAGCCAGCCAGCCCAGCCAAGGAAGCAGTTAATCGTGATAGTGCAAACTATTCTGACCCTTTCTTGACACCTACCACTGATCGCCAATTCGTCTTGCCACCACCTAATCGCGGCTCGGCAACCCCCAGCCCCGAAGGAAAGCAGACCACCGACCCTGAGGTCCAAGATTGGATGTCTGATATCGATGCTGCTGATGCATTGATCAGCTCGCGCATGGCTACACATAGTGCACAGGGAGGCAACGTGCGGAGCTCCCCCACCCGAAGAGGGACGATCAAGTCGAATCGCTCGGGCTATGTCGCCGACGACGACTCGCGAACCGGGAGCAATGTCTCCGAGTCGAATCGGAGTACCCTCTCGCGGTCCAACTCGGCACAGCACCGTAATTCCTTTGGCGCGAGTGCTGCTGTGGCAGCTGCTACCGCAGCCGCTGTGGCGGAAGAGAGACAAGGCACGAGCAGTAGTAGCAGTAGTGCGCCATCATACAATACTGCGAGATCCAGCTTCCCGGCTCTAAGGGCTAGTGGCCCGGCTCTCCTGATGGGCAATTCGCCGAACAATGAGGACGAGGACGAGACACCGGGCAGTCCAAGCAAAATGAAGCCCCGCCGAGGATGGTTGGGTAGTTTGCGACGTGTTTTCAGCGGACCGACGCCATCTCCCACCAACAGTGATAGGGAGGGAAGCCCCATTCGCGATAGCATGGCCGAATCGTCCGACTACGACCCGCGACTCGGCGGACTAGGAGGCATTGCCGCTGGTGGGCTACTGAGAAGGAAAGGAGGCCGTCACGCCTGGGAGATTGGGGAAATAGGCGAGTCCTCGAGGAGGGACGGCGTTCCTGCCGACGAAGAAGACGAGTGGGACATTGAGAAAGCGGTGGAGAAGAGGCTCGTACAAGTCCTATTCACGGTGCCTAAGGAGCGCCTGAGGGTCGTCAATGCGGAGCCGAGTATAGAAAGTCTGAAAGATGTGGTCGTAGACCCAGACAGGGATCTTCACGAGGAGATCGAGAGGTTGTCTGCGGTCATCGCGAAGGGAGATTTCGACGGCGAGGTGCATGTGGTGGACAGGGATGGAGATTTCGAGAAGCAGATGATGCTCCGAGGGGAGAAGGAGCATGGAGAGTATGCAAGAGACAAGGGCAAGCAAAGGGAAACGGTGGATTCGGGTTTCGGGACGGATATTGGTAGTGATAGACACATGTCTCCTGGGCCGGAGGACCTGCTGGCCGTTCCCGCAGCGATTGAGAGATACCCGTCTCATGGCTCGTCCAACCGGCTCGGCGTGGACAGCCGTGCCAGTCAGAGACATTCGTCGCTTACCTCGGAACACAGCGAGGGCAAGGTGCTTCATGCCGAGGCAGTTCGGCTGGAGCGCCCGGACAAACCCAAGACTCGAGTTCTGGCCATGGTTGAGAGCTTCGAGTTCAAAAGCCGGACGCCAAGTCCGGAACGACCCCCGTGAAATGCGTCCGGCACGAAAGTCTTGTGATCAACAACGCTGGAAAGGCAGCAAGGAAGGGTAGGGATTTATTGGCGCCATCGGTTTGTTTTTGCATTGCTGGATCTACATATACTATACACCTTTGTAGTGCGTGGACCTTGGGATGGACGTTGGCCCCTCGACTATCGTTCTTGTACCTCGGAGCGAGGATACTTGTAGGCTTGGTTATGTTGAATTGAGTCCAACGAACAGCTGAATCCAAATCTGAAGCGGATCTGTACCCCCCACTATATATCGATGTTTTAACGGCCCCGACAATTTGGTGAGAGTCGATTGACGAAAACCGATTTGCTCCCCGCAGCCCTCGTCAGATCTGACATGGGCGTTGAGCGGCACCGTTACAGCAGATGCGGACTTGTCCTGTCTTGGCACGCACGAGGCACAACGAGGGCGACAAATGGCAGAAATGTCGTGATGACGAAATGTGTCGACCTGGAAACCGCCCCCGAACCTGAAAACAAGCGGGAATGCGAATGCGGCAAATGTGGTTGATCTGAACCAGGACCTGTTGATCTTCATTTCAGGGCAAGCGACATGTGCGTCCAGCCTTTTTAGTTGCCCAATTGGCACCTAACAACAATGAACCTCTCGCCAATGGAGCCGGGTACCTGCCGACGCAAAATCCAAAATCAGCCCTTCATGGGCCATCACTTCCTCTCTGGCTATAGTGATGGGTAGTCTCGTTTGAGGTTTCAAGGCTGAGAAACAAAAACTCGCCAAACTAGGTGAACTAGACCATGATGGTTCTTTGGGGCGTCGCCAAGCCGGAGCCACAGACTTGACAGGTTGATTAGTGCTGAGAATCGAGATCTGTACCTGGTGAAGTTGTGTGAGTTGTTATTAACAAGATATAATCAACAATGCTTTGCGCGATGAACGACGATATTTTGTTGATCCTGGTACGGCCGGAGCAAACCACGCGGTGCTCCGCACGACACGACATTGCTACACGCGTTCATGGATGGCCATTCCCTATGCCATAGTAGGAAGGAAAAAAAGAGGAGACCGCAACCAGGCACTTGCGCGCGTTAATGACCCGAGATCCTAGGCAATAAAACTACGAATATGATGACATGACCATTGGCCAATGGTGGCGTAGTGCAGTGCCGTTTGAGAATAGCTATTGGCCAGCACGCAGGTGTCGATGACGTTGAATTGAATGCGTGTTTTCTCTGTGGAGTTGGAAGTGGATCGTCGCATACCTGTAGTCGGGTACGGAAAGTGGGAGAATGACGACTATCGAAGAGACAAATGGGGCTTCACGATGGAATGTAGTCGGGCAAGACGTCTTTGTCCCATGAGAATAACGACTCTCTGGTCGGGAAAACAGTGTCTGCGATTTCTTGAGTGGGTTTCCTACTTGGCTTGGTAAATGAAGCACAGTTCACTTGGGTATTTGAAACTTTGATCGCAGATTCGGGTCTGGAACCGGTCACTTGGAGACGAATGCGATAGCCAACCTAGGTCCGAACAAGATGAACTCTGGGAACGCGTGAGAATCGGTAAGCCCTGGATCTTGCACAAACAGACGTCACTAATTTAGCATCCCAAGAACCAGTCGGTCCAAGGACAAATCCGGCGCGGGCGGATGCCAGCGGATTGACTAGCCAACTCGGTATGATATTGAACCAAAATAGCAATGACGTACTCTGCAGAACTTGATATTATCCCGTTCCACATCAAGTTCTGATGGCTCGCATACGCTGCTATGGCCATGGATGAGACCTTTGGCTGCAGCTGCTGCCAGGACCGGGGCAATACCAAATTATCTCCTCCGTTCCGCTTACCGGCCATTTGCCGTTACGTTATCACTTGGCGCGGAGCGGGAGAGACCTTGAAAGCCAGCCCCATTGCGACCGGACGGGCTCCGAGGAGATGATCTGTCTTTGGGTGCATCATCAATAACTTGATTATTTCGGCAGGAAGCCACTAGCTGCCCTTCTCGTCGAACCAATTGCGTGAATTTGAGGCCATCCCATGTATCGTCCGTTAGTTGCACGCTGGAATGGCCAATTAAGGTTGGAGGTGGTTGGTTAAATCGTACTTAATCTATGTAGTATACGGACGATTCTCGTGTTTGGCCTAGCGATGCGGCGAATATGCACTTCGAGCCTGCTAAAAGCTACGAACCTCACACCATCTCAAAAAACCTGCCTCCACTGGACGGAGACGGTGGGTCTGCCTTGCATTGGGTTTTACGGGATTTCCGGTGATGAGAGCTAAGAGACTCTGAAGTGGCCGTCCGGGTATTTTGGCATACAGACTTTGCAATGCAGAGCCGATCTGGGTGACTCAACTGAGCAGCTTTTTTTTTGTGACATTAGTCCTTGGTCGAGCCACGATAAGCCTGACTGCTCGGGATTCAAAGGATATGGAGATCGCATGTTTTTCCCCCTTATCTCCGTCGTGTTGCCCTGCCTATTGATGCATGCGATCCAAGATCACGAACTTTCTGGCGCCGCCGCTGACAATGGTGGATGCATAGTCCTCAACAAGTCAGTCATATGAGCAATTGATCAATCACATGAAGCCATCCTGCAAGCTGCCTCTGTCATCAATTGAGAGGACATGGGGTAAGCTACTTCGGAGCCTAAAGGCTGTAGGCACTCCATTGGCCCGATAACTTTTGGTGTTGCGTTTGTGTGAACTGGAGATCACAAGTATCTAAACTGTAGGACCCAGGGACACTTCAGTAGCGAGCATTGGTTTCTGAGTGTCCGTGTCAGGCGAGACTGCGCTAGGAAATTGTGTAGCCGCCTCTATGGCAAGGTCTTCCCTGATTTGCACCAGCGCATATTACTGAAGGTGTCAACCTGTTGCCACTTTGGAGCAAGGAATTGTAGTACTTTTATGCTGGACCCACACGTCGAGGCTAAATGGAACAATAAAGAATACTGCTTGCAGTATAGCTGCATGCATATGTGTGGGCCGATCGAGTGTTCTCGAGAAGTTGGCGATTGGGCTCGTGGAAGGTCTCAGAAACAAGGCTAATGCCGAGCGGAAAAGTCCAAACCGAATGGCATATATCATGACGACTTCGTGTCCAGTATATGGTGCCGCGTCGGGCGTAGTTACTCTTTTGCTGCTCATCGAAGCGAGTGACGAGACACAGGATATGTGCAGGTGAAGTTAGCGCAAGTCATGTCGCAACTATCACATCTGGCGACATGTGCAAGTTTGCCAGATAGTACTGCACACTATGAAGACAACATCAATAGCCACTGGCAGAGAGGAACTCTTCGAACAATAGCGCCCAAGGGACACCATGCCATCGCCTACCGACCTAATGGCTCCTTTAGCTCGTGAGCATGTTGCAGACAGGTGTGTTCTGGTAATAGAATGGAGGTCCCTGCTGAGGCTGAGCCAGTCCGTCGGTTTGTTGTGGGTCGCAGTGGGAAATATCTCTGAGCGTTATCAAATTCCTCAAGCTTGGCTTTGCTTGGGTGAGCTGTTAAATTCGCCCAGGCCCAAGTCGGGTCGGGTCAGTGAGACAATTTATTAGGACAGAAGATCACACATCGCAAGCGCCCGTGTCAATAGAGTATGTCTGTCGGGTGCATCCAAGCAAATAATAAATAGCGTAGCACTCCAAGCTCTAGAGACAACAGCATCCGAGCTCAATGTGAATGGCCGATGGGTTTGCTGCTGTGCGTGCCTGGCGATCCATATGATTCTACTTTCGTATTTTGTCTGGCAGTTGGGCCCCGCCGGCGTTTCTCGTAATTCAGCTCTGTGCTCAAACCTAGTGTTAGTGATGATCAGTCGCCAAAACCCTTTGCAAGGGCTGCTCGCCTGTAATTCCCTCCACCCTTGCCTAAAAAGGTATCACCACAAGACAAGCCAACCCTGCGCAATCCTGAATCCCGGTTCACCCATCTCAAATCTCCCGAAGCCCATCAATTATTTCCCATCCTTCCCTCGCCTGTCTTCCAATCCATTCCCAAGTCGATTGTTGTTTTCGACAATTTTCCTTGACACCCCGTCTTGACTCGTAGATTGAGCAAAGCTCTCGCCTGTCCTTCTTGTTGTCTCTCGCTTCCAGCTTCCTTTTTATCATTTTCTTCTCTATTCTGACTTATCCTAGACTTGGAGGACGACTACTCCCCCTCTTCCCCCGTCCCCACGTTCGATACGTCGGTTCAATCACAAAGAAAAATACCCGAACTGGCATCCTCCCTGATGACCCTGTGCTAGCATCTTTTTGTCTCTCCCCACCAGAGCCCACACCTGCACGCGCGAAACACAGACAGCAGGATACCGTTTCCGACCGGTCTTGGCGCCCTATTGTGAACACCCAGCGCATCCGGTTTTCCTGGCCCATCTTCCAGCACGCTTTTACCCATTTCGGCGCCTGGCTTTCACCTTCTCCTCACCCTCTCACCCCTCTTCGAGGCCCGGTCTATTCGGCATCGTGACCCTCACAAGCCAAAGCAAGGGAGTCTTCGTTGCCACAAGCAGCCTGCTGGAAGCTTGCTGCTGCTGCTGTCTCCGTTGGTTGCACTTTACATTTTCACCTGAAGCAGCACTGGACCCTGCCATGGCCACGCACAGCCCATAAGAATCTGGCAGCATATTGCATGGGCTCATTGGCTGGTCATTACACTCTTTACCTAACATACATAATCATTATTAGAAGAACAGGCAATGTGAGTTGGTTCTCAACTTGACGTTGACAGCCCCCATAGATGTCACATAATAGTAAACGAAAGCTAACAGTTCTTTGTAGCTGAATTCTTCAAGTCCGCCCAAACAATGGTATCCTGTCAACAATTTTGGCCCTTGGCGGCCCTCGTGACCCTGCTGAGTGTGGCGACCATGAGGACGGCCGCTGCAAGCACCGACATGGTCTACTGCGCAAGCATCAACACAGCTTCCACCAGTGCCAGTATGTGCCCAGTACCCGCGCGGAACCGACACGTGGATTACTGATGCTGACATTTATGGCTCAGATTTTAGCACTTTCCAGTCTGATGGACTGTGTTATGAATTTTGCATAGACGACTACGCCTTTGCCATCGTCCAAGAGAACAACTGCTGGTGTAGTAACTACGTGCCAGCTACACATGTGGACATAAACGATTGCGACACCGCTTGTCCTGGCTATCCCAGCGACACTTGCGGAGGAGACGACCTTTGGGGCTACATGTCACTTGACAAGTCCCCGTCGGGAACATCAGGGGCAGCTACCGCGACAACAGCTGCTACCACTACCAAAGTAAGTCTGCTTCCCAGTTCATCTATCCGCTGAATACAACGCCTCTTTATTGGGCCCCGAGGGTTCCGTAACCCCTGGTGACATACTGTTTGCTTTCGAGAATGCGACTAGAATACTCGATTTTAACAGTACTCAACATCAGGACACGGTCACTCAGACTGTACGGAATACTGTGACCATCTCTTCAACTACTACACAAAAAAATGTGCAAACTTTGACTGACGCTGTTGTATGCCAACTTGATTCCCTTGCGTGTTGGAACTCCTTCGTGTAAATAGTGTGTGCGGCGTACTAAAAACACTATGCTGACCTACTTCAGACCAAGGTTTCCGCCACGGATAAAGCTACAACTAAAACTCCTAATGAAGATTCCACCACAACCGCTGTGCCCAGCATCTCCGTCGCGACCATCACCCAAGGGGGGAGTATCAGCTATCAAACCGTCACTGTAGTGCCTACAGCCACTCCTGTTTCTTCCGATACCAGTTCAGCCGAGACAACATCCAGCAAAAATGGTCTATCAACCGGTCAGGCGGTAGGAGTTGCGGTGGGTGTGCTAGGAGGCGTGTTGATCCTTGCAGCCATCGGGGTCTTCATGTGGTTAAGACGCAAGAGATTGCAACAAGAGGCGGACAATGAGAACAGTACGCGAGGTAGCTCGGCCGGTATGATGAGTACGCCACAGACAGAAATGGCTTCTGTTTGGGACGGTGACGCATCGACGATGGGGCGGAGGAATAGTCGACTGATGCCTCATGACCCGCGGATGGATCCTTATGTCGCCAACATTTATACGCGATTTGACAACAAAAGCCAAGAAAGCGTCAATACCCTGCGAGACGATCACGACTATTCGAGACGAGTACTTCGGACGACGAATCCCGATCCAAATATTGACTGATCAGAGTTGGCCACCAGATTGTATGCGAAGGGTCAAACACCGTCCTGGAACGGTTGATGGTGACGTGCGCGATACTCCGACGGGTACACGAAACTTTGGGACACTGCATTGCACTGCATTTCCGAGATACCGAATGATGGCGTTTTTAGGAGAGCAAGGTTTCAGGAACAACGCCATTTCGCGAAAACATATTGATAAAAACTTCGACCCAACATTGGTTTGTCCAGAGCATCAGATGAATTAGTGCCAAAGCTTGATTTATTGGCACCTTGACAGCATCCGCAATACCTTGGTACCGCAGAGGCCTGTCGGTAGCAAGATGGATATACAGCGAATTGGTCCCTTTGCGGGCTGCTGGCATCACAGCACACAACCGACCGAGCTCATATGCGCCGACGCACTTCAAGAGAGCAGAAGCCTGGCATGTAGGAGGCAACAATGGTCACGCACGAGCGCAGAGAGTTTAGCATAGCGGCAGTTGTAATTATCATAGGAACATCACACGGGGTGTGTCATTTAGGGGCACGGTGGACGCGGTCCAACATTTGCGATGGCTGGCAGCTGCGTTTGGGCGAGCATCAATAATAACAAAATAGCCATGTAATCGCAATTCCCTGTACATAACAAAGCTATGTGAAGCTGTAAAGGCCATGGATTCAGTAATAGTTAGATAATCATCCCACAACATCCCGCGACGAAGGTCGATATTGCCTTCATGGTAGACAAAACCCAACCAATAATAAATCCCGCGCCCTGTGCTCAGTTGTTCCGGTTGCTGAAGAAATGTACGCAAATGTATGCAAGTACAAATTAGCTGCCAAAGGGGTAGCCAGTTGACGCATGTAGGCCACGCGGCGCGCTATTTCTTATATGAGGATTCACAGCGGTTGCATCATCATCGTGCACTCGCGAAAGGGGTAGCGTTTGAGCGTCTGCGCGTTTGCAGAAACAATTAATGGCAAATAACCCTATATGTGGTTCCAGGGCAACCCGACATCACATCACAATTTTAGTTCTTGCTGTCTCGGTTGGAACATCCCCTTGAATGAGAAAAGGCGGTTGATCGCATCGATTGTATGCAGATCCGGGGCATTTTGCTAGCACTGCGTGGCGGGCGGCTCGGCTGCTGGGAAGATGCGTTTTCTTAATATGACACTGCGTAGTTCTAGCAATCTACCATTTGTGAGTATTTCATGAGTGCCCGATTGTGAAAATATGCCAGCAAGTTGTACTAGGCATCGTACTTTGTATATACAATACGACTCGCGCCTCGTTCAAAACACTCTTTCTCATACGATTCCTCCTACTGCCTTGTGGAATCAGTGACGTGGTGGTTTGGGCGCAGCAGTCGCTCGGTTCTCCTCTCTTCTGGGAGTTTCTGGGAGCAGCCGACTTGCCGATTAGACCTCAACTATCCACATGCAATTTGTCGCGGAGGCTGGAGCCCTCGGGTTTGGGTTTGACGGGAAGCGCCTTGCGCCATGGTTCGGGGGCACAGCAACACAAGTCGGGTGTTCAGATGACATGTGGCGCGCCAACGAAGATTCTTGAAGAAGCGAACGCGTTATGTGAACGGTTACATGTGTCGTCACAGTCCAGTCGTGAGGTGATGGTCGTTCGATGATTAGGTAACGTGCCTTCCTGTATCGATGGTTTTAGACAGTTGAGGTGGCAGTGGCTACTAGGGCGATTTAGGCAGGTTACGGTAAGGCAATCACGGACGATCTGGTGTGAGGCATTACGTGTATCGTTCTTCCTGGCTATGCATTATTGTACCCAGTATTGAGGCCCGATTGAGAATGCGTTTCAGGCAATTTCCAACGAGGGGATCATCAGTCAAAACGATGCGCGCATCGGCCTTCCACTCCGGCACGGCTTCGTAAGTTTGCTTGGATCTGTGCAGGTACGGCCCGGCGGTCGTGCCCGCCGCCAGTTCCGTCGTTCCCCACTACCAGAGCAGCGCAAACCCTATCTTCATACTGACTTGATGGGTAGAGTTGATTGCTCTCTTATACGTAGTGGTGGAAGTCATTGCACGGTCAGAAGATGTCTCTTGTTCAGAGATCTATGCGTTTGACTCGTCAAAGCGATATCATGTTCATGTCCGAGTTAGCTCCGAAGACGATTGTTGAGCACCTCCCAGTTTGTGATACAGCACGTAAGAGTTGACTAGAAGCTTTTGGAACTGCCGTTAATAAGTACGTGCCCCTCAACATAGAAGAGTGTGTCTTTACAAGTGCCACTGTGTTGCCTGAGCGACGTTGCTATTTGAGAGGAGGCTAGAGGAGCGACGATGATCACCATGTTGTTGCCGTTCTTCCGTAATGACCTGCTGTTTCTTGGTTAACTAGTTGTAAGCATACACTATTAGCATCGCCTTTTTATGTTTGGGATGTCGATGCCAAGCTATAGCACGTAAGGGGTCCAACCCTACAGCTACAAGTTTATTGGCTGGTCTCTAGTTAGTGCTCAACATGACATGAAAGGCTGCATGACGCATAAGAAATCCTTCCACTGCATGCCAAGTCTAGCTTATAACCTTCCCCTTGGCCAGTCTGATGGTCGGTGGGTTGTGATGGAAACCCACCAAATTGTAATCGGGAACTGCATCATCAGAGAAGGGGAGCCTACTCGTGTAGGATCATGATCCCGTTAGTTCTTGAGCCCCCCCTTTTGTTGAGCGTGTATGGTCTTGTGGAGCTCGTTCGGTTTACTAAGTGCGAAGTAGTTTAGCAATACAGACATAGATTGCTGGGTTACCAGGATGGACTCATAAAAGCCCAGCTCCGAGCGTTCAATCGGTGTCTTGGTGACTTCAATAGCCATGTAACTCGTTAGTCTTTTATCGGTTCGTAAATCGGGGCCTATAAACGTCGTCGCCACATCGAAGACTTCCAGCGTCTCATTACATGCGTATAGCTGGACTTCTGTGGCTCATCGTGCTGGATCTTTGGAGGTGTGGCCTCAGCAGTGAACACACTCGCTGGCGCACCGATCGTAGAAGAGATTGCTGTTGCCGGTCTGGCCCCCAGCGCCGAAGTTAAAGGCCGTCTGGTTCTCAAATTTGTAGTATGTATCATGTATTGAGGCGTTGCAGCGTGCAACCTGTCTATGTTCTGCATTAATGAGTAGCTCTATGACGCCAGCTAGAGCGCTCTGCCAGGTCTCGTTCCTTTCCAGCCGCCGAGCCTTTATTTGGGGCGGGGAGTGTAGTGGACAGCGGAGCTGTGAGCGTGGGTCATGGACTGTGGCCGTCACCATAAATTGTGAAGGTATCCGGTCTTAGATGCCGTTCGATCATCTTTTTTTTCTTTTTTTTTCTGCAGCTGTTGACAGAACCAGGGGTAAAAATTGCAGAACGTATCGAGACGCAGATGAAATCGTTAGCAGAGATGTCACCAGAAACGCAATCGTAGATGACAGGGGACCCAAGCTTCGGGTTCGCAACTCCTCATCGACGGTGGCTGGGAGAAGCTTGTCTATGAGGACGAGGTTGGCATACCAAGAGAAGAGAGCCGGGTTCTGCAGCTAACGTAAGCCTGCAGCGACCGTAGTGTGAAGTCGCCCGAGGAGTAGCATAAGCCAATGAGTATCATGACGACAAAGGCTTGAAACTCGCTGCCTTATAGCCTCCCCTTAATCGTAGCTGAATTTGCCCCAGTTGGATTGTTCCTATCTTGCAGCATGCTTCTGCTACGAGCAAAAATAAATTGTCAATGATTCAACAGTTGTATTTGATGCTCGGGAGAGTCTCCCAAACGAAGGCCCTTTAAACATCATAACAACTGCCAGAGTTATCCATGTTACCAAGCACAAGCATCCGACCACCAGATGCCGTGAGCGATTAGAATACTGCACGTTCTTCCAAAAGCATCGCTTCTCCAATGGACTTGTGGGCAGAAATGGCAGTGTTCGGCCCCGCACGGACCACCCAGTGTGGCCACTGTAGATTAGCCAGAGCTTACGGCAAGTAACGATAGTCATAAGAACAACAATGAACGGTGGGCTGCGATTTGCCCACAGGACTCATCCGAGGTGATTCAGAGATGGCTTGGTCAGCTAGCAGAATGATAAACTGTTTGAAGGACTGAGGAGTGACATCTTGAAGGAGACCAATATCAAAGAGTGAGTCCAGAGGCAGAAGCGACCAGTGACGCATCAGTAAGCCGAGTGACATGCGCATATCTATGTCCATTTTAGTACCGCTGTTGCAGTTCTGAGGAAACCACCCGTCGCATATGTCAGGGAACTTGATTTTCCACAAGCAGTGCTCTCCGTGAATTATAGACTCAGCCCCGCACACGAGGTCTGCCGAGACTTGTAGGCTTTGGATCTGGTTACTGGTTTATACGACCCCGATTCTCCTGATGGTGTAGCTCGGAGAGCACATGAGCTGGACTGAATGCATCACGTTGCGGGAGGCGGGAGATGACAGTTATGTACCTGTCATCCTGTCTTTCAAGCCCAAAAAGGCAAGGCCTATTCGTACGTCATCCAGCTTACTGGAGTTTCCGCAAGTTGCTACCCAGTAGCGGCCGAAGAGACAATGATAGACTGAGCTCGCAATCAGCAGCAGAGATGTTGAGATACGTTCTCGTATCAGCGGCATCCTCGGCCGTAACGTTGGAATCGTAGACGACAGGTTCGTAGATGAAAGAAACCAGCTCCGCCGCTTGTCACCCATAATCATCGGAGAATCCATCCGCTCTGTTGTGTAGCTCGGCAACCTCGGAGACATCGAACATGAACTTTTGTTGCGCAAAGTGTCTCGATGCCACTTGATACGGCATGCTGTTTTCATATAAGCCCGGCATCGTATAGTACGGAATCGGGCCTGGATCGAGAGGTGCCGAACTGTCGTCGACAAAGCGGTTCTGGGGCGTAATGGGCCGATGATGGGCAATTTCCCCCGGGTTTAACGTGATGAGAGAGCTGCGTAAGGCCACGACGGTTTCTGGCAGGGCTGTTACCACAAACCACAGTGTTCGTCAGTCCCTGTTTCGGTACGCTCGGGATGCTGCCGTGGGCGGTAATATGTCCAAATAGTCCAGCATTAGGCTTCTCTCTGCCGAGACAGGACCCCTTGACATACGATACTAAGCGGCCACTAGGTTGGCTTGGAAGTGGCTCTACAATGCCGTTATCAACGTGGAGACAGCCACGGGTCCGCACGTCCATACATACCGTAGACCAGTACAGCTTGTCACCCTTCCTTGATTCTTGGTCTTGGTCGAGGTTGCGGGGAGAGCTTCGATGGCGACAAAGCTACCAGAATACGCCGCTCAAGATATAGTTGACGCCACGAGAGGCGTGAAATTGTCTGGCGGGTAGTGTTCGTTGCGGCTTCCTGGCAGGTACGACTGTGGGTTAAATTCTCTGTCGCCTCTGGTGCCGGGGTTGCGGACTCTCCAAACATTTCGCATGTGGACAAAGGGGCGAATATGGTGAGGTTACCAGTGGGCAATGCCAATAATTCAAATTGGCCGTCATCTCACGTGAAGCGAGTACCTGTATGGATATACTGTTTCCCGCAGATGCCATTCTGTTGGGCTTGATAGCTATGCCAGCATCAACTGGCACGATGCCTTGCACTCTTTCGAACGGGTAACAAACCCGGTCGATCCATTGTGATAATTGCTAGTCCACATCGACGCTCGCAAACTGGTCTGTTGCCTTCTGAGCGCTACCGAGTGATTCTCGTAGACGTAGATATTATGCTCTGTCTGTGACCTTGGAAGGTGACATATCTTCCACCTCAGTACCAACACAGATGGCAGCAGTAGTTGGAAGTATGGTGGTCTATTGGATCGTGGCCTTGTTCGCATACTGAAAGAACCTCTACGTTGTCTTTCGAGGCCGGTCACAAAGCCAACCAATATTCTCTCAGGGCCCACGTCGGAGATCACTGAGTGTCCAGAATTGGCGAGTAGCCTCAGAGTATGCTCCAGTATTACGCCCTATATACCGCCGAGAGAAACCTTGAGGACTTATGTATGTATATAACCATGATTAGATTACGACCAGAGATATACCTAACCTCGAAACAGGTAGTTTATTGACCAGATTCAAAGCATCTCGAGATTTATCTCCCCCTCCGCCACCCGCGATGTGGCAAGTCCAGACCAACTCCAAAGCCAGTAGGCACGGCCTTTGCCCCTGAGTTGGCCGTGAGCATCTAGCTACCTGTATCCACAGCAAGCCTCCGCCCATGGACCAAATCGTGCATGCTGTCTTCATATTGCTTGATAATACACATAGGGGTGCTTGGCCCACTAAGAACAGTCCAACGCTTGAGTGTGGTACGTTGTGTGCAACATTGAAATGTTGACCGTGAGTATAGCCACAGACGGCGGCAGGAGGCCATGGGCCAACCCACTGTTGGAGGAATCCCAAGGAAGGGACTACATGAGCTTTCGCCTTCACAGGATGTTTCGACAGGCTGTGTATCCAGGAAAACGGAAAGCACCGTTGGTCTCATGGGCATTCTCAAATAAATTGACTATCATATGTTGGGATATATTGGGGGCTACAATCACGGATGCACATAGAGTCCAACAAGCTGTGGCCTTTCATGTCTCAATTGGAAAGCTTAGCATCCGTCGTAAACTAGAATTGCCAAGAAAGGTAGGTTAGGGTGAGTATGCGGAGCGGAAGTTGGGATGATTGTTCCCAATTTGTTTGGGTGATCGACGGCATAGCTTGATTGCCTGTGGAGTCATGAAGAAGCTTCGCATGGCACGGTGAGGATGTCGCCTGCCGAGGACGGACTTACTAGGAGACAGGTTGCAAAGCGCCACCTGGCGGGTAAGCTTTGTGGATCAAGCCTCTGATGCCATTTCGCTTTTGTGGCTGGCGGCTTCTCAATTTCTTGCCCAGAACCCCAGAACTTGTGATCCAACCAGAGTTGGGACAACAAAAGCGATTTTGCAAGATGGAGCCAGCCCGTTCATCCCATAAGTTCATGTAATTCATGTAATGAGGATCCGATCATCTCAAACACTTTTTATCAGATGAAGCACACGAGGTGAAGGGCTATTGGAGAACATAGAAAAAAGTGTGATTGGCTGTGAAGCACAAGTTTGAGGGCTGTTGCACTGCGGGCAGGGCTCAGCCTCACCGTGACGAACCACCCCTAACGCCTTCCAGGCTAGTCAGCCCGGCTCGCGCAGCCCCTGTCGCAATCTCGCATGACCTAGTGTTAAGGGTCAACGTGTTGCACATCGTGTTGCCGTGTCGCGCGATGATTGCTACACCTTCCATTCCTTCATTCATCCACTGTCCAGCAGCTCACCAATTCCTGCGCCTCTCCTTCGTACTCCCTCTGATGCAGCGCATCCGCACACTCCTTTGACCCTGCTCTAGCACCACGACCAACAATCCAATCCGGAACCAACTCCCGTCCACCGCTACATCCAGCAACAAACCAGCCTTTTTTTTCTCACGGCGACCGATTGCCACAAACCGGCGGGACCCCCGACTGCTGACGATTGTAACTTCTTGGCAGTCCCCATCCACTTTGTGACCAACTCCAGCATCCCAAAAGAGGATTCTCACGTTTCGCAAGCCCGTCGCAAACGCCCTCCTCGGGCCAAAGCCGTTCTGCCGTTCTGCCGCTCTGTCGCAAATATCGATGCGATTGACAAGAACCGCACGCTTTTCCACCATTTCCACCTCGTACCGCAGAGTTGGGGCCAACCGCGAGTACCAGCACCCCAGTGGTCCTCCCAAACCGGTCGTTTTCAAAGACGATTCTCACTTCGAAGTACTGCACCAAAACACCAGAACATCGCATCAACGACGACCAACGACGACCGACGACGATACGCCGCCTGGGCACAACGGAAGAGAAAAGTTGCGAGTGACGACGGCGGTGTCGCCGCCCCCTCGCCGCCATGAGCTGGAATACAACTTGTAACTCCACGCTGGAGGAGCTGCGAAGTACGTACAAAGTCACACACCCTCTTAATCTGCCGTCATCCCGTTCCTGGCTGCCCAGAGTCGTGGCGTGAAGCGACTCCTCAAAAGGAAGAGGCTTGAAGAGACCACCTGACTAACCATACCGCAAACGCATAGTCGGATCCGAGGAGAAGATCGCAGGAGACTTGACATTCCACCAGCTGGCTCTGTTGATTGGCGGCGTGTCCGCTGCCATTGCAATACTGCTCAGTTTTTATCTTATGTGGCGCCATGCCAGCAACTACACCAAGCCGCGCGAACAGAAGCACATAATCAGGATATTGTTCATGATACCCGTTTATGCCACATCGGCCTTTCTCTGCATCTGGTACTACTGGCACGCCGTCTACTTCCAGGTCATGAGCGACTGCTATGAGGCCTTCGCCATCTCGTCCTTCTTCGCCCTCATGTGCCACTACATGGCCCCCGACCTGCACGAACAGAAGGATTTCTTCCGTACCATGAACCCCATAAAGCCCTGGGTGTGGCCTGTGAACTGGTTCGCCAAGTGCTGCGGCGGCGAGCGCGGGCCCTGGCGCATACCCAAAAGCGGCCTGACCTGGTTCAACATCATCTGGATCGGCATCTACCATTATTGTTTTATCCGCGTCACCATGACCATCACGGCCGTCTTGACGCAGTACTTCGACCGGTACTGCGAGAGCTCCAACAGCCCCGTTTTTGCTCACATATGGGTGGTGGGCGTCGAGTCCGTAGCAGTAAGTATCGCCATGTACTGCGTCATCCAGTTTTACGTGCAGCTCCGCGAGCCCCTGGCCGAGCACAGCCCCTTCCTCAAGGTTCTGGCCATCAAACTTGTCATCTTCCTCTCCTTCTGGCAAACGGTGGCCATATCCGTCGGCACGTCGACCCTCCACATCATTGAGGCCAATTCCGTCATGGCCTACCCTGATATCAAGGTGGGCTTACCCAGCCTGCTTCTCTGCGTGGAGATGGCCCTCTTCGCCCTATTACATCAGTGGGCCTTCCCATACCAGCCCTACAAGCCCGGCGCAAAACCCACATTCTACCCTGTCGCCGATGCCAGCCTCGGTGGTAGCCACCTTGAGAACGAGCACGAAACCCCGCGGGGTGTTTGGAAAGCCTTCGGCGATGCGCTCAATCTGTGGGACATTGTCAAGGCATTCGGCCGTGGCATGCGCTGGCTTTTCGTAGGCGTTAAGAGCCGCCACCACGATGCCAGCTACCAGCCCAAAGGCGGCCACAACTCGCTCGACACGAGCTATCCCATGAAGTCCTATCCCATGTCCGCCGGGCCCAAGAGTACCGATCACCTGCCAATTGCGACGGAATTCCGCCGCAGCAAATTCGGCATGGGTTTGCCGCAAAAGAAGGACGACGAGCCCGTTGCTGGCGATGAGAGCGCTGGTCTGATTGAGAATGCGCAAAGCTTCTCGGTGCCAACGAGTCCCCCGCGAAGCGAGGAGAGGGCTCCAAGCCCCTACCACAGACAGCCTAGTCCGTATCACGATCCGCACCGCGGCGAGTACTACGAAGGCCCCACATCGTCATCATACGAGAACCACGCGCCGCCGCTAAGTCCTGCATACCAGGCGTATCAACCGTACTCAGAAGACGCCACCGACCGAGGGAGCTCGCCGTATTTGCAGCAAGGCAGTTCGCAAAAATGGAGCGAACCATCGGGGAGTGCAAAGCAGGCGAACCACCGAACATCAACGCAGCTGCGCGTAGGGAACGCACTGTGGGGTGATCGGTCACCCCAGTACGACGGAAGGCAATAAGGGGCAAGGAGATTTGATCGATTTACGACCAAAAAGGAATATATGACGTGGTAATGACTACCTGTTTGATATAGCGCGACTTGAACATGCCTACGGGCCGGGTGGTCTTTGGTTTCCAAGGCGTTCAGGTAAGCGGACAAGCCGTGTCTGGCTGGCAAGAAGATATCTTGCCCGTTCTCGCGTTTGCATTTGATTGGGTACAATTTGGTTTTTTTGTGATGTGTATAAATAGGTCTACGGTATTTCGATGCTTCGGACAAAATCTGGGATATCCGAATCGTGAGCAGCTCAGAGATATCTTGGGATACCACCAATGAATGATATTTCCACATAGTACGTATGATATGTTCGACTCGCCGTCAATAATGCGCTTGAAACCACTGGGGATAACCACTGGGGATAACCACTGGGGGGTGTGCTGAACATGCTTTCCATCTGCTCTATATGTGCTCTCATTTGCTCATTACGAATGCTTGCCTCTACTTCTACACATACACCGCTACTACCCGTGCTCTGCACCATGCGATGTCTTGCGAGAGTCTAGGGTTCCCCCTATTCCTCGGCCGACGGCAACAAGCCATGCCATGCCGTGCGATGGATGATCCTCTTCTATCTTACGCCTAACGCCTTCGTCGCACCCTTTCTTCCAAGGTCGGCGTGTTATGTCACGTAATACAATAAACAATACATTTTTCCAGGCGATTCTTTCTGCCTGTTCCAATAATTCCATCATATGCTCTTTGCGTTTGTGGGGGATATCTCATATTTTGCCGAAAAGTGAAGGACATTTGAATTTGCATGTCTGGTCTGATATGGTTTGGTCGTCAAAGCAGAAAATTATAACACTTGCTCGTTTGTGTTGGTGTTTTTGTAAAAAAGTCTAATAAAACGATGTGTGTCGACCATGATGCCTCCTGAATTTGGCCCTTCCAATGCGATGTATGCCGGTCTCAGCCATTTCTCTGAGAAGTAGTAATGAACAGGTTTTCTTCTTCCTGGAAACGATTGATACGAGATTGTGTCGCTGGTGATTCTTGATTCCCCCCTTTCCTCTTCCTTGATAATACACATCTGTCAAACCAAAATGCCGACATGAATCCGTCACGGACCAGAGGGATATGGATTGGGGTTGTTAAACCCTTGGCAACTACGCTGCTAGCGCTGCCTTTGTCTCTTGTGGCCGTCTGGCGTGGGGCCCGCGTAGCCTCCCTCCTCACTACGGCGTTTTCGGCTTCCTCGTACCTCCTCGCCGCCTCTCGGTTCCCTAGATCGATGGTCTTCTCCACCTCGAGGGCCACCGCTCGGTCCATTACCGACAACTCGTGCTCCGCCACTACGTCCATGTTCGTCATGTCTGCCATTGGTTCCACCCTCGTTGCGGTGACGCGAATCGCGCACTCCATCCCCTCGCCCGTTTGGCTCGCCTCTAATATTGCTGACGGCCGGGACATCTCTGTTGCCATGAGCAGATTCTCGACCGCTTCGACGCGACGAGTCTCGTTCGTTCTCACGCACATTGCCACCAGGAACGGCGGCGGCAGATTCTCTGTCACGATGCTCACGATAGTCCTTAGATCGAGATTCTCGTGCTGGGCTACGCTCCCTACTAGCATGGCGGGAAGATCTTGAAGATCGCTCCGTGTGGTCGTGGTGGCGTCGGCTACGTTCACTACGTCCAGAACGGTCATCCCCGTTAGCTCCACCTCGCGCCGATCCTGGATGATCTCCACCACGATCATTGACGATAGGGTCGGGTCTTTCGTGAACAGGAGTGGATATGGGCGAGGCGCCTGTGAGGATCTGGGCATCAGAGCCAGCAAGGTTAGATCTAGAAGACCTGCCACGCAAGCTAGCAACGCGACTCATTGGGTCGGGGCCCGACGCATCGCGTAGAACATTGTTGATACCTGCAAGTTGTCTTCGACTGCCCGTCCTGTGGCGGTCATTAGTAGCCGAAGGACCAGTAGGCGGCGCAGACATGGAGTTGCTCTTATCAGTACTAGGCGTCATTGGGTGCCCTGAAGAAGCCTGGCGGGAGTTACTGTTGCCACTTGAGATGAGCGCACGGTCAGGAGTCTGCAGTGGAGGAAGCGAGCGGCCTTGTGATGGACCAGTAGGGGGCACTCCGGTATGGATGTGGTTCATTCTGTCGGGATGCACGCCAACCGAGTTGACACTGGAGCCACCAGAGCCTGTGAAAGTAGGTGGAGCTGGGGAAGGTGTCGACGCCAAGCCAGATCCTGCAAGATGCCGAAGTCTGTCCGGATGGATGCCCGGTGTGGTAGTGGTGGCTGGTACTGGAGCCGGAGAAGTCACTGGCGCGTTATGAGCAGGGCCTGCTGGACCGCGACGTTGTCTAGACGACGCGGGTCCTGTGGGTGGGAGCTGTCGGTCGGGGGATGGTCCTCGATGAGACTGGTCGGCGTTTGGAAATCTGCCGTCGGTACGAGACGGTGGCTGGCTGCTGGATGGTGGAGCACGAGCCGCGTTACGCCCCCGTCCTCGAGGTGCATCGGGAGCATTGCTCATGTCTGTAATGGATGGGATAGCATTCAGACGACCATAGTTGGGATCTTGCTGGGTTGCTCTACCATCAGGCTCGCCACGCGGCCCCGGTGTGGGTCCTTGGAAAGATCCCAGATCCCGAGATCTGTCTGGCATTGGTCGGTCAACGTCGCGCTCGCCCCGATCGCCTCGGGGTCCATTTGTCGATGCAGCTTCGTTGCGACTGTCCCTGGATGGTGTTTGATGATCTCCACGGTGGGAACGGCTTGGCCGTTCTTCGCGAGTAGGCTCGGCTAAACGGGGTTCCGACCTTTCACCCCGTCGCGGCGGGGAACCGTGGCGAGTGCTACGTTCGCGAGTCTCGTCCTTCGGTTGACGGCCAGCCGGTCGCGATTCATGGATCAGCGCAACACGTGCAGGATTGATCATCTCATCTGTACCAATAAGACGAGCCCGCTCCGGATTGACACTTGGGCCTTGCGTCTCAGGCTGTGGTGGGGCTGGTGGCGGCATCACTTTGGCATCCGATTGAGGCTCTCGTGGTGGTCTACTCGACTCGGATCCTCGGCCAGCATTGGACGGCGGTAGGGCTCTATCCCGCGATGGGCGGCCCTCTCGGTCATGGGCGCTTGTCTCCCATCGTGCTGATCCTTCCGATCGCGGGGGTAGCCTGTCTCTATCAGAACGCGGAGCTTCTCTTGTCACATTCTCCGTAGGAGCGCGGCGGTCGCTGCTGTGCGAATCCCGACCACGAGTAGCCCGCGTGCTCTCTGCTGGTCTGGCTTCACGAGTTTCCCGCAGCTCGCGGGCTTCCCTGGGCTCCCTCGAGTTTCGCGGCTCCCTGTGTTCCCTGGTATCTCTAGCATCACGAGGGTGCGGATGCTCGGTCGGCAGACGAATATGTCCTCGTTCATCCTGCGCGAAGTGCGAAGGGAAGGGCACATCGGGTCGACTAGGGAGACCAGGAGGAAGAGAGGCAAGTATCGATGGCTTGGATGCCTCACGGCGCGCTATCGTTCCAGGGCTAGGAGCACCCGATTTGCTCGTCGGTGTAGATGGGCGGCTAGACGATCTAGCGAGCTCAGCTGTCCTCGGAGGGACTGGCGCTGGTTTCTGAGAGCCAACAGCTTTCATGGCATCCGAGTCCTTCCGTTCATCTGCGTGAGTTGTGCTGGCCGGCTGTGATTTGTTATCTCGAACCTCGCCGTCATCCTCATCTTCAGTCGTGGCTTTCGTGTGAACAGCCAACGTTGGTGGGGGTCTGAACTCCAATGCATTTGGTCGGAGATTGGAAGAGGGTGTACCACCCTTGGACGCCTCAGCGGCCCTCTTGTCATCGGTTGGATCACCGGTCTGTGGTATGGTTAGCGAACTGTGAATGCCACGATGGATCTGGAAGAGACCCACAGTATTTGGCCGGAACGCCTGGACCATGACCCATTTTGATTCGTGCTTCTTCAAGGCTGAGGCGGCTGTATTTGCGGTGACGGAAAGGTCTACTCGGTGGCTTGGTCCATCATCGCCTTCGCCTTTAGATGTCGATTCGCGTTCGGCAATCTTCTGAAGCATCTGCATGAATTGCTTGCCTTGAAAATCCACAGCGGGAAAATAGTCGAGCACCGCTTTTAAAATGGTTATAGAATTGCGGATATGCATCCACTCGGTCCCTTGCAAGCAAGATCTTAGAGCCGTGGCTAAATTCCTGTGCCATGACCAGAGTAGATCACGGAACTGCCCATGATCCATCACAGAGACAGGCTTGCCCTCGTCATCAAGTGCAGTGGCAAATCCAACGTGTTTGCCACCTTTGACAGCCTCTTTCTCGTAAATGTCTTTGCTCTTGTGCCATCTTGATAGTTCGCCCAGTGTTAACTTGATGAAACGTCCGAAGAACTCGGCTTCCCGAACGGTGCAGCCGAATATCATTGATCGAAGTCGGTTGACGCTGAAAAATCGTTCATACAGAGCCGTGATCTTAAAGTTCGCGACTTGGTATTCGTGAAGGAATTTGACCATCTTGTGAGAGAAGTCGGCATCTCCAGGCGACAGGAGTATGCGCGGCATCAGACATTCCTCAATAATCGTATCGGCAACCGCATTGCATTTTGCCATGACAGCCGGTAGCCAGGTTGGAGCGGATTTCAACAACAGCATCCTTGTCTTGCCCACTCTTTCCTGGCATTGAGAGGCCTCAGTAGACAGTTTCGTGGCAAGCTGGGTGATTTCCTGCTTTCGTTGCTCCCGCTTCATCGTTCCAGCTCTGCTCATGTCGCTCCGGTCTCTCTTGATGTGTTCTTGTTCTTTCTGGAGTCGTATCGATTCGGCATTGTAGCTGCTGGCTGGAATACCAAGATCGCCCGTTTGCAGGGACCAAAAGAGAACATAAAATTCGGGACTAACCAGCTGCCATACCTCTGAAGGCAGTAGGGTTTGAACAGCGTCGATGATGGGGTGGAGAACTTCCAGGAAACGGTCCGTCTTTCGAACAATCTTTCCCTTGTTATCCTGCTCAACTGGTGATACCTGATCATCAGAAGCTTGCGATTCGGACAGAGGGAGAGAAGCGTCGTCACCGTCCTTCACATCCATTGACACATCACCCTCAGCATCCGTAACATGCTCGGATGCGCCTGTGACGCGGCCATCCTTGGGAGCAGTAGCACCCGGTCCAGTCAGATAGAATGCAAGACTAGCACGACCAATCAAGAACGCAAGGTTGGCATCGAGTCCGAATTCGGACATGAGACGCGGAATACTAGGCACCAGATTGTCGAATTGATCAGGCGCCAAGTTACTTCTGAGCAGTTCGACGAATTGGGCAAGAGCTTGTTGGGAGTCATCGATGACTGTGGCCAGGAACTTGATGTGTGTCTCGTTCTCTGGCAACCGGTATATCGCAGATTGTCTATACTGGGCAATGTTGGTCAACAATCGCGGCGCAAACTTGGAATGAACTAGGGCCTTCATGAAACGAGCCGCGCTTCGTGTGGTCTGTGATTCAAAACGATGATCGCCCAGGTTGATAAGTGTCTGGCGCCTGAGCTCTTCGCCCCCACTCAGTGCTGCCAACTGGGCATCTGTGAAATCAATGTCTGATACGATGCCCCCCATGGATGTGATGAGTTCTCTCAGGATGACGAGGTCAGTGGAGTTGCCGCGGGCCAGTTGGTCATTGACGTATTGAATGACTGGCGTGGAATCCATGTTTCCATACCGGCGGAAAACCTTGCCTGAAAATTTAGACAGCGCCTGCAACCACTTGCTGGTGAGTAGCACCGAACTCTCCTGAGTCCGGCTTCTTTGTTTCCCTCCAAGAGAACTCATGAGCGACCAGACAAGGACATCGTGCCCCAGCTCAGTGAAATATTTGGCGCATTCAACGAAAGCCTCGATCAAATTGCTGTAGGCCTCGATTTGATCTAGAGCGACCTTGCAGACAACGCCCGGTGCGAAGAGCGCCACTTTGGCCAGGTGCTTTGCTGAATTCGCCAGATTTTGCAAAGATAATCGCTTCAATATCGCTAGCGTGTCTAGGCGCGCATACTTGAAAGCCTTTGCCATAGCAGGTAGTCGTGAAATCTGACCCTCGTAACACTCCGCGTAGATGTTGTATCGGACATGTGTTGGATAATGCTTGAGAAGACCCCACACGGCATTAACAACGTCGACATTCGAGCTGCTCAGATTCAGAGCTGGGATGATGATGCGGCGGAGAAGATCTTGCCACCTGTCGATGTTGTGTTGGGATTGGTCTTGCTGAAGGCTCATGGCACCGATCGCTGTCAACTTCTTCAACAAAGCCGGAGTCCGTCCAACATTCACTCCTGAAACATTTAGGAAGGTGGCGCATAGCGTGAAAACGTCGTCGACTGTCTGACAGATAGGGACATTGTCGGACCACTCTTTCAGGTAGTGCTCGTACGCTATACCCCTATTGTAGCCATTTGCGTGGGGCCATTTGTAGACCTTTGGTGCCTCGCGTTCTCCGAGTCTCACATAGCCCTTCGCCACACCTGTCTGGTCCAGAGCGACGTCTGGCTGGAAAAGACTACTGGGCGGGGGTCCGGCTGCCCTGGATTGCGTCTTCTCGTAAACCTTTTCGATGGAGTGAAGCAGAATACGGTTGATTGGCAAGATGATCTCCTCCGGGTAGGCGTCGATTAGCCAGGGGAAACGTCCAAGCATGAATAAGGCCTCGGGAATTGCTCCTACGAGGAGGAGATGCTGCACCAGATCCATCTTGAGATTTTCTGCGGGCTCCGGTAGACTTTCTTCCTCCACTTTAGCTCCATTGGCATCATTCTGGCCCGCTTCGGGTTTTGCCATCGCGGATTCACGAGTTCGACTGGTCGTGGTTGGCGCCGTGTCATCCGGAAGTGCGCCAGCCCTCAACAGAGCATTTGGCTCCAAGCCCTGTCTGTCCTTCTTTTCCTTCTCCTCAAGCTCTTGAATACGCTTCTCCTTGACAGCATCCATCTTGGCGTCGTCTGGCCAGAGGTGGGCGTATAGATCAGGCAGAGAGAAGAACCCTACTTTGATCAAATAAGCAGCGAGGTAGAACAGATTGGCCGGGATGATCTCATCCTTGTCTCGGGCATCAGAGGTATAATAGCGCAACTTGAAGCCAAAGAGCTGGGCAGCAACTCGGTTACCAGTTGGTGGTAACGTCTTGGTGACTTTGGCCCACTCGATCTCGAAGTCCGTCTTGAGACCTACGTCGGTGGACGCATTCGCGAAACGCTCAAGTTCGGCATCGTTGGTCTGTCGTCCTCCAATTTCGAAGAATGCGTCTAGGTGAACCTCTCTAGCACGTTCCCAAAAATCCATATCTCGTTTCAGTCGCTGTTCATCCATCTGAGCTTTCTCTTCGGGACTAGGCATGAAGTTGGCGCCTGGGACAGCCCATCTAGGTAGTCCACCTGTAAAAATGGGGTCGTAACGCTCGATTTGGCTACGAGGCCACCAGGAACTGACTCTCAGAAACATTGTGTAGTACCGGAAGGTCCTCATCATGGTTGAAGCGAAGACGTCAAAAACAATGTCAAGCACACGACCGACATCGAGATCAAATGTTCCGATCAACCCCTTGACCCGCTCGAACCCTGCTTCCACATCTTCGCGGGTGAGATTTTCTTGGTTCAAGCTGTGCGGTGTCCAATAGAGATCCGTGATGAGCTTCGAAAATCCCTCCGACTCTTCCCGTAGCAGGTTGTAGTTGGATTGTCGGTATAGTTGATTTGTGGCAAAACGAATGCCCATCTTGGGGAAGTGGGAACGAGTCAATCCTAGATATTGCAGAAGCGTGGGATCGAGCGCCTGGCGTAGAAGTTTCGGGGACAGACCCGCAGCGAGAATGAAGTCGCGAAGCTGAGGCTTGGAGCATCCATCCTCGGTTTCGATGAAAATGGAGATGGTATCGACAAAGAGACCGTGTGCATCAAAACCGAATCCTACGTTATCCGTCTCAGGCTCTGGGCCCAGGATCTCCTTCATGCAAGCGCCAGCATCACCGGGGTTGAGGCGAACATCGAGCGCGGCTCGTGCAAATTCTTGAGTTATGGTAGTTATCTCCTCCACGTCCTCGTCATTTTTTGAAGTGATTCCATGTTGAACCACTTCCTGGCGCCCACTCTGTTGCCATACCGCCAGTCGCGAATCAGTCAGAACCACATAGTTGTAGTTCGAAGCTACAGCATTCGATGGCGGCTGGTTTGCTGAAGGTGCTGTTTGTTGTGCCGGGGCGATAGCAGGGGATTTCTGCGACGAGGAGCTGGCTGGTCTCTGAAAAGATGGAGAGACAGGAGCTCGACTGTTCGCATTGCCAGCGTTAGCGTTGACTGTGTTCAGTTGATTGACCGCAGAATCTCGGCGCTCAGCATTTCGGCCTCGAGTGTTTCTCCCGGCACCAGACCGGCGGCGGCTATCTGGGCTGTCTCGCTCATGTTGGGCCAAGGTAGTATTAGAAGGGCGGTGGGGTGACGGGCGGGCACCCCCTGCCTCGGAAGTCATCTCGTTTCTCTTTCGTTTGGGAGGCATGTTGGCTGCCGTAAAGGAGGAGCTGTGAGAGATTGGTCATCGGCAGTCCAGGAATAATGGGGATGAGGATTATGCGAGGTAGTCAACTCGATCGAGGCTTGTCTGGCGACTGCGGTTTTAGGAAAGCATACTTGTGAGGAAATGGCAATATCGATACAGGAATCCGAGCCGTTGGTGTCAAGGCGCGGCGAAGTCTTGGTGAATGAAAATACGGCGAGGCGTCGGGCAGACCAGACCTTCTAATGATTGGCTGGGTTGAGAGTGGTTCCAGGATCAAGAAGTTTGCTGGTTGGGGAAGAGTAGAAGTTGGATGCGATCCCAATGCGAAACAAAGAATATTGGATTCACGTTATGCCGGCGACCATCTTCGTCAAATGAGTGTCCCTACCGCACAAGATAGGTGTGGAGAGACCAACTGGAAAGAAAGATGGCCGACAATCACCGCTCCACCAGATGCACGTGTAGTTTGAGCGGATGGTGGTGAGGTGATGGTGAAGTCGCGCGCTCGAAAAGCTGTGGACAGTGAGCTCAAGCTATCGCGTGGTGGTGGAGTCCGCGACAAGGCTCTGAGAATGCTGCTTACGGGCCAGTCAACTGGGTAAGGCTGCAGGAATTCGACTCCCGTGTCACGAGAACTTCAGACAAGCTTCCTCGTCTCCATTATTTAAGGTAGCCAGTACTTTGTATCCAGTAGTTACATGCCGAAGACCGCTTCTGCAGGATGATCCGTGCACTATTTATACATTAACCCCGATGATTAACCGGCCGTCAGTCGGACTTAGGTGATTGATAAATTCATTTCTACCCCAAACCACAAGTGCCGCAGAATGCGTCCGAGGAGTCACAGTACCAATTTACGGTTCTGATATGACGTGCCCAAGTTTGGAATTGTTGCTACTTATTACCTCAGAAATAACAATTGCTATTGACAACGAAGAATAGAAGATCGCTGTAATTTTCTTGGTGTCATCTGAAGCACACACGTCACCTTTCCCTCGTCGAAAATAAAGATACCCAAGAGCCCAGTCGTCTGATTGCCGAGATGGCAGATAAGGACAAGAACGGCATCCAGCCAAAATATGGTCAGTTTCTACTTTTGCATCTGTGATTACTCCTTTCGCCGGAAGCAAGACAAGGGCAAGAGAAGAAGAACCGTGACTGAATACTTCCAAGAAAGATCTCGGCAGCAGCCTGAGAACCCGTTTGCGACCTTGATTCCGGACCAGGAGATCGCCATTGTCCCATCTTTTACGCTCGAATCCGGTGTCATTTTGAAGAATGTACCGCTGGCGTACTCCACCCGGGGCAAGTTGTCGCCCAACCGAGACAATGCCATGGTCATCTGCCATGCCCTCACTGGCAGTGCTGATGTCAGCGACTGGTGGGGCCCTTTGTTGGGAGGTCCTGGGAGAGCCTTCGATACTTCGAGGTTCTTCATAATCTGCATGAACAGTCTGGGAAGCCCGTATGGCACCGCTAGCCCAGTCACGGCCAAAGACGGCGACCCTAACAACGAGAGATACGGCCCCGAATTCCCCCTGACCACCATCCGGGACGATGTCAAGTGAGTAAAATAACGACATGTTCCCAGGTCCATAGACTGACACTGGTCCAGTCTTCACAAGCTGCTTCTCGATGACTTAGGAGTACGCCAAGTGGCCGCCGTCGTAGGTGGGTCCATGGGCGGCATGCTCGTGCTGGAGTGGGCATACTTTGGCAAGGACTACGTTCGCAGCATAGTGCCCATAGCGACCTCTAGTCGGCATAGTGCTTGGGGCATCAGCTGGGGAGAGGCTCAAAGACAGAGCATATATGCCGACCCCAAATATGACGACGGCTATTATCTTTTCGACGACCCGCCAACCACGGGTCTTGGGGCCGCCCGCATGTCAGCGCTCTTAACATACCGTAGTCGGAACTCCTTCGAAGCACGCTTTGGCCGAAACACCCCAGACCCAGCAAGACGCCAGACAATTCGAGAGTTGCAACGCCCCAGCACGCCTTCCGAGGCGCACTTCCACATCCATAACGATGGTCATAAGACGACACGTGGTTCTCTTTCGCGAAAGAACAGCGAGCCGAGCAAAATATCTACCACGGCCGGGTCGAATTCAATTAGTTCAACTGTCAATCAGGCTTTGAACTTGGATCCTCAGTTCTCTGGCAAGAAGGAAAGCCTGGCTGATGGCGACAAAATCCCCACCACGACTTACTTTTCTGCTCAATCGTACCTGCGCTACCAGGGGCAAAAGTTCGTCAAGCGGTTTGACAGCAACTGCTACATCGCTATTACACGGAAGCTGGACACGCATGACGTGTCGCGCTATCGAGCTGACAGCATTGCTGAGGCGTTGGCACTCATCGAGCAGCCGACTCTGGTGCTTGGCATCGAGAGTGACGGCCTCTTCACGTTCGCAGAGCAGCAGGAACTGGCTGCCCACATCCAGAATGCCAGATTGCGTGAGATTGTGAGCCAGGAGGGCCATGACGCTTTCCTACTACAGTTCGAGCAAGTCAACCGATACATCTTGGAGTTCCTGGCTGAAGTACTGCCGGATATCATGGCTAGGGAAGGGAAGGTTGCGGAAGTGGCTGATGTTGGACAGCTGACCAAGTCAAGCGTGTTTGGTGAGGCCGAGGTGGAGGATATCACGGCTTGGTAGCCGCACAACTCATTAGTTCGTGGCTGAATAGGCACACTGCATAGCACAATAACCAAGACAGTGCCAGAGGTATGCCGCAAGCCACTGATCGTCAAGCATAAAGATTTGATATATGTGACATATGTCGAGCTGGTGACGACGGAAAACAACCGGCCCATATTGTACATAAGTCTACCAGCTGTGGCGTTGCTACTCATGGAGATGAAAGCTGGATTCTGGAGATGACATCGACATTGATATTCAGCTTTTCCATTGATGTGGCTTCCGAGAATGTGCCGGCTCTTCGTCCCGTTCACTCGTAATTTCTCATGTCTCGGTCTTCTCCCGATTGAAGAACGCCCTGAATCCAGCGACTGCAACCCAGCCAACCACAATGACTGTCACCACCAACCGAATTTCCCTCACAGCATCGGCTGTCGACGGACTAATATGGATGGTGTGTGCATGATTGATAGCGCCCGAATGTGATGCGGCGAGCGAAAAGGACTCCATTTCTGTATTTGTATTCGCCGGAGCTTGGTTTCCAGGGATTTATTGATGGGCACGATGGATCGGCTCGCGACCCAGTGACGAAATATTCGCCCTGGTATATGTATGAAGTATGAAGAGAACGTTGCAAAGTTGATGACAAAGGGCGGATTTTTCCTGGGAATTACGTCAAGACTTATCGTCCCTGTTGGCGCGACAACCAAGACACCAGGCACAGTGACAATTACCGAGAGGCACGGACTGTACCTTATTACACTTTTGAGAGCAACGCAGCCCACCTTTATGCAGAGAAGAAACAAGATAGATTATGCGTCTGAAAGGCATACTGTCTAGTGTTTCTGTTGAAGAGCATGGCAAACCCTTTTAGTGAAACGTTCAAGAGCAGAATCGATGCCAGCTCAACCTTCTAAGCTCAACCTTCTAAGCTCAACCTTCTAAGCTCAACCTTCTAAGCTCAACCGTCTAAAGGGGCGCTTATACATTGAACCGGCTCTATACTAGCATATTGTCACATTACAAGACGGAAGACTTTATAAAAAGAAGACCAATCCTTAAGTAATAATGAACATACGGAAACTACATATTTCCATCCTTAGTTGGTACTTACTCAACTATATAGAAACAGAGCCTTTCAAGCTGAATCTGTTCAGGTAGACTGTCGGATTGGTTGTTAGATCACGAGCTAAGTTTGAATGGCCTGTTGGTACTAGTTATGAGAGGGTCCTTAGTGAAGTGTAGGATAAAATCCGTGATCCTGGGACACTGGAATAAATATTTACTAATACAACTAACTTGTCCCACTATCATAAGACACACTATATGCTTATACACCGCTTATTTAAACACCTGCCGTAGGGCACGTGTGTTACGATCGCAGAGGCTGACCACTTAAATGTCGTGGAAAGCCTTGCCACAACATCCCTCGATTATCATTGGGAGGTTTGTGTTAACTATCTTGATACAGTTGACCAAGCTCTACCGAAAATAAATGTTGTGGCACAGGAAGCATCGTTCAGAGCACGTTGTCGATTTCGCCGATTTTATTGGTTACCTAAAATGTGCAGGTTGATGTGGCCTTCTCCCTTTACTGCCGAAACACCGACTAGGGTCATCAGCTCAATTGGCAGATGCATTGAGGTGAAGTTGACTGCTGTGACGTGTTGAGATGGAGTCCATGATGGTTTTTTTCTGCGCGACTTCCAGGCAGTGTGTTGAGTTGATGAGCGAGAGCTGTCCTTAATAAATGCGACAACTTGATGCCTTGTGAGGCTCTTGGAGTTGGCTCCAGGAGTATTGGTAGAGTGTCTTGGCTGCTGCACGGCAAGCACATTCTTGTTAATCCCCAAGCCCCACGTGCCCTGGAGATTAGTAACGTGGACGGTTGGAGTTGACCTGTCATCTACTGAGTCTGGGATTTGCGAGTTTGCACATTGCAAACACTTGGAAACCATCATAATCAAAGGCATCCTTGAGCCTCCAATGCTAACGGCGTCCTCGTCTTGGAGTAACCCATCTGTTGCGGTCATACATTAAACGTCGTCAGGCAATGTAGGATTATGCACCAAAACCTTACCAGTGCTTCATCCTGGATACATTACTGCAAGGACCATTGCCAGTTTCCGCGCTCGAGACCGAGACCTTGGTACCCAAAGCGGGCCACAACATTTAGACCCCAATGTCAGATCTGACATCCCATCTTCTTTAGGTATTCAACTGACACTTTTCTTCGCGGGCTCATCTCCCCCGTACCCAAACAACCCTGCCCCTCTTACGTTATTCTGCAAGCACGGGGGGAGGGGAGGGGGGTGTCAAAATGCGTATGTCATTAGGTCAGAACCCTTTCCCGCAGCCCCCCAAGAAAACCACGCCTGTTATCCAACTCGACACCTTCTTAAATGACACTGCCACTTCTTGTTATTGTGCAACTCTATTGTTCGATCTTTTGTTTTCAATCAGTTTGTCATGTCAGAGCTTCTTTAACGCCTCGCCTCCGAAAGCCTGACGGTGTTCGAATTATCGCGTATGCCAGTGGTGTCTCATTCGCATCGGGGCCGCTCTGTGTACTGCGCTTGTCCTTGAAATTGTGTATATTTTACCTAGTTTCCTAACATGTACACAGCATAATGGCCCGCGCGGTCGTTTCAGTTTTCCGAGTCGACTGTGTTATTGCAATATAGCCGCATTCTCAATCCGAATCGTGAGCCAGGCTTCCAGTGTCCTCGGTTTCCGGAATCACTACATCATGCGTTTATGATGGAAATGCTACCAGAGCCAGCGCAGCCCATCGCCCGTACGCGAACTTTCGGGGGCAATCGGGCATTCCACAACTGGGCAAACGACTTCAGCCATATCCAAGATCCAAACCTCAGACGTCGGCTCGCCCTCTCAGAGATAGACAAGGTTCCCTTTGGACTATACCACGTCCGAGCGGTGGTAGTGGCCGGGATCGGATTCTTCCTCGATTCATACGATATATTCGCCATCAACCTCATCACGACGCTGCTCGGCGTCGTCTTTTGGCAGGGTTCGCCCGAAGATGCGGGCAACGGCTACGGAGGGAATTACGGGTCGTTACCGACTCCCGTCAGCCAAGCGTTTAAGGCGTCCACCAGCGCTGGTATCGTCATTGGGCAGGTGTTGTTGGGGTGGTTGGCGGATGTCTTCGGACGGCGTCGCATGTATGGAGTTGAGTTGGGAATTATTGTCGTCTCAACGCTGGGTTGTACTCTGGCTGCACCGTCCCAGTCGATGAGCTTTACCGGCCTTATGACATTCTGGCGGATTATGATGGGGTAAGGCCACTGTTCGATTAGGTTTGGTATATAAAAGCTGACTTGAACCAGCGTCGGGATTGGAGGTGACCACCCGTTATCATCCGTGATAACAGCCGAGTTCTCGCCCACCCGCTGGAGAGGCGCCATGATGGCCGCAGTATTTTCCATGCAGGGGCTAGGTCAACTTTCCGCTGCCGTCGTCGCCCTTATCGTGACAGTCGCCTTCAAAGACGCGTATCACAATGCACCCAACGTAACCCAATGCGACTACATGTGCCAAACGGCTGCGGATCGTTCATGGCGTATCATTGTTGGCGTCGGCGCTCTTCCCGCTTGTTTTGCGCTTTACTACCGCATCACTATTCCCGAGACACCGCGGTACACGTTCGAGGTGGCGAAGGATGTCGAGAAGGCGGGCGCTGACATCAAGGCCTATATGGCGAGTAAGTCGGAGGGAGAGATTGATGAGATCCAGCAAGCCAGGATGAAGAAGGTTGCCTCCCCCTCATTGAACATACCTTCGGCCTCCTGGCCCGATCTGTTCTCCTATTTCAGACAGTGGAAGAACGCTAAGGTTCTGATTGGGACAACCATGTCTTGGTTCTTCTTGGTAAGCATTGCCCACTGTACCCGACTTAACAGTTCTCATCCGCGTGTAGGACCTGGCCTTTTATGGCTTGGGCTTGAACAACACTATAGTCTTGCATGCAATCGGCTATGCAAGTGGGGAGACTTTGTACCATCAACTCTTCAACAACGCAATAGGAACCATTATTCTCGCCGTGGCAGGCTCACTCCCAGGCTATTGGACCGCCATCTTCACTATCGACACCCTTGGGCGGAAGCCGCTGCAGATATTCGGATTTATATTTTTGACGTGAGCAAATCGATTCCCACTCAGGAAAAGGTAAAAAAAGCTGACCGTGACAGCATCATTTTCTGCATTCTCGGATTTTTCTATCGGCACCTCCACCAGGGCGCCATGTTGGCCCTGTACGTCATCGCCCAATTTTTCTTCAACTGGGGCCCTAACACAACGACCTTTGTCCTCCCCGGCGAATGCTTCCCGACGCGCTACCGATCCAGCGGCCACGGCCTCTCGGCAGCTATGGGCAAAGTCGGCGCCATCGTCGCCCAGGTCATCTCGATCCCGCTCCTGAACAAGGACTCGCCCGCTGACTGCGTTGGGAGCGCCTGCTCACCCTGGATCGACCGCCTTATGCAGATATTTGCATTGTTCATGTTTTGCGGGACACTATTTTCGCTGCTCATCCCTGAAACGAAGGGCATTAGCCTTGAAGAATTAGCGGGCGAGCCGCCGACTTCGTACAACGCCGGCCAGAATAGAAGTGGTGTGGCCCCACCAAAGAGAAGATGGCGGAATCCGTTTTCGGGCGGGCAGCCGGCGGGGTTCAACTACCGGGCCGCGAAGGGAGGAAATGCGCGGAATGGTCGAGTGGGCATCATGACGTCGCCTGAGTTCGCGGCGCAGCAAGCGCATGCTTCGAAAAGAGAGGGTAGGAGATGGAAGCGCAAAAGGGGCGGAAGCAAAGATGGCGCTGGTTACGAGATGAGCAGCACGAGCTCGACGATGGGTATCGTATCCTCGGCGGTTACCACTGCCAGAGAGGATGGAGATGTTTCCGGAGCACACGGTGGTTTGTTACCCGGCTGGGGAGCTGGCTGGGGGAGGGTGGATAGGGGAGGACATCCGACTCCGATTGAGAATATCAAGTTAACGGACGTTGGTAGTCTGCTGAAGTGAGATACAGTCCTCTGCTGGGGATCTCGAAGGACTTCTGTATAAAGGTGTGAGGTCTGTTTCACGACACGATATATTAGAGTAGCATGTTGGAGTCGCCGTCCGACATCCATATTATGACCGTTAGAGGTCGGATACTTCGTATGTTCATCAGATAGGCGATCAGAATTGCAGACTTTCGTCGGGAAGGGGCCACGAAAAAAGAATCAAAGCACAAATAAGTGCCGACTGCGATTGTTGCTTCATGCACTACTTTAAGTCAATATAATATCCATGCTTGAGAACGGCGTAGCGTACCTGGTTATTCTTCCTCGCAACAACGAACAATTGAGACAGTTCCGCAAATTGTCCAGTTCAAAGACCTCGCCTCGGCACGAATCGCCGATGCAAGATGGTTCGTTCGCATGCTCGAATAGGTTCTACTCCATCACGAACTCGCGGCCTCTCTCACCAAATCCCAACATTTCCGCATCCCCGTCCCCATTGACTCCTCACCAACGGTATCGGTCCACCTGCTCCGACTATCAGAGCCAAAACTTTCCTCGACATTGGCATTGTCGAGCTCAAAGAGATGAACATGCATCGTCAATTTAATGTGTGAGAAGAGCCAAGGTACACTCCCCAGCTCACTAAGATGCTTCAATTTTCCGTCAAATGCGCCGGCATCCAAACTGGACACGTACTGCTTGGCATCGCGCTTGCGAGTCTTTGGCGTTCCCTTGCCTGGTTCTGGAAGTATATAACTAGGAAACTCCCATAGCCCCGCAAGCAGACCTTTCTCAGGACGCCGACGGATCAAATAACGTCCGTCGCTTCGCCGGATGGCGCAGACTAGAGTCTCTTCTTCCCGTACCGCCTTCTTAATAGTCTTGACGGGAAATTTCCGTGCATAGTTCGTAACTACCTCCATGGCCGCGGTGCTAAGTGTAAGGGACGAACTTGAGGGCTTTTTGTCTATTTTCTTGGGCTGTGCGAACGCGAAGGCCTGTAACGTCGCCTGTTTCTTAGATGATAGTTTGGATGCTGGCGTTGTCATATTTTTCGAGGCCTTAGATCCCAATTTGTTGTCTTCTTCATCGGGTGGCGCGAACTCTCTGAAAGGGTCGCACAAACTGCAAATATCTTCCATGTCGCATGTACTAGCCTTGCTGTCGGTTTCAGCCGTAGTCTTACCCGACACAAGTCCCTTTCTCGTAGCAAGCTGTATGCCCTCGCCATACGCGCGACAAGTTGAACTGACAGGACAGGCCGCGCAATTGGGCTTTGGTATGCAGATCGTGCTACCCAGCTCCATCAGTGCTTGACCCCATCGCCCGGGCCGATCGCTAACTGAATTATCCGATTCGTCCTTGTCACTGCCCTCTGTAGAATCTCGTGCCACGGCCTTGACTAGAGCATCAGCGGCAGCCCACAGCGTATCAATGACGATTTTATTCGTTTTGACATCTCCAAATATGCCAAGCTGCCTGCTTAACACCCGGAGCACATTCCCATCGACCATTGGCGCAGCCTGTCCGAAGACAATGGAACTGATCGCACCCGCCGTATAGCGTCCGACGCCGGGGACACCAGCCGCGAGATCTTCCGCTGCGGCTGGGAGAAGGCCTTTCCATTTGTGGTTTTCGCACACCAGCTTCGCAGCCTCGTGAATCCGCGTCGCACGGCTGTAGTACCCAAGACCCCGCCACGCGGCCAAGACGTCGTCTGGTTCAGCAGCCGCCAGGTCTTGGATAGTCGGCCATTTTGCCATCCACCGGTTCCAGTAGTCAATGACCACGGCCACGCGGGTCTGCTGCAACATGATTTCGGATATCCAGACCTCGTATGCGCGACGTTCCAGCCGTGATCGCAACAACGAGGCATCTGCAATTAAGCGTGGATCTATCCATTCCTTCCGCCATGGCATGCTACGCGCGGTGCTGACCGAGTCGAACCAGTTAATTAGAGAGCCACGACCATGTCGGCTATCAAGCAGGAGTGGTCGATGATAATCCAGGCCGTGGCGACGAGCAGGAGGATCGCAGGCGGCTAAGATGGGATCCTCTATCCAATTTGCTCCAAAAATCCGATCGTTAAATTTGGCAGCCTCCTTTGCCGAGCGTGTTGTTTTCCGCTTCTTGGTGATGGGAACTGCAACGGCTGCCTCGTTCTCTTGGTTGAAGTCGCTGTCAGACGCGTCGCTCCGCGTCCTCTTTCGCACTACCTTCTTTCGGGCTGGCCGCGAAGTTTTGATTTCGTTGTCCTTGGTGGATGATGAGAGCACATTGGCCATTGAATTTGGCGCCGGAGAGCTTGGCTGCTGGGCATTTCGTGATGATCGTGTCATATTTGCGGGAAAGTTGGAGTTTGAGGAAGTCAGAAACCGCGACGCGACATGGAGGGAAAAGTGCTTAACGCGCAATCACGTGGCTGACTCCTGTCCTCTCAAGTCTTTTTATCTTCTGCTTTTCCTTCTCTGAAAAAAAGGGAAATACCAGGGCGCAAGGGAATTGTGATGATAGCTGTAATATTCTAACGCATTCTGTATTTCTAGGCTTGGAAGCCAATTTCCTTTGCGTACTGTTCCAAGGTATTGCCTGTGTTGATCCATGGATCCCATGTAAGTCATCCATCACCCTTGCCACGATCTCAGGCAAAAAGGGTAACTGGGAAGATTTGGGCCCGGATAGGCGAATAGGAGCAATTCTATATGCAAAATGCAAATGACAGAGAGAAAAGAAGTCATTTCTCTACATATGCAATATTAGCAGCTAATAATAAAACCAATACGTGCTTCCCCGTCCTTTTTTTCTCCATGCCTTGTAATGTACTTAGTGAGTATTGTTCAAACAACGCAAGCATCCCTCTAGGACTTGATTTCACCTATGTTTGTCCTGGTTTCGGCAGGAATTTGAGTAGCGCCCCCTGGGAGCAGCTCAGTTCAATCTTTCTAAACTAGCAAGTATCACTGTCATGCCGTCATCACCTCACTTTCGCGGTTCGCTAGCATTGACAATATGTCACTAGATATCATATTCACCAGAGGAGGTCGCTTCCAGTGTAGGTAGGCACTCCAGTAAACATCCAATTGTGAGATCTGTGGTTAAGCGAGCGTTTCTATGAAATACAGAGAATCCCAAGAATAAAATCAGAACCATTGCGCGCGCACACAAGTATCCAGAACGTCGAAGCAAAAAAACCTCACCTGGGATTGCCCTTGTCCCTATTCTTCCATCATTACCAGAACGCAACTCATTTCGAGCCCCTCAATACTCTCATCGCTTCCTCAAAATCCTTAATATCACGATCCAATTTCGCCCTCTGAGCCTTGACCGAGGCACTTTCACCCGCAATGTTCTCCAACTCCTCGTCGCTGAATTCATTGACCAGTTCATATTTGAAGATCTGGAGAGGGCTCTCTTGACCTCTCAGAAGGTAATAGAAGACAGCCTGCTGGCATACCACGTCGACGAAGCGCTTCAACGCGACCTTGTAGTAACTGTAAAGCACATCATGGATGTACTCGCGGACGTGTTCTGGGTTTCCCTTGTTGGCGGACAGGTTGCCAACCTGTGGCCAGGTGAGGTGCGCGCCCGTATCATCCGATATGCCAAGGTTCTTCATGAGAGACACGAGGCGTTCACCCTGTAACTTCTGCAGGTTATCATTGAAGTAGTGATTCAGTGTGAATGGCAAGTGTTCTCGTTCAATGGAAAGGAGGTATTTGGCTTTGTCGATGGCCCGGATGTAGGTCTGCTGCAGCTTTTCGAGGATGTGGTCGTTCCAAAGCGTGTCGAAAACATGGGCGTCGGGGCAGACTTCCTCGATTACCTTTACAATGAATTGGTGGACCAGGATAATGGAACGGGAAACATGATACAGTGTTATCGACTCCCAGTTCTTGGTCTGCTCTTTGAAGATGGCTGCAAGCATTGATCCGCTGAACTGTAAAAGTGGTTAGTGACAAGATAGTGCATCGCCTGTTGTTGACTTACTGTTCCGAGATCAGCACCTCGACTATTGTTGTATACAAGCTCAATGTATTCCATGATGTCATCGTCATGTTTGATATGACGCCTTGCTGAGGACTCTTGCAGAATGCTGTCAAGCTCGGGAAATTGAACTGCCTCCGCCAGGTCCTCGGACTCCAATGACTGTCTTGAGGCGAAAGAGAAACTGCGAGTCTTCTGTGGACCAAAAGGATCCTCCTCAGATTCCGATTCTTCTTGGTGCAGCTTTCCACTATCAGTGAACGATCTCGTGTGGCCTGCCCAGGAGATCTGGTTGGAGAATGCCTCATTGGCTTCTACTACGCGCGTGATGAGCCGAAGACTGTCGCTGTCCGAGAAAATATTGTTGCCTGTGTAGTTTGCACTGAGAGCATCTCGAGTGATGGACTGGAAATTTTCGCACATATTGCTTAGGTAGGCTCGTTGTGAGAGAGGGTCGCTCCTTGACGGTCCCATCTTATTCAGTTGAGTCTTGAGATCGACCAGTTCTTTTGTCACCTCAGCTCGAAGCTTTGGGAACTCCTGCTTGATCAGATCGATCAGTAGTTCCCGCACTTTGAGTTTCAAGGCGAAGATTCCCGCCCTCTCTGTGTTGCGCAGAGTTGACCAGGGATCCTCTGAGAAGAAGTTCTTTTCTTTCATCTGCCCCTCCGCGAGAGACATCGTGACATCGTCTGGGCCACGGTTCTTGACAATGTAGTAACCCAATGTTAGATCACCTCGTTTGCCGAGAACGTGGTTTATGGCAATCTGCTGAATGGCTCGCTCAATTGCCAGGTCTGGTTTTGTGAGAACACCCATCGTTCTGGTCATCTGCGGATCAAACTGTTTGGCAAGTTTGAGAACCTCTTGTGTGGCTGGGTCGACATTGCATGGCATAATGGCGAGGATACTAAATCCTTCAGATTAGTTGGAGCTTTGAGGTCGACACAAGACGGAAACCCACATGGTTCTAGGGTCTTTCATATACTTCTTCACCATATCTCTGACAAGTTCTATGTCTCTCTCGGTTGTGGCACCTGTTTAACAGTCAAAATATTGCACATAATGATGAGATAGAATGTAATCCTTTCCTTCGGTGTTGCGAAAGATTCCAGGAACGTCAATGACGGTAAAGTGCTCTTGTTACGGAAAGTCAGGATATACGAATCAAAGAGCACTTAGGATGGATGAACATACATTAGGTCCACAAATCTCGATCTTCAAGATGTGCTCACTGAAGGTAGGGCGCGCTGAGCCATCGGTCTGCTCATCATCTTCACTGCTTCGTAGTCCCATCGTCTCATTCGCCTGAAAAGGGAAAACAGAATTAGCGTGACCTTCGTAGGCAAAGTGACTCTCATACCTGCTTGAAGATGTTGGCGAGGCTTGCATCAGTCAACTCATCAAGAGTCTTGTGAAACTCCTTGATCATGACCCTCTCATCGGGATCCGAGTCCTCATGGGGGATGATGGATACGATAACGCTCTGTTGGTCTTCTCTTCGACAAGTGATCTGAGTTGCGTACCGCGTACAGAGTCCAGCATCTCGTGGAAAGGCGAATCCTGTAATGCCTTCTAGAACAGAGCTCTTCCCCGAGCTCTGATCGCCAACCACGACCAACTGAGACATTAACTATGGTCTGATCACTTTGAGACTAGAAGACCTACCTGAGGAAGTGAGGTTCTGGAACCAATCAGTTCTCTCAGTTTGTCGACCTTGGTCAATGTAGCCAAGTTGCCGTGGCTGGCGCCAATTACGTCAAGTATGGTGCTGCCCATTCTGAAGATTTGCGTTGTGAGATAATGTTGTCAAGTATTGAACTGATTTTACACCAGAAAAGATGGGCTCTTGGGTTAATATACGATTTCCCAAGGCAACCTGTGCAATTCGAGATGTCATGGATGATTTGGAATCTGTCAGAACAAGTGGCCGTATGGATATTCCACTTTGTTACTGGCAAACGGATTTACTGGCCTACGGCGAAAGAAGGTGATAAAGATATCGGGAAGCCACAAACGAGACCGCATGTTGGCAGAGCTCCCCACCTACCTGTTGAGCTTCTGAATAACGAAAATGGCGGTCCTCCAACTTGGAAGGCATGCAGAACATGTACATGTGTCTGATGTCTGCATACAGACAAGAGCGGTCATCCGAAAACGTAAGGATCCCAATAAGTCCAAACGGTACTCTATACATATGTTCATGCAAACGGGGATCAAGTCGTGAGCTTCACCCTTCAAGCCCATTGACACTTCAGTACCAGCCTCAATTAGGCTGAATTGCCAGCAATAGTATTATAACAGCAATAATTGTAGTGACTGGGATTTGAACCGGGACGCTAGTAAGGAGTAGTCACAGCATGGCAGCATAGCCTCAACCCGCGAATCAAAGCCACCCAACTCGTAAAAGAAAGCATAGAAACTGTAGGAAACGCTTAGTAAGGATTGCATAGCCATAAGAATTCGTTGAAGGAATGAAATAGATAGCAATCACGGAGACCGAATTCGCGGCCACTTGAGGCAGCCGACCGCTCTGCAGGCCGCTTCGGCAGGCGGTATCGCACAGTCACAGTACCAAAAACATTTTGGCGACTGGAAAGGACGAAGCGAGGGGGTTTAAGAAAGGAAATGGGTTTGCAAAAGGGGCCAGGAGGAATCCGAGGTGGCCAGGTCTGCATGACGTGGATTATCACAACCACTGAAAGAATTGAAATGATGAACATACTAGGCATACCAGATGAGTGTGGGCAAGTGTGGCCCAGGCATAGAGGGGTCCACGGCACCGAGACATAAACTAGTGTATGTAAGGGTCCCCCCGTCTTCCCCACCACTCCCCTGCCCCCGGGGCGGCTTGGCAGTTGTTCCCCACGCACCTTCGTAGTACCAATACTGTGTACAGTCCCTAACACTGGACAACTGACAATGAGCACAACAGCATGGAAACATTTGCTACGATTGAGTGCACCCGCCAAGTCGAGGAATCGATACATTTTCAAGGAAAAGGGTACAGTGTGGAAGGTTGAAATAGAAAGGATCACCAACGCAACGGGTGCCCCGACTGGGACTTGGAACAAGCAGCCTCGGTTTACTTAGAAGACATGGGGCCGATCCTGTAGACGAACCATGATTTTACGTCAGAACTTGGGTACTCAAGCATGTTTTTGGCTATGCTACCTAACTGACTTCCCGGCTGCTTCCCAACGTCAAGCAGATGAAAATGGGCGGGGATTGGGAAGGAAGTCATACATGACGAGCAAATTTGTTAACCATTTTTCGGTTATGAATAGAACGAAGTGCCGCCTTCTACATATATCATGCTGACTGTGAAGGCAGGTAGGGCTTCATGGCTTATATCCATTTGCCACACGGCAAGCCCATCAGTGTTACTCACATCCTCGATGATGTGACTATCTCAAAGATGCTTCTCTCTGGACCCCGTGACTTGTTCAAATGTGTCCAGGGACATAACCAAGGCGTGTCTTCCTGCGGTCATGCTCCGCAGATGCTGATCGTAGTCGAGCATCTCAGCTAGAGGTACCTGCGCGATGATTTCGAGCATCCGCAAACTGCCCTTCCGGGTCTCACGAAGAGTTGTTTGAAATTCGTAAGGATCTGGAGGCGCATAAATGTCAGATACGTCTATTTGACTGCCTTCTCTGGCCGCCGTTTCTTGCATATCCATCACCTCGAGGACATGGCCACCACGAGAAGAATGAAGGTCATGCTGGACTGACCCCGCAGAAGACTCAGGGCAAGTAATCACAACCCTCATCACAGGTTCAAGGATCCCGATTGATCCGTTTTTGTGTGCTTCTCTCAAAGCCGTCCTGACGGCTTGATTGGCGGCACTAGCGTAATGGCCTGCGGGCGTTGGGCCGAAATAGTCAGTCGAAGCATCAAAGGTAACCGTGACGAGACATCGGTGCAAGGGAGAGGTCCGTCGTGGGCCTCGTGCGAGTGCTGATACTGCCCCATTCATCAGGTGCAGCCTAATATCCTCATTGTCGGCAAAGGAGTTGTCGGGAAACAAAACCCTTATGATATTGCCGTCTCTCTCAAAGTCAGAATCTGCCACACTCCCATTTTCGTTCAACTCCAGCGGTTGGACGGAAACACTGCAGGCGGCAGCACCGGCTTTGCCGCCAATAGTTTTGTCGAATACGACCCGGTGAGTCTCTGTAGGTTGTGTTACACACTCTTTATAATCCACTTCGATGCTACCCCAGTGGGCTTCGAGCTTGTAATGTTTCTCCAGACGGTCTCTTGCAACTTCCAGGTGAAGCTTGCCCATCCCAGACAGTGTATACTGCTCTGAGTTCTCATTCAACGACCACCTGAGACTTGGATCCTCCCGAGCAAGATTCTCCAACGCGGCCTCTAGCGCTTTCGCACCAGTGCTTGTATATGGTTCCAGAACGATGAATGCCACAGCGGGAGGGATCTCTGGCGGTCGAACCTTGACGTTATGAAATGGTGGATTGGGGGTTTTGTTCCCAGTATATATCAGCATAGTGTCTCCAGTGCGGGCCTTTTTCAGGCCAGTGAGAGCACCGATCTGCCCAGCTAAGAGCTGAGGAACCTCGATATGATCCTTTGCCGATATTTGCATGATGTTGAGGGGCTTCTCAAAATCTTGAAGATTAGCGTTCCACATTGGGGTGTTCTTCTTAAGCATGCCATGGTACACCCTCACGAATGTCAACATGCCTCGCTTGGGGTCATTGACGACTTTGAACACGGAGGCTAGGGCTTCAATTGTCGACCGTTGCTTTACTGGTACCTTTTGGGTGCGTGAAAGCTCCAGTACGCGAGAGAAAGGATGCGTCTCTTGACCAACGCGGACTTGCAGCTCTGGTCGGTCTCGTGGACTCGGTAGGTAATCATTGACAGCATCGAGTAGTGACGCTACACCGATGTTCTTCAGGCTCGAACCTGCAAAGACGGGAACGAGGGAGGCCTCGCCGTTGTTAATGCTGCGACGAATGCTGTGTTTGATATCCTCGCTTGGGATATCTCCACCGCGCTCGGTCCAGAGCTCTAGAAGTACGTCGTCATATTCGCAGAGCTTCTCGATAAGCTTCTCACGCGCGCGTTCAATCTCTTCTAGAAAGGGAGGTGTCTTCTTGGCTAGCTCTTCAAGATTGTCTTTGCCAGCACCTGCCCAACTCACCACAGAGCGGGATATGACATCCACGATACCCTTGACGGTATCGTTCTCCCACCAGGGAATCTGGCATACTAAAGGCATGCCGTTGAGCTTCAGACCAATATCTTGCACAGACTTCTTGAACGAAGCACCCTCACGGTCGAGTTTATTCACCAGGACTATCCGAGGCACCTTGAACTCCTGAGCAGAAGACCAAACCCTCTCCGTGTGTGCCTCGACTCCTTCAACGCCATCAATGACGCATACAGCACCATCCAGGACTGGCAAGCAGCGCTCTACTTCGAATCTGAAATCTTGATGGCCTGGCGTGTCAATGAGATTGACGATGTGCTCCTTGCCACCCGCCCTCAAACGCTCCTTTTTAGGCCACTTAAACGTAATGGCTGCTGATTGAATTGTAATGCCTCTTTGCCTCTCCATAGGGAGAAAGTCGGTGACAGTATCCCCGTGGTCCACATCTAATTTTGGTCAATGAATATACCCCAATTTTAGTTTGCATCCCGAAAGTTGCGTCCTGACTCAATTTGAGAAGGCACTTCGATATGAATTAAGAAAATACGAGGCTCACTTCCGAGATGTCGAGTGGCACCGCTGTTGTAAAGCATAGCCTCTGTGGTTGTTGTTTTGCCCTGAAGTCATGGTCAGTACTGACAGTGCAGCGCATAAACGGCCGTTCCACTTACCGCATCGACATGGGCAATGATCCCGATGTTTCGAACATCGTCTATTGCAGTCTCAGAAGAAGTTGGTGGAGTGGATATGGCCCTGAGACCAAGCCTCCTTGGTCTTATGGTATGAGGCCATCGCCCTGGACATCGCCCTGGACATCTCACACGAGCTCTGGTCACAATTGCCAAAAAGCTCATCCCTTCGACGTGCAGACGATTTCTATATTTTCTGAACGCCTTTAACCCATTAAAGTTTGGGCTTTTGGCGGCCTGCTCCTCAAAGACTAAGGTCAATTGACGAATTCTGGTTGGCTAGCGCTAGCATTGGAGGCGTTCAACTTCACCTAGAATTGGAGTTGGGCTGCGCATTTACATTGACCCGCTACAGCAGGCACGGACCACACAACTCCAGGTTATGGCGAGTTGACACAACAGAATTGGAAGGTCCGGCCCCGCAGCCAGTGGCTGGGTTCCTTGGAAGGTAGCAGCAACGAAACCAGCAGCCACAGTTAACGAGAGCCATGAGAAGACGGGCATTGCCAGTTGAGCTTAACTTGTTGCAGTTCGCCTAACCTTACGTCAATTCACAGTGTTGTCTGGTTGTCAGACCTTCCTTCCGAGACCGTTATCTTTCGTCATTGGCGCGATACATTTCGCTTTCTTCAATCCCTTCGCCAGCCATACATCCGTTGTAGCATGGCTTAATCGAGTTCTCGTAAGAACAACTTCCTCTGATCACCATCAACGTCATAGCCGCAAGCTTCGAAACCCCAGCCCATAAACCATGGACTATCGCTCATCTATAGCCGACGATGAGCACCCGGTGGGCGCATCTCCTTGGGGCTCATCACCTCCAGCATCGCCGCGGCGCAATGAATCTACCTACAACGCAGGCGGCAATGAGCCGGCATATCATTATGATGTGCAAGACCCGAGTAATGGGCTATCACACGACGATTTGACGGGAAACGTATTCGGCCCGACAGACGCCATAGCAAGCGAGGCTTCCACGACAGTATACGATCCGTCTCAACAATCCGAAACATCACAAGAGCCTGAGTTTGGATCGTCGGCCGAACGATCTCAACAGGAACAAGCGCAGGGAGGGCTACAGCAAACGCAAGGGCAAGGGATGCCACGAGGAAGTGCTGCGCCCGGAGGCCACGAACAACAGGCCCGTAGGCAAAATTATCCGCAGTACAAGCTGCAGGCAAAGATCGCTGGGCTGGAGCGCACCGGTAGAAAAGACCCGATCCTCAGATTTGATGTTCACGTACGTATTGCCTAAGAAACACCCCATCTCGGATGGCGATAAATTGGCGTAGTGTCCGTACTGACTATTGCAGACAAATATACCCAAGTTTCGAACCACCCAGTTCCGTGATGTGCGCCGCCTCCACTCCGAATTCGTCAAACTTGCCGAACACTTGATTTCCGCCAACCCCGAGGCACTGGTTCCAGCAGTCCCTCCGCCATTGACTTCGGCCGGAGCCGGGACGGACGAAGACGAGGCACGTGTGAAGGCTTTGATGCAACGATGGCTTAACTACGTCTGCAGCAACGAGGTGCTCATGAGAGATGATGAGATGGTACTTTTTGTCGAGAGTGACTTTGGCTATAGCCCCATGGTCAAGAAGAAACAACCGGCTACTGGCGTACGCAGGAAGCTGCTGAAGCAATTTGCCCCTCCGCCGGATGATACCCCTGAGCTATCCGACGCTCGTCCAATTGTGAAGCTATTCTATCTGGGTTCTATGGATGCTGGACATAAGGTTGATAAGCTCGTCAAGGCTCGCCGAGGTACGTTTTTTTTGGCATATTGATTTTGTTGTGAGACGACTGACCATAAACAGGGCTTGGGCTTGCAGAATCCGACTTTGGTGTCAAGCTCGGTGCGATGAATATTCAAGAGCCGCACCAAGGGCTGGCCAGCGCATACCGTAAACTCGGCAAAGTCGTTCAAACTGTTGGCGACTGTCATGCCGCCCAGGCAACAGCAGAAGCAACGACGATCGGCGATCCGTTCCAATATCACTCACAGGATGCGTTTATCGTGAAAGAGAGCCTGACCAACCGACAGTTACTCACGCGCGAATTCTTGCAGGCCCAGGAAAACACACGTAGCAAACTCAATGCCGCCGATCGTCTAAAGGCCAGTTCCAGTGTGCGCCGTGAAAAGGTTGATGAGGCTATTACGGCTCTGGATGATGCAAGACAGAACGAACTCGAGCTGATGAGGAAGACGTCACGTGTGACACAAAACCTGGTCTTAGAGCGCCGCAGATGGTTTGCAAGGACGGCTACGGACTTACGAATGAGCATTCGTGAGTTCGTTTTGCGGGAGATCGAAGCCGAGCGCCGCACCCTTTCCTTACTGGAGAGCGTTCGACCTGATATCAGGGCTATCGATGCCTCGGGCGGTCTAAGCAGGCTGGGCCGCGAGGCTCATCCTACAGTGCGTCGAATAAGCATGGCAGCAAGTCAGGGCCCCAAGGGTGATGCCTGGAGTGGTGTGCCTCGGCGCACAGATGTTCCCAACAGAAGTATCTCGGGAAGTTTCATGCCGAATGTTGCTGAGGATGAAGATGGCGAACAAGGCCAAAGCACAGGATCTAATGCTGCCGGTGTCGCAGGTAGTGCGGGCTTAGCTGGTCTCGGCGAGGAAGACGACGAAGATCGGGTGGATGCGAGAAACGCTGCGAGCCGTTTGGCAACCAGCACATTTTGATCGTTGCACCTTGCACATGAGTGTAGTGTAGAATAGTGACGGTATAGCCTCTTCTCATCGCCATCGACTTGTCATATGTCACCTATACGTTCGTGTGTAGTGCCTGTCTACACTTCACACCCCGTATTCGCCCTGCTGGTGCTACCCTTCACTAAAAGAATGCATTTGGACTCCAGAAACCACTGACTACGGGCCACTTACTCGACACTGTCCCAGGATATCATGACTTGCGAGGTGCCCTCCCATGTGTATTGAAGGTTGCATGACACCTCTTTGCGTGTTTAGGCCGGACGCGTCGGCAACGCAAACACGACATTGGGGACGCTTATGCAGCCACTCGTAGCCTGTACTACTTTCTATACATACATGCGCCGAAGCACCAAGGCATACAATACCACACCTCACCATACACCTTGATGAGAGACGGCTCACACCTGCGTTTTGCAGTATATGTATCCCCAGGCGACATTCTGGCTCGCTTGAGTGAGAGACAGGGCGACGTTGTCTTCCCCAGATTTGACTTTCTGCCGTTCGCGTCGGCCATATATGTACATTGACGGCTACACTTCAAAGCGCCGCATTTTCGTGGGGGTGGGCACAATGTACGGTTACAACTGCGAAAAATTAATGTGATGCTGTTCTTGATCCCTCTGGATGAAGTGAATCTCGATCCATTGACTCGAACATGGATCCATGGACGACTTGGAGATATTGCCGGTTAAGAGTCCCGGGTGGCAATGGTGGCAATGGGCTCATATAAGAAGTGCTGTGTAATAGTCATCTGAATTTGACGACAGCCCTCTGCCAGATACGACTGGCTGCATCCCCAGAATCAGACGAAACAGACATGCGCGGGTAAATAAACATCGTTGGGTTCTTCTGGAAGTTGAGTGATGGAAGGCCAAGGCTGTATACTTGCTACGTACTAAGGTAGGTTTGGCAGACTGGCACAGCATGATGGAGGTGCAGCATATTGCTACAAATAGACGTAGATTTATTTTTTGATATGTCCGCCGCAGACACGAATCGAGGCGAGCGGATTGCACGCATATTCCTCCTCGCTAGCGGGATCCCAACATTTTGCAGAACGGTTGCATGCTCATAATCGATGCTGTCCGGTAGTTTCTTGCATCTCGCCTGCCTTATCTCTGTTCTCTTCTGCTATTGGCGCGACAAAGAGCCTTGGCGCGTATCCTCCGGTTATATTGGAGAAATACAGCCGTAGCGCGCCGTGCCGCTCTATGAGAACAAACGATGTTGAACAACAACACACGATGTTAATTTGGTGCTTGAAATCGTCCGTCTCCTGTCTATCTTCCCACCTGTGAACATCTTTGTGTGGGCCAACTTTAATGAGGTAACTCGGACGCCCTTGACCCGCGATCTTCTCCATCCCGGGCGACATACAGACGTATCAAATCACTCACACGATGTTGTTCGAGAGGAATGGACAATGTCGATCTTGATGCCGCAGATCTCAAGATGCATACGTCATGTGGACGATGTCCAGATGTCAAATAGTAGATCCTGCCCTGAGCATGTTATACCATGTGTGCTATCTTCTCTGTACTGAGGCCGTTTTAGTGCTTCAGCAAAGTGTTCGTGGAGTCCAAATGGCTTGCAGCATCTAAGTGAATGGGCACACCACTCGTACCACACTCCAGTATGAATTCGAATATCAAAACTTAGTTCCCGGCTCATGAATCAAGGTTGCCGAACGGCAGGAGGCCGGCCCTAGGGCCCATGCTCGGTAAACTTGAGATATGCATAGGCGGTGGCGTTCCTTGATTCTGAGTCTGGGCGCAGAAAATAGTTGCGACGTGCACGTTGTGCTTCCCTACTTGAACATGACGGCCTCATAAAAGGTGCAGGGTCAGCACTTACCAACATGCTTGCTAAAAAGCCAACACTTTGAGTGTTCTCTAGGAGAGCAGCCCTATTATTTGCGTCGTTTTCCTGGTTGGTACCCACAGATCAACTCTGTGATACCTTCAGACTCGGTTTTTTGGTGGGCTCCAATAATCCTGTTGATTTAGGCCGGGCAGGCAGTTTGTGAGGTTGGAAGTCTCGCCAGTGACGTGTTCAGTCAAACTGGGGGGTTTCACAGCGCCGGTCATGTCACCGATGGGTGGAAGCGTATGCATCGTGAAGTCGTGTGCAGGATGCAGCGCGCAGTGCGCTGTGTGGGACAAACTCAATAGCTTCTGAAGCTGTTGATGATGGAGGATTTCGTGCCGAGATAGGTTTATGAGCCGCATTAGTGCTATGTGCGGTTGGGTGAAAGATCCACACCACAACGCCATTTCGCTGGACGGAAATCCGAATGTATGAAGAGCTCTTGCTGGGGTTACAGGATGAAGCCGCTTTTTTAATTTTTTTTATTCTTATGCATCACCGAAGAAATGTCATTATGTCAACCATGAGGTCTAGAGCTCTCGGCATATTGTCGAGTGGCTGGTTGGTGGTCTTCTGTCTCCAATTTCCCCAATTTCCAGAACAAGCCTACCACGACCATGAATCTCTACCAGACATGTCCATGTGTGAGGCTATTAGGACGACCGAGGGATATTCCGGACTCCGTGCGTCCAGCGAAGGCAAGAAGACCATCACAAGTTGCAACTTCCATCAATAAGACCTTGGATTGCGAAACAGAAAAGGGTGATCAACTGTCGATTCCAGGAAGGGCTCTCGACTCCGACTGATTTCATTGGGCTTAGGTTGTGTTCCACTAAGAGCCAACCTCCAACACGGCTCGGAGACGTGGCTGGAGCCAACAAGGTAAGGGAAGTTCTCAAGTCTCATGCTTATCATGTTACCACTGTCGAGAGGATGCAGGCCGATTGGCTGCCAGGAGTGGCAGACTCCAATCCTTGTATCAAGATAAAGCTGCTTGAATACAGCAATAGCTATAGCAGTTCATGCACCACCTTATGTGTGACATTTGAGTGTTTATGCAGACAGTGACATGTGAAATGATGTACGAGTCTGCTTCTTGACACTCGCTATAACCAGGGTGCGCGGCCCTGCTGCCCCTTAGCCCAATCTTGTACCGAGCTGCATGCTTGACTTGTCATCTTTCCAAGCAAAGCATATCTTAAGAACGCCAGTATGAAGTAGGTCCGACAGCGGCAGCCTGAGCGCGGCACAGCGTCGCAGCGACTAAGGCAGGTGGTGATATGGTCCTATAGGCATTTGTGTTTCCACGATCTCTGACCAAAATGGGACGAGCGGCGTAGGACTCATCGCCATATGAAACAGGCAGAAGATGGAGTTCAACTAGAATGACGGGCGAGTGACCGTTGTCAAATTGGAATCGCCGGTCTGTGGGCCGCGGACCACTGTCGTTGCAGAGAACCGGATTGTTGAATAGTGAGGTTAGCAGGCATATGCCCTTGTTCACTGCCCCTGTTTTCTATGTGCACGCGATCATCTCACCATCAGGCTGGCATGGCGGAATGGCGGCAAAATTGAACCTCGGAAACCCCGACTGCATTCGTCTGAAATATCGTTAGACACTCATAGAGCCTGATGCAGCTCGCTGGTATCTGGGACAAGAAGTACTAGTGGAGTGTGCCTCTCACTTAACATTGACTAGAAGGATCAAATGGCAATGAATGGGACATACGAGTATATGACTTGTGAGGTCGTCAATGACAAGGGGGAACAGACAATCAGATTGAAGCAAAGCCAACGACGGGCTTTCAAGAGTACGGGCGCACGTTCAGACGCCTTGGTAGAGAGACTACGGGGGACCAATGGGGGCAATGTGGGGATTGGTGTGGAGTGCCCAGGTGTTATATTTGGCCAATTAGGACTTGCAGCTGGGCAGTACTACTCTAGCTCCAACAATTTGATCAATCTATGGGTTGTTCTTGCCAAATATTTTGTCTCCGTCTACTCTTGCTACTTTAGATGTTGTACCCTCAACACTCTGTACTTCCTATTCTATCTACTGCATACCACACTAATTTCTTACCTCTGAAGGGTGGACTCAAGTCCATCAATTCAGCAACGGTTGGAGAGTTATCTTGCTCTCTTCCCATTTACTTTCTGCCGCATTACGCTGCACACATCGAAGACCCTTACTGTTGCCTCCCAGGATCCAAGTTTCTGGAGCCGAATCACAAACTAAAATTTCGCGAAATCCGGAGAAACAAGAGGACCCTTGCACGGCGAATTATATGCCGTCCATATTCGGTTACAGACCCTTGGTGGGCCTTCATGCTATTGCTACCTACTTGCAACCTCGTGCTTTTGCAGTCGTTCGCCAAGTGGGCCTTTGTCATCATCGATCTATCTACCCGCCAGTCCCAGTCCCAGTCCCGATGGAGCACGGAAACTCTGATAGATGCGACTGTAGCCAGCAGCCAGTTTCGTCGTACCCTTGTTCTTATACTCTACTTTGCCGTAGTAGTCACAGAGCACGTCTTATCTGCCGGCTATTGGGCTCTTAACGCCGGCTAACCTATCAAAACATCTTTCTGTTTGTCCCTTCACATCCCTTGTCGGGCGTCGTCGGTTTCGCTTCCTGATGGAGTGACTGCTCTCGTCGTTAGAGCCCCACAAGCGAGTGAGACGCACCGACAGCCTGTTCGAGGAGGGCCGAGGTAGGGTTTCCAGGAATCGATTCATCCCTGTCCATGATGACCTTCATATTTTCTGTTGTGCAGACCCAGCCGCCAGCCTTGTCCAGCTAATACTAGAGCAAGTACTTGGCGGTATGATATTCGCTGGTACCATGGCGAATGTATGGATACCTCGAGATCTTTACCGTTAACGGTACCACACCGGGACCAGCCAAAGATTTCCCTGCCGAAGCTCATATGCATGGCACCTCCTGTCGCATCGTCGCTAACTGCTTGCATATGATCTCCCGAGATTATGAGCTGCTCTACTAGCTCTTGGAGATAACTCGTTGCTATTTGACTGGGCATGGTAAAGTCTTTCAATGCTTCACAAGCCAACGGGACCTTGGGCCCTTGGTTTATTCCGGGTCCCTGATGCTTCTTGCTAATCAATGATGAAGGTTGAGTGGCACACAGGAGTATCGCATCATCATCGTCCATGGCACTATCCCGATGCATAAGAAGGTGGGGGTCCTTCCGAGGATTGTTCCTTTTTGCTTCATATCCCGTTTCTCTTCATCATCTGAGTAGTATAAGCCGTCATTCGAGGGCTTGGACTCGCCATCTTTGCCTTGTTCACATATCACGGGGCCCTTTCTATCTGCTCCCCCTGCCTCCAAGTCTATAAAACATTCTCCGACACAAGCACAATTCCGTCACGCTTGACACATCCTCGGCTCTACTTTCAGGCCAACCCGCATACTTTCACCTGACACCTTATTAGCCCCAACGTCGCTCTACATCCCACACTACATCCCGCGCCCGCGTCCGGAGTCGTCATTGGCAATGGCTCCCTCCGCCATGATGGATGAGATGGCGCCAATGCAGCTACCCGTGCACGCAAAGTCGATAAGTGCGTCCGTCTTGCATGGGCCTCGAGACCTACGATTGGTGAGTGTGGTTATATCTAGTCTTACTGTTACACAAGATGGGGCCCTTCAGCCTTAGCAAGATTCATTCCGAGTAACCACTTTTATCTTACTTCAGGAGGCCCGGAGCATCGAGGACCCTGCCGTTGGCGAACTGCAGATTGCCGTCAAGTCAACTGGCATCTGTGGCTCCGATGTATCGTACTACAAGAAGTTTGCCAACGGGGATCTCTGTGCTTGTGCGCCCTTATCCCTTGGACATGAGTCGTCCGGTACAGTTGTGGCCATTGGACCCCATGTTTCCGGCTTCAGCATCGGTGATCGGGTGGCTCTGGAGGTCGGCCTTCCATGTGGTCAATGTGGTATCTGCAGAAAAGGCAGATACAATTTATGCAAGAAGATGCGCTTCCGGAGTAGCGCAAAGAGCGTGCCTCACTTCCAGGGCACCCTTCAGGAGAGGATAAACCACCCTGCCATTTGGTGTCACAAGTAAGCCCCCCCTGCGTACACCCGAGAGACAGCCAGAGCTAATAGCCGCGCCAGACTACCGGATCACGTCTCGTTTGACGCTGCTGCGTTACTTGAGCCCTTGTCCGTTGCTATCCACGCTATCAACCGTGCCTGTCCAATTCCTGGCTCTACTGCACTTGTCATGGGTGCAGGCACGGTTGGGCTCTTGACTGCAGCCATGGCTCGTCAATCTGGCTGCACAACCGTCACCATCACGGATGTTGATGCTGGCAGAGTTGACTATGCCATAAAACACGGCTTTGCGACTCACGGATATGTCGTTCCCCGTCCTCTTCACACCTCCTCCAGCAGCTCTTCCATATTCACCAACAGCTCCGGAACGTCGACGCCTTTGGAGTGCGGTGTCATGACACCGGCGAGTCTCTTCTCTAACTCGATCCAAGGTCAACTCGAAGGAGCAAAGAGCCTCGCAGCCGACATCCTCGCTCAAACTAAACCGCCCCCGGGTCTCGAGTTTGACGATGAAGATGACGGAGTTGATATTACGTTCGAATGCACCGGAAAGGAGGTTTGCATGCATATGAGTCTCTACGCCACACGGCCGGGTGGGAAGGTCATTATGGTCGGCATGGGTACCCCTATCCAGACCCTCCCAATGTCCGCAGCCCACCTGCGGGAAATCGACATCCTGGGCATCTTCCGATATGCCAACACCTACCCTACTGGTATTCGATTACTCTGCGCCCAGGGCCGGGGCGGTACTGGCTTCTCCTTTCCGAGCCTAGATGACATGGTTACCCACCGATTCCAGGGTCTTGGTGCTGCAAAAGGCGCCTTTGAGCTTGCTAGCAGAACCGTCGATGACAACGGCAACCTTGTGCTGAAGGTGGTCATTGAGGCCTAAAGTGGATTGATTGAATTGGCATGGGATGAGCTCTGTACCACCAACTCCTTGCATTAATATCTGGCTTCTGGACATGACGATGTTGCGATGCTTCACTCCACTCTCGATGACATAACGCTGCGACGACGTGAGAATTCAGCTGAAACAAGACGGGAGAGGCAGACATTGAGGTTTAGAGGGAGAAGAGTAAACGTGGTTTCAAAGATATTTGTCCAAATGGAGTGAAAATGAATGGGACACAATGGATAGGGGAGAGCTTGATAAATACCCACCAGGTTCGATTTCCTACCACTGCTCAACTTCTTAATATGGGGTCAAGACCGGGGAGCCAGGCGATGGAATTCAAATGGCTAGACTGGATATTCGGAAGGCTGTGTTAATATCAAATTGAAGATCACCGGATTTACATCAACTGGTTCTATTGTGAAGTTTGGCGGCCACGTGGCAAGGCGGCTTTACCGATTCGCTCATAGGCTGAGCTGGACGTGCAATGTTTCAGTCAGAAGTCTGTCAGGTACCGCTGATAGGTATGGTATGGCTTTAGTCATTCATGTTTTCATTATCATTCTCTATCCGAATCATTCCGTGTCATTGCAAAACAAGTGCATGGATCTGTGAAGGACAGGCTTCTAATCGCCCCTCTCTGCCCAGCTTTTTTGTGGCGACCATCCATAGAACGCCTACTTCGCCATGCAGATGAGAAAGCCATCATCATTCTTTCTGAATGGTGCCATCTCAAACCCTGGATCCAGCCATCACTTATAGTTGCCGGCCCAGAATTCTATCTGCTCTTCTGAGGAGCCAGCCCATGAGACTCCAAGTGCACACAAATATGCCAGATGGTCTCAATGCAACCGAGTCTAAGTTAGGTATTTGAGCTCCCGTGACTTTCTAGATGGAGAGATCCCCAGCACCTGGCAAATTGAAACTGCCGCTGCCGCCAACAATGTCCGGCAGTATATTTTTCTTGTTCTGACTTCGAGCAGCCTCTACCACAACATGCTTCTTGCCAATGTCGCGAACCTCGGTGACACTCTGCATCACCTGGTTCAGCAAAGACATGAGATGCACATCATTGGCTTCACTGAGCATTTCCTGCTCGAAATCTGCTGTTGCCGATGGCACAAGCAGTGCTAGGCGGTTGACCAAGGCTTGGATGGATCTCAAGATCGTGTGGGATGGGATGGTGTGCGGATCTGCCGCCTGATCCGCGACCGATGAAGGATCGACCCCAGACAATCCTGAGGGCGGTAGTCGCTGCAGGTATGTGATGAGAAGCTTGATCCGAGATTGCAACATCTTCACTGAATTGGCTTTTGCTGTCAACGCCGCAATCAGCTCTTCATCCTCCCTAGAAAGCATAAGCTCATCAGCTTCAGTGGCAGTCGCGGCCTCCTTGTTGCCAGGAGAACCGAGACGCTGTTTACCCTTGGATTTTGCGTCGGCAGCTTTGCTCTTGGCTGCGGTTTTCTTCTGGCCTCTCGACTCAACGGCTGTTGCATTGCCTGCACCGCGGGCCACGAAGTCCATGCTAATCATCTCTGCCTCCCCCGTCTCTACCGAGTACGAGAGCTCTCTGAACTTTAGTTTTAGCGGAGGCTCGGCATCTCTCATCTCCTTGTCTTCACCCTGGTCGACCTTTGGCTCATCTGCTTCATAGTTGGTTTCGTATATGGTCAAAGGTAGCTTGCTTCCCACTGAGGGATCCACGGCTTCTTCCGGATGAACGGCCAGCAGCATAGAGGACTCGTTGTGCTCGGAGAGGATCCAGTGATGGATAGGTAATATTGCTGGAGTGGGGCCGCTCTTTGGGAGGACTGTGTACCAGCCGACGAGATCGAGCTGGGGAGACTTGTGAATGGTTTTCACTGTAACATCATGGTCAGCAACTGCAGATCAAATTGGCAAGCAAAGGAAATAACGAACTTTGGTCCAATCTTTGTCCAAACCATATGGGGTCCATGATGACTTCTCTGTTCTGCGCAATTGTGGCACATTCAAAGGCATGCTCAATGGTGATCTCGCGTCCGTTTTGTTGTCCCAGTAAAGCTCCCACAATCGGTCCCTGCTGGTCTCGCAGGGTGTGGCGTGTGATGTAATCGGATATTGTGAGGAGGACCAGCGGATGCAGAACTGCCTGAAGTCCAGAGTCCGAGGACTTCTGCGACGAAATCAGCGGGTTCTCCATCTTCCTGGAGATGTTGTTAATCCAGGGGAGAATGGAGAGGATAGCTGAAAAGTTGTGATGTCGGCGAGTGTCTTTATGTGTAAGTAGGCGGGGTGGATGTGAATCGCAACATGAGCCGGCAGCTTCCAGGTTGGAGCTTCCAGGTAAGAGCTAACGATTTGGACTTATGGTAGCCCCGCGGTGGCAGTGCAAAAAAAGGTGGCTTTCAATGCCTGTCACGAACGTCCAAGGCCGCTGCTGCACTAATTTGGAACATCTAATGTTAGGCATCTTTTGGTTACTGCCGAATTCAACCTCAAGTGTCACATTCACACCACATCCCAATGCAATGGTCGATGTTTGCTTCATGATGCCAAATAGTGGCCACAATCAATTTCCAATCCAAATTACTTGAGTACTCATATGAAGATGCGCTTGCAATCTGCTTCCTTGATCGGCTAGACCCCTGGCCAGCAACCTAGCAGTTGCAAGGCATGGTATTGAACGTCTCTACGCTGAAGAGTTCCCTTCTCTTGGGTTGCTGATAACCCAAGGAACATTGCATAGGAAGCACTTCCATTTGCACATTAGTGCCTATCAGTGCTGCTTCCCCTCCTACGCTACCTGGTTTAAATCACATCAGCCTCTTTCTCCTCATCGATCCCATCATAGCCCAAATACAGAAGTTTGTGCAAGCGCCGCAAGCTATTCTTTATCTCGACGGGACTCAGTTACAATGGGTGTCCCTGCAAATTGTGGTGCAGACCTGGGTTCTTTGCAGATGGTTTCAGTCACAACTATATCGAGACAGGTCTTACGAGAAAGAGATCTCCTTTGACGAGCTGAGAGCATGGCCTCTAGCTACCACCTTTCAAGTTTTGCATTTTGGAGTCTCAAATGCTGCTTTTTCCGTGCATTTCTACCATCTCGAGATTTTGGGGGTATACAAATATGAGACTGGACCCAGCTGCTTTCTGCGTCTCAGGTTCCTACATCCAAACTGCACAACCTGACCGAGCCTGTCGCGAACCAGCCACATCGTCGTTCGACCATTTGACATCCGATTGCCATGTCTCCTAGTCCTGCAAATGCAGGCCAGAACAGACTCCCACATCCGGCTGGGCCCACAGCAGGCACCATCCCTGCGAAGAGATCAGATGACGATATCCAGTTCATCTCTTGCAAGCCAGTGAAGAGGCGCAAGGTCAGTGACACGAAGTGCCTGTCAGTTCCTCCTTCGGTGCCTCAGGCGCAAGCCCCATCTCCACACCAACCTGATGTTCAACCGGAGCCTTTCCTGGGACCTTACCCGGAACCTCAACCAGGACCTCAGCACCGGTGTCCTCAACCACCTGCAGTCTTCGCCCCAATGACGCATATGCCAACTATCACGCCTGCATCAGGGATCGACGGGTTTAGCAGAAGAGTGAGTACGGGCGTGGTTGGTCTGCCGTCCGATTTTCATGAGATGGAACCCAGTTTTGGCTTAAGAGGTGTATCTCTTCCGGTATTGGAGAATTACAACCTCAACCAGCCGTTTCGCGTACCAAAACCCATTAGTCCTCCAGCACTCTCCCCAAAGCAGCTTCCTGACACAATCCCCTCATCACTACTTGACAACAACTCGATGCAAACTCAGGGCACTGCGTTGTTTGGCTTTCACGGATCATCTCAGCCTCAGACTGTGTATTTCCCTACCACTGGTGACTCGATCCATGCATCTGCCACCGCTCAAGCCACAACAACGCCAGTGAATTCTGGAAATACCACGATGCTCAACACCCCAACAACACAGGCGAGCTCTCCTTCTCCAAAACCAGTCACGCTTCCAGACAATTCTGCTGCAAGTATGCCACCACCTCCTAACCCACGAGTCGAGGCTAGTGCAAAGTCTGACTCTACACCGCAGGATACTGCTACACGAGGCACTTCGCCTTCTAGCACTTCTCAATCTCCAATGGCCAAGCCACCTTGCCGAATCTGTGCAAAAATGCGGCAGCAGGCGGCTCTGGCGAGAGCTCAAGGTTTGCCAATGATGAATCCAAATATCTCTCCTCACATGCTCCCTCAGATATCGTGCCATCCGCCATATCCTGCACATCTGCATCCCCCTGTCATGAAAATGTCTCCTGCCAATATGCCGAACTTCGGCCCTGCTTTCGGTCCAATGATGATGCCGATGAGTATGAACGGCTTTGGCTGCATTACGAAACAAGCGCGCCCTTCCACCCAGAAAACAGGCAACCAAACCCCAGGGCCCGCGCTTCCTCAACAGCAGACCAACACTAGAGAATCCAGCCAAAGTGCGGCTTCTTCGGTCCCTAACAGTGCGAAGTCTAAGCCAGCAGCTGCTCCTTCAAGTTCTTTCAAGCCTCCCGCCTCTCTCATCCAGCCGAATTACCGAAAGCCATCCCCAAACTTGATCGTGGATGTAGCCGAGACCTGCCAGGAGAAGTTCCCTTTTGAGGAAGTGGCAAAGCGTCACAACACTACAGTCGACAAGGTCGTCGAGATATTTGCAGCTATTATCCAAGTGCCGCTTTTGCGAAGTACGACTGACAGAAGGCGGCCGGGCAGGTTGGCCACGAGCAGGGTGAAGGATTACACAAAGGCAAAGAGAGACATCCAGGAGGCGAGAAGTGAGGGTCATGGTGGAGGGAACAAAGTCCCTGCCATAACCCCTTTGGATATTGCACAAAGCATGGGGCTTACAGAACTACCTGATGGATTCACTTTGCCTTTCAATTGATAAGAGTTGGAGTTTGGAAATGCAAACGGACGTGTAAATTAAAATCAAGCTGAATGCTCTCTCATAGCGTACGGGCGCAGTACGTACTGCTTTCTGGGTCTCGGGTGCGAAATGGATGGTTGTGCAGGACTTAGACTGCCGTGCCAACTAGAGAATTGTTTAGCAACTGAGAGGACTGCTCCCCCAATAGTCTTATCTGCATCATCACTTTGCTGATCCGCGATCCGGAGCCATAACTCGTCGCCGTCGTTGCCTGCCTCGCTGTGAACCGTGCCATCTTGCTCCATGTTGGCAAAGGAGAGACACTTTACCGGCTATTCGTGCTTGGAGTGCTCCTGGTAGTCAGCTTCATCATCACACTCTGTCTCGAGGAGGTCGTCGCCTGCTTCTGAGTCCACATCATGCGCGCTGCTCAGGGCAGGGATGCCATTAGGCGGCAAGTTCGCCATCTCCTTCGTACGGCGTAGCCTCCTGAGCTCTGAGGGCTCATCAGACCAGACACACTTGCCGCCGTTCCACTCACAGCTAAGCCCGTGATCTTCCATAGTGCGAACTGTGGGCCATTGCACTTCGGCTGCAGATGGCGCCTTGTACCTCTCGTCAAGGAGCTCATCAAACATCGACTTGGTCACCTTTGTGATCCATTTCTTGCAGTCTTGTGCGTCAGACCACCGGCTTTCGGCTTCGGCTTTGGCGGCGAGTTTGTTGAGATCTTCGACCATAACTCTGTGATCAAATTGGACTTTGTGGCGACCGCCGACCCCGCAGCCTGCACAGCAGTCATTGAGGTAGGATGTTGGGCCGCTTGGAGACTCGCACTTCTCATCACACCAGGTGGCGAAGTGCTTAAGCTTATGCCCGCATTTTGTTAGAATGGTAATTTCTCCCCCGCACATTTTCTGGGGTGTAGGAAGTAGGGAGTAATGGAACTAACGAGACAACTGAATCGAAACAAAAATATCTCGAAAACTTTTCAACTTCCACGTTTTATACCGTATGTAGTAACTGGGGTTGCAAGATGCCCCAGGAGACAAACCAAGGCCTGAGGCTGAAGCTCGCGTCGTGCTGGATTTGGACGAGAATGTCTCCGTTGAAACAATGCTGCGTTCAATGGTAATCGTCAACTAATCTCAGCCCTTCAACAAACAGCGAAGATCTCGGGCCCTCTTGGTATGGCCCCTTTGGTGCAGCCCCTTTTGGAGAAACACACCTGACATACCCCCCGATAGGGACATGAGGGTCAACAGTCACATCTCGTTGGCTGGTCGTGGGTGCATTCCCAATGGATTTTCGAGCCTCTGACAAATATTCGCGATAAGCATTGTCAACGCAAGACTATTTCATTTCTCGGAGATCCACCAATGTGAACCAAGCACTTGGCGGCGCCATCGGTGGCAAAAGTCTGGTTCAACTGACGCCGGCTTCTCCACGTAATGATGGTTGATACTATACCATGTTGACGTGCCCACTAATGGAGGCTCACGGGAGGAAGATCCGGCGGTCCGGCAGCCTGGAGAGCCCTCGGATCCGTAGAATCTGGGGTCTAGTGCGTGACGAGATGCAGGGGCTGACCCCCACGTACTGTATGGTAGGTGAGACGAACCGACGCGGCCAACGGCATGAACCACTCTGATGTGGCATCGTTGTGTGCCTTGTGGGGAAAGTAATGCTCAAGATGGGTCAACCGGAGAAAAGCTGGCAAAAGACACCAAATCATATCCAACAAGGTATAGGTTCCTTAGGTACTTAGGGATGGAAGTATCTCAAGTTCCTCTACATCGACGTATATCCGGACTACGACTACGGGGCATACCTTGCATGTCTTCGCTCTAGGTGATGCAACTTTGCACTGATGCACTGAGGGTGTTGTGTTAATATACCTGACTTGTGGCGTTCCGAACACGCGGGAGCACTTGCTGAAGCTCGGGAGATGGATGAGATGGGTTGCGTTCCGATTGAATAGATGTCGGGCCATGGGGGCAACTTTTACTCCCCTTCGCTGTGCAAGAGTCTATTCATTTCCAAAAGCAGTAAAATGTACGGTAAGGTTGGTACGAGGTTTGGGAATGTGATTGATCGAATTTGTGAGCAAGCCAGCTAAGCTTGACGGGACTCGCGTAAATAAGGCCCAAAGTCGACTTCAGTAGGGTTACGTGGTAACAGCATGGTGTGGCGATTCAGGTAATGAACCCAGCTTGCACCAGCCCATCGTAGTCGCCTCAAAGTAGAGTATCACGATGTTTTTCGGTGTTAACAAGCTTCGAACATGAAGGTCTAGAGAGAGCTGCCACATGTGGCTTCCCCAATCAATCACTTTTTAGGCAACCTCACCTATAGCCCCACCTGCACCACCATCAGCGGCAAAGATGTTGAACTCAGCGCATTTGATCCATCACATCAACCTCAAAATCCACCTCGACTTCCCAGTACAGTAAAGGTCTCGAAACACCATTTCAGACCAATTGTGCATGCTGTCGGGACCCGACCAGCATGGCGCACATAACCAATACTCTAGCAACAGTAGACCAGCTCTACCGGCGCAACACCCTCGACGCTCTCCCCCAAGACCTCCAAGACACCATTTTCTACGCGACGCAATGCCTAACTCAAGCAGCCGGCATCTTGCTTCGCCTCCCGCAATCAGCCACAGCACAAGCTAATGTAGTCCTGGCACGATACTGGCTCGTCGACTCTGCTCTCGCAAACGAGTTCAGCGTACGAATATACCCTCCAACCAAGCTCTGTTTTAACACTAACAACGCTGCCCAGGACGTCTCGGCAGCAACCCTCTTCCTGACCGCAAAGCTCGGCTCCCACCCCTGCCAACCTCGGGATATCTGCAACGTCTATACCTACCTCCTCTCCCCCTCCTCGCCGCTCTTCCAGTTCCCATCCACCGACCCACCCCCGAACGATCCATCCGCGTACTACCTCTCCGAAGGCGCGTACACTGCCTTCCACAATCGCATCCTGCGCCTCGAAGCGCGGATAGTCTACTCGCTCTCCTTCGACACGCACGTCGCCCTCCCGCACCCTCTGGCCATCACATACCTGCAGGCCCTGGATTTTTTATCCCAGCCGAAAGCCAAGGTCTCGCAACGCGTTGTCGAGTACCTTAACACGGCGCTGCTGTCGCCACAGCTGCTGTACTTGACGCATCAGCCCAACGCGTTGGCGGTCGCCGCCATATACAGCGCTGCGCGGGACGTCGGCGCCAAGATGCCCGACTGTGCGTGGTGGGAGGTGTTTGATGTGGACCGGGAGGAGCTGGGGTTCCTGGTTGTGGGGATGCGCAGCTTGGAGGGGTGGGTGAGGAAGCAGAGGGACGAGGTGGAGGGGTTACTGGGGCAAGGCATGGTCACAAGAAAGGGGGTTGAGGCGGAGATGAGGAAAAGGGGTTTAGGTGTTGGGAATGGGGGAAATGGGGCCCCTGGCCCCGAGGAGGAAGACGAAGAGGCGGCTATGATGAGAAAACTCGACGAAAGAGTCGCTATGGTCGAGGACTGACAATAGATTACACAGCAAAATAGTCAAAGATAATCGGGTGGGTGCAGAATTCACGTTGAGCCTCGGCGTTGTCTGACGTTATAGATTTGTACCTTAAGTCGTGACCTCATGTTCGCATAACTCATCGTAGCCTACTCGACTATTGTAACCATGCATGTGACCTTTCACCCCCTCCCCTGAAACTCCTATCTGTATTTGTCCCTTTCTCCGTATAAATTCAACACAACTAATCCTACACAGTTCATTCGTGTACAACATGGACTTCAGCTAGCGACTAGCCTTCCACAGTTGTTGAAGCGTCCTCAACATCTCCACCGAAAACTCCAGCCGATGCTCCTGAAACTCGACTAGCGCACGATCGAGAATCTCCAGCTCACCCTTTCCGCGATGCCTGGCTCGAGTCTTCTCTTTAGCACCAGCAAGTGTGGTTCGGATTTTCTCGACAAGTGCCTCTAGATCAGTTTGAGCGCGTCGTTGTATTTCGAGCTTCTTGCAGTCGAGGCCTACCGGGAGCCACTCGATTTTTTCCTTGGCATTCTCGAGGAGGACGCGGTGTCTCTCGTCATAGACGACGTGGCAGATGGCAATGCAGTGGTCGGTCAGCTGTGCTAGAGTCGATCTAGTCATCGTGTTGGTGATGCGAAGGTTGCGTATGGTCAGAAACATCTTCGTCACCGTTATATTTGTTTCCTGGAGCTTGACTGCTCGATTCAGGACCCTATAGTCGAGGGTAGACCGGTTAAAGTCGTAAAGGCTGTCGACGGACACAATCCTGTCTGACCACTTGGTGCCAGGGCAGGACTCCATGAGCCAGTTGTTGGCGGCTTCTCGAGCAATCTGTTGGATGGTACCAGCAGCGAGGTCGAATGTATCCGACTCAAGCCCACGCAATCGCTTCTCTGGGTGCTCCTTGTAAAGATCTTCGAGGGATTTCTCTGATCTTGTCTGGCGGTCTGCCAACTTCTCTGGGCCCTCTCGAACCCACAAAGGACGCTCAAAGCCTGGGGCCGAACGTTGCCTTTGGCTTGGTGCTACCATTTGGCAATTTAGTCTGACTGAAGATGGTAGTCAGTCTGATCGCTGGAAGCACGTTGATATCTGTCTTGAAATTTGTAATGTCATTTAACGGGGGGCGTTTCTCCTTGGTGATAGGTTTGCTTTCGCCACCTATAAATTCGTATCAGCGTCGAATGATAATGTTGAAGTGAACCAATCACTAACCAGTGGTCATAATACTGCCGTTGAACTGCTTCGTCGGAGGTTCCTCGATGGTGTCGTTTATCCAGGACGTACTTCGATCTTCAAGCGCTGTAGCGTGGCACCCAAATGCTTGGGATACGTCGTTATTTGCTGCGGAAAGACCAAAACCACTGGTGATGCTGGAGTAGAGTGATGAAAGATCCCGGAGAGAAACTCGGTCTTATAACACACCTCCTTCCACCTTTTGCTCCGCTTTGGAACCGGTGGCAGACTTGTTTCCTTCTACTACTGGCTTCCCGGCGGACGCGTCAGCGTCTTGCCCTGCTTTTGCTCCAACTAAAGTTTCGTCCATTGTTCGAACCTTCCTTTGATCAAAAGAAGGGTGATTGGTTCTATTAGTTGTGATCGTGCCTCGTCGAAAGATTGGAAGGGCTCTGTGCAAGGGGGCGGTGGTGCCAAAACTGATAGCAGGCATCGATCCGAATTGAACCACCCGAGATGCGTTTGCCTCCTTCGACGCCGTAAGGGTACGCCAAAGTCCTTCCGACCTGGTGATTTTGACTCCCAAACTAGGACATTTCTTAGAATAAGAACTAAATTCGCTGTTGTGCGATTCAAACGCATCTTCATGTACCATGGAGGATGCTACGTCCATCTCTGCATTACTCGCAGCTTCGGCTTGCCACCGTCTCCTCATGTCCAGTTTACGACTCCTCCTTGCTTGTACTTCGCTCTGCACACCAGGTTGTGATTCTAATCCAAAGGAGCACTGAACTGATGGTGCCCGGAAGACCTCGGGCTGTGATCTGGATCCGTTGTTGTTCCTCGTAGGTGCCGTCTTAACCCGGTTCTTCCCTTTTTTCTTCGCCATCATCAATGTTCTGCTTTCTCAGTTATTTGGACTGTGAAAAAGTAGATATTGAGCTGCATCGATTTGAAGAACAAGAGCATGTAAGTTGGTGTTGCCAGTCAGTTTGCTGAGCAAAGTGTACTTTATTCGCAAACAATGATGGAAGCCAAATATCTGGGAGTATTTCATCACATGTGTTTGGATGACATCAATCTGATAGCGCGCCTTCCTCACTCTGGAAAAGTCCTAAGTTGGTCTTTCCATTATCAAGTTATGTGCCCAGATGAGTTACCGCAACTGGATGAAGACAGATAGCCACTTCCAACGAGCAGTCTACTAAGTGCTTGGGTAGGAGCTTAAGTACCTAGAGTGTCTTGTAATATCCAGTGTTGACTAAAGTCAATGACTCTATTCCTAGCGTAAGGGTTTCGCAATATTGGACAGATGATAATGTACTCAATGGTTGGTCAAGAGAGCGTTGATATCAATACGTCACCAACCAGTAAGAGAGTCATTCGTTATGAACGCAGCACCTCAGCACCATGTCGGTTGATCTACATGCGCACCCTAAGCGATACTCGACGCTTCTTCCAAATCGACATCACAAACTCCTTACTCATCCTATACTAGGCGATGCAATACCGCCATCCGTAGATTCCGAATTGCCCTGCATTCCGCCAGCCCTCCGAGCCTTAGCCCCAGCTTTAAGCTGTTCCCACTTCTCGCGATAACGCACAAGATTCGCGCGGGCTTTGTTGTAGTCCTTATGCAGTTCATCCATCTGCTTAACGTAGAGCAGACATTTTTCCTCGAGCTCCTGATTCCTCTTGCGCAACGCCTCGTCTCCGGCCCCTGGCTTGCCAGCCGATGGCAGAGGGGAGCCAGGTCGCATCAGTCTCATGCTTTCCGCCAGTCGCATGCCCGAGTTCTGCGACATGGACTCGAAGGCGTGGAGGCGCTTACTAAGTTTATCTAGCATGTCTTTGAGGCTCTTGTTCTCGAGGTAGAGTTCCTCTACCACATTGCTCAGCTCCTTTTCAGAGCGCGTTTTGCCTGTTCTCCGCTTGAGGCCGGGAGATAAAGGGGGCTGTGATTCCTTGGCGTCAACAAAGTCCTCTTCGTCGGGATCTTCGGCGAGACTGCCCAGATCACCATGGAAGGATGCTTCCATTCGACGCTTCTCCTTGTCGGCAAACGATAGAATGCTGGCATAGGAGACAGTGTGTCCGCTGGTGGGAACCACGTAGAAGGAGTCATTCGCAGAATGACCGTCACGGGATATAGCTTTAAGGGCTGCTTTCGAGTAGATCCTGCTGAGGTCTGGCTCCGCTGATGGAGAATGTGATGGTTTCTGTCTGTTCCTCTTCTGTACTGGAGGCTCAGGGGCTGGGGTTTGTTCCTCGGCGTCTTCCTGCACCAAAGGAAGTCCGGCAAAGGCGAGCGGCGCCGAGATCCTGTTGATGATACTACCAAAAGCACTGTAGAATCTTGAGAACCCTTCATCGTTCTGGCTTAATGAAACGTCTTGCGGTTTGTGGGAGCCACTGCTACTTCCACTGCGACGCTGTTCATTGCTGCCTTGTCGGGTAATCTGCCCAGACGGCGATGCTGGCTTGTCGGCGTGCTCGAGCATGTTCTGCATCTTTGATCTTGACCCGGACCCGCTGCGGCGTGAGGCAAGTTCCATATTGCCTGGAGCTTCTGCATTCGAAACACTGGGGCTTAATGGTTGGGAGCGATACTTGGATCGAATACCTCGCGCAGAGGCCAAGTTGTTGGCTATAGAGGCACCAAGATCCCGCGACGGGTACTGCTGCGGCTTCGGTAGTTTTGGCATACTTTGTGGGTTCTTCTCGCTGTCAGACTTGGATGTCGGCAGAGGCGGGTCAGCAACCGAGACCCTCTCGTCTTTCTCTTCAGATGCTTGGGCTTCATTCTGACTGCTGCTATTGCTTTGGGATGCGTGCGACTCGAGTGGCAGCTTCAGTATTTCAGATAATCTTCGGTGATGCTCTTCGAGAAGCTTCAACGTCCTCAAAGCTTCGACACTTGTCGTGTTCTTGGCAGCATTGGCAAACTCCCCAGCAGCTCGAGTGTGTTCATTGATGGCGACAGTTGAATTCGCAGCATGAGTTGCGTCGGACGCAGCTTTTGCGTGGTCATGCGCCTGTTGTCCGTCAGCAACAGCCCTCGCAATGTGGATGGCAGTGATGCGGTTGTCGATGCGGTTGGTGGTACCTTAATCAACGGTGCTGCTTCCATCTTGAAGATGGGTTTCTTAGCGCAGCAATGCAGCAATAGCGTCAGTTTTCAACTTCCCTCAACTGAGGCAGCTTGTATTGACTCCGACGGTTTGGATCAAACAAGACTGCAAGCAATGGCGCATCAGTGACGTATCACGATTGAATATGACTTGATGTGCTGCGCTCAAGGGGCCCTAACAATTGGTCATTTGGCAAGAAAGATGGAAATGATGAAATTCCCATGTGCAAGTGTGGTCAGTCAGGGTCAATTTGGATTTCGCGGGGTTATTTCGTGGCTGGCTTTATCCGCATCCTGAGGCTGGTAACAATTACGGCTCCAAAGCGTCAATGTTGCGTTGCCTAGGCTTCCCCAACTCTTCAGTGACCTTGTCCTTCTCTATTTGAACCCAAGATGATGACGAAACGGGACAATGATTTTCCCGTTGACAGCTACCCTAACTACATCTAGCATAGGCTAATACGAAGCTGGTCGTAGCATCCCAAGGAATTGGTTCCGCATTGTTTGACTGGCCGGAACTCAAGGAGCTTCTCGCTTGTCGTGGCGTGGCAGGAGCTACTTGACAGGGGGCAGAATCGCCCTGATTGAGCGGCGGTAATGATATCGTTTCGAGGGGGTTGCAGTGGGAGCTGCTTTGAGCTGCGTGCGACATATTACCTACTGCCGAACGTAGTAGCGATGCAAACTTATTCGAAATGCCATCTTTGTCTCAGGTTCTTCTCTTAATCCCAATTGTGAACTAGCACCGCGACTGCGAGACGGCATCAAAGAACCAAGCAACACCAAGCTCCTTTGGCGCGGAATACTGACCTGGTTCATACGCGACCATGACGACACTCTAGCGCGTATCTATATGGCCGTCGTACAAAGTCAACCGACTTTGTTCGGGTATTTCAACGTTCGTTTGCGAGTGAGGTAGGCTTTCATGACAACGACGGTGCCCACAAAGGAAAACACCCTCACGCCAACCAACAACATGGAAGGCATCGAGGGACACGGCCCAGTTGGAAAACTCCTGTCGAGGTCCAAGGATGCGGCGAAGCGACGATGGAAGAAGCAGCCCTCTAAAGAGAGTTTCGGGTCGACAGCCAGCAGCGAGGAACATCCTCCTCGCGGAAGAAGCCCGCATAGTCGCGAACATCCTCCGCATGACGTTGGGGAGGGCCTGGCGTCGGTATCTCCGTCAAAACCCAGCGATACGTGGATTGTTGGAGAAGAGGACACCAGTCCAACCACATATTCTGAGCTTGAGTCGTAAGTGACACCGTTCTTACGTGCCATACAAACATCCATCGCCCGCCAATATCAGTTTCTTCTATTCATTCAAGCCGACTTATTCTTAGAACTGGCTGGAGGACTGGCCGGAGGAATTTCTTGCTGTAATTCAGCTTGCCAGCTTGCGCGTGGCCTAGTGGCCAGAGCTCAAAACGCCTCGCGCTCGTCGTAAAATGACGGGCTGAAAAAAGATGCACTTTCGTCGGCCCAGTGGGCTTTGGATCAACCACGCTATTATCGTCAGAATTTGGGCTATCCCGTACTAAGGTAGCTGGCACATATTCTCCTCTCACATCAGGTCATTTGGCGTGTTGCATCGTACTGAAATCATTCTCCTTTTGCTGTTTATACCTTACGCTCAATTGACACCTACAACACACACAAACACTCAATGGTAGTAACTTGCAAGATTTACTTTTGCTTCGCTGCACTGCCTTGCTCAGTGTCTTGTTCTGTAATATCCATTTCTTATTTGCCGTTACATCGAAACAAACTCTCTAACACGCAGGACCCCTTGTAGATCCCCGACCCGGCCCACTATTCCATCCACGCATCCGTCCCAAATTGGCCAACTCTCGACCTCGTCCCCTATCATCCAGGCCGAATACCTACAGGAGACACAAAATTTCGAGTCTATGAGTACCGAGAGCCTCGACAGCCTCTCGAGGTCGCAGACCTACTGCATCCCCGCCTCTTCCCAAGCCGCGCCCTCTCGCCAGCTTTCTACCAGCAAGACCGGCCTCCAACTGCCCCGGGACAGCGACTCGTCACGACGGTCCAGGTCACCTGCTGGTAGATTCAAGGACGTGTTTAAGACCAAGAGAACCCCCAGTGTCACTCCCAGCGTCGAGAGCCAGCAGTCAGAAAATACCGACAAGACCGACAACGCTGCAGAGGCCGACCCCAATGCACCCAAGGTAGTGGCCCCCGAAACCTCGCGTCGGCCGAGGAAGCAGAAGATTGATGTTTCGACCCGCCCGCAAACACCTCCACCCTCCGAGCCTCCCGCGCCTGTGATTGTGAACACACCGCCGACCCCGACTGATCACGCCCATCCGAAGGAGCCTGCAGAATCTGATACCTCCAATTTTGCATCGAACCCGATTGTGACAGTTTCGCCTTCGAGTGCTATGATATCGCACCGGCGCATGCGATCAGGATCTGGAACAAGCATTGGCCCAAGCAAACTATCCAATATCACCCTCGCTCCTTTGACCCCAACACCCGAGAACGCCGGCCCGCCAACTCCTGGAGGTGGATTTTTCTCGTCTATGCTCTCTGCTGCGCAGAACGCAGCCAATACTCTAACCAGCACCGTTAACAACACCAATATTGGCATAGGCGGGAACAAGATAAAGAGCACCACTATACCCAAGGAGACACGAGAGGGCGACGGGAACACTACCGAGGTTGAATCTTCTGCCGCGCAGCCAACCGACGTCATGGGCGAGCCCGCAGTGAAGACTCTAGGAATGGGGGACCTCAGCCTTAGCCAGCTGGGCATCCAGGAATCCGGCAGTGCTGCACCTACCCCCGTTGCATCGAAATTTCCGGATATGGTCGATTCGAGGTCGCGATCGCGATCCGACTCTGCTCCTGAGGGTCCATCGTTTGGTGTAGCCAACGGGGGTTCTCCATCTGATGATCAAACCTTCGGACGACCAAGATCCATCAACGAACCGGCTGGGTTCAGTGATCGCAGTCCTCCCGCTAGTGTTTACGAAGGCAAATCCGGTCTTCAACGCAGTGGCAGCATAAGGAGCAAGATTTCGCGCAGCCGCAAACGGGGCAGCACAGGTGGTACCGCTGGCACTTCTGGCACCAATGGAACCACAATAGGAGCAGCCATTGCTGCTGCGAATGCTTCTGTTGCTCATCCGCAAGCCGCCGGAAGTACACCAAAATTAACAGGGTTTGCTGTAGCGAGTAAGAAACGAAATAAGGATTTCCATGCCCTGTTCAAGAGTGTACCAGATGACGACTATCTGATCGAGGACTACAGCTGCGCACTACAGAGAGAAATCCTGGCTCACGGCAGGCTCTACGTTTCCGAAGGTCACTTGTGCTTCAGTAGCAACATCTTGGGCTGGGTGACCACTTTGGTCATGAGCTTCGACGAGATAGTGTCTGTGGAGAAGCGGAGCACAGCCTTGTTGTTCAAAAATGGGCTCATGATCTCGACGCTGCATGCGAAACACGTATTCGCCAGCTTCACGAGCCGTGACTCTACATATGACCTGATTGTCAACATCTGGAAGCTCGGCCACCCCACTCTGCGAAGCTCCCTCAATGGAATCTCAGTTGAAGGCACAGGGGGTGACAAGACGGAAAAGGTTGACGACATCGAGCCGCCGGGAGCTAACAGCGGCTCGGGCTCCGATATTGGGGATGAAGACGACGAAGAAGACAGTGAAGATGATGAGGATGTCTACGACGAAGACGACGACGATGACGATCTTCCGGTATTCACCCAGGAAACAGAGGGCAGCCCCGCTGATACCGAAGGCGAAAAGATCGCAACTCGGAAGGTGTCGGGTGCCATGGGTGCCAGTGCACCATCCGACAAGCCAAAAGACGGAGCTGCTGCACCATCCCCTGGAGCTGACTTCCCAGGGCCGGCGACTCACGGCCCTACGGATTGCGGAGATGTGGCGACCCATTATGAGAGAATTCTGGGCGACGACATTATTCCCGCTCCGTTAGGCAAAGTCTACAATCTCATATTTGGACCCGCTTCGCCCAGCTTCATGGGGAAGTGGCTTACTGTCGAGCAAAAATGCACCGACCTTCAAATGGAGGACAAAAGTGGTCTGACATCAGACACCAAGTCGCGAAACTACACATATATCAAGCCTCTGAATGCCTCGATAGGACCGCGACAGACAAAGTGCATTGTCGTTGAAACCTTGGAGAACCTGGATTTAGAGAAAGCGGTCAATGTGTTGGTTGTAGTACAGAACCCAGACGTACCCAGTGGAAACGTTTTTAGCGTCAAGACGAAATACTGCCTGCACTGGGCAGAGAACAACTCGACCCGAGTGCAGGTTAATTGTACCATTGAATGGACTGGCAAGAGTTGGCTAAAAGGTGAGATGATTCCCAGTTCCTCAGCGGAAACGCATACTAACGATTTTCAGGACCCATCGAAAAGGGCGCCAACGATGGCCAGACTCAGTACTGCAAAGACCTTTTCGCGCACCTCAAAGCATCAGTTTCATCCCGACCACGGTCTGCGACTTTGACAAATGGCGTAACCGCCAAGGGCAAGAAGAAGAAGGGCAAAGGTAAGCTGCAAAAGGCGTCTAAAGAAGACCTTCGGGCCCATACCCACTCAACCGCCAAGAAGACGGATGACTGGGGTCTGTTCGAACCCCTTCACGGCATATTTGGTCCCATCGGCGACATTATGATGCCGATATTTACAGGTAATGTCGTATATGGTCTCCTCGTAGGGCTCCTTGTGGCCACGTGGTTTGGCTTCGGCTTCAGCCCTCGTGAAGCCGGTCCGAGCTATGGCCAGGGCCTTGGTTTCCTGAATCATCCGGATCGAATCACAGCATATGAGGAAATTTGGCGCCGTGAGGAGAGCGACCTGTGGGACTGGCTGGAGGAGCGCGTGGGACTACACCGCATGAACGAGGGGGTCATGCCAATACGCAAACATGTTGTCGAGCCACGCACTGTGGAAGAAAAGATGCGCGAGGAGCGGATGAACGAGCGCGAGATTGAGGAAGCCATAAGAATCACGGAAGAGAAATTGCAGGTCCTGAAGGGCGTACACGAGCGGAAGAAGCTGGTCAAAGATGCGGGGAGCGGACCCGTGAATGGGCGGCCAACTAGCCGACCTTCCGAGGACAGATAATTGTCTTGGGAAAGAGCGAAAGGAAGACAAGAGTTTTTGCCGGGCGCGCGAAGAAAATGATACGACGACGACGACGATGCTATTTTCAAAGCATTGTGTCACTGATTAGTCCTCGATTCCACCATTGGAGAATACAACCATCAAGTCTGCTTTGTTTTAATTCCTACAAATCCCCACGCTTTTCATTATAGTCTAGAAACACGGCCCAGCGTCATAGGGCACGTTGACCGAATACAATCAATGCATTATTGGAATAAAAGTACGCGGCTTGCGATCCAATTGCTACATGTGGCTGAGACAGGAAATGTATGTGTCCATGGCAGAGTCACTTCACTAGGGGTAGGATGTCTCGTGAACTGAAGAGCGTAAGCCTACTTCAAAACTAGCATGTGAAAGTAGCGCTGAGCCCAACAACAGGATGAACAAATAACAGCTTCAGATGGGCACATGAACGAGCCCCAAGAAGTTGCCTGTGCTAGTGTCCGATTCTCTTACATCACAGCCACTTCTCGTACATTGACAAATGACGAGTAAAACTCAACTTCAAACCCACTCGTTCCGCCTTTACATCGAGCAGTTGCGCTTGATCATTTGCCTTAACAGTAACTGACCATGTGCATCTAGTAGACCAAGGAGACATTGAGTTGCCCACATGGTGCACAGCTACCAACCTCCCTGCATAATCCCCGGTTGCTTAGCGTACGTCGATGAGATCCACGAATCATCGGCTCTTGATTCAATGTGGGGAGCAAATTGTCTTGCGATTTTGAGTAACCTAAGCCGATGTACGAGTAGATATTACCCCAACCCCGCGTGGATATATTGCAGAGCAAATATTTGGCTCCGCCAGCCCGTCGATAGCATACGCACATACATTTACCAGTGTGGTTGCCACCCCTGCCATCGTCTAGAGGATGGAGAAGGAGTTGCGCCAAGGGGAAATCGTGTAACAATGATGAAATATATGAGTTGTGGAGTTTCAGGCTCAATTTCAATATCGGGAGGCTGAGGTGGGCGTGGCTGCCTTACGATTGGTGCTAGGCTGCATACATTAGCCCAACCCTAGCTGCATGCAAGATGGAAGTTAGATCCCCCGTCAGACCCCGGCCCCGCTTCCGGATTCCGGCTTTAGGCATCGATATCCGGGACGAGTTCCGAGAGAAATGCCCTCTACGCAGATGGTCCGGGCTTACATGTAGGGACGGCCGGCCTGCATCTCGGCCGGCGCTTTTGCTCTTAACCGCCCTTTTCCCCTCCCCTCACCCCCACCTTCGCATTCGGCTTATCGTTTCTACAGCACGATGGTTCGCAAGACTATCCGGTAATCGCAAGCAGGACATATCGTTGAGATCAGAAAATTGCTGTAGGATTTCGTGCTGAAGAAGGAGGCGCAATCCGCTGATATACAGCCGAAGCCGGAATGTCCCTGTCAGTCGTGTCGGATACCATGCTTATGGACCGAGCGAAACAGGACTATGGAAATTTTGATCCGGGAGCTGGGAGAAACCGACAAGTCTACCGTCTGATGTATCTGCATCGTCAATGTGATCACTGGTATTTCCTGATTACCAGTGAATGTACACTGTCTTCAGGCCTGAGACCCACCACCCCCCATCAGACCCAAGTCTGGCATTTCTCGCCCCTCGAAGATAGCATCGACGGTAGTACGGGAAATTCGCTATCCGAGGCCTTGACGGCAGCGCCCGAATTTCTTAGCTCGTCCGTGTTGAACCCGAAGTCGAAGCCGGGGAACAATTGCCCGCTCATTTGTGAACGCCGAGACGTTGCTATCGTCGAGTTCGCGTTGGCTCCGTAGGATGGGTTCGTAAGCGTTGCTGTTTCGCTTCTACGCTGAAACCTCTTTGGAATGAATGTGGTGTACATTTTGTCCCGAAAGGGCTTCGTGGTACCAAACTGTATTTAACGCTCAAGGTCAGTATATGTTACTCGCATCTTGCATTAGGAGCGTGAATTTATGTCTCTAGAGGTCAGACTGCTTTTTACAGGTTTATCACCTCTGAGACATGAGAAGTAAAAGAATCAAGGACTCCGAGAGCTACTCACCATCAAGAATGATAGCAAACTTGCGGAGACGCCGGGTATGTCGAGTAGGTACGACTTTCGCGCTCTGGATGCGCTGAAATCTGGCGATGAGGCGCGTGCATCACGGATGTTGTTCTGGTGGGCAGTGATCTGGAACCAAACATTGGTAAACTCGAATATGCTGTTAGGCGCTGCATTAGTTGTGCCCGTAACTGACAGCTCATCCTGTAGGGAAACTCTTACAAGAGGACCACGAAGGCGCTCGTGAATCGTACCACGAGCCACCTGTCGTATATACCCAAGGAGCGCTTTAGATGGGGTGCCCCGCTGATACGAGGAGCTGGGGAACTCTTTGAGACACGGGAATTCTTTCCATAGTCGACGCTCCAAGCCTTGAACTGCCTCCGAGTCTGGATGTACTTGATCAATATCATTAGAAGCATGAAGCCACCGCCAGCAACACTAATCGCAACTGGGTCAGATTAGCCGTGGGTCTCACAGTTAGCTTCAAGCTTACTCACATTGCAGATCGGCCACCAGCATAAAAGCAATGAACGACCCCTGGACGACTTTTGATTGAAGCAGCCCAATTGCAATGGCCGGAAGGATGACCGAGACAATTTTACCGGTGAGATTGGCAAAGGCGAAACTGCGTCGTAGGCTGTGTTTCTCTGACCATCCATATACTGACTGTGTGAGGGAGAATGCCCTTGATAAGCGGTCAACACGAGTATATATGGACAAATGGTATTTGATGCAAACCCAAAGACTTACCAGAATAAAACAAGGGTTGCCTCGACAATGTAGCAGTAGTATTCTCTAGGGTTGTAAGCATGAAAATATGTTGGTTTTCTCCGGCCTCACTTACGAATATAGAACAGAATAAGATCTGCGCCAGTGGACCCATTACCAAGGGCAAGCACAGGACTAGCGGGATTCGCGCTGGTATTCTCGAATTGCAAGGTGATGACGTCTCTCCATTGTCTGATAAAGTTAGCTACTAGCTTAAAGATAGATAGTCAAAGTTGCCTTACATGTTGTCATGTACCTGTTGTATTATGCTGCAAGTGGTTGCTAAAAAGGCGAAATATGATATGAGAGCGACATCTGTACTTCCGGGTTACTAAAAGCCTATCTACAACGGAGAAGTAGGCAATCTTACAGCTAAGTCTCTCATTATGTGTCCAGACAAGCCAGAACATGAGGAAATTGGCGATCAGGCAGATCAAAGAGTAGATCAACACCCCAGCTGCAACTCCCCGCGCCTCAGCTGGCAGCTGAGACATGCTACTCGGACTATAGGCTATAGGCAGGAAACGAAGGCGGCAGTATATTTGAGTGTATATTTGAGTAACTATTATCTGGCATCGTCTCGCAACAAGCCAGAACAAGCCACAGAGGAGAGAAATCGTGTTTACGAAAGAGCTGCTCGGGAAAAGCTAGTCTCTGTATGGATGTTTGGCAGACTGAGAGATACGAGGAACCACTTCTCGCAGAAGGTCCGACAAGGGCAGACCGGAACTGTGTTTTGGAGCTCGAGACTGAAAATTCCTTACCAGGAGTTTCCACAGCATGAATGTGGTCTGCAACTCCCCATGAGCACGCTTGATTGCCCTATAACAGGTGGTACCCACTCGGATAAGATCCGTATCTATAAATGAACAGCATATATTGACGAACCCACTCTTGTTTCCATGACTGACGTGGAACAAAATGCCACTCGGAGAGAACGAATATTTCAGAAAGCGTGAGGTTAAAGTCTTTTTTCTTGTCACCCAGGATCAGTGCTGAGGAATAGCATTCAAACGACCATCCGGGGTGACTCTCGAGAGCCATCTACGACTTCACCACGTGGGTAGGTTTACACTTGGGCATGGAATGAGTCTAGGATTCCTAAGAAGGCATTCGAGTTGCGGCTGTCAACAGAAGTTAATGCTACTGCGTTGCCAAGATTGCCTGTGAGGCAATGGCAATGCAAGGGCCGCCAGAAGGGCACGTATATATATATGCAAGTCCAGTATATTGACAGCTGTGGGTGCTCGGATGATTGACAAGGGTCCATAGAGTCATCCAAGATTGTTGGCTACTGGGTTCGATCAGTAGTACCTGGGGATTTAAGTAGCGTGTGCTTCGAGAATATGAGCGTTGGATTACCGATCTTCTGGAAGTGAGCAACTGGGAGGGTCAGATGTTTTTGCGGCATAATGCTCTGAATCTCACAGGTTGCCTCGACCGTTGTTTCCAAGGCCCAGGGAATAACGCTGTTCACTTGAGTGGAGTTGCTGAGCCTGACTTGCGTAGTAGGTATAGTGATACTAGCATTAAAGTATGAGATGTCCGATGTAGTTAGTGGTCGAGGTCCACTACGCAGATTCTGGAGCGGGTCCCGGCAGCTTCTTTCCGAAGTTGGTACGAGTAGGATTCAAACCCTCGAGCAATGCCTCAAAGCTGCGCAGATTTCTCTTCGGTGTCATGGTGGCAGAAGAATACCTGGCATTGATGAAACCCGCGACGATTTCGTAGGCGATGAGCATCCTCAGAACGACTTACTGGCCCAAGACCCGATTCGGGGAATGTAATCTTCGCTGTGCTGATTGAAGGCTTCACGGTGAATACATGGCAGGCCACGTTTTGTAAAGTCACGACTCGACTTGTCTGATGCTAAGATGGTGCCGCATGAAATGCAGGTAGGGAGGGCCTCATCAGCTTGAAAACGTACCAGTTTGCCCATTCTAGGCAAAATTGAGGGGCTGAGCGAGTTTGAATTAGCAGCGAATCTGCAAGCAAGTGCTCTAGTAAAAGTAACAGCGGAAGCAGGAGTCTCAAGGGCAAAAATTCGAATTTATGAGGATTATATGACCTCCGCCGACAATTGGTACTTACCTTCAGATATTGGCTGTATCGAACTTGAAGGGATCATTGCAAGCTCGGCGAAACGAAGATCCAATAGTGTGGTTCAAACATTGGTAACTGCAACTGGCATTGGCACTGTGGCTCCAAGGTCCGAAGAAATCCCGGAGCCACATAGCCACACTCGCAGCCTCAGTCAATGCCCGGGCCTCAACTAATGTGTTGTTCAGACCAAACGTTAAATCGTGGTTACTAGGGACTTTTTCCAAGACCCGACTCCCGACTTCACGCGGCTCTTACTTCCACGACGTTCATTTCTGCCGACGCCGCATTCATCTAATCCTCGACTTTAAAAGCATCCCTTGTTGTGCGATCAAGATGCCAGTGGTCAAGGGAGGCGTGTGGACGAATATCGAGGACGAAATCCTTAAGGCGTCCGTCTCTAAGTATGGCCTGAACCAGTGGGCGCGCGTCTCGTCGCTTCTCGCGCGCAAGACACCCAAGCAATGCAAGGCAAGATGGAACGAATGGCTGGACCCCAGCATCAAGAAGATAGAATGGAGCAAAGAGGAAGACGAAAAACTGCTCCATTTGGCCAAGCTGATGCCTACTCAATGGCGTACCATCGCACCTCTTGTCGGTCGCACTGCGAACCAGTGCCTCGAGCGCTACCAGAAGTTGCTCGACGAAGCCGAGGCGCGTGAATCAGGGAGCTTGGGACTTACTGGACCCGACGGCGGCGAAACCCAAGCGCCTACTGCCGATGATGTTCGGAGGTTACGGCCGGGTGAAGTCGACCCCGACCCCGAGAGCAAGCCTGCCAAGCCGGACACGATCGACCTCGACGAAGATGAGAAGGAGATGCTCAGCGAAGCGCGGGCTCGTCTTGCCAACACGCAGGGAAAGAAGGCGAAACGGAAGGCGCGCGAGCGGCAGCAGGAGGAATCCCGCCGGTTGGCTGCCCTTCAGAAGCGCCGGGAGCTCAAGACCGCTGGAATTAACATCAAGGTCACGACTCGGAAGCCGGGACAGATGGACTACAATGCCGACATTCCCTTCGAGAAGGCGCCGGCGCCAGGCTTCTACGATACAACTGAAGAGCAGGTAATAAACGAACGTGAACGGGCTGCATTCGATCCACGTAAGCAACAGCTTGCCAACAAGCGCAAAGGCGACCAAGATGAAGATGGAGAGCGGAAGAAACGAAAGGGTGACAAGGATGCTCCTTCGGCATCTATGCAGGCCGCTATCAAGGCTGGCCAGATGCAAAAGATCCGAGAAGCAGAACAGAGCAGTAAGCGGCGGTCGCTCAACCTACCAGCACCCCAAGTCAGTGACGGGGAGCTTGAGGAGATTGTCAAAATAGGCATGATGGGCGAGCGAGCAAATATGCTAGCACAGTCGAGCGAAAATGATGCGACCAGGGGCTTGGTGAATACCTACTCCACCCTCACTTCTCAGACTCCCATCCGAACACCCATGGCACCGGCTCAAGAGGATCACATCGCCAACGAAATTCGCAATATCAAGGCCCTTACGGACAACCAGTCCGCTTTGCTTGGAGGCGAGAATGCCGAATTGCAAGAAGGATCAGGCTCGACCGGTTTTGGCGGGGCCACTCCGCGGAAGCAGGTTACGGCGACACCAAACCCTCTTGCTACGCCTCTACGAAACGGAGTCAACGGAGTAGGTGCCACACCCGGAAAGGTTGGCCAGACGCCCTTGCGAACCCCGCGGGACAGTTTTGCTCTGAATGCTGGGGATCATGATATGTCACTGGTAGCGCGGCCCAGGGACGTACGCTCACGACTCAAGCAAGGCCTTGCATCTTTACCAAAGCCCAAGGAGACCGAATGGGAACTAGAAAGCCCTGAGGATCAGATGGATTTGATTACGGCGGAAGAGTTAGAGGAAGACGCGGAAATCCGAGACCGACGCGAGAGAGAAGTTAGGGAGGCACAGGAGGCGCTGGAGCGCAAAAGACGAACTCAGGTCATGCAGAGAAACCTGCCGCGGCCGAATGGCGTTGATCTCACTGTTTTATTGAGGGAAGCCTCCGCGGTAGGAGATCCAGTGAAGGCGATGCTTGCGCAGGAAGCAGCTTTATTGATTGCTAACGACGCATTCAAATACCCAACTTCCGGGTTAAAGTTCAAGGGCAACCCGGTGCAATTACCACAGTTGGACGACACCGCACTTGCTGAAGCTCGGCTGAAAATGCTGATGGAGGCTAAGGAACTACCAAAGCCAGAGGAAGTTGAGGCTATATATAATCAGGAAAACATCAATGGTCTTTTACTGGGGCTTGGGTGTTACCAGGATGACGATGAAGAAAATCAGGTTGCAACCATAAAATCAGCCTTCGAACAAGTCCAAGCGTCAACAATGGAAACGGTGGACAAATGCGCAAAGCTGGAAAAGAAGCTGACTCTGCACCTTGGCGGTTACAGCCAGAGGTCGAAAACCCTCCGTCAGAAGATGGGCGAGGCTTCTGAGGCTCTTAACAAAGCAACATATGCTCTCAGCGGTTTCCGAACCCTAGCTGTGTCGGAGGATATTGCTATCAACAGCCGGTTGGAGGCACTTCGCGAAGAAGTTGCATTTATCAGCCGACGGGAAAGAGAGACCCAGGACATGTACAAAGAGGCGAAGTACGAACTTGAAGCACTACAAGTGAATGGTATCAACGGGCATCAATAAGGATCATCATCGGGAACCTTATCCAGGAACCAGTGTATTACAGATGAGATTGTAGGCTAAAATGCAAGACTGGGTGTTTAACTATAAGTGTTACGTTTCCCAGTGCGCCTCGTGACTGGCCGGTGTGCGCTAGAGGGATACCGGAAAAGTTGCCAGCCGCGAGCTACCCACGGGTGGTCTACCCGTGCCACATCATTGCATCACCGGTTTTCGGGATGGATGGGGGCCAAGGTGACTCCGGGCACGGCGGGGATAATGGCGCCATTGACGACTTTACAAGATGGTCAACCAACTGCGGTTAAGCTCTGTGGGCGAATTAGTTCCACATCCAACAATGAAAACCCCAGAACTGAACAAAGAGACCGCACTAGGAAAGGGTCTTTTTGTCTGCTTGGGGCCAACCCCTGGTGCTATTAACGCTAGACTTTCGGTCAATTCTGACGAACCACCTTTGCCTGAGCTTGAGGCTGGCTGCTTTTTTATTTTTTTCAAGATTTGACTTGAGCTATCCATCGTTCAACGGAGAAATCGTACAACACAAGTAAACAAGATCAACACGATGCACGGGACCCATGATGATACTGCTTCAGCCGAACGAACTGACGAAACTCCCCATGAGGGCACTGCGCTCTTAAGCAAGTCCCAGCATCATCGTTATACAGAAGGATTGGAACTTGAAGATGAGGACCTAGATGCCAATGAGTCCGACCTCCTCTTGGCTCGGACAGCCTCCCACTCCGAGGCTTCGGGACTGGCGCCTCAGTCCCTAGAGTCATCGATGCTTAGAGGGCGTCGGTACTCCAAGGGCTCAGGACGCTGTCCGTCCACCACCCGCGGCTCTGAGGATCTTGAAGCCGTAGCGGAATCCAGCAGTAGCAGCAGAACCGACGTCGAGGCAGCGCTCGCAGGACAGTACTCGCCTCGAGAATACCTCATCGACACCAACCGGCGGCAGTTTTGGCTCATCTTCGCCAGCATTATGAGCACCTTTTTTATTGCCTGCTTTGATGGGACCATTATGGCTTCATCGCACCCTGTTATCACGTCGTATTTCCACAGCTCCAACAGCGCCTCATGGCTCTCGACCGCATTCCTGTTGACGAGTACATCGGTTCAGCCCATGGTCGGACGGTTCAGCGACACGATTGGGCGCAAGTCGCCCTACTTGGTGACCATGGGGATTTTTGCGGCCGCGACAGCGTGGTGCGCGCTTGCGCAGAGCATGACAAGTTTTATCATTGCGCGGGCTGTTTGTGTATGCGCCCCGAGTCATTGCTTTCCCCCTTTTATCTTGCCTGTACCGGGAGGCGGAAAAGGCCTCGCAAAGACTAGTGAATTCTTACTCCCAGTACATGTATATCCTAGTCTCCCGAATATGAAAAATGCTAATCCAACGCTATAAATTACAGGGCTTGGGTGCAGGGGGCATGATGTCGCTCGGTAGCATCATCATCAGCGACTTAGTAGACATATCTCGCCGCGGAACGTACCAGAGTTATGCTAATGTGGTGTATGGGCTCGCATCGGCTTCCGGGGCGGCATTTGGAGGTCTCATGGCCGATACCCTGGGTTGGAGATGGGAGTTTGGCGTCCAGGTTTTCCCGCTGCTCATCTCGCTCGTTATATGTGTTTTTACCATTCCGAAGGACCTGGGTTTGTACGTTGATCGGGAGAGCTTCTTCCAGGCTATGAAAGCGTTTGACTTTAGCGGTTCTGGTTGCTTGACTATGTCGACGACGTTCTTGATATTGGGTCTCGTGCGTTTTTGCTACCCTTCGATTTGGACTAAGACGGGAAATTGTGCTAACGAGATCAACTAGAATCTTGGAGGAAACGTATTACCTTGCAAGTCGTCTTTCACCGCTCGGACAAGAATGATGCTGACATGAACTAGGGTCCCATCCCTTCATCATCGCCTCGTTAGTTGTCTCCGCCATCTTCTTTCCAATGTTTCTGTACGCAGAAAGTCTGGCGAAGCGCCCCATCATGCCCCTTCATCTTCTCTGGCACTCACCGCGCGCCAATATCATAATGTCAAATTTTATCGCCTCCTTCCTCCTCAACGCAATTCTCTTCAACATGTAAAGTATCCCTTTTCTATTTTTCTTCTATGCCCCTTTCTATTCGAATAACATTTTCCACAGCCCCCTCTTCTTCCAAGCCGTGCTCCTCACAACCGCCACCGAGTCCGGCCTCCTCCTCGTGGTGCCCTCGACCGTCTCCTCCGTCATCGGCACCCTAACCGGCTTACTCATCACTTGGACCCGACGCTTGAAATGGCCCCTTTGGCTCGGCAGCCTCTTGTACCTCTTTGGCATCATTGTCCTAGCGGGCATGCGGCGCGGCTGGCCCATCTGGGCGTACCTGCTATGCCTCGTGCCCTCGTCCATGGGGCAGGGATTTCAGTTCCCTGGTACATTCATCGCGGTGCTCGCCGTGTCGGAGCAAGAGGAGCAAGCGGTCGTCACGAGTACGCTGGCTCTATGGCGCGCCCTAGGCAGCGTGCTGGGGATCGCGTGTAGTAGTTTGGTCGTACAGAATGCGCTGTTGGTGTATTTGGATGCTTATGTTCAGCTTGACCCCGCCGACGGACGGAACGGGGAGTGGAAGAAGGGTATCATTGAGAAGGTTAGGAGTAGTGTGGAAGTAGTGGCAGGGCTGGAGAGTAACGTCAGGGAACAGGTTGTGTTGAGCTATGAGGCGGCCATCCGGCTGACTTTCTGGTGCTGTGTTGGATTTGCAGTGGTGAGTGTTTTGTTGATTGCGCCTGTTAAGTTGCCGAGACTTGGAGCCAGGAAATGATGGCGCCACTGATAAAAGTAGGAGAAAGGACAAGAATGGACGTTATGGATGAGTGGTATATGTAAGGATTGCTTAAGGATTGAACGAGAACCAAATTGATACCCCTCTCGGCAAATACACAATAATCAGACTGCTATTATTGAATATTATATGATACAGCGTACTAACGGACTGCTCGTACCGCTATCAATTTATATTGTACCATTTGTGACTAATTGGTTTGAAATCTTTCGAATTAGCATAGTCAAGCTACTCTATTCACCTAGCTGAGTCCATCTTCACTTCTGCTTCTCGTCTTGACGAACGTCTCATGTATCAGACCTTTACAGTTCTGCGGGCCATGTCTGTCTAGATCGATCGCCCCTTCTCAGTTGGCTAGTTTTAGATTATTTCTTTGCAAATTTGTATCACTTCCAACAACAAAAACGCACACCCAGCCGAAGATCATGCCTTGCAATAGGCTGCTAGCATTGTCTATAAACGGATGCATTCCCCTCCTCGCTTCTTCCACGCTTGCCATTGTTGAATACCCAATACCGCATCAATTCTTTTTGAGCATCGCTTGAGAGGTACCACATAAAACGCCTGCCCCTTTTATGCCTCCGTCGTGACAGGGACTTAGTAAGACTCGGACTGGAGCCGAGTTCCCAAATTCGGCGTCGATCACACGGTCCAAAAAGTCCTGGCAATCCGCCAAGTAGTCTTGGAAATGGACAATACAGCCTCCCGTGTACCCTACGACCAGTTCCAACGGAGGAGCGGGTTGACCATCCACCAAAGTACGTACGTTTTCTGCGTGATAGGGGTACGATCGAAGAGGTATGTCTCCCGCAAATGTGAGCAAGCCTATGGTGGCGGCAGCGATGATTCCCGCGGCCCTGACTTCGACAGCTTTTACGATGTCGTACACAAGTCTGGCGATCTCCTCTGTCCACTGAAAAGGCGCATCCGGCGCAGTGGGATATTCAGTCATCAGCTTGCTCAGCAGTATCTGTGTATCCGGGGGTTTTAAAAGACTCAAGAAGGTCGTCGTAATTCCAAATCGCTTGGATAACTGTGCGGGCAGCGCCCCATTCGTGAATCCCAGTCGGGTCGTCAAGTAATCCAACAGCATTAGACGGCCCAATTCGCCAAGATACCTGCCAGCAACCATGTATTCAAGAGGCTGGAAACCAGGAGCCTCACCTTCTTCATCGAGCTGCGTGTCCCACTTGGTCACAAGACCAAGACTTTGTAGTGCTGGTGCTGTCCCGTTGATAGTCCATTCGGTATTAACGGCGATTTTGCCATCATCGCTCAAGACTTGTGCATCGGACTCCTTGACTTCTCGAGGCAACTTCTCATGGTTAAGGTTGTTCTTGTCAAGCAGGATAGTTGCGTTGCAACCCGTACCACATATAAGACCCATGGCGGCCTTTCTTGTCTCAGTCTCGTTTGTTTGGTATACAAATGAGATCAGTGTCGACACTGCATCATTGGCAATGGCGACGATTGTGATACTCGGTAGGTCTGGAGTTCTGGCCTTGGCATAGCCTTTTGACAAGTGGGCGCCCAGATGCAGGTGTGATCTTATAGTGAAACCTTTGCCCATGGGCATTAGAACCGCATCCGCCAAGCGCTGCTGAATCATGGGGAAGCTAAACGTAACCCCCAAAGGCAGAGGAACATCTTGGGGCAAGCCAAGCTCTTGACATCCTGCCCTCACCACTTCTGCAATGCAGCTTCCTATCCAGGCAAATAGGTCGTCTTCGTGTTCGCTCTTGAGATGATCCAAGATAGGCCACGACTTTTCGAGGAGCCGTCGGACATTCTCCATCCCCTCACCCTCATCACCAAATTTGCTGGGGTTTCTGTCAACTCCATTGCTGCCGTTGGCCTTCTCATGGCCCAGAAGCTCGATAAAGCCAACTCTCAGATTTGTGCCTCCTCTGCTGGGATATCAGTGCCTTTCACGCAGTGTATGCTGCAGGCCCGCTGCAACTTACATATCAATGGCAAGATATCTATGACTGAGTTAGCCATCCAGCATTTGTTATGCAAGGGCCACGTTGACCCCTTCAGACCACGAGACCTATCACCATCACAAAAAAGACCGGCAAGGGTTTTGGGAGCGAAAAAGATAGATGGACAGCATGTAATGGGAAACAACATGAAATCATGAGAACATACCGTCCTTTCTCACACCCAGCCGCTGGCCGCAGGATCGATTCCGTGATCGGGGTGGGCAGAAATTGAATCTTGGACTCGGTCGCAAGCTTCTTGAAGGATTTGTATAGCTCCTGGGATAAACGGTGTACCATAGGTACATCAATGCGGAGAGGCCGCAGGAAGTTTTCAACGTCGGACCTCATAGCTTAATGGAATTGTATGCAAACGCGCTGTAGAAGCGGGTGCACGAAATGCATCCATGGATGAAGGTGGCACGGCAAATGTTGAACGATGACGGGGATTCATAAGAAGAATATTATCTAGAGATACTGGAAGCGTAGCGCTGGGGAGAATCAGTCGGCGAGGAACTGGGCGGATTCAAAGGGTACGAGCTACATAGGATGACAAACTACCTAAATGTGGGTAAAAAGAGACATGAAAAAGCCAACGACAGTGCCGGCGTATTATTCTCTTCTGGATTGGATTGGCAGGTGGTCAACTGGAGTAGAAACGTTGCATCTAGATGGACAAAGACCATGGAGCACAACAAATGTTGCTCCCAAGATAATAATCCCATTTATTTAGCACCTGGCAGGGTGGCCAAGAGGATTCATGTTTGGTTGGTGAGGTTGATGAGCAGTCAACTCTGCCTGTTGCATCACGGTGGGGTAAGATGTTCACGGTTACGTGGGCGCCTTTTCAACATGCATGCCAAATTCCAAGGATCCAGTCCAAAACTGGAGCCCACCTCAAACAAAAAAAGGTCGGTTCGGATCACAGGACTTGGAGTCATCTGTCCGATTATCCAAGGTATAATAAGGTGGCATGGTTCAAGCTACTATCTGTAGACTGATATCTTGGGTAATATGGTTAGGTGGCTGTTGGTAGTGGGAGGTTGTGGCTGCTGGCGGGGCTTCTCCGGGCAACCGTTCGCAAGCAACGAGGGCATCAGGTCTACGTTTCATATTCCATGATGCCATCTGAGCTAGCCTTTGCATCATCCACCAAGGCGGTTTACTTGTATCAAGTTCTGTTCGCTTATCCCCCGTACGATATGTGTATTGTTTAGTCCGTTTAGTGGATCAGCTTATCGTTCCTGATTTCATCTCTCAACTGCGATCATCTGGATCTTGGCACTCGAAGCCAGTCAAGATGGCAGCCAAAATCAGCCTCCCCATCATGGAGGAGAAGCGACCTGTTCGAAACCGCCCTTGTCGACGATATCGACCGCTATCGATCGTCGCTATACTCGTCTTCCTCGCCTACGGTTTCTACACTATCCACGCTTCCAGGAACAGCGGCCAATGGGTGTCCTCCCCCGCAGCGAAGAACGCTGCTTTGGAATCAACTGTTGACGCCCGGAGCTCCGTCCCGCTCGAAGCTCACATCATGAGCAAATGCCCCGATGCCAAAGATTGCCTTAAGGACTTGATCTTGCCCGCCATGGTACGCATCAGCAATAAGGTCAACTTTACGCTGTCGTACATCGGAACTCCGACCGAAAACGACGGAGTCGACTGCAAACACGGGCCCGGCGAGTGTATGGGCAACATCATTGAGCTATGTGCTGCACACCTCTACCCCGATCCGAAGATCTATCTCGGATTCACCATGTGCCTGACTAAGGACTTCGAGAACATCCCGCAAAGAGAGCTTGTGGAGGATTGCGCACTCGAACATGCTATCGACTTTGACAAGTTGCACGATTGCGCGACTCAGGATGACGGAGCGCTGGGCATTCACATGCTGAGAAAAAGTGTCCAACGGTCATCTAAGGTGCGTTCATGCAATGTCCTTCATCTGCCTCGTTGTCATCTAACAAATCTACCTCCCAGGCCGGAGTGACGAAGAGCTGTACGGTCCGATTGAATAATGAGATCTACTGTGTCAGGGACAATGGCGAGTGGGATTGTCCGAATCCTGGGGTCAATGACCTGGTTATTGCGGTGGAGAAGCTTTACGGGAGGTCTTGAGGGGCTCAAATATATCTGTCCACAAGTCCGACTCCTCGCCTACAATGTAGCTCAGGGCCATCGCGTCCATGCCCGTCTCGTCATCTCCTACCATGCCCTCTAGCTGTTCGATGATGCTGTCCATACCGATCGCCTTGCCGACTGATTGGGTCGAGGTCGCCTCGAGCATAACATGTACGATGTGGATGTGGAAGTGGTAATACGTCGGTTGGTAATGGCAGAACAGCTTGAGCTGATCCTCTTCGATCTGCGGGTACGTCTTGATAGTGGCATCGATCATCTTGGCTTTCATGTGCTTGAGCCAGGGAACATGTTTCATCTTCAGGTCTCGCAAGCTCCATAGATCGCGTCTCTCAACAATACCCAGCAGGTGAAGCGCCTCAATGGTCTTGCGGTCCCAATGCAGGTTCGGCAGCATCAAAAAGCCCTCATCGCCATCTCTTCCCAATGGCGTGCGGTAGATCACGTCTTCTACCTCTTTCCGCCCTTCGATGATATTGTAGACCCAGTTCAGACGTCCCGCCTCCCGATTTGCCTGCATGAACGGCCTGATGTGGTCGCGGTATATTTCGGGCGTCTCTGTAACGAAGCGGTAGCCCTGCTTGCGGTGCTTCTTGATGTGCTTGTCGGTGCAGGGACAAATGAGCGTCATCTTGAAGTCGGCGAACTTGTCTTTATCGTCGTGCTCAAGCACCGGTCCGCCGCTGCCCAGGAACCAAAAGTAGATGTCATTGTTACCTAGGTTCGTGAGGCTGCGCAGGCTCGCGGGGAGCGCGGAGAGGTATTCGGGCGCATCGGGGAAGGGAGCTCGTTCGAGGACTAGGAGGGCGGGCTCAGAGTCAACGTGGCCGTGGAGGGTAATGCGCCGTCCTGCCTCATCTTCATAGTCCGTCAGCCTGTAATCTTTGTATTACTTTGAACAAACACTGCAATCCATTTCCGTATCCCATGGGGGCCGTGATAGACTGACTGCAAAGTACCGCTCACTCCTTCATACCTTGGTTTAGGACTCGCTCGAATTGGAACTTCGGAATCAGCGCCTCGGCATTGCGCTTCGGGTCTTCGGCCATCTTGGGAAGTCGATAACGCTTGTTCTTTTGATCAATTGGCGATATTTCTGCAACTCCATGCAAATTGGCTTGAGCAATCGCATTTGACTTGACAAGTAAATGATTCCGTCACTGCCGACGAAACTCGACAGGGCTGACCTGGAGGGGTTAAAACCCCACCAGACAACCGGCCAGTCGTTCGTTGGCCGTTGTGGGCCGAGCTACCCACAAGCCTTTATCAGGGGCTAGAAGGAAAGATTTCTGCATAGCTTGCTTGGTATCTCGGTCACCTCGGATGTGATTCCCTACTCTCGGCATGGGCGTGAGGGAGGCATCAGCTCACCTGTTTCTGTTGCGACCAAACACTCCAACCCTGAAGCAATTGTACGTTATCGAACAAATGTACAATCTGAAGGCTGCTGATGTTACGGCCTTGCGCATGATAGAACTAATCAAGCGACCAACCACGCAGCTCTCTTGGAAGCCGCCCCTTCAACACCTCTATGTACTTAGAATTGTATACACCAAACGTCATCAGAACCTACGTGCAGCCTTCAGAGAATAGTACCGACACTGGAAGATTCGCATCGGGACACCTGGTACTGAGGAAAAGCTGATCGATCGATTTCCACAAAGTTGATATGAAGGAGATGCATTTGCCATGCTCAACTGAAAAACAACACGAGAAGAGAAGTCTTCGGTTTTTTCTCCTGTATGTAATCCCAGTGCAAACAAACCTGTCATTATCAATATGAGCACAGCGGACGTCAACACGGGAAAAGAAGGAACCGGTGGGCTGTGAGATCGATCATTGCCGAACTACTTCTTCCTTGCCATGGATTTCTCGGTGAGTACGGCGCTGCCGCGTAACCACCTTTTGAGGCTCTGCGAACATATACCTAGTAGCAAAATGAAAAGCCTCCAAGGCTAGCACTTTCTTGTCACCTAGTTGCTAAGAATCGACAGTCTCCGATTATGGAATATTTATCTCATACCATGCTAATCCAGAGAAACCTGCGCACAATCAGCCTCCATCCCGAATGGGGAGAAGACACCGGCAACCTGTCCATCTCTATGAGTGGGATTCTCCACCTGCTCAGCCTTGTTGGTGCTGTAACGTGGCGAATGGCACCCTCAGACTCTCCCGCCTTTGAATGTTGTGGATATGTACTTATTTTTGTCCCGAGGCAACAATGCTTAACTCGATCTTTCCCGGTGCCAAGGCTTCAAGGGTGCCCGGTGAAAGAGATTTCAAACTCACTTTCATTGCTTCGGAAGACTGGCTGTGGATTGAAAGGACTAACGCACAAGAAGAAGGCCGAAAAAGCTTTCTAGGTTGCAAGTCCCGGCCCACTTGCCGCGGCGCGCTGCTCTTAGGTTGGGACGATTTATTGAGAAGCTGTCCATATTACCGGGGCCAAGGTGCTCTACGAGTAGTGTGCAGAATTCAGCTATCCACGCGTACGATGTACGATGTTGAGTCCGGGCATTTTTGTATGGCCAAACGGGTACCTTCATGCTGGACGCCATCGACTCAATTAGGAGCTATTACCATGAGACTTAATTATGAGAGGAACTCAAGCAACCTGTATTCAGGCCCACAGAAGATTGAGTTATTTTCAGCACATTGATTGGGCGGCACGTGCCGGCGTAGGAGTTGTCACAATTTGTTCGAGGTCGACGTCGTCAGCTTCTTCCCCTGCAATCTAAATGCCAGGTCTTGGCAGGTGAATAATGTTCCCTGTGGCTCAGCCATGAAGGTGTGTCTATATTCGTACGCGTTACCAGGTGAGTGACGCGTTTGCGCCTCTACTTCCCCACCTCCCATGATGGCAGGTTCCACATCTGATATGAAAGCGTACGAATCAGTATAGGTCCACATGCGATCTGGGCAGTGCCGGATTCCGTGTAAGTGTTGGCAAGCAAGCCAGAGGGTAGTATATATGTTTGATGTCGCACATGTGTCGTCTATCCGGTATCTTAATCTGCATCTGCTCATACTGGGGCTACTCCATTCGTTCTACAATAGTCTTGATTTCTTATCTGACGCCACACTGTCGCTATACTCAAGCCCTCCACAATGCAGAAGTTTATCGCTCTTGGGCTGCTAACGGCGGCCGGGGTGTCTGCTCAGAATGCTACCAACACTACCACGGGATCGCTGCCCACTGTCACTCTCGACTACTCCACCATCCAAGCTGTCGGCGGAAATACCACAGTTGGGTACTACAAATATCAGAACATTCGCTTCGCTGCCGTGCCGACTGGCGACTTGAGATGGGCGGCTCCCGAGTGGCCCCCTGTTGAGACGGAGATCAACACGGGTGACCTGGCCGCTGCCGATGTTGACTGTTCCGTCGACGAGGACTGCCTCTACATGGACATCTGGGCCCCCGCCAACAGTGAGGGCAAGAAACTGCCCGTTCTTGTCTGGACCTACGGAGGTGGCTTCACGGGCGGCAGCAAGGCGGAAAATACACCCGAAGGACTCTTCGATCTGACCAACGAATTCGTCTTTGTCTCGTACAACTACCGTCTCGGTATGACCGGCCTTGCCAACGGCCCATCTCTTCTCCACCAGGGGGGCACTTCCAACACGGCTGTGTGGGATGTGACCCGCGCATTTGAATGGGTACAGAAATACATTAGCAACTTTGGTGGCGACGCCGACGACGTGACCGCCATGGGATTTTCTGCTGGTGGCTCTCAGGTCCTCTTCCAGATGACGCGCTTCGCCGGCCACGCTGAGAGCCTGTTCCACAAGGCCTATGTTATGTCCCCTGGCTTCGTTCCCGGCGGTGGCCACCAGCACGCCGAGGCTTTCTGGCAGAACGTTTCTTCCACTGTTGGTTGCACCGGTGGTGACTTGGACTGCATGCGAGCCGTCGACTTCGACACACTCACCACTGCTGCTTCGGATGTCCAGACCGAATACACCTACCAGTTCCAGCCCCGTGTCGATGGCGACATTATCGCAGACACTTACGAAGCTCAGCTCTACCAGAAGCGCTTTAACTTCAGCGGCCCTGCCGTTATCTCTCACGAGCAGCACGAGGCCAACAACCAGGCTTATACAGGCGTAGACACTCAGGAGGATGTTGCCACCTACCTACGCATCTTCTTCCCTGCCATCAACGACGGCATTGTGGATGAGATATTGGCTCTGTACCCCGAGTCCGACTACGAGAGCGCCGGTCTGCGCTTCGCCCAGATGAAGCAAGATTTCGATCTCACGGCCAAGAACTTGGCCTTCACCAATGCCATGAACAACGACACCTGGAACTCCATGGTTGCTTTGGGCTCGGCCACCCACGGAACTGATCAGTCGTACTACTGTAAGTCATACCCATCAATAATACCGCAGAACCAGCCAACTAACAGAACATCCAGGGTACTCCACTTACACTCTCGACACCTCGTCCAGTGACACCACCACCACTACCACCAGCTCCGCCGCTGCCGCCGCTACCAGTGCCGCATCCAGCAACTCGACCACCGGCGTACCCGGAGATGCGGGCGGCATGGGAACCACCAGCGTCAACGCCACCATCGCGGTCATGATGCAGAAGTATCTCATGTCCTTTGTTCTGACCGGCGACCCGAACACCATGTGGCCTGAGGACAAGATCAACTGGCCCAAGTACGGTAACGACTCGACCGCTGGTACCCAGCTCGTGTTCAACACCACCTTTTACCTGGACGAGGATGACTTGGCCAACGAGCGCTCTCTCTTCTGGAACAAGGCGCTCTGGTATTAAAGAATTCTCGCAAGAAATGTCCTCGTCAGTTATGTCACTTTTATGATACCAAAAGAAATTTGTTTGTATATAGATATTTCAACCATGTAAATACAGTCTGGCATCGCCATAGCATGCAAAATTATATCAAAAACTTGCTTAGCAATGACAGGTGACACAAAGGGACTGATCACTCATAAATTGTGTGCACGTATATTTGGCCATGTGGTCGAATCCTACGCTGCTGCCAACAGCGACTTTAGTTGGCAGACAGGAATGACGGCATCGTAAAGAGTTAGCAGTGATGGTGGCGGGAACTGCCCTTCGGCAAATTGTCAAGGTTTTTTTTTTCTTTTTTCTTTTTTCTTTTTTCTTTTTAATTATATATAAAAAATAATATTAAATACGCCGTAGGTGTTAACCCTCGGTACCTCTACAAGTACTCCCTTAAGGGGCTATAGATGATATAGCGGGCCCTTAAGCCGCGTCGGGCGGTTATACAGGTAAACTTGTAGCCAAATGACTACTAAACCTCCTGTCCCTCCCTAAGTCTGTGCTACAACCCCTGCCTGAACTACCGATAAGTGTGGTAATGTGGCACTTAAATTCGTCCTCAGGGGTGGGATGCTGCTGATGTGCAGAAGATGCTCGACTATTTTTTTTTGTCGCGACAAGTCGTAGTATCTGCTAATTGGGGTTCTCGTCGAGCGTATACATCTCAACCATACGCTCAAGTGGATAGACCGTAACGTGGTCAGACGCTCGCAAGAATCGCGGCGAGAGGGCGTGCTGCGCGCCTTCTATCGTGAGGGGACGGGTTCGCCGACGAGCGTTATCGGAAAGGCGAGGTCCGATAAGGGGTCGGATTAACGATTCGAATTCTGGACCGGCTGTCGAGTTATATTCCGCCGACGTAGTGCTTGACGGTCGACTGGCTAGGATGCTCGTAATCCTAAACTGCACCAATCTCCCTATTATCGCTAGGTAGGCGAAGTCAACAAGGTGGGCAGCGCGCCGTAAGGGTTGACTAAACCCCCTTGTGTGTCAGCTGCGGGATTCGAACCCGCGACTCGTCACCGACCCAAGTGGGCGAGGCTCAAATCGGGACTTATCTACCAGCGAAGTGACCAACTACACCAGCCGACAATTATATATAATTTCGGTGCCCGGAGGCTTGTCCTAGGAGATCTACAGCTACCAGGTAAGTAGAATGTCCATGGCCACCTAGGTGCCACATTCGGACCTGAGCCACGCCGCTTTAAGCCTGAACCTGGCCGGAGTTTGGCTGGAGCTTGGGCCCCCAATGAACTCATCCAAAAAAGGAAGAGCACGCACAAAGGAATTATGCACAAATAACTCTAGCGCAACGAACCGACTTCACAGTAACATCTCTATTACGGAGGGGCTCCGTTTGTGGCTGAACGCATTTTTGGACCTGTCCTTCGTCCAATTCCACCAAAGCAATTATTTCTAAACAAATCACCTAACGTACCCCACAAGCAAGTTGGCCACTTTTTCTTGGCACCGTACGAACAACCTTTTAATTAACATCTTTACACATACCAAGATGGGATCGAATTGGAAAGAAAGCGACATGATTCTAGCGTGTCAGGCGCTTCAATCGAAACCCGAATTAAGCATCCGACGCGCTGCCCAACTCTACAATGTCCCTCGGTTTCAGGGGGACAGGACTTATTCCGTACGACCCGGAATATGTGATTTCACAGCTGGATATTAAGCTACATACGCCTACACCTCCTGGGAGCTCGTCTGGTGCCCCCTTAATCTGGGAATCAAAGACTCCAAATAACCCAACCGAGGCGCAATCCCAGTCTGAATACGTTAAAAACAGAATCGTACAGCATCAGAATAGCTCCCCGACGACAATACTTACGGCTATTGACCAATTTTTACGTGGTGCGACGGCTATTATGCACCGGTTAGTTTTACTTGAGGATGAGGTCAACTGCACTTCGGAAGGCTAATCAAGAGCTAAGCCGTCGTCGAAGGACTAAAAATCGACAGCTACAAGATGGAGGATCTCTTAGTTTACGAGACGCTCAGGACTTATAGTCTCAACGGGATATTGAACAGCAGCTACAGGATAATATACGTGTAAGTCGTCGTCGTACGAGACCGGCCGAACCACGACGACGGCGCTATAGGATCTGCGGAGAGCCCGGACATAATGCTCGTACTTGTGAGAATGATGAAGATACGTACGAGGAAGAGGATTCCGATTAGTTTGAATTATTATTTTTTAGTTTAGTTAAGTTATTGAAGTTATTCATACGGTGCCAAGAAAAAGTGGCCAACTTGCTTGTGGGGTACGTTACCATGCCTTTGTCTTTATATTGTACAGGCAAGCAGAATGGGCATCCTATCAGCGCCGGCCCAAACAAGTGGCAATTGCGAGCTGCGACAAAGAGAGTTCTCATTTGTCATCAAAGTGTACAGACAAGCCAAATGATGACATTCGCCAGTTTTTATACCCGCGGCGAACAACGAATTGAGACATGTCATCGGCTATTGAGATGAAAAGACACTGAACAGGTCAAACCATCCAGCGTACTATGATACATGGCGGCCAGCCTTGACAAACAGCAAACATGCACGGCGATTGAGACTCTTCACCAAGTTCCATCTGATTCAGATACATGGTCGATTTATATATAACCCAAGAAGTTGCTGACAGCAGGCCTCACTCCAGCACTTGTAAGCCATGAGCCGGTCGACCCGAATATCTCGTGCTCTCACTCTTCATCCTCGCCTCTGTCGTCGTCTTCGGGACCTGGGTCAAGATGATCCGGGTACTCTGTCCGCAATATTGCGCCTACAGCCTGTAGACATTCCTGCTTGCGAAAGGTCGCCAAATTTGGCCAACCGTGCTGACGATAGATATCCTGTACTGCAGAGAGCATTGCGGCTTCCTCCGAGTCCTGTTGGTCGTGAACTTCGTAAACTGTCTTCGGGCTGATGGGTACAAATTTCAGTCTGAGAAACTGGCGCTGAAGAAGGTGGAAGAAATCGGCTACAGCCCAGGCCGGGTGCTCAGCGCGCCACTCTGCCTCTTCCTCAGGTGCCCATTCATACGGGTCGTCCACGTCTGTCACGGGCATCACCCACTCGGGATCGTTGTCGGCGTTATGGCGAATCTCGTCATCGCACTCGTACCAGTGCACGATCCCTCGTTGGGTATCGAGGAGGAAGGTCGGGTTGTTGCGGCCGCCGTATGTCAAGCCGATGACGTGGGGCGGTATGTTCTCGACGAGCTCTGAGGGTTCCGAGCACTCTCGCATGCTGCAGCCGTCATCCTCGGAAGCCGCCTGCGAGATTTGCTGCCAATCGGCGAAATGACATCCAGGGGCACCTTGCGGGCCGTCATCCTCAGTTCGGCGAATGTAAGGAAGATGGCGAAGCAGATCGATCACCTCGTCGGTCTTCTCCATACATTGAAGGTTGTCTATATGTGGCCAACCACCTGATGGTGGCTCGACGACGTAGGCCTCGTGAAGATATGATTTTGTAAGGAATTGATAGTAGTTGCGAATTGCCGTGATGGTTTCATCCTGTGAATAGCTGATAGCTTCGAGTCCAGACATCTTGATCTATGAATTTGAACAACGATGTAGGCTTAGAGGACGAAGAAGAAGAGAAAGTCTGGCGGCGGGGGGACGGGGGCCTGTGTGTGTGCCAAGCAACAGTGTATGTTACACAGACGGGAGACACCTCCAAACGCCAAGATTGAGCTTCAGTATAGCCTGTATACTGTAAAATTAGGTACATCCAGCTTGCATGATAGCTAGGTGGCATTGGGTGAGATTTTTCGATATTAATTACAATATGCTAACATGCACAGTCACATCTGACCTTACAATCTTGGCAACCATAAGCATGACAAGGCTTGAAGATTTTCTCGGAGCTCGCGAGACCTGCCCATTTTCTAACATTACTATTTTTGCCTGATGATTTTCCAGGAGCTATCAATATACCGTCCAAAGGCTGACTCACCTCCTGAATAACCATATCTCGGGTTGACTTCCTCATGACTCTTGCTGCTTTATAATCATTGTCTTCATCACAGCCCTCATTATCATCCCTCTCAGCAACAACATGAATAGAATCGGCGGAGCGCTGCTTCTCGTGCCCATGCTGGCGGCCAGAGCCAGCGCGTGGGACTCGACAGTCCACACAATAGTCGCGCCAACTGCACCGCCAATGGTGACCTCGGAGCCGTGGCGCTGCCTGACCGAGAACGCGACGCAATACTTCCAGGTGCCGCTGCCTACCGGCAGTCTATCAGCGGCCATTGACTCCTGCGCCGACGAGGTCATGAAGCCATGCCTCAGCACCGTCGAGCCGGCCCAAAGGTTCTACGGCTGCTTCCCAGAGAAGGAGAAGTGGTGTGGCTTCACCACCGCGGCGCCGTCGGCCGTCCTGTCCGACTGGTCATCTCTCGGCAGCGCAGCGTCTGTCTGGTGGGAAGCTCACAGTTCTGCGGCCGTATCTCTGGCCCAGAGATGTCCCCTCCGATGGTATGATGCCTCTCTCGGTGTGCTCGGCGGTTCGACCCTGTTGAACGAGACCATCATCTTCGCCGCTTGCCATATCGACGCCCAGACCACTGGCGGAACCTCGACAGCTTCCGCAGCCAGGCCTGACCCGACGCCCGGATCGGGCAGCACTGCACCAACGCCGACGGTGAATGGTATTCTGGGTCGAAGTGAGGCGCCAGAGATGTGGATGATTGCAAGCACAACTTTTGCTGCCGCTGCAATGAGCGCTATGCTATAGGCCGGTGATGGAATCTCCTATTTACATCGAATCTGGAGAGTCCCTCGTTGCATTCTTTCCGACCATACTTCGATATTTTAGCCTCATGTTGAACTATTCTGGCAGCTTTACAGGTTGGCGGTTCTTATGGTTGTTTGATATCTTGAGAGTAGCTCTCCACGTTTAGAAAGCCATGTCTATCATAGTAAACCGTGTGATCTCGAGCTGACTTCACCTCAATTTTCCACTTTTAACTGATGCTTGATGGTTCTCTGATGCCTAATGTCACACCAAAGACCTCACATCTTTCTATAGGGTATTTAGAGCACTGAAGACCTGAATATTAATCCATGGTATCCTTGGTCACAATAACCCTCATGAAACTAATACCGTAAGCCCCGCTTTTTTCTACCTCGCGACCATGATAGAAATCCTCTGTCCTACGATATCTGGGCACTACGTTGCCAAGAACTCGCTAACCTTGAATGTATGGTACCTTATGCTGATGTGAGCAATAACAGCTCAATAATCTGAAAGCGTTCTGCCAAGAACATAAATTGGGCACCTTCTTCAGGCTGTCGGCTCGTGACTACCATGAGGAGGCGAACTCCCCAGGCGGTGAATACTCAGGGGTAGACAGACTTGCTATCACCAACACGAACTCCTAAATATAGATTGGAAATAAGAACAATATATGACTGCAGTGGACCATGCTCAATTTGCAAAATAGGCAGGTAATAGTAGGAAAAGTAGTCATCTGAATAGCCTCATGTTACATACCGAGGAAAGTCTTCTCATCCTGCTAAGGATTGGTGCTCCACGACACTGCATCATTTCCACCATCGTTAGTGATAACTTATCTTTGAAATTGGCGCCCGCATGGATGGTCATCAATTATCGTCGAAAGTAGCCTACTCTGCTGGCCCTCTCATTACTGAATCATCCTCCGCCTGCTTTCACGCTAATCTGCCATCCATACTCAACACATACTGTTCAACAAGCAGCTTCATCATGGTCACCATCACACTTTCCTCCTGGGCCGTGTCCCTCCTCGCTTTCACATATGTTGAAGCTGTCGTACTTCATCCTCGATCATGCTCCTTCTCTTGGCCCGCCGAATCTGGTGATACTTGCTTGTCAATGGCACAAGCATGGGGTATCACCGAATCTCAATTCATTAGCTTCAATCCTGGAGTCATCTGTGCCTCACTCATTCCTGGACAGGATTATTGCGTTGAATGGGACGGCTCGCCCCCGCCTATGCCTTCGACTACCAGGACATCTGTCCCTCCTGTAACTACTACAACTACACCTACCGGTCCTTCGCCCACTCAGGAAGGAATTGCCAAAGACTGTGAGTTCTCAAAATCCCATGAAAAAGAATGAACACATAAACTTATCGATCAGGCAAGAAATACCATCTTGCCAGCTCTGGAGATACATGTGGCCAAATCGTATCGGCATATGGGACTTTTACTCTCGAGGAATTGTAAGTCAAATACCGTTATAAATTTCCGCCCTTATGCTACAGAACAGACCTGTTCTGATGAAAAATACGCGTAGCTACCAGTGGAATCCTGCTGTTGGAAGTAGTGAGTGCTTCTTGAGTTGTGTGGTAACCTGAACACTCAGAGCTTAACTCTTCTAGCTTGTTCTGGTCTATGGGTAGGCTATTACTACTGCATTGGTGTTGAGGGAACACCTACAACACCCAAACCGATCACAACGACAACACCATTGCCATCGGGCCCTTCTCCTACACAAGATGGTATCGCTGATGATTGTGAGTCACCCTTAGGTGATTGACCCGTCTACACCTTCAAATACAATGCCTTGCCAACACGTCACTGACTTGATCTCTGCAGGTGAGAAATATTATCTCGTCAAATCGGGTGACACCTGCCAGAAAATCGCAGATACTTATAAGACATTCACTTTGAACCAATTGTAAAGCGACATCTCGTCTTATTCGTACCCCTCGGCAAGTAAAGCGGTCGTTCTCTAACTGAACCAATTTTGTAGTTATTCATGGAACCCAGCAGTGGGCAAAGGTACGGGCAAACAACCACACAACTTCAACCATAACTGTCTTCACATTACCAATATCGGGTACTTCATTCTGACTTCTCCTATGATAGATTGCTCTAGTCTTTGGGTCGACTATTACGTCTGCGTCGCCGTCAAAGGTACCCCTGATCAGCCACCACCAACAACTACGCCGCCGCCATCTGATCCCAACAAGCCTAGCCCAGCACAGCCGAATGTGAACCCCAAATGTAAGCTATACATCGATACGAGAGCTTCATTATACCTGTGGCATTGACTCAACGTATAATACAGGCAATAAATGGTACCTTGTCTCATCAGGCGACACCTGTCAGAAGATTTCGGATGCATATAAGATCTCCCTTTCCACTTTGTAAGTTGACACAGATAGACCTGGTATCACATTCACAAGACGGCGAGGTTAATCTTGGTGGTGTTCCTTTGTAGCTACCAGTGGAATCCCGACGTGGGCAGCTCCTGTGCTAGTCTATGGCTTGGCTATTATGTTTGCGTTGGGTCTCAATAAGGGCATCAACTTCAATCTCAGGTTCTAATGTTAAAATTTCCTATGAGAGGCCTTCTGATTAGATTCGCCTTGTGAGCGAATTGCCGATATAGAGCAGGAAATATATAAGCGAAATGCCAATCCGATTAAGATGTCGTGAATCTTCAACATAGGTATTGCACGTCTCATGCTGACACACAGGACTCAGCTCAAAGAAAACGATACAGATTTTTTGTATCTATAGTTCTATATGAGGTTATATAGCCAAAATTGCAAGCGACGGCTCTATCGACCACGGTCCAACACTGGCGGAATTGAATTCTGTCTGACACTTTACGCCGTGACTCTCTCACTGTTGTCTTAGCTCAAATTATGCTGACTGCTTCATGGTAGCGTGACAGCACAATGTCAGTAGGGTTATATTGATCAGTCACACACATCGCGAATGGTCCCCCGCTATTCTGGCCATTTCTCGTACGATTCTCTCAGCATTATTGAAAGGTGCCAGTATTGGCGCCCTGATCTTACGGCCCCGAATCTTCCCCTATCTAGACATAGGAGGTTCGAGACTTCTTGGCAAAGAGACAGGGGAGAGAGAATGCGAAGGCCACGCTGGTGCCGATAAGAACGATATGATTTCACTGTAGAGCCTCGCCAGCACGGTCTGGAGCATATCTCAAACCTTTGACCGGTGTGAAAAGCAGGTATCACAGATACCATCAACTAGTCTGGGCTCATGTCATTCATCTAATGATCGTGCTTCGCTAGACTGTGCTTTATAGTGTGATAGATTCGTTGCAGCTTGCATGCCAATATTGACCGAACATTTAAGCCTTCGTGGTTTTGTACCACAGGAGTTACAAGGTTGTGCAATGTTGTGCAATCAGGGTAAATAGACTTCAGTCAGATCAGAGTTGTATCGGTCAGCAGTCTCGGCCTTCACATGCCATCACACCCTAATAAGGCAGGCAATTTAAACTGCCACTGACTCTATACTCCGCTATTGTTAGTCATATAATGATTGCCCCTATCCGCCGGACGACCACTTCGATTGCCTGTGCCTCAAAAAGCAATATAGCGAGGCCTTGGCGTGAAGGATTTTAAGCGTATTCCAATCTCTCCGGAATCTCGAGGTACCGCCCTTATAATAGTACATGTTAAAAAATGAGATGTGATGCCTTCAATGCACTCAATCGATGGTAGCCGCCTGTCTGAGTGCTGCCCAGGTTTCTAAGCTGCTATTACGAGCTTTAGTCGGAGAACTTGGCACCACGCGTGATCCTGAACGCTCATGGGGTCAAGAAGAGAGGCTGACTGGCCACCGGTCCCCTCGGGTGCGCCTTGTCTGCAATGTATGGCTGATATAAAATGCTTGCGGCTCAGAATGAGAGCCCATATAACTTCTTCATTTGCATACGAAGAGGCTTTTCGTCTGTCATTACTTCCTTTTGCGTAGAATACAATGAGGTGGCCAAACATGAGACTTGTTGTCTTCGCCTCCCTGGCATGTGTGTTTCGTCTTGGGTATGGGGCCATCGATCTTGACGGCAATCAAGTTGTTGAGCCTGCCACAACTAAGGATGACCCTGCACCGATTGGTGATCTCACCACTTACTACTCTGATCAACATGACTGTCCACTGCCTTGTACCGACTACGCAAACGTACACAGTTGGATTACCTATTTCTCTGTTGATCGCCTTCGACGTTGCCAGGGGCCTATGCTATTACAGTTCTCCATCTCTCAGCTTTTCGATGATCCGCACTCGAATATCGTTATACGAAGCTGCACACTGGGGACTGACTCAACTTCGATTGCCAATACTACCGCGACTATAAAGCCAGTTGAGAACCCCAAGACGGCAGTTGATAATTTTCAACCGAGCCTTGATGTCGCACCAGCCTGTGCTGTGAATGGCACAGAAGTCCAGGAGAAAATAAATATCGCAAGTAGCGGCAACGGTGGCAAAACGGATGACATCTCTCGCTTGCTCGAAGGAGTACAGATGTTTTTCTCCGCTCAAGACAACTGTGACGAGCACATCTTATTTGCACACAACAAACAGACCGTGGCAGGCATATACATTGGCGCGGGCCTTGGCAAGCCCACTGTCAATTCAGTTACCGCAGGCTTGACGGCAAGCTTTTTGGGTCGCACCTCACTTCCTGACCGGGTTGTCGCTCAACTCTGCGGCAACGACCGCCAGCCGGAGCGAGTCTTCGGCATTGCCATCGATAACACTCACGACTTGACTTTCGTCCAGAAAACAGTCTTGGCTTGGAGCCAGGGGACCTGCGTGGCTGACGCAAAGCTCACAGAAGCTGGTTCTCTCCCCGGCGCCAAAATATTCGATATTGCCAGCGAACCCCTGGCGCTGAATAGCAGCAGCAGCAATAATACGTCTGCCCAAGACACATTATCTACATCTCGGATGATTCGAAGACCACCAAGAGCTGGCTATGTGAACGAAAAACGCGCAGAATGCAAATATATCAAAGTTGAATCCGGAGACGGCTGCGCTTCTCTCGCCTCCAAGTGCGGAATCTCCGGCGCCGACTTTACCAAGTATAATCCGAATCCCAGCTTGTGCTCGACACTTGCGCCGGGCGATTACGTCTGCTGTTCAGCGGGTGATCCTCATACAGACCCGAAGCCAGACCCCCCCAAACCAGGGGCAGACGGCGTCTGTGCGACTCATCTCATCGCGAACGAAGAAACATGCGCCTCCTTGGCCAAGACGTTCGGTGTCACGGTTGATGACATCGAGAAGTGGAATAAGGGCAAGACATGGGCCTGGACCGAATGTAAGGACATGTTGTTGGGCTATAATATGTGTCTCAGCGACGGGCTTCCGCCAATGCCGCCGCCCCAACAGGGGACACAATGCGGTCCATTGGTACCCGGTACACAGCGGCCGGCCGATTCGTCGACCTCCCTGGCCGATCTCAATCCATGTCCCCTGAAGGCGTGTTGCAGTAATTGGGGTTTTTGCGGTGTGTTCCCGGCACACTGCGACATCCACGCTCCGCCAGGAGGTGGACCAGGCACGAAAGACAAGAACTTCTCTAATACATGTGTGTCAAATTGCGGAAATGATATCAAGCAAGTATCAGGGCCGCCTGCGACTTTCCAGCGCGTTGGCTACTACTCGGCCTTCAATATGAACCGTAAATGTCTTTGGTTGAAGGCTAAGAACTCCAACACCGATGGCAGCTACACCCATATCCACTGGGCGTTTGGGGACATCGACCCAAATACATGGAAACCTGTAATCAAGGATGGCAAGGATGAATGGTCTGACTTCAAGGCCCTTACCGGCGTCAAGCGCATCCTCTCACTAGGCGGTTGGGCTTTTTCGACCGAGCCGGCGACCTACAACATCATCAGGCAGGCCATTCTCGAGAATCGAGATGCCTTTGCAGATAATCTCGTCCAATTCGCTAAGGACGAAGGCTTGGATGGAATTGATATTGACTGGGAGTACCCTGGAGTAAGTGAGGCCGTTCCTCCTCCCCTGAAAACTTATTCACAAGTTACTTTTCGTCTTTCGTTGTGTTGCTCTCACGATAGTGTAATTTCCCTGCAAGCTAAGATCGAATTAACCAGGCTCCCGATATCATGGTTGGCGGCAAGCCGATCGGTGACAAAAATGACGGTGTTGGATACCTCAAATTCCTCACAGTTCTGAAGCAGAAGATCGGTACCGACAAGTCCGTCTCGATTGCTGCACCTGCTTCTTTCTGGTATCTGAAGGCTTTCCCGATCGATCGCATCGCCAAAGTGATTGACTATATCATATACATGACCTAGTGAGTATATTCATCTTTATGACTTGTCACACCGAGTACGGTGCAAATTTAAAGAGGAGCCGACTGATAGACTGTGTTCTTAGTGATCTCCATGGTCAATGGGACTATGGCAACCCCAATTCGTTTGACATGTGTAACTCTGGCAAGTGTATTCGAAGCCATGTAAACTTGACTGAGACACGGAATTCACTTTCCATCAGTAAGTCTTTCTGGCTATGGCTCAAGTGTTCATACTGAGAAAATCTAGTCACCAAGGCCGGCGTACCCAACAACAAAGTCTTCGTGGGCGAGGCCAGCTACGGCAGATCATTTCACATGGCACAAGACAGCTGCTGGGGTCCTATGTGCGAGTTTACCGGCAGCAGAGCACAGTCAGACGCCAATCCGGGAAGATGTACGGACACAGGCGGATATCTCGCCGCAGCTGAGATCATGGAGATCATCTCAAATGGTGACGGTGCGAAGACATTCTACGACGATAAAAGTAACTCGGATATCATGCTATACAAAGGCGATTACATCAGCTACATGACACCAGCCACCAAAGACACGCGGCGTGACGACTGGAAGGCTCTGAATTTCGCGGGCAGTATAGATTGGGCCCTCGACCTGCAGACTTTTGGTCGAGACGATATGGACCTCCCCCCTGACCGACCAGAAAGTGGAGAGGGTTGCGTCTACGGAGAAGACATCACACTCGACTCTGGCGATCTCTGCGACTTCTCTTGCAATTTTGGGTTCTGCCCTGAATCTTTGTGTACATGCTATGAGCAAGGACCGTTGGAAGACCTTCTACCCGAGCGACCGATTGGTGATATCGTAGCTTGGGACGAGTTCAACGTTGATCTAAATCGCCTCTGCAAGTTTGCTTGCAAGTACGGACACTGTCCCGAGAACATCTGCATGACTCGACCTGTCGAGCCGGAGGTGGACGTTGAGACAGTCGACGACCCCAACTACTACGACTACGAGGCAGCCAGGCGGGAGAACGCTAATAACTGCGTCATATACCGGTATCCTCCCCAGGGATTTGACGGAGCCCTGCAGTGCTACAATCCATGCAAGGCGATAGTGGAACAGGCCAAGTCTGAGGATAGGACTACGAACTACGGCTGTGTAGGCTGGTGGCCGGGCACCCAAGAGATCCCCTGGCAAAAAGTCTCCGGCATGGGCGAAGTCGCCGGTGGAAAGTGCTCGTGTGACAATTGGTTGCTGAACGAACTGGCCGACGATATCATTGAAGCCCTTCCAATGATTGCTCAGGTATGTTTGTGTGAAGTGGGAAGGTGGTATCCTCTCATATATACTGACTTTTTCTAGATCGGCTGTTTCATAATCATGTCCACTCTCAAGACCTTACTCGACGTAGGTTTAGATTTTATTCCTGGGGTAGGGAAAGCCATTTCAGCCGGTCTGGGTATGTCTAGCGACCCTCACATTGCCCCTTTAACTAGCTAACATGCTGACTATCCCGACGATAGACATGGCCATGACGGCCGCACAAATGGTTGCCTACCTCTACGACGAGGATCAAGATCCAGGCGGCGCCTTCGAATGGTGGCTAAGCCCCTGTGGCGGCAGCGATCTCGTGCCAGACGAAATAAAACAAGCCTTTGACATTCTGAGCACTGTGGCAAGTGGAGTGTCGAGCTTCAAAAAGCCTAAGAACCTCCCCAAAGGAAGCGGCAAGAAGGGAGACAGAGGCAATCCGAAGAATCCAACAGCACCACGTCCAGGCAATGGTGTCACCAAACCCAAGTCGGCAGCCAAATGTCGAATCAGTCCAGCTGAGGCCACCAAACGCTATGGACAGGCCAAGAACACGCTTAGGATGCAGGAGTGTGTCAAGGACAAGACGGTTGTGACTGAATTGGTCATCACCTCCCTGACCTATGCGGCGAACGCAAAGCCAACCCAGGTCATGGCGACGTGCGACCCTGCCTGGACGCAAGCTTGTTACCACTACGAGTCGGCCATCTCTGTCAACCCTCAATGGGCAACACTCACCTGCCCTCCCCAAGCGGCCTCTACGAAGCATCGGGAAAATGGGGTGGCAACAAGGAGCTGGAGCAGTCAACATGGCGGCGCCGGTTGGAAAGACAAGGCGAACCGTTCATGGAAGCGGACATGCGACCGGGACGAGTATCCGCCCGCCTACCTCCTCGAGCCAAACGACCCAGCTATGGTGTTCGGCGGCGTAGACTCCCGAGGCCAACTTGTGCGTTACCTACCCGACGCCGAAAACCGCCCGGCCGGCAGCATGTGGAAGGGAGTGTGCTTCAAGCCCCCAGTGGCCGACATGTCCGACAAGGACCTTGAGAACAAGGTCAAACAGGCGCCCGTCGGTGCCAAGCAGGTCATCCAGCAGGGCGCGGGTTCCAAGATACTCTTCAAGACCCAGGCGGCTATCACTGTCGACCAGCGGCCCGAGTTCACCATGAAGTACGACCACAAGGCGAGACCGAACCATGGCTTGAACGACAACCCGTGCTGGCCTGACGGCATTGCGAGACGTGATCCGGGCTTTGCTCTCATGACTTTCGATCCGTATTATGTCGGACAGGCACCACCTTACAACTATCGGGCCAAATATGAAAAGGGGGTGAACGGGGATTAAGGGGGTAGGACCGCAATATGGGCAAATTAGCTTAACGACTTATATTATTCTAAGAAATCAATTGGTGAGCAGCGGTATTTCACTATGGCGGTCGGTGATTGGCATATTTCCCTGGCAAGAGTCTTCGAGTTTATCAATGGGGCTGAAAGAGGCTATACTATAACTTGCTCGCTATGTCTCTCTAATTTCCAAAACTATATGGTACTTGGGAAGATACTTCCTGGCCTACGTCTGCTTGATCGCATTCTATACTTCGGCGCGTCTTCTATGACAGGAGCGTAGTGAGGTGCCCGCGTGAACATGACAGCACCGATATCTAGGCCCATATCCTTTCTTCTATTCGTAACATGTCCATCACAATGGAGTCAGACAATCAACGTCGTATGACTTCGTTATATGACTGGGAGACCGGCTGTGTTTTGCCTGCTAACTTGTCCAACCCGTCGATAGCAGTAACCCTCGATGCAGTGACCGGAAAACGCAACTCTAAACGACCACATGCAATATACAACGTAGGCAAGGCAGTATTTCGATGTAAGCCTTCTATTCAGGCACCAATTTCAAGTGGAAGAAGATAGCCGCCTTTGTCTAGGCTCTTTCTACTGAAGCATCAAGTTATCAATATGCAATCTAGGCGGGAAAAGATGCACGCCCCTTTTGGTTTGCGTTGCGAGGCTAGCGAGAGGACGACCCAGAGGGATACTTCGGTTATTTAGGAGTCTGGGCTGAGAAGAGATTGAAGGACTTCGCTGTTGAATAAGGCAAAATTGCATGTATATTCATTGGAAACGCTTCTTGGATCTGTAGGTGCAAACACTCTCTCTAGGAATGCAGCCGTAAATAAAACTATCCCTCCATTGAACACAGTTGGTTAAGCACGCAAAAATGCAACACATACACTATCCCAATTCGTCGAACACATGACATAAACGCAGGCTGTCGGTCTCGGCGTAGTATCTCCTATTACATTTCCAGTCACGTCCAACGTTAATGCGGCAACCGAAAAGACGAGGTCTAGACCTGGTAAAATGGTACAGCGACGCTGTTTCCATGGCTTCTGATGAAATCTGCCATTACGAAGTAATGTATCCCTAGTGCCAACCACACTATCTACTCAGTTATTTATAGATTTATCTGTATATATATATAGCTTTCTAGTGTGAAATCATCTATTTATGATCCCGCGGCCGAAACCAGCCAGCCAGTTTACAGCAGATTAGAGCCTCGGCTCCAATTGGATAGTGAGGAGTTAGTATTGGCTGTCCCTGCATATCAGTATCTGCTATGAGCAGACATGCTCCGAGGAACTAGGGATTACCTCAAGAACATTTTCTTAAAATCACCGTGTGTGGCCATGTTGCGTGATCCAGATCCAGTTCGTAAGAATTCAGACTATGAAAATAAAAATAAAAATGTACTGTAGTCCAACCAAGATAGTGGATGACGAGCAAAACATTGAAACCAACTAACAATATAAGTGCTCTCTCTCCTCAACGTGGCTGGCATATATAGAGATATTACACTCAGTTCCTGACTGCAAGCCATAAGAAAGTCTTGTTCAAGTGATAGCCTTCTGATAGATCACAATGAATCACATCCACAGCTATCAGCCTACCGCGCCGCTTCTCAGAAGAGACATCATCCATGGACCTCAGCCTCGTAAAAACACGGCGGCTCAATATTTCCCAGTGTTTTTCAAACCGACATATCATCCGCTCAGTCCAGTCGTTCTTATTCGGCTGTGTCAAGTGCGTGGGTAACGAATCAGCTTCGGTTTTCAGGGGGGTAATGTCGTCAACTCGATATTCCGGCTTTACATGGTGATTAAGATATGAAGTAGGAAGGTCGTTGACATATGTGTGGGTGGCCATGTTGACGATGATTTAAAAGATGTGAAACTATCTTGTAAGGAAGTTTTGTAGATACTCCGACATCCATTGCAAGTTTTAACATACTCAGGTCATTTTGTGCTTGTAGTTTGGCCGTTAGAAAACAGGCTATATTTAGTACCACAATATGTTCATATCGTTATTTATAGATTGATAACAGCAGAGTTCCCTCGTCCTGTTCTGCATCTCTTTGGTGCGACTCGGTATGCCGAAATTGGCCTGTCACACTTACGGCTGACAGGGCTTCCGGTACTGGACAGCGACACCTATGAGCCGACTACAGCCGTCTCCGCGAGTCATCATCTATTATTAATAGATATATTCCTAAGAAAGAAACGACGACCTCGAGAAGGTCTGAACAATATTATCACCATTCGAGGCTATGCAACGTGCACGAAATCGGCCAGATGTCTACCCACTTCGCAAAAGGCCTTAAACACCTTTTGCAGTGAGTAAACAAACCTCGCTGCCTACGTACGAGAAGAAGAAAAGATGGCGACCCAAGGACCATACACAAGCTATGATATTCTAAGAATCAAAGACCGTTTCATTATCCTATTTGATTGCGATGCGAGAGTCATGTTTGCGTGGATGCATAATCTCTCGACGGACTGGACCCCTTATGTAGGCAAGAATACAATCGTACAGTCACATGCGTCGGCTCAATACATACCGCCCTGTCCTCATCACCTCAATTTCGATACTAATCTCACTATCTGGTGTGTTCGAGCCCTGCAAATCCGGTATCCTTGCTGGCTAGGCTTACGAGCCGACGTGGATCGGTCCTTGTTCTCGCGGTAAAGTAGGAGTTGGGCACGTAGAGTACAGATCAAGCCGGAGCAGGGCGGGTTTGCTTTCGGCCGCCGCGACAAATCTGTTAGCGCTCCAAGCATCCTGCCAGCAGTGGTTCCGATGCACCAAGGAGCGTTGACTGCTGACTTCTCCCAAGTCAGCGACCCGGCGCCTTGCCCGCCCTCCGCTTTTCCCCACTTCAACGCGGATGCTCTCGCTCGGTCTCATCTGGTGAACACCTTCCTTCAGCAATTCTCACCGGCGGCCGTGGGATAAGAGGTTCTATTCCAAGAAAATCCCTTCTCCGACCTCGGCATCGAATCTTCTATCTCCCAGACTTATGGTCTCCACCGGAGTTCGCTGATTGCCCTCCCAGATACTTCAGTCAAACGGAGGGAGGTAGGCTCGTTCGACCAGGATTCTTCTGCGTTGTATTCCCGGACTCAGTTGTCGGGGAACTTGACTTCAAGAGACCAGAGGAAGAAGACGCCCTCGGTAAAACCACAGCCCCCAGAGAAGTCTAGGCCTACCCCTGGGCATATCCTCCCTGCGTTAGCTTTAGTGAATTAATGGCAAGGGTTGGCTCTCCGTAACATTCTGTTGTGCTCATTGGGATTGTTTGGGGGCGTGGTAAAGGGTATTTATAGAAAATATGGATTTCATGGCTTTGAAATTGCTAATTCAATCGAGTCTTCCAAACCGTATAACCAGGCTTTTCGTTTCTAGAATTCAATCCTGGATGACGACGAGTTTATTGAAGACGGAAAATGCATTCACTGTACGGCAGCGAAACGTGATTAGTCTTTCCAAAGCCAGCACTGCATGTAGGCTTGTCTAGGGAACAAGGTCAGGAGATCGGACAATGCACTCGCATGATGCATGTTGTGTGTGACCTATGCGACAACGAGGACATCTCACTTTCTGATCAATGTCTATTATTATTATTAAGCATTGGCACATCTTTAAATAGAATTGTTCAGTTCTCAAACATCGGCTTCCCTACATCTAATTGATACATGCATTCTAGGACCGTAACACTTGAGGCTGGGGTGGCTTCGGCGCTCTTGTCCGTATGACCAGCTTCTCTAACTGCTGCAGTGCCGACTCAAGATCTTTACTAACGTCCTCTGCCTTACTAGCATAGAAAATTGCGGGTTTCTACTTCAATTAGCTGCTTTGCTTGGACTTGATCGTGCCAACTTACGATGTCTTTTATGTGGGGGCCAATTCTCATTCGGCTCAAACACCTCGTATTCTCCACTGCTCCTATCCTGAGCCATAAGGATAACGTCCAGATTGAAGAGGTCCGCATATTTGAGGATGCTGCGGTGTAATATCCCGCCTCGTCTCTTCCGCATGACTCTAAGTTGGCTGTCTCTAGTTGGTAGGGCTCTTCGTGAGGGCCTTTTGCGATTCGATGTTCTGCCTTGTCTCTTATGCATGACTTTCGGTTGGTTGTGCATAGTTCGTGGTACTCCCCGTGAAGGCATCGCTTTTCACTGATAAGTAATTCAATTACCTGCGTGAGGACGGAAGCGTCCTTTATGTACATGATGTTTTGATACGCCCCCTTTGATCACCCCGGTTCCATCTGCGTTCCAGACGTGGTGGATAGAAAGAAGGCGATGAAGTCCCATAAATGAATATAGTAGAGTTGCTAGGCTTGTGTGGTGTGTTCTCAGGAAGAGTGACATGTCCGTTCTCTTGATACTGTAGGGCTATGAAGTCGCCCGGCGACGCTTGTAATAGGGGGAAGCTTGTGTTGATTTGCCCGACCCTCTGTTAAGAGTCCCGGCAGATAAGATCAGAAGGCAGGATTCCCAGACTGGCATCCCGGCTAGGAGGCGGGAGTAAGTATTGTTGTTTTATGTCATTGAATGCTAGGTCAAGTCGGGACATGGCGCTATGGATGAAACCCATATCTCCGACCATGGTCCTATTCAGACCGAGACGCCTCACCCGTTCAACCCATAAACAGGCTACCGCAAGCGGTAGAACCAAGAAAAGTAATTTCACGAGCATGGTTAAATGTGCTTTCTTACGATGCTACTTGACCTGACGAATATTTCTAAAAATCATTCATTTTATATATGTACTGTGTTATGGAAGGTCGGATTTGGACGAAGCTAAAAGCTGCCTGTTCGATTATATCTGTCGAGCAAGCCACATTAGACGGAGCTGCACTCAACCCGTTTCTTTCTCCGTTTTCTCTGCATAACTGTTCATAATTTCCTACGACTCCGGCTGATCAGGGCATGTGGCTGATATTGGACTGAGCCGAGCCTGAGTAAAAGTGGCATTGGCGCTAGGCCCGATATGGCCGAAAAAAAAGCTGCTATGGAAGCCAACTACCGTACAATCAATAAGGGCACGGTTCCGTCATTGCTGAAACACTAGCTGATGAGATGTCCAGATGGCCAGGCTGCATTTGACTGCTTCACGTAGCCTGTTCACTAGGCGTACCATTTTCTTCCCAGCCGAAGTCCTTTTTGATGCCAGTTCGCAAAATGAGACGAATACAAGCAGATGCTCATTGGCTTTCCGTATGTCATGACCAGATCATACACAAGCTGGTAGAGGTAGAGCTCCATCCGTGCTTAACGATGCCCATACGTCGAGAAGTCAAGTGCTCGTTCTGGATGAAAGATCTTCTTCGTTATTCTACCTTTGAGTCATGTCCTGTGGTTAGACATATTTTCCCATTGCTTATCCATGTTAAGGCGGATCAGTTCGAATTACAGTTCAGCATGACGCTGAGGGGGCCGGTGGAGATGTAAATCAGCCAATTTCGAGGCTCGGTCCAGAGGTAGACCATGAGAATGAAGTGATACGATATGGTTTGAAGAAACAAGTGGAGCACTTGCTTCTGTATCAGGCTCAAATTTTTGTGATTGAGTCGTTTAATTGCTTTCACTCGGCCTGGCTTAAGGTGGTACAGAACTCATGGCGGTAGGTGGTCCATCACGAATCGCTCTGAATGTGGTCTTCATCAAAGCAATGCCAGTAGCCATTCTCCATACATGCTCCCAAAAAGGTATTTCGGGCCAGGCTTAAGTAGACCCTGGTAGATTTAAAGCGACCCAAAGTAGCATCGTAATCAGCCTCTTGAACGCTCCACTGTTATTGTGAAAATCGCTGTCGTTGATGAGCTTACAGAATTCGTTGTGTACCTCAAGACCTCTAGCATGAACGTTCTCTAGAGGGCTTGGTCCGTAGCTGGAGCTTGATTGAATAGAATCCGAGCCTCTCCGCGGGATTCCTTCTTTGTGAGCAGACTTCAGGTGTGAGCCGGACGCCAAGAAAGAACGTTCCTTACGCGGGAGGATCGTCTCTATTGTCCATGAGGACAGCGCGGTGTTCGAGTTCCTCCATCATGGTCTCGAGCCAGACCATCTGACGGATCTCTAAAAGCAGCTTGGGGAATGGGCGAAATTCGCTGATGCTACTTGTTTTGGCCATTGCTCTAAGTACTCCAGATCGAGACTCAAGTTTGGTTATGGATTATATGTGGAAAATAGCGTCAGCTGACCGTATTGTGGCAGAGAGTGTTACTTTAAGCTACAATTGACGTTCATCAATACCGCCGCTGAAAGCGGTACCTTGCGCCCTGGTCTGGAGCTCAAGGGGGGCCCACTTAGACGCGCATCCCAAAATTTAGAAGTACCCGTGAACGCGTCCAGCGCGTCAACCGTGTCGGTCGAGAAACACCGAGTGTGGAACATGAAGTGATCATACCTCCACCTACCAGCAGACGCGAACTCCCTCAATTGTCAACTCGAATAGGCCAGCACCGACAGCGGTCTCTCAATTGAATGCCCAAAATGTTGTCAGTCTCGTCACCAGTTGTCTATCCCGCCAGCTCTTCTCCCCCCACCAACAAGCGTGCGAAATCACCCCAGGCCCAGAAGTCTCGAGCGCGACGCAGAGCCGGGTTCATTATTGACGATGATTCCGACGGAGATGAAAGCGCTGCGCCGCCAGCTCCAAAGCGGCGCATGCTAAGCAGCCCAACCGATCCTGCTATCGTGGAATTCACCGAGCCTTCGTCACCACCAGCGCAACTCGATGCCGAACCAAAAGAGCCGATTTTAAGAAGCACAGAGGAGACAATTGCAACAGCCGCCCAGCCGCACAAACGCAATGGGGAAATGCAAGAGTCACCCTACGACGCACTCTTCAACTCAACCGGCAACTTCGCGTCCGCCTTCCGAACCCTTACCTCGCATGTTTCAAAGGGCAAATTCAGCATTACCACATGTTCGGGGAAGACGGTAGATATAAAGCAGCGAAAGGCGAATTCTGGGCCATCCTATGAGCGCATAGTCGCTGCGAGGTCCAAGACCAAGGAGGGGCGAGCGATCCGCAGTTATTATGGCATTGAGATGCATGAGTTGGTCCAAGCAGCCAAGAAGGAGATTGCCCAGAAAAAGCCAACCATGGTGGTCGTGCCCGACCATCCGATGCCGTCCGTGGAACAGCCTCCAGGGAAGAAGCCCCAGAAGGCCTTGCTGTGGACCGAGAAATACCGCGCCAAAAACTTCATGGACTTGTGCGGTGACGATGGGACGAACCGGAACGTGCTGCGGTGGTTGAAACGATGGGATCCCCTCGTGTTTCCCCGATCAGCCAAGTCAAAGCCATTCCGGCGACCAGGCGCGAAGACCCAAGTCGAAGAAGAGAAGCCGCTTCGCAAGATCCTGATGCTCACAGGACCCCCTGGACTGGGCAAGACCACGCTTGCTCACGTATGCGCAAAGCAGGCAGGTTATGACGTGATGGAGATCAATGCCAGTGACGATCGAAGTCGTGATGTTGTCAAGAATCAAATTCGAACCAGCTTGGGCACGGAGAGTGTCAAGACTGTGCAGCACAGCAAACCCGTGGCTGGCCAAAAACCAAAGATTGCTCGTCCAGTCTGTGTGATTGTCGATGAGGTTGACGGTGTTGTCTCTGGATCTAGCGGGTCGGGGGAGGGAGGCTTTATCAAGGCGCTCCTGGACCTGATTGCCATCGGTGAGAAGAACAGCGCTGGGAAGGCTGAGGCGGTCCGCGAAAGTCGTCGACACAAGAAGAAAGGTGACGACTTTCGGCAAATGCGGCCCCTCATCTTGATATGCAACGATGTGTACCACCCGTCACTACGACCTTTACGTCAATCAAATATGGCTGAGATCGTTCACGTTGGGAAACCAACCCTCGATGCCGTTGTCACGCGCTTGAAAACCGTGTTTGAAAAAGAAGGAATCCCCTGCGAGAAAGACGCGGCCCGCAAATTGTGCGAGGCGGCTTGGGGAATGAGTAGCGGACTAGAGGCAAGGAAAGGTGCCGAGAGCAATGCCGAGGGAGACATTCGAGGAATCATGGTTGTCGGCGAGTGGGTTGCGGGACGACTTCGATCTGCGACTCGGAACGGTCCGCTCTGCTTGACCCGTCACTGGGTTGAGCGGAACATTGTGCATGATTTAGCCCACGGTGGAGGCGGCGCAAGAGGTATTGGCCGAAGCAATGTCAAAGACATAGTCGGCCGCATATTCCAGGAGGGTGCCGGCTTCCCAAAGAGCAACACCATTATTGCCCCTATGGCTTCTGCCAACCTTCGTGAGCAACCGAAAGCGCAGTTGGGCTTTTCGGAACAGCAAAAAAAGTACGCCATGGAGCGCCTCCGTCAAATGGTCGAAACTAGCGGAGACGTGGATCGAGTCGTAACGGACATCTTCTCCGACTACCCGAACCATGAATTCAACGACGACTCATTCCTCACGAAACCAGATCAGGCATATGAATGGATGCATTTCCACGACTCCTGCAGTTCCAGACTGTATGGCAGTCAGGATTGGGAGTTAGCACCGTATCTCAGCCAGCCTGTTCTGGCATGCCACCACTTGTTCGCCTCCCCCATTCGACACTCACAGTTGATGTATCAAAAGAGGGGTGGTGCCGACGAGGAGGAGACCCCTCCACTTCCATTTTCTGGACCGCGAGCAGACTTTGCCGCCCGTGAAGCGGAGAAGAGCAACCGCGCCCTGCTCCAGGCTTTCCATGCTCAACTCGCACCGACGCTGATGCGAGCGTTCCGGAGCGCCGAGGATCTCTCGACTGACTTCATTCCGTATCTCAACCGCCTTGTGTCCCCAGACGTCAAACCAGTCGTTGTCGGTGGCAGCGGTGACCAGCGTGGCACAGCTAGTGTCCGCAGAGATACTGAAAGGGCGATGGTCAGGAGAGCCGCAGAAACTTTGCTGGATGTGGGCATCACTCTTCAAAGAGGAAAGATCGAAGGCGACATGTTCAGCAGAGGGCCCACGTGGGTCTACCGGATGGAACCGTATGTTTACACGCTGCTGGCTTGGTGCGTAGTTCGTACTAACATATTCACAGTGACATTGATACGCTTGCCACCTTCGAGACGTCGGCTGCAATCATCCATGGCACCCATGCGCCGACCCGCTATGCAGTGCGACAGGTTCTCGACCAGGAAGTCCAGAAGACCAAGATACTGCGAGAAAACTCGGCCCGACAAGCGCGTTTCCAGGGTGGGAACCCTCTGGGCCATGACGAATACATCCTCGAGGACAAAGAAAGCGCCAACAAAGCCAAGAGCATTGAGCTTCCGGCGATTCCTGTCAAGAGAGATTTCTTCGGAAGAGTTGTCAAGGTTGCAGTGCGTCCCCTGCAGGAGACGGATGCCAATGGTCAGATCAAGAAGCCAAGCGATGCGCCCTTAGGGAATGCGGAGACCAAGGTTTGGGTAACTTTCCACGAAGGGTTGAATAATGCTGTCAGGAAACCCTTGACGTTGGATGAGTTGTTAAGAGGGTTGTGATGGTAATGATGGTTACTCAGTAATGACGGGGACACAAGCAAGCATTTTAGCATGACAGGCGTTTCTGGTGTTTGGATGTTCCGAGAAACACGATTGGTTATTCACTGAAGATATGCTATTTTGACTCCGAATGTCTTGCTTGTAAACGTGACTCGGACAATATTGGATGTTAGCCGGGGGGTTGAAGCCGGTTAGCATTTCGTGAATCCCATTATGCAAGTAGTTGAGCAGACGTCATTGGTCCACACTGAGTCCCGCTAAAGCAAGCGATCAACCTCGACCGTAACATAAACACGGTCATCCCATCCTCCCATATACATGCCAACATGATAAGAAAAGGAGGCCTGATTGCTGTCAACCCCTTTGGCAAGTCGTGGAAGCAGAAAATGAGCACCACACCGACAGCGCCAATTCAATTTGGCCCCTTTGAGGTGACATCACAGGTGAGTCGTTGTTTCTCTTCGTTGCAGATCCTAGCTTAGACTATCGCCAATGCGGACAGATGCGGTCATTGCGAGATATACTATATCTGAATCTTCTGATTTCGTAAACCCGATAAAGTCTCAATACTTAGCAAGGTGGTCCGAAAAGCGGACGATGAATCTAACACCGAGCAGGTCTTCCTCACGACCCCCCACTCCTTCGCCCTAGTGAACCTCAAGCCCCTCCTGCCAGGTCACGTCCTCATCTGCCCGCAAAAGCCGCACAAGCGACTTACGGACCTGTCGACACCAGAGCTCACAGACCTATTTCAAGCCGTGCAGCGCGTGCAACGCATGCTAGCACGCCATTTCTTCGCCGGCGGCGCATCTGACCGGGCATCTTCATCCGCCCCCGCCAACACCACAGAAGACTCGTCAGCCACCACTCCCAGCGACAAGGATGGAAAGACCCAGCCGAGTCCCGCCACCGGCACCCCCGAAGCAGGATCCTTCAACATCGCCATTCAGGACGGTATCGAAGCCGGCCAGACGGTGCCGCACGTCCACGTGCACGTGATCCCGCGGATTCGGAACCTGACGGAGAAGAGCGAGGGGTTGGGCGATTACTTGTATGAGAAGATGGCGGCGGAGGAGGGGAATGTCGGGGGGGCGCTCTGGGATCGGGAACAGGTGAGACCCACGCCCGGAGGGGCGTTTGCGAGGATTGAGGACGCGGAACGCAAGCCTAGGAGTTTGGAGGAGATGGAGGAAGAGGCTAAGATGTTTAGGGGGTTGTTGGAGGAGATGGATCAGGATGGGAAGGGCGGGGCGGAAGGGGGTGTGGTTCAGGTTTGAGTCGTTGGTCGATGAGGTATAGATGGCGATTTATGTCGATTGCATGTCTTGAGCCTGTGAATAATTCATCGCCGCGGCCTAGTCTCCATTCTTTCTATAAAATTGCAGCAACACCAGCTGCACCTGTGTATGCCTTTGGTATAACTCATGATATCCGTCGTCGTTTGTTGTGACTTATGGAATACATATCCGTATGTATGCCGGCCTAGAATTCTACAGGTTCATGTTGCCAGGATATCTCACTTGTAAATAAATTCAATTTGTGCATTGTCATGTTCACAGGTGAGGTCTGTAGTGGGGATAATCGTGGGCGGGTTGCGGGGGCTCGGGTCTTTGTTAACACAGCGGCAAGGTTTCCGTCGCATAATATGACGATTCCATCTACTCTTTCTCTCGAACTCCAAGATAAGCATACGCAATTCTACTTTCAAAAGAAGGGCGGAAGGATTCTTCTGGAGCTGCTACCACCAGCACCACCGGCTCCATCTTGAAACTCAACATTCTAGTGGTCAGCGTCCAAATGGTAAGATTTCAAACAAAGTAAACAATGAAGATTGGAACTTACGTAAGTTATACGGGAGTACAACCAACTAAATCAGATGAAAGTGAATATTCATGTGACAACAGATCCGCGCTATGCATTCAACTCAATCCTACTCCATGCCAAGAACATCTCCAGAATTCAACTTCCCCCTTCTCCCATATTGCTTCGAGACGCTATATTCATCCTGAAGGTCCCTTCGCTCATCAACCTGAAGACCACTCTGCAAAGCGGCCTGTGGGACGTCCCTGTAATGGCCCCAACGAACAAGGTGTGTCCAAAGCTGGAATCCACCTTGTACGCAGAGATCCACTGACATGAGTACACCATCTGGCTGGTAAGACCCTGGTATTAATGGAAAGTCTTGGTCTCACATATGGCGAAGACCGGAAAGTCGCAAACGTCAGCCAAGTCTCTCAAGTTGCCCTCGTGGACACGCTCAAGGATGAAGCGACTGCTACTTTCATTTTCGGCAGGTTGGAAGTCTTTCTGGGAGATGAAGGCTTTACCTTCGTCGAATATTTTGAAAGGAATGTCTGGGTTCCCACACAAGTCCATTCCTTTAGCTTTGGTATGTGGTGCTACTCCGTAATGATCGAGATAATGAGGCCTAGCATGAGAGTCTTGGAAGGACAAAAACATTCGCCATTGTCAGTCTCTTTGTCCCTGTGACGTACCCGGCAATGTCCAACCCAGAAACTCGAAAGCGCTACCACTCATTATACTTTTATAAGCTGCATTGATCGCCGCGGAATTATTACATTATCTTGCTGTCGGCTACACGTTCAATATATACACGAATTATTATACGTTAAGTTCCAATATTATCCGATAGATGCTGGCAGGTCCAACTTTATCCACCTTTGTCCAAGATACAGGCATTTGTAACTGCTTCAAGAACAGCTCTTAGGATACTGCAGAGCCCGCTTCAGCGTTGTCCGCAACATTGTCTCGTTGGTCGAGTAGACAAAGTTGACCTCTCTCAAGTCTTGAAGACTTGGCTTCAGGATATCCTGGTACGCCCAGATATTACCATAAGTCGGGCTATAAAAGGAGGTGTCGACGTTGACGTAAACTGTAGACATGGTCAGCCAGCCGCATTTCACATACCCAACTTTTCCGACTCACAAGAAGTCTGATTCAAGATAGCACTGGGATCCAACATAACCATAGTCGTGATCTCATCCCACAGCGGCAGATAAGTCTCGGAATAATCCCGAGCGAGCTTGGTGTACGGGGTTTGGATTTCGTAGGCCTCCTCTAGGTAGGCTGTATCCGCAAAGTAGGCGTTGGCTGCGTTCGAAACGAGTGCTGAGTAATCAATCAGTAACATTTCCACCGCCTCGATTCTGGATGAAGTCGTCTTACTGATGTTAGGAAAGGCAGCCGTCAAGACAATCTTAGTCGCCTCGGGATCAGCCTTAAAGTTAAACTAAGTCCTGGAATTAGCCGTTGTCGAAACCACGAAACCGAACCAAAGTCCCTACGTCGGTATTGATATCCGCTTGATCCAAATCACCGCTCGTCATCAAAAGGTTATTATCGGCAAAGCCGCCCATGATGTACAACCCCTTGGTCAAGGCCGCAAACTCGGGATCCATCCTCACGGCCAGAGCGAGGTTCGTCAACGCCCCGCCGCTGTAGAATACAATCTCGCCGGGATAGGTATGGACCTGCTCGATCATCCAAGCAGCCGAGTAGTTACCCGCCACCGTGGTGTTCGGGTATCCCTCGTACAGCGCCGCGGGACTGGAATGGGGAACCCCACCCGTCGCCTCGCTGCCGAGCGATTCGGCTGTTTCGTTATACTCTGCGAACACGCCTTTCTATACGTACAAAATCAGTCTCGAGAGACCAAGGGAACAAGTGATTAGAGCCAGGAAATTCTTACCCAAGGAAACGGCCCCATCAGATTCTGATACGCCGTCATAATTTTCGGCGTGACCAACAACGGGTAATCAGCGCCCTTGTACACAGGAATACAAGACAAGTTGCCGACTTCAAGGAGGGCCAGCGCATGCAAACTGCTCTGAAGGGCCCAAGTGTTGGCCGTATCGCCAACAAGACCCAGGACGTCCCAGCCGTAGTCGAGCGCCATGAGGAACTGACCGGCCGCAGTCGTGCTCCAGTCATTCTCCATGATAACCTTCTGGCCGCCGATGTTGGGCCTGGTGGCGGCCAATGCCCCGCTGGCCAAGAGCCCTGTTATCTGAAGCAGCTTCATCGTGGTGCAGAAGTTGACTGTACGAGCAGAGTTTCTAACCTGAAGTCTAAACAGAAGGCTTGTTTACTTAGATTGTTGAGGCGCTGCCCTGCTTACTTATACCTACCGCTTGACGACATTGTGGAGTAGACTTGCTAATATCAGGCCTCGGCACACACTACCCGACAGAGCACTACTCCGTCATCGACGCAGGAACGCCGTAAGTAGGGCACGGTTATTTGGAGTCGTTATTTAAGATACAGTAGTTAGGTGGCAATCAATTTGTTACCCTGTCAGGTACCGCCAAGCCACCCGATCCAAAAAGGGGTAAGAGGCTGCCCGCTGCTTTCACTACTGCTGTAACCACAACAACAATTGGGGTGAGTATACAAATAGACAGTTGAAAAGCAGCAATATATCGTACCCTTTTTCAGACTTACCGGCTTGGTGGTACCTGACAGTGTAGTGAATTTATTGCTACACTATGTAGGCCACACGAAATCAATGGATCCAAGTGCAAAAGGAGATGGATGACGGATGATGTAAATGCAGGGTTGAACTGAGGGTGTGGAACCCTGAAGCGCGTCTGTCGCCCGAGTCCGATACTAAACGTCCATTGTGACTGGTTCAGAACCGTGGTTATCTCTTGATTATCATCGGCGTGGATACTCCCCTTGCCTCTCATCTTAGCCGCGTATCGGGAAACCCCAGACTGTCATTAAATCACTCAAGTGCCGATTGCATGGGGGATCCATGCCATACCAGATGTTTCATTGGCAGATTCGGTTCGATTTTCCGCAAACGGCCAGAGCCTTTTCAACGGTAGCGAGAGCGGTGATACGGTGAAATCATATTCAAAGTAACGAGTGTAGCCAGTCTGTATATCCAAATGTAGCATTACTCCTTGCACCATTGCCGTCCTCCTATAATCGTGAATAAAACAAAAGAAACATATGTAACGTAGATAGAAAAAACTAGCGTGTCGAAAATTGGTAACGTAGTCCACAAGCGAACGGGTCACCAACCGAACGGGTCACGCCCATAGCAAAAAATAGAACTAAACTTCCTAACTTTACCACGCAACTAATTCTCGATGGATTCTGCTCAAAAAGAATCTCAATTACTCCTTGCAACTCAGGCTATCAGAAATGACTCAACACTTAGTATCCGACGTGCTGCAACAATCTACAAAGTCTCGAATACTACTCTCCAGGCGCGTCTTCAAAAACGTCAATCACGTCGCAATATCTAAGCCAACGGTCGGAATTTAACAAAACTAGAAGAAAATACGATTATTCAAAGGATAATTAAGCTAGATTCGCAAGCATTTCCTCCCCGGCGAAGTGCTGTTGAAGATATGGCAAACCGACTGCTACGCGACTCGCATATCACAAAGGACTTTCTTCCGGCATTTTGCGACGCGTTCAAGAAGAGCCTGACCGAAAGCAATATTTCACCAATGGGTTAGATTGATGCTTAGATTGATCACTGAAGTAGAGACTGTCTATCTATGAAATGCCTGGGAGTCCTGTCCCTTATATACCCATCTCTCCTTCACTGAACCCCACTTGGATATGTTGGTTGTCCAACATATCCCCCCTGTAGGTCACGTGACCTATCGGTCCTTTCCTTCCTCCGATGCGGGGTCCCGTGATCCTAGTGTCTGTATCCACCTGGCCTGCCGACGGGCCTGTAATGTTGGTTCAGGGCCAACGGTTCGTAACATTTCGCTTGTCCTGGGCTGTTCGGATCGCTGATAAGTTAACGAATACTTTATTCGGGTCTGGCTCGACGGGCTGGCGTATATCTGGAGCGTATTTATCGAGTTCTTTCTATAGTTGCTCGTTTTCGATACGTAATTTGGCATTCTCGGCGGCCTGGAGTGTAAGGGCCTTGCCCGCCTTGCCTACTAGGGTACGAATCTTACGAGATACCCCGCCCTCGGCTTTCTCTATCGACTGTAGTTGGCTAGATAGTTGCTGCGCTTTCTGAGGTAAAAGCAATTAAAGGTGGTGATATATGAGGCGGAGGATCTGGTGTATGAGGCTCCGGAGGATCACAAGATACGTCGACTAGTCCTTCGGAGCCTAGGGGCCATATACCAGTCTTCCGCCAGCCAGATTTAATATTTTCCGTAGTAAAGGCTCTCTCCGAGGCACGTAGATATGCTTCTAGCATACGTTGCTTGTAAATTGGGGCTGTAGCCTTGTAGGAAGCGTAAGCCCTGAGCTCTTGGCGGTAGTAGGTCTTCACAGATGAGAACCGCCCGACATCGCACGGGCTGGAGATCGTCACTGCAGTGTGAGGGTAAATACAGCATGGCGACTCTATTCGAGTAGGCTTTCCACATAAATTCGGCATGAATGTGTCTGGTGGCCGTCGAGGATAAGGAGTCGCCATTCGGTACCCCTAGGCTTCGTCTCGGGGAGAAAAACCTGATCTAACCACCTATTTGCGATAACTTTATTACTCCAGCCCTTACTCGTCGCGGTGAATTCCCACTCAGGGATATTTTGGTCTGGGAACCACTGTGCTTGGACTCTCTTGCCGGAAAATACGCAGACAGGTGTACCCCGTTGGGTATGCGAAATGTACTCTAACCAGGAGCACCACGACGAAGCATCCGACTTTGATACACGTACCCGGCGTGAATGAGACGTCCCAATAACCGTACCATGCCCAGGTTCCCCCTCTTGGACACCTGTCTCATCCATATTATACTCGTTGTCGGGTTTGATACGATACTTCGTACGTAAGCGTTCGAGGAGGGTGTAGAAGTCTCGGATCTTGTTCGAATCGGACGCTCTAACTCGGCTAGCATCTACGACGCGCCCAATTTTGGTACGTATCTGTGGATGGCGGCTAACGAAGTGATCCACCCAGTGTTGGCCGATTGTATTGTTATCCCCTTGAGCAAGGAGGATTTTGGCAGCGAAGTCGGCCACATAACGCTTGCTAGGAGCCCGTCCACACACTTCTTCGTGTAGGATCCAGTTCACGATAACCTCCTCTTGCTCTGGAGTCAACTTTTGTTGCCTGGAGGCCGCGTCGCGATACGAATTACCGTGACGAATACGGTAGGACAGTGTAGTCCCCTTGATACCGTACCGATGAGCTGCTACGGCCTGGGAAGAGCCCTGACGGACAAGCTCTTTAGCGCGTTCGATCCGCTGCTCAAAATCGTCCAGACTATTATCCACTGGATTAGCCATTTTGTACGTAGATAGGGAGCAATTGCGAGGTAAATTGAGAGACGTCGTGTTGTTGAGGCGTAGAAATTCCCTGCAAAATGGGGGTGCATGCAAAAAGGTGGTCAATGCGGTTAGACTCTAGGCACAGGTACCACCGCCACCTCCGCGTCTACGACAGCATCAGCATCGACCCTGTCTGCTTCTACTGTCGCGGTTGGTACCGGACCATAATCATCTTCCTTGAGAAATACTAACCCATCGTCAGTTTCGAGTCCAGAAAGAGTCAACCAATCAACAGAACTTACCGTGTGGCCTTAGAAATAGACTGGCCATCAGCGCCAATCCAAAAATGGACGTAAGTAGCACGAAGAATGCCTGTGGGAACAGGTCCACGGTGGCGGCGTAGAGCCCGTTAAACATAATAGGCGAGAACACCCGACCCAGCGCATGCAGAAGACCAATGGCCCCCAGCAGAGACCCGACACGCTCGGGGGTACGTGCTTGGTGACGGTGCTTTGGATCACTGCGCCACCCAGCCCGCCAAAGGAGGCTATGATGCCGGAGATAACAAAAAGCTCCCCCGACCGAGCGACCGCGTAGCCCAGGATGCCGGCCACGTCCGAAAAGAGCGCAAGGCGCAACATCCAAATGTCCAGCTCATCAGCGCCGGAGTTCGTCTCGGCGCCTTGCCCGCTTGCTTGGCGCTGGCGTTTCAAGGCGCTCGGGCGGAAGAAATAGTTGAAGAACGGGAACCCGCCGAGTAGAATAAAAACTCGTGTGAAACTCAGAAGGGATAGGAAGCGCGACGCTTCGAAGTTGCCCCAATCGAAAATGTACTCAACGTATAGGATGGTGACGGTGCCGGACCCGAACGCAGCGGCCAGGATCACGGTGTCGATGAGGGCGAGAATAATCATATTGCGCCTTAGGCTAGCATTGTGGTGTCCGCGCGGGACTAGTATCTTGAGGGGCGCAAACGGGTTAGCATTGAGAAGCGCCGGGAGCCACTTGCCCATGCGATAGCTTGTCATATCAGAGGCGGTGGGTCCAATGACGCGCGCTAGCGCATTTGGAACATCGCAGCGCAGCTGATTTGCGAGAGTATCCTGCTCAGCCTTGTATTTTTCGCGTGCAATCATCTGCCTCTTCTCCGAAAGCGACTCGGGCGTGACGAATAGGATAAATAGGATAAAGAAGATATGGCAACCAAGCGTGACGTAAAAAATTGACAACAGAGATCCGGTCCACTTGACGAAGTAACCCGACAGCAGAGGCCCAAAGGCAAGCCCCGTGAAGAGAGAAGCGTGCAAGTAACCCATGTAGACTCCCCGTTTTGAAGGGGGAGAGCAATCACTCGTGTAAGAGGCCCCGAGAATACTGCCAGCAGTGAACGAGCCAGTTATGCCGTCAAAGAAGGAGCCCAGAATCAACCAACGGTAGTTGATGGCGTCGGGGTATTTGGCAGCCAATATCGTGATAATCTCGTTTACTACACCGCCGCATGAGGCGACGCAGAGTAACTTTGTCCTGCCGAATCGGTCTGACAGTGAGCCCAGCTTCGGAGCTGTCAGCGCACACAAAATACCCACTAAGACGGTTGTGACAAGCGTGAAGGTGGCAACACTGCGCTGCACAACAGGTGTGGTGCATTGCGGATTATCGCTACCCAATACGACGGGGAGAAAGGGGAAGGTCGGGTCCTCTAGGGCGCGATCGGCGAAGTAATTGTGGCAGACCAGGTCAATGATTCTGATTGGCAGGCTTATGTTAGTTGATCCTCCACGCAACATCCGCTGGTTGCAGTAGGTGGGGGATGGTTGTCCAGCTTACAAATTCAGTTTCGGGACAATGACACCGCCAAAAGCGACTGTGAACAAAAAATACGGGCCTAGAAGCCAGTACACCTAATCGTTGAGTCAGTTCCAGGGGTCCAAGAAACTAAGTGACGGTCGTTTTTCAGTCCGACCCGAAGGAGTGGTAACATACGGACGGTCGCCGCCACTGGGGCACGTCTTCAAAATCCTCAAGGCCTGCCCAACTGTGGTTCTGCGTGGATTCATTACCCGAGTCCCCGTATCGTTGAGTGTCCGCACCCAGCAACGGCGTCGTCTCGTCCAACGTGTCGACCATGTCGATCTGCTTTCTCCTATTCTTAGTAGGTTGTAGTCCGCGCCCCATCTTACTCGCGCGGCTTGTGTCTGCTTTCGCGTGTGTAGCCGATCGATCGAAGCTGCGGACTCGAATGTGTACCTGTGATGTTCTCAGCTAATGCGCACTTACGAGCGTACTGTGTAGGCTGTGTAGGTCAAGATTAGTGCGCGCAAAGCCATCCCAGGAGATGGTTGAAGTCTTCAGATCAACAGCAGAAGGCGAATAACGAGAAACGCTCTAGACTCTGGCCTCGAGACAAGGCGGGTAGCTCTATATATATATTCCGGCCATTGCTCAGACTCAGACTCTTATTCGGTGGACACTAGGGTGGGCCGCCGAGTAAAACAGTTCGGAACTGACTGTGTCAAAGTTGGAAGTGGGCCATCGTAAGAATCCCTTGAAGGTGGATCATCGCTGCCCATCCCTGCCATGTGATGTGAGAATAGTGAGGTAGGTTCTTTTTACCGCCATTGCCCTGGTCAAGGGGAATCAACGTGGCAGGCCGCCGCACTGCCTGCTGGGATGCTCTCACTATCTAGTGGATACAACACCCATTTTAAGCTACTGGTCAACGCATACAAATTGTGTGAGAGGTCAAGTATCGGTTTACCCGGACAAGGGTGGTGTCATTACTCTGTAAGCTTGAAAACAATCATAAGACTAGTAAACATTATGGGGTGTTGTACTGCGCTAACAATCTGCTTCACCTGGAGAGGTGTACATAACTAACGCAGTACACTGGACCGAACCGAGTGTCCGGAAACGCCGAGTTAGGAGCAGAGAGCCCAAAGTAAGACATTCCAATGCATTTCCGTGAGGCTGACATTTGTTCCGTTCCATGTTGACGGCTTAGGCAGTACGACTACGTGTGCTTGATGTGTATTCAAATTTGCCGTAGTAGCAGTTATCTGGGAATTCTCATCTGTTGGCTCTTGGGATACGCACCAAAGAACTTCCCACGATAAAATCGATGACGCCATGACGTCAGTAGGCGAGGTAGTCGTGGATGAAGTGATCAACGGCCCATGTCGGGCTAATTGTAGATCATATCCGAGTTGTATGGGGATTACGATTGTCTCGGATCCAAGCTCTGGGCACGGTCGTTAGCGTTGCAGTATTACGGCCGCGAATGCTGCGTCACTTGAAGAAAGGCAGCCAACAAGTCTGCTATGTTAAATCTATGTTGAACCTGAATCCGATGATAAGGCTTGACTACTGCGAGCTCCGCGGAGCTTCTCTGTCTGTTATAAAGAATTGTGACTATCCGGAAACATGGTGATTCATGATTCGCGGATCGAACTAGACATCCATAAGGCGCAAACTCGATGGGCCAACATGCGATTTGTTGCCCGACAATCATGGCGAAGACAAATGACGCATTCGCATTTATGCCGCAAATGCGTTCTCCACACCGGCAAAAAACTTTTTCGACTCAACGCACTTTTCGCTCTTGCACCCCGGACACCGGAGACCCATCTGGTACGAACAAGCGACGCGGTTGTCAAGATGCGACTTCGCAATAGTAGCTAGAGCATCAATGAAGATGGGGCTGCCATTCAAGCTCTCGACGCGTTTCACCGTGTCCGCATGACCCGACTCTCCTATCACCTCTTGGTCCAGCTCGTAGAGCGTCTCGATGTGATCCGACGTGAAGGCAATTGGGATCAAAATAAGATCCTTCTGTCCCTTGGCGATGTAGTTCTCCACCGAATCGGATGTTTGGGGACCAAGCCAGGCCGATGGGCCGACTTGCGATTGCCAACACAGTCTGTATGGATTGGAAAACGCCAGACGCTGCATAACGGCATATACTGTTGCTGCCACTTCGGCAGGATATGGATCTCCTGATGACGGGTTAGTCGCGACCATGATGGGCCTCGAAGCATTGGCCGTACCTCTGTTTACCACGCTCATTGGCAAGCTGTGAGCTGAGAATAATAGCACCACCTTGTCCCTTCTCTCCTTGGGATACTCTGACAGCTTGTCCTCAATGTTCTTGGCGAAAGCTTCAACAAGCCCCGGGTGAACCGGCCACCTGTCAATGACACTCCATTGAATTGTGCCACGGCCGGCTTTGCCTTCCAAGCGTTGGCGCCATTTCCAGAGCTCGTTCAGGCTGCTTCCCGTCGTCGAGCAGGAGTATTGAGGGTATTGTGTAAATGCCACTGCTCTGCCGCCCTTGCCGTTTCCGAAGCCGTCCGCGAGAAGTTGTTTGTACATCTCTTCAGTCAAGGGATCAGCGTATCGGAATGCGACGTAGGGTTTATGGGGTGCGGTCTCGGGTGATATCTTGTCGAGGATCTTGCACATCTCCTTGTTCTGATGTTCGGACCACCTGCGGATTGGCGAGCCTCCTCCAATAGAGGCATATTGTTTTTTGATTTTGGGAGTTCGGCGGCTTGAGATTAGAGGTCCTAAGTAGTTTTGCAGCCGCCCTAACGGAATCAGGTCGCCATCAGCCTGTAGAGATGTTAGTATTTAAGTACGGTCAATGGTCTTAGCATCATCGGCGTACAAATAGTCGACTCAAAAAGTCACCAACTTCGTCCGTTGTTGACGGACCGCCCATGTTCAGGAAGACCATGGCGGTCGGGCCCTGGGAACCGACTGCATTCTGCGTTACGGGCGGCACTGGTGTCGCAAAGGTCCGCATCTGTATTATTCTGTGCTTGGGAAGTAGGAGGGATGGAAGGGCTGGGCTTGCTGAAGCTGGTGATGCGGTAGAGCAAGCTCTCTTGGAGAGCTGCCCTGCAGAGTGTCGCAGAGACATGTTTGATTCGCGTCGCAAAACCCGACGCGCAGTACGGAGTGGTGTCGCAGAAAAACGAAGCAGACAGGTGAATAATATGCGCTAGAGCTCAGTGCTCTCATCTAGAAAAAGCACAAGTGTTGCATGGAGTTCCAATAATGGCTAATGGAAGGAAAAAACTCTCCCCAACAACTGTCATGAAATGATGCTCTCATACCGCCAAGCCAAAATGCACCTGCCGTCCCAGAAGCTCGGACCAGAGCAAGTCCCCGCGATTAGTGACCAAAATGAAGTGACCAATCAGATTCATTCAATTGAAGAGCGCTTCAGCCACGACGTGGCTTCTTCGCGAAGGCCCTCCAATGCCGAATGTTAGCGGTTGATTGTTATGTCAGGTGAGTTCGCGTTGCGCGAGGCATGACTTCCGGTGACGCGGTTGCCTGGCGTCAACCCCTGGCATCGACGTTTCTGGCGTCCTGGTTGCCTGAGAACCTGGGATTTTGAAAAGCCACTCAACACATGCTGTAATCTTCCTCATGTTTCAATCTATTCCGTGGAATCACCAAAGTCCCTGAAAGCAGACCGTTTGTAGAATTGCGACCGGCATCATGAGTGGCCGAGGCGACTATGAGCAACGAGACGGCGATGAAGAGGAGGAGGAGGAAGAGGGTCTGGATGAGCATGTATGGGCAGCTGCACTCACTCGCATCCACCCGTCAGTCGCTGACGGTTGCCTAGGACTACAAACATCAGAAAGATGCGCTACTCTTCGCGATCGAGGTCAGCGATTCAATGATGAAGAAGCCGCCTCCGTCAGATGACAAGAAAGCCGACAAGGACAGCGCACTGTCAGCCGCCCTGAAGTGCGCCTATCAAGTCATGCAACAGCGTATCATTTCCAGCCCTAAAGATATGATGGGCATTCTTCTCTTTGGGACGGAGAAGACCAAGTTTCTTGATGAGAGCAACCTCGGATATCCCCACTGCTATGTCTACACACCCCTGGATGTGCCGGACGCAGTCGATGTAAAGAAATTGCGGAGCTTGGTTGAGGACGATGAAGACTCGGAGGAAGTTCTGAAGCCGTCGGCCGAGAAAGTCAACTTGAAAGATGTGCTCTTCTGTGCCAACCAGATCTTCACCACGAAGGCACCCAACTTTGGGTCTCGCAGGTTGTTTATCATCACCGACAATGATGATCCTCACTCCGGCAACAAGAAGGAGAACGAGTCTGCAGCAGTCCGAGCTAAGGATCTTTACGATCTTAGTGTCATCATCGACCTGTACCCAATTACTCGTGAGGACGAAAAGTTCGACTTCACCAAGTTCTACGACGTGGGTTCGTATCTGTCGTTGTTTTGTACGCGTCGCTAATGTTCATCAGGATATCATTTACCGAAACCCCGCGGCTGAGGTCACACAGCCCAACCGAGTCAACAGCTCAAAATCGGGGGATGGCTTAACGTTACTGCATGCGCTGGTGTCCAACATCAATGGCAAGCAGACGCCAAAGCGCGCGTATTTTTCAAACTGTCCGTTTGAGATTGGCCCAGGCTTTCAGATCTCAGTAAAGGGCTATAACATCATCCAGAAGCAGGTACCCGCAAGAACTTGCTATGTCTGGCTTGACGGTGAGAAGGCCCAAATTGCCGTCAGCGAGACAAGTCGCCTCGCCTCGGATAGTGCCCGAACCGTTGAAACAGGCGATATTAAGAAGGCCTACAAATTCGGTGGCGAATACGTCTACTTCAGCCCAGAAGAGCAGAAATCGTTAAAGGACTTCGGTAATCCCATTATCCGGGTCATCGGTTTCAAAGATCGATCCCTGTTGAAATTCTGGATGTCGATTGACAAGTCCATCTTCATCTACCCCAGTGAGGAACACTATATTGGCTCTACGCGTGTCTTCACAGCATTGTGGCAGAAGCTGCTAAAATCAAAGAAGATTGGCATCGCCTGGCACATTGCACGAAAGAACGGAAACCCCAAGCTGGTCGCCATCATTCCTTCGAGCGCTCAGAAGAATGAGGGGACCCCGGGAGAGTATCTACCAGCTGGCATGTGGCTCTTCCCGATCCCGTTCGCCGATGACGTTCGCGAGCCCCCGGAGACGACCTGCGTCCGAACGACGGATGAACTGACGGACAAGATGAATTTGATCGTACGGCAACTGCAACTGCCAAGTGCCACTTACAATCCCGCCAAATACCCAAACCCAGCTCTGCAGTGGCACTACAAAATACTCCAGGCCCTAGCTCTTGACGACGAAGTCCCCGAGACACCGGATGATGCCACGGTGCCCAAGTACAAGGCCATCCACAAGCGTTGCGGTGGCTATATCGAAGAGTGGTCGAAAGTCGCCGACGAAGCACTGGGACGGCACGAGGAGCACAAGTGCATCAAGCGGGAAGCAGAGGATGATGACGACGAGCCTCGTCCTGCTAAGAAATCGAGAATAACTGTGAGTAAGAACGCTAACGGTGATTCCGGCTCGGCGCTCAACGACGCGGCTCTAAAGAAGCGCATCAAGGCGGGCGACCTGTCAAAACTGAAGGTTGCCGAGCTGAAGCATATCCTCGCCGGCCGCGGGCTAGATAACAAAGGCTTGAAGGCCGATCTGGTTGACAGGCTTGAGCAGTGGGGCGAGGACAATTTGTGATACTAGCAAGCTGATGTATATGGATCATTATGGGATTAGTTGGCGTTAAGGAGGTTACTTAGGCATGCGTGACTATGGAAACCATGTGGCATCATTTCATGTTCCATAGGCCAATGATTAGGAGGAACCTTGATGGGCGGCATGATCAGAATGTGCCCTTGTACGCTAAACCCATGATAAGCATGCCTCTTTTGTGGAGTTGAGTTCGCTCTTCTGCAGTGGCAATATTCAAAATCTGACCATTTGCTGTCGTGCAACTGGTGTAGGTAGACAAGCCACACGAATCCAAGTGTTGATTGTTGGCAACTCAGCGAGAATTGCGGTCCAACCCGAGAGGAAGAACTTGGTAAGAAAGCAATGAGTTTCCGAGGTCTGCTCTAGATGCCCTAGGTTCAGACATAATATGGCACTAGAGAAGACTAGTGTCACTTAAAGTTCAGACGGCGAAACGAACCCCTTTTCCCAAAAGTAACACCAAAGTTACTGTCCACTTACGGGTCAGACACCTCATTCATATACAATCTTACGCCCCCCTTGCCATAGGTAAAGGGAGACGCGTTTATATCTATCCTATCCATCGGGATACTTGAGTCTCTTCGTCTGTCCTTACCCATACACATGCGCGCATGTATTCGTCGTGATCATCATCATCATCGTCGTACAGCTCGCCTCCCCCTCTTCGTGTGTCATCAGTCTTCCACCCTCCCTTCACACTCGACTATGCACTAGCCGGCCCCTGACCCACACTCTCTTCGTATTCCGATCATCGCCATTAAACAACCACTTGGCGACTCTGTCCTCCCAGCTCTCCCAGCCAAACAAATCTACATTCCCCTCGTCTTCGCCTTCAACCTGATCAACCCCCTTGCCCTCAGCCACCTCCCCCACGACTCCCAGTCCAACCAACTGCGCATCCCACTCCATGCCGACCTCAAACCCCCCAACTTTTCCCTCAAGCCCAACCACGGCGGCGCCACCCTTCGTAGCTAGATACAACACCTCCTCGACACTCAACTTGGCCCTTTCTCTCTCCTCCGCCGAAACTTGCTGCACCATCATCGTGGCCGCATCAGCAGCCCCACCTTTTCCATCCCCCATCGCCAAATGTCGACTGACCAGACAAGCCAACCGAGCCGCCTCAAGGATCGAAGGGCTATACCCACCACTCATATCGGTGCCGAGCCCAACTCCAATCCCCTTATCCAACAACCAGCGGACGCGCGCCTCACCACTTGTAATGGCACTATTGCTACACGGACAATGGGCAACCTTGGACCCCCTAGCGGTAATGAGCTCCGCTTCATCCTCGCTCAAATGGATAGCATGTGAAAGGATCGTTTTCGGGGTAAGCAAACCGCAGTCATCGTAGACGCCGGCGTAGTGTTCGCTGTCGGGGAACAAGTCGCGGACGAGGGTGATCTCGTTGACGTTCTCGGAGATGTGCGTCTGCACCGGCAATCCCGTCTCGGCCTGCAGGGCACCGAGGCGCTTCATGGTGTCGGCTGTGCAAGAGGGGGCGAAGCGCGGGGTGAGGATTGGGGTGATGAGGTCATAGTTGGGGTCGATAGAGCGGATGTGCTCGATGCTCGCTTTTGTGGCGCTGAGGGCTGCTTCGGGAGACTCGTCGAGGTAGTAGGACGGACCCAGACGGTCCATGCAGACGCGGCCGACGAAGGCGCGCTGGCCGAGGGAGAGGCAAAGGTCGGCTAGGAGGCTGGTTGAAGGGACCGAGATGGTGGCGTAGTAGGCGGCTGTTGTGGTGCCGTGGGCCAGCGTGCGCCGGATGCAACGCGTGTACACACGACGCGCTTTGGAAAGCGAAGACAGTGACGCCTCCATGGGAAAGGTGTAGGTGTTGAGCCAGTCCAGCAGCGTCGACTTGCCGAAGATGCCTACATTGGGATACTGCGAAGCATGGATGTGGGTATCTGCGTAGGGCGCTTAGTTCCTGATGTAATGCTCAATTCGAAAGAAGGAGACTCACCTATAAATCCCGGAAAGAAGAACTGTCCCTCCTTGCACACATGCACTTGGACATCGGCCGCGTCCCAGCCCAGTTTGGCAAACAGAATTTGCTCCGCCTTTTTCGCGTCACACTCACGCTCCACCGCCACGATCTTGCCAGATGGGTCGACGCAGACGACGGTATCATGGAGATATTCCAGCTCGTCCAGCTTCTTGCTGTGGACAAAGGTTCCCACGAACGCCTGCTTCTTCGCGTTGCCGCTGTTTGACGCCATAGTTTCTGTCGTCTTGCCCTCTCAGCTCAGTCCTCCTTGACGAACAACCTGCACGTAATGAAGAGTCCCGACTTCGGATGCGACCTTCCAAACAGTCTGCCCAATGTTGAATCGGAACTGGTCACTGCAGTTCCAAGTCTCTCAATGTCATCTGTAGCCTTGGTCAATAAATGTATGACCTCTCAATCAGCTGGCTATATCTCGGAGGATTTGTGCTCACGTATTTCTCGCACGTATTTCTCGAAGGAAAAAATATCCGCAATTCTAGATATCCGTTCCTGCCAATGGACTGGGAACAAAGAAACTGCAAGGTGGGTTGCTATCTTGTCACACTCTCCAATTATAGTCGGAACTTTCTACGTTCCTGCATTTGATGTAACCGCCAGCTCTGACTGTGGGAGGCGGAGGGATAGGGAGCTTCGCACAGTGCCCCCGCCCGCCAACCCCGGTGGCCGCCGGAGCCCGTAGCCGCTGGATCTCCATCCTAAATTATTCACTATTATCTTTACCTAAGTGTATACTTTGACTGCCCTGATCTCCATAATTCTTCACTTCAACAACCAGATGAGCTCCATGGTTATGACTACGGTGCAAGTTTTCCGTCGTGCAACGACAGCAATGACACAATGCTTCGGCAAGGATCTTGAGGTACGTAGTCTTCAACATATTTAGGCTTCATCATTGAGCTAGAGAACGGCAAAATGGTATCATCCCGCCGGCCGCCCCGATATTGCTCGGCTCCGCCTAATCAAACCTAATGCTATATACAAGATTCGTGAAAGAGCATTTGTGCACCGGCAAAAAACATCCCTTCAGGCCTTTCTAGCCTGGTTATGATGCCGTGCAGCCAACTTGATGGCAAATTCCTCCACACAACACGAAATTTTCATCAAATCCCTTTCAACACATACTGCGCATGGATATTGGATACGAAACCACGACCGCTATCCGCAATCAGTTGCCCCTCGAGCTACTGGCCCTCAACAAGTCATAAATGTCATCTGAGCCTCCGTATCCATGACTAGAGTACCCCGATACACTAGATCGCTGGCCCTGATAAGGACCCGGGTGGCCCAAGCCTGCCGTGTTGCCATAGCCGCCTCCCCTAGAATTGCTGCTGTAGCCGGTACTGTTGGCATTGCTGTTGGCTGATGCGAACCCATACCAGTTCTGGTCTTGGTTCTGCTGCTGCGATGCACTTGGTTGCTGCGACGAATACGAGTTATACGAATGCGGCTGCGACTGTGTCTGCGACTGTGTCTGCGACTGTGTCTGTGACTGTCCTCTGTACGTAGGATTTTGCGAAGTCTGTCGCCGTGACGAAGACGGGTCTCTCGCATACGACTGCGACGAAGGAGCCTGCGCACCCGAAGACGACAGGCCGTATGGATCGGTAGTGTTGGATGCCGCACTGTTCGATTGGGCTGCGCGGCTCTGTGGTGTGGTCCACTGGTTTACACTTGTGCTCGTCGAGGTACCATATCCAGCGGACGTATTAAGGGCATGGCTTAGAGGATTAGTCGAGCCAGTGCTTCGTGAATAGTCGTATGAAGGTGTTGTATACGAAGACGCTGCTGAGGTCGACTGCGTAGTGTATGAGCTCGGTTCATATGCGATTCGGGATGAAGCTGGGTCGTTACTCGAGCTGGAGTCCTGATCATTGCTCGTGCTGTTGAAACGACCGTATACGTCATAGGATGACACGGAGTTCGAGGCTGGTGTTGCGGTTGTAGGGCTGTACGAGCTGTTGATGGTTTGATGTGCAGGAGGGACTTGTGATGGTGGAATCGGGGTTTGTGCGACCGGAGTATTTGTCTGCGATGTGTGTTCTTGTCGAGATTTTGAGCGAGCGTTTAGGTTCTGCGCCGCACTTTGATGCGGAGATTGAGATTTTGGCGCTTGGGAAGAATACCTTCGCTGCTGTGTTGTTTGAGAGGGGGCAGTAGTGTGCTGCAACGCATCGTACATGGGAGGACTAGACTCAGCCTCAGGTCTGCATGACTTTGGACGTTTTGCTTCTTGTTGTTGAGTGAGAGTAGGTGACTGGGTGGTAGTCCGTCTAGCAACTGCTGACAAATTTGGCAGGTCGTTCCATCCCGGTGTGGATTGCCCATGTGTTGCATCCGCAGTCTCAGCTCGATGAGATGCCGTTGGCAAGTTATGCCGATTACTGTCCTTCGAAGGAGACGGATTCGGTCGCTGGCTTTGCTGAGTTATGGATGGTTGCGACGGGAATGTCAAGCCTGAGGGCTGTTCCCGCGGCGTAGTATGTGCGACTAAGGGGAATGTTAACCCCGATGGCGGCTGAGATGTCTCCATGTGAACCTGCACGGATTCGGAGAATGAGAATTCAGAGACTGCGCCGGTTCTCTGCGGTGCCGGTTCAGGATGTGTTGCCGGCGAAAATGTTAGGCCGGAATTGCTGTGCACTTTAAAAAAGTTCGTGACCGATTGCTGGGGTTCGGGGTGCGCAAGATCAATTGGTCCAGAGAGGATGTTTGGATCGGGGATGAATTCGTCATTATCAGGATCCATCTGTGCCGTTTGAGCAACTTGGGTATGGTGTTGCTGCCGTTGCACTTCTGATTGCTCTTGCTGTTCTAGTACATTTTGCGGATAATCTTCCTGGCACGGTTGCTCGTCCTGTATAGGCTGGGCGAACTCATCTTGCGAGGGTTGTTCGGTTTCGACAGGAATATCTGATTCGTCATTTTCAATGACTTCAGCCGACTTCTCCGACTTCCTCTTAGGTTTCGGCTTCGCGAATGCATAGTAACACTTTTCTCTTGCATCGCTGCACACCGAGCATACAGGATGCTCCTTTGTGCATTTGGCTTTCTTCTGTTTGCAGGTATCACAACCTCCTCTGGTCTTCATCTGTTTCGGCTGCGCAGACTGATCTGCGCCAGACACAACGCTACCATCAGCAGCTTCAAACCCGGCAGCTTCTGACTTCTTGCTAGGTCGCCTCGTCTTGGAAGGCGTGTCCGTATCACCAGGCATTGATGCGGAGCCAGCACCAGCAGGAGTGTTCAACCCGGTATTTTGCGCTGGCGTGGAATTGTTGGAACCTTGCTCTTTCTCGTCAGGATGCACAATTCTCAGCCGTTCAGCACCATACTTAGCTAGCATGTCGAGAGACAGCTCTTGCAGATGCGGCGCCTGGTTCGCGAATATGTTGAACTGTTCTGCTGAAAGTGTTGCCGGATCAATATCCTTTCCAGTGAGGAGTGTGATGGCAACCTCGCGGCGTCTTGCAGCTTCTGCTGGAGGCACATTTAGAATTGATGCTGTATGGACAGCCCCTGGTGCTGGTAATGGAGTAGCTGCCGCTTGCGATAATGCTTCGTCCAGGCTGTCCTCCACAGTTTCACCACCAGTCCTGCTCTTCCTCTTTACACGCCTCTTGCGCGTGCCTTCTTCCCCTTCGGCAGGCGGGGGACGCTTGGCTTTGGTTGATCTGTTGCCGTTGATGTTAGGATTCGCGACTGGCGGGGGCGTTATTGATGGTACGAGAAGGTTTACTAGGTCTGCCACCGTCTTGTGCAGAGGGGTGTGTTCGTATTTAACAACGACAGCCCTGCTAAATTTAGAAAATGAAATAGTCAATGTACCTCGACAGTCGAATGCCGGCCGAGCTACAAATAAAGTCAGTCGTCCATAGTTCCCAAGTGTATTCGCAATGTGTCATACACAAATTGATGGGATCCAGGCCGCCAACAGCACTGAATAATCCAATGGGTAATCGGTCAGGATTCTTCGCATTTTGTCGGTTCCAAGTCTCGGCCGAGTTCTTGCAGTGATATGTGAAAGTCCAGCCCTGATTCCCCCGCGATACTGAGCGCACATTCCAAGAGCTGCCATCCTCGGCTCCCACAGAGCTAATTATGTGCTTGGCGATAGCTGTTTGAAGTACTGGGTCGTCGGTAGGCTGGTTTTGGATTGTCTCCGAGGCGTTCACTGTTCGCGTGATGGACTGCTGGAGCTGACGGACGGGATCAGCTCCATCCTCTGCGATGCCTTCCGAGTCTGCTGTCAAATAGAAGACGACATGGAATCGGAACTCAAACGTTGCGGAAATGTGTTCCGCCCGAGTCTCGGTGGATTTGGCAGTGATGAGGCTGCGTAGGTGGTCCCGGAGCTCATTGATGGAGTTGCAGGCTTGCGCCCGAGGCGCGTCGCTCGCGCCGAAGATTAGAGCGTCCATGGAAACCATCTACGAAGCCCCAAAGCCAGCCGTCCGTGGTTGCCTACGAGCGCGCTGAATTGGGTCACGACGGCCTGGCGCTGACGTTGGCCGCAAAGGCGATTGATTGAGGCGCTCCGACTCTCGGTTTTGGATGTAGGTTCACGCGATTGTGGAGGACGTTGGGAAAACCAAGACCAGTTAGTTACAAGAGCTGGTCACTGGCTGTGGCTGGTAAGCTGGGGTAGAAAGGTGTTGCAATGCAGGGAACTAGCTACTCTAACCCCACACTTGAACCGTTGAAGTCTCAACTGGGTCTTGGTTGCTCGTCTGGGTTGATACAACAGCATTCTGAGCTTGAGCCTCATCTCTTTTGTCCCTGAGGGTAATTGTTGTCGATTATTTGTTGTTTACTTGAAGTAGGAATCTTATTTTAAACTAGTTGGACCCGAATATTCGGCAATAATGCACAAAACAGGGCCCATGCGAGCAATTAATGACCAACGCACCTAGCTACTTAAATATCCAGCATCTTAACTCTGTTGACAACAAATTGGATTCTCCAATATTGGTTCCGACGCCCTTTTACAGTGAGCCAATCGTGGCAAACGGACACCATTGTGAGTTCCATGGACTGGCTTAGAACCATCGCATCCAAGTTAGTCTCATCAGACAAAGCGCCTCAAACTATGAAGTCGGGAACATCGGTTCTTATTGGCATTCTCAAAGTTGACCACACAGGTCGCATTCGAATAATCTCTTAAGATGTACAAGCAGCAAGGCCCAGCACACGAAACGGAGATGCGGGATGCGTGCAAAGGTACTCAAGTGGGTAAGGAAAATGTTTCTCAGGTCTATTAATCTGCAGTCGATGTGACTCTCTAAACATAGTGCGACAGCAAAAACAATGACTCCTTCTAGTAACCATGCCCGAGTCCACATGAAGCTCCATAATAAATGTGCAACGGCAAAGCCGCACTTGTAATGCCCTTCCGCCCCGTCATTCCAACCCAGTAATGGTGTATATATATAGAACCCAACAGAAACTATACACGGCCCCATCGCCATGACCTTCATGGGCGCCTGATGTCACCACAGTCGTTCGTTATTGGTATCCATTGACCTCAACCTCGGAGTTCTTCACTCCGTCAATGCCATTGACACCAGCAGGTTGAGCATCACCTTGTAGTTCGTCCCAGTTCTGTAAGATCGCTTTGAGATTTGGTGATCCCGTCTTCGCATATACGCTCTCGATGTATTCTTTCGTGATCTCGAAAGGTCTTCCAGTGACGTTGGGAATGTACTTTCCAATGAGTTTCGCAGGATCGACACTCGTCACCTTGATTTGCGAGTTCAGAAAGTTTCGGAACGGCTTCACACCAGAACGCAGGAAGGTGGAATGGAAGGGCACATCGATGCCACGCAGTGGAATGGTAGCCAGTCCTCTCTGAAGCTCAATAGGCGTTGGCTTTGCCTCGGTCTGTTCGGCAGCGCCCCTGATGATGTCGACAAGGTGCTCCTTGACCTCCTCGGGACGGAGCTCCTGCTTTAATTGAACGATATCGACCTTTTGGGCCTTGAGGAAGTTCATCACGCCAGTAAGGGTGTCCAAAGCTCGCAAGTCACCCGCACAGACGTACTGCATGTTCTTGATGTTGTAGTTGACGATTTCCAAGAGCCAGCCGGTCGCCTCGGCAATATTGCCGACCACGAATTCGAGAGCTTCTTCGTTGAATGACTTGGAAATGCGGCTGGGGTTGACCGCGCACATGCCGTAGTTGGAGCGACCTTCGGCATCACGCTCAACGGCAACCTGCATGGTCAAGCCACGGTAGAAGACGACGGATACCAGAGACTCAATAGGCATGACCTCAGCTACAGATGCCAACGCTGCATACTCGCCAAGAGAGTGACCAGCAAACATGGCGTCGGTTTTGACCACACCCTTCGACTTCATATCCTCAAACGCAGCCTTCTCCATGAGCGTAAGAGCAGGCTGGGTGAACTGAGTAGCTGACAGCAGCCCCTGTGGGGACATATAAGTGTACGAGGTTGACTTATCGGAGATGTTCTTAAAGATCTTCTCGGATTTGGTCGACCCGTCCTGAGCCACGGTCTCGAACTTCATGTCCATGTACTTCTGGCGGATGGCCTTGCCCTTGGAACCACCAAAGTGGACAGTGAGCTCTTTCGGATTGTTTCGCACGATGTTGATGATCGAGAAGCCTAGATTGGTCAGTGAAAGATCAATGTATGCAAGCCACGACACTTACCATAGTTGTCCATGAGGTACTTGTCAGCTCGATCCCAGACTTCCTTCGCGACTGGACTGCGGTCGTACAAGTCCATGCCCATGCCTTGCTCCTGGGAGCCTTGACCGGTGAAGAGGTAAGCGGTTCGGGGTTGCTCAACCTCGGCCTCACCTAGCAAAACTTTCTCTTCCGACTCCTTGTTTATCGCTTCCACCTTGATAATCTTGCGACCGCCAACCATGGCCACATGCTCAAGCTTGACTTGGATGTCATCATTGGGCAATACCATACCAACCAAGGAAGCATGGAAGCTTCGAACGCGGCCAACATTGTTTTCAGCGGCCCAAGTCTCAACGAGACTTCGAACGGCAGCACTCGAATACATGCCGTGGGTGATGGTGCCTGGCAGGTTGGCATATGCCGAGAAAACTCGAGACACATGGATGGGATTGAAATCACCAGAGACTCGGGCATAGTTTTCATTGGAAGCTGGCGCCTTCAGCTGAAGTGGCTTCTTGCCACTGAGCGGAATGGGGTTGCGTAAGTCAACAGGCTGCTCAATGGAAGTTCCACAACGCTCGAGATAGTCAGTGACTGGGTTGCCTTGAGAGACACCGGCCACGTAATCAACGCTTGCGACTTGATCAATCTGCTTGGTTGGACGTTCCAGCAAGACTTGTCCACGCGTCTCAACGCTGCTGAACACGGTGTTGTTCTTGAACTTGATCAAGCTCTGCAGACGGAAGACCAAGGTCTTGCCCACCAGATCCTCGTTGTCATCAGTCACGAACCACTCCTTGGACTTGAGCACAGCAACGTCCTTCGCGGTTGCGAGGTGAACTTGCATCGGTGTCTCGATTTTGCGCTGGAAGGTATTCTCAAAATCCGTGTAGACACCGCGGTATAGGAACTGCGACGTCACTTCCATGACGGGCTTGCCGTCTCGCGTGATAGTACCACAGACTTCAACCATCTTGCCGGATTCCTGGTTGATGACGGCGTTGATCTGCGCGGTGGTCTGCACTTTGTCCCCCTTCTTCAGCGGCTCGGCGCCAGGCATCATGCGGAAAGCGTTGGAAAGATGGACCAACTTCAAAAGATCGCCATCAATCTTGCGAGGGAAGATGGGCTTGGTGATAGCCTTCCATCCAACGACAATGGCAAAGTCCATTGGGGCGTACATGACTTTGCCAAGGCGGTCAACAAAGGCCTCTCCGGTGTTGCCAACGGCATGAACAAATTCGTTGATGTCCTCGCTGGTGATGGTAGCGCTGCCACCGTCAAACTTGCCCGTTACGGGAGCTTCAAGATCGAACTTCTCATCGCCAAACCATGCACGCCAGTAGAACTCCTTGATACGATCGTTACGGCCTTCCATGACTTCGCGGATTGGCGCGTATCCAGCCTCGGGGTGGTATGTAAAATGGAGTGACAACGACACGGGCTTGCCAAGGGCTGTGGTATCCTTGATCATGTTCACAATGATCTCGTTCTTGCCGTTCAATTTCACTTCAATCACATCAACGTAGTGATTGTGTCTGGGCTGCTCTCTCACAATGATGGTGGTCTTGCTAGGTTCGTTAGGATAATGAATCTCAACAAACAGGCCACGGACAGGAGCCAAGATTCGCTTCATCGGGTTAGTTTGGTACTTCTGTCCTTGAACCAGGACCTCCGACAAGCAAAGGGCATGCCGCCAAGACCGGTTGGGTCCTGCCAGAAGCGACAGCCAAGAATCAATGGACGGCAATGCAACAGTAGGCGATGAAGAGAGTCGGTAGGTGTTCTTGTTGTTATCATACGACACTGTGAGACCTTCGATATCGAGAGGAATCTCGGTTTCAATGAGCTTGCCACCGAAGTACTCGATCGCAGGGATATCGGCTGGTTTGTCGTGGTAGACATCCTTGGTGAGACTGGCAATGTGTGCATTGTGGATGCCATCCAATATGTCCTTGATAGGCTCATCGAGGACTTTGGAGTACTTCACCGCGAGGGGTCCTTGCAGGATACAAGTTCTGCCGACGTCTTGGTCAATGACGGCTTCAAGGTCTTCGGATTGCCATAGAGAGTCCTTCTTGAAGAAGAACTCGAAGTTTTCATCAAGGGCTGGAACAAAAGTCGGCGGCTTCTGGCCACGGCGTTGGCATAGCATCAGGAAATGCTGGACATCCTGAGCAGTGATGAGCTGCGTCTCGGCCTCTGGGTAGTGCTTGAGTATGCGCTCGACAGTAGGGGAAGGGTCATCCAGATCTGAATAGCTTTGAAGCAACGAAGGCTGGTCCAACTCGTGGGTGAAGCGTTCCTCGACACGGTGGATAAAGTCACCGGTCAGCTTGGCGAATGTGGGATCGATCCAGCGTGACTGATGCTTGACGTAGAGGAGCTCAACCATTCTGCGAACAACCTCTGCGTATGTCATATCCTCAAGATCAACCGTCTTGCCAGCCGCGTTTCGGCCAAACCACACCTTCTGGAAGTCGTCATTCAGCTTCTTGATGATGTAATCGCGGTTTTTCTTGAGCTCGGCAACGCGCTTCTCCTTTGGGATGCCGAATATCTTCTTGTCCATCTCCGCCCAGAAGAGAACACCGCGAGTGGCAAGCTTGTGGATGGGCTCACCCATCTCGGATCGAACGGTGATGACGCCACCAGCTGCTCCCTTGTAGGTCTTTTCCCATTGGGAGTCGTCAAGACCTTGGGCATCGACGATGGCTTGCTTGGCGTTCTTGCTCGTGTGCGCCTCTTTGGCCACCATCATGCGGCTGCCAAACAAACATCCATCAAACGGCATTGCCGGGTATCCATACTTGGTAGACCACTGTCCAGTCAGGTAGGGATAGGTGTCTTCGGCCCCACCAAATCCGCTTCCGGCAACGAGGATGATGTTGTCACTCCGACGGATGCGACCATACATCTGGAGAATGGGCTGATGGAAATCTTCAAACGAGTGATGACCACCCCCACGGCCGCCAGTCCATTGGAGAATCACAGGGAATGTTGGGTTGGCCTTTGCAATGTTGATGACAGCCTGGATAGCCTCCATGGAACCGGGTTTGAAAGCAATGTGCTTCAGACCAAGTGTCTCGATATACTCCTGAGCTACATCGATGGAGGGGACACCAGCACCAATGGTGAGACCCTCGACGGGAATACCTTCGGCCCTCAGCCTGCCAATGAGCGGGATCTGCCATGCCATGGCACGAGGATTGACGTAGATCAGATTGACTGTGATACCACGTCCAGCTGGAATTGCTTTCTCGATCTTCTCAAGAGCTTCAGTCATTGTCTTGGCGTTGTAGTAACCACCGCCAGCGAGCTCAATGTGGTAGCCTGCGTTCATCGTGGCAGTAACAAAGTCCCAGGGTACTGTGCAAGGCGTCATGCCGGCAACCATGATGGGTGGCACACCGAGGAGTCTGCTCATCTTCGTGTCCACATAGGTCTGACCACTGGATGTTTTGATCAGTCTGGGACCGTACTCCTTGATCCAGTCATTGGCATAGACCACGGCGTTCTCCTCGTCGCGATCAAACAGCTCAGGCTTGTATCCTACTTCCTGGGCCGAGCCATTAATGGTTCCGGCCAGAATGACACGCACACCTGTGCCTTCCTTGTTGCGGCTGGTGAGTATGCCGAGACCAGAGATGCCGCCGGGACCGAAGTCCAAAACATGAGTTGCCTTGGGGAACACGGTGGCATCCTCCCAGTGAACCGGATCGCGAGTGATCATGCGAACGAGGGCCGGGACAATATCGCCTTTGGCCTCCTCTCTCAGGTCTTTGCCAGTGCAAGTGTTATACACAGGAATGCCCAGGGACGCGACGTCAATCTTAACGTCCTTGAGATCTTCATCAATCAACTTGGTAGCCTCTGCGAGATACTGGCTGTGGAAAGGTGCGGTGATCGGTAGAAAGCGGTTCACGAAACGGACCTTGCGCTCGGTGTAAGGAATCCGGTTCTGGTCCAATCCAGTGGGGGCCTTGACCTTTCGTAAGTTCTGATTGAGACCACACAGCGACGCAGGTGGACCGGTGACGACCATGTTTCTTGGGCTGTTGACAAGTGAGATGGCTATGTGTCGATCCTCGGGCAGATACTGATTCGTGACATCAATGTGCTTCTGTACCTCGCTCAGAGGGAGATCGCGGATGCTAAGCATAGGAGTAGGGTCACCCTCACCGTTGTCGATCGAGTCTTGAAGCATCTTTGGTGGCAAAGAAGTCCGCGGAAACACCTGCTGGCTTCGAGCACCAATCCAGAAAAGGATAGTGAGAGCATCTTTCGCAACCTTGGAGAATGACTCCCAGTCACCTGCGGCAGCGGTGGCCGCTGCAACGACCACACCTTGCGAATGACCAGTCGCACCACTGAGACGATCTCGCAGAATGCCAGGGTGAAGACCAAGGCCCTTGATGAGGACTTGGTAGTGACACAACTGGACCAATCCAATTAGTGGAAGACTGACTGGAGCAGAAACGAGATAGTCTGCATCAGGAGTGGTGTCTGGGGAGTGCAGCCACGTCATAACATCAAGTCCTTTTGCGTAGAGCTTCTCGGCTCGCGGGTCAAGCGACAAATTCTGCAGCAACTCGGAAGCGGCTGTGACAAGCTCCCCTACAAAGGACGGGTATGTCTCGTACACCTCACGGAGTTCGTCGAAGTATTCGACAATGTTGCCTTGACCACCAAAAATGTTGTAGATCTTGGCAGAGCCCTCGTCAGCAGCTCTGAACAGTGCCGAATCGTGTGGTCTCATAGCTCGGTTTGCAACATTGCGCGCGGCATAGTAGCATTTGACAACTGTGATTTGCTTCTCGAGGATACCCGGCAGGCCCTTCGCCAGGGCGTGGACATCGTTACCTCGGAGGAACATTCGCTCGAACTCATTGAGTACGAGCTTCAATAGATCCTCGTAGGAACCTTGGGTATCATCCTCGCCCTCATCAACTTCGTGGGCAACAAAGCCCAGGTATCGCGCCACAAGTTCAGCTATCGAGGAAGGTTCGTCATCTTGAGCCAGCTCATCTGTGGCTGCTGGCAGGCCGGCAGCGAATTGCTCCTTCAACTGAGACGCGTGGAAATGGAGGTTGGTAGGGACAAGAAAAGATGTCTCCAGAGAACCGTGGGAGAGAGTGAGCGGTCGGAGGGATTGGGACGATCTGGGAGTTGAGACGCCCGTCTGCGGGCCAGTCCCAGTGCCGTACATCGTGTACGGTCTATGTAGTGGAAGGGGTATCGAGTCTGCAAGGTCAGCCTCGCGGGCCTCTGTGAGAGGGACTGGATGATGTTCTCTTACGATGAAGCTGTTTCCTTGCACTCAATTAAGAGCAGGAGAGTAGAAACCAGTAAATCGAAGCGAGTTGGTAATGGTCAAAGAATTCAGGACGAGCTTCGAAGAACGGGTAGTAAACGTGGACGAGGTGGAGTGTCCAGTAGCAGATGGAAGAAAGAACAGTATTGCCCTGAGATGTAAAAAATGGGTAAGCGCTTTGAAAGGTGCCTCTGTCAAAACAGGATGCCAGTCAATGAAGTCAATGTCCTAATGAATGTTGGCAGGTGGGATGAGCTTCAATGGCTTCGAGGCAATGACTCTCTCAACCCGACTGGATGGAAGGAGCTCGCCAAAAATCTTTTGATCTTGTTGGGGATTGGCGCGGTGCAACCTGCAGGAACTCTCCCACGATCCACGGCAGGAGGGGGGACCCCGATGTACCGCTACTTGTTGCATTACCACCCACCCCACTTGAAATGCGGGCAAGGCCATCCACAGATGAGCACTCGAGGACCCTGCAGGGCGCGATGCCAGCCAGTTATAACAAGACGAATTTTTCGCCCAGATCAACAATGAATGACTTCGTGATTTACAACAAATTTTCTACAATTACAAAGAAGTTCGGAACTATAACCGATAAACGCTGGTATTACTCGATGTCTTACGCCGTTGCTATCTGTAAGTATACAGATTGACGACCGATGGCGTGGATGCTTTATAAAGGACTAGCGGATCTTAGTTACTATGTGTGGACAACGGTTGCAAAGAAAGCTTTGTTGCAGACCACCCAGATTTCCAACGACCAACCCCTCCAACATTCTTTCCTTGAAATAAGCCCAACGACCATTGCACCAACACTTGTTAAGCTTGTCCCTTCCATAACACAACATTTTCAAGGTTGGTGGAAAGAGTGCACGCACGGCCCGCAATATCAATGGCGTTTGCATCTACGTACTTGAAAGGAGTACGAAGCACCAGGTGGTCTATGCCTTGCGTAGAAAGAAAAGCCCCACCTCCTTGCGATCAATTCACCCCAAATCAAATCTGTCCGAAGTCTTTCATTTATCGTCAGAACTCGGCAACTCTATATACCGACGATTAATTACGAATGTTGACTGCCACTACGATGCAAAATTCCATCTTCCGTTTGCTGGTTAGAACAGCTTTTAGTCAAATATGTGATGGGTACACCTACCACTGCATAGATCGCAGAGCAAAGGCTTGCCTGCTAGAATTTACCAGACTGCATTCTACTTTAGATATTGTCATGGATAGTTTTAGCTGTCATAGAGATATACAAGTACCTTCAGCCTTCCCACTGTCGTAATGGCTTGGCCAATTTGATCGATAGATGGGTCCACAGTTGGATGTATCAGTACCAAGACATTGGGGATGGGGGTAAGCAAGAACTCTCGACTCACCTAGTCTCAAGGTCTCCAATGTCGAAATGCATCACCCAATCTCCTTTGTCAAACTAGAGCCACAAGGATACCATGACGCATAGCGGCGCAGGCGATAAGATATCGAGAAAGCGCGCAGATGATGGCGGCACGCCAAAGTCAATTCATAGCAACAAGAAGCCCGTTGATCCCAGTCGCCATCTGTGCACACCTAGGTAGGTGCAAGGTTGACTTAGGAGATTTTTCTGCCCGTTCAATATTGCGAGCGAATCCCAACCGGTTTCAATGCACTTCATCAGCATGGGAATTCTGTGGGGAAGGGGTCCTTTCCAGACTATGCCGTATCAGGCTTAGACGCCAATATGGTTGAGGAGCTTTGCGGCAACCGGTACAAATTCTGGGTGGATGAGAGTAGTGGTAGTATGTACCGTTACTTCGTCGCATAGAATGGCTGCACGCACTTGTCGCTTTGGCAGAAGGCACCTGCAGAAGCAGCGACGACTAGCAAACCCCTGCCAGCCAATTTTTGCTTGTTCAACATTTGGGATTTGAAGTCGACTTTGTAGAAGCCCCTCAGTCTTGTCTAGATTCCCAAATGCAACAAATCTTCGTGTAGTTGCCAATAGCCGGGAAGGCCACATACAATTGATACAAGAGAATTTTGTCGTATTCACATATTCGTCCTTCCTTCCTTCCATTCATCCGTCCGTCCGATTGCGTCCCGCTTCGTGCTTGCTCGCTAGTTCGGTTGTCTATACACCACACCAGGCTCCGACACACCTTCCCGACTTGCCTCTCGTTCTTGCACTTGTTTGAAAGAAACCAGGTCAAGTCCACGTGGCAACCACAACCAGGAAGCAAGAGCATCTCCCTTCGACTTGAGATCCCCCAAGAATTCAGTCGAGCTCAACCACCAACTCCCCCCCACATTTCTCAAAAACCCACGACAGCCCCCGTCGAGACTCCATACGCACCGCAAGAGATATCCCGTGGGATCAAGATACGGAGCATTGGCTCTAAACACACTATAATACCCATACACCCTCGTTTTCGTCCTTGTGGCAGAACAGCACGCTACTCTGCCCAGCATGCGTCCCGAGGTCGAGCAGGAGGTGAGCCACACGCTCCTTGTCGAGCTGCTGGCGTACCAGTTTGCTTCCTCTGTAGGCTGGATTGAGACACAAGATGTCTTTCTCGCTGAGAAGACCTCCGAACTTAGTGTCGAGGTCGGTCCTGCGGACACGCTGAGTGTCATGGCCAAGAGAACGATTGCATCTCAATATGAGGCTTTCGATGCGGCAAAATCGATTCAACGCCAGATTTTGTGCTATAACAAGGATTCAAATGAGATCTACTACGATCAAGAACCTGTCGAAGAGGAACCTGAGCCCACAGCTCCTTCTGCAGATGCTTCTTCGTCCCCTGCTGCCTCGGCTGCGGCGGCTTCACCAGTAGCTGCTGCTGCTCCGGTCCCGAGTGCAGGCCCAGCCGCTTCAGTACCAGATGCTCCAGTAGCGGCCATAGACATTGTGCGAGCCCTCATCGCTCAGAAGCTCAAGAAGCCTTTCCTGGAGATCCCTCTTAGCAAGGCCATCAAGGACATGGTTGGTGGTAAGTTTGGCCTGAGCCTATCTGAATTCTACCCAGTTCTACATCTGATTATGAAATTACAGGCAAATCAACTCTTCAGAATGAGATCCTCGGAGACCTTGGAAAGGAGTTTGGATCGACTCCCGAAAAGCCGGAAGACACACCACTCGATGAACTAGGCGCGGTCATGCAAGCCACATTCAATGGACAGCTTGGCAAGACTTCACAAGGCCTGGTGGCACGTCTGGTCTCCTCCAAGATGCCCGGCGGTTTCAATATCACGGCCGCCCGCAAGTATCTTGAGACAAGATGGGGCCTCGGCTCTGGCAGACAGGACGGAACTCTTGTCGTAGGCATCACCATGGAGCCACCAGCCCGATTAGGCTCGGAGGCTGATGCCAAGGCCTTCCTTGACGATGTAGCTCAGAAGTACGCATCCCACGCTGGTATCAGCTTGTCCACTGCTGCGACAGCTGGCCCTGCCGCCGGAGCCGGAGCCGGTATGATGATGGATCCCGCAGCTCTGGACGCCCTCACCAAAGATCAACGCGCGCTATTCAAACAGCAACTAGAGCTGTTGGCGAGATACCTGAGGATGGATCTTCGCGCTGGCGACAAGGCTGCCTTGGTCTCGAAGCAATCAGAACAGGTCCTTCAAGATCAGCTAGATCTCTGGACGGCAGAGCACGGCGACTTCTACGCTGAAGGCATCAAGCCCAGCTTCAGTCCACTCAAGGCGCGTACCTATGATTCCTCCTGGAATTGGGCGCGTCAGGACGCCCTCAGCATGTACTACGACGTTATCTTCGGAAGACTGAAGGCAGTGGACCGAGAGATTGTCAGTCGCTGCATCCGCATCATGAGCAAATCAAACCCGCGGCTCCTTGAATTTATGCAATATCACATCGACAACTGTCCTACCGAGCGCGGTGAGACATACAAACTGGCCAAGTCTCTTGGTGAACAGTTGATTGAGAACTGCAAGGATGTCTTGGAAGTTCCTCCCGCATACAAAGATGTGGCTGTCCCCACGGGCCCTCACACCAATGTTGACAATAAGGGCAACATCAGCTACAAGGAAGTCCCGAGACCTAGCTGCCGCAAGCTTGAGCATTATGTTCAGCAAATGGCTGAAGGTGGTAAGCTCACCGAGTATGGCACGAGGAGCAAGGTCCATAATGATCTCTCGCGATTGGTCAAACTCATTAGAGCTTCACAAACCATGGCCAAGACCACACAGCATGAGATGAAGGCTCTCTCGAACAATGTTCGTCAATCGCTAGCAATGAACGAGAGCCAGATCCTTCCCAAGGAGACTGGCAAGCCTGGCCTCGTCAAAAAGAGTGGCCTGAAGGCCAGCACCCAAACCAGCAAGGGCAAGACCGAGGCCATCCCGTTCCTGCATCTCAAGACCCATGATGACCTCACCGGGTGGGAGTACGACAGAAAGCTAACCAAGATCTACTTGGATTGTCTCGCGGATGCTGCCAAGTCAGGCATCACCTACGAGGACAAGTACGTGCTGATGACAGGCGCCGGTGCTGGGTCAATCGGAGCTGAGGTTCTTCAGGGTCTGATCAGCGGTGGTGCCAGGGTCCTCGTTACCACCAGTCGATTCTCGAGAGAGGTGACAGAGTACTACCAGTCGATGTACTCCAGATACGGTGCGCGTGGATCACAGCTTGTCGTTGTTCCCTTCAACCAGGGCAGCAAGCAGGATGTAGAGGCCTTGGTCGACTACATATATGACGCGAAGAAGGGCCTTGGCTGGGACCTTGACTACATCGTTCCTTTCGCAGCCATCTCCGAACAGGGCCGCCAGATCGATGGCATTGATTCCAAGTCTGAACTGGCCCATCGCATTATGTTGACCAACCTTCTCCGCCTACTGGGATGTGTCAAGACCCAGAAGGTTGAGCGTGGATTCGAGACACGCCCAGCCCAAGTCATTCTCCCCTTGTCACCGAACCACGGCACATTCGGCAGTGATGGTCTGTATTCCGAGTCCAAGCTGGGACTCGAGACTCTTTTCAACCGCTGGCGCTCAGAAGACTGGGGAAACTATCTCACCATTTGTGGTGCTGTGATTGGCTGGACCCGTGGCACTGGGCTTATGTCCGGCAACAATGTTGTCGCCGAAAGCGTTGAGCAAGAAGGTGCGCGCACCTTCTCACAGCAAGAAATGGCTTTTAATCTGCTCGGCCTCATGTCGCCCGACATTGTGGACCTTTGCCAGCACCAGCCCATGTTTGCCGATCTCAATGGCGGTCTTCAGTTCATTAAGAAACTGAACACCTTGATGTCCAAGGAACGCAAAAACATCATGGAGACCAGTGAAATTCGTCGTGCAGTCACGAAGGAAACGGCAATTGAGAACAAGGTTGTCAACGGCCAGGAGACTGAGGCATTGTACAAGAAGAAGGTCATCGAGCCTCGAGCCAATCTCAAGTTCGATTTCCCTACGCTGCCAGACTGGAAGCAGGACATTAATCCTCTCAATGCTAACCTCAAGGGCATGGTCGATCTTGACAGGGTCGTTGTTGTCACCGGCTTTGCTGAAGTTGGACCCTGGGGCAATTCGCGAACCCGGTGGGAGATGGAAGCCTATGGCGAGTTCTCTCTGGAAGGATGCGTCGAGATGGCCTGGATCATGGGCCTCATCAAGAACCACAATGGACCCATCAAGGGCAAGCCTTACTCCGGCTGGGTTGACGCCAAGTCTGGGGAGCCTGTTGATGACAAGGACATCAAGCAGAAGTACGAGAAGTTCATCTTGGAGCATTCGGGTATCCGTCTTATCGAGCCGGAGCTGTTTGATGGGTATGATCCCAACAACAAGCAGCTTCTGCACGAGGTTGTTATCGAAGAAGATCTTGATCCTTTCGAAGCATCCAAGGATACCGCCGAAGCATTCAAGAAGGAGCACGGCGACAAGGCAGAGATTTTCGAGATTCCCGACAGCGGCGAGTACATTGTTCGTATGAAGAAGGGCGCTTCTCTCTGGATTCCCAAGTCTCTCCGATTTGACCGACTCGTTGCCGGTCAGGTCCCTACGGGCTGGGATGCCAAGAAGTATGGTGTACCTGAAGATATCATCTCGCAAGTCGACCCCGTCACCTTGTTCGTTCTTGTCTCTGTTGCCGAGGCTCTCCTGTCTTCTGGTATAACGGACCCTTACGAGTTCTACAAGTACGTCCACGTCTCTGAGGTCGGCAACTGCATTGGTTCCGGCATGGGTGGTGCCGGTGCCCTGCGAGGCATGCATCGCGACCGCTTCTTGGACAAACCCGTCCAGAATGACATTCTGCAAGAGTCATTCATAAACACGATGGCTGCGTGGGTGAACATGCTGCTTTTGTCTTCCTCGGGCCCCATCAAGACTCCTGTCGGAGCCTGTGCCACCGCCGTCGAATCTGTTGACATTGGTTATGAAACCATCATGGAAGGCAAGGCTCGTGTTTGCCTCGTGGGAGGCTTCGATGATTTCGGTGAAGAGGGTTCCTATGAATTTGCCAACATGAAGGCAACAAGCAACTCTGTCGATGAGTTTGCTCACGGCCGCACTCCCAAGGAGATGTCGCGTCCTACCACAACCACCAGAAATGGCTTCATGGAATCTCAAGGTTCCGGTGTCCAGATCATCATGACAGCCAAGTTGGCTCTGGACATGGGTCTGCCCATCCATGGAATCCTCGCCCTCACAACGACTGCCAGTGACAAGATTGGCCGATCAGTCCCCGCGCCAGGCCAAGGTGTTCTCACCACCGCACGCGAGACGGTCGGGTCCATTCCATCCCCCCTGCTTGACATGAAGTACCGACGTCGACAGATTGAGTTCCGCAAGAAGCAAGTCAACATGTGGAAAGAAGCCGAACTTGAACACTTGCATGGCGAAATTGAGGCAATGAAGTCCCAAGGTCATCAATTCGATGAGCGGAGATACTTGCAGGAACGCTCGGCACATGTTGACAAGGAGGCTGCCAGGCAAGTGAAGGAAGCCCTACGAAGCTTTGGCAACAACTTCTGGAAACAAGATACGACGATTGCTCCCCTGCGCGGCGCACTGGCTACATGGGGTCTTACTATCGATGACCTCGACGTCGCATCATTCCATGGAACCTCTACTAAGGCGAACGACAAGAACGAGTCTTCAGTCATTTGTCAACAGCTCCGCCACTTGGGTCGAAAGAAGGGCAATGCCGTCCTCGGCATCTTCCAGAAGTACCTCACGGGTCATCCCAAGGGTGCTGCTGGTGCTTGGATGATGAACGGCTGCTTACAAGTGCTCAACACTGGTTTGGTACCGGGCAACCGCAATGCCGACAATGTTGATGAAGTCATGGAGCAATTTGACCTGATTGTTTACCCTAGCCGAAGCATTCAGACCGACGGTGTCAAAGCATTCTCTGTGACTTCATTCGGTTTCGGCCAGAAGGGCGCCCAGGCCATCGGTATCCACCCCAAGTACCTCTATGCCACGCTTGACGAAGAGACCTTCAACGAGTACAGTTCCAAGGTGGCTGCCCGCCAGAAGAAGTCATACCGCTACCTGCATAACGGTATGATCAACAATGCCTTATTCCAGGCCAAAGCCAATGCCCCGTACACCGAAGAGCAACTCGGCGCTGTGCTCCTCAACCCGGAAGCCCGAGTCTCCAAGGATAAGAAGACAGGTCAACTGATATACGCGGCAAATTTTGCGAAGCAAGCTGCGGCATTGAGCATCGTGAAACCCAAATCTACCAAGGAGAGTGTCGAGGAGCTTGCGCGAAGCATTGCCACGGGATCGAACAACAAAGTCGGCGTAGACGTTGAGGATATTATGGCCATCAACATTGAGAACGATACTTTCATTGAACGCAACTTCACTGATCTCGAGATTGAATACTGCCGAAAGACTCCCAGCCCGCAAAGCTCTTTTGCTGGTCGCTGGAGCGCAAAGGAGGCAGTATTCAAGAGCCTTGGAGTGAAGAGTAAGGGCGCTGGTGCAGCCCTGAAGGAAATCGAAATCATTCCTGGTGAAATGGGTGCTCCAATTGTGTCTGTAAGTCGCCTACATGTCTAATCCCCAACCAAAGCCCTTTACTGACGAATTGTAGCTTCATGGGGATGCCGCCGATGTGGCGAGGAAGGCAGGTGTCAAGGAGATCAGCGTTTCCATATCGCACTCCGACGCGCAAGCAATTGCAATTGCCGTCTCGACATTCTAGTCTTACAACGTATGGATGTGCTCTATTGCCGAGGTTCTGTAAATTTTATGATGATGGTTGACAAGAATGGCATACCTGGAGGATTCGCCTTTTTCGTTTCTTGGTGTTATATGCATAAACATGGATTTTACGACAAGAGAGGAGATGGCACCAGCCATCCCAATAGATACAGAGAGTGGCGGATGGGTTCAGTACTGCATTAATAGAGGTGTAGTAATTAGGGGTCGAGGATGAGGTAGACATGAGGAAACGAGCACAGAAATCAGTTAGACATGATCCCAAAAAAACAATACTGTCTCATTCAAATAAATTCTCGTTATTGCGTGACTCATTGCTGCCGTAAACTAATTCCTTATTCATACTAACAATAGGGGATGCAAGCTGAAGGTGCTCGAACAGGCGACGGCCAGCTTAGTAAACGTCGGGTCTCTTGCACTGCCGGCTGTGGATTGGGGTAAACATTACTGTCTCTGAAGTGAGCTTATGAGATAAGCCTTCCCAGCAGGAGATGCATTCTTTGGTGAACTAATGGATCACTTTAAGAACAATTTTGAGTTTCTCGTGGTCACAAGGATGCGCGTTCCACGCCATCTAGAACATCGAACATGAAATTGCAATACCTCGGAAATTCCCCGACCTACACAAAATATTTGCAGATGGAAATAGACCTGTGTTCATGTTTGATCAGTCATGCTTGCTTCTGAATAAGAGTCTCCATTGGTTCCCACTGGGGGAATAGCTTGAGACAGACAAGCGCCCCTGACCTGTACTTGCCCACAGATCTGGCAAGACACAAACTTGCGTTTGCAAATCCTGTCAAATTTGAAAGAATGCGTGGTCATGTCTATACCCAACTCCATACTGTGTGCTGTTGGAAAGAGCCAAGTTCACATACGTAACCACTATCATCATGATTCAAGCAATTACCACGATGTGACTGCTGTAATACACGAGCGGGCCTACACTTGCCAAAGTAGGCAATATAGGCAGAAATTAAAATCATCTAATAGCATAACATGAATCACCTATAATATGTGAAATTTGCGCAAGTTGCTTACGAACATGCTGGCGGTTACGTGTGCATCTACACATCACCACCGAGTGCCACACCACTTATAAGAGGCTTATTTGGTATCAGCTGTAAGTCCCAAAGATAGAGTGCTAAGCAAGTGTAGAAGCTTGATTTGACAATATGCTAGCAGGTTGGGAAACTGGTGTAAGTATAGTCTCCCGTAGCATGTGACGCATGACACCCCTTGCAGCCATCACCCTGATGATACTGCTTTCTTTAAGCTCCTCTGGTGTAAAAGATAACTTTTTTATTACGGAAAAAGGTTGTGGGATAAGTGAAATATTGCCGTGAATCGTCACAAACACCCCAGGCGTGCCCGTGGCCAGTTATGCTGCCAACTCACGCTGAGTTTCCGTTCTAAAGAATCTGTCACAACCCAGCATCATCATTATAGTGGTGATTTTTCATCCTATATGTATGCGCCACATATTGCCCAGCCATCCTAGAAATAAACTGTTCATTGTGATTCCTTCTGCGTGAGTTGTGCTGTATGTGCCAGGAGATTCACCACGAGTCACTGGCTTTCTATTGATACAAATTGACGCATAATGGATTCTTAGGAGAACTATTTAAGGCATCGGTGATCCCGAAATTTCTGGCCTTCCTCTCGGCTATGTTCTCCCATCTTCTTCACAGTAGAGATTGGGACTTCACCGAGCGTTTCTGGTTTCAGCTTGGCCTCGCTTTGATATACGAAATCAAGTTCTGCAACATGTCTTCCACTATTTTTTCCCTAAAAAAGTCATTTCTCGGGCAGCGATGACTTGGCCCTACCTCTTCTACAACTCAACCAGCTTATCGATCTCTATTATCACCGAAAAAATGTTTGTCAAGCGACAAATAATTTCTGGAATGGCACTTCACACTCAAGGTCTCATATTTTATTGTTGCTGGCAGGCTTCCTCTGAAGCCCTTACTTAACTTATGACTCCATTTACACTCACTGTCGGCGATAAAGTTGGAAGATACGTATGGCCCCCATCTTGACCTTCTCCCTTTATCGCCAACATAATGATGGTAAGGCACCTCTTACTTGAGCCTTAGAGTCCTCCCTGCCTGTTGCTGATTCACATATCTGACATGGCTTAGAAACCCACTATTGATAGGATTGCCGAGGTTCTCCAACCATGAAACTCTGCCTCAGCCATCATCTCCTTGCTCGTCATGGACAAAGCTAATAGCGCTTTTAGCCTTTCATGCCATCCTCAAGTCAACCATACCGACTCTTGAATACCATTTCAACTCAACCAAGCCAGCTATACTCCTCCTGTACTAACAATCAAGTGAACCATAAGCTAAAAAAATAACTATTCATCACGGTCGCTGAAGACCAACTACACTCCAACTCACATGCCGCCCTGGGCAAGGCGGTGAACTACTCTTATACAGCCAAGCTGGACACTTGGTCTCCAAGGTACTAGCTACCATAACGGCTACCATAGACAGCAAGTTACCACGACAGCTATCAACATCCACCATCTTGATGTACAATGGTTAGCTGCCACAACAGCAGACAGCCATACCACTGATGAAGATCACGGAAGAAGAATATACAGAGACACAGATATATGAAGACATTTCCAGTGGGCTACAAGTAAAAAAAAAGTCAATACGCTGTCAAAAATAAACCGCATGCTGGGATTAGTGCCCACGATGTATCTAAATGTTACGCCACTCTCTCTCATATTCTATCAACATCACCATGATACCTTCACTCGGCTTGCTCCTTCACCTGAAACCGCTTCTTTATATCGTCGACAATGCTCTTCCAGCGGTTGCGGTCCAGCGTCATAGCCTGCAACTCCTCAGCCAGTCTCTCAGCGTCAGCCTCCAGCTGTTGTTGGCGCGAGACAGCCTGCGTCAGTCTATTAATTTGCTCATTATTCTGGAGATGTTGCTGCTGCAGCTGTTGGAGTTGCCGTTGAGCCTGCTGTAGTTGAGCCTGCTGCACTGCCTGACTACCACCGCCAAGACGACGAGCCTCCTCCAGCTCGGCCTCCAGGGTCTCCACCTTGTCTTCGAGATCCATCAACTCTTGCCTCTTGCGCGCTCTACTTCGGGCAGCAGAGGCGTTGTTGCGCTCCCGGATCCGCGACTGGTTGACCTCGGCCAGCTGGTTGTTCACCTGCTTCGCCTGCTCTACCTCGTCAAGCGACATGGTCTCCTGGTCGATGAGGATCCAGGGGACTTGGGTAGGCGCGGCGCGGCCCTTCTTCCTGGCGATGCCGGCTCGTGTCATCGTCTGGGTGGAAGAACTGGATCTGGACCTGTTCTTCTTGACCAAGGTGGGCAACGACTTGGCGGCCTCGGGCTTTTTGGCTGGGTAAGGTCGCTTGGCCGTCGCGTTGGCTCGGTCGATCTCTGCTTGGATGTCTTTCTGCTCAGCGGCTTGTTCTACGAGGAATTTATCGTGCCGCTCCATGATGGTGAGGTTAGTATTGAGGCCGGCTTCGTCGGCCTGATCAGTTGACTGTGCGCCTGCTGGTGTTGCTGTGACCGTCACCGGCTGCTGGGAATCACTTAGCTGGGGTCGCGGCAACGCACAACCTAGGCTGTCGGGATGTCTTACTGGGGGAAATGTCAAGCCTCGACTTGCTGGCTGGATGTCCTCATAGATTGGACCTCCTATGGCCGGCGAGGTGATTGGGGGGAATGTTAAGCCTTGACCGGCGGGTTCAGTGTTCTCAAAAGTCAAACCTCCTGTGGTTGGCGGATTGACTGGAGGGAACTTCAAGCCTTGGCTCGCCAGCTGGATGTTTTCAAAGGTCGGTTGTCCTGTGGCTGGCGAGTTGACCGAGTAGCCCGGTTGCGTCTCTACATGTTGCGAAGCCTCAGTTGTGGTGATGCCGAGGGCCTCGTCCAGGTGCCCGTTTTCGACAAAGGCCTGCAAAGCCTCAAAGTCCAAGAGGCTCTCTTCCTGCTGTAGCTGTTGCTGCTGGGCGCACGGGAGGTCCCAATCAAAGGAGCTGAGGTCAATACCGCTGTCGTCTGCGTACGAATTGGGCTGCTGCTGGCTAGCTAGCTGTCCGCGTAGGGAATCCATATTGTGCCGTGGGTTGTTGATACAACTGTCGATGACCTTAATGATCTTGTTATTCCCGTGAGTAACTCTACCTGTTTTTCTTTTTCTTGCCAGGAAACTCTTCTCGTTGTTCTCGGGAAGAACCTGGCCTATATATATTGAATAATAACTGATAAACACTCTTGAAACATCGGAGTTCGTGCGTTGCGTTCTCCCAGTTTGTTATGTTGCGTAATATTCACGGATGTCCAAGTGTCAGTGGGAATCCCCTTTTCTGTTGTTTGAGTGCGGAAAGGTTGATGGCGACTCACTGTCCGGCTAGATAAAACCCAGGTGACCTAAGTGAGAGCTTCCCAAATTGAGATGGACGGTCCAACTGAGTGCGAGGTTATATTCACTGTGCTGTTGGCATAGTTCCAGAGCATTGTGGTTGAGGCTTGCGGGAGAAGAATCAACGTTGAGTCGGGATTATGGTGAAATTATGGCCTAGGTGACAAACTCTTGGGCAGGCTAAATGCTCCCAACAACTAGAACGTCGACTTTGATTTGAAGGTGAATTCAACTCACTATGGAAGGAGGTTGTCAGGTGGCCTCTTTTTTGGTCACTCGGCAGACAATTAGCTCCACCAGAATACGCAAAATGTTGGGAATGGCTGCAAATATGGGATGAACAGAAACAACTGGGCCGCTGAAGTCTCCTAGATCGACCAACCCTCGGCCAGTTTACTGGAAATTGGAGATGGAGATTTCGTCAAGCTGGCAGAATTTCTTTACTTGATGATTAGCGGAAAGGATGCGAAAACTTTGTGAGTTGGTTTGATCAGCGGTTTTGATATTGGAAATAATAAACGATTTGTTTAACTACGTGATTTACTTTAGTTGGCGTTACTGGCGGTAATAGGAGTATACTACCCTTACTCTGTTGTCTCGTCTGGTCGATGGTGTTGACGACGAAAAGAATATATTTACTTCTACTCCAGTTATTTAGTCTGTTCAAAGCTGATAGTATTGGGAACAAAATGTTTATTGTACTCTAAAAGGAATGTTTACTTAATTTGTTTTATTTCGTCTGATTGACGGTACTGGTGTGGAACAAGCATGTTTTAATTTACTCTATGATATCATCAGGTTAGCAGCTGTTGTCAACAGGAATATGCTCACATCTAGTTCATGGTTTCGTCTCATCGGTTGGCTGCTGTCCCAAAGGAATTATTTACAAGCAATGCATAGTTACGTTCGATCTACACTAGTGAAATTGAAAGAATATTTGCACATGTAGTTGATGGTTTCGTCTGACTATCAGTGGTGATTTTGGCAAGAACAGCATTTTACTTTGTAGTTTCGCTTAGTGTTGGTGGTTTTGGCCAGGCCTGTCACTTGTCTTTTCATATGGTTGGTGCTGCATGAGAAGGAAACTACGTAATCTAAAGCTATAAGCTTTCACTGGTCATGGTACCGAAGGTATTGCTACCAACAAGACAGGAAAGTCTATTCTAGGGCTATAATTCTCGCTTACCTATAAATAGGAGCATGTGAGGACTTCCCTTCAAGAGAGAATACAAGTCATCTTCAATCTGCACTCTTCTACATGAATTCACACCTTTTCTGCAACAGTTGGAGGTGATGTTTAGCATGAATGTTCCCCTTTGGTCCTTTTCAGGAATATCCCCAGCAATTAGACCTATGCAAAATTGGTGATTAAATTAAAATCGTAGTAAAACCATAATATGCCATGCCAGTTTATTTGTTATTTACAAGAGGTCCTACCAGGTGAAAAGTATATGAGACTGTCAAAACAAAAAAGGCTTGGAGGACGCTACCTATAAGCAAAATTTAAGGGGGCCACAGGATTATAAACAAATACCCGTGAGTAACAACTGTCATACACTATCAACCACAGTGACCACAGAAAAGCTGAGTTATCACATCAGATCTTTTATAGAAGTTATCAGTGCCTCTCATTATATCTAGACAATAAACACCATATCAAGACTTACAATGATCCTCTATAAGGCATTCGCACATTCCACCATGGATAGACCTTTGTACACTTGCAACAGCCATGATGCAAGTGCATGTGGGGGTTCAGTTGTGTGTATTGGGAAAGCTTTGAGCAGGCTAGCACCCTTGCAGCCCTATCATATCTTACCTATAGCTACAGGGTGACCATCCTTGGGGTCACGTATCAAACCAATGTCTGGATATTCTGAGGATACAGAATTACAATAGAGACTTTGTGATACGTGACCCCATGGGGGGTTACCCTATAGATATAGATAAGATAGATTAGAGCTATAAAAGAGCTCTGCCAGGCCAGAATAGCTGACCTGGCCATCCTTTCCCAATACAACAATTCACACCCCATATGCACTCGCATCACTTTGATTACGTATAATGAATTCTGTCGTGTTTCTTGTTATATGCAAAGTCTCTGCATTCCCTTAAAGGAGTTTTGTCCTGTATCTATGTACCTGCTTGATAGTTCTGCTCTAGGGATTTAAGTTCATTAAGTCAGTAGATGTAAAACGAGTCACTTGACTAAAGAGTGGCATGCAGTGCAAGTTCGCACATGAAGGGAAGTATATGATAGAAATCCGATCTTTGATGAATTGTTTGCTTGTGTGATAAACTGAATCAATGCTTCTGGACCTGAGCACTAAGGAGTAGATGTCTTTGCTAGCGTTGATGAGTACTCATGGTCAGCTGGGTGCGACTTTGGCGCTTGGGGTCTAGTCAGTTATGCTTAGGGGAGGTCTCTGGTCCTACCGTCTTCCTCCAGGTGCCGGCGCAGAGAGCTGAAAATGCAGTTGGTCGTATAGGCTCGGAGTGCAGTGAAGAGATGTGACTGTGTCTTGGCAATATGTAAGATTTATGAGTTTGAGATTAACCAAAATCTATCTGTTGAAGACGTGTAGTACATGACTTGCAGGTACTTAGACTGGAAATATGAGATTCTAGGTGCAGAGACTTCCACAGCCACGTGTTTTTACAAGGAAACCCCGATCACAACAAATCAGAGTTCATTGGTTGTTGAGGCCTGTGGCTAGATTTCAATAGTTTCCAGAAGACAGATGGACTGAAATCGCGCTTACTATTTACTCAAGATATGTGCTCATACAATGATGAACCCCACATTTTGTACATGAAATAATCACTTAGTGTCAAACCTCCCGATTACCGGACTGAAATAGTTGAAATCGAAGCTCCCCCCCATCATACCCTCCCTCATCATTTTCCGCGCATTTATGGCGTGTTATCGAGTAGACCCCTCCCGAACAATGCTCTCGCTCATGGTGCCATGAGACGATCGAACACGGCCGGTTTACTGAGTAGCGTACGACTGCTAAGGATAGGCTTGTTGCGGCTGGCTTGGTTGTTGCTGAGGGTATCCCGGCTGAGTATACTGCTGCTGTTCCGGAGATACTTGAGTCTGGTCCTGCTTCACAGGCTGATCAAGCTCGACGTTTTGCGCCGAGTCCTGGTTCTGAAGACAGGCCATGATGAAGAAGACCAGGTTCACGATCGTCAAGATCCAGAGAATCGCACCAAGTCCGGCGCAAGCAGCCATAACAGAGCCGAAAGTCTTGTAGACTCCATCAACCTCGTAGGCCGTGTATGATAATATGGTGGCAGCCCAAGAAGCACTCCATGCCCAGCCAGAAAGCCAGAAGATGACGCTCAGGACATATGCGATCAGGACGACGATTCGGAAGAAGTAGTTCTGGGCCTTGAGTTCGAGGGCGATAGCGATTCCGTAGATGATCCAGGTCTTGATTACCTTTCGAAACAGTCAGTACTGTGTATGGTTGGTTCGCGACGGTTCCTGCGAACTTACCAGGAAGATCAAGTAACCCGGTACTCCACTCGAGTAGTAGTATGAGTAATAGCTCCCATAAAGCGAGATTGCGTAAGCAGACAGGGCTAGAATGATCACAGACAAGAGTATGATCGCATCCTTGACGAAAATCAGCCAGCTGGGCACTGGCGCCGGCCCACGGCCTGTGAGTCCTTGGGCTCCCATGTTGAGATAGTCGGGCAGAGCTGAGCTGTAAGGATGTACTTGATTGGGGAAACGGTCAACAAACGAGATGAGAAGAGTGCGGAGAAGATACGGATAGGAATGCGGCGATCGAGAACTTATTGAAAGGCCGACAACCACTGGATTGTGTGATGGTGTTGACGATCAAATGGTTAGGAATGTTCCACATTTCATTGACTTATATGCCGGGGCTGCTGACGGGTATCGTACGTGCATTGCTCCGCCTTCAACCGCAGAGAAGCCAATTGATCTTGGCATCATTCAGCACCACGCGGTTTTCGACATCAGCTCATGAAAGCGATGTTAGGCCTCACACTGTCACTATCTTTGATCAAGCCCGAAGGCTGAACGGCGGCTAACATGTACGAACAGGGTTTAGAGCGGCAGAAGATGAACACGTTGGTTCGTCACAACTTCCTCATGGCAAATGAGCTGAAGTGGAACTGGAGTGTGGCGTGGTGGCGTCTGTAGCTTTAAAGTGATTGCAGCCAGATCTGGATCGATACCTCGAGCGCGATATGATCACGCGAACTCTGCAGGGCACGCGTCGAGGTCGAGGTAGATTTTGGACTGCCGGCTCTATGTAGTGCGGCTGTGAGTCTTACCTTATTAGCCTCCGACACCAGAAAGGCTTTAGCCCTATGTGTCTTGGTATTCAGGTGATAGATCGGATCTCCGCTCATGCTATTGCGCGGGTTGACGCGCTATGTAGATGAGATCGGACCTTGGACGGCTGAAGGGCTGAGTTGTCCGTGTGCATAGATGGTTGTTAATGAGAAAGCTCGGGAAGGCTTCGAGTAGGGAATGAGCTCGAGAACTGAATCTTAACCCCCCCATAGTTGTGAGTATCTTCACCATTTGAACGCTAACGTACACAGCAGCTTGCAACCCAACGGCTAAGCAGCGAGGCGATGAGAACCATTAACATCTTCCTACTTAGGCTTCCATCGTTTACTTGAATACAAGAGATCAAGGATGAAACTGGGTTGAGCAAGTTGGTTGAAGTTTGGCCTCAGGTTTTCTCTGATCCACAGCCAAACTGTTTACGACTGTTCGGTGTTCTATGTAACTACGAGGTAGGAGGCAGGTGCGGGTGGAGCATGCTTGCTTTAGTCTCAGCTAAGGATTGATGAGGGACCCACACATAATTTGAAGCCTCCAGTGGAAAAACTTGACTTCGGAATCATCCCAGCGCAACTTCTTTGAAAGGGTCTGGCCTTGCCTATTGACTTGTAGGTAAAGGCACAATATTATGAGGCAAAGTCGACATCGATTTGATATTTGGTCGTCTTGAGTGCGTACCCAAGATTGGAGAGTCGGTCTTTGGAGGCATGGACTACGCCACAAGCAGCCCCATGTCTGATCAGGATGACCTTGAAGTGGATGAGTATGCCCGCAAGAATGGCCTATCTGTCGATTCTCGCTTCAGTGCATTCTCCTTGTTGTTGTCTCTGTCATCTCTTCGTGGAATCAATTCTCCCTCAGACTCAGCGAATTTGCTCCAAGACGACGAGTGTCTCCCTGAATTCAAGGTTCCCCCCTTTCATTCTTTCAATGAACAGCCGGCTATTTCGAGAGATGCTGCTGAGTTTCTTAGCAAAGTCATATCTAGAGATGACGGCAATAGTGAGGTGGAGGCTGCTGCTTATATACCATCTTTTGTACGCCAGGGCCATTTGAAACTCGAGCTGCCGCTTCTCCCATCTGACAACGACGCCGATTGTCACCAACTCAAAGAGTCGATCAAAGCTCGGAACCTTATCCAAATCGACTCCCATTTCCTGCCATTAGAACCTCTTGTTGCGTCGAAGGACGAGGGACTGGAGTTTCCAGAAACTGCCAAGGTTTACAGGGCCCAACTGGAAGACGGGGACGAGGACCGTCTGACCATGCCAAAGGAGGTACTACACTGCATAGTGAAAGCTTTGGATGCTTCGTGGAACGATGAGGATACTGCTGCGCTGATAACAGCGAAAATCATGTGCCAGAGAGCAAGTTTCATCGCTGCCAGTTCTTTTGGACCTGCATTAACCTGTTTCGTTTAGGGTACCAGGTCGACTGAGCTAACACCACCTCTCAGCCCGGTTTTGCAACCTGCAGAGTTCTTTATTCCAGACTCTGAAGTATGTCAAATTCCAGTGTCTTCAGATACCAGCACCCTGCTTGGAGCTGATTTGGAAGCTGCGGAGGCAGCCATCGTTCAAGAGGAATCTTCACCGCTGCGATTCAGCACGCCGGAATTCCCCGTCCTACTCGATACACCATTGGTTAGCCCTGACAGGTTAAGACTTGATTCTGTCAAAGTCGAAGGACCTTTGACCCCTCTCGAATCTGAATCATTCGTTCCGGATCAAGTGGCAGATCTACAGGAAGGAGCTAAGGGCTTGCTGCAGGGATATATTACACTCGAATCGGATTGTGACCTGACCAAGGATTTAACGAACCCACTTGAACATAATCTGTTCGAAGGATTACAAGAAGATGCAATGACTACTCTCAGAAACATTGAGCAAGAACGCCTAGATACTATGGATGCTGTTGCGCGAGTACCGATTCCGGTCATGGATTTCGCATTGCCTGAACCTGAGTGGACAAATTCTGCATTGGATTGCAGACAACACTTGGAGTTGATCGATATGTATCATGTGGGACTGGACATACCATTGTGGCACAGGAATAGGGCTGTGGACCAGGAGCTGTGGTGGACTCCGTTTCCTAGTATTCTAGGACAAGTCTCAGTAAAAGAGTCAATTGAGGAAGAGAACACGTTGGAGTCTATTCTTCAGGATCTGTGTCCACACGAGGCGCCGACAAGTGCGGCATACGTTTGGAAACAGCCAGGCCTTGCCGTTCTACAACACACTGACGCAGACGACGACGACGACGAAGAAGAAGAAGAAGACTTAGAGGTAGTGCCAGACAAACTGAAGAATGATGCAGACCTTCACGCGCTACTAAAAAAGAGGAAGCTCGAAATCGACAACGTCCAGGACGATGAAGACTGCATTAAGGGCAATGCTGCAGGCGGCCATACTACTGCGCCTTCAAACTGCGCGTCTGAGTTGGAATCACGGGAGCTGCTGTCTCCTATTGATCTCATACAATTACCTCCAAACGCCGCAGCGACCAATACTCAAGACAGATCGACACTGAGGCTTCTGGTTGGAAACGATGACCCTTCTGCAACAAGTATACTGTTGGCCAATTATGTCGATTTTCACGCTTCCAAGAAGCAGAAGACTGCGAGAAGTTTGTTTTTCGACGGGAAAGAAAAGTATCTTCCCACTAGGGATGACGGCACTGACGGCACTGTCAATCTAAAGAAAATCACTAAGCCCAAGCCAACAAAGGACAGGCATGCGCCTTCCCAGCAGACATCAGCCACTGCACCGTGTCCCAGTCTCGACGCCGGGTTCAAGCCGACCAAAATTATCATTGCTCTAAATTTAGGTCGCGGACTCCTTTCACGTCTTGAAAAATTAATCCCGACTGCCGAACTCATAGAGAGAGACTTTGAACGCTGGAACACATTAGCCTGGGGCCGCAACTCTGTTATTCGGTCGCCCATTACCTCTCCCTTGGCAGCTGAAGCCGATGTTATTGTTTCGTCTGCCACAGGAATCCTCATTACAACACTCATCAAGGCAATACAGAAGCCTCTTCCTGGCCATACAGGCAAAGCTGCCATTCGTGAACGGATTGAGAAGGTTTCGGCGCGGTATGAGAGACTCTTTATTCTGGTTTCGGCAGGGAATCACGCCCATCAATTGACTCAAGAATTGAGCCAGTCGGAATGTACAGCATTTTCTGAATTCACCGCTTTTGTTGCTGGATTGGACACGACCGCCCAAGTGTACTATGTTGGCGGAGGCGACGAGACCGTGTCCCGTTGGCTAATTTCCTTGGTTATGCGGTACTCTCTGGAAGCCGCTGAACATTATCAACTACTGATAACAGATGAGACGACGTGGGAGATCATCCTAAGACGAGCAGGCATGAACGCGTTTGCGGCACAGGTTGTTCTGGCAAATTTGCGAGACACAGACGAGGACACTGAAGCGACCATTGAGAAGTCTGCTCTCTCAAAGTTTGTGAAGATGTCGCTTGCTGAGAAAATCGAGAAGTTTGGCCGAATCATGGGAGGCGAACGAGTATTGAAAAGGATTGACGCGGTATTTACTGCCGAATGGAATTGAGTGCGATGGGAGATTCCGAATCAGAATTATCTCAGTTACTTTACCTACGGGCATGGGGTCTTACGGAGCTACGAGGAGTGGAACTTGGCTATGAATACGCCTTGAAGGCTTGGCTATCGGCCTGATTTGCACTTACACTAGAGTGTTCGTTTATCTGCGTTACAATCTAGACGTTGGCTGCCTTGAAGAAATTGCGACGAGACGATTGCTGGAAATTTAACCTACTTGTGTGGCATCAGGTCCCTGTAATATTATATTGTACAGCTGTGAACCCAACGACCGAAACGCCCGATCGGTCCATATTAGGTGAAAACACCTGCACAAGAACGTCGTAGGCTGCCGCAGATGTGTCTCGAATCTCGAAACACAGATGGATGGCATTCCATTGTGTGCTATTATTTCTCGATAATTTGACCTCGAGGGTACTGTCTTCCTTGAGCCCGTCTGCATTGACGATTTGATAATAATTTCCCTCCAGTCCTGCTCGGCATCTACGGTACAAGCTATTACCCAACCTCTATCCTGTTTTTGATCAAGGCTCATTCTTACCTCTTTGCCCGTGGCCCTCTAAACTCCACCGGGATTCCCGGGAGCGGCTCATCCACTGAATTCTGCCTCAACCCATTCAGCCCATCTCGAAGACCCCGAACGCCCTTAATCCCATCCAGTCCCGGCCCCGTGCCTGCACTCTGCGCCTCATACCCAACTCTTCTTCCGCTCCCGCTCAATACCCGAACACCAGCACCACCACCATTTCCACGACTTGCGGCGGAACGTGTTGAGCCTGACCCGGAGATAATTGCTCGTGTTGTCGTCTCCTCGTCGGCAAGCTTCGCACCGCCGAAAAAGGCACGGCCGCGCAGGGGATTCTTGCCAGAACCGTCTTCGTGGCTATTACGGCGGCGTCGACCCCAGAGGATGAAGATGGACAGGATGAGGACCACCGCTGCGAGGCTGCCGATCACGGGGGCGGCGACCCAGACGTTGGAGGTCATCGAACTCGACTCTTGTGATGCAGGCGTCGGAAGAGCGCTCGGGGATACCAAGGCAAGTGAGAGCCCTGCCGAGGCGGTTTCTTGGGGCGCGGAGACCGACACAAAAGTAGTCATGCCGACGCCAGCGGACTCCGGCTGAGCATCAGCCTCAACCGTGCTGCTTGGGGAAAGCAAGTGCGACAACGTAACCAAGCTCGTTTCAGAAATGGATGAGCTCCCGGGCACAAACACCGCAGCGCCATTGTTAGCCATGAGAAAAGCTGAATCGACGCCCTCTTTCTGAAACAACTCCCCGGCGCCGAAGCCAGTCTTGAGATAGCAGTTCTTGAACCCAGCCGATTGGTTGACGTCGAAGCTGACTCCACGGCAGGCTGAGTTTGACGCACACGCGGTCATACAGTCGGCAAAGCGCGTGTGAAATTGCTGCTCCAGGTCGTTGCCGAACACAACCTGCCTGCACTGCATGTTGAAGTTCTTAGCCTGCACGAGCTGGATAGCCCCATGGACACAGTTCGAGGTCGGGGGTGGGTTGGCTGGGATGCCTATCGCCGAATCCATCCCTAATGTCTGCGCTGAGCTCGCTCGGTTGATGGAGCCCTTCAGGATGCAAGTATTGCCTAGCTGGAACGTTACAGCCTCGCAGCGTGGGTTTTGTTGTGATGTGCTATGTGATTATTAGACAATGTCCTACCGTGAATCATCCTGAGAGATTGGGGGTCTCTTCATACCAAGAACTCATGCAAGTGTTGAGCGAGTCCAAGAACATCCGACCTATTTCTACGCCGTTGATGTTGGTACCGCACAGGATATCGAATGATTGAGGGGCGCCCATTTGCGTGCCATTGCCACTGGGACATGGAAAGTTTTTGAAGTTTTGGCGGAGGAAGACATCATGTTGAACCATTTCGGATTCTCGGAGCATGAGTTGCTCAGGACGTTGTTGTAGTTAGTGATTTGCACTGCAAACGAGGTGGGAATTCGCGGTATTAATGAGTGAAAAGAAGAAGAGAACTGAGTGAATTAGTCACGATCAATTAAAAGTCATTATAGGGAAATCAGGAACTACTGTCTCCATCAAGGAGGAGTTTGAATAATCCAAGTCGCTTGTGAGCAGGTGTCGGGTACCACTGGGTGGTGGGTAGTAATGGGACTTATAAGCTGCACGCGAGATCTGGGAGTACGTCTGGTATATACCATGGCTACGCATCATCGTGTCCTGATATGCATAAACCGGCACCCAGTACCAAGTCTAGATTCAGAAGCCACGACTCCTCAGTTCGTACATGTTTGCATACGTTATACAACTAAACGTTCGAGAGCTATTCAGCAGTGTGCTGGCAATTGTAAGATTGGGAACAGTGGAGACCCTACCTCGAAGTATTCAGGGGTTTCCTTCGATGTCGGCGGTCTGATAAGCGGTTGTCGGGTGAATTGCACTTGAGACGGATCTGGGGAAAGTCTTGGACCTGTCAACGCCAGATCTGGTAGGATCGCTTCATGGAAAAACGCTGCCGTACGCGAGTGTCATGCAATCGAAAGGCATTGCAAATGCATATGCGCCTGAGAAAGCTGTTGGCATCGAGTAAGCCTCGTTTATTGGACCTCTTGGAGGCACGTGAACGGCTCCTTGTAGTGATGAGCACTGTACCACTTGCACCCAAAGAATGGGCTCGGTGAGGGCGCGAGCCGAACCAGGATAATTGGAAATTGGGCATTGGGTGGAAATCCGGAGTCTACTGAAAGCTTCTGCATCCCCAAGGAGCATTAGAAACAGGGTTTGTAAAGGCGCACGATGCTGGCCTTGGCCTGAGATCGTCGTTCTGCGACGAACAAGAGTCTGATTCAAACTACCGTGTGTTGTGCCGACCTTCATGCAAGCGAACGCTCCGAAAGCTGGAAAAAGGTACATCGAGCTGCAGCTGCGACGATTTTACCTCTGGCAGGTGTCTAGGCCAATCAGCTGGGTCCATGATATTTTGGACCAATTGGAAATGCACCAGACGTTTGCAATCTACTGGGCCATACACGAGTTTCTGGCATTGCCAGCTTTCCATGCATTGCCGCAAATAGGTACATGTGGCGCTGAAGTTAGCCCAAAGGATGAAATACAAGATATCGTAGGGGAAAACATGGAAAAGTTGAGTTTCAAGATGCTTTATCCGGTCCGTTACCGCACACCTGAGCTTCCGATCCCATTGGGCGCCAGGAGAGGTTGATTCTCCCCCAGCCCTTGCACGCTTTCCCGGTCCAATGCCTGTTCGATTTCTTCTTGTGTCTCAGCATAGGCTTGCAGATGTGCCGAGTACGGTCCGGGACTGGGGAGGCCGCGAGGCGTAGTGCGTCTGCTGTACGCTGGCCGCTCCGGAGTCAGAGAGCGCGCTTGATGTGAAGGCCACTCATAGCCGATGGCCATGGTCAGCACAATGCCCTGCATCACTGCCGTAAGAACATAGACCCCCCACGAACTCCAACCGGCCCATCCGAGCCGCGCTGCCAGGCTGCCTGCAAATAGAAAGCCGCCCGGTGTTTGTACGCACATCATTGGAATGCTGAGGCTTCCCGCGTGCTTGAGCTTGTAAGTGATCCAGATCTGAGGTAGGTACTGAATAGCGGCCAACGCGGCAGACATGATCCCAAGCACGTTTGCCCAAGCACCGAGATAATCTGGAGCGCCAAGCGCAAAGGAGGCAGAAATGATAACTACGAATAGGCCATGCACAAGGCACAAGACAGCGACGCCAATGGCGGTGCGCCATGTCGGCTGGTCCGGGTCAAGCTCCAGCTCGTCCTCATCAACATCGGCATCCTCGCGACGGAAGAAGACCAGGAAGAGGACGAGACTAATTCACTATTAGCACTCTTGTCGTAACATTGCCCGGAGACCTTGCGAAGCACGTACATGATTCCAAAACATATCCATTGTACGCCAATTTGAGCAATGCCTAGCAGTCCCGCAGCGCATTCGAAGGGACTAACTTCCTTGCAGCAACCGATATCGGCTCGAGATTGAGGCAAGACCAAAATGTTTCCGAATTGCGAATTGGCACTGGTAACGCCTAGAAGCACGAAGTATGGCGAAATACCCTCGGACGTGCCGCGCGATATGATTCGGTAATGTTGCAGGAGGTAAGAGAACAAGATGCCGATGATGATGAGACTGGAGGTACCTTCTGTCAGTTCTGAGACAGTGATCAGTGGGATGGCATTGCCATAGTACTTACATCGACACAAAAAAGTTGGTGTAGCCCACCTTGCGAAGCTCATCACATCGGCCGTCCATCATGTCCAAGAATGATTCCATCTTGGCGTCCACAAACAACCCTTCTACGACGACGGACGATACTAAAATAGTCGGCAAAAGCACCCGTTAGTCGCAATGCTTTGAAGCGTGGTTCTCGAGTGTCGAAAGGCAGATGTCGATGAGCCCGTACGGTCGTAGTCGCCCAGGCGATCGTCAGTTGGGCCTCAACTTCGGTCGTCCGTCAGCGCCAAACGATGACGATGTGCCGATGGCAGAGGCTGCTACTCTGAATGCTATGCGGACATGGCGCTATCAGCCCTCAATGCTTTCAATTAACCGACAGGAAGCAGGCGAATTGAAATAAGCTCGAAGGGAATGTCTTGCTTCAGTATCTAGAAAGAGCACAGTAGCTGTCTTGTCCGAGCTCCAGGTCCGTCTTCAATCCAGCGCACTTGGCGGGCTTGCTTGGTCCCTGGTACCCTAGCGGCTTGGGGCTGATGATCCCCCATGTGATAAGTGCACGGGGCAGCTACAGGCCTAAATCCACTATGACGTGGAGAAGCTACGAAGTATGTACGGGTCCCTGCATCAACGGTGATAGCGGGCCTTGAGTGTGTGTCGTAGAGAAATCGTCTCCACTTAAGACCTTGCAATCTCAATCACCATGTGACGAGACGACCGACACGCCTTTGGTCTACCAGTGGTATGACGGACCCTTACAGAAACTTCTATCTAAGCAGGATTCACTTAGCTGTTCAAGATGGTGTGACAGCTTGAATCAGCACATGGCCCCGAAGCTTGTTTTCTTCTGCGACTTCGGAGCGCAAGGCTACCGACTCGGAGACCAGAGGTTCAGATAGGGCGAGAACAGAATTGGAGCCTGCCAAGATGGCTGAAGCCCAGGGGACGGTAGCTGAACGAAATCCCAATGACAGGGTGTGTCTGCTTGCCTCCACTGGCAATATCACATTTCAGGATACATCAGATCCATATTCACCAGCGGACGCCTCACCAGCGGATACCGAGCCTCGCGGCTACTTCGAGTCAGCTCAATGGTGTGCACCCCTGACAATCGTCCCAACGAGTTACACGATCATTTTAGCTAACGTGACCCAAGGACCCCAGATGGCACAACAATACTGACATTGTCATCTTCTAATACAATCTCTGGCTATGTCGTACCTCAGGACCTCCTTGCGCCTCATATAGAACCTCTATCACTTTATCCACAGAGCACCATACCACTCCCAGAACCTACCAACGTTCTGGCCTCATCTCCATATTTCAATCTCTCAGAGGCATACACAAACCAGCTCCTGGTGTCGAGTCGCGATCATCCCATCCAGCTATTCTACCTTTTCCCGCCGTTGTCATCCCACGACAACAACTCAGTTTCGCACGCGCCTTTAGCCTCTTACCCCCTGACCAAAGCCCGATCCGAGACATTCCTCACCGCAACATCGCTGGTGTGGCCCGCTCCCGGATCTCACTTTATCGCAGGATGTAGGAACCTCTTGGCAAAATTCGATATCACTCGCACCGGCGAGGAGCCACTGCTGCGCATCAAGACTATCCCGTCCGAACGGCACCTATCCAAGGGTGGCGGTGTCGGCATGCGCGGCACCATTTCTACGCTATCTGCACAGCCGCCAGATCAGAATGGCGGTAGCCTCGTTGCTGCGGGCACGTGGACCCGGTGGGTGGGATTATATGATTTTGCGCAAGGGGGCGAATGCATCTCGACGTGGAGTGTCGAGTCAGCGGCCAAGGAGACAGCTCTTGCCGATGGCAGTGGTAGTACTGCGGGAACTGGCGGCGGCGGGATCACACAAACAATTTGGAGCCCATGTGGAAGATATCTACTCATCTCTGAACGCAAGTCGAGGGGTATTCTCGTATACGACGTTCGCGTGACTGGGCAGTTGCTCGGCTGGTTGAAGGGGAGAGAAGCACGAACCAACCAACGGATACAGTGTGATGTTTTCCCGGGGCAAGATGATTTTGGCGGCTTTGAAGTCTGGTCAGGGACTACTGATGGCACTGTCAAGATGTGGGAGGGTGTGGGGAGCCGCGAAGGAGCCAATGAGCCTGCTTGGGGCTGGGAGGGTCATGGTTCCACGGTGGGAAGCACGTGCCTACATCAGAGCGGAGCGGTTGTCGCAACATGTTCTGGTTCTTGGACTTTCCCCGAGGATGAAACCTGCGAACTTCCTCACGAGGGAAAGCATGTAGGTGGTCGGGAGTCGACGGCTTGGATGCGTAGGACGAATAAGGAGAGCAGTCTGAAGTTTTGGGGCCTTGGATCGCAGAGCGATAAAGATGTCACTGAGCATTCAGACCCCGGGGATGGCTCTTGAGTAAGGAGGCCGAGAAGGAACTCATGACATTCGGCGACATCATGACGGCGGAGATGTGCCCATGCCTGGGAGCACGAACATGCCGGCTCCACAGCATCGGCCTAGATGCCAATTGGCCTTTTAGCCTCTTGCTAGTTTAGATCAAGTCAGAGGGGTACCGTTCATCAAGCATCCTTGTGATTATATTTATACCCACGTATTTTCATATCTATCGAAGATCAAAATTTTCTCATGGATTGATTTGGCCGAACCAGTTGTGGTCACATCTCACATGAGTATTCCCCTCTCCAGTTCAGCGCAAATGTTTTTGACGGAATACAAAGAAAGCTCCCTGTATATCCTCATGCAGATCGATGCTTTGACGATGACCCTGACAAACCCCATGCCGCCTTGATAAAATCAGAACACTTCCCGCTAATTCCATAGGCCGGTATTTGAGTATGCCCGCCATGCGATTTGGGCATGATGCTACATTCAGCCACACGTGAATTCTTGATACCTTGGACAACCAGCTTATCTTTCCCGGCTACATATACAACCATGGCGCTCCAACTGGATCTTGTGCAGCGTGGTTTCATCACGTCGATGATGAAACTAGCTCCCATGACCTCAGGCCACCAATACCATATCTCTAAGCTAACTTCACCCAAACCAACAGGGCATCTTAATGTACGGTCCAAAAGGAGACGAATTTTAGCGCCAGCCATGTTTAGCGATTACCAAATGGGTAATTTAATAAGATAATGGTTAACTGTGCTGATCACGGCAAGCCTACTATCGCTATTATGGTCTAGAGTGCTATCTCTAAGAGCGGCTGATCATATATCGTTATTATGGATAGAGACCCGGAATTTCGGCGTAAGGGCTTTTCCACCCGGCCATATTTATGGGCTCTAGAGGAAGTCCTTCTACCAATATACAGGGCTAGCACCTTGTTCCAGCTAGATAACGCTAGAATAAATACTTCTAGAGCTTTACAAGAGTGGCTGGAAGCCTACGGCATATGGACCATCGATTGGCCCGCTCCATATTCCTGATCCGTCGCCAATCGAGCATGTGTGACACTACATGAAGGTCTATGTCCATAAAAACCACCCTGACGTCCATATTTTGAAGGACAACGAGGCTAACAGAGAGACTATGAAGGACTGGATCCGGGAGCCGCGGTGGGCAGTGCCACAGGCCATTATTGGTTGGTGGGCGCGAGACTTTTTGACCGGATTGTATACTGTTAGTACCTCCCCAATAAATGTGTATACTGTAAAGAACAACAAGTGTACACACCTCAATTTGCTAAAGGAAAGGAGCAAAGCCGATTGGGGGCAAGATTAAACAACCAAATACCAACCTGCATCAATCCAAGTCTCCCAAACATTCAGTTCAAACACCATCGATGAGATTCTCCAGCTTGCATCGAAGTTCCATCCTGTAATACGCTAGTCATAGGAACATCATCATGAAACTGCTAAACTAGGTGGTGTCCGATAACAAAGTAATCCCAGGAGGACATGAATTCTATGTCCCCGCATTTTCAGCCACGTTCAGCTAGCATTACCCATTTAGAAGCTAATCGACGCGGAACAAATCTCACGGAAGAGTATTATAATAGTAGAAAGAAATCATAGTGCCCGTACACTAATTGGTTTCTTAATTGTAAAGAGGAATCGTTATTGAAACTCATGTCTCTCCGTAAGCCTCGGACGCCGATAGAACGGTGCCTATATCGCATCTTTTGATAATGCCAGTCTTTTTCCTTTCCCAGCCGTATGATGCTAAATACTTTTGCATAAGTACTGTTTGTTCACTCCCTTTCTCTTAGTGCTCGTAGGTATTCAAAATGGTTGTTGATAGAGCGGGTGATCCTGTAATTGCGCACACGGGAGTGTCATATCATCTTGATATGCAAGGGGGTTTTCATCGGACAAAGTCGGCCTCTGCCCCGGAATGACACCTAATAACGCCTGCCGCGCCTGGGATTCGTCTCGATCCCGCTCCCACATTAGAGTCCAAGCGATATTGACGGTAATAGGGATGATGCCCGAAGACTCTACCAGACTCCATCTGCTGCACATAACGATCAACAGGTACAAAGTAAGGGATGTGAGAAGTGAGCCCCTCAAGCGTCTAGTTTAGGCATTAGCAAAGTTCGAATCAGAGAGGAGAAGATGGTTTGCTCACCTCTGGGCGTGGTCAAAGTCAGTTGAGACTAAAGTCACACCGCAAATCACCCAAACAATCTTGCTGCTGTTGTGGAGAATTAGAGATAGACTGTAGTTAGGCTGCGGGGGAAGACCCTACAGAAGCACCATCAACCTCGCCCACTCAAAGCCGACGGTTGGCTCGGATAAGAGCGATGTAGTCAAGGCTGATGTTCACAGCCCTAAATGTTGAATTCAGCGTACGCCGTTCATGTCCATTTCAACTTGGAGGAATCAAAACAGAAGCACGTGGTTGGATGGGTGAACTAAACGCGTAGGCCTGGATCAAGGCTAATGCAAGAAAGGGGTTAGAGAATATGCAATAATTGAAGGCAGAGAGGGCTAGGATGTGGCGTCCCTGGATCGTCAATAGCAGTTCCTCGGTAGAAAACGCGGAAACAAAAATTATCTTGTAGTCCCTAACACGGTGCGCCGCACACAGTTGATACACTATTGATACCTCTGAGAGAAGGGACCGTCGCCTTCTCGTCGCCTTCTTGCCTCCGATGCAGCTGGTGAGTTGCAATTTGTCGATTTTTCTCCACCGGCTGGGATGTGGCGTCCATGGATCGTCAATTCGAAAGCAGTTCCTTGGTAGAAAACTTGTAGTTCCTAGCATGGTGCGCCCAGCACTGTCAGGTACTTTGAGACAAGGACAGCCGGGTGAGTTGCAATTTGTCGATTTCCTCCGCGGGCTGGGCTAGCTGTAAAGCTGTAAAGCTATGATTCGTTAGAACTGGAGAGAAACAGGGAGATGCCGCTCCAGCTTCGTCATAATGCATGTCGATCGATCCTAATCGCGTGGGCAAACTTCGCCTAGCCTATCAATTTTCGGGCTACAACGAAAGACGGCGCGCGAGAAAGCCAGAGGCAGCCCAGGCATACTGTCAAGACATGGTAAATGGCAGTGTCTTATTGGGCAGCAAAGAACAGTACATTTTCGCAATATATAAGCAGGATCTTGTAGCTTGATGGCAGACATAGTTGAAGATAGCCTACAATTGTAAAGAACACTATATGGATCCCTGTACGGGACGTCCTAGTTCCTTGGGGACAGCTGTATTCGCAACCTACCAATATTCCTACTACGGTAGCAACTGAATGCTAATTTACCAGCCACATTAGATTTTAGATACCAGCTTATACGTTCTACTAATGAAATGGTCGCGCTTGTCAGAGTTAGTCTAGTCTAGGACTGCGCATACCTCTCTTCTGAGAAGACGACGACGCTGTTGAGTAATACCGAGCTTGACGGGCGGGTAAGGTCTTCGCGCAGAAACTGGCGAGGTCTTGTTGACGCGGTGGTTGCGAAATTTGGGGGCCATGAGAACGCTTGCAGTGCAAGACGGTGGCTTGCTTGGGGAAGTGAATGGGGAGGATTATGGACAGTTCTAAGTTCGCAACCAAGAGGCCAGGAAGGAAGGATTTTCTTTTAAAGACGTTCTGTACTTCATTCACGACCGTCGTAGGATCGTTCGCTCTGCCCATGGCACACCTTTTAGCGGCATGGCATGATAACCTACCATTGCTGGAAGTCTTCCAATGATGCTTGAGTACCAAAGTCTTCGAAGAAAAAGCAAGAAAAGAAAAAGAGACACAAAAGGAAAACTCCCACAAGTCGTGGAATTTTCCTTCACGTATGGTACCCAACCCTCCCAGGTCGTGTACTTGTGTGTCAGGTTCGGCGGCCATGAGATCGTCACGAAATCTCGTGTGCCCTCTCCCTCCATGACAACCTCGTTGCCGAAGCGGCATGCCTCAGCCAGAACCTCGACATTCAAAAGATCGGCCAGATAGTTGAAGTCGACCTTGTGCCCTTCTAGAGGATCAGCGCTCCTAGCTTGAAGGTGCCTTGTGACCGGAGAGAACAGCTCAGCTACCATACTGAAGGCGTACTCGTGATCGATTAGGAAATAGTCGAACTGCTTCGGCCCCAAATAGTATTTCGTGTTCCAAAAATCAATATGAGGCTTTTTGGATGTCAAGCCCATCGGGTCGCGGCCCGGCTCCCGCGGTGCTAAGTATCACAGGGCCGAGTCGGCCAAACGGTCGTATAGTCGGACAAAGGCGAAGACTCCCAAGGGGAATGTCGACAGGAAGCCGGTTTGGTATTTTTCACATTTATCACGATGTGGTGAGACCCTCATCGCGGTAGATGAGATGGTCGTTATTCAGGCCTTTTTTTCCGGCACGTATAACATGAGACGATTAGATGGTCCATCAAGTTCTTTCCAACCCCTGGAATATCAATGATGGTATCAATATCGTGGGCCTCGAGTTCTTTCTTGGCACCTATGCCTGATCAATTGAGGATATTGGGGCTGTAGCTGGTACCACTGCTGACGATGAGCTCCTTGGTGGCCGTTAGTCTGGCTATCGTCCCAGCTGGATTGCCGACTAGTACACCGGCGGCTCGTAGCTCGCCATCAGAGTCTCTCTCAAGGAGAACCTAGTCGACATGCGTGTTGACCAAGATGATGACGTTGTCTATGCAACGAGTCTTGATAAAAGTCAGCTCCCGTGGTGCGAATCCCTTCGTGAACCCTTGGGGTACGTTTCCGCATCCGTGGGGATTCTCTCCATGAGAGAACATGTCGTACCTCCAGATTAAACCCCCTCGAGACCATCGAATCCAGGACCAGATCTGAAATAGAAGCTAAGTCGTGTGGCTCTATACGAAGAGGACCGTATCCATGGGGATTTTTGGAGCAGCGGTACCATGACTTGTTGTGGAATATTTCAACCTGCAATAGCCATTGTCCACCGTAACAGGCATTCTCATCAGCAGTTCTGAAGTATTTTGCACATATATCAGAATGACTCTTCGCCGCTACAGCCTACTAGACCCCATCCACCACAATCTTGTTTGCAGCCGTGAATGCACAAAGTGTATTGCAACCAGAGCAACCCCTGAGGTACTTCCCTCAACTCAGCTGGACCTGGCGGTCATCAATAGAAGCGCCCTTCTCGCAAACGATAGTCCAGTCCGTCTCTTTGTCGAAGAGCTGAATAAATCTAGAACCGAAACATGATTGTCAGCAACGTTAATTCTAGAAAGCACTCATGTGGTTTCAATACTCACCCTCCAGCCCTGTGTACATTCTTTAGCTCTTCATGGTGTTGGCCTGCTTCAATAACCACCACTTTCACACTGGAGTCTGCCGCCAATCTACCGGCTCCGACACATCCAGTCGTCCCACCGCTGTTCATTTGTCAGTTGTTAATGCGTAATGCGTAGGAATGCAATTTTGGGACGTGAAATTCAACTAACCCAAAGAAAATGAAGTCAAACTCAGAGTTGGCGTCAATGACCGATACCATTATTAATGGCAATTTAATTATGGGAAATCAAATGATGATAGGACTTGAATGCCCAGGACAGGAAGGGTTAATAGATCATGTCAACTTAAGTATTTGATCAACCCCATCCACATAGCCCATTCCCAGAACACAGTACTTTTTTTTCTAAGCTATGTTGTACATATAACATCTGATAGGGCTTGAAATGGGATACCAGCACAGCCAAGGCGCCGGGGAGACTTCTGTGCCAACTTCATCGGGAACACCGCATCGGGTAGTGCCGCAGTGCTTGAAGTGCAATGGAATGGGCGCCGTGCTTGTCAGAATTTCCGAGATGATAACAAAAATATCGCCACTTGGCAGGCATAATGCAGTGGCACGACAGCGGTGGTCTTAGTTGTTGTAGATCGATAGCATGATCTATTTATTGGACTAATTTTTGCAAATTGTACTGCATTGAAGATGTGTTGATCTCTATAGATCGTCTTCTTCAACAGAGTGTATTGTATCCATCAGGGCATTATATACTTAGAAATGAACGATATCTGCCCTATAGGCAGAAATTGTGTGGTATGGTGGGTGGTGGTCATATTGGCCTCACAAACTGGAAATTCGGTTGGAACGACCTTGTATCGGACTTATTGCAAGCTATAACAAAGCATAGAGTTGAATGTCCCTCTGGTCTCCCCCAAGTCCAAAGGAGTGAAGGTAGCCATAAGGGCCTTAGAGAAAGAAAAGTTTGCCTCTTGGCTGCTTCCACCAGAACAAGTTTAAGAAACTCTAAATCAACCGTCAAGCATGAAAGAGCTAGAAAAGGGGCTGGTGCGGTCCGACAAGTTGAAGTTCGACACCACTTGTGATATAGAATGGGGCACTTATGTTGACTGGTCATCGTGGCCGCAGTTTCTTTTAAAACTGTTTTAAAGGTCTTATATAATTTTCACCATGATCGAGATCATCGAATTGAATCAACTATATAATAGGAGTTGTTATAGCCAAAAACGCAAGAGCAACTTGCCGATTTCGCCAACCGCATGGCAGATTGCCTGCAGGTTCCACAAGAAGATGCACCTTCCTGCGTTCACAAGCAGCTTGCCGTATGGGAGTTGGCACAACCCCCCGCCTTGAGCAAGCCTCGAGTCAACCCAATCAACCTCACCATTCCCTTTCATTGGGTTGACGATTAAATTAGTCAGCAAAATAACCGTTGGGTTAACTAGTTGCCAAGGTGGTTGCCGTAACCAACTGGAAATGAGGCTATCGTCAACCTCGCTTATAGTCACTAGTACCGAAATAGCGTATTGGCGAAGAAGCGATACTATCGGGGTTAACGCTATAGTGGTTGTTCAGGACTCCATAGTATTAGGAAGCAACTTAAACGCTAGAGGACCGCCAAGATGACAGCGAAAGTTCCTATAGGGTGAGCAGGTGCGTCTGGCACGTGCAAATTACTCAGAATAGGGAGCCCTTAGCCTTAGCAACCACTTAGCAACCAAGTCACGAACCAAGTCTCCAAATTTATATTCCTTAGCAACGAAAATCGGGAGAATTGGTGGGTTGGGTTAGCTGGTTGACGTCAACCCTTGGCAACCAGGTTGAATTGGTTGGGTTGTCTCTAGGCCTGGCCTTGAGCTCCATCCAAGTGAAGCTGGAAGGACCCAATATTTGGAATTCAACAGCATGAAGATCCTACGAGGCTGGATCCTAGTGCTTGTCAAGAGCGACCTGTGCCCAGCCGTCAATGTCAAGGAGATCGAGCCCACCACTCGACTGACTTTCGCAAGGATATTCTGCAAGGATTGGCCTCACACATGCAAACTGCTTTTTGCGCTGGAGCAATGGGTCACACTCGGATGGCTGGTATCACATAGACACACGAAAAAGGGCACACAGTCTTAGTTGAGTCAAATCTGAACGAACAGCAATGATAATGAAATTGATTAGATGTGAAAGGGGAGCCTGCCGTGGGAGAGAATGCTTGGTGTAGAGTAAGAATCTGGACAGCCAAAGTCTATAATGAAGGAAACATTACCTGAACGTGGACATTGCTGTTCAGATTTTGCCCAAGATGAATAACCATGAACTAGTATTACGACACGCAGGGTTTTCAGGGTTTATATTCCACTGCAAGTGAGGTATAAATGACTTCATATACATCGACATATGTCGAAACATAAAGTTACCGTGTTCCTGGCATTAGCGAAACATCGTGCTCATGACGTCGTTCTATACCAAGACGCAATTCACAATGCATCTGGACAATCAATTGCAGGATCCCACCGTTGTCAATATCATGCCTCGTATATACTCCTTCGTTTCTTCAAAGCAGCCCACCGGCAATAGGACCTACTTTATTAGTGGAACTCAGATGGCGCAATCGATATCATATATGGCGTCGATGCAACGTCGATTATGTAAATAGCCAATAACTGCCAAGAGCACGCATGGCAACATATCACCAACCTAGACTACGCATAGATGGAGACTGGTACCTGTTGCCTTTTCGGTGAGACCCTCTGGCATATATCCACGTCGAATATAAAGTTAGCTCGCGTCATTCGGCTTGATCTAAGCCCAACTTCCACCAATCAATCAGTCGAGACTACTAGGACTGTATTCTATAAAGTGAGAGGATGTCAAACCAAATTTGAGAAAGTGGGTTGTCTTCATTGAGAGATATCGCTTGGGCGTGCCGACTTCGGAAAATACTCTTTGTATATTTTAGCACAATGAGGGGTTTACTACTTGGAGGCTGGGCATTCGCGGCATCACTTGCCACCGCCCAGAGAGGCCCTTTTCTGGAGCAAATCGACGACACAACCTGGGTCGTCGGCAACGACTTATGGAATCTTACCCAAGGCGCCTTTTACGCCACCAAGCTTTTTCATAGGGGACAGGATCTTGTTGGATCGGCAGTGGGACACTACGTTGGCTATGGTAAGCCACCGCAGAGCTCCCGAAGCATTTAGCGACAAATTTGACTTTGCAGATGGCGAGGATAACCTCCAATGGCTATCCGCCTCAATAGCTGCCGAAGGCGACAACTTCATTGACGTCAGCTTCTTCGCTGAGCTTGGAGATTTCCATTGGGTCATCTTCGACGACCTTCCCGGCGCGTACCAGTACTTCGTCAACCGTGCGCTTCCCGATATCAGCATTCTGAGAAGTCTGTGGAGACTGGCACCCGAGATCTTTCTGAATGGCCGCACTCATCTAAAAAATGAGGCCCTGCCGGACTTCGCGCTGTATGCCAATGCAACCAATGTCCAGGATGAGACGTGGCAGCTGGAGGACGGGACATTCATCACGAAGTACGACTGGTCCAACGCCGTCCGTGATCGGGACTTTTACGGCGTTTATGGACCGGAGTTCGGCTCTTGGTATATACATCCGACGTTTGAGTACTATAACAGCGACCAGCTGAGTCAAACTCTGACGGTAATTGCGATGGTTTCTAAAAGCGACATGCGCTAATAGTTCGACTAGGTTCATCGGGAGTCAAGCACTGGTGACTCGGTGCAGCTGAATGTCGTGCAAGACACATCCCATTTCCGAGTGGGTCAGACCACAGCTCAGCCGGAGGGAAAAACTTGGGGTCCCTGGCTTTGGTACCTGGTGAGTTCTTGCCTCTCAACTCTTCTTGGAACGCGTACTGATTTCCCTCTAAGAACAGCGGAAGCATCGCAGATGCAGCAGAAAGACGAGTAGAGGAACTAGCTGGATGGCCATATGAATGGTTTAACAACACGTCATACCACTCCCGTGGCGGAGTCTCTGGGTATCTCCAGCTCTCAGACGGCCGACCAGCTGCTGGTGCCGCGGTTTACCTTGGTGACACCGACACTACGATCCGCCCATCGATCCAAGGGAGCAACTACTATTACACTACCTACGCGGACGACACTGGTGCATTTTCCTTCGACGACGTCCGCACGGGCTCGTACGGTTTGTATGCCTGGTCAAATGGTGGTGAGATCGGTGACGTCTACACGAACGTGACCACGTCCCCCGTTACGATTACTCGAGCCGCAACCACACAGTTGGGCGAGTTAAAATGGGATGTGCCGAGCGGAGCACAGCGCATCTTCCAGGTCGGAGAGTTCGACAAGAAAGCGCTGGGTTTCACCCACGGAGGACCGCCTTACCAACACGGTGTCGCGGATCTGAGTCCTGCCAACTTGACTTTCGTCGATGGAGAATCCGAGAATTCAGACTGGTACTATGCTCAGTCTGCCATTGGGAAATGGACCATTGAGTTTGATCTCGCCGCCGAAGAAGTGACTGGCTACAAAACTGCTCTTTTGAGTGTTTCTCTTGCCGGATACTCGCAGAGCGCTGCGTTGGATATTGATGTGAATGGCCAGGTGCTTGCCACTTTAAGCAAGGACACTCTGGTCAGTGATCCAGCTTTGTATCGTTCGGGGAAGACAAACGGCGAGTGGAGGTTCTTTCAGTACCCCATCTCAAGTAGTATGCTCAGTGCCGGTGTGAACACAGTAGGATTTACGGTGACAAGGTATACGCAGTGGAGGGGTTTCATGTGGGACAGTATCATTCTTGACTGGGAGTAGCCGGGGATTGGTGTTTGAATTAATGAAATGAATGAACTCTTGCTTAATTGATTCTAAGAAGGGGGAGCCTAGGGTTTAACTAGACTGCAAATATGAAATTTGTGGGCCAACTTATCATGAAATGATCATACAACCTGTCCCAACAGGCCGTTAAACATCCCATAACAACGGTGAAACCTTTTAGGACGACTGTGAAGGTTTGGCTCCCGACCCATAACCTTGACAACTGGTTGGCAGTTGAGCAATAGCACATGGACATAGGTCAAGGCTTCAGATAATGTGTGAAATGGATACTCACAACCATCAGTAATGTTTACGGGGTGCTTCTATATATTAAATGGATGGTGCTATAGGATTGCAGTCGTCTGAGTTAAAGCTGCTTGAGGTTGGATGTCTCTTCATACTCTTCCTCGTGCTATCCTTGTGCAGTATTCTACTTTGCCAGTCATAACCACCAGCGTTGAAAATATGAGACAAACTACGCACAGAAGAACCAGGAGTATTGGAAGTAAGTGGGCTTCGACAACGACCAAAAAACAAGACATGGAACTGATGCGGTAACCGGCCTGCCTTGTAGCACTGCGGCGCATTACCATAGTGAGGCATAAAACTTGAGCTTCCTGACGAACAACACCGCCTCGTTGTCGTCTCAAGAGTACGCACGTGTTTCATGTTAGCGTGCATATGTCCCAAAGTCTGACCTAGGTACTAACCTTAACTCACCGCAACCGAGCTTGGCCTTTACGAGTCGCAGATGGTGCCGATCCAGGGGGAACTCCTGACGCCCACGGTCGACTTCGAGACAGCCACCGACCCCCCAATGAGTCAGGCACAGCTGAGCAACTTCGTCCTCGTAGCCATCTGCATGGCTCTGCATCGCGTTGGGGACATCGAATTGGCGATAAAACGGCTGGCCGAGAGGATATGTTTGGGAGACGTGCTCCTGGTCATTGATTGGGCCAAGCACCCTAGCACCGATCCTGCTGCTGCCTCTTCTGCGTCAAGCGGCCATCGGAGAAGCAGTCCGCCAGCACAAAAGCTGAGTCAATGCAGCCAGCTTTCTCAAAGAGGCCAAGTGTCTGCTCTCTAGCGAACAAGATGTCTGATAACCTGCCCGAACTTGCCTATTAGTTGTTTCGCTGCGTGGTCTCTACTTAATTGCCCATTGATCTTTCAGCTTCCATCCCCAACTCTACTTGCGCATTTACAATGACAAGGTTGAACATCTCCGAATAGCAACAAGCCTCGAGTCAACCCAACCAACCTCACCATCTCCCTCCGTTAGGTCGACGATCAAATTAGTAAGCAAAATGACGTTGGATTGATTAACCAGCTATCTACATTGGGTTGAGTTGACTAATTGCCAAGATCGTTACTATAACTAGCCGGAAATGAGGTCATCGTTAACCTCGCCGGCGCCATACCCTACTAGCATAACGGCGCCGTCTATCGAAACAGAGCTGTTAGCTAAGCTATTTAACTGTTGTATCTTTATTTTCCGCGTTATCGAGCGTAAAGTAGCTAATTTCATCCCAGATTCCGCAGAATTCGGTAACTTGAGCGCTGGAGGACCGCTGAGATGATAGCGAAAGCGCCTATAGGGCTACTAGGAGCCTCTAGCACGTACAAATTACTAAAAATAGCGACTAAGTCACCAACCATTCTCCAAATTGATATGACTTAGCAACCAAAATCGGGAGAGTTGGTGGATTGGGTTGGCTGGTCGACGTCAACCTTTACCAACCAGGTTGAAGTGGTTGGGTTGTCTCGAGGCTTGTCTATCGATGCTCAAAACTTGATTCCTACTATAGCTAGACGTAAAAGAATAGCCAAATAGGCCTTGCCGAGGCCTATACCCACCCCCAAGTCCTGTTCCGGACGACAAACTCCGCTGGCGCCTGCCTTCAAATACATGGTCCACGAGTTCCTTGGCGTTGATAGCAGGTCCCAATACATCACAAATAGGTGAAAAATGCTAGTATCTTCCTCTAGTCCAAAATCCAGCACTCACGCATGGTGGCGCAACTACCATACGGTCGAATCATCTTAATGCATGCTGTTCTTACTATACGTCGTGCGCGGGGCCTCACGGAGTCAAATTTGTCAGCTATTCTTTATATCATGGCATACTTAATCAGCACTCAAGTCACATTTTCGATGGGAGGCTAAGAGGTAGGATTATATCAGTTTATTAACGACTACTATTAGCTTTGGGTATTCCTTCTCTTCCTCGTTCAGCTCGAATACAGTGACTGCCACAAGTGCACACATTCCTGCCATTATAATCCAATCGCCACTTGGAGGTATGTCTCAGTGCATGGCATTTCTGGGAACCTTCTGTCCCATTCTCTCCAACTCTCATTACTTTGGACGATTCATGATTCATAATATTCCCGGCGTGTCTCTAGCTCCAATGTGTCAGCTTACAAGGCCACCTTGGTGAGGTTAACCGGCTGGCACGTGGGATTGCGAGGAGGCAGGGTGAACACCCAAGCGATGGACTGATAATAGTAACCCCCCGTATACTGGTAACACAAGTGGAAGTTGGTCAGGTCACCCAAGTAGGTCGGCGTCATGGGGCGGGTCTCGTTGAAGCTGGCGTCGTCGACGCCGCCGCTGAGGAAGAATGTGCCATTCGAATCAAAACTGAAGTACGTGGCATCATAGTAGCTGGGTTGGAATAAGGCCGCGGCGACATTGCTGCCCCAGTTGGGCTGTATGTTCACCGCCGAAGACACGTTTTGGATTGTGCCGCTCCCGTCGTTTAAGGGCAGATTCCAGATCAGGTAGCCGGGCTGGTAGACTTCTCCAGTATCTGGGGAATAGGATGAGTAGTTGTAGTAGAACTGGTTGTAGTTGCTGCTTGTGTCGCTTGTTCCGTAACACAATGCCTCAATGGCTGCGCCGGCGTGGCATGTGGTGAGATAACCTGGAAAGTAAGTCAGTCGCAGAAGATCGGAATGGATTGCGGCTTGGAGTATGTATGGCTCACCATCAATGGAGGAGTTTGTCTTGCCCGTGATTTTCACCGCGAATGGTCCAGTCTGGTTCTGGGCCGAAGCAGTCGCAGCCATGAGGGCCAGGAGCGAGACGAATTTGGACAGCATGTTCTCAGACTATTGATACTCAGTGATATAATTGAAAACGATCGACCTATGAATGCCCGATGATGGGCCAACATCAATGTTTGCAGGGTGAGGGAACAGCGGCTTTTTATAAGAAAAGGCGTGGCAGACGTCGTTGGTGGAGTGATGGCCGACGATCGCTACGGCTTGAAGAATGTGGGTAGGTTCACCTGCCACCTGGACTCGGCACGTTCTAGGCAGCGGGGTTCCCGGTGGTATTGACGGCGAGATCTTCCTACACAGAGGGATATCGCTAGCTCGAGAGCGAATTTCACGAGCACGAAAGCAGGCACAATACAGTCAGACTGCATCATTATGCACTAGTTCCTAGTACTTTATGGCGAAAACATCGTCAACAAATCACCAGAAAAATTTGATATCGTCATGAGACTTGTCTATTCAGACGACGTGGGCTCGTATCTGCGATGGCACATTGCATCGCTGAGATTAGCGTCGTGTCTCATGGTTGGGAAAGGCGGTCTCTAGGCCCTAGATATATCGGTAGCGTGCAGCAAGTGCTCTACAGTAACCTATTTTAGCAGTACGCTATGTCCAAAATGCGGGGATTTACTATGGAAACCTCGTATTTTGGCAGCATCCAAACAGGGATTTGCCTAGGTGCGCTATTGCTCAATTAGGACTGCCGCCCACTGCTTTAGGCTGTATCGTCCCATTCATGAGCAGTCAAGGCCGAACCACGCTTTATTGTCAGGTACTGATCTGTGCTGCGTAACAGAATCTCGTAGCACATTACGATGGTGTTCAACCCGAGCACGAACGATGCAACGGTGATAAAGTGCGGCAATCCGTCTCGGCCGTAAACTGCATCGCTTGCACTCAGCATCCACGATCCAGTACATTCCATTTAGGCCGTTGTCACCCCACCCTTACTAAAAGCATAGCAAGTGCCCGGTCAACGTGCCGGTCGTACTTGAAATGCACCAAAATAGCTATACCACTCGGCAAGGCTTGGCCGGATCGAAAGCTTCGGAACTATATTGTCAGTCTTGGCGATAGAAGTACGTAGTATATCTTGCGCATAATATAATCCACACGGAAGGGACTAACGCTGAACTAAGGTTGCTTAGTAATGAACTCTAGCCAGGTGGCCCCGCCCGTCTACTAGAACAATGCAGTCATCCCATGGAAACTTAGCCATGGCATTAGATAAGCACACGTCAAATGCGGTTCTGGAGGTGCGTATAGATATTCCAAAGAAACAACAGACGAGCTGTACGATTCCGGGCCCAGCCCGAAGATGGAAAGCGGCAGGGGTAGACACAAATGCAGTTCCCCTCAATATGCGCATTCAGTCTCGACTGATTCCACTTTATATGGGGACCTCAGATCGCGGTAACGCTGCATTATAGCAGCGTAAGCTAGTCTGATCTTAAGTCAATTCCCCATCGCAACTTGGTCTAGGCTAAGCCTACTGTGCACACGTTGTTTGCCCCCAGTAGGCATATTGACATTGCTTCTACACAACAAAAGTTCGTTTGGTCTCTTGGTCCACCGCGCGGGTTCCTAGGATTTCAGAAATACATATCAGTCATCAAATAAGTAGCCAGGAACAAGTTGAGTGACCCTTACATGTATACGGGTAGTTGCTGCAGATGGTGAGTAAACCACAACTTTGTCTTGATACAAAATTTCAAGATGTGCGCAACGACATTTCTATTCTACCTAGGTGTTCTGTGGCAACTCGGGTCACATGAAGTTGCTAATGGCAGGAAAACTGAGGGCAACAATAACGAAACGCTGCAAGCTCACAGTGTTTTGCCGAAGCTAAGGACTAGACAGGACACAGTTGGCGGAGACATTCCCGACACATAGATAGTCAAATCAGAAGGCAGGAACAAAAAAAGGCACTGTCCTAGCCAGGGTTAAGTAACAACAGAGTGAAGGAGATAAAAAGTGTTAATCCAGCCTTCATGAATGATAGCGCATAACGCCGGCAAAGTTAAGGCTGGCGATATGAAAGGTGCAAGGGTATAGTGCGAAACATTCTTTTAACTATAAACACCCGAGATTCTATAATATTCGCATGCAGTGTTAAAAGGAAGGAACGAAGGCACAGTAGTTAAGGTGAATAGTGAAGAGCACACAATGCCGTTGTGGCGTATTAGCATGAGTAGATTCTGGTATTGATCGTATCTCTCTGTTGCACCAACCAAGTAAGGGGACAACTACCAGACTTATTGCAAGCTATAACACGGCATAGGACTGAATATGTCACCGATCTCAGTCCATAGGGGTGAAGGTGGCTATAAGGGCCTTAAATTCTGAAAAGTATGACTCTTGGCTGCTTGCAACAGACCGAGTTTAAGAACTCTAAATCAGCCGATGAGCACGAAAGAGCAAGAAAGAGCTGGAAAGGAAAGGTCAAGCTAGAGAGGCTGGTGTGGTCCGACAACAATGTTTCCTCAAACACGTTTCTGCGGGCAATTAATAGGCAAGGCACCAACACCCTCCAAAAAGGGGAAGGCAATACTGCACCCTCGGGAAATTTGACCGTTAGGGTTGCCATCCTAACTCATGCTGGCTCGAACCAATTCATGAACTTGCCTTTTTACATTTGGGCCACGTCAAAGGTAGACCAGATAATCCCTAAGGCATCTCTAAAACTAGTAACTTGAGCCACCATGCGCAGTTTTACTGTCAATGAGCAAGTTCGACGGGTTTGTACTTGCAACCCACGCAAACTGCGAGAAAAATTTCTTCCATGAATCAATTTGCCGAACCTGCACCGAACACTGCTTTCTCACACCCATCACCTGCAACGTCAACATGGCGGCATCGATTAAGGATGGAAACCCTGGCAATGATATAATCACAGTGAGAAAGCAAATTCAGAACAGGGCTCGCAAACAAGCGGAAATTCTGTGCTCTCTCAAGAGGAAGGCGTCACAGTCGAAGAATACCGTGAGAAGAGCCCAATAGCGCCATGGCAAGCATGGACGGATGCACTTTTAGGTAGCACGGATAATCTCGCAATCTGCAAGATTCATGTGTTTAACACAATTCAAGACCAGCTTTGCGTTCATGTGGAGCCTAAGGGCACAACTTTGGCAGGTACAGTCGCAAAGACTCTTGAGTCTTCAAGGAAGTCGTACAGCGACCGACGCTTCACAATGGAATATAGGGGTTCGTCAAGACCGACTAATTGACCAGAACGTGAGCAAGTCTAAAGCTCTTTATGTACTTGGAGAGGATATCTCTGGACGAAGGGACGCTAGAAATTCCGCAACTCGATGATGAGGACAAGTCTGGGTTTTGCTATTCTGAAGGTCTCTAGAGAGGTTTTCGGTTGCCAGAGTGCGAAAAGTGGTGCCAAGAGAATATAAGGAAGTCTGGCCATGAGAGGTGGCGGGTTAAGTGCTAGATGAAAGATGTGAGTCATTTCCCCATATCCGGCGAAACTTTTGATAGAGACCAGGAGAACGGCGATCAAGATTTGTGAGTCAGTTTGCCTACAAGCGATAACGAGACTTCATGATTTTCTAGTCTGCGATGGAAAAGGCGTGACCTACATCATGGTGATACAGAATTATAGTCATCGCTGTAGCATAAGCCCCAAAGAATATTTTGTTTGATAGAAGCAGTAGAGATCATAAGTCTCGTATTTTAAAGATAGTGATAGAGTTTATTTCTAGTTCTTGATCATAACATGATAAGTTAGAGACTTTTCTCTGATAATTATAAATCTGCTTCAATCCTCTATGTACTATACTTATGATACGTGACCCCATGGGGGGTTACCCTGTAGCTATAGATAAGATAGAAAGATAAGATAAGAGCTATAAAAGAGCTCTGCCAGGCCTGAATAGCTGACCTGGCCATCCTTTCCCAATACAACAATTCACACCCCATATACACTCGCATCAACTTAGCATGAGCGAGCTCTTAACAAACAAGTAAATGGCCTTTCCAAACTTAATAATTATGCATCATTACTAGTAATAATGAAAGTGCCAAAACTCAAGTATTGGGGGCTGTAGTAGTACTATGAAGGTGCGTGAGGGACGAATCTCAAGTTGGCCCAGAGGGTCCCTAAATACTATAACGCGTGCACGCCTGCTTCGCACCCCTCCACACCTGAGGCCACAATTTCTCACACGATGTAGCTAAGTTATGTTAACTAATCTATAGATTAAGGACAGTAAGCTTTTGGCAGTTAGCGTGAAATTGGTGGCCTAAGGTACACCTGAGATACATTAGTGCCTTTGTGCGGCTTGGACCCCGCTACCGGTACTTCCCTTCTTCAACTTCGTCTGTAGCCGGAATGCCAGTACCAGTGTGATCCCACAGTTGAATTAGTGATAGGTCACCCCAAAATGGGGTCAAAATGGGGTATCCTGTAGCTATAGATCAGATCAGATAAGATAGGGATGCAAGGGTGCTAGCCAGCCTAAAATCGCCCTCAGCCAACCAGCTAGCTAGCCAACGCAGCTTTCCTAATACACACACTTGTCCCCTATATGCACTCGGATCAATTAGCCCTTGAGCTATAATAAAGATAGTGTGGGATCGCACTGGTACTGGCATTCCGGCTACATACGAAGGTGAAGAAGGGTGCCTGTACCTCACGTGACCTTAGGCCACACCTTAGGCCGCCAATTCCACAGATAGATCTAATATAATGACCTAACATAGAAAAGAACAAATATCAGAAGTTGGAATAAGTTATATCGCAATCAAAACCCTACTTACCGAGGTAAACAGTAAAGGAAGCAGAAATATATATCTCTTGCCCGTTAGTCTGTTGTAAGCAGTGAGACAGCCTATACCGGAGTATTCCTGCTCATCGTCCATGTAACACGTGTTACCTCAGAGGGATCGTATTTGGCGGAAGACGACGTAGTACAGGAAAGGAGACTATCATGTTGATCGCCCAGATTAGCGGCGGATTGGAAAAAGCGGAAGCTTTAGAGTAGCGTCTTTTCATGCTTATTTACGTGTCGCGTAGATGAGAATAACAAATATAATTCTTGTTTCAGCCGCAGCTGGCAACTGGCTGGGCCGCAAGCAGGGTAGTGTTTCGAAACGGAATCCTTCGGTTGCAAACCCACATTGTTCTCTCATTCTCTTGGTTGACGGAGCGCCGCATGATTATGAGGAATTAGCTTTACGTCACAAAATCCCAAATCACCCGAGCTGTGATGGTATGGCCCAGCGCAGTGGCAACTTTTTAAGCACGAAAGCTTATTGTTAGGGAAAGAATAGTCATTTTAGCTAAAATAGATGGGACTTACATCTGGGCTGGTGGGTCCCTCGTAGTCATCCCCGTCAACACGTCGCTAGCCTGCTCACAAGATTGCCGTCTCGAAATAAGTAAAAGATAGCCTAGGACAGTAGTACAAAACCGCCGGTAGACCTTGTCGGCAATTTTACCAAATGAAAGGGTGATCGATGCACAGTGCATGCCGGCTAGGAGCACCAAGCGCAGCTGGGCTGATGATCAGTTGACGGGGGTTTTGAATAATAATGTCCCCCAACGCCTTACGAGACTCGAACTCTCTTTTTGACTCTCTGAAGTTTTCACCCACAGCAACAACTTGGTATGGCTGGATCTCCCCTCATGCGTTCTCATGCAGTGGTCGCCAGTACCTTCATCAGAGCCGTCAGGCTCAACTCCGAATGACTTCGATGCGGCCCCAGTTGCCGAGCAGCGGAGCAAACATATCACGCGCAAGGCTTCGAGTTATGCAACTACGATCGTGGACAGGTTTCTCAAACGGGTCAGAGGATGGCGAACGGGAATCGGCATGTGCATCATCTTTAGCACTTTGGTTTTGGTTTTCAATTTGGCAATTTCAATCTTGTCTTCCGTCAACCCAAGGATAGATGGAATCACGGCGCAACATGGGCTCTCGACCTTCTACGAGGGTAGCTGCTCCACGTCTAAAACCGTCTCTATCGTCACACATCTTCTGCTCAACATTCTGGCGACTATTCTGCTGGGAGCTTCAAACTATTGTATGCAGATCCTCGTCTCTCCCACACGAGCTGAAGTCGATCGAGCACATGCCATGCAACGTTGGCTGAGAATCGGGGTGCCGAATATTCAGAACTTACCGTATATTCACTGGACCAGAGTGATGCTTTGGGTACTATTGGGCATCAGCTCACTGCCACTGCATCTACTCTGGAACTCGGCCATTATCCAGACCATCAGTTCTAACAACTACTACTTGGGCGGCGTCACAGAAGACTTCGTCATGGGAGCCAATGCGACTGCTGGAAGCGCTCAGTTCATTGAAGACTGGTTTCAGGGCAGCGAAGACGACTTCAACCACGTGTGGTACTCAGCGGTACGAAGTCCCAACGTGGCCAATCTAACCACGACACAATGCATCAAGGCTTATGGCGAGCCATTGATATCCGAGTATGGAAACGTGGCCGTCGTATTCGATGCGCGAAACTCTACAAATTCCCTTCTGTTTGCCGGAACACGCCTCACGGGCGCAAATGACTACATCGGAGTCAGTGAAAACTGGGTCTGTGGATTTCCAGCTCCTTTATCCCCGGGATGCGCGATCGGGGATCTTGCCGACGACAATAGCACGTACTGGACGCCGTTGAACACCGCTGCCAACTCGCCCAATCTGACGGTCAATCCCTTCCTCGAGGATATCGCTCGGTCTAACGTTTCGGTGAAATACTGTCTCGCACAGCCGATTCACTCTCCCAGCCGCGTTGGCACAACGCCATCGATTCTATTCGCGGTACTCGGTGCTAACGCGTTGAAGGTGTTCTGCTTCATCTGTACTTGGTTCATTGTCAAGCATAAGGCCATACACGAAGGAGAAGAGCGCATGGTCGTGAATGGGGATCTGATTGCAAGTTATCTGCGAGAGCCAGATCTGAGATTCAGTGGCAGATGTCTCGCATCCAGTCGACACGTGCGAAATCCAAAGAAGAGCAAAGAGCAGGGTTTATCAGATGTTGGGTTCTGGGACTTTGGCACGCCCATGCCCCTGCCTTGGTTGGGTGGGCAGAGTCAGAGACAACAAAAAGAGGCAGTAGAGCAGCAGCCAAGCAGGCGGCGGGGTATTCGACTCCCCTTTTCCCGCCAATCCACCAGCTCTAAACCAGGGAGCACAGATTCCAGGAAGTCAACCCCAAGATGGCACACAGGTCCATCTGGGATGACATGGATTGTCTACATATTTCCTTGTGCTATAAGCATCTTCGCTTTGTTCGCACTGTTCTTCGGTAACAGCCTCGACAAATATCTCTTCATCGGCTTTGGCGTTCCCTCAACACAATCCACACTAAGTCCGGGTCCTGGCACGGGGCCAGGTTCCAATTTCGGAATCTTTTCTAGCACTCTCATTGCCAACTCGCCGCAGCTCATCGCATCATACATCTACCTCGCCTGCAACTCAGTGCTGACTTCGATGCTCGCACACCACGAAGTCAGCTCGTACGCCATACGGCGGCGGGGTCTGCGCGTCAGCTTTCCTAGACGACGGACCTCGCAGCGTGGAACGTACTATCTACAATTACCGTGGCGGATTGCCCTCCCGTTGATGACGGGGAGTACTGTGTTGCACTGGCTTCTCAGCAATAGTCTATTTTTGCTGCGTGTTGCAGTGTATAACCCCGACGGACTGGAAGATGTTTCCAAGTTGATCGCGACGGTCGGGTATTCGTCGAGTCCGATTTTGGCAGTGCTGGGCATGGTAGCGGCTCCAGTAGCAGGAGTGCTGGTGCTGGGATGGGTGAAGAGATATGAAGGGGCCGAAAAAATGCCCCTAGTCGCTACATGTAGTGCCAGTCTGGCGGCTATAACTTGCCCATCTGCCCTGGCCAGAGGTCATGATACTGATGGTTTTGGTGAAAAGCCTATGGAGACTGACGCGCAAGGGACCGAAATGAGCATGGCTGAAGATGAAACGTTGCCTGTCATGACAGGGATCAACACTGATACGACATACAATCCATCGAATGCGTCAGTCACAGGGTTTGGGGAAGGCCTCGCAGAGATGCGTCTCTTATGGGGTGTTGTTGGGAACGGATCTTCAAGTGGAAATGTCGAGCATGCCACTTTCTCTGCACACCCAGTGCGCTCTCTGGAGGTTGGTCGAATATATGCGTAGTCCAGACACTTGGTTGTTTAGAAGGAACTCGATATCCAAATTGGAGAAAATAGATATTTCAGACATTGTCACTGGCTTTCTCGACAACTTATTATGTGGGCTGTGGCTCGTGTACATACTGAGATCCTTTGTTCTAGTATACTCACCAGAGCAAACATGCCATTGGCTTCTAAATCCCATCTATAACTGTTCACCCCCGCTTCATCTCATGTGGAAGCGCTACATTTTATACTCTTTTCTCGGTTACTTGTATATCTGCCCTGAAGGCATGGCGGTACTCCTTGCAAAAGCAGCGCATTACCAACGTGCACCTCAAAGCCGCGGTGAGGACTGAATCCGTCATTACAAGTCCGGCTGCGCTATTGCGCCATAGTCACTGGAAACCAAGTGATGAAGAATGCTACTTTGAGTAAACAACGAGGCGAAGGAGGCAGCCCTTGGGTTCTAGTGAATCCGCCTGCCCTGCTCGTTCACCAGGGAGCAACCAGACCTTGAATCCTTCAGCAGTTTAGTACCTAATACGACTTTTTTCACATTAATGTCACATTCCTAGCAAATGATACCCTATTTGAGTTCATGTATGATCTCAAGACGACATATGACCCCCGTCATATTGGCCTCCTCAATTTAGCCATTGACTTCAATAGTATCAAGAGGTTGGCGGAAACAATCTGACCGCATCAGAACCCTTGCTGGACCTTCAAGACTGTTACACCAAAAAGGTACCAGCTTGTGAGGACATATGGCCACCTAGTTACCGTATGTTGTGGGCCAATTTGATCACCACCCATTGTACCATCCAATTTCTGCCTCCGCCTGTGGGGTAGGCATCATTCATTTCTACCTATATAAGGCCCTTCTGGCCACAGTTCAATGCAAACCCTTTTGCCCTATAGTCCAATAACCCTCCGATATGGACCCTCGAGTTGTCACAGACTTGAGAAAACCTTCAGTGACTCAACTACAGAAGCTTTTTTTTCACGCCCCGAATTGGGCGTCAGATCCTATGGAACTAGGGCGACATACCAACCACCGATACGCTATCCAACCAATCCTTCCCTGTTCTATTGACAGGACTAACACATGAACACCTTTATCGCAATTCACAGCCCGTCGATCAAGATCTAAGGAACGATTAAACCGACATGGCTATCCGCCTCGCATATGTCCCCTCTGGCGCCAAGTGATGCAGAAATGGGGCGTGACTCATTATTGGACTGTATGGCAAATGGCTTTGCATTGAATTGTGACGATCTCTGAAGCGTCCTCCAAGGATTGAACTGTGGCCAGAAGGGCCTTGTATAGGTAGAAATGAACGATGCCTGCCCCAGAGGCGGCAATTGACTGGTACGATGGTGGAGGCCATATTGGCCCATATCATACAGTAGGTGGCCACATGTCCTCACAAGCTGGCACCTTTTGGTGTGATAGCTTGAAGGTCCAACACTCCTCTCTGGACGGACCGTCGGTTTCTTCTGGCCTTTGAGTCGCTTCCAGTGAAAAGGAGGCAGATGTATATCGTGAAAGCGCGCAAAGACGGCTGCAGAGGGAAGATGATGTATGGACGGGGATGGAGAGCCCTGAAGATGAAGTATTGGCCTGGAGTTGCGTTGGCATACTTGTCACAGCACTGTTAGAAAGAAACAGAGTTCTATTGGTGAATTGTATTGCTCATGCCCTGATATATGTTAATGATTCCAAGCCGGGTTCTCGTATGGTCTTTGTGTAAAACACACTTGCTAGCAGCTCTGTATTAACATTAAATACTGAAAAGGCGCTCGTGTACTCTTAATTAGAGCCAGAAACGAATATCTTCTTATCCTCTTGCGGCGGGGGATGTTCTTTGGCCTAGTGTAAGCAGGTAGGGATGAATTTACTCATAAATTTTGACGTCATCGCTCGGTGAGACTTTCAGTACAGAAAACGGTGGCCAAGCAGGGATCGCCACATCACACGATAGAAATTATTATCGGATTTGTCTATCCACGACTTAACCTATGGTTCTAATCCGATGACCAACTATTTGCGTGAGGCTCGGGCGCTACACTAATCGAGGGACCCAGGGCTTTCTCGAATGAGAACAAGCGTAAGTTGGAAAGTATAAAGCCTCGAGGGAAGCATAAAGCGGTGAAGAAAAAGGTAGTGAGAGAAACAAAAGGGTCGTCAGATGGGGAGTCACTCCGGCGGCGTTGAAGGTGGGCCAAAATATGTGTTAGTGGGTCGTAGTTCAACCTCGTGTTTGCGCCAGGTCGCTGATTGGCCAAAACTCTACTCTGTTGCATGATCCAGGACGAGTCAATGTGTCATTCCCCCGACCACATATATGTCGTCTCTCTCTCATCAAGATTCACCTCCCTATACTGAAGCCTGGCTCAAGCTGCATCGTCTCATTCACTTGTACAGTGGAGACTCCGTTCATTCGTTTGTTTCTAGATATAGCTGTCAAGAAGCACTTCTTTCCCACAATCTCACTGTATCGAGTGCTTCCAGAACCAAGACCCCTTATCGCGAGCAGTAATCGGTTACCCGTCATCATGGCCATTTACAGCGCAGTCCCTCCGCCTCCGCAGTTCGGCGGCACATCATCCAACTCGTCGCAGCAGGCAGCGACAAGCAATGCATCCCCAGGCCCAATGGACATTGAGTCGTGGACCGTTGCGGCTCTGCAATCCCTCAGCGTTTCTCCCGGTGTTGTTCAAGGCACCGGGACCTCGCTGTCGATCCCTCTGGACGACCATCTCACCACCAAGCCCTCTGTCGTCGTTAAAGATCCTCGTGCCGATTCCGGTGCCATTACGCCCCCGCACCGTCCTCTTTCTCGCCGTGACAGCCAGAAACGACGCGATGCACTACTGAAAGGCAAGGAGGGCACTCGGGCCCGTCGGCGCTGGGATAATGGTACAGCCTGCTTGTGATAGAACCTGTCCAGTGTATTCTGTGACTGACCTGAGCTTTTTGCGAGTCTCTAGCCCGCCTCGCCGACGTTCCCAACGTCCAGCCTCCTCAGCCTGCCGATTGGGAGCCGCGCCCGACCCATCCTGTCCAATACGTTCCCTACCAGATAGCAGCTGCCTGGGAGCTCCGCCTTCATGCCGATGTCGAGGCCAAGAAGGCGGTGGCGGCCCGCCGTAAGCAACAACAGACGCAAACCCTGGGCGACGAAAATGTGAATGGGCGAGTGCCCCGGGAGCTGTTCCAGCGTGCCAAAAAGACTCCCGCGGTCCGCACCTGGGTCAGATCGCTCGAGGAGCCCGTTCGCCGATTTTTGGTCGAGCGCGAGGTGGCCAAGGACATGGAGTTTGAGAGCGACGATACCGAAGACGACGAGATAGTCTTTGTTGGGCGCAATGGGTCTATGCACGACGGCTGGAAGAAGGCCAAGAGAGAAGGCCACAATGACGAGTCGGGCATGGTCTTTGATACCTTGGGTGATGATGAGTGCAGTGCTTTCAAGTATGTATTCGCTCCGGCATGATTATGGATTGAACGGTACTAAGAACAACAGGCGATGGCTCACACACTCCATCTCCGACTACTACGGCCTGGATTCTCGCTCAGCGTTAGTGGGCGACCCTTCGCGCAAAGTTGTCTACGTCGGTGTAAAGCAGATGAGAACCGGGCATGCACCAGCCCCGGCAGCACTTCCACGGCCCTTGTGGGAGCTTTGTTAAGCTACTGATACGGGGTAGGATGAAATGAGTATACGAAACAAATTGACATGTATTTTACACAAAGCTAAGTTCTAGGATGTGTCGCATGAGCCGATGCAGACGCCGGATAGATCACCCATATGGCTACACATAGACACAGCACACATTTGCATGGTTGTTCGCTGTGAGCACATGATCATGATCATACGCGGACTTACACCGGGTAACCCCGTCTAACTCCCCCCCTGACCCCGAGGAAATCGCGACGGATCTTGCTAGTTTGATATTCGGGGAGAAAGCCGGCGATGTCTGGACACATAATGTGGAGATTCCCCGTGGGGGGGATCGTGAGGAGAAGCTCCAGTACCATGTGTCGACACTACTGTATGGAAGTGGAGACACCCTTCCAGCCCTCATTGTGCAACTACTACTATTGGCCTCCAAAGTGCTCAAGTCGTTCCGAGACCTGCATTGCGCTTCCCGAAGAGGCAAATCCGCGCGCTTGTTCGTTGACGCAGAGAGGGGCTCGGGATTCTTCTACCAGAGCTATACCTCGCAGAACGGCCGAACGGAGCTGAATTCTTGGGTTCCTGACTGAGAACAGGAAAAGGAGGCGCGCACAACGCGTGGCTGCCTCGACCTCGGAAAAGGACTACATTGAATTCGTCACATTAACACCAGTCAGCCAGCCGTGCGGGGTCTCTCAAGAGGCAAGTGTCACTCCAGAACGACTTCGGAGTATTGTTGAGTCCAAAGCAAACTTCTCCTGTGCACTTAGTAGTTCCCTTCCTCAATTGTAACTTCCTTATGTGCCCTTCCACCGATTATTCTTGTTCATGATAACCTACTTGCAACGTCCCTTCACACTGATTCTTGACCAAAGACAACATGGCAGTGGTAATCACCAAGAGCCCTACGGCCCAATGGGCCCCTGGGTCTGTGAATTTGCCAGTGGCGGAATTTCCTACGTCTACCCAGGATATTCTGACAAACGCCGAAGTCATTGCAACAGAGATCATCGACAGCTTGAACCAGGCCCTGCGGGACAATGATTCCAAACGCGTTGGGGATCTCTTCTGTAAGGATGGATACTGGCGCGACCATGTTGCTCTTTCCTGGGACCTCGGTACCTTCAAGGGTAAAGACAAGATCGTCTCGTTCCTCGCGGGTGGCCACAACCTAACTCGAGTCGAGATCGACAGGTCATCGCCAGACTACGTTCCCCAGCTCACGGCTTTCAACCCCTTTGGCAACGTGCAGACCATTCGCGTGTTCACCATCATCACCACCAAGCATGGGTCCGGCCGTGGATTGGTGAACCTTGTCCAGGAGGATGGAAATTGGAAATTTTGGACGTTCTACACTGCGCTTGACGAGCTCAGGGGCTTTGAAGAACCACTTGGTCCCAACAGAGCGAAGGGCGTCCAGCATGGAGCTATCTTGGAGCGAAGGAATTGGCTGGACAGACGAACGGAGGAAACCAAATTTGAGAACAGCAGTCCGGATGTCATCGTTATTGGTTCGTCGTCGCCTTGAACTTTGCGAATGGGAACATGGCTCACCAATCTATAGGTTGTGGACAAGCGGGACTTACAATACACGCTCGTCTCAAAATGCTGGGGGTTCCAACCTTAGTCATCGACGCAACGGATGAAGTCGGCGATGGCTGGCGAAACCGCTATCATCAACTTGTGCTACATGACCCCGTGTGGTTTGACCATCTCCCCTACATCAACTTTCCGAAGCTGTGGCCAATTTACACGCCCAAGGATAAGTTAGCAGAGTTCTTCAAAGCGTATGCACAACTTCTTGAGCTCAACGTCTGGACGAAAACTACTGTCGACTCTACCAGCTGGGATGATGACAAGAAACAGTGGGATGTGGTCCTAAAACGCAGGCGCGAAGACGGAAGCACAGAGACGCGTACTTTACACCCCAAAAACATTGTGCAAGCAACCGGACACTCGGGAAAAGCCAACAAACCAGACATCAAGGGCATTGAGACCTTCCAGGGTGACAGAATCTGCCACTCTTCCGAGTTCAGAGCCGCCAGGAAGAACAGACAGGGCAAGAAGGCCGTCGTGATTGGTTCATGCAACTCGGCCATGGACATCTGCCAAGCCTACTACGAAGCAGACTACGACGTCACGATCGTGCAACGATCCTCAACAGCCGTCGCTGGGTGCGACACAGTTGCCAAGTTGCTTCTAGGCGGTCTGTACAGAGAAGATGGCCCGCCACTCGAAGACGCGGATCTGCTCCTCTGGGGAGTGCCCACTGAGGTCCTCAAAGCGAATCACCAACAGCTTACCGCACAGCAAATTGAGCGAGATGCGAAGCTGATAAACGGCCTCCAGAACGCTGGCTTCAAGGTCGATTTCGGGCCTGATGACTGCGGAATCTTCATGAAGTACTTTCAGCGCGGAGGCGGGTACTACTTTGACGTCGGCTCGGCGCAGCTGATCGCGGATGGAAGTGTCAAAGTGAAGCAGGGACAGGAAGTCTCGGAGATTATGGAGCATGGGTTGAAGCTCACTGATGGGACGGAACTCGAGGCTGATGAGATTATCATTGCTACGGGGTATCAGAATATGCGGACGACGACGGAGCAGATCTTCGGTACCGAGGTAGCGGATCGAGTTGGGGATGTGTGGGGATTTGGTCCGGATGGGGAGTTGAGGGCTATTTGGAGGAAGACGGGGCAGCCGGGATTGTGGTTGATGGGGGGCAATCTTGCCATGTGTCGGTATTACTCGAGGGTTCTAGCTCTGCAGATTAAGGCTCAGTTGGAGGGCTTGAGTAAGTGAGGAAGAGAGATGGTGAAGTGCGTATGGACTGGTAGGCAAAGCGATGTGCTGACAGCATGAATAACGTAGAGTCACTGACAAGTACTGATCTGGGAATAATTGATCCGTGCAGTTAACTCAGACGACGCTCGGCCACGTGTATTTACTCCTAAACATCGAAGCTTATACTACTCGAATTACCTGGCCGAGTGTAGCATTTCTTCTGCGCTCCGCACCATCACTAACCCGCCTATCACGATTCAACCAGCAGTCAAGTTGTCACTTCTAATGCACTGATACATAGTCAAGCTGCGGAATGTTCAGAACCGCCCCGTTACCTTGAAAACGACACCGTACATGAGTAGGAATCGGGTGGCATCAGCAGTAGTTAGGGATTAAGTCGGATTTATTGGTCGCATACAAAAACAGTCCAATTCAAAACACGGATCTCTTGCGAGTGGGCCGGAGCTGTTGCTGCTTTGGCGGGGGTATTTCAGAAAGAAGTCCTGTCGCTCACAGGAGAGACCATCATAGCTGCCCAGATAGTACTCGAGTCAGGCCTGTAATAAGATAGAGATAGCTAGGTTGCTCCTTGCTAGATTCACAGTGCGCTGGAATATTAGCAAGCCAGAACAAGGTTGTTATCAATTCAACAGCTCAGTATTATAAGTCTAACTTTACACAAGGAAGGGAGAGAACAGGGAGATAGACTCACTTCATTACCCAGCCTGGGCCTAAACAGCTGATCGCCGTAGTTACTATTATACAATCATGTAAACCTTATATTCATTCGCCCCTTAATCGACACACGTTGATGTCCCAGACTAGAGGAAGCATGATTGGGGAGGTTAAATGCGGGCTCCTAAAGTTGCCCATGTACATAAATCTCAATTCCGCTTGATGCGAGTGCATGTCTTATCTTGTCTATAACTAGCGCTGCATGAGGAACCTCTTTGGGGTCACGTATCACCGCTATGATCGATAACAAGTAGCATAACATAAGGCCTAGCTGACCTGGTAAGGCTTTCTCGCTCAAATTCAATACTGCTATAGGAGTAGCGCCAAGGACCCAGGGTTATATGAAGCTTAGCTAAGCATGGCTTTACTTTGTAACATCCTTGTGGGAAATAGGGCGGCTCTAGGCCACAGCAGTGCTTGCAGGATTATCTCACCCTTGACCAGCTGAGTACACAGCCTTCATCTAAACCGTGCCAAGTCGGCTGCTCCAGGTCAATTATGCAAAGCACGTATTACTTTTCATGCAGGCCGAACTCGCCTTGCCTATGCATATGATACCTATGAATTTCACGGCACAGCCGCAAGAGATTTGATCGATAAAGGCGATAGTCCCGACGAGGAGTGGAAAATAACTGGTGATCTACGATGATTGAAAAGTTGGAAAGACGCTTTGCACTGGCGGCTGAAAAGCAGCTGTTAGGTTTTCACTACTGCTGTATCAAAGTTATTCAATTTCCTCGTCAACTTCGATCCTCGAAACGGAACTAAGTGCCAGGTAGCCCCCGACGCAATATCTGGGCTAGGCATGAATTCCACATCTGGCGATGCGGTGCTCCCCAAGTGTGTAGGGATACACGGCATGAGCAAGTAGCGACAAGCGCGGCAACGGCCTCACACGTAGGAAGAAGCCCTCTCCGATCCATCCCTAACCACATTCATAAAACGTTGTCTGGGGCGGAAGGCAAGAAAGTGGGCAGCCGGCGGCCTTGTCGGGGAGGCATCGGCAGCAGAGAATGGCGAGACTCCAGAGCCGAGCCTGAGCCGACAGCACGCTTGGGGTGAAGCGGACCAAAAAAGGACGTATCCAAGGCAATGGAGGCGGTCGAGGCCAAGGCCAGAGGCAACCGCCGGGACGGGCCGTCCATGCAACGGAAGCATAAACAGAATCTTCTTAACCAATGCGATTAATTTCATATTGACTATATCTCTCGACAAAAATATCATCACAACGACTTGAAGCTGACTTTTACAAGGAAGGGTATGAAATATATAAAAGTCCCGGAATTAGATGCCAGGTTAGCGTTTTTTTGGACACTTACAATGTAATCCAATCAAGTTTCAATGCTTTTCAGTGGAGGGGATCAAAAGAAAATATATAAGATTCGTTGGACTATACGCACAGATGGAAGTTTATCAAGTCAAGCTGAATTACTTTAAAGTGAAATGAATTTCAACTAGCTCAATGTGAATCACAACGACAGCTATACATGCAGACACTCTTATACCCAAGTATGACACGGTCAACGTAGCCCATTGCGGTAGACCACTATTCTATCAGCACTCTACATCCGCTAACTCTGTAGTTACATACATTGTTCATCCGCGAACTGGTTCCACTCGTATGAAACAATTCCTTCTTCTATCGTCCGTGTCGATCTGTACCAACCTGCGCAGCTTTCTCATTTTGAGCCACTGGAGCTTCTGACACTGAATTTCAGAAGCGCCAGTGAGTCAGATAGGCGCATGGCCAATGGGTAGAGCTGGAGGTGCGCTATTCAAGGAGGATGAAGTCGATCCCGGCTTTGTAAAATATATGTACTGCTGTCAACCCCACTACGCCACCGCCGACACTGATGGCAAGAGAAGATTAATCTTAACAAAAAATCATTTTGAGTATTTCAACGCGAAACATACTTGGTAGTATAAGCGCTGAAATCCATGGCTGGAACGAGGCTATGCTGTTAGAAAAGAGACCGTGAGCGGGTGACGTGACATTATATCAGGTACGCACACCAGCTGGTGCTTACTGCTCGAGTAGCGGGCGTCAGGCCTCTTGAAAATTTTAGGCCTCATGAATTGCGACATAATATGACTGGAAAGACTGATGAGTTCGTGGCTTACCCACTTGAGGGGAGGCATAATAACCACATGCAGGTTATCAACCTTCACAGCAGCGGCAGTGGAGAGGAGGACCAGGTAATTTTCCATGTCTATAAGTGAAAGAAGGAACAAGACGTTGCAAAGTATACCCATTTTATTCCACGCTGAAATTAAATTGCTAATTATACCGTACAAATACCAAATACCTGCCACTCCTAGAAGTATCAAGTTCACGCAACGAACGAATATTGCTAAACATACTTGACCCAACATGCGTGGCAGATATGCCCATGGATCTATTAAAGGCCATGAGAATAATAAAATCAAGTCTCCAAGATCAATCATATCCTTGGGTGTTCTCTGGCCGACTTGGATCTCAATGATCTCCATTTCGTCGTCGCTAGGTTTTACTCCGCCTCGAAATTTGCCCTTTTCATCACTCGGCTACTGAGAAGAAATCATCGGGAATCAGGGGGTTCATCATTGTACTTAGTCACCATTTCCTTTCTGTGGCTGATGTATTGGAATAATATGTATTTAAAGATGTTGCAACTGCCAAGCTTCTCCAGTATGTCATTCACAGGTGGCCCGAGAGGAGAGTACAACGTTGACATAGGAATCTCCCGTTCAACCATCAGACCAATAACGTACACCCTTTGGGACAGAGATTATTGATCAACATGTTGAATGCTATCTTCGGCATAAAATTTGACTCTGTCGATCACCCATTTGTTACCAAATCTCTCAGACTCGGCCAAGATACAAGCCGCACAGGAACGTTCCCATTACAATATTTAATACAATGTGGGCAATACACGTAAGAGTGTTTTATCGGTTAAGATGATGGGACTAACTCCCAAAAGGCTGCAACTACGGAACGGCTATAAATGGGAAGTCGGCCAAGAGTCGCACCCAGCACACAGGCGGTGTGTCTGGGACACGCAACACATAACATTTCGCAGGAGCTGTACTGGGCTCGATTCCACTCTGGTGAGTTTCATCCTCTGATTCAACTACTCCCGTCCACAACATAGACGCATGGGGAACAACTACTTGGGGATATTGTCGACACATACGGAGTTGATCAAGGACACTGAAAAAAGCCTGGATACCGGCCATGACGATGATGTGCCTGATTGTCTTTCAATTATGCTCCCAGTCCGCATCGAAGAGGAGCTTGATGATCTTGAGATGGCCGTACTCGCCTCTGCCTTTATGATTGGCGGCAGTAAGTACAAGTACTCCTAACTTTTGACTATGGAGCCGAACAAGACGATATGGTAAGATACCATAAAAAGCATTACACATCTTTGCTGATTTACTTCAGGATTTATGGCACTGTGTCAGTTCTGGAGACCTGGACAATGCACCATGACGAGTTACTACACTCTGACTCAATGACCTTTAGGGTGAGTATAGACACAGCACCGGAATCAACAACAACTATAAGCAGCAAGCTAATCTTAATCTCACGTCTATGCAGAGCTCAAACCTTTCTGACGTAACTAAGCGTGACCATTGGGTGTTCGGCGCCAAGCGGCGTATTTGTCCCGGGATGTGGGTAGCGGAGCGAGAACTTTGATTGACTAGTACACGCATGCTCTGGGATTTGAATATGAAACCGGCATCAGGCCATCCGATTGATTTGAAGAATATGACGGGCTTTCTGGGAGACCGCTAGTGCCTTTCCACACCTTCATGGAGCCTAGACATAAGAGTGTAGGGAAGGTCCTTACAGCTATAGGTGTCAACTAGAGCATTAACCAAGGCAAAATACAATAGGACACTAGAAAAGGAAAGAAGAGTGGGTTTCCTAGGTGCAATAATAGAATGAGAGACAATTCCCAACCGTCTGCTCCGTATTCCCGCGCATGAGATCTTAGGGATTCTGGACAGTGACTATAACCCAGGGTGATGAAATCGAATATCGAAGGGGTTCTTTCTTTCTTCTCTGTACGGATTTGTTTTTTGGTAGACTAGTCCTACAAGTCGCCAGTCTGTGTTGTCGATTGGTCAGCATAAGTGGCGCGGACCTTGACGTCACTCAGGCACCAACCCAACTTGATGCTTGCGACCAGCAATTGGGTGGGTCAAGAACTCACTTACACGTGGTCATACTTGCCACTGATCTGCAGCAACTCGGAGCTGGTTGTGGACGGACTGCTTGAATTGATTAGGAAGCTAAAACGGAAAGTCACGTTGTATACTAGGAACAGGGCAGAACAGTCAACACCAGCTATAGGCGACGCCAGTGTTGTGGCGGTGCAAGGCCTAGACCTCGACCTGCAAGTCATTGCCATTTGAATTCACTTATCCAGATCGCATACAACAACTCTGCTTCGCTTGCACAACCGCCCACCTCACCTCCTTCAAACCTGCGTGCTGAGTACGGAGGCGAGCACGCCCGAATACTTCCTTCTGCTGACATGGAGAATCATCGCTTCATAACCTCTGCTAAGTACATACAACCAAAGAGGAAGCGCTAACTCCGAGGTTCGCTTACGTAGTCACCCCGGGCCCGCTTCTAGGTCCGCCCCAGTTATTCGCCGCTAGCCAGGGTTAGGATCGCGCTCAAAAATTGAATCGTGACAATCCGGCAATGGGGAACCAAAAAGTTTCCAGCTCAAGCGTACACTATCTGGCGACTTCTAAAGCAGAATCTACGACTTCGAAGGACTCCACGTCTGAGATAAGCTTGTGAAATGCTGTACGCAAGTGCCCAAGCAGCAATAAGCTTGACTTGCAGGAAGGTTTGCGGCTGAATCTCGACTTGCTGGCTTCTAGGACAATGCTGGATCTGGCCGTCTCTATAAAGGCCCGTCCTGGGTCGCATTCTATGCTTATTCTAGCTATTGGGTCAGCGAAGTACTTTGGTATCTTCGCGCATAGAGACGAACTAGTTCTCCTTGCGACGACTCGGCATTGGAGCACGACGTTCAAAGCCGGTCGACTGGTCGAATGCACAGTCCTCCGCATATGGAGAAGCCTCCCCTGTTCGCGATTTACGTCACAATGGAGATATCTATCTGGCATTCTCCGAGAAGCGTCAACTCTGTCCGTTGAACATCGAGGACACTGACGACACAGCATCGGCGTTTTTTGCTCTATGAACGGGCCGGGCGACGGTGATAAACCAGACACAATCGTGGTGCCGGCATCTGTTCGTATTGGTAACAGATGTCCGATTTGACTTCATCCTGCAAATCCTGGGGTGAATTGAGTTTGGCTTGCCTGCCGTTGGTGCTTGTGTAGCGGCACAGGCACACAGCCACAACGGCGAATAACTTACTAAAAAAAGCAGCAGTTCGACCTATCTTTTATTCGCCGCCAGCCACTTCCACTATGCAATGTCCACCCTGCTACAGGTAAGCACCCCTGCATTATCGTTTCCATAGCAAGCTCTGGCCGCTGGGCCGCCCCAAAACTAACCGAATGATCGCTGATCCCATCTGACGGTCTCAAATGTGCCGGCTGGCTTACGGTGGCGAAGCTACGCCAAGTTGGCTTTTGCTGCGCTCGTCACGGTACTCCTGGCTGCCGTCTCGAGCAGATTGGCTCGCTAGCTACCTCAACTGCATCCTGTCAACGAGAGCCTCTATTTTCAGGTCTGCCTTTTCAGTAATTGGCTGGATCATACAAGACCCTGTGCTGTCTCCCAAGCGGGCGGGCAGGCCTCTCCCATGTCCTTCAAGCAGCCAAGGTTCATTTTTGACCCCTCTGCGCTGCTTGCTGCATCGCTGCACCGCTAATGACAGGGTGTGCGCTGAGTTTCTATCATCAGCCTCGCTGTAATACCCTGTCGCTCCGCCGCCCAATGAGTCTTGGTGGGATGGCTGCAAACCTTCGCTTTTCTTAATTGCGGACATTCCTCTCATCTTCCATCCTCGGTAATTTTTCTTGTGTCTGATGCGACTTGCTTGTGGCTCTGTATCATATTGTGACTGTCCAGCTGCCATCGTTGCGTTGCAGCCAATATTACCAAGTACACATGTCTCCCTCACGATTGTACGATGTGTTCCTGCGCCTGCCACCAGCGACAGCCATCTTACTGCTCTCGGCGTTGTTTGCGACGACTGAGGGGCATGCGCTGCCGCGCCAGACGAAGACGGCGGAATACTATGAGTTAAACGTTTCCGCATGGCAACCCCTACCGACAGAAGCCCCCATCTCGCCTCTCGAACTACTACGAAGACAGGAGGAAAACACAATATGCGGTTACCTTGGCGGAGACTCGGCATTGCCCGCAACATGCTCAGCTGGGTCGCATTGCGTACTTGATAGCGACAATGGAGTTGTTGGATGCTGTCCGAACGGAGGAACTTGCACTACCGGAGTTTTTACGGGCTGTGTCGATTACAACAGCGGAGCGCAGACCGAGGCCAACCCATATGTCTACACGTGCCAAGGGTCGGACGTGTGTTACAAGAACGAATTCGATGGTGGGTACTTCCAATATGGGTGTGGAACGGCTTCAGACCTAGCGACCACGGTCCAGACGACGGCCAGCGGCATTACAAATAGCTTGACGTTGGACAGATCGTCCGTGGCTCTGACGGGATCGCCTACCTCATTATCTGAGCCGACTTCAATCAACCCTAGCACCGGAACGAGAAGCTACACCAGGTCGACGAGCTCTAGCAAGAGCTCGACTCTCTCCTCAGAATCATCTTCGAGTTCCACGTCAAGCTCGACGTCAACCATTAGCTCCCCTTCCTCGTCCAGCCAAGCGTCAAGCACGAACCCCCCAACGTCTTCTGGAACCACCGACGCCGGGTCTTTGACATCGTCACCCAGCCCGACTGTGGCACCTGCTACTGGGCAACACTTTAATAGGACGGGGGCTATAGTTGGGGGGACAGTTGGTGGGGTGGTGGTTCTGATTGCCTTGGCCGCGACATTGATATTCTGCTTGCGGAAGAGGCGAGGCAACAACCGTCAAGGACCTGGACCAGCCCCTGGTCCCGCGCCTACGACGGAATATCTCAGGTGAGCTTACCCTTTCAATACCATGGCAATTGAATTCAGATGTACAGAGAAGCTAACAATCTCAAGCCCAATGCGATCACATGGCGCAGCTTTCGCTCCATTGCCAACATGGCAAGAAGATGAATCTCAACAGCACTATGCGCCATCAAACTACAGTTACCCGAGCAGTTTTAACGGCTACCAACAACAGGATGTCGGAAACGTGACATCAGTCAGCGTCGGTGCCGGAGCAGCACAGCTGCCACGATATAACCCGGCTCACGTGGCAGGGGTCGGTAGAGGCCTTGCGCCAGTTGAGGAAGAAAGCATACCAGACAACACACGCGAGATCGATGAATTTTCCAACGGCTACAACAATGCCATGGGACGGATAAACGACGAGGATATACGTCCATTGACTGAAGATGAAGCTGAGTCTAGGACAGGTTCAGAGTCGGGAAGCCCATCGAGAGGTGGTGGCAATAGACCATTGTGGCAGCAGAATCGACGGCAGAGTCGAAATTTGATGTGGATGTAATTCTGACGACGCCATCTGAAAGACTTGATATTACATGTATACACTGGGTACGAGCGAGCAGGTGCGATTTAGTGCCATGTCAAAGCAAGGAAGTGGCAGGATTCAGGCAACCATCCTACGGGATCTGGTATATAATACGTATATATTCAACGACATATTCAAATAGTACAAAGATGGTTTTACACCTTAGCTTGTCGGTCTACGTAGGATCAACGATCTAAGGAAAACTTCTTGTTTGTAACCGAGAGAGCAGTATCTTACCGTGAGGATAAGGGTATTGAAGCTCATCCCTAGAGATACGTGAAGCCGACACTGGAATAACATCTCTGCCCCCCTATAAACTCATCACGAGGACCATATTTGGACCAGATCAGCCCAAATATAACTATTACTCGAAGCATGTGTGAAATTAAGTGTTTGGTGACCTCAATCACATTGATGGATTTCATGATTTTATATGCTCCTATTAGCTATTCGATAGATATGAGATATAGTAGTAGTATCCCTGCAAATTGTTGTCCCCAAGCCTGCCAAGGGATATTCTGCCTCCAGATACTGCAACACTCGTTAACGTAGCAGAACTGTTTTGCCTTAGGCAATGTCGGGATCTCTTGGTATATATTATCCCCTATCGAAATCTCAAGTCGTGCAAGCAGCGATCAAGGGTTCAACACGATGTTCCAACATGTTTAGTTTTGTGGTAAACACTAGATACTCTGTTAGGACATATATATACTATCAGCTTACTGCTCCAACCTGAAAATCCCTGTCGTGTGTATATGAGAAAGATGCGGTAACATCTCAATTATGTTACTCCAAATTTGCTCATCAAACCTTCAACAACTTCCAAACAGAGCATGCAAAGGCTCCATGTCCTTTTCTTCTTAAATACCAAAGTGGTATAAAGAATCAAGTCCTTCATAGCAGTGCTATATATTATGCTGTAACATTGCCATGAATTAGTCTGCTTTTTGAGATACCAGACCCAACCTCCTCGGCACAAAGGCTCGACATACTATTTGTCAATGAAGACCGCTTCAGATACTCAACTCCCGTTGCCGTAAACACGTATACACAAAGTCACGTTGGCCTTGTCATCAATCATTCATGCGTGTACCATAACTATTATTGGACCAAACTCACAAGATTCTGCCTGTCGACACAGACTGTCATCTCGCTGCCAAGAAGCGGTCTTCAATCCTATAGTAACATATATATATATATTCTCGTTTGGACTTCTTTTGGGCGACCTACTTGGCGGTGGGAGAAGCTCCAGAAGCTAATTGTTCTTGTGCCTTATGAAGATGTCAAGTACGGGTTTCAAAGTTTTGAAGTAGCAAAATTCGGAAATACGTAACGACGTTGTGGAGGGTGTTAAGATGACGCGCAGTCGAAGTAGTCCTACCTACAATGTAAACAGCACCGTTACTCTGAAGGATGTTCTTCGAAACTTGTGGTCGTCTACAATTAAGTAATAAACCTCTTCACCTCAGTTCACCTCAAGCTGAGGGTCTAGTATATAAAAGTAACTCAATAAACATGTTGTTGTGTGCCCCAGGCGCACTCATAGCCCTTCCGTAGCTGCAGCCTTTGGTACTTAGTACTATCATCATCATTACCAATACAAACCCTTTGCCTGTATTGCCAACACAAGTAGAGTTGTTTAGAATACCAATCATGTATCAACTCTCTACTCATGACCACCAACACCATTCTTGCGGTGGCAAAGTACAGGTAATTATTTCACTAAGCCCACCGCAACGAGGGTAGCTTCGGATATAGGCGAACAGCCTTCATTTATAGTCCTAAACCAAAAAAGAAATTGCATGTAAACAGGACACAGCTTGATGGCAATCTACCAAACAGTCAACCGCCTCTTTCTATATAAGTAAAAACCAACCAATCCCTATCTACATAGTAACTCAACATAGCACTTCTATTCCTCCAGCAAGCTTTCCACATGCCCGTCATCAAAGACAAGAATTTGAAATCCCAGAGGAAAGATCGTCAACGTCCCATCCTCAGCGGTAGGCTCAACGATGGTCTGTCTGACATCGATGACCGTGTCACCGACGGGGACGAGCTCCAAGACAAACGGACCATCGGGACAGATAAAGTCGCCAAATCCAGGCATAAGCTCAACATCGAATGGGAGCGGTTTTGCATCGGTAGACACAAACCGCGTGATCTGAGATTGTCGCTGGTTTCCCTCCGTTGCAACTGTCAAATTCTCAAGATCTGTTTGGAAAACGTCCACAGCACCCTTGTTCTCAACCTTCTCGTTCTCACCAGCTGTGAAGAAGATGGACCATCTGAGGCCCACAGTCTCGGAGAGGAAGTTAATTTGATAGAGCAGGGTGTTTTCGTTGCCGATGAGTGTGGTGTCGACGGACTCGAGTGCATCTTCGGCAAAGTCTGAGAGAATCTGGTTTTGTCGTGACTCATTCAGACTATGACTTGCAATGGCATCGGGCGTGTATATGAGCTGTGCAGCTCTGGGGAAATCTTCGAGGGCAAGATCGAGTTGATCATTGATAAAATCCAAGTGGGGGACTTGGCGTTGAGCGACGAATAAGCGGCTGGTTTGAACTGAGGCAATTGTTCCAAAGACAACCAGTATTGCTGAATACTTCACGGTGTCTAGGACTGGTGCTGTGTGGAATTACTTTGCAGGTCACTGAAAAGGCTTTGGGGAAGGGAGGATGAAGATAGGACTGATTGTATTGATGGTTATGCTGATCTAGATATTTGAAGGGCCGCGCACGATAATTATATATGTGCTCACTCTATCAAATCATGTAGTCAGTCAAGAGATCACATCATTTGATCTCAGCCACTCATACTCATCGACGAGGCAGAGCACCAGCCCAAGATCACGAGCCTCACACTGGAAAGCATAGTATGAAGTTCGATACTGCCATTACGCTGATGTTTTGTTTCTCGTTCTACAAGCGCTTAGGCTTGTATCCAGGGCTAGCCGACTCAGCCGCCTCCCAGTTCAGAAGCTTGTTACTAGGTTCATCACGCCTTACCTTGTTCAAGCTGCCAAGCGAAGCCCGGACTGGCATCCTCGCACTAAAAGACAATTTCATTTGAATTACAAGTCCGACCAGAGGAATAACCGATCCAAAAATAAGTCGCGTAGAAACCTACGTCAAGCCCATCATATCGAAGTCGACGGCGCAACTCAACTCATCCAAGGAGCCACTGCCTCTAGCCATGTACGCCTACCAGGTACTTACAAGAGTAAGCAGTATTTCCCACTGTACTTTGAAGGAAGCCGCAGCCTCCTTGGCAATACTTGCACCAATACTGAAACGTCGGCATCAGTGTTACCCAGGTCTCGAGAGTTAACGCGACTGTGTTATTCAAGATATAGGGGGGCAGTAGGGGGGCACTTTAGGGGAAGCCGAGGTATCTCCGCTGCGGCTTAGGACCCCGCGCTTTAATTATTTCGGGGCAAGACGCGTCTTTCGGACGCGTTTTGTCCAGGTCTTTTCACCCTAGATTATTTATTGACTTGAACAAACCATACAATGACACAAGAAGTGACAGAAACGCCGATTGCGCAGACCGTAGATATGGCGACAAATACCAACGGGACTTCGGCTCCCTCAAAGCGGCACGAGGAATACCAATACCTCGATCTTGTCCGCGATATTCTAGACGACGGCGAGCATCGCCCAGACAGGTCCGCCGGTCTCTCCCGAATTTCTCTCACACAGCCTTCTGACCATCATCCCACAGAACCGGCACAGGAACGTATTCCGTATTCGCACCAACCCCCCTCAAGTTCTCCTTGAACTCCAACGGCACCCCAATCCTCCCTCTCCTAACCACAAAACGTGTCTTCCTCAAAGCCGTCATCGCCGAATTGCTCTGGTTCATCGAGGGCAACACGTCGTCCCTGCCCCTGTCAGAAGCGGGCGTCAAGATCTGGGACGGTAATGGCTCGCGCGAGTTCCTCGACAACGCGGGGCTATCGCACCGCGAGGTCGGCGACCTAGGGCCCGTCTACGGCTTCCAATGGCGCCACTTCGGCGCCGACTACGTCGACTGCCGAACCGACTATACGGGCCAGGGCGTCGACCAGCTCGCCGAGGTCATCCACAAGCTCAAGAACAGCCCGTACGACCGGCGCATCATCATGAGTGCGTGGAACCCGGCCGATTTAAAGAAGATGGCGTTGCCGCCTTGTCACATGTTTGCGCAGTTTTACGTGTCGTATCCGAGGACGGCGGGTGCGGGAGGGGAGGCAAATGGGGAGAAGAAACAGGGACACCTGCATTGCCAGTTGTATCAGAGGTCTTGTGATATGGGCCTGGGTGTGCCGTTCAATATTGCGAGCTACGCGCTGCTTACACATATGATTGCGCATGTGTGCGAGCTGGTTCCGGGGAGCTTGACGCACGTCATGGGGGATGCGCATGTCTATGTCGATCATGTGGATGCGCTCAAGGTGCAATTAGAGAGGGAGCCGAGAGATTTCCCTGTACTGGAGATTGCTAGGGAAAAGGGTGGAAGTATAGATGGGTGGAAGTATGAGGAGCTTTTGGTGAAGGATTACAACCCACACAAGACGATCGCGATGAAGATGTCCGTATGATGTTAAGCTTCAGGGCTTCACGGGACTCCGGGAGTCTGGATACAGGTTAATGGAAATATGACTTAGAAGTTAGCCGGACGTATATTGAACGGGGATGTCAGATCGGACCAACAGTGGTAGGTTGGACGGTTGGAACAAACAAAATAATATTAAATACGCCGTAGGTGTTAACCCTCGGTACCTCTACAAGTACTCCCTTAAGGGGCTATAGATGATATAGCGGGCCCTTAAGCCGCGTCGGGCGGTTATACAGGTAAACTTGTAGCCAAACGACTACTAAACCTCCTGTCCCTCCCTAAGTCTGTGCTACAACCCCTGCCTGAACTACCGATAAGTGTGGTAATGTGGCACTTAAATTCGTCCTCAGGGGTGGGATGCTGCTGATGTGCAGAAGATGCTCGACTATTTTTTTGTCGCGACAAGTCGTAGTATCTGCTAATTGGGGTTCTCGTCGAGCGTATACATCTCAACCATACGCTCAAGTGGATAGACCGTAACGTGGTCAGACGCTCGCAAGAATCGCGGCGAGAGGGCGTGCTGCGCGCCTTCTATCGTGAGGGGACGGGTTCGCCGACGAGCGTTATCGGAAAGGCGAGGTCCGATAAGGGGTCGGATTAACGATTCGAATTCTGGACCGGCTGTCGAGTTATATTCCGCCGACGTAGTGCTTGACGGTCGACTGGCTAGGATGCTCGTAATCCTAAACTGCACCAATCTCCCTATTATCGCTAGGTAGGCGAAGTCAACAAGGTGGGCAGCGCGCCGTAAGGGTTGACTAAACCCCCTTGTGTGTCAGCTGCGGGATTCGAACCCGCGACTCGTCACCGACCCAAGTGGGCGAGGCTCAAATCGGGACTTATCTACCAGCGAAGTGACCAACTACACCAGCCGACTGGAACAAACAAAGGCGGTGCCAGCATAATTGGGCAAGGTGATAGATAGAGTAATGAAAGCCAAGCTCATGTCCTTATCCTTTATTTATGTTGAATTTGAGACACTTACGGTTTAATTCCTGTATTCCCACATATAATAAAGTCTAAGTGCTTGGAAAAGAACGATGCCACAAATCAGTCTAAGCAGCACGTCTTTCACTTCCAACGTATGGATCTGTAACCTTAGGTGCATATTCTTTTCCACCATGACGGTCTCAAGATGGCGAGAGCCCACCGTCCCGACGTTGACTAACACAGGAAAATATAGATTGTGTTTTGGATAACGAGAGTCTGAAGCCTATGAAACCAGGCCTTTTACCGGTCATAGTGGAGAATATCTCTGTCCCTAGTAGTGAAGACAAACATTTTTCAGCTCGAAGAAAGTCGAGATTGAGTGGAACGCATTGAAAATGCTCGGCCATGATTTTATGCTCATTATTGGGTTTCGCGCTAGAGCTCATAAACGTATACATAAGCCGACCGCGATGACAATGCTTCGTAGCAGGACTGTACAGCAGGTTCAGTTTTAGAGACCGTACCCACAAAGCTGGGAGGCTGTGTGGAATGATGTGTTGTGTTGCTAATGTGGATGGATGAGCCCAGGCGAAAGAGTACAAACAGACTTGCACTGGATATCCTACTTTTCGACAAGCTCGAGCTGGACCATCTATTGGATAAGTTTTCCAAAGAAGGTTTAGAGTATTCGAGGAAGTTCTGCCCTTTGATAGGTATTATAGCCTGCTGAAGGGGTTTGGGGCTTTCTCTCAGGGATATTCCGCTTTCGTGAGGCCTGTATACTCGATTTCTACGTAAGGGCTGGTCGATCGGACTCATTGCAAGCTATAACAAATCATATAATTGAATGTGTCTCTGGACAAGCCAGAATCATCAAGGGGCACAATGGGCCACAAGAGCTTTTTAAGTACATTAAGTCATGCAGCGACAACATACGTACCGTATCGGGGCTGATAGTGTGGATGATCGGCATGGCCGAAAATACTGGATGGTCCGGTAAGTGGCTGTTATACTTCAGAACTCCAATCACGAGCATCAGAGAGCCAGCAAAAGGGTTGGTGCGGTCCGACATGACCTTCCATATAGTAGCTTTGAATACCGTATCCATCTCATGAGATTCTCCAACAAACTCGGCACAGTATCTGCAAGTGATGGCCCGGTATCATGGGTGAGCTATCAGGGGCTTTTTCCTACCTCCAACGCCAAGAAAGTATGTGGTTTCTCCTAAATCGCCGGCCAAATCCTGTCTCGGAGTTAAGGACTTAGCGGTCTTATGTCCCATTACTTGCAAACACCGACTTATCGTTTCATTATTACAAATGATCTAGAATGCGAAGCAGTCTGAATGTAGAAATTCTGCTACTTTCACGGGCACGTGAGTGGCAGTTAAGTTCATCTAGGTGGACTCACCATCAATTTCAAAGTCCATCGGACGGTACATAAAAGGGGCCACACTCATTGTTCAACGAGTTCATCGTTACGTCCATATGCATCAAGAAAATCATCGACATCACCAGCTCTTGATCCACTAACAGCATTTATTTGAAGAACATAGCAGTTGCGGCAGCACAATTACAACTATGTCGACTGGCCCACGAACATGGCTCATCACGGGCACTTCCAATGGATTTGGCCTGGCCCTCGCACAGCACATCCTCTCACAGTCCCATACTCTTGTCTCTATATCTCGTTACATTAAACCACACGAATCTCTCGTTTCCATCGTCACCAATGGCGGGAAGACAAACCTGCACCATCTATAACTCGACCTCGCAGACAAAGACGAAACCAAAATCAAATCAGCAATCAGCCACTTCCTCTCATCATACTCGGACGTAAACATCGATATCATCGTAAACAACGCAGCCCTATCAACGTTCGGCCCGCTTGAAACTATGGCCACCGGCACCATAGAGCACCTGATGACGGTGAACTTCTACTCTCCTCTCTGGATGATTCAAGCCCTACTACCCCATATGCGCGCCTCCGCAAACAAGAAACCCAAAGTTATCATCAACATCTCCAGCACACAGGGCCTATGTACCTCCCCGGGTGAAATAGCCTATGACGCGAGCAAGCACGCCCTCGAGGCGATGACCAGCATTCTCGGGACAGAAACAAGCCCCTTCGGTATCCGCACCATGGTAGTGAATTTAGGATCTTTCCACACCGCCTTTGCCACATCTGGGGAAAGAGCCGGTCTTGTTGCCCCAACGGCTGATTCAGGGGCTGATGATGATCCGTATCTGCAGCCAGAGCACCCGGTGCAGCAGCGGCTAGCCATGGCGATGAAGTATGCGAAGACATCGACTGGCGCTAGGGGGGATACGAAGAAAGGTGCTGCGCTGTTGTTTGATGCTGCTATGAAAACGCCGGGGAGCGAAGCATATGAGGCGCTGGAGAAGCAGCGGTCGTTGCAGCGCCTTCCAGGTACGGGGCTAAAGTTGGGCGGATGGAGAGGCTGGTGCTTGGGAGTGATGTGCAGCCTGTAATTGAGCAGAAACTGGAGGCTTTGAGGATGGAGGTAGAGAGCTGTATGGGTGTGAGTTCTTTGGCTAATGCGGATGATGTGGAATAGTGCAGTTTGGAATTTCGGATCAGGGTAGTGCAAAATGCGAGAGAGACAGGATTACTCAGGAGAGCCTCGACTTTTATATGATGTACCGAGGACAGTTTTTGGCACGCAGTCTGTGTTTTGTCAAGGTAAAGGTAGTCATTAAGTCAACTTACACGCCAGACAGTGGGTTACCATCCGACCCAGTATTATCTAGAATGCTTCGGCTCATAATGCCTGGCGCAGAAGAATTGATACTTCAGCAAGTGAGAACACGAACTAGGAGTACAGCCATGCTTTAAACCATGGTGTAGTACTCGTATATTCTTGCCCGTTTAGTAGAGTGGTGATACATGACCGAAACTGTAGTCACCGCACCCATCACAGCGTAGTGATTTGAAGACCGGCTCTTGTTGATAAGAAGTCCTTAAACACAATTACAAGAACACATTATGTAATAATTATAGTATTCTGTTCCGGGTGAACATCCATCTAGGCTGCATAGTATTCAAGACACGCATATCTCGACGGGGGGCGGCGGGGATTACTAGTAAGGGCTGTTGAGGACGTATACATCGATATCGCCAATAGCACATGAAGGAATTGAGGCTTTGAAATGTGACGATTTTACTTCCAAGGACACGCCAAATCTGTTGTCTTTGGTCTGGCCAGTCTGTTAGGTCTAACATAGAAACGGGGCCCGGGGACTGCGAGATCGGCAGTTGTGAGTCACCAACCTAAAGTGGAATATAATGTAAAGCAACCGAGCGATCTTGCAGCAAATAACAAGCATCTTGGCGCAGCGGAAGCGTGAGTTACTCCGATAACAAATTGTGCGGTTCAACATGTACTGATATACAATAGGCGCCGGGCTCATAACCCGGAGGACCCTTGATCGAAACGAGGAGATGCTAAAGCTCTCATTTTTTGGTGTCTTATTTCTATGTCTACATGTAAACGTGCTCTAGTTATCTGTCTATTTTTTTATTCTCCTCTTCTTCACGTCCTCATTTCCCTCTTAATAGTTCTATGCTGGTGCGTCAAGCAGCAATTTATGAACTATTTAATCAGTATGTTCCACCAGTCCTTCGAAGTACCCGATTGCTAGAACTTCTTTTGGACCTGGGAAGTAGTCTACAAGGCTGTCCTGTAGAACGATGCACTTGCGTTCGCCTAGAGCTGAGCCATGAGGCGTCGGCAACTTTGAAGCATATTTGTCAGCTGTACTACCATTTGTCAGAGGCGCATCTACACATGCCGCAAACGGTCAGCTATGCGCAGTCCAGATATCGTCGCCACTGCACCAACGACGACAACAACCACGGCTATAATCTCGCCGCCCGCAAGTACTCTTGTGACTGAGCGCGCCGTCCCAGAAGCAGGTGCGATTGGTCCGCTGGGAATTGAACTCTGCGCAGTTGTTGAAGTCGCTGATGTCGTTGATGATGCCCTCGACGATGCCCTCGAAGAGTTAGGTAATGAAGTGACCAAAGACAAAACAAGGGCACCGAGAGAAGCGGAGGAAGCACCATTGACGCTCTCGCATATTTTAGATAGAGGAGACTGTCAGAGAATGGACCATTAGTTGGTGAGTTTGGTACAACTTGGTTGAGGCCCACTTACACTGGCTGAAACCTGATCGTAGAACCCGGCCAAAGCGGTTGTGTTGGCAGAGTTGGACTGGATCTTTTCCACATTCTGCCACGAGAGTATCTAGAAGGCTCCGAAGACGATGGCAAACGCTAAGCCGGTGCTCTGGAGAAACCAAAGGAGGATGTCCCTCCCAGATCAAGCGGTCTCGGGAGTTATGGCTGCTACGGTCGGAGTCTGCCAGTATCAGACAACTAACAGTCCACGGCTCCAACTTCGAAGAGCTACGGACAAAACTTCATGAAAGCTTCCATCAGCGAAGGTACAGACAGTCTCGTCGACTGACGTAGTAAGACTGCAGCCCTCGTGACCATGGTTGATCAAACGGCTGGCTGCATGAAGATAAGCCACACTGCGCGTCTTCAGAGCTGAATTTGAAATTTGTCAATCGGAAGAGCACAATCCGTTATCAACATAACGATGCTGGTTCTGTGACTTACTTTTGCACAAAACAGATGGAGCGCAGTTCTGGTTTTGAAATGAACAAAAGTCAATTCGTGTCGGAATATTGCTGTAGGAAATCACCTCGACTGGCGATATTGTTGGATTGATGCTTGCATTGCTGTAGCGATTCTTGGCAAACTCAGTACATGCAGTACAGACACTGGTTTGAGCAATTTGGGACCCATTCAATTCATGTACCTAGCTAGCGAGGATAGCACACTCGAGTGAGCGACAGTTCAAGATGTTCGAGTAGACTACAGCAAACACGTCCTCGGTAAACAAGGCAAATTTACTTTGTATTCGATTTCAATTGCGAGAGTGCAAGCGACAGTAGATGACCAGACGAGGGCATTGCATCGCGTGTTTTATGCAGCCGAGAATGAAACTCATTTATGCAAAGGGCAGGTGCGTCGATTTGCACGGACCAAGCACTGAGTGAGGTCTTGCCGCCTGAAATCAACCAGCCACCAACTCTGGCCAGCTCTGGTCCAAGAAAAACTCGGGAGAAATCGCCCCAAAGATTTCCCCTTCTAATTTCATATTCCTCACACAACGATCCCGCAACACCGCTCAATTCAATTCATCGTGATCGGGATTACTGAACAATTGCCTACCGCCGACCAAAGACAACCTGTCCCAAAATGTCAACCGCGACGGTCCAAATCACCACCGAAGAAGGTGATGGCTCTCCCTCGGCCAACACCGGCAGCCCCAAGGAGCGACATTCATTGACGCTCGACCAACGTCGCGCCCTCCGCCGCTGGGCACACTCACAGACGTCGCGCCCGAGTCACAAGGCGTGCATCGAATGGTTCTATTCCCAGTACGGCCAGAACATCTCGCAGTCCACCATCTCGCACTCGCTTTCGCCCAAGTACGCCCGTCTCGATAACGACTCGCAGTTCAGCGGCTCGCGTCTACGTTTTGGTAATTGGCCCGACGTCGAGAAGCTCGTGCTGCTGTGGCACGGCCAGGTTGTCGCCTCGGGCCGCAACCCCTCCAACGAGGAGCTCGCCGAGAAGGCCAAGTCCATCTTCACCCAGCTGCCGCGATACAAGGACGAACAACCCCCCGAGTTCTCTCCTGGTTGGATCCACCGTTTCAAGAAGCGTTATGGGCTGCTTATCAGGCGCCAACGCCGACATGGAAGCGCACCCAATCCCGCAGACGACATTCCCTACCTTGTCGACGCCGTTCCCAGATTCATGACCATCAACCAAGAGACCAGCCCTGCCGCCATTCGTGACGCGGTGCTAAGAGTCGTCGGAGTCGAGGCCAGCCTAGGCACGTGCGCCAGAGTCAGAGACGAGGTCATACGCCGACTCGAAAACCCGGGCCCCCATCCCGCTATTAATGGCACGGGCAATCCCGAGGCCGATGCATTCGCCGACAACGAAGATCCCGAGGTCGTACTCCAAAACGCCCTGCGCGCCCTGCAGCAGGAGGAGGCAGATGCCGAGGCCGAGGCCGCCGCCGTTCGTGAGCAGCGGGATCGCCATGACGGATTGCCGCCCATTACTGGCCTGTCGACGCCTGCGCAACAAACAGGTCCAAACGCAAGAGCTGTAGCGCGATTCACTCCTGCCGCCGCCGAGGACCTAACCCTGACGCCCATATCCAGCGGAGTACCGGCATCTCAGATCGACAGACCTCTGAGATGTCCCTTCTGCGTCAACCAGCGCATGCTGAGAACAATCAAGGAGGCCGTCGAGCATATGAGCACACACGTTGTCGTTTGAGATGAGGCGGATCCCACCGTGGATCCACAATTGACAAGCTGAGCCTTGCGCTTGCTATGTATAGCTGGAAGTCAGTGCCACGGCTGTGAAGGATGTCGTCGCATCATAATACTTGCCATGGTGGATGAGGCATCATATCAATTCGTTCATTGATTTGAACATGTATATTTACAATTAGGAAGGGTTCATCGGAGCGTATCACGGGTGCAATTTGCTTCGCGATAATTCCAGGAGACAGGCCTAGAAGCAAGAATAATGAGCTCTCAGGTTGTTACCCAACAAGGGTGCGGAGAACAAGAGCCCTTACTACGGGTTGCGGGCTACAAGGATATCAACAGGATTCTAATGGCCAACCCATGCATAATAATACCCATTTAACTCAGTATTACCTATCCTGTCCTTGTGAGGCTGGATTATTCCGCTCAAGGGTGGCCTTTGATGGGAACAGAACAAGGCGCAACATACCTGGCCTCACAAAATGAACTTACAGTATTCCTTTTTAAATGTCTTTGATCGAAGTGCCTAGATATACGTCAAACCTGATTGCCTCCCGACCAAAGTTCTCCGAAGTCAAGTACCTTCTCACATACTGGCTGCAGATATGACGGCGAAGTTTCACTTCCCGAGTTAATTGGCTCAAGTTGGTTGGTATGGCTGGCAAAATTTTGCTTACCTCGGCAGTATAGACCTAGTTTCCGCACTTGATTGACTTGCAACAGAGGTCATTGAGGCTAGCAGAGGCGAGTGACACTCAAGGTTTCTGTCAGTATCAACCCGGACAATAAGACACAGAACAAAGAATTTATCATGCAGAATGTAGGCAGTAAAATCAAATGTTGTAGCATCCAGTCATCCGCACATTTGATTCTCTCGTGGAACTAGATTATCGCAGCAGGTTGTACGCAACCAGACTCTACTGTCATGTTCAGAACCCATGACCTTCGTATCTTCACCGTGCCTGTTCTTTTACTTCCCTCCTACTCTCAAGCTCAGTTCAATACGTCATTAGTATGGCGTTGTTCCGCAAGTGATATATGCAAAGTCGAAGCCCGTTCCTCCAATCTCAAAGCCTTGAACGCTCCCTCGCAGCTCTTGACTGCTTGGGAATCACTAGGCATGTATCCGCATAGTTCATTTGGTCTTGTCTCGTCGGCCCATAGCTTGGGTCAACACATTCGAAATCCTCCAGGACCCAGCAACAGGGCTGCTCGCTCCAAGTCCGATAAAAAAAAGGTGTCGGTAGAAAATAGGGAAGAAAAAGAAACAAACGGATATGAACACGAAGCAAAGTCCCAGTCGTATCAGAAGTCCATGACAAAGAAGAGAAATCAGATCCAGGTTGCGCCGCACCGTAAGGTAGTCCGTATAGAAAAGGAAAGTTCCGCAATGCCCAACGATGCCGCCCCCAGCATGATCGAAGTGTGCAAGTAAGAAGGCAATGAATACGGCCTTAACGAGTAAGACGATTGAGATCGCGAAGAGTTAGCCGCTCTCAGGTCGTAGGCGGGGGCTGGAAAGTATGTGTCGTTTCGGTTGTATCGGGTCGCGCCTCAAAACGCCGGGCTACAAGACAGCCAAAGCCATATCGCGGGATCGCAATTATGCCCAGTCCACACCGTGCAAGACGACGCAGTAAAGACCACAATGCTTCTGTCGAGTTAAATGCTGATGAACAACTGCCGTAGAAGATGAATGCAACAAGAAAGAGGAATGGGTATATGGTAGAATATAGAAATGTCGAAATATGACAAGTAATCGTCATTTTATTTATGCTTGCTCAACGAAAATAACTAGTTTTTCGTTATGATCCAAAGCATCTTTAAGGTCGTTGTTGCTCATTAAGCCCAAGTTTTCACCGGACTCATCGCGGTAGGAGAGTTGGAGCTCACCGGGTACCTTGACACGGTCCCGAATCTTTTCGTAGAGCTGCTGGAAGTCGGTGTCTGACGGTACCCGAATAAGGAAGGTATCGCGATTGAAGAATAGTTTAACTTTGAATGTCGAGACTGGCTGATTAAGACCCGGAGATAACGACGTTTGTGAAGGTTGAGACATTGACGTTTGGCGTGTTCCCTGAGATTGACCATTCTGCAATTGGCGTGGTGCAGCAGAGAGACCACCATAGCCGCTGCCGTTTAGGTTGTTCCGCGATGACTGCCTCGAAGCGCCATCTCTTGGAGAGTCTGCTGACGACTGTCCGGATCCGGTGGATAGTCTGTTCTCTTCGTTGGGGTTGGCGTCAACTTCATAGTCCCCTTCCCTTGGCGCGAAGAACTGCTTAACTAGGGTACATCTCGAGATGTAATCGGGTTGTCCTAAAAGGTTCTTCACATAGGCGTCCAAGTTGTGTAGCCGGCCCTCGGTGATTTGGTCGGTGACATAGTTCACCGGGCCTGGCATATACGGTAGCGTGCGTTTCTGGGTATTGGTGTTTCCTGCCTCTGCGGGAAATTCCGTAAGGAGGGCGATTTGGAAGTCGTAGAAGTCCTCATAGTATCGAGAAAGCTCCCAATGACTACCGTCTTCCAAGTTTGCTTCAATAACAAACCAGTATTTTTCTTCTGCGAAGCAATATCTTGGTATCCGTGCCGAGATCGGGGCGAACAGTTGCGAGTTGGACTTGGTGGCATAGGAATCGGGTTGTACGTTTTGCTGCATGTTGCGTTGTTGCGATTGCTGCTGCGGCGATTGTTGGGCTTGTTGGTAGCCCCCTGGTTGCTGCTTGAAGCGGCATGTGAGCGAGTGCATTTCACGAGAGGGCAAAAGGTGTGGAAAGCTTACATAGGACGCACTATTTTGTTGACTGGTGCGGCTTCCGCCCTGCTGCAGGCTCATGCGTTCCATGCTTTGCTCCATTTGCTGTTGACCGGGTGGACCTCCAGCCTCGAATTTGCCCAAGGTAATGCTGCTGTTCTTGTAGTCGGCTGCCATTTTCTTCCATTCCTCCACCTTGGGAACGCCGGCGCGCTTTATCGCGTCGTGTGGGTTCGGGACTGCTGTGTCGGTCGACATATCTCGGATCTCTATGAAGGATACGGGAATCAAGCCCGGACCACCCAGCCGGCCAATGGGCTTAGCTACGAACCATTCGGGGTTGGACTGTGCAATAACGATGATGGCCTCGCCAGCCTTCGCTTCCAACTCATCGGCCCTTTCGGCTTGGAAATCATACATGACGATACCGTACACCATGGCGCCCGACTTACCTCCCGATTTGGAGCTGCGCTGGCTTGCGGCGGGAGTTGGCGGCATTGTAGATGCATTAGTCTCGGCGTAGCCAGAATCGTGGTCTGGGTTTTTGTTTGCTGTAGGCGGCCGTCCACCGTCTGACTGAGCACTGTCTCGTTCGGTGCGGCCTAAGGCTTGGAAGAATGCGACGGGTACGATGCCACGGGCGTCTGGCAAAGCAGGGTTGCAGGCCTCGTACCAGTCAGAATCGTTCTCTCGGCCGATGACGTGAAAGAAATCCCCGCGTGAGAAACTCAGTTCTTGACTAGATTGCGCCTCGTAGTCGTAGAGAGCTCGGATGACCTAGATTTTGCCTCGAGCATTAGCGTCGCGTGCGCGAAAACGGACGGCAACCGGCACCCGCAAAAGCGGGTAGTATCGTTTAGCAAAGAAAGGCTTGGGAATGTGGGTAAAGATATGGACGTAGGAGACACGAGAAGCAGACGCATTTACCAACCTTTTTCGGAGGGACAATAGCGACGGCGGCTTTTGGGGCGATGGGGACGTTTGACCCCTTTTCCTTGTCACCCTTGATGGACCGTCTGAGTGCCTGGACAATGTGAAAAATATTAGCAACTGCGTGAGTAGACGCGATCGAGTCGCGAGTGAGGCTCGAAGTTGACTGGGACATTGCTCATTGGTTGCAAGTACAGAACCAGCTAAACTCGCATAGAACCGTCCATGGATGGTCTCGACAATTGAGGAGGTAGGGACAGAAGGGACAGAAAGAGGGGGGTTTGCACTGGGTTTAATGGCGCACCTTCATCGTGGCACGATGTGTGAGTGTCTCTGGAAGTTTGTGATACCGAAGGTGGATTAGGCCGCCGATGGTAGAATAGTCCTTGTACACAGCTGCACAGCTAGGCCAAGGCAGATCAAATTCACTGGGACCACGAGTGAACAGAACGGGCCAGTGTGACGCCGACGGAGCAGGAAAGGGTTCAACTGCACAGCTAGGCCAAGGCAGATCAAATTCACTGGGACCACGAGTGAACAGAACGGGCCAGTGTGACGCCGACGGAGCAGGAAAGGGTTCAACTGCACTTCTGAGTCAGTGCAACGGTTCGTGTCGTGCAAAGTAGTGGGCGCGAAGCGAGTGATTCAATGCGACCCGCGGAAGCGACGGCGAAGAGTGCAAGATGTGGATGAGAAGAGGATTATGGACCAGGTAATTCCGAAGCTGGGAATTCGAATTCAGTGGCGTGCGATATGCGAATTGGTAACTCTTGATGCAGTTGAGTCCGTAACCTTTTGGCTGCGCTGTTGGCTATCCTCTAATCGTCGAGATTATTTTTTTCTTTGGAGACCCCAATGAGCACCTCGTGCCGACGCATATGCTTCTTTTGGGTGAATGTTGCCGTCGTAGAGCCCTGTAATGTCCCCCTATTTGATGCTTTTGTTTCTTCTAGAGTTTCCGAGACCGTAGACAAGTTTTCTTAATCTCCCCACAACTTGCGAGTCACGGTGGCGCGGTGCCGGTTGGGTGTCAATCCGAGCAGGGCTCTGTTCAAGCACAGAGGCAATGACAACAGCTTGCTTTCGCAATAAGTCGTCGTTTGCGTCGCCGTCGAACTTCAAAGTCGCCTTTTAGTCTCGGTCGTAGGCCGTCCAGGAAGCGACTGGAAGAAACAACAACAGGTCGACGAGTTGGTGGTTGTGGTGGTGGAAGAAGGTGCAGGGAGGGAGTTACTCACAGGAAAGAGACTGGCTTTGACTGGTGAGCGGTCCCGCAGGTTGGCGAGGATGGCTGGTCAGTGGGCAGCAGTGGGCAATAGGAGGGATTGCTCTCAGCGAAGCGGGTGGAAAAAGGTGGGATAACTTCACGTCCGCTCGGGCGTTAGGGAGCGCTAGAGTGGGGCCCCCGGTGGCAGGGGCCTATTGCAGCCTCGTGGGTGTGGGTTGGGCCCCAACTTGACTGGACGCAATCGAAGACGACTTCGACCAGGGCCCCAACACCAAAATTGAATTTCGGGGGAGACTGAAATTGCCCAGGATTGCGCCGTGGAGTAGTCGCCCTACAGCTGTCATTCCGCGGACGCCTTCCAGAGTGTGAGTGGAGGCGCAACTTTTTCTGCCCCTCCCCCTACCCCCCTCCCCCCCAAATTTGATTGCGCTTCTAGCTCAAGAATTTTGAAAATGTTAGAGATGGCCAAACATCCCATGCATTGCATCAATGGTGCAGCCTAGGTGATCGCATAATTCCCCTTTAATACTTCGTATTGTACAGCTGTTCGACTGCTAGCTGGCTAATGGTTAAGGTACTGAAGTACGGAGTATTGGGCGAGAAGAATGCATTTGCTGGGACGATTCTAGAGACCGAAGGGTCCAAGCTATTTGATTTCAAAGACGTCTGCTTGACTAGCAGCGTCCAGGCCGTCAATAGTCAGTTGTCTTATTGTCTTACTGGTTGAACACATCAATTATGTTTGTACACCAAACTTGGAAATATCAGTGTAAACCGTTGGCCCAGCCACATAATTATCCTTACCGATGGGTTCGCATGATGGACTGACCTCGATGCGCCCCCAATCTACATCACCTAGAAAACACCATGAAGCCTTATTGCCTCCATACATGATACTATTGGGCCTTATCTTACAAATTTGCACCAACAAATGTACATATACCTAGGTTTTACACTGCATCATGGAACTGTCGCAGGTCATACCAATAACGCGATAATGATGACAACTTATCACACCCCGGCTAAGCAGATTTTGTTTGAAGCTATTGATGCGTCATAACGCGTCCCTTTAGACTTCTTGGTGTACGTTTCTCAGGATGGAACAGCGGTGCTAACTTTGGCAGCCCGACGTCAAAGTAAGGGATGGACAACACTGAAAGTCGCGGCGATTCATCAATGATACTCCCTCCCTTAGATCAGCTAGGCCGCCAGGGCAACACGTCATGTTTTCCGAAGCTGCAACATACTCTATTTTCTGCTATGTGTTAAACCCTTTACCTGCCAAAGTCACTTTACTAGTCAGCCCCCAGGTCGACGGGCATTTGCGAGCTGCAAGATCTTGACCGAACGCCATTTATAGTGCGCCTACTGTGCGAGTGCCAAATAAGAAGGCAAATATCCATTGCCCAAACGACACAAATCTGCCGTTCTACGACTTTATTCCGTGGTATGAATTGTCTGGATGGCTGATGCGTCACTATTGCAAGTATGAATTTCTAGTTCCAGAATTTAACGACACCTGTGCATCTTTTTACCCCTCCTTCCATTACCCCTCCGTAGTGGGTCCTAGTTGTAATCCAAATCAAGTTCGAATTCCCAATTGAGCTCTTCCAGGACCCTTACTTCAAGTTTGGAACGCTGAGCCGATTCGAAACACCTGCGACGCTTCTCCATGCCATCGAACCTATCCTAGAGCTGACACATTCAAGATACAAAGATACACAACGCGTCCCGTTTCTTTGCGCATAACTGACAGCCCGCAACGGCATAACAGAGTTTCGCATTGACAGCCGGTTCACGAGCATGCCTGGACAAATCGACAAAAACCCAGAAGTAGGAATGGTAGCTTATCGATTGCTTTGCGCACAGTTCTCTACGTTCAAGCATTGATTGATCGCATCAGTCAGGCCTCGCCTCAATTCAGCAATGGGTTGCAGCTGCAAATGCGATACCTATCTGATACCTTTCTTCAAGATCGAGTCAACTCTAATGAACCGCCTGCGTTTGGATATGCTCTAGACGTATTGCTAAGCATCCTTCAGCCATAGGCCAGACTCTTCTTCCCGCATGGTTCCACAAAAGCTCAACGCCGCCAAGTGGGTAAAATAAAGACCGGTCAAAAACTCTGTGATGACATCTCGATCCTGCGACGCGCCGCAGAATGAACAAGCGGAACATGACGTTTGTTGGGCACTAGTGGCCGTGGATAATCTTGATGGCATTTTTCACCATCAACCACAGCGTCGAACACGAACGACAATTCGGCATTATTCGCGTCGGCTCTCCAAACCTGTACCCGAGTACCCGCAGCGTCGAAATATTCCACTATATTTTCTCGATTCGTACCTGGGTTGTCTGTTCTTGCATCTCACATCGACACGGACATCCAATGGAGAGGCTGTGAGAGCTTCCCAGCTCACAATTTGCTAATTGAACACTGCGAGATCCACGAATGAAGGCGAAGTCCGAACAAGACGGAGACAAGGGGATATTACTCATGCCAACTGGAACTGTTGCGAGCCTGTGCAACCTCTGTACGAGTTTGGAGTCTGGAAGAACATTCGCAAGCAAACCAACACCCTAGACACAAATGCCCTATGGGGTTTGCTTGACCAGTCATTTGCGCGCGGCTTCCCTCCATCACGCGCAATACGCGCTCAGCTAGACCCGCGCGTTTGACAGCCAGTTGCGCACAAAGTGCTCCGGATCGATTCTTACGGATCGTTGCAAAGTGAACGTTGCTTCTATTGGCACCGCTTGCTGCCGGCATTCTCTTCATTTTATCTTGATATTACTTTGAAGTTGAACAAATACCATTTGGTTCATACAGCCCATATGAACCAACTGCCTTGGGCAAGTATCATGTATAGAGATTGTGCGGCTTTTAGAGCCCCCATGTTGCCCGCCTTGCCAGGGCCTCCCTCGTGGGAATGGACCTTTCCCGCATCACCCTTGTTCATGGTGGGGGTGGCCAGGAGCCAGGAACATGGCTTGGCATGTCGACATGTCCCCGCCGTCAAGCCGTGCTCTCACTGAACTGGAGGAAACATCCTTAGGCTTCAAGTCGCATCGACGGCCAGGTTTGCTTCATATATAAACGCAGTTGCGCTTTACTGATCGATTTCTATCACCAACGAATGCTGCAAAATACGAAGCGTTAATACCACACTGCAGCGCATAGGATGCCAAACGACATTGCTGCGAAGCGTTGCCATAGTGTTCGGCGGACAAAAATAAAATCGCCTTGGTTTCAGTGTATACACTTTTGTCATTGATCAACTGTTCAACTGTGGGGAACGCTGGGCAGCGCTCAGATGGTGACTTGACCTGACGTGGGAATTTTCCAGAAAGCCATCATGCTTCACGCTGCCGAACAGACGACAAATAAATGGCGCACTTAAGGTAGAGTAATGTAGGATAATCCGATATTCCAGTGTAGACAGACGGACGACTTCACTTGAATATTTCACCTGGGCGTGCCGTTTACCAACTAAGTACCTGGGGACCCTAAGATTGATGGATCCCACTACGATCGACGAGGGGTGATTCAAGAACCACAAATTCCAAATCTTGGACGCCGATTGCAGTTCATGCGTTAGACTCCTCGGGTCATCGCGCTCCCGTTACCTTTGAAACCTGGAGTGAACCCCGGAACTCTAAAACGAACCGATCCCAACAACACACCTTGTACATACCCAAACCCGCATAAGCAACTTCCGGTGAGCTTGGTTTGATATGAAGATGATGCTGAATTCATCGCGAGTACCTCATCTGGGATATACCTTGTCATTGGATAGCTTCAAGCGACGGCATGTTCTGGTAAGTTAGGTATTGACTAAGCGTACGATAAAACCACGTCGTGATAACCCATGATAATATGTCATCAAAGGTTGTGTTCAGCGATTTATGCAACTATCGATACTCCCATATTGATTCGATACCCTCACGAGGACGTTGCTTCTCTCTGTGTAGTTCTCATATTTGTTCTTGCCAGATGGACAGCTTTCTCCCAGTCTTACTCATCTCCTCAAGCTCTTGCACATCTACTTCGTTTCTTGCCAACATGAAAAGCCAATATCGTAATATTCAACAACGTTGCTCAAAGTACCTGTTGAGTTGATGCTGATATATGAGCCCGACGAGTGTTCTTTGTCAGTAACGAAGCTCGTTTGCCCATTATACATATTTCCGGATAGGTAAGTCGAGCCGACTCTTCAGAGCCACTCAATGTCACCCTTAGTCCCCACAAGCTTCCCGCTACTCCAGAAGTCCAGACGCCTCAGTTATCCGTTGTGACATGTCACATACAAAATCGTCGACACCACCTCAGCGCCACATGGATAAAGTAGCAGATACAACTAGCTAGCTGTCTTGTCTCATGCTGTAGAACGCAGCCAGAACACTATATTGAGTGGATCTGGGGGGTTATCATACGATTTCGACAGCGGCCGCATTCTCCTCGATTCAGGAGTTGCCCCTTTTTGTCTCAGCTTGGCCGATTTGCTGTCGTCTGGAGCACCTAAGTCTCAGTTCGTAAAGAAAGTGCGTGCCTTTTGGGAATATCGAATGCGTGTACGGAAGTCACACCTACCTTTCTCGGAATCGGAAAACCACCGACAAGTAGAGTGGGGCCGGCGCATTTTAGAACAGTCGGTCACGTATGAACTATAGCACTGTAGACTCTGGCAGTAGAGCAGCATTTTGTCGGTGGCGTCACGAGCAGCTGCGTCAAGTAGGACACTCTATATACAATACGAAAAGACTCCGATAAACTTCCTTCGCATGACCTCGCCGCCGCGGTTCGCGAGAGGCCAACCCCAAACCTCAAAGTACATACACAAGCCGCCGAAAATCAGTTACAGCGTGCGGGTATCAGCACGTGAAAGACCACTAAGTCCTCCACTTATTAACGCCTCGCTCCTCGTGAAATCAATATAAAGCCGCCTAGGCCTCTATGCCGGTACACCAGAGGCTGATGCATTCCATCGCTTTCCAGTCCCAAAGAGCGGCCTGTCAATAACCGTATCCGTTCGCCTTGGTCCATCTCTCAAGACACGTTATCATGCTGGCTGGGAAGTCAATGTACGCATTTTCGGAAGAGATGTGGTATGCGGTATGCGATTAGAGACCGATCAAAATGAGGCAAAAAACACGCCCACGTCATAGATTAGACCTTGGGCCAATCCAAGATCTGGTATCCAGTCGTCTCTGCAGAACAAGTATTCGTACCCATGGTATAATGAACTTGTTTGGTCGTCGCCGTCAATGAAGTGGGGGAATATAGACTACGATGAGGGGGGTTCGATGAGTTCAGGCGGTCATAATGTGACAGACCAAAAATATAGTGCCGAATGGGTGCCGGAGTAGAAATTCAAATGATGTGCAAGAAGGAGATTCGACAGAAACTCGAGAAATATTCATATCTGGCCTTTGAGATCGACGCTCCGGAAGGCTTCCTTGCGCGCTAACTCAAAGTGTTGCTTGGCTTTGCCAACAGTGAGCACAATGGTACCATCTCGCTCTTCGAGAGCGTCTTGGCCATTATGGTCGATGATGAACTGGGCAGCTTCGGCATCCGATTCGAAAGCTAGCTCTTCAGTGATGTAACGTAATTTCAGTGTTTTGATATATCTGCGTTCATGTTAGCAAAGGTATCAACGGTCTGGCGAAGTATGGATAACTTACGCCTTGCACATGGCACAGAGTGCAGCTAGCCTTTCACGTCTGACAAACATATCCATTAGATATGCGCCCATATTGGGGACGTCAAGGTAAAGCTGGAAAAATTTGTGATAATTCCCCAAGGCCAGCGCGGATCGGACATTGAGCGCATGCTTGATAGCGCGCTCTTCCTTTTCTGCTGTGGTTAGATCGGCAATAGCGTCGTTCAACGCTGTGCGGTTCGCGGTGTGAATGAAATACAAGATACGGTAGGCCTTGAACTCGATGGGGCTCCCCTTCAGACCAGATGCATACAAAGCACGTAGCTGAGTCTGGCACTGGTTATACTCACCAAGATCGCCTTTTTCCAAGGCGATACGGGCGTGGATCTCATAAACGGAGACAGTAAAGTCATTTCGGATCCGTTGGACGGTCAGGTCTTGACGAAGAGACTTAAACTGATCACAGATATAGCCGTAGTTGCTTTCCTTTCTCCACTTCTTCTTCAGGAGATCCAGCGTCTGATGCAGAATATACTCGGGCCGAACATTGGAAGCTTTGGGAGCAGAGGTCAAGCGAAGGTATCTCTTCTCAAGGACAGTACTGGTACCAGCGATGGGTCCGTCGGAAGGCGGCGGACTCGGAGATCGGTAAGAGGACTGGTAGCCGCCATCGAAGCGACGCTGGCGCTTCTCTGCTAGCTTTTGGGACTTACTTTTGGCGGGCAAGGGCTCGTCCATCTTCGCGGGTTTGCCATTCGAGGGCTTCGAGGTCCGATCCTGGAGGCTGAGGCCTTTGGTATTACGCCACGGACTGGCGGCCGCCATAGGGGCAGATTGGTCGGGCTCGCTAAGGTCAGAGGACTTTCTCTTCTTGGGGTTGGCAGGGGCAGTGGCCGGGATGACCGCGCCTGCATTTGTCATTGTGGAGGCACCCATGGCTCCCATTAGGGCTTGTTGGCGTTCGGCTTGGACTAATCTCTGTGGTAGAGGCATCTGATCCCAATCCGTGGTATACATAATGCCAGCATCCTTGGCGTACGTGATCGTCTCTTTCAACTTCGTCTCCATTTCTGCTCGGGTGACGTCGGGAAGCAGGTTCTTCGTTTCAAACGACCGCTGCACATAGAGACGAACTGATTCGGGCCAGTCGATCTTTTGTTGTTGTTGTGAACCGACGGGCTGTTGCTGTTGCGGATAGGCCGACGGGTCGGGTTGAAGTTGGGGGAAATTAGCAGGAGCGGCGTACGGCTGATACTGGGGTTGGATTGAGTAGGGCTGACTGAAGCCCTGGCGGACTTGAACAGGCGTGTATGCAGTTGTTGCTGCTGTGGATGGGTCAGTGATTGATGACACCATTGTTAGAGCGGGAGAGTGGAGTGAGCCTGGTTCAGGCTACCACAGACCATACAAAAATGAAAGTACAACGCGAGTAGTCAGGGGAAACAACCAGAAGAAGAGTGAGGAATGCTTACTCTGGGTATAGCCATATGATGCCCGTTGGATGCCCGGCGGAGGCGGTACTGATGCCCACGACATGTTGGCGGCGGTTGGGGTCGTCAATCGAGACGTACAAACAGACGTGGCCGTGATAACGTTTTCGGACTTGTTAGCAGAATACCAGAGGAATCAGAGCGTTTGGAACCGTTTATCTACGATGTTTCGATGATACCAGCAAAATATCACGAGGATAGGTTTGCAGGGTTGACGAGTTTCGTTGTCGACAAAGAAATAAAGATCGGTGTAGAGGTGGAAGAGTAGAAATTGCCTAGGCAATCAACAGTGAATTTGGGAGTTTGGTGCCCGTGGCCCCAACTTTAGAAACACAGGGACCGTTTTTAGTGCTGGAGGGTTCTCAGAGCGAAGGCGGGCTAGAAAGCTCGGACTTTGGCGGCTTTCAACCTTGACCGGAAGATCTCCGGAGCCACCTACCCATTGCACCAAGGAAATCCACCGAGGCTCCAAAGATGGCCGAGACTCATCCCACTACCCCAACTGACTTGTATTGAAGAGGTGTACGTAATGCCTTGTGGAGCGTTGGTTTAAACACGACATGTTCACCAGATCATCTATTGCCATTTTAGCTGATTGTGGATGTTTCTTCAAGCCCAACTATACAATCTACATTAACCGACATGACGAATGTTTTTAAAACAAATCGACCTCACTACTGCGCTTCGGCCATCTTATCTTCCCGACGAAGTATTGCTCTTTGTCCAGGACAACGTGGGGCTATATGAGGGGTGAGTTGAAGCCATCGCGACCACGCCTAGAAAGAAGATGACGGCCCCAGTTGCCAACTGACCAGCATGTCTGAATCAGAAAGTACAAGCTTCCCAACCTGCAGAATGGCCAGGTCTATCTGACATCGCATCGGATATGCTACGTCGACAAGCAGGAACCAAGAAAGCACTCTGTGGCTCTGGACTTGAAGGATGTGGAAAGATATGAGTTCTACGTAAGACCCTATTGCTGCCAACATTTTCCGGTATTGACAATGCTGTACAGGCTGGGTTCCTGAAGTCCTCAGCCAAAGTAACTCTTGTCCCCAAACCTCCCAAGCGGGGTTCTCTCCAATCTCGGGCAGCCGCCGTATCGTCGAGTCCTTCGAACAGCGGAACCACTTCCCCATTGCCAAGTTCCGATGGTCCCTTTCGATCGCCATCAACTGGTGCATCGCAGGCTACAGCGGCCACGTGGGTTTGCACAATCTGCAGTTTCCCGAACCCAGTACCATCCAACTTCGATCCGACCACCGCAAACGCGCATACGCCACTACCACCATGTCTAGCTTGTGGCATCAAGCCGGCATTGACGCATGTCCTGAAAGCAGCCATATCGAATGTTACTAGTAGGCAGATGACCGCGACTGGGTCCAGCTTTGGAACGCCGTTACCTCTTCGCCCAGGGCTAGACAGTAGCAGAAACGCGGCTACGGAACTTGGCGATTTGGTACAGACAAACTCGGCATCAACGACGCCGAAGCCTACGACTCCAGACACGGGCGCTGGATTTCAATGCCCAAGATGCACTTTCCTAAACCATCCGTCTCTATTATCGTGCGAAATATGCGGCGCGCCTCTCATATCTCACGATGTGCCTCCTTTGCCTGTCGCCCATGAGCAGCCTAGGACAGACTCGCCAGGGCCAACCCTCAATTTTGGCAAGGTTACTGGTTTGGATAATCCTGACAGTGTCAAGATATCCTTTCGAAATGGTGGCGAGAAGATATTTTATGAAAGGCTCAAAGGCTCTATGACTCAACGTAAATGGCTTCTCCAAGAAGCACCCCCTGTTCCCAACAGCAGCAGTGGTACGGATGATGGAACTGGTTCATTATCGCGGTCAGGTTCTGGTCCTGGCCGCACCCGGAAGACCGCCGGCATAGCAGGGCTAGAGCAGATGGGCCTAGAGAGGCGGAAGAACAACGAATTTGCCATTGCAAACTCCTTCGAAGACTTGGAGGCTTTGATGGCTTCTGCCAAGGAAATTGTTGCCCTGGCTGAGTCGTTCGCCCGCCAGGGCAATGGTGGTGCAGATAGCGCAACCTCGGAGGCCAACGCGTTGTTGGCTGAATCTGCAAGTCAGTTAGGATTGATCACGACGAAGGACATTGTTGGCGGTGGTAGCGGATCCGGGTCCGAGAACCTGTACCTTTCGGAATTGGCCAGGAACCTTGCCGAATTCTTGACTGACGACAGTAGGGGCGTCCTCAAGAAGGCGGGTGGTATCATCAGTCTAGTTGATCTGTGGGCCATGTTCAATCGGGCACGAGGAGGGGTAGAACTGGTCAGTCCCAACGATTTTGAGAAGGCCGCTCAGCAGTGGGAGAAGTTGAAACTGCCCGTCCGTCTACGAACGTTCAAAAGTGGTGTTATGGTTGTGCAGGGCTCCGATCGAACGGACGAAACGACCATCAAAGCATTGTTGGTATGGCTACGGGATTTGCATGATGTTCCTCCAGAAAGAGAAGTCGCTTGGGACTGGCAAGAGTTTGGTCGTGGTGTCACTGCACAAGACGCTGCTGAGAAATTTGGCTGGAGTATTGGAGTTGCTGAAGAAGAGCTTGAAATGGCGGAAGAGCGTGGCGTCCTGTGTCGAGAAGAGGGTATAGAGGGCTTGAAATTCTGGGAGAACTTTATTGATACAGGGGAACGACGGCGTCGCCGACGACGAACCCCTACACAGACTGACCAGATCATCAAGGCCTTGAATGATTCTGGTCTGATCTGAATTCAACGTTCATAATCGACAGATCGTATGGTAGTTGATGGACTTAACATACCATTGGCTCTAGATTACTTACCACCAACAAGCTAGAATGACATTAATAAAGCAAGTCAACACATATTTTATACTGTTGCCTCTAAATACTTCTAACTCGATATGCAGATCTATAGACTCTAAACGCTTTGGAAATTCGCAAAATGTATCAGTACGCTTATCCGTACCCCTGAACGCCTGCCATTAATTACGCAACGCCTGGAAAATGGATGTAAGCTCGAAGCAGTCCTGAGACCACTTCTTGTACATCATCAAACTTTCGACTTGAGAAGGTCTCTTTTGGTGGAAAACTTTAAGCCAGCTTTTGCATCAAGTTCCCCCGAACCTTGAAATTCACCGTTCCCCCAATTCCGAACGCTGGGACAATCCTGCACACTCGCGCCGCAACACTCACAGCCCAGTTCTTACGCACCGCCGCCCACCTGCTTTCCCAGCCCATACCAGTTGCGCCAGGTCGGTTATACAGGTCCAGCCCGAGCAAGTGCAGCGGCGTGCTAAATAATTGCACTAGGGCCGGCGCGGCAAACTGTGCAACCGTTTGCCCGCTGACGCGCTTCTGCATCTCGTCGCTCATGCGCGCCGTCAACGCGGGCCCCAGCAGCGGCGGCACATTGAAGGACGCGAAGATGGTCATGCAGTCACGCAGGGTGAAGAGGGCGTAGCTGGGCAGACTGACGGGGCGGGGCGGGCCCGTGGGACCGAATAGCTTCACGAAGACTTGATCTTTGTAAATGCAGATGCCGATGTTTGCCGCCGAGGACGAGGCGAACTTGAAAATGCCCGACGTGACGTGCGGCGCCGGCTTATTGTGCAGCGTCGAGGTCGCCGTGTCGAGCGTGTTGGCGGTGAGGTAGGTGCCGCCGTAGACGGCGAATATGAGGGCGACAGGCTTGGAAAAGAGCATGGTCTGGGGGCGCAAGAGGAGGGTTTGGAACGAGTTTCGGAAGGATTGGGCAATGGTTTGTCGCCCGGAGGCGTTTTCCATGATCGATCTGGCGATGGGTTAGTCAGAGGTTCTGGGGCAAGCTTATGGATAGCTACTGGCGCTTAGGAGGAGGAGGATAACTTGCCTATCGATGATGGCGATCAAGGGGGCTACCATAGACGCAGCAACCGAAGCGCTCACGAAGTCGGTCGCTAGCCGCAGACCCAGGTTCTTGGTGTTCCAGGTTGACGCGGACTGCCGCTTCGTGATCGGCATTTCAACGGCTTGCGTGCTCGGGACGGCAATTCTTGGTTTGAGTGCCTGCGCAGTAGCTGCGAGGTTCTCGGGGTCAGTGTTCTTCATGACGATGGTAGTTCAAGGCAGTGGTGAATGATGGATGGAATCCACCGTTGCTTGAGTTGTAGCCCGCTGCTCACAAAAAGCAATCTTGCGATAACAACTTTTAGAGCACCGCGCAATGCATTCCGCGTCGATATTCTTCAACCAGATCACGAAATAAAGTCAAGGGTATAACGTACGACCCCACCTTTCCGGCCACCCACCTTTCTGGCCACCTAATCTGCCAACTACAACAACTTTCGGCACAACAGATTATCGTCGGTATTGGCTATTATTATACAATGCCTCGATATTCAGAAAATTCGATTCAAGGCGCTCTCAACGATATCAATCAAGGGATATCCCAGCACCAGGTTTCCCTCCGATGGGGCGTTCCACGCTCTACCCTATAACTTCGTTACGCCCCAAACCACGTAAGAAGGTACGATTAGGGCCTAATGAATGATTTGGTAACATTGTACAGATTAAGGAAGCGATGGATCGAGCCCTTGAAGTAGAACGGCAACGAGACCAGGTACAACGTCGGAATCAGGTAATACTGGACCCAGCTAAGGCGTCAGAATCTATCAGATCTATACCTCAGGAAGCCCTAGAGCACAGCTTTCTATTAGAGCTGGTTGTACCTGAATAGCTATAATAGTACGTTGAATACACTGTTTCGAATACCTTCAATTGGATTGCAATATGTGGCCAGAAAGGTGGGGTTGTACGTTACGACTGAAAAGAAAACCAACGCCGATATACGAATGTTTCTGAATCAAGAGACTGGTTGAACGGCTTCCGTCGGGAGGCAAAGACTCAATAACGGCCACTAGGAAATTTTTAGTTCGTAAGCTCTCCTTATCGGCCGCGATCGGAGCAACAGGCGCTAGGGGCGGGAAGGAGCCGAACGAGTCAGAAACGTGGTATGTCTGCATAGTGCATTCTCTTAAAAAGACTTTGTCACTTTGTCGTCTCCAATGTCCGGGTAGTTCCCCCAGCTCCAAAGAAGATCCCAGAGCCACTGTGGCTGCTTTGTGGCTGTACACATGGCTAACTGCTGTGGGGAGGGTTCAGCAAGAGTGGAACCAGGCAGCCAGGTCTTACAATGGAGATTAGCGGACGGAGACAAAGCTTGAACAAACATCAACCTTTGGACGAACATGACGGGGAGGAAGCACCAAACTGAGGCCATGGTTCTCTTCTACCCTTCGAACGAGGTGCACTCGATTCTCCAATTCTGAGTACAGGAACTTACATGAAAAAGGAAAGGGCAAGTGCTTAATTGGGGTGCGGGGATAGTGGGGATTATCTGTGTTGTCGATCCGCTGGTGGCCGAACAAGAAGGTCGTTCGGGCGAGTTGGACCTCTTTGAAATGGTGTAGCCTTCAAAGTTCTCCAGGGCATTTCTAGAGGCATAGGTATCATGCTTGTTCAGTCGTTACAAGGAAAGGGCTCAATCCAGTCCAGTTTGTGCTTTGATCTCTAATTGTCACAGTGCTAGCGATGATATAGCCGCAAAATGCTGTATATAGTAGTTAGCAGGACCAAATGTCAGTGATCCACAGGCATCCAAGGTCTTTTGGTCTATTGGCCGATGGGGTTGATCCTCCCTCTGACAAGTATGCCCAATTTGGTCCCGACTTTTTCAGGCTGCCGTTTACGAGTGTTTGGGTTGAAGACCCAGTGTCATCGCTTGGGAGAGGACCGCGTCAGCTTGTTCGCCACCTCAAACAACTTGCGCGGTACAGGCTTCGCAATGACCGCATATTATATCTGACCAGCGAGATATATCCTCCTCGCGTTTGCTGGATTGTATCAATTAAATCGATTGGCGCTCCCGAACCGCGGTTGGATAATTCCGTCAAAATGGTGTTGGTCCCAAAGTTTACGCCAGAACTCCTCACGTCAGCGCCTCGACGGGGCCCAGCAGTGCCAAATCACAATGGCACCCTGGCGTTGTTCACGCAGACAACCCATACGATCGGCGAAGAAAAGGCGCTGAAGGAGATTCGTGTTATGAACATCCAGACGGGCGAGTCAACGAGGCTGGTGGAAGACGAGAAGGCACACGATGCATTATGGCTTGGAGACGGGACAAATACTGTCATTTACCTCAAGTCAGGGGGCGTAGGCATCACCTGGATCATGATGGCAGATGCCGACAACCCTTCGCTGGATCCATACATTGTGGATGATATCCAGGCCCCCGTTAACAACCTCAAAGTCAGGCCGCTCAAGGACGGTTCCATCGCTTTTGTCGTCGTTGGCTTCGCAGATAAGGACGGTCAATTATACAACGAAGAGTCTAACAAGAAGCCTCACACCGCGAGAGTCTGTGATTCATATGATGTCCGAATTGTAAGTACTGCCTTTACTGCCCTGCACCAACACTAACATGTGTCGACGAGCAGTGGGACGCATACAAGAAGCCTCAGAGATATGCCATCTGGTATACGACTTTTGTCAAGGAGGATGATAAGTGGAGATTCAATAAACCTCTCAAGAACGCCGTAGCGGGCACGACGCTCGAGGCCCCGATCAACATGTACCAACCATCGAACTCTACAGACGACTTCGACATCAGTGACAAAGGCATTGTCTTTGCAGGCCGAGAATTCGAAGTTGGAGACCCAACGATGGTCAATATTAGCAGTGTTTATTACGTTCTTCTCGAATCATACGTCGAAGTCAGCTCTCAGGGACCAAGGAAGATTGCCATACAGAGCAACGTCGACAAGAGTTACTGCAGCCATCCAAGGTTTAGCCCGGACGGTTCGATGATTGCATTCTTGAGAGCACCATATGGTCGTGGAACGGCCGTCTCCATATACGTCAACCATCTTGATTCCCCTAGGGCAATCAATGTCTTCACCATGGTGACAGGGAAAAAATGGACTCTCATCCCCGCTAGCTTCGAGTTTGCTCCTAGCGGCTATTTCGTCTACATCACCGCCGACGACTGCGGCAGAGTTGGCCTCTACAGGCTTGATCTGCAGCCAAACGCGTATCCCAAGACACTGCTGCGAAGCGGTGCTGTCTCTGCATACCATCCCTTGAAGCAGGATAAAGACGACATTGACAGAGTCTTGGTCACCAGCTCAAATCTTATTCAGCCTTCCATATTCCAGATCGTGGACGGTGACCGGGGCATCGAGTCCGAGCCGTATGTTATTTCCACCGCTTCCCAGCTTACGAATCTCGGCCTCTCGCCAAGGCAGGTCTCAGAGATCTACTTCGAGGGAGGAGGCGATTATTGTGTGCAGGCCTGGGTTGTGAAACCTCGTGACTTTGACCCAAGCCGAGAATACCCATTGTTGTTACAAGTTCACGGGGGCCCCATTTCTGCATGGAATGATGCTTGGAGCACAACAGTACGTCTTATTGACCATCAGCAAAGTTAGACAACTCGACTAACACGATGAAGTGGAACCCAGCTGTCTGGGCCGAGCAAGGCTATGTCGTGGTATGTCCCAACATCACCGGCAGTACAGGTTTTGGCTTGGATTTCTCAGAAGGTAAGGTGTCACATCAACACTTTGATACCCTGCTGACACAGCGCAGCGGTATTGGACAATTTTGGTGGTCGTCCATACGATGACCTCGTCAACTGCCTCGAATACGTCAAGAACATGCCAGGCGTCGACACGGTGAACGCCATTGCTGCGGGAGGCAGCTATGGTGGCTACATGATGAACTGGATCCAAGGACACGAATTAGGACGGAAATTTAAGGCCCTAGTCTGCCACGATGGTATTTTCCACATCCCGACTTTCATGCTGCAGTCGGATTTCTGTGACACCGACGGAGTCTTCGGTGGGCCTCCTTTCATGTGGGCTAACATCGATGGGCTGGAGCGCTACAACCCGGCCCGACCAGATCTACTCAATAACTGGACAACACCAATGCTCATCATACATAGTGAGAAAGATTACAGGTGCCCGGTTACAGATGGTGTGGCTGCGTTTCATACGCTGAAAGCGCTGGGCACTCCGGCTAGGTTCGTCAACTTCCCTGACGAGAACCACGTTGTGCTCAAGGAGGAGAACTCACTGGAGTGGCATCGTTTGGTATTTGAGTGGATCAATCAATGGTCGGGTGTTGCTGCGAAGAACATGATGAAAGGCTTGACAAGGCCTGTGTGAAAGGCTTCAGGTGACCTCATTTAAGATCCTTGCCCCTATGGTGTCTAATACCAACATAAATAGGAACGAGAATCTATACATAACTTCAGTAAGTGTTCCTTATATACTCGTCTTCTAGAAGGTAGGGAACTATCCGGGTTGCACTATAGCGAGGAATTATTAGGCTTAGCGGCATAGTAGCTAGCTAAATGGGGCCTAACCCGTTACAACCTGTTCCGGAGCGACTAAAGGAGAGCAAGGTTAATTGGGTGAAATCGCATAAAACGAGGCATCCGGGCGTGGTAGTGAATCCATCCAGTTCTCAGATGCCTTCGCGGTATCGACCCCTTATTATTCTCTGTTCTCTTCCCTACTACTTATAACGAACGCTATCCGGGGTCTAACATGTAAACCACTGGGTAGTAGTAGGTGGGACTTATACTAGCAAATAAGCCCTCCCACGAAAGGCCAGAGCAATATTGATTAGGATGGTATGGAGACTAATTCAGTCTGCTGAACAATAGGATTCATCGAGGCCTAGTTAGCCCAACTATAGGTAAGATAGATGCTTAATTGTGTCAGGATACGGCTAGGCCGAAAGCAATAGTACAGAGTGAAGGGGAGTAATAGGCGTCCCTACTACTGATCACCGGGTAGTCACTGGTGATCTCAGGCAGGGGTGCCCAGGGTAGTTCATTGATCTCTAACCTTCTTCCTATCTTCCTCCAAGGTACCTCTCTTACATAGATAACCAGAGCACGTATTCGAAGTAGTAGAGCCCGTATATCGGAGCAGCAGAGCACCAATTCCTCCGCTTCCTCAGTATACCAAGACTTCCATATTAGGTCATGACTCGCAGGTCCCAGTACCGGTGCCCCACTGGCACCCCACCGGTGTCTTGCATGCGACACGCTGACAAAATGATCACCCAAGTAAAGACTGTCTACAACGAAATGCCTGGGGTGTACTGTCCTTTAAGTATCCATTTCTTCCTTCATATATCCCAAGAATCCTGTTACGTATTCTTCCATACCGAATGTTTCACTTATGTTACGCTCATGTGTGGACTTGCAGGTCGGAAGCATTAAGAATGTGAGAGAAATTGAAGTCGCACATGAGAGCTTCCAGCGGATGGAGAAGCAATGTTACAGATGCGTTTACTCGACAAGTATGGTTGGTATAACATGGTAACAATAGACAATTAAGCAATTCTTGAATGTCATATAATCATGGGATGTTGTACGTGTATACTTCGAGCCATGCCGTACTATATACATGTATATACTACCATTGTAACACTGGGGAATGACACATATCCTTTTGACGTTTGGGACTCTAGACGCTCACCCAACCCCATAACAGTACGTCTTGGGCCACCAACAGGAAAATTCGTTCTAACCGCACACACATTAGTATGTGGGTACTGCCGATGAACGTGTGATACATTACCACATCTATCCAGAGGGATTATCGGAAATGCAGCGTTGGATGGCATTGGTGCCATTCGTATCACTATGGGAATGTCAGAAATGATGTCTCGTCATAATTCGAAAATCGCACCATTCGCGCGTGCAGTTCGAATCCGTGCCGCAACGGCTAACACAGGAGTTCAGCGTCGTAGTGACGTCAGCGATACAGGAGGAGAGGTCTCGCGGAGCAACGGGTGAGGCGACAGCAAACGCGCCGAGGGTAATGGCGACGATGATGGAGAACTGCATTGTGAAGTACTTGTTTAAAGCGAAGCTTAAAGCTATGGTGTAAATTTGTTGGTTAGAGTGGTATGTAGTGGGAAGAGAGTCAATGATGTAGAGAGTAGCTTATATTTAATTGAATGCGAGCAGCTGCAGGGGCGGAGCATGTTTTATACTCCTTGAAGTTTGCCTGGCAACAGCATGTGACGAAGATACATATTTGCGAATAGTGATGAGGAGCCTACGTAGTAAAGTCCGGATGCGTAATCTTGGCGGCTTCGTTCTCTTTGATCAGAACGGTAGATAGACCGGATGATGTGTACTGCGGCGGTGGCTTCGGTGATTTATATGAGATGACGTCGAAAGAGTTTGGTGCTTCGTCAGTCAGCCAAACTTTGACCAGATTCAAGTCTAGGGGTTCCTTTATTCAGGCCCGAACAAACTCTATGACGCTGGGCTCTCCTGGGAATCATCCGTCACCGCAATATCGTTACCATAGTCACAGATGTTGGCTTGCCACTCTTCAGCCGTCCAAACAAATAGTAAGGATTTCGGAAGTACAAAAAGCCATCTGATGTGGTAATTCCGCCAAGACCATTTCGAGTATAAACCTTGAATGTGCAGGTGTTCACCGGTGAGCGTGGTCCGGTCCGTCAATGCGTTTCGCCGATTACAACCCGAACGGCTATGCCTTCCTGAAACACGGTGATCCACGGCGACTGGAAGATGCAGCCAACTATTAACGGCATAGTACACGAAGATGGGTGATAGTAGGCGATACAACACGATGCGAATGATGTGGCTACAGACAACGCAATTATGCCTCGAATCCTGCTGTTGCAAATTATCATTTATGGACAGTTCAAAGAAATAAAATATCCACATGGGCTATTCATGATGAGATTGTACTAGCGAAAGAATACCACAATGTGGCAACGAGTAGGTGAGGTCCGAGGAGCATAATTGTTGGATTGTGGGCAAATGGAGAGTCTTGAACGAAGTGAACGGCGGCCACAAGGGCCTTATATAGACAGTACTAACTGATGCCTGTCCCACAGGCAGGACTTGTGTGGTTCGATGGGTGGTGCTCATATTGGCCCATAACGTACGGTGTGTGGCCATATGTCCTTCCAAGACTGGCAGTCTTGATATAGTAGCCTTGAAGGTCCAACAATAATCCTGAAAAGGAGACTAGCCGCATTACGTCCGGGCTTTTGCGATGGTGGCTTTTACTATACCTCGTCAGATCAAGTGCACTATTGGGAACTGAAAGGGGAAACCCCTACCTATCTCCATGGACAACTTGAATAGTAGTGAACATCAGTACTCATATGGGGAGTACATGCTTGAAATAACCTACTTCGTAACATGATAGCTTTGAAACATGCGAAGTATCCTATAAATAAATAGCCTCTAATGCGATACTTCTTCTCACATCCTTGCAATAGCTGTCTGAACGTTGTTAGGAATCTTGTTCAATGTGAACTGTACTACAGACGCTGAAAAATCGAGAGTTGACCTCCTGAGGACTTTTCTGCCATCTTGGGTCAACTACTACGGTTTACCAGGCGCGCAGTATCCAAGGCTTGGGATTATACTGGGCGCTGAGCTCGACTATAGCCATGAAGATGCCTCCCAACCCTGGACCATATAGTAGGATTTCTCTTTTAAAGCTGTGAAGCCTTTTCCGCGGGACACTATTTTGACGGGCGAACTGCTTTGGGTTGAGAGTGTTTATATTCAGATGGGTCGGTCTAGCGAATTTTGGCCAAAAGGCGCCTGGCTTCAACTACCGTCGGATTTGTATATTCGGTGTACTTCAACTATGGATCACTCCCACCCGCGGCAAGATATGAGTATTTTCACGTCAAAATTCCTCACATTCTGCTACTATGCATAATAGAGTCAACTTCACCGTACTTCCTTTGGTGCGTCTAGGCTTTCTCATATTTCAACTGGATCGCATGAACCTAGCCAGCGCACGTACCCGCGGATTGGCGGTCCGTATCCAGGTCAACTAAAACACCATCAACCTGGGTTACTAGCTCACGCATCTGGGGACTATAGTGTTGGAGATACCTTCGAATCTCATCGTTAAGAAGGAATGCTGATTCGCGCAGCTTCATGTTCCGCTAAAGCTGACTGACGGACACTGCTATCTTGGCCCTCGCAAATGGATTTCATCGCAGACTTGGTGTTCGGACTCACGGTGACTCTCCAAGTCTTTATAAAGAACCCCACTGATTTCCTGGCGTGACGCCTTTGTCTAGGCCTCGTCGAGGCAGGTTAAATCCCGAGATTTATGTTTACCCTCCAGGCATGGTCAAGAAACGCGAGTTAGCTAAGCGTGTAGCTGTCTTCTTTGGAATCTTTGGCGGGATTGTGTTGAGTTTTATCCTCGCAACAGGAATTTTGCAGCTCGAAGGGGTGCAGAGTTTTCGGGGTTGGTAGTGGTTGTTCTTGCGTATGTATACTGCCCCGGGTTGATGGTATATCTAGATTGCGTGGCTCACTCAACTATAGTGGAGGCTGCTTCACGAGTACCGTTGCTGCCTGCCTCGCCAGACCTTCCTAAGCTATTGCCCGACCTGGGACTAATCCATATTTCTGCAATCCATCAGGAGATCTTGGAGAAGCGAGTCCAGCAGATTACATCATAGTAGTGACATCAACTAGATCAGAAGATGCAGCCCTCAAGCTGGGATAGTAAAAGCATGGAGGAGCAATATGAATGTAAGACAGACAGAAGTGAAAAAGATATTTCCCGTCACTCATCCAGGAGATCAGCCCCCCTTCCAACGGCCGCTCTGATTTCAAGTTTCTGGTTTCTTGTTTTGTTCTTGGGTTGTTTATTTGTCTTTACTCTGTTTTTTTCTTTGTTTTTTTCTTATTTGTGTGAGTTATGTATAATCCTCACGGATGGGTTATGGCAGATAGCTGAATCATCTGCTTGCCTACAGTTAGGATACATCTAAAAGATGCGTTTTTGCGTATCGTATGCGTTACTCCCCACGCACGCTTATCGTGCAAATGGAGTCGACCCGGTGACGTGTGTGCTCTGGATATCAATCGTCCTGTTCAAAATTTCAACTCCAATACCCAACTCCCTTGAACGGCATAATGAAAATCAAATGGTTCGTGCCCAAGACGCGTCTCAAAACCCACCGGTCCCCTGGAGCCTCTTCACCGCGCCCACCACACCCCTCGCCCAACTAAACTTCCCTGGATCAGCGCCAATCGCGCCCTCGGCCTCATTCCCCTCCGGACTCCTCCACACGCCATCCTCTTGGCTCGCCATGCCGTAGCGATGGGTATTCTGGTTGCGCCGCAGGGCATCGATCCATACCTTGCAGACTTCACGGCTTTCTAGCATAATATTGGATTCTTGTGAGTGAAACCACGACTGTGTATCTTGATTGCCGCTACCAATGATGCCGATATACTCGTCTACAATCATGAGCTTTATGTGGCAACTGCGGCGTTTCTTGTCCGCCACGATGGGCTTGGTCTGGTCCTTAGCCACATACCAGAAGTAGTGCAGACGGGGTCTGGCTGATGGGGAGAGGGCGGCGTAAAGGTGACTGGAGACCATTTCGTTGTGGCCGCCTTGCATAGGCAGGAGCTCTCCCGCGTCGTTGTACCCCAGGCAGATATAGCAGTATACGTCAATACCTCGCTCACAGGCCTCAACAATTGCTGGGACAAGCGGCTCCGCATTGAGTGTTGGTGACTGGATAAAGACATTCTTCTTGGCGTTCCTCAGCGCCGATAGCCACACTGCATTTTGCGGGTTCGACACCGACTTGTGGTTCGGGGGACCGTACGGAGGTCTGTTGACGAGTGCGATAGGAAAGGGGTCGTGGACAGGATGCGGAATCATGGGCGTCATTTCGTCTTCTGGTTCACAATCAGGGGCATTTCCAAGGAATCCCATGTTGGTGGTGTGGTTGAGGTGGCGAGTCACCGCCTGCATCCGAGTCTCTCCCGGCTTTGTCGACACCGACTCCTGCACGCGGGCTATCTCTCCTGCAATATCTTTGTCGTAGTGGGTGTTGTCTGTTGTGTGCTCCGGAAGGTCGACGATTGCTGGGACCTTAGGTTGCTGTGGCACCTGCTGATTTGAGTCCTGTGAAGAACGCACAGTCTGAGCGGGAACGGAAGAGTCCGACCCTGCAAACTTGATGTGACGTTCGGGCTTGATGTTGTCGGCGAGCTTTTGGTCCGCCTCCGGACCGTAAGCTGCAGCTCTCTCGACGAGTTTGTTCGGGTGTATGACCACTGAATGTCCCTTCAGGGTGCCATTCGGGTTGAATAAGTCGCCACGGTTTATTGGAAAGTGGCCAATGCCCCCTTCAGCCGCTGGGAATCGGGCACTCGGAAAAGGCGGGTCACTTTTCTTGTGCCAACTTAACAGCGCCATGTCGTACATGGAGTCGACAATGGGACCCTCGATTTGAACCATCATCTCCATGTTATCGTTATCCTGGATGTTATTACTTTGGATCACACCCATCTTTCGGTCTACGATCATGTATTTAGCATGGGAGGTGCCCAACATGGGGTTGTGGTAGTTCATGACCTCGAGGTCAATATTGGGGATCTCGTGCTTGGCAGGAATGCCCACGGCCTTTCCTGTGTACTCCTTCTCAGATACGATGTAGTGAGGTTCGAGGAGCTGTCTAGGGCTGCCACGGTCGTACAGGATCTTCATTACGATCCGGCTTCCTCGTTCGCCGGCCCGGCGTGAGAGCTCTCTCATGGCGTCGGTGATGTATGCCGACGCAACTCCGTTTTGCCAGAAGTTGGTGGCGAGGAAGACCTCACGTTCTGCCCGCACAATCATGTTGGACATGTGTCTAACAATGTCGGGAATGCTTGGCTTGGTGTTAATCACTTGGGACTTGGAGGATGAGTATAACCACTTACACGGATATGACGGTCAGCGGCACCACGCCGCTACTGCCCATCAACGAAGGACTTACCATACCAAGGGCAAGCTTCTCGTCCAATGTGGAAAGCGCATCGTGGTATAACTAGTCATGTCAGTCAGCATAGCACCTCCAAGCGTAGCGAAACAACTTACCCGAAGGAACAGCTCACTGGGGTCACGTTTACCCCATTTCCCACAATCCCGTGCTCTGAGCAGCGCAGCGTCATCAACCAAACCTTTCCCTATGTCTCGGATACCCGCATGGTCGTTGTCGCCTTTTACGTAGTGGCCGAAGCCCTTCTTCCAAGCATCACCGGGCGAAACTGTAACATCCTCAGCTACGAGCGCGGACACGCTCTTGGACGATCTGCACTCGTTATACAACGAGTCGCCGATGGAGTATTTGGACGCTTCCAGGGGGTGAGAACGGGGCATTTGGGTAGATTTGAGGTCTTGCTGTCTTGGAATAGTCAGAGCACTAGAGGGGAACTCTACGAGAGCCTGATATAGGGCGCTGCCCAGGTTTTGAAGACTAGACATGGCTGGAATTTTGCGTGATTGAGTCCAATCACTCTAGGAACCAGGACGAGAGAAGTAGGCTAACTACTAAACTTGCATCGCCACGCATAATCCGACGGCCACGGACATGGCACACAAGTCGGTCGTTTAATACTCCGTAGCGTTCTGTACTTGCAGGGTGGAGCCCGCTTGAGGTGGAGGTTCAAACAGGCTTTTGCCAAGAAATGCGGCTATGGGACGTCACCTAGGAGGCCGGCGATCCGGGTTGGATTTGAGGGGCGTAGACTGCGTATGCGTGGCTGGTGATCGACGTGGCCATCAGCGACGCTCCCAAGGCGATGAACCCGTTCTGTTGCACTCAGATACCATGTTCATTGCGATGTATCCTAACTTACATGGAGCTGAAAATGCTCGTTGCTTCTGGGCATTCGTACCATTGTCCGCACTTGCTACTGGCAATGGCGGAGAGACTATAGAATTCTTCGAACCATCTGATGAAGAGATGACGTAACTTTGTGGGCGTAGATTTTCCATCAATCTTGATGTGGGGTGTGTCAACAGTCAGGCCCGGGAACGCGGCAACTTCCAAGGAAACCATGACGATTCCCTTGCAGAAATGTACCGATGTACACGCAAGCTTCAGAGCTACTTCGTATCAAAGAGTGCGAGCTGAAACCTCGAAGCGGTCAGGAATGGCTTGTCTATTCTGAATGAACTTTCCCAAGCGTTGCCCTTCTACCATTTATCCCTTCCGATGTGATCCCCATGACGATATTAGGTGATCTAGCGAAATATTACAACTCGCTCATCTCGCCCATCTGCGCCTCGCTCTCGAGCTTGGCAAAGTCGGTGAAGCCCAGCTCGTACACCAGACCCAAGCTCATGCGCGCGTGCTGGAGCATGTGGTCGAAAGACAAATACTCAATCAAGTCATCGGTGCCGTGGATGTGGTTGTCCGAGTCGCCAAAGGCTGACTCGATAACAAATGCCGACGGGTATCCGGCCTTGGAAGCCGATGCGTGATCAGAGCAGGCATAACCACACTTGGTCTCGACCCATGGGATCTCGCAATACTCTTCGATGATCTTCTTGATGAAAGCAGTCAAGCCTGGATCGACGAAATCAGTAATGACACCGACACTCTCTGGCTTGCCAGCGTCAATGGTGCGCTGAATGAATCCAGTCATGTCTTGCTGAAGCATAGCCTTGATGTTGCGTCCCTTTTTCTCGTAATCAGCGAAAATAGCCTGGCTACCGAGAAGACCGCCCTCTTCGGCGCTGTACCAGTGGAATTCGATCGTGTTGGATGCATTCCCCATCATGACATCCTGCGACTGCAGGAGCACGCGGAACGCCTCCAGAATGGTGACTGTGCCACTCCCATCATCGTCGGCACCAGGCGCGGGAAGGACGGAAGGAAACCAGAGGTTGATGGAATCTTGGTGCGCGCCAAGGACCACGGTCGCGGCGGACTTGCCAGGAATCGTGGCAATTACAGAGTTCTGGCCCCACGGGTGGGTGAAGTGTTTGGCGGTGACGCCGTATGCATCGGCCCCAGCCTCTTTGATGGTGTCCTGCACCGTCTTGAGCAGCCACTCAGAAGACTGCCGGCCGTAGTCGGACTTGTAGAATCGCGTGTGGAAGCTCGTGAAGGTCTCGAGATGGTCCTTCATCAAAGACTTGGTGAGGTTACCAAGCAGCGGGTTAACGTCGGACTGCAGCTTAACCTTGGATGGGAACACGGGCTTCGTCTTGGCTGCGAGGCGGAGCGAACCGAGGTCGCCATGCTCGGTAATGTCCATGAAGTTCTGGCCAGCCTTGACAACAGCTGTTAGCAGAGGCGCCGGAGACAGCAATCGGCCAAACGCGGTGCGATGCGATGCGACGCGATGCGTTTGAGTGACGGATGTTCTGGGGCAAACTTACTCGGCGCAGCTCCCATTTCTGCTCTTCAGTGATCCATTTCACCTCGCCGGGCGACAGTTCAACCAAGAACTGCTCAACTGGCTCTTCGATGAGGCCGTCGGGGTATGGAATGACTCGGTTAATCTCAGTTTCCTCGATGAAACGGGCGGTCGCTGCCGCTGGCAGTAGAAGCGCTAGAAGTGACGCCTTCATGGTGAAATCGGGTTTGTGAACTTGAATATGATGAAACCTGGGGTTTGCGGAAGGTAGTAAGAAGATAAAGCTTGGTCGAAATGGTAGATACAGTAGTTGCGCAACGTCTGGGCGTTGAGAGCTGGCAGCTAACCAAGCGATAAGCTAGCTCTATGATGTGCCCACCTAGTGATTACCTGGCAGTTGCCTGGTCTGGGGGCGGGTCTATCGTGGAACCCCATCGGAGCTAGGGGTAGCCAATGAGACCGCTAGCTAGGACATTGTGTCGCCAAAACAGCCAAGACAATGTACCCACCTCGATATCAGAGTACGGGAAAGCCGGAATCAACCTGGGAATCTTTTCAGCATCGCCGTTCCGACAGTATCAGGCGTGAACTACTGTTGAACAGTCATGTACTATAACAAGGAGATTGCACCATGCATTGATAGGCTTTCGAGGCCATACTGCCCGCTAGACTACTGCGCGTCCTTTATCACCGTCTGCAGCCAGATTCTCAGACCACAATCAATCCCATCTGTTGCGTCTCCTACTTGAGTAGCCGTCTCGTACAAGTCACACCGACAACCCTCAATGCTCGCACATTTGGCTTCGTCCGCATGGTATCTGCTGAAACATTCTCCTCAATTTGTGCGGCCCGCCCTCTGCCGCTGCCAGCTAACAAGCTCTCGTGTACACCCTTTATATACAGAGGATCGCAAACAACATTGCAGTGGTCCATTATTTGAAAATCAACATTGCGTCCACATTCCTCTCGCAGATAATGGAAGACACAGTACGTTGCTGAGCATTCCGCTTGTCAATGTAAACCGGCTAAGAATGTGGCACAACGGTAAAGTAAGCTTTCTACTGCCGATCCTGCTCCTTGTGGACCTGTCGGATGTCGTAACTACGAACAAATGTCGCCGTGATCTTAGACAGCTCAATCTTGGCAACGTTGTGCCTTGGGCATGAGCCATGACCCGCACCGAACTATGAGTCCGTATCAGCCTTATCAACCGGGGGAATCTTAGCTTACAGGAATCCAATATTTATCTTTAAAGGTGGCGTCAACTTCAAGCCAGCAATCAGGGTTGAACTTGGAAGCGTTGGGACCCCAAAGTTCCTTCGAGTAATGAATCACCCAGGGGCTAACAGACACCAGTGCTTCCTTGATGCAAGCTTGGAGGTAATTATAGACGTGTCAGTCAATGCTAGCCCCCTGAACCAGTGTATGTCCTGTCTTCAACATCCTTCACGAGGCACCATGAAAGAGTTCGAGGCCCGTACGCAAAGTCCGATGCTTGAAACTCATGGTAGCTCTTGCGCATGGGCAAAATAGGGGACACGATCTAGGCAGAGGCCCCTTTTCTGTGTCTCGTTGATTTCAACTTGTACCAGTGAACCATCACACAGTTAGTTTCATTGCATACATCGTCTGTGTTGACAGTACACAGCACTCCGCTATGCTTGAATAGCAATTGCATGCTGCTGCGTTGAATGCCGCTTACCTTGAAGGGGCGCAAGAAGAACCTTCTTGATTGCATCAAGGTGGCTAACGCTGACCTCGTCATATGATACTCTGACGAAGTGGCCTGTAAAAGGCTGTTAGCAGATGGCATTATCGAGCAGAGATGTCTTTGCATTACCATGTTTCTTGTGAATTCGGATCAACTCTAGGTTCTGGTCGCTCTTCAAGATGTGCTCCATCTGCCATAATCGAGTGAATGATGTGACAATGTGGCCAGGTATGTTGTTTAGAGGAGCCAAGTATCGGCGGTGCGTTAGTAGAGTAACCAACCCAGTAAGCAGCAAGACCAAAACAACCGGCCAGCTGACGGTGATTTTTATTCAATCCATGGCTCGCGGTATCGGGTGCAACGAAGGTTGGCTCTGGTATCCAGAATCGGTGACTTGAGATACCTACCACGTGTCAACCGGAGCGGTTGTTTGGACGCTTTCTCCGGTCTTCTTCTCCATAGAGGCGGATCCGGCAATATGGCTAAGCTCTGCAAGTAGAGCCGTTGAAGCTCAAGGAACTAGTATGCCATTCGGGTTGGTCCCCCAGTGGGCACACCACACACCTAAGATCCGCCGCCCAAACACAACACATTCTATCTCGTATCATAAACTCGCGAAAAGCTGTGAAATTGAGCGATAGAAGATTTCAGGCAAAAACTTATAGAAGCTAGTTTGTCTTAAAGTAGAGTTGTACTTTGATTCTGCTTACTAATTAAAGTAAAGTTGATAGAAGTTCACTTAGAAAAGCTAACTTATAGACTTATAGTCAAGAAAACGAAGAGTGGCTTTAGATTAACGTACCCCACAAGCAAGTTGGCCACTTTTTCTTGGCACCGTATGAATAACTTCAATAACTTAACTAAAATAAAAAATAATAATTCAAACTAATCGGAATCCTCTTCCTCGTACGTATCTTTATCATTCTCACAAGTACGAGCATTATGTCCGGGCTCTCCGCAGATCCTACAGCGCTGTCGGCGTGGTTCGGCCGGTCTCGTACGACGACTTACACGTATATCATCCTGTAGCTGTTGTTCAATATTCCGTTGAGACTGTAAGTCCTGAGCGTCTCGTAAACTAAGAGATCCTCCATCTTTTAGCTGTCGATTTTGAGTCCTTCGACGACGGCTTAGCTCTTGATTGGCCTTCCGAAGTGTAGTAACCTCATCCTCAAGTAAAACTAACCGATGCATAACAGCCGTCGCACCACGTGAAAATTGGTCAATAGCCGTAAGTATTGTCGTCGGGGAGCTATTCTGATGCTGTACGATTCTGTTTTTAACGTATTCAGACTGGGATTGCGCCTCGGTTGGGTTATTTGGAGTCTTCGATTCCCAGATTAAGGGGGCGCCAGACGAGCTCCCAGGAGGTGTAGGCGTATGTAGCTTAATATCCAGCTGTGAAATCACATATTCCGGGTCGTACGGAATAAGTCCTGTCCCCCTGAAACCTGCCTGGATATTCGACTTAGTTATAGTCGTACGATACGCCCTATAGAATGCCGAAAAGAAATCCTCCTTCGAGATATGGGTTATATGCGCCCGTATTAGGTCTTCAATTTCTTTGCCGTACGACCTTTTCAAAGCCCTAAAACAGCCTACATCGAGAGGCTGGAGCTTATGTGACGAATGAGCAGGCATACTAAGTGTAATAATAGTATGCTCTTTGCAATATAGCTCGAAGTCAGTCGAGTGGTGGCTCTCATGCCCGTCGAGGATAAGACGATAAACAACCTTCGTACGATCCTTCGTATAGCGATCAAAGTGCTGAATCCAGTCTACGCCTCGCTCATTTGTTGTCCAACCGTTTTTGGTTACAGCGATTACCCAGTCGGACGGGAATGGGCTATTCTCGTACCAGGATAAGAGGTGGTTTTGACCCGCGACAATAATATACGGCGGGATAGCCCAGCCGGACGAATTGATACCCTGGATTACTGTAGCCCATTCTCGATTGCCTTGTTGGACTTTACGAGGCCTTCCGCGTCGTTTGGCACTTGTAACTACCATCTCGGATGAGATTAAGCCCATCGCGAACCCTGTCTCGTCGAAGTTATAGATATCCGCCTCTTGGATACCATATTTCGCAATTGTATTTCGTACGAGCGTAAACCACGCGCGATACGCGTCAGGATCTTCGCAATAGGCTCGTTGGTAGTCGATTATTCGATTAAAACGCGTCCGAAGGTCTGGTTGTCGTCGTACGAAGTTCGAGGCCCAGTTGGCGCCGACGCGTCCAGCGCCACGGTCACGGAGCAGTCGGTTAGCCATAGCTTCAACACCATGGAGCCGGGGAGGAAATGATCGCGAATCTAGGTCAAGTATATATTGTACGACCGCTAACTCTTCTGATTCCGTAAGCTTATGACTAGATTGTCGAGTATCGCGTCGAGATAGTAGTCCGCGTTTTCGGTTAGCTAGAGTTGTACGAGGGACATTGTAGAGTTGGGCAGCGCGTCGGATGCTTAATTCGGGTTTCGATTGAAGCGCCTGACACGCTAGAATCATGTCGCTTTCTTTCCAATTCGATCCCATCTTGGTATGTGTAAAGATGATGCTAATTAAAAGGTTGTTCGTACGGTGCCAAGAAAAAGTGGCCAACTTGCTTGTGGGGTACGTTAAATAAAATCTATAGTAAAATTATTCAGTCTCAAATCAACAGTAAGATATTCTACCTCTACTTTCAGAGTCTAAAGGTAGTTATGTTTAGTAGTCTAAAAGTAGAGTATCCCGGAGGTAAGTTGGACAATGTGTGATTTGTGGACCCCACTTCTGCCCAAGGGATCTGATCTACTTGCTATACTACCTGCACTCTAAATTTGCTTGACTACATGTTGACTTGGAGGCTAATAAGTAAATACGAGCCGATGTCTACTAGGCACTGAAAGATTTGTGAAAGTGTTATTGACCTCTTCGAGTCTGGAATCATTCATCCACAGTCATCCATACACCAATCTTCGGCAATTGAGTATGCGAGAAAAGGGTACGGAATGACTTGCGGTAACTTGATGACTCTGACTTGCCATTCCCGTAGAATCGTAAAGCGCTATGATTGCAAGGGGCCCTGACAGGAACAGCTAGTTCCGCGCTACTATCCCGTTATCCACCACTTGGAGCTATCACAGTTACATTCCTTATGGAGCGTTCCAAACCTCGCTCTTCTTTATCCAATATGGGTTGGATCGTCCGCGCCACTTTTCTCATTCGGTACCAAAGCTATACCGTGATCCCATATTGTGGAGAAAGCAAAGACCGCTGAACTACGGGGTAGGGGTTGGGACTTCGTCTCAGTCCTCTGCATTTGAGCCTTTTATGGTCTGGCACGTTTGTACGTTTTGATATCCTGATGTTTTTGTAGGATCTCAAGATGTAAGGGAGTTTGGCTACTTGAGTAGTATATTACCTACGTGGGGAATCATGATTGGTGGATATTCCGAATAGACTACAGTTACTTAAGTACTTTAATGCTGTTTTCAATGGAATATATGCTGTCATATAATTTCATTATTGGACAGCCAAGGCCGTCATATTTCCCGGGCAAAGCAGCACGCAATCATTTCTCTTTCTAAAACTTCACCAGTTCACATCCATTGGGATAAATACCAAGTCAAGGACAGGGCATCAATGCTATGTATCTCCCCCTTTCACTCTTGCTCGTGCGCTTTAGACCCTCTCCCTTGGCACCGTAGCTCGTCTTCTCTCATACTCCGCAACTCCGTGCTGGTCCCAGAGCCTGTATTTTTCTTGAAGATGGCCGTCACAAGCTTGTATGAGTTGGGTTACGCTGCGGCATATGTCACCTTCGCCTTTGGGACTATCTCGGGTTTGATTTGATTCGCGCTCATTGTCAAGTACTGGGGCTGGAATGATTCTGCTCCATTGCCGTTCTATTGAATGAGATAGGTTAAAGCGCCAGGTTCGTCCCCTGACAAATGAAGTCTAGGTCGTTAGTACCGTTCACCAAGTCAACCTGCGACTGTTTTAATAGAGCAGTCGTGCTATAAATGTCCAATACCGATGGTGTGATACCAAGGCCCATGTAACAGCAACGCAGCTTCACGGCTGTTGCGCTCCTGAAAACATGTTCGCTGCTGACTGCCAGATTCTTTGCCGTTTGCTTGCCCCATATATACTGTATTCATTGAGGTGATCGTCATCTATAGAGTCCATGTGGTAAGTAAGACCACATTCCTCTTCTTCTAATTTCGGTTATCTGCGCAAAAGACGTTTCAAATGTTTTTTGGGTTGGATTCGGCCTCAGTGCTAGTGCTCTTCTAACTAGCTCGTGGGTCAACCCAATTCTCTACGACAATGCACATGAGTCCGTGCTGGCTTGGGTATATAGGCTTCTCATACTGCTCCAATGCATATCTTTCGAGAAGATACTCAACCTCCTGTTGTATCCGGAGGTCACATATGCTCACATGTTTATTATCATGATCATTCCTACCGTTCTTGGATGTTACCTCCCACATCCCTTTTGGCGTTCGTCCTGACATTTAACATTGGGCAGATTATTGGGATTAATTTGTGCATCCTGGTACTAGCCATTTCCACGATATGAAACCTCCAAATAACCTCCGACTCAAAGTCACCATCCTCTCCGTCATCGCTTGCGGCCTATGCTCTATCATTATGGTAATTCTGTGACTTCTAGTCCTCGTATCCGTTACTTTGGTCCCCGATGCGTCCTTCAAAGTTTGCAAGATGATGATCGCGGCGCCCTTTGAGGTCCAGTCCGCCATTTTTGCCTCGAACCTCCCCGCTATCAAAGTACTCTGGACCACTTTCACAACCGGAAGCTCCTCAGGGAGCAACAAGGAATACGCTGGCCAGAAGCCCCACAAGCTCTCATCCAGGGAGCGCAAAAATGCAGGCAATAAAAGCTAGGGGCCAATGGGCATCATAACGCGGTTGGAACGAGGACTCAAGAGCCATGAGTCTGAAGAAGAACTGTTCGAGTAGAACGAGGTACACATAGAGTTTAAGGCACCTTCAAAATCTCCAGCTCAGGGGCTAATGCTAGGTGTAGGGGACATCAAGGTTACCAATGATATGGAAATCATGACTTCATCGTCAGTGGATGGCGAAAGTCAATCTGAGCGACGCTACTTCGCTGGGCATTCTTAGGTATGGAAAACGAAGATGCCTGCTCTAATATCTGTCAATGCTGTTGAAAGGAAGAGAAAATTATAGGGAGTACTATATGAAGCGTCTGTCTGGTGCGCCGACCTTCAACATGAATATTGTTTCTCTTCATTTGTATTTTCTGACTATCGAGGCCGATCTATCTGGATTCAACTCTTATTGAGTCAAGTGCCATCGAAGGTTCTGATTTGCTTGAGTGCGCTTATAAGATGCACACACTTGCGATGGGAAAATTGAGTGTCTCGATCAACCATTTATGTCACAGACTGCATTGGTTCTGTGGACAACGTGATCACACACGTCGCGTCGAACGCCGACGTGGATGTCCACGATCTGCCGCAGCACTAAACGGCAGTGTAAGCACCGTCTTCTCCGAAATTTTAGCGCCATATCGGTGGACGGAACGAACTGAGGCAAAATCATACAGCACGCAAGTTGCTGACGATTGACCCAATGCTTGTCTTCGTTTCCGTTCCGATTAACCTTATGTTCATGAGGCTGAGAAAGCTGCCACGACGACCGTGTTCTTCTAGAACGATGGTGGACTGATTTGGACGGTACGCTGCATGAACATGCACATGTAAAGGAAATTCACCTTACGAACTTTGTAATCATCTTTCATCTCTACTGTAGAAACTTAAACCTATGAATGTCAAAGTCTTGGCTTTTCCCTACCCACTGTCGGAAAAAGAAGAATGAGAGAGTCTGCTGCGTAGATAGTATCAACAGAGCGACCTATAGTTACATAGACTGTAAATATGACATTCAGAGCCAAATGATTCTGAAGTGGTCACACAGGAGGTCCAGGACTTCACTTCAACCAACCCTAATAACTGTCTGAGACGTTTCAGGTCAATTGCAAAGGTTTGGTCCGAAAACAATAACCTTGACATTAGTGTGCAACGGCGATATAACCTGCATTCTTAGTAAGCGAAGCTGGAATAGCTTCATTCAATCATCCGCCCTTACTATGTAGTAAGATGTAACATGATCAATAAGCGTCATACACTCAGATATTATCGTTGCCCAGGTGTGCTGTCGTGTCGCCGCGTGGCTTTCGAACTCCGCCATCTAGGTTACGCTGATAACCACCGGCCCCGAATCGACGGAACTAAATCTCGTCCGACAGTTCGGCACACGTACGCTATATGTTCAGACTTCAGGTGACACCTTGAATGACGCGTCGCGTTGGCGACGGATCCGAAACCATGAGAATATAATTGCTGGTCCGCTCCCGCTCCAGGAACGACAGGATCATGCAACCAATCTAATTGTGCCAATCAAGCCACTTAAACAATTAACATCGCTTCCCCTGCATTATCATTTCCATCAGCACCACTTATTTTACATCTCCATTTTCAATAGTCCATACAACCAAAACAATGGCTGTGGATATCTCATGCTGGCTGCCACAAAAGGCCTTGAACAACCAAAAAGGGGCCAACGCCTCCGTCTGGGTTGCTGGTCTTCCCTACGATGTGACATATCATGAACTTCTCGCCTCCATCCGCGGCTGCGGAAAAGTTAAGTGGACAAACATCGACTTCCCCCGAGACGCCACCGGCACAGCAACAGCCCAAGTTATTTTCTTCCGCCATATTGCTGCAAAGCGCTTCATCGCTCAAGGCCAGATTGGCCAGGTGGTAGTCAACGGGGCTAGAGTTGAGGTATCCTGGAACCGGGTGAAGACGGTAGAAGAAGATGACACCGACAAGTCCCGAGTTCTGCGGATCTCGGGGCCACAGAACATGATCTCGGAACGACAACTGATGGCTTTCCTCATGGCCAACTTCCAGTTCGACATAGACGATGTCATTGAAGTTTGGAGCTCGGAGGAATCGGCATGTCTCGAGGTGCGGTTTGCGTCCTGGCGCAGCCAGGCGCACACGGCGAAGATTGCTTTGTGCCAGGAATACGGAGATCGATTCAACATGTGGTATGACTCGGATCCTTGTGAAGCATGAGGTCGGGTCACTGGAAGGCGGATTTGATCACAGCAATATATAGACAGCGAGATTTGGATGGATTTACAGTACGCAGGTGGAGGCGAGCAAGTGTATATTCATGCATGCTTTATGGGGTTTTTGATGTGGTCAGAAGATTTCAAGTACATAGTTGAGTTTGAATGATGTATTGTATTACCAATCATGTTTGCCCTAAGCCACATTTTCCATCAAGAGGCTCCCCTCCCCATCGATACCGTCCCATTTAGGCTTGCCATCTGGAATGTCCACCACACGCTGCGAGTAGAAGATATGACATCTAGGTAAGGGGTTAGAAAATTTGACAATACAATGACGTTGCACGTACTGTGGATAGAAGGCATCCCTTTCTGCCTTGTTCGCAAACTTGATAAGAGTAGGGAAGAGCAAGGCCATCCGCCGGCCCTCGTCGAAGATAGGCGAGCGACAGTAGGCACAGCTCACTTTACAGGGCAAGTCATGACCTAGGGTTTGCTCTCCAGATTGGTAGAATACCAGGTTATCGGTGCCATTTTCAAACATCATGTCCTCCTTGTGGAAGATAGCGGCCCACTGAAACGGTGCACCTACGACATGTTAGTCCGATTGTCATCTGGCCCAGATCATATCCTGTCGCAGGAGAAGGTAACAGTGAAATTCTCACCATGGAGGACTTGACAACCTCTGCAGTGGCAATATTTAGCAACCAAGGGAGCGTCGCGGCTCAACCAGTATTTGACCCGACCGCAGTGGCAACTTGCTTCATGCTTCTTGTCAAACTTGGCCGCATCTTCTTTGGAGTGCCGGTATGGTGGCTGTTGCTTCCAACTCTCACCTGAACTGCATTCGGTGGCCATTTTTGCAAGTTGAAACTGAAATGGACTTTGTTGGTGCAATTGTGGTCTGGTTGCGGAGCATGAAAGTGCGGCGGTTTTTTGCAGCAACGATGACGTCGTCCGGATGGAAATTGTCCTCCACATGGGGGAAACCAATAATGAACCACAGAGAGTAGTGGGCAAAGATAATTGCGAGATATGCTTCCTAATACCGTATATAGTGTATTTAAGTATGCAACCATTTCATGAATTATACCCGACGGTGTAGTGGGATGGGATGAAGCAAGTACTAAAGTAGAAAGGCCTGTTTCTAACCCATTCCTTACGCAGTGGGTCGGGATCAATAGTTATAGGCATGCATATCTTGTAGCATATACTGACCAACTGACTATCTTTAAAGAGTGCCTGATTGAAGGCGCATGATAGTCAAGCAATACCTACATGTATGTCAGACTCAGCTGGAATCTCGAGTCTACGATGACTGGCATCTTGATTTATCGAACAGCTGCAACAGCACTAGACATGATCCTACATTGAATCGCAGTGTTGAACTGAACAGCAAGTAAAAAAAAACTCATGCTTTTGAAACACGGCTGCAAACAAAAGAACTGTCGGACCGCACCAGCCCTTTTTCTAGCTCTTTCGTGCTCGACTGCTGATTTAGGGTTTCTGAACTTGCTCTGGTGTAAGCAGCCAAGAGGCACGGTTTTCAGTACTTAGGGCCTTTATGGCCACCTCTACTCCTTTGGACTTGGGACGATCAGGACACATCCAGGTATATGCTTTGTTATAGCTTGTTATAGCTTGCAATAAGTCCGATAGTCTTCCCATATTCACAGAAGCTTCCCCGGATTGCGATCTGTGGCCCGGACGGAGGGACTCGTTGGACAGCCGGTAGCTGTTCCATTCATTCGACTCTTATAGAGCTCTGGTTGATCCGGTTGCACCTCCCCAAATTTGCCGCAGGCAGGAATTGATTTTTGAATTGCTGTGACGGAACGTTATGCTGAGCTGATGTACGTTGAGTTTTCCAAGAGACGTGTTGGACCAAATTGACCGTCAAAAGACGAGGGACCCACTCGTTGTAGAATAAGGTATTTTTGGTAGTTATAAGGTCTGACAAGACGCACATTTCTCGGTGATTTCCAGATTTCTTGAGCAATGACGTTGCAACAAGGAATGATACACATAGCTGAGCTGTAGCCTATAGTGGCCATATTGTCAAATTGTATCAAGTCTATGTTGTGTTGCTTTTCGTTTTCGCTGCCCATCAGACCGTTTTCATTTCAGTGTGCATGCCAACGAGAGCTGACATACCCTAGTATCTATCAATGAACTACGTTACTTGGCAACCGGAACTTCTGGATAGAATTGTCCTGTTTGGCTTGTCTGGAAAATTGTTCCTGCCTGCAGCCCTACTAAAAATCCTATTAGTAATGTAAATTCACTTAGATGTCTCATCGTATACCAGTATCCCCACCGAACTGGATCCTTCGCCTTTCGATGCAACCTACCTACCTCCACTTGATAACATGTGCCGCTTGCATCTGGCCCAATAACATATAAAACATATAAAACATGACAGAAACTCCATATTTGTATCCATAAACGAAGGATTGGCTGCATTTGCGACTTGGATGGTGTCAGCATGGAAGGGTTTGATTTATTGGGTTGCGAACGCGCGATGCCGGCACAGAAGGTAGCCAACTTTGTGCCTGAACTTCGAATCCCGAGACCTGACACTATACCCATCATCCAGTGCATATCTTTTTGCCAACCGTTTGTCGTTTCTCGGTCTTGAATGATGGCGCCTGAAACATTATCTCTGGCCGGAAAAGTAGCCATTATCACAGGCTCTGGTCGTGAAAGTGGAATCGGCGCCGGTATCGCAACGGCACTTGATAGAAACGGAGCCTCTGTGGTGCTCAACTACGCGAGCGACCCGACGGCCCCCAGGGCTGCCAGTCTTGCCAAAAGATTGCAGACGGATTGTGGTACCAAGGCAGTGGCTATCCAGGCAGATATCGAGACACAAGAAGGAGCCGATCGATTAGTGAAGAGGAGTTTGAAAGAACTCGGCACCGACCATATTGATATTCTCGGTTTGCCGTTCCCATTGATATGCAGAGAAACACAAATTGCTGACGCCTCAGTAGTCAACAATGCCGGATGCAACTTGCCTGGCACGACTTTGGAGACCCCTCAGGAGAATATCCAAAAGCAGTTCTCAGTCAACGTCTTCGGGGCCATCAACGTAATCCGCGCAGTCGTACCTCACATGCCGTCCGGCGGGCGCATAATCAACGTCAGCAGCATCACTTCCAAACTCAGCATGCACAGCCTTCCGTTTTATACTGCGGCTAAGGCTGCGTTGGACTCGCTCACATTTACCTGGGCAGCAGAGGTAAGTCTACTCTCTCAGATGAATTCTTACATCGTATCCCCAGATTTGCTGAAACTGGATCGTGTTGTATAGTTCGGCCGAACGCATGGAATCACGGTGAACACAGTTTCGCCCGGGCCCGTCGAAACAGACGAGTGCAAGAAGTTTGCCAGAGATAATCCCGAGGGGTTCAAGGCGGTTCAGGGTCTTATCGATATGACGCGGGCGGCGGATCGCATGGGGAATATTGAGGACATTGCCGATGCGGTGCTGCTGCTCGTGTCGGAGAAAAGTCGGTGGATCACAGGCCAGTATATTTCGGTCAGCGGCGGCATTACGGGGAACTGAGCGGCTAACGCAACGTTGCGATGGAATCAATGAACGGTACCAGACACAACTGAAGCCCCCAAGTAGGTGTGACTGATGCAGTGGTTATGAGGACCTGTAGTATGCTCCTGCATTTGTTGTGTGGTGTTGTGTATATAAAAGCCCGAAGTGTGACTTGATGTTGCCTTGCCTGAACATCGTGAGATGCCGCGGGGAAGAGGCCGTGGTGTCAGCTTTGGAATGTGAATCGGGAATGGTCTTTTTGCATAGATATTGTTAGATTCGCTTAGACGAGCAGGATTGGGGAAATGACGTTAGCTGGCCAGGGTCAAACCAAGCTTTGGTGTTTCGGATCCACTGAGCGGCACAGTTCTACTGTGTACACAAATACGGGCTATGCCTTGAAGCCCGGGTTCAGACTGCTTCCAATATCTTCGGGCAAAACTGTGTACGCGCTTGTGTGAAAGGGCAAAATACTCAAGAACGGAGACAGAATTTGTCAAGTTATACTAAGGGAAGCTGATTCATTTGCCAATTGGAACTCGCCCTTTTGCGTGTCCACTATACCCAAGTAGTCTCGCCAATGTTGATGCCACTACAGAAGCTCGCCAACCAGTTGGCCATCATCTATTCCCTACCAGATGCCTCTGCCTCTATCGAACGACACGCAGCCTGCAATAGAGATGGCCAATTTGCACGCTCAATATGTTGCGACTATACACCACGCCCACAAGTCTCGGCGCAAGCTGGGCATGTCTCGGTGGACATTCCTCACAAGTCTAGCCATCACTCTTTTTGTCTTAATACTGGCAGCCCTCGCCGGGTTGGTGTTTAAAGCAATCACCGCCTCAAGGTATCATATCATTGAAGGGGAGGTCAGGCGCTGGAATGACACCAACGTGTCGTACATGTATGGCTACCCGTCGTCCCTGTCCCTGGACTCGCACAACGTTCAACTAGTGAGTTCTGCCACGGCGTTGCTCGTCGCGGTTGTTTTCACCGTCATGATGGTGTACAATGTGCGAAAAGGACCAATCGAGGTGAGCTCTTAGCCCCCAAATATCTAGATACACGTAAGGATAGAAAGTCGTCTAATCGCAGGTTTTGTAGACTACGCGTTGCGGTCGCTTCAGTCTCATCGTCCTGCTGGGAATAAATACTATCCTCACGACACTGGCAGTAGTTTATACATTTACACAACATAGCATGTCCGCACACTTGGATCTGGAACATGCCCTGTCTCTGAGTCGCAATTTTATATTCCAGTACGATCAGGGCACCTTCGACATCGAGACGTGGGCCTGTGAGGTGAAGGATCTGCCCGCTTTCGACCACGATGGTTATATGCACATGACGTGTAGTTTCGAGCTGGGGGCAAGATGTCTGACGATATTTATTTGCTTGCTGTCGTTCTGTTTGTTCTGTGTCGTGTTTATAGACTGGAGGGGCGGGAACCAACTCTTGCGCCGCTGGAGAGCACCGGCGGTCGCATTAAATGAAAGCCACGTTTGAAAAGATTGCTGTAGTCTGTTATTCTACGGATTTCGCTTTGTGAGTCCAGTCCTGCTGGGACGTATGTTTTTGTTTCGTGGTGAATAATTATAAGGCCTGATATTCATGAGTGTGCTTCAGGCTTGGCTATCGGGGAGTCTACGTGACGGCGGCTGGATGGATCAAGACAATACTAGGTGAATACACCATATGTAAAAATATTCTGAGATTCGTTTGCAAATTGGTGGGCAATATTTCAGATACGGGTGTCTTGACCATTTTTCAAATTGAGGCTACTCTTGCCTTCCTCCATCATAAACACTTCGCAGAACATTCAAGATCGTTGAGAAACTGACCATAGCTCCACGAACCACCGCAACATCTATCATCACCTAAAAGATTATATTCGCCCTGCCAACAACAGAAATAGGAGAAGCAGTGACCATTATGGCCGTATGTGATATCGACGACAAATTCCGCGACGGAAGGACATTACCTCATGAGAAGCAGAAAGTCGTGTGGTCATAGCTATAGGCTTTCGCGTTCAGCTAACTGAGTCCAAATAACTAACTAGTAACGACGATGTAATATAATAGTATATTATTATCGTAGTTATAGAGCGACTTACAAAGCATATATACTTCCTACCTTTGAAAAAAGCAAGTACGGTAGATAATCTAGCTGACATGTTTCTTATGACTCATTAATAGCTAATATGAGATATCAGATACCGTTGCGTGTCCCAGGTACACTGGCTGTGTGGGACAATTGCCCATAGATAGCCCTTCCATAGTTGCAGCCTTTGGGATTTAGTTCCACCATCATTATCATCACCGATACAACCCTCTTGTCTGTATTTTCCACAGATGCAATCGTTTCTTATCGAGAAACCGCTACTGAAGGTGAGAGCTTGGTTGCAATAGTGGCACCGTTCAGACGCCAGCCTTGAGACAAAATCGTTGTCCAAACCGCCATGATTCAAATATTCGGCTAGAATTATGCAGGGGCTCTACGTAGGTGGCTTGGTTAGTGTTGGCTGCGACGTTGAGACGGGATTTAGATTCCGACGAGACTGTATCGGGTACAACAGAAGCATTACGCAGCTGGCCAGAAGTGCAGGAGAAGGACTGTAAGGTTAGGCGTTTGCTAGCGAACTTCTGGCTCGTGCTAAGATACGGGTTCCACATGCCGTGATGGAAGGTGGGGGGACTTTCGATCGTGGTAGCCGTGAAGCCGTTGTACTATCGATCTAAATAGGGTGTCAGGCACAATTTTGTACGTATGAGGGCCACATATATATCACCAGTATCCTGACATGACACCAGGTTACAGCAAGTAGTTCAGTAGATCCCTTAGCGTGTACCTCGAGCATGAAGGAGAAAGACTCATAACAATTTTTGCCCTACTGACCGAGAGAACAGCCCGAGAATAGTGCAAAATTGCCATACGTACCAGTATCTGAGCGATCGCGCCATGATGGAGCAGGTACAGGAGAACATGCAAGAGCTTAATCGTCTCAATGCAGACGCACTCAGTGCCGAAAGCGCCGGTCTTCTGCGCTGACTGTTAACCATCGAGGTCGAGACGGCTATTGGTTGCCCACGTGGTGCCCCAAGAGTGAGCGTGCAGGAAGCAGGGTGAGAGACGGTGCGACCGGACCATGATGACGATGCCGTCACGAGCGTACATGTTCCTTACTTTGGCATCATCAAGATCGCCCGTGAGAGCATGAGCAAGGAGGTTCCCAATCACAAGCTCCGATTGCAACAAGAAATCGCTCGGCTCACTCGCAGGTGGCGGACCGATGCACTAAACGACCAGTTCAGGAACCCTCCATGCTAAACCCTAGATGCGTCCATCTGGGCTTGTTGGGCCTAGTGTAGTTCCAGATGTTGACGTCATAACGCCGGTGGATGCGAACTAGGGCCATGCTGAGGCATCTACAATCATGTCACAAGCAGTACCAGATTCCTATGCAAAGACTCAGGCGCAAAAAGGGATGCTTCCGATCCCGGCTACTGGCGCGGACTATCTTGCTGTAGATTTCGCCTCACACCTCCAGAACGGCTTACCCGACCCGCTCTGGCAACATATAGAGTCTCTAGGACTGGCCGCCGTGAGAGAAGACTGTGAGTTCGAGGGCGTCGACATGGCTTTGTTTGAGAGCCTGATGAGGAGCGCCGGTAACGAGGGGGAATGAGGATGCATTTGGAACGTTTGTCGATATCAGCCTCCGCGACATCTCCAGCAACATGCTCCTCCACATGTGTCCATTCAGAAGGAGCAGTATATTTGCCTTTATTGACATATCCAACTTCCTCACCGAGTATCTGGATGCTCTGGTTAAGATTCTAGACAACATCTGCTCGTCCGTCTCTGGTGCCTTCGGCAACGCCAGCCAGGCGTAGGTCGTAGCTGGAAACACGTATCAGGATGTGCTGGTACACTACCGCCCCGTCTACGGACACGGGGCCGTGGCTGCCAACTCGACGTCGGTGTGCTTGTAGAACAGTGCAAGCACAATCTGAAGGCGTGGGAAGATATCTTTCAGCAAGGGCCGGGCTATGTACCGCAACGGCGTGAATGCACACGTGGCCTTGGAGATGAAGAATTTGATCGCGAGGGAAATGAAGGTGAATTTAGCATTGCTGCAAATCCTGGCAGTCGTGCCGACAAACACCTTTATTGCCAAGATCGCCGGAAAGAGCAAGCTGGCGGTAATCGAATGGTTTAACGAGAGTGTGTAGTGTCGACACAGAGAGAGAATACAATATCTTGTCGAAGATAAAATACGAAACCGTGTCTTTCCACGTGGCCTCCTGCATTTTATCAATGGTGGATATCTCTGGTCTCTGGCTGATTGCATATGGATTTTGCTAGCCGTGCATGCTCAGGAATTTTTAGTTGAATGGCTGGGCACTGATATTGCTCCCGGTCCTCCTCTTCTCCACCTTTTTCTTAAGTAACCGTGACACTATATGACTTTATTTACCGGGCTAAAAAAAGGAAGCGTACTAGGTACATCCATATGCCTATGCGATGTGCCGTCACCCGTGAAGACCGTGAATGCCGTTCGAGGAGGGGTAAGAGAATTGACAAAGGGTCCATTGGTAGCGTTGAAAGCAGCGATCCAGTTCGACCGAAGTGTAAAGTTTGCCGATGCCGTGTTGTTCTGGCTTGGGATCGGCACGGCTGGAGATTCGATTGCCGCACTATTGTTGTGTAGATGGCCTTCTACCGCTGTAGTAGTTGTTTCCATGGAGGTGAAGACATTCTTTGCTGAGAGGTAACACTGAAGACTCGATCCGTGTAAGGACTACGGTGACAGTTCCGACAAAGTTGCTGACTTGGATCTGGACGACAGCCTCCATGGCACTGGAATTGTTCATGTTCTGAGTCGGACTTGTGCAAGTGTCGAGCGCTGTAGTGCTATTCTCATAAGTTTGTTTACTGCGCGGCACTGAGTTCTGTTTCATCGTCATTGTGGATACGGTCAGTGCTGAAGTTGGGGTTGACCGTTGTAGCATTTCTCGTCCGCTTCAAAGCTCGATTCAGCCGTTGAAGATGTGCTCGTTCCACCCCTACCCTTTCTTGAAGCTTGTCCGATGGATGGCCCAAAGGTAGCGAGAGTTGATTCAGATGCCGTATCGACACCGGCTACTCTTTTAGGTAGCAAACTTAAGCCAAAGGCCAGAAACAGTGGGAGCATCGTAATGGACCTCATGGTCACCCTGGAACACCTGCAATGTATGCCAGGCAAAAGTATGGGCGAGTGATGATGATGTACATGTATGTCGTGAGGTGGTCCCAGAATCAGGCCCCGGGAAAGTGCCCATAATCGGGGACTACTCGTTAAATGCACCGTTGTTAAAGCTGAGGCACAGCAAGTACTGCATCCTCTGGATACAATCGTCAAACTCACGCCCTTCATGGATTCTGATTCCGATTATAGCGACAGAGAGCGCCAAAACTCGGACTCGCCGACGCCGATTGAGGCTACTTCACTCGATCTGCTGACTCAGAAGGTTGAGGGATTTCAGCGAATGCATCAGCTCGAGACGATAGAGCGACTTACCATTGAAAATACGAGGATGCAGAACGCCATTGTGCAGTACCAGAAGCTTTGGTGTTTAACTCTCGCCCTGCTCGAAGAACAGGGCCGGTGTTTAGTGATGAGCTCTGTTTCGTCTGTGTCGCATGTATGCGCGGTCATTGTTGAAACCGAGACGGACCAAAGAATAACAGAATGTCTTTGAAAGTCAACAATCAAATTCGCTGGAGATCTTTGTCTTGATGTCATTATGGCTTACGAATAAGAGACAGTAAGTCGATCAACGTGTCGTGCAGTAGCAAAGAGAAATACGGGGGTCGTTTAACCGTAGAACAGCATTGATGTTCTACAAGAGATAGCATTGAGTTGCTTCCGTTGACGGGAGAATCTCCCACCTTCAACGCCGACCAATGCATGCCATCGTAACGTGATGTGAGCTAATAATAAGACCAGCACCAGAAACGTGGTGGGTTTGAAAGAAAAGGCAGTAGCTCGCATCTTGCGAACTTTGAAAACCTGAGCGAGCCCCCAATAACACGCTGTGATAGTTCAAAAACGCCTCTACCTGATCCTCCCGATACTTCTCGCGGCAGGCAATGATGCGCCGAGTCAAGTTGGCAGAAGGCTAATGAGAGACGCGCAGATCCTGATTTGAGAAATGAAAACTTCCGATCCTACCATCGACGGCTAGAGTTTCATGTTAGTGATAGATAGGTATCGACAATGAAAGAACAGATTCGGTATCACTAACCTGTATGCCGCATCAACCTTCGTCTGACGTTTCTTCTTCAATGGCGCCGGTTCTGGTTGGCGAATTGGTGATCTTTTACCACTGTCGGTGTCACTATCTCCCATACCCAGTAGCTCAGCCTCAATAGGGGTCAAGGGGGATGCGGCAGAACCCTCCGAAAGCCGGTCGTAAGACGAATGCCGGCTAGTAGGACGACTGCCGTGGAGGGATTCTTTAGATTGTGGCGGCGGTGTATGGGATACCTCATAATGGATATCCTTTTCCGAGTTCTTAGTATTCGTTGCATGAAACCCATCGCTACGTCTTCTGGGTTCAAAACTTCTCGACCGTGTGTTTCTTCTGTGATAGTCACGGTCATTATTGTCCTCCTCGCCATGCCTCCGTGGTTCTGAGTAGTCATGATAACTTTGAGAAGTCAAGTGACCCTCCCGGTACCGCCTCGGGTCTGATTGGCGCTCATGTTGCCTCCTAGACACCCCGTAGCCTTCGTATGGTATATTTGAATCAAGGCGATAGGTGGGCCAGTCATGGTCAGAAAATCGGCGCTCACCTGACCTGCCCGCTTGCGAATCCAAGCGTGCGTGAGTTTTATTGGATATGTCGCTCGCCTCAGCTGCCTGTGCAGCGCCATCACCCCGGATGTTCGTTGCTGCCTGCCGGGAGGAATCACTGGGCGGCGAGCCCGAATCGGTCACCTCACCAGGCTCCGGGGACATTTGCCTTCGTTTCTTTGACTCGGGTGTTTGGCCAGTCTGGTGGCAATCAGGATTGCTAGCTTCAAACTGCGGTTGGGAATCCTCCCATCTGCGCTTTCGTTTACCCTCTGACCTCCGACGACTGTCCCTACCATCCCGTGCAAACTGCCCGCGGTCTTTGTTCCAGTTTTTACCCGGATTTTTCGACTGGCCAGAGCGGTCTCGTCGGTCATCCTTACGGCCGCGAGGCTTGCCAGAGATGGACGCGTAGACTTCCAAGCTCTGGGGAGTGATTGCTTTGACATCGAGGAACGCTGGATGGTGTTTCAGTTTCTGCCATTCATCTGTATCACGCACGCTTAGTGCGAAATCGTCCAGGTTATCTGGCGTTATATGCTTGGACTTGACGAAAGGGGCATTGAAAGGGGGTGGCAGCATGATCCTGTCAGTATGTTCTGCAGGCAAAGGCTCTCCAATGGAATCTCCCTTGTGGGCCGGTGATATCTCCTTGAATATCGTTGCTTTATCCCAAGCGAACTCGGGATACGGCAAATCCTCGTCTGGTGCGCCCGGTTGAAGCTCGCCATCCTCACTTTCCGACTTGTCTTCATCGGTGACAGATTCCTCCGCAGCTGTGAAATGGCTTGTTCCTTCTGGACCTGATACTTCCACGCCGGACGCGACTGCAGGGTCAATAGGGGTAGATTGAGAAGGGGTGTTGAGTGTTAGAGAGCTATGCTGATTGCCGCCAGGTGTGCTTCCAGAAGGACTGCGTGACCGAGGCCGGTCTCGACGTCGATCCCGGTTGTCGCGGCGACCCCGCTGATCTCGACGACGTTCATTGCCGAATCTGTTGTTGCCTTGCCGATCATGAGGTCTGCGATCACCTCGACGCTCACAGCCGTTATACCTATCAGCATTGGGGTGGTTTCTACCTAGTTCGTTGTGGCTTTGGGCACTGCCATGGCGGTCATCCCATCTCTCCCTCGAGGGATGGTCGTCACGATGACGTTCGTGGCCATTCTCGAAATGAGGCGCAGTGTGGTCATCATGATACGGTGGTTGAAAGTTCGGTGGTAAGTTAGGGGGGTATGGTAGGTAGCCCGGCGAGGCATGGTTAGGATACGACCCGGAGCTAGGCGGCGGCGCGTAGCCTGGTGCAGGTCCTTGAGGTGGACCTGGGTAACCATAGGCCGGTGGCTGAAGAGGGTAATGGGGGGGCGGCGGGTATGGAGGTGGAGGGCCTCTTTGAAACTGGCCAGGAGGAGGGATCGGTAGACCGTGGGCACCAGGAGGGCCGTAGAGCGAATTGAAAGGGGGTTGACCGTAAGGCTGTGGCCCATACAGATGAGGAGCTCCCGGTGGCGGCGGCGGTGGCGGCGGTAGACCAGGTGGACCGAAGGTGTTATATGGTCGTTGAGGTGGATATCCTAATGAATATGCTGGGGGATACTGCTGCTGTGATGAAGGCGGGGGTGGGGGCAGAGGCAAAGGCAGCGGTATAGGCGGATAACTTTGACCAGGGCCATGGGAATACTGCTGTGAAGGTGGCGGAGGCTCGTACCGAGTGATGACAGGACCAGGCCTGGCAGGTTGAGCATAACGCGTCACAATGGGGCCCTTATGTCGCTTGCTGCCGCCATCCCCATCCCCACGATCATAGCTGCCAGACTGCTTGCGAGCTCGTGCTGCCTCCAACCCGCTGGGACCAAAATTAGTGCAACTGCCAATGTACCATAAGTCAGGAGCACTTGACTTACGCGGGTGTTGCTCTCGCAGGTTCAGGACATGCCATAAACATGTGACCCTTCACGCCACAATTATAGCAAGGCGGAGGCTCGCTTTGGGCGGCATCTTGGCCAGGTGGTCCATCAGCCATCTTGAGAGATAGCAATAGCGCATAACCGATGGAGGCGGGTTGTTTCTAGCGTAGATGGCCTATAATTACTGTGAGATAGGCCTGGGGCAAGATGCGAGGTTGGAGAGGTGGTGAGATAAGAGTGACTTGGCTATTTCATCAAGAGCTCATTGGCGAGGGATTGGACTAGAAGATAGGAAGGGCTGAAGAATGAATAGTTGTGGCACTAATTAGTACTGGCCTGGGTAGAATAATGTCACCCCAGAAGTTAGGAAAGAGTGGGTAAGAAAGTCGCATCCAGGTGATACGCAAATGAATAGCCCATGCCGTCTGTTATACGAGAAAAGCGTGCTTAACTGAATACGCGTCAAGAAGAATCAAGCATTGGTTATTTGGCGGAGACTATGCGACAACTGCTGAAGTCTTTTATCTCCACGGGTCTCACGAAACTGAGCTGAACGCGGAGATTGGACGTGATTCTGAGATGTCAAGGCACATGAGGTCGGGGTCCAGGTCTAGATCCAACGGCTAAACCTCGGCCTTATCGGCGACAGATACAGCAAAAGCCGACGTAAACATCAATGAATGAGAGATGTGAGTGAGTGAGCGAGTTAGCGAATTTGACCATGGTCGTCGACAGTGAGAAGAGGTATGAGTGAATTCAGGCCACAGAACTGTAGCATATTCACAACAAAGAAGCCACAACTTGGGTCGCATCAACAAAGATAGCTCTTCAAGCCGCAAAACACGTATATGCCTTGCTTAGAGGCAATGCTGCCGAGATGCATGAGTCTTTCATTATGGTCTTATGGACCAACGATAAGAAATAGGACATTGAGCAGAAGGCAGTCTGCCTTGAAGAAATCGAAAGCAAGCGTATACATGCAGTGGGCAGTTGCAGTGTACGGCATCGAAGCCGCAAGACTGAATGCTGATAGCTCAGATTTGTCTGCCCGCACGCTGTTGAGCCCCAACTTGCACCAAGCTGGTCAGAAACACCTCATGAGACCACGTCCAAGGAAACGAGGGCGTAAAACGTTATAGACATGCTGGCGATCTGGTCAACATCGAGCTGCACTGCAGGAGGTCAAAGGAGAGCAATGTTCACTAGAAATTGTCTCAGCCGAGAAGAATCTACTTATCCACGAGGGCAACTGATAAGCATTGGCAATTAAGCACTGACGTCGATGACAGACAACAAAATGAGAAGAAAAAAAGACAAGAATTCAAGGGAAAGTTGGAGAGATGTCGTCGGCAAAACCTGCGTTTCCGATGGATTTTGTTTACTGATAGCGTCAAATATATGACTAAGCGAGGCTGACCTTAACATTCACATTACTGGAGCATAGAACTACGCCCACCGTCAGTTTAAATGATCCAAAAGACCGGCCAATGACACCACATAGCCAGCCATCTGAACTTGAGCTGGGCGCTTGGTTGATTACCCATAAACCCAGCGATCCGCCTCCCACCCATTCTCGTGTGTCCAGCTGTTTTCTCGCCGTCGCCAGTCCCGAAATCACTTCCTGCTGCGTCTGCTACCCTTACCGTTCTTTGTTCTCCCCGAAGCTCCCCAAATACTCCGGGCCTCCATGTGAGACATATGACAATCGCATCCTAACGAACATGTTTGCGGATTCTTCAGCTTCTTCACATGACATCGCACTCGCTCGAAGCCGAAGGAAGCCCAACCCGCGCAATTTCACCAGAAGAGCTCCTTGAGCCCGCTGGCGTCTCAACGCCAGCTTAGTCGTCCAAGATGCCTGGGCTACCAGGTCAGTGCAGCCAAACTTGCTCGGTCGCCAGGCAAAGTAGAATAAGAAGAACTGCTAACAACCCAACGCCTGCTTAGCCTCGGTTGATCTCGACGAATGCATCTCCCGCCTGTACAAAAAAGAGCTCCTGGCCGAATCAGTAATTGAGGCAATATGCGCCAAGACGAAAGAGCTGTTGATGCGGGAGAGCAATGTGGTGCACGTTCGGGCGCCCGTCACAGTAGTGGGGGACATACACGGGCAATTCTACGACTTGATAGAGATCTTCAAAATCGGAGGCTGGTGTCCAGATACCAACTACCTGTTCCTCGGTGAGTACCAGGCGAGGTGCCAACACCATGTCCCGTCAACTGATTTACCCCTCTCCAGGTGATTACGTCGATCGCGGCATGTTCAGTGTCGAAACAATATCCCTCCTCGTCTGCCTCAAGCTACGCTATCCGAACCGAGTGCACCTCATCCGGGGCAACCACGAATCCCGCGGCGTAACTCAGTCGTACGGTTTCTACACCGAGTGCTCGCGCAAGTACGGCAACGCCAACGTATGGCACTACTTCACGGACATGTTCGACTTCCTGACGCTCAGCGTCGTCATCAACGATCAGATCTTCTGCGTCCACGGTGGCCTATCCCCCAGCATTCACTCCATCGACCAGATCAAAATAATCGACCGCTTCCGCGAAATCCCCCACGAAGGGCCCATGGCCGACCTCGTGTGGTCCGACCCCGACCCGGAGCGGGACGAATTCTCGCTTTCCCCCCGCGGAGCCGGCTACACTTTTGGCGCCAAGGTGGTGAAGAAATTTTTGGCTGTCAATCGCATGTCGCATATCCTCCGGGCCCACCAGCTCTGCCAGGAGGGGTTCCAGGTCCTATACGACGACCAACTCAGCACGGTGTGGAGCGCGCCCAACTACTGCTACCGGTGCGGAAATATGGCTAGCGTTCTGGAAGTAGGCGACACGGGTGAACGCTTCTTCAACGTCTTCGCCGCGGCCCCCGAGAACGACCAGGTCAAGGACATACAGCAGGGGGCGGAGAAGACAGCCGACGGGAACGCGTTGCCCGATTATTTCTTGTAGGAACATTACTACTGAAGAGCTTCGTCAGATTCAGGGGTTTCTTACCACTGACTGGGCATGTCACGAAGATACCAATCCAGAACAGATTTCAAAATACCCTTGTCTTCTCCTTTGGCTTTGGCAGCAAACCTCCTATCTTCGGTAGTATGGACATACTCTAGTACGTTATGGGGAAAGGAATGTCACCACCATCACCGGGGAATGGGGATTTAGCTCCTATCACGAACGAGACGCCTGTGAGCAGCTGAAGTTCCCCAGTCACAAAAGCTTGAGGTCCAAATCTCGTCCATCCTAGCCAGTCACATTGACACTTTCTTAACCCAAATTTTTATGTTCAGTGACTGTTTCTCCGTGGATGTCGCCACCCCAGTCCCCCGTTGGCTTCTTTAAATATCAACATTGCTGATCGATAGAAGAGGCCGCCCGCACTTTCACCCCCCTTCCGATCATTGCAGCATTTGCCTCGGCGTCTAATCAGAAATCGTGTATATAGTCCAGCCAGCCATCATGTCTCATGTATCGACCGGATATCGCTCCGTTTAGTTCCAGTCCTTGGCAATGTCGAAGGACCACTCAAATTGCAGGTGATTCTTCTTGTCGTCGTCGACAAAGCTAGAAATAGCGTTGTAGTGGCCACGGGCGAGCATCCCAGATGGGGCGTCCTCCTCCTGGACTACTTAGGTTTTAGTTTATCTAGATATTTCAGAGGTGGCAGCTCCCATATACTTACAGCGCTTTGTGTACAGAGGCGACTTATCCGTGTTCGGAGCATAGCTACCCTGCATCCAAGTCAGGCAAGTTTACGTTTGAATAGTCGATATCAAGCGACTTACCAGCATTTCCGAGTCTTTGCTGACCTTGATTCCCTTTCGTTTCACAACCTGAACGTACTGGAGACCGCTGAGAATTTCGTGCTGAACCTTGAAGGTGGCGACCATGGTGAATTTGGAGCCTTCCTTAATCTTGAAAGGTTTGTCCTTGAGCGTGGTCTCGCTACCTGGTTGGGAGAGATCAATGGTGACCGGGTCGCGACCAGGGGACTCCATCGTTAAGGACTGGATGATGCAGACACGAGGGTCGTTGGGGTCGGAAAGGTCCTTGCCGCCACCCAAACCCAGAGACTCCTTGTATCGTTGCAAAGATTCATCGTTGGCATCTATCCTGATTGTTAGTTCGAAAGAGGAAGTTTCCGCTGTGAAAGGAAGTGCGCCCAAGCATCAGTGGATCTTGAAATGTCCCTAGAACTTTCTTGAGTGTATGTGTCTGCCAAGGGCTTAGGCCACCCCGAATCCTCCCGCCGGGCACCCACGATGCACAGCGTCGACCGCTCTGGGGTATTTCTCTTTTGAGGCCTGCAAATATTGTACGGTTCGTATAATCCTCCTGTCACGGGCACCGCTCAAGTCTTCACACAGCTCAAAAGCAACCGCGTGCAAGCCATGGAAGCCCAATTCGTGTCAAGAAATAGACATGGTGATACTCCGATGTAACCAGTCACAGTGTCGCAGCTGTGCCCCAACCGGTTTCCAGAAGACGTGGTATATTGGTCGTAGAAAAGGAGCCCAATGGCGCGGTGAACGTCGGCTTGTATCCCTTCCGATTGCCCTATCGACTGGACGATAGAGCTTCGTTGATGGCAAAGGCAGGAGAAAATAAAAGAACACCCAGGAATTCAAGGATCGACCCGGAAACTAGGAAAGACAAAAAGTCAATACGCACCCATGCTGTGGTACTCAGCCAAGCTTTGCTTGGGCTGGGAAAGCTTGTAGCCCTGCGTCTCCTCGGGCATCGTGTCATCGTCGAGGGAGGCCATCGTGTCGGTGTTCTAGCGTTGCACGGATGGGTCTAGAAATGCAGAATGAGGTTGAGCTGGTAAAGCAAAAAATTACCCAGAGAGAATCTGCAGAAACTAAAAGATATCGTGAGGAGGGGCAAGATGGCGGTGATGCTGTATTTCAAGGTGGGATCGCGGTACGTGGGTTGCATGAATGTCCTTGAGCTATGCCACTTTGCGACAGATTTGGTGGGGTTCAGGACGACCAAGGGGTTCTAGTCTTTTCAAAGGGCCGGTCCGGTGAATCATGCATCAAGCTCACTCAACATTTGATTCCAATCAAGTGTTCTTGCTAGGACGAAACATGGCACCTTCAAAACATTGGACTTTTTTCGGCACAAGGACTGCGTTGGCAGCCTTGGTTTTCTCGACGCAAATCCTGCTCATTTCTCGTTCTGCGTAGAACATGCGGTATTGTTGACTCTTGAGTGCCAATCCAGAAATCACCCTGAAAGACCAAGTAAGTACCTACCAAACCATGGTATGCATCGCCTTCACAATGCCAGCCTCGTCAACAACCAAGACAACTACGAGAGGATTACATTATTCAGGGTTAAAGACGTTGAAAGAGGTCGACGGACCAACGTTGATCAGTTGAAACGGCTCCCAGATCACAGGATTATTGCTTATAAGGCAATGTGAAGTCACCCCAGCCATCGAAACACATTGGTTGAGTTTCCTCGAAGCCTTGATTAGGTTGCAGCTTGCTTCCCAACTGTAACGACCCGAGGCCATGAAGTCTGTTTGGCATCTATTTGAGATACAGGTCCGCGGAAGGCAAGGTTTCTGGTTTTAGGCAGACTTCAATTTCCATGCCATGTACCTTGCCAAGCTTGATGCCTCAAGGCTAGAGGTACAACCCATCATTTGTGAGGCTCTACTCGCGAGTCATATGTGCTCAAGTCTGGGTCGGTCCCCAACTACCTTGTCCCCTCCCCCAAGCCCCTTCTCTGTCAAGGACTGACCGTGTCAAGCCAACCGGCCATTCAAGCTCGTGCCTATTTAGGGAGGTCTGTGCTCCATAAAGTCCCCATGTCGAAAGGACGACTGTTCATTGGCCTTTGCATCGAGAAATTTGAACTCCATCCCATTTCTCGACTCCGACCCACACTGTCACGAACTAAAGCAGCTGGCCCCTTCTCACTGCCCCAGTCAGCAGCTGCTCTCTCGCGCCCTTCTTCTGCCCTCTGCCGCAAAAAGTACAATTCGCAGCGCGACGATAGCTCTATCAATCAGCATCCTTCGATTGATTTTATTTGGCCAGCTTCTTTTCATCCAATTCTCAGCATTTCTTTCGTCTCCTTCCAAGAGTGTTTCTGTGGGATTGTCCCAAGTTACTGCTTTTAAGGTGAGCGCATTTGCGAGGAGAACGCAGCTTCCTTCGACCCGAGCGCGCCGTTCGAAGCTTATCCCTACCCTCGTCGCGATTCTATCACGTATCTCGCGTTTTAGTTTCGAGTTTTCGCTAATGCGATTCCGCAGCAGACAAGCAGTTGCAGTACTGTTTCTTTAATCCCACCACCGTCGTCTCCATACGACAGCGCGCTTGATCGGCATCAACGCATCCACTCGACGTCGCATTAAAGGAAACTTCTCACGCGAGTTGCCGCGAAAAAGTCGCAATGGCCGTCCCAAGACAGCTCCCAGAAAAGCACAACCCGCTGATGGTTGAAGACATCCCTCCTTGTACATGACTGGCGCATCCTCTTTCCACTAAGCTCATCCGCTTACCACTTTCGCAGTTGCTGATCTCGTTGCGCGTCGACGCCTGGGTCAGACCCAGCTCACAGCAAAGATGGTCGCAGCAGGTGCGGCCAGCGACGTTGACCCCACCAGCCTGGGTGTTTTCGACTATGCTCACCTTCGCGCTCCATTGCCTAAGGGCATAGTGTCGGGTATCTTCAAGTTGTCGCCCAACTCGTACTTCTTGATGCGTCGCAGCCAGGATGGCTTTGTCTCCGCCACGGGAATGTTTAAGGCCACGTTTCCCTATGCGGAAGCCTTTGAGGAGGAGATCGAACGAAAGTACATCAAGTCTCTTGCAACCACGAGTCAGGAAGAGACGGCGGGCAACGTTTGGATTCCTCCTGTGCAGGCGCTTAGTCTCGCCGACGAATACCGCATCACGCCCTGGATTCGCGCTTTACTTGACCCCACCGAGATATCCGTCACCAACGCGCCGGACAGCCCGCCCAAGAAGATTCAAGCTCCTCCGAAATTCGATCCCATCTTTGCCAGCCAGCCCATCCTAGCCCCTCCAACCCCACCGCCGTCGTCGGTTCCGCGCAGCACCCGCAGTCGCAGGTCGGCAAGCCCCTCCAAGGTTTCTACGCGGAAGCGAGCTATCGCATCACCTCGAAAGCGAACAACTAAAGTGACGGCATCACAAACTACCATAGCCGAGTCTTCTTCAACAAAGGGGCAGGAGTCGCCCTTGAATGGCACCAAATCAGAAGACAATGCATCAACGGCTGCCACCGAGGACATCGAGATCAAGACCCTGGAAAAAGAGCCGATGATCGTCTTCTCAGCAAATGAAGAGGAGCCAAAGGTGCAGGTCAAGGTTGACCAAGACGTCAAAGTCGAGGACGGTGTTGAGACAACGCATACTGCCGTAGAATTGGAACTCCCTTTCGCGAAAATGCCGTCGAACGAGGAAGCCGCCAAGATGGTCGAAGAAGCTAGGGAGATGGTCAAGGCTGCTGCCGACTCCGTAGGAGCATCTACTCCATCCAAGAAAGGCAAGCGCAAGGCAGACGAAATCGCGGTTGGTGAGGACGAAGAGGAGAACGAGGAAAATGCGTCTTCAGGGGAGCCTAGCGCAAAGAAGGTCAAGACAGAGATCCAGTTGAAAAAGGAACGCGTCAGGAACCGAGCTCTGATTGGCATCAGCGCCACCCTTGCTGTTGGGTATGTACTTTGTCTGCGCATGGCAGTTTGAAAACCCGAGAGCAGACTAGCTAATGTCCCTCTAGCGCCTTAATCCCATATGTTATGGCCCTGGGCGTCTTCTAAATGGCATCGGACAGGATTCTGGGTGACATGAGCAAGGTCACTGCTATTGGGCTTAATGGGGCTCAGTGCTCGACCCTTGCTGGAGAGTCTTCCTCAACTTCTGCTTTCACATACCCACACAGTTGGAAATGGACAACTGTTTCGTTTCAGATATTTTTGATGCTGGCTATCTGAGAAGCCATCATATACAAGGTAGGATCCCTTTTTACTGTCGCACCCTGGAGAACTGGAGTAGGTGGCTTGCTTGATTTGTAGATGATGCCTAAAACAATACAATCGCTAGTTTGTGCCTTACGTATGGTATTCATGGTGTTACTGGGGTAGTTTGTTTGCTTAGCGCAACTGACTGCACTCTAAATCATAGGAGGAGTATTGTATGGAACCGTGAACAAATGACATCATTTCGCAATCCAACGATACCTGCGGTCAGCTCATGTGCTTTCGATCATTGAAGCTATCGATGCACTCTCAATGTAGTCCTCGGATTGACGTGATATTTTCCCTGTGCCATGAAATCATTCGTGGACCTTGCTGGCAACAGCGGTGGACCCAAGTCAGTCTGCTTCTCGTCCTAACCGAGCAAATATGGTCCAAGCTCCCACCTAACCAAAATCAATTTTTTGCCCGAGAATTTTCTCATTTCTTCTGCATCTATTTCTGCATCTTTCTAACGATGCGTCAGAAAAACAAAACCAGTCATATTTGTCAGAAACCCGTCTGGGCCATGGCAAAGTGCTCTTGCTGTCTCACAGGGTTGAGCTAGTGCTCATTATTCCCTTGACGGACCTCATCTGATATGACTGAGGATCGGCTGGTCGGGTGCCCCTTGTGGCTGTTTCCCAGAGCTGCTTTGAAGGTTACCACCGGCAATGGGCGGTCCTCGGAGAACTGTACCCCGCGACCTTCTCTCCACAAACTTCACGGAGTCTACCTGTGCAGTCCAGACCATCGTACACAAAGCTGTGTTGTGATGAGAAGTGGCTGCCAAAATCGAGGTCGCAGTCGTTTCAATAGGAGGCTTTGTCATGATGAGAACTCATTCTGTAGCATGGAGCGTGTTGCGCGCTCAAAAACGGGCTTTCTCGTCCACGTCGAGAAGACTCGATAACTATGGTTTTATCGGCCTCGGCCAAATGGTATACAGTACCCCTTCAAGTAACCAACTGCTACGGGGAACACTCTTACTAACCAGGCGAAATCTAGGGTTACCAAATGGCGAAGAACCTCCAGTCGAAGCTCACACCCAGCGATTCCATCCGCATATTTGACATCAACAAAGATGCTGCAAGGAGATTAGCTGAGGATATGCGGACATCCCAGGCGGGTGGTGCTGCCGTAGAGTTGGTTCAAAGCAACTTTGAAGCGGCTAAAGACTCTGTAAGAATTCACCCTCTACTTTCTGCTTTCCATTTCTATGATGATCATGTTCTATCTATGATTCTAAGTTGGGCCGGCTCGCCGGTTTCTCCGTGATTATCAATTTTTCATATAGCCAATCCTCTGATGACCTAATTTTCAACCAAACCTTTTGCTACGTCGTCCTGAATATCTGCTTACATTTGCATCAAGGATGCAGTCATTACATGTCTGCCGGAACCGTCCCACGTGAACAGTGTTTTCTCGGAGATTCTGTCGCCAGAGCTTCCCCGGCGGGAGAGGATATATATCGACTGCTCAACGATTGATCCGTCAACTTCACGGGAGATTGCGAGGCAGGTTTCATCAGCCAGTCAGGGCAGCTTTGTTGATGCCCCGATGTCTGGCGGTGTTGTTGGTGCCACCGCGGGAACTTTGACGTTTATGCTTGGGGCTCCTGATGCTCTGGTTCTCAAGATCGAGCCCGTGCTGCTGCGCATGGGTAAGAAAGTGCTGCACTGTGGCGTCCAAGGCACGGGGTTGAGCGCGAAGCTCGCCAACAACTATCTTCTGGCCATCAATAATATCGCAACAGCCGAAGCCATGAACCTAGGTATGAGGTGGGGACTAGACCCCAAGACTTTGGCAAACATCATCAACATGAGTACTGGCAGGTGCTGGCCGTGTGAGGTCAACAACCCTGTGAAAGGGGTTGTCGACACAGCACCAGCCAATCGTGACTTTGCTGGTGGGTTTGGAATCAGCTTAATGCAGAAGGACCTCAAACTCGCCATCATTGCTGCCGACGAGGCCGACGCCAAGTTAGAATTGGGAAGCCGAGCGCAGGAAGTGTACGAAGAGGCCGCACACGCTGAGAACTGCAAAGGTCGCGACTTTTCTGTTATTTATAGATTTATTGGCGGAAAAGAATAGATCGATCTTACAATCAGCCTGTCCCAACGATATCATGTTTTCATGAATTTACAATCCATGGTCTTGATCACGTCTCTACGCAGTATTTATTAGCATGTTCTAGGAGCTGGACAGGGTGAGACTTGACGAGGCTGACGGTTTGCCTACCGATCCTCATTCCTAAATAGGAAACCTTCTCGCCAGCCGCTTATTGCCAGGGACCCGGGTGCATTTGAGCAACGGGATTGGATGCATCGCAGTCATTTGCTCGCAAGGCAAACCGCTAACCGAGAGATCTGACCCAGTAGCCCCCCACGTTCGCCGGGTTGATGGTGCGCTTATATATGGGTGAGGTCGTATCCAGGACGACTCGATCACTGTTTCCTATATTATGTGTGCCATGCTTTCGTCTCTTTTAGCCATTATAAGGCTTCGGCTTTTCCCTCTGTTCTTGGTTCCACGTATTTCCCGTAATGACAACTCGCCTTGCTCGTAACACTCGTTTCTCACCCTCAAAGAGAGTAGGTGTTTGGTAGCGGCGCGATCAAGATGGTGCGGCAAGAGTGTACGGAAGTCGGGCCTTATTGCCCGGTGGAATACACAGTCCTGTCATACTACCCAAACCTTGCTGTCAATGTTGTCCTTTGCGTCGGATTTGGGCTCTGCGCGCTGGGCATTATCGGAGTTGGTGTCTGGAAGAAAACATGGGGATACTCAGCCGCATTGGCGGCGGGTTGTATCCTCGAGATGGTTGGTACGTGATAGAGACATCCCTCCTCCCTTGCGCAACACTGTCCGTACTGTGCCCCCCCCCCCCCCCCCCCCGAATATTATCCTCAACCATAGAGCAGGACTAACACGACGTCGCGCACAACGTATAGGTTACGTAGGACGCATCCAGTTACACAGCAACCCGTGGGATTCCAAGGCCTTCGAGACGCAGATCTGCGCCATCATCCTCGCGCCGACGCTGATTTGCATCTCCATCTACCTGATATTGAAACACATCACGATGTCCGTCAATCCGGCGCTATCGCGCATCCGCCCTCGATTGTACCCCATCATCTTCGTCCCCGCCGATATTTCGTGCCTCGTTCTCCAGGCTACGGGCGGTAGCATGGCCGCTGTTGCCAGTTCTGGAAATTTGGACCTCCTGCTCGCGGGCGATCGAGTTATTATCGCGGGAATCGCGTTGCAGGTTGTGGTTCTGGGCTGCTTTGCGCTCATGTGCTTTGATTACTGGCTCAGGGCAAGGAAGTGGGTCAAGACGGAGGAGGCTACGGCCAAGGCGAAGGCGTTGTGGATGAATAAGAGGTTCAGGATCTTTTGCTATGCTGTGTCGGGGGCTTTGGGTGGCATTTTGATACGATGCATTTATCGGTAAGAGGGATTGAAAATCGTCATTTGAATACCCCTGAAAATGGAAAACGCTGACCGGGTATGCAGTATTGCGGAAATGGCTGGAGGTTGGGGGTCCCCTATTATGCAGGATGAGCCGTCATTCATTGTGCTTGAGGGTTTCATGATCTTGATCCCCGTCATTCTTCTCACGATATTCCAGCCAGGTCTCCTGTTCCCTGCCATGGCTGAACGGGAAAGCCTGCGTTTCGAAAAGAAGAGCAAGAACGAGCAACCTGTTGTCTCCAGCAATGCAACTCCAGAGGATCTCGAGCATGTGAAACCTCAGCGGCTTGAGAAGTCGAGCGTCTGATGTTGAGGGTTCAGCTTGTGTTGGATTGAATTCTTGCATATCAACATAGCAAAAATGGGTCGGTTTTCTCGTTAGACGTCACCTTCGGTCTCAAACCAAGGAGTTATGGGTATCTCTTGAGGTAATTTCACACGTTACTCTCAACTATTCAGGTACAATGGGCTTATAGACAGCTCGACTAAAGCTGCTTGTTTTTACAGTCGGTTGGCTATGGCAGCAATTGGGCCAATTTACCATCCCAAGGCAGATGTGATGGGTATTTCGTTATATCAGTGCAGCTATCCAACACCCACTGACCGCCTCGCTAAATTGCCTGTTCCAACTTTCTCGGCGTGTTTTGAGCTTCTTGGGGTTGAGTGGCACTCGAAATACATCTAATCACGACTTCTCGTTGGTGTCACCTCAAGTTTAACCTCGACAAGTACATGACATAATAAACAGTGCAAGGTCTAATGGTCTGATGTTCTATCTTATTACACGGGAATAACAGTATATCCATACTATTCCACCCCGTGTGCGCCGGTTATGCCCTTGCTCGACTCCAATTGCCATCCCGGCTTCCACCTGCATTGAGCTACTGGGACAATCTCTGTAAGTATACTCGACTTACGCCTGGGCCGATTGCCGTAATCATACAAACCTCAATCATTGAGTTCCTGCAGTCTTGATGAAACAATGCTCTGAAACACTCGCAAATATGGCTCGTAGAACCGGTCTAAGGAGCTGCCATATCCCTTGTATTCATTATCAGTCACACAGTAGCTACTGATGCCCCCGTCATATTGCAATGATTCATTCATCCGGAACATGCACCCGGATAACGACAACCGGGGACATGCGGGGTAGTTTGCGTACTCTTTGTAGAGCGACGGCGGCTACATTAGGAGGGTTATACATCGAAACAAATTCCTGGGAATTCCACTGTGATCTGCTTATTTCACAAAGCTTCCAGCTGAAAGCGTTCAAGGAAGTCATTGTGGCGGAACTTAGCGAGACATCGGATCATCCCCTTCCCAAACGTATTCCATCACTCTGATAATTATTCCTCGACTCTGTAGACTTCTGTCGACCAATACTCGCATAATCTGGCACTTGGGTGTGTTCATCAGCCGCATGGTTTGCTTGGGATCGCAAGCCAGCCCCTTAGCGATCGTATTTATGACTGCCAGTATCATTCGGGGGTATTTTCTCGTCTCCAAGAATCCACTTCCAGCAGCTCTGCTTCTTTAAGTCATAGCGGCACCCGATTATATAGCAGGCGAGGCTCCAGTTACCATAGCCATGAGTACGGTCGATGCTAGTATTAGGGAAGCCATCCAGGATATGATAATCTACAACATGGGAGCAATGTACCTTCCCGACGAGGTCATACCGACGCAAAACCTGAGACTTTCTGACTAAACTTGTACTCTGATGGGCAAGATTCAGAAGACCAACTCGCAAAGAAGGGCCGGGGAAACCGTGATCGCCCAGTCAACCGCGAGGAAACTGCTGATTTGACCGCAGAGACCAAAGATATCTGGGCCAAAGCAGTTGGGCTCGAACCGTCACATCTATCCATAGAAACCCCGATTGACGAGTTCGCAGATGGCATCATGATCACGCAGGTTAGGGATAGGTTTAAACGTCAAACAAGCAAGACACTACCTTTGGCGGCCCCTCCTTTCCTTTGTTTTGGACAAGGCCCTCCTCGCATCTCCTGATGCCCTTAACGTAGTCATACGCCCAACCAGCAAGTTCTTCGACACCACCATCGAGGACGGAGGCACCCTCAAGACGATCCAACACGTCAAAGACAAGTCATTTTACTACCCCCACCCAGGCCATGATGCCTTCTCTGGCCTCCTCACTCACACAGTACCTCTACGAGGTGGAAGAAACCAGCACCGCCGCCGTAGTCTTCTGCCTCAATCACGCCGTCATGGACGACTCCATGTTGCACACCGTGGGCGACGACCTCAACCGGGTCGTCGCCGACATCTCCCCTCTTCCCAGTCACATCGACTCCTAGCTTTGGGCCGACTCATACCACAACCTGCGCACCTCGGCCTCAGCCCGAGCCGCGCCAAAATGGCACGCTAAACGACTCAAGGGGCTCGCCTCTCATAGCAAAACGCTGTACCCCTGGCCCCTGAGACTGGAAAGTGAATGCGATCCACCCGGCATGACGTCTCAGAGGATGAGGTGGTCAAACACCAATTCGGCGTCCTTGGCCTAACCGAACTGCAAAAGCAACACCCCCACCTAACTCCCACCACCATCGTCAAAGCCGCCCTGGCGCTGTTTAATGTGCTGCGCACGGGGTAGACGTACGCCCTCTTCTCCAAACTTCAGGCGGCATAAAGCGATGAAGGGTTAAGGGCTGACTAAGATGAGATAGTCAGGTGAAATGAACAACCACACAGCATCGGTCTGGCGTGGCAAAATACACTTGGTGCCTCGAGCCCGTGGAGATTCTCACGAGAAGCACTGCTAAATGGCCAATTAATATGCAAAAAGGGGTAAATCACGAGGATGGGTCCAACAGGCATTGTTATTCTGATAGTTTGCGTGCTGCCTTTTTAAACTCGAAAATGCAATATTCTTCCAGTCTCAGGGAGTCTAGTAAAGCCCTAGGAAGTCTGAGTTGTTCGTGACTCTGAGGTGATTGAGTCTTGAACAAGCTTCGGTGTATAGGGACTTATTCTTTGACGAGCCTGTCTGTCTCCCCGTCTTCTTCTTCCCCTGACTCTTCCCCCTCCTCGTCCTCTTCCTCGTCCTCTTCCTCGTCCTCTTCCTCATCCTCTTCCTCTTCGCTTTCCTCTTCTTCAGATTCTTCGGTTTCTTCCTCTTCGGCAAGCCACTGTATCTTCGTGTTAGCAATCAAGCCAATTGTCAATGTCAAGTGATCAGATTATGTCTAAGGCGAGAGTGTTCGCTATCGAGTTTCCCCGGTCCAAGGCGCAAATTTGTCGGAAAAAAGAAGTTCTGGAAATCACTCACATCATCCAACGTCTTCACCCCTGTCCCCTCGGCAAAACCATTACTCCCTGGCGCCGGTATGGCCTTTGACGCATCATCCAACTTCTGCACAGCTGGCATAACCCTCCTCCCCTCTCCATACTCATTCTTGACCTCATCCTGCGCCCTCAAGCTCGGATCCGGCTCCCTGCCCTCCTCAACCCATGGAGGCAGCGGCTCGTACCCACGCAGGCCATGCACCCCGCCGCCTCCAGCGAGAACAAGCGCAGCCGAGCCGAGCATGAATCCCTTCCGCGTCTCCGACGGACTAGGTGCTTGGGGTGCAGGTTTGGGGGCCAGGAGCATGAGCGTGGCGAGCTGGGGAACGCCTATCAGTGCCTTGTACAAGCGGGTGCGATCGCGGAGGTCGTACGACGTGTCGTACCGAGCCAGAAGGAGGACATAGTTCCATAGTTTTGCAATGGAGCTTTGGTCGTCTAGGAGCGGAGCAGAGAAGCCCTCCGGTTCGCCTTTTTGGGATTCGGCTTCGCGGTTTATGTGATGCAGATATACCTTCGCTGCAAGCAGCACAATTTGCCGTTTCGCCACCTCAGACTCGTCCGTGAACTCCTTGACAAGAATGCGCAGGACGTCGGCTGCGATGTTGTCCTCGTTGTTCAAGCCGGAGAACTCGCCCACGAGCCAGATGATGGTGGCGCGGGCATGAGGGTCCGTGGCTGAGTCGAGGTTTTTGGCTAGCCTCACGACGGTGCCGACGTGGGCTTGCGGATCCTGCTGGATCAGATGTCGTATCACTGTTAACGACTCCGCGGCAAGTGTTCCGTCCAGACTTGTAATCTGTCCGAGAAGCAAACGCATGGACCGAGGCGCCGTGCTCGGATCTGTCACCGCACAACGTCCTATGGCTCGAACAGCCTCCCGAACGAGTGCCTTATTCGTACCGCCGGAGAAGTGCTCCAGTTCGTTTAAGATCAAAGCCTTGGTGTGCATGGGGCTGTGGGGGAAGATGAGAGTGAGAACTTCAAGCTTCAATTCCCATACCGGCGCTGGATCTGTTGCTCGAACAAGGAAGTGCGACGCATATTTGACGAAGGAGGCGGCATGCGAAAGACAGACGGAAACAATATTGTAGAGAGCCAGTTCTTGGATGTCTTGTGCGGACCGCAGCAGGGCCACCAGCGGGCCAATAGCCAACTTGGTGTACTCTAGTGTACCAATATCGACATAGCAGCGAGCTACTGCGGTGACGACTGCAGAGTTACGGCTCTGGAGCAGGGGTTTGATGGCGTTAAGAAACAGGACAAGATCAGGGTCCAAGACAACAACTTGGTCGTCTTCAGACCCAGGAGTTCCTGTGCCACCATCGCCATAGAAATCCTGTAGATCAGTCGACTTGTTCGCCGCTTTAACCGATCGTGTCCGTCTTGGGAAGCACTTGCGCGCATAGATAGTCATCATCCTCAGCGTAGCAAGCTGACTCCACTCGTCCATATCGACAAGCTTCTTGATCAGTGCCCGGTAGTGCTTGTGTATCAGATCCAACCGCTCAGGACATATTTCCATAAATGCCGACACCGCTGCGCCGGCAACGAAGTACTGCTTGTCCCCGAGCAGGGTCGACAGGTTTTCCAGCAAGTGTGGCAACATGTTGGGCTCCAGACTATAGCACTTGGGGATCGCCAGGGCAGCGGCCTTGCGCACATGAGGCGACATGTCGCCAGCCCCCTTCTTGATGGCCAACGACACAATCTGGCTGATGACGGGAACCCTGATGCCCGACATAGTCCTCAGGGCGAGAGCGCGCACTTGTGGGTTCATATCTGAAAGGGACTTTTGGATCGTGTTGATGGAGAGCAAAGCGACGTCGGGTTCCTGCTCAGCATGGTGGATGAGGTATATATACACTAGTTTCTTGATTTCGAGGTTGGGCGATGCGACGTTCTTGACGACGGAGGAGAAGAAGGGCAGGGTGCGCTGCTGGCGGTACATCATGGAGATGACCCTCCGGAGTCCGTCCAACACCTCGCGGTCATTTCGGCTGTCTAGGAATTTCTTGATCTGGGCTGTAGGGAGATTCTTCGTCGTAGGTCGAGTGCTTCGAGCTGCCTGGGCTGCATCGAGGGTGAGGTCTCGAGCTGCGTGAAGCGATGGGATGTTAGTGCTGTATTAAAGATAGCAGGTCGTTGTCTGGAGCTATAGCCCTCACCGTTCTCCAGCAGCGTCGATATTCGCGATATGGATTCCATTTTGTCGACCTGGACGCGCAGCCAGCTCACGAGCTGCTGTCGTGTCTTTTATTTGGTGATGTCGGTGACGTCGTAAGTTGGAGCTGCGCAGTGGCGGGGCTTAAGCCCAGGGCACCGGAGCTGCAAAACGAACCCTGCAGATGCCAAACTTCAGCGGGTCGGCCCTCGGATCCCTTGAATGCCACGACGTGCATTTCATGAATGAATTCCGAATACTATGTGATTTCATAAGACCTTTGGAGGTGGGCCTTCTTGCTTATATTTACTCAAGCATGTATTTCATTCTGACCATTGTGAAGTCACAATAGGCTCCCATGTCTTCACCACTGGTCCTCTCACCCGCCTTGCCTTCTGAGCTTCTCACATACGTCTTGAATTACCACGTTCATCCCACGACTTTGGTTATATGCTCATTGAGGTCGGATTTCTTGGCGTCACTCCTTGAGGATATCCGTCATCATACGTCTTCGGAACACCACGAAGATGAGGCTGCTGCCCAGAGAATGGACGCTACTCCAGAAATCCAAGCCGCCCGAGTTGGGCAAACCCTCCTGTCATCTCCTATCTATCAAGTAGCCATAGCAAGGCACATACGAACTGTATATGTGCCTACAGTCACACATCTGCGCGCATATCTAGCTGTCTTTTCATCCCAAACTTCGAGGATATCTGCACCACCATCAACGTTCAATGTCAGCCACAGGAGGCCCCCTCATCTCGTCATCTACGGAATGCTCAACATGCACCGCGACACTAGTGAATGGAGCGCACAGGGCTTGGGCGATACAAGTGCAGTGTTGGTCGAGACTGGACATCGGTTGGGATGGCAAGTCGCTGTAATTGAGCCATGGAAGCACGGGGACAGAGCAGGATTGGAGGACCTGTTGAAGGAAAAACTTCCCATCTTGAGTGGTGGTGCTCGAAGGTTGGGATTGGATACAGAGGAAAGGGGGTGGTCGGGCCGCACCGTTGAAGTTGGGAGGGTTCTCGGCCGGTGGTTTCAATTTCGTCGTGGGGACTGGGATCACAACGAGCACGAGGATCACGGGCAAGATCAACGGGAAGCGACCAGTGAACCGCCATAGCGTGAGAGCCTTTGCTCAAGGTGGTTCTCTATCAATTCGTACTAGGCCCCTGAATTCCAACGCCTGGCCTTGTGAGGTATATACAATCTCCAAATCGATGCTTCATACAGTCGATGTAACAACTCCTGACGCCGAACCGTGGTATCCTCTCATTAGTCATGATATAAACAGGAAATCCAAACAGCACGAACGGGCTCAGATGGCCTGCTCCATCTCGGTGATGTACAGCTTGATGTGAGATTCCATCTTGAGATACTCGTCATAGGCGGCGTGAACCTCGTTCTCGATGTTCTCCTTGAGATCCAACATCTGTAAATGGAGTTAGTACACAGGCCTCAAAGGGGAAACGAGCATGGGACATGCCTTTTTCTCAGTCTGCTCGATGCGCACACGTCGTCTCTCAATCTCGGTTCCCTTCGCCCCACGCTCTTCCGTCAATTTTCTGTGCAGTGCCCGCAGTTCCTCCATTTTCTCCTTGGCCTCCTGCGCCTTTTCTCGGCTGTGATCGCGAAGCTTCTCTGTTCGCTCATTCCACTTCGACAGCTGCCGTGACAGCAGAGCCTCGGTTCGCTCGACCTCACGAACGCTGTTGCCTCGTTCCGAAAGAGCATCGCGCTGTCTCGCGTTCTTAGCGTTCTCGTCCTCCTCCTTGGCAAGTTCGCCCGCGATCTCGTCCAACAGCTTGATACATGAAGCGACATCTGCCGCGACGACGGTAAAGGAGTCGGCCGAGGTTTGCAGAGCGCGAGCCCTTCGGTCGAGGGAATCGATATGCGCCTTATCCGAACTGAGGGTGTTGTTGAGCTCTGTTAGGCTCGTCTGTAGCACTGTTGGACTCTGCAATGTATATGGTCGCAACTTGGCGCTCTCCTGTCTGAGTTGCAGCTTCTCCGCCGTCTTGTTTTCCAGCCTTTGTGCCAGCTCGCCCTTCTTCGCCTTGGCCTCCTCCAATCGTGCAGCCACCTTCTCTTGATTGCGCCGCAGTTCCAGCAGATTCTTCTTCAACTCTTCGTTCCGCGCCGTCTTTTCGCGTACCTGTGCCTCCATTGCCTTCCGGTTGTGTTTCATGTCGGCTAGCCGCACCTCCATGTCCTGGTTCTCACCGTACAGTGCCTCGATGCGGGCCTTGGTTTGCTCCGCCTTGTTGAAGTGTTCATCGATGACGTTAGTCTGGCTCTCGCGGAAGCGCACGAAGTTGATGAGGTAGCTGAAGATCTTGACGAGTCGCTCGCGAGTTGGCTTGTACAGGTCCATGAAGCTAAAGTCGGTGATGCCGCACTCGAGCAGCAGCTTGCGCAAAGACACGTAGAAGCCCATGAGGTTGCGCGTATCCGGCGGCACAATGTCGAGGTACTCGCCGCAGACGTCCTCAGCCGCGGCGCGCATGGCAGGTTCCACGGTGTCGCGTGTCGCATTGAGCAGCAGCTCGGCGAACCATTCGAAAATCATTTGGACCTGCAACGGGTTCGGCTTTGACAGGTCGGCGACGGTGAAGGGAATACCAATGTCGGTGATACATCCTACAATTTCCTTGTCTGGCAGGCGCATGAAGGCATCGGCTTCCTCCTCCTTCTTGCGCGTCGTGCGCGACTGGGTCTGCGACGGCGGTATTATCGACATGCGCGGATTAAACGTCATTTTGCCGCGTTAATGGACGCAATGCGACTATGATGTTCCTCCAGGTAGCGAGGTTGCTGTTGGTTTAATCGGATCGTATGATTCTCTGGGTATGTCGGTATTGAAGTGTCAAAGTTCTCAAGCTCCAAAATTCGAATGTTCGTGCACATATTCGTCGCACTGCCCCTCACGTAAACAAGCGCACAGGCGCAGGTACTTACTTTTGATCGATAGTTGCCCTTGACGATTATCAACCACAAATGGATTTCTTGAATTCTCACCAGCATTTCAAGATCATCGCTACATGGCTGAGCAACGAAATCTGCGGAGATTTCCTTTCATATATACTGAAATCATTTTCAAGTTCAAGACTTCCTGGTCCTGACGTAGAATACCAGGGACGAGAGGAGACCGGTCGCGCCAACTCGCCATGACCAGACACTGGAGGTAGGTATGAATTGGTCTGGATCATTGATCAGAGCTCAATCACCATTCTCACTGTCGTGTTCGTGTAGATGCAAGAGCGACCCAGCTCTCTGAGACTGCCGAAACAACAGATTGATAAGATCTCCATTTTATTCGAGGTTTCTACATCTATTACAGTCATTTTGTGCAGTATATGTGCGGGTGGCGATCTCCTGAGCATTTTCCTACGGACGATCCAACGTGACCCTATACCGTCCCCCGGGCTAAACATTGTTAGCGCCGTGCCAGGCATCCACCTTTTGCGGTAGATTTTAGTGAAGCAACAGCTCACGCTCCTATAGAAAACTGCGCACAGGATACTGATTAACAAATTTTGATACCTGGCGCGACGCTAACAATCTTTATCCTGGAAGGTTGTATCCGGGGTTACTACCAAATAATGACAAGATCGTCAGCAGCAGGCGGCATCTCCACGCGGCTACCCTGATGCGGCACGGCGGGAACCATCCAACTGGACCTTTTCGAATGCATTTCGAACTTTCATTGAAGCTTTTGGAGTTAGACGACATTAATTTCCATGCTATAAGCTGGGCTGAGATTCTCATTTCCGCATCTGTAGCTTCTGATTGGTTGCCGGCGCAAGATGATGGTCATATTGATGTCCTGAACCCTTGCGCAATATCAACATCCGTCAGAAGGCTGAGCTCGTGGATATGAGAAGCGAACACCCATTGGTTCAGCCTCAAAGTCGGGGCGAAGCTGGCTCTTACTTCACAGAATGTTCGGGTCGAATTTCCATATCCGATTACACATAAAGGATTGGCGTAGAATCTTGTTTGCCAGATTGTTTGATCGATTCCTGATGATGAGCACCGTCACGAGGCTCGTTGCATATTTCTAGAAGAACGCCTAAATATTCTTGGTTGGACAACCGCATCCAATCACTATTCCCAAGCAGGCGGTCTCTACACACCATCAGGCGCGCTGTCGTTGATGAAGGATTGCTTATCAAGCGCCATCATAATTGTACACCGAGCGAACCCCGTTTGCGTGCCCTGAGACCGACATCTACCAAGCTTCTCTCAGGCACTGTTTCCGCATGCACGACGGCAGGGGAACGGTACTACGTGTCAGTCTGACAGGCAGGACTGGACGTGGTCAACCCCCGCAGCATGCACCAACGGAGGCAGACTCTGAATAAGCGCAAATAATGGGGAATCGTCGTCCCTGGCCTGCATCTGCCAATGCTGTCAAGCATTAAGCCACTTCATTACGCTGTCGAAACAGCCTAGAACGGACCCTGGATAAATGCGTGGGCAGGCAGTGGAGGAAGAGGGATTTCGATGACGTCCGCTGCATAACAGGGAAATGCGATGAATAGGACGGCCCCACGATGACGCCAATCATGTAGCTGTCGATCCCATACCAATCTTAGCTTGGGCTGGGGAGCTTTGGCCTTTTTCAAGGTTGCCAACCGGGCGTGACAATTGGGCGCCACAAGGGCTAATGTCCAGTGACTCTCTCGAGTGACTATCTCGCTAAAACACGCAGTATCGCATGATTGTTGGATGTCCAGAAAATATGCAGCAATTTCGAGACAAATTGGGAGCTGTGGTGCTTGGGAAACGAGTTACAAGGCGACGCTGGCCACGTTTTTTTTGGTTTTGCCAAACGGTGAATACGAGCATATATCGGATCTAAGATGGAGGCAGATGAGATATGTCAGTTCCCTTGTTGTTCTGCAGTGCGGCCGCAATTTAGACGCTCATGTACAGGTACCTGTCCCGAGTAGAGCCGTCGGATTGATATGTCAATCCCTGTTTCCGGGGAATTGTGATAGCTTGATCAGATGGGTTTTGCGCCGCGACACGCCGTGACGCCTGGGTAAGGTTATCAATGGAAAAGTCAATGGCAGGTGCAGGCTGGCAGTGCGCTATGAAGCATCGTTTCTGCACTCGGCCTGTCTTCCGTTTGCTCCATGGTGGTCAAAGAGAGGAGAGCAACGCGGTTTCTGCAAGTTCATGGCCAACTGCAGCGATGATATGACCAACATGGGCGGATCGGAGCAAGCCACGCCACCAGGGCACTAGCGAAGCCCTTCGAAGCTGTCCTGTGGCTCACAGCATCGCATCGCAACCTCGCATCTTTTCCGCCAATTCTTGGGAAACCGCCCAGGTTGGCCAATGACTCCGACATGAACCTGGTGACACTGATGAATGCTGTCGATGGAACTGGAGGGAAAAATCCAGTTTGGTAAGGGCCGAAAGTGCATTTTCAGATTGAAAACCGGAATACAGAGCGGGACAGAGTGGTAATGTTTGAAGACTTGGATACGACATACGTAGTAAATGGTAGCAGCGGCCCGCCCAATCGAACATTCGGCGGGGCATTTCTTTGCTGCCTCGTGTAGGTGCCAGTATTTAAGCTATTCACTCTCTGTTGCTGCTCTGGACCCTTACATCATCGATCTCTCGTGGGTTGCCCAGGGCCAAAAGCCGTTCTAGCGCGTTTGGAACCTTTGGCGGTAAATAGACGAGAGCCATTTTCAAAGCTTTTGGCACCTGTAATTTGTGAAGGAGGCATTTTGAAGTTCACCCGCCCATTGAAGGCGAATTGACCAACACCCGAGTCTGGGCCATCTCGGTCCTGGTTCGTTCCCATGGCCAGGAACAGGACTAGTATCGGTACTCACTCAGGAACATGGTCCCGCAGTGGGCGAGTTCTGTTCCTGCAACTGGCCGTCTTGGTTTCTTGGGACTTCCTTCGGGCACCTAGAAGAAGAGGGTCAAGTTGGTTGAGTGTACCTTGTCCATGAATAGATATGGCATGATGGACAAACGTAACACCCTCTATGTCCTCTTCACTGCTGTGCGTTCGAAGCTGTGTGGGCAAGTTGGTGGTGAAAACAGCATAAACCTCTGAATGCCGTGCTTGCAAGTGAACCATTGCGTACACTACACCTAACCGTTAGAAGTCGAGCAGCACTTGCAGAGACTTTTGAACAAGAAGTCGAGGCTCCAGAAACGGTTTGGAGTCTTTGACGGAGTACGACCTAGAGTTAGTAGGGCGTTGGCGTAGGGTGACGTCTGGAAAATCCATATAATGGCATTCCCTGCCACACCCTGGGAACTTCACCATCCACTACCCCCAGTTTTCAGTCTGCATTCCTGCTGCTTTACTCGCCCCCGCCGCCATTGAAGAACCTGAACATTCCAACACGAACTTTTAGTCATTTCCAAGCGTTGGATCACGCATGAACGACAAGGTCCCTGGCGGAGGCGGGTTTTTGCATTTACAACACGCGGACAGCAAATATTCCACTCTTTGGCTGAGTCGTTGCTTCCACCTGCTTGGGAAAGCACCAGCAACTAGCAACCAGTAACTCGAACTGGGTGGGACAAATAAATTGGCGCGCACGACAACTTCCCGACTGCCGTGCAACTCTGGATTTGGCGAGTCAGGTCGACATTACGAATTTACGAGTGGAAAAGGTTGAGGCGAATTCCATATTCGCTACCATTTGCGACACACAGAGACAGCACCGCATTCTGCTATAACGCTGTCCAACAAGCTCGAAACTTGCAATTGCAGCCATACATTGAACCGCGCCCATGGCGATGCCCGTCGAGCCATCTTCAACAAGCATTAACGACAGCAGCCATCGACCCTGCAGGGGGGTAACATCGCATTCCTAAGGGTCTTCCGCCTTGCGGTCCCCACCGCCTGGAATCATGGCCTTCTGGCCGTTCAGGCGTAAAGGCTCGCGCAAACGATCTCCTAGACGTGGACGAGTACGACAAGACGCAACCCCCAATGCCCCGCCGCGATCGATGACCGAGCCAATTGTGGAATCAACGATGACCACCCTCGGGGCGTTGGGACTTAACAAGACACAGCGAACCAACTCCGCTAGTAATAAAAAGCTACAGAGGCGGCCCCGCACCTACAGCTTCTCGCCAGGCCGTCGAGACTCGATTCGTGTCGCCCGGGCCCGGCAGGATTCGGTCCCACCTTTACCGACAAGGCCAATCCCGGATGCCATAAACGACCATTATGGAAACAAGGGGCAAGACCCATCTTTCGCCGTGGCGCATGGGTCTGGGTGCGCACAAGAACCTGATCCATTCGGGGATCGAGTGCCCACTCTTCACCACAACAACTCTCGCAACAAGAGAAGGGGGCAGCCTATGTCCCGCAAGAAGTCGAATAAAAGACAGAAAGAAGACCACGATCGCGAGGCCGAGATCAAGGCCCTAAGCCATGCCAACACAGCGCCCGTTCGACCTGGTACTGACGGCTGGACCATGGGACGGCCAATGAAGAAAAGCAGTAAGCGGCTGAGGCCGGGCCTCAGCAGCAAGACACGGGAGGGTCACGACTCCGACCTCTCGCTCCCCATCCCCGAGTCGATCGATTCCTCCATGTCGTCAGACTCGGAGCAGGCCTCTTGGAGGGTGTCTGCACTTGACGCTCTGGCTCCACGTCCGACTTTACGGTACTCGTCCAATCCCATATACGGGGCCTCGTCCGGTTCAGGGCCGATGCACGCCTTGTCACAGAAGAGAAAGATATCTGAAAAGGGTCCAATACCACAGGAAACTCTCAAGGCCCACAAGAGGATAGATGACTTGGCCGATGATTTGGATGCATCTGACCTGCGGGAGTTGATGGAGCGGGATACGCGCCGGAGGGAACGTAAGAAACAGAGAGAACGGGAAAGGCTAGAAAGAAGGCTAGCGCGACGAGCCGAGAGGGACAAACAAGAAGAAGCCGAAGCAGCCAGAAATGGTATGCCATCGCCGCAAAACCTGGAGAGGGGTGTAATGGGCCGCGAAATGGTTGGGTTGGGAGTCGACACCACATCCGCTGTCGTTACTTCTTCGCGGAGGAGACCATCGGTTGACTCGTCGCGGCAACGCGAAAAACGATCGGCACAACACAATGACAGCTCAGAAAACAATCGAGGACGCACACCGTCGCCGTTGGATGAGTTCCACCGCACCGATAGCATCCAAATCGAGCCGCTGGCGCTAGCGAAAGCTTCAGAGGTGGACGTGGAGGCGGAAGTAGCATCTGAAGAAGCTCCAAAGCCTCCATCATCACCGCGGTCCCGGTCAATAAGTCCAAAATTTATGGGCTTCATCCGGTCACGGAAACAGCGGTCAAAATCGCCAACTAACCCAATTGAGGAGAAGATGGGAGCTAAGCCAGCACCGGCGGAATCTTCTCAACTAGCTTCAAAGTCTCAAGACTCTTTCTCTGGCGGGAGGTCGTCGGACGGTTCTTCATCTAGGCCTTGGACCTCTCTCTTTAGATGGGGAAGGGGCGCGAAAGCAAGGCACACTTCAGGACCCTCGTCTTTCTCGAACACGTCCCGCGACTCCATGCGCGATTCGATGATAAATCAACCATCGCCGGCGGCCATCAACTACGTGCCAGTACGGCAGTTGAGTTCCAAGGTCCCGAAACGTACAATGTCACGTTTCAGGGAAGACCTTCCGGAATTACCTTTGTCACCGCCTGACTCTCGAGTGGCATCCCCGGAGGCTGAACCTCTACCCTCAGGGCCTTTGCCTGTCATTGCCGACGAAGTGGCCATGCGGTACGACACGCCCAATTCCGAAAACCGTGCATCGCCCATTTCGATACCAGGACGCCGAGATGAAGTGCAACCTTCTCCGGCGCCTATGTCGATGTCGCTGGCATCGATCGACTCGGAAGCCTCGTGGCTGTCTGGACGGGCCGCTGGGAAACGCGCTTCGTCCGGACTGCGTGGTTCCTTGTCAAACTATCCCATGCGTTCTGGTTCTAGGGAATCGGAACAAGGGGACCAAGGGGACGATGAACACGTTGCCGACGAGGAGTATCTCAAGACCGCAATCAACAACAAATTGCATCGCAAGTCAACCGGTGAGGCGCGACTTAGCAGCAACGAGGATGAGGATGAGGGCGAGGACAGGCGATCCCCAAAGTGGGGTGCTGTAAACCAAACACAAACACCGACAGTCACGCGTTACACCGAGACAATGCGAAGCCGGGAAGGTTTTCTTCAAAACTCCGAAGATGCCGATAAAGAAACCGGCATTGGAAGAGACAGCGAAGAAGGACGTCTGCTCTCGGAAGGCGAAAGTCCCCTACCGCAGAGAGCAACTAGCATCAACTTCGGCAGAGGACACGTCCGCAACTTTAGCGCTGGCAGGGCCAAGCTTTTAGAGATTGCTCCTAGGGCATCTGGCGAGAGAAGAAGGAGTGCTGAGCCCGTTACGCAATAAGCTGCTGGCATGGTCGTGCGTGGAGATTTGTGCCAGGCTCGTAACTGACAAACCTAAGGGACGACGATGATCAACAAGGGAGATATGGATTGACAGTCATTCGACATTTCCTTGCAAACTCAGAGACGAACGAGGTATCCACCATCGCTGAGACTCGCAACACATTCATTCATATTCTCTTTACAACTCTGCGATACTGACCTCTATTCGCTCATTCACCATTTCCTTACTCTTTCAATCCGACCATCACCAAAAACATCCGAAAACAAACTAAAAGCAGCCTATCTCCCCACTTGATATCGTCATTGCCTCTTGTCTCAGCAGCTATTTGCACTTCGCCCGTCGACAACTAACGCGTCAGTATGCTTCAACACCGGCACTTTCGTATACTCTCGCCGGCCCCTCATTATCTCACCAATACATACGCCCGACGCATGTAAGATACGACTTTTACGACCTATAGACTTCACCTGACGGCGCCGAAGCAAACGCTACGGTCTGACCTTTTATTTCAATTCCTGTCGAATATACTGCGATACCACACTGATTTTTCACTTTCGAGGGGCGCAGTTTACAATGATACCACTTAGGCTTTTTTCTTGCCAACGCAGAGGTTCGGGCTTGAATACCCATTCCACGTTGCGAAGTTAACACACATGGTATGCCTGGAGCTTCCTATTTTTACACATAGCGGCCGACCATGCCCTCGGTTCCTCATGCGCCCTGCTCTGTACGAAGCGTTACAATTTCCTCAACAATTTGATGAGAGGGCGGATTGGCCAATTCATTTAGGGAAATGGCCCTGTGTTTCTTTTTACTTTCTACGGAAGGGGGATGGAGGTCGGAAGGGCGGAAAAAAGGCACTTTTCTGATTTTTATCGCGGCATTTTTCTTCTACACATAGAGGATACTTTGGGACCAGCCAAACAAGCTTGCGGGTTTTCTACCGTGAAGTCTGGAACACGGAGGTCACCACTCGGCATGCCGCTAGTCCTCACGAAGGGTTGCTGAAGTATTCCTGAAGGCATTTATTGCTCACATGTACGAGTTGTTAATTTGCGGAAGAAAATGCGAAAGGCACTTTCCTGAGCCCAAGAATCGATTCCGTTCGTTGCTCGTATCGAATGCTGTGACGTGCGCCGTACGACTTCTAACTTGCTCTCATTCGTCCTCAGTTACGGTGGACTGGTCGAAGAATCATTAGAGATAAGTTCGAGGACTGCATTTCGTACCCATGTAGGGCTCCGAAACTATAACCGGGTTTCATGGGGTCATCCTTGTCCAGTCGTCGAAGCGACAACTCTCAAATTGATGGTGTAGGTTAGATCACGAACTGTTGCACTCTATTCGTGGGCGAACTTAGACTTCGAGGCTACTTCCAACCAAGACCCCAATGACGCACGCCAACGCGTTGGGGAAGTTTGTGCATATCCGTAACCTGCACAAGAGGAGTTAATTTCGCAACATGTGGATACATATCGGGTGCTGCGGGTTATTAGAACCAAAGGGCGTGTCCATGGGCAATCGAGCTGGAATAATACGGGCAAATGAAGTTGTTGGGGACTTTAGGGCTCTCATCCGATATGACCGCGGCAGCAGAGACGGGTCAGTTATGATGGGAATAGTGGAGTACCAAGGAAACAGTCAGGGGTGGGTAAATAACTGAGGGTTGCTTTAACTACAATTACGCCTTGTTCTACGGGAATTAATACGCCTATCCATGATGCTATCGCGTAATTTATCATTAATTCTCCTTGCTATTAAATTAGTCATTACGCCCCTGGGTCCGTCTATGATGACTCCTAAATCCCGAATCCCACCACTAGTCACGAACCGATGTATCAATCCAAGTCTCACCACAGAGGAAATGGTGCACATTCCCTGCACCGTATTGATCAAGATCTCCTCAATGTGCTCACGACATGCTTCTCGCGAAACGGCAGTGCACCATGTCGTACTCCCAGCTCACGAGGATCAAAGCCTCCAGAGCGTGGCCGTCTGGACTCATGCCAACCCGCCGGTCCCGAAGCCTGCCTCTTCAACCCCGTAGACGGCGGCGGCGAGCTTGACAACGTGTAGTTGCCCTCGTACTCTTCAGGGGTTGTCGTCGTTGGGGATGCAATCTTGAGCAGTGCCGCCTGTTCCTTGTGCCCCAAAGCCTTCGCCATCCTGTAGGGCGTCCTAAGCACGTTGCTCTCCTCGTCCACTTTGGCCTGTATGTCGGACGAAGCGCCCGCAGCCAGCAAAGTCCGGATTATGTCCGAATCACCAGCGATTGCAGCATAGTGCAGCGGGGTCCGGTTCAGGTAGTCGGCAGCATTCGGGTGTACCCCGTGGGAGATCATGGCTTCCACCATAGCTGTACTGGATGCCGGCTCCGAGCGTCGGGACTCCTTCCCCTTTTTGATCGCGGTCACAGCCGTGTTGCCCTTGAAGTACTTCAGCTCATCGCCAAAGATGACTTGTGCCCACGGCGTATAGCCGCAGGAATCGACCTGCTGGAATTCCGCGCCGTTCTCCAGCAGAAGGTTCATGGCCGACAGGTTGTTGGACCGCAGGGCCACCTCGAGCGGGGTGGACTTGGAGAACTCATCTTCCTCGTATCTGCCCTCGACCGAGGCGAGGTCGCGGTGGGCCTCATTCAAGTCGGCAACCTCATCTACCAGGATCTGGACAATAGGGTCCATGTGGTTGTCGATGGCGACGAGGAGAGCGGTTCCCATTTCCAGAAAACCGTCGCTGTCTTGCTGAAGCAGCCACTCGACCGCACTTTTCTGCTCGTATTTGGTCGCGGTAATGAGTAGGTCATTACCCCTTTTCTGCAGATTCTCATCCTCACTGCCCCTATCATCAAATGCCCTCTTGTCCTCGTCGAGGAAGACGGAGCACGAATTGCTATCGACGAGTCCTTGCATAATGGCAAAATCGCCGCGCTGGGCGAGGAAGTGCATGTAAGACTCGATTCGGGTGTCTTTGTTGATGTTGGCGTAGATGCTCCACCATACACCAAAGTATCTCTGTCTGAGATCACACAACCGACGGGCTTGCTCGCGCAGATTAACCAAGTCTCCCTGATCGCTAAACGAGGGCCCAAAGACTTGAAGGTGGTGAAACCAGTTTTTGGCGGCGTATGTGCAGAAAGACTTAATAGGCTCTTTGGTGCTCCAATCAAAGGTTTCTCTCCACGCAACGAGAGGGTTGTCGTCTATTTCCAAGTTGCTGGTGGTAACTTGCCAGTTCATAGCGTCCTTGGAAGTCTGCGTGGTGGGTCGGTAGGGGATGGCGGAGGATTTTGTCAGACGAACCCAATCCTGCATGAGGAGGCAGGCCACGCACTTCTCAGCAAGCAACAGATTGCTCTCCAGCAGGTCGATGGAATGCCTCCACGAACCCTGTCCGTTTTGAGACGCCTCCGTCCTAAGCAGAAATTGTCGAGCCGTCTGGTGAATGAGCTCCACCTTGTCATTGCGGATTGCGATGAAGATCCTGCCCAGTCCCGTGACGGTTTCCTCCATGTTGGGTTCCAGACATTCTAGCAGTCCCTCAATCGACGAAGTCTTCGCATTGATCCCCATCGCGACATTGATTTGATGAAGCGACATGGGGCTAGTCGCCGTGAGTACAATCTGTAGCAAGGCCCTTGAGTCCTTGTAATTATCTGTTTCTCGAAAGGAGTTCTCGTAGCTGCACCGCCAAATTAGCATATACGCCTCTACAGCCAAGGGGCATTATACTTGCAGAGTATCAAGACCATCAACTGGACTCTGGAGTGCTATCTTAATATTATCAATGCTGCGGCGTTTCATGTTTGCGATCTTTTTGAACATGAGAGCAAGCCACAGATATGTCTGTCCGGCTGATTTCACGAGCTCACACTCGAGAAATCTCGCGGCTTTCCAGGCCAGAGTACCATCAATTTCGAGTTGTTTGACGTTGGCGTAAATGACCCTTTCGATGTTGAGCTTTAATAGCGGTCCCTGGTCTGGACACTGAACGCGATGGATGGAATGGCGGATGCGGCTGAGTCGCCTCTCAATGACAGCATCGGGCCTGCTTGTGATGAGGACTTTGAGGTTTGCCCTCAGCGAAGCTGATTTCGTATTCGTAGGGAGTTCAAATGTCGATGCGATCTGATGCAGGAGACGGTCGCGAGTTGCCTGCGCGCACCCGTCCAATCCATCGAGAATCAGAATGATCCGAGACGGTACCAGAGTGATTAGCTGCCACAGTTGCTCAACTGACTTTGTGACCGCGTCACCTTTAAAGTCGAAGTATCGGCGTGACGTGTGTATCTCTCTCGGCAGCTTTGAATAGATCCGATAAAGCATGGAACTTAATGCTTGGTGGGCTTCCATTCGACTGGCCTCTCCATCCTTGAAGAAAAACGAGCAGACGATTGCGCCGCTGGCGAGCCTCGGTAGGGCGTTGGCAGCGTGCTTTGCGAGGACGGTTTTGCCTTGACCGGCGTGACCCGTAAGCCATAGGAGATGTGCTGAATCCTGGGCGAGCCAACTCCTGAAACTTGAGTTGTCGGTAAGCCAGTCACAGGTTTCAGTGACAGGACTGTCGATACTCGACAGCTGATAATCGTAGTCGGGGCTTGCGTTGTATAAGGAGGCGAGACAGCCTTCAACAGTGAGCAGGGTTGCGTGTGTTAGACTAAGCATGGTATATCTTACTTCTTTCGATGTCGTTTAGCTTGTAAATTGGAATGTCCAGTATGTCTGTCAAGTCAGTCAGCATGTAGTATTTAACAAGCCGCCATGCAGAAGGCGGCATCAAAGTACTTCACAGGATGATTGGTGGAGAGACGAATGCTTTCGACGCTGTAGAATAACCTAGAATAGCTGTTGTTCGACGCCCTATTTGACATGTACCGAGTACTCAACCTATCGCCCAGATCCTAACCTCCCCAGCCGTGAATACATTCGTTCAAGGTTATTCGGCGGCGTGTACTCGGTTCGTAGTTGTATTCGATTGCCATGCGCATTGGCAAGCTGAAGACGGGGGGGCTCGTACCGAATAGAGGACTCTGGCATACCTCACGCAGCTTCTCTGCGCACCTCAACAGCCTCTGACTGATCTCATGCCTGTTCAGGTACCCATCTGTCTGTTCCTCCAACAACTCCACGCGTTGATACTCATGTAGACCAACTCGACCAAGACCTGGGACGTTGAAGCGATAATAGAAGTCGCGCTCGACAAGGTCGTTGTTGCGCTGAATAAATCGGTTGGCCGTGTTTTGTGTCTCTGTGGCTATTTCTTCCAGGGTCTTGACAATACCCGTGAGGCCCTCATGCGTTGTCGTGGAAGGTTTTTCGCCAGTCCCGAGGCTAATAATAACGGTATTTCCGTCGCCCCAGAGGTCTTTGGCTTCCTGCCAAACCGCCTCCACAGGATTGTTCATACCCAAAGCACCATCAATGAACACCCTGCCGGCAATCTTACAAGGTGAGAAAAAAGTTGAAGCTGCAGAGGTGGCTCGGCAGGCCTCCCACAACTTGCACCTGTCGGAAATACTATCCGGCTGGTTCTCATTTTCGTATGACCTTAGAAGAGACACGTGTCCGACGCTTGACATTTTGCTACAGACGAAACTGGGTAGAGAGATCAATATGGTTCGGTGAGGGCATTTCTAAGGACTTACACTCTGCAAGGGGAAATCTCCCCCTCGTCGTCCATCAGAGGTATGTCGGCATCTCCTATCTTCTTTTCGATGACTGCGCGGATCTGTTGCTCAAGTACGTCGGCGTCAAACCTTTCATCTGCAGTCAACCTGTCCGCAGCTCGACGGGGTATGTCTGCACGCGCCCTCTTCGGCTGGAACACTATTTTGGAAAGCTTGCAATACTCGTCGAGGCATTCATCTGTACTCATTTTCAAGCGACCGAGCATTACAGCGAGAATTCTGCGGAAGCCGCTCAATCAGAGTATGTCCAAGGTGAGCGTACAGGCGACCACGGAGTTGCCAACATCCATATCGAAGGCGTGTACTCGAGATCAAACTCACCCGCCAGTACTGGTCCCCCCAATGAGGCTGAAAACCTGCCAGGGAAGCAAGTGTTGGCCTCTGGGTCTTTTCAATTTCCGATTGACGGTTTTCATGATGAGGCCGAGTTGAAGTATGGCCGAGATGCCCCGAACACCACCACCATCTAGCACCATTAGTTTGATTTGAAGCAAGTTATACATGTGTGTGCACTCACCGATGGATAGAACGCATCTTGGGCGAGTGTCATTCATGATCAGGGAGTTGGCAAGGAAGAGCGCGAAAGCGAGAATGAAACCCCCAAGTTGGAGAGGACGGCGGGAGAAATAGACGAATATAGGTATATCGCTGGAAACAAGAGTCGCTGAAATATAACAGAGATGGCTGGATATGATGGGAGAAGTTGGTATGAGAGAGCGAGTTTAACGAGAATGAGCATAGCCAAACCGACTGTATCCTAGAAGCACACCAACTATATATCTCGAGAAGCAGGATGACGACCCTGGCCGAATCTGCCTTGTGGATTTCCACATGAGGGACCGGGTTGGCCATATTGAGCGTCGTTGACGCAGTTCAGTATGTTTCGCATGGGTCGAGGCGCCGTGCGACGAGGTAGCCTCGCTGGTCACTCGGGCAGATGACCATGATGCGTATAGTAGATGTAACGCAGCTCCCGATCACTGTGCCACAGGTTTGCGACGTCGAGGTAGCATCAAGGCCACTGTGTTTGAGCACAGGTGACACAATGCATACTGCCCCTGAGTGGCGCGCGCACGACAGTAACCCGATAGATTTGACTGGACAATGGCCCCTGTTTCTGCCAGCTATCGGGGTAGGCTGTGTGTCCTGGTGCAGGTTTGGGGTTGATGCGCAATTGACACAATTGACACCCTACCTCATCTCACTATTAAGCCGTTCTGGAACTCTAATCGTGGCGCAACCTGACTGGTAGAACACATGAAGGGACGATAAGAATAGTGTCAAACAGGGGAGATAGGGGCAAATTGACAGCTTGAACACTCAGCTGATGCTAAAGAAATGGAAACGCGCAGATACAGCAGGCTGCATATATGCATGTTGGTTCTCTGCAGGTTGGCGCAGACGTCCAACAACCCAGCCAGACTCATCATCGACTATCACATGAGCCTGAACTGGAAGACGCATGATTGAAATCCAAGGAGATGCCCGAAAAATGCCTATGGTACAAGCTTGTCAATTCCAAGCAAAGCCTTGTTTGGATTGCTCTGGATCCGCAAAGTGTTTGACCTAATGCCCACGACACCTCAAGATCTGGAATCGACGTTAACTGGGAGCTGGTGACGGCTCGTGATGAAGGCGCCAACTATCCAATTGATTATTGATGGCAGATCCTTGACAGATTGGCATGTTAGAAGGCCAATGGAAGAACGATTGTGGTCTGATTACAACTGGGGGTCTAATCCGTCTGCGAACCATAAAATGGACGGCGATTCCATCTCATGCCCAAGTGCTGCTGCTTGGCCTTCGATAGGCACCAGACAGACAGCATGATGGATCCCAGACGCGAGCTGGGAGTTTGTGGGTTACCTCTCGATCGGCAGTCGGTACTAGCAAGCAGGTTATCGGTCTTCAACGCACTGGTGCTTTGGGCACTTGTTGGAGCGTGCATCACGATCCGTTTTTCCAGAAATATTTTCTGCAGCACAAATAGCGTCATCGCACACCCTGACAAATCAAAGATTCTGAAGATACATGACACGCAAGACAAGGCCAATCTTTTTTTGTAGCAGCTCTTCATTCGACGTACTTTTGCTTACTAGGTAGCCACTACTGTACATACAGGTGTACATACAGGTGTACATTCAAGTGTACATTCAGGCGTTTTAGAATTGATCTTGGAAGCTTCTTTTCTTCCGAGCTCGTCTCCATTACAGAGCGACATAAATAACGCCCGCTTCTGCCACTCCTATCCGAAACCTCTTATCCGAGATCCACCCTCCATGTCAACCACATTTCTCAGAGCAACTCAGTCTACTTTCCGACTCAATCCAACAAGCATCCTTAAGCAATCGCGCCCATTTGCATCCCAAACTCGCCAATTCCACTTCACCTCGCCCAAAATGACTATCCACAACCTGCAGTCGTACGTCCTCCTTGGGTCCGAACCGCGTTTGTCGCACCGAGAGCTACCCCACCCTCGTGTGTGCGACGGCTGGACCGGTGTAAAGTAGGACAATACTGACTCTATCACAGCACCGAGGCCTGGAAGGAGGCCCTGAAGAACAACAAGGTCGTTATGCTCGACTGCTTTGCGACCTGGTGTGGTCCTTGCAAGTCCATTGCTCCCATCCTGACCAAGTGAGTGTACTGTCCGCACGAGGCGCCATTTTGCATGAAGCCTAAAGCACTGCCACCTCTTGCTAACTACCCCCCCCCTCCGCTACAGTTACTCCAACGAGGAGCAATACAAGGACATCTTCTTCGCCAAGATCGACGTTGACGAGCTGCCGGAGCTGAGTCAAGAGCTCGGCATCCGCGCTATGCCCACCTTTATGCTGTTCAAGGACGGCGAGAAGGCAGACGAGCTGGTCGGTGCTAACCCCAACGGCCTCATTGCCCTGCTCAAGAAGGGAACTGAGTAAATTTTCGATATCCCCTGGTTTGGCAACAGAAACGAAGGTGGTACATAAGAGATACGATTCAATGGTTACGGGCTGAGCCGGACGCGGTCATTGCGGCCGTCGCAGAAATACGCGTGATGGATTCAAACACAGCGCCGACAAAAGGGTATTGTCTTTCTCGGCATAGATAGTTTCATGGTCCAATATCATTCTGTTCTTCGTCACAACTATGAAGATAATGGTGACAATCGTACTATTTAGCCGCGACATCGGGGCCCGGGCTTTTCCGGTGACGTCAACTTCCAGTACCGGGAGACTGGTTGTAAAGAAACGGGAGAAATAGCTTGGCGTGAGAATTCTTTCGAGGCTAGGTTTTTGTTGCCGAGCAGGACTCCTCCGACAATTCCAGCTAGACCAGTTCCTCGAAGTTAGTGGGCTCCATTCCCAGCAGTCACCGCAGCACATCCGGGCTTCCCTGGTGCCCCAGATAGTATAGGAAGCCACGAGCCTCTCGGCTTCATCCCAAGAAGTGTCAGGCCGAAGATCCCCCTCGGCACTTAGCTGGAAATCGTCCATCACTAAACGACCGCTATACACGGCAGGCTCTCGCCCGCCGTAGAGATATCCCATAGTCTTCTGCACACCCACCTCAGACGTCGGCGTCCTAACCTCCGTCTTCTTGCCAACCTGCCTCCCAATTACCCGCACCAAATCCCCTTCCGATACCGGCAGAGTGGAGCAAAGCGGGTACAGTGCCAGATAGCGCTCTTCCCTCTCATTGAACACCTTAGCCGCCGCCGAGGCGAAACTCAACGCGACTAGACTGCATGTCCGGGTCCCATAACTTCTCTAGGACGGGTCTATCCCAGTGGCCAGCAGTAGGGCTGAGTACGCGTCCATGAAGTTTGTCAGCTGCCGAACAGTGAAGTTGAGCGGGCGCAGGAACAGCCGCTCTTCGACGTAGCTTTTGAAGTCGTGCTGCACGAGGCTCCGGCGCTACGTGCATAGCGAGCTCGAGAAGATGGAGTGTTTAAAAAGGTTGCCTGGACGCTGGGTCTCGGATACGGCTGCGTCGATCAGATTGAAGCCCATGTCTTTCTCGCGCGAGTGGAAAAATGGGCCGACGTGGCAGATCAGCATTGCGCCTTTGAGGAGGGCTTGGCAGGCTGGAGGGAGGCAAGGTCGGTGGGTATGACTTCAGCGTCCATGTAGGAGGCCGGGAGCTTGGAGGCGGGACTTTGAGAGTGGTGGCGAGGCGCAGTTAGAATTTTCCTTTATTGTAGAGGAGGGGGAGAAGGTAGGAGCAGCGCTTGCTGCTGGGGCAGGTGACGAGTGTCTCGCCCATTTTGGCTGCACGATGGACTGTTCCAGGGAAGTGGGATCTTCGTCAAAAGGCCCAGGATATCGTAGGTACTTTTATGGCTGATGGATCTGGTGTCACTATAATCTAGCTTAGAGCCGAAGGCGAACACTTCACGATGAAGTATATATCGTGCGGATTTATCTGCAATTCTGTTTGGGGCATTTAAGCTTGTCGACCAAATCTGGACAATGTCACTCGGTGGGTAATGGCCGCCAGCTCAAGATCCGACTCGCCTCCTAAGTTGGGCTTAGAGTTGGACGCCGAATGCTTCTGGAAGTGTTGTCCAAAGCACAATCGGCCTTAGTGTGAATATTAGATACTTGGGTAGGCTGCCAAGTTTGCATTCAACGCCTGTGGCGTTAATTATCATGCCTGTGCCGCATGTATGCATATAGGGATTGCACAGTTAGTCTTGTATGCGAGAGCCGGCCTATCCTGCTTGGTAGTTAGACAGCATATCGCCACACATCATCACTTCGCACCCTTTCCAGCTCTTGGTCCCAACGTTGAATGTACCCAAAGTTAGCTAACTATGGCGGATGAGAAAATCAAACGGCGTACTTAGGTGCGATAAGTATGTTATACCTGGTTTAGTACACGGGCATATCGAACTATCCCACATTTTCCACCTGAGTTCGCCGTAATTTTTCCATCCCATTTCTTACGGCTGTTCACGGTGCTGGTACATGACGGCCATTCCACCAAGGCAAGAACCGTTCCCCTTTGCTCAAATTCAGCATGGTGCAAGGCTTGCCCTCACAGCCCCTGGATGGCTGCTCGTTCCCCCACCAGTTGATCTCAAGTCCAAGCCATGAGACTGTGAAGAACATCACGATTGCTGCAATGGCGACTCCGGCGGAGAAAGCAGCGGAAAGGACGAAGTTATACTGACAAGGCGCATCGTTAGTTGCTGTCTCCAAGGAGTAAACAGCTATCGAAACGGTGTTCAACAACAGCTGGTGACGAAAGAAGAGTAAATATTGCCCACCTTAGACCAGAACGCAAGGTAACGGCTCTTCACATAGATCCATGACAGCCAAGCAATTGGGACCGATGGCCAGAGGTAAGAGAAACTGTACGGGGCCCAGTTGAGACCACCGTACCACAAGGCCACGGGATGGACCTGTCGTAGGTGTCTGTTCCGGGGGAAAAGCTTCGCCAGGAGGAAGAAGAGGACAGTGGTGATTACCCCCAGCGGAAACCCTAGGAGAAGCGCGCCGTATTGACCTTGGTGCCCAAACATCTTGATTGGTCCAATGGTGCCCCATAAAACAGATGCAGTGAAGAAGGTGTTTGGACCGGGACATAGAAAGCGCATAGGGGCGTTGGGTTGGCATACGTTCTCGATGTTGATCTGCAAGCGTTGGTCAGCCAGTGTAAATGTGCAGGGAAGTTTCATCCTGCACCCACTTGGAACTGCATTACTCCCGTGCTAACAAAGGTAGATACGAGTGTTGCGATCATCTGAGCAGCGAACGTATGCCAGGGTGGAATCTGCCAATCTTTAGCACCAGTCTTACCCCACTAGGTGGCATATACCTCTTTCCTACCTTGAGATAGTGCGCCACTTTCAAGTCGTTCGCAAAATGCACGGCATGGGCACATGTGACGTATCTGAGACTTTCATCAGCCCAGCTTTCTGGAATATGAACGTAGACAGAGCGAGCTTCGCTTTACCCAAAAGACTTGAAAAAGTTCATGGCGAGGGCGTTGCCTTCAGCAAACATCCCCCCGATGAACTCGGCCAGGACGTTGAGTGTCACCTCGATTCCGGTCATAGCTTTGATCATACCCAGCGGAACGACAAATATCAACGCCAGTATCACTCCGTAAGGCACGACCCCCAGCGTGGTATGCGTGGGCCAGGCCGAGACGCCAGCGATGCCGAGCGCTGCGGCGACCACGAGCGTCGAGAAATACCACCATTCGGAAACTGTTTGCGGTTGGTGGTAAGTTTCTGTAGAACGAAAAGGGTCTTTCTTTTCAAAGTAGGTCAGTCAATCTACCTTCGGGATAAGCGGCCATCAAACGATTATGAACGTCAGCGTAATCGTCTTGCCCCGAATCATTTTCGTTCTCGCCGCCCGACGCTCGCTTGTGGAAGAAAGTCCGCCACAAGTTCTTCAAGCCCATCATGATCTCGCAGCGGTGGAACAAAACCACGTGCGTAATAGCGGCAGCATAAACGCCAAAGAAAGCGCCGTACACGACGGTGATGGCGGCGCCCAGGTAAGCTGCTGAGTAGTTCATGTACTTGTCATGATCGTACATGCCACGATGATCGAGAGTCCTCGATACGTTGTAGAGCTTGCCGAAATGGTCGTATACCCGGTTTGAGTTGATGGGCAGGTATCCAGTGTTCCAGGTGTTGGTATAGTAGATGCCGAGGATGACGAGTCCGAAGAGAAAGCCACCGAGGGCTGTGTTGAAGGTTGTGAATGCTGGAACCATCTGCCGACCATTAGTGCCGATTTGGCAGCGACTGTACAAGAGCATTGCCTACCAGAGGATCTACATGTGAAAGGAGGACATTCCAGTCAAACGTTGGCCAGGGGTTAAGCAGCTAAACACAATTCACATCAGCCAATGAAACATGGCCCTCATTCTAGGGGAATTTCTTACCCCTAAACCATTTCGGAACCCAGTCAGAATCTCCAAATTGTGGTTATTGGGCGAGATCCACGTCATCCAGCTGAAATACGTGAGAAGCTCAAATATGTAATTCGGAAACCAGAAGTAGATAAACATGGCTCCAGACGACCACATGAAGAATTTGTACCGCGACATTGTGAAGCGCTTTTTAAAAGGTCCCGGTATCGCCGTGTTGGTCTCATGATGAAGCGCCGAATTGAGAGCGATGGTAACGAGTGAGGCAGGCCAGAGGCAAAACGAGGGATACACCAGGAATTTCCGGGTTAAGCCAGCCAGACCGTAGCCTATGAAATTGGTTGACAAGGCAATGAGAATTTGATATCCAAAGTCCTTTGCGTACTTCTGGTGAAAGTACTGAGGCAACACTTGCGTCCAGACAATCAGCTGGCTATAGGGGAGAGACTTGGCAGTATTGGCCATAATGGCGATCAGCATATGCTCTTTCTTGTTGAAAGGTCCCGGATTGAGACTGTGCTGCTTGCCGAAAAGAGTGAAACGCCAGTCCGGCATGCACCTTTCCCACGCCTTGCCCAGGGGATAGGCAAGGAGCTGGGCAATGTTGGAGTCGACACTGATGGGGGGTTGACGGATAGAGAAAAGTTGGTTAATGAAGGCTAAGAAGACAGAAAAGAAGATGCCGATGAACCATGCTCGGACCGTGGAGCAAGGGGTAGATGGGTCATCTGTGTTATCGACCACGGCTCGCACTTCGGCGTACGGGCTGTTGTTAGTGATGAGAGCTGCTTGCAGCTTCATCTCCCAGACCAAGTCTTCATGCTTCTCCGAATTCTGGAATACGTTTTCGATGGCTACGGAGATACTGTCAGTGACTTCAAACACCACCTGGCTTCATCCTTACCCAGGAACTCTCTCGTTTTCTCCAGGATCAAATGGGGAAAGTTAGGATCGCGCTCATGGAGTTTTAATGCATTTTTCATGACCTATGCAGAAATAAACTTCAGCAAAATATTGTCAGACTAGGGCATTGGCATACCTTATGGACGCTTTCAAGTGCCATCGTTTGCGCCAAAGCTCTGGCTTCGAGGAGATCATCTTCAGTGACATTGAGCTTCCTACGGCGCATCAGAACGTGACCAGCATCAAGGGTGTATATCACGAGGCTCACGATTCAATCGCCACTTCAATTTTTCTGAGCTTTTCCGACTTCTGCGTCTGATGATGCGTCAGATTCTTGTCCAGATGGATCTCCTTTCAAACGCACCGTTCTTCCGCTGGGTTGACTTGTTTCCTCGGGCGGAATAGGTTGGATGCCGGGTTCTTCGGGATTTGACGTCGTCATATTGAATGCCAATAATTCTGTGAATACCGGTAATTTCAAAACAAAATGTAAGAAAGTTCATGTCAGGAAATACATGGGATCATTTCGCATGTAACGTCCAAGACGTAGAATGCAGTGTGCAGATTTTTTCATTTGAAAACCTACCTGTATTATGCTTCTGAATTTGCTCATCCACTAGTCTGTGGCATGCAATGATTGAGTTAATTCCAGCCTCCGAAGGAAGTTGAGTCCTGCCGTCTGTTGAAATTATCTCTTCTCATCAGGGGTGTGTGGAACTAGATAAGTTTAAGAGAACCATACTCCCGAAGAACTCAATATCAACTGATGCAAGTGCCTTTTCATGAGTGCTGTCAAATTTGTAGACTCGCAATCTGATTTAACAGCCCGTCTACCTGAAATATATAGTTCTGTCACTGCAGACTTATCGACGCATCCTACCAATGTCCCACCACGTTCACAAAACCGATCGACTCATTTGCAAGGCAGAATCATTTTGTCCCATGAGTTGAGAGTGAACGTGATTAGAGTCAATACTAAGTATGCGATCGCAGCCACTGCACGCAAGACCTTGACTTTGTCGACTTTAGGAGTTGTAAGTTTGCGGAGTCGGCCACTTATCTTGGCAAAATGCTCACACCAGACTTGGATTCTCGATCGGGCAAGCTCTCAATGAGTCGAACATTGTACTCTACTTGGTGTCGTGTTGGTCAGCTAGTAACATTTATAAACGAGACTACTGTACCAGTCAAGTCTTAGATCTGGTCTAACTGCAGATATACCACAGCACCTCCTGTCTTATAGTATGACCTTTCTCCACCAGATACTAGTTTAAACTACTTCATAACGACAAACAGACTGCTTATACCAGAATCATAGTACGAATAAACTGCTGCAAAACAATCCACAAATACCTTTGTTCTAACCTTATCACTTAGTCACCGTGTTAGAGGTCGGAGCAGGCATATCTTGGACCATCTTCTAATGCGTTGAATCTATTCTGCTATTCTCCAGCTTCGACATTCGAAATACTTAGTATAAAAACCAACAGTTTATATGTTTAATTATATGAACTGCTCTTATCAGAACGAAGAAGAAAGTAGGGATTATTATACAACTATGTAACAGTATTTTAGTACTTTTTATACATCGTCACTAGCTGAAGTTACAAACATCCCTCCACACCTATAAGTGTTTCTACTTAACAGCGAATTACGTGAGGGGTAGCAGCAGGAAAAGTGCCAGAAGGATTATCTTAAATAAAACTTGCCCGTAACCGCGGAACTTTTCTTCGCAACACGCCAGTCCAATCGCTCATTTCTCGTTTCATCCTTTGCGTCGTGACACCAGAACTCGCCAGCCTGGGCCACTGTTCCGTCGAGGTTGGTTCTTGAGAGCCAGCTCCACAAAGTCGGCCACATCTCCATTGCCGACTCAGCATTCCATAAATGTGAGCATAGCAACTAGTATAAGTCAGAGGCGGATGGGACTTACCGAAAATTGGCAGTCGACCTGCCATCCTGGTGTCTAATAGCGAACGCGCATTCGCCGGAACTTTTGATATTCACCCACATATCTTCAATATTGTCGTCCCAGTCGTAGGTCCGCCAGTACCCGTCATTGTACTCGCGTCAGTCTTCTATGTCCTGGCAGTCCCCCCATATGGTCGGGAAGAGGATTGGCGCTGTTCGCAGCGTCACCACACTCGAATCGGTCGTCCGGTATCGAGATCCATGTCATTTCGACCTTCGCTATAGCAGCCAGGGGTGACGTTGCCAAGATGGCGAGGACTAGTGCAGAAATGGGGTACATGTTGCTCAGGTCAGTAGTTTAACAGAGCTGTATTGTTGACACGTAGCTTTTCATGCTATCTTCCAAGTTCTGAGGGAAACGCAGAGAATGATTTTGAGGACAGATTTGGGAGACAGGGCCTAGATTTCTTAGAATGTTTAACTCCTGCCTGAGAAGAACTTGAAAAGTTGGTGAATGCTTCGCTTAAGTAGCTGAAAGCGTGAATCAATTCACTCGAGGTTGTTATTTTACACTCCAAGTGAATGAAGGCTTAGGTCGTGTATATTGTGTAGGCCATGTGAGCAGTATTCAATGTATTCTTCAACCCTATAATATATGAAAATACCAGTGGATTCTCATTTTAGGAATTTCAAGTTAGCAAGACCGTTGGAGTCGAGCAAGTTGAAGTGTCGGGAATTAATATGCATAAATAGGCGTTACTCATTGCAAAAATATTCATGGGATACCACACATCGAGTTCTCGAGAAACTTGTCTATTTCTACTGCAGAAGGCTGTATCCTCTGGTGACTGACTACAAAAGTTGCGCTTGATCCATTATGAACTAATGGAAAAGGGGGAGCCTGCAGCGGAGCGGAGTATCCTCCGTACACAAGATGAAGGCCTGTGCCGCCTCTGAAAATGATGCATCCCGTCTCCCAATGCATACTATCCCAATTTATCTGCCCATGGTCTCAACTTGAGACGTGAAGAAGCATCATACAAACCCGAGTCGGGCAGCGACTTCTCAGACTACCGAGTGGCGACGTCTAGGGCTCGTTTCATTTCTGTCAGTGTCGTTCTGTGTCTGCAAGACTTCGGTCTGGACCCTTGGCTGCTCCGTAACGGCCTGCGCCCTCCCCTCAAGTCCCTGCAGCTGCTCTCTCATTGAATGTACCTCCTCCTCGAGACGGAGTACACGACGCCTCAGGCCAGTCGTACCTCTCATGTGAAACCGACCCCAATAGAAGAGGCAGCAAAACAATGCTACAAAATGTATAACAGAGTTTCCAAGCCACGATGCAATGAAATTGCCAGATAGGTCAAAAGCCCAGAGCACGCAACCCATTACTATAATCTTCACCACCTGACAAATAGCGACAAAGCCCCACCCGTGTCCAAGAATGACTACTGGTTGCAGGAACGATGAATGTCCCAACAGTTTCTGTACCCAGGAGGGGACAGGCTCTAGTGCTTCGGAGGTCGGCGGCCGCCATCGAGAAACGGCGTAAAAAAGCAAGGCTTCGAGGAAACCAGATATCGTGGTTGATACAGCGCCTTGGAGTATAGAGACCAGGAGCCACCCCTGTGTCCGATCCAATGAGCAATACGAGCCGAATATCGCGTAAGCTAGAGGAATGCACCTCGGAATTGCATAGCCATGGTGAGTTTCAGGGGATATCCAGAGAGCATGGTGACGGGGGGCAGTCCAAACCGTCAGTGGCAGTGACATTGCCAAGCTTTCCGGTCCAGTGGACGAAAGCCCTAGGCGCAAGAACTCGCAAGTGTGATTGTTTCGTGTATCCCACGACTGCTGCTGTCTGACGGAGCAGTAAGTATCCATCACTATGGAGACTCTGACCTCGGCTAGACTGCTGTTACACTGTCTCGCGCGACTTTGGGCTTGCTGGACGACGATCTCGGGTACCACGCCTCGAGGATGGCACAAGTCTAGGTCTGAAGCGTAACCAAGGAGTGCCACGAAGCTGTTCATATCCTGCAGAGTCTCTCGAAGACAGGCATCTGCATTTGGCCAGCAGAGGCCGTCGAAGAAATCCACCGCGTCTGAGACCCCATGCTCGACCACAGAAGGCGTTCCTGGAAGAAGGGCTGAATCGGCCAAGTCGGTGTCTGACAGAAGGTCGAGGACAAAAGCTGCGCAATAACTGTCGAGTAGGCTAGCCGCCTGGATGGCAAGTTCGGGTTTGCAGAGATCTTTCAAAACTGTCATGAGAGAAGAAGAACTCTTGTCATCAAGTCTGCGCTTCGACGCGGCGATCAAGTCGGGCTCGCAAAAGCATTGGTTTGTGTAGCAGCTCGATTGCATCGGCATGCCGGACCGGGCACCCTGGAGGAGAGAGTGGATGCAGGCTGCCTCATCTGTCCAATCCGGAATGAATGGCGAGTCCGACTCGATAATGCAGGGTTCAAGCTTGTAGGTGAGCTTCGCGGCTGTTGTGTTGCAGACGGCGAGCAATGTGACGATTATACCAAGTATTTTCACAAAAACCCCTCGTTCCGCCATTATGAGCGCGTTTATATGAGAACCAATGGACTTCCGCAAATATTTTAAGAATGAATTCCCTCAGAATGTTGCGAATCCTTGTTAGACAGAATTTGGACCTGGTCAGGTTGATCTTTGGGGGGTTTGCGACATGGTCTCAATTGATCGAAAAGGCAAGCATAGTAATGTTGGCCCCTCAAACAGATGCGGTATCTGGGCAATGCTTCGGGGAAGAGCCACCTTGCGTCATATTTACCTACTATGCTCGTCAAAAGGTGAAGTTCGAGAAGAGACGGTAAAAGTCGCGAGAGGTTGGCAAAAGGTTGACGACGAAAGGTGGGGTTTCACTTGCGCGACCTGGGAGCTTACTAAGGTAATAGGAGAGCGAGCCACCTACCAACCCGATTGACCAGGGCACTGCCTCTTTTTTGCTTTGTATGGAGCCGGAAATTCACAGTTAGTTCCAGGCATTCACTGTCGTTTGTTCGTTCATTCCATCCATCAGTCTATCTATCCATCGGGTAACCAATCTGGAGGTTTTATGACTAAAGAAACATCCCGATCAGACATGGGATAACTGGCCTATTCGATTTTATTATACTGATAGTTAATTGATTTAATGTCCAATAATCAGTTTATTCCAGTTTGCTCAAGTGGCTTGAAAAGTCTGGACTGATTGTCCTAGTTCCAAACACCAACTGACCTTAACAGCGATGGACCTAGGCATAATGAACGCCAAATTGCCGGTCTGGGTCAAAAATACCCGTCTCGGTATAATGGAGTTCAAATTGTTGCACTAAATGCTTCAGGATCTCTTGCTCACTCTTTGCTTTGTCGTGAATCTTGCCGTGATCTTTGTCCAAATTATACAATTCCCGGCGATCCTTGCCCCATGGACACACACATGTATAGCGTCTTCCAGACTCTGGCGAATGGCCCGGAGACTGCACAACCCCCACCCTATCTCCTCCTTCTCCTCATCGTGGAGACTTTCACTCTTCCCAGGCACATGCGACATCCATGCAGAGCCACAAACCATAGCCACATCTCTGCCACGGAACTTGGTACCAGGGTGTGGCACATTAGTTAGGTCGAGTTTCGTGGAAACGCGGTCCCTGGCGGTGTAAAAGCATTTCGTAACAGATTCAAGGCGGCCAAATGATGGGTAGCTGATGAGACACTGACGGCGAATTCCGCCCTCAGTAATCCACATACTGAAGCTGCGAGATGATGCCATTGATGCACAAGCCTATTCCGGCCGTACCATATATGCGAGTCCGGCATGCCCATACCTCGAGGAGAGCCCCTTCGGCAAGTTGTCTGACATGAAGAGGATACAGCTGTTTTTAATCTCATCGGTGTCAGATGGTCAATCACACGTTTGATGTTCCGATTCATGAGATGTACCGTGGTGGCAAAGATCTCCATCTTTTAAGCGGATTCGACATGCTCTACTGGGCTTCTTTTGTCCCATCCTTGATCCGGAAGCACAATTGGACCCACAGGAGTTGGCTCGACATCCTTAGGCATGATTGCAAGGTTTAATAGCTTCTGCAAACGTTTTATTTTCAAAAAAGACCCCTAAGCATACACGCCATGGTGCTATTCAATATTCTCTTTTGGAGTCTGCAATGGCCAGTGGGGAGTGATGAATGGTAAGGAGACAAAGAAGGATTGGGCTGAGTCCTTTTGTACCGATAGGCAGTCAATCAGCTGATCGGTGAACCAAGTGGTCAAGTAGAAATCCTTGGGCAGATCTCTCTCCCGGTCAAGTAAGGCGTCTTCTCTCATCCAGAACTTGCCAGCATTCATTAGGGTGAATATAGCATAAGACGAGCCATCCAATTGAGTCTCGTGTTTAGTTGAAATTATTTCCGTAACCCCATAGGAAGACAAGCTCTTGTCGAAATCCATGTAACAGGGGGTGGTCTCTTTGCTAAAACCAAGGTGCCTCAATGACCTGTATATACCCCACACTTCCGGGAGTTGTTGGGATTTACTTCCTTTCCTCCCTATCAATGCAATAACCTATTTTCGGCCTGCACCTTGCGAACGTACTACGTGCAGGGACCCTATCACAGGGGTTGGCGCCAGAAGGACTGCTATGACGATAAGATTATTACATGAAGTAGGGCGGACGATATGTTTAGAAGTGCTAACGTACCCCACAAGCAAGTTGGCCACACAAGCAAGTTGGCCACTTTTTCTTGGCACCGTATGAATAACTTTAATAACTTAACTAAACTAAAAAATAATAATTCAAACTAATCGGAATCCTCTTCCTCGTACGTATCTTTACCATTCTCACAAGTACGAGCATTATGTCCGGGCTCTCCGCAGATCCTACAGCGCCGTCGGCGTGGCTCGGCCGGTCTCGTACGACGACGACTTACACGTATATCATCCTGTAGCTGCTGTTCAATATCCCGTTGAGACTGTAAGTCCTGAGCGTCTCGTAAACTAAGAGATCCTCCATCTTGTACCTGTCGATTTTGAGTCCTTCGACGACGGCTTAGCTCTTGATTAGCCTTCCGAAGTGTAGTAACCTCATCCTTAAGTAAAACTAACCGATGCATAACAGCCGTCGCACCACGTGAAAATTGGTCAATAGCCGTAAGTATTATCGTCGGGGAGCTATTCTGTGAAATCACATATTCCGGGTCGTACGGAATAAGTCCTGTCCCCCTGAAGCCTGCCTGGATATTCGACTTAGTTATAGTCGTACGATACGCCCTATAGAATGCCGAAAAGAAATCCTCCTTCGAGATATAGGTTATATACGCCCGTATTAGGTCTTCAATTTCTTTGCCGTACGACCTTTTCAAAGCCCTAAAACAGCCTACATCGAGAGGCTGGAGCTTATGTGACGAATGAGCAGGCATACTAAGTGTAATAATAGTATGCTGAAACGGGGTCAGGCGGTCAGTAGGATATACCTACCACCTAACACACTGAACAGACGGCTCCAGTACCAACATATCCCATCTGTTGGTCTGATCAGACGAAGATCGTGGTACTGGTTGCAAGAGCTTCGCTCTTGCACGTCTGGTGCGCGAGTTGGTCGGATGTGCCTCTGAGACTCTCGTCGGAATGATTCTCAGAACAAGACGTCTGGCTCTGGGAGTCGAATTGAAGCTCTCACTGGCACTGGATTTCTCTGATCAGAGCAAGATACAAGCTTTTGTCATTGTAAAGGCTAAGATAAGGGCATAATAATAGGATTTCGAAAGTAGTGTCTAAGTGCACGTAGGAATGAACCGCATAATTGAAGGGCTAGCTAACTGGAATAGAAAACAAAAGTCAAGTTGATTGAATAAGATGATGAAAAAGATGACGAGTTGTTGAAAGTCGCCTGTTATCTCCGTGTCCCTTTTTGAAGTAAGGAAGACAGAGGAGCCCTCCCTAGCCACCGTAACTTATTTCCCTGGTGTCCGGCCTTACCCCGTTACAATTCTCTTTGCAATATAGCTCGAAGTCCGTCGAGTGGTGGCTCTCATGCCCGTCGAGGATAAGAAGACGATAAACACCCTTCGTACGATCCATCGTATAGCGATCAAAGTGCTGAATACAGTCTACGCCTCGCTCATTTGTTGTCCAACCGTTTTTGGTTACAGCGATTACCCCATCGGACGGGAATGGGCTATTCTCGTACTAGGATAAGAGGTGGTTTTGACCCGCGACAAGAATATACGGCGGGATAGCCTAGCCGGACAAATTAATACCCTGGATTACTATAGCCTATTCTCGATTACCTTGTTGGACTGTACGAGGCCTTACACGTCGTTCGGCACTTATAACTACCATCTCGGATGAGATTAAGCCTATCGCGAACCCTGTCTCGTCGAAGTTATAGATATCCGCCTCTTAGATACTATATTTCGTAATTGTATTTCGTACAGGCGTAAACCACGCGCGATACGCGTTAGGATCTTCGAAATAGGCTGGTTGGTAGTCGATTCTTCGATTAAAACGCGTCCGAAGGTCTGGTTGTCGTCGTACGAAGTTCGAGGCCCAGTTGACGCCGACGCGTCCAGCGCCACGGTTACGGAGCAGTCGGTTAGTGTCAGATAGGGCACCTGGTTCCTAGGTTCAGAAATAATATGGCACTAGAGAAGACTAGTGTCACTTAAAGTTCAGACGGCGAAAGGAACCCCTCTTCCCAAAAGTAAAACCAAAGTTACTGTCTACTTAGGGGTCAGACACCTGAACAATGTACCTCCGACATGTTCTAAAGAATCTATAAAAGGCAGAGCAACGGGAGTTCGCGAGAACAGAACACAGAGAACAAGACACCTCATTCATATACAATCTTACGCACTTCTGACTACTCGATTGGACACACGTGATATTCGACAGTTAGCTATAGCTTCAACACCATAGAGCCGGGGAGGAAATGATCGCGAATCTAGGTCAAGTATGTATTGTACGACCGCTAACTCTTCTGATTCCGTAAGCTTACGACTAGATTGCCGAGTATCGCGTCGAGATAGTAGTCCGCGTTTTCGGTTAGCTAGAGTTATACGAGGGATATTATAGAGTTGGGTAGCGCGTCGGATGCTTAATTCAGGTTTCGATTGAAGCGCCTGATACGCTAGAATCATATCGCTTTCTTTCTAATTCGATCCCATCTTGGTATGTGTAAAGATGTTAATTAAAAGGTTGTTCGTACGGTGCCAAGAAAAAGTGGCCAACTTGCTTGTGGGGTACGTTATGTTCATGGTTATTTATAGCTCTATACATGTGTCTATAATTGATGGATATCTTGCCACACCCCTGATGTCAAAAACGACGGGTCACATGGTATTGGAGCATAGAAGCACCATATCGTTAGTTCTAGCTTTGTCTAGACTGTTGTTTGATATTAAATGTGGGATTGAGCACCACAGTGATTCCTAAGGTTGAAAGGCGCTTTATGCTTAGAATAAAAGCGCTTTGTGCTTCAGGATAAAGGCGGGATAGAGGTAGCCTAGTAAGGCTGGACCCTTCAGATTACTTAAAGGCAATGCACACAGCCAAGAGAACAGAGAGAAGGGATCGAGCATGGAAAAAACGGTGACCTAACCGTAACCACCAAATTATTCTTTTCATATAACCGTCATATCACGGTCATACTGCAAGATACGTGAATATCTAACACATGATGCCCCAAATGGTATCCCAGAGAACAAACCGTCCTATTCCGTGGTATAAATGCTAATATCCCATGTTATGAAAGGTCTTATTACGTGGATTAGGTAGTCTTGTTTCATGGAATACCCGTGGCGCCCCTTGAATCATCCAAATGTCCTAGGATTACTACAAAAACTGCTAGTTACCGCTACTTAAGGAGGGCTAGAATCAAAAATAACCAAAGCTGTGCCACAGCGAGGGGATATAAAAGATTGCATTACTCTTGTTCTCATTGTGTGCACTAGTCTCAATAATTTCCGTAGTCCTAAACTCAATACAAGCTAACTATCCATACCCTCTCAGACGTCAAGTCTTCAACAACATTGTCTGAGGGTATCCAGCTGCACCCTGAGCAGTCAACTCAAACCGGCGTGGCCGAGATCTATATACACTCTTCCAAAAACGACTCAATCATCGCAAAACTCTGAACTGCATATGCCACTTCATCCCCTCCTCAGACTGGTCCTCGCCCTGGATATAGCACTCGCCAAACGTATCCATCAGGTCAATGAACTTCGCCATGTCGCCCTGTTCCAACAGCGCCTCCATATGCGCAGCCATAGTCCAGTTCTGCCGTCCCGCACCAAATGCGTACACATGCTCGGAGAAGGCGCGCAATTGCAGCGGCATGGTTGGGTCTCTATTATGCATGTACTGCTTCGTCCACAGCTGCTCCTTGCTCTCAAAGTCGACTGTGAATGGATCTCGCCAGTCGCGTCGGCAGAAGGCGTATTGCAGGACTTGTCGGTGGTGGCCTTCGCTCCACCAGGGGGGCAGGAGGCCGGGTCGCGAGCGGCAGTACCAAAGAAATATCTGGAAGCCTTCTAGGGAGGACGTACAGCCCCAGAGGTTAGGTTCTGTGTTCATGATCCAAGGATCGACTGCTAGAGGGCCCGAGAATCGGAGGTTATCTTCTTGGCGTAGACGGTACGCTGAAAGGAGGAGCAGGTAAACGTCCTCGACGGGCCGATTATAGAGCCAATCACCTTTATCGAGGTGGGTGAAGGGCCTGCGGCGCTTGATTTTGAGGCGTTGAGGAGGGTCGCTGGCCGTGGCGACCGGCGGATCATAGGCCTTGTGGGACGATGACTGGGGTTGGGGGCTAGTGTGAGATCCCTCTGCCTGGCGGCGAGGTCCTACGGTGTGGGAGAAAGGAAGGAGACCTTGCAATTTACTCATACAGGCCAGGGCAACGTCGGTAAATTCGGGATACCCACTGTTCGACAGTTCCGAGGGCGGCGTCTCAGACATGAACCCCAAAGCTTCGGCAATCTGAAGTGATTCCGTATCTTCGGCTTGGGGTTGTGACAGTACAGAAGCTGGGTCGCTTTGCAGAGCGAGTGCATAGATGGAAGCTAAGCCAGGATCTATGTATTGGAAACGCATTCCCTTCTTGCCCTTGTTAGCTTGAGGTTCGTCTGTGACCCCTCCATCCGAAGATGGATAGGTTCCTGGCATCTCCGAAAATCTTTGCTTGTCCAGACGTTCAGCCATTTCAGCTGCCGCTTTTCTTAGAATGCGACTGGCTTGTTGGGAGTCGACGTTAGCAGCGGGGGTTGCTTTAGCTGGCTGACTTGGGATCATGGGTTTGGGTGGAAGACCTGCACTGACGAAGAGATTCTCGAGTCGTGGGAGCACTCCAGCAACTATTTCGCGTGGAGACTGCTCTGAGGATGGTTTTGCAGGAGTCGCCGGCGGAGCTCTCTTAAGGGCCTCTAGAGCAGCAGGCAGAGGTGGGACTTTCTTCAAGTCAGTTTCCGTTGATATAGAGATTCTAACAGCAAGGGTGGGGGAGGGGGCGAGGGGCGCTTACCTTCTCCTTGTTGCTGCTGAACGGTCGACGGTTCAGGCCCAACGGGAGCAGACTTGTCTGGCGACTTCGAAGGAGCAACTTTCTCGCTCGTCTGTGGCGCTACAGTCCCGAAACCACCGAGTTTTACGCTAGAGTGGGCTTTATGCCCACTGCAACAGCAATGACCGCAGTTGTCGTCGCCTGTGCTGTCTTGCTTCTTCAGTTGCATGACCGAGATGAGACATTTGGCAATCTCATTGGCCTGGGTTTGCTGAATATTATCTAGAGGCGGTCGATGGCGATGTGTTTTGCCCACATAGGTTGCCGGCGGCGCCGCATGTGCAGGAGGTGTTTGTGGAAGGTAGCTTCTGAGCTGATGAAGAACCGAGCCCGCGATGTCTTCAGATTGCGCTGCCTTGCTCAAATTGGGGCCGCGGTACGAACGGGGCGGTTCTATTTTATTACCAGGGGCTGGTTCTTTCTTAGATGCTTTCTGAGATGCCACATGAGAGGTTGCTACTAGGCTTGGAGCAACATATGAGGGGAGTACTTTCTTGAGAAATTCTCTCTTAGAAGCTCCGTGGGAGAGTGCTGCTGTCGAAGTTACAGATGAGGACGGCGCTGGCATCGAAGAAGCACAAGAGGGTGATTTTGTTTTGGAAGCCACGGCCGGGGAACCTGATGTTGAACTGGGAGGTATCGGGGCTTTCGTCTTTGCGTTGTTCTGTTGCAACGCCTCCCCTAATCTAGCACTGGCATCAAGCACCATATCGTTTACTTCATTGAGCACGGCATGGCATTCCTCAGGTGAGTCAATGGACGTTGGTTGAGCGCGACTGGCCATGGAACTTTGCCAAGGACCACTGTGCGTTGGCCAGCCCATGTTGGCCGTCGAATTATGGTAAGGGTCAACCGAATACACAGGCACAGGTGAACCATCAGGCTCACTATGGCTACCATGACCCTTGAAACCCGCGGGGACTGTGCTTGAGTGACTGTGATCGAGCCTGTTAGTCTTGTGTGATGTAACTGTCGATTTAGCCGTCACAGCTTGCTGAGGGCCTGATGAGTACTGAGGTGCTGGCGAAGCTTTGGGCCCAGCATGGCGACTATGACCGTGGAAACTCGTGGCAGCTGCAGCTGAGTGACTGTGACAGTGGCCGTGAGTGGCGTGTGACATAGCTACTGGTTTGACTGTCGCAGCTTGCTGAGGGCCAGGTGAAGACCGAGGCACAGGCGGAGCCTTGGACCCAGAATATCCAGTATGCTCAGTATTATCATGGACACACGTAGCGCCTGCAGCTAGGTTGCTTTGAGAGACGTGTGCTCTGACTTCCTCGGCGGGCATAGCAAAGTCGCGAAGTTCCTCCACGCCGCAACGAGGCCCGTGATGTTTGCGATCAGATCGCTGACAGCCGCGCGAACAATAGGGAATCATTTTGCACTTAGGGCAGTATGACATCTTCACATGCGATTTCCCGCATTGAACGCAGCCGGGCTGCTGCTGGCTGGGTGTGGTGGCCATCTTGACGTGATAGTAAGGTGCATGCGGTTTAATCGTAGGGAGAAGTAACAATCTGATTCGCACGCCGTGATGACAGGAAAATCGACGATCAAGTGGAAGTTGGGGTGTAGTGATTGAAAAACGTGATCTTTGGTGATTGAGTCGTTTGCTGGCCACCCTCCAGGGCTTTTGTTTGATCCACGCTAATCTGCTCCCTAGCTGGTCTTGATGGGATGGATCAGACAACAGGGCTTGCAGAAAAATCTGAATGTCGCATTGAGGTGAGCCTAAAGAACTGGCAACCAAGAGGCATTGGAATGAGTATGGGATCAATGTCGGTGTGTGAAGTTCTGAGGTAGATGCTGGGTTGCCTAGAGTTGTCGGCCCTCATCTTTCGGGTTGCAAGCAAGGGTAACGACCTCAAGACTTTGAACCCTGAAGTTCAATGGCCAGGAAATTCGGGCTGGCAACGGGTATTAAAGCGGGTCTACAATTGGCTTCAATGATTTTCTGGTGCCTAAGGCGTCAGAGCTCAGTCTTCACTATATCATGTATCAAGTCGCCTTCGTTTGCTAGGCAACGGTCGTGTAGGTCGGATAGAACCGTTGGTGGAGGACCAAATAAATCAAGGCCACCTTAAAGAAGATATGACATTGAATTTGATAGGAAGGTGGACACACTAAAGGCACTAAGAATCAGACGAGTACTTTTCAGTACCTGTTTCGTACCGGGCATTGCTAGAACATTGAACAGGAAAGTGATTCTATCATTGATTTGGGGGTTGCTTACTTGAGCAGCTAGGGCATCTAGGACAGAACGATATCAGAAATCTATGCATTTATCCATCTATTCAAAGCATCTCTTCACAGTGCTGACTGGCACCTCCTTTGTGACCAGTGTTGCCTTGTTCTCATGAGCCACTCCTGTAGGTGGGATTCTCTCTAGTGTCATGAGGGTAGAAACTCCGAGGCTCTCGAGGTATTCCAGTGCTCTTTTGTAATTCGTTGCCACCTGGGCGATGCCATGACTATCATCTGAAAGAGTGAACTTGCCTCCTCGGCTCAACCACTCCTAATCGAAGGTCAGTTCAGACATCTATGCAATGTCTAAAGCGAAAAGGGAAAACAGGAGAGTTAAAGAAAGGCACCTTGCAACTTACCTCCGCAATGGCACGGCATGGATAGGGCTCCACAAGCCCCTTTCTTAACGCACTGCTGTTGCATTCCAGCCAACCTCCATACTCGGCCACAAACTGCAAGTTCCTCACTATCCTCTCCCAGACCCCCTTCCACTCCCTCACATCTCGACCTGGTTCCGCGCTCAGTAACCGGCATAGATCAAAGTGACCCACGACTCTTGGCTTCAGAGCCTCGAGCATCTCAAACTGCTCATCGTAATACTTTTCGTAGAGCCGCTCCTCTGTGCCGCCGGCGGATTCCACCGCTTTCTGGTAATACGCCGAATCAAAGTCAATGGGTATGGCATTCACGTGGTGGAGCGAGCCCATGAAGTAGTCGATGCAAGGGTGAGAGGCCAAGGATTTGATGAGTGGACCGTAGCTAGGACGCAACCATTCTCCCTCAAAGCCTATCAGGAGGTGGATCTCCGACGCATAGGCGGCCTGTAGTCGTTGCGCTTCGACCAGGTATGCCTCATGCCGAGGACCCAGTTCGGCAAGGGACTGCTCTGGGTTGTCGAGCTTCGCAAAGTTAGACATATGAGAGAAAATGCCCGAATTTAGGACTTGGGATGATGTACTTGCCTCTTCAGGATAAAGGTCGTCCAATCCCGTTCGTGGCATATGCTCGGTGAGCCCCATCGTCGTGAAGCCTAGACTGATGGCGTGCTTGATGATATCCTCCAGCTGGTCTTTGGCATGCCCAGGGCAGAACTGCCCCGAATGGGAGTGCATTGTGAAAGCCATTTTGATTATTGGGTTGCTCCAACGCTGGCAACTGGACAGGATCTGAGAATTAATAAATAGGCAATAGCCAACACGAATTGTCGTTTGCTTAAAGCCCTACGATTGTGTTGCAGAATTTTCGCTGGCTCCCAGTGGCTCCCTATGAATCCGAGATACGGTCAAACATTATTGGAGAAGTATCCCTAACTTACTTTGGAAGGTCACTCTGAAATAGTTTTCTCATGGAGTTGGGTTCTTTGAATCATCTCAGCCAAGTTCAGTGAGACCTTATCGAATTGTGGATGCTATCGATAAAGATGCAGTAACATTGTGTGCATTGATCCCTGCACAGTCGGAGCTGAATCGAAAGGAATCCCTTACTGCTTTTTCCATACAGCTGAAGAGTGATACATGATATTATGCCTTTATTGGCCCTTTAGATTACCACCGTTGTAGTTGTGAGGGTAATGATGAGGAATAAGGAGAAGAAGCCTCCATTCGACCCGGTGACCATCCCACAGGTGGTTGTCCAAGTAAACTTTTGGATGCCCCACCCCACCATAGATCTTCCCACTAGGCTAGAAATGGTCGGTGCCACAAAAGCTTTCGTCATTAGGGTGGGCTTGCATGGTTCATCCAATCAGCGTGCAAGCATCAAATTTTCAAAGCCGTGGCTTCCGTCAGCCTTGCAGCTACCCTAGGCAAGGTATCGAGCTACACTTTTGGAGCATCAACAACGCAAGCACGCATCAGCAGCACAATTGATCGAATGTGCCAACAGCTATCGGCCGTTGACTTCGGATCAAGAAGCTGTAGCTGGAAGAAAATGGTCTAGCCTCATCGTGATCGTTGTTGCCTTCCGATTCACCATCATGTTATTCGCTGAGAATGACGCGCCGCTGCTCAAAGCGTGGATTGTTCAGCGGCTCGCAAATACGTCAGTTTGCCATCTTAGTCACCTATCTAACTCCTACGATCCCCAACTCACTATTACTTATCCCTCTAGATCCGATGCCGATGCCGATGTCTTGGCTGACTACGTTCTGGCGCTCCTGCGACACGATGGCGATGTCGACTCCATACGGAAGCTTTTCGAGGAAGAGATACCGGATTTCCTTAGAGAAGGTGTGCAAGCTTCATATGCTCCCCTTTCTTCGCGTACTGACGTTTGGTTACGTTTCAGATTCCGCTGCCTTCACAAACGATGTCTTCCAAGCTGTCCAGTACCGATCGTACGTTCCCGGTGCTCCGCCGCCTCCCCCGATCCCGCGACAGGCGCCCGCTCCGCCCTCGGCACCGCAAGCCCTGCAATCTCAACATGTACCCCAGGGGCCAGCATCACAATTGCAATATCAGCCGCCGCAGCCCCCGCCTATGTTCCCGGACTCGCATCATACTCCGTACGTCGATACTCGCGGTCCCTTCTCCAACCAACCTTTCCGTAATGGATCGAAAAAGCGGTCTTACCGTGACTTGGATGCCCCTGACCCTCTGACCCCGGCGTGGAGCCCCTATAACCCTTCGCTGTATCAGCAGGATGACACAGACCTTCCGCCATATAAGCAGGCACGAAGAGGCGGTATCTTCACACCGCGTGGCGGTCGCTTTGATGACGCCTATGGTGCACGAGGTCGTGGCGGTCCCAACGGCTATCTCGTCAACGAGTTTCCCGGCGTTCCTCATAGCACAGGACCACCTGGTTATAGTCCGCATCAACCCTTTCAGACTTCGTCATCACAGGGTATGCCGCCTATTGATGCCAACAGTATTCTCGAGAACATTCGACAACTGCAGGAACTTGGTGCACAAATGGGAATCCAGATGCCCCAGACAGGACCTCTCCCCACGCCGGTATACTCAGGGCCCGCTTCGACACCGCATACGCAGAGAAGACGCGGTCGCTGCAGGGACTATGAGACGAAGGGTTTCTGTTCCCGAGGCAACAAGTGCTTATACAAACATGGAACTGGACCTGCCTATCCTGCAAAGGCGCCAGGTGACGAGTACGATCCCAATGACGCATCTATGTCTATTACGTTGGAGCACCCAGGACAACCTGTTAAGCCCGTAGACATGCCATTGCTACAAATGCCCCCACAAATGCCGCCCTTTAACCGTCGAGAACCTAAGAAGTCGAAACGTAAAGGTAGTCGGGCACCTTTCTCTGCCGAGGGACCTGTGCATGACAAGACGAAGACGCAGATTGTTGTGGAGAGCATCCCCGAAGAGAACTTCAACGAAAATGCAATTCGCGAATTCTTCACGCAGTTTGGTACCATTGAGAATGTATCACTGCGGCCATCGCATCCTAAGCGCATTGCTATTGTCAAGTTTGACAGCTGGGCCTCTGCGAATGCTGCTTGGAAATCTCCAAAGGTTGTCTTTGATAACCGATTTGTTAAGGTATATTGGTATAAGGATGAGTCTCCAGTTGCATCTAATGCTAAGCTAGCGAACGGTGCCAAAAGTGACTCCGCAAATGGTCAAGCAGGCAAACTAGCGTCGACGGAGCCTGAATTTGACATGGAAGAGTTTAAGCGCAAGCAAGAAGAAGCCCAAAGGATACACGAAGAGAAGACGCAAAAGCGCGAAGCTATCGAGCGGGAGCGACAGGCTCTTGAAGAGAAGAAGCGTGCCTTAGCGGCGCGACAGCAAGAAGAGAAGCGTAAGCTGCAAGCCAAGCTCGCTGCACGCGGTGTGAGAGAAGCTTCGCTTTCGCCTATCTTATCTAGACCGAGCAATGACGGTGCCAAGCCGTCACAGGCGGAAACGCTACGTGCGAAGCTGGCTGAGCTGGAGGCAGAGGCTAACTCACTTGGACTCGATGCCGACGCGGTGCAGGAGGAGGCATCCTCCTGGGCGCCCAGAGGTCGTGGAAGAGGCAGACGGCCCTTTTACCGGGGACGTGGCAGCTTTCCGCCCCGAGCTTCCAGAGGTGGTTATGGGTACCGTGGTAGGGGAGGCGCCGGTGTAGATGTACATGCTGCGTATGCTGCTTACTCGCTTGACAACCGGCCTAAGATCATCGCATTAACAGGTGTGGATTTCACCGACCCGTCGAAAGACGAAGCATTACGGCACTATCTTTTCGTAAGTGTCAAACCTTTTGTTGCCTTCCCAGTGTCTTAGCTAACCAACATTCAGGGCATCGGCGAGTTTGCAGCAATCCACACAGACCCCACGACAACTCATATCACCTTCAAGGACCGCAAGACGGCAGAGCAATTCATGTTTGGCGCCTCAGCTAACAAAACGATCCCTGGAGTTGAGGGGATGCTGGAACTTACTTGGACTATGTCGGCGCCGAAGACCGCTGGGGCAGATAGCGACTTGCCCGTGGCTAGTGGCATTGATGAAGAACAGTCAAAGGCTCCCAACGTAGACGCAGACGAAAACGCTAGCTTCAGTGCGGTTGCGGACATAGGCGATGCTGGTGATCAAGGCGATATGGACTACGAAGGCGGCGAATGGGACATTTCTTGAGTTTTTTTTGGTATTGAGCACAGAATGATTTGTAAAAGTTGTCGGTAATTATGTATTAGTTATATGGCAGGCGAGAGGTTGCGGTGATCCAGTGGAAACACTGGTTGATGAGATACCACTTGCTTGCGATGTCCTTGGATTTCAAATGTGAAAAAGGGCTACGAGATCCAGGCGATCCTAGTTAATAGTTTTTCCCTTTCTCTTCATCTTATTATACTATATTATCTTATACTCGTGTTCTACGCAAGGTATTGTGAATACAGACTCAACATCCCAAATCCGCTGACGAAACCACGCCCAAGACGAGCTGTCAGATACGCGATATCGGCAAAAAATGATCGCCAACCACCCGCCGTAGGTACCAGGGGGTGCCAAGGGGTTTGAGGCTATAGAAGCCGAATTCAGGGTCGAACGTACCCAAAGTGCGGCCTTCAGGAGGATTTAGACTGCTTGAAGAGAGAAAAGAAGTGTAAGGCACTAAGTAACCCGAATCGTCGCTTTATGACCATTGCAGAGGCTATAGCCCACGGTGAACCGATTCAATCTAAGCAGCCACCTCAACAGGCCAATAACGCGGAAGTTGTGGTGGTTGAGGAGGAAGGGAATGCATCAGCGGAATCGGACATAGATCCCAGTAAGCCGGCCCCCGTCATTACGAGTGGCCGCACCATCAATATAATACAATAAGACTGATCTTTAAGACAGAAGCTATAACATAATATATTGACCTTATAAATCACTACATGGTCTGTTAAGTTGTGTGTTAGTGAAGTTGTGATGTTGTCTACGGTGGACCACAGATTAACGATACCCAAAGGGTGGTGGGGGGATGGCAGTCTCGAGCACGTACTTCGGAACTTTCTCATCAAAGTCGTCGGTAGACATGAAAAAGGAAGCCAACACGACCACCCATAAATGAAGCTGCCGGTAGCAGTCCTTATGCTTCGGCCAGTACCTCCCTGTCTGTAGTTAGACTTTCTCAATGTCTTCCGAGGGAGCTCGCGTCCGACAGGCCCATCGTTATTGAATACATATTCGAATATTATCCTTATACGAGCTACTATTAGGATACATCCTGGAGTATTAGAGTTTCGTAGCACCGAACTTAGTAAGGTGTAATGGGAACGCTCGAAGACTTGGAGATTTTACCTCACGGATCTTATTAAGTCCAGTACTGGCCACCTGTCAGATATTTCGTGAAGAGCCTCGGAATGAACAGTCTACGAGGTAGAAAAGAAAATATCTCGGGGTATTGATTGTGGCTCTAGATATATTCTTGGTCTACGCCAGAGACGGTCCTTGCATTAATGCGCCTCGCTCATTGCAGGTTGAGCCATCTCGGCCCTTCTGAATACGGTCGCTAAAGCGGGCGTCCGGCTGAGCGTGGTCAGAAAAGCGATTAGCAGTTTCGGATTGGACTTGTCGCAGTTGGTTACTCCTTTTCGGGTAATTGAGCTTGTCTTCCCGATTCTGTTACAGAGACGTTCTCCTGCTAGCTCTACGAACAGCACCAAGGCGCTACGGCGACCACGTGGGATTACCAGATCTGCCATTATTCAGTACATGTCTCAGCAAGAGTATTACCGATGTCACATATCTTGCCAGCTCGAGGGGCCAGCAGAACAATGTGTACGCAGGCGAAATATAGTTTCTACCCCACGGTACAAAGGATTGAAGGGATATGAAGTTTACAACTCCACGTCTGCGGCAACCAGAAAAATGAAAGGTTGTCTATATAAAGCCCCGGGCCTGGCAGTAGTTCCTCTGCCTAATCCAGTCAACTCGTGTCAACTGACGCCGCCCAGAAACATTCTTCTGGTTCCTCGTGTCTAGATGTCCTTTCCTGGCCGTTGTTCTGGTTGATGGACCTACCTATCGAGCCTCTATTGTCTCATTCCGCCTCCACTGAATCAAGGGGTAGCATATTTCGCAGGTGAATGTCTACGGCTCTGCTATCAAATGGAAAACCCTGGGGGCTCATATTGTTACACCCGCATGAACTCGAGTCGGCGGTGCAAAATGCGAAGCACATCCGGCTCACGTGCCAAGTCGGCAAGCCTAAGGAGCTTGTACATTCAATCCTCGGGACCTGCTGCGACAATGTGTTTCAAGCTGACATTGCTCTCGCAGATCGTCTTGATGGTAATGATCAGGTTATATCGTGAGATGGTCGGATACAGTCCAAGCTGTAAGATAGTTGATTAGCACAGAAAGCCCTAGTAAATATGCGATGTTTCCATTTGCAAGCATATGCTGAACAGGTACTTACTAGTATGTGGATACAGGCATTGAAGATTACATTTGTCTCCTACTGTGGAAGACGTATCGCAGTATCGTATACAACATGTCACAAGAGAAAACTTCAGGACGGAGAACAGTAGGGAATGGACCTGGTCTCCCATGAGTAGAAACAAGGGTGCATATCCCATTTCATGCCCATTCATCTATGTGTTCAATTCCTTCATCCGACTTCACAACTTTGTGCCCATATTGATATGCACCGCCTTAATCTGCGAATACCCCTCCAGCCCCGCCTCCCCCAACTCCCTCCCAATGCCACTCTGCTTGACGCCCCCAAACGGTATCCGCGGGTCGCAATCTTGGCTACTATTCACCCACACCATGCCCGCCTCAATATCGGCTGCCACACGATGGGCCCTCTCCAAATCCTTCGTAAACACGGCGGCGCCTAGCCCGTACGTGGAATCATTCGCGAGCGCCACGGCCTCGTCCTCGGCTTTGAACCGGCAAATTACCACGACGGGCCCGAAGATCTCCTCTCGCCATACGCGCGCTGTACTTGCGACGTCGGTGAATACTGTCGGCGCGATGAAGAATCCTTTCTTACTGCCTTCTTTGACTCCCAGTGGGTTCAGCGCCTCGCCACCGGCAGCCAGAGTAGCGCCCTCGGCCTTACCGATCTCGATGTACTCGAGGATGCGGTCGTATTGCACACGGGACACCTGCGGGCCTTGATACGTGTCTTTCTCCCACTGGCTACCGACCTTGCTGACCTGATTCACCGCGTTGAGGAAGCGCGCCAGGAAATCATCGTACACCACGTCCTGGACTAGAATCCGCGATGTGGCGGTGCAGATTTGCCCCTGGTTCGACATGATACCCATATGTGACCACTTGACGGCCTGATCCAAATCAGCGTCGGCGAACACGAGCAATGGCGACTTGCCCCCGGTCTCGAGCGTGATGTTCTTGAGCGTCTGGGCCGAGAGCGCCATGATGGATTTCGCCGTCGCCGTGCTGCCCGTGAACGCCACCTTGTCCACGAGCGGGTGGCCCACCAGAGCGGGGCCCGCGGTCCGACCTAGCCCGTTGATGAAATTCACCACGCCGGGCGGGAACCCGGCCTCCTTGATTAGCTGGCCGAAGACGAGGATGCTGAGGGGTGTCTGCTCAGCCGCCTTGAGAACGATGGTGTTTCCGCAGGCGAGCGCGGGGCCTAGCTTCCAGGTCGCCATGGAGAGGGGATAGTTCCAGGGGATGATCTGGGCGACCACGCCAATGGGCTGGCGGATCGTGTACGCGAACTTCTGGTGCGTTGTGCTGATCGTCTGGCCGAAGGTTTTGTCGCAGAAGCCGGCGTAGTACCGGATTACGCCGAGAGCCTCGGTGAGGTCGGTGTCGAGTGCTTCCTGGTACGTTTTGCCTTGGTGCTGCCGTTAGCTCAAGGAACAAGCACGTCGTCTGCATAGGGAACGCACCGTTGTCCCAGGCGTCAATCGTAGCCAAAAGCTCCCGTTTCTGCTCCATGAGGTCGGCGAGGCGGTACATCAACGCCCCGCGGTCTGAGCCCGACATCAGCCGCCACGAGGGGTGCTTGAGCGCCGCGTGCGCTGCTTTGACGGCTCTGTCGACATCCTCCTCGCCTGCTGCACACACCGTCGCGATCTTTTCTTCTGTGCTGCACTATCATATCAGCGTCAAAGCTCAACAGTTGCACCGGAGTGTCAAGTCCCAAGGGCATTACTCACGCGGGGTCTATCGCGTCAATTGTCTCTCCACTTGCCGCTTTGACGAATTCATTGTTAATGAACAGGCCAGTTGGCTGTGTCCAAGAGACTCCATTGGGAGCAACCAAATCCACCGACAGGTCTGACATTGCTACACAGTTCTGGGAATTAAATGCGCATGAGACAGGGACGGACGGGCCAGCTTGCTGTGATGTGCTGGATTATGGCGGCCTTCGTTGAAGAAGTAATTTTTCTTGCGTGGCCAAATGACGAGTAACGCTGCTGAGAAATGCAACAAGTAGCGGGGTATGTCCCTCAAATCATCACCTCCACGATATCGGCGCGCAGTGAAGATCCCGAGCAAGAAGATCATTATGCAAACTAACACGGTCGTTTCCTATTCGAGCTTGTGGACCCGATGCGATTGGACGGGGCGGAAACTTACCTATTTTAAAGGCGCCAAGAGGAGTGTTATCAGACATGGTTATCCAAGGTAGGCTAAATCTTATCGGCCTGGGTGTGGGTGTGATCAAAAAAGCGCGGGTCGGGATCAAGTGGGCCATCTACTGGGCAATCATCAATCCGCAGGATATCCAGTACCGAGTAGGCAAGGTTGAGTCAACGCAGCGTCTCTGCTCCCCGCTTTAAGCTGACATTACCATGTGATGTGCTTACGTAGCTAGCACTTGCTTTCATCTTCAACAGTCGTCACACGGTGGGTAAGGGAAACAGACAGCGTTTCAAGCATTGAGGGTACTAGTGAGACCAGTTCAAGGGGCCATTTCACTCTGAACGGTTGGAATCTTAGCTTCCCTTTGTCTTCTTTGCTTCGGCAAGACTTTCCGCCTCTCTCGCCACCGTCCGCGGAACATCCTCCTCCAAGCTCCCTTCCTCCGGCTTCCAACTCAACAACTCCGTGCCCCGCCGCGCCTTGCTCCTGGCATTCGTGCCAAACAAGACGGATCCATGCGGGAGCACCGTGTCGGCATCCGGCCGGACCAGCTTCTCAATAGGGGTATCCGAGCTGATAAGTTTCTGGTTTGCAGCCTCGGCCGCGATTTTGGATGAGATTTCCCCGAAGGTCTAGGGGAGTGAACATCAGTGATTGAAGTCATAACATTGGCGAGAAAACAGGGCGATGGGTCGGTGGATGTCACTTACCAGCTCGCCAACACCCGTCAAATAGAGCCCATTCTCACCCCATACCTCGTCTCCCCCGTCCTCACCAATCGCCTTCTGAGTCAGTAAACCAAACAGCCTTCCAATATCCCTAACGTGCACATTGCCCCACCGTGCAAGCCCCTCGCCAACCTGCACGCCCCGCCCCCGCTGTATGGTCGTCTTAGCCAGCTCCGGGATCTGGATGCTCCGCTGGTTGACTGGCCCCTGGCCCAACCCGTAGATGATGGGCGGGTAGACAACGGCCGTCTTGATTTTGCTGTTATCGGCGCCGGCGGCGACGTTGAGCATGTAGTTGTCGACCGCCCGGCCTGGATGCGCGCGGATTAGGTCGCGCAGCTTGGTGATGTCAGATACGTCGTCAAAGATTGCGTCGGAGGGAGAGCCTGGGGTGAAGGATGGGGAGGCGAGCTCGGCGGCGGCTAGAGCTGAGGCGCCTGATATTTGGATCCAGTATGCTGGACATGTGCTTATCAGACTAGGTTCTTGTTCGACAGCGTTCTGTAGATTTAATTTCGACGTACCGGGTTTGACTGAGCTTCTCTTCAAAAGGCCTTTGTGGATCGCCTCGACACCCTTGAGATGCCCGGCAGCAGCCAAGTCTGTGTCTCGAGTTAGTAAATGGTGTGTTGGGAAATAGATGTGTGAATACTTCCTCAGCACGACATCTGCTTGCGATACTTCATTTTGCACCAATTCGGCGTTGTCCAGACTCCCCAAAACAACTCGAACGGACGGGAAAGCACCAGCGACCACTGTGGACTTTTGCTTGTCCTGAAGAAGGACCGTGATGTCAAGTTGGGAGTTCGATGCGGCGATTTGATGAAGCACCTGGCCGCCGACATAGCCAGAGGCCCCAGTGCTGTTCTCATGTCAGCTGGCCCCTCCACATGCGCTTTCGGCGAGGACGGTTGGGGGTTCTTTCGTACAGGAAAACCTTAACCATTTCTGCTGATTCTGCCCTGTCTGGTTGTTTTAGCTTCCGAAAAAGACGAAAGGAAGAAAATATATAATTATCGCGAAAACCGCCTTGGTTGACACTACTAGAAGGTGTGTTATCAGGGGGGAGGATTGATCGTGGTAAGATGTACTGTGTATGCCAACAAGGTCAAAGTCATGCAAGCGAACCACAATTTATATCAGCTGAATCATGCCGATAACGATTTTTTTCTCCAAACGTCATTAATGACACTCAATGGTATGTGGGGGGGGGGCCGAGGGCCTTGGAGTTTTGGACAAGCTGCTAACGCACCCCGCTAATGCAACACTAAGGCCGGCGTGGCTTTCCAGAAGCTGTTTGACTTTTTGGGGCCGGTGAAAAGAAGACTTGAATTAAAGCCGTTATCGGTACCTAACCGTACTATCATGGGATGGGCATTGGCAGCAAAGTATGCGCCCTCTAGCTGCCAAGAAACCCTGTATCTGCCTATAGATGCGTATAGATGAAAGCCAGTTCCTACATTGCACCTCACTCAATCAATACTCGCCACTTCTGCCACCAGTTATCCCTAGGCCGAGCCGGCGTCTCAGCAGCAAGGATCTCTTCCAGACCAGTCGACAGGTCAATCTGATGCACCGGTATAGCCCAGGCGTCCTGCCTCCCCACTGTGAGCTTGTGGCCGAAGTAAAGAGCGGCAAAAATGGGAATCCCAATGTAACTGCTCACGAAACTGGCAGCGTCCCAACGCCCATCGAAGAAGACCTTGAATCCGCTGAGAAGTAGCATTACAGTGAAGGCAACGATACTGACGTAGCCGCTGTATGGCTGGAATCGCGAGCGGTAGGGGATGTCGGTAATGCCCTGAGCAGCGGTAGCTTTGCGGAAGCGCATGTAGATGATGCAGCAGCAGATCCAGGACTGGAAACCACCCGTGTTGATGATGTTAACGAACCAGCTGAAGACAGTGGCGCCCGAGGCAGCGACGTTGAGGTACGCCAACAGCGAAAACGACGCGCTCGCCGCGGTGGCGTAGTACGGGACGCCCTTCTTAGTGCAGCGGGTGAAGATCTTGGGCGCATTGCCCGCGAGTGCCATTGAGTACATAGTCCGAGTGGCGAGATACAGATACGAGTTTCCGGCCGACCAAGCCGAGAGGACGATGACAACGTTGACGACGGTGTCGAGGGCTTGGATTCCTGCGTCGCGGATTCCAATCGCCCAGGGCGACGCAGCGGCACCACTACCCGCCGAGAGCAGGTTCGGGCTGTTGCTAGGGACGAGGATGCCAATAGCCAGGGCGCCCAGGACGTAGAACACGAGCAGTCGATAGAAGTACCTCTTTGTGGCTACGGGCAGGTTTCGGCGGGGCGACTCCATCTCGCCGCCCGTGACAACCAGCAACTCGGGCGCGAAGGCGAAGGCGAAAACGGAGAAGGTTATGGTGCCGATGAATGCACATAGCCTCCCCGCTGCCCCCTCTACGAGGTACTCGTTGACGGGTCCTGGGTTGTTCCAATGTTTGAAGTAGAGGGGTTCATGTTTAGGGCCGCCGCCGAAGAACAGCACAACAGTCATGATGAGTAGACCGACGATGCCAATCACTTTGGTTGAGGCGAACCAGAATTCCGTCTCGCCATAGAATCGCACCGGAAGACACTACACAGATATCTCAAGTTAGTAAGTTGATTTGCCTGGCTTCAGAATCTTGAGAGGCCCCGGGGGGGATTGGCGATGAGTGGATGCGTACGTTAAGCAAGATAATCAAGACCCCAACAATAGTGAGCCAGACAGCCGTGTGAAGCGGGGGATCCCAATACTGAATCACCAGCGTCGTTGCCGTGATTTCCGCCGGCACCGTAATGGCGAAGATATACCAGTAGACCCAACCCATCGTGAAGCCCAAGCTCTTGGACACGAACCTGTTCCCGTAGTACAACATGGAGGCTCCCGGGACCGGCAAGTATGAGCTAATCTCTCCCGTCGCCGTAGCCACCCCATACAGGCATAGCGTGATGCAGCAGTAGGACAAAAGCAGAAATAGGGGACCGCCCATGGCGAGACCTTGCCCCGCGCCCACGAAAAGACCCGTGCCGATGGTCCCGCCCAGCGCAATCATCTGCGCATGGCGCGACTTCAGGCCTCGCTGTGTCGTGTGTGTTGCGGCGGCTTCTGTCGACGCATCACTGTTGCTTCCCAGTGTCTCGCCTATGATCACCGACGTGTTTCTTTCGAGGCCGGCATCGGATTCCCGCTTCTCTACTCCCTTCTCATCTTTAGGAAATGCCGACATGGTAACAACAATTTGATCTTGATCAAGAACGCAAAGAGGGACAGGATAGTGGAACAATGGCGAGATCAGATGCGCACGTCTTGGATATCCAGCGCTTTTTGTCTACAATCCCAAAGAATACTTATACGTTATCAGTCCACCCCCATGGAGGTATGGCCCCCACTGAGCTCTACCCCAGCTCCTTGGCCCTTGGAACATGGCCATCTGCTACGAATTGATGGGCCGATTATCTTGGAATTTACGATAGAGGTGGCAAAACGTGTTACCAACAGCAGCAATTGATAGCTACCGCCCAGAGTCAGCCACGGTTCCGAACATCCATAAACATATATGAACTATCTTTCCCCTCGTTCAGCTCAGGGGTAAGTGGGGTAAGGGTATCCTTGAAGTAAGTTTCCGCGTCACTAGCGTCAGGAAACCTTATCAGGATTGCCTGGTTCCCTGACCAATATTAATTGCAGATTGCTCGTCGGGTGCGGCTGGCTTACAACAGGGCCTGCAAAGAGGCCGATTGCCCCAACACGCACCTTTTGCTCGTGGGCCAATTCGTCGTAACGATTATTTGTACACCTCCTCCAGCATTTGGAACGTTATTGCAGTTACAAGCCCAATACCTACACAATCATTTGCTAGTACAGTATGAAGTATCTCCGCATACAAATAAGTATGTAGAGGTAGTTAACAGCAAGTATGTCTATACACTTTTGCGATATTCTCGGCCATTTATATATACTATAGACGATAATATAGAAATGTATTAACTTGTATTCTAGTTGTACTAAAGCCTGCAACTTAATATTACGAAATAAGCTAATACTTACTAGCCAAATTATATAGAGTATTGAACGTTTATAAGACCTTCCGAATAATCTAGTTATGAAGGAACGATGTACTCCTTCCATTAGGAGGATGTCCTATGAGATCGCATCATCTTATCATAAGGATCTTTCATGAGTCGAACGACTAGAGATTTAAACTCACAGAAATGTCCCTGGCTAGCCCTACGAGCGGGTTATGGAGGTAACTGTGCACTACGCTATGTGAGGTCCACTTACTCCAAAGAGAGAAAAACATATTATTATTAGAGCTAAGATAAAGGCCTTTCCAGACGAGGCCCACCGCTACCGTAAGATCATATAGCCCGACTCAAGGTTCTTTATACCGGAGATCTCTCTATGTAGAGAAAGAGCGTTAAATATAGCTGTAAAGAAGCTTAATTCTCATCCTTAAAATCGACGTCGGTTAATCGAGCTTACTCGAGTAAATAAGAACTAACAAAAGCGTTTCTGATACGAAAAGGTAGGGGGACTGATACGTGACCCCATGGGGGGTTGCCCTATAGCTAGAGATAAGATAGATAAGAGCTATAAAAGAGCTCTGCCAGGCCAGAATAGCTGACCTGGCCATCCTTTCCCAATACAACAATTCACACCCCATATGCACTCGCATCAGGCTCTCTCCAGCCCAGGAATCCCATCTGGCTGAATGGGTTCGAATCCAGGCTGCCCTAGGCCTCCCACCAACCCATCAACAGCTCAAAGACTTCGCCGAGCGTATCCTACAGATCCACCGAAACACCGAACCACTTGGAAAGAACTGGGTCCAGGCTTTTATCAAGAGGAACCCTTCAGTCAAGGTCCAGAGAAGCAGAGCTATCGATTCCCAGCGTATTAATGGAGCCTCAGCTAATGTGATCAGGCAATGGTTCAAATACCTCACTATCCCTGAGATCAAAGCTATTAAGGCCTCGAATCGATACAATATGGATGAGACAGGTATTCTAGAAGGTAGAGGATCAAATAGTCTTGTTCTAGGATCATCTGAGACTCGTTCTATACGGAAGAAACAGCCTGGATCTCGAGCTTGGACATCTCTTATAGAGTGTATCTCTGCGACTGGTACTGCACTACCCCCACTTGTGATATACAAGGGGAAGTCTGTCCAGCAGCAGTGGTTTCCTCTGGACTTGACTCCATACGAAGCCTGGAGGTTTACAGCAACAGAGAATGGGTGGACGTCAGACTCTACGGCTATTGAGTGGCTACACAAGATCTTTATTCCTTTGACTCAACCAGAGGACCCTGAAGAGACTAGGTTACTTATCCTAGATGGGCATAGTAGCCACGAAACGACAGAGTTTATGTACCTCTGCTTCATAAACAAGATACACTTGCTTTTCTTGCCGCCACACACATCCCACGTTCTCCAGCCTCTCGATCAGTCAGTCTTTGGACCCCTCAAGGCAGCCTATAAGAAGGAGCTTGGTTACCTTGACCGATGGGATACTACTACTGTCGTAGGGAAGATAAACTTTCTCCACTGCTATAGAAAGGCACGTCTAGCAGCATTGACCGCTAAGAACATTATCAGTGGATGGAAATATACTGGTCTCTGGCCTTCGAGCATAGCTAGACCCCTTATGAGCCCCCTGCTCCTTGAGAATACGTCAGCACCAATCAGACAGCCTAGTCAGACTTGCAAAGGGTACTCTGATAGTAAGGGTAGTCAGGACTGGTGTGACAGGCTATGCTTGAAATGGGATCCGGAGTTGCAAGAACCTTGCGTCCGGATCCACCAAAGGAACCATCGAGGGCATATAAAAAAACATGGTTTGTGTTCTCGGAAAACTCGCTTATTTTACTTTCCTCCTTAGTTAGATAATTAACAGTATTTGGCCATGTTGAGCTGTATAGTTTCGCAGTGAGCCCGTCACAACTGGGCGTTAGAGACATCAGCAGTAGCCTGGTCAACGCCTAAGAGGAGAGATGAGCTCCAAGATCAACTCAGCTTATTCAGCAAGCTTGATAGTGATCCAAATACCCAGCGGCTACTCTTTCGGAAAGTTCAAAAGGGCTTTGATGAGAAGGACTGCTAATTAGCTGTCGCACAGCGAAAGATTGAGGCAATAGAGGCATAGCTTGAGGCTAGTAGGGCCAGGAAGCGGATGAAGGTCAAGATGAGCCCAAATTCGAAGTTTACTAATATCAAGGCTATTCGGAAGGCTCAAATCGAGGCTGGTGAAATTGAGGATAGTACAGATGAGTCTAGCGAGTCTGAAAACCCCAGTGACGGTGAAATCTATATTGTAGTCGCATTAGAATAAGTGTAAAAAAAGGTTGAAGTTAATGGTTATAATATACAGCACCATTTTTAGGGCGTCCCACATGTGGGGGTGTCCCGGATGTAAGTGTGGGACGTTAATATAAAATAAACCTCACAGTCATTCTCGGCACAACCAATACGAATGTGACGCACCGAGGTTCGAGGTCCCCATTCTACGTTTATCTGCTATTTCTTGAATGGATTCTGGACTTCTATATAAGCGAACTATATCTGTTCTTACTAAAAGAATATAAGAAAGTTATTCAGCATCATAACAAGTCAAAGAAGACAACACAAACAAACCCCTTATAGTCACTATTGTCTCTCGCCCTGTTAGGAAACTAGATAGAGGACTACTATTCAGTTTCTATAATAATACTCGTAATTTGCGTTTCTTTATTCTGCCTCCCTCACATATTATATCAGACTCGACAAGTTATTGGCCAAGTGGCATAACCAATCAGAGTTCTCTTCTGCCTGGCTCGAATGGGTCTTGCCGACACGATATCGGGAGTCCTGTTCGGGTACCGTTTTCGCTACCTTGAAGGTACCAAGATACCTATCGTCGTTCGGTGCGACATTTGGCTTTACTCGGCTTTCACTGATTGCCTTACAATTGTCCACGTCAGTGGTCTTGAGATGGGAGTGGGGTGGATAACAGCGGGTCGAGTTCCTTGCATCTACTCCGCACAAGATAAACGGTAAGTTTGCGCGCCATTGTGTGGATCAAAGCTCTAATGAAATAGAACATGGGCTTTGGATCCACTACTCGAGGACCAAGTGTTGGGAACGCGTCCAAGTGTCTCCAGATGCGGCAGGTGATGTCGAAGGTAAAGATATGAACGGTATTGCCCATTTGCGGTGCCGAAGGAGATCCACACTTCCCGTCGGAATTGACACCTTACACTTACAGGGAAATACTTCACATATCTTGAAGTCTAAGCCTGGTCTACTGAGGTTGCCGTCTATCCCAACTAGCTAATGTAGCTTGGCCCAGATCCTGACCAGTTCATGGATAAGCTTTAGACAGGACTATCCCTCAGCTAAACGGATGACTTCACCATACCTTGCAGTTCGAGCGCCGTCTATAACTCTCTGAATCGACTTACACAACACCAACACAAGAACACGTGTTGAAAACGTAGATACGCAGCCATGGCGAACCGTGGGGCAAGTCATGATGCCCGGGTTCACACCATCGGGGATTTGAAGGAGTTGGGGAGTAACAAGCTTCCCAAGATGTACAAAGGTATGCGCCAAGAAAGAAAAGCTGTCCTAGCATGGCCATGTTCACGTTAATCTGACAGTAAACCCGAACAGACTATTTCAACGAAGGAGCGATGGACTTGATCACGCTGAGCGACAACGAAGCCGCCTACAACCGGTATAAGATCCGGCCGCGGATCCTGGTGAACGTGGATAATGTCGACACGCGGAGCTCGCTGTTTGGGATCGAGACGGCGCTGCCGCTAGGGTTCAGCCCGGCCGCCATGCACAAGCTCGCCCACCCGGACGGCGAGCTGGCCACGTCGCGAGCCGCCGCCGGGTTCGGCATCTCCATGGGCTTGTCGTCGTACGCGACCGAGTCCATGGAGAATGTGGCGTCCCAGGGCTTGGGGAACCCCTACTTTATGCAGGTGTGCGTTTTGAAGGACCGGTCTACCACGCTCGATATTTTGCGGAGGGCTGAAGGTGTGTTGTCTCTTCAGTGGAAAGCTGGATATGTAATGGAAATGCTGACTAACAAATTTTGAAAAGCGGCCGGATACAAAGCGATCTTCGTCTCCGTCGACTGCCCCGTCCTCGGCCGCCGCCTCAACGAGCACCGCAACAGTTTCGCCCTGCCCGAGGGGCTCTCCTGGCCTAACCTCGGCTACGACGGCGGATTCCGGCGGAACGAAACCTCCAACGCGACAGAACAGAAGCAAGAAGAAAATAACGACGCGGACAGATTCGCGTTCGACGCGTCGCTCGACTGGGAGACGACCATCCCCTGGCTGAAGGCCAACACCAAGATGCAGATCTGGCTCAAGGGTGTGTACACATCCGAGGACGTCGCTCTTGCGGTCGAGTATGGAGTTGATGGTGTTGTTGTGTCTAATCATGGCGGGAGGCAGCTTGATGGTGTGCCTGCTACGCTGGATTCGCTGCGCGAGTGTGTGGTTGCGGCGGGGGGAAGGATTCCCGTTGCTATTGATGGGGGCATAAGAAGAGGGACGGACATTTTCAAGGCCTTGGCGCTGGGGGCATCGCACTGTCTTGTCGGCCGAATTCCGATCTGGGGATTAGCTGTGAGTGGTTTTCTTATATTTGCCTGCATTGAGCTTTGCGAGGACTTGACTGACAGACACGAATTCAATAGTACAACGGTCAAGCTGGCGTCGAGCTAGCTCTCAAGATCCTCACTGACGAGTTCAGAATTTGCATGGCATTAGCAGGGTAAGTTTCTCGCGGGACCTCCGTGCCCTGACAAGACTCGTCATGGATTTCACTGACAGTGCGTTGCTGTGCAATAGTTGCCGGACCATCAAGGACATCACCCGCCAACATATTACGTTCCTCAATTCAGAAGGAATACTAGCCAAGCTATAGATAAATGACGGATATCAACGTACGATGAGATGAAAGGATGAATGTAAATAAAATAACCTGGTCTTGAGTTCGGGAATAAAAATAATGACTCAATAATGTCGACCATTCGAAGTTGACCAACTTGATGAATGGCCCGGGAAAACGCGATGTTGAACTTGTAGCAACCCACGGTTCAGGAGAGTGTCACTAGTTACAGCTAACCACCGCTAACCAAGATACTGACACTGATCCTACTGCATGCGAAATTCTCACTATACAACTCTGACCCGACAACACACAGTAACCAGCATAAGGTGAGGTAACGAGAATGACCGCGCACGAGAGCTTTGAAATGAGGCGCCGAGAAAGAACATGAAATAACGGCCTTGACGATAATGCTGCAGTCGTATAAGCTCGTATATTCCTATACAACTCCAGCTTCGACGTCATTTCGAAACTAAGTCTGTTGCATATAGTTATAGTCTAGTCCGTAGTGAATATCATTTTCATTTTCAGATGCTTAATGCCATTTAGGCGGGTCGTCCAACCCAGTTAGCTAATACGGCTTAGTCCATTCCCCTGACCATGAATGATTTCATAGTAGTTGATATTACTAATCCCAGCACAAACCAAAATATGACTGGACAGGAATCACTCGGAGTAACCTTACAAACACTATTATTGTATCTGTCGTGCACCCGCCCTCGACGTGACTCGAGTTGACTCTGAATCAGGAAATGCGAGATACCGGCCAAACTTTCCCTTCCCGTTGGAGGGGAGGAGGGGGGGTTGATTACCCCTCTTTCCGGTTCCGGTGCAGCCTTAGTTACCTTATTGGCCCGATGGGTTATCAGTCGGTGGCTATCGTTCCCGAGCACTTGTAGACGCAAATTGGGGATGTAGCAGGAAATTGAGGGTCCTAGATCACATTATGGGCTCCTCCCTTTCAAAGTACTTAGATAATGTAGGTTATTTACTTCTCCATCGTCTAATTTGAAAATCTGCTTACATCTTTTCATCCGATCAACCAAAATCTACGACAGCTACATCCGAAGAAAGACGCGTTGAACTGTTTCCATTACTTGAATTTGGGTTTGGGCCATTCTATATCCACATTTTCCTTTTATTCTTACAACATGGCGACCCAAGAACAGCTCAAGGGCATCCTTGTCGCCCTGACGACTCCCTACACGGCCGATCAGAAGTCAATCGATTTGGAGGCTCTAGACACCCACATCCAGCGCCTCATTGCGGCAGGGGTCCACGGACTCGTCCCCGGCGGCAGCACAGGCGAGTTCGTTGCACTCTCGACCGAAGAGCGCAAGATTCTCGTAGAGCAGTGCGTCAAGTCAGCAGCGGGCCGCGTGCCCGTAATAGCAGGCACAGGCGACCTCTCGACGGCGCGGGCCGTTGATCTCGCCAAGCACGCGGCTGAGGTCGGCGCCAAGGCCCTCATGGTGGTGCCCCCTTATTACGACGCCGTCAGCGTGCCCCAGCTCCGCGAGCTCCTGCGTGAGATCCACGAGGCCAGCCGACTGCCCATTGTGTACTACAACATCCCCTCGGCGAGCGGGCTGACGCTGCAGCCGGAGCAGATTGTCGCCCTGTCCGAGGTGGGCGTCATGTACATGAAAGACACGTCGGGCAACGCGCCCGTGCTGACAGACCTTCTGTTCACGAGCAGCTATAGCGACCGCGTCACCACCTTCAACGGCTGGGACACCCTCACCTTCTACGGCCTCGCCGCCGGCGCCAAGGGCTCCGTCTGGGGTGCGACCAACATTATCCCCGAGCTGTCCATGGAGCTGTGGGAGGCCGTTGCTGTCCAAGGGGACATAAAGAAAGGCCGGGAGCTCTGGACCAAGATCTTTCCCGTCTGCAAGTTCCTCGAGTCGCACAATTACGCTTCTGCCATCAAGACGGGCATGGAGCTGCGAGGGTGGGGGACCGGTGGCGTGAGAAGGCCCTTCACTCTGTTGGAGGGAGGGCTGCGGGAGGAGTTAAAGTTGATACTCGAGAATGCTGGTGTCAAGACGGTCTAATTTAGTATATCAAACGCACCCAGCAATACCATAAAAATTGTTAGCTTATCACGCGCCGGGCCAGCTCAGCGTCCAATCTCCTGATGCCAATCGCTTCGACCATATATTGAATACAATGTCCCTCATGGGCCCGGTGGTGAAGGGAGTCCCCTTGTCATCTATGGCGCTGAGACACTTCAACGCCTGTTCCTGCAGCTCTGGCGTCATGGCTTCACAAGATGCGATGAAGACGGGCCAGACAATGCTCGTCGCAAAGTCTTGGTCGTCCACGCCCTCGTCGATGCAGGGTTGTAGATAATCTAGGGTTTTCCGCACTGAGTCTTGCAGAATCATGGCATTCACGTTGTATACTCGCCGGTAGAGGTAGATTATGAGGGCCTGGTGCATGGCCAGCGTCATGGACCTCGCGTTCGGCTGGTCCCAAAGGCCGTGGGCGCTATCTTGCAGAGGCTGTGGCCCCGTTTCGCCCGGTAGTTTCCAAGACCATATGTTGGATTCCAATGTTTTGATATGGTGGTTTAGCGCAGTGGACACGGCCGGATCATTCCGAACTTTAGACTCCAGCCGCGTCTTCTCATTTGCAAACGAGATGACCTGCGACAACAGCGTAATGAGGGATTCGGGAACTCCGTATATCTCGGTAAACAGCGTTTCCTTCCAGTACCCCTGAACCTCGAGATGTATGTCGTTGTAGCCCACCTCCATCGTCTTCTCGCGAGCCGGGTCGAGGCCGATGTTCAAGGCATCCTCAGCGATGCGGAACCTACGCAGGACCACAGCGGGAGTCCCGAAACTGCCTTTGTTGTTGACGTCGGCATTTGCGATGGAAGTGCTCTCGGCGACAACACGAAGATATGTATACATGTGGTGCAAGATACGCATCTTGTACGTTTTTCGATGTTTCAAGCCATAAAGACGTATGAGTCGCTCGGCATCCAGAAGAAAACTTCTAAAATTATGGGCGCTATTGAACAACTGGGGATACCTGTATTAATGTGCAAAAGAATTGAATATTGGGACGAAAAGACTTACGGAAACCATGGCCGCGGCAAGAATCGCCATGAGCAGCTGCGTGTACTTGACATGATCACCCCCCTGCATTTCCGTCTGCAGGGCTATGCGAAGATGACGCTGTGCGGCTTGCTGATGTTTGAGCCCAACAACGCCCCAGGGGACCGTCGAGGGGAATTCGGGGATGTTTTTCTGGTGCAGTTGGAACGCACTGTGTGCTACCAGAGAGTAGAGGATGGTGGACCGGGTATGGGATGATTGATTCCACAGGGTCAGCTCCGCGAAGGTCTCGAGGGCACACGGCAGGAAGAGAATCTGCCATGGCGACTTGCGTTTGGCCTGCATGGATGAGCTTGGCTTCATCATGTGCTGCTTGTAATATCGCAGCAGAGGCCCGGCGTGCTCAGGGACATTCTGCATGCCGTCGACACGCTCGAGTGCGCTTCGAGGTGACACAACTGGTGGGGTATCAAGGTCACGCGCCGAAGTTTCGTCATCTGCATTGTCCAATCTTGACTGACCGACACAGGGTAGGCCAGGGCCCGTGTTGGGTAGGATGGCTTCGTGGAAAAAGCTACCCGGCATGCCAAAATCATAAAAGGACGAGTCTGGGAAATGAAGATCTAGGTCGGGAAAAGACTCATGTTGGTGAAATGTAGTAACGAGGGCGTCGTCATCGAACATGCCCAGGTGGAACTCAATCATGGGAGCATCAAAGTCTTCCCGCACGATACTCTCGAGATGGCCGTCACCCTCACCACCAACTAGCGATGTCGAGGGCGATGTTTCTGTGGAATCGTCGGGTGACCTTGATGGAGCTGGAGCTGGAGCTGGAGCTGGAGCTTGAGGGCTGAAAGTAGGGGATGCCAGTGGCTGCCATGACTGCGAGGGCCTGATATTGAACACACTAAACGGGCCCGCCGAGATGTGGTCCAGGCTCTCTGCCTTTTCACTCTCGACGTCGAGAAGCAGAACAAGTTCGGAAGCCGAGCGGCTTCCCAAGCTCGTCCCGACTTGGATGCTCATCCGCCGACGTTCGTCTTCTGAAGAAATGTTAGCATAAGCTAGGTCAACAAGCAGAAGCGGGATCGATCGAACATGCCGGAGAATAGCGGGTATCGATAGCTGGACGCGGGTCCCCGATGAGTCGACGATGCCGTCTTCGCCTGCGGGCTGGCCCCATGGTCGGCGAGCCAACGCAATTGTGGCTGGTATCCTTCACACGGAATCCCGAGTCTCTCGCAGGCTGTGCACGAGGGAAAACCTTCGTCGCACTGGAACTCGGCCGTCAGTTGGAATATGCCTGCGCTGTGTTTCTCACCTGGCTGCTGACCTTGGCATGCCGACTGCGGCAACTCCGGCAGCCGGTAAAGGTCCGCGACCTGACCGTTTTGGCTCCACTTGACATATTGTTGGGTGGGTTACTGAAGGCTAAATGTCGTACGATGAATTCTGCTCGTCTGGAGAGGAATGCCTCCACGACGTCCAGAGACGATCGGGAGTTGACTTTCCAAGCTCAGACTTGATAACGTACCCCGCGACGACAAGAGATTCCATCCCAGAAGACCCATAATAGCATCAAGCTAAAGACAACGTAGCTTTGGAGGCAGCTATGGAAAGGGAAGGTTTCCGCGCTGGGTGGGTCAACAAAGTAAAGTGGGGGATATGATACATGATAGGTCCTCCGTCATGCTACCAAGAGTGCGCACCTACTACAGCTTACTCGTGTCACAGCATCAACAGCTCCGGTCTGCATACAACTATAGAATCTGCAAATAGAATCTTCCAAGATATGCACCTAGCTGTTTCTCGGCTATCATACGAAGTACGAACCAATCAGTAGTTGCATGTTGAATTTCAACAAGGATAGCATCGAACTAATTACGAACCCAGCTTACAACCTAGTCCTACCAAGTGCCTTTTCTCATGAGCCTGGCTGGTCTGCGTGGTCAGTCTCAACAATGTCAAAACGTGGCCAACAACTCTCTCCAAATCTCATCTAGGTAGAACATCCCCGCAATATGACCCCATGAACCGTCTTTATAGCAGGGTTCTCCTGAGCCATTCGTTTATCGCACCAACCAGCTTATCCCTATCTGTTCCAATAATGAGAACCGGCTTCTAGTGTTCCGCATCTACTTCACTAAGCACAAAGTCACACCCACAACAGATACCCAAAGCTTCTCACTGCCAGAATATTCACGAAGTGTCGGCATGGGAGGACGACGCTGTAAAGGAAGGGGGTAATGGATGATTCCCGCTCTTAAAACTTCTTCTTTTCTCCTTATAGATTGATTATACTCGCAGAGTAGGCTCGGCTAATTGCAACATTACCCTTAGCCCTTACATTACACTTGATCTATCAATTATGGCATCGGAAATTATTAGCCACTGTTGAACTTATCAAACCCCCAAAGAAGAACTAATAACCGCGGGAGTAGCTTAGGCCACCAGGATAAGCGATATCCTGTGTTTATACATAACTAATCGACCGGATCTATCCGTGATGCGTGCACCTAGGGGGTAAGGCATTATAATGCAGTAGTGCGCAACATTATAATGTCTAATTGAAAGGGATTCACCTAACCAGTGGGTCCCCCTACCTTTTCGTATCAATCCGGCCCCGACACTTACGACTATACCCTCCCGTGCTCGAAGGATAGCGGACTAATCACAGATTGTAAGCTTTAGAAATACTATCTTAATTAATATTTAATGCTTAGGTGACTAGCGATGAAAGAAACCAACTCAAATGTATCTTTCCTAGCTTAGGAGGAACTATACAAACGATATATATGATATTTACCTGATTGGTTCGTACTTCGTATGATAGCATCGATCTTCTCAGGGGGGACTTTGTTGGTAGGTTGAGAACCAACGTAGTATGGTAGTGGACGCAACGCAGTCGCCAATAGGGCGAACCGACGACGCAGCGTATGTATTTAGTCCAGCCATTAGGGCACGGTTTGACATACGGGAGTACTAGCAGAGGTACCGGGGGCTTCGAGCCTACGGCGTATTTAATAATAATAAAAAAATGATATTTACCCAGCACGACCGTCTTGATAGGCAATTCGATCTTAAAGCTTTAATAATATACGTATACGGACCTGAACGTTACATCAAGTATCCTATATAAAGTACGTACGATACGGTAAGGCGTTAAGGAGAACTTAGCATTCCTAACTTGTTTCGAAAAGGAAATAGCTTGTCAGTCAAGCCTCAAACGACAGGTGGTGGGCATCTGCCAAGTATGTCAATAGTACCTGGCTTAATGAGTCAAGTCATCGTTCACCAACTACGTTGAAGGCCCTGACACATTATAAATTGCAATTAACTTGTCGGTCTCGGTTTGGAGATTTAGGGGACTTAGCTGAAGCATATACCCTGTGGTGCATCGATAATATGGGGGCGAATAGCAAAACTGTCTTGTATGTAGACCAACTTTCGAGCCGCCATGTTAGATCTTCTCCTTTTCCACTACTATTTTTTCATCATCCACTCATTGATTTATTGATTTTTTAAACTAATAACTGATCCTTCTGTCCATCAAAGAAAATCCATATATTTCAACTTCTCAACTAAACGTTCAATAGAACCCCCTCCCCAGCCCAACCATAATCAAGAGCAGGCTTCAAGATTCGGTCTATTATCCAATGGTATGCAGGTAAATAAAGCTCTGTGTTTCCTTGAACAAGATCGTGGCCGTCTCTTCAAACCTCCATACATCGACCTTCGCCGCAGCCGGTCCTGCTGCCCCTGACACCTCCGCCCTCCGGGAAGCCGCCAAGGCATATTCTGGGATTTTGTCCTGGACTTGAATAAGTGTGACAGCAATACGGGAAAGCCCGCTGGGCAGCATCTAGCGCTTCTTGGACGGCAACATCTGCAACGGCGGTAACCATGGCTTTCGGTCCAAGGCGTCGCGCCCTGTTAATACCGGTACCGGCGCCATCGAAGGCTACATTGAAAACTCGTGCCGCATCAACTGAAAGACCTCCAACGGCAAGCTTGCCATCAGCAGGCAGACACTCAACGCCGTCGCCTTTGGCAACCAGCGGAAGGCTGGCGAAATTAACTTCTCGGATTTTTTACCGGCGTTTTTAAACGCGTACAACGCAACTTTCACGGTTTCAAATATCCAAGGAGGTTTCCGAGGGGTAGGAATAGTTCCGTACGATGCAGATTATGTCATATCACAGCTCGATGTGAAATTACATACGCCAACACCTCCGGGTAGCTCGGCTGGTCTCCCCGTCCCTTGGGAATCAAAGACTCCGAACAACCCGACCGAAGCCCAATCACAAACCGATTATGTGAAAAATAGGATTGTACGACATCAAAATATCTCACCAACGTCAATTTCTGCTGGAATAGATCAGATTGCGCGAGGTACAACGAAGGTTATGCATCGGCTTGCCCTTTTAGAAGGCGAGGTCGAATCACTTCGAAAGGCAAATGAGACCTTAAGTCGATGTCGCCGTGCGAAGGAAAAACAGCTACAGAGTGGAGGGTTACTTCGTATACAAGCTGGACAGGACCTACAGTCTCAACGAGAGGTTGATGGGCAGTTACATGACGAATTTCGTCAAATTGGTGGTCGTACGAGGCGGCGAATTGCGCGTGTACGGCGCTGTAGAATCTGCGGCGAGCCCGGACATAATGCGCGCACTTGTGGAAATGATGTAGAGACGTCTGAAGATAACGATTCTGAGTAGTTTCAATTGATGATAGGCGTTGTGGTTGAATTAACTTATACATTGTCGTATAAGGTCTGCCAAAGTGTGCAATTGGACCGTGGACTACGTTAGTCATTAGGTCGTAAGTGGGCTAGATTTCCTCAGAGTTTTGTCAGTCCAGTGAATGTATTGGCTTGTGTAATGGGTTTTGTAAGTGACAGCACTATACCAGGAGATATTTTTAACAGAATAGGGCTATACAGACAAGAGGGTTGTATTGGTGATGATGATCATAATGATAACGCTAAGTTCCAAAGACTGCAGCTACGGAAGGGCTTTCTATGGGAAAATGACCCAAGCGCTGTGCTCAACAGCCAGGCGGTGTGCCTGGTGCACGCAACACATACGTATCCCTTTGTTTTTATTGATCAAGACCCCTTTGCAGGACTGACCTTATTAGTATAATTCCTAATGTAGTGACCCTACTTGAAGGTTCTTCCGTGAGTTTGCGGAGTTTGTTATAGATCCGAGTCTCAGCTTCTCACCTATAAAATCAAGATTCCTTAGTCCCATACTAAACATATATTCTCCAATGGTACCCTATTGTACCAACATAAACTGCCTGGAAGTATGTGTAATACACGTGTTCTGTGGACACTAAATAGATAGGCGTCTTCGGTTTTACTGAATATATGAAAGGACAAATACGCCGGAAGTCACGCATCACTGTTCCTCCTCAGCCTCTTTCCAGCCGTCTAACTCTTTGCGCTTCCAGAGATCATCATAGTTCTTATCCGCATTGTCGGCCGACTTAGCATTCGGATGAGCTCACCAATGCCCTGTATATCCCGCAATGTCTTCAGGATGCGCCTTGCCGTAGTCATTCAAATTATCTGAGTCGTGGGCAGAAAGGTGACATGACGTAGCTTTTGTAAGTGTTTGCTGGGAGACCGTAAATAATTATTGCGGCGCAGAACTTTGTCCACGATTTGCATGCTACCTTCCTCGTAGGTGAGCAAATCCATGTTGGGGCAAAGCATGAGAAGCAAGGCGGCGGCATGATGTGCGAAAAGGATGGTGTGTATTGGGTAGAATGGATCGATTTTGAAGGAGCGGCAATCACTTGCGATGGCGTTTTCACCTGCTGATTATTGAACTCGTGTAGATCAGTGTGTTTTCTATAGATATACGCCTTCATATGATTTCTTATATGCTTGATTAGCGAATAATCAGGACCATAAGGAGCTATTTGAAAGTCCAGACTTTGGTTTATATATGACTGGATATAGGTGCTTCAGTCAGATTTATACGAAGGCCAAAGAATGATGTTTTTTTCTCTCTTATTCTGATGGTTACTTCTGGTTTGAGGCGGGGTTTTGTAGCCCTGCACTTGGCCGTACCTTCCCATCCGGATACCAATTTCTCCAAATCCCCCCTTCTGCTACGTCACAACTTCGCAATGAACACCCTCAGCCGTGATGACATGTTCGGACTGCGTGCAAAATCCTAGTATTGCTTCAAGATATTCCTATCCCAATGCTTAGTTTCTCTTTTCACCAGGGCGAGGGGGTCCAGACGGGCAGCTCTATAGGGCGTGTCGAGTCAGAAGCCTGGAACACCTTCACGAAATTCTCGCCACGCGAAGCTTTCTTTTACTATTTTCTTCAGGAATCTCTGGTCCTGTGAAAGATCTGAGATCTTGTGTCGAGATCACGGGTGAAGATCCGCTTGTGCGGAAGGTTAGGCGCATAGCAACACTTGGCTTCATCGGCATGTTTGCAGTTCGCAGTCTACACCAGCGCTTCAGATCACGACGGATACTGGACTCCCGGATTTTGGTCACTCAATGGGCACGATGTGTTGGTTTTCCAATTGTATCCATGGATTACCTAGATAGCTGCGACATTGTGGTTTATGGCATAGACTAGCATGTCTGTGCCGTTTTATTCTATACACTATTGATAAACATGACCATCATAACAGGTCCACCGTCTCTGTCCGTTTATGCCCTGAGACGCCCAATTTGTGCCAGAGTTTTTATCTAGTCCAATATCTTCCCAAACATGTTACAAATGAAATCTAGTGTTCAAGCAGCAATTCGCCTCTTCGCATCTCGCACGCTGATGGCAGTACCCTCTTCGATAGCAGTCTTCTCTTCCTGCCCAGGTATACTGATCCGATTCGCCTTCGCCTCATCCAGCTCAGCCTGTCTATTCAAGAAACTCAGATATGTCTGCCAACCAACGGCGATGAAGCCGGTGAAAATGCTTCGATATTCCATGGGTAAAAATGCGAAACTGAAGGCTGTAATGGCAGGCCAGAGCTTGCAACTATTGATGATGCTGATGGGAACCGTCCTCGTGATGCGCTCCCATGTCTCTTGTAAAGTGTCGCCCGATAGCAGGGCCTGCGAGCCGAAGAAGTATGTGTTAAACAAAGGAGTGAAACAAATCTGGTTCACTAACACCTTCGTGCCGATCGAGATGATGCGCGAAGAATAGTTGAAATGATGCGACAGGAACATGAACCTATTCGCGCAATAAGAAGATTAGCCATGATCACGCTTAGGAGACGTGCTAATTCGGGGATTAGGATGACCTACCACGTATAATTAGGAATGGCAGCGAATGCGCCGACAGCTAGCGACCGCGCCGTGCGTTTGATATCGTAGTCCTTGCCACTCATCCTTTGTGCACTGATGTCGGCGCCAAGATAGATAACTAAGGCGCTCGCGACTTGCGTGACATACGGTCTCTTCCGCTGAGCGCGGGCATATGCCTCGGCGGTTCGGGTCAGGGGACCCAGACGCTGCCAAAAAGGCAAAGGCGCAACTGTGCTCGGTACCGGTATGGGGTCCTCCGTCTTCGCCGTTTTGGAATTCGGACTCGAGCCGGTTTGCGATGACTGGAAGCGTCGCGGCGGCTTGCGCTGCAGGCGCAATAGGTCGAGATGCCGCCGAAACGCGGCGCGAAGGGTTGGACTCGCCATAGTGGTGTGAGGAGAGGGAGACCTGGCTGGCTGTTCTACCGGACTATCATGGTGTTCGTTGGGGGAAGAAAGGATCCGGGTTTCGGGACAAAAGAACAGGAATCCCATCTTATCAATCTAATAAGTACTCCCGGCTGCGAGTTGATGTACTTAAAGTGGGTCGAGCCTACTTAGCCCGATTCCGAGCTCGGCACTTTCGACAGTCTAACCAATAGTGGCAAGCAAGCTAATGAAATGACATCACCGCCAATGTAATAATATGGGATAGCAAGATATCCAAGGTATAATAAATTGATATAAGCGCTGTGAAAGCTGGCTCATTTCACTTGGGAACACACCATTCAAAGTAATATTCCTATTCTCTATTTGATCGGAAATTCCTCCAAGTTTCAGCAGTTAACATTGATCTGTCTGCGCTCAACCCACTTTTGATCGATTCACCACGAACATGATCCATTGATGTGTGCTTTGTCTTACCTGCGATGCTGGCAACCCTCTCTGACCAGGCCTGCACCTGTGGCCCACGATGGCGGCCGAAGCAGCATAACGATTTGGCAACAGGTAGAAGCAGTACATCATGCTTGAAAGGTCATTGGAAAAAATACGTCACCAGCTGGATGTGTTGCTCTGAAATGTTCGAGATTGTCTGCATCAAGCGAGACCACCAGGCACGCATCAGACTCTTGGCACCTGACATGGTGCGGCTGAAGCTCGTCGTGTGGGTTATGTCCAAGGTTGCAGTTAGCTCCACATCCTAGTCGTCGGGGCAATACGACTGATCTTGCTATTTATCGTCCGTCGTTGCGAGGACTCGACCGCATTAAACATCTCTTTCATCTAGCATACTATTACTTTTTCAACCGCAACATCCCTTAGACTCTACTCTAACATGGTATGCGTAACGGAATGCAAATGCTATAGGCGGATGACGACGGAGTGTTTAGGTAGAGGAAAAAGTTGAGCAATCATTTATACGCAGTTACATTCCAAGTAGAAGATATTGGCCCATATCGATTGTAAGGGTTATACACTGGGTGTGCTGTTGTGTTTTCAATAATGTAGATGGCGGTGTTTGAAATGAAGACATAACTGCTTCCTTGGTTCATTCTGCGAAGGGTTGAAAACTAAATTATTATGGCGTTATATATAGACTGTCCACCAGTCCATTCAACGAACCCTAACGACTTGTTGAGACCTTCAGGCTGATTGTAAGGTTTTGTCCATTGACCATAACCTTGGTACGCGGTGCTGATCAAGACAATCCAGTCTGAATGAAAGAATCCCACGCTTAGGTTAACAATAAAATCAAAGCAAAGAGTTTTTACAGATTTTAAAACAGCACTGCCTCCGTGGAGCCTCTGTAAGATTCACTACCAGAATGGACCCACTGGTGTCATCGCCCGGCTCGAAGCTCCTTGCAAGAGGTTGACGAAATAAAAGGCGTGCCGAAGGTAGAACAACCAGGTTATACCCGTCTACTTTAGTGAAATATCGGGGCATGTTATATTATTCCACCTCCAGTGCGCCGTTTATTCTGTCCACCCTTGCTGAGTGCACTGATTTGCGATTGCAAATAGCCCTACAGATGTATTTTATCGTTCTAGTAACTCGATGAGATTTCAAGACTAACTGAAAATCGCGTGTAAAGAGACTTTTTAACTAACATCGATAAACGTACCAGAAATCCTGTCTAGCTCTAAGGAGTAACAACATTTAATGTAGAAAATAGATGGCATTCTGAACTTTGTGTAAGCCAGTATTGACCGTCAAGAAAACACATATAGTACTAGCAATAAGGAGAAAAGAAAAAAGCAAATGCGGCGATAATATGCAAGCCATTCCACGGATCCTAAACCATTGCGGTTCCGAACGTGACGACGGGCCAGTGTGTAGATCTCAGTGGGCCGTTGAATTGCTTATATCGCGGGCGCGCTAGGGAAATAAATCATGTTTCTGTTATTGAACCCTATTTCCGAGAACCCGATCCGAGGTATGAAGTCATTGTGCATGATGCTGCTTGTCTCCTATAAGACGATTTGTTGAATTTGTCCAAAACTTTCCATATGGGACACAGGTCCGTCATATTGGAAAAGGCTTTTTCGACACTGAGGCTGTCCAAGCATAAAGTCACGAAACAAAACACAAATTCGGCTCACTCCCATGGCGAACAAGCCAACGATAGTGCCGAGGCTAGCTCCTATTCTTATTGCGATGCCGACGTAGCCCGAAACAGTTAGCTGTGCCTTTCCAATCAGGAGTGAAACCAATACCTTGTCTCGGGCCGATGCGTTGTCCTTGATTCCCCGCGGTGATCTAATTGTGGATTGAATCAATTCAGACGATATGCTTATAGAAGACCCGTATAACCAAGCTAATATATGTTGCCGAAACTCGCGTGTACGGCATTATTCAAAAACTCTCCTTTATTTAACTGTGCTCGGGCCAATCCGACAACGAATAACGAGAGAAACAAAATGTTTCACTATACACACGGTCTTGCCCGCACATTCCACAACAAGGGTAACGCAACAAGGGCCAGCCTCCGACGCCAGCGACTTGTGACCCAAATGAAGGCACTCTAGGACCGGATAATGATCGTTGAATTCGTTTTTAACAACACAGAGGTATAGAACTAGTAGTCTAAGAAGGCTCCTGCTGAGGCGATTAAATGAAGGTATTTTCTGCCTTCCTCCACATCCAGGGTGAAGCGAGATATTTTAATCCGGACTTAAGACTTGCTAACGCAGTATTTACTGACTGTAATGGGCTTATTGGAGAAAATCAGCCATAAGAATCCAGCCTATGATGCTAGCGAGCTGATTAATTATCTGCTTGGAGGCTATGCGGGGCTGATCTAGAAGACTAAGTAGACACAAATGGCAGGCACGTGCATGTAATAAGACTTTATACCTAGTGATTAGGTTACTATGAACCTTAGCGTCTTCGAGATGATATTTCGCTAATTACTTGGATACGAACTCGTTCGTCGAGGCACCTTCACTTGGTGTGGACATAGTATTAAGCTACGCCAGCCAGGTAACGATCAAACCCTGCAGGGATATACCCTTGATGTCCGCTATACCAGGGAGCCGTCCCTATCAGATGCTATTTCGAGAAAATGTGGAATTCTCCAGGCGGCTATGTTTATTACAACGCTTACCCGAAATGTTCTAAGCGCTAATAAGCGTAGCTTATCTACAAGTTTCGTACTTGCTAGAAACCCTCCTTGTGCCTTTATATTACATGCCGGGCGAGTTCATGATATCTATGCGGGTCTGCTTTCCCGAATGCATTGATATGGCAGAATCGGTTAACGATCCCGACGACGCGGATAACTAACTAGGAAAGTGCATCTACCGGCCTCTAGCGGTGATCACCGTACCCGATGATTGAAGTACAAGACTTGGCTACTACATTATGTACGAGCGTCTTAATGAGAATGAGTGGTAAAATATGTCTGTTTGCAGCTTTGCTTAACCTCATCAGCACCGCTAGTACTTAGGATATCCCTTCAAGTGTCACAGGACGTCCAGTGGAAAATGGGCCCTTGCCAGTATCCCAATCATTTGCGAGTAGATGAGTAGTAATGAATCATATAATATGGGCTTTTGCTTCAATTATGAAAGCCTCAGTGCAAAAGCAAGGTTTGGAGGTATAACTAATGTGCCCCCGCAGGCCCTCAGGGCCCTGCTGAGGGTTATTGGTTCACTAGCCGGCATCGCCAGGATCACACGTGTCCATTTCAATGTAGACAGTTTCACTCCATTGTAGCAATAGCCCTGCAATATCTGCCTCATCTCAGCCAGCGTTGTGTATGATATATGATTCCACGATCCACATGGGTTGCTTCGTTCAGCCATGTTCTATGTCAAAGTGAGAATCTCGTACGAGTTAGTTCAGGGACGGCGGAATAACAAAAAAGAGTAAGGCGAACCTACCATTTCTTAACTTCAGATGCCCAACTCGATTCCTCTTACTTCGGTGTCTCCAATATCTTGTAGTCCCGGTGGGCGCGGCCAATTCCTAGCCCATCTCATCGTTGAAGTAGAATGCCCATCTTGCCCCGCTTTGACCTTCGATGTCATACATGCGGACGACCAGGAAGACCATGTTGGGATCTCGTCGGGCAATCTCACGCTTTTAATTGCTGGAGTCAGTGACATGGAACGAGGCCAAATGAAGGAACAATAGATCTTACCAATTCCCTTTGGCTCCGGCTCAGCTTATAACCTGTTTTGTTTTTAAGCGTCGTCTTGACTTCCAGATGGAAGGTAGTCTTGTTAGACCACTTCGGATCAGGGCCGAAACCTTGACTAACAAGGTAGCTTTTCATTTTGCCATGTTCGTCCGTGAAGGTAAAGTCGGCAATGCCCATCTCCGACTCGATAAATTCGGGATAGCCGGCATCCGCTCGGAAGTGACTTGTCCAGTTGCGGTAATCCCAATCATCACCAAGTACGCTCTTGAAACGTTCGTAAACCTGAGGCCGTACTGTTAGTAGGTAAATACCATCAGGTCAGCATCAATTACCTCGGTCTCTCCAAGGAACCCTACGTCGTGTCTCAGTCCTTGAAAGGGAGCTGCGTGCAGAGTTGTGCGTGCGCTTTTGGCCGGTCTGGGATCTGCCTGAATTTGGCTCTCCTCGGCCAAAGATGACTCATCGCGACTGCGTTTCTGTCCGCTTGTTCGAGAAATATCTGGGGCGGGTGCATTCTCCCGGAATTTTCGACCCTCTCCTCGTCTGCGTTTTCTCTGAAGCCTGGACGGGTCTCTCCCTGCTATGTGTCAGCTGAGTCGGTTCAAGTTGGTGCCATTTGAACTCGTCTCCTCTAAGTCCGTGGCCAAGCCTTCTTGTGGTTTGAAGCGCACCATTTTTAGACGGAACAAATCCCTGGGGGTCCAGTGGGACTTGTCGAGTTTCACCAGATCCATTCTTGTTAGTTTGGACCTGTTGACTTTGAGGTTCCACTGGAACGTATTGCCTTTGGGGTTGAACCTGTGGCTGAATGTAACCATCTCCGACAGGGCTGTGAGTTGATTTGCACCAATCGCCCTCGCTGGACTCAAAAGTTGCAATTTGGGCAGGCACTAGATTTTGTTGGCGCCGGCGTTGCCCCTGAACTTGTTCCTGTTGCTGCTGATCACTACGACTTCTAAGTGGATAACGACAAGTTTGAATTGAGCGTGGCTTCAGAATCTTTCTTGTCTGCATATCAATGTTCTCCACAGCCGCCGACTCATCACCATCACGGTCGATTACAATAGGATTACGGGGACCCTCTCCTACCGGGCGAGAACCGACATCAGGTACCAGAGCGCAACGGCTCTGATGGGGAACGACATCAGATGCAAGTGCCTGCTGGAGCGCAACAGTGGGCAAATCCGCTAGTCGGAGGCTGTTTCCTGGAATCAGTGCCGGACGGTTACCAATAGGGAAATCCGGCGTCGGCGGGAGGCCGAGTCCCGGAACCAAGGTCTGGTGACGACCGACCTCACATACCTCAGCGGGGTTGGGATCAGGTCCAGATAGCCGAGCTTCACGAGGACCAAACACACCTGGCACGGCGGAGGGAAGACCGAGCCCTAGGATCGATGCCTGATGGCGACCGAGGGCTGGTACCAGTACTTGTGCTGAACCGGCAACACCTACGGCCGTGGTTTGACGAGGGCGGAAGAAATGAGATATTAGTGATTGACCCTGAGTTACCAATTGCTGGGGAGAATTGGTCTCAGATTGCTGGGCCGTCAGGCGACCGACCTGTCGTTGATCACGAGATGCAGGTCTCAAAGCCAAACTGTGGCCGATATCTGCCTCGAGATCTTCATGCGATCCCAATTCAGGATCCTGGGGTTCAGGTGGTGGAAAATCACCAGTAAGGTCGATGACAGCGTGATTCTGTGAAGCCATATTCGGCAGGACTAAACCTATCGTTCTTAGTAGAGAACTCGTGAGCTTTTTCTCTTGGCTGGCTTGCGGCGACGCGCAAAGCTTTCTAATCTTGCTCAGCGCGAACTCAGATTCCTGGCCCTGTGACTGCTTGTGACCCGAGGCAGGAGTTAGATCTGGTACATGGACAAGATCCAAAACTTTGCGTCTGTGCCGAACACCACCCAACTGAGAAATTTGGGGAGATGAACGAAAGAAAAGGAGCAGAGATGGTCTGGAAACACGAAAATATTGAAATAAAAGCGTCTTCGGGTGCTCGAGGCCTGCGAGCAAGTCGAAGGTGATTGGAGGGTGAACTTTTCGGATTGAGGTGCCTATTCGCCGGTTCAACATGCTGGGCGGGAATTTGGTTAGTAGATGTGGGATCGAGCGCCACAGTTATGCCCTAGGCCGAAAGAGGTACAGTTGTTAATGTGGCTAGTTTCTTGCACCAACCTACGTAGCACAACGCGTAGAGCAACCATAGCGGTCATTATGACATCCATCCAGAGTCATCAACAGAGGACTGACTCCCTCAGTAGGGTTGCAGCTGTTGACTGCCTTAGATAATTCAGACTAACCGCGAAGATTCAGGGAGGCGCCACCCGGCAACCCCATCGATGACTCTATTTGCATTGTGGTCGCCGCCTCGAGCTTCTTACTTCTCGCCATGGTACATTACAATTCCAAATTCTGACGGCTCGTTCAAAATGTACGTCTAATAGCATTTCTCTCTACTCTATCACATAGGTCATACACGATAATGCCACTGAAGCCCGTCATCTAATCTATTTGGCTTACAGCTTGCTTGTTCTCCCATCCTTCTTGAATAGTACTCTGCTGTTGGGATAGGGATCAACAATCACCTTGTTTAACGCATTCAGCGAACTCGCTCTGTGGAACATATCTTCGTAAACCTTCCCATCCGATCGTCCGAGACTCGAGTCTAATTGCCAGTCTGGAAAGCTCCAGGCATCGACCAATCGCACCGCGTGTGGACGGATTTCCTCGAGTAATTTCATCGAAGCCTTGCGTGCCAGCTGGATTTGGCGCACCGTGGTGGCAGCGCTCATGAAGAACTCGGAGGCTTCCTGTTCTAGAGTGTGGAGCGCAAAAAGCCGGAATAGCTGGTACAGAATGGTGATGGTGTCTTGAGGCAGCGACTCTTGCGTCGCAGGCTCGCTGAGAGCATCGTGGAATGACTTGACCACCATGTACTGCGCATGAGCGGTGCTTAACCGCCAGAAGTCAACTAGAAGACTGTTCCAAGATTGCTTCTCTTCATCTCGGTGTCGCAATGCCTCGAATGTGAGGAAAGCCACGCGCCAGGCGAATGCATCCACGAGATCGGTATCGGATCCCAGAACATCGAAAGCAGCGCCCATGTCCTGACGAGCTAGGAATGCTTTCAAGATGCGCGTCGTGTCGTTGGCAGCCGCTTTGCCTGCGAGCACAGCGCGCGCCGACTTCAGCAGGTATCGGGCCACTTGTTGCGTCAACATGTAGTTGTCACCTTCCCACGTCACTGTAGGCAGATAATCCGCATAGTATGACCCGATGCCTGAAAAGGACGAGTAGCCGTGACCTCCGCACGCGCGACGGCAGACTTCAAGCCCCTCGGCTGCCATCGTGCTACCGTATGCTTTCAGCGCGCATGAGGTCGCATGCAAATCAGCGAGAAGATCGGTTCCAGGATTCAGTTCTTCTGGTCCGGGGTGACGTTTGGTGTCTTCCGACTTGCTTGCGTCCCGACTGGCTGACATGCGCTTCTGATTCTCCTGGTACATCCGAATCATTCCACGGCCTGTGAAGTGGAGTGCAAACGTTGTTGCAAGCAGAGGCAGCAGGCGATATTGCACCATAGTGTAATTGAGCACCTGGTTCTCCCCTGCTTGAGACGCCTCGGCGTCTTGGTCCTGGAACTGCCGCCGTACTGCGCAGTAGCGGGTTGCGATCGTCACTCCACGGGCTAGGACGGAGCCAGACTTGAGCACAATATCTGCTCGTACGAAAGTGAGCGTGCCGTAGATTAGGGACGGATTGGCCGGCCGAGTGTACTTGCTTGTCTCTGGATCGATGCGCGAGAACCTTGCAAGCATGTTGACGTGAGGTATTTTGACCTTGTTTAGAAGGAGGTAGCCGTTGTCCATCTGAAGTCTTGTCAGCACATTTCTCCCGAACTGAATGCAGCGTGATACTTACTGTATTGAAGCCAAACTTTGGCCCAACGTCACCCACGTGGACATTGGGCAGAGGCTCGTGAGTTATCATATCCCTGACTGGCACCACGAAAGGATGCGGGCCATAGTTCTTGCCATTCACGCTGAGCTGAGCCATAACAACAGCGTGGGTGGCCACTATCCCGAGAGATCCAATCCACCATTTCGAGGAGGTTAAGTGAGGCGAGTGGATTATAAATGTCTTGTCGGCTGCATTCCACGTTGCTGTGGTCTCAAGTCCCCGCACATTGGAGCCATGACCCAGCTCCGTCTGCGCATAGCACCCGATGATTTCGTAGTTCTCGGCCTTCTCCAGGAACAGCTTGTGTTGCTCGGGCGTCCCTTGTTCTCGAAGAGTCACCAAGAACATGGAGTAGTGGAGCCCATATGGCGTGGCCTCGCTGAGCAGCTCGTTGGCACACATGAACTCATCCTGCGTCCAGTTGTGTTGAACCTGGAGCTGACGGAGGCGCTTGGCTTTGGCTAGGGAGGCTTCTATCCTTGCCTCGCGGCCTTGGAAGTAGTTGTGCGACTTGTCGAAGACAGGATCCGCAGTGAGAAGCTTGAGAATTCTCTCGTTCCGTTCAAGCGCTTCCTTGGTGAACAGAAACTGGGCCAGCTGATTGGCGTCGATATTGCTCTTGGCGCGCTCTTGCTTGAGCAGCTCGGACCCGTGAGGTGCGGCTGGGGTCAGCTTCTGAACCCATGATTTCGAGGCCATGTTGACTGCTTGTGGATGAATAGATGAGAAGAAATCGACTAAATTGAGGCCATTGGCAGCTTCGGATATTTAAAGGGCAGATACGGACACCATGTTGTCGAAAGCAACCTCGGTGCACGACCCGATTGTGGATCAATGATCCATTCATGATCCACTCCACACACTTACCAACGCCGGCACCACGTCAAAATGGGGTATCATGGGGCATTGTGCTTTATCAGATGTGATTAAATATGGGTGCAGCATTCCATGTGACGGAGGGATTCGGGGGGTTACAGCTAGAGCCTCAAGTGTGAAGTGTGAAGTGGAAAGTCGCTATGTTTTGCTGGATACATGCCGCGGTTGATACTACAAGTGTGAGTTTCAATGATGCCGAAACAGCCGAGGAGACGACCCAAATTGTAATTGGCTTGTCGACCTCAGCTCCGATACCGGAATAAGGGAGCTCCTTGACACTAACGCTAACCTCAACCCTGACCCTAACCGCAACCCTGACTTGCCTCATCTGCTTGAACAACCGCCTCAGTTCTCGAGATACCACGAGTCCCTCATTTCACTCTACTATATCAGATTACATCACACATGCACCATCTGGTCTATGTCTTCTCGCATTGCACCAGCAATTGCAGGCAGCCTGTGAGCTACCATGATGAGATACTGTGCTTTATACCTAATTTGGTAAGCTATCCTTGGCAAGAACTTGGCCAGGGTTAGATATATTTCTGACCCTGATCAACTTTGCTGCGCCACAAAATTTCTACCCCTTGGTCAACTTTTTCTGACCCTGGTCAACTGTACGCTCCCATATATACTTTCAGCATGAGCTCCTCATGGATGATGTCGAACATATGGCCACTTACCGTACGTTATGGGCCAATGTGGCCACCACCCATCGTAGTCTGGCTTTGTCTAAATTGGAGCCAATGCTGAGGAAAGGTAACAAAAAAAGAAGAAGATGCAGTAGATGCTACAATGAATGAGAGCTTTCCCCAGCCGGAAGATTGGAAATAGTAGCCTAAATACCTTTCGTCCGGCGGATACGGGCATTCCGTCTTACCATAAAGTGCGCTGTCGTTAGCTTGCCGGTTCAGATCTAGGGCAACGGAGTTGCTAGTTGGAGTTTTGTGATACCACCGGCTGCACTCTTGCTGGATGGTAAGCTTCATCATGCGAAGGGTCATAATCATCCATGAGAACTTTGGTAATCTTATTCTGTCTCTGTTGAAGTTCATCCAATTTGCCCTACTTTTGCATGCGTGCATCTTTGAGAATAACATCTGCAATGTGAAAATGCTGTGCTACCCAGGATAGTCAGGGAATTTGCATTGTTAGTCTCAGCGTATAAAAAACCGTCATTAGTAGCCAGGAAAATTCTTACGCCTATATTCCGTACCAGTCCGTTGGGATTGAAGAGCTTGCCGACAATCTGATCTCGGTCTTGCCGTCAAGGCCACTAAGATTGTCATTCAGGACCAGTATTTCAATCGAGTATATATTGCTGGAGCAAGTGCCTTCTAAGACCTTCTCAGCTCAGACTTCAGAAACACCTAGGGCTATGGAGACTTACAAGTCGTTACCTTTGGCCATCAGACAGGTTCATGCCCCTCGAGCCTATGATTGTGGCATCTCCATGTTGCATATGATTTAAGTCTTTCCGTAAACAGCAGGCATCTATCACGCAGTCATACCACAAAGTGTCCGACATAGAACTGCTAGTGAGCCCCTTAATCGCATCTTTGATGCTTGTACTGTGAAGCCAGGTTGACTGTGCGCAGTAACTCCATTCAATTTAAGCTCAATGATATGAATATGCTGACTGGACAGACTTCTCCTATAATCGCCCGCACAATTGTTGTTTTTGCTGCTGTAGTAGGTCCCGCGCAGATCACGATAGTGCCTTTTGGTACCTCAAAGGTGATATCCTGCAGTATTGGATGTGATGTTCCCACTGACACTTGCTCAAGCCGACATCCCTGGGGAACGCCTTGCTATTAAGGTATCTATGAATAACGGGAAGGACACGTCGATAATCTTATTTCCGACTTGGGAAAATAGGCTATACTTAGGCCGGTTAGGGGGCTAACGGTAGGGATATATATATATAAGAGGTATTGCGCCTGATGTAACGATTGTCACGTGACTAACCGAGACTGGTCCGAATAGATTAGATTGACAAGTGGTTGTAAGTACCGAAGTCCCTGACTTGGGTGTTGGTCTCTTTTATGAAGACATCTAACGTGATAGCGCAGTGCTTAGGATTGCAGCCTCCAGCGCGGCGTGACACCCAAGGCTCTTCTTATCTAACAGTCCCTTCTACATTTCTTTTTTTCCTCTTCGCATCGTTCAAATACCTCCCTCTTAGTAAAAGCACTATATCTTGACATAGTAATTGTGAGACGTGTGGCTTTAGGTTCGGAGAGGTACGAGGTAGGCAGACACGCGTCGTAGGATTTAGGAACCCCTCTGGCCCAACTTGGGATTGTTCCCTCACGCACCTTCATAATACTATAATATATAGGGCCTTAAAAGTTTAAAAAGTACAAGGAAATATATTAACCAGCACTTTTGTGTAGATATATAAAGTAAAAGAAAAGTCATGTAATAGAGAGCGCCGACGATGAGGTTACGCTTGGAAGTACTACAAAATCAATCCACCGAAGTATAAAACCTCATGCAATAAACTACATTGCATATTAGAGTTAATAACTATATGTAGAAAAAGTTTGTGGAATGAGGGGTTGCGCGGAACGTACGTATTGGTTGTTAAATAACCCCTCCTTAAGAAATATTCCAATTCTCAATTCATCGCAAGAGAACAAAGTATTCATACCTGCGGAGTCTTCTAATGAAGCTTGGTCCCATAACTTAAGGATCGGCAGTATACTTCGGCCGAGTGTTCTGGGTGGTTAACTTTTGCCTTTGTCTTTTAGGCCATGCCGGGATCCATCCTGGAAAGTCGTCGTCAATACTTCTACCCTGGAACTTTAGATGACTATGAAGCTCAACAGAGCACGTGGGAACTTCATACTGACCTGATAATGCGACTCAGGCACTTATTCAACATCTAACTTCACTGCTTATCTATAGTGTTTGAGTGCCGCTTAACCGGGGATCCTGCGATGTCAAGCTCACCCCATTACACCTCAAAACACGGCTGAAACCCAGCACCAAAAAACCTTCAAAGCAATCACTGGATAGCACGAGTCGCGATTGATTAGGGACGAGATGATCTAAGAATTTTGAATTCAGTATTATGGATAGAGATGATCGGCTTACATGCACTGGTCTATATTATGTCTTTTGTACTCCAACAGTAAGTAAGCTTTATTAAGGCTCACATTTGGCCTCTGATGTTCTACAACAACCCTTAACTGACTGCATCCTGAAATTCTCCTTTGCCCCTGGCTGCCAAACTTCAGGATAAAACACCGCCCCTTGGCACCATGAAACGCAGTCACACTAAGGCCGCATCAACCTTCCCTTTCCACCAGCACTAGTCGACGATACCCCATGTATACATGGTCTCATAATATTGCCAAGTTAGTCATGATAATCCTGGCCCTACGGCTATCATACCCATGACGCGGCCGGGAAATGTGTGTTTATATCAAAACAGTCGAAAGATAATACAATGGAATATTCCGCATGGATTTCGGTCTGCTGACATCTGAGGATAGATGGACTTCGAGGCGAGTTCTGCTTTTCTTCGTCAAAACTTGCGCTACAATATCTCGATACGCAGGTTCACGATGGATTCCAAGGACCAGACTTACAGCAATGTCTCGATTAGTGATTACCACGAGGAATCATCATCGAGCACTGAGGTGGACGAGTCATTGATGGGCGACGAGAAGCATTGGCAAAACGAAGATTTCAAGGGGAGGCTGCGGTCGAAGAGGAATACATTGGTGATGGTCATCGGCTCTGTGAGGTTGTTCGTCGATTGTCTTTTACTCCTTATCATTGCCGCATTATTATTGCTGCTATGGGAGCAATGGAAGGAAACGTCGTCAGGTTCATGGCAAGTCGGTGGAGACTTCACCGGAGCCGGCCCAGAGTGTACGCCATTGCCATCCAGCTCACTTCCAATGACAAGATAGAGTACTAACGCAATACAGTTACGACCCATGTCGTCAAATGGGAGGCGGATTCAACGTTTGTTCCTAGCAACATGTCTGAGTGGTTTTCGAACGAGACACTGGCGAAATGGAACACCATTATGCCTGGTATGTCATTCATTGTGCCCAAGGTATCAGCTCCTTGTCCAATGCTAACGTTGCGATAGCTGGCACCCATCCTGCTCCGAGTAATGAGACCTTTTTCACAACCTCCGTCACACATCAACTGCACTGCCTGGTCAGTAGTACACATCACGTTCCAGGTTGTCCAGTTCCGTCACTGACAACTAACCAGTTCATAATGGGGCGTATTTATTCCGGCGTGGTAACAAACATGACCGAGATTCTCCCAGTTGATTACCACACCCACATGATGCATTGCATCGATTATATGCGCCAGGCTGTGATGTGCTCCGCAGATGTGGCTCTTGAACCTCATGAGTTGACGGACTCTGATGATAATGGGCCTGGGGATGGTGGCTGGAACGGACATCATGGTGAGTCTATCCGCAGGTCAAGGTTGTCAACTGCATACGCATACTAACAATGACCAGTGTGCAAAGACTATAACCAAGTCATACCCTACTTAGAACGTAAGAAGCCTCTCTGCCAGCAATTGGTTCGTTGACTGACATAAACACCCCAGAACAAATTGTAGACGGGATAAGAACGGTGTTGCCCATTGACGACTAATGATGGCTAGTACCTTATACAATTAACATGAAAAGTAAGAATAAACTTGCATTATTCTGCGCAGAATGACTGTTCGTAACTAGATCTGGAAGATCAGAAGCGGCAATTATCCTACCATCAACAGAAATATCACACATGAGAGGTAACTACCCTGCACTCAACCCTCCGCTATCTTCCTCGCCTTCACCACCACCATACTTGGCATCTCCAAAAACAAACCCCAAAACTCCGGATCCCTCCTAATAATCTCAGCATTCTCATACGGCTCAACCTCGATATCCACCAACCCAAACCTCTGATGCATCTCTGTCGACCCAGAGTAACTAACCTCCATGGACGTCGCCTCAAACTCAATCGGAGGATCAGTTGACAACACGTATCGGAATTTTAACCCTCCCGGAATCTCCTCATGGTCTTTATACGTGGTCCCATACTTCCCACTCGTAATCCCTGGCGCCTGCGGGTCCCCCGACCTCACCCCCACGAACCTTCCCCCGGGGCGCAAGTACGACACCACATTGCGCCACATGCCCTCGAGCTCCGCAACACTTGACGCGTGATCGAAGACCCAGTTCGCCATGACGAGATCGTATTCCCGCAGGGGCAGATGGTCCAGCGGTTTCGAGACGTCGGCCTCAAGCCAGCGGACGCGGTCGAGCCCGTTGAGGGAGGCCTCAATGGATTTGCCAATGCGCAGCATTTCGGGGGAGATGTCGACGACGTCTATGGTGGCGGCGCCAGCGTCGAGCGCTTGGCGGGCTCGGAGGCCGGTGCCGCCGCCTAGATCTAGGACGTAGAGGCCGGTGCAGTCCCCAAGGGCAGAGGCGAGGAGTTGGGATTCGAGGATGCCGTGGGGGATGTAGTCATAGTCGTTGTAGATTGTGGCTTGGTTGTCGTACTCTTTTTTGACTTGCGCGAAGTCTGCCATGATTGGTGCGCTTGTGACAGTGGCAAGCAGATTCTTGGACAAGGTGAACACAAAGAGGAGATGACGAGGAGATGACGAGGAGAGGGCTGCTACGAATTGCCTGCCGCTCACATACATATATTTATATATACATTTGTCTTGGGGTTTTACAATATCCCCGCTCCATCAATCCTTGTTTTGATGTTACGTCGGATGCTTCTAGCCGACTACTGCCGTTTCTAGTTGTGAAAGCTGCTGGTTGAACGATACAGCATTCGCTTAAGGTAACATACACAGCACGTTGCCAAATTCAATGAGACGTATTTGTGCAATCTTCGGCGGAGCTCCTCTGGGTACATCTGACCGAGGAATCACGTCGACACCTTATGTACTACATGACCACACAGTCCCAAAATCGAAATTATACAAGATTTTGTTCTCTTACAACCTCAAATTCAGTCTCTAATCGGCTTGAAATAAAGTCAACAAATGGTAAACAAGCGCAATGCAATCGAGCCCAAAGACTGGATTCGATCGAGAAACGACGCGCTATGCTACGCAACCTTTTCCCAAACCGGACTCCAAAATAAGTGCTGCCTAACTCCCCTTCCCTAGATATTGAGCACTCAATTCAACTGTCTCGAGCCGCGGAACTTCTTCCTCGCATTCTTCAGACTATCATCAATCTTCCCGACAAGCCGTCGCGCGACGAATACAGCCTCCTTCTGCCAGTATCTGGCCGAAAAAGGCGGCACCGACAGCTCCGCTCCGCGATCTTATCTGCGACCTCTTTCTTGACTTCTGAACCAGAAGCGCTGCCGGACGCTTTTCTGCCTCGGGCTGCTCCTCCTCCACCTCCGAGATGTTCTGTAGTTTGGGCTTGTAAATAGGTTTGGACTTGGGCACGGGCTGTTCTTCCTCGTCTTCACTGTCGTAATGCGGCTCGTTAGCGGGCTTCTTATTATGATAATTGCGTGGTGTGCCAAGCTCGTGAACCTGGGCATCGGTGAAGATCCCACCTTTGAGTATGAAGCCATCTTTGTCATACGGCTCGGGCGTAGCGACGGACGTCCTCTTCTTTCTCCTCCTCAAGGTCTTCATATTTACAGACAGTGACATTTGACGTGGGCCAGAAATAGACAGCCCTGAAATAATCCAGGAGCGTATCGACAACCTTGGCCGTTTCGGTGATTTCGATGTCCTCGAGCTCTACTTGAGTGAGCGCGGTTTCGATATCGTCCTTGTTCATCTCCCTGCTTCGGCGCCGGTACTCTTGAATGATAAGTCCTACGAGGCGGTTGCCACTGGCTAGGGGCTCATCCTCGGGCTTGAGACCGCTCTCGGGAAGGGAATAATCCCCTGGCTTCTCGCCATAGTAGGGAAGCACCTCCCATACGAGACCGTTGGGTTTGACCTCGAGGCTGGCCTCGTCTATGATGTACAGTCGTCGCTTGGACCAGTCTGTCTCAGCTTCCTGAGTTCTGGAGAGGTAAGTGTGAACTAGCTCAATCCAATCGCCACCCCTCTTTTTCAGGACGTTGACCTCGCTTCGGTAGCTCATCATCTTTCTAGCGGGTGATGCCATGTTTGTGGTTTTGTTATTCTGCATATTTTTGTGATTCAGTTGTTGAGTTCCAATGTTCCTTCTTAGCATTTGCTTAGAGAATACCAAGAAGCTAAAGATAGGGATAATTTTCACCCTTTCATATACCGGAATGCTTATCGACAAAGAGCAAATAAGATCGTTATCCGCGGTGTAGCCACACTAGAAAGCAAAGCTTGCCATTTATAGAACAATGAAACACTTTGCCCGTTAGATGGCTTCTGCTAGAGTTTTACCACTCGTCCCTTACTTTCTATCGAAAAAATGAATGTGCAAGATTGCTATCCGGGATCTAGAGTCTATAACGACGACTTCCGCCGAGTTTTTGGCCCCTTCGTTTCCCTTGTACCAGGTGAACATTATGTGGAATTGGTCATTCCATGTCAAAACTATAGAATAGTGTAGCTGATGTTACAGCCCGATCATAGTTACTTAAGTGGAAAGAAGGCATTGCCTTCGTCGTTCTTGAGACATGATTGGCCAATTCATAGGAACTTCTAGTCCAGGCAGGGGAGGGGGCAACGCAACGGCCCCCTTCCGCCACGCTAAATTTGAAAAGAAATGTCAGCTTCCACAGATTCTGTCATGGGTTTCAGAAACGCTCACGATAAATTGCACGTGCTATCGCGTGTTCCCCCCTTATTAGAAAAGTTCTGTTCGAGTTCAATAGATTATAGATTTGTGGCTTGGCGCCGCATGTTTGACAATCTACAAACGGCTGAGCGTCGATGCAGCGCCTCCATTGATCCAGACTCGGGGATATTTGCGCGCCTATCGCCGACAGGAATCCCTTTTTCCAATTGACTAGACTAACCAGTAACAGGAACAGAGGCTCCGGAAGTGCGTGGTGGAAGTTGAAAAAGTATTTTGATCCCTCCATCCATCCATCCATCCTAAGCGGATGTACGGCAAGGGGAAACCGACTTACCGACTTACTGATTTCATAATCCGCTTTCACTGGTCGGGTTTGTGGGGGCCAATTGAAGGGGGGGCGCCTTTTCAGTTTGCCCAGACGGGGTCAAAGGGGGGTCTACGGGCTGTTTTCAATGGGCCGTCGCGTAATGAGGCGTATATCGACGGTATTTGCTAACTGGAATGGATCGCTCTGACAGCTCATTGCATCATTCATCAGCACGGTCGCAAGCCACCCAACGCATCATGCCTCCTCCGATCCGTTTAGCTCATGAGATTGAGTTTTGTCTCGTCGGTGCGGTGTATACTTAAGGGAGGAAGGGAATGGTTGTCGATTTTCGGTTGGGAGGAGGGTGAAAGAGTACTTATTTGTGAGGAAAGCTAGAAGTTTTTCAAGAGAACACACTTGAACGTCTTTGTTAGGAGTTGCAACATTCAAAGTCGAAGATGGCCGTACAAGATCAGGTGCACACTATGCGGCATCATCACCCACACAACAAACAGTGGCATCTCAATCCGCTCCAGGCAAACCTCGTCGCCGCCGCGGGTGAGTTCGTCGGCACATTTCTCTTTCTTTTCTTCGGTTATGGCGGGCACATTATGGCCGTCTCGCAATCTGCCTCCAATGGTGATAGTCCTGCCCATACTGTAATATTTGTGGCCCTATCCTACGGGTTTTCGCTGCTAGTTACGGCCTGGTCTTTTTATCGTATCAGCGGTGGACTTTTCAATCCAGCAGTATGTTAAAATCCATCTCAACATTAAGACAGGTGGTCTTGCTAACTGGAAACCGGAAAATTTAAGGTCACGTTTGGATTGTGCAGCGCCGGTCAACTCTCTTGGACTAGGGGGGCTTTCCTGATTCTATCACAGCTCGTCGCCTGTATATGTGCGGGCGGTATCGTCTCGGCTATGTTTCCGCCTGATATCTCCCTGGTCAACACACTCCTCGCTCCAGGGGTCAACACGGCACAAGGTTTCTTCATGGAAATGTTCTTCACATCCTATCTTGTCTTCGTCGTCCTCATGTTAGCGATAGAGAAGTCAAAAGACACATTCATTGCCCCTATCGGCATTGGCTTGGCCTTGTTTGTGGCAGAGATCCCGGGTGAGACGCACTATCGCCACTCAGATGGTATATACTGCTAACAATAGGTGTAGGCGTATACTTTACCGGAGGCTCGTTAAACCCGGCAAGGAGTTTCGGATGCGCTGTTGCCGCTAGGAGTTTTCCCGGTTACCATTGGATCTACTGGTTTGGGCCACTCATGGGAGCTGTAGTTGCTGCTGGCTTCTATCGTTTCGTCAAGCGGTGCCACTACGAGGAGGCAAATCCCGGGCAGGATGATTCAACGGCGGAAGAGGTGTAGGACTGCTTTTAGCTGAAGTATGTAAATTGTGAAAGGTATTCTGATTACTTCAAATCAGTATGAGCACCATCTGAAGAGCTGATGAACATACTTTTAATTGGAAAGATTAGTCAAGTAGCCCTTTTTCTGCATGTGAAGGTGTTTTGGTGTATTGTTGTAGCGTAGTAGAAGATTGCATTTCATATTTAGGCGAGATGGTAATATGAAACGTATAATTTCCCATCAAAACATTGGCAACATTGTACATGATGCAATACGTGAAACGGTTTAGTAGAGACACGCTATAAGTATATACATTATAGTTGAAACATCACGTCTATACATAATTGGTCATATACTGAATACGTCCTACAAATTATGTATCTCATGTGTTCTGCAAGTTGAAATTGAATAAGTCTCTTCATACAACTATATGTCTCTGTTGAACATTACTCCAAGATGCGACAACAAAACTATAAATAAGAACTGAAATTGCAATTTCCGTAATTATCCCCTAGATCTTATTCCCACATAAATTATTCTTGTACTTTGAATTACCATGGCCTTAACCTATCATCCTTTTCCCCTGTTCGTTGATTTCATTTTCATTTGGTGTTTACTCCGACATGGCGCCCAGATACCTTCTTTTTTATTTTAACAATGGGTGATTGTCATGTTAGTTATTGTCAAACCCCAGGTATCCAAAAAGTGTTCTCAACCAGCAACCAACGTTCTTACAACTTCCAATAAAGACCCAAAGAAGTCATTTCCACAATTTAAATATATGTGGCGCTTGCAACTACACTTAGCTTTGATACCTACACACCTGCTTTCATATTCATTCCACAAGAGCGCATGCTCCTTTGCCCACCTTCCGAAGGCAATATAACTCGTATCAGCGAGGTGCGTTTGACCACCTGCGACCAAAAGAAAACCCCTTATTGCCCTGGATGACTTTAACTTACCCATTAATTAAGAGCGACCTCTTCAGCCCTTCTACGCAGCACACACTGGATATTCACATTCCCGTTTTCATTTTATTTATTAGTTCATAGAGAAATTTCCATCAAGAAAGCCTCGCTCAGACAACTATATTAAAATGGAAGGTAGAATGGAACATTCCGCGCAAAAAGAAACGAGCCCCAAGGGCATCCATCGGATATCTGACGATCTACTCCTGAAGATCTGCCACTTCATGGACTAAAGAGGTGCTACTCGCGTTGGTTAAAACAGCTTGTCAGTTTGGAGAAATATCAGTTCTACGTAGGTTGCCCAAATGGAGTGCCATCTAGCAGAAGGATCTCGTCGAGTGGGCGCTGAGGTACAACATCAGAATGTTCAACCGTTTCGATATCTATTTTGGAGACGACATGTATCCGCCCAATGTTATTTTCCAAGCAATCGCTCATCACGGACCGTAGAATCGTTCGAAGTGGCGACCAAGGCACGCAAGCGGGTCTTTCCACAACTGCTCGACGGCTTTGATTTCCAATTTGGCAAACTAAATGTACCCAGTATGTCCCGCGCATACCCCAGCGAACTCAGTCTCGAAGACCTCTTCAACCCGCTCCCTCCACTTCACGGTAACCCAATGGTCCTATAAAGCCCGAAGTAGAATCTCTTGTCAATTTTTCTCCGTCTTTCTGTTACGATGAGCCGCATCAGGAAGACCTCGACGCCTGCCCCATGGCGACCCTCAGGTACTTTATGATGCTGCCCCGCTTCCGTTTGCCCAGCTGACGCCGGACACGTACAAAGTCTGGTTAAAGCTTTATATCGCAACCGGTTTCGAGGGTGCTTATGATGGACTACTCCCCCCGGCGAAGAGGAAGGCACTTGATGACGTGAGGATGGCACACGCATGCATACGAATATGCCTCATATCCAAGGGTTTGAATGTGGTCCAGACGAGGTCAATTTAGATGATATTCCACGTGCAGCTGACAATGTCGCACCTGTAACGACTATAATTCTGGGGCGTGTAGTATCTGTTAAGTGAAGTATATCATTATCCCACGCTTTCGCTTGTCACATTACAACAGTGCCGACATGTTTGATGGCATACGCAGCTTAAATGTATCCATCCGTGCATTGAGAAGCACACATGAACCCCAAGCAGTGACTAGAGATATTTAATACCCTGCCTTTTACTCCCGTTTGGGTCCACTATGATGAACTCAAATATTATGATACAGACAAAATGACAGAACCAGAAACGGCACAGGAAACTACTTTAAGGGGTATCTTGACGCATGGAGCTCGTTGCCTCTAGTTGAGGACTGGATGGTGGTACACATAAACGCAACAAACCGCAATGCAGGTCCGCGCCAGAAAAAAATTAAAACCAGAAGAGTCAAACAGATCACACCTTTAAATGTCGTTGATCATCGCCTCCATGTGTAGAGGTTCTCCGTCGCGTACGCCACGCAATGGGATTTTCATCCATCGCCGAGTTCGACAGTCTCTAGCCAATTTCTGATAGCCCCTCTCAGAGCACTCTCCCGTTCAATCGCCTCATATGTGATACCTGTAGGCTGTGTCTGGCCCTGTTTCTCTCGTTGGTCGACTACATCCTGCACGATCCCACCAAGAGCCGACAAGACCACCGTCTTACATTCTGCTCGAGGAACCTCTCGGATGTTGGGGGACGCCGTGGCCACATCGAGTTTGTCTGGTTCCGAAACTCCACTATCGCTTCGCTCACGCCGCTTACTCACTGACCGAGACGAGTTGGTCGAACTACCCTTGCTCGCGTCATTTGCCTGTGCAATCACCTTTTCCACGGCGTCAATTAACACCTCATCCAGTGTGACCAGAGTCTCTTCCTCGATCTTCTCCTTGATGGGATGCTCGTACGGCGACAGTGCAGGGGTCATCAAGGAAGAACTGTAGGGATTTGTCGAGCTTGTGAGATTATGCGTGCTGCTCCTGTCCGCAGCAAGTTTTGGCTTCACGAGTCGACGATATCGGTATCGTTTGATGGTGAAGTTGGTCGCATCGGCAACGATTGCGCTGCTGACATCAACCCAACGTTCCACAGGCCATTCAACAGGTGCTGACAGTGCATGGGTTGACGGGGTGGGTTCGGCCTTGAGAGATTCCTTTATCTCGTCCAGCAGATTGGCCTGTGGAGGTATGGCCTGCAGCGCGAAATCCGGATGATATTGTTGCAGCCAACCCGCAACATTCAGTGGCGCTTCTCCTTCGATGGCAACACGGGAGAATTGCTCGAAACTGTCAAGCCCCATTCCCATACCAGGCGTCGAGAGATACCCACTGCTTGAGGGCGAACTTATGGCGGATTCAAACGACGTCAAGTATTCTGGAAATTGCACATCCACGTCTATCACCCCATCGTCTGTGTTGATAGAAGTCTTCACAGGGGATTCGAAAGCCCCTGAAGGGTCAGGTATTCTGCTCGACCCGATGAGTTGAGCTTGGCTCCTGCCCTCCAACGTCCGAAGTGTGTCTGGTAGGTCGGCCGTAGCCGGCGGCAAGCTATCACCAGCTCCGAACTCGTCTCGTGCTGGTGTCTCTATCACCTGTGCCTCGCTGACCATCTCAGGCCGTCTGTCTTTCCGCCCAGTAGGGTGCGAAGGAGATGCAAGGGGACTTTCCTGACTCTGAGGGAAATCCATTGTTCGAGAAGAGGTGGCAGTTGAGTCCCTGCGTCGCGTGCTCCATAAGCCGCTGATCATACTGCCCCAGTTCGAGCTTCTGCTTCTCGAATCGGTGCTTGCGATACTTATATGACCGGTGCTTTCGCCGCGTCTGAGAGTACGCTTCAAGTCATCTGCAGCAATGCTACCGCTGCTTCCGGGACGATGTCCCCGACGCAAGTTGTTTTGGTGGACTACGGAGAAGTGTGGAATGGCAGCGTCTGGGGTTATTGTATTGGTCGTCGCGGCACTACTTTTCCTAGTGCTGAGATCGCTTCCAGGGATAGGTAGATTGGCCGGTTTAAATGTCGAGGGCGCATCAGATGATTGCCTGGCGTGGTGAGTTTCCATACTCAGATGAGCAAGCTGCGCGGGTATACCCGATACGGACCTCGTCGTGGCCTGGGACTGAATGCTGAAGCTTCGGTTATGCGACGCGCCTCTGGGTCCTGTAGGACGACGGTTAATCTTGCGACGTAGAGACTCTTCCTTAAGAATGGGGACGATGTAGGAAGGCGGCGAGTGCGAGAAGGATGCAGATGTAGATGGTCTTTGAGTTCGAACTGTCGGCAGTTGTTGATTAGCTGGTAGAAAAGCGGACAACAAGAAGACTAGTCGCCTAGCAGCCATCTTATCTTTGGCCACAACAATAGTACGAGACGGCAACGACGTATCTTCCTCACTCTTGGCCTTTTGTTGTTGGTAATGGCGTCGACGATACCACACTGGACTCAGGGCCTGCAGCCAATCGGTATGTGTTGCCAAGAAACCAGTCAGAAGGTTGAAGAAGAAGAATCCTTGTTCTTTGCCTCCAGCCCATTTCGCAACCCATCTTGCCTCGTCACGCCATGGGCCCCAGCGGCCTTGACCTGTCACGACTCTCGTGGCTCGAAGCCCGGATACTATCCGGACACGCGCCGCACCGACCTCGCGACCAATCTGTTGATCCTGCATCAAACAATGCGGACCCAAAGTCACTAGTTTCGCATTCGTCTTTGGCGGCTTCATCTGGGACGCGTTCGAGCCTCTACGGCTGGTTATCGACGACGCCCGGGCAATCTGAGCCGATACCGGCGGTGGTTGCGGATCTGGAGCGGCGTAGTCTGCTTGCTTAAGCATCGGGAATAGAGCCGTGGCCACAACTGATTGGAGATGAGTAAGAGTTCTCATGATGATATCCCAGTGTTGGGTAATGGCGTCCATTCTGTCTTCGACATCGTTGCTATAAATCGAGTCAAAGGCCTCTGCGCCATATCCCGAGCCAACCATAGACCATCCCGACCGCCTTGCCGAGTTGAAAGACGAGGAAAAGGAAGTTTCTGGGTCTGTATACGAGCTGGGGCCACGGAAAGCCTGCTTAGAAGCTCCAGCTGCGGAGCTTATCTGATGGGCTGGCAACTGCAAAACCAAAGCCACAGCATACATGGGAGTTCTCTTTTGCTTCGGCTGGTGCTTCTTCTTCTTCAAGGTGGATTCGTCGGGAGAACAAGGAAATGGAAAGCCGCCACCGTCTTCTGACATGCGGCTGTGGACTGTTGCGCTCGTATTGGGGGTGTCGAGGTCATCATTCGGCAGGTTGACTGGGAATAGCCGAGTGACGAGGACTTTCTTGCGTTCCACCGGTCTTCCCGGGTTGTTAGACGCAGCTGTCGCGGACTCCGACGTAAAGGACTGTGCTAGCCTGCTTGTCCGCATGCTCGTCCTGCCCATGGACCCGCGGCTGTCCCCGACGTAAGAGCTGGCAACGTCAGAGGACCGAGGTTCACTGGGTACAATGTGCACCTTGGTCGAAGTTCCCTTGTAGGACATGACCTCGGTGTTGGCAAATATGCAACTCGAAAAGCTCGCGAGTTCTTCGCGGTACTCCCTAGAGGCACGTTGTGTTTCTGTCTCGACGTACGTGTGGTTTCGCGACTGGAACGACGACCTGCGGTCAAAGGCGCCTTGGCGAGGTTGGGGGCTATCCGGCTGGTTCACCACTGGACGCGACTGGCTTAGACTCGTCTTCCTCGGCGACGTAGGGTTACGGCGAAGGTCTTGAACAAGAGTCTGCGCCGGTGTTTGCGTAGGCGTGGCTCCGGGCGACGGCCGGTCGCTTCCTGAAGCTACGGCCGGGCCAGGGTGGCTGTCGAAGAGCAGGGACGGGTTTACTGACCCCAAACTGTCCTGCATGATGATAACGCGAACATCACGAACGTCGAGCTCAAGTTCGCCATCGTAGTCGAAGGTGTTGGGTGAGCTTGACGGCAATGCTGTGGCCGTTGGTAGCGGGAAGACTTGGTCATGGCGATAGTACAACGCTTGTGTGTCTGGAAACAGAAGACTCCAAGTGTGAATTTCTTCCTGTATAGACTCTGGTGACAGCCTTGAAGTGGAGGAAGTCTGATTAGCAGACGCGCTGCCAGCGCCGCCGGACGTCAGGTTGAACAATTTCCCTAGCATGGTCGCCTCAGGACCGACTGAACGGGATTCGACTCAGATGTGCGGAATGGGGTCGCAAGAATCCAGAATGCCTTAACATGCCTCCATGACGACAACCACAACCATTGTGGGCTTCATCGTCGCGTAGAGAGCCATGTGGAAGTCGTTGGTTGAGGTTGTGTTGTTGGTGATGTCCGTGTGGCTCGTCGATGATGGCGATTTAGGAATATGACAATCCTGGTTGAGCCAATCACAAGGAGATCTGCCAAAGTGAATTGATGTGCCCAGGAAGCTAAACGTCAGCAATGTTTTGACTCTAGTTTTTGTCGAGTACTTTTTGGGGAGCCTCCAACGTCCGAACGCAAGTTTTGCGGGTATGGCGTGGGGTGTGATGGTCTCGTGAGGAAAAACGAGCAATTCCACTGATCGGAACAACCCACCGACAAACTGCATAAAATTGTGTAGAAACTAGCAGAATAGTAACCATGGAAAGGCTCTCATAGGAAGGCAGGGCCAGATAATGACGTCCTCTCGAGGAGGTTGCGCAAAAAGGTGTCGAGGGGAAACCTTGCACGCCAGCCCGCAAACATGAAAGGGTTATTATGACACAAGAGAAACGAGCACTTCCGGGGATCGGAGACGCCGCGGCAAGCCAGGTCAAGATGCGAATTGGTCCATTCTTTTCAAATCGATCCTTGTTTTGATGTTAATTGTGAATGGGCCCCTGCCACTCGTCACTGCCTCGTCCCACGGACTACAGATATCTGTGTCTCGTTCCATGGGTCACGGATCTGATGAGAAGTAGGAAGATGCGGTGAATGGAAATGTACTTTTACGTGTTCTGGCGGTGTTCTAGGTCCTAGCGGCGGTAGGGGTTTATCGCTGGGATGGGCCTGTGGCGCTCGGTCCATCGGGACATGGAGGGGAAATAGGCAGGATGGAAAATGGGAGTCCAATCACTTTGCACTCAAACAGACCCCTGCGACAAACATCATTGATGCCTTACGTGGCCCGTGTGTTGCTGCAGCTGGATTTGGCCATACCTCATTGTCGCGATAGTCGCGACAATGAATGGCCTCACAACCAGGTGGCTCTTCCGCAGTCCAGACACAACTGCTTGGGCAGATGCGAGGAACATACCGAGCTGTCGGGGAGTTCTTGCCATGAACCGCCGACGAAGCCTTCCAGCCTTCTAAAGTTCCCAAGAGTTGCTTGCAAGTTCTGAATCTTCTTCCATCCGAATCACCTTTCATGCCGATACTTAATTTTAGTACTTCGTACTGCACACCTTTGAAGGTTTAGTATTCCAAGCACATCGTCGATTCCGATACCTGGCACCAATATTTCTCGAAAGTTCTCCGTCGATATGCCATATCAATTGCCGAGCGGCAGCATCCGTATGGTAGGATGCTGACATTTACCGCTTACCCCTTCTTGTCCCTGGCCGCTCTTTAATTTTTGCGAGTCGCAATCAGCCAGTCAGATGCGATAGGCCCGGACGAAGATGCGTCTTGGATGTTGATATCTGATACTGCTATATACGAGCGGTGAGAAGTCGTTTTCAGGGTTTCCGTTGTCAATACGAATGCCACCCCTATCCCAGCTTAGCCACAAGCGCTTCAAAGGATACGCATGCGTCCACATCACGTTGGCCGTTTCTGCCAGTCCAGGATTCTCCTACTTCCATGTTTCGTTGACCAGCATAGGTAGTGGCCACACGGTAATGCACACTTGCGACGCTATCGGTAGCGCGCCCGCCTGTAGCATCGGCTTTCGACTGATTACAAATGAGGACATATTTGCGGCGTCCAGATGCCACGCGCTCCGAATGTAAAATTCAGCTACAGACGGCTCGCCTAAACCCGTTGACAGCCTCTATGGCATTCTGGCATCGACTTCAAGTCTTGCCTACGGCTAATATACAAGTGCGTTGTCCGCATTCTAGATCCGGATAGCGCCGCGGGCATGTGGCTATTCTAGCAAGTGATTGGCGGTCTAATCGCTTAGTCAATGCTCTCGAAGTGTCACTGCAAATTCAAATTTTCCATTTGGTCGAATATCCAGATCGAGGCCCACTGAATAAAGGAACGGCTATGTCGGCTAGCATTTGGACAACCGGCGGCACTGGGTATTGGGATGTTCCGGAACTTCTCCGCGTATCGGCGCATCTCATCGGCCATGGCCACTCCGTCCGGCGTCAACTGAGCCACACGGCCACAACACAAAAGGTGTAAATCCAAGCTTGTCAGTTTACGATCCAGTCATTGTCGCGGCCGAGGAGCGACATTATGGGCTTCCGATCTACAGATGGAGAGCTCTCAGCTGTCAGATTTCAAATTCCAAGCCTTCGGCTAGATGATGCTTATGGCTGCAGCCATCTTACAGGCTCGCACCATTTACTTGTTTACATGCTGCCCCAACAGTCTTCCCAGTTCCAAATTGAGCGGTAAAAATTTTTGTTCCTAATAGATGATGAACATTGACTCATTGTCGTATGTATCAATACTTCTTAGCCCTGAGAAAACACATCAGTGCCTGCTTGTTTCTGGGCCCTGATTACCAAATTCCAACTCCTTACATGATCGTATGTCGAAGACCATGAGTTATTCCGTGGATGACACCAAATCTTCACGTATTGACACGGCATCTTGTTGCGGCGGTCAACGATTGAGCGCAAGAATGACTTCCAGGGTGTTCGATGCCACTATCTAATTTGAGCAACGACCCTGCATCCATGAGTTCAAAGGTGATAAATGTATACCCGTTGGAAATACCCGTTGGAAATATCCGTTGGACGCTTGAACCAAATTCCAAATTCCGTTCCGTGCACAGTAACCAACGCAGTTGACAAAATGTCAGGACGGGTCTTCCAAAGTATGGTGACGGCATGATGGTGTACTCCAAAGATGAGGCCATGAAGCCTCGGATCATCCAATTCCTACAGTGTCGTTTGAAACGAGCCGGCCCCGCCCGTTAGGCTTCAGCCAAAATATGCATGCACTGCCGGTCCGATAAGACGCGCTTCAGCTCTGTTTTGGTCGGTCACACAGCGTTGCACTTTCTCCCCGGTCACCTCTTCCCGACTTGGCAGGTAGCTCTTGACCGGTGAACGACGAGTAAGTGGCCGGTGAGGCTTCTTTTCGCAATGTGGCAGCCTTGTCATGCTCCTCCGCCTGTCAGCTGCCCCCGGCCCCGTTACCAAACAAAATTGTTGGGTGTTGTAGGGCAATTTCCACCCTAGTTCATTCATTCCTGCTGCTCTCGTTTATTGGTGCGTATAGTTGGCTCGGGACGTGCTTATGGGGGACGGCAAATCCTCCGGTCGGCGGTTGGAATAGTCCCGAGGGAAACACAGTCGTTCCCATGATCCCCGGCGTGCTATGGTCGCACGTTACGTTCGTTTCGTCTGAAACTCGCTTTGCAAAGCTGCTTATTCGCCAGAGCTATTTCCCTGATGAACCTACTTGTCACCAAATACAACCTGGATTTTGGAAACCAGGCTATCGGGTGCCCCCACGCTCGCAATGGTTGGGGTTTTGTGGATTCGTGCAACCAGAACCACGGTGCCGGGTCCAGGGGGCGACGAAGAGGGGCGTAATGATCTGCCAATTTCAACTGCCGTTATCTCGTTCGGGGTGCGTTGAAGATTACGTCGTGTGTGGCAGCGATTGCATCATTTCGTCGCAGTAACTACGAGGCTACAGTTTGCGAGATGGAAAACCCCTCAGCTAGCATAGTGCTACAGATGCCGACCAACCTGTCGTATCATCGCCGCCGCGATTCCTGCTACGCGTACTGTCTTGGTCGGTTTCTAAGATGTTATCGGATGGACTTTACCGAAAGCTGGACGGGGCTTACGTAGGCCCGTTCCAACCTGGTCGTATTTTGCAGTCTTCACCGCAAGTACTCGATATTCTTATCAACGGCCTGACGTATCATATTGAATCTTATTCCCTAGTCAGTTTGCTGATAAGTTCATCCTCCTTACAATGCAATGTTCGTATGTAGCTGTAATATCCGCAGCAGAAAGTGATAGCTCGTGCGAAGTCGAGGAAACAAAAAGGAGCCGTAGATAGGAACCCCTTATGTTAGGAAATGCTGGGAATCGTTGAGAACCCAGAAGGAAGTTGGCGAGGCCATGAGTTCCCGGGTTTCCACAGGATTGGCATATTTGAACGGCATTTGATATAGTTGCACGTCGAGGCCACCAGGCTTGTCGTAGTACTGTATAGAAAAGAGTGGCGTGCATCTGTTGTTCTCTTAGAGCCCTGCGGCTCTCATTCACACGGTACTCCACGAGAGTTTCCTGTCTTAGAAGCCCCATTCCTGTCCTCATGAATGCGAGCGATTTCCCTCCACTGATATTACTGGCACAATCTGTGTACAAATTTCTCCGTTACCCCACTATTTGGCCCCCACTTCGTATAACAACCCCAGACCTCCATGGGTCATTCTTCGGCCAATTTACACTCAAGTAAACTGGGGATTTCTGTAAGTGTTTCCTTCAGGCGTATACTCCAATAATAGGCGTATCAGCCATGAGCCCTACGCACTACAGCGATCCTATAAGGCATAGACCGCATTAACTTTAACAACACGTCCGGATCCAGCTCTACCCACGCTATCTAGATTGCGTCTCTGACCCACGCTTTAGTCGTGATGTTCTGCAAATCGGCAAAATTAGGCTCGATTTTATGAATGATTGCAGGGAAACGGATTTGATAGACAAGGCGCTGTGGCCCACTGTAAGATTCCGCTAGTTATGGTACTAATTGCATTGGCACCCCTAGACTGCGAGGTTTTACACTAGGGGCTGCACAGTCCGCACGCCTGAATAGGTACCCGTGCCACACCCCACTTATTTCGGATTCGCTTGAGCTCACCAACTTGGCCAGTTTTTCGACACTTTCAACTTCAACCTATCCTATCTTCGTCAATTCATTAGCTTTTTCCAATCGCAATGGACTCACAGCTACAGGAAGCCGTCCTCTACATGCAAGAGCATCCTCAAGCCAAAATTGCCAAGATTGCGCGAGAAAGCGGCGTAAAACGCGAGACCCTCCGATACCGCGTCAAGCAAGCTGGGAAGACTAAGAACCACGGAGGACTCAACAAACTACTATCTGAAGCCGAAGAAAAGGCCCTCTGTAATTACATCGACCGCCTTGATAGGATCAATCTTGCGGTTCGCGTAGAATTCGTTACCGACGCTGCAAATACGATATTACGTGAGAGAGTCAAGGTTCTACCAAATCAGCCACCACCAACAGTGGGATCAAACTGGACTACACGTTTCCTCAAGCGCCATAGCTACTTCCACGCTTCCCAGCGGAAGCTCCATTCAAACCGCCAGACTGCTGAAAACCTCGACACTATACGAGAGTATTTTACACGGCTTGAGAGAGTCCTCCGGGAAGAAGGAATCGATCCCTCTGATCTCTGGAATATGGACGAGACTGGCTTCCGGATTGGTGTTGGTAAGGATCAACTTATCATCACTAAGCGCAAGAGGGCCCATTACTTCGGCCTACCAGAAAATAGAGAGACAGCGACAGCTATTGAAGCCATCTCTGCTGCTGGCGACGTAATACCAGCTTTCCTCATACTCACGGGGACTATCCACTCGGCTCAGTGGTACGCGCAAGACCTTCATCCAGATACGAAGCTACGGCCGGTCGATACAGGCTATTCGAATGACGAGATCTCTCTCGAGTGGCTTATGCACTTCGAACAACACTCTAAGAAAACGCAGAAAGGTCAAAAGCGACTATTGATCTTAGACGGCCACGGCAGCCACCATACGAAGCAGTTTATCCAGTACTGCAACGACCACGATATTATACCCTTCGGCTTGCCCCCCCATCTTACTCGTCTCTTACAGCCACTAGATGTGGTTGTTTTTCAGCCATATAAGCACTGGCATGCGAAGTCCCTCGATCAGCTAGTACGGGATGGATGTACCAATATAACCAAGCTAGAGTTCCTCTCAATTATCGAAGATGTACGCAAAAAGACCTTCAAAGCGAGTACTATCCAGTCAGCCTTCAAGAAAACCGGCATATATCCATTTTACCCTCATCCAATACTACAAGAGATTGAAGAACGTATACCAAAGACGCCATCACCATCACCAGCCCCTTCATCTTCGTCATATGAAGGCACACCTACTACTTTTCGACAAATTAATAAAGTAGTTAGCAAGATTACGAACTGTCTTACTGATCCAGAGCTTGGTATTAGTCCAGATCTAGCCTATCGACTTAGTCGCTTTGTTAAAGGGTCCCTCGTTAATGCGACCGAGCTTATACAGACTAAGCGCGATCTTAGTCGTACAAAGTACGCCGAACGTATATCAAAACAACGGTGCGCTACGAATAACTATCATCTTCAATCTGGTGGAGTTTTATCCGTTGCAGAAGGTAGAGAGATGGTGAAGAGGAAGGTTGAAGATGAGGTAGCTAAAGCACAGAGAGTTCTCGCCAAGTATCATGAAGGACTACGTAGAGTAGCCAAAAAGAGCTTTTCTGATGCCGCAAAAGAAGCTAGAAGACGTCGATTTACAGGCCAATTACAGCCTACAGATGTCTTCGAGACAGGCCTTGGTTGGCGGTTATTACGTAGATTCTAATTGAAGGTTGAAATCCGTCGAAAAACTGGCCAAGTTGGTGAGCTCAAGCGAATCCGAAATAAGTGGGGCGTGGCACTGGTAGTCCTGGTTCTTCCTCTTGCAAGCCGTTGTGAAATAGTCCCAATACTACGAAGTCCACCCGGCTGCTTCCGTCTGATTGTCTGAATCACTGTTTCACCTACAATATTTTTCTTCAGAGCGTGACATCCGTGCTCTGTAGGTTTCTAATAGGCTATAGGCCGACTATTCGATCATCTAGATACCGTGTTTCTCTAATACGGTAAACTAAGGTTGTAAGGTTACGCTACTATAAGGAATATCCGGATTCCCCTCATAGAAGACTAACTTAGCTATACGGGCCTTACTATTCCATAGCTAGGTTATAGACCACACTATAGTATGAGTCCTCGGCTTTCTATAATTATACGGCAAACTTTCAAGTTTCCCAAACTGTGTATCTTCCTCATCTTATCCACTCTAAGGTGCGAAGTTGATTACTCCAACGAATTCCACTCCAAAGTCCCAACTCACTTCATCCCATCTGCACATGACACGGCTGTCAGAATCCACCTACGCAACTCAGGTGAGCTCGATGACCCTCTGCTTACCGGGAATCAGGACTCCCACAAAGGACGAATAGTCAAGAACGTTTTGCCATGATCCTCCCGCATCTCACATTTTCTGACTTGATGTCCCCCCATCCAATTCGGATCCAAGACAACATACACCTGCGTGTTCAATAGCGTCTCCTCGCCCTCAGTTGTAACTTTGCATGAGCTAAAATACGTGACCACAGCTCGCATGACCCGTAAAATCTCCACGTAGGTTGCAAATGCCCAGATGTGCGAGCCCAGTGGTGCTGAGGCCTGAGCAGATGCGAATGTTGCCGCCATATGGTTGTCCCTTACCAAGGAACGACTACCGAGAGTCGTGGCTCCCACAGGCTGGAACCCGGTCGTTGTTGAGTCTAAGCATAATGATAATTTGAAGACGACAAGTTTCAAAATGCCGAGAAGGTATCCGCACATATGGACATGGTGTTATTGATGAAACGCTTTTCTGCAACAGAACGTGGTATAACATGCTATATACATGGTGTAAGTGAGAGTGGGTATGAAAAACACGTGTAACACGCGGATAAGCACAAGACGATTGCTCATTCGGCAGTTTCTACGCTCACAGTCCTAAGCATGATCAATGGGCTGATTCTTCGGACCGATTCTTGAATGGCAACTGGGTATGTCACAGCCCCTCAACCTCAAGTTCGGCAGCTCCAGATTGATAAATCTTCAGGACCGGTCAGCCAGCAGCTTAAGCGGGAGCAGGACTTCTCCTTTCACTTCCTCGATGGTCCGATTGAAACGCAACAAGCAGCCGAGTCCACCGCAGGCATCTTCGAACCTCCTTTTTTCAGCAAGAGGCCACGGAAGAAAAAGGTCCCTTTGACGGAATCATCGGCTTCTCGCAAGGTGCATTGGTTCTCTCTGCATATCTGCTTCGTTTGACGCACCAGAATGGCCACTGTGCACCCTTCCGGTCTGGCTTACTCTTCTCCAATGGTGGGGTCCCCGACTCGTACCTGGATAGCCACTTTATGGGCGGAAGGCGCGGAGTCAGACTCAACATCCCGATCTTGCATATTTATGACGAAGCTGACATCCATGTGGCATCATCTGTTGTGTTATCGAAGCTATGCGAGGGAAGGCTGACATCGTTGGTCGCTCATAAGCAGGGACATGTTATTCCTCGAGATGGGCCGATAGTTTGGAGGATTTCTGGCGCTGTTGACAGTATGATGCAAAAGGCTGTGTCTTGATTCCGTGTTCTTGTGGGTGGGCAAATCGAGTTACGTCCTTGGCCTTACACAATCCGTGATTGCTTATCAATGAGCTATCCGTAACCGGTGAATATAGCACAATTTTCTAAATGGGCTGTGCCTTCTTGTTGCATGCTTCGCTCCCACTTGGGTTGCAGTATTGAAATATCCTCAGCAGATCAGTAAGCAGGTGTCGTCTGATTGGGAATATTTGGGTTGCATTTATCCTACTTCGACCTATATAAAAGTGGGCTATGCACATCACAAAGGAGTAAGTCGCATGACATTTATCCAACCGTTGATGGTCCTATTCGTTGAACTCAAACTGTTACAAATTTCGTAGAGTTCCATTCGCACAGTTATTCACGCCTGTTTTCACCATGTCATACTATTCTACTTGCAGACATGTATGTGCCTGGTCAAATGACTTTCCTGCGGTGGCCGTCTTGCCTCAGTTCTGGGTTCTCCTTGGTCGCGGCTTACAGCTAAGATATTATAGAACTTGAATGCCTACGTATTTTTGGGCAATTCAGGATATTTGAAATGACGGGTACTCCCGCTCTTAGTCTACCTACAATAAGATGCCTAGGCAGCCAGTCTGTGTCGCACAGTATTGCACGGATTGCAGCGATCGTGTGCTAGAGGTTGGAATCATTGTGTTACCTTTCACCTATTACTTTTACATATCGATTAGTTATGAGGCGGGTGGTCTATTGTTTTTGGACATATCTCGTAAGGATGTGAACAGTAACATGGCCATGGCAACTTGACTACAGTAAACTACCCATTGATGATATCGGCCTGGGTAGATTGATGTTAATTGTGTTGTATCTGAGCCCTGGAACTCCGCTGAATTGCTCATACTCCTTTCCTCGCCTACAACATCGTTTACGCATACGCATTTAAGCACTTCTGGTGTGCCCTCTCTGATAATGATGGAAATAGGCAAGTCAACGGAAAAGGAGAAGATGTTCCCAATCGCAGCCATAAACCCGAGTGGAAATTTTGCGGTTAGAGCCTTGAACCCAGAGAAACTGTGGGAGATGTGCTCTCGGGGATGAGATGCTTGGATTCCCATTCCGGCGCCAAGATTCAATCATGACGCTTTCTATCATCCAGCCCCGTCACTGAATGCGTCAACAAATTTCGAAGTGGGCATTCTATGCTCGCAGGCCGATTGTTGTAATTCTTCAACCTTCACGGTGGAGCAATGATAATTGAGAGCGCATGCTCAGCATCCAGTGGCCCTGCAAATGGTATCTCCAGCTCTCAGGAACGGGGAGGGCAATCTTGAATGCTCTAGGGGGTGAATTACTGAAAGCATGTATAGGTTCCTTAATTACGACTTTGCGGACACTGGTTTCTTTGAGATCTTGCAGGAGAAAACGGCTCTATGGGGTGACCATGAGAAGTACAGGCGACCGAATATCGAATGGGATCCAGACGAGCAGGGCTTTGAACTCGAGTCACAAGACTGCATCATCGCGGCCAATGCGCCACACTCTACAGAGAGAATAAGCCATACCATGACGAATATTCGCAAACTTCTCAAACCTGATGGTAGCCTAGTTCTGGAGGAGCTTATGAAGAAAAAGCGTGTTTACACAAATATCTTCGGCATCTTTGATCGCGGATAGGGAAGGAACCTGATCGCCAAGACGGCCCTCTCCTGTACGAATCAGGTTGGGACTCGTTGTTAAAATAGACAGGATTCACAGGCCTGGATTTTGTGATATGGGACCTACCTAATACGGAAGTACATTAGGCGAAGACCAGGTTTCGAGTCTATCAATTCCATGACAGTCTCCCGCTCAGTCATTATAGTCGATAGTATCTCTAACCAATCGCTCGCAAGGACAACCCAAATTCTGCAAGCCAACTTGATCACCCTTAAGGTTATGCAACCATATCCACGATAAGCTTGCGCAGTCATCTCGGGATCACGTTCGTCTGTGCTGAAATATATTACCAGCAAAGTCCTCATGGTCACGCTGGGTGCTGCACTGAAATCGATGAATCCGGACCTGAACCTCGTTAACGGATTCTTCGCATCCCTCCGACTAAATAATGTCGGCTCTCCATCGTTCATCTCGACTTAGACCCCGGCAGGATACTCAATAGTGAAGACATGACAAAGCTCATTACTGATGTGAATCGCCAACTTTTCTCCGAGGTGCCACAGTTGAAACCAAATTCGACTTCATAGAGCGAAACGGCGTGGTAATGAATCCACGCTACGTGAAAGATTAGCAGGTTAGTAACGTCGTATCATCCATGGTAGGAATGCTCACGCCAGATATGCAAAACAATTTTTAGGAAGGGCGGCCTCTGAAGCTGCAAATTGGAAAGCCCGGGTCACTTGATAGCCTCTACATGGTTAGAAGATGCCAGAGCGTCTGTGGTTCATCCTTTCAGAGAGGATAAGGGCGGGAATGTCTTAACATGGCTCGTCAGGCTGGCTGGCGGCAGCAAAAAGGAGCAAGCTCTGTGGAAGAATGGACCTCCTTCGCATTTGTGGTGCTTGACCTTGGTTAAAGCTTAAAGGGTGTAAAGACTCCGCAGGGTGGATCGGCGGTGATGCTAAGAGCAAGGCAGCTCTCGAAGAAGGCGAACAACATGAAAGAGGCGGAGGTTCTTGTGATAGGTGCCGTCTTAGAAAATGTATAAAGCTTTCTGCGAGTGTCGGTGTACGAAATCGAGGCTTCGAGGCCTTTGAATCACTACGGGCTATACTCGCTGGTCGCGGTGGAGTTGCGGAACTGGATCACGGGTGGAACTGAGGTCCCTGTTGCTGTGTTGGAATTTCTCGAGATCAAGCCCCATGAGGAGCTGTGTCGGAGCATTGTATAACAGACGAGTATTGCGAGGAAGGAAGTGATGGGGGAGAAGGCTGTGGGTTGATAGTTTGACTGGAAACTACGATATTCATAAGTGGTGTAGTATCAAATCTGTTAAAATACAGAGGTAAGGAATTCGTTCTTTCTCTTAAAATATACGTAGGTGTTTTCTTACCTCGGCCGCCATCTATGTACTACATCGATACGTGAAATGATATTTGGGTCCTCATCACACAGCGTAATAAAAACTGAGCGCTTCCGGTGCTACTGTGATATCGACCTATCCACAGCGGTACATATTAGAATAATGTGATAACTGAGAGCTGCACCTCCGGCTCGTCAAACCTACGCCCAACTGGTGGATAAAAGGCCGCACTCAAAACAGTTGTAGTGCTTATATTTCCTCATAGATAATCCCTGCCCCCTGTATGAAGCTCCACAACACCTGGCTATCTCGGGATGGACCCTTTAATCGGATGGCTGCTCACGAGTGTATTCATATCTTCCATGGTTGGGGCGGCATTGCCAGCAGCTACTAAGATGGTTTCACGACTAGCAAAGACCGACATCCTTCCCAAACAGTCACACTCGCGATCGACTTAGAAGCCTGACAGGAACAGACTAGGCTTGCCAATCTTGCGGTTATTACTCTGGAGAAGCTGGTACCTCCCAACCCTTTATTCTTTCCAGAGTCCACAAGCCTGCTGTTTATTGCCAAGTTCAGGTACTAACGGGCATAAATTTGAGGGCTACCCCTCGTGTGCCCAGAGGGCGAAGCATGTCACGTAAATACCGGGCTAAGGGCTGTAGGATGCGTCATCACGGGCGTGGGCGAAGGTGCCTCGGACCAGTGGGTCCCAACCAAAATACTTCAACTCAGAAGACTGGCATACGGGGGCCCGCGACTCTATGGCCCACGGACGGGATGCTGGTAAATTGAAATGGCCAAAGGGAGAAGAAGCCCAATCCTGTTCTGTAACGAATCTAATGGAGGCAATGATAATAACAACCGCCCTCAAGATCATCTAGCTACGATTCCGGTTTCCCCGAATGTATCGCCTTCATTTACACCGGTACCTAGTTCGAAAACTACATCCTGCTCCGATGCGGACAGATGGCCGGCCTGGGATCCGACCTTCTGGCCAACCACCGCCGCCAACGGCACGGCGCTGGGAGAAGCAGCAAACACACGCAATCCTGCTGGTGCGCCAAGCGGTCTCCCAACTACGACGCCAGCGGCCGCGACTCCTACCACCACTGATGATGACGACGACGAGGCCCATCCCTTGACAAGAGACCAGAAGATTGTGCTGGGGACTGGGTTGGGCGTTGGCGGAGCCGCTCTCCTTGATATCATCACTTTGTGGCATATGTGCAGAAGCGGGAGATAAAGGGGACGGTGTGCTGGAGGCGATTCGGTGAGAATAAGGTCTGACTTGGATTGTATGATTACTCAAGTGCCCATGTCCAAATTCTTAAATAACGTCTGATATTGACCGTAATCTTACTCCACATCGAAATTTCAGGTTCTGGATTCCCCAGAACTCCATCACAAAGTACTAACTGAAAACCAGCTCAGTACGCCAAGGGATGTTCGTGTCGAGCTGCTGTTGGCCATACATGTACGATAGGGTCGCATCATTGCAATCGATCGGAGGAATGGCGACGAATTCGGCACACGGCAATGGGCGCTAATCATGTCTCTCAGGGTGTAACTAAATGCTCTTGGAGAAAGGGCCCTCAAATTGACTCGGCCTGTCTTCACGACGACGACGCTTGCCTCTAGCCAGTGGTCCGCAGCCACGACCACAGGGATTTCAGGTGGTTAATTGCGTTGTTTGCAGTGGGATTAATTGGGGTGCTGTAGTGGTAAAATTAGCTCTGTGGTGGCTTGGAAAGCAAAGGGCATCCAATAAACCAACGACCAGCTCGCCTGATCATGAACAGACATCAGAGGCGCAACACCATAAGTATACCAAGCCCGAGCTACCGACTCAGGGTTCTGAATTGTCCGAGCTACCAGTTAAGGAAGATGGAACACCCCATGGACCGACAGAAATATTAGCAGAAGCCCACCCGAGCGAGCTAGCAGTTCAGCGGGCTGAAATGTCAGAGCTCCCGGCGGTTCTAGGTCGGAGGCTAAAGAACCCAGCCCAACCCTCCGAGCGGCGAGCGAGCTACCATGATTTCATATAGTAACCCTGGGGACATAAAATTGTATGTAGCTCAAACCTCCCAGGCTGATTCTTCGTAAAATGTCCAGAAAATACTCACCTAGGCGAATTCAACGAAACTGTTTCTGAAGCCCACTAACAACAACATGAGTTCTATGACTTCAACGCCGTATTCCGAAGACATTATGCCTGCGAAGTGTCAAAATAGTGGTAGCATCCACAGTTCAGACGCGGGTTGCAATTTTACCGGGTTGCACTTGCGCTTCTGGTAATTATTAAATGCATACTTGCCTCAATATATCACCTACACTGTCATCTTCAATAAGCTCTTCGTCACATGATAAGCCAAGTATGACGACCTTGTGCTTATATGGGAAAAACATGCGCCAGCGCCAGCGCCTCCACAAGCACTGCACTTGATGACCCCTACAGTCAACCGTATATCGAGGGGTTCTTGGTTGTTCGTCCAGATTATACCTTAAACCCAGCCGACAGTATTGACGAAGGTTAGACAAAGCAGAAGCCTGTTCCCCACCTTCGACACGTATAAAAAGGATATCACAACCCCGCCCCGCCAATATCATAGAACTCCCACCTTCCCTCCTTCATATCCGCCCAGTTGTCACCTCACTTTTATACACTGGTACTCATGACCCGCACCAACAAGTCCCCACACGGAGGAGCATCATCCAGCATGTCACCACTATCATCATCCAGTGGCAATATCTTGTCGGAGACACTCCGTGAGATCACCACGACCAAACTCGAAGAGCTGTCCAAGCGGCGTACCGAGTTCGTCGACAGGAAGACGGACATCGTTGCTAGGCTGCATTCGGAGAATGATCGCATCAATCGGCTCACGATCCTCTGTGATGGCGTCAAGGCTTGTTTCGCCGTCAAGACGGACAAGACGGGCAAGGTAATCCGGGGCCACACCAAAACGCCCGATGTCGAGATCGAGCTGAAAAATCTTGATTCTTTCCTGGCCCAGGCCCGCTATGATCCGTCCGTGTCGACAAAGACGTTTGATGCCTGGGAGAATTCATTGCTTCGTCATCTGGAGACACAGTCTTTGAGGTTTGAATACGCCTCACTCTATGCCCAGTTGGTAACAGAGTGGCTCTCCACTGAAGAGTTCGGATCGCACGCTGGAAACTCAGATGAGAGTGCCGAGTATGTTCCTAGCAAGAGGAAACTCGAGTCGAGGCTAGAGTGGGAACGTAGCGTCTTCGAGCCCGCAATTGTGGACGTCCAAAAGCTCGAAGAATACCTGGCACAACTATTTCAAGACGGAAAGGGACAGACCAAGCCAAAAGCAAAAGCGTCGAAGCAGCTCGCCGACGAGATTGCTAGTTTTGAGATGGAGATGTCTTCGCCCAATCAGTTCACTCCATCCAGTCTGAACTGGGTCATTCAGGGGCTTCTAGATTCTGAACTGCTGTCAGACGAGAAGCGGGAGGTGCTTAAGAACTTCAAGACCAGCCAGGTGATGTTGACTGAGGTTTCAGATGTTCTCAACATGAGGATCACTGGCTTGGCTAAGTGGTCGTGGGGTGAGAGTGTTCCGGTAGAACAGCGGCGCAAGATTAGCGGCGGATACAACATCCACATGCACGAGGACCTTCTCCAGGCCATTTTCCTTCAGCACATCGGCGTGAAATGGTCGGTTTTTCTGAAGGGGGCTTTCAGGCGCTTCAGAAAATTGCCGGGCCCCTGGATTGACGTGCGGAGTGATGTTCCCAACATCGATAGGAAGAGACTTGGCTACTATCTCGGACCCATGGAGACCAAACCCAGCGTCCAACACACGAGACGGAGCATGTACCGCAAGAATTACTTCGTGGCTCATCTACTGGACTCGGAGTGTCAAACCGTTGAGGCTCTAGATGGAGAAGAAGAAGCTGAGATAGTGGAAGCGTGTCAGGTCCAGACGAATCAGATACCAAGGAGGGCCATGGCCGCCCAGCCTGCAATGAACAGCTTTTCATCCCGTTTTATTTCAAGGGGAGGTGCCAAGAGATACAGAAAAGTTCCGTCTGATGCACACCCAGAAGAATCCGAGTCAGACATAGAGTCAGATGATTCAACGACGACCAAGAAGCCGATGGAGGCGAAGCAGCGTCTGCTACACCTGCTCTCAGCCGAAATTGCAATCAACACCAGAATCCACGGCGAGATCACCGTATTTCGGTCTGTGTTTGACAGTTGGAACTCGTTGCTGCCTCATGCCACGCTTCGAACAGTCTTGTCGTTTCTAGGGGTGTCTGCCACGTGGCTGGAGTTTTTTGTCAAGTTTCTCGAGGCACCCCTGAGATTTGTTGGTGAAGACGAAGATGCAAACCCGGCGCGCACCCGTCGCCGTGGTGTCCCAGCTAATCATGCATTGAGCGAAGTCTTTGGTGAGGTCGTCCTTTTCTGCCTGGACTTTTCCATCAATCAGTCCACCACTGGCAGCTTGCTGTACCGTCTCCACGACGAATTCTGGTTCTGGTCCCCCAACCACAAAATCGCGGTCACAGCTTGGAAGGCCATCCAAGACTTTGCCACAGTAACGGGAACCGACTTGAACCCATCCAAGACCGGAACAGTTCGCATTTCTGGCGATCCCAACGTCTCTCTATCAATTGATGCCAGTCTTCCCAACGGCCCGATTTGCTGGGGCTTCTTGCAGCTCTCACCCGAGTCTGGTCGCTTTGAGATCAACCAAAAGATGGTAGACTCTCATATCGAGGAACTTCGAAAGCAGTTGCACGGTAAACAGAATAGCATCTTCGCCTTCATCCAAACTTGGAACACTTACGCTGCCACGTTCTTTGCGTCTAATTTCGGCAAGCCGGCCAACTGTTTCGGGCGCAATCAAGTCGACCAGATGCTTGCCACGCACTCGCGGATCCAGCGCGAGATCTTCAAGGAGGGGTCCAACTTGCGTTCTCATGCCGGTGGTAATGCCAACAACGTCGTCGAGTATATTAAATCCGTGCTGGGGCAGCGTTTCGGGGTCAGTAATATCCCCGACGCCTATCTTTTCTTCCCCGTGGAGCTGGGTGGTCTTGACCTCCGAAGTCCCTTCATCTCCACGCTGCAGATCCGGGACAGCGTCATCAGAGACCCCTCACAACTCCTGGACGCCTTTGAAGAGGCAGAGATGGAGCGATATGGCCCCGCCAAGACGGCCTTTGAGAAGGGTGACACCAAAGATGAACGATACGCACTTGAGGATCCGGACTGGGAGCCCGTGGAGCAGCATGACAGGGACACGTTCATGAGTTTTCAGGAGTTCACGCGCTGGCGCGAGGAGTTTCAGTTTGGCTTTGATAACGAGCTGCACGATGTTTATCAGCAACTGCTGCAACAGCCGGAGGAGGAGAGCTTGGAGATTTCCGACGGAATCGCAAACGGCCTTTCGAGCTTGGGTCAGCAGAGCAATGCAAGCGGGATCCGGGAGAATTGGGACAGCATGGAGCCATACTGGCGGTGGGTAACGATGCTGTACGGGCCCGAAATGATAGAGCGGTTTGGTGGGTTGAAGATTGTGGACGCAGGCCTGCTGCCTATGGGCATGGTGAGTCTGTTTCGCGACAAAAGGGTCAAATGGCAGGGTTAGGCAAGGTTGGAGAATGTGGTGCCTTGATTTCATCCGTCCTTACTAATGATCATGTCCGAGATGTCCGACTCTCCGCACAGAGTCCAGATGTCGCAATCAACCCTGCTTATAAATCGCAACTTCATCCCATCGGGTATAAGACGACCACCCCGCTTATAAATCGTAACTTCATCCCATCGAGTATAAGACGACCACCCCCGCTCTCAAAGCTCAATTGACGTTTTCGACTATTAAAGAACCTGTAGATGGGAATTCGTAACTTGTCTCAATCAATCCTAAAATCGGTAAACAGCATCAAGATGGCAGCTTCCCCCAAGATCAAGCTCTACACCAACCACTTGTGCCCTTGTATGTGACCCCAAACGCCCCTCCCTACCCACTTACTATGCAATGTATTACGTATCACGTACTAACACAAACACCCAGGGGCCCACCGAGTTCACATCGCCCTCAGCGAGCTCCAAGTTCCCTTCGAGGAAGAAATCATCGACCTGACCGTTCCGCGCACGCAGGAGTACCTGCGAGTCAACCCGCGCGGCCTCGTGCCCTCGCTCGAGTACAGGGGCGAAATCATCACTGAGTCGGCCATCGTTTCCACCTTCTTAGCCGACGTCTTTCCCTCCAGTCTTCTCCCCGCGTCGACGGATCCCAAGGGGCCCCTCACTCGTGCCAGGATCGGCTTCTTCGTTGACACCTACTTCTCCAAGCCCCATGCTAGCTTCGTCAAGGTGTACTCGGCCAAGTCGGATGAGGAGGTTAATGCATTTATGAAGGAGTATGTGAATGTTATTGCGAAGGAGGTCGAGCCGCTGCTGAAGGATGCGGCGCCTTTCTTTGGGGGAAGTGAAAAGCTGACGTTGGCTGAGGTTAGTACAAATTGTTTTATCATAGTTCCTATCTTTCTCTTGATATTGATTGTGGCATCAGGTCTTGATCGGGTCGTTCATCATCCGGCTCTACACATTCCCTAAGCACGGCCTGCTGTCCCAGACTCTCCTGAGTGATCTGGCTGAACAGGCTCCCAACTTCGACAAGTGGGCCAAGGTGGTCGCTCAGCATCCGAGTGTTACTGGCATCTACAATGAGCAGGAAGTTGTGGATACGACTAAGGCAAGACTCGCTAAGGCTAGAGCCTAGGCGTAGTTTCTTCAGATTCGGTGTTGACGTAGGGAAGTTTCGCACGTTAGCCTTTGCCCAGGGCGTTAGAACTCAGTCCTAAATTGCGATGACATCATCGTTCGTTGAATGCAAAAAATTGATTAGTTCATGAGATGAAACTGTAAAGAATTGGCGAACTCATACGTGGAAAGGAGCTCGAGTGTCCACTCATACACAATTTCGAACCCGATCATCAGCATCGTCGGCAAAGCCCGCAATCGCTGAAAACTCAGAAGACTCGTTTTCTCCGAGTTATGGCAACGTCACATGTATCAGTACGTTATGGACGACATTTGTCTAGTTTCTACGCTAGAATCCATCGTCATCACATGCCAACGCTCCAATTCCACGGCGCCATGCTCATTCCGGATTTTCAGCGTCGCTCTCCCACTGCACGATTGAAGCCTAAAGCAGGTAACTTCGTTTGGTATCGTCTCGTTCGGACCACTAACCGGAAGACGACTGCCGTGAAGCAAGGCGATAAATTGAGATCAAGTTTCATACCATGCTGCTTGGCCCAGCGTAGCCTCACCTCCCAAGGTCTTGGTGATGACGCAAATAATATCAGTAATCTTAGCGTAGCCTCCAGCCTAGTCTCTCGAATGAACACGACTGGGCGCGATGATGACAATTGGCAGAGCCCATGAGTTTCCATATATAGCACAAATGCCACCAAGTAACAGGGTTGAAGAACTGCAGCTCTGCGAAAGCATTGGACCACACCAAATCAGTCAATGGCCGACTGTGTCCATTTAGACAAAGAAGAAATAAACTCCTTCCTCGATTGCGTAGACAAAAACAACGATGGCTTATCCAATACAGCGAAGTCGAGCAATAACTCGACCTGGTACATGACGAAATCGCGCCACAAGCCCAACCGCACAATCAACATCACGACACCAAAGAGGACGAGGCGCGACACCCCTTTCTGCGATCCATCATCGGCAATGGCGACGATAAGCGCTGTATCCCGCGGGCCGAGTTCGCGGAGCGGGTTAAAGCGTGGAAGATCCCCTTCCTGAAGCAGGATTTTGAAGAAGAGGAGAATGCAAAGAACTATATCAAGTCGTTAAGCGTGTGGAGGCGAATGAGGGCTTACTGGGCGGTATACGAGCCGGAGATTTTGTTCATGGGAATTGTTGTGGGGACTCAGCTCGCGTTGGGGTCTGGCAAATGGTGAAGTATATTACGGAGACAATATATCGGGACGCGTTTGGATGGGGGTGGAGATGGTGAAGACTTGTGCGGGGGCGCTGTATCCGACGATGTTCTTTTTGGTTTTGAGTATGTCTAGGTAAGTCCTTAATGTTTGCACGACTAAGAGAGATGCGTGAGTTGCAGTGTAGGGGGTTAGTCGAGGAAAACGTGTGATAACACCACTGACTTTTGAATACGTACTTCTCTACCTTCTTACGCCGCTCCTACCACATCTCCCGCTTCTTCATCAACTGATCGTCCCAATCATTCCACATCCATATCTCCATCGCAGCCCTCCTCTTCGCCACCCTGCATGCCATCGGCCGCCTAACGGGCTCCTTCTACTGGGACAGCCAGCCCATCAACCAAGAGCCCGTAGCCGCCGTCCTGGGCCTCACGGGGCTGATTGCTCTTGGTCTGTTCTATTTATCGAGTCTCCTCAGCGTGCCCCAGGTACGACAGTGGAACTACGAGGTTTTTCAGTTGGGACATTTACTAATGTATCCCATCATCGGCCTCCGCTTGGCGCATGGCACGGCACAGTTTCTGCAGCGGCCTTTGCTGGGTTACTTTCTTGCCTTCCCCACGCTTCTCGTTCTAGTTGAGCGAGTCGTGCGCGTAGCGATGGGCTTTCACCGTATCCCTGCTGCCCTGCGCGTGCTGGATATCGAGGCGGTTGAGATCAAAGCCACCGTCCCCAGTGAGCGCGTATTGAAGTACGAAGCTGGGCAGTACGTCTTTTTGCAAGTGCCTAAGTTAAGCTTGTTTCAGTGGCATCCCTTACCGTGTCCTCGTGCGTGGGCAATGAGACGCGGTTGCATATCAATACAGATAGGAACTGGACATCAAAGCTGAGGTTCCTGGGTGGCGATACGGGGATAAGGAAATCGAAACAGGTATTAATGGACCCTTTGGCGCCCCTGCGCAGCGTTTCAACGACTTTTCGCATGCCATTGTTGTTGGCACTGGGATTGGCGTCACCCCCTTTCCCGGTATCCTCGCGGATTTGCAGGCGCGGGATAACAGGGCCCATGGTGGTCCAGGGACTGTCGGCTTCGGGTGCGCCTCGGAGTTGGACATGCCCGTGAAGACGGAAATCGGGCAGGTGGCAGTCGGGAGTAACCCCGTACAAATTTCAGATCACCAAAAGTCTAGCCGTTGAAACCCCTGGTTTCCAATCAGAACCCCAGTCGCAATCAAACACCACCTCCGCCTCATCTCCCACACCCGAACGCACCTTCGCCCCAGGCTACCGCAGCGTCGATTTCCACTGGATGGTCCGCGACCGCAACCCCCTTCTCTGGTTCTCTGACCTTCTCAACGCCGTGCCTCGGAGCCAGGATTGGCACCGCGGCCACGAAAACCAGACGCATCTAGCATCAGGCTTCATACCTACGTCACGCAGAAGCGCAAGGGTATCGCTACGCACGTCTACTGCTGGCTGCTCGAAACGCACCGCACCCATGCGCACCCTGCATCGCCCCTGACGGGGTTACTTAACCCGATGCGCTTTGGGAGATCAGACTTTGTGCGGATCCTTGATGTATACTATGGGGAGATGAAAAAGTTTCGAGCTAGTCGACAGGGAGTGAGTGATAAGAATTCAGAAGCACCAGGCGACCATGACAGTCTCGAGGTTGGGGTGTTTTTTTGCGGGATGCCATTGATAGGTGAGATCTTGGCAGATCGGTGTCGGTTATTGACAGATAGGGGACGGGCTGAAGGAACATGTGTTTAATATCATTTCATGATGGAGGTGTTTGGGTAGGGACTCGAATAAAGCCGGTGGGCATAACAATAAGGAGTCTGATCAATACGCAGGTTGATGACTATTAATACTATAGTTACAGGATTAATACCCAACAAGTTTTGCATCTCGAATTGTTCCCGTTACTCGGATTGGACAACGATCCACATTAGTTAGCTAAAACATCTCCGTCATTGCGTAACCGCCTCGAGCGTGGGCAGCGTCGTAAAGAGCCTGGATATCCGCCTTCCACTGCTTTTTGTCTAGACGAAGAAATCGTCGATCATAAGTGAGGACTAACAAATTGATGGTTAGTACGCTTCCTCGAAGTGGCCGTGGTTACTTACATCCGTTGACTTCGCCCTCGACATCCGTCGTCTGCGTCCACACGGCGCCACTGCATGAGTACATTTTGACTTGGTCAAGGAGTTCGCTCATGAGTAGATGACCTCGATAATTGTACGCATCAAGGTCTTCGTTGATTTCGTACGTCTGATTGATCGTGTTAATGGCTGCTTGAACTTTCCAGAGACTTCAAAATCATTGTTAGCTTTTCCCTACGCTGATACTGTGTCGGTTCAAGTTTAGGCTTGATGAGTAACTGACTGCTGCTCGGAAATATTGTGGCCAATGCCGCCGAATTCCCCCTGTATGGCAATGCGGGACGGATCATATGGGCTCGAGTTGAGCTGTTCAACTCTCGGTGTTAGCAATTACTATTTGCAACGTGTCGTAGGAGCGGGAGGTCATGTCTTAAGAAGGTAAGGTAAAACTGCTTTTTACAGATAATATTACCCGTAAGACAATACAAGTAAGGGAAATAAGAGCTCCAAGAGTTACTTGCACTGTAGAATTTACTGCCGCATTGCGGGTTGGCATAATGGTGATTGTCGTGCCAGTCCCCTGCTCCATGATCGTACCAGCCACTGGTCGAGTCGACAAGTCTCGTTGGGTCCAGCTCTTTCGCGCGGGCTGTCAATCCGATTTCCGGAGTTCGTCCGTCTCTGTACTGGCCCCAGCCTTCGTTGTAAACAATCTAACTTGGGTCAGCAATGGCGCACAGTTAGATAGTTTGCGTAGATGCGTACCCATGTGGCGATGCTGGGATAGCTCTTGTGCTGATTGATAAGAAGCTCGAACTGTCGCTCAAATTCGGCTTGCTCTGCGTCTGTAGGAACATATTTCACAGAATCATCCTTCATTGATGGCATGTCCTGAATGAGCAAAAGCCCCATCTGGTCACAGGCTTGGTAAAACAGAGCATTCTCGACTTTGATCTAGACACGTGACAAAGGCAATCAGCTGGGGTCCGATACTAGGAGCAAATGACTATTCAGGATCACTCGAGTTCTTACGTGTTTGCGTAGCATGTTTGCTCCTAAATCCTTGAGCACTTTCAGGTCATACACCATAGCCTCACGGTTTGGAGGGGTGTATAAGCCGTCGGGCCAAAAGCCTTGGTCCAGAGTGCCGAACTGAAACAGGAACTTCCCGTTCAACAGTGGTCTTAGGACTCCATTGACCTCGCCCGACGAAATGGTCCGAAAGCCCGTGTAGCTGGTGACTTCGTCCCCGCCCATGCTGACCGTCAAGTTGTACAGAGTGGGAGAGTCGGGCGACCACAGCTGCGGTGAGTCGACGACAAAGCTAAATGGTTCATTAGAGGTGGCGTCGTGTGACGCCACAACGTTCCCGCTGTCGTCGAGAACCGAGACAGAAACACTTTCAGAAGCGCCAGAACTCAAGACAGTCATGTCGACTGCGGGGCAGTTTGCATCAGCATTCCCAGTTTCAGTTCGTAGCGGCGCGGCGGGAACCTACCTTGACCATCCATGCCTGCCGCAATATCCAAGCGGGTGATAAAAGAAGTTGGAACTGATTCCATCCAAACAGTTTGCCAAATACCAGTACACGGCCTGTAGAATATGTGTGACGGGTTTCGAACCTGCTTCCCGTGGGGTATGTTGTAGCCTTCCATGTCTGTCGGGTCAAAAACGAAAACTTGGCTGCGGTGCGTCTGCATATCAGCGAACTTAACCACAACTGCGAGAAACACACACAGGGCTTTCTAACAGTTTATTGGTCCCCTTGAAATTGACGAATTCAGTAGCATCGACGCTGAAGTGCCAATATCCACCTCTGTGAAACCCGGCTTTGCGGCCGTTGATGAAAACAGTTGCCTCGTAATCGACAGCTTCGAAGTTGATAATGAAGCGTTGGTTGTGTGCCGACCAGCCCCGGGGAACCTGGAACTCTCGGTCGAACCACGCGTAGGTGACGTTGAGCTCCTGCACACCGGAGAGTCCACTTTCAAGACATGACGGCACCAAGACGTCTTGTGTCAGTGTCTCGTTGAGGGGAGCCATGCGGGCCTCGTCCAAGCCCGACGCAGGTCTCCACTTCCAGACACCGTTCAAACTCTGCCACCGAGACCTTTGAAGTAGAGGCCGCGGATACTCAGGCCACGGATCAGTCCCGACCTTGTAGGTCCAGTCTGTGTCGAGCGGTGGTGTCTTGACTTCGTAGCCGAGCACCGAGGATCCCAACAGCACCACGCCCAGACCAATACCGATGCTGAGGCGCATGTTGACTATATATGGCCCGTTCGAATGAGGTAAAATATTCTCCGATAAGATACTACCTGCACTGGCAGCAGTCGTCCAGGTTGTGGATCTCGACCGAAGTGGCAGAGCTGAATACCCTAGTGGGCAAGGTAAAAAGTAGCTGCTTCACACAGGGAGTGCCTGGACTCTGGCCGTCTCCCTGACATCTTGTCAGTCCGGTGGGCTAGACATGATATATACCCAACGGAGGAGGTAGTGGTTGCGGCACAGGCTTCGCGTCACCGTAGCTTCTCCGCGATGCTCCAGGCTATCTTGCACCTTCCTGTTTTCGTTGCATGACCCGATCCTTGGAACTTACGACTGACAACTTAGCGAAAGTGATCGGAACGCGAGATATGCTCGAGCACGCTGCAGTAAGCTGTGGTCGACCTGCCGAGCTGCTTCTTTTCTCGGGACGTGGAGCTTACCAAAAGCTCGACGTTGCATTATTAGACATGGGTGCTGCATGTCGTTACTTCAACTTGCCCGGGGTAATTATGGGGTATCTAGAACTAGCTGGCTGGGCATCTGCAAGAGAAGCCAGGTCGGCGGCGGTCAGCAGGTTCAAGTCTAGCATACTGCACGGCAGCTGCCATCTATTGGTTGAGGCGCGCGGGAGACGGCGGCGCAGCTGTCGAGATAAATATCGCGTGGCCGATGTGATACGTCCAAGGTTGTGCAACGTCCAAGGTTGGTTTGATGGGCAAATAGGGACAGCCACACAGTCAAGCTGAGCCAAAGCATCCCGAATGTCGGGAGCACGGCGCACCGGGATGAGTAGAAGCCGAGTGCGGAAGGCAATGCCGTAGTCTAGGGTGCTTTTCTGCCGCCGTTGCAGCTGCTGGACGAAGATAACAATCATCAACCGTCACAGCGGCGTGAGCAACCAGCACCGTTTGAAAAGACTCTCGATACGGCCCGAATGTGCTGGCAGTATATTGATCTTGTGATCTGACTGTAGTGCGGTAGCCAAGTGTCGCGCAGACAATGGATCACAACCTGCAGGCCACTTCAGTATGCGGTTCAATCACGGCAAGACATTTCGATCTGCAATAGCCGGGGGTCGTTCGCCGACGCAAGGCGTGTCCGCATGATGCATACACGGAGATTATCTCTGCCACGTCTTGCCTCGGTGGAGTTGGGATAATGAAGTGCCGAGTGTATGTACGACATGGTCATGGGGAAATCAAGATGGCTGGGCGGGCTTGGAGTTGAGAATAAGAAAAATTGATCGCGAGGTTGATGGGTCTGAGAGTTGCAGACAGATGCATTATGGGCTGCATTGTGAAGTTACGTTTAAGGCTCGGAGCGCTGGCGATGCCGCTGTGGAGGCTGAACGATCGACTCTCATGCGGGGAAGCGCTTGCATTGCGGAGAATTTCTGAAGCTTAAGCGCCAAGGCTAATAATACAGTGGCCAAGCTAGCTACTATGCTTACTGCTTACTGCTTACCGAAGCCACCGCCGTCTGCCTGCCGTATTTGTCTATTGGAGTTTATCAGATCACCTTTGGTCATAAGCTCAAGTTCTAACGACTACAGCGGGCGTCGTTGATGCGATCGTTGCCACATTGTGTTCGCGTGATCCCTTCCATTCTCCTCTTGTCTCCAGATAAGTAATTGACGCAGCCCATCTTGTTCCACGCCTAGGGCTTGGCCAGATGTGTAGGGCATTGACTACTTGGATGGTATTTTGGCAGCTGGTGGGGTGCTGTGCTACTTATATAAACTGTGCCGAGGTTCTTCTTGTGGCTCGTCGTGGGTTTCATCCATAGGAGAGGTCGTCGTGAGCCGTGGTAATGGCCAGCACGGTTAGAAGGGCTTCTGGGACACAGGACCGCGAAAGATCACTTGCTCTATTTTCATGACAGGCTGCCAAGTTCACCGATCTGTCGGTACACTAGATGTTGGATCTCTTGGCAGAACAAAGTCGCAACCGGGTAAACCCAATGTGACGAGACCCTCAGTGTATTTATCCACATATGTATCTATCTGCGTAGATATCTGAAGAGTATATAGCCCAACATTCTGTTCAAGAAGAAGCGCATAACGAGACCGAACGGCCGAATTATTGGAGGACATCAAGCAGTGGCCGATCATGAAATGCATCTTCAATAGATGACAACCCAGGATATATATTTCTAAAATTTTATGAACAGGTCCTTGAAGAGAGAACGCATACCAATGAGACTGTGGTAGAACAACACTCTAGACATACTCCTCCACAGGTTGATCACGGAAGGGAAAACACATGGATACGGCGAAGTATTATCATACGTATCGCTCGGTCTGATCGTTGTTGATACCGTGGTGAAGTGATCAATGCAAATGGAGTTAAAGATGAATTAAAAGGACGATAGATGTGCTGCAGTGCGGGTTTCTCACATAGCAGACTGTCAATTACAAATGCAGACAAAGGTGTGTATACTTAATGATCAAATCTTGTAGTTTATAGATGCACTCGTGGTCTAATTCCCATGTGCGATATAAATTTCAAAGCCAATAGCCTAGTCATTCATAACTACTGGTTAGTGAAAGAAACAACACGGTTCTGCCGGGTTGATGTGGTGCGAGAAGCATCGTAATACTACAACCTCCAACACTTTTCTGACAGAAACTCACTGACGTCCCAATGTAGATTGTGGGCAGAAATGGCAGTGTTCGGCCCCGCACGGACCACCCAGTGTAGCCACTGTAGATTAGCCAGAGCTTACGGCAAGTAACGATAGTCATAAGAACAACAATGAACGGTGGGCTGCGATTTGCCCACATAGATAACAATAACGTACCCCACAAGCAAGTTGGCCACTTTTTCTTGGCACCGTATGAATAACTTCAATAACTTAACTAACGTAGTCCACGGTCCAATTGCACACTTCGGCAGATTTTCGTACGCTACCACTTTGACCTGCGGTTTTTCACCACATAACTATGGTTGGTTCTTGGAATGAAAGTGATATGATTCTAGCATTGCGTGCGCTTCAATCTGATCCAAAATTAAGTGTACGTCGCTGTCAGGGTACGGCTAGACCGAAGGCGATAGTACAGAGTGATGGGGAGTAACGGGCGTCCCTCCTACGTAATACCGGGTGGTCACTGGCGGTCTCAGGTAGGGGTGCCCACGGTGATGCATTGATCTCTACTCTCCCTCTATCTTCTTCCCGGGCCTCCGCCCCTTACATAGATAGCTAGAACCCGACGTCGGAGCCGCGGAGCACTAGTTTCCCCGATTGTTCCGCAAACCAAGACTTCCATATCGTCATGACTCGCACATTCCTACATCGGAGCCCCACCGGTGTCCCACCGGTGCCTATGGCATTCTGTTCTCTGACAGTCGCGCTGGTCAGATCTATAACGTACCTTTTAGAACCCTTGCGTATCGACGCGACGGTAAAACCGCTTGAGCGAATACGTGATCGCCAACGCAAAAGTTGACTCCTTCCGAAGAAGAGGCAATCGTACGACATATAACCGACCTAGATTCGCGAGCATTTCCTTCCCGATTGAGTGGTGTTGAAGATATGGCCAACCGATTACTTCGAAGTCGCGACGCGGGACGCGTCGGCGTCAACTGGGCCTCGAGCTTCGTAAGACGACAACCAGACCTCCGGAGGGGCTTTTGGAGTGTACTCGCCGCTATGCCGCTGTAGCGACGCCCCTGAGACGGCAGAGCACGTAATCCTCTTTTGCGGGCTGTTGGAAGGACCGAGGGAACGATTACGGGCCACTATCACATCACGGCCACTATACTCTCACAAAGACCTCGCAACGGCAACAGGAGAACCAGTAGTTAGTGGGACTATTGTAAGGTGGCTGCTAGGGACGGGTCGGACAGCTTCAAGGCCCAGATAGCATCGATCTTCTCAGGGGGGACTTTGTTGGTAGGTTGAGAACCAACGTAGTATGGTAGTGAACGCAACGCAGTCGCCAATAGGGCGAACCGACGACGCAGCGTATGTATTTAGTCCAGCCATTAGGGCACGGTTTGACATACGGGAGTACTGGCAGAGGTACCGGGGGCTTCGAGCCTACTGCGTATTTAATAATAATAATAATAATATATCATATTGCACGCGCTTCAAAAGAGCATTTCTCGACTTTAGAATAATTTATTATAAATCGCGTGTAAAAGATTATCTAGGGGTATCTTTCATAATTATTAAGCAACTGAAAGCAGGTGTATTAAATCAAGTTTTTTTCAAGTTTAATATGACTACATTGAGAAATGGGCTCTTTAGAGGTGATTACTAATAAAGCGCATCCAAAAACTTTCTTAGGGGTGCCTTCCATGTGCCTGATTGTTAAGTTAACGTGAGCGCGTCGTGAAATAGTGGGGTAGGGGCCAGACTTTTCAAGGTGGGTCATTTTAGAAATAATCTGTGTGGGGGGTTTTGTTGCCCCCACCAATCTGTGGGGGACCTCTATTGAAAAACTGCCTGTGACGTCATTCTACGTTTATTGCATCACTCGGTTTACAAGATAAAACTTTTTAACGGGAAGCACTGCACAGTTCTTCTCACTAACAATCTACACCCTTCATCAGAACAACCCGCTTTGGAGCATAGCCTGACTGCATCTGTTATAGACATAAGCAAGCACAATGGCTACCCTCACAACAACGAGCATAATTCCAATGCTCTCACTGGCAACAACATCTCTGGGTAAAAGTAACTCAACCCAATCCTTGGCAATCATCCTTGACCATCCTCGACCATCCTCAATCATGGCTCAGTCAATCAGCATGAGATCAATGACGCTGTCTGAGAAGGAGAGAAACGAGTATTACTATGGGCTCCCTAGCCAGCCTAAGCTCGTGGCTCGAAGCAACTTCCGTGATACCTTGTGGGAGCCAATCATCAAGGATCAGCATCTGCTACCCAAGCGCATTGCCAACATCGGTTCTGACCACTCCCTCGTCGGAAACTACACTACGGAGCTGCAGAATCGCATCGTGGGCATTCTCGCCGGGACCAAGTGGACATCAATTGACGTCCTCCGCATTGGCTACGATGACCAGCATCAGAAGCCCGTAGTGCTCTGGGTTGCAGTCGAGCCGCGTAGTCTCGACCCTGACCTCGGGCTGCAGCTTGCTGAGCAGTGCCGCGCCGCGCTTTCTGATGCCAGCATCCACGATGTCCATTGCGAGATTCGTGAGGCCACTGTGACGACCTTGGCTTCGCACGCGAATGCTCAGCCTTTCCTACCCCTCAACCAGGGCGCACTCGGTAGTACCCGCTATCACAGTCTCACCTCCACCCTCGGACAGTCCGTTGCTGCCGCAGACTCGGACAAGAAGGAGGGATCCCTTGGTCTCTACCTATCTGTATGCGACCCCAAGCGCAAGGGCTTCCCTATCAAGTGCGCTCTGATCTCCCATCACGTCGCTTATGAGAAGGACAATGATCTCTGCAAGGATGACGTTCCCAACTCCAAGCCCAAGGTCCAGATTCTGATGCCGGGAAGTAAGAAGTTGGAGGACTATACCCATGAAGTCACTCAGACCGTCGATTTCTGGGCAAAGAATCCGTTGCTAGATACCACTGGCGCCTTGAAGAATGCTCAGCATCTCCGAGAGTATCTCGCCACACTCTCTGCCACGTCTGCCCGCTGCATTGGCCATGTCATCTACTCTCCTGCCCGCATGCCCAAGAAGATGTCCGACACGGCCACCAACAACGACGGTGAATGGTTGCCCGACTATGCCTTGGTCCAGTTGAACGAGCCACGATTTGGCGACAGCTTTGTTCGCCTTGCTAACCAAGTCTTCCTGGGCGCGTTGGGCCAAGAGCGTCTCCAAGAGCTCAATCACGGCTTCTTGGGCCATCACGCCTTCGTGCCACCGGCCGATGGTGTCTTGCGTCTCAAAGGGACCATTCCGCGCGGAGAAATCGCCAGTCCGCAGGAGGAAAACATCATCACGGCTGAACATTCACTCAGACTGGGTAAGAGAGGCAAAGCTACAGGGCTGACGTAGGGCATCAGCAATGAAGTAAGAAGCGTGACCCGTGTCAATGTCAACCGTGTGTGTTCTCAGTGGTGCATCATCTCTGGAAACGACCGAGTCTTTTCGCAGCCTGGCGACTCTGGTTCGTGCATCTGGGATCTCAAGGGCAGAGTTGGTGGAATGCTAGATGGTGGTAGCGGCGGCCAGAATGGTTCCCACGACATCACGTATGCTACGCACATCGACCAGATCATCGGAGACATCCAGAAGCACTTCACCTCGGTCATTATTCTGTAAGCAGCTTCCATTCTACTTTTAGCAGCCACTTTCTCAATATCCTCTTCCCACGCTAACTAAGGTATTCACCTGAAGGTAATGGCATCTCCCGATGGATCACCGAGCTCCCGGAAGGATGACACGGCTGCTCTGACAAGACACAGTGGGTATCTCGACGGTTTATGCTGGATGACTAATCGTGGTGGATAAACCAAGAGGGAAGAACGAAGGGAAAAATTGGCGAAGGGAGAAAATCGGCGAAGGGAAAAAATTGGCGAGAGAGAAAAAATCGTAGAGGAGACACATCAGAGGCAAGAGATTGTATTGCACGTAGACCTGACCAGTTCGGGTTTTAGATAATTGATTCATGTCTCTAGCTGAGTTCGTCTATGACCACGACGTGCTCTAGATCTGACCTGGGTCTGGTTGAATGAATATCCCACCGAAGGTGTGTGGCTATGTGACTTGTAAATGTGGCTGTAAACCAACATACGCCCTTAGATGACTTGCACAAGGCAAGGGGATCTGTCTTCAAGGCTGGAGAGAAGACGAAGACATGACGGAATAATTCTGAAACGATCCCATGAGCTGGAGAAACTACAGGCTAAATGGGACAACAAATGGATTAGCCACAAGTGACACCGAAGCCTTACCTCTTTGTGGCTCCATCACTGCACTGGGCCCTCAGAGAATAAATTACTAAGCACTCTGCCATCGAAACCGAAGTACTAGGGGCTGTATTGGTACTATGAAGGCGCGTGAGGAACCAATCCCAAGTTGGCCCCGAGGGGTCCCTAATTACTACAAAGCCTGCCTGCCTGCCTCGTAGCCCTCTATCAATCCATATCAACCAACCATATCCACCAAGACTATCAAAGCTACAGGCAGCTTTATGCCATTCCCCTTTCTTAGTAGAATAATGATACATGTACTCACGTAAGAAATTGTATGTAGAGATCACCATTGAATACAGTTATTATTGACGAGAATGGAGTGGTATCTTTCCTTTGCTGTGCACATTAAAATCAAATGCAGAATTACTTCGCAAAAAATGCACGAAAATATGTAATGCAAACCACCAAGCCCCCTATGCTCCATGTAACCCCATGACCAACCCATGCGTTCCAATGTCGTGTATCAGCAATATCATCATTGCTTATTTGCTAGCGGCGACAAACTCAGGGTCGCAGAGAATACTGCTAACCTCGCTGTCCTGCTGGAAGGTCCACTCTCCCTTATCCGCGTCGGGAGACGGCGCGTTGCGGCGTCTGCGCTGCAACGGCACACCCAGGGGGTGAAAAAGACTGCCCCGAGAAGGCACTTAGCGGCAAAAAACGTTGTGTGAACTGCAAAGGGAAGCACACGGCGTGGGACAGGGACTGCCCTACGGCAGAACAGCAGCGGCTACGCGTACCCGAGGCGTACGCTCACCGCCCCCGACAATTTGAGGTCCGCAGCTACTCGGACGAGTTATCTAGTGAAGGCAGGCTCACACCACCTAGCTCATTGTACGACCCCGGGGCCGCCCCCTAGGCGGATCGCGAGTGGAGCAGGAGCGAACCGAACGGTCTGCGTCAGCAATGCGTAGCTTCCTCACTAAGGGACGTACGAACGAAGATATACCATCGACAGCTTAATGGCAGTCTCTATTCTCTACTGTAATATCGCAGATTCAAAGGCGAACGCAACGCTAGCGCTGGATAAGGGGGGTAACTATGATATAATAGCGGCTCAAGAGCCATGGATCAACCGGCGGACGAAGGCGATTTATTGCCCGAAGTCGTCCAGGTACGAAGTAGTGTACAGCAGCGGCAGAGCTGCGCTATATGTCCATAACGATACGACGTGGCTACGTTGCGACCCCGTACCGGGATGGACTGGAGCAGTATTACGTTCGGGGCAGGCCCGGAAGCCCTTACAATCTGGTCTATCTATTCACCAAACCAGACCGGGAGCCGCTGGGTCAGCCCGCTCCAAGACCTCCCTAATGGGGCGCCGGAGGGGACACAGGTCCTCGTAGGGGACTTCAATACACATCACCCGCTGTGGGACGTCCACGGACGGTCGTCACGGGGCAGCGACAACGTAGTGGGGTTTGTGCGACGCTGGCGATTAGAGCTCGTTACGCCGTTCGGGGAAATCACACGGCAAAGGCACAAACAACGAGACTCAACTATCGACCTAGCCTGGGTGACGAAAGGGACTAGGATTGCTTACGATGGGGACCCGGGCCTAGAGGGCTCAGACCACAGAGCGCAAGTGATTAGGGTAATATCCAGCGGGGAAGCAGTCAAGGAGGGCCGCCGCAGTGTCGAAGGGTGGAACTGGGCGATGGCGGATAAGTGGCTCATCGTAGCCGAATCAAGCCAGAGATTTATGAATTATTTGCCGGTTGAGACGATAACGGAGTTGGACCAGGCTGTTGACTGGGTTATCCGGAACCTCCAAGAGATCGCCGATGTGGCGGTCCCGAGACGCACCGTTGGCCGAGGCGCTGGGGTCCCGTGGTGGTGCCCGCAGGTTAGCAAGGCTTGCGCTGAGACGAAGAGACGACGGCGGGACTACCTCCAGGCAAGATCGCAGACCAACTGGGACGAATATACAAGAGCCGGCCAAAAACAACGGCTCGAAATCAGCGAAGCGCAGACGCGTAGCTGGCACGAGAAGCTCGAGGGGACGGCGAAGGATCACAAAAGCCTGTGGGCACTGCAGAGGTGGGCTAGGCTACGGAGCTGGGCCCCCCCCTGAGGCCCACGGGTTGCCAGATCTCCGGAGGCACGCCGGCAACACGCTTACGGCACGTACACATGATGAGAAGGCAAAATTACTAGCTGAGAGGTTCTTCCCAGACCCGTGTATAGATCTATCGGACCTCGATCGCGGTCTATTACAGACGAGACCAGAGCTGAACGTCCCTAGGGAGGTGAACACAATGGATATCGAGTCTATCATCAAAGGAACGGCTGCTTGGAAGGCTCCCGGCGACGACATGATCCCCACTGGCCTGCTAAAGGCCTGCGGTGAACCCCTATGGGAGATCCTAGCGGATCTGGCAACAGCTAGCTTTAGGCTGGGGTACTACCCGGAGCGCTTCCGCTCAGCGAGGGTGGTTGTTATCCCTAAGCCTAATAAAACGACAGCTCAGAAGCAGACCCCTGGCGGCTAGCGCCCCATTGCCCTGCTTAGCACGGTAGGGAAGGTAATAGAGACGGCGATGAGCCAGCGTATCACCAAAGTAGCTGAGGCGGCCGGCCTACTACCAAACGGTCAAATGGGTAACCGCGCTGGGAGGTCCACCGAACTGGCAATACGTATAGTTGAGGACGTGGTCTATACGGCGTGGAGACGCGGGGGCATCGCCTCGCTGCTACAGCTAGACATCAAGGGGGCATTCGATACGGTCAATTACAGACGGCTGATTTCCATATTAGCCCGGAAAGGCTACCCGGAGTGGGTTCAGGAGTGGGTACGCAGCTTCGTGGAGGATAGGACGGTACGCCTCCGGTTCGATGGCAAGGAGTCAGAGCCAATCCCCCTACGAGCTGGCGTCCCCCAGGGGTCACCGCTATCCCCGATACTGTTTATATTATACATTTCAACGCTGTACGAGGAGCTAGCGGAGCAGCACCCACTACTTTTGGTAGTCGGGTTCGCGGACGACACGAACCTGCTAAGCGTCGGCACCGATCCAGACACGACCTGCCGCCGGTTGGAGAGCGCATGGGCTACGTGTCAGCCGTGGGCAGTGAGGCACGGGATGGAGTTCGCTCCTGACAAGAGTGAGCTAATGCACTTTACTAGGGCCCGAGAGCCCTTGCCGCAAAGTATTCGCCTTGGGGACGCCACAGTGTCGCCGGTAGTCTCAGCGAGGTTCCTAGGAGTCTGGTTCGACCGCAAACTGACGTGGCACGCCCATGTTGAGCGTGTTAAAACAAAAATGGCAACTCAAAAGCTAGCCCTGACAAAGCTAGTCAATATGTCGTGGGGCTGCGATCTTATACGGGCGAGGCTGTTATATACGGTGGTTATCCGTAGCGCGATCGCCTTCGGGGCGACTGCTTGGCATACTATAAGTGAGGAACCGACAGGGCCAGCTAAGAGCCTGATGGGGATACAGAACGAGTGCCTCCGGGTAGTCTGTGGCGCCCACAAAGCGACGCCGGTTCGCCACCTGGAAGCAGAAGCAGCAATCCCGCCACTAGACCTCTATCTTAGTGCCCGGGCTGCTAAGTTTGAAGAACGGCTACGGCTTAGCGGGAAGAGAAATCTGCTTCGCAGCGCGAGCGCTAAAGCGTCACATATACTCCGGCAGGATAGGCCGGCGAAGAGGAAGCAGGCGTCGCAGCTACTCCGACCGGCAGGGTACACTATGGAGAAGGAGGCCCGGGGCTCCGAGTGGATGAGTGAGGAAAAGGAGGTCCCGGCTGCCCTCCTCGGCCACTGGAGGAAGAGATGGCTCACCGGAGCAGAGCATCACGATCGCCAGCGACGCGCTATCGCTGAGGAACCGGAGGGCCCTTCGATGCAGATACCGAAAGGGGGCAAGTATTTCGGCCTGAACCGACTGGAGGCGTCTACGCTGTGCCAGATCAGGACGGAAAAAATAGGACTAGCAGCCTTCTTATTCAAGACAGGGGCTTTTGGCGTGTACTCGCCGCTATGCCGCTGTGGCGACGCCCCTGAGACGGCAGAGCACGTAATCCTCTTTTGCGGGCTGTTGGAAGGACCGAGGGAACGAACACGGGCCGCTATCGCACCACGGCCACTATACTCTCGCAGAGACCTCGCAACGGCAACAGGAGAACCAGTAGTTAGTGGGACTATTGTAAGGTGGCTGCTAGGGACGGGTCGGACAGCTTCAAGGCCCAGATAGCATCGATCTTCTCAGGGGGGACTTTGTTGGTAGGTTGAGAACCAACGTAGTATGGTAGTGAACGCAACGCAGTCGCCAATAGGGCGAACCGACGACGCAGCGTATGTATTTAGTCCAGCCATTAGGGCACGGTTTGACATACGGGAGTACTGGCAGAGGTACCGGTGGCTTCGAGCCTACGGCGTATTTAATAATAATAATAATTAAAAGGTTGTTCGTACGGTGCCAAGAAAAAGTGGCCAACTTGCTTGTGGGGTACGTTACTCCAAAAAGGCAACTTGTTAAATGTTTTGAAACACCCGACCTAGAAAGAACATGGTTAACCATCACAACGGACGAACATGTGGGGATTGAGCTGCAGACTATTGCTCCGTTGGTATAATTGCCAATTTGGGTAAGGAGCTATAGCTTTTGGCTTCTGATTTTCTCGGGACACTTCTTGCGTTTCGTGATTTGTGCTCAAATATTCATATTGAAGGAAACAGGGGCAAAATGGGTCCAAGTTCATCGAGCGTATTCCAATATGAACAATCAACAATATACGACGTTATGGAGCGTATGGAAAAGCGGGGACTCGAGACTAGAAATACCGTGTTGACTTGGCGCCGGTCATGTTGGACACTCCGTCACTACGTAACTCAGTAGGTGTCCCCTGGCCTTCGGCATGTTGGGTGCCCGGAACCCAACATGACACTATTCGGGGATCTGAGCCTCAGATCTTGAAACAACTGCTTGTCCAATGATATTATGAAAGACCTTCCAAATCACATGGCAAAATACAACAGAGTTCAATTTAACTGCGGAACTGTGTGAGATGGGATGAATTACATCAATAGACCTATGCCAGTCCTCACATCAAAGGCAGGCAGTGACAGGAGTTCATAAGTGCTCCCAGATCCAACCTCCGACACAATACTGTGCTAATACCCCCTTCCGTATACAATTACCTCTTGACTGAACACCATATCTGTATGTAATATGTCTGAAGAAATCAAGAACGTCACCATTGTCGGAGTAAGACCCCTCCTTCCTCTACCTCATACCCCTCAAGATACCTAATACCTATTTTCAGGCCTCAGGCAACGTAGGCGCACCCGTCCTGCGTGCCCTCCTGGACGCCAACTGCTTCACCATCACCGTACTCATCCGCCCTACATCGACCTCTACGTTCCCCCCAGGCCCAACCGTTGAAGAAGTCGACTTCGACTCCCATGCCTCTCTCGTCTCCGCCCTCAAAGGCCAAGATGCCGTGATCTGTACCGTACCAGAAGGTGTCCAGCAGCCCATCATAGACGCCGCCGTGGCAGCCGGAGTCCGCCGCTTCATCCTGTCCGAGTTCGGACTCGACACACGCACCATCACCACCGACCAGCTCGAGGGTCTCGGGAAGATCATGCAGGGGAAGGTGCAGATGCTGGAGTATATCCAGAATAAGTCTAAAGAGAACCCCGGATTCACATGGACTGCGATCAAGACGGGTCCTTTCTTCGACTGGGTAAGCGGCTATTTACTTTTTTGCATGCTCCAACTTCATTTTCCGTTGCTGATACAAGTTTTCAACAAATTCAGGGACTTGCCTGGGGCTCCCTTGGCTTCGAAAAGAAAACCAAAACTGCTCAAATCTGCGACTCGGGCAACGAGCGTTTCCCTGCCTGCAACCTGCCTTTCGTAGGCAAGGCTGTCGTCGCGGTCCTGCAGCACTTGGACAAAACGGCCAACGCGTATCTTGAGGTAGCCTCGTTCAATACCACCCAGAACGATATTTTGGCTCTCATCAAGAAGAACAGCAGTGATGGCGCCGAGTGGAACGTTATCCATACTGGATCCACCGAGATTAAGAAGGCTGGGCTTGAGAGTCTCGGGAAGGGAGATTTCTTCGGGGGTTTTATCCCTTTGCTCATGAATCACTGGTTCGCTGATGGGGCGGGGCGCGCGTTGAAGTTGGAGGATAGTGCGAATGCCATTCTGGGGCTTGCTGAGGAGGATCCCGAGAGCGCGATCAAAGCTTGGTTGGCAAACTGAGGAACACCACGGACTGTGGCATGGAAGTTAGCCTGCAGACAATTCGATGCGTTCTTATACTTATGCTCATCATTGCCGATAAGATGAAGTGAATAATTCAGTTAATCCCTATGACGCTAGTTACCTCAGTAAGTACAGTACCTCATGGCTGGTATGTAATTTATTGTAATGTTGTAATTCGGTGAATTCATAATGACCTCATAGTAACCTCCACCACACCTGTTATGACGCCGCCTTCCGTGTGCCTTTCTCACGTAGCCCGAAACAGCCGGCTTGCAACCACTCTCTAGCTATCACTTCTCGTGATGTTAATGCCACATCTTTCTTTCTGCCCTACGTCAAACTTCGCGACGTCTACCGTGACAACCCAATGCATTGGTCTGGCCGGCCATCTCCAACATCGACCCCAACACATCGCCAATTGGGCTCCTGTGTCTACCTCGCGCAGCCGTCACCCGGCGCGTCGACTTCCCGTACTCATCAGTGTGATTTTTTGTTTCTTCTTCTTCTTGCCGACACCGCCACCACTTGGGGTCGGAGCAGCCCCAGAGGCGGGACCATCTAGGCCGAATGCTTCCATTTGCATAGCAATTTCCGCAGCACTTAATAGATCATCATCCTTAAGCCAGCCATCATTGGCTCCCGTCTCAGGCACTGGTTCAAGACTAGGTGATGCTTGGATGGCTCGGGTGCCCCACACCGTTTTCGAGGTCGACGGACTAGTGGACACGTCGGCCAACTGCTCAAAACCGGGACGAGGGTTTGGAGGTGTTGTGCCAGGCGCTGTGCCCAAAGGCTGGAAATCGTCCGAGCTCATGGCCGGCATTGGTGCTGCCAGTTCCTCGTGTGTCTGGTCGAAATGCCTGCGAGTACCGCGTCCGATAGCGGCTGCTTCCAACCGTTCTGACTGAACCCTTTCCCGTTCCTCTTGCGCTGCTTTATCTCGATGTGACTTCCGGCGACGTTCTAAATCACCTGAAAAAGTATTAAGTACCTCCGCGTTCACAATATCTGTCCAGTCACACTCAAGAAAACTGACAACACAACCATGTGGCAAGTGGCTAAGATACTTAGCCCGTTTCCTCAGGGCATCGTCAACAGGGTGTCCGGTCGAAATGTGTTCGACCCTCGGCAAAAGGGTCGAAGGAAAATTAGAGAAGTCCCCGAACTTGGTCTTCAGGATACGTATGTCGAGTGGTGAGAGGTAAAGATGCGGCGGTGCCGTGTAGAAATGAAATGTCGGGCCAGCCGGTTGTTTCGCTGCCACCTTGGACAGGCCGTGCGACACCGTAACATCGTCCTCATCACTCTTCAGCTTCGACTTCTGCTCACTCGCCTTAGCCTTGGCAGTGTGAATAGCCCTTATGGCTCTCTGGGTCCAATCTCCATCTTCCACTCCGAATTGGTGCTCATCCTCCTGCGCCTGCCTTCGCAGATCCTCTACCTCCCCGTCGAATTGCTCCATCATGTAGTCGTTAGTACCTTTCATGATACGAGCATAATCCAAAACGTTCGCGGCAAAGTGCCACGGGACGTCCTCTCCCAGGTTGACGACGTCGGTTCCACCTTCCTTCGGCATCGCTAAGGTTGATCCAGTTTCTCTTACCATTAATCGCAGTACGACATCGTCTCCCGGCCTGGGTAGAGGGTTCTCCTGGCCAGCGTAGAATCGCACCGGGCGGACCTCGGCCAACTTGAACGAATCCTCACAGATTGGGCATTTCTTCCAACGCGCCTCTTTCCTTGAGCTTGACTCCTCGTCACTTGTAGAGTGCATGAATCGGATCAAACATGGCAGACAGAAGATGTGACCACACCGTGCCATTCGGGGTGCGACAGGGTCTGAAAGACAGATGGGGCACGACGTGGATTGAGATTCGGTCGACGCGATGATTTGCTGCACATCGTTCCAGTCCAGGTGTTGGTCGGCATCGTTTGCCTGTGCCGAATACTCGCCCGTCGGAGATACGACAAATCTATAGTTGGCGTGCACGAACTTGGCCTTGTCGACAGGGTGGTACCCTGAGCCCGGACCCCATGTAGCCTGTCGACGATATGTTCTGCCATGGCCATGGGAGTTATCGATGTATTGACGCGTCGGGATCGAATAATTCAGTAAATGGGTGATGGAGGTCTGGCCTCGACGGCTTGAAGCGTTTCGGACGGCGCGCTTCATGGAGAATGTCAGTGTGACACGAACGGGGAATTGCATTAGCTTGCTCAGCTCACGATTTCGGCCATGGCATCATCGTCGTCCGCCCGATCGTCCCGCAGAGGTCTCCTCTTCTCTTTGTGCTGTCTCCGTGCGCCTTGTCCCTTCCTCGGTGCCGCGTTCGGGGTAGACGTCGAGAGTCCCGATCGGCGGGCACTCGATTCGAAACTGGGTGACAGGATAGAGATGGGTTGAGACGCGTTAAAGTTGGAATTCGAGCCCGGTAGGGGTTTGCCTCCCAAATTTGACAGTCCCGAGTTCATGTTGACGGGATACCCGACACGTTCAACTGGTGGAACTTGCAAGGCGGGATTCGAGAACGAGCGGCGAGGCGTAGTGGTTGATGTCACCAAGCTTTGTCCCAGCGGAGAACGGTGCTCGTACGACAGGCGTGGAGGACCAAATCAAAGCAATCTTTCAAGCCTTACAGATCCTGCAATTATGAATGGATAAATGGCAAGCCAAAGATAGATGTAAGTAGATTGGAAGGGTTCCAAAAGGATGGAACCCCAAAGAGTTGCAGATAGAAGGAGACGATCAGTCATCCGGCGGCGGGGCAAATTGGAAGGCTCTCTGACGACTGGAGCTCGGTGACTCGGAAGACGGAACTTGCCCACCATTGAACGTTCAACTTTCTATTACGATCAGCTGACTTTGACCGAGACCGTAGAATCCAATACCATTACAACTTTGCCTCGACGTTTGAAGCTGCTATGCAATGTATTGCGGAAGGCGCAATCAGAATCCTCATAGACATTCAAAACCCCCCAACATCTATTGAGAGAATCTACGAGGTAATTCGGCAGACTAAAGGTAACAACATATATCCAATACACAAACATTTTACGCCCTACCGTCTCAACCATTCTCTGGACAGCATTAAAATCGCGGCAACTCTATTGATGTAAGGTTCCTGCAGGGAACCATCAATGCATATAGTCATCTTCCGTTTTCATGTCCCAGAGTCGTTGCATTCGCCAGGTTCTGCCTTAAGTACGGACGAAGTTGGGTGCTGATTGGTGCTAATTAAAAGTCAAGCTCATCTATGGGGCTTGCTCTTTCAGACTAAAGCTATCTATTCATTCTCCTTCTGGGGGAGCTGCAGCTCTCCGTGGTCTATGACAGGTTCCGGCGCTTTCTTGACCTCAGCAAATCCCCTTTCGTCTCGAACTCCGTGGCCAGAGCGGTCATGAACCGTCTCTAAAGCCATCATCGGGTCCAGGGCATTAGATCCAGCTCAGCTGGACCGATTGTCGAAAGATGGCACGAAGGTAGTCGTCCATAGTTGCGTTCCGGCATAGAGTGACATGAAGGGCCAGCGTGTTTATCAGGGGTCCGATTGTGTCTTCAACATAAATAAGACGAGTGCGGGGGGAACTAATCGTAACAATACTGTCAGACTTACAATAAAACTTCTTAGCCAATATAGAAGTTTAAATTCTGTCCCGTCTAATACCACTAGTCAGAACTAGTTCTTAACAACCTTTAGATCCTTATATAGGGCCCTTTAGAAGATACGGGAACGAGAAAATCGTGGTAGTGAGGCACTTTGCTTTATAAAGCGCTATACTTAATCCTTACTGACGCGTCGCGAACCCGCGACACGAGGATGTAGTTGGCTATATATTCCACGCCCTTAAGCTAGAGAGAAAACCCTCTTATATCTAAGTTAAGTATACACTAAATAATAACCCTTTCCTCTGCTTCGGTTAATTGGATGCGATTTGAGCAGAGTCCGCTACGTAATACGCGACTATGTAATATATATGGATTTTAGCTTCTTAGCTTCAAATGGTTTGATTAATAGAGATATTTTTAAACAATGGATTATAGTATTCATCGGAATTAGTAGTATGTAAGAGATATCGTTGTTAATTATGCCGAAGATAATACATTTCAAGTGTTGCATTCACCTGGAGCTTCCTTTTCCAACTGCAACTATTTAAGCGTCTTACAAACTAGTGGATTTGCCACTATCATGTCTAGCAGGATTACGATCAGCTTTGCGGAAAATATCGTCTCGAGTCTATCAGCTTCCGCTTTGAGTTAAGTATTATTTCCTGGGGAGGGTAATATCCTGTTAACGCGCATTCACAAATATAAACTAAATACACAGCTACCCTTCCTTCCCCTTATTAATTTCACTTCTTTAAAGCATCATCCGCCAGGCCTTCGCGTTTTTCTTAATTTCCGGAACATACATCCGAGCCATCTGATTGGGGTTCTCCGTCGATTCATCAGTCCACAAGTCATCCTTGCTAAGCAACTTCGGCTTCTCAAGAGGCAAACGTGTGTAGTTTAGCTGTTTCGACAGCACAAGCAGCTCGTCGATGCGGTTTTGGCGGATTCTCTGCCAGAACGTCGATTCGTCTTTCCACTTCAGTCTTCCGTTCTCTCGAAACGTGGAAGCAGCAAAGCCAGCGATATGGCGTCTTCAAACACTTGTCCATTCGTCGACGGGATCCGACCACGCGGCGGTATTCCTCTGAAGTCCAGTTGTGTAGACGGGTAATCGAGCAGAAGATCCACATGTTTATGTTATGGTGTCCGCGTTCATGTCTTACGTACCGGACTTGACTATATCGGGCCAGATATCCATATTCTGTCTAACCCGCTCCATCAGTCCTTTCTTGTCGGTCAAGAGCTTATCCCATCCATCCATCCATCCCTCCCTGCCATGTTCCTCAATATTGAACAGTGTCCCAGACAGAATGGCCGAACCATCAGGCTTCTGAGGAGCCAGGAGAAATATCATTTTTGAAGTGATGACGCTGACCATAAACTTTTCATCTTTGTCCTCAGGTATTCGAAGTTGTTTGGTCGGCATCTCCCAGATCAGAGCCGCCATACCCATGAATTTCTTCTGGGCATCTGGAGAGACGTAGTTTCTCAACTTGCTATCTGTCTCATCGACAACCTTGGTGAGCTTCTTATTCAAGTGAACGGGAATTTTCCGTTCGAAGCAAGCATCGTAGAGAATGTCGAGGAGCTCCTGGCTGTAGAAGCCGAAAGCTTTGTACCCAAAGATATCTTCGTCGCCGAGGGGATAACAGTCGATTGTCTGTTCGTCTGCATCCTCGTAGTAGACCCATTCGAAAGCGAAACACTTTATCCTGCAGCTTTGCATGGACTCCAAAGCGGTCCAGGATTCTCAGGGTGTTGGGAGACAGCATGAGCGCACCACTGGATGTTTTTGAGGCGGAGTGTGTGCTCCGCCCTTTTTAAGCTGTGCAAGGGATGGATAGGTCATGGAGTGAGAGGGTCATTGTCATGCCCTATGATTTCGTCAGTCACTCTGTGTTTCGAGGGAAAGTTGACAGGACTTACGGCAAGGCCACCTCCAATGATAGCAACATTCTCTGCCTTCACCGCAACCCCTTACTCCGTCCCCACCTCCGTAGTAGTCTCTCTCAACGCCCGGCGCGCCGCCGACTCCCCTTTCGCAGCCCCGTCACCGGACACCCCGTCCCGAATGATGGCTGATTCGGTCGCCAACGCCGTTGGTGCCATGGGGAAGCATGGTGTACGCAAGATTGTCATTATGAGCTCTATGGGCACGGGGTCGAGCTTTGCGGGTTTGAACTGTTTGATGAGGTGGCTGATGGCGAAAAGCAATATGCGGTTGCAGGTGAAGGATCACAATGCCGTGGATGCGGAGACGAGGGAAGCTAACGTGGATTTCGTGCTGGTGAGACCCGTCATGCTGGCCGAAGGTCTGGCGGCCGAGGTGAAGGTGTACCCTGATGATGGGAAGGGGGCTGGGTTCATGCCGAAGATCACTCGGGCGAGCGTGGCCAAATTCATGGTTGAGGCGGTGGAAGGACATGAGTATGTTGGGAGGGCTCCGGTCATTACTAATTGAGGCTCATTGGGGCAAGAAGGGAAGGGCTTGGATTGATGTGGGAACAGGCAAGGAGATCAACGAGGGGTTGTGACACGCGCAAGAAGTCCAGGGTGTTTCTAGATCAATAGGTTGTTTTCCTTTGCCATACTCAGTTATGATATAAAACCCTAAAAATGACACTCTCAAACATTGTAAGTTATGGTGATGTCTAGGTCTGACAGTCAGTTTCACACAGCTCCCAAATGAATCCTATTCGCAAATAATGTATGGTCCTCCAATCACTTGAGTCTTGCATGGAGATATTCTTCCAGACTTTTTGTACCTGTTCGTCATATATTATATCATGGATATCGTGGCGCACGCTTTACCTGCCGGTGAATATCTTCACTTGGATTACGTGTAGACCATACTCATATAAGAGCTGCAAAGTATTTTCCCAGTCTCATCGGGCACAAGGAGAAGCTGAAAATGTCTACCAGTTGAGTAAAGTCGAGTAACTATCTTTGGGTTGGTATTGCCATAATTCCTGCCCTCACCTGATTTGACACCAGGAACGAAGTCGCACAAAACCAAAAGTGACACCTACACATATTACGGTATGATTGCGTCAGTAATCTCAAGATAAGAGAATAAGTTTTGTTAAAGAAACGAAGCGAATACCACTATGTGCACGCAAATATCAAGGACAACCGCATTAGGGCTATTAGCTGTATTAGGTGAACCATCTACATCCACGCACCAGACTGTTGTTCGTTCCTGTCTCTAGTCGCTTCATCTCCAGTTTCCAACAACAACGACAACACATGTTTTCATCTCCCATCTATGCTGATCCGCTCGCTACATGCCGAGTGCCACTACCAGCGTGCATCTAGCCCCACCGACAACGCATAGAGGCTCAAGACCCCATGGTGAAAGCAAACGAATACTCGACAAAAGAAAAGTTGTGAAAGCAAATGAAAACGACGAGACCAAGACGCGCCCCGCATCGTCGCAGTAAAGAGACACAGCGGCGCAGCGGGTCATCAGAACGACCTTCCTCCAAAACTGAGATCGAGGTGACCAAAGTGAACGCGTATCGTCCCATCACCTCGAACCAACTTGTTCGCTCAACACATGACCAACGAAACAACCATGGTGGGTCCAAAAAGCCGAACGATGATAGAGGCAAACAGTTATGCCGCATAGACGACGGGTATTATGTTACAATTAAATGCTTGATGCGACGCGCCAAAAACGAGACGAACCATAGCGGGGAATCATGATGCGCATCCTTATTAAACAGAGAAACCAGAGACGCTTGAGCCGGTGTGCGGGTTTATTTGGCGGCCTTCTTGCCCCTGAACTTGCTGAACAGAGCGCTGAGTCTGTTCTTCTTCTTTTTCTCCGTGGCCGGGCTCGGGTCTGCTGTGCTGGGTCCTGCCGCTGACTTCTCCGGTGTAACGGCTGCCTGGGCTCCGTTGGGCTCGGGCGCGGCCTCGGCCGCAGGCTCCGTCACGATGGCGGGGATAGCGTCAGTTGCGGGTACGGGCTCTGTCGGGATAACGGCAGTTGTGGGCTTGGACTCCTCCGGAGCTGCCTCAGTTGTAGGCTTGGGCTCAGTCTCGGACTTAGACGAAGCACCACCGACCTTAGCCTCTTCGCCGACCGAAGCAACCGGCTTCACCTCCTTCAACAACTCGGTCTCCACAGCCTTCTTCTCCTCAACAGCCTCGGTGTTGGACGCTGCCTCGGGGGCCTTTCCGGCTTCGGCGATTGAGTCCTTCACTTCTACGGGGACCTCAGGTGAGACGGTCTCGATCTTCTCCTCTTTGGCCGTGGTGCCAATGGCACTCTGAACCGACGCGGGAAGCTTCTCCTTGACGGAGTCGGGCAGGTTCGTCGCGGCTTCAGTAGCAGAGACCTGCGCTGTCGTTATGGCCTGGTCAGCCTTCTCGACAGCTATGTCCTTTGCGCCAATGGCCCCGGCGACAGCGGCGCTACCCAGGGCGGCTGCCGCAGCGACAACAGAACCAGCTGCCTCTCCAGGTGTTACGGTGGTCTCCGTCTTTTCGGTGCCCACACCAGAAGTGCCCTCAGCAGTCGTGGGCGCTGGCGTCACCTTCTCCAGCAACTCTTCCTCCACGGCGGCCTTCTCCTTGACTTCCTCGGGAACGCCACTAGCCTCGGCGTCGACGTGCGCCTTCTCTTGGCTCTCTTTCACAACCGCGGGAACCTTGGTCTCAATTGGCGCACCGGCAGCCAGAGCAGCAGTGCTAGACTCTGGGGCGGCAGACGAAAAAGTCAAAGCGGCACCGCCTGTCCACAGTTAGCCAGGGTCAAGTCTGGACCGCTCGCGTGGAAGTAGGACTTACCGGGCAGTTCATCAGCCTTCTCGTAAGACTCGGCATCCAACTTCACATGGCTCGTGGTGTCACCAACAGCAAGGCCTTCGGGGATCTTCTCGCCGGGTGCAAGCTGCACAGGGTTAACGGCTCCCGGAGCGGCAGGCAGTGGGTTGACGCTGAATTCCTGATCCTTAGGCTCAAGGGCAGCGGGTGTCTCAGGGAAGGCTCCCGGGAGATCGTCGTGATTCTCCTCTTTCTTCTCAAGTGGCACCCCAGCAGCCAAGGCGGCGGTGGACGACTCTGGCGCAGCAGAGTTCATGGTTACGGGTGCTTTCTGGATATTTTCGGGGGTGAGGACGTTGTTTTCGTTTCCGCTCTCGTCGGCTTCCTTGGGGGCAGTGTGGTCGGTTACCCAGTTGCCGTCAACAACAAACTGCAAAAAATCAAGTAAGTGTGTGGTTCGGGGAATTAATCGTTCTCGCGAATATTGATGATGGACCAGGAATGCCTACCAGCACGAGGCAGAGTAGTTTGGGAGAGGAAGTAAGACTGAAAGTGGATCGGAACCAGCTGGGGACGATTTGGGGAGTGTGAATGGTTCGCAATGGTTGGATGGTGTTCGGAGAGTCAATAGCAACCAACAAAGTGGAGAGGCACGAAGGAAGCTGGGAGGAAGCTATGGTCTTCCAAGGCCCAATGCATCACGAATTGGCTGCAGGGGCCCTCTCGTGTTCCTGTTATGACCTTGTTGGTGCCGTCCTATTCACCGTGCACTTGCCCATCCTATGACCAACCAGAACTAGACGCCCTCCCCGCCCCCGCCCACCCAAGAAAAAAAGAAAAAAAGAGAGAAAAAGAAAATTGGCTATTCCCATTCCCCGTGATCTCTTGGCCGGCCCTCCACTGCATCCCTGTCGTTACCCGATCACAGTCTAATGACTTCAGTTGCTGGCGCCTTCCATTGACCTATCGGCAGCTTTGCCTCGTAGCTTTTCTCCCACTTGACGGAACATGCGGAAAGTGCAGCCAGTGCAGCCAGTGCAGCCAGTGCAGCCAGTGCAGCCAGCGCAGCCCCAAGTCTTGCGTCATGGTCATTCCATCTTTTGCGAAAGAATCGAGCCATGTGAAAGATCCAGAAACATCACCGCGGCCCATCCTCGCTCAACTGTTTCCAGTTGTCTTCTCTTGCAAGCGTAGTCAACCGCCAACTTAGCAGGACGTCGGACAGGCTGCTGCTCAGATGGTTCACCCAATGGGCGCATACAACCCGTATGAACATAGACGGCGCAGGCTGCTGAGACGGCGCGTCTGACACCTCTTCTGGTTCCGGTGGCTCCGCAAGGCAACAACATTTTATCAGCGCCAACCCAGCATGCGGGCAACTGGCGCGACGGTATCCCGGCAGTGGAATGAAGCAAGGTAGGAGTTATCACAATGGAATGTGGACACGAACCTTGTAATAGATCTTCTGGGAGGCATCGGGCAGCATGACCAACTTCTCGAAGTGCTCTCCAATCTTTTCTAATCTCTCCGTCTTTTTCCATTCGTCAAAGGTGCCGGTGACGTAAACTTCGGAGGCAGAATGCTCCCTACAAGACGTCCAAAGGAGTTAGCAGAGTGTTCACGAAGCTCTTGACGCGGGCCAGCATCCCGCTTGATACGGCTCTTGTCTGCGACGTAACGAGCTTAAGGTGACGCCGTGTCGAGTCCGGCGTAGAACAAGTTCTGCGCTTAAAGATGCGCGCGGCAGTGTCGCGAGATGGACAACGGCGAGACATGAACCTGGGGTAATTGAGACATACCACTTGAAAACGAAGCTTCCCATAATGCCGTACAATGTATTCGGCTGGCGCGTAGTCGTTGGGTCGGTGAAATTCGCGAGTTGGGACAAAGGACGGGCCACTGGATGACTCGATACTGCAATTCAACTTTAGAAATTTTTGACAAGATGACGAAAGCCTCGTCGGCGGTCCAGGATCGATTGCGGCCGATGCGTGCGTAGACGGTGAGCGATGGCTGCAGGTGGTAGAAACTTCTCGGAGCTTAGGTCCTTGTTAGGGTGATGGACGGAGTCTACGGGGGTTAGCTGGAGCTAAAGAAGCACAGGCTGCAGGACTGGCGTCTACTGGTGCTCAGGTAGGTGGCCCCGTTGTGTAATGTAGGCAAAATCGGATCAGCATGCGAGGTCCAACCTAATTGCTGCTGTATCGACAGGGCGAAGGGAGGGTTTCAAATGATATATCTGTGGTCAACTGTTGACCGACTTTCCAGAGGTGTTTGAGTCTGGAAAAAATGAAGGGGTTGGGGAGCATTGGACTCGTCAACCCTCTGGAGAATGGAGAAGGATTTTGACGAATGCTGTGGTGCTGACTACGAAGTACAGCAGGGATGGGGTATCGTGTTCACGGAGCTCGAGCACGCGGAGTAAACTTGCGCGGGGCATCTGCAGCTTTCATCTGACGTCGACGTCGGCTTCGAACCTGGACACAACTGTATCAACCATTGGGTGATATTTCCACTTCATTCGCCATATCCTTTGCAACCACTATGTTGTGCAACTCCTCAATCGTTGGGGCCTCGCTTCTGCCAGTCTCGTCTGCAAATTGCCTGTAAGCATCAGTCATTTCGTCTACCAAGACAAGCCGGTGCAATATCATGCCCATGCTGCAGCGTCAGGGCGGCATTCTCCACAATCTGCGGACTTGCGGCCCTTATCTTAACAGGTGAGTTACCTACCCTCAGACGTCGGAAATCCCCCGCTGGCGCAAACTTTGTAGCCTTCGTCGCGTCGCAACAAGACGTACAGGAGGCTCGACAGTTACTATGGATGCTACCTGATCAGCCCCTTTTTGGACAATGGATGCCCGAGCAAAGCCTCAGAGAGACCCCGAAAGATGTCGCCGAGCGGCACTGCCAGCTATTATTTCAACAGTTTGCACGAAACATGCAGGTGCTACGTAAACTGCTTGTCTGCGTCTCGCGCCAACTTCTCTGCAGCGGCCAGTAGTAGCGCATTTCGTTGGTCGTCGAATTGACTGTCGTGATTCAACAGCGCTACCCTGGAGTAGGATCTGCTGTGACAGAAATACTGCTGCTCTGTGGATCGAAACAAGAATCTCTACATGCGCTCCAGGTTGATATTCCAAAATTTACCAGGTCTAGAAGTGGCTTAAGCCTCTGCAGGTTTATATGGTCCGTTTCGTAATACAGTGAGCAGGGCGTCGCTCAGTCGCGATGCGGTTTGTGAGTTGGTGTAATTGAGTACTGTTAGGAGAAGGTAAGGTATACTTGACCAGTTCAGACATTTTGGGGCACTTCAACCCGATATTTTGGGAGTCGCACTGTATAGCATATGGAAGTGGATCAGCAAAACACACCAGTCGTAAGATATAACGAGATGTTGTTGATCTGAAGCTGTGTTGAGGTTCGTCAACCATATCCGACTCATTCGCACTGAACACTCACCACCGATGTCACTTCTCACACGTATCACCCTGTTCATCACAAGCGACCGTGCATTCACCTAAACTCCAGCCCATCGAGGTACACATCTATATGCTTGTCCTCAACTTCTGTTACCTCAGTCTAAGTTTATGGTTCTTAACTAGTTCGCGCTGCTTTCAGTATGGACCGTGCTGGTTACATTCGAGATCAGCAGAATCCAGGGCATGTGGCAAAACTAGCCATAAAGCGTACGTCTAACTCATTGCTAGTCACTACAGGACCCTGCTACGTATTTTGCTGGAACAATTTCACTGGATTCACAGGTTGCTATCCTGAATGTGTCTCAGAGCAGCTCACACCACGTCTGAGAGATCAGCCACCAAGAAATGCTTTCCAGTTGAGCTCCTGCCTGCTTTCTGTACTTGCGGCATTATGGCAGCCATATCGACTGTTGCTATACCGGAGTTAGAGCTAAAGAGACACAGGGAGCCCAGGTGATCGGCTGAAATTCATGACGCCTATTCTCAGAAAGGCTTCACATATACGCTCTTTTTCAAATCCCCAAAGTAGGAAGTTACCTCGAAGCTATCGGATATCTGGGTGTATTATGAAAATGCCTGGTTCGTTACGCTTCACTTCTGTTACATCATCATAGCTAGTCCAGCTGTACTCGAGTATATGAAATCGGATTTACATATTGATTGCACCTGCAAACTACGTGTATACTCATGACAGCAGGCATCATAAGGGATGCCATTACGACGAGACAGGGCAGATAATTGAAATCCTTTCTAGACCAAGCCATCGCACGAAACAATTCAAAGCCGCTCTTAGATATGGTTACAATTCTTATGCTACCATGTTGGTGCTGTTCAGCCTACATGTGATTCTTTCCAGAGTCCTGCTCTGCCCAAGTCGTGAACCTCTTCGGTAGTATGTTGTCTATGTATAAAAGTAAATACGCCGCGATGTGGTGAGCATCCCACCATAGTTTCGGCTTTCTCAAGCACTGACACTCCTGTGTTTTACTTTAGTAGCTTCTGCTGCGTCAGGCGGTCCATAACAAGTTCGGCCCAAGAATGTGGATCAGTGTATGAAAACAAAGCTGGGTAAACTGAACATCTTGCGGATTCACCACGAAAAGTAATCTCAATGGAACCGCCCAATCCATACAGCTAATCGAGAAGTTGCATACGACAAGAGATCTACAATAACAGCTTACCATTATGAATGATCAGGTAAATGGCATAGGAGATCGACGGCAAACTTGACGTGTTACTACACGGGGCAAATTCTTACGAAGTTAAGTCACAGAGCTATTACACAGGCAACGAGGACCAACAATGTGAGATGCTGCTCATAACGAGACAGCTGCAGTCAAATTCAGAGTGCCCTTGATGGCTCATGTTTGTACAGGCTGAGGGGTTTTCAAGCTATAGATACAGGAGAACATGACTGCTTCGTGCAGCCCTTGCGCACTTGTTCCATGAGCCATAGAGCTTCGTCCATGGGAGCCGAAGGAGATCATTTCCTACAACCTTCCAACTCACTTCGCTAAATAAGCAACCCCTGGTTTCTAGTTTCTACAAACCTCGCCAATCGTGTCTCCATTTGACTGAGGGAGGACCCTTCACATGCGTCCCGGAACTCGTCACTATGGAGACGTTTTAAAATAAAAAAAATGTCGCATACCTCGCTATGTGTCATCGAGACAAAACGCGTCGTGAAAAAATGCATAATAAAAATCGTATAGGTAAGAGTCGTCCAAGAAGCCATATCATCCAACAAGGTGTGTGTGTGTGTGTGTGGGTATGTGTAGAATGAGATGTGATCCCGACTATACTTCGTTCGTTCGCCGAGTTGAGTGTGGACCTTTCAGTGAACCTCACATCGGGGTAGAATAGGCCGCAGCGATGACAACCAGAGTGGTCTTTTCCATCATACTCAAATAAATATGAGTCCTGGCCTGTCAAACATGCAACATTGAATGTGGCATCCCTAATGTCCCACTTCAGTTCACCCGCCGACCCCGTCGTTGGTTCGCGTTATCCTTGACAGGGCTCACAAAGGTGACATGTTTGCTGTCCTCCTTGTGCAACCGCACAGTTGTGCCAGTCCCCGCACCACTTGAGGCCCGATGATGTCCCATAGACCTTCCTCCGACGTGATCGTCATCGAAACCGATTTCAGCGACATCGGAGACCGACTCGGCGTCAAGGTCATCGTTCACTTCCGCCTCATCAGATGAGCCGTCGACTGAATCATCGTACTCGCCATCGTCACTAACAAGTGATGGCGCATTGTTACTGACGGTGTTAGGGCTCATGTCCATGTCCATATCGTCGATGCCGATTTCTGGCTCATGCTCGGACATAGTTCGCGGAGCAGGAGTAGGCAAAGGAGTGGCGTAAGGCACAGTCGAAATGCGACCTTTGCTACTCGATGGACGGGGAACAGAAGGAACAGGCACCGGTGAAATTGCTGTGCGAGCGGGCACGCGCATTCCAGGCACTAGTGACGGCGCTTGCTGGCTGATAACACCATTGGGTGACACAGGGCTAGCATCCGTCTCTTCGTCTTCATCCTCAGGAGAAGAGATAAGGGCAAAATCCACTTTGGTCTTAGCATCGCGAACCAGTTCACCCAGATTCATATTTACTCCACGCTCCTGAAGGAGACGGGACAGATGAGGCGAGTCAGATGACGCCGAAAATTTGGACGGCGGCGACAGTGTTTTGCCTGCTGAACTGTTTGGCACACCTGGTATCGATGTGACTCCAGGCAGTTGCCCGTTTCGATAAAGTTCCATTAAACTTTCGATGCGAGCAACGACTGACGAGCATGCTTCAGACATCGCATCCTCCCGTGCAAAAGGATGCACGAGTCCATTCGCAAGGCCCATCGGGTGTGCGCCGCTGCTGTTGCTGTTGCTGACCGTGGCGACTGTGGCGACTGTGGCGACCGGCTTCTCCGGCTTCTCCGGGACAACACCAGGCCCTTCACTAACCTCGATAGGATGACCGCAAGCAACAGCTGCTTCCTCATGGCTCTTGAAATCCCGTTTGTGCGCTATTCGACAGTGATTGATGAATCCCTGAGTGCTCGAAAAGTTCTCCCTATTACAGTCTAAGCAGACAAGCTTGACAGTCTTGCCATCACTACCGCGCTTCAGGACGCAAGGCCCGGCTTTGTCCTTTGGTTGTGGGTAACCACTTGATAGGGATTGCAGCTTGTGACCGACATTCCCGCGAGCGGCCCGACCCTTGCCATGAAGACCGCCTACCTCTGCGACACCATGTCTCGTCGTTCTGCCTTCCATCGAACTCCTGAACCGACTTGACTCAGCTTGCGTGGGCACCTCGGGCTGAATACCGTCGAATTTGGGATCTGGAATGAGCCACTTGGCGTAATGTCGCGCGTATGGCCCTTCAGTGATGCCAAATGGCGGAGCCCACTGAGGCAATGTATCGCCCGACTTCTCATGCACCGCAGGCCCTGACCCATTGCTGATGTTCAGCATCTGATTGGGTGTAGGAACGTTCACGGGATACGGGATCAGGTGACATCGACGTAACTGCTCGAGAGCAATCTGGCATTTTGCGATTTCCTGGTTAATCAAACGTAGTTCGTCGTGCTTGAGTAAGATGGCGTGATTGAATTCAAGTTGAATCACCTCTCTCGCGCGTTCAAGGTCGACCATTTTTGATGCTGGTTGCGGCGCATACCCATCCTCCACTTTCGCCACGGCTATCTTCTTCCTAGGAAAAGTCGCGTCATCTTCCCTCGGCCGCTTCACCGCGGGAGAGGTAGCAGCGTTGTGCGACGCTATCGCTGCGTTGCTTTGCCTCCGACGCTTTGGCGATCGCGCTGAGTTGGTCACTGAAGTTGCTGACACTAAAGGTTGTCCTGCTTTGCCAAAGTCAAACATGGACTGGTGGATCTGCTCAGTCTTATCGCTTCCCCTAGAGTCTGAACCCCAAAAGCGGAACATGAGCATACCCGACAGGAAAGGATTCTGGCACGGTTAGGTTGAAGAAACGGCAGACGACGTGATTGAATATGGTGGTGTAGATGGTAAAGTTAACGATCTACCAAGGCTGACACAGAGGAGGAGGGACGATGTGCGACAGGAGAGGTGGGAAGGCAAGGCTGACGTAACCAGCAGCAAGCTGCAGGTGGAAAGGGTAAGATCGGGGGGATCGGCCCAGTCGGTGATGCAGCCTACGCGCTAGCGACCTCAAGTCCTTGGGGCCAAGGTCAAAAGATCCAAGGATGGCGCCGTGGCGGACTTGCTTTGGAGCCTAGAGCCGACGATGATGTGGCTACCGTCAAACCCAACGAAACTCAGACTGAGTCAGGGTGCGAAGAGGGAGAGCGGGCGGCAGCCAGAAGAAATGCGAATGCGCAACCACACAGGGGCGAGTTGGGGGGGACAGTAATGCACACGACGGCAGCAGAGGCCGGGTTGTCTCCGTGGGTGCGATGCGCCCGCAAAGGCAGGGGCAAACCTGCGGTTGTGGGTGAGAGACGCGACCGGCGACTATGAGCTCAAGGGTGATTAAAAAGGAGAGTAGATGGAGTATTAGAAGGCGCGTATTGTGTTGAAGATCCGACTGATGTCAAAGTGAAGGCGCGACACGAAGACGAAGTCGCCCAAAAGGAATGCGCGAAAATGAATTAAAGGCTCTTTTTGTCGAGAAAAACCAGCAAGGCGGGTTTGCAGTGGTGGTTGTGTCCGCGTCGTGCGTGAGATTTTGGTGAGATGCAAAGGTTGCGAAAGGGAGAAATGGTGGCCGGGCGGCCTTTGATTGCTTGATTGTTTTGTTCAACCAGCCGATGACTGGGGTGGGCGGCGGCGATGGGATGGTGTGAGTGGTGGTGAGATGCTGGTGACAGTGAATAGCGAGCTACGAGACCCCAAGCCTGCAAGGGGGTGGGTGAATGCCTATGTGGCTGCTCGGATCAATTGATCGCTGGCGCTCTCACAGTTCTGAGAGTGATGAGCAGTTTTAGGCGGGCCCAAAAAGGAGTGGGACAAGCGAGATTCGTCTGGGTCGGACCCGTCTGGTTGCTGTCACCTATTAAAAATGGGGCGATATGTTCTATGTACTTCTGTACTTCGTAATGCACAATGCGCTCGCAGCCGGGGTACCAGGAAACCAGCCGTCGACGTTATAGGATAAGTACTTGAAGAAACCACAAAACACAACCAAAGTAGCTATGCCCTGTAAGGACTGCCATGGAACCTGAAAGAAAAGTGCGACAAATACGCAGTTTGCCGCTCAGAAATCATCACAATAGTTGCAAATAGTAGGTTGTTAAGACAATGATACCTACCCTATTTAGGAAAAATGGGAGGGACGACATAGAATGTGACAAGCGCAAAGAGGGCCCGTGAGATGCCCAGTGAGTTTGCTGAATGGTTGGTTGATTGGAGATGCGCGGATGATTTGGGCCGGGTCCAGCTAACCTTGATGGGCTTGGCCATTGGCAGGTTTAATGGCGAGCTGCCAAGTATCTTGATGAGGGTCAAGAGGGTGTGGTAGTGAATCAAGATGGATTATGCTGGACTACGGCGCATAGGCATACAGCAACTAGGCTGTCGTGCTATTGTCGATCGCCGACATGTGTATCAGGAAGTTGCAGAAGGCGTTGGTGTGTGTGTGGGTACATTCATGTTTGGGTATTTGGAAATTGGAGGTTCGACCTGCCTGCCTCCCTGGCTTTGGGTAACACCTACTTCTCGCTGCTATCACTGATGCTTTTTGAGACCACCAAGCCACATGCAAAATGCCTATCGTACAACCTTGACGGAAGTTTTCCATTCTAATCGAGTCGACATTCAATATGGACAGCATGCCAACCATGCAAGGATGATTTGGTGATGGGGTGAGTGTGGGTACTTTGAAATATATGATACGACACGGTCAAGACACGAGGATAACAACAGACGCTGTTTCAAAGGGGCAACAAGTGTTAGCGCGATACCGGTAATACGAGCTAATATAAACCAGCGCAAGACGACATCAGACATGCGCGATTCTCGCCCGGCGCCTGTAGTAGCTATGCAGACCTACTTGCCTCGTCAGCTTGTCAAGCCTATTAACACGTCTAGTACCTGTGATCTGCCTTTCTGCCTCGAGCAACAGCGTCCACAGTTGTGGAGAACAGATGGTGAGGTCTTTGCGACAGGTCACATAGATGCCATTGTTTCACCGCCCAGCACGACGGGCAGGACGGAACTTGAGGTGAAGTTTGGCCAACCCCCGTCAGGGTTGAGCGGGTCTTATCAGCATCACAAACACACATTAAGCCTGCAACAGGTAGCTTATCCTTGGCCACTATCACAAGTAGAAACAAAACAAAAGGCCCTTCCGTCGGGGGCTGCCTCATCGCCATGCATGAATAAGGCATGGGTGGGTTATCGTGAACAGGCAAACTGGGGTTTACCGCAGTTCTCGACCTAAGCTCTTGGTAGAGCCCAATAGAAGGTGTCTAAGCTTCAGCCAATGATGACTCAAAGTCTTCCCTTTTTGCATCAGCTTCGCGAGGCAGTTGCAAGCTTACCAAGTAGACTCCATCAAGGGCATAATAATATGGAGAGCTTGCACTGTTAGACAGGCTACGATAGGACGATAGACTGCCGGCAGTTGGGTAAACGAGTCGTGCGGGCTTTGAAGTTATTAATGCGACTTTGGCCTTTTTGAGATGTGAAAGTAACCATTGCCGACTCAATAGCAGGCCACTGACGCGCCTTGAGGTTATTGTAATCCACAGACTAGGGACCCTTTGTTCGTCATTGATCTCCCGTATGAGCTTGATGAACTATGAAGTTACTTTGTGGAGGCGGCACAAGGCAAGTATGTGGAAACATAATGCCCTGTCGAGCTCTGATCTGTGAATACCACCCCAAACGCATAGAAGGATGATGGAATCAAGCGCATAGACGATGCTTCAGCTGGTGTCAAACAGCTCTACCAAGTTCGTTATCGATAAGGGACGGTGAGATGCATCCGTCCATCCCTCCAATGAAATTTGTGCCGAATTCAGGTAGTCTTTCACCTGCGTCCATTCACAGTTCCGGATCAGCGCTGCCGGAAAGCAACGCGAACATGACACGGCAGGTCCTCCGTGGCGATTCCATTGCGAAGGGCAAGCAGCCACTGCCTGCGCAGAAGGCCGGTCTTGACGAAAACGGCTATGACTCGAACAAGCGCAAGCTGTCGCAATTCGCAGCAGCAGCACCCGAGTCGCCGAAAAAGAAAGCCCGCACGGCAGCCGAGAGCTTAAGCATCAGCGCCATCGAGGATGCGAAAACCCTCGAGGCCGTGGAAGCAAAGTACGACGTCCAGGTACACTCGGTCATATCGTCCTCCAAGATGCAGAAGAAGGTCGCATCTGTCTTGCGACATCTCGATGCCTCAAGCACAGTTACTCCTGCGGCGAAGCCACGGGTATCGATCCTGCGTGCTAAAGCATCTGATGCGGGAAAGCTCATCTCGATAACCGAAATCGCGAAACGCGAGATCCTGAAGGGAAAGGAGGCAGGTAGCCGGTGGTATCAGTACATCGCGCTAGGAGAAGAGATCAAAGATACGGAAGCGGACCACGACCCAACGGTTATCGAAGATACCATTCTCCGGGGGGCAGATGGAGACGGAGAGGATGATTTCGAAGTCATGAAGACACCGTTTGAGAGAGCCATCGAGGGTCGCCCAAAGATCCGAAAAGTGGCTGTTATGAGTCTGTTTCTCTCCCGGGTTTCTGTCGACGAATTGAAGAAACGCTATACCGAGCAGACGAATCATAGGCCGGTGCTCGAAGGTACCTGAACATAAGAAAATGTCGAAATCACACGACCTGGAAAAACTTCAGTGCTCCAGCGCGGGAAACCATCCTGTCGCATTGCCTATCCGCCAACATGGGGCTTCATTGTGAGACGATCAATATTCAGTATGCACTGCATGCAAAAGCTCGATCTAAACTCAGCTCCTATGTTATCATTGCGCAGGGTTGGTTTGTTGTCCTATGGCATGGCATAGTGTTCCAGCCACAATTACCCAAGTAGGCACGACAACCATCATTCGAGACTACAATAAGGGAGCAGGATACCAAAATTCACCCATTAGACCACAAGGCTCTCTGTGTCTGCTTTAGAGCAAAGCTGACTTTGTCTCGCTACCTGGGCAGCGAAGACGAAAACTGCTATTGCAATGGCAAAGGCCACCATTAAACTTATACAATTACATGTCTACGACTGAGTGCTATGGTAGATGCGATACAAGTATGCACACTATCCGAACATAACGTGCCCAATCGAGTAGCATCCCCCTCGTCAACGTCCCCTAAGGGAGTTTGTACAATGCCATCAATTCCTGCACTGATACCTCACCACCCGTAACCAGGCGTTGTAGTTGGAGTCTTCTTTGGGTTAACTAAAAAGGGCACCAAATATGGAAAGTTAGGATATGGACTCGTTGGGCTCGACGGGATATTCGTTGTTTGCTGAGTTCGGTGACAATCTTCCCTTCTGCGATGACTCTGCTCCTCCAAGTGGTTACGACCTCCCGGAGGACCACACAACCGCAACGAAGAGGAGCCGCCAACATTGTCACGCCCGAGATCGTGATCCTGACGTCATGCGCCTCCCATTTCTTTCCATGGCGGATCCCAGTATATAATCAAGCACGCATCATCGAGGGAGCTCCAAAGAAACACGTGCCATCTTTACACCTCTGGCGCTCCTCTGTCCATGCTGTATAGTTCACTCCTAATGCTTCTTGCCAGCTTCACCGCCCGAGTAGATTATCCGCAGCACAAAGTTGACCACGACAGCCCCGAAAAGGACGATGGCCAGGACAGTCGGCCCGTAGCGGTCATCAAATCCAGACTGGCCTCTCTGCCGTATAGAGTGCGCTCGCCAGTGATATGTTACTAATGCATATAACATCGTGAACATGGCGACAGCAGTGAACAGGAAGGCAGAGATGAAGGCGGGTCGGTCTCCGAAGTTCAGCATGCCAATGGCGAGGGCACCAAGGATAACGGTAAAGTTGAGCCATGATAGGAACGTTCGCTCGTTGGCAAAGAACACCTTCGGTTCGACTCGGGTCGGCAGTGCAATACGCTTGCCTAAGAGAGGAATTGGGTCAGCGAGTTGTGGTCGTCAAAGGAAAGGTGTCCCTGTTTACCTGGCGCTGTCTGGAGAAGAGGCTGGCTGGACATGATGGACTGCTGGTTAAGGGCAAGTGATGTTTGTCCGTCCACAAAACCAAAAAAACCAGAGTTCCACAACAGCGGGAAAGGACTTGACTCGGTGATGCGTGGGCGGATGTTGTTGATATCGAAGCTTGTGTTAGTATACGAGAGGTACGAGTCTAAATAGCAAGACCAATTAAGGTTGTCTCAGCGATTTGAATACTCAGCTTTGTTTAACCAAAAGAGTTGGATAGTCGAAGAAGAATCCCGATTACTAAAAAAGGCGCAAGAAGCAGAAGTCTAAAATACAAAAGAATGACGATAGCTAGAAAAAGCTTGGGAAGCTCCAGCAGCTTGTGGGTAGCTCCATGTCTCAAAAGGAACGAAAGCACTGACGAACTACGTAACCTGCATCCCCACATTGCCGTTGCTGAGGACCCCGAGGCTGCTCGGCAGCAACAACAACCGCACGTGGACCAATTCACTCCTGTGATTGGCTCTTGCCTGCCTTTCCTCGCCTGCTTCTCCAAAAGTCGAGGACGACTTGTGAAAACAGTTCAGTCAATTGCTCACGTGCTCAGTTGCCCCGCGTCAATTTGTTTGGAGGTGTTCGAGACAATTTTCATCGACCGTTCGCGTTGGCAGCTTGTGGAAGTATCTTTGTGGGTAATCGCGTCCCAAACAACTGGCCAGACCCAAAGAAACTCATTGTCAACTACATCATCTCGAGATAAGGCAGCAAGAAGGCTGAAATCGCAAGGCTACGACGAAAACACCGACCGACCGCCCTGTGCAACTTTACCAGATCAAAGATACGCCCCTTGACCTGCATAATCGACGTCAACGAAAACCAACGAAAACACGGACAGAGAACTACTCTCTATCCCAGCGTCACCATCGATAACAAATCTCGCGACAAAGACACAATGGCGCCCAACGGTGTATGCCTCACCTCGTTTCCCAGAACCGCATCGAACCTCTCCCATTCGCTAACAGCAGTGACAGCCTGAGCCTGTTAGCTCGACCAGGCTGCGGCAAATTGCGTCCGACGCCTGCCAAAGCGCAATCGGCAGCGCAGACTTCTACGAGCACTCTAAAGTGGACGGCTGGAACTCTACCATCATCAGCTCAATCCTGCGGTCTCTCATCTCCGAGTCGACCCCGTCGAGCTCCGCGGCGCCCGCCCACAAGTTCGTCGTCAACAGCACCATAGTCCAACACCTCGTCCCAACATCGGCCCTGAACCGGGCCAAGGGGGGCAGCGAGACCAAGGACGAGGAACCGCACATCAGCACGAGCGACGGCCCGACAGCCACGGATGGCAAGCCCCATGTCGGCCGACGCGGCATGCACTCGGCAACCCAGGCCTTCTGGAACGAGAAGACGGACGGCATGTGGAGCTTCAAGTACGATGGCGGAGAGGGCAAGGGCATGGACGTCGTTATCAGTGTCATTTGGATCGCCGTATAAAGTGGCTGCTATCCAGCAGAGATGATTTTGCTGTTGGATATTACAGGCACATTGAACCTCTTCCGATAATGACCGGCATTAGTCCGCAAGCTATGCCGTTTCTTCGATACCCAGCTTTTGGACGTGCAGGATGCCATCAGGATGAGAGGCCAGCGCCACGCTTGAAGATTGCGGAGGATGTGTCCATCTGAATTTAAGGAAACTGCCCTGTCGGCGAGACGGGCAAAATAACATGGCACTTAGTGCTGTTGTATCATGTATGCTAACTTGTACGAAACACTGAGAAACGAGAAAATATAATGTCCGCCATTCTAAGCCGGTAGATGCCGAGTGATCACGTCAACATGATGGTGCGATTACGTACATAGACTAGAATGAGTAATGTAAGCATATAATTCACGAAGAGGCCGTAAAGTTGCTGACAATAGGAAATTTCTAATGGCCAGATATATGTTTTGGCATGCATTGTCAGCGATGGTTTAGTACGGACCACGCAGAGCGTGGCATGGCTTGGCTTTGAAGACAGACAGAACGCTATGAATACCACTTGGGTATTCGCGGGGCCCCGCTTGAACAGCCTTATGTCACAGCTGCAATGCGGAGGAACGGGATGGGTGGAGTGTTCGGATATCATAAGATCTGAATAACATGTGCCTTTCCCCGGTTTCTGATTTCGGCCAGTCTATGCCTTACGACTTGCAGTCTGGGGTACAGTACAAAACTAGTTCAACTATAGATATATAAGCAATGCTTGCAAAATCCAGGTTATGTGTACGGCGCACGGCGAAGTTCACGATAGCTACGTCCAAATGGTGATCATCAGGCCATGCTCAAGTCTGGTCCCCATCGCTCGGTGCAAGTTAAACCGAGGTGAAACGACATCCAAGATCCGGGGTCTTGCAAGACACGATTCTTGCTTGTCTGGAAAGCGATACATCATCAGATGAGCAAAGAGGCGGTGTGTATAGTTCAGTTACGAGTCGTGGGGGAAGCGTTCCCGAGTTGGGGGTGCCATTCTCGACTCTGGACTCTGGGGAACATCCAAGGTAACAGAATACTCGAACGGCTGAGGTTTTAGGAAGCGTTCTGGAAGTCTTCGATTCTCCGAGCCACCGCCGAGGTGTGTATGTCTGCAGCGGGCGCTTCCGACCAGAACTTTTCAATTGGACAGACTCTTCGAAAAAAAAGAAAAAATGGTAGACGTTTGGGACCGGAATGACGACCAGATTCTTGGCAAATTTCAACCGCATGTGCAAATTCGGGAACCGTGTCCGTCAGCAACAAGAACCAAGCGAGGAGCAGGCCAACAGAAAACCAACGAACATGCCAGACGAGCCTGGACCCGTGGTTGGACCCTGAAAAACTGTTAGTAGCACGAGTTGATCATTTCCATGTTGGCAACAATGCAACGATGCAGAAAGAAGCGTGGCAGCCGCTGCAAAAACTTCTGTGAGACAGTTCTACCACACAGAGACGGCGACAAGCGATGGATTCGGTAACAGGACCCTGTGACACGGGAAACACACATGACTCCGCCTGGTCAAATTCGCCACTATGCTGTCCGATTCCATATCCCCCCACGACGTTCTCCATCGTCAAAGTTCGGTTTCGATGGCTCAGTTGAGCTTCTCCATATATGTGGATAGAGAGTGTGGACTTGGATCTGCCATGACGGAGAGAGATCGTGAAAATGGGGGATCGGGGGGGGCCGCCAAAGCCGCCGGTCTCGCTTCTCGCCTTGTCATGAAAGAGACAGGCCGATAACGCCGTATTTTGCATGGCACGGGATCGTGAGGATAATTGGAAGGTTGGAGACCCGCTCTAGTATTTCACTTGGAAAAGTTGGAGATTTCCCCGGCTGGAGCTGGCTTCACAGTGTGCCATAACTTGGCCTGGTATCATTTGAATTCAGTCCTATCAATGGTAGCTTTGAGCTGAGCCCTTGAGTCTGTTAGCCATACACGCTGCTTTGGAGATATCGCATTCAGCTCATCACAAACTCGAGTCGAAGGGACCGGTGGTGGTTCGGAAGAGATTAGGCTACGGCCCGTCAAACCTTGACATGGCTGCAAGTGGTGCGCTTACTCGTCGTCCATGCAGTTGGTGCTGACGGATGCGACTCGTCCCCGTGTGCTGTTTCCGGATGGACGGATGAATGTAAGGCCTTGAATACCTGTCACCCAAGCTTCCCAAATGGGGCCATATGATATGTTTCTTGGAGAGGAATCGGATCACGGGAACAGGGTCACGTCACATTCAGTATACGCTTCGCTCGTCTGGTCCCTTCTGGTGAGTAGTGAGTTATCCCGTATTGGAAACCCCACGACATTAGTTGCACGAGTCTAGTTCGAAAACAGTCTTTTGTCTAAACAATGCACACTGTCCGCTATCGCCCAAAATGAAAGCGGGTCGTCGGTCTCGCCTTGAGGAAAATACTGGGTCTTCTCAGTAACGCGTCCTATCGTGAATGCCAAGTGCCCACCTGGGCATGTCGACCTGGTTGGTGTCTTCTAGAACTGGGGCCGGCCGCCGCCGTTACGAGAATGACGAAGGGCGAGCCCGTTTCGTCGCCTGGCCCTATCGTGAGATTGTTCGACATCCTGCTTTAACACAATCCGAATGTGATACTTCACAGCTTTTCTGTTCGCGGGGTAGATGTCGTATTTGGACCCATCCGGTCATACCACCATCGCCAGATTGCATCGTCGCCTATCTCCATGCTTTGCCCCTGACCTGTCCGCGGAGCCTTTTCTATAAAACTGGCAGGAGTGGACCTCATACTTGGGGTCCCCACCGCTCCAAGCTGAGATTTACCTCTCTTACTGCAGACCCTTGACAGCTTCTGTGCTGATATTAAAACCGTGTCTCCCCCTCGTATTGCCACGAAGTCACTCTTCACTTGTTCTAGAGCCTCAAGCATTCACACCCACTCTTCCGGTAGAGCTCACTACGCCTGGACTCGGCTGTTCCTGGCTACGTCCGGCACTACTTGCCTACCACCACGACTAGTATCTAAGCCACTTGACCCATCACGAGCAGCTAGCCCTAAGTTGCGGGTGCGTGTCGAGTCAAGCTGGCTGGATAGCGTCAAAACGTTCTCATTGCTATATAATACAGACACAGCTCGCTTCTTCCCGCGATTCGCAAAGCAGACGATCAACAGCTGTGTTCCCACACCAAGCCATACCGATATCCCAAAGGAGGAAACAACCAGATTCAGATACCTTACAAGCCGCCACTATGGTCGAGGTACTGCGCTCCCCGTCATTGGGACAGAGTTTGTCGGGGCCCGTGGATATGATGGAAATGGCGACTCAATATTCCAACATGAAGTTAGCCTCAATCCACGAGACAGAGGAAACAGGCCCGGAAACTCGTTCCAAGAACGAGCAGGGCCACATGATAAAGGGCGCCTTCCCTAAGCGCCAACCCCGACGTGCCTTCTCATCCAATGACTACCGCCTGCCCAGTGCTCCTGCCACGCCGGGTGCACACAGTCACTACATTGCCCCGGCGGCCATGTCGAGCTTGTCTGAAATCACCGAATCCTACTTCTACCAACTACCTAGAATCCTCGCACATACACCATCACCACCTAGAGAATCTCACACGCCAGCCGAAGTGTCTGTGTCAGTGCTTCCAGGCCACCGGCCGCCCATGTGGCGGTCGCCTCAGCGGTCATACTCGGTCATGCCCGACGAGCCCATCCCCTTCACTCAGATCCCTGGCGAGAAGCTCCAGCTCGCCTTCCTCCCTCCCGAGATCCACTACGCCATCTTCGACTTCCTCGACCCCATCGACAGCACCTGTCTCGGTCTGACCAGCAAGCACTTCTACGCCATTCACCGACGCATGCACGGCACCGTACCCCTGGCGGCGCGCCGCAGCGGTCCCAACGACATGGAATGGGCGTGGAGGCTCGAAAAGCCGCTGATCCAGGCCGGTGCAACCGAGGAGAATGCCCTCGCCATGTTGGCTCCCCAGGGCCAGGTCTACTGCCGAAAGTGCGGCATCACCCGCTGCGAGCTGCACAAGCATATCCAGGAGTGGATAGGAAATGACTACGAGTACTGCGCGGTTCGGGAAAAGTTTGGCCCCAAGGCGCCCGGCGGCACGAAGAAAGAGTGTTACCGGAGCTCACCCCGGCACCCGCACCGGTGCGGCCGACACACGAGGCAGCAGCGAGTCGTCAGGCTGGTATAGGATATCATCGGGAAGGCGAATGGTGGAAGACGACCTTCGATGCTCCGTGAGTAACTCATTGGAAGTTGAAAATTGCGGCTCAAGGACGTTCTGGTGTAGCCAAAGCAAGGGCCTGCTTCCTATTGGATGGCCCGGCTTTGGTCAGACCTTCGTCATTCTGCGCGGGCTGAAGTTTGTGTCGTGCAGCATTTTTTGCATGCGGGGTTTTGGTTACCTTGCCAACTGGGGGTGAGGATCGGATTGTTCGTGAGCGACAAAGAACGCTACTCTGGTGCCGCTGGCGTTTGGAGCATTTCATGCTAGAATAAGCATGTATCACTACAGGAGTTTGTGCTTTGGGTTGGTCCTTCGTAAGCTTACTGCATCTTTGGAAACATAAGACTTGGTTTAATGAATGACGACGGTTGGGAAAGCGCTGCTTCGAAGAATGGCAAGACTATGTAGATTCTAGAGAGATACCTTGAATAGCTTCAATTCATCATTCTTTACTCCATACCATTTGTAACTATTTGCCTGGTACCTCTCGTCTGGGGTCATTATTGTCAGCTAGGTTAGAGTCTTCATGTTGGAATCTATCGACGGGCGCAGGGTCTCCAGCCAAAAAATGTGTACTAGCGGAGGCCCTTGCAACTGTGTGGAATAGCCCTTGACTTGGTATTTGGCACTGTACAGCCAGACCCCTTAACCCAGACTCCACCGTACAGGTTGTTTTGTCTGTGGTTCTGTAGGGAACTTCCTTACTTCTAGAGCGCAATTTCCAGAGACAAAACTGGCCGGTACAATAGAGCGCGATAACGCTGAAGCGTTTCCTATATATGTTTGCGGCCGTACACTGAAGGAGATTAAGGAGAAAACAGGTTATAGCTAGCTTTAGATAAAAAGTGTTCGATAAAGTCGACAGTAGATGTGGCGAGACGAATGCCTCAAAGCGAAGCTGGTCGCTAACCCAAGCCGGAGAGCCTGCAAATAATGTCGAGGTGGTGAAGGGCAGAGACCAGCCCAAGCCTCTGGGTATTGGCCCTGCCTCTGGTTATAAATGCAGCTCCCCGGTATACATACCGGATGCCAAACTAAGCCTCCCAAGGAAGCTGCTCCCAACGCCAGATGAAGCAGCTTGGCGGATGACAGACCCGAGGCCCCTCAAGGCATGTCTTGCGCTAGCATTCCGCTGCACGCTTCGCGCCCCTTTGTACAAGCTGCCGGCAACCATGACTTGCCTATTCCGGGCGGATTTGGTCGTCTCTAACGTACCGGTTCATCGAGGCAAAGCCTTGTTCAGGGAGGACTATGATATCCCGGCTGGCGAATGGGAGGCTGATGATATCATTGGACAAGAGGATACTAATGGTATAACCTACTACATGGTCGCCTAGAAGCTAACACTCGAGCCTGAAGACAGCCTAGGACATTTGAAACAGTTGATTACGCAGTGAAAGAGACGAGTTCAGACACAGCGTAAGAATGGTCGGAACAATTCCGAGATCAAGACGCAAGGAGCTGCTGCTAAGGGTCAAGTCTAGGTCGGTAAGCTGGATCATGCGTAATGAAAAGAGGTCGAAATAGGCCGCAAAAGCGCCATAAATAAATACTCTCCTCCTATTGCATTCGAAACTTATCTTTCTCCGTCCTTACCAGAATCAATTAATCTTATGCCTTGATGATTCCATCGGCCGTCTCTACCTTCTTTGGGTATGCTCGCGGCACCAAAGCTACAAGAGTTGTTCAACACTTATTGGTCACTCTGGTCGTGAGTATATGTGGGACAGACAGTATGCTCCAGGCTCATCCCCAAAACCGGAGCTTAATGGGTGCCTCGCACAGTAAGTTTCAGTCCTCGTGCCCAATCCTGCAAGTCTTGCCAAACTTATGACTGATTGGGCGACAACTGAATCTAGTTGCGAGGATAGATCCTTTGTCTTGAACCCCATCTCCCAGTCGATATTTGAGCTCTCTCAGGAGCCCAAACACGAGTTTCAACCAATTGTCGCCTTCGAACACATATCGACTACAATGAACAGGAACGTGTTCTTATCTACGAATACTTCAAGGGCAACATACTTTCCTTGGTGAAGAATGAACCCGGACCTGCGGGCTGAGGTAAGAAAATTCATTCTGCGAGAAGTTGGACTGGTGCTGAAGGACCTTCACGCCAAGCACTGGATACACCTAGGTACGTTGCAGTGAAGCCGAAGGCATTGCTATCCATAAGCTTATTGACCAAATCTATACAGATCTAAAGCCTGACAATATCAGGCTTGGTTGGATGATAGACGAGAAGGGCCAATTCAGAATTGAGCAAGTGGTCTTGGGCGACCTGGACTGCGCTTTGAAACTCAAGGGCGAAGGCTCCTCGATCGCATCATGGGAAATGTCATGTGGCGTAGGTCGGAAGGGCAAATAGGGAAGAAAATCGGCAAGCCATCGGAGGTGTTTTCTTTTGGACTTGTGGTAGGTGAGCTTTGTTCTGGCAGGAAGGCCCTTTCTAAGCTTTGCTTCTACTGTCTCTACACAATTACGAGTGTATAAACACTGCATCCAGACCTCGATCAACTCAGGAAAGAAGGAGCCGAGCCTGAGCAGGTGATTTTGTACAAATTGCTCTCATCCTTCGGGCCACTTTCAGATGAGCTCGTAAAGCATGTCAATGACGAGTATGGGGGCGAAGTCTTAATGACATTATCGCAGGTAATAGCGGATGAAGGCTCAAGCGAGCACTTCGACCAGTGGGACGAGACAGTATATCCAAACTCGACCCAGGGAAGAGAGCAAAATGGATGAAATTTTGCAGAATCCTTGGTGGAATGAGGTGAGGGTCACGAGGAATATTAATGGGTCGCAAATATCAACTTAGATACTACGGCTTATGTATGACGTTGTTGCCTTGGGTGTCAGATGTGCGCCCGTCTTTGGCGCCGGACAATGTGTTGCATCAAGACCGGGACTTTTCCCAATGGCACATAGCCTCGCGGTTCACCCGCCCGAGCTGACGGAGGATCAAGAGCTAATGGCAGCCCGGAATCGAAGAAAACATCCTTGAAAATCTACGCTTCCGCTGTTGACTCCCCGCACTTGGAATAATCAACGACCAGCAAGAAATCGAGGGACCGGTAAGTGTCTGCTGCAGCCCACGAAACTAAGTACCCATAGCAGCGTGGTCGTCCAAGCATGAAGAACTCCGGTATCCAGCGCAACAGCCGGGCATCGACAGAATTCCCGAGGACCAGGTCGACCAGGCGGTCATTGCCCCTTTGTGGGCTAAGGTCATGACCACTCTGTTCAAAGATCAGGTGAGAAAATCGGCATACAAAAGCTCAAGATCTCTGACTGTTCTTAGGAGCCTGATGGATGGATACTTGCTCGGTCAAAGCACTTCATATTAATTGCAGTACCAAATACCCAAACAGTTTTTTTATTCTCATCAATATCGTAAACCCAAATCAAGACTCTCTCGCCTCCAGGGTAATAAAGGTCACGCTTTGAACTAGCAGGCCTGAGGCTTGGGAAAGCATACATTTGGAGACGTAAGGGAAAGGTCTTTCTCATTGCTCGCGTCTCGTTTGTTTCCTTCATGATGCCGACTGAGTAGTTGTCAAGGAGTCCGAATTAGTGTTGAATCCAGATTGTGTCCACCAATTATTGCTGTTTCCCAATGGTCCACTGTTGGAGTGAAAGGTGTAATCGTCCTGATGGCATGGCCACCATATGCTGTTGGCTTCGTAGAGCTCATTAGTGGGACCATAATCTGCATCTACCGCTTGGTCTCCTATAACGGAGTTGAACAAATTAGGCCTGTTCATCGTGGTTGGTACAGCCGCTGGATTTGTGCTGGAAATGACCTGCGCAGCGGAACACAACTTCCAGAAGCCTGCCATCTCTTTCGCGTCAAGAGCTGTTGCATCTCCTTTCATTAGCAAAAGCCGGGTTAGAGATTGCTGGAGCATGAGCAGGAAAGGCTCAAAATATCTGCGACAACAACATCTGTTAAGAAGATCGAGCCTAGTAACCGGCGATAGGCTACGGTAATTTGGGGAGTTTGTGCAAACGTGTAGTATATCCCACCGTTTATCGTAGTAAAGGGGGTCTACTACCTTACCTATTAGTGCTGAGAGTACAGCCTTCCGTAAGATTAGGCTATTAAACCGACCGTCAATAGATATACTAATAACGAGACGGGCTTCTAACATTACACGTGTATCTGACTAATAATAGGGGTTTTAAGTAATTAATTATTGTATCTAGTTACATGTTTGTCACAGCCGATTAACTGCTAGTGTGACTTTATGTAGGGACCCTAAATAACCTAATAGACGCTATTTCGTAATCTGATTTTATTAAGAATCGAGTCTTTAAGGAAGCTCTCCGATACTAATTTTATTAGCTATCGCCACATGTTAATTTGTCAAGCCACAATCGACGCGACTTTCGGACACTTTTCGACGAGGTTCTGCCACTTTCGTCGTTCGACGCGATTTGAAGAGTCTAAGATTTGTAGGGATAATTTGGAAATTTCGCAATCGACCATCGGATGGACATCGGATTGGTACAATTTTAAATGATCTCTGTCCCTATCAAATCGGTTCTTACCGTCTGGCTAGACTCACTAAACAGCTTATCAGTACAACGTTTGACGTCGCTCTAGCTGTTGCAAAGCGTCCCGACGTAATACTCGGAGACTACCGATAGTAGAGCTGTGCATCTATTGGCTTGGCCGAAAAAAACGTCATCAGAATATCAGAATTAGTCGCATTGAACCATCGACGATTCTGGGCTGTTGGCTGTTCCACATGCTCCTGAGCTACTCTCAGCGAACTTTAAGTCGATAGGCCGTTGCATGTGCTGCTTCCCATCACCGCCAATACGTTAACGTCTTTGCTTTGTCGTCGTCGTCTTCGTTGTTCGAATAGCGAGGCAGGAAGGCCTGCATACAAGCATCCCCACACCCACGCGAATTTGACGTTTGATCTCAGATCCCAGTCTCCAGACTCGGCCCTGATTTGAACAGATAGGTGTGTGCCAGTCGTCATCGTCACTCCTTGCACGCCAACAGGGAACCTTGGAACCGGCGTACACACTATTACGACACTGCTTTGTCCATTACGTTGATTGGACTAATCGGCCGACGCTTCAAGCGGACTAATACAACTCGGCTGCTGTAGTCGAGTTTCTCCCCGCTCGACATGTCCTCACCGTCCAACTCGTCCTCACATGTCGGCAAGCGCAAACGCACCGCCACAACCAACTCCTCCATGATGGATGAGAACGCGCTTCTCCAACCTTCGTCGCGGGATGCGTCGGGCGAAGAGGGCGACACAACTGCACCCGAGTCCGGCAAACTGACCCACCGCAAACCCGACTTCGCATCAAACAACTCAAACCCTCCTACCAAACGCCAGCGGTCCAGCTCGGACAGACAGCAGCTCCAGATGACCGATAACACCGATCACACTGTCGACCCTGGCGAGCCCAGTGACACAACTGAGGCCAGCATCGACATTGCTGACCGCGTCGCCAGGAAGAGCAAGAAGCCCGCCGCCCTCAGGGATATGCATAGCAACAATAATGATGTCGATGAGAAGACCAAGGCCATGCCGCCGCCTCCCCTCGGCAAATTGACACATCCCGTGGGCTACAAGACCAATGACCCGCCTGCCGGACGACCCATCAGGGTGTATGCCGACGGTGTCTTTGACTTGTTCCATCTGGGCCACATGCGCCAGCTTGAACAGGCCAAGAAGGCCTTCCCTGAGGTCTTCCTGCTTGTCGGTGTCACTGGCGACGAGGAAACGCACAAGCGCAAGGGCCTGACGGTGCTGTCTGGACAAGAACGTGCCGAGACTCTTCGTCATTGCAAGTGGGTGGACGAGGTGATTGAGAATTGTCCCTGGATCGTCACAACCGAATTCCTTGAGAAGCACCAGATCGACTACGTAGCACACGACGACCTCCCCTACGGCGCTGACGAGGGCGACGACATATACAAGCCCATTAAAGAGCAAGGGAAGTTCCTGGTGACGCAGCGTACTGAGGGTGTAAGCACCACGGGCATTATCACAAAGTACGTGTGGTGTAAATAGCCAACCCTCGTTACACTCTTGCTAACCCAAATCTTTTCTCAGGATCGTTCGCGACTACGAAAAGTACATTGCCCGCCAGTTCAAGCGTGGTACCTCCCGGCAAGAGTTGAATGTTAGCTGGCTCAAGAAGAACGAGATGGACCTCAAGCGTCACGTCCAGGACCTGCGTGATAACATCCGTGCGAACTGGACCACCACTGGTCAGGAGCTCAGCAAGGAGCTGAAGCAGTTCTGGCCGGCCAGTCGACCACAGAGCCCTGCCCCGTTGGGTCGTCTCCCGCCTCTCACCCCCGGCGGCCCGAATGGAGACATTAGTCTGCGCGAAGCTGCCGCCATGGCCAACGCAGCCAGATCACCTACCACACCTGGCGAGAGAGCTGGGCAAAATGATTTCATTACTGGATATACATTGGGGCTGATCGGTGGTGTCCGATCTTGGGTACGTGTCGACTCCTGTTCCGATTCACATAGAAAGTTTGCTGATTCTGTTATTACCGTTAGATGACCAAGAGCCGCACAAACCTCAACAGCCGGGACAGTAGTCGGCCACCTAGCGACGATGAATCGGAAGAGAGCGACGCCAAATCCAAGTCACGGGAGAGGGAACGAGGCCGCCAACCTGTCGTGACCTCGAGCTAGCTGCCAGGCGGCTTGCGAGTTCGCTCTCCTTGCCCCGTCCACCCTGATTCGCGTAACCCCTTGGGTAGGGCTAAGGGCGGGAAGTCCCCTACACGAATTATCTGTCTTTGAACTTCGAATATCGCCATAATTAACGACCGAGTATGACGGCTATACACCAAAAACGATTCTCAGGGGGCGGCGTTCATTGCGTTTGGCTACAAGACGAGTGATGAATCAACGGGGAGGCCATCCCTGTAGCGACAAACCGGACTACAGGCCGAATGTATGCTTTATTACAGTGCTCGGAAAAGGTATACTATGCCAAGTCGATGGTGTCTCTTACTCGATAGCAATTGTTAGAGACAGGCTGTGCTTCATATTTGATTCGTGATGGTGCTGTGTAATCGAACTCATCGAACTTCTGGACCTTGATGTTTGTGAGTTCTAATTATATTTTGCTCCAGTTCAAATTCTACTTTCTCAGATTTTTGCAGGCCGTCCTCACTTAGTCTTTGGTTGCTCACTATTATCCTCTGGCTGGCTTATTTGGCTCTTTCCTACATTGTGACGACGGGCTGTGACTTGACTATCCATAATCTCGTCAACGGTGGCATATCTGCTCCTTTAACTCAACGCATAATCCTTCGACATCGTGAAACTTGAACGCGCAGTACTGTGGTACTGAATGCTCGTGTGTCTATTTATCTATCACTGAACCTTGTCCCAAGGGGATCTCCATGTTTGTCCTAATTATAGTAGAGGTACTTCATACGCTTCATTGAGCTGCACGCCCACTTGAGCAATTGGGCGCAGGGAAGTTACCTTATGATAACTTGTCACCAACGATTGGACAAGCACGATCGGGCATTGGCTGCCTAAATGCGTGCAATTATTTTTGCCCCGACAGCTTGAACCGACAGTTGGAATGTGCGGCATCATGCAGCCATCCTGACGAAGCATAGATTTTACATTTGTATTCCTGCTTGTCGTATCAAATCCAGCGTCTCGATCTTCAGCAAGGTGGATATCGTCTTATACGTCACCAGTGCACTTGGCCATGTAGCATCTAGGGATCTGCACCATTCCATAGCCAGAAGTTGTCCCTCTCATACCTCCCAATTCTTGAAAGCAGCGATATTCATTTACACGGAATCCTACTCAGACCTGGCCATCAACTGACCAAGACGACCCCTAATGGGTTCGACTTGCCAACTGGGGTCGATCCGGATCATCAGACCATCCTATATCCTCATTCCAGCGTCGCTTGTTGGCCTTGTTCCTGACCTGAGACCACAGGGGACAACAATCGTGTGCAACCCATGCTTAGGACACCCAGACAGACCTATCGGGGGTCACCCAGCACCACCACAACCATTACACGAAACCGAACACCGAACCATGAAACCGACCCGGGAGATCTCCGAAGATCCCTGGATTTGGCAAATGGTACCTGGTCGACTCGCTCCTTGATTGTATGCTGCAGACCTCGTCCCTACAAGGGGCTACCGCCACAACCGCTCCGTCATCTGTGAAGGATTCGGGCATTCGGATCGTCTGATTGAGGCGCAGGAATAACGCTCGATTTTCTACTCCGGTCGGATAACTCTCCATCGTTGCCGATTTAGTACATTGAAAGAGTAGGACCCAGGAATTCAGTCCTGAGGACCGATTCTTCCCCAAGCTGCTTGAGGGAAACATCATTTCTTTTTGGTCGTACGAAGCTTCGCCACAATCGGTGCACGATAAATACAAATCAATGGACACAAATAGTCTCCTCATTGGGAGGTTCTGCGTGCAAGAGGCACAAGAGTCCGTGAGGAATTCATTGTTATAGGTGGTAAGCAAACTTCAACGCGCGAGCATAGCCAGCTCCATGCCGGGAGATGACAGAGACGCAGAAAGCATAATACGAGGTCTATAACACCGTACATACATATCGGACCGAAAGATATGCAACGTGCAGAGAAAAGGTGCAGACCAACCCACGTCTTCCTTGAGTGCAGGAGGCTGAGTTGCCGGCGGTTAGTATCAGCACACAGATAACCTTGGACGCCAGGTACAAGGCACTGGCACGTGGGCCAACGAACCACCAACTGCGTTCCCGTCAGATCGATACTCCAAGGACTCGGTTCGCCTAAGCCTGCCATGCAATCGATGAGGCGGAAGCGGGTTCGGCAGCGGCAACGTGAGACTCAATCTGCACCGGTCGCGTGAACCATGGGGTTTGGACCCCAGGTTACTACCAGGTTACAATCGGGCAAGCACTATCTGTTCACAAGATCCCAGACTGGCACACGCTGACATAGCCGTCCATATGGTGTTAAAATAAGAGCCGCCTCGATAGCCGCGCCCAAAAACCAACGTGCATGAAATGCCACATCCCAGACAATCACCCGAGGCGTAGCCTTGTACTAGGTCGGTCAAGGTAGCACTCACCTCGAGCTTGTGGAAACGCCAAGAACTTGTGTCACTGTATGTGGTTGGCACTGGCGGGTGTATCGCTAAAGAAATGCTATCTGACATGACACGACTTCCAGAGCACGGAGTAGGATTGATGGAAGAATTGCTGACAGGTACAGCGATGTATGAGCGATTCTTTCAACCCGATTTGATCATAGCCTTGCGAAGAGTTGCCAAATCGAGACTAAAAATAAATCTAAGCGCTGACTTTGCAACTGCGGTGCATTCAAGATAGCTGTATGCACACAATTGATAGTGTGGAAGGCCTTTCCCCAATTCGGACGGAAACACTTGGCGGATTTCCCCTCTCAGAGTTCCACGCATGCGAGCGAAGTATTGGGAAATGGCCATACGCCAGGGCATATGTCATGAGTGTCTCATGGCGGCGCGAACTTCAGCCGAAGTGACGGACAGATGGACGGGACGAGCACTTGCCGATTGTGCTGACATGATATCCCAGTAAGAAAAGGAATGCACCTTGTCGCCTGCAATGGAAAGACCATGGATCCGCGTCACTTCGTAGAGCATGCCGCGGATCTCTCTCTCAATTTACGCATGTGCTATTCACTCACATTTCCGTAGCAATTGTAAGGAAGGATTGGGCCATCGATGACGACTTTTCCACTGCTACTTTGGCATTGGTACTACGACTTGTAGGACTGGCGATTTCTCGAACTGCCGATTTCTGCTAATCGATCCAACGGGTCAAAAGAGTCCAGCGCCGACTGCCGCCCGAATCATGCATGACATCTGATCAGCATCGCCCACTTGCGGCCCCCCAGACGAGGATGCCACGAGCTGCCCAAGGGATGGAACTTTATCTTCACGCTTGGGACCTTTTGGACCCCAAGATTGATACGTCTCGGAACCGCGCCAGATGGCGTCAAAACGGCCGCCGCGGCTTGCTTTAAACCTTGTTCCCCTGAATAGACGCGAGACACGAGAATATCTTATCTGATCCTGAACGTCATGTTATCAGCAACGCAGATGATGAGGTTGGCGAATTCAACTTGCGGGAATAGAGAAGGTCAACGTCGTCCGAGGTTAGCGCCAATGACCTCACTTGCACCCGAATATTGATTGTTAAAAATAGGATCGCTGGTACGTTAGGGCAGTCGGTTGGCCGGCGACACTTGGCCAATGGTGACTCTCAGGCGCGTCTAAGCCCCTCTGTGTGACATTTGCACCCCGCCCTTCTGGCTCGTCCAAGTCGCCAAAGATTGCGCTATGTACCGTTCCAACGGTGGTGAGACCCGCCAAATCGACCTGAAGGATTTGAACCAGCATGGGTCCCCTGGACCTTCACTGCGGGCCGGGCTTCGTAGGGTGCGCTGTGTGGTTCGTTCGTCTCTTGGCTCGCCCTGCTGGGAGATGCTAGAGAAGTACCATTATCAAGGTCTGAGCAACGACGGGATCTACGGGAGGAAGCGTTACTGGCCTCTCTTTTTCATCCATTTCATCTGCGAGGCAGTCATCGGGCCAATCGATGTGGGACGTCCACATTGAAGAAACACCGACTGGCCAGCATCGGGACCCAGGTGCCGCAAGTAATCACGCTACGCCCCAGCAACGCTTCTCAAACTTGTTTCCCCCTATCCAGCACATCGAGAAGAGTGTGCGGAGTAGGGAGTCAGGAGCTATCTTTTGCTCGGAAACACGCTGGTCCGCGTTATTATTTCTCCTACCTCCCTTTTCCTGCTTCGGCTTACCCACTTACTTCTATTGCGTCTATGTTCAGATCCCCCATTCACGATTGTGCAAGGCATGGCCTTTTACGCGCCAACTACGACGAAGCCATCACTCGTTGCTGGCAATCCGTTGCTCGACAACTCTGAACCTCCTGCAAAAAGTTATTTCAACCCATTTCAGCCACTTTAGGCCTTCTTCAAGAAACGTCAGCCTGCCGTCTGGTGTTACCCTGCAACTGTGACTTGCTGGCTGGCGGTGCAAGCCCGGCAATAAGCTGGCCATGAGCCCACCTGCATGCGCACGCGCTACTTTTAGCTGCGCCTCCATTGCCTGCCAGATTAGTACCTTTCAATTCTAACTTGCCAATTCACCGGCCGTCTGCTTGACAATGGTCAAGAAGGGTTCTCCAGTACACAGTCGCAACCCGCAAGACCACCAGCAGCAAGTCAGTCAATGTTGCGGGGCGCCGCGACGGCGCCGGTGAGGTGGATGTCCTTTCCTCCATTGCGCTCCTGATTTCGTTCATTCGAGGTAAGGTCGCGGCACGTATGGCGGCAGAGTTGCCGTTGCCGGCGATCGTCTCTGCATTTACTGAATTTCTTTCTGCGCTCCACCGCATCAGGGTTTCTTGTGCTCGTGGTTCTCCTCTTTCTAATGATGACATTCCAATGACCCGGTCTATTGGGTGCTCACTGGCGGGACTTGCCCTGTGTGCAAATCTAGTGACCCCAGGTCGTCCAGCCTGAGATGGACCATTGTTCTCGTTGCCGAAATCTCTATGCGACGACACACTGCATAATGCTTTGAGAATATCGCAACCTCTCTCCACCGAACTATGGCGGCAGGGAGGTGTGTGGGAGCAAATAGACGACGTGAGGCCGAAGGGATAGAACACGCCAGTGCGTGGTGTATCTGTACCTCCGTAAATAGCATGAGCCACTCTTGAAGGAGTACCTTGCATTTGCTTTGGTCCAACAGTAATCCATGCTCGAGCTGACGGACAGGGGCTAACGACATAGACGGCCTGTAGGTTCTGCCCAGCCCAGCCATGTGGGAGAAAAAGTTTCTTGACCTCAGTTCTGTATCTCTTCTATCTACTCATCTCAATATAGCAATGAAGCTCAGCCTCTGGCCGTCATCTGTGGTTCAACGTGGGCTGGAGACGCTACTACCCAAAGCATAGTACTCGACGGGCTCCATCCAAACGTGTTGGAAGGCTGAGAGGTTTCTTTCGCCCTTTCTCCTACAGCAACACCCCTTGTCGCCATCAGGCTTACCCTTCTTCATGGTTATTTCCATACATCCTACCTCTATTCATATCGGGGGGTCGCTTTCAGCAGGGCGGCTGTGCCGATTACTAACTTTGTTTTGTCTGTCTGGGTCCCATTTTGAGCCTCGTCCATCATGGCGGATCTTAAGTTCATCATGGATATGAACGATGGCGAACCCACCTCCCTTGTGAATAAAAGGGATGTTGCGCCTCTGCCACCCGGTGCAAATCGAGGTCAAGACGCTTCAGCCTCAGAACGTGGGAATCCTGGAGACCATAGCGACGACAACAGACCAACGCCAGCCACCACAAGTAAACGGTGCGGGCATTCAGGGCGCCAATTCAAGTCTTCAGCAGGAACGACATCATCATCAGCAGCAGCAACAACAACAACAACAACAAAACCAACATCACCGTCATCGACGGCCTCGACAGCTCGGCCGGCACCTGATCGCCAGCCAAGCAACACTAGCACCGAAGAGATGGATCCTGGATATGGAGGCCACGGCGGGTCGGGCTCGTCGTCAAATACGCCCATGCGCCCCATAGGCAGCCCGTCCGGCGGGGAACTCCCCATCAAGCTCACCCCAATTACTGGTCGCGTGAGTAGAGCAAAGAAGGGTGTGCCGGTCCATACATGTGAAACATGTAGACCACCCAAGGTGGGTCTTGGCCGGGGGAAGTGTTGTCGTCATGGGATGTGGGTGTGGCTAATCGGGACTATAGACATTTACAAGAGCAGAGCATCTCAGGTAAGAGGGGCTACGCATACTTGGCCGCCGGCCACGACGTGACTTTTGCTAAACCAAAACAATTAGGCGCCACCAATTGAGTCACCAAACGCCTGGCTTTCCGTGCACCTATCCTGGCTGCGGCCGTGCTTTCCACCGCGCTGACTTACTTGCTCGTCACGCAGCTAGACAGTCAGTGATTGCCAAACATCATACCGATGCCTTTGAGTAGTGGTGCTGACGAAGTACTAGTGAACAAGAGGGGGAGAAAACTTCATCGGTTGGGAGTGGCAGCCGGCGGACGTCGGTGACGTCGACGGACGACGGAAGTGTCCCGAGGACGAAGTACATTCAGCATGTTCCCTCGTCGATGGGCGGGAGCATTACTTCGCGTGGTTCTGTGTCAGGGCCGTCGTCAGAAATGAACCCGGGCTACGGCGGCGGCTCGACGACATACCCGCCCATGGGCATGCAGGGCAGCGGCGGCTCAACGCCTATGTCGCCTCCGCAGCCACAGGGCCGGGGTGACAGCTACCAGTTGGCATCGAGCGGTCCGTCGCAGGGAAACTACACTTTGTCGACGCAGTCGCAGATCCCGCTCATCAGCAACCAGCCTCCCAGCCTGGACAACTCGCCCACGGCGGGAAACTACAGCTTAGGCTTCCAATCACCACGCACGTCATCTTCGTTCCCACACTATGTAGTTACCGGGGGACTGCAGCCACATCTACCTAGCTTGACTATACCTGACAGCAATCCACCAGGTCTCCTTGCGGCTCACGAGATATCCCCCTGGGCCTCGTCTGACAGCAACTTCTCCACCCCATCCGAGGTGAGCCACGGCAGAAGCTGGGTCCGCAGCTTCAACTCACCTACGTCCGACTGGCCCGGCACCAGCCTCGTGACAACCTACCACCAGCAGTCAGGAGCTTCGCAGGACTTGCAGAACCCCGGTACCGGACTCGAGGGCTTGACCTCGGCCACCCCTTTCATGGTTAACGCCTTCTCCCCGACGATGCACAAATCAGGCTTCAACCCCATTTTAGACATGCCCTTGTCTTTCTCCGAAGAAAACGCGCTTCTTGACCATTCGTCTCACCCCCGCCACGATGCGTACAATTTAGTTCGTAGTCCGACCCCACCGACCGCCTCCTCGTCCGTTCAATCGGCTGAAACTTTAGTCTCCCTCGCTCCCGCGCTACCGGACACGACCGCAATGGTAGGCCGTTACAAGGACTCGGCGGTGTTGATGGGCACCCTGTCCAATGCGTCGTTCCTGACGGCCCACAGCCTGCGCCGCCCTGTCCGTAACGCCATCCCCGACTTAATCGACGTATACTGGAGGCGCTTTGACACTCTCTTCCCCTTAATCCACCGCTGGAGCTTTGGGACAGCACCCACCGAGGTGCTGCGTTGTGCTATGGCTGCCATGGCCACGCAGTTTCTCGATGGAGAGGAGGACCGCAACAAAGGTACCGAGCTGCATGAGTTTGCTTCGCAAGAAGCCAAACGTGTAAGTTGTGAACCCCTTGAACCCCTTGAACCCCTGATGTCTTTTCAACCCGGTGCTCACTAGCCACATCTCCAGTCGCCGCAATGGAACGTCCAGATCATGCAAGCGATCCTCCTGTGCGAGTTCTTTGCCCGGTTCCGAGGGAAGGAAGCCTCGACCCGACCGTCTCAGCCCTTCCAGTCGATATACGCGAGAGTGAGTGCCCCTACTTCTCCTACTGCTGCTTTTGATTTCGAACCATACTCTTTATTTCAGGATTATTCTCTCTTTAGTCTTGTTTTGTCTACTCCAAGCTACCAATGGCACCCGTACTCAACATTTCCCCAACAGGTCGCCAACCCTCCCAACCCCGGTGATGCTACTACTACTACTCCGACTACGACCATCCCCACTAACCCCTTTGGATCTACACCCCGAAGAACAACTACCAAATCGCGATGGAACGAATGGATTGAGGCCGAATCGCGTCGCCGACTTCTGGCCGCCTCGTTTGTCCTGGATGTGCACACATCCATGTATCATGAACAACCTTTAATGCACTCTTTCAGAAGCCCGTGCCCACCTATACCACTGACCAGAGCCAGCGAGGAGCTCTGGGCTGCCCCTTCCCCTGAAGCCTGGGAGGCTCTCTTGTCTGCCGGATCGCACAGTCTGGAACCGGTCATGCTCCCAGAAGAGACCATCACCATCGATAGGATCAACTCAGCTCCACCTCTGGACCGTGCCGTGTTTCTGGCCTCGGAGGTACTGCGCCTGCCCAAACGAAGCATCCCTTCGGCCCTAGAAGTTTCCAACGACCCAGACCTAACTGCGTCGGACCGCATTGCCACTTTATTCCCCGGATCGCCCATCGCCAACACGTATCTAGCCCTCCATTACACCCCCTTACACGACCTGCTGGCCATCTCGGGCGAGTCGTGGATCTTCACGCTAAAGGTGCTGCCCGCCAAGAAATTTCAGCAGCACCAGAGGCGGCTCAAGCAGTGGAGCAGCGGTCTCCACGCTGCCGTCGCCGCCCGATACGCCGCGAGGGCCCTTGTGGCCTTCCTAGATACTACGGCTAATGTTAATTACACAATTCCCATGGTGGCCGCTCAGGGCGAGCCCTCCTCGTCTGCCGTTTTCACCGACGAACAGCCAAACCACGGGTGGAACACAACCAACATTTCCGATTATTGGGCCATGTACGTCAGCGCTCTCATCTGCTGGGCCCTGTCGCACTACACCACTCGGAACAACAACAATTCATCCTCGGCTTCTGCTCCTGCTTCTGCTTCTACTGGTGGTGATAATACTAACAAGAAAACGACTGGGAACCATAGCAATGCGAAGCAGCGGCGGAGCGAGGCCGAGGCCCTCGAATGGCTACGCACGGTGGCCGACCTGCGCATCGAAGACATCCTCAACCCCAACGTGCGCGGCAGTCGCGATGAAATTAACAGCGTCATCACCCTTGTCAAGCGCCGCCTCGAGTTCGAGGCTGTCGGCGGCGGCGGCAGGAAGTCGCTTCTCGTCGATGCCCTGGGTGTCTTGCGCAATTTGGAAGCTGGGGTCAATTAGAAGTGGTTTTGATTTTGATTTTTTCTCTTTCTCTGGCGGAAATTATTCCTTTATTCTGTTCTTAGTATTGTTGTTTTTATTTTTGCGGTATGGTTCTTTGTTTCCTTTGGCATATGGCTACCGGCTTTCAACATCTTCATCATCGATCGATCATTGGGAGGGAGGAAGGAAATCAAAGCGGGGCGAGAAAGAGCTGCGGGAGGAGATTTTCTCTTTGTTTCTCCCTTTCTCATCATGATTCTCACGTGTTTTTTTTCGTCTTCATTCCCTTACATCGTCTATTCCCTTTGAGTCGTCTTCTCACAGCAAGAATTCCTTCCCTTCCTTGTTTTCCCTTTTGGCGCATTCTCTTTTCTTTCGATGTACGGCATTTACGACCAACAACAACAACAACAACATCATGTATAGACAGATACAGCCGCATGAAAGGGGGGCGGCGGATACACTTGTACTATTAGATACATCATGATTGCGGGTTTTTCCTTTTCCCTTATTTCTATTAATTTCTATTTTGTTTCTTTTGTCAATCTCTTCTCCAAGCATGGGTTGCGTAGACGATCAGACACAAAGACAAAGCATATGGATGGGTGTGATGGAGTGTGGGTGGCGGTTTACCAGCAGCGAACATCACCATCATTGGTTATGCACTTGCGCATCCATAGCCAAGCGAGCGAGCAAGGGCGTTGGAGGTGTTTTTTTTTCTCCTTTATTTTGTATTTTTGTTCTTGGTTTTTGTTCCGAGTGAGTCGAGGGAAAAGGTGGTATGTTAACAGAATAAACCATGTTGATGTCTCAATAGAATCATATGTTCCTTTCTATTTGAATAAGTTCATCATTCTGTTACCCGTTGGGATTGATTTCCTTTCCTAACCCGTGTGTATTTACCTTGAGCCTTGAGCTTGTGAGACAGGACAACCCTACCCAGGAGCCTACTGACCTTGTCGCTACTCGCTTATCTACTTGAGATCATAAGGGTCCCCTAGTGCTTCGTTCGTCGTCAGTTATTCAGGTCTCGTAGGCTTCCTAGCCCTCCTACTATTCGGGAAGTAAGGTAAAGGTCTTCCTCCGACTACGACAGTGGTATCTCCCTTCTACCATGTAAACCTATATAACTAGTCTAGTACTCTAACCGTCTCTCTACTTAGCGATCTTCTATCTATAGACGTCAATAAGTGTTCAAGTTCAAGGGTTGGAAAAGTCTAAAAAGCGCGCGACGCAGTGATAAACCACGTTGTGGAAATAGTATCTGTTTTCTAATTGTCCGTATTCCTGATCGATCCTGAACAGCATTCTGACTGACCACACAAGAAAAGGGAGACGTTGAAAATACTTTCCCTCGGATAATCACGAGGGTTCATCGAATGCTGTCGTACATTGGCACTTTTCAGAATGAAGACATGGGTTCGAAGTGGAAATCCCAAGGTCACCAACCCGACCCCAAGTGACTACTGGGATACATCTCGAAGCCTCAGACGCGTAGCCCACGTATCCCCAAAGCTAATCTTACATAATTACAGGAGATCTTTTAGAGAGGCTGGTTTTGATTTAGGAACATTAACCCTACCACCTGCAATCAACACCCAACCGCTCTCGATTCATCCCGCGCATCCTGAGGTATCACAGGCTCATGAACCGGCAGTTTCGGCCTTTCTGTCATCCTTACGCCAGGTCATCTAGAGGTCCAACCGCACATTCTATAGCAGGCACATGCGCCTCCCCTCCCCTCAAGTTATGTCCCATATTACCCGACTTAGCCATCACGCTCATAACCTTATTGACCCAGCAAGACCAGAAGCCTCAATGCGAGCTCACTGGTGTATATGAGCCTGCCCCGTAACAGGCCCTTCCTAGTTCAGCTACCTGGCGAGGCTCATCACTAACGCTTCGACGTCCGCTGTGGTATAGGCGGCGAGCGGTCGGGAGCGCCGGTCCAACACCAGCCAAAATATGGTCTGGCCGGGGCTGCAGTACGTGCTGCACTCGCAGCGGGGACAATATAGAATCTCTGATTTGCACTCATACACCTGAAGATAATGCTCCCGCCGGCTCCTGAAGACTAATAACGTTCTCGTCGTATGCGAAGCGAGAATCGCTCGCGAATGAGTGCGTTTCCAGCCTGCACGACAGCGACAGGGACTGAACGCCTTCCACATCGCGCTTGTTATGTGAATGGCCCTGCATCAAGATGGGTAGTGGCGCGAAGCCGAGGAATGTCGGGCGGTTTGGTGTCGTTTTGCGAAGCGGGCGCCGCACGATGATCCAGGATGCGCTGTCGGACTTGTTCCGTGGCCGTGAAGCGGGAGTGCCGGAACACATGGGGATCGATGGACACACAATGTATGCGTACTGGGTGCATTTTGGCGACGAGTGGCCTCGGCTCGGTATTGTAGAGTCCAACTTGGTCCATTGCCGGAGGTTCAAGGGCGGGTAATGCGTACCTACAACCGAAGTGGAGCTCGGAGCAAAAGCGAAGTACGAAGTAGGCAACTAAGAGTCAGTACGTGGTAAGGTTGCTTTTGGGCAAAATATACGGCGTACCCAGTCTCTAATTCACCCATAGCCAAGCAGCTGAAGCAGGGTTTGGGCGAGAGAAACATGAAAATCGACGCAGATCATGTAATTCCAGACATGAGGGAAGGAAAAACGAGGTAGGTAACATTGTCGAACTAAAACATATTGCAGATGAGATGCAGTGTCAAGTCAATAAAGACAAGAAAAGAAAGAATCTGAAAAAGCTCAAACTCTGCGGAAAATCGGCCTCGTCAGTTTCATCTGGCTGCCGTTCACGCAGACAAAAACGCACTTCGTGTGCGAAAACAAATGGGCTAACGGAGTTGGCTAAGCCGCGACAGCTTGAAAAGGACTGTTATTGCTCGCAGCTAAGTACTCGATATGCGTTTGCCTGGGTCCCGTAGCAAATACGAGAAGACCCCAGGGGAACTAAAGTCAAGAAGGCAGGTAGGCGACGGCATGACAGAGGATGCAGTTAAAATGCTTCATTCCGAGACAGCTACGTGGCTGGCTTTGACATCGACCACAGGTTGGCTTTGTTTGGTTCCCGAATATCCTGAACCGCAAATTAGCAAGGCTCGTATAGATAGGGGACAGCGCAGTGCTCAACATCCATCATGCAGGAATAGGTCATGCTCAGCACCACGTCATCCCTCGGTCCCTCAGAGTATCGTTGCAAACCAATTTCGAGTCATCTCAATCAATCAACGATCTCATCGGTTTTCTCAGACAACACTCATAACAAAATCATTCTCCCACATCTTCATCAATTCAGCTTGAAAGTCTGGGTATGGTCGGTTAATCTCTTCATCCATTTAGCTTATTCCCAATGATTAAGCCTTGGAAAACCAAGCCGCGCTTTACTTTACTTTCCTTGCCTTTCAGTTTCTTTGCTTTCCGAAAATCCCTTGCCGCACCGCGAGTTGAAGGGAAGGAAGAAGAGCCTGCATGTACTGCTGTGCTGGTGTTGGTACTGTGCTGTGTCGCGTACAAAGAACTGAACTCGTTCTCGTCTCGATCATGTACACGTATAAATGAATGAAGTGATGCCCGTCCGCCCTGCCCTGGCCCCCCCTCTCCAGGAAGATAATGTCAACATTGCCTCTGAGTCCAATTCCGAAACGAATCAAATCCGCACGGCCCTCCTCCCTTGCCCAATCGTCATCGAGCCGCTCGTTCCAACCTGGCTTGTGCTCATCCCTCCGTTATCATCCCCCGTCCCGTTGCCTTGGTGGACGCTACTATAGACTGGACGTTGTTCATTTTACAGAAGCCCCAGTCCAAAGGTGGCCGTGCGTAGATGGTATTAGTCGTGAACCGAGACGTTCGGTAAGGACCTTAAGTTGAAGAAAAAAAAAAAAACCGAAACCAACAAACAAACAAACAAACAAGGAAAGATGCGGTATCCGTCCACATTTTGCTCGCGCAACAATGAGCAATGATCTGTCTATATACAAGAGCGGGCCACGATGGGTTCCGCCAACAAAGTAAGGGAATGCTACGACATCGCAACCTCGCTACTCCTGGCCGAAACCCATGGTTTCCTCTACTGCAATAGTCATTTTCTGCTGCAATGCTTCCAGAGTCTTGTACGGTGGTAGGTCTAGACGGTTGAAACTAGTGACATCGTTATTAGCTTCACGTCTTCAGAAATGAAAGGGGTATCAACTTACCAAGTGTGAGCCTTGGGCAAATTGCCAAGTTCGCCGGCCTTCTCGATCGTAAATCTTCTCGGGCCATCACTTCCTTGCAAATCCTTGAAACCATTGACCGGAATACGTGAGGTACCCGTGGTAAATTGCAGTAACCTGCTCTTCTGCTCGCCATCCCAGGTGCGTACTGTCTGCCAGAAGAACTGAATAACCTCGTCGCTCTCAGTATATCCACGGTAATCGGTGTGCTTCTTCCAGTCGTCGACGTCGATCTCGGCGATACCTCCAATCAGCAACTCGAGCTCACGCTCATCAAAGACGTTGATCAGATCGTGGGGGATTAGCTCGTGGAAGCCATCCTTGAACGCCTGGAACTGCTCTGCGATACGCTTCTCGATGCGCCACTTGACCATCAAATCCACGTACTCTTTTTTGTTCTCGTTCGTAACCTCAATGTCGCGACCACCAGGCTTCAAATCTTCCACCGTCATAACACCGAATCTCTCGTCCTCCGTAGAGAAGGTTTGCTCGAGGATACCACCAGAAATATCGTTGTCGAGCATCCACTGCAAGCTGCGGTGGAAGTCCGCGTCAACACCCTCCATGTCGGCCAACTGCACCGCCTTACCCAGGATCATCTTGTATAGGGCACCAATGAAGAAGGCGTCAAGGAAGCGTCGGTGGAAAATGGCAAGGCCGACGACGCGGCCTATAAATTTGAAGTAGTTCAGATGCTCGGGGTTGATACCGGAATGGGGGTTGATTTGCAGGGTGTAGTTGTCGTGAGCGGAGTACTCGAAAAGGCAGTAGAAGGGGTTGAACATCTCGTGGGACAGGAGGAAGAAGAACTCTCTGGAAAGACCACCGTAGTCCAGACCGTCTTCACCATCAAACTTTATCATCAGGCGCTTCTTCAGATCCGTAGCAGATTGCCGCGAGATTTCGGCAAAGGAGTCCTCGAAAATGTGGGATCGGCGCACCTTGATATGGCACTGACCAGACAAGATTCGCATAGCAGGCTGAGACCGGAAGTATATCAGCTTCCTCCTAAAGTCTCGCTTGTATTGCGGCACATTCTGGTCCAAGGACGATGGCAGGCGCGGATCGTCCCATGTAGTCGTCTTGGTGTTGTGGTCTACGAAGTAAACACGGGCCGTGTTAGTAAGCCGCATTTCCCAACCACTAGGCAGGGGTCCCAGTTGGGATACTGGCTGCTGTTGAATGGTCCCGTTGGCATTATTGTGGCCACCGTACATCCGGATGTACTGCTGTCGGCGAGGATCGACCCACGTGGTGGTTCGAGTGTTGTGATCCACAAAGTATGGGCGGCCTTCTGGCGTCCATCTCTGTTCCCAGCCAGGGGGCAACTCTCCCGTGCCGGGGCTGGTAGCGCCAGTGTGCATCATAGTGGCGGCATTAGCACTCTGAGCAGCGTTGGCCTGTTGCTGCTGAAGCGAGGGGGAATTGGCCCCTGTGCGATCCTCAGGCAAGGTTCGGTTCTGGTGACGCTGTCGTTCAACCTGCGTCGCAGCCTCTCTGTCGCCGCGATCGTTTCCCCCACCGGCCTGCGTCGGGCGGTTCCAGCTTGTGGTGCGAGTGTTATGATCAACATAATACGTCCGTCCCAAGTTGTCTTCGCGCCGTTCCCAGCCCGCCGGTAGACGTCCCTGGGAGTCTTCGAAGGGGCTCATCTGGCTGCTCGCTCTTGGCTGTCCATTCCCGTTCACCGCCGCCGCCCCTGGCGCTGACGCTGGCCCAGGCGCTGGCACAGTCATGCTGTTGGGCCTCATAGGCATACTCGCCGATGCTCCTGGTGTGAGTCCATTGGGACCGGACGAAGTAGGCCGCTCGATGGGTCGATCCGGTCCGAGCGTTGATCCCTGGGGAGTGGCCAGGGATGGTCTGCTAGAGGATGCCGAGGGAGGCAGCTGCCCTCGTGCCGGCTGGGAGAGATTGGTGGAGAGGTTGATGATGAGCTTGCCGTGGACGACTAGGTTGTCTGTGGATTTCTTGAGGTCTCGGGTAAGCATCTGGTCTAGTGGGCAAACAATGTTAGTGATTCAAACACGACACCAGCTGCTTGGACCACACGAACCGTCGGCACCGTCGGCGAGTTCAATAGCGTCGCCAATGCGGATGTTGATGACACCCAGGAAGCCCTGGTCCTTCTTCTTGAATTTCTTCTGATCGAAGACCTGTACGGCCAGAATGCTATCCTCAATTGCTCGGCTGTTCGAGATGGTGTAAGTATACAAGTCATGAATTGTCAGGCGGTGGATTGTGCCTACAAATCGAAGCTCTCGTTCCAGTAAGGATTGAGGGTACGCTTAGAAACGGATGTCGTCTTGGTCTGCTCGCCGTTGATGGTCGCTACAGCAAATGGGTCGGGGAATCCTGTCATCGAGGCATTAATGTCCGTCGGCTGTTTTCCTCTCCGTTTCTCAGTGCAAATACGTACGAAAGACATCTCGTTTATACAACCCATCGGCAGCAATTACTGCGACGAAGTTCAGGTCAGCATGAGGGTTCCCCAATGTTCAAATGTTGTGAAATGGCGGTAGATGTGGTGGGTAGAGGGGCAAAGACAAGACGCACTCGTGATCCGCAGATTGGGCTGCCTGTTGGTTGAGCATCGTCAGTAAATGAAAGAAAGGTGGTGATCGAGAGCGAACTCACGATGGCAAACCCGCTTCCGAGCGGTTGGAGGTCATCGTGACGGCGATCAACGATGGACGGTGTGCCTACACCTTCCCGTGGGCCGTCGTTCCTTTTGACTCGACCCGTTTTCTATTTTGGGGAGTGAACGTAAGGGCGACTTGGCGTGGTCGCGCGACGAACAAATAAGAATACTGGTAGAGATGATGTTGCTCGGTCAGTGCGGGTCGGCGAAAAGCCGTCGAGCGAAATCACTGAGCATATGACGGCGTAGATGTTGTTTGTAGTTGACGTGAATGGCGGGTGGTAACGATGGAGCAGGTTCGACCCATGACACAGTGGCAGGTTGAGGCTGTGCAATCAAAGCACTGCAACTGATGGCCTCAAACCCCCGCTCTCTGCCGTTCTTCCTGCCGCAGAGCTTTGAAATACAACAAAATCAAATCACCCCCAAAACGTGTGCTGCTGTGCCACGAAAAAGCGCCTAATCGTCAGGCAAAGAACGCATTCAAGTATGGAAAGGAAGAAAAACTACGGACAATCAAGCCTCCAGTCCGACCAGAGCTGTGGAACTGCGATAGAAGATAGGATTTGCTGCAGGTGGGATTTTAAGGAGCTCCCTCCGAAACAGTTGCCGAACGTGCAAGTGCCTCTAAGAAAGTCCGAGGCCAGACGCGCGGACGAAGAGGCTGGAGCTTCTTCAACGGCGCTTGACGTAGGTAGCTGTCAATGTTTCCTCAAGCCTCCAGTTGGGTCAGACAAGTCCAAGACACCTCCCTCTTTGGCAACATTGATTTGATTTGTGATATCAGCAATGGCGCGATGGCACGATTGCCAGAGTTTTGACACTAGGCGCGGGATGCACACACTTGAGCTTATGCCCACACTTGACTAATGATCAGCAGCTCCTCGTGGAATCTTGACGATGGCGGATGCTGCTTGCTGGGATGGTTCGTTAGAGGAGGGGCAACTGATAGCAAATCCGACTGCCGCAACAAAGGTTAAAAGATAGTACTGGAATCAAGTCGTGGCTTGACTGGCTGCAGGTCGTGCTGGAAACCTCGTTTAATTTTTGGGACACCCAAAAGAGAGACTGATTGAGCCAATGGGCAAACCTTCCAGGGTGCAACCGGCCGAGCTAAACCCCCCTGGAAGTTCACGGCTAGTGGCATGATCCAAAACTTACACACACTTATCATGTATGGTGTTTATGCAGTTTGCAACTGTTTTCAAATATGTGCCGTATCATAGCATTGGTATTTGAGTATAACCCTTATTACCCGTACCGGCAATGCTGCACGATCAGGTCCATCCACCTTGTCATGAGATCTGCCTTTTGTTTTGCTTTGCGTGGGGATCGCTCGCTCACTTGCCCATTCGATGACCTTCTTGCCTGACGGACTACTTATGAACCCCAACAAAACCTGAAATCTATCCAAGAAACTCAATGTCCATAAGCCAACTAACGTTAGAAAGGCGAGGATACGAAGAGCCTCACAAACGTGAGTTTTGACCAGGTATTGCCCACTCAAGTTTTGATGTTGGTCTCACAGTGTCTAGGTACTTCACGGTTCTGACGTATCTGCCACGGAGCCCTTCCTTCATGTTGCACGACTGAGACTCAAAATGCCACCTCAATGGCCCTCCCGCCTGAGGAGTGCATTGGATTTCATACGAGATGCCCGTCTTGAAGGGAGCCATTGCGCCGGGTTGCTCGGATTCCCCTCTTCGGTGGGGTCCCAAGTAAACCCACTTTGCTTGCCTTATGTTCCTTATCCTTTTCTTTCCCTCACTTGCTTCAATACCTGGATGGGAGGAGACTGCATTTGCGGTGCCGTGCGGGAGTCGTTGGCAGATGACCTTTGCAACAACGAACGGATGGCGAGTGGAGCGCTTCTAGCTTATATCCTCGCGCTGGAATTTCAGGGGGCGCCGATTATTCTCACAGCTGGCATCAAACTCGCGAAGCACAGTCTCTGATGAAGCGACAGGGAGGAGCATGGTTCCAAATCCATGCCACCGTGCGATTCAATATTTCGGTAGTTGCCGAGTCAACAATTCAAGGAAAAGTCTCAGATAGGGATCCTCAATATCCAAGTACAAGCTTGATGACCTTCTGGGGTTGCGGAGAAGATTGCTGCAACGCGAGGTCTTCGCCCTGCGCATGCGAAGATGAAGAGGTCTTGGGCCAGCATTATTATTATAGTGGCATCAAGAGTCCAACTCAGATGATGTGTATTGAAGCGGTCTCTTTCAGCAAGCCTACATACAATCCCCGAAAAGTCATTTCCCTACCAGTTACGAGCGTCGCTAACTGCATATCTTGCTATTCAGATTCATTCTGCCCGGATTTCAACTATTTACTAACTGGATGACCACGAGAGTCATGGCAAAATCCACGCAAATGCTTCGAAGCCAGAATGCTGCTTTACTCTCTCAACTCGCTCCAACATTCCCCATCCCGAAACATGGACATATCCAGATGTCCGAAACCCAACCTCATTAGCTTCCTATTCACCATCACTCATTGGCTCAAACTTCAGCAGACAAAGTTCTCTGAAGTTCTCGTCCATTTAGGCCTAGAACAGATCCAGTCGGTTGGTTCCCCCATATATCTATTTATGGTCGGCTTCTAATGCAAGGCCATCACACCACACACCCGCTTATGCATATCACTTCCCCAACCGTCGGAACTGGCAGCTTGCAGCGCGGTTGCACGGCATGGGTTCTTGAGGGGGTTCTCGATGTGTGAACATTTGAGATTACGCTCGAATGGTCGATAAATACAGATATATGCATACATCACCTAACGAAAGTAGGCATTCGTTGCATTCATTGTTTGAGGAATCACACTCGCCTCAATAGTGTTGAACGCATGCACGTGCCGAATGTCTGCATATTGAGCTTGCATACAGACTTGATGAATAGTTCCGCAATATCGCATTGCACAAGCAACCCTTGAACTTCTGAAGTACGGTCGCTAGAGATCATCGTGCTACGCGCTCAATGGACGCACACTCGAGTACATTGACAACCTGGAGGTTCTCCACCAACGTCGGGATTACTAGTGTCGATGAGCTCATCATGGTAAATATCGATCGTCTCCACGCGTCAACGTCAGTCAGATTCTCTCTATCTAATTTAGTCCATATCGGATTGCGTGAAATGCACGCCATTCAAATGTAAGTCGTCCTCCTGGCACTCCTGCTACTCCTGCTAGGCATTCCAGTCCAAAAAGCCCTCGATCAGCATCGTAGCGGGCGATATAACCCGGCTTAGAGCCGCATATGACCCTGCCGTGTGTCGGAATCCTTGTGTCCTAGGGTGGATGGAAGTCGTGTAGATAACCAGGAGGTTGTTTTGATGAAGGGGAACTGAAAGATTGCTCATTATTATGGCTGAAAAGGGTATGTCGATTACTGAGGCATTGGTTGGCGACGATGTAGAAGAGGGAAATCATCAGATCACTTGATCTGAAGGTGAAACATGGCCATACAAAGTCGTCTTCGTCGTCACCATTCCTCGCCTCGAGTATAAGACCATGCTCCACACATGTAATACAAATCATGGCGAACCTTCCCAGGTCCTCGAGGTCCATGTTGCGCTTTGGTGCTTGAAATAGCCGCTCATCTGATTTCCTCGGGATCTCAATGAAAAGACTGAAAAACCGTTAGCGCCAATGTTTAAGCGTGCCGTTTTCGTACATGGAACGAGGACCATGGGGAACCTTGACCTATCCAGGAGCCGGAGAGACCTGTTCATCAAGGGCTGGCAGATAAGGTGGCGGAGCAGACGACTCCTAGTAGGGGTTGTAGCCGCCGCGGCCACGTCCGCGATATCCACCACGGTATCCGCCACGAGGGATGTAACCACCTCTTCCACCATAAGAACCTCTTCCGCCGAAGCCTCCACGACCACGTCCTCGACCTCTAGTCATGCCAGGAATGTTCGTTCGCTTGGGGGTGACCTTAATATTTCGGCCCTTCAGGACGCTGTCGTTCAGTACGAGGGCCTGCGCGACAAGGCTGGGCTCCGTGAACTCGACGTAGGCGTAACTAGTTATGGGCAGAGCCGTTAGTCACTGGTTCTCGACAGAAAGTCCGACAGCTGGGCGCAATATCTACTTACCCCTTAGGCGTGCCGGTAAACTTGTCGAGGAGGATGGTGACGCGGTTGATGGAACCGCACTCCTGGAAATGGGCCTGGATTTCCTCGGGGGACGCCGAGTAGTCGACATTTCCCACGAAGATGCTGCGGCTGTCCACGTCAGATCGCTCCTCGCTGTTGGCTTCCTGGCCGCGCTCCTCCAGAGTGGCCTGCATCTCACGGAGCTTCTCCGCCTCTGCTTCCATCTCAGCAACGCGGCGCTTCATGGCGGTGATCTCTTCCTGCGACAACAAAAAAACTTGGTCAGCTGCATACATCTAATTGGTACCACCCTCGCTTAGAAGGGTGATTTCGCATTGAGAGGCCTGGAAGCCCATCTGGAGGTCAAGGGTCAAGCTTGGAGTGACATGTCCATTTGCACGTACCTCATCATTTCCATCCTCAGCGACGGGGCGCTCTTCAGCCACCACCTCGGGTTCTTCTCTCTTCACGTCCTCCATGGCCCGCTTGGTCTTTATGGCTGGCTTGGTTTTGATAGCTCGCTTGGTCTTGGTGGCCTCCTTTGTCTTGATCGCCGCCTTGATCTCGAGGTCAATGCGCACGTTAACAACCTTTAAAGATAGTTAGCGATTCACTTCCAATGCTGTGAATCAATGCGACAGCCTGGGGCGAAGGGGTTCCAAGCTGGGGCTCTCGGGCTGGTGAAGCGAAAGTGAAAGTGGAAGACCAACCCCACTTGCCTCGAGCTCCTTGCCGTCCGACGATGCAGGGGTGATAGGAACGAGAAGATTAAAATGGGTGAAGTAGCAGTTAAAGGGTGTGCATCTCACTAAAAGAAAGATACATTGAATCCAGGTTGGCAGGAGCCAAACTTACCACGGAAGTCTTGCTCAGAGGCAAAATTTGTCGCGTTCCAGAGACATCGGCAAGGCCAAATTTGTGCTGTAAAGATTCCAGCGAGGGTCGTCGGCCTGGACGTCCGTGTTCTGCTGCCCCAACGGGTAGCCGAACGCAGTGATGAATGCGGGCATCGGCACAACTGATGATCCGAGAGTACGCCAGCCAGAAGACATCTAGCGTCGCGGTTAAAATGACCATCCCAAACGCTAGGTGCAAAAGAATGAAGCGACCGCAGCTTGGTATGAAAGGTTAGTAATTAGTTCACGATGTGCTCTAATAACTTTTTTCAAATTAGGACACGAGAGAAAGTGGGTGGAAGTTCAGTTACGCGATGTCCGTGGCCTGGGGCATTTGGCAACCGCAGAGGAAGAACCGCTGCATACATTCACTGCCACTGACAATCGGCACAACTCGAAGCAAGCACACCGTTTGTAGGAATATAGGCTACCTAACGCTCCTGTGTCAAGGCTGCAGAAGGGCTGTCGTTGAATAAGCATTCGATACTAACACATAGGATGAGAAAATAGGTCTGGATACGTTTGTTCACCGTTACAGTCAATGCCCGCAACCCGAGGCAAGGGGTTCATAGTAACCACTGTCCAGCTTCCACTCCCAAGTTAAGTCAGGTTAAGGAACATTTCAAATGTTTTCAAATTAAAGGTCATGCTATCGTTGAGACCGCTTTGCGGCGGGAAGGGAGGGGGCGTGCGGGCAGGTCGTTTCAATTCTCCTTTTTTGAATACACATATTAGGGCTCTATTTTCTAGCTCGAATATTGATATTGAAGAGCTAGTATTGTTGGTAAACATAAGAGCTTACTGGAATTCTTATGGCTGAGCCGAGGTGGTTATGTGGGATCTATCCAAGTAGGTATCCTGTGGTATCGCATTGTCCATCTGACGGAGTGAGTTGCCCGTTAGATGTAGTCGTGACTACACGTGCTTTTCTCAATTGAAATGGACCCATGCAGCCTCCAAAGCCCGACTGTAAAACAAATGCGTTGATAAGCTGTATATATGCTGGGCTCAAATGAAGTGTGGCACATAATCCTGTGTCCATTTCATGCTGTAGGTTCTGCCAAGCGCTGAGATGGCTGCGTTAGTCTAGGCAGCACCTCCGCAGTGGCGCGAGATTGTGATAATATTCGATTGCAGCGCTCCTCTCCTTCATCTAAATATAGTTGCTATCTGTTTACGAATAGTGTAGTTGTTCCCACTTCAAGGCCACCTCACTATCTCCCCCTTTTCAATCTGACCCATCAGTCACTTATCCAACTCAGAACCAGTACAAAATTCCAATCACAAACCAACATGTCGACCGATACCCACGAGAATAATCCCCACTGTGACGGTAAATTCGGCCAGATCTGCTGGCTCGAAATCCCTGTGACGGACGTCAGACGGGCTATTGCCTTCTACCGCGCCGTGTTCGACTGGTGCTGCAAAGACGAGTCGATGCCTCACCCACTCGACTCAATCCAAGCCGTCCATTTCTTCATGAACGGGACTCTGAACGGCGCTTTCCTCGTGATGTTTCCGGAGGATCTCGTAAAGACGGCTGGTAGTAAGGGTTCGGGCAGGCAGAGTGCGCTTGCTACGTATTGCGTGGCGGATATCGAGGAGACGTTACGAAAGGTTGAGAAAGCCGGTGGGGCGGTCATTGTGTAAGTATCCATCGTATTGTATATTACGGGGAGGCAAGTTGAGATGCGCTTGATGCTAATTTAATGTATCAATGCCAGACCCAAGACTGCCATCGGTGGGGATATGGGATCATTCGCGCGGTTCGTGGATACGGACGGAAATCTTCAGGGGATCTGGGATCAGACAATGTAGCTGGTTACCTAGCTGACATCCCAGAAAACGACCTTAAGCCTTTAGTGAGACGGGCGTGGGCCGCTGCTACCTGCAAGGCAGTATACCAATATATCCGGAATATTCTTTCATATAGCCTTCTTTAGGTCAGCTCAGTTCGGTCTTACTCACTGAGGAGCCTCCCTTACGGATCATAAGGTATTTTCTATCTCAGATCAAATCGAAGAAGGCATTGCTGGCTTATCACAACGCTAAAACACACGGATCTTGGAACGTAATGACGGTGAATATTGCGACTATACCAGTGCTGTGTCTCTTATCTTTACTCTACTTTTACACATATACAAGCCTCTACGTTATTCCCCTCAATGGAATACCTTATTTCCCTTATTACACATTACTTGTAAAACATAGTATTTCCCTAGACAACTTCAGGCCTCAAGTTCCGGGTCATGCTCCATAAGTGCCTCCCGAAATTCCTCAGTATCTTCCTTTTTATCAAGAGGTCCCTTCCAACCCGCCGCGGCCTGGATCACCAGCACCATAAACGATAGAACCAGAGCCGCCTGGAACAGGACCTTCAAGCCATCGACGTAACCCTGAACAGCGACCTGCTGGTCAATGTCTCCGAGCCCACCATTGTACACGAACGCTGGACTGCCAATGAGTCTCGATACCAGCTTCTTCCGGCCCTGGCTAAGCTGATCCGTGCCATCCACGACTCTGAACCCCCTTTCCAAACTTCCCCTCAGCGTCCTCATGAATATCCCGCCTCCAATCGCACTGCCGAAGCTTCCCGCGAAGCCCCTGAACGTGCCCAGTAGGCTCGTAGCAATGTAATGGTTCTCCGGCAGCGTCAAGTGTAGCATATGGGCCAGGGTATAGTTCAGGGTGGCCCCAGTAAAAAGGCCATTAAAGAAGAGAGTCGTGATGTATACCCATATCGATATGCTGGGGCTGGAAGAAATAGAGAGTGTCAAGAGTGACACAGCGAATAGGGCGATAGACACGAGACAAGAAGTCCAGAAACTCCCCGCTCGGCAGACGTGCAGCCAGCCGACGAGCAAGCCCCCTGCACCGAATCCGATATTGGTGGGAATGAGCATGCTGCCGCTCGCCCCGGGGGACAAACCAAATACGGCGAGGGCGGTAATGGGCGCGTAGAATAGGACGGCCCAACGGGAGGCCATGAATCCAAATTGGGAGAAGCAAGATAGTAATGTACCGCGGTCTTGGAGGATGGCGATGGGAATGATTGGATCGGCGGCGACGAAGCGCTCAATGAGCACGAATATGATGAGCAAACCAAGGGAAACCAGGATAGGGGTAACCTCTATCTTTCCAGACAGGCCGTATAAGAAGCACACAATAGTAGCCGTCTGTAATTGTCAGTAAAGCACATTTCCATCATCCGTGACCTAAACTTACCAGCACCACAGCACCCAGATAGTCAATCTTCTTAAGTTTCGTGCTGATCGACACACCCTTACCCCCCTCCCCCTGCCCCGACGTGAACGACTTAGGGATGCTGAAGTACACGCCCAGGCCTGCGATAAATCCAGCAGGGACCTGGATCCAGAACAGAGCCCTCTGGATTTATTATTAGCGCACCATCATCAAATATCTGTACTCGACCACACTCACCCATCCCGTGACCGGAATCAAAATTCCGAAAACCACAGCCCCAAGCGAGATGCCCATCGTAAAACCCGCGTTTACCATGCCCACAAACAATCCCCTCTGCTTCTTACTCGTCAATTCCAGCACGAGAATAAAAGCCAGCACCATAAGCCCCGCACCTCCCATCCCGGTGACAACCCGTCCCAGGATGAAAACTGAGAATGAGTACGCCCCCGCCGTGATAACCCCCCCAAGAGCGAAAAACACAGACGCGACTAGCACCATGCTCCGCGGCGAGAAAATGGTAGCCAACCGGCCCGTCAGGGGCGCAAGTGACGATAGCGCGATGAGGTATGCGCTCGTGAACCACATGGCGTACTCATAAGCGTCTAGATCTTCGGCAATGGCGGACTGGGCCATCGTCATACCAGACATATTGCTCGCTGTACTTTTTGTTAGCACGAGCCGTCAAGTGACTAAGTAGCTTTAACTCGAGAAGTTAAATTGAGTTTTACCTTGCAGAAATATCAGAACATAGATACTGAGTATAATCGCCACGGCCCGTCTCGGGCTGACTTTCTGATTCGCTTCATCACCATCGGCCGCCGGCGCATCTTGGCACTCGGGGCTTGATGGTGCACTGCGGCTAGTCTGAGAGCTGGTGTCGGACCGGAGTAAGGGGGTCTGTTCAGACGCGACGGTCTGGCCCGGTGACGACGAGTCGTCGCCCTCGTATTGATCTGGCATAGCTGTAAGGTGGGTGTGATGCTGTTGGTGTGACGGGTGAGATAAAAGGGGATGGGAACGTAGTATGATCCCGAGCTTTTGGTTCGTGACGGACAGGAACGCGACGCTACAGGATCAGGAGCAGGGACGACAGGCAGCCAGCTTTGACGCCACTGGTTTGCTATCACGAAATTGTTGACAACAGATTAGGAGCTTTGGAGAACAGATGTTATAGATGGATGGACTGGTGCCATTGCGGAATTAACGGAAATCTTGATGGAAGGACAGTTGTTGATTACACACCTGATCGACATCCAATTGGTCATCCATCAAGCAATCTGATAACAGCCAAGCTCTCCAGGCTTCCGGTGTCTCCGCGTGTGCGACGCCCAGGTCCGAGGATCCGGGGCGCCTAAGCGAGACCACTGCAGGGGAGCAAGGACCCACTTCAGGTTCGACTTCCAGCACTCGAGACGAATATGGTGTACCACTCTTGGTACCGTTGTGTTTTTATGCTGGATGATTCGCAGGGCCAAATGAGAAAATCTTTAAGATTCAAGAGTAAAAGAACCTGATTAGAGACAGTCTTGTGGTTGTTCGTAGTTTATTTTTACAATTATATACAATATTATTGACTCCCACTACTTGAACGTTATTTTCTTGCTAGTGCATGTGGAGTTGGGGTACACAATGTCCTTGAGCTGTTGGCATGAGGAACCCCTATATCTCGTAGTCCATCACTACCTAAATCACCGCTCTAGCACATAAATGCACCCTTAGGCTTGTTTGAGAGTAAACTGGGCCAGAACGATGTCATACTGCCATGGCGGGCCGACCCTTTTGTTTCGCCAAAAAGCTGTCACACTGTCCTCTACTCACACAAGTGCCAGTTGGCTGGCTAGGAAAGCAAAACTCTTCCCTCGGACCGGCGCATGAAACCTAGAGACTCTTAAGCTGTCATCGAGGTTCTCCTTGGTTGCACGGTTTTCTCATTGTAACACCACCTCGCCTTCGGAACCTATCGTTTTTCCGTTGGCTGGATAGTTGTAGTTGAAAGACTTCGCTCCAGAGCAGCATGTGCCGGCGTGGCAAACTGATGACAATTGGGTTGGTGGTGAAGGGAAAGTCAATGTCGTTCGGCAAGTCGTTAGTCTTGAAAGGTGAAGACCGTGATCTTGGTGGCCCGCGACCCCACATGAGGCTCTGGCAGGAGAAGCGTGGCTCTACTCATGCCGCCCTAAGCTGCCAGAGTGAATTGCCGAAAGTCTTACTGTCATTGATAAGCCATTTGAACTGGGTTTATCCCAGTAGTTCAGCATTTTCGCCAATTAGAATTTGGATGACATCTAACAAGCAGCGAATATTCCGTGTATTGCTCTGGATACGACCCCAGGAGCTTGGTGCATACGCTTGCATGAGTTCGTGGGGTGCATCTTCTACACCAAGGCGAGTTTTGGTGTCTCAACAATAGTGGCTCCGCGCAGACGCCTTTCATGTGCTGTCTGGGGATGGCGATGTAAAGTGTTGAGTGTTGAGCCTGTCCTCCCTCGGCTCACCCCGGACTGTATCGTTTCACTTCATGATGTTCCGTGGTCGCAGGTTCAGAGTTTCCAGAGTTCCGCCGGAGATGTCCTAGCCCTTTGCCCAAGGTCATCGATAGCCTCTTGACGAAGTTGGGAGGGTGTTCGGTTGCAATTGACCCAGTTCGTCGCCGCCGGAGTATGACGTTGTGAAGATCGAGCTCTTCATTGCCGCTGGCTATGATGCGTAGTTGCTCCTCAGCACCCACACGAGCATCGACCAATGACCTGGCATCTCTCTTCAGGTCCAAGAACAACGAGAACATCGACATGATGACCAGAAGAGCGGGTACCACAATGAAAGCAATTTGATAGTCGCGCCCGGCTTGCTTGATTCCGTAGATAACAAAGGGCCAAAAGGCTGGTCCCGAGGCGCCCATGGTAATCCAAGCAGACGCACATTTGGTATGTTTGCCTTGTCCACGAAGTCCAAGGGCAAAGATCAAGGGCCACATGGGACCCTCGGAGAAGAAAAATAAGATGGCCGGAATTGCCAAAAGATTTGGGTTATTCTTTGGACGTAGTGCCGCCACCAGGATGGCGGACACGATCGTGAGTCCGGTGCAAATGGTGAGAACAGTCCGAGGCTGCGGAACTTTGGGATGCGTCGGTGATAAATAGGCCAGGTATGCTGTAAAGAATCGCGAGATGGCGAACGCAGTATGCCCTATGAGGAGGTAATCCGAAATAGATACAGACAGTTCTGCCGGATGATCGTCTCTGTTGGTTGCAGTGTCCCCAGAATTATCGGGTGTAAGTAAACCTCGAAAGAAAATACTCATAATCTCCTGGCCCGCAACATAGCACCACTGGGCGAGAACAGCCAAAGACAACGTCCATGTTCGCAGCTCTAGCCCACCGACACTCCGCTTTTTAGGATCCACCGGAAGCCATCTGGTAGAGTTCTCCATTTCAGCATCGGTGACCTCAGGTAAGGGCATGTAATAGAAGAAGAGAGCCAGTAAGACACAGAGCAGTGTGATAGCCAAGTATGTCCACTGAACATCTAACAAAGTAGCCGAGTCCGTCTTCACACTGCCCCCAATTTGCGTGAAGAATACTTTCTGAGCCAGCACACCCGCGACAACGGTAGCGACAGCCTGGACGCCCTGTGCGAGCAAAAGTCGCATCTCGGCGTAGTCCATGGGTCCACAGAGTGCGAGGAACGGGTTTGCAGCTGTCTCCAGAACGGCCAGACCGAATCCTACGATAAAGCTGCTGATCATGAATCCGGCAAATGACGTGAGCACGGCAGATGGCCAAAACATGATAGTTCCGGTTCCATAGATGCACAGACCCAGCATGAAGGTAGCTTTAAAGCCACCTATGGAAGGCATTCCGTTCGACTTTTTGGTGCGGCGATGCTCGTCGTGTCGGAGGATCCACTCGCCAACTATCAGGGGACCAAAGAAATATCCGGCTCCAAAGTACATACTGGTCAGTCCCAGTGTTTGAGCCACCGTCATATCTGCGACGGTGGCGATGACATTGTTGAGAGTGTTAAGAAGGCCATACGAGAAACCCCAAAGCACAAAGAGAATGGTGACTACTGTGCAGTACTTGAACGAATCTCTGGCCGACGTTCTAATCATAGACTTGGGCCGTTTCATATTGACGAAGCCGAAGTAAACAGAGTTGTCGGCGGAAGTCATGGTGATGCTGGTCCTGGGGACGAATGTCGGCGAGGTTGGGCCGGCCGGACCTGTCATATCTGGCGTTGTGAGAAAGTCCAAGGCAGTGATTTGGGAGTCTGAGCTGCCCTGTGAATGACTTGCTCTGCGCTGGGCAGGCTGAGCTTCCTGAGGTTCTAGGACTGGGCCGAGCATCGGTCCTCGGGCAGTGTGGCTCATCCTGGACGAGTCTGAAGGTTGTTTCTCAGTGTCCGAACCTTTTCGCAGAGTGCCGTCAGGGTCAATGATCATAGCCGGGAGTATGCGTACGAAAAGCGGCTTCAGAGTCGGGATGCAAGCACATGCTATTCCCACGTTGACCTCCACGGCAGACCACATCAACGATAGCGACGCATTCCAGGCGAAATTTGCTTGATCGCCAAAGGTTGCCTCGAGATTGTTGGATACACCTGGGGACACCGCCGTGATGGCCTGCTGGAGATAGTAAATGCGGACTACGTCAACTATTGTGACGAAGATACCCAGCGTAAAAGTAAGAACCAAGATAATCTTCTGTCGGTAGGGGATCCGCATGCCTGTAAGTACCGGGAGCGGCAGTGCTAAAATAGCGAGATCCGTGACGATATTGACAGGGGCAGAACATATGAACTCGGTCAGGAGGGGGATGCAATTGGCGTCGCCAGAATATCGATCGAATGCGGCCTGCACAGGACGACATTGAAAAATATTCAACAGCGTTAGAACAGTCCCAGCAACATTGACAACCCCCAGCACAACCCAGGACGCAAAGCGAAGGACTTGCTGAGTATTCCGAGATAGGCGCAAATAAAATATTAAAATTGACGTCTTCGTGGCCATAAGCGCGGGATTCTAGGCATAAGGTTAGTTGCGCATTCGGGTTTCAAGCTGCGACCTCGACGCACATATATAATAGAGAAGACATATTCGCAACGGCGAAGGTCATTCCAATCATCGGCCACAATGTCCGCATCATATCGTCCGAGGCCCTTCGTCGCTCCAAGATCGATAGTAAAGCTCAAGCCGAAGGCCAAAAACCAGGCGAGTACGATGAAATAGTCGTCCCAACTGATATTTCGCACGATTCCAAGCCGAGTGTACAACCGTGCAGCGACAAAAACAGAAGCCAAAACCAAGGTGGCCGTCGTTACCGCGAAGACGGCGGGACCGCGGTCGGGCACGCCGCCTGATCCGGCATCGGCAGCCGACATCGTTGCGGAATAGTTAAGAGTCCGTCTCACAGCTCCTCTTGTAACCTTGGTGACATCATCGTTCCATTTAGCTGGATTTACTGCGTTAAAGTCGAGTCAGTTTCTTTCTACTCAGGCTGAAACGCGCAACTTGTTGCGAGTAATAGTGAAACCAAGACATTTGAAGCCACCAACACGGGAGAGGTGAATAGGGCGGTGCCTGAAAAGTAAATTGGGGCCAAGAATCCAAAGCCGATCAGTCGAAGGTGGGTCAGACTGAATAACGGCGCTCCAGAAGATTGCGTCTCCAACCAGCGGTCTGCAAGTACCGCAGAGTTAGGACCCTCTAACAAGATGACTTGCTGTAGTTTGGTAGCGTAGAGGTGAGGAGACGCAAATGGGGGAGTGGAGGTTAGTACGCACACGGAGATGGCGGTGGAAGGAAAAAAAACGCAGGTTTTCTCCAATGGCAACTGACCGAGGCCAGGTTGCACATTTGATGTTGTCATCCATGTCAGCCGTCAGAGTAATCTGGATTGGCCAAAATTGGAAGCCCTTGGGAATCTTGACCCCAAGCCGCGCGGAACATTACCCCGCGTCAAAATGGAAATCCTGGGATGGGTATATGCTGATCATCAAAGTCTATCACTGTATTCTGTCTACTGCGTTTTGGTCTGTGTGCGGCTTGGGATCTCAAAAATGGCCGAACGGGCACCGCCGGTATGCTGAGCAAAGGAATCTTTGTTGGACCCTTCCCCTCTCCCCACCACCTTAAGCGCGGGAAATGCCAACTTGGTGCGTATTCGTTCGCGATGCGTCCAATGGCAGTTTGACGTGTCAGCACCCCGTTCTTTGCCGCCGAGAAAAATTGTCTTTCATTAGCGTCATGACCAACAGAACTATGACATAGACGTCGATTGTCTGCGAATCAAGTGTGACGTGGAGTGCCACCGGGATGGGTATCCCGTTTGCTCAAGTTTATTACCCCAGATTGACCGGGGTGGCTTGGCCGTTGCCTTTCGGTGAGATCATCTGGGATTTAAGGTGTTTGGGGGCAGTGTACCAAGCACGGAATTGCGATGGAGTGCCCAAGTGGGGTGCCATGGGTACCATGGCCACCAGTTATGAGACTTGCTGCCAGCCTCGGCGTTTCCTGCCCCCAAACTTTACTTTCTTTTCAACGTACTGGCGTCTTGACAGCCTCCAACCCATATCAACCCACATCATACACAGTATAACAGTATAGTAGTAAGTCCGCGACAAGTCCTGCGAGCCGAAAACATACACGATCGACATTTTCCTAGATTAATTGGTGCGACGCTGAGCACTTCGTATTAGACGCAGCCATGTCTAGGTTCTGCGTGTGCCAGTCATCCTCATGCAATTCCGACAAGGCGGCACCAGACTCACAAAATGGAGGGTTGCGAAGAATCGAAGACCGATGTGTGGATCTATTTCCCAATTCAGACCGTATGCCTAAAAAAAAAAGAAGGGTTGTCTTGTAAGCTTCTCAAGCGTCGTGGGCCAACTGGGCATGCATGAACAGGGGCAACAAAGGCAATGCGGCATCGCAAGAGCTTTTTGTCCAAATAGTAGTCTCCATGTGCTTGGGCGCTGTCGTTTCGAACATTAAACCAGCCCGCAGAACCTGTGGCCTGCAGTTACACTTGTGTAATATGGTGCGAGTAGCAACCGCAGTCTCAAAATGCCATCCTCGAGGCGGTCACTGCCATCAGGGTGCCTTAGTTGTTGACTCGCAAGGCCCTACATGCCCACTGAAATGTTTGGTCGAATTGCCGCCGTTGCTAATAGGCTGAGATGGATGCTGAAGGAGTGTTCGCCTGAAGCTGTACCACGGGCCACAAGGGTCATGATGGTGCAAAAGCTCCTTCATCTAACATCACTGGATAGATGATTGTGTGGCTGACATGTCGACTTGTGTGCTACTATGTAGGTTAAAGTATTGCACCGCTCCCTTCGCCCGGAAAGTAACAGGGCCACCTTCCCAAGTAGCGAACGGTATCCAGAAGTCGAAGACATCGATGCTGTACTAATGAGTCCAAAATTTTGCATTTCAATTAATTCATCCACCTCCAATGGGATATGGTAACGTGGATTCGAACGAGTATACACGGGTTTGAGGACGGACCTGATTGGCCATTTTCAAAGTCCGATTAGATACACCAAGTCAACAATTGTTAATGATGTTTGGGTGACTAGATAAGTTCCGGCATAGAAGAAGTACCAATTAAACAAGAAACGAGCCGCGTCGTATTACAAAGCCTAAATGTTCCGAGGTTCATAATGGGTGAAGGCGGGCAGGTGGAGTCCGGAAAATCCCTAAGCCAATGGGCGTTACCTATATTCCGATTATCCAGCAAGCACAGACCTTTGAGCTACCGAGCGGCAAATTTACAGATATCATCAACGTCAGGAACGCCATTTCCCGTGAGATCTTGGCCGGAGCTCTCCTAGCAATCTATCCTTACACTCTCCACTCCAAGTTGAAGGTCTTCTCATCTCCAGTTTCATCTTGTCCGCCAGTAAAGATGCTGGCGTCTTCAAGAAGAGCAGCCTCAATGGTTCTGAGAGGTGCGCCTTATTCCCCAGATTCGTTCTCCTGCTCAGAGATGCGCTCCTTATGAAGCCAGTAGCTGACTCGAGATACTGAACATAGCGAAGCCAACGAACCAATTAATTCCCCTACGGTCTATTGCTGCCATTTCGACAACGACGAAGAAAGATGCGACCTCGGTCGCCCCCCACAGCTCGACGGGTCTCATGAGCCGGCCAAGAAAGGAAGTCCCGCTTCCCAGTCAGGAGGGGACAAAGGGCGTCGTTCAATATGCATTGTATGTCTAGCTTTGTCTCACCATGAATTGTTGATGTACTCGGATGGAAGATTGACCGATCTTTAGAACCACCCTCGATCAAATCACCAACTGGGCGCGCCAGTCGTCCCTGTGGCCCATGACGTTCGGACTCGCCTGCTGCGCCGTCGAAATGATGCATCTCTCCACGCCGCGATACGATCAAGATCGTCTCGGAATCATTTTCCGAGCCTCCCCCCGCCAATCCGACGTCATGATCGTTGCCGGCACCCTCACCAACAAGATGGCCCCGGCCCTGCGCCAGGTTTATGATCAAATGCCCGAGCCGCGATGGGTCGTCAGCATGGGAAGCTGTGCCAACGGAGGAGGATACTACCACTACAGCTATAGTGTTGTCCGAGGCTGCGACCGAATCGTCCCTGTCGATGTTTACGTGCCCGGTTGCCCGCCTACGAGTGAGGCGCTGATGTATGGTATCTTCCAGTTGCAGCGCAAGATGAGGCAAACTAAGATTACGCGGATGTGGTACCGAAAGTAGAGAGCGGAGGATTGCAGGAGACATAGACATCATTATGGGAACTCTCTTTTGTCGGGGGATTGGGGGAGCGGGGGCGGGACTGTACATATTACTACTGTTGGCCGCATGCACACAAATGGTCTGTATAGCATCCAGCCAGTTCAGACAATTCAACCGTGATTGCGACTGGTGAATAGCAGAGACTTTTAGATCCAGCAGCCTAGTTCCCTATATCTGGTATCAGAAATAAAAGTGGGTGAAGTCCGACGTATGACTAAACTTCTTACTTGGTTGCACGATCACAAGGATTGTGGATAGAGGCCTAATATGATAAGCAGGACTATCCATCCGCAATCTGCAAGATTTGGAGCCAACAGAAATAGGCGGGTGCAAGTCGATACAGGTTCCTGTTGGTATCCCCACATTCTACTCAGTTATTGACGGATTGATTTGTTCATCACCGGGCATCGTTGGGGACAATCCAGGAAACCAGGCCACGAGCAGCTGGTAGGAACTCATCTGGATTTACGCCATCGTGTCACAACAATATGATTGTCATGCCTCTGACCATCAGTGATTCACACCAGACGCAAATACATACTATCCAGACTCCTCCGCTATTTACTCCCTTTTCGCCACTTTGACTTCCCATTATCAAACCCTAAACCCAGCGTCTTATGCACCTTCCGGCGGAAGTCAACCGCACATATGCACCGAATCCCAAGTCGGAACATACATACATACTATATATACTCTTCGACTTTCCGAAATCTCCCAAACGAGAAAGATACGTTGAAAATTAACTACACTACACCAGACGAACAGCGTCGCTCCCACAACAGTGTCCTTATGCCTGAGTTCTTCCAGCCCTGCGCCTACGGCTACCACAAGGACGAAGGACTCCGACCCGATGACTGTCTAATAGAGGCCTGGAACTTCTAGAACTCGTTTGCGCGGACGGGTTGCAAGATGAGTTATCAAGCCTCTGGAAAGGGATGGCTAGACTGTTTGTCAACACCCAATACGTCGCTGCGTTCCGCGTGGAGATGGTGTTATTTTTGTATTAAGACTATATACATCATCAAATCAGAACTAACTGTGGGTGAAAATCCACGGCGAAAACTAATTGATCAAGAGAGACGAGACTCCAGTTTGTTCAAATGTTATCCTCACCCCTGAACCCCTCCAATCTTCATTCCGCATATGAAGCCTCATCAGCAAATCATTTGCACGCACTGCCTACAGCACAGCCAGCAAGACGCCCGCAACAGCAGCGAGAAGTCCCGAGGCACTGCTTATCAGCTCAGCAGCCCCATTCGTGTGGGTGGCTCCGGCCGCCGAATTTGTAGAAGAGGAGGTGGGATCGGTCTCCTGGGCCCCGTCAGTGGAGCCGGTCGACTTCGTGCCTAAGGGGGTCGTGGCGGCCGCGACTGTGGAGCCACTGTTGGTTGCGGCTGCCGTCGCGGTCATGGATGAGTAGAGAGAGGCGTTCATGCTGTGACGATTTCAGGTCAATATTGGTCAAGATCGAATCGAGGCTTTTGTTTCGTAGGATCGAGATGGGTCGTAATAGGGGGGGTGTACATTGGGTCGGACTTGTACAAAGGTCTCCCACACACAAGTCTTGTCCTATGTCAGGGTTTGTTCTGTTTAACCACTCACCAGTAAAGTTCCTTCTGGTTGCTGTAGCTCGAGGACCTAGAGTCGCCAGGGCAATTGTTGAAGCAACTGGTACCGGTACAAGTCATCAGCACACCTTGTCTGTGTTATTTACTACGTCCAAAGACGAGAGTGTGCGTACGTCATGATTGCCGTATATTTGTCACACAGGCAAGTATAATCGGTGGATGTGCATTGGCTCACGTAGCCTTCAGTCGTAGAAAGGCAAGCCTCCAAGATGGGCAGCGCAGCGCAGGCCGTTGATCCGCCGCTCGAAGACGTGGTCTGCGCCGAGACAGCGGCGGCGAAGATGGCAATGGGGAACAGGACACACTTCATGTTGCTGATGGTTTAAATCAGGTTAATAGTGAGTGACAAGTCGCGGGGTTGAACGAAAAATAAGACACAGGTGAATGATGGTATGAAGCGAATGTTGACTTTGCTCTGTCCACACTACGAAGCAGAAACAGAAAAAGACATGTGTACAACGTGTCAAAGAACGGCTCGGCCCTTAATAATTTAAACAAGACTGAATGTCGCACGATGTATAAATATTGGCATGACATGAGAGAAAGGTTCGAACTCTGTCCTGTGCTCACGAGTCTATTCCCGATCAACTTCTAGCGCTAGGGGCAACGACTGGACAATAATCGGATCATCACGAGAATTCATCTACATGTTGCAGGTTGATTCGCAGAGGACCTCCTAGTTGCAGGGCTGATGAGCTCCATCAACGTTCGTACCCATAGCATTGCCACCGAGTCAGCGATGTACAGCAACGTGGAACAAGAGAAGAGGTTGAACTCGATGTTCAATTTGTGGTTACTGCAAGTCGAGACGAATTTCCACCGAAGTCAACTGAATTAGACTTCGTGGCGGCTTCGAGGAGGCGACCAGCCTACGCTGATTGGGTCATCTCCACATACAAAAATAGTGGCTTAATGCAGGAGTTAAACAAAGCGAGCAGGCTCCCGAGATTTTGATCTAGCCGGGCAGCAGACGTTGCACTGCAGCAACTAGGCCTGGTTCAAAGCTGCTGACTCTTCGCTCAGAATTCCGTGAACATATTCTATCAACAGCGGATAATGTGCTGGAGGACATAGGTGCCAAAAATTTGAATCGCATTCCCCCGACGTCACATGAAAGTAAACAAAACATGGGTTGGAAAAGCATGTGATAAGCTAAAGCGACGAAATCGGTTGCAATGACGGTTATCAGGGTTTGAGGATATCGGATGACAGGCTGATAATGGCGGTAAAGGGGCGGGTTGTGCCTTCGTGTTCGCCCTCCTAAAGTAGCCGCTTCGGACAGTGTGAAGTTTTAGTTTCGTCTCCAAACACTGTTTTGGTGCAGCCATGCCGCACTTGTTACACCTCGCAGGATCCCCAGGGAGTCTGTGTATCCAAACGATGCAGAATGCAAAGCGAAGGAAAACCTCATGCTTCAGGACATTGTCCCTGTCTCCTCACCATGCTGAGACTGGGGCCGTCCCAACTTCGCTCGCAGATGCTCATTCTCCAGCTCCAGCTCCTCAACCCGCCTGCGTATTTCCTCCGTCTGCTCCGAGGCTTCGACGCTGAACTCATTGACAATCTTGACAAACCTCCACAGACGCAAGATGACGATCAGTGAGGCTATCTCCTCTGCCACACCGTGCTCCAGCAAATCGATTACAAAGCTCCCACCGATGACAAAGGCGTCAAAGCAATGGAACCAGTTGCTGAGGTACCTGTGGCCAATATCAGCTCTACGAATCAAGGAAGGTAGGGGTATCGTACTTACTGCAGTCCGTCTGCCCAGAGACACAGGATAAGCTCCAACAGGAACAAGCAACTCATAACCAAGGAGAACGATGTCAAGGCTTCCCTCGTCGGATTGACCCATTTTTGATCGCGGATTTCCAACTCGCAGGTGATCAAGGCGATGAAGATGTCGCTCAATATCCCGGCAACGTCGAGGATGATGAGGAAGAGGATCAGCCAATGCTTCGTTCTGGAGGTGAGGAACTTGGAAGTTGCCCGGCGAGCCTTGCGATATCTCGACTTCCAACTCGTGGAATACCCATTGCTGCCGCCGCTCTCGGGAAATTGAACTAAAGAACGAGTCGTATCACTACTTGTCTCAGACCAGAGCTTGCATACCTAGACGAAAGGCATCGTCCAAGTCCGGCTGCTCTTGAAGCCATTGGCCTGACAATCAGGCTGTTTCGCGATTTCGACTATTGATCTGATAAGACAGAAACCAACTTACCTAGTAGAGGAGTTGAATCACTCATACTTGCAACAGCTGGCCGCCCAACGAAACGGTTACAGCCGAGCTGTGGAGTGAGCGAAAAGCCAAGCTCTGGAGCCGAAAAGTGAGTGGTTGAAGACTGGGACCTATTGGCGAAACGGGTACACCCCAGTCTTGGCGCCGTTGTGGGTAAACATCGGCCTTCGATCCCTGCTCAGTGTCCCCCTGCAACTTCCCACCCAGGCATCTGAGGAGGGGGGACTTTCAACCTCTGTACTCTTGAATTTTGGCTTCCCAATACCACTATCTAGCTGCAAAACCATGTTGACAATCAGTCGTTCCAATGTCCCTCAGAAATGCCCATGAGCCTCAGAACAACCCACGAGATAGGGAGGAGCCCCTTCACCCGTTGCATTGGAGAAATCTAGGTGGGAAAATCATAATGCCATGCTTGGGCGAGAGGGTCAACAAATCGTAAATGACAGTACCATTTGACAGGGAAGATCCTCTGTCCCAAACTCTGCGCCTTCTTTTCAAAAAATGTCCAGTGAAGAAGAAAAGGCTAAGGTTGAGACAGAGGCGGCATCCTCAGGCAGTGTAGGGCCGCTTAAGCTCTTCGATAGCACCGCGAGTGCAGACAACGGGATCGGCACCGTCTTTACCGACGGAATACGAGGCCATCGCACCAATACATGGTCCAGAGGAGACGTCTGCTAGCCTAGAAACCTCCTCAAAGACGATACTCCCGTTACTTTGATCATATCCTGGGGCTTGATCTTCTTTAACACTCGACCAAATCCGACCGATCATCTTCGTAGCACATAGCATTAGATTCATCATCGTCAAAGCAGCTCCAGTCAGCACGATGCTTAGTATAAAATTCAGACGAAACGCCCCCTCAAGCGATATTTACACACACAAAGTAGGTTTCATCTTCTTCGGAATTCCCCATCGTGGCAGCGACAAGGAGACCAACGGGGAAACAGCCATAGCCATCGCTAAGGCCACGCGCCGCCAACCGAACGATAAGCTCCTCCGAACACTAAGAGAAACTTTCTCCGTCTTAGATACATTGAACACTTCACAGCCATCTCAAAAGACATGCCCGTGGTGTCTTTTCATTTTCATGAAGAGCGCCCTGCGATATTAGCGTGGTGCATGTTATAATCCCAGAACGATCCTTATTCTCGATTTTCTTTACGATTCTAATACCATGGACCCCCGTCGCCCTGTCGCTAAGCCAAATAACAGCACTTACTTACGAATACTAACAACTTAAGTATAAGCGATTAAAGCCAGTTCTTACACAAAGATTTTAGATACAGGTAGCTAAATCGACAGCGTTCACTTATTTATTATTTTTAGGGTGTCAAGTAGCCCTGCACCGCACAAAACTTGAAGTATCAAATGTATTTTATAACATACAGCTTTAAACATCTGTTTACATACTAGCCCTTCAACCACGCTACGATACCTCCTCGCAGCTGGATTACATACACGGAGGCACATATAATTGAGAACATAAATGATATTACCGACAATAGCCTATCCCAGAACATATCAGCCCAGGAAAATGGAGTCTCATAGAGGACTGTAGCTAACCGTCTTAACCGTATTAGACGGCCATAATATAGCCAGATACGGTCGGGTTCGCGCCTTCCTAGCTCTACGAAAATTAATATTATTATGTATCTTTAAAGCAAGAGTCCATTAGTTACGCCCTTTCGTATAGCCAAGTTAAATCCGCGATTTCGGCTCCTCTATAGCAACAGGGCTATATACGACCACTAGGATGTAATTAGCTGAATCGCTTCATTTCAAAGTATCAGGACATTAAGACTGATAAGCCGCCGCTAGGAAACATTAAGGTTTAATAGATTTGCCCCCACATTCATTAATTAGTACTTTAACATCCGGGATAAGCAACAAGAATACTATATATATAGATAAGGGCGGCATACTAGTTGCTTTTGTAACGGGATACCACATGTCTCACGATGATAATCAGGTAGTGGAAAGAGCGACTGATGATGTGTGAATAATACGGGTGTGTATATTGCAAGACTGATTCTTGAGGAATCTAGGTTTAGTGGGAGCGCCCGAGATCTCCTCCTTGGCTGGGACGATTCCCGAGTTCTACCGGATCGGGGCGGAAACCGTCCCGACTCAATTCGTCAGCCGAGGCCGGCCCGCCCGGACGACTCTTCCTTCCAGCTTTAGTAAGTAATTAAACACTAGATATTAAGAGCCAGATTCGCTTGTAATCGGCTTTACCGACTCGAAAAATAAGACATTTCTACAAAAGCATTCAGAGCCGGCAATATACCTCATTTATCAAGCTATAGCTGCAGATCTGTGACGGTTGTCACGTGATTGACCTACACTGGTCTGAACAGATTGATAAGTGGTTGCAGATATCAAAGTCAGGGACTTTGGTATTGGTCTCTTTTAGTGAAGACATCTGGTACGGTGGCGTAGTGGCAAGGATTGCAACCCCTAGCACGGCGTGACAAGATCGGCGACTCCTATAGCCCAGAATTATCTTCAAGGTTAAGGAGTTACAAAAGTAGTGACTTATTAATAAGTTTCGCAGTCGTACCCGTAATAGAATTTTATAACTTCACCAAATCGCTCGATAAATAACGAGATTAGCCTCTTATAGCTAAGAGACATGTATAATCCTTAACCTAAGCTAGAGGAACCCCTCTGATATTAGATCAATTATTCTGGATAACCACCACAACAATACTTCTGTAAGTTTAACATTTAAATATCTTATATCCACTCTGATTCAGTTAGTAGGATAAGTGGATAATATCTGCTTTCTGTGGGAAGTTGTGGCCTCAGGTATGGAGAAGTACGAGGCAGGCAGGTACGCGTTGTAGTATTTAGAGACCGCTCGGGGCCAACTTGGAATCGGCCCCTAACGCACCTTCATAGTACCAATACAGCCCCTAATACTTGGATTCCGACACTTTCTGCATAACATATATTGTTATCATTTACTAGCACACTACTCTCATAGCTTAAACCGGCAGATAAAGGCCCCTGTAAATCTCTTCAGTGTATGTACCGCGCCCAAGTTAAACAGTTCACAAACTTGTCCAATCCGACCCCTACAGATAAAGGCAGGCTTATCAGAGCCTATTCCGAAGCATGCAAGGCTAGAACGAAAGCGGTGATAACATCCAGCTAGAGTAAGACGGTTAATTAGCCAAAAATTCACTTTAGCACCTAGAAATATAGCAGGGTACAGCTGTACAACCGGATACGACCCCTGAGCTAGAGGGCTCCCATAACGCACCTACCACAAGCCGACAAATCCGTGATATGGCCAGAAATCAGAGTCCAACATCAGAGACCTTGCTTCCAAGGCCGACAAGAGCATGGGAAATAATGACATCGAATTGGCTGCCGAAAGAGCAAGGATGCCCATTGCAAGGGGAATTAGACCGGTTGAAAATGGGTAAGAAGTGTAAGGCTATCCCGACGCTGTATAGGCGGTTTATGGACATTAGAGAGGCATTGGCGGCCGGCAGATCCATCACTGAAAACGCCTTAAAAGGCCCTGACGCCCCGGGGGCTAGGGGTGTTGTGGCTGTTGAAGAAGAAGAAGGTAGTAGGGTCAACAGTGGTCAAGGGGCGGACAGCGAGCCGGAACCACACCGCAAGACTACAAGATCGAGTGGCTCTATCAATTTAGCAAGATGTCAGCCGCGTACGACGGTCTCAATTTGCAACAAGCTCTATCCTGGAAACCCACATGGATATGATGGATTTTGACAAAACAACCGACCCAGGATGTGAAAGAATTCTACATTACCTCAAAGAACTTTCCCAAAAGGATGGGGTGCTGAAGTGCGGAACTGAGGAAGGTACGTGAGTTTCTTTCTACTTCAATCAGGTGCTAGGGATGGGTTTCAAGTTACATCATAGGTAACGAAATCTCCGAGAACGTAAATCAACCTTTGCTAACGCTAGGTGCCAACAGTATTGACAAACACCCAATTGCAAGAACGTGAGACACACCATCTCGAATAATCCGGATCGCAACTAAAATAGCCGAGCTATTGCAGACATTAGGGTTCTCCAGAATCGACCTGACGGCAGACCGAATAGACAGCACATATGCACCAACTTGTGTTGGAGCCCGTCTGATGCAGCTAGGAGTAGAAAAAGGCCACTCCGAACGTTTCTGCCATGGCTCGCATCCGACGGATCTCTCTTTTGGATCAGTGGCAAAGCTAGTTCCGGGAAGTCCACGCTGATGCAACACCTACATGAGAACAGTGGCGCTATCAGAAAATCGTCGCGGGCCTGCAAAACATCAGTGACCGTAGCAGCCTTTTCCTTCGTTGACGAAGGCACTGGTGTCCCCCGGGGAAGCTCCGCCAATGTCAATCTGGAACACCACCTCCCATTGACACTAGCAGAGACGCCCATGCGCATTACCTACCAGATATTGAAAGTCGACAGACATTACAAAGGCCGTCTATCCCGAGAACTTCATCAGGTAAGACCATCTTATGTCCCTGACGAGAAGGTGGGACCTTTTATTAGATGCAGCAGTGATGGGAAACTGAGTACAACTCCCTCTTTTGTGGGCTTCGCATCAAATCCCCGTGTTCGAGAGCTTGGAGCCTTCAACCCCGATGTGAAGGTACGTGTTGTAGACAACTGGAAAAATTAGCGCTGTGGAAACAAAACTATTGGCTTCAATAAGAAGTGGATGGACTGATGACATCGTATCCAAAGATGGAAATCAGCTCTTGTGTCTATTAGATACTCGGGAACCGTTGTTGCGCGGCACTCCTCTACGGACGTGGCAACGCCTTCAAACACACCTGTTCAGATTTGGCCAGGCTCATACCGGGACTAAATTAACTCATTTGTGAGAGGGTTGGCAGCTGGGCTGTCCTTGTCGAAGTTGAACTATCCAGATGCTGTTCGCTCAAAAATCCACCTGTGCCATATTCAATCAGTTTGTGTATTGCTGTGATGGTAAGTCTCACAATATGAGTGCGCTCTTGAATCGCTTGACTTCCAAGCTATCGATATAGGGGCAGGGGTTTGGGGGGTTGTTGGCACTTATTCTATCTGCGAGGACAATGTTCTTGAAGCCACAAGTTTTCCTGGTGTCATTGTACTATTTCAATCGTGTGTAAGTTCTGCATCCCTGGTGATTTCTTGCTTCGAAACTTTGCTGAACGCATATTTGGAGGTTTGATGCTTTCCCACGCTCGCACAAAAAGCAAGTACTGCGAAGGTCAGGAATCTTCCATCAGCGCCAAGTTGTGGCAAGCTGTACATATGTGGACACTGGTAAATTCGGGGGGCGGTAACATAATTTTCGAAGCGGCTCTTACCACCATTTATCGCTTCCATTACTCAAGGAAGCAACCTAATGAAGGTCGTTGACTTTCTCATGAACTTGATCAGTCTCGACGTCTCTTGGGATCAGAAATGCATGCAACACCTTCCTGCTCCGCTCGAGTCCCGTGGAGTTCTCAGTTTGGCTCGACGAATCTTATTATACTCTCTACGCTTGCGGGATCTGTCATTGATCTATATCTTCTGGTAGTCCCAGAATGCTTGCAAGCTTCTAGCTCGAAAGCTGCTAATGTACCTTGTAAACACCTTGACCTGATTAACTTTGTTCTTGTACTTCACAGCTTCGTTAAGCTCCATGCATACTTTTGAGAGCTCACACCAGTGGTCACCCGAACGATTAAGTCAAGTTCCCAATCATCCTCCAGCTGGGCGACACGTCCGTGGTCTGCTGAAGTTTGTAGCACATTGAAGACAACCTTCCCTCCATCGTCAGTCTGTCTGATGCGAGTGTTCTCCGGTTCTATCAAATACTCCTCAATCCTTCTAGGGACGTGGATATACCGATATTACTTTCTACTTCCCTTCCAAGGAGGAAACGGCGTGGAACCCAGCAGGTTTTGAGGAGACTTACTCACCAAATAGTTGTATGATCAATTCAATGGGTGAGACGGTAAGGCGATGTTTGCCGCATGATGATCCTGCTCCCGTGACACGCGGCTCGAGCCAGTTGATGAGCATACGTCTGGTCCTGGGTTGAGATTCCATGGAAAATATATTTAATGGCAAGCGGGTGTATGGCCTCTTTCAGCCCATAAGCGTGAGACTCCAAGACAAGATGATATCTCTTGATACGATCCAGGTAGACGAGGGGCTTTTACAAAAGAGTTGAAGATGGTTCGAGCAAACGAAGATGCTGAAATATACACGCCCACCAACAATTTAGACTATTCCTGTGTCTTGAACTGAGTCACATTAGCCCCCTGCAAAGAGTATCAAACAAATCGCTACGTGTAGGCTCATAACGATCATGCATTAGATGCTATGACGATTATATGTCCTTAATGAGGTAAAACGGGGGATTTGAACATGTCCTTGGTAAATATGATGTGAACATGCTCTTCTCATCCAACATATCCAAAATCGCATACCTGAATATTCCTTTTCCATCACCGAGTTCATGATGTCTACTCAAACAACCCTCGGCACACCCATGAACCCGACAAGACAAAACCTGAGAGGTCAAGCCTATGCTTGAGCTAATGTGGAAGTGATAGTTTACTCCTTGGAATATAGTAGCGGATACTTCCTACTTGGAGTCGTGTCTTAATCCTTAATGTTATTTTATAGACATAATCCTTATGGATCAAGAACGTAGCCTGATCAAGTTGTCCAATGCCTTGCTTTAGAGTGACGAGGACAATGGCAATGCGGCGTCAAGCTCCAGGAGTGGAGGTAAGTTGACTCAATTGGCATGGCAAGGCTGTTAGGTGACCTCATCCCTACCATCTAGGGGGGTGCATCATGTATGCCTCAATGCCTTCCTTTTAAGTAGCTACGTGCTGATCATAGATTGCCTGGGCATGTAGATAGACAATCTGTCTTTGGGTCTTTGGACAGATGACTTTGAGTCTTAGGGCCGACCTCATTCATTTGAAACCTACCATTTATGCATCAAAGACTCAGGATACCATCGGCTATGAATGGTAGATAGCCACAAAGCGTCACCACCTCATTCGCCCTACCCAGTCTCCCCAGAAGTAGCTTGTGACCATTTTCCAAAATTCCGGATCTGAAGCACTCTAGGTCCCTCTCGCTTGCTCATGATGTCGTGCGTCTGCCGCACCGAGTTCCCAGCCAATACCGTCATGGAGCGAAACCCACCCTCCCAATTCCCGCGCGACGTCAGCCTTAAGTCCAATCCATCCATCGAGGCATGCATTCATCGGGCCATGATCATGCGAACCCCACCCCGCTCCTCCACACCACCATCGCCAGCCATCACCTGCATTCTACTCCTGCAGTACCCACCTCGCGAGCATTGGACGAATAAATACGAGAGCGAGAGACGAAGAAAATTACGCGTAACTATGTACATTCGCTCCCCCGCTCCTCACGGCCGAGTGTAGGCCGAAGGACCCCTCCTCCAGTGATACATCGGCGGCACAATGACGAGAAGCGGCCTGGTTAGTCCTTAGATGACACGAGCCTCAACGATCCCTCTTTTCACATTTCTCCAACTTTTAGCGCCAACTGTTATGCAGAGTCGTGTTAGTCTCGCGGCCACGCTACCCCATACCCCGGACTTTCCCCCCAATTCCCCTAAATGTACCCCAAAAAGAGCTCCGCAGAGCGGGCCGCCCTGCCGTTGCCCCTGAAATCGCGCAGTCAAAAAAAAGAAGATTTCTTTTTCTAGTTGACATGTTTGTTTCTGCCATTGGATGGTGGGCATTTCTGCTTTGGATAGTGAACCCGGTATTGGTCAATATCGGCTTTGCTTCTGACGAATACCCCTAAAAAGCACTGCGGAGCTCGTCATGCCGCCATAACCTGCCTATGTCATGCATTGCGGTGGATGTAGGTAATTCAGTAGATATAGCAAGCAGGTGATCATGGACGTTGGTATGGCGTTCTATGTAAACAAACTGCCGCTAAAGAAAAGCCCTGCTTCCGGGTCCAGGCACACCGACTTCGCGAAACTGCATAGCGACCTGGGTTTCCTCTAATTGTGTTGATCATGTACCTATTAGTCTGTGCTGCCAAGTCATATCATGTCCGTCCATTCTGCAAACGCCGCCCAAAATGACGAGGGGCAAATGATGGTTCATGCAGTTCCACCCCATGTTGGATATTCGGGTAGCACCGAGACAGTCCCGGACTCACCAGAGGCGTGGCACATGTTCCCAAAAGCCAATATAATCTGACTTGCATCACAACTTTGACACATGATCGTCTGCATGGGTTTTGGTGCGCGCCTCTCGTCTATGCTGTTGTCACCTTGTCTGGATCTGGGGTGCAACGGACAACGTAAAGCTTTACGTGGTCTTCTATTATTGATAGCTGCATGAGTCGTTGCAGGAGCTGGCCAGAAACCAGTTTGTCCAATGTATAACGGTGGTCTGATCATATGAGTGGGCTTTTAAGTTGATCACTGGGAACATGCAGTGAGCTTGGTGCTGGAATTGCACACGGCGAGCTGGTTGGTGATGCCTCTGAAATCGCGGAGGTTTTGAGACCGGATAGCACTCGTTCCATATCAGAATCAGTGCTCATCGAGCGATCCGGATCAATTGGGCTTCGGTAAGATAGCTATCTTAGATCTCAAAATATGGTTATACAATGCCCTCCCGTCTTGCCGCCTTGCCGCCTCACGTTAGTGGTCAATTCACATTAGGCCAAGTATCAAATGTCTCAAATCAAATACATGCCCTCGTAGAACAAATCTACCTTCCCCAAAATAGTTTTCCAGATTGAACACCGTTCCCAAAATGTCAGTTACTCGTAGATCTCCCTGAATGACTCGTGCAAACGCCCTATAAGTGCCCTTAAAAGGTGTAACATGCCTGCAATTACGGGAGGTCTTCCAGGTGCCAAAAACGCCAAGCCAGTGAGTAAGCCAAACCAGTGTTAATGGCATTGTTTGTGTGCCTCGTGTTTATGTATGCTCGTTATCGTCGAATTTCAACCTTGCACCCCAGCAAGGAAGAAGTCAAGGTCGTTTCCGGGACCATGCGCGTTTTCGTTTTCCGCCAGCTGTTCCAGCAGGCACAAGAATGGATCCTTTTCTTCTGGCCCGGTTCCAGCACTTCCATTGTGGCTCCTGGCCCCAGGGCTGGGTGCCACATGGGGCTGTTTGCGATCCTCGTCCCCTCCATGCCAGGCGGCTGGGGAAGAGAAGGCATTCGTCGGAAGGGTTCCGAACATTGGGTCATAACTGCCAGTAGTCGCGTTTGCGCCGCCGGGTTGTCCGGCGAGTGTGGCGAACTGATACGGGGGAGAGAAAGCAGTCGAAGAGAGCGCTGGCATGTGATGGGATTGGTGAGGGTTCGAGAGAGAGAACCCTGCTGCTGCCGCCGCCGCAGCGGCCGCGTTGGCTGCGGCATCTTCTATCGGATCTCTCATTTGGTTCACGGGTTGTTGGTGTTGCCCAGGGCCTTGTTCTGCGTGTGGGGGAAGTGATGTCGGGCTATGGAGTACTCCCGGTGATGGATGCGGCACGGATGAGAAAGAATGATGTCGGGGCGGGCCACCAGGGGTAGGTAACCCCGGTGTTGGGGGCGGGTTGTGTCCGGCTGCGAGAGCCCGTAGGTCAGGCCGCTTGCGTCCCATGCTCATCGTACTCTTCCGCTTCAGATTTTGCCTCTCTTGCCTAGGCTCCGGGTGACTATTGACTCGCGGTGCATAAAGATCGTGGCCAGTGTAGGTGTCGGTGGTAAAATCGATAATCACGTCACACAGGCTCAGATTCGCGGCGTCGAAGGTAAATGTCTGTCCGTCGGGGCCACCGATGTTGTAGTATCGGTCGAAGAAGTCTTCTAGGTGGAAGACTGGAGAATACCGCATGGGGTTATTGGCTAGGCTCTTGGCTAATTCGGCGTGCGCATTGTAAATGCCCTGGAGAGTCTCTCGTTGGTGTTGAACGCTGGCCCATGCATAGCGGAGCTCGCTCAACTGCTGCATCTCGCGAGACAAGAATTCGGCCGAAGATGAGAATGCGCCCGATTCATTCGTCGTATTCTTGTTATAATGAGCCCCGTGTATATGCACTGTACCTGCTGTGCAGATGCAGTACCCCACAAATGCTGGCCACTCAATCGTGGTCGTCTGCTTACCGAGCTCTACTAGCTCTGCTATAGCATTCGCATGTAAGAAGCACATATTAGTTGCTTCGATTTGCCAGGATTGGTGTTGCCCCGTACCAGCTAGCTCAGCCAGATCGATGGGTATGAATGGTCGGTAGATAAGGCAATGGATCAGATGGTATATCAGCTTGCTAAGAACCAGCACAGTTGAGTCGGCTTGTCCGAATAGAGTGTCCACGCTTGAAAATACGTCGTCGGTGCCCGATGCCCAGATATCGAGGTCTTGCCGGATTTTGGAGAGGTTAGAGAGCGTGTGCCAAGGAAAGTGAGAATCGCCCTTAACACCACCAGCTGCCAAGTACCTGTTCGTGATACCCAGGATGCGACTGATGTCGATGAGCATGCCGCTGCTGCCCTGAGACTTCTTTCCACTCCCCTGGAGATACTGTAAATTGGACCCGTTTTGGAAGAATTCCCCTTCGATGGGCATTGCGGCTGGAGTGGGAGACCAGCAGGGTAATCGTAGTAATATCGTTTTGTCCCCGACCAAAGCCGGGCGTTTGGATCCGCACGCCATAAACCTATCAAGCAAATAGCATGTCCAGAAAAGGCGTCGTCTCATCTCTCGTTCCACAGGTGTGATGCGGGCGTTCATGTCCACCTCACGATGTAATTCTAGGGCCATAGCCATTCCGATGGCATAAGCTGCAACGGAGTTAGTTCTGGGGTTTGTTCATAGCAGGAGACTAGGCCATGCATACTCATTAGCATGTAAGCTTTCTTGCCCTTGCCAGCTGCGGTGAAGGCAGTGACGAGCAAGAGCAAGGCCTGAAGTGCGTCGACGGATGGCTCATCGGTGTCAATCTCGTTTCGTGCTCGCGAGGCATGGTCTTCGCTCAGCTTCACGGCCGATTGATAACCACTAGGATGAGGTGTATATCTGGACGGAAACCGTTAACCGAGATTCAACAGATGCGAATGGAAAAAGGCAAGAACCACGTACCTGGCTGCGACTGCGTAGATTGCATGCACAAGATAATTTGGCAATTGATTAAGCTGCAGTCTCTGGCGCACTGTGGATTCATCGAGAATGTGGTACGGCTTTGCATGAAACCGGTTAAAGTAGGTCTCGAGCAATGCATCTGCTTGGATGCCGGGGGAAGGTTCGCTGGCGACAGTGGGAGAGTAGACTGCGGACTCGGCTGCTGCTTCGCTCGGGTGAGCCGTGTCCAGTGTTGGATGCTTGGGTTGCACATCGACAGATGTAGTCGTCGTGGTGCCTCCCATCTCGGCTGATCCTTCATTTGAAGCCGTCTCGTCTCCAGCTGTCAATGCCGACAGCTCTTCCGCCGTGGGCGAGGCGTTCAAATCCGAAGATTTCTTGTCTTTAAGTCGCGCCTCCAATCCGTCCACCCGCTTCAACAAAGCTTCCAGCACATCCGTCTTGGGTCCGCGCTTTTTAGGTACGGCATCTGCAAAGTCCAAAAAAATGCAAACATTAGTTTTCATTGTTTTGCTTGGGCCATGTCGCACTTCAATTGCTTTTGGTCACGCACCGTATATACACGGGCACTGGAAGACTTGGCAAGCTTCACATGCCGGTCGCAATCGGTTGCATTTGATCTAGATCAAATTTGTTAGACGATGAATCCACGTCGATTGGTTGCAGTGCAGGAAAGATGGGATCGAAGTCTACAAACCTTCCGTTTCCGACAAGACTTGCAGTTCATGGACTCGCGGGGCTCGTTGCTCATATGGCGCGTGGGCAGGCGTTCTATGCCGACCTGCGGCCGCGACATGGCGACTTGATGGAGTCCAGGCAGAGGCACTACACTCATGCTCATCGGATCCAAGATTGAGACGGTGGTATCCCGTCGTATATAAGGGCAATCGGGTCAATCTGGTCTAGAGCTTCGCAGCGGGGCACTCAAAGCTGTTCTGGAAAGCTCTAGTCGCTAGCCCGTGCAACCTCGTCAGCTACCTTAGTTGGCGGTGATCCTTTTGCTCACTTAGCAAGGCGGATAGGGCTCTTCTCCTGCTGCCCGCGGCTCGTGCATTCTCGATTATACGGGCTGGTTCGGAATTCTCACGTTTCACGATTCGGTCCGGCTCAATCTGGGTATAAAGTAAAATCACCTGCAGTTTGAAGCAAAGTTGGACATGCTCAGGGCTTCAGAAAAATGACATAAGAGGAGGCAAGCAGCAAGAGTCAGTAGAGATGAAAGTGATGAGGGTGTCCCAGACAAGCCCGACACTATTTGTGGTCTTCAGGTGGATTATGACTGTAAATGGGGTTTGGGGGGAGGGGGGAGGGGGGGCCGTGGTGTGGAGGTGGCTAGTGAGCGACTGGGGCATCTAGGACCACGAGAGGGTGCTCTCACCGTCGGCTCGGAAATATGGGGAGACCAACAGGGTAGACCAACAGGGTAGACCAACAGGGACAAGGCAATCGCTATGGAGAACATTGGCAGATCCACCCACGCCATACTTGCCAGGGCCGTCAGCGCAGACTAGGGAACAGGGAGCAGGGAGCAGGGAGCAGGGGCACGCCATGGGAGGTTGCTTTTGGCTCGCAGGGAGGACGAACAGGTTGTTGGTGGTTGGAACAATGGCAGGAGCAACAAGGAAAAAAAATTTGACATTGATGAAATTCTTTGGTCGGTCTGTTGCGGAGGGAAGGGACGACCACGGGATCGCGCTAGGAGGCTCGATTACCGTCGACTTCGACGTGACCGACAACACCTACAACCACAAGAACAGCATCGCCCCGGGAGAACTAGAAAAGCGTGAAAAGGGTTGACGGCTGGAGGACTTGCATAATCCCTCGACACCCCAAGCATCGTTTGTCAGCGGTCTCTCTTCGACAGGACTCATGGCAGCCACTCATCGACCATACCAGCGCATATCGTCCTCATGCCGCTGCACTTCAAAAGCGGTTACTACATACATGCACTGCAGCAACTACACGCTCGACTAGGTCTCAAGCAAGCAAGTCAACTTCTTCGAAGCCTGTGTCACATAGCCAGTGCTGCAAGCCTTGCAATCGGCTGGAGAAGGCCGTTCCAGTACCCTGAATTAGCGACCAGGTTGCAGGCGGGCAGGCCTGTTGAACTCGGGTCGATCCAATCTCGCATCTTCCTCCCAAGTCCCGAACCACTGACTTGACATGAACCCACCTTGCTAATTGTGGTTTGAGGTTCGAGGTTTGCTTGACGAGCAGGGCTGTTGGCTGGCACTCGCACATCAACACAACGCTCCTAGCGTTATCAGGCGCAAATGCCTGAAAGCGGAAATTGATTGCTAGAACAGCTCATCCTATTGTCAGCCCCCTGAAACGGCAACCCAGGTATTTGATACATACCACGCAATCCTCGATATTCCCTTGCTTTACACTGTAAAGTCTACTGCGGCCACCGTGAGCCCTGGGAGTATAACACATCCGACATATACCACCCCAGTGTTTCTAGAGCTGTCGATGCCCGTTGTCCTACACTACAAAGCGAATAAATGGGGCGGTATGTCTGACGAGAGTGCGATATAGCTTCAACGGGAAGACTCAGACCGAACTACGTTCATGAACAGATGCAAATGTAGGCTGGTTTGTGGCGCTTTGCTGCTTGACCACAGCCGGCAGACATGTTGGCCGTCACACAATCTCTTTCATATATATGTAAGGGTCCAGCAGGCAATGAAGGTTGATTTTGCAGCTCGTCACACCATCTTACATGTGGCGTACTTATATCTGCCGTGGGAGCTTGTCATTGGAAGGATTCGAGCATGAGGGCGTAGCCTCGGCCGCCGTCTTCATGACACCTGCCCGCTTGATTGACGGGTATCGACACAATCACAGCTTTATAAGTCTCAGAACTAGATGAAGGACTCAAAGAACTAGCCTCGAGGCTCCAATGTCGCTCAAGTATCGTAGCTTTCCCCGATAACCCACAAATGCCATACTTGGACATTATCCGCATGTGTGACCTGGAACCAGGGATAACTAACTGGCCCTCATGGCAGTCAAGTCGAGTCGCTGTCTCTATCGAAAACTGGCATGGAAAAGCTTACAATGAATTTGTCAACTCAAACGCACATAGCAATTAGCAGCGTCAGTGTCAGTACTTTTGAAACTGTTTGCGAGTTTCCGTCCGCAGATCAGTCAATCCGATCGGAGATCCCACCGACGTACTAGGTCGCTCCGCTGCCGGGTCGACTCGCTTTATATGGCGATTGTCTCCGGTAGGTAGTGGAGAATAGAGGAAACGAAGACAGCGACAAGAAAAATAAATCGTCTCACTTACCATTTACAAGTGGCCCCTCCAATTTCTTTGGTCCGTTCGTAAGTATTCCGCATTTGAACAGACGCCCGTGAATGTATTGGACAAGAAGTCTCACCAGCGCAACCAACTTGTCTCTACTTTAGATGTAGAACCCCAGGCAGGCAGGCTAGTGAGGGGCCACAGTACTTCGTACCCTGGTTGCGGGCCATTTGCGGGGATTTCGGATCAGGCTCATCATTCACGGTACTGTACCGTGGTATTAAGATGCCGTAGATCCTGTTATGCCGAAAAGGTCCTTCCTGTTATGAAAATGGTAAAACGCGAATACGGACATGGGAGCTCTGATACTGTTTTTGAGACGCGTGTTCTATGCTCATTTCCCAGCTTGCTCGATCCATGCCGCCGGAGCTGTTCACTTGATTGAAGCCTGTGAGTCTTTCACTAGAAAACCCTGTGGCCTAGCCTTCTACTGTTACCTTGAGGCCATGAAGCTTTTCAAAAGTAGAGGCTCACAGTTGATCATCGTCTCATATGTTGAATGCTGTTGAATGCAAGGTGGGGTATGTGGAATCGTCCCGGGCAGCAATCCCTGCAAAGTGCACTTAATAGATCGTCCTTTTTTCGACCGGCTAGCCCCTTGAAATAGGTAGTGGACACCAATCCACGGTCCAGCCCAGAGACAGCGGACCGAGGAAACCGTTATTTGTCTCTTGGGTTTGTCGGTTCCTGGTTTTCCGTGTTATAATGGGTGATACTAATTAGGATTAACGTCTTGCCGCTCTTACTCAGGTCCGGCTCACCCATCCAGTCACATGTCTGGGAAACGTCACTTTATGCATAATTATGAATAGCGCCCAAAAACCGGATCCAGAAACGGTTTGGTACACTACGAACCGTTAGGACAATACGGAGTCGCAATATTACGGAGGCCGCAATTAACTACACACATTCAATTACTGACCCTTTCCGATTCCGTCCTCTGCCTGTTAAAAAGCATAGACTTGGCGACGATACGATGATGGCTCACGGTTACTCTCATAGTTCTCTCAGATATTGGTCTCAAAGATAGCGTTCAAAGTACTTCTAGCAGCAGTTTTTCTTCTCATCATCTCGCCCTACTCCACGGCCTACTCATGGGTCAAGCGGATAAGGGTCCTCGCGTTGAGCAACAGCATGGTCGGCAATCCAGGGTTCATCCGTGGCGCTATATATCGAACCAACCCATTGTTCTCCCACCTGTTATAGTAATCTCTTCTACCACCGTCGGGCCGAGATGTAATAACAGGGATATTTCTCTCGGGCCCAATCTACTCTACAAGTATGCTTAGAAGATAATCACGTCCCTATATTTTGCAGGCATAGTGACCAAATGGTAATTATATACTAGAATCACGGTCGGGTAAGGGGTGGGCGATGGTCCTCGTCCTTACAGACGTCTTTTTGACGTTTTATCGGCCGCCTCTTGATTACTGATTCTACTACCACTACTAAAGCTAGCGCTCGCAGTGGACATTGCTGCAGCAATGTACGTACATGGGATTAGTCATGTATTCAGCCACAGTGGCGCTGAGCCACAGGATCTTGCGTTGATTTGGAGGACTGCAAAGGGCTTCCAGGGAACACGAGACAGAGAATTTGATCCTTCTTTTCCGGGGACCCCGCCTTTTAGTGGCAGCATGAAAATGCACTAGTGAATGCTTGAGGTACTTGATCCACACCAACGGCTGGGATCACCGGATGGCAGAGCAGACAGGTCAATCCAACCAAAAGAAATACAACATCATTTTGCTTTAGCCCTTTAACGTACCCCACAAGCAAGTTGGCCACTTTTTCTTGGCACCGTACGAACAACCTTTTAATTAACATCTTTACACATACCAAGATGGGATCGAATTGGAAAGAAAGCGACATGATCCTAGCGTGTCAGGCGCTTCAATCGAAACCCGAATTAAGCATCCGACGCGCTGCTCAACTCTACAATGTCCCTCGTACAACTCTAGCTAACCGAAAACGCGGACTACTATCTCGACGCGATACCCGACAATCTAGTCATAAGCTTACGGAATCAGAAGAGTTAGCGGTCGTACAATACATACTTGACCTAGATTCGCGATCATTTCCTCCCCGGCTCCATGGTGTTAAAGCTATGGCTAACCCTGTTCATCACCCAGAATGCCTTCCGACAACACATCATACGTCTCCAGACTCCGAGGAAGCAGAGCAATCATCGTAACAATGACGGCTCACAATTCAGGGGTACGAATGAATGAATATGGGGATTGCCATAGCCCTAGTGCCGATGCATGGTACGCACGAAATATCGACGGGAAAGTGGCTTTCATGCGCTTAACGTGTGCGGCGATTGGCCATTACTCTCAAGAGTTGAACGGATTGGAATGCGACAGGCCGAGGAAACGTACAAAGCGTCAATTATACCAACCTCACCAGTCTGATCAAGATGCAGACCAGGATGAGGACGCCCCCAGTGACGGTGCTACCGACCCGCACAGCACAACCACTTCATCTTCGAATCGTAGGAGAAATAAGCTTTGTCGCATAGTTGTGTGGAATATTGATCGCCTCAGGTGCAAGGCACATAAGGTGGGGGGTAACCGCGTTTGCATTCAGTGGGGGGCATTTAGTGGGGATCCTGCAGCCCTTCGGCGCTTGCCTCAACCTTACCCTTCGACGTAGCACTACATGCCAGTGTCAAGGCCATAAACATTAATAGGGATGTTTTCATGGGTAATTCCGTTCGAGTTAACGCATGACGCATTTGAGAAGCGAGCGGGTCGCAATCTTGTACTGCATGTGTACCTGACCAAGGTTGATCGATCGTGCGTCTCGCGTCCTGGTCCTGAGCGGATGACTACCTATTGTTGTATTGTAAGTGTATCTAACCAATATGACTAAATGGAATTGCCTATGTCAGGCCTCGGCCAATGTCTGCCAGCCAAAGGATGCTGTTGAATACAAGGGGTCGTGGTCAATTGACCATAAGTCTAGAGTGCCTGAGGCTACAAGGGCTGCATTGGATATTCAGGTCCACACTCCTACAGGCGGAAAAAGAAACAAGCTCAATCAATACAACCATAGAACTTGCCCTGAAGGTACGTCAGAATAGTCCCAAAAGTGTCCTTGTATAGGGAGAGGGGGTTCGGGCAGTGAGGATGGTTTGTTGGATTACAGCCACTCTACAGGCCACACAGCCCGCCACACATGCGGCCCATATATAGGTCTGCTACCAATCATAATCGCACAGAGAGACGGGCAACTCCATCAACACAACAACAGAGCCAATCATATATGAAGACACCTCGTTTCTTACACCAGGCTGTGATGCTCGCCTCTGTTCTGATCCATTGTGTACTAATCTGCAATTATGTTACATCTTGTCGGATAGCAAACACACATATCTACTGTACAAGCGGCTTAGCCACACAACGGGATGGGTGTTTATCCACACACAAATATGTCACGTCCTGGAGCCGACCGCACAGGACAGGCAGATCCAATCAATCAATCAATCAACCACCACCACCATTCAATTAATTGGCCAGACACACGTTCAATACAACATATGTCGCACTATTCTGTTCCATACTGGTCCATTCTGTACTGATCTGAGACTATACCAGTCGGCGCCCATCTCTCTCCCAGTCAATGCCCGAGCTGATTAACGGCTTGTCTTTCAAGGCACATTCAGCATCGAGCGAAGTTGAATCAAGCGTACCCTGGAATAGAATATCATGAGCTTGTGCTTGTAAGGTGGGTCTCGAGCTGGTGCTTGTACTTGTGCTTGTGCTTGAGAGTCGCATCTGGGGTGTGTGGAAGTGGATATAGAAAACGGATGGAACAGTTGCATTACGGAGACACGTAAAATAATCCATTTATGCAGGACTTGGAGGATTGATGTTAGATATAGCTTAGGCGGGCTTGGTCTAAAAGCGGCGCTGCTTGGGTACATACCCCTAGGATTTGCGTTGAAGTAAAAGCCACCTTTCAGGTTCGGGTTTGGTTCGAACCAACGAGAGAACAGAGATGTGAGGTTTCTTGGAGCAGTTGGGGTAGGAACGTGTCTGGAATTCCACGTGGATCACCCCCCGAGCTATATCAGATGAAGTATTCGTTGTTCAAATAAGAACTATCACCAAAGAATACTATCCACTGATTAGCATGCATCCAAAACCTGGGACAGCCCGTGCTCAAACCATCCCAAGCAACAATGACGCAGATCGGGTCAAACTGGGTTATGGCTGGAACGAACTCGGCCGATATTCAACAGCCGTGGACTCGAGTCTAGCTCACGTAATGTCGAATCGATATGTGAAATTCATAAGCAGTGCAAAGAGGATCCCTGTAGCCGACATGGTAATTGCCGGACAGGCTTCCTTGCTTTGTGAAACTGCTGCCCAACGTCAGAGTTCCATAATTGGCTTCTTTTTCAGCAAATTCCCGTATTCTGCAATACATCGCTGAACTTGATGCAAAAGCAGAATAACTTACTGGCTCCTCAGCCGCCAGGGAATTATGAACCGGGTGCAGGTTCCGATCCGAAATGCAGCTCAGTTATCATAATATCAAATGTCTGTCAGAGAAGCCGGCCTTGATAGGAAGGTGCGGCTTTGCTTTGAGACTGTTGGGTTACAGTCACGACCCCGCGCTGCCGTAACACTGAAGCAGTGGGGTGGAGAGAGCAGTCCTCCCATTTATTGCCTCAGTGATTTGATGCGGCAAATGATGAGAGCGACAGATTCTTGAAGACACACGAGATGATCGATGTTCCTCACTCGGCCCCCAATTGTGCATGGCTGTTCGTGGAGTCTGGTCTGGGACCAGGTAATTTGATGCGATGCCATGCGGCATGGGTAGGGGTCGGACTCGAATGCGTTCTTTAGAAGCGCCAGACCATATGCAGAGTGTAATCCCGGGTTGCAGCGGCCGCGTGATGCGAGAATACTTCGCTTAGGCAGGTCGCTGGGCGTTATTTGCAAGGATTTGCAAGTTGGACGTACAAGTAGACTAATAAACGTACTATTCTGAAGTTGCCCTCGCGCCTTCGTCTTCCGCTGACGGAGCACTTGATGAGGCGTCCCACTTGACAGCCGCAATGGATGGGTCTTGGTGCAGTGGAGTGTCGGGCGGTTTGGCCCGAAGCGAGTGTGGTCAAGGACAGGATACTTGCCAACAAGTTGGGGCGCAGATGCAGAGAGTATTGTGAACTTTGCCTTGCGGTAGCAGCAATTTCACAATCATGCCGCACATCGAACTCTGAGAAATTGATCCTCGGCCATAAAAAGAAGGTTGATGGATTTTCATCCCATCAATTATGGGTCCCTCCCTTCCCTGCCATGCCTCATCAAGGTACGTATCTCATTGATCAGGGTTATTTTCAACTCGGAAAGTGCGACGGCTTGATCCGTAAGCAGGTGTCCGCAAGCTGGCGCCCGCTGCCGTTTATGCAGCCATTCAAGGACAAAAGCGTTGTTCCACACGCGAGTCCTCAATCACAGACCCGAAAATAGCAATTCGTGCCTGGGAGTCCCAGATGTACGCTCTGCTTGGGCGGCAGATGGGCGTGGCGTCGGCCATGAGGTCCAGGCACTTCATACCACCCACCGCCACTGCGACTGTGACAGCACGAGATTGAAGGAGCCTCATCTCAGCTACAGCTGCACCTTTTATCTGTAACATTCACAGCTGGGGGCATGGGGCAACTTTAATCTCACCGTCCTTTCTCACCAAGATTTTCCAACCTGATGGTACCGCATTATCCATCCCGTGGCTCATTTTGGGCGAATACTCTGTGAAGCACCAGCCAGCTGCTAGCATGTCCTTGCTTGCCAAGTTCCATGAAGCCGCAGCAATCGCTGATCACATCCTAGTTACTGTCCGCATCAAGATTGTGCTACTTCTGCCATCTACCCCTGACTTGAGAAATCATGACAATTTTCAATCCGGTACGAAGTGGTGACTTCTCCTCTCGACCCCGGTAATTCTTCGTCATGGACTCTCAATCATTCCAGTAAGCTGTCGCCGCTCCAGACGCTGCGTGTAGGCACCCGTCCCGGTTCCGGGAGTTGTGGTGTGCCGGTGCACGTCACTTGTCATGAATCGTTTCACGATCATGCTTATTATACATGCGCCAAGTATGAACCCAGTACCAGTCCTCTGGAAAATTGTATGGGAGTACGAAGCAGACCTGGTATCACAGAACCAAAGTATGTATGCACGATGATATCTGGGTCATGGTGGGGGAAACCAGTAACATGAGTGTCCGGTTGTCTCTACATACTACAAAGGAGATAAAAATCTGCTTCCCAGTATCTTGATGTTGTAGTATAGTTGTTTGGTCATCGCCAAGTTGACGGGGAGTACCCACCCAGTATTGACGCAGGACGGAGTGCTAATTGTGTGGCGTCGACGGCGGTGGTCATACAACACATTGGCACTAGCACCAAACCAGTCATTCGTCCATATTAAAACACACCTTGCCTTCGCTTGAGTTACACAACTTAGGCACCGGGTGCTCACTATCGTCCTGTCGGTTCCCGGATATCCTTAAGCTTACGTACCGTCTCGTGCTGCTGGTATGATTTGACGGTCAACGGAGATTCTTTCAGCTCAGGTCGCTCCCTATGATCCACGGCTAGCTCCGTGTTTCCCTTTCAAGGTCGACAACAACTTCATTGAGGGCCGATTTGTCGCCCATTTGCCTGACCATTTCCCGATCTCATCCACGGAATGGCATTCATAAGGCTTAAACAGAACCAATACTGCACTATCCGCGCCAATCAGGCATCTGATCCAGGAACAGCTAGGGTCTTCGTCTCGAGGTGTCCAACCTAGGAGGGAGTCCTCGTGGCACTCACTCTCGTGAGCACTGAGAAAATGCTACCTGTAGGTCGGAAGATCGGGCGGTCACTACCGTATTGAGACATTGTGTGTGTACCTGAATGTTCCCAGTTCTGGTGTCTGGGGGGTGGGAGCTTCAGCGCGCTTCCCCGCAAACAAGGGCTTTAGTCTGAGTAGATCCCGCCACTGTTCCGAGGCAGTGAATTTTTGACTGCCGTCTTCCCTTACGTCTCATGTACTAACTACTATTTGATATTCTTCTGCTAATACTGCACCATCGGAAGTTGTGCTTCCTCTCCCGCTTCCTTTGCTTTTGGTTTTGGCCACGTCTCTGCGGCCTAATCTCGGACTCTCGCGCCTCGGCGTATGCATTCTTGAGACGTTGTGGTATCTCAGGACAAGCTATCAGCCTCACATGCAGCCTTCTCTCGATATAGTATGGGAACTTGCGTATCCGCGGTTTTGCCGGCATTGCATAGCAGTACTCTGCCGCCGGGTCTGTCGGTATGGGATCCGCGTTGCGAGGGCTTTCCCAGTTTCCTTGCTGTCTGCCTTTCCTGTGTAACTAGTGGCTGGTATGGTGCTGCCGTAGAACCAGGCCGGCTATAATTTCCACGTCGTTAGATATAAGGAAAGTAACTATTATAGTAGTTATGTAACCTCTAGTAAGAGGTCCATACCTAGACCCTCTATAGTGCATTAACGCTAGGGAACTATCTCTTTCATCTTATTTTAATATAATAATAGATTATGGTAGCTATATACTAGGTTATAATCGTTTATGTCACAAGAGGAGGACCAAGCCCCTAGGCCAATAGACCAAAAGATCTAGAAATGTTAGTGTTACTGACATTTGGTCTGTCAGAGAACAGAATGCCATAGGCACCGGTGGGACACCGGTGGGGCTCTGGTGTAGGAATGTGCGAGTCATGACACGATATGGAAGTCTTGGTTTGCGGAACAATCGGGGAAACTAGTGCTCCGCGGCTCCGACGTCGGGTTCTAGCTATCTATGTAAGGGGCGGAGGCCCGGGAAGAAGATAGAGGGAGAGTAGAGATCAATGCATCACCGTGGGCACCCCTACCTGAGACCGCCAGTGACCACCCGGTATTACGTAGGAGGGACGCCCGTTACTCCCCATCACTCTGTACTATTGCCTTCGGCCTAGCCGTACCCTGACATGGTCCCACTAACTGCTATATACAGCACTATGTGGCTCTGTAATCGCCAGCGCTGTGACAGTTTATTAACTAATTTCATCGCTTTATCACAGTGACTAGTTAATGTTTTCTTCTTTTTATATTTTAAGTGTCTGCTGTGGGCGGCTATATGGAGTTTCTATCAGATAGGGCACCTGGTTCCTAGGTTCAGAAATAATATGGCACTAGAGAAGACTATTGTCACTTGAAGTTCAGAAGGCGAAAGGAACCCCTCTTCTCAAAAGTAACACCAAAGTTACCGACATGTTCTAAAGCATCTATAAAAGGCAGAGCAACGGGAGTTCGCGAGAACAGAAGTGTCAGAGCCACAAGTGTCATCCGAGGCGGGCCGGCTTCCACCAGGAAGGAAGTCGTTTGTGGCGGCTAGAGAGCCGCTTGTGGCGAATGAGAGCTGTTGAAGCCGTTTGCAGCGGATAGGGAATCGCTTGGTTGCAGATAAAGAGCCGCTATCCAAGATGTTGGCCGAAGTCGAAGGAACACAGACATGCGGAAGCAAACATCCAGAATCCAACAGAGAACCTCGGCTGGCTATAAGTAAGGAGTCGAGACGGAGGAAGATAGAGAGGGGAGAGATGAATGAACTACTGTGGATACCCCTACCTGCCATCACCAAGTGACCACCAGTGAACACCAGGTGACCACCAGGGGGACACGCCTATTTCTCCCCTTCACTCTGTACTATCGCCTTCGGTCCAGGCCGTACCCTGACAAGAAGACAGACAGACAAGAACACACCTCATTTATATACAATCTTACGCACTGCTGACTACTCGATTGGACACACGTGATATTCGACAGTTTCAGCTATGTGTTAGAGGCGGTTTAAGTAAGTATACGATATTATACTATGACGTTTAACGTGATTCATAAGCGAGTCGCGCACTTTTCAGTATACTACATCTTTCCAGTCTAATTACGTAACTACAACGCCGTAAATAAATTGAAATTAGTCGCTGTTTAACTAATTAGTCGATTCTACACCTTTATTATAGGTTCGCATATTATAACTAGCATTTCCGTAGTTACTACAGCAGCGTGCACGCGATTCGGTTCTCTTTACGCGGCCACCCTGATACTATATTTCTTAACCTAGCTACGTATTTGCATCTTTCTGATTAAGCAAGTCCTCCCTCAGCTACTATAAGCGCTCCTCTAAGCCTTACACGTGTCTTTTTTAATCGGCAATCATCACATTTAGAGAGGATGAGATTTACATTTCAGCCCGTAAATCCTATCTAAACTAGCGGTACTAATATAGTGGTTACATAACCTCTAATAGAAGGGCTATATATAGCTCTTTCACAGTAGTAGATAACTAATACAAGGGAATCATCTGGTTAATTTCCTCTTTAACATAACAATTGTATATCATAGTAACTATACATTCGGCCCTAATAGTAATACCCGTTGCTCCTATCCGAGTATGCGGTAATCATATAGTAACACGAGAAGTTGTATTTATACACTCTGCATTTCCTCATATCAAAATTTCATCGCTTGTGGCAGCCAACTTCAAGCAAGGCGCCTGTAAGCTGATCGACGGTCCCACTTTGCTATGGAAGAGGTCCTCCGCTTACCAGCTTCATGAAGTGTCGTGCCGGTGGTATGCTACTCTACGTCGTCGTTGAGGTGGTCGTCCACTATTGAAGACGTCACCCTGACTGGCTATATCCGCCAATCTAAGATCATGCCACTCGTCTCCCAACAAGCGCAATGGTAACCTGGAGTCATCACGTCTCCCTCTTATTTAGGCCAGTCCGAGGCGGAGAGGATGGTCAAGTACACGTACAAAAAGCCACGACGATGACGGCAATCCCATGATGAGAGAGACACTATGCCTAAAGGGTATTTCGTAGCTCAGGAAAGTAGATTGACAAGTGATGATCCGCTTTCCCATGTGGTCGCGAGGTTGCAGGATTGACACTGCCTACCAGGCCAAGCGCCACTTCTTCCCCAAGTTCAATTTGAGATTCATACCAGCACGTCGGCTATCGAAGGAGAGGTCTTGGTAGACCTTCGGTGTCAATGGCGAAAAGTCAGGCCACTTCTGGAAGACATCTCGCGAGATCTTCATTCTTCTTGTCTCTGGTTTTCTCCATAGCTGTGCCCTAGACACGGGGCAGCTACCTTTCGCAAAGTTCCAGGAGATAACTCAAGTCTATATATGGCATTGGCTGTCGAGTTACTTTGCCAAAAGGCGAAAGGTTCGAAGGTCAAGGTATTAACGCCATCACAACGACCGTGACTTCTGCCTCAAGGGATATGGAAGTAGCATGCGATGGAATCCACTGAAAATCATGTTGGATGTATTTTGTTAAATACCATGGCATCATGCAGGCAGCTCTTGGAGAAACAACTGCTTAAAGCCTCCCAGGTGAGTTTACTTATCATTCTTCGTTAGACCTCTTTGCAGCAACCACGACTCGAAAAAAAGGGTCTATGCTTCAAAGTCTGCAGCTCATTCAACAATTGACTAACGCGAATCTCTAGGGCAAATCAGAGGTCCCAAGCAGACAAGAAAACATCAGATTACTCACGATAAATCCTCAGGATGAACCCTATGTACATTTTGATGGGCGAACCGGCAACATGTGGCCAGGGCAAACAGGTTGATTCCTACAACTCCGAGGGAAGAAGCATTGACTGATACAGTTCTATGTTCCCCACGTCCCTCTCCCCCAATAAACATGATACACGCCTCCATACTTGATGGGCGGAAAATGCTGTTTAGACTAATACCATCCAAAACGCCATATATGCCTTGGTCTTCCGGCCCATGAACCTGCATTCGGAGGTCCTTCACCCCCCTCCCCCACGCCTTCCCGTGGGGTGACAACAGGCGCTGTCGTCCACTCGGACCAGGGCTTCATAAATCTCGTCGACATCAACATGCTGCATTAGAATATCGACCCCGTAGACACGGGGCAGTCGATTTGCCTGTGGGTGGGAACAGGCCGCCACAGCCTCTACTTTATTCTCCCAATGTAATGCCGGAGGACCCGGATGTACAGATTGGACGCTTGAAAGCCACCAGAAGTGCACTGACGGTAGTGTTTAGAATGCATTCCTTGCAAGCACATCCATACGAGCAAGACCTACAAGTAGGTGGTCTGCTTGCAACAAGGTCTTGCCGCGTGACGTCGCCGCTTTCGGAATGTAATCCCGTTCCTGGCGTTATCACACCACCAGTTTTGATTATCGGCATGAATCATACCTTGATGATCGCAATGTTTCGTAGTGATTCAAAACATGCCTCGTCCGCTTGCCAGGCGTACAAAGCTGTAAGGCACGTTTTGACCAACAAGGAGCCTCAGCATCTCCACTGTGGTGAAAGCTGTGGTATCAGCAACACCGTATGCAGCAAACCCACTCTGCTCTGCGATGACTCCAGGATCACCCTTTCGTGGGCCATCGGCTAAGTCAAGAAATACCTTCCGAGAGTTGGCATGTGCTGAAGCCCTTGAGCCACCAAAGGCACGGACGAGAAGGCCCACGATGTTGCTCTTCTCCGGGCCGAGAGCAGAGACGATGACAAACGGACTTGCACCGTCACTGACCATACGTGCCCGCTGGAGGCTCTCCAGGCTGTTAAATGGCTCAATGACCATGCCCCGAGCGAGCGCGATAGGGGTTCGGAAGCCAACAGTGTAGACTTTGCCCACTTGGAGGGCCTTCAGAGCGAAGATAGCAGATGCGGCATCATCCGAACTGGAGGCCAGCACAAGAGCCGTGCGACCAAAGTAAGCCGATGGGGCCAAGTCGCGTGTCAACGTGCTTAAGATGCCACGCCAACTTGCGTTGTCAAATATGAGCGAGGCACTAGCGGGTAACCCGGAGTTCAAGTTGGATGAGGAACCGAACGGCGAATCGCTGTGGCGCGTCGGACTCGACGGGATCGAGGCAGGGGCTGACTCTGGCGTCGACGTTGACGAGGATCGCACAACGATCGTATCAATCATGCCAATGACTCGAGCTGCCTCGGATAATATAGGGCCCGAGCCATTTCTTAGCCGCGCAAAGAAGGCGCTGTTGCTCATGATGCTCGAGAAGGCGACCGGAGGACTCAAGTAGGCACCGCCAAAGGCCTTCTGGTTACACCATGCTTCCACACAACCAACACCCTTTGACGTTCTCTCCACCACGGCGAAGTGATGCGGTAGCCCGAGTTCGTTGAAGCATTTCTCATAGAAAGGTGCTTGCGGCGTGGAAATGCGCGATGCCGGGCTGCTGATACCGTATATGCTCTTCTTTGGAAGTTGACCCAAAAGTGACAGTGCAGCATTGATCTCAGCAGCGCTCATTTGACCAGGAGCAGCGATGATGGGCAGTAAGGGGTGGGTGATGGGTGTAAACACCTTGTTCAAAGTTCGCGAGAACTGGCCTGTTTCGCCCATGTTCACCATGGACAGTGGTGGCGCGTCGGGGTACTCTGATCTTATCTTGGAACGGAAATACTCGAGCTCGAAGTTTTCGTTGTGGTCATTAATGAAAGCAATCATCTTGACAATATCGGCGTATTTTCTCGACTCGAGGAAGATGGACTGAGCTTGTACGGATGGCCATTTGAAAGTGCTAGAGAAGTCGTGAAATGCGGACATGATACGGCTGCTACCTCTTTGTTCGTAAAGCTTCTGGCGAATAGTTACTGGAAGCCACACCTCGACGTCAATGTACTCGACACCCCACTGTATGGCTCGATAGAGATACTCGTAATAGAGGTCGGGGTTGTCCATGGGGAAACGTCCGTTTTCCCTTGTACACCTCGTTGTGAAGATAATAGGTAGCTCGGTCCTCTGACGAAGCAACATGAGTTGCTCCCCAACATAGCTGAGACTGGGTACCTCTGAAAAGGAGCCGTCGCTCAAGGGCTCTGTCAGTAAGTCCACGCGGATCTCCACAGCATCGGCACCGACGGTGAGAATGTCAATATTTGGAAGTGCCGCATGTACATCCGGAAAGGTAGTTGATATAAAATACGTCCGTGGTTTTGCCATCAAGGCTTCGTGATGATTTATTTGGCCTAGGACAAAGGACGTGAAACGGGCCAGATCCCGACGGAAAAAGGGTGCTTCCGTGTATAAGAACTCGTAATCGCATTGCGCTGACAGCAGCCCATCTGGCGGCATTCCCAAGTTGACGCAATGTGCGTTGATGGCGACTACCAGTGCTGTGTTTCGCGTTGCGATATCTTCCACTGCCTTCTTGGCCAAAACGCCAATAACCATGTCCTGGTCCGCCGAGGTAACACCCTGGAATCCGTCGACAAGTCGGTATGGTTTTCCCAACACATCTGCAAACACTGACACGATCTTTTCTTGCCCGTGACCGTAGACAATAACAACTATCCGAGTGTCCCCTCTCTGGGGACCGCTTCCAAACTTGATCCCGTTAGCAGCTGGCGACATGGAGCGCCGATCCATGTCCATTTCAACGGCCGCCATCGCCGATCCATTCATACTTCGCGGCCGCGCTGGCGTCGGTGGTGCCTGGAGTTGTTGGACCGTGGTCATCTTGCCGAACCGTATGGGACCTCTCTAATGTGATGGTGAGAAGAGGCCCGAGGCGGCGGTACGTCCTATGTCCGAAAATGATCGAAGTTGATGGTCAGATTGCCTAAGCTGCTGACCCCAATACGCGCCTCCAAATAGATTTCGAGATGCTGTTGGCCAAGAGAGCGAAGGGCCTTCTGAGTCGGGCTTTGCATGACACAACCGTCAACCGCCTAAGAGTGAGACGTAGTGAAGTGGATGTTTAGATATGATGCAGTTGATAGCCACGAGGGCCACGCAGCGTATTCAGATAAGTGGTAGCCTCCAGGTTAGGATGTATGTCTCAATTGAGGGATGGCCAACGAGCATTGGACAAACGCTGCAGGTGTGGCCCTCAAGGACGGACCACTTTTGGCGATCGACGATGTAAGTGCTAGGTGCTAGAGTTGTTGCGGTAGACAAGACGGCACAGTGTGCAATGGGACTAGACGTTATCGCGAGGTAGTTGGCGGTGGGAGGGTTATGATAAGAGCGGAAGAATATGGATCAGTGGTAAGTGGTGACTGCGACTTGTTTCCAGTAGATGTGGTTATAATTATTCCAGCTACCAAATCGCAGTATTCTCCACGGCAGGCTCGGCGCAATCGGATTCGATGGAGCGATATGTGAGCCTCACAAGCCCAGTCACAACAAGCCTTGGGGGTTGCAGATTTCGTGGCAAGCCGGGGTGGGGTGGGGCTGTTTGAAAAGCTGGGCTCCAGGAGCTTGCTTTCTGGGCGTTCCTCGAGTGACCACCGAAGACTTGAAGAACTCAGATCCGATATGCACGATTGTTAATCTCTTAAGATAGATTCGAGGATAGATCCACACAGCCGGTTAGATCAGGCACATGTGTAGTAATCTGCGGTCGAGCAGCCTGAATGGAACGGATGAGCGGGCGTCGCAAGGGAGCGAATATGATCCTGATGATGCAAGTTAAATACGGGAAGCGGTTGCAGTTTGGGGCTGGATCGCAGTAGCACCTGCCACCTGTAACCCGTGGGGAATATGAGCACTGAGCGAGCTAAGGCACGGGCAGGCCTACGACAGACCCCTGGACCCCCCACCAGGCCCGCCAAGCTTCAGCCAAAATATTTCGCCGACGCTGTGTCCCACCAAAGGCGCAATGCGAGTGTGGGTTTGGACGGGGCCCCACTCGTCGTTTCTACTATTTCGGCCAGAGTGCAGACCTATTCAGTTGTCACCAAGGCAGGAGGACACAAACGCATGGCATATCGGCGACGCGCGCCCCTCTGGGTGTAGCAGCATATTGAGTCTAGGAGGTTGGCGGGAATTTCGAGCAAAACGGCTTCGTCCAATATCCCTGCATCCCGTGCTGCAAGTGTTGGAGACGACACGGCTCGAGGTCATCAGACAACTCCGACTTAGCGCACTATAGTTACAGCATCTCCTTACATTATACCAGTAGAGGTCTGGCCATCCGTTATTACCCGGTAGTGAATATAATCTCAACAGATATGTGTAGCGTATTAATCGACTACGGGGTTTCAACACGTGATAACCGGTCGATATTGTTTGTGGTAAAGCATTCTGGAAGCGTTACCGAGAACCCAGGACGGGCCAATGCCGGGCCACAACCCGAAACTGCCAATAAAACCCAATAACAAGCCGCTCAGTGTGTATATGCTCTTGCCTATTCTGACGCAGGGCAGCCGCCACCGTCAGTTCGAGCAGCGGTAAGTCCTTAGTCATGTGTTCCCGGCTTGTGGAGCACGGCATAGATCGAAAGTTGTGCCACAAGTAACAACACTCTTGAAGAAGATGTTCCTTGGCCCTTGTTGTTGTTGTTCACGATCTATTGACAAGGACCTTGCAAGGATCACAAGGAACCATTGAAAATGCCCCCCCCCTGCCCCCCCAAAAAAAAACTTGGTATTGCATCGTTATCGTGTTGTGTGTACGACACACTCGGCCCACGATATCCGCAGTTTGCTTGGGACCTGGCAATGCTTCAGCACAGTCCTACCAGAGTCTGGCAAATGCACTTTACAAGCAGTGTTGATTATTTCCATACTGAGCTTCAGGTCCCCGTCGAAGTATCACTTGCATGTGTTTCATCCCAAAATGGAGGGAGCTACAGTGATTGGCCAGAGCATTATCCAGGGAGCCATGAGGGGTACTGGGTGGCTGGAACTGGGGTCAAACACAAACGGTACCTAAAAATTTGGGGAAGCTCCTTCAACGTTTTCTCGCTCCGCACCAAGATTTACCGCTGGCTCCCTATTTCTGGATCTTCACCACGCAATTTCTCCGCCAATCGCTGACGAGCAGATTCAACGACCAGCTCCCAGGGAACCGTCTACTGTCGGGCCTGAATCCAGACCATCAGCCTTGGCATTATTAGGGGTTGCGTTCTGGATGAAGTCAATCCGTGCAGTCAAGACCAATCAACCATCAGGTTGAGCCATGGGGCTTTTCCCTTTTCGTCTTTCACAAATCGGTGGCATGTTGGAGGTAACGTTCCTGGTATCCGTAATCTGCGGTTAAAACATAATCCTACACAAAATCCCAGCTCTCAACGGCGATATTACATGATGGACTAGTAGGTGCCGTTCAGAAACCGAGGTATTGTGCCTGTATTCATTCATTGCTGTACCAGACAACCGTATTTGCAATTGCATAGAATACAGAAATTGCTGATCACTTCATCTGGCTCAAGATCTCACTGAGAGCTGGCCCGAGCCTCTACCCAGTGGTCCAAACTGATGGAGTATGGGTTTGCGTGCCACGCCGAGTTATGCCAGTAATGCATGATGAAAGTCGTCTCCTGAAGGCTTGCGAATTTTGCCTGCCAGGGGCTTTGGGGCTTCACGTTGATCATATAAACACCAACAATCTAGGTGACGCGTTAAACATTGATAAGATAAGATCGGAGGCTTATCCCTTGAAATCACTGACCTCCAATGTTCAAGGTTGTCCGTGGCCATCACAAGCACTATCCAGCATTTGTCAGCCCACCTCATACCTCGTCAGACAACAAGTCCCAATAATGATATCTCACCCTACCAAGCCCCAGCCAATTCAGTTTCGATCTCTTCAAATACACCAAGACCTTTCCTGCCCAAGGCTGTGCCAACACCCACGGCCTTGGCCCCAACGGCTCTCATCCGACGATATCCAGCAGCATCTTCAACGCCGCCAACCCCAATGATGTCCACCCGGCTAGTCTCCTCTGTTCGATCTAGCAGCCTCCGTAGCGTGGCAACGTTTCCCAGCGCCAAAGGATGAAGGGGCGCCCCCGCCATTCCTCCAATACCAGACCCCGCTAATTGGGGCTGCCCTTCGGTATCAGACAGCACCAGGCACGAACCCAGCGTGTTCGTCGCAGTGAGAAAACTCACATCACATGGATAGCCTGTTGCCTGAAGTGCAGCGACGAGCGTCTCAAACTGCCCTTCATGAGTATAGGGCGGCGTCTTGAGCCCATACGGAATCCGAGGCAATCTACTCTCATGAATGGTTTGCTGTATTTTCGCGAGATATCTGTTTAAGGATTCGCCAGAGTATGCCGGTGGTGGCGCATTGGGGATATTCGGACAGCTCAGATTGATCTCCATGGCAAGGGGCATCCTGACGTCTTTGCTATGTTGAGCAATTAATAGGTAGCTTTGTGCAACCTCAGACGGAGTCCCGGTCACCGAGATGATGAACGGCTTCGTCGACGACTTTGAGAGGCCATCCGATATCGTCTTGATATGGCATAGTGTAGTCCCTAGCGGGATAGGGCTATATCCTAGGTTATTCAGACTAGCTATGTCGGTGCTCGAAGGTGAGCTAAGGTCCGCGCTAGCAACATGACTCCCAGGGTCGAAGAAGGTGTATTGGTGGATGGCCGGGTCATGATCGAATCCCTTTAGTAGAGAAGTTCGCACAGTGACTGCTCCGATGGAAGGACATGCGAAGAGACCTTCGAGATTCTCGAGCGTAGTTGCCCAGGGGTTTGCTGAATTAAGCAAAGGTGGGTGAATATTGATCACAGGGGGGGAGTACCCATCTCAGGTGGCCGATCCTCCAACGAAAAATTCGTAGTTTCCGCCATGGAACTCTTACATTAATTGAATTATTGTGATGATTGTCCCCAGATGGACTTGAAGGTCGAACAATCTCGGGCGCCGTATGCCAGCAAGTCGCGGGGCAGATAAGATAAGAGGATGCCAGCCTACAGAGTCCGAAGTATGATCGGTAGATTCCGAGATGAATCCGCATATACTCCACTCCATCCCAATATACCTACCATATACCTACCATATGGGTCACCTATCCTCGCTCTTGTCTCTTGCCAGCATCGAAAGCGGCGTCCGTGTGAATTCCTGAGCCCGTTTATGTTTATATATTCAATGTTCAATGCGTGCCTCTTACAAGCCAGTGTTGTCATATCATAGGTTGCTCCAGTAATAAGCGCTAGCAGTCGCCTCGTTATGGCCAAGCACCGAGTCATAAACCCAACCTTGCACGGCAGAGACATAAAACACGAACGATTTTCGAGGACACCAATCACCAATTCAAACTGAGAAAAACTAATTGAGAATATTAGCATTGCTCCTACACAATTTTGACGTTCAACAAGAGAAGATGCTTCTGTTTCCCTCTCTTCTCTCTCCTCATTCTCCTTCGCTAGGTTTATCTTTACTTTTCAGCCGGCCTTCTTTTGAATTTGTATACTTCAGCACACTGGCAACAGTATAAACAAGCGAAAGAACCATTCCTGTCGTACCGGGCGACCTAATTAAGTAGCTAATTACTACACTAGAACTTACTATTAATAAGACTAAGGCTAAGGACCTTAAGCCGCTAAAGGCGACAAGTAATACAAATATATTAAAGAGTTCCTCTATCTGCAATATCGTACTATATAGTATAATATATATCTCTTAGATAACTAGAATACTAACGAGACCGGTATCTAAATCGGCTACGTTACGGGTAATATGGAAGTAGTGTCACAGCGCTGGCGATTACAGAGCCACATAGTGCTGTATATAGCAGTTAGTGGGACCAAATGTCAGTTGTCAGTAACACTGACATTTCTAGATCTTTTGGTCTATTTGCCTAGGGGCTTGGTCCTCCTCTTGTGACAAGTAGTTGAAGTTAAGTACGTTATTTAAGAGAAGCCGGTTATTGCTAACTTCGCTAATCGCGAATCTAGGACTATTATTAGCAGCGGGTCGGCCCTTAGCGAGATTAGATTGTCCAACTTTACTATACCTTTAGGATTTACCTACTTATAGACTAGGCCGCGGTATCTAGCGATAGCTATACTGTCACAACAACAAAAGCCAGTGGTATGACGCCAAGTGGGACTCGAATAGCTAATATTGTCACGCCGCGCCAGGGGTTGCAATCCTTGCCACTACGCCACCGTACCAGATGTCTTCACCAAAAGAGACCAATACCAAAGTCCCTGACTTTGATATCTGCAACAACTTATCAATCTGTTCAGACCAGTGTAGGCCAATCACGTGACAACCGTCACAAATATAGGGATTAGGCGGCCTTAACGCCTTAGAACCTACTGCCGAGGGGGTATAGTAGTACGATAGCCGGCGAAGGGAGTAGTTCATAAGGAGGCAGATACGCTATATTTTGTCACGACCTGGGTTGCATCGCATTGGTAGAGACCTCGATTAGGTGCTATCGACGAAGATTCTACTCTAAGGAGCGAAGGTGTTACACGCAAAGGTGGTCAAAGATTGTGAGGTTGTAAAAGCATGACATTCTATCTAGTCCTATGGAGCACGAAGGTTGGACTTAGTCCCGAAGGGCTAAGTCACGTGGTAACCTTGGTGGTCTTGGCAAAGCCCACCAAGGTTGCCTAACAGAAGGAAAGAAGATGACAACTTAGGTTTGAGGGAGCGCGACTAAGTCATCCACGCTTGGCGGGGCTCTTACAAGGGTTATGATTGGCTTCCCATCTGACACTGCCATGGCAGGTGTTCCAGCTGTAAGTCACCTGGTTGTAGTGAGTCTGCGAGGGTTGACCTTCACATATTTCAGCTATAGAGGTCTTATGATACGAGTGCATATAGGGTGTGAATTTTTGTATTAGGAAAGGTTTGCCAGGTTAGTTATTATGGCCTGGCAGAGCTATTTGTAGCTCTTATCTGCTATCTAGCTATCTTCTCTATAGCTATAGGGTAACCCCCCTTGGGCTCACGTATAGTCTTACCTACTACAGCGATTTGTAAAATTTAGCAAATTCGACTATTTTTTTCCAAAGTCTATACTTGATTACGGGTATTGAAACGGGGTCAGGCGGTCACTAGGATATACCTACCACCTAACACACTGAACAGACGGCTCCAGTACCAACAGATTCCATCTGTTGGTCTTATCAGACGAAGATTGTTAGGCAACCTTGGTGGGCTTTGCTAAGACCACCAAGGTTACCACGTGACTTAGCCCGTTGGGACTAAGTCCAACCTTCGTGCTCCATAGGACTAGATAGAATGTCATGCTTTTACAACCTCACAAATCTTTGACCACCTTTGCGTGTAACAAAGATCGTGATACTGGTTATAAGAGCGAAGCTTTTACACGTCTGGTGCGCGAGTTGGTCGGGTGTGCCTCTGATACTCGTATCGTGATAATAGGATCTCGAACGTAAAGATAAACTGAATAACTAAAATAAAAAATAAAAAATAATATTAAATACGCCGTAGGTGTTAACCCTCGGTACCTCTACAAGTACTCCCTTAAGGGGCTATAGATGATATAGCGGGCCCTTAAGCCGCGTCGGGCGGTTATACAGGTAAACTTGTAGCCAAACGACTACTAAACCTCCTGTCCCTCCCTAAGTCTGTGCTACAACCCCTGCCTGAACTACCGATAAGTGTGGTAATGTGGCACTTAAATTCGTCCTCAGGGGTGGGATGCTGCTGATGTGCAGAAGATGCTCGACTATTTTTTTGTCGCGACAAGTCGTAGTATCTGCTAATTGGGGTTCTCGTCGAGCGTATACATCTCAACCATACGCTCAAGTGGATAGACCGTAACGTGGTCAGACGCTCGCAAGAATCGCGGCGAGAGGGCGTGCTGCGCGCCTTCTATCGTGAGGGGACGGGTTCGCCGACGAGCGTTATCGGAAAGGCGAGGTCCGATAAGGGGTCGGATTAACGATTCGAATTCTGGACCGGCTGTCGAGTTATATTCCGCCGACGTAGTGCTTGACGGTCGACTGGCTAGGATGCTCGTAATCCTAAACTGCACCAATCTCCCTATTATCGCTAGGTAGGCGAAGTCAACAAGGTGGGCAGCGCGCCGTAAGGGTTGACTAAACCCCCTTGTGTGTCAGCTGCGGGATTCGAACCCGCGACTCGTCACCGACCCAAGTGGGCGAGGCTCAAATCGGGACTTATCTACCAGCGAAGTGACCAACTACACCAGCCGACTAACTAAAATAACTAAATAACTGACTGAAAAGCGAAGGTGAAGATATAGATAAGAAGGAGATGATGATGCGTGAAGATGGGGGACTCGTGTCCTACTCTGTCTCTGTGCCTCTTAAAGAAGAGAAAATAAACTTTCTCCTAGCCCCGTAACCTATTTCCCTGATGTCCGGCCTTACCCCGTTACAGTATATAGTATAGCTATAGCAAATGCCCCAAGGTTAACAGCTTATATATTCATTAATTTACGGTAGAACAGTTACGTACTCTAATACAGCATCGTTTGGTTCTGTAGTTCTCGTGCAATAACAACCGCCAATCTACCCGCTCCCCACCAGAAAACGCATATCTCAGACATAGCTGGAATACAAGTGGGATAGACCACCTCTTTCACGCTACTGTACTCCAGGCTGGAACTACAGTTGCGCTGAGATTGGGACACAAGAGAGCTGAGCATTCCGAAACAGTAGATTTTCAACGAAAATAGCACGTCTCTAACCAAAACGGGTACAAGTCGATCCTTGTCTATCAATCACTCCGTTTGTTCTTTGCCAAATCTACTGGGCCTCTAATCCTCCTTACTCAGTATTTTCTCCAAATCCTCAAACTCGCCACTGTGCCTCATCATATCATAGAACTGCCCCTTCGTATCATAAAGCTCCTTCGGAGTTCCGACTTCAAGGACGCTGCCGGCACTCATGACCACGACGCGGTCGTAGTCAATGATTGTCCTGAGCCGGTGGGCGATGGTAACCAAAGTCCGCCCCATCGCATGTTCACTTAGCTCCTTCCGCAACACCTCCTGAATACCCCTGTCTGTCTCATAGTCCATGCTAGCGGTCGCTTCATCCAGCAGCATAAGCTTGCTCTTGCGAACGAGAGCCCTGCAGAGTGAGAGGACTTGTCGCTGACCGTGCGAGAAGTTGTCACCTCTAGCCTTGACGGTCGTCGTGAGACTAATACCCTGCACTCGTGTTTGCGTCCCATTCTCTGCTTCAGTAGGGTCGTCGCTGTTTGGAGAGGCAGTTCCGTGATTGTTATAGTCGAACGATGCAATGCCGATGCAGTATTGCAGGGCTCTATCCACGATTTCTTTGGGAACTTCACCAGTCGGATCCAGATTCGAGCCGACGTCGCCGCTAAAGAGCACAGCTTCCTGTGGGATGACGGTAAGCGCCTCGCGCAGTTTCTGTCGGGGAAATCTCGTGATGTCCACCCCATCGACCAGAATCTGCCCAGAAACGATGTGGGTGAATCGCAGTATGGACAAAACCAACTACGGATTTTACGTAAGCGTTTGCCCGATAGCAAGGTGCCAACGACATCTTGGATGTTTAATAGAAAACTTACCGTACTCTTCCCAGAACCCGTACGTCCAACGACGGCAATTCTTTCCCCAGCCTCAAACTTTAAGTTGATGTTCTTGAGGATCTCGGGTCCGTCAAGGTCGTACTTGATTGTCACGTCCTTGAACTCGACCCTGCCGGTCCTTGGCCAGTCCTTTGGCATAAGAGAATTCTCATCGTCAACATATCCACCTTCTGATTTATACTCGTCGACATGCTCTTCAGGCTCTACCAGAGCATATTCACGGACACGATGAAACTGCTTTGCATTAGTATTGGTCCCATAAATGATTCTAAGACTGTCCTACTCACACTCTGTAGCTCTACCTCGAGCTCATTCATGTCTCTGACGAACATAATGATCAAGCTACTGAGGGTCTAGCAAATAGATTAGCAACTTGCACTAGAAGCTATCGAATACAACGTACCGTAGCATTTGTCAGAGAAAAGCCAACAAGCCCAGCTGCAACGGTACCTGCCTGCGAAAGGGCAATCGCGCCGGCGGCGACAGTCACAATACTCGTTATCATGTCAACTTTGAGACTTACCCACCGGTTGCAGTTAAATTGTGTCTCAGAAGCCCTCTCAAAAACGCGAAGTTTATCGGCTAGTTGTTTGCCAAACGTGGCGGGCATTCCCGCTCGAGCACGGATGGTGGCCATGCCAGCGAGACTATCAGCGAATTGCGAGAACAGTGGCGACTGAGACGACGAGACGAGCCGTTTGACTGCAACGGCAGTCCTCGTGTACATCTCGCCTGCAATTATGCCCAGAAAACAACTAATAGCTGCGGGAATAATGAAAATCGGGAGCACGCTGCCAACGGCAAGAACTTGGAAAATCATGCGTGTGGATACCTCGCACACGTTCCGCAGCAAACCAGGAAGCCGCATATCTATCGAGTTCATATCGCGTGAGAAACGATTCACAACCCGCCCAACGGGAGTTGTCTTGAACCTATGACGGGAAGTTAGTGGCCTGCGCAGTAATAATCTGACATTGTAACGGCAAAACCTACCAGGACAGTGGTGCACTCAAGGCAGACGTCACGAAAGTGTTGTGCAGAGTTCTAGCGGCATACCAACCTCCACCTTCGTAGGTGACGAAAGTAACCATTTGGAAAAGAATCTCCGCAAAGCTCCACGCTCCGTAAATTCCGAGGTAGAAGGCTATATTTACGGCTTCTCCCTTGCCATATGCGTCAACCCAGGTGGCGATCCAGAGGCCCGTTCCCATAGCAGACGCTGTGCACATGAAACTCATAAAAATAGCCGTGATCGCATGGATAGGACTTCCGTAGTATCGCATGTACTTGTAGACTACACGTGGCGGTCAGTTAGTCAAATCAAAAGAAATACTTATACTGGGACCCAGAGCTTCACTTACACTGGAGTCGTGCGGTGGGGCCAGTTTTGAGGGCCTCTTGAGTTACCTCATCGCGCCGCTTCTGTTCTGCCGTTTTGTTGATACCGTTTGTTGGTGTGATCTTACCATTGGTCGTAGCATCTTGAGTAGCTGCCATTTCAACAGTTGCATCAACGTTGCCTTCATCGATAGCCTCCTTGTTAAGTGTCACTGGCTTCCGAACGACGCCAATATTCTGTTGGACATCCTTGATAGAGCCGTTCTCCACTGCAATGGCGAGGTCTGCCATGGTGGCAATCCATGGAAGCTGCGTGACAAGAACAATTGTCCTGCCCTTGAGTAATTCACCACAGAAGCAGTCTGACCATACCGTCGCGGCCGTCTTAGCGTCAAGGGCGGAAAATATATCATCGAGGAGTAGGACAGAGGCCTTCGAATACAAAGCACGAGCCAAAGCAACTCGGCTTTTCTGTCCGCCACTCAGAGAAACGCCGTTCTCGCCAACTTCTGTTTCGTCCCGTTCCGGAAATTCATTGAAGTCTATGGGCAATCCGCAACAATTTATGACGCGGCTGTACCGAGCCTCCTCGAAGTCGCTGTTGAAAATAATATTCTCTTTGATGGTCTCGTTCTGCAGCCAAGCACTCTGACATGCGTAGGCAATGTCCTTGGGGCATGTTACTGTCCCTTGCTCGACAAGCGTCTCGCCAAGAATGGCCATCAGAAGTGTTGACTTGCCGGAACCACTTGGGCCAGTGACGACATTTAGCCCTCCTTCTATGAACTCAATCGAAACATCTCTCATGGCAAACTCAGCCTTTTTGTGCCGTCTGAACGTGGCTTTTTCGATGCGAAGTGGGCCTGTTGCGTGTTGTTGCAAAGGCGTGACATTGTTGATGTACCTGTCAATGCGCTTGAGTGAGACTGTGGCGGCTGTGAAGCTACGTGACATGTTAGTGGCAATCCCTATATTTCGGCGGATGGTTCGGATCAAGGTTATAGACGTAAAGGCGATGTCTGCTGTGAGAGGTTGCCGTCGTACGGTCACGTGCAGACTGAATATGATCAACAGGGCAATGATGGGAATCGCCTCTGAGAACTCGCCAAGGAGCATATTACTGACAAAAATTAGTCGACTGTTTCCGCACAGTATAGGAGACTGATGGACGCGCTTACAGGATGCTGAGTTTCCAGTTCTTCTGTTGCTCCCCGTGGCGGATGTTTTTGATTTTCTTGACAATAGCATTTTCCCATGCGAAGTATTTGACGGGTCTGATACTCGTCAGATACTCGGAGATTACAGAAATGCGAGAGTCCTGGATCTTTCTCAAATCACGCTGTAGTTTCAGCATGCTTTGGGTAATGTACACGCCAACAGGTGACGTGACAGCCATGAGACCAATACCGAGAAGAACAGGCCAGTTCAGAAGTTGGTATAAACCAACTATTGTAACGATCGTACCTAGTGGTAGACCCATAACCACGAGCACAATGTCGCGGCCTGCCAAAAATATTAGTCAACCGTTTCTTAGACGTGCAGCGAGGAATAGCTACATCTAGACAAATGCAAGTAGCACAGTATGGCGTAGGTGCATCGCTGCCAAACAAACACTTCACGTAGAATGGGAAGGAGCTGGTGGGGATTTCCATAGGCATGGATACTCACCTACGGCAATTGCATCAATGTCGGCGCTCATGAGATTCGCCAACCGCCCTGTGGCCGTCGTGTTCTTCTCCTTTTCCTGTCCATCTTTGGCTTTATCTGTCGAGGCCACATCCTGTAAGCCTTCATCGTTAAGTTCCATGGATTCCATGGCCTTGTAGTACAGTTCTTGCGTTAAGGCAGCCCTCACTCTGACTATCAGTCGGGTGGATGTGAAGATGTACTGCTGGAATGATACAGATCGCGTAACTGGGCCCACGAAAAGCAGTATGAGCCAAAACCACGGCCTCAAAACGGCTCCTTCTGGGTCGTTCAGATAATGGAGGATGTGGTAGAGTGCAAATGGGGCTATTAGATCTACTAGAAAGTTCAGAGCCACCCAGGCACCCATAGTCATGATTTCTGTTGACAGGAACCGCACCAGTGTCCAAAACGTCGAGTTACCCTTTCCTCGTGCGTCTTGGACTCTCTTCAGAAGCAGACGGGGTTCGTCGTACCATGGGAGTTCCGGGAGCTCTTCCAGGGTCATCTGGCGGCGTGTGCCCCACCACATAAGCGGTGTCAGCCACTCATAAGTCACATAGAATGAAAGCCAGCTGCAGGTCTCTTCTGGGCTTGGCCGTCGGGCCACATCCGCAGGGACGTCAAGATCGAGAGACGGAGGTACCCACTCCCTGGGTGTCGCCGCAGCCAGGAAGACAGCCGTGCTCAGTGTAGCAAGACTGACGATAATGGAGGTCGGAACGGTCACATATTGCCCTGTGTCGATGATGGGGAGTATCTCCGCAAGGATGATAACGACCCAAACGCCGAATAAAGCGAAATTAACATGATGGAGAGTAACATGCCTCCCTTCAGTATCACTGACGAGTCTTGCAAGGCCTAGCAGGAAGGCATAAGCGAGGACGGCGACATTGGTCCATCTTCCGCCTTGCTCGACAGCTGCAACAACCATCAAGGCCAACGCAGCTGCTCTCAAGACCTGGCTGCCTAGCTCCAAAGGCAAAGAGAAGGTTGAGACACAGCCTTCGGGCCGGGACACTTTTGCGCATGGCCGCCGAAGTAGGTATCTGACAACGAGAAGGCTGGAGACAGCAATGATGGCGACCTGAAGATAGCCGGCTTTGGCCAGATCCGACAATGTTGAGATCCATTGGAGGTGCACGTGGCTGTCCGACGTTAGAACTTCAAATCGCTTGATCGTCGGATCCCAAGAACCAACTCACTGTCCATTCCCCTTCAGATTATTTGCGGCTAAAATCGCGTCTTGCGCATGCCAGACGGTATGCTCAAAACGTCCCCCAAGCGACAACTGATCCATGGTGGTCGATGGTCACGATGGCCTCGAAATACTTTGTTGTTGAGAAAGATGCCAAAGAACGCGCGCGCCTGACTGATGTAGATGATATGAATCATGGATGCCCGGAGCCGTAACGGCTTGCAGGTGAGTGGTGGATTGCGCTCCTCTGCCGCAGACCCTTGCCAAGCCCGCAAGGACAAGACTGTCAGCAGCCAGCGGTCAGAGAGGATGCCGGTCCAGTGTATGAGCTTCGATCTATCAAAATGTTCAACGTTGCTGCCTACTATGTAGGTAATTGTGCTTAGGGATGGCGGGCATCCCAAAGAGATCGTAGCGTGCATTGGTTTGAGCCTGTCCTGGTCTGTTGCCTGTTCAAGATTGCGATAGTCAAGGGCTTAATGGTGTGGTGCAACGATAGGCCTACCCCGAATAGGAAGGTATTTCTACTCATAATCCTACAAGTTACATTACTGCATCCTTCGCCTCTTTAGGCTATAGCGTTCCAACTTGACTGATTCACATATGACAAGACGCACAGCTGAGCAGTTTACAGTAAAGTAAGACCTAGCACATCGTATTAAATGTCGCCCGACTCAAGAACTGCACATGTTCTGACTAAGCCGTATCTATGACTCTACAAGCTGCTGGACTCATTGTCAAGCCGTGAGCTGGACTATAGTGGTCACTTCAGTAGCATTCATTTCAATGTGTCAACGTAAATAACAACGTCCTTTCAGAAAACACGCTTCATTACTCCCTAGTAAATTACGTCATTACCGCCAGAATGGGGAGTCCGGAAAGATGTTGTACTATTTCAACAACATTTGAAGTATCCTTTCCATGTCCAATTAACTCAACTCAGCTTAGCGTCTTCGGGCGGATGCACAAGATGACGGATGTAAGTTGAGCGCGTTGAGGGTGTCTATCGACCGCACCCATCTACCAAGTCTGGAGGCAGTAGCACGGAAACTAAAGCGCATAGGGTGTATCCCATTCTTATTACTCTCAGGCAGACGTGGAGGAACTGTGGGTTTATACTTAGCAGGCGTAATTATCCATCAAATAATACGCAATAGCTAAGCACGGGTGAACATAATGTAATGAGGAATCGCATTCGATGCTCCGATCAATGATACCGAGCAGGCTGGGCTATCAGCTTTATAAATGGGCATAAGGCACTGTAACATTAGAAAAGGTCCATGACGAGCCTCTACCAAGCTCGACCATTTGTGATTTACACACCGATATTGGCTACCATTTATAAACCCACAGGCTAGAGAGGGGCCTTTGAATTGCAGTATACTACTTGTGTCTTACATAATTGTGACGTTGCGAAACCAGAAGGGACTAATGAAACCCTCGGAACAGATAACACTTGAATTTCTAGGTGTTGACCACCAGGTTATGTGATATCCTGCCGAACTCTGACAGTTAGGGAACCAATGGCAAAGTGCCGCGGTTGGAATATTGTTAATATTGGCGGTTGCCATCAGGTCGACCCATTACCAGGTAAAGTATGCACAGTCCCCTCGGATTTTCCAGTAGTCATTACTGGATAGATCCACAGAGTATAGAAGACCGTATCGAGAGAAGAAACTAGGGCCACCCGGTCGCGCTAGCAATCCTGAAAGGGACAAAGTCAATGAAATGAGGGGAATTACTCAACAATAACTCATCAGGGAAGCCCAAATCATGGAGACTTCACGTCTTAACATCCGCCAATACATAGATCAAGTGTTGGTGCAAGTCGTGTTCCTTGGGCTAAGTCGTCATCCGATGCGGATCAAGACAGCTGAAGCAATAACAGTATCATAACAATGCAGTCATTTGGAGCGACCGTGTCCGATATCACATATAGCTGAAGGTACGAACTGAAGCCTTTGGAGTCAACATACATGCCCTACGGTTCAAGAGGACATGATCACCTACGGCGGGCCGTCAACTATGCACAAAAACAAATTGTTGCCATCAATGACACTGCCCCGAGTCCCCCCTCCCATCGGGTGCTTCCAAGCCGAGAACAACGAGAAGTACAACAACGAGGACTTTGTCATTCATAGTTTATCAAATACTACTCACGTCGAATCCGACATCCTCCCGTCCTCTCGTCGTCATCGCCCAAATCAGGGGCAAAAAAAGGGAATCCCCAACCGAAAGCCCACACGCCTAATCCTTCCCCAATAGCGCGCCAATTCCCGTTGAAGCGAGTAAGATAGAAAAAGAAGGTCACACAAAACACACACAACTCTAAACTTCCATTGGTTGGGGGCCTCGGGCGATCGCATTGACTCCCCAGGCTCTCACAGAGATACACGACAAGGCTGTGTAAGTGTAAAGTTAGCAACCCGCATCAGGTGTTACCACGTTGGCCATCTAAGCGAAGCCATGAAAACTACGACTGCTGCCGATCCATACAAGCATCCCATTTCCGCGGGAAGGGAGGGGGGGATTTGCACCAGAGGTCTGGTTGTGCTGATGCTACTCTGATGGTCAAGTATACTTGTTGCTGCCTCGTGCTGTAGATGTCATTCGATAAAGTATCCACCAATGCTCGCGCGCATATGATCTGATCAAGTTTGGATTTGGCGTCGAGTATGGCATACGTGACCAAGTTGCGTTAGATACACAAATACAGAACACCGCTCACAAGATCCGGTAATACCGAAATCTGACCTGCAGGCACGGAAGATGGTAGCATGCAAAGCTCGGCCGAGAAGATGTTGACAAAGAGCGACATGCGGTTTTGCAATGGCCAGACGTTTAATTAGAGCGGGCTTTCCACGTCTCTTCTTTCCGACAGTAATACCAGATGTGCAGACATTGGGACCAGATGCTCGGAAGCGTGTACGAGGTATCACAGTGATCATGCAAGCGAGCGAGAAGGTATCGGCTCCTGGGGTGGGCAGGCGAACGATCGTTTGATTTACTACCGCACGAGAAGCACTGTATCTGATATTGGCAGATGCTCGAAAACCAGCGCGATACTACTCATGTCGTGTAATTTGGTTGTGAAACAGTAACCGCCGCCAATATTGCGAAGGCCTTTACTTGATGTTTTTGAGGTGGACGTCGCTGTAAGGCGACGTAATTAGCGGCTGGATTCTGCTGTTGCACTTGGCACGAAAACTTACAAGATCAGATCAGAGTTGGGGGGGATGTGGCCGGGGAATCCTCTGCGATTGCAATCAGTCAATGTGAGCAAAGAAAAACAATTCCAGTGCCGGGTCAGGTAAGATAGACCCCTTCCATGGGACAAAACCATCGTAGCGTGCCATTCCTCCCTCGAGAGCAAGTAGGGATAGGATGAAAGCTGCTTACCGAGATCCATAGCCGTAGTCACTGTCACCATGTTAGCTCGACGAAAGCAAGTTAAGGGCGAATTTTCTCAAATAGCGTACCTGGAGATGTCCAACGTGGCCTTCTCGCCAACCTTCATTTGAACGACACCCTCGTCCCAACCTGGACCGGGTCAGCTGTGAAGTTTTCATCCTGCTCGTCACTGGGATACATACCCTTGATGACCTTGCCAACACCAATCTGGGTCTCGAAGTCGCCTCGGCCGACAGAAGAATCGAACCTATTCGACTCGTTAGTAGAGAGTCCCGAGGTGGCATGACACAGAGCTATGGTGGGAGCATACTTGGAACCTTTGTTGCCATTGGCATCCTTGAGGTAGCCCGTGTACTCGATGACGACGGTTTGGCCGGCGACAGGCTGAGCGCCGGAGCCTTCTTGGTTGATTTGCTTGGTGACACCCATTGTGGTGGATTTGACGAAATTTGCGCAATGTTTTGGTAGAGACGAAGAAGCTAGACCTCGGTCGGTTTTTTGGCGGGGTAAGTACGTAGTGGTGTGGTGGGGATGTTTAGCGTAGTAGACGTGATTGAGAGAGACGAACTTTGCGCGGTGAGTGGAGCAGAGTGTAGAGCTTCCAGATGGGATGTGGAAGAACTTCTATGAAGAAAAACGGAGTTGGTATAAGAGTAAATTATCTAGAATAAGTAGAGAGGGCCCTCGATTTTTAAGCTCGAGTCCGACGTGCTGTATGGAAGGTACAAAAGGAACAGCGGCGCAACGTGGAACCCCTAGTATCCAAGGAAGGCACCACTTCGCATTTCGAAAAGTTCCCTCGAAGCTCAATGGACGGCTGTTTCTGCGCGAGACAAGGAACAGAGATCCATCTATACACGTAGGACTATTCTGGTGCTGGCCCCGACGCTCCTGACGTCTTCTTCGCGCCATCGAAGAGCGCCGCCGGAAGTACCCGGTGGGCACACTAGGGCTGCAAAGATACATGCATTAGATGACTTGGATCTTACAATTGGCAAGTAGCCTGAGATCTGGCGTGTCAACAAGGGGTTTTTTTGGTCGATAGAATTTGGTCGATCCATGTCATATCACGAAGCCGGGTTTGTTCCTGTCACTGGCCGACCAGCCGCTCCTGTTTTCAATAAGGGCCATCAATGGGCTGTGCCTGTGTGGGTCTGTCAAAAAAAGCAATTGCGCCGCCGCTACATCGGGGCCGTTGACAGCCAGAGGAGCCGCGGGGTCTTTGACGGCGTACTGGGACTTTCCCACGCAAGCAGCTAGCTGTGTTCCTGAGGTGCCGTTGGGGAAACTGCCCACGGCTAGTGATCGACGTAGGGGATCCAAAACTCAATATGGCGGCCAGGTCACGTTAAGACGAGCATCTCACATCACATTATCGCAGTGACAGATCTAATCTAGAGCACGGCCCCCGCCCGACGCTCCAGCAGTCACCTGTGCGAGGGTGTGCATGACCTCATCCACAGAAGGCGGTGGAAAATAAGTAAGAGCGGGTTTAATAAGGGTATAGCAGCATCTACGGTTTCACCAGCTTCAGAAACAGACCTGTCATTCTGGACGCTGTCGTCTGCATAAGAAAGACCCTTGGCTATGGTGTGTACCAACACTCTCTGGGACATGCTTGCGACCAACGCTTGTGTCCAAATCCCTTCCTGGCCATGGCATGGAACTATCTTCAGCGAATGGGACCCTCTTCGAAGACTCAACTCTGCGATCGGCCCGCGAATCCGCAGCATAGCCGCCGCAAGAGTGACGTGAAGCTGCGAAGAAGCTTGCTTGTCTTGCCATCCAACCGTGCGCCTTATCGTGGGGAAACGCAGCAAGATGAGATGAGGGGTAGGCCGCGCCGTATGCGGCGCCGAGCGCATCTGTCACCTGCATACACTAGACTCTATCACTTCCAAATACCTACTACCAGCAACAATTCGGTTAAATCAGGTGCTTCCGATCTGCGTTAAGTCTCGCGGGCCTCGCCATCATTCAACAATGCAATGACGTAAGACTACGAGTTGCGAAATATCGGGCAAATATGGCGGATGAGGTCGTGACAAGTGGCATTGCTTGCTTGCTCGGTGGCGGTTAGTTAATATGTCGCCAATTCAATCCGCCAAATTCGTTACCAGCGTATATTCTGGTCGATATACCCATAGCAGCATGTCGGGCAAACCGAACACCAACCTATTGGGCATAGTAGTGTGTTGCCATCCACAAAGGCGGCCAAAACTTCTAGGTGTCTTGGTGAGCGAACGTTGATGTGCATGCTGTGGGACACTGGCGACGAGCTCTGTATCTCTGGTGATGATGAAGTTTTTTTTTTTTGTTTTTTTTGGTTCCTTGCTGTTAATTCTCCCGGGCTTGAAACTCTTGGACATCTAGACTGCCCAACAACCCCAACGTCATGGCAGAAAGCAGCCTCGCGCCCGCCCTTGAAAGTCGCATTCCCCAGCAACCAGGACCACGAGCAATAGGACAGCTGAAATCCCGGGAACAGGCATGCACCAAGAGCCAACCACCGACAGGATTATAGTCACAGTTGTGGTTTCGAGATAAGACAGGTCTGACTCTCCGAGTACTGACCCGAAAATTAAGGGATCGGCGAACGGTGGAGACACGATTTGATAACACGTTCTTCAACAGTAGCATCAAGCCTGGTGCAGGGTTGAGCCACCATTGTAAAAGACATCACGAAGATCTTCCCATGTCAACGGTGATGGATATGATCCTAGTTGGTCAGGTTTACTCTGAGGAGGTTTGGGGGAGAGTTCTAATCTGCCGAGCCAAGGACACTCGTCAATGTGACACATGCCTCTTTTGTTTGCGACGTGCCCTCGCTCAGGCCGGGTTGTGCTTTCTAATAATGTGTGTGTTGGGCAGAAATATAGTACGCAAATGGCCTTCCGATTTCGTGAAGCTCGCTGGCAGGTGACTCGAAGATGCGTCGGATAGTCCAATACAGTGGTTCATAGTCGCAAACTTGCACTTAGGGGTCCTTGGAACGATACCAGGTTATTTTCCTAAAGCGAGTTCTTGCTCGGGCGTCACAGAAAGATTGCTTGCCAAAAACCTGAATACACTCGATGACACTACCTCGATGATATCGAGTATAAGCATTTCTGGAAACTACCAGATGACACATTCGTCCCCACTTGCACAGCCAGATGGCTGTCAAGGGTGTTCTGTTTCAAGGACCTACCACCTGCTTTGCAGCTTCAACAAGTCATAAGGTATCGTCTGAAAGTCAATGACTTGGCAGCCAAACATTCTTCAGCAACGTGAGACCTTGATGCCTGCAAAATGACATCCGATGCCATTAGCTTCCGGACGAAGTCAACTCCCTGCAGTGGTGGCCTCGAAGCGAGTACTGTGTGTCGCAAGGTCAAACTCAATCCGCAATGAGCCAACGAGGCAGAAAAGATTGAAAAGGAGCAGCTGTACGTGCCATCGGAAAAGCGGCAACGCCGCATTATCTGGCGTGAAGCTATTTGTATTGAATCCTGAAGCTCCGTTGTAATTTAGGCATCGCCAACAGTCCGTTCGTTTTCAGGTTCGTCTATTTGCATTGGCATTGGTGAAAGTGATGGGGAGTTTCTCAGTGAGCTTGGAAGCGTCAGATTGTCTGGAGCTTGGCTCGAGCTAGTGGGCTGTTAGTCAGGCACAAGCTCTTGAACGATCGCCCCTTGGAACGTTGGTGCGTGCCAAATTTTTGGCGCTCGATCGCATTGCGCCTTTATCCAACGTAACGAAGGTAGCTATGTGGAAATAGGGGTCCGAGGGGCATGTTGATGAGGAACTTTGCCTTGCTGTGTTGAGATGAGGCGCTATCAGGCTCGGCGATGGCCCAGGAAACAGTTGGAATACACGCTCGACTTGATAATCAGGCTGTGGACAGTCACACGCGGTGTTCGTCAAATCGATGTGAGGGAGGCAGAAGGCAACCATGGATAACCCTCATAAAAAGACTGCATACTGCATGATGATGGTTAATTGTTTGATGAAGTGATGGCCGATCGTTCCTCGAATAAGATAGGCAAGGCAACGTTGACTTCGCAAGAGAATTCCAAACTGCCATGCGCGAGGACAAAAGCATGTAACCCACCCGATGCTGCACTGCTGCGCCTTCCTCAACCAAGTCAGATTAGCATTTGTGTGAACAGAACCGACTGCTTCCTCTCCATTTTCGACCATTCCTCGGGAGAAGTTGCAACAGATCGAGACATCACGACTCTGCGTCTGCTCACACATGGCCGGAAGACTCCATACTCTAAAAGGTATCTATAGCATTGGAGAAGACCGCCAAACAGCTATGCACCAGCAAGACATGCAGCCCGCCTTTGGATACCTACAGATGGATGAGCTCCCAATGTCCGCAGTTAACATTAAAGGTTCAAGCCTCCAGGGTTTCCACGAGCCTGGAGACGAGCTAAGGCAGGAGTTGCCCCCAGGTGGATCCCAGTATTGAACCGAGCATGGATCGTATCTATGGGCTTCAGGGGTTACCCGGGTTGGTGTGAGGGTCTGGCGCGACCTCGAGCTCAATTCATGATTTTAGACGGGGCGCTGGAGCTAGCCGCCACGAGTTCGGGTGAAGCAACACTTTTGGTGCTTAGCAATTTTCGTCAAACGTCGAAATGCGGCCATAAACACCTGGGGTTTATCCGATAGACCAATATCTGCTCTTCAGCCGGCGGATACTAGAGATTCTACCGTAGAGGCGCCTATGTCCTAACATTGGAAGCTGGGACCCCACCCTCGACATTGATGATCCACATTTGAAAGACTCCAATTCCGGCCACCATCCCAATTCAGCAGCGGCAAAATAGAATTACATTTTTGTTGAAGCAGAGAGTTGGTGAGGGAAAAAGTCCTCCACTACCACCACCACCACACGTGTGTTGCTGGGGGTTGTGTATATGCCAGTGTTTGTCGGAGGGCATTTTTCTTCACGCCTTCGTCCGAATTCAGGGCGAGTTGGGTCGTTTTGCATGGCAACATTACAATACCACAGCAACAAACACCTTTCGACTTCTAAGCTGCTCCCATTGACCAAATGATGTCGACATAGCACCCAACGCACTGTTCCATCCGCAAACCGAATGGAGCTCTGGCGCCAACGCCCACCGTTGTCCACCGTTGCGTTGTTGCTGCAAGCGCGTCTTTGGCACGCTAGCACAGCCCCGGCGGATGTGCGAGAGCAATTTATCTCCTCAAAATGGGTAAGTGGGCCAGGGCCCTTGTGCAAAAGAACGCAGGGAACCACGGGGAAATTGCCCGTAGCAGGCATCGTGGCTCTTCAACCGCCAATGGCCGTCATGAATCAATTCTCGTAATGCTCTGGACCACCTGCGCAACGCGGCCTGCCAGGGCAGCTAGATTGAGACCCAATTCTTAGTGCATTACCTCCTCAAACAAGCGGCTAGGCATGGAAAGACTTCGCATTACTGCTTGAGATGCGCCTGTGCTCAAGTACCCCTTCGTGGTCCATCAAGTACAATCTCTTAGCACAGGAGGACTGAGCTCCTTCAACCCCCAGTTTGCTACGTTCCAGCTAGGGTCGGCACTCAGGGCATCCAGGGCAGTATCGGAACTACGGAGTACCTACACCACGACTAGGCGCAAAGCCACTGCTCCCTCATGCGAAAAGGATCTCAAGTCGTTGAAAGAGTATTGTTTGCTAGCAAGATGGCCAAACTTCTTTGGGACCAGCCATAACGCTTTCTTGTCTGGGAAAAAGGGACACTATTCCTGTGCCAAAGCTCTACCATTTCTGCCCCTCGTTCTCTTGTGCTCCCGACATGCGTTGTTCCTCTTGCCTAAGAATATTACCATTGGCGCTAGGTAATTTTGGACTTCTTGGTCCTACCAACCGTGGACCCCCTGGTCAATAACGGCTCACCCCCATCTTTGACTCCTCTCTCCCTCGCTCGTTTCCCTTGTTGTTTCTGGCTGACACCTCCTTCGATCCGCCCTTTCATTCCTTTTACCCTCCGCCTTTGCATTCGCCTCACCTCACCTCCGTCCTTCCTTTCACCTCCTCCGTCCGCCGACCTCGTCAGGTACTCCTTTCGAAGACAATCCCCTTCGGCGGCAACGACGACGACGTCTCCCTCATTTTAGACGCTGCGGTCTTCCGGCGCCGAGCTGACTCGAATCGATTCTACGAAGAGGACCTCCGGAGGCCCAGCATCCGCCAATGTATTCCTGATAAGCGATCGCACCAACAACATCGCGAAGGTCACTCATTGACCATTAACCATAGACGATTTGTCGTCGTGTCACTCTTTTACCTCCAAAATATACGCTCTAGTTACAGCACCCTGTTTGTAAAAGGTGAGCGAGTCACAGTGCATGACTGTCAAAAAGTTGGGATGAAGAGACATCAGCTTGTTTACCATCTTCGACCATACTGACGTTGTGTTCGTCATTATAGCATCCACTCATTGACATATATGTCAAGTACACTCGTTCATCAAATTGACCTGACAAACGTGAGTCTCGAGGCGCCGTCATCGCGACTGTCTGGGAAGGCTGGGGCTGATCGGTGTTAAGACTATCTCACATAATTGTTCATCCTTCAGTTACTGCACCAGACTACAAAGTCGCAGAATACCGTTTGGAGAACATTCACATTCGTTATAATCGCAGCGCTATCGAAGAAGTATGCATACTCGCACAATAGCAGTGGCCACCTTGGTGGCCGCGGCGTCCTTGGCTGGCGCCGTACCCGACAGACCAAAAATCTACTTTCCGAGGCAGGTGAAACGACAATTCACAAACCACACCATATCGACCACTGATCCAGCCAAGGGGCCAGACCCCGAAACTACGACATCTTCGTCGGGAGACGGCTTCTCATTCTCCGATTTCCTCTCTAGTCTGACTGGAGGCGAAACGACCTCTTCTACAGCATCCTCCGCAGCCTCAGGGACCTCGACCCAATCCGCTTCCACTCCGGACACGACTATTGTCAGCACCATCTTGGTCACGCCTACCATCGCTTCGGGGACCACAGAGGTGACGACTGAAGGTGCAGCCACAACTACAGAGAGCACAGGGGCAACAGGGGATTCGACTGCAACCGCGGAAACCACTGCGGCAAGTGTGGGGTCTACATCTGTGCCGGACATCATCGTGTTACCGACTTTGAGCCTCGGAGTTTCTACGACGTCAGCCTCGACCTCTGAGACGACGGCGACAACGACAGCAGCCTCTGACGCAACAACGGTTTCAACGACCTCTAATACACCCACAGAAACGACAGCACCAACTGCTGAAGGGACGACTGCAACACGAACCACGGAAGCAACAACGGAACCTGCAACATCAACCGCGGCAGAGGTAACAGGAACCTCTGATGCGACAGCGAAGCCGGCAACGTCGACAGGAGCGATCAGCGCACCGGGAACCACTGAAGCAACGACGACACCAACTGGAAACACCCAAGACACGATTGCAACGGACAGCACGACCAATGACACGACGGACGGCACGACAGCGGTTGACACTGTAGTTGATACGTTAAGCGCCGCCGTGGCTCCAGCGACAGACGCTACATCTACTCCTGCGACCCAGATCGACGCCTCAACTCTGCCTGAGACTGTGGTAACCTCATCCTCTGGAATTTTACTGGCGCCAACTGGTGTGGTGACACCTACGTCTTCTTCACCCGCGTCTTCTTCACCCACGTCTTCTTCATCCACGTCTGGTATCATTCCGGTGCTGAGCGGCGCCGTTTCGGCACTTGGCAGCGATGTACTCGGAGGTGTAACCAGTATTCTCGCGGATGTGACCAGTGAACTTCTTCCGTCAGCGACAGCCAACGTTACGGATATTGCAACTGGAACCGGAATTACAACCGGGACTGGAACGGGTACAACTGTTGCAACGAGCATCGATTCCCCGTCGGCAATCAGCACAGGTACCAGTAGCTCGTCTAATGGCGTGCTGTCAAGTCTCTTGTCCACTTTGCTACCAACGACCATCTTGCCCACGACTATCCTGCCAACCTCGAGCTTCTCAGGCACAGCTCCCAAAAGCACCGATTCCCCGTTGGCAACCAGCACAGGCACCACTAGCTCGTCTAATGGCGTGCTGTCAAGTCTTTTGTCCACTTTGCTCCCAACGACTATTCTGCCCACGACTATCCTGCCAACCACGAGCTTTCCAGGCACAGCTCCCACAAACACGCTTACTTCTGAGGGTAACCCGCTGACCTCGCTTATCCCCACGACTATCCTGCCAACCACGAGCTTTCCAGGCACAGCTCCCACAAACACGCCTACTTCTGAGGGTAACCCGCTGACCTCGCTTATCCCCACGTCCATCTTGCCTACCGCCACGGGTACTGGTGTTCCGTCTCTCACCTCGAGCAGCTCAGATGCCCCAACCATCTCGACTGGCCCAGTTGTAAACGTTACCGAGTCGTCTACCACTTTGCCCCCTACTGACACGGCCACGGTGCCACCCACCCTGACGTCGTCCCTGCCAGGCAGCGAGATTCCCACTAATACCACCGATGTAACCACCAGTACAACCGCCGATATAACCGCGTCTGAGTCCTCTGCCCCGCCTGTCACCAACTCGACCATGCCTGCTGAAACGTCGAGTGTCCCCGTTGCCACGTCCAGCCTTCCCGCCACAAGCGTGACCACGGGCGATGCTACTGTGTCGGTGAACAGCACCACTGTTCCCGAGACCTCCACTGAAGTCCCCCCCACCAGCACGTTACCGACCAGCACGTTGCCGCTCACTACTCACTCTACTCCCCCGCCCAAGACGACTACAACAGCGGCTCCGACATTCACCAGTATTCCCGCCACGGCCACCATCACCGACTCTGAATCGTGGCTTCCGTCCACCATTATCATTCAGCCCTCATCGATGAAGGTCAGCACTGGTGGACTTGCTCCAACCTCCTCGCCGACGGGCATTCCCAGCGGACTACCTAGAGCCATCACTCCGTATGATACTGTCCCAGAGCAACCCCCCAACACCACGCTGGCGCAGATCTCGTTCCTCTACGGCATGAATTATGCTTGGCTCGTACAGCAGCCTATGGCTGCTGCCCAGCTCTTCTCGCTGCTTCCTCAGGCTCTTGGCTTCGGACAAGGGTTCGATCCCTCTGAGGCTGTTATGCTCAGGATTGTTCCGTATGACACCACTTCGCAGTTAGGTTACATCACGTCGCAGGCCCTCATCTATGTTCCCACCCTGGCATTTGACACGCTGAGGTTGGATTACAAAATTCCTTCGGCGCGACTGTACCAGAATCCTGCGCCATTGATTTCCAACATGACAAGCCAAATCAATCCTGCCATCGACATTATCCCTGGTTCTGGATTGGGAGATGTAGGTACTGTCTCGACAGACCCATCGAACCCAACGTCGACGGGCAACAGCAACAACGATGCGTTTGGAACGGGCGACACATCTGGTGACCAGACGGCTTCCCAAAAGGGGACGACGGCTGCTATTGCCGTGGGAGCTGCCTCCCTTGCTGGTGCTTACGGCGCGGCCATGTTCATCATTGCCCGCCGATACAAGCGCAAGAAGCAGAGACATCAACGGTCCAGTTCGGTTGCTTCTCCCTCGGAGATGCGCCAGAGGGGCAGTCCGGCCATGATGGGTGGTGCGCTCCTCAGCCGCGACTTCACGGCAGGTAGTTACGGAGGTGTCGCGCCCAACACGCGCCACAGCCAGGGCAGCGGAAGGAGTGGCATGAACAACTCGGGCCGCACCGCCTTCATTTCGGCGCCAGTTGCAGCTGAGAATTCTCTCGGCTGGAACTGAACGTAAAGACGTATACGACCTGCACGCGGCCATTATTTCGTCTTGATTTTTCTTAAACTTCGATACCCCTCCTGGAGGCCCTCTGTGCGACTCTGGTATAGATGGCATCGCCAACGGCCACCAGGAAATGCTACCAATACGAGCATCCCGCTCAGGTTTTCTTGTTCATTATCCTTCTAGCAAGGCGGAGTTTTTTCTTCGTGATTGAAAAGCTGCACTGCAAATACTATCTAACCATGTTCATCATCTTCAGATGGTCGCGCCCACCTTTTTGCTGGCTCGACCCGGGATGACTTGGCCATTTTTTTTAATTCTTTATTTTATACGGGGATCCGGGGGTGTTCTGGGGCCGGGTTTGCAGTCGGCCCACTGGGAAAGAGGCGCCTCCGGGGGGGGGAGGAGAGTGGAATGAAAAAGACTCGAAAAAGGGGGCTGGGTCGGGCTCACGGCGGCGCTGCTGTGCATGGTCGTGGTACTGAATGTACAATAACGCTGGGCAGCCATGTTTCATTGGAGAGAGTGTATGAACATGGGTTAAAGGAGCTGAGACGTATTTGTGATAATGGCGCGCAGCCCTTTAGAGCCATTTGTGTAATGCCTTCATATACAATGAATAGACGAGAAAGAATCTGCCTAACCGTGAGCTGGAAGCAAGCGAGATGGACCATGTTCCTACTTCGTCTGTGTTCCTAGGTAATTTCACTTTTGAAAGCATCGTGTCATGGTTCGTTTCAGCCGTAGTTCTATGAGTAAGGTACTTGAGCAAGAAGGCTTGATTGGTCCTGTCTACCTGAGCCTCATTGATCCATGACCCGACAACTTGGCGAAGCTGCGAAGCATAACGGGGTATGAATGGTTATTGCGATGCGAATCCCACTGTAACATGCAAACAATGTGAATTTCCAACATGGGTAACGCTCTGACGCCTCTCGAATTGAGAGCCCTGATTACTGTTTTCGGCTGGGATCTGCGAGAACGGGGCCTGGCTTTGGGCCACCGCCGACCAACAGCAGCAGCACCACGACCACCGCTTCTTGTGCAACCACATACGAAGTACCCACCAAGCCTAGGTACCGCTCGCTCGACCGATCGACTAAGGTAGGGGAATTTCACTCTGGATCGTCACCACATTCTCCGACTCACTTCGGATATTGGTTGAAACATGATTGTAGTAATTTCATTTGAGCAATTGATATCGGGTAAAAGAAGGTGAGCTTCGATCCCGTAGGTTTGACCAATTTCCCGAACACGCAGCCAGCCAATCATGACAGCTGAAGAAACGGTCGTCGCGGGCGGCGCCAACCAAGAGAGCGGTTCCTACGTGTCTTCGGAGGATGATGGTCATACGTCAGCGTCGTTTTCTACGCCTGGAAGCGGCAGTGGGAGCAACGACTCGGACTGTGGAGGGGAAGGCCGCGGTCGCCGCCAGCAGCGGGATCAGAAGGGAGAGGACGGCGAAGAGGGGTGGGGGGAGAGTATTCCGCTTGTGCAGAGCCACCCCCACGGTCTCGGGATTGGTTCTGCTGGAGGTGTTTTCGATGATGAGGATGAAAATGCTGTTGATGACGCCTACAGTTACGAACTCCAGGACCTTGGCGCCGCGGGGAAATGGTACCACGACGCAGTCGCCGACGAACGACAGTATGGCGACCATGTTCCTGTGGCTGGTTCGAGCTCTCGAAGCAGGCGGCTGAGCCAGAGCACTGTCGCTAGCTTCCAGCTGTACACGCCTGACGAGGAGCAGGCCGTTGTGCGTAAGCTGGACAGGAAGCTGGTGCTGTTCTTGGCGCTTTGTTACATGGTATCTTTTCTAGACCGATCCAGTAGGTCATCTGAGTCTCTATCTGGTGGTTTATCGCCTGCATCAATTCCTGTTCTTTGCTTGGGGGTAACATGGCAATTGCGACTCGTGGGCTGGCCGATAACTAACTGACTAATTATGCAGATATCGGCAATGCGCGCATCGCTGGCATGGAAGCCGATCTACAGACTCGGCCACCAAGGAGCGAGTGGTATGAGTGGTCGCTTACGGCATTCTATGTTGCCTACATCGCGTTTGAGTGGATGAGCTTGCTGTGGAGGATTATACCCGCGCATATCTTTGTAAGTCCGGAGTTGGCTGCCTGAAATAAAGGAGTACTGATGAACGTAAATCTGTAGGTTTCGATGATCGTGCTCTCATGGGGCCTGACGGCGTCACTGCAGTCAGTGGCTACGTCGTATCCCGTTCTCATATTTTTGCGGACTTTGTTAGGGATTGGTGAAGCGTAAGAAATCCTGATCAGTGTAACGCTCTTTCTTACCCCGTACAAGGCAAAACTCGCCCAGCCAAATCGGAGAGTTGCTTAGCACACAGTGTTTTGTCCGAATACACACATGATTTTGTCGACGAGAAGATACTGACCCTACGATGCTCTAGAGCTTTCACCGGCGTGCCATTCTACCTCTCCTTTTTCTACAAACGAACCGAGTTAGCATTTCGAACAGCCATTTTTATATCAGGTGAGATTCTTCTTGGAGTACTTGATACCGTGATGGGATGAACATAGAAATGCCCCGACGGAAGAAACAGGCATTACTTCCGTCTCTCAACGGGTCTTGCTGTTGCTAGAAAGAGTAGCATAAAGCGGAAGTGATTCCGGTTGATTCCCTACGTATTAGCATGCCACTTTGTTTTAAATGTACACTCTAGGATTTCATCGCTTACCTGTTGCTCTAGCCGCACCACTTGCCACTACCTTTGCCTCATCCCTCGCCTGGCTTATCCTCAAAGTAGGCGAATCTGGTCCCATCGCGCCCTGGCGCCTCCTCTTCCTGCTTGAGGGCTTTCCGTCTGTCATAATAGCCACCCTCGCCTGGACCATTATCCCAGACTCGCCCCAGGCCGCCCGCTACCTGACCGACCGCGAGAAGAGAGTCGCCAAGCTCCGCCTCCGCCATGAGAAGCCGCAACGGCGTAAGAGCTCCTCCGATCAGACCAAGTCATCATCAGGTCTAAAGACCAAAGATGTCCTATCCGTCTTCGCCGACCCGAAGGCCTGGATCATGGCCGTCATGTTCTTCCTGTCGAACATGGCTTATGCCTCCCTTCCCGTCTTTCTGCCTACTATCTTACGGGAGATGGGACATACTGCCCTAGAATCCCAAGCCCTCAGCGTCCCGCCATACCTTATCTCTTTCGGGACGGTCCTACTCACAGCCCATCTATCCGACCGGAGACAGTCCCGTACTTTCTTCCTCGTCATCCACGCGCTTGCCTCAGCGGCAGGATACGCGGTCCTGGCCCTTGCCCGGCCCTGAACCTGGGCCCTATACTCAGATACCTGGCCGTCTACCCAGCTGCGATAGGGTTCTTCAATGTCGTTGTGCTCATTATTGCGTGGAGCATCAATAACCAGCCTTCGGAGAGCAGACAAGGCGGTGGGTTTGCGCTGTTGCAGGTCGTGGGACAGTGCGGGCCGCTGGTGGGGGTGAGGTTGTATCCCAAGAGCGCAGCGCCGTATTATGAGAAGGGGATGACAATTTGTGCCGGGGCTATGTTAGGGGTGGCGGTTCTGGCGGTTTCTTTGAGATTTGTTCTGGTGTGGCAGAATTGGAGGTTGGATAGGAAGGAGAAGGGGATGGGGGGAAACGATACGGAAGAGGTTATGGGATTGGTCGGCAAGAAGAAGGGCGAGAGGAGGGGATTTAGGTTTATGCTTTGAGAATGAGAGGGGCCACTTTTGTGGGATATATGTTTGGCTTCAATTAAAAGCAGAGGAAAATCTCGTTTTGGATTGCATACCTTCGATAAATAAGGGTATGCTCGCTAAAACCACCCATGTTCGAATCATGGGTTGACAGAAGGTGTGTAGTACATGCCCAGCTCAGATCATGTCGATCGTATAGACCTTTGCAGACTCACGTCCTATTGGTATCTCCTCTATGCCAGGTGGTTTTGTTAAGCTGTATGCTACCTGGGACCCACGTCCTCATATACTTCCATCGTGTCCGGCTTTTGAGTGAGCCTTATTCTCTACCTCCATTCGCACACGGAGGCCACTGCCGTCACGTCCCGAACCAGCCCTTGCGCAATTTCTCTTCATTTGGTTCCCGCATTGATATTGACCCGGCCGGAACTCGGGTTCCAGGATCGACAGGTCGCTTTGGTCGCATTCTGCCGCCAAGGTGCCAATTATGACGGCTTCATTCTCACAGCCTCATCTCGGTGCCCCCTTGTTTGCGAGTCTTTAGCGTCTATCCGGGGAAACTGCTTCGCTATGGAACACTACGTGCCACCCGGCAGCAAGACTGAGGATGAGTACAAACAGCGCCTTACGAATATGCACCACTGATTTATCGTTTGAGGGAAACCAATAATAGGTGCACTGGGATGAATCTTGGCATGATGGAGGTGTGTAAGACGGTCGCGCTGCCTGACTTTGAAGTTGGCAGATCCGGATAGGGTTGGGAGAATTCGGAATAGTACGTTTCCCAAACAGACTGGAATAGAGACCAGGATACAGAAGAGGGCAGGTATGGAGCTTAAAAATGAGTTGAGTGGTGGGACACTTACTACAAGGTTTTGCTTGTTTTGGACACATACAACACAAACAGTTCGTTTGACCGAGTAGAATACTTATCTAGCTTAGATTGCTTCCTCTCAAAATACCTGACTTTTGTATAATCGATAGACAGCAGACATACAACTTCCATGCTCCTCACTAGAACCCGATGGCCGACTTTGAGGTCAGGCAAGCAAGCTCAAGTTCGAGAACGGACGGCGTGTTAAGGCGTAGTGGCTCGAACGAGAGGCGGAGAGTACGGCTCCCCCGTTGAGTCGGTATACGCGAATCATCATGTAAATTGAAGAGTAAAAGTGTTCATGGAGTACTGTCACCTCCGTCCGGTGGAAGAATGCCCACTGGTGTTCAACATCGGCAAATCACCGGGGCTTGCGGAGATTAGGTTAGCCCTGGTCAGTCATAATTAGCGCGTCGGAAGTTCAATCTTAACACGGCCGGCAACTCTGTTATCTCACTTTTGTGACGACACCTTCACCAATCTTTCGTTTCCCTCCATGACTTCCACCAAGTTCAAGCTGACAACCCAGCCTCCCGAACATTCATCGCGTCGTAATCTTTGACATTTCGTCTGCCCATCTTATCAATCACAGACTGTGCCATTCGATATAGCACAGTCAAACCAATCCCTCCACCCCAGTTCTTTCCACTCTACTTTATGCACCGAGAGCTTCCTGAGACTTCACACCAGTTTCAAGAGCAAAACCCCTTATCCTCCTCCCACCCCTCTCACCAACATGGCTTTCATCAGCTTCACCAGCGCCAGCAAGGTGGCACTGCCCAAGATCCTCTGCGGCACCGCGCTCGAAGCGCGTCGCCCCAGTCCGTCCCAAGCACCTCTAACGCGTACATCCCCGGTGTCGCTGCCCAACAGCTCGATGCGCGACTACGTGGATTGAAAGTTGGCCAGTTGAAGACTCCTGGCGCGCGAATCTCTCAATATGAGAACGCATTGACTCCCTCAACACCAAGACAAGCACTGGGTTTCAAGGTCATTAAACGCGCCGACGCCAGTGAGGATGGCGTGCAGCTATTGGACTTTCCCAATGGTTCGTGACCTCTGACTTCGTACTGTTTTTCTGGTATTTAGTAACGCTAACTTGCATGCAGAAATCCTGACTCACATCCTATCGCACTTGCACCCTGACTCCCACGCATCCGTCGCGCTGGTATCCAAGCGACTCTATTCACTTGTGACGACTTCCCATGCGTGGCGTATGGCCTTCCAGCGGTACTTCCCAGGACAAGATGCTTTGGAGGTGACCGACAAGGCGAATGGGAAGGTCGACGATGTAGATTCCGAGTTCATACGATCTGAAGTCCGGTACTTCAGCCGACTGACGGCTCGTGCATCCTGGCGTAGCGAGTATCTCCTTCGCACCCGCCTCTTGAGAAGCCTAGCCAGAGGTAAACCAGGCTCGTCCTCTGGCGGCATCGGAACTTCCTCCCGGTCATCGCCATCTGGCAAGAAGGCCAACGCCGTCTTGACGTACAACTCTAAGCTTCCGTCCATGGTCACGAATTTGCATGCCACGTTCGTTTCTACTGGGAAGAAGCCACCGCGAGTCATCCACGGTGCTGCGGACATGTGCGTTGGAAGCGCTTCTGATCCCACGAGTGGCAAGGTCGAGAAATGGGGCCTAGACGATCCATTTGCCTTCGCTCAGCTTGACGAAGTTGTGCCTCAACTCCTGCCCTATGGAGTGGGAGAGGGACCTGCTGCTGTTCCGAACGTTATGGATGTCAGCCAGGTGTATGGTGTTGTCGGTGGAGAAGGCTTCCCAGGAGGTCGAGTTTTCTACCGCCCAGCTAGTGAGTTCAGGGGCAAGTACCTTGTGCAGGAACAGAACGTGATAGAAGCGCATCCTGACATACCCAAGATCCCCGAGCTCTCGGAAGGGGTCTGCTCGGTCTGGATTGCCAAGTCTCCTGCGGTTCCGTCACTGACCCAGTCAATGGTGGGAATGATGACTGGCTCTACTCTGGGCGTGGTTACTGCCTATGCTCTTGGTTTCGACCCATCTGGGCCTCGTTACACAAGTGGCGAAATTAGTGCGCGCTGGGTATTAAGTCCTGGTGTACCCATCATCGCTATCAAGGTGGACGAAAGCTACAGCCAGAAGAGAAATGCAGCTGGCCGCGTTTGGGCCGTTGCTTTGAATGCCCTCGGTGAAGTGTTCTACTTGAACTCAACACCGACACCACTCGCTATGAAGTCCAAATCCGACAGCAGTGTTAGATGCGCGTGGTATTCTGGACGCTCAGCCTACTGGCACCTGGTCGAGCCCACACGCCGCCAGGCCCGTCCTGGTGATTTTGACAAAAACGCTGTCCGCGGAGCGTATTCGCCGAGATCCCCTTCGAATGCGATGAATCTCAAACGAGATCAAATGGTTGCGGAAGCTCGAGAGATAGAGAAGTTTCTACGCTACAAGCCGGTCCACTTCCGAAAGGTTTGCAGCGGCTGGGATATGCGTCGGAGGCTCGAGGTCGACTTCGCCAGCGATGACACCCATGGAGCAGGTGAGGCCATCTTTGTGATCGACTGCGGGCTGGAGGAAGACCAAAAACCTGCCGTAACTCGATTCACTCGAGATGTTGCCAGCCGCAAACAACCAGGTGCTGCATCAAATTCCGTACCGCCACCAGTTGTCGAGGAACTACCTGTCCCTTCTCTGTTTGGGGGCGGGAATCCTGAGCCTACTTTGACTGACACACCTGCTTCACCTTTCGCAACGCAAGCCTTGCCGAGGCCAGGCTTGCAAAATCCCAATGCTGAAACGAACTCGCGTACTCAAGGAATGGATGAATGGCATCAAACGACATTTTTGTTGAAGGAATGCGACCATGCTGGGATCACTACCAGCAGCACCGACATGTCGCTTTACGGACTGATGACATCGTTCGAAGATCCCTTGATTGGTGGCACCAACCGTCCGCCCAGTGCACCAGCAACCACTACAGATCAATGTCCATTGGATATCCCTGGGAGGCGGGCTAGGATGCTGGGCATCGGGACTAATTCCGGGCTCGTCATGCTTTGGAATATGCGAGAAGGCCATGCTAGCGCAGGTGTGCAACCTGTTCGAATCCTCCAGACAGAGTCTCCTGCAATATCTTGCATAGCTCTATCTGCCTTGTACCTCGTCCACGGTGGGAGTGACGGCCTAGTGCAAGCCTGGGATCCCCTGGGATCAACCTTGGATCCAATCAGAACTCTCAGCTCACGGTCAGGTCGAATTCCTCGACACATGATCTCTGCTAATCCGGCTCTGGGCAATATCAATTTCTCTGCCGCTGGGGCTATCGTTCTTGATCCCGACCCGACCGTCCTTCGTGGGATCGTGTCATTCGGCACGTTCGTGCGTTACTGGGCATATAGCTCTTCAGGGCAGCCAGCTGGCCGGAAACGTCGCTTGCGCCACTCTGACGTTCACGGGCGCGTGAGCAGCCGCCGGCAGGGAGGTGGAGTGAAAGGCTACATTGCGGCCGAGGCTGAAGAGCTTCGACTTGAGCAGGAACTAAAGTCCCGGGAGCAAGCACATCTGCGATCGCGCTTTGGTGTTGGCCTCGGTGATCTCACTGAAGAGGAGGCTATACGCTACGCTGAAATGGTTTCTCAGGAGGCATACCTGCTTCACGAACAACGTCGAACCAGTGCCAGTGACACTGGCTCCGCGGCAGATTGTGACACGACTTCGGCTACTGGCAGCTTGGACACTATGACACCGGATCCCAGTGTAACGGGCCTCAGCCCGCCTGTGGCGAGCTCGAGTGCCATCGTCAATGTGCCAGACGAGGAAAGTAACTACGAGCTCCAAATCCAGCAGGCTATCCGACTTTCTTTGATGGAAGGAGTGAACGACATAGGCCAGTCTCCCAGAACAAACAGCTCTGGAGACTACGAGTTCCCTATTGTACCGAAAGGGAAACGTGACAAATTCTCTCCATCTAGTTCGCCGCCCTCGAGTCACACGCCCATGGTGCAGCGGGCTGAGTATAGCTCCATGGTGGCTAGTCCCTCCGAGGAGGACGCCGAGCTCGAGTTGGCAATGAGACTCAGTCTTGCTGAAGCGGAAAGTCAACAGTTCAGCAGTGTCGGCCTGGGAGTTCAGGATGATGAGTTCCCGGCGCTAAATGGCTTCGGGAAAGGCAAAGGAAAAGCAATCTAAGGAGATATTTGCCAGGGAGGTGTGAACTGGGTTCTCCGGTTACAGTTTTCAATTCGAGATGCCCGACATTATTTGTTCGTTTCATACCCTGAGCGTTGATGTTTTTAAATTCTCGAGAGTTCAATGCTATTCGTCTTGGTCAATAGCTAAATGCAAAACTTCGTTCAACGCAACATTACCTGAGTTCAGTGTCTGACAAGCTATTTGGGCCCCACAACGGGCCCCACGGTAGACTCGGCCGAAACCTGATATCTGGTATGATCTGGTATGCGGTTGAACCATTCCTACTTGGGCCCCTAACGAAGGATGACTACAACGACGATGGTTGGCTATTTGGTAGCGCAAAGGATTGGAACTATGGTTTGCCAGAACTATGAACTAGTCTGTAGACCCATTTACTGTGTAACAACATGAGTTCCATGTGGTGAAATTCCTGCCATGAAAGCTCCCTAGGTGATTTCAACGATACATCTAAGCCTGCGCTGTAGAAGAAACATTGGCGCCTTTGGTTTTCTGTTTTATTGCTATTACCATGCAAACTCGCTCGTCATCATATCCCTTGTACGAAAATATCTCGGCCCCACCGCCACAAACCTGTTCATGCTCATCCTCCGGTCCCGCCAGTCGCTGCCCCGGCCCCGGTGAAGTTCGAGCAATGATGCGACTACGGAGGTTTGGGCCTCGCGCCGACGCCCATCCGGTCCTTGGCTCCCGCCATTGCCGAGTCGTTGATCTTGACTTCTCAGCGCCCAGTGTAGTTGGTTCTGCTCGTGCTTGGTGCGCCGACGCTGGTGCCGATTAGCTCGAGGATCCGCTTGATAGTCTACAGTAGTCATCGACGAGTTCTATGGATTCTAGTTCCAAGAATGTTGAATCATAAGGGATCGTTCGTTGGTCGTGGTGTTTGAGAAAGTCGCACGTACGAGCCTCTTGACCTTGGGTGGCGGCCAGTTTCGAGATTCAACTGCGACAGGTCGGCGCATCCCCCAGGTAGATCCTAGTAACGGCCGGTATGCATCTCTTGGAGTGGATTATTAGGAAGCAGGGTAAACCTTATTTAAGCATGGTATCCTCTGGTGACGAGAGCGCGGCCTGAATAACGAGGGCTCCCCGCTACCGTATATCGAGGTGGGCGTGCAACAGCAGCAGTGGCACGACTTACCTCCAAAATATAGTACAGCCTCTCAAGTCACCGCCTGGCATCGAGCAAGCCAAAGCCAGTTATGGGGGAAGGGAGAAAATTTTGACATCTTATCAACTAGATGAGCGGCGCAGGTCTCTGAAGAAGAAGACTGGGGTTGATGCAAAGCGCATAGCTTTGCAGACCATGCTTCGTTCGCGTAGGTGACAAACTGGCAGTCAATGTAACGTGATTTCTCAACTTTCTTGAGTAAATTGACCTATAGCAGCTCGCTAGGTAGCATACGTACATACTTCCAGTTGGAATACGCAACGGTGTGGAGCCCACAGCAACGTATACCCAAAGAGGCCATAACGTCCCTCACTCCGCATATCCCGTCGAGATTATGTCTCGAGGTGAGGAGGTCGATGCTCGTGACTCTGCTTGGGCCCCCATTGTGCAAAACGAATAGACCATGTCTGTTCTTCCAGACCGCTGCCTACCACGTGCCCCTCGACACCGCGAAATCAAGACAATGTTTATTGACGGTCCTTCCGTCCAAGGACCGACCTGTATGCCCTAGATATCATCCTCTGTATGATTTCCAAAACTCCGTCCCTGGTATATATGTGTATGTAAAACGAGTCAAATATACATGTATAGAAATTGCGTTGAGCAGTTTGTCAGTGTAAAGTATGTGCAGTAAATGCGACCATATGTGTAACGGAGTCATCACTCATCCTCCCAACTGAACCGTTTTTCAGCTGGTTGGGGAATATGGACAAGGTCACCGCCATCGATGCGGCCTGCTGCGGCATTATCGCCAAAGGTGCCGCCAAAGGTGCCTTGCCGTGCTGCTTCCTCTTCGACGGTGTAGTTGCTTCCGAGCGTGTCGGCACCGGCTGACTCTCGGCGGGACTCCGCAGCGGATGGTATCGTCGGCAAGGCGAGTGTGTTCGTGTCCGGTGTCATGAGTCGAGGAATTGAGGACTGCCGCGGTAAGCGGACATAATTTGGAAGCGGGCCAAGACACACGAAGTTCGATGAGTCGATGGGTGTACGTTGCATGGCGGGTGATGGAAGCGTCAGTGGCGCCGTTGGATATGTCGGTGATGCGCTTGATGATGCCGAGAGGCTCAGTGAGCGATGGCCCAGATTATAGGGCGAGACAGGAGATATCGGAGAGTGTGATGCGGAGTTGGACCGAGGAAATGGATAGTTTGGCGGCATGAACGTCATTGGCGATGGGATATCCGGTATTCCATTCAACCAGTCTCCATGAGGAGTATAGGGTGACATTGGAGAGGGTAGTGAATGAGTAAAGTTGTCGTAGGTTGGTGTCGACACTGGCGAAGGATTTTGGATTGCCACGTGATCCGAAGATCGATAGTAAGCCACGGGACTCATGTCATTATGACTCTTACCTGGCTCATCTAGCGGGTGAGTTGGCGGCGTGTACTCGGGTACAGGCCCTTGAAGCTGCCTAGTCATTTTCCGCCGAGCCAGCTCATACGTACTGGCGCTGTGTGTTTCCTCGGTCCCCAACTCCGTCGTGCCATTGATTGACGTGGCATCAGTCGCGTCCAGTTCCACCGGTTCGCTCGGTACTGGCAATTCATACCGAGCATGACTCCCGTCGGTCCCGACTTCGACTGGCTGCCTGTTGCTACCATCAACCTCGTGGGCATTCCTCTTGTCACCGCTCCTCCGTGGTACTCTTTTCGTGAGCCTCGCCAGGAACCTCGCAACTGGACTTCTTGGCGGATAGGGCTCCATAGAGGAGCCCCTCTCCTTCAGCTCCTCGTCCACGTCTTGCGCCCTTATCTTATGTTTCTTTCTCCTGCACATCCACCAGACCATCAGGATGATGACAATCCCGATCAAGAAAGCACCAGCAACGATTCCGCCTATCTGACGCTTGGTCACCCCCGCTCGTCCTTCGTTAGTTTCTGCCGCTCCTGGATAAGGACTGTTGTTTGCCGGATTGATTGTCACAATGGACGTATTCCTCTTCGGGTTATCGGGGAACAAAGCCTGATGAATAGAATATGTGCTCGTTTCATAATTCGTGATGATGTATGCCTCTTGCAGAAACGTCCTTCCGATGATGACTGAGCTACCATTAGTGGCTCGTTTCAGGGGAAAGTAAGGGATTGCAGCATCGCCGTAGTTGAAAAGATTCATGAAGGGATAACGAAGCGTCTGGCGGAAAGCATTTGCTGAGATGGTTATGTTGATAACTCCTGGAACGTTGAGCGGCTGCCCAAAGTTATCTCGATTATCGGTACTGGACAGAGTGAATACGAACGAAACGTCGGGTTGTGAGAAATTCTCGAACACAGCATTGTCAGAGAACAAATACAAGCCAAACGACTCGTTCCAAGTCAATTTGAGCGCATCAGCAAATCGATCACAGATTGCCGTTGGCAGCCACAAGTAGGGAGTGGAGCTGTCGACGAGTGCCGTGAGGGATTCATTGAACGGCAACAGCTGCAGTGAAGTAGAGGACCAGTTAGTGGGAGCTTTGTCCAGGCTTGTTACCGATGCAGTGATACCCCTGACGAGAACTTCAGGCAGTCTTGTGCTAGAGTTCAAGCTGAACGTGGTGCTGTGAGGGACGAAGCGGTTTTCGTCATATCCGCCAAGCGTGAGAGAGAGTGGCGTGCCCCATTGTCCACCTGTTCAGTGTTAGCCGCCATACCCGAAGCCCTTATCTTAAGTTGACGCTCACCGTAATACGCCCCAGCAGTATAACCGTAGCTGTGACTCGGGATGACGCCATCCTGCTCGACAAGAGAGGATATGGGGGCCGGCACCACTACACTTCCAAACCGGCCAGGGGTGATGCCTAGACCGAAGAAGCCGGTGTAATAATCGGTGTCGTTTATGCCCGCTACAACCTGCTTCTGGAATGTGGTCTGCCATCGTTTCACACTATCGTACACAACAATGGTTTCCATCGCGTACTCGCCATTGCCCCCAAGCCCCAGATACTCCAGACCTAGTTGCCAGGCGCCGAGGGGCGACCAACTGTTTGATGCGCTAATGTTGAAAACGTTGCCCCGCGCCGCTGTGCAAAGTGCGCCTAGGTTGGTATAAGGTTAGAATTCTGGATGTTTGCTGCATATCCCTTGCGTCGGCAGTTACGTACTCGGCCCACAGCCACTATCCTCTATAACCCAGATTTCGGACAGACTTGTGCTCACAGTGACGTCGACTTGTTGCGCTGGCTCTCCGACGAAAAGACTGAAAGCCGACCAATTGCCATCGATCCCATACCTATATCCATGTTAACCTGCTATCCATGCCCGTCAAAGACTGCTCGTCGTACCACTTCAGAGATGGCTCAATCCATAGAGCGTCGGGATTGGCAAGCACCATACGAGACAGCAGAAGGAATCCGGGCAGCGACGATGCCGTAAAATGTGTTGACAACATGTTAGCAAGTTGGTCGTACCTCGCGGCGGTCGAACACGCAGACCCGGGTTACCAATGCGCTTTGAAAGCCTTCATAGGGCTATCGTCGGCAATAATCCATTGAGTCGAAATAGTTGGAGACGGTAGACGACCGCCGCACCTTGCATATGTCGTTCGGTAACATTCGATGCGCAGATTTCCAACAACGGCGTCCCCAAACCTGTCACGATGGTCGCGGTAGGCGTAAACAAGGCAAGAACTGATAGTGATATTGGAGGGGACCAGAAAGCGAAATTCCAGCTCCTAGCGACCCGTCTTTGTCGAGCAGGGCAGTTGCTGGGTACGACACGGCCCATATTTCAGAGGAGCTGCAGATTTGGAGACCGAGGATGCCGTTTGGGGAACCAGGGACCCTGGATTACCTGGCCAGGTGGTCGCCAGGGGTATGTGACCCCCGCTGCGGTGCAGTCTTGAGGCACCTTCGGGGCATAAACTACTCGAGCTTAAATATACTCCAATAGGACGGGTGCGACCAGCCAAGCCCGCTACTGTTAGGTGGTCGGTCGATTCTGGATTCCCCATTTCATTCCCTGCCGAAGCTGCGTGAAATTGAAATTGTCTTCGAAACCTTCAATGAACCTTGCCATGATGAATCTCCTCGTCTGACGGGTACGCAAGATTAGTGTAGTCTGCGATTAGTACCGGCTCGCCACTGCGTGCTGCTCAACTGTACCAGTCTCATGGCGTTGCAAGTAACTAGCAGGAGCTAGATGAATTGCCCTTAAGCACACACAACCCGCTGCCAGTCATCAACGCCATGGGAACGTAAGGGTTCTACAGACAGTGTCTCTCTTCAATTCGGACTTGGGGTGTGGGGGTCGGACTCTCAGGTCCTTCGGCTATTGAGCCTGTCACGACTCCTGTCACGATTCATGGCCTGCTCGCCTGACTGATCTTGCCATTTCTCGCCGCTAGACTACATGAATTCCCGTGATGCGATGCCACGATGCGTGGCACTTAGTAGCAGGTCTAGCCTCTAGGCACGCCACACACGAAGTGAGTTGGCGGCGGGCGGAAAGGCTGGCCGACATAACTCGGTGCACGAGGTGAATGGAGTTTGCGACGGCGAGTAGGATCGTCTCAAGATTATTGTCCAACCATCTCCCGCCAGCTACTCAGCTGTCGACTGGTAGAGTGATGCATCGTGGCAGGCCTGCAGTACAGGGAGTCTTGGTGGATGGCATGATGCTCCGATGCGGTGCCATCGGTCGTTTGGAGCCTACCCAGGCCTTCCACACCAACCCCGGCCACACAAGGGACGTACATGAGCTGAACTTGATGTCGCGCTCATTTCACACGGCATATTCACCATTTGGTTAAATGAGCCCATGGAGGGGTTGAGGTTTTGCCGACAGAAGGGGAGACCGACGAAGCCACTTGAGTAAAGTTTTCGGAGTTTTCGGAGTGACATGGAATGTTTAATTGGGGGATGGGCTGGAGTTGCTATGCAATTGGCAGTCGCAAGCTACATGGTCAAGCCAGGAAAGCGCCGACTAGCCTGGCTGCCAATATACTTTCTTCTGAAACTGTTGTCATGAACCTGGGTATTTTCCAAGAACCTGGGTATTTTCCAAGAACCTGAGTATTTTCCAAGAACCTGAGTTGCTGAGTCCCAACAACAGCCTCAAACGCCGAGATTTGCCACGCCAACCTGATATTACCGCCGTTCCGAATCCACGGCAAGTTTCCTGCCGGTTTGTGGGGAACAAAAGAACGGCAGCTACCTTTCCGTGCTTCTAGCCTATCCATTTGACCAACTTCCTTGGAACACTACTACACTGCGAAGTACAGCGCTCCGAACACTAACTCGATTCGAGCAGAGGTAGGTCAATCAACATGTCGCCTTCATATAGGCACTATGGGAACGCGTGGGCAAGACGAAGTGCTCTCCAAATCCAGTCTGGAGCGGATCGAGGTGAAAAATGAGTGTGGCTAGGAAGGCAAAATGACAACGCGGCTCTGGGTTGCATTGCCCTCGGCTGGGCTCTTGAATCTCGGCTAGCTGATTCCCATGACGGAAATGTTCTGATGCCCCAAGCGATCGGATGAATTACTTCGAATTAACTTAGAATACCAGACGGCCCATGCCTTATGTAGGCTAACTATGCTCTCCTTAGTTAGTAGTGCGATATCCGCTAGATTTTCATATCCTCCTACATAACCCATCATACCTAACTATATCAAAGTAAAAAGAAAGACTTTAAAATATAAAATACCAATCGTATTATTGTCTACTCTGGTAATTCTCCATGCTATATACTAATATATACTTGTGATCTAGATGCGTAACTGTCACGCCGCGCCAGGGGTTGCAATCCTTGCCACTACGCCACCGTACCAGATGTCTTCACCAAAAGAGACCAATACCAAAGTCCCTGACTTTGGTATCTGCAACCACTTATCAATCTGTTCAGATCAGTATGGGTCAATCACGTGACAACCGTCACAGTAACCTTGCTATTCTAAGTATGCTCTTAGTTATGAGATAATTGCGAAGTGAATAAGCCACATGTTATTATTATAGCCGAATAATTTCCTTGTAAAATAGAGATAACGTTATATATATAATGGTGGTTAATACGGTTATATAGTTGTGATAACGAGGATAATTATAGCTTCTTTGATCTTGTCAGGGTACGGCTAGACCGAAGGCAATAGTACAGAGTGATGGGGAGTAATAGGCGTCCCTCCTACGTAGCACCGGGTGGTCACTGGCGGTCTCAGGTAGGGGTGCCCACGATGATGCATTGATCTCTACTCCTTCCCTATCCTACTTCGAGATGGTCCTTATATAGATAGCTAGGCCGCCGCTTGGACCCGGCGTAGCCGCAGGTTTGGCGATGCCGGGAATCCTGACTCTCGGCATCCCGAAACTTCACATAGATTGTAATCATGACTTGGGAGGCTTTTGTCTGAAACACCCCACCGGCACCCCACCGGTGTCCTGCGTTCAGTGTTTCTGACATATCTAAATTTATATATTATAATCATAAGAAGAAGACGTGTCGATATTAGGTAGTCAGAAAGTGGGAAAAGCACGCTACCTACAACACGCGACTCGCTGTAAAGACACGTTAATTCTACATTTAATATAAAATAAATCTTTTACAGCTCTGAAAGTACCAAGTCTAAATAAGCATGATTAGTAGCGTTATGCTCTTTAAGGGTTTTTTACAACATGAATAATTTAGTTATTACTACAGTATCACGTTCCTTATTTCGCGAAGTATTACAAGGATGCCAATCGCGGTGGCTTGCAGTTTACAGCTTATGGCTTACTTCGCACAGCAGCAACCATTTAACCCGGTCGAAGGTATGTGGGCCTCGGACGTTTTCTGGCATTTTTTCGTCAAATATGAGTGTCGACAGTGGTCATTGGCTATGAACGACTTGGAATCGGTGTCCGTCAACGTTGGCTCGGAATCTCGCCCCCTGTGGCCTCGTTTCCGGGCACGGTACTGCTTACCCATGAGTGCTTCCGGGATATTCCCCTCCTTCCCAGCCCTGACGATCTGGAGAGGACACCATGCATATCCCTGTCACCTGCCAGGACTGGGGTAGTTGCTGCTATCCACTTGCGGGCAACGACAAACCCGATAACAGCAAGCGAGGCAAAACAAGAGCAGAATGGATGTTACTTAGCCTTCCACCATGTAGCCTAGATTTTGCAGGACTGGCCTTCGTAAAGTGCCAAGTTGGCTTGTTCAAACAAAGGTTTCATTTCATCGGCTAGGCCGTCTGAGCTCCTTGACTTGATGTGGCGATTTAATGATGCAGCAACCTATCGCGTTATTACGGCACTCTAAAGTTCCTCACAAGAACTTGCCAGCCAGGGTGAGGCCATCTTTGTCTGGCTCATCACTTCTCATCAGCAGTATCTTTCCGGTACTGCGTATTCCGATAAGGTGAGTGATGATGGGAAATTGCGCCATCCTCATCGCTCCGGGGTGTTTGCTGGTCGAAACTTGCGAGCACGACTTCAGATCCCCTGTCTCATTAGCACCGGCTGCCATGTAGATGCATTCGCAAGTTGCCCCGGGGCTAGAAGCAACGAGGATGTTCACTGGGGTTAGTAGAAGCAAGACGAAGTAGCTGCTTGTCAAACAACCTGCCGATTGAACTGAGCAGTCCAGCACTCCAGCGAGTTAGCAACTCAATCTATGTAATAGCCGGAAACTATTACGCCACAGAGAGGCTAGACGGACCGCGGACCCACAGTGTAAGGTCCTGCCAGGTACCGATTGCTTGGGCTGGGCTTGTTTTATAAGGAGTTTTTGGCCAGGCATGCGTTGGAGGAGTCCTGTGCATCAGTCCAACCAAGATGCCGGCATTGAGTACATGACTTTGTGTGGGATACTGTTGCTAGTTGAGGACTTGCTGCGTGCGGAGACGTCCATCAGCCACTCCCCAACCCAGGTCCTATTAAGCAAGACCGTACCTATTGTGTCTAGCATACCTACGTCGTACCACTTTCGTATTCTTCCGACGCTGACATGCATGGATATGACAGGTGCCATTGATCGACAGGAACCCCGGTCCCTAATGTGCTGTGCTCCTCGCATTTTCATCTTCGAATGTTGGCCGAGGCTTCTGTGCGGCTTCCATCTACACTTCCAATGAGCCAAATTTGCTCTTGCGACGCGGCGACAGTCTTTCAGTCCAAACATCAAGTAGAACACGCTACAATGTCCTCAGTGTGAAGGGTGTGTTCGCTTACAGGCTGTGAGTATCGCAAGTGCTACCAGCGGCGTCAGCTGCTCCTAGACGGCAGTAGTCCATAGCCTGCCCCCTGCTAGTGACTTGTTCGGGATCACACCCTGCTCCTTAACCGCGCTCGCACTCGCTCGCGCACGTAAGTACATAACAAATGCCGTCCGTAATCTACGCGATTTGCCCACCAGGAAACATGGTGTGCCATTCCCGCGTTTGCCTCCCGCGTTTGCCTCCCGCGTTCAAGAATGCTTGATTGCCGAGTTGGATGGCAGCGAGGTGGGTTAATATAGCTCGTCCTCTGCTGCCCTGCGGTGACTATCATGTCTGTTACTCGACTGGCATTACCGATTTAATACTTATTCATCTCGGTGCGAGCCCAGCAACCTGGGTCTTGGAAGTCAAGTCGCAGGCGTCGTGCTGGTAGAAAGCCTAGGACAGATCCTCATTGAGAGGAAGCCATGTTGGGTATCGAATACATGCTGCTGTGTGTCGCGGCACTTTCGAGTCATAACGTTGCCGCAGTCAGAGCAGGTCAGTTTGATGGCCGCAAGTGAAACTTGGTGGGGATATTCACGCCTTCTTAGATTTCGGGTCTGGCCGTTTCGGCCGACGAGTATTGGCAAGCAACCAGACGAATACAGCAGCGGCCGTCTCTAGCAGCGCAATAGAGCCCACAGTCTCCGCATTGTCCGAATATAATGGACCAGAAGGCTCTGGGGTCGGCCCCACATATGCCTCGAGCTCGTCGATTTCATCCAGATCACCAATCACGATAACTGAGCAAAGTTCGACAGTGGCAGGTCTAGGATTTGTAACCACAGCCAAGAGGCCAAGCATTGTCGTACAGCACAGTAGCAGTGCAGCAACGGTCAGTGCTGTTGGCGGGAAGCCAGCTTCAGAAACCTCTCAGTCATCCTTCAACGAGCTCACATATTCAACTCAACTTGCCACCAACTCGTCATCTCTAAACTCCACCAGCACTTTGTTGGCCTCAGCGTTCAGTGTGACATTAAAATCCACTTCTAGCTGGAACTGGGTCGTAACAACATTGGCATCCGGACCCTCGTCAGCCTTCGATTGGACTATAACAACTCTCTCCGCAGTGCCTGCGCCCACCGATGATGGTGGATGCCCCACGACGCCTGATGTTGTGACAGTCACCAAGTGGTCTACCATTTATCCGTCCACTATCACGTGGACAGGGAAGCCATCAGACTATACACCGTCCACCACATACCCGCATCCTAGCCCACCTCCACCGACTTCAACGGCCGAGTGTACCCCAACGACTGGCCGGTTTTCATACTCGGTCTGCGACGGCTCGGGCCTCACTTGCACTCTCTATAGTACGTGGCCGGGCTCCGTAAGTCGGGGAGGTTCGCCTACCACGGGTACCGTCTCGACTTCCGTCGTCTTTGGGACCATTCCCATTTCAACGACATCCGAGAAGGAAAAGGCCACGTTCACCGTCACCTTTTTGACGACAGATAAGAATCCTGTTGTGGTTTACCCCAGCCCGGATACGCCAGATTACGGCGCCGGTGGTGGGTCATCCAAGCAGAACAGCCATCATAGTGTCAAAAATTCAGTAGCGGAGACCACGCCTACCCATGGACGTGCGACTTCGCCCGTACCCGCACCATTCACATATAAGCAGACGGCTGAGCCTACGAACCAGAGTCCTAGTGGAGACAGGAGCCCGGTCTCCTCAACAGCAGTTACAGTCGTTGTGCGGACCACCGAAGTCATCATTAATGACCAGACGTTCACAGACAATCCGCAAACCAAAACCTCGACTGTCGTGGTTGGCACTGACACTTTTGTCATCGACCCAACACAGGTCGTCGGTGCAGGGGCTACCGTTGCACGGCCTTCAAGTATAGGAGGTATATTTGTACCGTCGCCCATGACAACCACCTTGGGGAACCAGGAGGTTGTCTACGGTCCCTCAGTTTACAGCATCGACGGAACTGTCCTCACCGCCGGTCCGATACCTACGACGGCTGTGGTCAATGGCCAGTCTTACACGGTCGGACCACAAGGCCTCGTATATTCAACCCAGACTCTTTCCCCCATCACCGAGGCACGGTCGACGGGAATGGTTGTGCTAGGAGCAGAGCTGATCACAGCCATTGGGCCATCTCTTGTTGTCATCGAGGGGACTACAATCACCTATGGTCCTGGCTTTAGCCCGTCAACCGAAGTCATTGATGGAGAGATCATCTTAATCGGACCGGCAGGCATCATCATCCGGGGAACTCTACTCGGAGGAATCACAGCGGCCATGGCGGCAACAGTGTACGACATGGTCGGAGGAGCGACCATCACCCAGATTGGCGCGACCGAGGTGGTCATCAATGACTCCACTTACACAATCGGCCCGGCCGCAACGGCCACCATCACAACCGTTATAGGCGGTGAGACATTGACGATAGGTCCCAACGGCGTCACTTCATCTACCGTTTCCTTGGCTCAGCCCTATGAAACAAGGACCACCATCGTCCCGGGAGGAACGTCCGCGGTTGCTTCGCCGACGGAAGAAGCCCAGAATCAGGGGCGACCTTTGCGGCCGGAGTGGGAATTGGGATTCATAGTCACTTCTATAGCGATCGGCACTGGGTTTTGGGGGCAACTGTTTTGCTAGGTGTGGTGTCATGGGGGATCCTGAGGTGTTCTAAGGGCGTACAGTGATTTTTTGCTGGAAAAGGGACATCATGACGATACTCACGCCTCGTGCAATGGGCAGCAACGTTGTATGAGATTACTGTATACTTCTGTAATACTAATACCGGAGACCAGATAACCAAAGATGAAAACACGGATAACTATTCAAACATTAAGCTTTATTTCAATCTGGTGAACTAGAAACCGCAAGTCGTCTGGGCATGTCAGTGGTGTTCGTCCCCCCATGTGGTCTATTTCAGCAGGTACCAGGACGACAATATGAACTTGTTGATCACCCACAATGTACTGAACGCATGCAAGCATAATATCCTCCAATAAATGAAAAATGGTATCGAAACGTATGCCACATGTACAGCGATTAGTCCCCTCCAATCCTGATCCTACGGTAAAAGGTGCAATCCAGGGCCCTGGTACTTGGTAACCAAGTTTTCTACCAAGCAGAGCAGTACCGAAAAATTTGAGCCCTTCAACCCCCAACCTCCATGCCCTTCTCAGAACATGCGCATTGTCAGCCCTAGCCCAACGTACCTAACTTTCGAAACTGGCCACCTAAATAGGCAGGAAGTTCAGGATTACCGACTTGAAACGAGTCGATAAAGCCATGATACAGGTCCCTACATTAAGAGTCCATGGAGCAAAATTCTTGACCATTAATTCTTAGAACTTTGAAAGATTTAGTGTTACATGCCTGTCAAGATGATAAACAATTTAGCCAGCCAACAATTTCTTTCGTAGTTTGTTCCTTCATTTGACTACGACGTATCATCACCCTGCATGTGTAATACGCCTCGCTCTCGTTGTATTCCGCTCTCGTATCCAACAGAGAAGTTCGACTCCTACCGTACATGGTGTTGTTGCATTTTGTATTTATTTATGGTCTGTGGTTTCTATGACTAGTGGGCGGGCACGTACGAAGCTGGCCTTTTTTCCTTCTTTCTTGCGGGAAATAAAGCCCTGTATAAGATATTGTTCTTTCAGCATCTGCCAGCGGTATTCCGAGCTCATCAGGGAACTCGCATAAGTAATACATGCATCACCGGGAGTGTTCTCTCACTCGATGGTGGAATGGAGGGATGTTCGGGACCGAAGAAGCGAACAACCTTTCAAATAAACAAGGGATAGGCCACATCATATTGGAGCTGGCTAGTCATATGAATACATCAACCACGGAGTTTTAGATTACAATAGGTGGCTTCAACTTTTCGAAATAGGATAGTATCCCCGACCGCCTATATAGAGGTTCCTGCCATCCTCGGGACGCAAGAAACTTAATTGGCTCAACATCAAGTTGGGAGGATGATGCGCTTGGCTTGCTCCGAGAGGTCTGTCCGGACTCTGTCGGTTGATGATGAATGGCCTGTCCTGTCGGCCGAGACGTTACACAATCAAACCTTCACAAGTAGAGTATGTGAGACGTATTACGTCGCCGCCACAAAGCACGTAATTTATTACCTAAGAAGGAATCTTTCGCGTAAGACAGCGATACTATGTTTTTTTCTTGCTTATTGGTAGTCCAAGGCGGCTTTACGAAGGGGAGAGAGAGGCAATTGCGACGACTTACAAAAACTTGGTAATTACTGAAGCTCGGAGCTGAGATTGTTTTCGAGCTTATTCTTGCGTGCTTGTGGATGACTTCCATTTGAGATAAGGTAGTTATAAATACGGTGAGAGGATGAAACACGGTAGAGCTGTGGTAGATGTCCATGTTGGTGGCTTTGGTCAACTATTCTTTCGTCATTAACTTCAACGCTGCGGTTTACAGGTATATAACTGTAACTCACTAACTGGGCTGTAAATGAGATATTTTCCGCACCACTTAGCATATGCACGTCTTCTACATATTCAGCCTCCTGATGTGCACAGTAGAAGCTAAATACTTACATATTTGGCCCTGATACTTCAGTCAAGGTCTAAGTCAAAGCACCCTATTGAGGGGCTTTTGCCCCCGTTTCTTTTACTCTACTAGCTGTGGTTGTATTCTCCAAATATTCGGTTGAATAAAAATTCAAATTCGCGATGTTGCCTAGTGATTGCGCACATTGCTTCGTGTCACCGGTTCGCCCTGCCTGGCCGTGATGATGTTTGATACTCATGCACATATTGGATTGGCCTGGCATTTTTACGTATCCAAGTATACGTGCAGGGCGAAGAGGTATTTTGATATGAATTGAAAAGCTTGCAACAGCTATCGGTATGTTGAATGATCAACAGGACCTACCGTAAAGTGGCGGGGCGAGGGAATATCTAGCAGAAACCAGCAACATGTATACAAACATCACATCGGTCCTTTGTCTCTGGAGGAGATACTCTAGGTGGAGTTAGTAGACCCGCGTAGGTTAATTCATGATATCTCTCTTCCTCTCACCGCGATATCGAGGTAACGCTACCATCATTCAAGAGAGTCTTCTGCGGTAAAGGGGCATGTTTATGTATCGCGAATACTGACTTGGACAGACTCCATTATGATCTTGATTACGAACATGGTCTCTACCAGAACTTTCAGGGACTAGCAGATTAACCTCAAACCAGATAGCCCACATAAAGGTAGCCACTGCTCACGGGCTCCGCGTCCTGAACCAACCGCATTACAACTCCTAAAACTAGATAGACTCGGAAATAAAGGACTAGACGGATTTTTGGTATTGATGACGAAGCTCTGGAAAACGTCCCCGGCCCATAGAAAGGAACGCGGGGCAGGCTACTGTCAAGTATGTAGTCGCTAGTCAAGGCACACCAGAAAGCTAGCCGGTGCATCAAAATTCATATTTAGCAGTACTCTCGAATCTCCGGTCTGGGTGTCTATAGAAGTCTAAAAATATAAGCTATCATGCAACCTGCGCAAAGAGGCCGTTTACCTGACACGTGTTGACGTATTATCCACCCCTCAAACCAAACGCCATCATGTATTGTTCTCTTCTTCCTCCATTTCACCACACCTCCTCCCAGGACCAGCATCTGCTCAAGATCTGCGTCGCCTCGTCACGGTCACGCGCCATACCACCTATCACGAGGGCATCGCGAAGCGCCAGACGAACGGCCGAGGGCATCTTTCCTGCACTTCCACAAAGGAGTATGATGGCGTTCTGCTGGACTAGTTCGCAGACCAATTTAGCCTCGCGACGAATAACGTCTTGGACGTACAATTTCTCCTTCTGGTCTCTCGAGAATGCCGTGATCACATCGACCCCCAGCTGTTCCCATTCCTTCTTGAAGAAGAAGTCGGCATCATGATTCCGGCCGCCGAAGAACAAGAACTCCCGGCCACGTTGGCTCTCCAGGGCTCGATCCCAGATGTATGATCGGATAGGCGCCACGCCGGTTCCTGGTGCAATGGCAAGAACAGGTAGACGTGAGAAGTCATGACTATGGATGGGGGGCCCTTGGTGTTCCTCAAGACCGACTTGTACTGGCGTATCCGGTTGAAGGGACTCGATATATCGCGAACAGATCCCTTTGCGTATCTTGCGCAGAACTGTCTTGTACTTGACCAGTGCAACCAGAATCTCGATTCGTGTGTAGTCCGGGTCATCCTGGTCCTTAATCAAACGACCTCCACTGGCGATGCTGTATTCCCGACCACGCATGATTGGGAAGATGGTAGGCACCCATTGGTGCGGAATTTTCACCGATGAGAATTCCTGGAGGATCTCCAGGATTGATCTTCGAGGCCGTGAAGTGTAATCGTAGAATTCATCCGTATAAGCCGGGTCAGCGAATTCAGTGAGTCTGTCCTTGTGCATAGTGTCGTCCGTAAAGAATTTGATATGATCAAAAAAGACGCGGTGCGGGATTGCCGTGATGTCGTAGTTGTGAGTCAATAGCTGCCGCAGCGTGGTGTTCTTCAGAGGGTAACACCTTTTGGGAGCATGCTCGATGCTGATCCCATCGTCTCTCTCTGAGTAGTGTTTGAAGGGTTTGTCTGCCACTTCGTTCCACTCCATACGATCAATTAGTGCCTGTACATCAACAGGGAAGTTCTTTGGGTATATAACTACACAGTCGCCCGGCTTGTAGAAACAACTGTGATGGACTTTCTTGGTTACTGGATTGATCCTGGGGCTGACAATTAACTCAAGAAGCCGAACATCTTGCCAATGATTCAGGGGAGTGACACGCTCGTTCCTGATCACAGTAGCCATCCAACTGTCAGGAATGGGCAAAAGGTCTGGAGGTGGCGGCTTCTCATAAGTTGGTGTAGAGTCTTGGAGAGAGTATTTCGCGGGATGATCTCGGAGCACGTTCGGCCGGTCCAGAATATTGAGACCCCCATCCATCTTCTGTGCAGTATGTTCGGACAGTCGAGCGATAGGGGCCAAGTTACCAGGGCGGGCTCTCTCTCGTATCAGCTCAATCTCGTCAAGTTCGGGGTTCACAGCATCTACGTGACTGAAGAGTGCCGCCTTTCCATCGATCATTGGCTTTCGATCAGCATCAGTGGGTGGACGTGCGTCTTTGTCATTGCCGAGAGCCGGTTGGCCAACATTACTATTCTGGATTAATGGGTCTAAGTTGCTGACGCCCTCGCGATCCATCGTCGGAACGAGTCTAATAGTGAACTTGGGAGGAAGATGAACATCAGGTGGAATTGGGGACACTCCTTCTGGTAGCGGGTACTCTGATAGCAGATGGGCCCGAAGGCTAAGAGACCAAGGGAGGTATGTGCCGTCGATGCTGTAACCAGCTGTTAATAGGAGCTGGATTCGGCAGGTTGAATGGGTGGCCCTCGAAAAAGAGAGGCAGCGAACGAGGGATCACGCTGTGGATTAAACACATACCCTTCCTCGTGACGTTCGTCGGCTTCTCCACGTGGGTATAATTCAGTTGCCCCGAGCTGTTCGAGGCGTTTGTGCAGTTTCCTCGCAGCCCAGTTGTACCTGCCGACAATCAGTCACAAAGTCCGAGCCGTGTCATTATTCAAAAGTGATCGAGTTCAGGCGGGGTGAGTGTGAGCGTCACGCACTTGGTGTAGGAGCTGTCACCGAGACCAAAGGTTGTGAATGCCACTTGACTGAGGCAACCGGGTGGTAACCTTTTGCGAAGCAAGCTCTTCCAGAATTTTTGAGCGTTCTTAGGTACCTCACCTTGGCCAGTTGTCGAGGTAACGAAAATGGCTAAAGGGTACCGTATCAAAGTATTCTGCTAAAGAAGTCAATGAATTGATTTGGATTATTCGCCTCTGCGGTTGGGAATCCTGCATAGAATCAAATCACGAATTGATAGAACCAACAACAGCGTTTGCTGTAGGATCCAAACGCCAAACAGGAAGGAGCCGATTGCAAGGTACACTGGCTACCTAGTGTTCGCAAGGGAAAGTATCGTCGAGGACGAGACCTACAATCTCAATATCATTCATCTCGCAGACCCTGGTCTTAAAATGCAATCGCTCCGCCAGTCGTTCAAGATCCTCAGCTGCATCTTGGCTATTTCCCGTTTCGGATCCATAGAGAATAAGAATTCTTCTATCTGCCGGTGGTGCAGATTGGCCATTTGCTGTTTGCTCAGCCGCCATAATTGTGGATAGACTAGCAACTGAGGAGTGTAAGGCAGAATTGGTACGCAGGTATATCAATTTTGATAGTTTGTGAAATCAGGCCCGGATAGCGCCCATAAAAAGAGCGTAACTGCGCAGGATCAATTACAAGCTCTCACCTCCGATGCGGGGGCCGATCCGTGGAGAAATTCGGTCGAGACTTTGCTGAGGCTCTGGTACTGGGAACGTCACGCCGGGCTTTAATGTGGAAATCTTTATCGGATGCCTTTCTGGGCAAGCCTGGCTGCAGAGTAGCCTAGTCATGAGGCTAAATACTTTGTACCTGAAATACATGCTGGTTGGCTCACACCTACAATGTGTCTGCATACTTAAGCAAGTGAGATGCATGCCGGGTAGGGCTCCTCAAGCTGTTGTCCGCTACAATTGTACTTAGCTAGTGTCCATTTGCACCAGACACCAGACCTCACAGAGCGATGATGGCGCCGGCAGATAAGTGGGCTGGTAGTGAGATGATTGGAGCTTGGATGCCGCCTTCAGCTATGGGTATCGCGAGACGAAATCAGGTTGTTTGGACAGCCGGAGCTCACGGAATCTGCTTGGCAACCTGGGTTGCTTATTGCTTATTCAAAGTACTCTCATACCAACAGCACGTCAACACTGAAATGCATCCATATTTTCAGCGCTGAGGCAAACCAGGGGAAAAAGGGGTGCTGCAGATGGGCAAGCGCTGGGAGGGGGCGGGCTTTGAACTTGCAGGGTCCAGGAAGGTGTCGCTTTAGGGGAGCCCCTGCCCTTCCGCCGGCTTCTATCGTCCTTCGAGAACTTCAGAAGTCATTACCGGTTCTCCCATGTCGTCAAGGAACCTTGCAGAGCCGATGTAGTTTCACCTGTTGAATACCACTTCACATAATATTATTCAGTACTAGAATACGATTGTGGGACCTCTGCCCTTGTAAGTAGCGGTGATAGCATTGAAGATACAAAGCTGCTCTGTTGGATCACTCTCACCCATGAACTGTGCCGCTTTAGCAATTCACTTTAAATAAAGCAATTTGTACGGTTCATGCAAAACAGAAAACTGCTACGAGTCCATGTCAAAACTTCGGCACTTTGCAGCCAGGGTGCTACCTTGCCTCTGATTGCTGTATCCTCCTACTTTCACGTAGAAGCCGTATTCCAACTCGTGGAGTCATCCGACGAGCCATCGTCCTAGACCGACGAGGAGTGAGGCGGCGGCGACTACCGCTGGTCATCGGCAAGAAGCATTGCACACTCCACACACAGATGGAGCTGTCAAGGCGATCTAGCGTGAGAAGTGGAACATATCGCAAGTCCCACTGCTGGCAATGATGGCCCGCGCCAGCAGATCTAGTTAGTGTTTTTACACGTGTTTATCATGCATTGATTGACAACAAGAAAGTGTTGAACCAGGCCATGAGAAAGCACAGCTTCATCGACTCCCAACCGACTAGCCTGGGCGAGTTACAGCATCCAGAGAACAGGAACTTCAGACTGGAATCGCTCCTACTAGGTAGTGCATTATATCAACAATGAATTGTCGCAGTTTGGTGCAGGGGTAGTGTCTGCAGATGTTGCTTGCCGGCGAGGCTGGCCGGTGACAAAGAGATGGGAACCTGGGTTCAAGTAAACACGTCTTCCTAGCCAATCTGTAGGGACCCTGGGAATGATGGGACGGAGCCACTGAGAATAAGCCCACATGTCAGAGTTCACCTGACCGTATCAGGAATGTGACTGACACTTTCGCATGGTTTATCATCATTGGACGCAACTTCTGCCTCAACAGCAGTCGGCGAATAATCAGCCAACAAGAAGTCATAGCATTCGCTTCAGGTAAGTCGGCATCACCTTCACCTTTCCCATCAAAGCGGACAAATCTAGTGGGTAGCTGTGCTTTCCATTTCCGTACACCCCCACCGTCAGCCAAGCTCCACTTTAGCTCAAAGGAAGCTGTCTCCAGAGTGGGCCGTTGCCGGAAAATAATTATTTTTCTGTGGCCTCTCGACTACAATCTCGACCTCTCCCCTTCCCTTCTCTACACCTCTCAACTAAATCAATCTCAAGCTCTCGTGTCACCGCACCACCACTCCAGCTTCTTTCAACCTCATCTAGGGCACGTAGCCACCCTTCTCACTCCCCCGTTCATTGTTCCAGAGTTCATTTGAACCGCCCGAACGTCTAACGTCCCTTCATCTCAAGCATCAAGCTATCAATCCCACCTCAACTACTCTCCACCCCAACAATCAGTCAATATGGCCAGCACCACGGAGAAAGTTGCTGAGGCTGCCGTCAACGACGTTACCAACGCTCTGAGCAATACCTCTCTCACCGGCAAGGACGAGAACAAGGATGCCGTCCACGCCAGTGCCGCCGAGGGCCGCCGACTGTACATTGGCAACCTCGCCTATGCGACAACCGAGGGGGAGTTGAAAGAATTCTTCAAGGGTTACCTTGTGTAAGTTCTCATTGTCTTTTGTTTTCGGGTGCTTGCCAGATTATAGCGACATCCCGTTCGCCATGTCGCCGATCTGGGTAATCGCGCCATCAAACAAGTTGTCTATGGGCCACCTTGATATCCGGGGTTCACGACGCAAAAAGTCCGGAGGAGTGTATCCATATGCTTGGTCAGCTTTCGATGTCCAGCATATATATGCCCGAGGCCTGGAACAACAACTTGTTGATGAAACTGCTGCTGCATCTTTTTGTCGAAGGGACTCGCCTTGCATAGTTTCATGGCACAAACATCACATGCATCCCTTGCATAAACTTGCTGACCTTTTATGCCTTTGTCTAGCGAATCTGTCTCCATTCCCAAGAACCCTCGTACTGATCGTCCTGTTGGCTACGCCTTCGTTGACCTCTCTACTCCGACCGAGGCCGAGCGCGCCATTGCCGAGCTCTCGGGCAAGGAGATTCTCGAGCGTAAGGTGTCGGTTCAGCTTGCCCGTACTCCCACCAACCCTGCTGGCGAGAAGACTGAGGCAGCTGCCAACGGCGAGGGTAGTGCTGAAGGCTCCCGCCGCCGAGCATCTGGGCGTGGCCGTGGCCGAGGCCGCGGTCGTACTGGTCGTGCAGGCCGTGGTGGTCGATCGGTACGTCTAATTCCAAGTTAGGATGCGGCATCGTTTACTGCTCATCTCAGCATTTGCATGTATGAGTCAAGTTGACCGCTAATCCATACGACAGGACAACGGAAAAGATGATGCCCCTGCTACAGAGGAGGCAGCCGCGGCTCCTGCCGCCGAGACTGACGAGGTTCAACCATTGAGCGACATCACCAACAAGATCACTACTGACGAATCTGAGAAGTCCAAGGACAAGTCTCGTGCTCCACGCGAGCGCCGTGAGCGTGGCCCGCCAGCTGATGGCATTCCCTCCAAAAACAAGGTCATGGTAGCCAACCTGCCTTATGATCTGACTGAGGAGAAGGTAAGATTGCCACCCCATTGCCATGGTACGTCTGATGCGGTACTGATTCATGAGAATAGCTCAAGGAGCTCTTCGCTGCCTACGAACCCTCTTCTGCCAAGATTGCCCTCCGCCCCATTCCCCGATTTATGATCAAGAAGCTCCAGGCCCGTGGCGAGGCCCGCAAGGGACGTGGTTTTGGTTTCGTCACCCTTTCTTCCGAGGAGCAGCAGCAAAAGGCCGTCAGCGAGATGAACGGCAAGGAAATCGAGGGCCGCGAGATTGCTGTCAAGGTCGCCATCGACAGCCCGGACAAGACCGACGAAGAGGCTAACATCCCTGCCGAGTCTGAACATACTACCACCGCCGCCGCCGCCACCGAGACCCCTGAGGTTCCTGCTACCACCGAGGCCCCCGCTGCCGCTCCCACCGCCACCGCCTAAAGCAGGGCCTGATCCATTCTCCGTCTCTCGATTCCCCAACAATTAATGTACAAAGAGAGACAAGCAGTCAATCATCATTACCAGGCCTTTAGCCCAACAACGACTTAGCAATAGCACCACTGCGTGGGCGGTCGAATGGTAGAGCCACCGACTTGCAACCAGGCGGGGCTCTTTGATTTCACGGCAGATACAAAAAATGGGAAAGCAGCAGCAGATATGGCGTCAGATATTGTCAACGGGGAGCTGCAAATGACGGCAGGAATTTCATCTCTCTGGTGGAAGATATGGGGACCATCGTGCGACAGCTTTTGGCACACATCTTAATTCTCTGACTCTCTCCCAGTCCTTTTCACTCTTGTGTTATTCACTCGTATCTCTCGCATTTCTCCGTCTGTACACTGGTAGGACACCGGAGCGGGATTATGGGGGGACTGGGAAAAGTTCTCGAGCGCACAATAAACTACGATTGATTGACAAGTAATTGATTTTTGACATTGATGTGTGTGTCATCTGATGATTAAATTCTGGTGTAACTCAAACTCTCTGACAGGGTGGTTCAAATGTGCTGCTGTTTGTGGACAACATATTGGCTAGCTTGGGGGGGGAGTGGTCTGTGGGCACGACACCGGTTGCTAGTGGCTCAAGTCTAGAATGTAGCGCTTCTAGGGTCAAGGGACGTTGTTTGGTAATGCAAGAAACGCAGTCCTGCCAGGCCCGGTCAATGGATACCCGGAGACTGAAAGTCAGCCAATTCACGAATCAGAAGATTCGACCAAATTTGTAGACTTTGCCGAGCTAATTGTTTATCTAGAGCGCGACATATGAAGCGGACAGGTGCTAGGTTGCATTGCATTGTACTGTGTAGCTGCACTCTCCAAATCCAACTTGCAACGCTTCCGATTTCGAAGCTCGGCATCCACACTTTCATTCTTCCTATTCTTATCAACAACTGCATCGCAGCAGAAAATCCACCATGGCCTCCAAAGCCATGTGGGAGGTTGATCCCGAGACACGATCAAAGGTGCGTACGCAAATGCAAGTTCACAAATAAGACGGAGCAGGGGTACAACACTGGTGGCAATTCGGGTCTGAGAGCAGACTGGAAGGATACATACAACCCGACGTTGAAGGCTGACCTCCTACATGCGCGAACAGCTCCTGGCAATCCAAAAGACAAACAATAATAACAATTGCTGCGACTGCAACGCGCCGAACCCGCAATGGGCGTCTCCCAAGTTCGGCGTCTTCATCTGCCTGTCGTGCGCCGGCGTGCACCGTGGCCTTGGCGTCCACATCTCCTTCGTCCGTTCCGTCACCATGGATGCCTTTAAGCAGGCCGAGATCGAACGCATGCGCCTGGGCGGCAACGACGGCTGGCGAAAGTTCTTCGAGAATCACGAGGACACCAAGATGCTCGGCGTCGGGTGGGATGATGCGACGATCGCCGAACGATACAGTGGCGAGGTCGGCGAGGAGTGGAAGGAGAGACTGAGCGCCAAAGTCGAGGGCAGAGAATTCGTGCCTGGCGAGAGGAAGAGCACACCACATTCGGCCGCGTCGAAAGCCTCGGCCAAGCAGATCAGCAGGACGGGAACGCCGCTTCAGGGCGTTGCGACGGGCGGTAGCAGGACCGCGAGCCCCAATCGGCCGGGTGTTAAGGCCAAGGTCGACGACAAATATTTTGCAAAGCTCGGAGCGGACAACGCCTCGAGGCCGGATCACATCCCCCCTAATCAGGGAGGGAAATACGCTGGATTTGGCAATACACCGATGCCGGCCAAGGATGCAGGCCAGGCTGGTGTGCCCAACTTGGAGGAGCTACAGAAGGACCCCGTAGCAGCGTTGACCAAGGGGTTCGGGTGGTTCACGAGCACAGTTACCAAGACAGCCAAGACAGTCAACCAGGACTTCATCGCCCCTACAGCTAAACAGGTTTGTCGACCGCCCCCTCTATGAAATTACGCCACGAACAAACAGCTGACAGTACGTATTACAGATTGCAGAGTCCGAGTTCGCCGCCAAAGCAAGAATGGCAGCAGGCAACGTAGGCCAGGTAGCACAAACCGGAGCTAAGAACGCTCACGAGAGCTTCAACCGATTTGTAGAGGGACCCGACAGCCACAGGTATGCACAGGCCCCGCTGGATGAGAGCAAGAAGGGGTTCTGGGACGACTTCTCGTCTGTGGCGGATCAGAGGCACGGGACGGGGCCCAAGTACAGCTCGATTGGGACGTCTGCTATGGGCAAGGCGAACAAGAACGCTGGACAGGGAAAGCAGGATGACGAGTGGGACGATTGGTGATGGCCGTGCTTTCTCATTTTCTCTGACAACGCGGCATGAAAGGCTTGTAGTTTTGGTGACAAGTTGATGGATATGATGGCATGCTGTATAAATAGACGGAGTATTGGGTAGCGGTTATCTACAAGTGGTTACTAGATCACATGCTGGACTTGAGGAGTCACAGATGCATCTTCTGTGCCCAAGCCCTTTACTGCTTGCAGGATATTTGCAGTGCCGTTGCGATTTTGATGCAGACGAGTTTTCGACTGAGAACGAACTGCTACGGCCTCCGCAACACTGAAGCCAATCATCTGGACTTGACCAGGGATATCACGTGTCAAGGCCAAAGTTAATACCGGCTAGCGCCGGTCTCGCTCTCAGTTTTTCCCACGTCATTGATGGGCCGACAGCACTAAGAAGCTCCATGCTCGGGAGTCTTTTCATTTTGGTCGTCCATTCCAACAAGCTCGCCATGTCTGCACTACGGATCCTCGTGCCCATCAAGCGGGTAATTGACTACGCGGTGTGTGTCAATTGGGCCTTCTACGGCCTAATGGTTCTTTGTCAGACTGTCAGGCAGTCAGCCAGTCCGGTAGTTCATCAGCTAACTCACCCCCCCTTCCGCAGGTGAAACCGCGCGTCAACAAGGCCCAGACGGGTGTGGAGACGGCCGGCGTAAAGCACTCGATGAACCCTTTCGATGAGCTCTCCATCGAGGAATCCGTCCGTATCCGCGAGAAGAAAACTGCGCCCGGCGGCGTGGAGGACATCTGCGTTATCTCGGCCGGACCCCCGAAAGCGCAGGACGTGCTGCGCACAGCCATGGCCATGGGCGCCGACCGCGCTATCCATGTCGAAGTCAAGGAAGGAGACGACCTCGAGCCCTTAGCCGTGGCCAAAATGCTGCGCGCTGCCGTCGACAAGGAGAAGAGCAACCTGGTTATTTTAGGCAAGCAGAGCATTGATGATGATGCGGCGCAGACGGGGCAGATGCTCGCGGGGTTGTTGGGGTGGCCGCAGGCTACGCAGGCTAGTCAGGTCAAGTTTGGGGAGGGGGATAGTGTGTTGGTTACCAAGGAGGTGGATGGGGGCGTGGAGACGGTCAAGGCGAAGTTGCCTATGGTCATTACGACGGATTTGAGGCTCAATGAGCCGAGGTATGCGAGTTTGCCGAATATTATGAAGGCAAAGAAGAAGCCATTGCTCAAGATGAGCTTGAGCGATTTGGGGGTGGCGAATGAGAGGCGGTTGAAGATTGTCAAAGTCATTGGTGAGTTGTTTCACTGCTTCCCTCCAACTGATTTTCCTTCCCTCCGTCCGTCCATGGTTGAGTAGACAATGTTTGGGTGTATATGCTAATCGTGTTGCAGAACCCGCCCCGAGACAAGGCGGCGGTAAGGTTGAGGATGTGGATGGTTTGATCTCCAAGCTGAAGGAACTAGGTGCATTATAGATGGTTTGCCGTGTTGTACGAGGTGAGAAAGAAGAAAATTCGGACATGCGTTCTGGTTGAGTAAGTGATTAGATTTAATCAAACGAGTTATAGAATCACTTGGGTTCAAGTCCAGGGTTTTGTCACCTCATATTGGTTTTTGTTCTGCCAATTGATACCAACGCAACAAAGTGAACTTCAAGCGCTTCCCAGAGTTGAAGTTACAATCTTGCTGATGGTCACAGTTGAATGTTTATGTTTGGATTTATAGACTCATGAGCCGGACCAGCTGGGATGTGCAACTCAGTCATGGGATCAGCGGTTGGCCTGCAGAACTGCGATGATAAGTGTACTCCCAACCATTTCGGTCATTTCGGTTAGATGCACTCGAAAGGAACCTATGATTGCCAAAATTACTGGTGACGGAGATGTCCCAGTGCTTCGGTATACTCAGGTAGAGTTCAGCGGACACCCCCATTTTTCAATATGAAGGTTTGAAGTCTCCATGTTGGGGGCCCAGAATCTGCAGGTGGTTTTGTCGCACGAGTAATGTGAAAGTCAAGGTATACCTGTCTTGCTACAGATGACTCACGGACTTGATAACGCTTTTTACTTCTTCAGTCCGTGCAGCTGATGAATTATTAGCTAATACTACAATGGCTGTGATATATCAGATGCACGGGTTATGCTCCAAAGTATAGCATGTTAGTAAACGAGCTACCTCAAGCTTAGAATATCCAGGGTTTTCAAAGTTCCCAACATTTAACATTCCTTGGCAAATGGACAGACGTTCCTGACAATAGCGCCGAATACGGACGCTTGATAGTTTCTATGTGCGGATACCGAAGTGACTGCCGATGGACCCCGACAAAATGTAGGCCTTGACGGCTAATGCTAGGTTGGTGATTGGCAACCCTGCGAGCTCGTGTGGGGCCTAAGAATTTTCTTGTCAATCAACCGCAGCAAACTCCAGTCGTGCCACACAACGCCTGCAGCTTAGCCTTATCCACCCCGCCATTTCTGCATACACACTTTTTCTCTTACAAAACCATCTTGGTCCTCATCGTCGGCGGCATCTTAGCCCAATTCCTCATTCACCTTCGGTCCGTTTCTGGTTTCTTCATCGATCCTGGGAGCCTTCAGTACAGTCGCGCTTATGAACGGGCGCTCGTCAGTCTTCACTTCACAGGTATGTGCCAATGGTTTATTTAGTTCATCACAATCTCCCGCTCGCCGCCGGCATGACGCTACGGCTTCACATACCTGACACCTGATGCCTCGCTGTACACTCTACCGCACGGTGTAGTTGTTTTCTCAATACGAAGTTTGTCTTGAAAGATACTGCTCGATCTTATCTCTTATTTTCATTTTTGTCTAATTAATCATGGCCTATGCTGACCACACAACACTGTAGGATTATATCTCAGGTCTGTCCTATGCTCCATGACACGACTCACCGCCTACCTAGATGCTAACGTTTAGTCCAGACCACTTGTGGCGGTCTCTATCCGCTTAGGGGTCGATTTAATAATCCCACAGCCTCCCACTACACCTCGATCTCTCGAACGTCATGTTCTCCCGAATTGCAACTTCGGCTGCCAGGCCGCCCGCTGGCTTTGGCCGCGCCGCACTGAAGCCTCAAGTCCGACGGTTGTCCATGACTGCCTCCCTCGCCGGCAAGGCCCTGGGCAGCAAGGGCAGACAGATGCCCACGACTGTCTCCCGTGCTACGAAACCCGTGTCCGGCATCGAGGCTACCCTCACCCTTCGCGACGGTCCCATTTTCCGTGGCACTGCCTTCGGAGCCAACTCCAACATATCAGGCGAGGCCGTGTTCACCACCTCCCTCGTGGGATACCCCGAGTCCATGACCGATCCTTCGTACCGTGGCCAGATTCTGGTCTTCACACAACCCTTGATCGGTAACTACGGTGTTCCATCAAACAAGCGCGACGAGTGGAACCTGTTAAAGTACTTCGAGTCACCCCACATACAGTGTGCCGGGGTGGTGGTCGCCGACGTCGCTGAGCAGTACAGTCATTGGACTGCTGTGGAGAGTCTTGGAGAATGGTGTGCGCGGGAGGGTATTCCTGCCATCTCTGGCGTAGATACTCGCGCCATTGTCACCCATCTCCGTGAGCAGGGTTCCTCTCTCGCCAGAATCTCTATTGGTGACGAGTACGATGCCGATGAAGATGAGAGCTATGTCGACCCTGGCCAGATCAACCTGGTCAAAAGGGTTAGCACTAAAGCTCCCTTCGTTGTTGAGGCTCAAAACCCCAAGTACCACATTGCCTTGATCGACTGTGGTGTCAAGGAGAACATATTGCGCAGTTTGGTTAGCCGCGGCGCTAGCGTAACAGTCTTCCCGTACAATTTCAAAATCCAGAAGGTGGCCGACAACTATGATGGTGTCTTCATCTCCAACGGCCCTGGTGACCCCACCCATTGCCAGGAGACGGTCCACAACCTCCGGGTCCTCATGGAGACTTCTCAGGTACCTGTTATGGGTATTTGCTTGGGTCACCAACTGCTCGCCCTAGCTATTGGAGCCCGCACCATCAAACTCAAGTATGGTAACCGGGCTCACAACATTCCTGCGTTGGATATGACAACCGGCCAATGCCACATAACCAGCCAAAACCACGGTTACGCTGTCGACTCTAGCACTCTGCCCCCTGACTGGAAGGAGTACTTTGTGAACCTTAACGACGGAAGCAACGAGGGTAAGCCAGCCTGCCACCAATTACTTGCGAAGGACCACTGACTGATATCTCGTAGGTATGCGCCACACTTCACGACCTATCTTCTCAACCCAATTCCACCCCGAAGCCAAGGGTGGACCGATGGACAGCTCCTACCTCTTCGACATGTACATCCAGGATGTCATGACATTCAAGGCCGCCCAAGAGGTCTACAAGGACAACCGTCCATCCCAGTTTATGCTCGACATTCTGAGCAAGGAACGAGTAGGAGTTCAGCCCGAACCTTTGGCAACTTCTGCTTAATCAGCGTACCGCTCTATGTACGTCCATCCATGGTATCTGGGTATAAGCGGGGGAGTTTGTGTATCTAGGGTGGAACAAGGTCGGGTTGGACAAGATTAGGAGAACTCAGCAAAGTTGTACGGGATTGGCATTTCCACCCATGCCACAATCCGTGCTACGGATGATGCTATACGGAATTGATTCGAAACGCGCCTACATTCTCAGAGTATCTTCATGTTCGCTCCTTCGGCTTAGAGGGCGGTTCAGGCTGTGACCTCGTGTCGACGCAGAATCGCTGATCTCCTTCACATTGGGGAACAGTACGAAAATAATGGATTGGCCAAACCTATAAGCACCTACCATGCACCTTTGTGTGAGCAATTCGATGAAGCAACTGTTCTGCGCCTCCGCAGCAAATATCATCTTTCGACATTAACGTGTTTGCAACTGCTAGCTATGAACCACGTTAAGAGGACGCTCAGATAAACTTGGTATCAGACAACTCCTCAAGCTGTACTCCGCTGTGGAGGAGTTGTGTGGAGCAGAATGAAATGTAAGATTAGTAATACTGCATGTGGGATTGAGAAGCATGAAATTGCTATTACCAAATATGGCCTGGACAGGTTCAGATCACTTCGAGTACACTGCTCGAAAGTTCTTCGACTGGAGACGATCACTCAAAGAATGTGCACTTGACTACCGTTGGGATCTGGGGTACCATGAATCCAACGGGTCGAGATAAACCAGCTCAGGTCATCTCATTTCCAAGATCAAAACTGTATCCATCCCAGACTCGTCCAAGCTGTCGTTGCCAAGCTCAGCTGTGTAGCGAACTTGATATTAGATAGGGGCGGCGCACGTGGCGTCGTCGGGATTTAGGGCAGAAAACTAACTCTCTCGCTCGTGGTTTCTGACCTTGCGTACGGATTTGTACACATACGATGAACGCAGCAAGCACCATGGTTCATGTTCTAGATACCAGGCAGGACATTGTCTTCTGTTCTCCATGGTTGCTCCCTGGTTCCCATCCTTAGCGTCTCATCTCTTCTTCTTGGATCGTCCGCAAGCCAACAAGCTTCAAAACAATATCTCTCATATATTTGCCCCGCAAACTCTCTAATCACTTTCCATTAGATGCCAGCAGACGAATCTTGATTGTCTCAATATGATCGTTCCAGTCTTTGAAGACTTCGCCATAGGCATCAGAGGTCCTCCATCGAGTGACAAAACCCAACTTGCGAATCAACTGACAGCCGTGCTTCGGCAGGTATGGCAAGATTTGCAGGATCAAAGGGAGGAGTCGTGATTTTATCCACAGATTGGACTGGGAGCCCAGCAAGACTTCTTAGCCAAAAACAAGTCCGGTTTGCCAAAAATCCGTCCACTAGTTAGTGACGAACGACGTTTTGGTCAGCCTTGGATGTTATGCTGTGGCCTCGGGAGTTGTTTCCAAGATGCTTGACCGGGATAACGTCGACGCTCACCACGTTGAAAAGGTACTCGAGTGGTTGAACGACCGTCCGCGTGGTTCATTCAACCATCCATGTGATCTCCTACTGGATCCAGATTGTACACAGTGGGAATTAGATGGTTCTGCCGTGGCCGAAGTCGCCAGGATGATCAAACTACGAGTCGAGGCAGCATTCCATTTCCGTGCGTCTCAGACCATTGACGGGCCATATATCAAGAAGAATAGCCCCTGGCCCGGGATTCAGAAGCTTGTCTGTCGTTTTAAAATCGTTGAAGGCTTCTTGATTTTGGCCAATCAAAACGGAACGAAGCAGACGAGAGGAGTCCCAGAGCTGTATCAGCGGAGGTTCGCGCAGGCATAAATACTAAACCGATTTGGATAAGTTGGCATCAAGTTCTTGAATGCGTCGAGAGAAACAACTCGTAAACGGCGCCTCAGCCTCCCTGCGTACACAAATCATAATATACGCAACGAGCACTTTAAATTGAGAGGGTACTTCGACGACTATGCCTGGTATGCAGCCGTCATTCCTTTACTCGACTTCTTCGTTTATTTATTCTGCACCCCAGGCCAAGCTTCACAAAGCATCACCGCTACATCTTCAATGGGCTCATTAATAAAACTTGCGCAGCCTGTCTTACTAACCTACTTCCCGGTCCCTTCAGTCACGAGCATATGTCCGTGAAGGTTGAGAGACCCGATGGAATGGGATACTCATCAGTTGAGAATGATGACGACGTCAGCTCACGTTGAAATTGATCATGCAAAGAGGGAAACAACATGATATCATCATCTATTGTTTCTCTGCTTAGATAAGCTACCTTGTCCCCTGGCCTTTCGTCATCAAAACCACCAGCTCTGCGGTGGTCACCACTCGGGTATCTGTCTCTAGCTCTGAATATCGTTCCCTTTGGCTCTTGCCTTTTTTCTTTATTCTTTTTGCCTTTCCTTGTTCCTAGTACAGCTAAAACAGGCCCTGCTCAACTCTCACCTGCCCGTCACTGTATAAATCAGTAGCGGCTGCGACTGTCGCTTACATAGCGGTCAGCACCTCGGTCCTCTCCACGGGGAGGTCTGTTATCGTATGGGGCTCCTGATGTGGCCGTTCCTCTGTAGCGATCGCCCCCTCTTGGAACGCCGTGGGGCATCGGAGGGCCTCCGCGACGGTTGCGTCTTCTTCCACCCCCACCTCCACCTCCGGGTCTACCTCCACCGCGGCGTCGGTCGCCCTGCTGCTCGCGTCTGCGTTCTCGCTCCCGATGCGGTGGTCGAATACCTAGGAAGATTTCGGGACCACGATCGACTAGCACATCGCCATCCTCGAAAAAGTAGCGTTTATAATCCTTGGGGACGTCTCTCTCGTAGTCGTAGTCTTTGCTCTTGGCCGCTCTGAGTGCTGCAAGGCGTTTGTCAATTAAATCTTCAGAGACGGATTTGTACGACACAGAGGGGTATGTGCGGGTGGACTTGAAGTCAGTTTTGTCCACAACTCTGTCCATTCTGCTGGGATGAACCGGAGGACCGGGTACGCGACTTTGCTGAAAACCTCTCGGTCCAAGCGGCGCATTTTCAATGCCAGAGAAACCTCGAGAAGGACCAGTCGGGATGGGAGGTTTGCGCTCGGGTTGCGACGTCGGCGTCTTGGTGGCTAAAGCTGCGGCGCCGCTCTCCTCAAGTCGTACTGTCACATTGCCGTCACCGTCAACACCATCTTCGTAGACGACCTCGTAACGGTTTCCTGAGCCGCGCGCTCCACTTGTTCCTTGTTCCATGTGTACCCAATCGTCAAAAACCTCGGGTGGGATGAAATCAACCCAGAGAGGCTTCCTGTTGGTCTCGTCGGGCCAGATGCGATCATGTAAGGCTGTGCGGACCCTAGATGCGGCCGAGGTAGAGTTGAAAACGACAAATGCGTGTGTTCGGATCGTATCGAGGTAAAAATCGGTAATGGTCTTCTCGTCGGTTGAGTGGCCGGGAGTTGTGGCAAGAATGAGAAGGTGGTTCTGCACTGCTTGCGGCCTCAAGGGTCTCATAAAGTTCTTGATGTAAAGAGCCGAAGTAGCTGGGTGAACAGAAGGCTCCACGTCTCGTTCAATTTCAACCTGTCCCTCTACTGGGACAGCGGCGTCATTGTATGTTTGTGGTTGCTCCTGGTCTTGCATGGGCAAATCTGTTTGGTATCCGTCTTCGAACTGAGCGCAGGCGCCTTCAGATGCAGCTTGGTTAGCAACGTCATTGTTGGTGTATGCGTCGAGATGCGCATCAGTTTGCGCATCGCCCATCTCAACATCCAACACCTCAACTTGCTCTGTGTTTGGTGTGCCTTCCTTGTTAATAATACTCTCGTTGTCCTCGTCATCCTGTCTCGCACGCTTTCGCGCAATATCACCTGCTACCGGTGGAGGACTCACGGAGCGGCGCTTTCGCTTTTGGGAATCCTGCATTATTTCTTTGGGCCGCAAGGGGGTTGCGGAAGAAGACGACGGCGGCAGCGACGATGGAGGCTGCGTGGGAATGGGGACAGAACCCGAGGTCTCAATGGAGGGTGCTGGATTGGCAGGTGCAGAGATTTGGGTCTCATTTGAGGGTTCGATGGCAGGCGCATCGTTAGGTAGCAAGGCAGGCGTCGGGCTCGTGGCAGGTTCGGAGGCCGGTTTCATGGCCGGTTTGATCGGTGCTGCGGCTGCTTCCTCGCTATCTACACCGGCATTCTCTTCCGCTTCTACCTCCACTTCCGATGGCTCATCGCTATTCTTTCTGTCATCGCCGACGTCTTCGGTAGGCACGGTGTCCGAGTCTGCCAATACAGCGGTAGCAGCGTCGGTTTCAGCAGCTTCCAGTCGTGCAACAAGCTCGGCTTTAAGGCCGTTCTGAGGCAGACCCAATCGCTTGAGTTCAGCCTTCAGTTCAACCACCTTCAGCTTGTTAAAATCCGTTGCCATGATTGTGTTGGGATGGTTCAAGAGGGAGTGCGCTCCATGCGCTGAAGTTTGGGGTGACGTAGTTTGTGTAAAGGGTAGCAACAAAGGACTGAAATGTTATGGAAGAACAAGGCAGGTGTGCAGCACGTATGCTACGGCCAAAATTCGAATACCAAGAAATGTGTATATTTCCTGACTATTTCCGAGAAGCTGTTAGTATGAAGAGCTTCGAGATTCGGAAGATATATGATCAGATTGTTGGAGTAAGTGACCAGGTTGGGCGCGTCGCGACTAGCATTGAAAAAACGAAAGACCTGGCTAGGGATCGCCTTCCGGCATTCGGGAAGGACACAGCTATGACGGATGTGGAATGGCTTGGGAAATAAACCTAGACATGCCATGCCGATAACTCCGAAGTGGGGCATAAATTCAGTTTGCGTTGGAATGCCAACCCCAATTACCCGCTGCCATAGTAACTTCACAAGAGTTACCACGTACACGTTACTATGTGAGTTCGAGAATCAGGTAGAATAACCATCGTTGTGACTGCTTATTGCACTAAAATATTGATTTATCCAGTATCTTTAAGTATTCGAGTACTGGTCCTGGCTTGAGCTCTCTACTCTAGCTACCGTAGGTTCATGCAACCGTTCTACGAGTGGCCTGGGCTGCAGTTGTACTGGAAATGATTGGACCCCCGGTTTGATCCAGGCACACACGTCAAGCGTGCATACCTTACTTGTGCATAACAATAAGCTGCTTCTACCATTGCCGGTTTGATGCCCCACCCGTCGGTTCTTAAGGCACTTACTATGGTGTTATGGGTAAGTTTTCAATTGTGTATTTGTACCGTGCCCCACCTTGGCACGCGCTAACTCTTGGCATATGCATCCAATACATTTTACTAGTACTTTGTATGCATTCCGTTGGCCGCGATCACCGCTGCGCACCTCTCTGGCATTGATTTCAAAAGCTCCTGTATGTAGCTCTCAGGTAATTCATCCCAAGCCTCCTTTACCCATATCCGAAGACGATCATAGCTAGGCTTTTCAGTAATACCGTATTTATCTTCAATGTAGTCCTTCATCCAGTTCCAGCACATCACTATCGGGTTTAGATCAGGGGAATAAGGTGGCCACTGGACTATATTAATGCCCCTATCCGTAAGATCTGTGACTGTATCAATTGCCGAGTGAGCGGGAGCGCCGTCCTGCATTAATGTAAGGTGTGTACCGAGGTCTCGTTGACAGAGTTGCATCCAGCCATCGATAATAGGAATTGTGTGGGATCGATATGTCTCGGCAGTAATAGAACCCCAATCCTTTTCCCAGAAGATTCCCGGTCCTTTTCCAAGGCCTGAGAAACAGCCCCAGAACATCCAGCCTTGTTTATGTTGGTGTCGTTCGATAATACAGGTCGGGTCCCATTCCTCTCCTGGTCGTCGTGTAACGTACTGTTTTCGATGGTGTCCTCCTGTAATCCATGTCTCGTCGGTCCAAAGTACCTGAGCCCATTGCTCTGGTGTCCAGCTGACATGTTCGAGGGCCCAGGCGAGGCGCTTTTGTCTGTTAACTTCTGAGATAGGAGGCTTTCGGCGCGCAGCATGTCTCTTGAATCCGAGCCGGCGGAGGGTAGTTCGTATAACGTAAACTCCGAAGAGGGACTGGAAAAGGATGATTGACAACTGGAGGAATGAGGCTCTACGGCCTTGCTTAGAACTAGTTACATATGTAACGAGCTCTTCTTGCTCACGAGATAAAGTCCGGGGTCTACCAGATCTCTTAGCTACCTGGCTTGAAGAGGCCTTAATAGCTGTCTTGATCTGATTAAGAGAAAATGTTGTAATAGTATGAATTTCGGCTTTCGATTTACCACCGTCGAAATAGAGGGTTCGAATTCGTTGGCGATCGGCTTCCGTAAGGTGTTTAGTCCCCATTGTGGTTACTGAAACGCGATAATGAGGACGCGTTATTGACAGCAAGTTGGAATCAGAGGTGGAAGTACCTTTTCGTTGGCATGAGTAGGCTAGGCCAAAATTAGTATAGCGTTACCTTGGCAGTGGTCCACTGGTACTTGTCAGGGAGGTGAAAACTTTGGTCTGATACCGTAGTAATCAACTTATGGACACTGAAAATCAGACTCGGACTGGGTGACCGAGGAATGAGCAACTCAGAGAGCTCCTTCCATTGTGACAATCACCATCCATCGAATTCACCTTTCTGTCCAATTCAACCCACAATCAACCTCGTTCAGCACAATGCACCCGGTGGTTATGCCACTCAGAGAACCAACTACCTGGTCAATCCTTTGAGACGGCATATATCTGCCACCGACATAATTCACAATCTATCCGCGATCTGCTCTCAACAGCTTGGCCTGTAACCGTTGGGTAGCCTGACGACGTTCCTTCGGTCATCTAATAAAGCCCCCCTAGCCTCATCTCGCGGCCATTCTCATCGCCCAAGAAAAACTTACAGATTACCGGGACCCCAACGCAGCACCACTTCCCCTTCATGTTGCATCACACCGAATGAAGTATAACTGTTTTGGATGAAGCTGTTCACCATGCCTGGACTTAAGGCCTGGATATCAGGCGCAAAGTCTGACAAATGCCTATCAACTGATGGGTCGATTTTGCAAACTCAGAGGCCAGACCCGGCGGCGTATCGAGAAGTTGCTCGGGGACAGGGGACCAAGGGCATTGCATCAGCTGCGACTGTAACGCCTAGAAAGCGAGCTCGGCTCGGAGATGTGGTGCAAATCAAGGTTGAGGAAGATGAGGACGAGATTTTTCCTACCGAGATCTTGAGACCGCCTGCGGCAAAAAGACGGCGACTTATCGGAGGAAAACAGGGGAATACATCGATGAATATATCGCCTTCAAAACTCCCCACACCCCCGAGCAGCAAGCTTCGAGAGAAGGCCGTCTCGAATTTCATCAACCAGCAGACAGTTTCCTTGGTCTGCCCTTTGGATGAGACGCCCCTGACGCCAAAGTCCGCCGCTCCCACAGAGCGCAATGGTGCTCGAAGCTCTTCGTCACCGACCGAAGCAAAGTCAGCCGCTCGTGCAGACGCAGATCATAGCGAAGAGGAAGAGAGCATTCGCGATTCTATCGAGGATGACATGGAATATGAGAAGCACTCATCGGATCCCCGCCTTCGACAACTGCACGACATCGTGAAGCACAAGAGGCTGGGCCTTTCTCACGCTGCCAAACATGACAATGACGAAGAGCTCTCCGTTTCCAATGATCCGCAATACTCTGACTATGAAACCAGTGTCGGTCTTGAGTTGTCTGATGACGATGACATTCCCGCTTCTACGAAAGGCCGTTCTCTGAAAGGGACATCCTCCAAGTCAGATGAGGGTTCAACAACTTCTGAGCAAGGCGAATCAACGAAGTCCGCGTCTTCCGCAGAATTTGCCCCGGAAATGGAAGACAGCGCGGAGTCCGAACAAGGAAACATCAAGCCCGAAACAAATACTAACTGGCGCGAAGAACAGATCCTTCTCAACGGTATCCTGAATGCTCTGGATAAGTATACGTTGATGCCGTCTACATGGGCCATGCACTTTAGAGGCATCCCACTCCCACCGGATCTGTTCTACCACAAGGTGAACAAGGTTAGTTCTCGACCAAGAGTCTATGCGCACACAGACAAATACGAGTTCAGAGGTTGGTGAAACTCAAGCTTATGGTATCGGAGCCCCTCGTTAACTAAGTCTAGGTGCTCTGCATTTGCGTAAAATCGCGGATGTTCAAGCCCGTATCCGAGATCTTCGTGAGACTCAGAGGAAAATCAGTAAAGATCGCTCGAAGGCCAAAGAAGCGCAGCGGGCCGAACAATCCGCAATTACCCAAGAAATTCTCAAAAAATTGAGGCATGTGCTAGAAGAGACAGTCCACTGGTCGAGGCAAGACGGAGGCCTGGGAAAATTCGGGGACGCACTTCTCCCTAATATTCTCGTCATCGAGAAGTTGCATGAAGCGACAACCTCCGACGAGCTGCTTCAACCGATGCATGACTTGGCGGAGCAGTGGCGCGCCCGGATGACGCAGTTAGTATCCAAGTTGGCGTCCAAGTCAAGTACAGACCATAGTCCACAAGCACCAGTAATCTACGGGCTCCTTGTCATCAACCATCTTCTGTACATCGTCAGCATCGACGCGTCGAATCCGCAAGCATCTGTCGGCTCTGTCAATCTTTTGCTGAAGACAAATATGGGTGAGCAAAAGCAGCAACAGTGGAACGCATTGGCCATTATGGTGACGGTCTGCTGGGCGCGTGATAAGTTGATGGCTACTGCTCAGGAGATGAAGCTGGACGAGCGGGACAAGGAGACGGAAAGCGACCCGGATGCCTGAGCCATGCGGATCCAGGACGCAACATGAGGGTTATGCATTATTTTGATACGATGGTTACGCAACGATACGACACTTGCAAATAGACAAGGACAACTTGCTGGGAATGGAGCTGCTGCTTTTTCAGATGATACCACGAGAGCAAAACGAGTATGGGTGTTTTGGCCAGCACGTAAAGCGTGTAATGACCTATCAAATTTCAGTCGAGAGCAAGATCGAGAGCAAAATCAAGAGCAAGAAATATTCGACACTTAGTTAGTCATTATCTCTTATAACTTGTCCTCTGTAAGATGATTGTACCATTGGCAGCAGTATAAAAAGTGGGCTCCAATGTGAAGCGACTTATTATAAACCTCAGTCATTAGATCGGCCCTTCCAGGCGCCGACTTGGTGCATGGCAACTCAAAATGCCCCTCCTTCAGGTTGCCCCCACATTCCTCCGACACCACAACCAGAAATTTGGCCACAAGGCGAAAGATGGCCTCCCAAAGTTGGACCACGAGGCTTCATGCCGTTGGGCCCACCGCATGTATGTGTCCGATGCTGTTGCCTAGTACTCATGCCAACGTTTCCGCTGATACTTATTCGCAGACCTTATCGATGTATGGCACGTCTACCGGACCCCCATCTTGCTGGGGACTGTCTGTATACTTATTACGCTTTATGTCTACCTCCTTCTGACTCAGGACCGAGAGTACTCTGTCGTCCTGCGAAAGATCTATGCTGAGCCGGCAAGCGAGAAGACGGAACCACGATTCACGGATATTACAGAAAAGCCGTCTCTGCCTCCTGCTAAGGAATCGCTCAGTGGGCCGCGGCGCATCAAAGGCGAGGCCCGCAAAACGTCTATTAGGAAGCCAGAAACTCCATCTGTGGCATCGCGGCACATTCAGCCGCTGATTTTCTTCTCATCCCTGACAGGTAGTACGGAACGAATTGCGGAGGGACTGGCCCAGACACTAGAAGCGTCGTTGGGGGAATACAATACGGACAATGCAACCTTCCTGAAGACGCAAGTTCTGGATCTTGCAGAGATTGATCATGACGAGTACTTCATCAGTCCGCCAAAGCACGCAGATTCCAATGTTCCCGTGGACTATTTCTACCTCGTATTGCTGCCAAGCTACAATATTGATACCACCAACGACAACCTCCTGGAGCACTTGTCAGAAACTCATAACGATTTCAGGATCGACACCGCCCCATTATCTGGTCTTCTGGGCTACTCGGTGTTTGGCCTTGGAGACAGAGAGAATTGGCCTACCGAAGATGAAGGATTCTGTTTTCAAGCCAAGGAGGTCGACAAGTGGCTGGCTAAGTTGACAGGCCGTAAAAGAGCATTCCCGTTGGGTATGGGGGATCCAAAACAAGACTTGACAACAAGATTGAACGAATGGACAGAAGGTATCAAGGATGTCCTCGCCCTCATTGCGAAGACGGGGAGTCTCGGTGAAGGCGTTCCAGGAAGCGGCGACGCTGTTGAGAGTGACGATGAGTATGCCTCCGGAAACGAGGACGACGGAGAGGTGGTCTTCGACGAACCAACAAAGCCTAAGATTTCGAAGAAAACGAAACGCAGTGGTAACTTGGACGATGTGGAGGATTTAGGCATGATGATTAAGTCAACCAAAGCGGATCGAAACAGGTCATCTGGAGCGGCCCCAATAGCGGTCGACTTCACAACCTACAGCAAAACTACGAAAAAGCCGGCAGTTACTGTCAAAGAGATGGTCCCGAAGAACTCGCCGACTTTCAACTCTCTGACGAAACAAGGTTATTCGATTGTCGGCTCTCATTCAGGCGTCAAGATTTGCCGGTGGACCAAATCGGCATTACGTGGTCGAGGCTCGTGCTATAAGTTCTCCTTCTACGGAATCGCTTCGCACCAGTGTATGGAGACTACTCCGTCCCTCTCATGCTCCAACAAATGCGTCTTCTGCTGGCGCCATGGCACAAATCCCGTGGGGACAACATGGCGTTGGGTCGTCGATCCGCCAGAACTCATCTTCAACGGTGTTAGGGCAGGTCATTACCAAAAAATCAAAATGATGCGTGGCGTGCCCGGGGTACGAGCAGAGCGGTTCGTTGAAGCCATGCGTATACGTCACTGCGCCCTGAGCTTAGTCGGCGAGCCTATCTTCTACCCCCACATCAACGAATTTCTCGCCATGCTCCACGAGGAGCGCATATCCTCCTTCCTAGTCTGCAATGCGCAACACCCCGACCAATTAGCGGCCCTCAAGGCCGTGACGCAGTTGTACGTGTCCATCGATGCGAGCAACAAGGAGTCGCTACGCAAGATCGACCGTCCGCTCCACCGTGACTTCTGGGAGCGCTTCCAGCGCTGTCTGGACATTCTCCGTGAGAAGCGCTTCAAGCAGCGCACCGTGTTCCGCCTCACCCTTGTCAAGGGCTTCAATGTCGACGACGAGGTCGAGGGCTACGCGGACCTCGTCGAGCGTGGGCTGCCGTGCTTCGTCGAGATCAAGGGCGTCACGTACTGCGGAACTTCGAGCAGCGCCGGCGCGGGCCTGACTATGGCGAACGTACCCTTCTATGCGGAAGTGACTGAGTTTGTGACGGCGCTGAATGGCAAGTTGAGGGACAGGGGGTTGGAGTATGGGATTGCGGCGGAGCATGCCCACAGTTGCTGTGTGTTGATTGCGAGTGAGCGGTTCAGGGTGGGCGGGAAGTGGCACACGAAGATAGATTACCAGAAGTTCTTCGAGTTGCTCGAGGCGCGCGGTGCGGATGGCGACTGGACGCCAGAGGAGTACATGGGCGAGGAGACACCGTACTGGGCGACGTGGGGTCAGGGGGGTTTCGATCCCAGAGACGAGCGTGTTGACCGCAAGGGTAGGAAGATTGTAGCCCCATGAGAGTCTGGAGGTTTTACAAATGAACAAGGCTGAACTTCGGTCCAAATATGTCATCATGATTTGTCTATGCCAGCCAGCCAACCGTCATCGTGTTTGAAATGTTACACATGCCGCGTCCCCCTCCTCTATCGAAAGCTGCGCATGGTAGGTGCAGCTTCGGACCAAGTGTTATACCTATCATACATCCTACGCCTAGTCATCTATCTAGGCTTGATTCGCCTCGCGCCTTACAAAAGGCCCTTGGCCTTCCTGTGTTGGCAACGCAAGTGGGTTGCCGGTTTCGTGACGTGGTTCTGTTGGAGAGTGGAGGCTTATGCGAACCGAAGGCAAGCTTCGGGTGAGCACTGATATGACGTTATGTTTGGGTTTAATCGAGACCGGGCAGAGGCATTCCCTCTAGACCGCCCATTCCGGCGCTGGCGCCTTCAAGGTCTAGGTTCTTGTCGTATGCGATCATCTCGGCCAAAACGTCTAGTACACGCTGCGGTTGGTAGGTTAGCTTCCGCGCTTCATATAAGTACCGAGACTGACAAAGGAGCCTCACCTTGTCAACCGTTTTGTCATAGATGGAGATAAGGTCTCCTGGGGTCGGGTAAACCTTGAGAGCCTTGTAGAATGCGAGCGCGGCTTCTGTTGTTTGGGAAGCTGTGCGAATACTGTCAGTACCGCGACCCTTGAATTACTTCGCCAGAGGGGACTCACAATCGGCAGCCAAGATCTCGCCCTGCTGCACATGCTCCATAAAGTACTGCTCCTTCTCGTTGACGGAGGTAGGGAATCCAACTTCCTGCGCCGCGTCCACAGCAGCGTGAATATCATGACTCTTGGCCTTGTTCTGCAGCACGGCTTGCTCCTTCTCGAGCCGGGCTTGCCGCCTCTCCTCTCGTCGTAGCTCTCGGCGAAAGTCGGCAGATTTACGGCGTTGGTAATCAAAGTAGACTGCGTAACCTGCAGACGTCCATAAGTTCTACAGTCCAGACGCAGAAGAGAAAGGTTACAGGTCGAAAGTGAGGGCTAGCAGAGCTCCGGGGCAGGAGTTGGTGTTGGTGCGGAGTGACGTACCTAGCAGACCGGTTGCGATGGTCGCTACGGACACGGTCGCTACCGTCGATGTCGGAAGCATAATGGCCGAAAGGAAAATATGCAGCAGAGTAAACTGAGGACGGTCGTATTCTGCGGAGATAGGGCCCGGGGTGAGGGGGAACAGCTCGGGATGTGGACGGCGAGGCGGTAAATGGAGGAGGAGTGTTGTGGGCAACTTCACGAACTTTTGGAGAGCTTTGGCCGGCTTGGGTCCCAATAGAAACCGCGATTTTTTCTGCCCTGGTCAATGAGAGCAACGTCAACTCAGTCTAGCAACCCCTGCAACTTAGCTGGCAATATGGAAGCTTCCACACTGGGGTCCACAACGCACTCCCAGGCTCCAAGCCGTCAACCGGCTGGCCCGAGCGTCGGGAACACCAGCTTGCATGATTTGACACGGACAATTGCAGCAGAGTATGACCTCGATGATGGGAAGAAGCTGTCCCATTTCGTGTTGCCGTCACCTACCTGACCATTTGGTAGCTTGAAACGACAGCGCTTGTGCTATGTATGAGTACAAGTGAGATGGGCAAATGAACCTGGTGTTTTTCCATCGAAATGAACTCTGTTTTCTACTGCCGTTTGCTCTAGTTCCTTGCTGCCAACCCTAGTCCAGCCGTGAACGAGAGAGGCGCGGCGTCATTCACAGCAGCCTTCGCCGTCCCGACCACATCTCACACAGGCCCCCTTTCCTCTGACCCATTCATGCGCGACGACAAACACACAACATGTCGGAAGACAGGAACAAGATCTCTCTGCGAAGCGGTCCCAAGAGGAAAGGACGACCGCAAATCAGCGCACCCACGCAAATCTCGGGGCCTATTCCCAGCAATGCTATCGACATCCCGCGCAGCTCTGGAGGCAAATCCATAGCTGCCAACGGTCCTCCTCCTCGGCCTCGACCAGCGCCCCCGGGAGGTGGTAATACTGCTGACCTGGTGAAGCGACGCTATTCAACCCGATTCAACAACCTCCCTTCCGATTTCGATGCCAGTGCCCCGCCAGTTCCGGCCCTGCCCACCTTCGACTCGTCTAAGTATGAGCAGCCACAAACAGAAAGACGGCCACCTCCTTCTAGAGGCGGAGGAGGTGGCAGCAGCACCGGGCCGCCAACTGTGGATGTGAAGGCACTTCGAGATCCGCGGTTCGTGGCAGACCAGTATGTCGCCAACGTGCTAAGCGAGGCCACCGAGGACGAGATCAGGGACTATGAGGATTCACTGCGGAAACTCAAGAGTCGGGCCTCCACCGACCTGCAGCAAAATGTCTACCAGAACCGCACGCAGTTTATCAAGATCAGCAAGGAGGCAGAGAAGCTGAAGAGCGAGATGCGCTCGCTGAGAAACCTCATCACCGAACTCAAGGTGAACACGACCGCCCTTCGTTCTGCTTCGACAAACCATACCTCTCCCCTCAACGCTGAATTTTCCACCGGCTTGAGCAAGAGGGACAAGCGAAGCTCCGTGGCCGACAGAACAGCGTTATGGAACTCCCAAATGCAGGCATTATACAAGAACGTCGAGGGCTCCCAGAAGTTCTTGCCCAACTCTATGGGTAGACACGTCGTTCAAAATGCAGGATTCTGGATCGAACTGGACAATGCGACATACAAGTCCAGGCGATCAATGCAGATTTTCCTGCTTAATGACCATCTGCTCATCGCTTCCCGTAAGAAGAGGAAGATGGAGCAACCCAACGACAATCGAGCGCCCGTGACGAAGGTCGTTGCGGATCGGTGTTGGCCGCTGCTTGACATTGAGGTTGTGGATATGGGAACCAGTGAATCTCTAAGCAGCAGAAACAAGCTTGCCGATGCCATCATGGTTCGCGGGGTTGGACAGGAGTCTTTCATCTATCGGACGGAGAAGCCTGAGGATTCCGAGAAGTCGACTTTGATGCTCAACATCAGGAAGGCCGTGGAGGAGTTGCGGAAGGGGCTCCAATCTGAAATGGAGGCGAACAACAAGGCCAAGGAAACCATCAACTATTTTGCATCACGCGATCCAGGGCTGCTCCAGAAAACTGAACTGCTAGAGACGTTGTCTGACATCAAGGACATGCTGATCGAGGTGGACGGAAAGCAGCAGAACTTGCGTTGGGTCGAAGGTCAAATGGATGAGCTGGATATCGACATTGCTCTCCAGCGCTTCGAATTAGCCGTCGGCAAAGTTGAAAAGCTCAAGAGCCTTGCTCGCGGCCTGAAGAACAACGCCATTGCGCAGGACTTCATCAACTTCAAAGTGGAAGAGCGAAGCGCCAAGCTAGCTGGGCTGATCACTCGAGACCTTGTGGACAACCATTCACAGTCGCAGAAAACGAAGCGAAATGTCGGCTGGCTGACCCGGCTTGGATTTGAAGACCGGGCTCGAGAGGCCTACCTGGAGGCCAGGGGCGATCTCGTCAAGAAGCGGTCCAGGTATGTTGTATCCAGCGCGCACGAGTGGAAGGGTTCGTGCTAACACACGACAGGCAGTGCATTTTCCAAGGCGACCTCCATCTGTACATATGGCAGCTCTCGTTTGCCTACTTCAGTATCATCCGGAATACGGTCAACTGCTTCCAGAGCTGCTTCCCGCAAGCCATGATGAGCGCCTGTGTCAAGTGGGCCAAGGAGGAGGTAGACAGCTTCAATGTCATTCTGGCCCGGCAGCTGAGCAGCACGGAGAAGGGAGGCGACGTGTGGAATGACTGCATGGATCGAGCGAAGGCGCATGCTGAGATGCTGACGGAGGTGCAACTAGACTTTAGGGATCTCATTGGGAGGGGAGTGCCAGAGGCTACGGCTACGAACGGTACTAGCAACGGGAGCGTGGGCTTGGGCTTGGCTTGAGGGTGGGCATAAGACACGATGGTATGTATACGAGCATATGATGGTATTTTGTTATGGCGAAGAAGGGTCAGGCAACCTTGGTCGGTATCACTCCAGTTCCACACATGATAATTTGGTTCTGCTCAGGGCATCCCCAGCAAATCGAAGCTTGAATGCGCTCACTGCAAGCAATATGAATTTGGAACCCGAACATGCATATCGCAGATTTAAACTTGGACGATAGTGAGAGCCATTCTTGTCCCTCATCTGCTGGAAGTTGCGAAGCTTTCGGGCGCGGCCGAACCTTGAGACAGCGAATGCAAAGTCAATGCGGCCACGCGACACGTTAGGATGCAATGTAAACAGATTCGGCTTGGTGAAGTAGAAGTGCTTGGGGTGTGAACGAAGAGTGCCATGCCAGATGCTACGTGCTTGCGTGGTGGTTCTACGTCGCGAGATAGAGAGAGATAAGCGTGGTCAGTCACCTTGACAATTGAACCGCACTTTTAAGCGAGTCCTGAATTTCATCACGACGGCTGCCAAGCTGCTGCATCACTGAAAAACAAAAGCCGGCCCGATCACCTCACATCATCAGCAACATCCAATACCCCACACCATTCCAGCTACGATACCAGCACGCGACGCCAGATTTACACTCTCACCAGCTCTGCAATACCGTGGTAGACGTTTGCAACTGGTGTTTCCTGCGACAATAGACCGCTCTTGACATTTGGGCCCCGCCTCTCAAACTAATCCCACCCCAAACGGAAGGCGTGTGTACCCCTTGTCCCGCAAACTCACCACACACCCAAAACGTCATTTGCGATTTCACACCTTCACCTCGATTCCAGATCCTCAGTCTCACAACAACCTGACCAGAACTGAACGCGACCGCAAAGCCAACCCTCCTGAGCTCGAACCGAGCCCCAAAGACCCAATCCTACCACGTTCGCCACCTCATCCCCATCGCCACCAACAATGGATACCACCATGGAGGACGTCGGCCGCGTTCCCACTGACCTGCCCCCCATGCCTGCCTCGGAGCCCGCGACGATTGGCACCCTCGACGGCTGGATCGAGAGCTTGATGACCTGCAAGCAGCTGGCTGAGGCAGATGTACAGAGACTTTGCGAGAAGGTGTGTCCGTTCCACCCGTTGCCCATACTGGGCCGGATCGTTATCTGCGTATGTATACCGAAGACTAATAATATTCTACTGCGATAGGCGCGAGAAGTTCTGCAGGAGGAGTCCAACGTACAGCCAGTGGTATGGGTACCTTTTCACCGCGATGGGCAAGAATCATGCTGACGGCCTGCAGAAATGCCCCGTAACAGTTTGCGGCGACATCCACGGCCAATTCCACGACTTGATGGAGCTGTTCAAGATCGGCGGCCCCAACCCCGATACCAACTACCTCTTCATGGGTATGCATGCTACAACGCTCCCGGCGCGGAGATGAACGACCGTGCTGACCCAGAACTAGGTGACTACGTTGACCGAGGCTACTACTCGGTAGAGACGGTCACGCTCCTCGTGGCGCTCAAGATCCGCTACCCACAACGCATCACCATCCTGCGCGGCAACCACGAGTCGCGCCAGATCACACAAGTCTACGGCTTCTACGATGAATGCCTGCGCAAATACGGTAACGCCAACGTGTGGAAGTACTTCACCGACCTGTTCGACTACCTGCCTCTGACGGCCCTCATCGACAACCAGATCTTCTGCCTGCACGGCGGTCTGTCCCCCAGTATCGACACGCTCGACAACATCCGCGCTCTTGATCGTATCCAGGAAGTGCCGCACGAGGGTCCCATGTGTGACTTGCTCTGGTCTGACCCCGATGATCGTTGCGGTTGGGGAATATCCCCCCGTGGTGCAGGATACACTTTTGGCCAGGACATCTCCGAGGCGTTCAACCATAACAACGGCTTGACGCTGATCGCGAGAGCCCATCAATTGGTCATGGAGGGTTACAACTGGTCGCAGGACAGAAACGTCGTCACCATCTTCTCAGGTCCGTCCATGCATCTACCGCGTTGTGGTGGTATTATGATTCAGACTCCATTGCTAACATCCTAACAGCACCGAATTACTGCTACAGATGTGGTAACCAAGCTGCCATTATGGAGATCGACGAGCACTTGAAGTACACCTTGTAAGTGTCTCCCGTCGCACTCGGCCGAATCCGGCGGGGATGGCTCTAGGGCCGTTCTAGACCGTGTATTAACTTTTGATCCTAACAGCTTGCAATTTGATCCATGCCCACGTGCTGGTGAGCCCATGGTCTCTAGACGTAAGCTTTCCTCCCATGATCCTGCAACGAGCTGACAGCATCTCGACATGCTCTGACACGAACCTAGGTACACCGGACTACTTTCTGTAGACGACATCTTCGCCTCAAGCATGCTGCGTGGGGTTTGAGTTCTGGGGCTAAGGGAAGACAACATCCATGCCAGGGTTCAGCCCCAGGATCCGCGCAATCCATCCAACTGAAACCGCAAAGACAAGGGGAAAGATATTGATCAGCTGCTGTGTCGTGCGTACGCATTGTAAGATTATGGGCCCAAAAACGTCTATCTGTGGCAAATTGCTTGCTTCGCACTGCTGCAGCTCGGGCCGAGTGCCTTAGAGAGAAGAAAGAGTTGACTTATTCGAAACCTGGCCACCTGATCGATCAATCAATGCAATGAAGGGGTTTGGTTGGTGAGTTGTATGTTGCGTGTCTGAGTCCCTCACAGCAGCGGTGTTCCGGTATGCTTCCTCTGCCCGTCATAGCAAGTACGTAAGGAGGTCCGGAAATTTCGAGCACGTCTGGCAGACTTGGTTGGTATGAAAGAACGAAAATTGAAATAGATAATGGTTCGAGCATTGGCTCTGCTTGGTTTGATGTGAGATGACACTTGTACCATCTATCAGTAAGTTACACTGGCCCAAATTTCGACTTTCGAGCTGCCGCGTTGTGCTGTAACCGTCTCAACACATCCGTGTTTGATGTTGGCTCTATGGGGAGAACTCCGTCTTATTACAGGGAGCTGACCAGGGTTGTACCACATGTGGGAGAATAGTACCTGGCCGTTGGTGTGAGCATTCGAGGCACTCACGAAGTAACTCTCCACATAACACAAGGCTGTTGACCACAAGATTTGTTTCTCAGACTAACCATGAAGTTGTCGACTTTTGTATCTCTCGGCATTTCTCAGTATTAACATCATAAATTAACCATCTCATCACACGCCGAAAACGCCAGGTTTCCATTCAATTACATCCTGTTCACGTCATGCTGGATTTCCAATCATTTCCAACTACCTCTACCCTGCCAAGCCGTCGCTTACACCATGTCATCACCACCCCTGCGCCACGAACGTCTAATGCAGTTCTAATTCTTTGCCACCAACTTTTAACCTAAGTCTTTTAACCTAAGTAAATCCCGACTTCCGCCTCGGGGTCCGACTCCGCGACCGCGTCCTCACACTGACCGACGAGCTTCCCGGCGCACTCTGGCTGGCACGCGTGATTCGCTCAGTTCCTGCCTCACCAATTTCTCCTTTCGCACCCGCGCCACTCCGCGACGACGAATCCCGCAGCTCAATATCTTCAGCGATGAGGGGCGTCCAGCTGCTCTCGCCGCGTAGACTACGTCCACTATGCTCCTTAACGCCCGGAGTACTCCTCCCACTAGGCTGGTTCTTCAGGCTGCGAGGTGGTGCAGGGCTACTAGGTACCGTGATAGGCCAAGCCCCACCTCCGCTGGCTTCGGCTGGTAGGGTGGGCATCCACATGCCGGTGTTAGTGTGACCGGCCGTGGTGCCAGCCTTGTGGATGGTGCTGCTGCTGCCATTGTGACTACTAACCTTGATGATCGGTCCGTTGAGGGCCAGCCCGACCCGCTCGCGCGCGTGCTGACTTTCCGCATCGACATCGGTCGTGTCACCACCATAGCTACGGTGATCGTACGGACTATCGCCTAACTCGGCGTAGCGCATGTAAGCTTTCACGCCAGGAGGCAGGTCGGGGGTGAAAGACAGGGCAGCATCGGAGTCGTTGCGCAGTGTCTGGTCGCCGCTGAAACGATTGAAACCCGGGTGGGGTTTCTTGTTGGGTGACTTGGAGTTGCGCGATGATTGGCACGAGCCCGGACGTGACGGTTTGTCACTGCTATACGACTTGATGACGCTGTAGGAGCCGGGGCCTTTGGCGCCGTTGGGCACGTGGAAGCGCTTGTGGAAGTGCATACCGATGTACACGTAAGTCACAATAATGTCGAAGACAAAGTTGAAAATATAGAAGGCCGCCTGGTGGTGATACCAGGCTGGATCTTTCGCCGCACGAGGATAGTAATTGGTTCCCACACGAAAACCAGCGCCGATGGTGAGTAGGGTCGATGTGAAGGTGACCAGGAGTAGCTTTGACGACCAACTGCCCTCGCCAAACTTCTCCACACGGGAATCGCGCGGCGCCAAAGCCGCGATGAGGACTATCGGTATCGGGATGAAGGCAAGGACCATCAAGTATGACCCCGAGAAGAGCTGTACGATCCGGCAGCTGCGTCTCACGCCTTCGTCGAGGGTGAAGAAGTACTGGATGGTGGCGATGATAACCATGAGTAGACACGCTATACAACTCCCAACCAATAAACGAAGAACGACCCTGGCGGGAGTAGACCAGCCAAATTTAGGGTGGTAACCCCTAACAATGCGCTGTGCAAAGAACAGATTGATCACGAAGACGATGACGGTACCGGCTTGTGTCAGGATGTTGGCAGCCATGGCCACATTGACGTTCCGCAGGTTCGAGGCCCATACCATGCGCATTACCAGCGCCGCCGCCCGGATCAAGCAAAAGGCGAACATCATGGCCGAAAACACAAACAGGTGGCCGTGTTTCCGGTTGAATTGGAAAATGCCCATATGTATGCCTGCACCAACGATGAAGAAGAAGGCAAGGACGGCGCTGACGGGATCATCAACCGGCATCGTCGGCACGCCACCTACGACTGCCCCGGCGATGGGATATGGTGGTCCTGGTGGGCCCGGCGGCGCTCCTGCATTCGTTGTGTTCTATCCGGGTATGTCAGTCAGTGTCATTGTGTAACGATCGGTAACGATCGGCCAAGGTAGTATTAATGGTGAGATGTAGCTAGAAAGATAAGATAGAAGTGAGCTTGGAATATTGTGAGGCGACGTACTGCTTCTGCCTGGGCTCCCGAGGAGCCCGGCGAGGATATTGAAGTCCAGTCGCTCGACATGGTTAATTACCCAAGTTCCTGTCGACGGTGCAAGTCTCGACGATGGAGTTCGGGTTACCCCAGGAAGTAGCCTCGACCTCTGGATCGAGGGAGCTATGACGTCTGGGGAGGCTTGCAATCCGCACTGCACTTCTGACACGGCTAGGAATGGTTCTTTCCTATGTAACTGGGGAAGATAGAAGCCCAAGAAAGAAGTATCAGAAACGAGAGGCAGAAGGAAGGCCACGGGGCAGCTGAGGTCATTAATAGAACAAGCAGTGACCTGAACCGAACCTCGCTTACACCTTGTTGGCCTAATTCAAGTCCGATGGGATGAACTGGAATATAAACCCCTGACGATTAATCATAGAACGAACTGACGAGCCCCGCGATCTTTGCCTTTCTGGCCAGCGGTCCCGACTGTCTGGTGGCCATGAGCCCCGTGGTAGTGCCATGTCGGCGTTCCCCTGTGACGCGAGCCGATGTTGAGAGGTCTATGCAGGGTTCTCGAGGGATCTTTCTCTTTGGGACATCTTTCGGGTGTTTCGACCACTCACAGCGCATCGGAGGGTTGGATGGCTTGGACCCCGACAACGACCCAAGGTTTCTGAAGTCCAGTCCGGATTCCACTTAAAGTTGGAACCGTCTTGCCGTTACCCTTCAAACTGCCAGAGCTTGGTCTCTTTGCCTTGGTCGTGACTATGAAACGTGCTCTTCAATACGTTGTCCTCAGGTCCACTTAGTTCGAGGCCGAATGCATAGACGGCGCATAGGCTCGCGGGCCCATACAGAAGCCGCGCTTCAATGGTTGCGATACCGACCTTGGCAAGGCAGTAATAAGCAGCCTTAGAGAGTCGGAGGTTGGAGATTAGCATACCGGCTGACTACGAGTCTAGCTCAAGCCAGGGGAGCTTCGGACACTAGGATATGGGGCTAGAGTGCACACTGAGTGACAAAGTTTGGTAGAATGGCTGATATCATGACTTTGATGAATATGCATGATTCCATGATCGGCAGCAAGCTGGAGAGAGTTGGGGCTGTATGCAGACTTCGGCACTCCCAAGCCTTGAATGTGCGCAATCGAGCGGGTAGTATCCCTGAAAGAGCGAGGCCAGCAGCGGAAGGAGCGTGTAAAAATAAATGGAAACACGCTTTCAGAGTCGTATGTTCACTGGCCTTTGATATAAACACAGATGTCATAAATATCGGGGCGCCGTACGCCGCAGCCTGTGATGAGGCCAGGCCAGCCCTACTGCTCATCCGAGAGTTCAGCTGTAAGTCAGATTCGGATTCGGACGAGCAGGTTAGCCGTTTGCGCGCCTTTGGTACACGGGAACACTTGAGAGCGAAGAGAACGGCAATAAACATTCGAGGTTGAGACCCTATCCCAACACAGGAAACGAAGTGTGGAAATTTTGCGGAGGAGACATAATGTATCAAATCGGCGAAGTCGACACTGCTTCAATGGATCGATGTGTACGTTCGTAGGTAATGCTGGGGCTTCGAGGATAAAATGTTCTTCCCCACCGGAGGAAACCCAAGCCCATGCCCCACCCCTCCAGCACTAGTCCCTTCCATCGTAACATTGGGCTGCTGTCACACTACCCCAGCGAGCCCCAGTGAGCCCCTTGTCGCAGGTCGGCGTCATTGGCCTAGTTCGAGCTCTTCGACTCCATCAAAGAGGGTGTCTGTTTCTGGGTTACGACACGTTCGGAAAAAATAGGCCCAGCTTGCTTCATCTTGACACATCCACGATTTATTGAAGACAACACACAAGTCACGCCTCACTCCCGAAATTCGTCTGTCTAGAAAGCAAGTCTACGCAAGCGCAACCCATACCCAGTAAACACCGCGATCCTGATAAATCGCCCTCCCGGTCTCTCACCTCAAACTCAATTAAATCGCAGTCTCTCAAGCTGTCACGATGGACTTCTCCGACTCCTTGTAAGCTACCTAGATCCCCAGATACACCTCAGCTTCCAATTCGTCATGGAAGTGCGGCTCACCACGGCCTCACTTACTGCGTGCGCTCGCCTTTGAAGCGTCCTGGGCCTTGCCCCTACACACATGCTCTTGCCGCCATACCGGGCTATCACTGACCCTCCCTCCCTTCTAGCCGCATCGTCAACCTCGCCGTGGGCATCATCATGATCCTCGGCGGCATCTCGCAGTTCTTCAATCTAGGCTTCCAATCCATCATCATCGGGGCGTACGTCATCGCCTTTGGCGCGGCCGTCGCTTTGCTCGAGTTCCAGATCCCGCCGCAGGTTTCGCGTTACGCCTCTTTCCTCTTCTCCTTCCTTGGCCGCGGCATCTTCTACGTCTTCATCGGCTCCATCCTCCTCAACAACGGCGTCCTGCGCATCATTGCTGGATCGCTCGTCGGGCTTGTCGGGCTGGGCTACTGCGCGCTCGAGTTCGTGCCGTCGATTGAGCCGCCTGCCAATATGAGGGAGGCTGACCAGGGTTGGGGCGCTGAGCAGGTGTAAGATGGGAAAACACGGAATTTGGTCCGCGAAGGGGCATGGTTGCGCCAGGAGGGAAGGCGTGCATGCGCAAGGTGAAGGATGCCCAGGCGTGGGAAAGAGGGCAAAAAGGGGGCGCAGTATCACCCATCTGTGGGGAGCTCGCTTGAGCTCTGCCTAAACAACTCCAGGGGAGCGGACGGCGTGAACGTACCAAAGAGACAGATCGTACAAGGAACCTAGGGGATTTGGGGCCAAAGCGAAGATTTGGAGGCAAGATGTTTGTGCACGAGGATAGAGACGGCAACTTGCCTACCAAGTGTAAGTTATGTGTCAGAAACGGAAATGCAACACGTTGAATCAGAACTATGCTTGGCGAACCGGGGATCATGATTCAAGGAAGGTCGCGGCTTGTTGTGTGTTCTGCACACAGTTGTTGACCGGGCCCCTTTAGCCTATACGCAAGTTCGTGCATATCCATGTGTTTGCGTCGCGGACTTCTGTTTTGCTGTGACAGGCAACACTCCGTATCCCCCCTTGATTGGACCACAATCAGCTGACAATAATGAAGTAAGATGCCTTTGTTGATATGTCATAAAAGAATCTCCAGAGTTAATTCAGCTGTCGGCATTAGTACATGTTACTCCATGACCACTGTAGGGGTATGCCAGATTGTGTACTTGCACCAACGGATTGGAACTACATGACCTTCAGCAGATGCGAGGTAACCCCTCGATCCAATGTGGAATACTTTAATTTTGATTCCACCAACAGCCACTTCGGCTCGAGTGAAGATTTGCAGCAATTTTCGAAGCTAAAGTCGAGTGGGATATTTCCTTCAACACAGATTTCACCACGAATTTGCTCTCGGTGGGATCCCGAATAACAGCCTCCCATGTCGACACATCATTCCTCCCTTCGCTTATTAGCACTTACAGACAAAGTCCCATCTCCATGTGCAATAATTCCGAAAACAGCGAACCAGGCTTTCCACCCCGCCGTGTGTATGGTGGATTCCGCCGCCCATGTACAGCCCAACCAGAGACCGAATGCCTACACCGAAACCATTAAATCAATTGTAATTTTTCCCGGCGACACCTTCGACTTGTCAATACCTGGACCCATGCTTCGATTGATGAAATTTGCTCTGTCTCCACCCGGTGTAGTCGTCAAATGTCGTTAAATATCCCAACGCCAAACATTACTTTTGGGAGATGTCGTACATATTTGCCCTCACAGACTAGCAGAATTCACTCCCCCAGGTCAGCCAACTCTCTTTCCTTGGCTGCCAACATGGCACGCATGCGTTCGGCCTCATTTTGCAGCGCGATACGTCGCTCGGCCCTTATCCTTTCACTGTCATTTTGAGCGTTCCCCATCGCGCTCGAGCAGTTCGAGTAAGCCCCCGGGCTGGGAGCCGAGCCCATTGTGCTGGCAGGTGAGCGTAGCAACCGCAAGGTGTCGGCGGCTTCCTCCATCTGGTTTGCCGTCGGGCTGCGGTGTCCTGCGCCAGCCGGATTTAGGATCGACTTGATGGATGACAAGCGTTTCGTGCTGTCGTACCCCAGTTCGCCCGGCTGTGTCTCGGAATCGGTGGCCGAGAAGGATCGTTTCCGTGACGGTGAAATGAAAGACGCCGGGGACAAGGATGACTGCCGGTCCTTCATGACCGACAGGGAGGTCAAGGGGGCCAAGCGGTTGTCGTCGGTAAGAGAGTCGCGGATGTCCATCGACTGCAGAGCATGAGATTGACTGGTGTGGTATGCCGTCAAGTCATTGGACGGCGGTAACGTCGTCGACCCTTGGTTCTGGCGAACTATGGGCTGGGGCAGGATGGCGAGAGCGCGTTCGCGTCGGCGAAATCCGAGATTCACCGATCCGTCGGCATTCAACGTGCCCTTCTCCACCTCGTGGTCCTCGGCGTACTGGTTCTGCTGCTCTATCGAGTCGATTGCCGCAGCATCTCCAGCGCCCTCGTGGCCTCCTGATTTGGTGGCTGGAATGATGCGTTTCCTCCTCTTTATGACGGCCTTTTTCATCGTCACGGGCCGATGGACACCATGAAGTTTGTAATATAGACCTAGATTGATTAGCGAAAAATCGGGGTAAATGCTGGATAGGGGCGCAAATACCACAGGCATTGCAGATGGTGTGACCGCTTCCATCCCGACGCCAAAGTGGAGTGACGGTAGTGCCACAGTTTTGACACGCAATAACAACCGTCGTCTTCTGAGGTTGCGCTTTGGGTGCGGCCGCGTTGATGGGTGCCGGGCCGTCCTCTGGTTCCTTTGTGGATGCACTCGCATCATCCCGGGCTTGTAGGCTAGAGAGGTGAGCACTTTTGGAAACACGGTTGTTGTACGCGGGACATCCACTGCATCCCTCAGCGCCGCCGGTGCCATTGCAACGTCCTCCCCCCGGACACGTGCCCGTCGGCTCTTGATCGGCCGCAACGTACGTGGCGCCCGTGGTTTGCGAACAAGGCTTGGGAGAAGTCTTGTCGGGCGTCTTCTTCGGCACCGTCGAGATGATTGTCGGTGGCCGTTTCAGGTTAGTCGGGCGAGATGAGTTGCGTGCCTTTAGGTATAATCCACAAGCATTGCAGATGGTAGCGCCTCCCGGTGCTCTTCTCCATAAGGGTGTTCGCGTGGTGCCGCAATTACTAGTTAGCGCATGTCAGTCCAGTCCACGCACTCGAATGCTTTTTGAAGGCAGACTCGGGGGCCATATTACCTGCAGACTTGACCAGTTTGATGGGATACATTACCCATGCTTGATTTGGCGTCCTGGATAATATCGTAGGGCAAGGGTGACGGGCTGGGTGAGGTTGCCTGATTGCTTCCGTATAGCGAGGGGCTGGGACGTGTCTCAGAGGCATCAGGACTTTCGGTGCCAGGACTTCGCGACCCGGCTGGAGAAGGATAACGGTCACTGCTGGCTTCTGACATGTGCATGTCCCCTCTCAACACTACTGGGCGTGCTGGAAGGGCTGTTCGCATAGAAGCAGATTCCTCCTTCGAGAGTTTCGTCGTTGACGGCTGCTGCGAGACCTCCATCATGGCCATATCGGCCGCTGCCCCTGGTGCTAACTTCAATAGGTCGGAGGATTGCCCCTGGCCAAAGTGGTACATAGATAGGCAAGGGACAGTTCTCTCTGCGATCCGCGATCGCGTCTCCCTAGCGAGCAGTGGGAAACAGGGTGTCACTTTCGACGTGTAGTGTACGTGTAGCGTGCGTATAATGTATGTTGGGTATATCGCGGTGGGCTATGGGACTCCAGGCGGCATGCCGAGGGCAAAGGGAACGGTGACACTGCAACTGTCGGAAGATGGGAGCGGAACGGATCGCCGGTATTCCCGATTGCAGTGACCTTGTCTGTCGATCGATGTTGGGCACGCGGAGGCTGGTGGTAGGAATATGATATTGCCCTGGGTGGGGGAGTCCAAGGCACGCTTGTTGGGTGTGGGACGAATGATGCTAGTGTCTGTCTGTCTGTCGGCGGGTTGGTAGGTATCTAGGAAAGCCTGGTTGACAGGAGGCGACAACGGACAAGGAAAGATGCCGGCCGGGCACGCACGAGTGACCGAGTCTTTTGGGCGAGAATTGGGTTACGAGATTAAGTTATTGCTTATGCCTGTAAGGAAGGATCTTGGTACATCGAACAGAGCACAGCTCTGCCACACTCACCTGCACTTGCACCGGCAAATGAATTCCGAGGGCAGGCACGACCCGAAAGAAGCGACTTGGAGAAGCAGCACCCCCTTTGCCGGTACGAAATAGTACAGAACACGTCCAAGCTTGCACTAGATGGACGGTGTTATCAAAATTGAGGTCAGAGGAAAATTATTGAGAGGCCAGAGCATGATCTAGAACAACCCCCCCCCCTCCGCGCCGCCTCCCCCCGGGAGCCCGAATGGGTTATGGGTAGGAAGCCGCACAGCACCCGCCAAACCAATAGCCCATGGCTTTCTAGACAAACGCCAAGCCACGACCCAACAAGGAAATGGTGCCATAATCCCAACATGACTTGGGTGATTAACTACGGTACAAAATAGCAGCCGGCTGCTCAAATGCCACCGACCCTTTTTGCATGGGCATGGGGGCATGGGGGCATGGGGGAAGCTGCCTCCCAGCCCCATTCTGCCACATCCACCCCTCCAAAACCGGCCGTCAAAGGTCGCTCGTGATTAGAATTGACAGCGCCATGATTGGCTGGATGATGCCGCATCTGGGAAAAAATGACGACGAGTACACCTCTACACCTCTCTAGGCATACAGATTGTTAGCGTATCAGAACCCCCATAGCACTGGGGCTTCCACTCATTTTCAGTGCTGTGAAGGGTAATGATACCCTTGTCCCAGTAAGCCGGTACGCCAGTACTTGACCTTTCACGCAAGTCGTATGTATGTGTTGATCAGTTACTTAAAATGGGTTATCTCGCACGCTAACAAGCTGCATGCGTGGAGGTGAGACTAGGGTTGTCTTCCTATTTGACGGATCTTGTACCGAGTATCCATCTTCAGAGAGGGGGGCGACGCGTTTTCTTCGACCGCTTATTTTGCTTCTTCTTCTGCTTCGGTGCATTGACAAGATTTGCGGAGCCAGAGTCGCCATCTTATCTGACGCAAAAACCTCTGTTGTGGGCGGTGCGGGTGCGCCTAGAGCGAGCTGAAGGTGTAATCACCCGTTGTCGGCCCATGCGTGGCATGACTAAAGATAAGATCATCATCTCCAAGAAGCGTGTGTGCACGCAAGAGCTGCATCATTAGCACTATCTGCGGTGCTGATATCCACAGTACCGAGTATAGGAGGCTCCTTGGCCTTATCCTCTCGGTGCCGGAATCGATATCCAATGAGGTGTACGAAGTAGGTTGCCGCAGGATCTCACTCACTTGCGTATGCGCACACTCGATTCTCTGAGTTGGCAGGATGCCCTTCGGCGGCGGACGAGATGCAGTACCACGCCTCTCCTTTCAGAAATACCTTAATCGTGTATGCGTGATAGAGGCGGTGAAGATAACGCAGTTGCAATAAAAAAATGCATTGATGGGTGGTGTCGTGACCGGCTCATGGTCCATGTCCCCCACCTCGCTGCACTGTTACCACTTGGCGGCAGGCGCAGGGTTGCTTTTTCTAATGCCAAGCTCTTTTATCAAAGCATCTGCTGCAACGTTCCTGGTCGAGATAAGATGGCGCCTCCCAAATCAAAATTGGAGCCAGCGGCGACAACGGCGCTCGATCCGACTTGTCGACAAATCCCCCACTTTGATGGGAATTGAGATCCAGGGCTCATCCGGACTCGTTGTGTAACACACCCAGCCCTGCACCACGCCGTGAGAATACATTCGCACAAGTGGAGAGAAGATCAAACGATTTGACGTGTGTCTTCAGTATGGAGGACGTTATTTCCGCTCCTGAGCTTTGCCTCAGTCGGACCGCCGACCCTCTCCTCTCGAACCTCCCGCTTGGTCGGCCCAGATGTTAGTAGATTGATAGTATACCGAGGCAGATTGTTGGATTCTGTGTCCGACGTCCGCTCCGCACCTAATTCTGACATTTGGGTACCATTTTATTGGCTATGCAAAATGCAAAACAGGGACCTTACACCTCTTCTAGGATCGTCACTGTTAGTGCGATACAGCCCCCCACGTGTCTCTCATGGATCGGCTATTCCGATACGTAGCTTTCTTTAATAAGTAGCAGGCTTGTGTAAATCCGATACAGAAGACGGGGATTGCTATCTATAAAATAGATAATATCGAGAAGTTTAACCTGCTCAGGTATAAAGAGTAGAGCTAGGTATTCTCGGGTACTATTTATAGTGAACAGACGAGCTCTCTTCCTATGTAGCCTAAGAGGCAAGAAGATAGTAACGCCGGTAAATACCCAAATAATATGTTTTCGCTTATCGAGTAATTCGACGAGTCTTTCCCATAGGGTATTATCTTTCAATAGGATACATAATATCCCGGGCTGTAGAGTAAAGGAAAAACTTAAGTAGCTTAGTGTCACAAGAGGAGGACCAAGCCCCTAGGCCAATAGACCAAAAGATCTAGAAATGTCAGTGTTACTGACATTTGGTCCCACTAACTGCTATATACAGCACTATGTGGCTCTGTAATCGCCAGCGCTGTGACACTTAGAGTACTTGTAATTAAGACGATAAAGTAGCCCTGAAATAGCTCTGGTTTGTTACTAACTAGAGATATAGTTTTAGATAGAGGAGCATCTAAGGCACTGTTATGACCTTCGGGGTTTAATTATCGAGGGCTTACGATCAGCTCAAAATACCGCCTAGGAAGCTATGCTAGAGAGGTTAGAACGGTCGAGAACGACAGTGGAAGAATCAATTATTAGGAAGCGTACTCCTCACAGAAACATGTGTGTAAGTGCAATACAGGCCAATGTCTGCGTCGGCGACGAGCACAGTCGACTCGACTGCGGCGGTGGTTATAGGGACCACGCATGCCCACTGCGAAAGTGATGGGGAAGGAATATAGTCGTAGAGTCAGGCATCGTGTTAGGCAACCTTGGTGGGCTTTGCTAAGACCACCAAGGTTACCACGTGACTTAGCCCTTTGGGACTAAGTCCAACCTTCATGCTCCATAGGACTAGATATAATGTAATGCTTTTACAACCTCACAAATCTTTGACCACCTTTGCGTGTAACACATCGTACTAAAAGAATCCACAGCCCTACGAGCGATATTGAAGTTATCCTCCCGGTTGAACTCAGAAAGCTTAAAGTGCGAGGGAAACACAATAGTTCCGGACAATACAAATTCGCAAGTACGGGGTTATACTACTATACTATGGTATCATGGGTAAGTTTTCTATTGCGTGTTTGTACCGTGCCCCACCTAGACACGCGCCAACTCTTCGCTACCTGGCTTGAAGGGACCTTCATAGCTGTCTGAATATGATTAAGAGAAAACGTTGTAGTAGTGTGAATTTCGGCTTTCGATTTACCACCGTCGAAATATAGGGTTCGAATTCGTTGGCGATCCGCTTCTGTAAGGTGTTTAGTCTCCATTGTAGTTTCTGAATACGCGATAATTAGGACGCGTTAACAGCAAGTTGGAATCAGAGGTGGAAGTACCTTTTCGTTACCATGAGTAGGCTAGGCAAGAATCAGTATAGCGTTACCTTGACAGTGGTCCACTGGTACTTGTCAAGGGGGTGAGAACTTTGGCCTGATACCATAGTATAGGACTGGGTAGTTCGCCCGCTATACATCGGGTCTTCGGACCTACTGTCCTCATAAGCTGTAGGCTTGCATGGGACAGTATAATAAACGAGATTTGGAAAAAGAAAAACATATGTGAGTGACACAGCAGGGATAGTGTGGAGTTATGTGGGGGGAGAGGGGCTTTTTCGCACTAACACTAGAGATTACTAGAGATTCTAGGAGACGTGTGCGAAGCCGTTGATTTAGACTGAACTCAATCCGTATAGCTCAAACTCGGACTCAAACTTAGAAGAAAGAATAATTGAAAAAAAAATTTAATTACAACCGAGATTCAAAAGATCGGGACTCCGAAGCCACCACCGGCGATCGTCCACCAGTGACTGACTGCATTATGAGCTAGACATGACAGTCAAGCGGGGTGCAGTAGTGTATCGTCGGACACATCGCAAAATCTATTCCGCCTATTAGGTAATGACGCAAAACGTGCGCACCAAGTATTGCCAGCTTGGCAATGGTATGGATCGAACACCATTGCTCCACCCATGGTGGTATCGTAACGATCAGATAGCGTGATTGCGAATCTCGGCATCATCTCTCTGTTACATGGCCATGGGCTGCGGACTATTATATTCGGGTTGTTTCTGCGCGTGTGGATACTCAACCTCCACCGAGATCCTCGAGAGAGTATGTCGTTGGCCTATCAAGCTCTCCAACGGCGATTGCCGTTGGAAACTAGTTCTGACTACTCGTAAGCAGCTGACAGATACATGCCTGCATGACAATGCCCTTTTTGTGCTCCTCTCCGTCGTAGCACACACACGGAAAGCCCCGCGTTACGTGGTCATGCGTTCATCTACCATGTCCCGCAAAAACACCACCTCAAGGTCCTGTGACTGAGGGGGTCAATCTTTTGTGGGCATTGGTTATCAGAATATCCATAGACTCCTGGCCACGCTGCCTCCCAGCCTATGACCACCGAGGGCCAGCAAACAGTTTCACTGGCACTAAAGCTACCGAATGGAGAGAAGATACTCAGGATGTTCAGCTTGCATCTCTGATATAATGAATAATAGGAATTCTCTGCTCGCTGCTGAAAGCGACGTACATCTGTTTCTCGAAAAGCTGTTTCTAAAAGCAAGTAACTATTCATTTGTGTAGCATTCGAATTGAAGTCAAGTATGCAGTTCCACCGTTGTACCCAAGACTACATACACCGCAACTAGAGTTGTAGAAGTAGAGTTATTATATTTCAGTAAGTTGATGTGCGGTATGGGCAATCGTTGAGAGCCATGGTCACATGAACCGTGTAGTGTGCGTCAACTCGACAGGCACCTGTAGACGCGGTCTATCTCAAGTTTGAACCAGCATTTGACCGCAATCCCTGAACGAACAGAATAACGTGTGTTCACAGCTCACACAAGACATTTCTCTCTCATACCCATAGTCCTTGCCCATGGTTTACACCGTTTTAAAACACGTCAAGGCACCATCCAGAAGTAATCAAGCATTGTATAAGTGCAATCCCCCCCTGTCTATCAAAATCTATGACATACAGGTGATCTCAAAGTACATCAAGCACCAGACCATCGTACACAAGAAAACGAAAACAAAAGGCAATCTGGGGTATCAGTGCAAGACGACAGCCACCCCAACCCAAGGTTTAGTCTAGACAACGATGAACACTGCCGATGATCCACCGATGATACGCCTTCTCCGCGAGGTAGAACGAGACACAATCTCCATCTCGTCCTGACAATGCACTAGCTTTACATAGGCCTTAGCTCCATACGCACTGCATCTAAACATCACCAATCGACTGCTCGCCCTCATCAAGCAGTTCGCCAATTTTCTTCAAGTCTCCAACCAAGCTTCGTCCAAGACCAACCAGTAGCAGCTTCTCCGCGTTGGCGGGCAACCCCAGATATGTGGGCGGCTCTCTTTCGGGCAACTTGTGAATCCAACCCATGAACTCCTGCAGGCTGGTGCCGCTGGGCACCTCGAGCCCGCCCTCATTCTCTGTTCCTTCGACGAGCTTGTGGCCAATTTCGAAGGCTGCAGGCTGTAGGAACGTGTTTACCAGCTGAGTCAACTGGTTGAAATCGCCCTCGTCGTCAATCTTGCCACCGTACGTCTCGCGCACTAAATAGCGGATCATGTCCCAGGGGATGTTTTGGGGTGCCAAATTGGTACGGCTTTGGGCGACGAATTCGACCCAAGTATCAATCACGAAAGCAGAGCATTCGTACTATTGGTAGCGTTAGTAAAGTACATCTTTGTGCATCGGGGGTATGTGAGGACTTACATCAGCGTCGTTGAACTCCCAGAAGCCCTTCCAACCCAAGTTGGGAGCATAGCGCAGACGTTCCTGCACAACAGCATGTAGGAAAGATAACAGCAGGTACAGTCTCGTCCTCTCGACTGGGCTCTTGCTCGCCCTTGTCGAGAGTGAAGCCATCGAATCCTTCATGTTAGCCTTGACACCAGCAGGCTGCTCGTACATGAGCACGCGGGACGCTCTCAGCAAGTTGACGGGAATCTTGGGACTGGACTCCATAGACAGGAACAGTCTGAAACTCGAGTGTGGATTGAGAGTTTCCATGCGTTTTTCGAGGGATTGGAGCCAGGTAGGTGCGAGATGAACGTTTTTGACCAAGACCCAGTTGCCGACCTGCGCGGCATTGCTGATAGCCTTGTCGGCACTGGTGAGTCCTTCGTTGGAACCCATGGCAATGTTGGTGCATCGGACGCGCATTCGCTCGACCAAGTTGTCAACCTTGTAACTTGCGTCAAAGCCAGGGCTTGATACCAGCGAGACAGGTCTGGTTGAGGAGGCTTCGACCACCATTTGCTGCAGATCCTCGACGACATCAAACAAATCATTACCGAAGACAGCGGTGACGAAACGCTCGGCAGTGGGCACAAATCGGTCCAGACGGAAGAGCTTGACAAGCAGGAGAGAGAGCAGAGCTTGGTCGAGCGGCTCCGCATTCGCATCCCAGATCTGGGGCACAAAGTTTTCGGCAAATTCCTCAGAGAAGAACTTGTCCCAAGCCGCAGACGGCACCTCATCCAGCTTGTCCTTGAAAATGCCCATTCTTCTCGCCCTCACCATTGCTTCATCCCTGGCGCCCACCTCTGTGGAAAGATCCTTGCCTTCTGTGCGACCATCCAAGATGGTATCGATGAGGCTCTTGTCCATCTTGTAGGGAGATGCTTGCGCGAGAAGCATGGCTAGGGTAATGCGGTCCTTCTGCAGCAAGCCAAGTGCAGTCCTCTTGAAGGCGTTAATGAACAGGTCCTTGATGATGGTATCGCGGCGAACGTTATGATTCGTTTCATTCGCGAGATTCTTGTTGCCTCGGAGAACCGAGTGGAAGATGTCCAGGAAGTACTGCAGCGAGAACTGGTAGAAATGGTTCAGATAGTGCAGCTGTTCAAGGACAGCGAAGATGGAACTGCAAGAACTAGCAATGCTCTTGTACTGTTGCGTGATCTCATCGACTTCGCCCATGACACCTTCGGTGTTGCTCATCTTGACGGTAATCTCAGCAGCTTCCTTCTTGAGAGTCTCGAGCGTCTCGAGAACATTGTCGTCATCTAGGATATTGCCACGGGATGCGTTGAGGGCCTGGAGCAGACGTTTCTCCAGTTGTCGCAGATGCACCTTGAACTCGCCTTGAAGTTTGATTAGGTTTGACCTCCTCTCATCGACGTCGGGTCTTTCGGATTTCAGAACTTCACTGAGCGACTGGGTCTGGAGACTGCTTTGCGTGACGGTAAAGTTGACAAATGTCGTCCGACTGCAGATGTCTGGCGGGAAAGTAGCCGATGGATCTCTGGTAGAGAGGTATATCTTGAAGGCAGGGGAGAAATCGATCTGCTGTTTCCCAAGTTGGATAAGGACACGGCCGCCCGTCTTCTGATACTCCTTGTTCAGGACTTGATTCAGAATGGGATCCAGATGCTCCGCGTCTTGGATCAAGATGGGATTACCGAACCGTAGAGAGCTCTCTAGCTGTTTCGTGAAAGAGTCGTCCAGGAAACTTGTCACCGTGAGTCGGCGGTCCTTGCATTCTTTCTGCAGGAACTGTGTGACACGGCCAGAAGGATCAATGATCAAGGGGTATCGATTGAACCGCTTCAAAATAATGGCATTCTCGGTGCACAGATCATCGACGGGAAGTGTGTTCTCTTGCCAAGCCAGTCGTTCGTCTGCGGTGGAAAGGTATTCGGTGATGGGGTTGTGCTGTTTGAAGTCGACACCTGAAAGGGAAAGCTGATGCAGCCAATCGTCCATCATGGACTTTCGGAAAGTCTGGTCGTACAGGCCACTATAGGCAAGGAAAGCGGCCGCAACGAGAACATCTCCAACCAATGTACTGATTTGGGTCTCGAAAGACTTACTTCCATCTTCCCAACGAGTCCTCTCGGAGGAGAGACTATCGAGTAGTTTGACACTGCGGTTCACTTTGAACTCAACGCGTTCCGATTCCGTCTTGATAGCCTGGCTCTCACTGATAAGAGCAGCATACTCCGTTTTGTACGTTGCGATGCTGCGCTCCAGACTGATAAGATTGTTCTCAACGGCCTTGGCCTCGGCCCTAGTTTGAAGTGTCTGCTCTTCAAGCTGTTCCACCTCATCCCTCAGGGGTCCAACGCGATCGAGGATCTCCGAGTAGTTAACTTGGGCTATGACCCACTTGACCAGAGGCCCGCAAGCCTTACTGGCATTGTTGACGGTCTCAAAGTTGAATTTGGGCCGGGTCATGTATTCTTTTCGAAGCATTGCTCGAAGGGGTTTGGTCATCTGCTTCTCATTATCAAAGTTGACAATGCAAGCAATGAAGTCATCACGGCGAATCAAACCCTGGCAAGCCTTCCAGTCGGCTACCGATGATCCTTTGATAAGTGAACATACTGCCTCCATCGTCATTTTAACGGCGTCAGGTGGAGAATTCATAGAACGGACTTCCGTCAAGTGCTGGCGCTTGATGTTTTGGACGGCAGCCTTGGCTTCTTCGACAGCGGGCTCGGCTTTAGCGAGATCCTCGAGCACGACTTTTTTACGCTCTGCTACATCGGCGTCCTGCTTTTCAAGAGCTGATTGGATCTCGAGAGACGTGTTCTTGCGTTGCTCGGCTTCCTGTTGATCTGCCACCATGCGTTGTAGTTTCTCATTGGCCTCTGCCTCCTTCTGTGCAAGCTGAGTCTTCTTCTGAGCTAAGCTGACTCTGAGATCGCTGACTTTTTCGACGGTATCCCTAAGCTTGTCAAGACCGACGTTCAGATGGCGTTGCTGCTCTTCGAGATCTTCACGCTTCTCGTTATACAGCTTGACGTATTGCGCAACAAAGTCCAAAAAATGACGAGGAGTAAGGAAGGTGATCTTGCCCTGTTGCTTTTGTAGTTTCGCGTTGAAGCGATGGAGGGAATGGTGGATGTAGACCATGGAGTTGACAACAGTATCCCTGTGAGACGGCGGTAGAGTAAGTCCCCGATATGCTACGGGAATGGTATCCGGAGCTGTGAAGTTGGGCTTGTCCAGGTCGACCCTGGTAGTCAGCTCATGGGCAACTTGGAAGAGAGCTTGGTCAGACCAGTCACCCATCCAGTTCAGCACGCAACGATTGAACAGGGCTGGACTTGTAGCTGCCTTGGAGGACAAACCGTCTTCAGGAGGGTTCATGGTGAAGACAACATGGAGGTTCTTGACGATTTGGCTGGTGAACCACTTGTAAAGCTCCTCTTGCGAGTCGAGCAACAGACCCTGTTGCTGCGCGCCTTCTTTGCAAGCCGTCATGAGAGCGGCAAAATCGTCCCCTTCGAACAGGCCAGGGACTTCAGCATTGGCCAGGAGGGTGTTCATCCTCTCCAGGAAGCCCGAGTCGAGGACGTTCGATTCGTCCATGATGAAGCACATTTTTTCGCCTTTGCAACCACAGCGGCGGAGGACCTCTCGCAAATCATCATCGAAATCCTCCGCAGAATATTTGCCATGCACTTTGATCTGGAAGACCTTCAGGCCGTTCATCCAAGCAACAAATCTCGACAACGTGGTCTTGCCACTGCCACTAACACCAATCAAGATCAAGTGACCTTGAGGTTGTCGGAAGACACGGTCAATGCGCAAGACATGCTCGAGCACATCATTGAATAGAATGAGAGGGACGTCGACTTCTTCCTCACAGAAAGTCTTGAGACGAGTCTTGACGAAATCGCGCAACTGTTCCCGGTCTACTGGGACATAATTCTTCGAAAGCCAGTTGGAGAACAAAATTGGGCCGCCTAGTGCCTTCTCCTCATCGATAGTAGGGAAGTACTCCATCGCGATTCTCTTGACAGCCTCAGCGGTCCACTTTCGTTCCTCCTCAGCAACTAAACGGTCCTGGAAGAGCCGTAGTGCCTCGTGAGCCCAGATACGGATCAGTCCCTCGACTGTGAGATTTTCAAGAGGTCGAATGGCTTCGTACACACCACGCACCCATCGTGTCAGTTCACGAGGACTGTAGACGTAGTGAGGCTGGATCTTGGGCGTGAAGCGTTGTTGAGACTCAAGGTAGAATCGCACCATGGCCGAGGTAAGAGCCTCAGAGTATCCACGAAGTGAAGTGACGAGCTTGAGGATAGCAGAGTTGAACGTGCCGTAGATCTGGTTGAGAGACAGCTCGCCAGGATAATCAACCATGATGAGGGGCGCATGTCTGAGGAACCTGGGGCCAAGGGGCGTACGGCCTGCGTCGGTAGGCGGGTTACAGGCGCCAACAAACTGGATTCTGTCGAGCGTGACCCAAACTTTGTCTGATGTTCGCCAGAAGCCGTTGTGCTCTACTAGCTGGCGGAGGAAGGAGATAGCTCTCTGAGTTCCATACTTGTCAGGGGCAGGCAGGTTGATTTCATCGCAGAAAATGACAAGCCAGCGGCCTATCTGTGTCGGTGAGAGCATGACACCATTCAGGGTCTTCTTGTACTCGCAGTATTGTTCGAAGGTCTTAATGAGCAGATCAGGAGTCGTGGCGCTTGAGAAATTGAGACCGACGACTTCCATGTTTGGCAGCTTGCGCAGAGCGCTGAAGAGAGTCATCGTCTTACCGGAACCAGGAGGACCACATAGCAAGAGAGGCTTGTGCTCCGCCAGCCACGAGTATAGAACATCTTCATGGCGGACCGTATCGAGTGTGGGGATAACTACATCAGTCTGTGTGATGGAATGTGTGTTGACCTCGATAGAGGGAACTTCGTTCTGCCAAGGCGTCCACTCGGCCCTGGGCAGGGACACATCAAAGTCGATAAGGGAGCTGCTACCATCAAGAGGCGGTGACCCAAAGTTGGCCAGGCCGGCAACATTGTCGCCGAATGTCTTTCGATCGGTCAACGGGCAGTCGCCAGTCAACGACCAAACTAGAGCGAGCAGAAGTTTCTTGGAGATGTACGCCTCTATCTGCTCAGGGTCGAGCGGGAAGTCGACGTGTTGAGCATTATACTCAATCAGGTCACGTACGCCCTTGTTCAAGAGAGAAAAGAGCGTAGTGAGAACACGAGCCACAGTGAAATCCATGATGTGGTTGAAACCTTCCGCCTCCTTCAAGGCAGCATGTATGAACTTGTCGGTTGTGAGATGAGCCTCGAGGAGATCGGCGACCTGGCTCTGGATCTGCAGGGCCTTTACGGGACTTTGACCAGCCGCAGCGGTGTCTTCATCCAAGTCCTCAAAGGCAACCTTTCGGAGGCCATCTAGGTAGTGGGTGACCATCATGTCTGGCGTCACGGTATCTTCGCTGAACCAGACCATACCACATCGACTAACGGTAGCCAGCGTGGCGTACTTCAACGTTTCAACTTCAAACATAATTCGGACATTTGACGGAAGGTTGAGACGTTCACCATTCGGCAGGGTGAGGAGCTTGTTGTCGTCCAGGACACTGTTCAAGTTCTCGACCCACTCAGGATCAACATCACCGTCGAAGACAATCCAGTGACGCTTCGTATCCTCTCCACGAAGGTTATCAACGATTTTACGCAGGATGCTCGTGAAAAGACCGTCAGTCCATTCTCTCGTTGTCGAGTCAAGGTTTCCGTAGAGCGCCTCCTTGGACATGACCTTGGAGTCAATCACGTGGGAGACGCCTTCAACTCCCTCGACCTGCTGCATGGCATCGAGTAAGAGCCTCCAGGCGGCAGACTTTCCAGAACCGGAGTTGCCAACCATCATAACACCATGATGGATGTTCTGGATCTGATACAGCTGAAGCACCTTGGTCATCCAGGTGTCGTTCACCACAAGGTGTCTCTCATCCGCAAGGCGATGGATAGCCTCCCTCAGCTTTTGCAAGCTGGCAGGAACATACTGAACACCTGGGAAACAGTTTCTTTCTACGTCAACCATAATATCAACATCGCTTCGGACCAGCTTCGGTGCGATCGTCTCTCTAATGCTCTGGACGATGATCTCTGGTTCAACAACTTCCTCCGCACCAATTGTGCCATCGCTGGTTAGAAGTCGGGCACGCTTCAGACCACCGGAGCTGACCAAAACGCTCTTCAGAGCACGGAGTCCAAAATCGTAATGGGCTTGTTTGGAAAGCCTGGCTGCACATTGGTCGAAGAACGGCACTGTTTGCTTAGACAGCTGCTTCGCTTGGTTGAAGCCCTGGGAGTAGAGCATGACTTCGGCAATGAGCTCCTTGTCCGGCTTGGACATAGCTACACTACGGAACAGTTTCTTTAAGTTGTCAGGCAGGTTGGATCGGCCAGCATAACCTGGGTTCATAGTGATGAAGATGCCTGTGTCCTCGTTGACATGGAGTTGACGTCCGATCAACTCGATTTGAGAGTTATTGTCTTCAGCACCTTGCTTAAGACCAAGCTGTATGTTTTGGATCTGCTGTGAAACGGCTGACAAAATCCTTTCTTCCAGACGATTGAATTCGTCGAAACATCCCCAAGCTCCCACTTGGCAAATACCGAGGAAGATGCGGCCCATGGCTTGGAAGTCGAAGGTATCGTCACAGCAGAACACGAGGGTAAACCGACCAAGCTGGACACCGAGAGCCTTGACGGACTCGGTTTTGCCAGTACCAGCTGGACCATAGGGCGAACCACCAAGCCTCTGGCAGAGGCCCTGAGTAAGGGTAAGGAAGCAGCGATCGGTAAGTGGTGTGCGAACCAATCTGTCAGGGACACCAAGGTATTCGAAGCCGTAGTTCAGCTTCGCGTTTGCCATCTTGATGTGAAGGCGCTGCAAGTAGTCACCCTGAGTCTCGTAGACGTACCGCATCTGAAGAAGCCAAAGGAAGAATGTGGTAGAGCTGGCGTTGAGGGTAATGAGCCTCTCAATCACGTCTCTTTGGTGGACGCATTCCGTGATAAGTGCCTCGCACTTCTTCCGGTGGATCACCTCAAGATCGCCCAACACAGTCGACGCGAGAAGTCGGAGAACCTCGACCTCCCTGTTGAATATGGTCTGCAAAGTCTGGCCCCCTTCACTCAAAGATTTGTCTACAGCAGTTGTCCATACAGCCTGGATGGCAAGTACCACAATCTGACTCGGGAATGTTGCCATATATGTGTTCAAGGCAGCTTGGTCGATGTTCTCGGATTCGAAGATAGGGGTATATGCCTCTATGGCTTCGGCAAGCAGCTCAGCAAGGGTAGCCTTCATACCATTTTCGAGAAGGGTGAGCCAATCGTTGATGCGCGGTGTCTTGACGAGGGAGATCTCCTTCTTCAAGCGAACCTCCTCGCCCTCTTTCGAGGTGAAACCAGAAATGATGGTCTCGTCGTCCATGATCAAGCCGTTCAGACCGGCAAACATCTTCTTGAAGTGCTTGGCAATGCGCATGGTGTCGTTGCTATTACCAATCATCTCTAGTAGATCTTCGTCACCAACAAAGTAAAATCGAGGGAACGAGACTCGCTCCTTTTCCAGATATTCACCAAGCGCCTTCTGGATCTTGTTTAGTAGCTCGGCAAGTCTTTCGAGCGACTTTTGCACACCAGCGATGCCCAGAACATCCACGACCATGGGCGACTTGTACACCTTCTTCATGACCGCCATGAACTCGCTATTGATGTTCTGGAATCTCGATGATTCGATGGGCAGGAGATGCTTGATGTCGGCATTGCCAGTGAAGACGCCCTCCAGATACACCCATTGGCGTTGAACATCAATCCACACGTCGAACAGCACGTGGACCCGGTTGAGCTTGTCCTCCCAAGACGAAGCTTCCTCTTCGAACTCCTTGTAGTAGGGCGAATGTTTCATGGCCTGTAAAGAGTTCAGGTTCTCGCTGCACTTGGCAAACAAGTCGTCCCATCCACGAATGAGCCGGCATTTGTTTTGGTAGGCAACAAGTTCTAATGAATAGTTGGACCACGTGTCTTTCACTTGCTTCAAGAACTCTTCCAATGCCATTTCGCCTTGGGCCTGGGTAATGATATCCCTGACTATAACTTCAGTGGCAACTAGGTTCAGATCCCAAACATCGCCCAATGTCATGGACACGGGAGAGTATCGTCGCCCAGGCTTGATCTCTTTCCAGATTTTGGTCCAGTGGCGATCACGGATGGCCTCTGACTTCAAGTCGCTGAGTATGCTGTTCACCTTGAGGTGTCCGCGAAGAATGGTCTGGATATGCTCAAACGCGGCGTACTGTCGCATCCGACTCGGCATTTCCTTGGTCATTTTGATTAGACCATCAATGGAACCGCGGATCTTTCGGGGTTGAACACTGCCCCAAAGGATTTCACGAAGCTCGCTCAGGCTCTTCCAGATTGTTGACAGGGCAGCCCAGACGGATTTGAAGTCCTGGACCTCTTCCAATATGATGCCCAGAGATGACTCCGGGCTGGCCGCAAGGTCGAGAGCCTCCTTTGCTTTGGACACCATGTCGGCCTCTGCTTGTAGTTTCGTGATGCGGGCTTCAAAGCTGCTTAGTGTTTCCGAGGCGACTTCTGGTGCAATGGTACCAGAAACCGGTTTTTCTTCGTTCCATTGTATGGCTATCTCAGCGATCTTGTCTAGCACAACCTTGTCTTCAGCTATAATCTTGGCTTTGAGAGCATCTGTCTGGTCTTGCACAATCTTCGCTTTTCGGGCAAGAAGCTCATTGAGGGATTCCCATTGAGAGTCAACCTGCTGCACATCTAACCAGTCATTAGGGAATTGGTATCGGTTCCGGGTCAGTGTAGACTGCCCCTGGCGGAAAGTTTCAACTTCGGGCGCCCAAGCCCTGACATTGCGCTTGCAAGATTGGACGATAGTGATGAATTGCACGGCTTGTGCTGTCGAGGTCGCTTCAAGGCTTTGTCCCTCCAAATCTTTTCGTGCCTTCTCAATCTCTGCATGGACTTCTCGCATACGAGTGCCCAAGCGGCTGCCAAACTTGACCAAAATTTCATGTTGCCATTGGTCATACTTGGAGTTCACCTTGGTCTGGACCTGTTCGTAGTCGATGGTTATGCGGCCAAACGAACGACTGACCTCAGTAGTATCGAACGTTGCCCGCGTCTTTCGGATCTCTTGCAGCAATTGCAACCACTTCGAGAGCTCGTCTCCTAAGAGTTCATACACCTGTTCGGACTGGAGATCCCATAGGGACTGGAACTGTAACCACTTATCGACATATTCGCCGATGTGAGACAGCTTCTTGTCAACCGTGGTGTATACTCTCGACAAGGTTTCGGTGCAGTGGCTGGGCAATTCTGCGAAACGAACCTCCTCTTGAGTTGCGGTGCTCAACGTTAAACTCATCTGGTATCGGGAAGCCTTGATTTTGGGAAGATTGCAGACAATTCCCAACCATTCGTGCAAGCGGAGGAACCAGCTGGCCCTTGCAAATTCTAGAGGCGGGTCAAGGTAGATGACTTGGTTGCGCATGGTGATTTCATGCACAAGCTGCTGCATCACCGGGGCATCGGATTTCACGGGTTCCCCAGATGGGGCTAGCTGAGTCCAGCGAGACGGGTCTCTGGCATCCTGGTCATCCTCGAATGCTTCCACCCACGCCGCGACCGCACGTTGGAGGCGGACGAGTAAGGACATCTTGATGCGCTCGTTCATCCTTTCTACCCAGTAGCCCAGGTTGACATACTGCTCCAAGTTCAGCTTATCGACACATTCTTGAATAATTTGAAGCCGAGATTCGAACTCAGAGGCGTCGTAGGGGCAAGTGGCCAGTTCATTCAGTGCCTTCTGGACGGTCGCATGGACAGTAGCCAAGGAGATCGTCTTCGCCTGGAGCAACGACGCAGCCGCAGCGAATTCGCGGACGAAGGATACGTGCTTGCTCCCGGCGCTTTGCCTTCCAAACTGCTCAAGGCTGCCATTAGCAAATGGTTGCTTCTGATGGACTTCATAAGTGTCGAGGAATGTCTGCCACTTCAGAGGCACACCCTTGGCAATCAGACTATGAACGTCGTCCTGGTAGCCGCTCAGCAAGATGGAGACTTCGGACATGTCAGATATCTGCCGCGTGGTTTGGGCAAATGTGCGCACACTCTCCATGAGACTGACGGCATATGGATAGACTCGTTTGGCTTCCTTCGCGGTGTTATGCACGGAGTGAGGCACATTGAAGTTCTGCCAAGTTAGGTTTCGCGTTTCCTTGAAAAGGGTGATAATTTGTGCGTCAAAGTTGACAGTGAGGTCCAAGGCGTTGTTGGCAGCCCTGATCTTGTTGATGTTGAACAGACGACCCGATATGGTGATTTGCTTCCTCTGCACATCCTCAATCCAGGCCTTATGTATTTGGTGGGTGTCCAGCTTCTTCTTGAATAGCTCGCTCTCGGCCAGGAGCTTCTGGCCTTCAGCATGTTGCTTCCAGTCGGTGCCGAGAATATCCTCGACCTTTCTCATATACCCATCAAGCTGACGCTCAATCTGACGAGCCCAGATGATAGCACCAGACACGGGGGGGAGATCGTGCAGCTGAGCCATGGCGTGAGCCTCCGAGTGACCATACTGCTGCTTGAAGCGTTCATGGAGAGCTGATATTGCTTCCTTGACGTTGTCGATGAGCTGGTTTTGGTACTCAGCAATGGCACCTCGAATCTTGGGTCGGACAAAAAGCGCGTTGAACTGGGAGAACACGCGGAACATCTCATTGGCGTTCTTGGCCGTAGCCAAGCGGTCTCGCAGTCGAGCGATGATGGAGTTCTCCACACGAGTCGTACGCTCGTTGTAGGTATTCTCTGCTTTGGCCCATCTCTGAGTTCCTTCTTCGGACACGTCAAGCAAATCGACATTCTTAAGTGCATCCCAAGCTTGCTTGACTTCTTCAATAGCGTCGACATCACCCATCTCCTCCACAAGGGAGGCACCGTTAGTGGTAGGTTCTGCGTTCAACCCACTGGCAGTCGCCTTTGGCCGAAGTACAATAGCTATCGTACGCTGAAGCTGTTCGTGGTTGTCGCGGAACGTGTCGATGTACTTGAGGCGAGCTTGTAGCTCGCTGTGTTTCGGGTTGACTTTGATGGGTATGAACTTCTCCTGTCTCCGTCTCATGGTCTCACGGGCGATGTTGGTGAATTCCTTGGCCTGGAGTTCCCAGCCCTTAAAGATATCGTCTGCTTTTTCCATCAGGTTCTTGAAGTCCTCATACTCCAGATCCACAAGCTCGGATCCGGGCAAGAGACGGTGCATCACGTCCTTGAGATCGGCTGAGATAGCTTCGACAAGATCCAGAGTCCTCTTAATCGGGTAGTTGCTGAATCTCATCTTCTTGTTGATGTGGGCAAAAATCTGGATAACTGAATCGTTTACCTTGGGGAGTGAGGTAGCAGACAAGAGTTCGTCCAGGGGCAGGTCCCGCATGAGCTGGTTGTGCTTCTGTACTAGCTCCATGGCCTCCTTCAAGCCGGTGTCGGCAGTGAAACTGACGGTCGCCTGAAAACGCTTCGCATGCTTGAGAATTTCCAGTGTGAGAGCCACACCTTCACTTCTCAGTTGGGCTTCGATACCCTCCAGAGCAGACTCCATTGACAACCAGAAGTTGATCTCTTGCGTTGCGGTCCTTGTGACGGGGTCCTTAGTCAACTTGGTGACGGCCTGTATCGCCTTGATCCAGCTGTTCACGTTGGACTGTAGGTTGTTCATGAAGGTACTGTCGGATAGGAGCTTCGAGGATATCAAGTCGGTCGTCGGCTTCACGCTGCGGGCGGTAGCATTATCCAGAGCTTCTTGTACCACGGGGTGAAAAGGCAGCGAAAGTTCTGGAATCTCGACGTTCTGCTGGAGATGCAGCAAGCTCAACTCTAGCTCCGTCATGCGCTTCTTGGTAATGGGTATTCCAGTCTTCGCATCCACGTCTGTCCGGCTCCTGGCCCCGTTGACAGCCTGCGAAGGCTTGGTGCTGGCATCGAAGTAGGGCGCGTACACATTATGAAGAATAGTATGAAGAATCTCGAAGGGCGAAGCAGAAGGGCCTTGTTCGGCAACAGCGTTGCTGAGGGAAGCTGCACCGGGCAACGTTTGGATTTGGATCTGAGAGGTCAGAGGCAGCGAGGGGTCGATGGCTTGGGGGCGTTTGAGGAGCGCCAGGTAGGCTATGGTCGTCGGCGAATAGGTGATCTCGGATGCGATGGTATAGGTATACGTGGGCGGCTCTGTTGCATGGTGAGTATCCTTCCTTGGCCATGCTTTGATAGAGCCGACGTACCATTGTCTGCCGGGCCATCGGGCTCATCAGGCCTTGGCACAACCTCCTTCTGGATGTACAGAGCGACTTGCGAGTCACTTGCGAACCGCGCACATCGTTGCACTATGTCGGCTTTGTTTGCATCTGAGAGCAGGTTGCCATCTCTTTCCAGATCTTGGCGGGTAGCTCCAAGAGCGATGGTGACGACAGAAGCCAGGTGCTCTACTACATCCTTGGGCTTGACGGCGCTGAAGGACTCGGGGGAGATGCCACTGGTGCCAGAGTCCTGCGGCGTCAAGGGCGATGCCGCAGTCTCCATCATGGCGATCGTAATCGAAGGGGATTCGCGTCGTGTTTTACAAAGTCATCGATGGTAGCATCGGTAACATGTCCCTCGGCACGAGATAGGGGAGGGAATCAGGGCAGACACGGGGGACCCTGATTGGAAGCTCTGACGACTTGTCTATGCGAAGACAAAGCAAAGGAACGTGGTCGGGTCGGGATGTCTTCTTCTTTCTCGTCGGCCAACCGTGTTGTCGTCAATCGGTTTTATCGGTCTTTGCAAATCACAAAACGAGGGATGCGGTTGAGAGATTGCGTCGGCGGATACCAAATGGTATTACAAGCCGTTGCCGTCAATATTGTTTTACAGTAAGAACGCCGACGGGCGGCGCGCCCCAGCGCGACTGCAGGCAGGGTACACAAAGACCACCTCCTGCACCTGCAAGCTGTCCTGTCGTCTCTGATTGGCTATTGATTTTGATCGTGCGCCGCTTCCCAGTGCCAATGCAGGGGGGTGCATCTTTAGAGCATGCCTGAGCTTGTGAACTGGCATATCAAGCCCACTTGCAAACACACCACCGTCTGTTGAGAACACATTATGCGGTGATGCCGGGATACAGTTGCTTGGCTACCAAATACCTATGAAAATCTTCCGGTGTCATTCTTGTTGGAGGTTTATGCTCATGTTTTGGTATGTTACTCGTCACTTTGTTTCAGGATTTATTTCAAAGCACGAGTACAAGTAGCTCAGCCTCACATCCCCAAAAGATACTGGGATACTTCACGCACAGTCTTACAGGTTCGAGATAGGAGGTTACTTTGAAGCTTTCCAAATCCCATGTCGGCACGGAGACTCATCAACATCATTAGACTACATACTATAGAAGTATTCTCAGAGAAAGTTTAGTATGAACAGTTGAGCATTCACCAAATGACGTTTTCTGCCGCAGTTATTTCAAGCAATGGGCCAAGCAGTTCGTTCCTCTAGGCCATGTCTCAGATATCATATGCACAAACCAGAGGTGCGTGGAATTTGTTTGTGTCTGTTTGGCCCGATCTCATGTGTGACTTACTTCTCAAGAAACTTCAACCACTCTTCATAACCTATAGATCAGTCCTTGACTGGAAAATCGTCAGCTCGATGCCGCCTATGATGCTTTTTAGCTTGATGCAATACGAACAATGCCGATTTCCTTCCGTACGCCCAAATCGCCAGTTCTCATGATCCGCTGCAATGCCATTACAGATGCCTGTACGCCCGCTGCTCACTAGAAACGAAAACCAAGACGCCAACGCTCTCCGTGCCTTCCCATCGACACCCTCCATGCCAGGGGTTCGACAAACGTTTGAGCCCTGGGAAGGCTCCTAACTGCTGCTTCCGCTGGCCTCTCCGTTGCCGTCGGCCGGATCGGCAAGCTTTTGTCTTTGAACCATGACCCGCTCATTGCAGATATCGATGAACATCTCGAACTTTTCAATGAGTTTGTCTTTCTCGCGGAGCTTCTCCTTCAAATCTTCCACCTCCTTCTTGCTGTCCTCCTTGACCTGGGCAAGCTCGTCCTTCGCCTTCTGCAATTCCCTACGCAAGTCTGATCGTATGCGCTCCTCGGGCGTCGGTGCCGGTTTACTGTAGATTGCCGGGCGTTGCTCGGCGATGCCCGCCTCAACCTTTTGAGGGTTGCGGTTGATGGCCGCGCGAGCATTGTAAATATCCCTAGGTAGCAACGGGGTGTGGGGATTCTGTTGCTGAAGAATTTCAAGAGTTTGGGTTACGCCAATACCTGGAGTAGTTAGTGGTGTTCCGAGCTATGGTTGGTTTTGCCACCTACCAGACTCCTTTAAATGTTTCACGGCCGCTACCATCTTGCTGTCCAGCTTTCTAGCTGCGGGATGAAGAATGGGACTCTCGCTTGGGCCATGGTTATGTTCAAGGTGGATGGGATCCGGACGGTAGCGAATAGTCCACTGCGTTCGCTGCTCAATAGCGAAAAAGCCAAATTGGCAATTGCATTTTCGAGATGATGTCTTCCTCTTCCTCTGCTCTGGGCTCACACGACTAGGGGGCTTGCCTGCACGATCACAAACGAACAATACCTTCTTCAAGCCCGGAACCGTCTTCTTTGATCTTCCGATTACAACCGCATAGCCAACTGATGTGCAGTATGAGATGACGTGCTTGTGAACCGCCTCAAGGCTGGAAAAACTGCCTCCTTCAGGTGGGGCAGACATCATGTTGCCCATGGGATGCCTTGGGACAAACGGCGTTCCCTCAATGAGCTTGGGTGACATAGACCTATCCCCTTCTCCAGACTCATCCTGGCTATCAATGTCCATGTCATCGTCATTGTGAGCATCTTGCGGTTGGATCGCGGGTTCGGGCTGAGGCGGAGGTGCAGGCTGGCTTTGCGGTTGCGGAGTCGGCTGTGGTGGCAGCGGCGAAGGTTGCTGCTGCTGGTGGGCTTGTGGATGCGGCTGATGAGCTTGCGGGTGTGGTTGCGGGTGAGTCTGCTGGTGACCCTGGGGATGGGCCTGGGGATGCGCTTGCGGGCGGTTCTGTTGGTGGGCCTGTGGGTGAGCCTGTGGATGAACTTGCTGAGGATGGGCCTGGGCATGATTCTGAGCATGGTTTTGCGCGTGGGCCTGAGGGTGAGGCGGCGTTTGTGACATCAAGTTGTTGTCATTTGGTTGATGGACTTGCTGGGGTTGTTGAACCTGTTGGACCGGCTGGACTGGCTGCGGCTGCTGTTGTTGCTGCTGCACAGGCTGAACTTGCTGGACTTGCTGTTGCTGCTGCTGCTGTTGTTGTTGCTGCTGTATCTGGTGGGTTTGTTGCTGTAAAGGCTGCACCTGTTGGACTTGCTGCGGTTGTGCCTGGGGAGGCATTGGCTGATTCATGGTCTGTTGGAGATATGCCATCTGAGAGCCCGTCTGCTGTTGTATCTGCCGGTGGGTACCGCCCCGTTGGCGGGCAGCAGCCGCCACGGCCGAGGCGGCATGTGCCTGGTTGGGAGTATGTCTAGAGTTGCCATTGGGCACGTTCTGGACGTTGGAGACATTGGGCACGGGGGACGGCGTGGTGCTCGAGAAGAGATGGTGAGGATATTGGCCTTGGGGAGGCTGCTGGGGCGTATATTGCTGGGGCTGGTACGGTGACTGATGTTGTTGAGGAGTCGGCGAGGGTTTGGCCGGCGTTGCGGAGTTCGAGGACGCGTATCCACGTCTTAATCCATTGACCTGGGGAAAGGTGAGGCCAGGATGGCTGTGAGCGTTGTGGGCATTGTGGGCATTGGACCCGGGCTGACCCAAGGTCGACATGCTCGAGGAAGAGGAAAGGAGGAGAAGAAAATCAAAAATTAAAACGGATGAAAGGAAAACGACTATGGACTCAAAAATACTATGCCAACTCGACCGCGAACTGACTGCACAGCCGACCACAGCAGCTGGGGTTGATGGATGCCCAAGTCCAGTCCACCCTGGCTTGATGTGGGCAGCAGATCGACGGTGAAAGGCGGGAGGCGGGAGGCGTAGGTATATCACGATCTTCACACGGGTGTGTGCTGAGAATGACAAAGTCCGGGTGGGCAGGTGGGAGAGAACAGCAGAAATGGGAACGGTCGGGAATGGATGACAGTGGGGGCATGGGTGCTGGGATCCAGCAAGTGCTGCCAAGACCGAACGGGAATTTCTATCACCCAGCCCCGTTTCGATCATAGGCTGCTAGGATTGTTTTGGTCTGACGCGACCTCGCAGCACAGCGGTCAACCTAGGCCCTGCAAGAACCGGCGTCATGCACTTGAACACTAAAGTAGGACGGACAACTCTAATAGCTGTCATCCTAGCTATGCCATGAGGACCGACTAAAATAGTAGGAATAATAAGTATATCAGCTGACAACTTGCAAACGCTCAGTAATACATTACATGCTCTGATGAGGAAGTTGCGTGCGTGCGTTACGGCGACCGCGTTATTGGAAAGCAGGAACTGCCCAAAATATGTACTATTTTCATCAGGCACGGTCGTAGGTATGTGGGTATCCCTAGCTTTTCATATCCCGACGTATTATTGGCTCAAGGATCTGGCATGTTGCGAAAGCCCGGTTTTTTGCCCAGCTCTCACTTCTCACACTTTACTTTTATATACAGGTGAGTTCGTTAGAAGTAATCAACAAGCAACCAACCTTATTAGGGGATCTAGGCTGATGAACCAATGGCTCCTGGCGACGTTGTACGGCCGCACTAGAAGGATGCAGGGCCGGACCGGACCAGGCGCCTCGTCATGGTAATTGTCCATGCACAGTCAGGGTAGAGTCTAGTAGAGAGTTATCAGATATAGCAGACAGAACATGGCGGCAATCCAACAGTTTCCTTGCAGCACCGACAGTTAGAGGCAGGTTCCATCATGGTGCAGCCCAAAACGTGCATCGATAATTCGATCGGTCGGTCAGGTTTGGGGTTGGGTGTCACGAACAGACAGGTCAAATGGGTAGGCACGTCAGACAAATTCTTATTGATTCTCGACCTGCGGAAGAGGGTCTGACTGTTGGCATTTTCGTTTTTGGTTGGTTTCTTCGCGTCCACTCGACTTAATTTATTTACAATTTTACCTTGATGGTGGTGGCCGGTGCTTCTTCGTGTCTCGACTAGAAGACACACCAACACTCTCGGCCTTCAAAGGTGTGTTGTGTGTTTGGCATCGTTTGAAATCTTAAACTTAGCGAGCAAACTGCTTCGCTGCCAAGCGACCTGTCATACTTGGACATCAGTGAGGGATTCCCACCAATTCAGCTCGTACTAGACGGGTTGCAATTGACCGGACTCGGACAGCAGCAGTAGCAGGTGAGTCTGGACCCATTTCGACCTCATTCTTCGTTGCCTTGTCTACTTTTGCATGACCAACTCAGTGTACATAGTACCACCCATCTGCATCCATCGCAGAAACCCACACCCAACGTGCGGCTTCGACTGAACCTTATCGAGCAGAAATCGCAGCAGTCGCAGCAAAGGAAATCTGCCACTAGTCTGCAATACTGGCTTGGGGTTTCAAAGCCATTGCTTGCGTATGAAACGGTAGGAGCCTTATTCCGGTTAACCCAACCAGTCGTCCCATGATATACTACTTGGGTCAACTATTACATTCCTTCCTTTCACCTCGGACTTCGGCCAACCTTGGCTAGTCCCCCCACCCCTCACTCCTTAACCCATTCACTTCATTCCCGGGAGGTTCCGAACATGTTCGACCACATGGAGCTGGAAACGTTGACCGAATTCTACTATTGGCGCGCCATTCTCCAGCGCGGCCAAGACAAAGTCATCAAGCGATGCAAGGACCCAGCAGGTCGAGCCCAGCTCGAGGCCGAGAACTCGCTGCCGGAGCCGAAGCCACCCCACCTCCTGCCGCCCCGCATCGCCGCCTCTGTCTCGGCCCCGTTCCCACCATGCCTCTTGGACACGGACTCCGTCTCCTCCAAGCCACCCCACTCCAGGAACGCTCGTCGCCACTCCTTCCTCAATTTCCCATCCGAGATCCGTAACATGATATATCAATATTGTGTCGACTACCCCACCTGCCGTCAGTTATACGACACATACTATGTTCAAAGGGACAAGCAGGACAACGGAAAGGGCAAGGGCAAGGAAAATGCACAGGTCAAACCCCACCTCAACACACCTACAATCCTCTTGCTGTGCAAACGAATCACTCGAGAAGCACTGGGCGTATTACGCTCACGCTACTTCATCCTCGACCGCATCCCTCCCTGGGTAATGGGCAATGCTAGCCCCCTTCCTCTGATCCACTTCGTCAGCAAAACCACCCTGCAGAACATCAAATACTTCGAATTTCGGGTCGCACTCGGTGAGGGCAGAGAAGGCAGTGGCTTCATCTGGATCAAGGTACTTAGAGAGTTGCTCAAGGTCCTGTCTGAACGCAATGCTGTCGTCGAGATGAAGGTGATGTTCACGCTGAAGCATATTGAGTGCTGGGGTCTTTGGCTCTATGAACTGCCAGGCTATGAACGCCTGACAGGCATGGTGAGTTGGTTTTGTGCAAGGTTCATTCATTGATAGGCTTACATGACATTCTGCAGCTCAATCAATGGGAGTTTAAGCATGGGCACAGGCCGGGGACGGTGCAATTGGAGCATTGGGTCATAGACTACATCTATGCCTACAGAACGGGTTTCAGAAGTAAGTTCATTTATAATTGATCTTCAATTGGTGCACATTAACCAACAACGGTTAGATCCCCTCGTACGCTTTTACCCGGACGAAGTCTTCTGGCCCGGAAGTGTGCTGGAATATCTTTGACCCACAACCACATTCCATCTTCATCATGATTTGAGCCGAGTTAGCACATCAAAGCGACAAGTTCACACCCAGTGGCCCAAGTCCTTTCAAACATCAATAAGGCGAAGAGGAGTATTCAGGCATTTCGGGCACTGACAGAGTAGTCCAGATTCCGGAATGGAAGATACCAACAGGCGTTGCTTTAGAAACCCAGATACTGACTCGCTCACTTACGAAACATCACACATTGCATTAAGCGACAAGCGTTGCATCCATGTAACTAATACACTAGAACTAAACCTCAGTTTAGAAATTATGAGCATATGAACCAGGTCCTTCTCTTTACCATCAGTGACGATCATTACATGAACTCTGAATGAAAAGCAAGGCAAAGGAGCACATAACCTAAAAGTCACACGTTCTGGTAATCCACCGGGTTTTATGTATCAAGTCACTTGGGAATATTCAATTTCGACCAATAACCTCAAGAAACTTTAGACTACATATTACTACGACAAAACATAGTCGCGTTGGCCTTTAAGATAAAGTATATTCCCCAGTACCGCATCAGAGATTAGCTATCATCATCTACCTTTATCGCAGGAAGGTAAAGCAAAACAAATCGGGTAAATCCAGGGAATATTTCGTTGAAAGAGGTACATGCCTCGGTGAATACAACGATTAGGGTAAGATACACACTCGACCGGTATAGCGATGTGTTCCCGAGACACGATGGTAACCAAGCCATCCATTTAGGAAATAGAAGGAAGTGATGGAAATTGAAGTCTGCCATGCTAGGAAAGCCCGTTTCCCACTTTTAAATACGACCTGTCTCTTTGCTTCCAGCGCCTTTGAAGATAATATAGGAAGCCTTCATCGGGGTTAGCTAGCAGGACTTGTTTTTAGTTCCATTTTTCTTTATTCGGGGTGAAGGTAACTTAGAGGGTGCATTCTCAGAAGGAATCAAAGGAAATAAAAAAGAGGGAGGGTGAAGGGAATATATACAGATGCTGACGAAGTGGGTTGATCGCAACCCAAAGTTTCCCATGTTTTGGTTCGAAGCTTCTCCCCATTTTCGTGGGGGTCACTTGGTTTCAGTTTGATATAGGTTGCTGTACTCGTCTTCGAAAACATGTTAATCTGGTTTATTAGAGCGGTAAGCGAACGCATCTACCTTTCAGATGTGCCAAGAATATTGGAGTATTCATTCTCGCTTGGGTTCTATGTGGACCCTATGTTACCCTGTCGGATTCAATTGATGATATATGCTCGCTCGTCCAAAAGGCATGTCCCGATGATTATGCCCACACCACTCCGCATGTATGCAAATGGTATCTCCGAGCCTTTGTGAAGGGCCCCCTAATCCCCAAACTCCATTGAACACCAGCGCCATGTAAAACCAAAACTCACAACAGACACCCACTTAGTCGAAAACATTAATCCGTCTATATATGCGTGTGTATTAAATCCTCAATCATCCATCTTCTTCCTCTTACTCGGTCTCCGCCCCTTATCATCCACCCCCTCAACAAAATGACCCTTTTCAATCTGATGCTGCCGCAGGTTGTCCGGCCGGTTCTTATACTGACTCGTGCAGCCCGGGAACGAGCACTTGTAGATTTTGGGCGGCTGGGGTGAGTGCTGCAACTTCATGTGCTTGGCCATGGAACCTTTGAACCACTGTGGATCACCTCTGGGTCTGTACCTGCAGAGCTCGCAGCAACTGCCTGCTTCCATTTTTTGGCTGCTGCCCAGGTCACCTGAGCTGCCCGCCTTGGTAGCTCGGCTTCCCTCGCTTGCGGGTCGTGAGAGATCTGGCGAGTTGGCCATCGAAGCCTTCAGGGTCTCGCTGGGTGATTCCGAGTGTGAGGCTGTGGAAGTATGCGTACTGGCGCTAATTCGGGTCAGACTTGTTGGGTCGACTGTCGACTTATACTTGGACGTCGATGTATCTATGGGCGATTTGGTGGTATTTCCCACTGGATCCTCGATGCATTGTTCCATCGAGAAGTCCATGGGGGCTTCCAAGTTCAACGCCAGTGGTTCTGCCAAGGTCAAAAGGTCAGGTTGTTCCGGCTGTCCACCTAATGTCTCCTCTCCGAAAGCCTTCCCCAGTTCCAGGAAATCAAAGTCAAGCGACTCGAGGCCTACAGGTAAGGTCATCTGAAATTCAGGCGGCGGCGCCTTGTCCGTTCCCATGTTAAGGATGAGCGACTCCATCAGAGAGACACCCAGAGTGTGGTACTTCTTTCGCGGGTTCATACCCTGTAGATATATCGGATCGCACAAGTCCCTGACTTGGGGGATGAACTTGTCGAATAGACCGAACGAAGCCATACTATTCTATGGGGAGTTAGCCGGGTTTTATTTTTTTAAAAAAAAATTGCATAACACAGGGACTAGGCTGCAAGATTTTGCTAGATATTCAAAGGTGAACTAACCTTGCCAGCTTGCAGGAGTTCGAGTTCTAGCTTGCGCACTGTTGTAATGTATCCGGCATTGACTCTTTGGTTTATCGCCATCAGCTTCTGGGAAAGAGATTGGTTCTCCACATCCGGAAACGTCTGGTTCAGTACTTGTACGATATACCTTACGGTAATTGCGAAGGCATCGGTGGGCGAGGCGTTTGGTCGGTGTTCTGAAATGTGCATGGACCACAGATCAGATGTCAGGATCTCGATCGGCCGTTCAGCATAACTGTTGACCACCGAGTACTCCAGATCTACGAAACCCGTTTTTAGTAAAGCCAGCTAGAATTCGGGGACGCATAAATGTTGTTCAGATGGCAATCAAGAGTGACGCCGCCGTCGATGAGCAGCTCCATGTCTTCTCTGAACTTTGGGTCTTTTGAGTGAGACATGAAGCATACCATGTTCAAGGACGAACTTGATCCTGGCTGACGTTTATTGAGTTGCCCCCGACGATAGATGGCACAAAAGTTCCCCAAGAGAGCCCCAACATCCGACGAAAACTGGAGAGAAACTCACCATCCAAAAAGTTCTGAGCTATAACCACCATTGTATCCGGTTTGACCGGCGATCTCGAAGGCGAACGCAACTCTGGCTCTTTCCCTTTCTGGCTCAATAACCTGCTTGAAGGCCGTTCACCGGCGCCGGCTACCTCATGACCAATTGGTTGCCAGATGGTAAAGACAATCTGCGCATAAACATCATGGTAGCTGGGATTCAAGAAGCCCCTGTACGCAAGGGCCTGCTCAAAGAGTTCGTTGCACCGACTGGCCAGATCATCTTCGTGGATTATCAGGGAAAAGGCATAAGTGACGTGGACAAAGCAGAGGTAATCAAAAGGGTCAGTAGGCTCAGTTCCAGCGAGAAGCCTCTTCAGAGCTGACAGGCCAATCATCGCGACTTCTTTGGCGGATACTGATTGCAACCGGCTTGCCAAAGGATTTCCTCTGAGGTGGGTGGTTTTCCCAACAGAGCTTGAGATGTGGTGTTCAAGTACCTCCCAGGTTGAGCCAACAAGTGGCTTCGTTTCCGAGCTCGCTGCCTCTTGCTCGGTTTGCGCGTCAATTGCGGGTACCTTAAGGTCATCACTTGTGAACAATACGTTGGCCTCGGTGTTCATAGAACTTGACCAGGAATAGTTGTCGTTAGGTTCAAATGAGAACAGGAAGGGATCCTCTCCACATATACGTGGGATGGCCAGATTTTCAGGATTGTCTCCGGGTAGTTCAGCTATATTGTCCAGAGTATAGTTGTCTGACTTTTGGGCAGCAGCTTGTGAGACCGGCACAGTCTTGTCATCCAGCCGAGGCCAACTGAACCCATTCAGATGATCGGTATTGTGATGGATGCGACGGTCTTTCGGAAACCTGCAACTATTCTCTCGCGACAAAGCCATTGAATCGAGTCCAGGAGGGCTGAAGGGCGTAATTGGCGACGTAAGGGTCGTGTCGATGGTGGATGCCATGGTCCAGTCCCCAGAACCAGCACTGATAGGGGATATGTTTTGAGAGCTGTTGTTTGAACGCAAAGAAGAACTTGGAGATAGATGCTTTGGTCTCGGGGCCTTTCTTGGAGGGCCGATGTTGTGGGTATCGATAGCAAGCAACGGTTTGTTTCCCACGGAGCTCGGCACCGGCTCGTGAAGCTGAGACATCGCAGACTTTGGGGGCACACTCAGGAGCCCCTGAAGCGAATTCGTCATTGACCAAGATTCTGCGTGGCCTAGAGTCAGATGGTTCTGTATGTTACCAGGCTGTGGCTCGTAATTTATCGAGTCGAGCTGAGCTGGTCCAACACCATCACCGTCCATCTCCAAGATTTCGGTGGCCTCCATCTCCAGATAAGTTTGCGACTGGTCTTGCAGTTGTTGGGCGATGTCGAGCGACTCATAACTGGGGGGAGCTATTGCGAAGTCTTCCGATTCAAAGTCGATTGGTCCGTCCTTTCGCGACTTGTGACCGACCTTGTTGAAGAAATTCTTGGCCATGTTGATGATGCGCCTCCTCTTGGTTGGTTGGCCGAGACAACACTTGCATTTTGCATCGTTGAATTTTTCAACTCTCATACAATCGTGACAGAAGTATGCGCCGGTTGCAAGATGCTGACAGCCCGCCACGTGCTGCAGCATCTGCTCGTGGTCGTCGAATCTCTCGCGGCACCTCCATAATGGACATTCCAGCCTTTCTTCTGGTGCGATGCGGACCGATCTGTTTCGCTTGACGGCAGCCCATACGATGAATTTCTGTTTCGCGCAATTCTCCCCAGTTGCCTCACGGGTTCTACAGGTGAGTTAGCCGGATGCGAAGTACGTGGTTTAAAGTAGAGAGGTAAACATGGGCCATAACACTTACACGCAAGATATGGAGGCCCTCCTGAATTCGGCATGCAGGCTGGACCTAGATTGCCTTCGCACAATGGGGGAAGCAAGCATTGACTGCCGAGTTGTTGAAGCTCCATGTTCAAGGAACGGGTTGTCGGTGGCGGGTACTACCCCAACCCCAGCGATCTTCTTGGGCTCCATTGCGACTTTGCGACTGGGGCATACAATACGTCAAGGTATACACTTTTGAGTGACGGGAGAAGTGAAAAAACTAAGAGACCGAGCTCCCGACCTCGAAATCGTCATGACTCCATGGCTTCATGTTATTAATTGGAAAGCGTTTCGCAGTGCCCGAAAGAATGACGAGATCAAGGTCAATTGATTCACTTAGGACTGCGAAGGTACGCAGGTACATAATCTAGGACTTGCCGAGGACAATGGGAAAGTCGGGCCCCATTGGCAGGTTCCCTCATTGTCATTGTCATGCGAGTTCCGCGAAAGAGCGGCACACCGATGTCCTGTGGGGGCAGAATCTTACTTGACAAGGTACGACAGGCAATAAGGCTGAATTAACCAGGCCAAGAACGCCTTGAGGGACTTGAATGGGGACAGAGTCAGCTGATGAGCGAACGAAGGTCGCTGACTGCCTAGCCCGCGCCTTGGCCAAGGGGTTGCCAAGTCTAGATAGAAAAAGTCGGGAACAGACGTAGAGAAGCGGAGGGGTTCGTAGTGAAGTCCCTTGTACGACAGAGTCCTGGAACCATTCTTCGGTCCTGGACGAATGTCCTTAAAAGCCTCGAGACTTGAGGCGAGAAATGCGGTGCCTAGAAATATTCAGGCAAAGCTGCTGACCGAGCGTCCTGATTGGGAAATTTCCGAATGATAATCGTGATGCGCAATTTATTCCTATCGATGACATCTGAGCAAAGTGTTGACCAACAGCCAGAGGAAAGAAAGCTCGCCACGATATGCGCGTTGGCTATTTAACAACGATGTAGGTCGACTGATGTTCGGCAAAGGCTTCAAATTGGACGGTTGTTGGGATGAAAATAGAAATCAGCTTCTCTTCATTTCGTCTTGAGGTGGGTGTTAACTCATCGCGGGAGATGAACGGCGCAGGAGAATGAGCACAATTCGTGCTTGACTATCATGATTAGATGGTTGATCTCGTCGAATTTGACGAGGCACAACTAATGGCCAAGCTAATAGTCGTAGGTGTTGACCACTTCATGACACCGGTAAGCACTAACGAAAATGTGGGTTTGGTATGGCATGCCGCTGCTTGGTAGGACTTCTGTGGCCAATGGCACTTGACGGGACCTGATATTGTGATGCCTATCTTTTCTCGACGTGAATCCCCCAGCGTTATCACGGTATAGTAGGCCTCAAGTACAGTTGTATAGTCGACATAATCGAGTATGAAACGGGCTGTGATGATTTATAAACAGGTTGCGAGACTTCTCTGAATAATAAGATTATCTTCAGCAGCCGTCGCAGACTTGAATGCTATTGACACACACGTGGACCGGCTCTGTGAATTTGATATATTACTCCAAAAGTCGAGAGCGTGGCATCTCTGCACGACCTTCTCGATTCCATCAGGCTTACACAGGGTCGCACCTCCCGGGATTTGGAATACTTCTAATTATCTATCCTCAGTGTGTAAGTCAAGCTTGGGCGTACGACAGACTTGCAGTGGTCAAATGCTGCGTAACATCATTGTGTAAGCATAGGTCAGATTCTATCACCGCAACATTGTCCAATAGAAGCTCTCTGCTTGGAAGGGAATTGGCAACATCTCACGCGGCGGGGTCAAGATTTAGTGCTATCGTAGGTCAACTACAACTGACCGGCGTTGCCGAAATGCATCTTTGATCGCCCTTCACTCAACGTGAAGATCTCATCACTGCACTCGACTATATCGCCGGGCAACGTCGGGCGCAGGCTAGACTAGTTCAAGTTCAGACGAACAAGACGCCCCGTCTCCCTTTTGAGCAATCACTACGTCCTTAGTTGTTTCAAGAAACGCAGGCTTAGTTCAGTAAACCTCACCTCCCCCACGAGAAGAGCTAGCTCATTGACCTTTGCTGACCAGCCAATACCCTCCGAAAGTTTCAGATAGATAGTGAGTTGGACAGGATTGGCCTATGGGCAAAAGTCGGGTTGCACGGTGGAAATCACGTTTTTTGCGTTTTTTACATCGACCCACTTGCTCTATGCCACACATGGTAGCAGGCAACATGGGACCATCAGCATCATGCATGGCTTGGCAATGGGCGGCATTGATGTGGTGATAGCTCTGGAGATCTATCTCACTTGTGACGTGTGGGCTGAGCATGCAGATAGACAAGAGGAGCGGGATGGACTGCAAAAGTCTTGAGACGAACCAAGAGAGAACCAAGAGACCTCCGGGGTTCTTCAACATAACATAAGATGGCAGTGGATGCGGAAACTCGCCAAGTTCCTGTCAACATCATTTCATCCGTAGTACGTGGAGTTCTGTCATTGAGCCGTAGACAACCTCGTTGCTCACGGGTCCCAGACTCTGGGAAAACAAGGAATCAGGAGAGGAGTCGAGCTTCTTTAGGAGGACGATATCAACGAAACCAAACCAAGCCAAGGCAGAGATATTCGCTCCACCCTGCTCCAGCTTTTGTGGCACCTCTTGGACGACTTTCTAAGGGCTGCTATTCGCCTGTGCCGCCCTTATCAGATAACGGGTCTGAAGTCTATCGGTGCACACTTTCGCTTCGTGGGACTTCATCGATCGATTGGTTGGGGGTCAGGTATGTGCGTGCGCTCTGCTGTTGGTGCTTGCGTGCTGAGCCATCATGGTTGAGCGTCTCAAGATATATCCACTCAAAGTTGCTCATTGTCGATCAGGGTTGTGATAAACCCGACAAGCTTCCAAACATCCCGAACAACAAACTTCGAACAACCCGATTCTTGAGCTTCCATTCCTGTCTTCGATTAATTTTTTCTTCGACCGCATCCGTCATTTTGGACCGATCGGAAAAAAGGTCCATTATTTACACTTTATCTGTGAGAATTGAGCAGCTACTGCTAGCTTTCCACTTCATCTTCTTGAACATCTTTAATATTTTTTTATATTCACAAACTTTTCCCAGGGTCCGAAATACCCGAGCCGACCCCTCCCAAGTCTCCCCCGAAGTAAACAAACGGGAGCCTAGCAGATCGGGACTTGCGAGACGCCGACACTCGAGCTTTTACCCTACCTTGACTACCGCGCCCGCAAGCGCGCGATTCCAATACGTCAAACCGGCCTGCGGTCAACTGGTCTCGCCCACGCAAAATGCCCAGATGGCGCACGTGGTGCCGCGAGAGCTGGACTTGAACGGCTATGGCCATGACTCGATAGTGGACAAAATCAATGCCGTTCCTGGCTTGAAGACTAGCACTGGTAAGTAGCTGAGAGAAGCTGAACAGGGAACACATCATTCGTTCATTGCGTTTTTATTGCATTGTAGTGGAGATTTTTCTTCAAAGCATAGCTTTTATTGTCGTGGGAGGGGTGTAAGTCGCATCGCGTACCAAAAAAGCTCCTTGGAGCTCCTTGGAAAGCACCTGCAGCGAATTTTGGTCGTGAATTCAGATTCATAACACGCGGGCGAGTTCAAGTCGGAATTCTGGAAATGCACCTCCGGAACCTATTTTATACAGGAAACCAATCCCAAATTGCGGTGCGGCGCATTGTTGCAAAATCATCGCGATACCAACCTCGAAGCTTGCGCTGATCACCCTCTTCCACTTAATAGCTTTCTTCACCTTTCTGCGAGCAAACCTTGTAGTCAACCCATCCGCCATGTCCTCGAATGCCAACACGCCGATGCTCGAGCCGTCGTCCTCAGGAATGCTTCCTCTACCGTCGCCATACCCGCTAGCCACCATCGACGCACCCTCGAATCCCGACCTGGACGATATACCCCCCCTCTCGGTCGGCGTAGTGAACGAGGATCAAGACAAGGTGGATGCGCTCAATCTAGTGGCCGACTCGATCGCCCAACAGCGCCAGATCGCCTCGTTACACCTCGTTTTTCACCCGTACCTGCTCGCGATCCTTGCCATGTTTATTGCGATGGCGTTCCAGTATTCGTGGCGCATGAAACGGGACCTGGGAGTGGCTCTGATGTTGCACTCAGGAGTCATCATGACGTACCTTCTGGGTATTCGCTATTTCACGGGCCGATATCTCCAAGTGGCGGAAGATCTGAAGTGGGACTGGATGGTGGCCGAGGACGGGGAAGAGGATATGGTCGTCGCGGTACGGTTTGGATCCGCTGTGATCGGGGCTTTGATCCTACGACTCGAGCCGAACTCAATTCTGACGGGCAAGAAGAGGAACCGGGCGTCAGTGTTGAAGGGTGGCAAGGGTGTGATTCGGGCCTGGACGGTGAAGCTCAAGTATCGGGGTACGGGAGTGGGCACCGACATGCTTCACGAGGCAGTTAAGGTCACCCGGAATTCCTGCGGGAAAGACGCCGAGGTTGGATTTGCAAAGGAGCACGCCAACAGCACTATGGTGTTGCCGGAGATTTTCAACGGACACTTCAGAAAAGGCGAACGGAAGGCCGCGATGGCGTTGGAAGGTGTTCTGGCGGGATGGGAAGGGAGTAGGCGGAAGCGATAGGCCAGACGGCCAGACGGTCTTGGGTTTATTCTTTAGAATCTGCCTCTATGCGGCTCTAGGATGTAAAGGATAGCATTGGTTATATATACCCCTCGTTTTTTTTTGTTTTTTTGGGATAACCTAGAACTCGGAATGTTAATAATGTTGATATGAAACCGCTGCATAGAGAATGAGTGTTCGAACAATGCCTGGCGTCTTATGTGTACACATCAGATTGAGTATGTCAGTGTTCAATCCTTTGAGTACTGGTACTTACCCTCTTGCATGATGGTGCTCATCGTATTGCACACTCTGATATGTTTCATACCGGTTCCATCAAATAATCAGGTTCAAATCCGGGATTTGCCCCGTAGATGTTCATTACCTGGTATCATCAATATCATCTGCCCCCATCATGGGCAAGCTCTGAGGCATACAAAATCCCTGCAACATGTCCTACTTTATCCATGACCAAAGCAACCAACCACCAACGCCATACCATAAAACAATCTGCATTCAATCGCAGACATCTTGTGCTGATACTCTTCTGCTCCATTACGCATGGTCAAACCCGTAAATCGGCTTACCGAGACGTCGGAGAGAGAAGAGAACCTATGAAAGTTTTAGCCTCGTTACAAGAGCTATACCTAGAAGTGAAACTCACGTCATTGATAGTAACAGTCTTCGCCTTACGGTACTCAGTGTACACAACTGCATCTCGGATGATCTATAGTCACGTGAGTTCTCAGTTTAACCAGAAGTAGCAGAAAGTGAAAGCGACTAACCTAGGCACTTACCGTAGTGAGGCGCTGCCTCAGCGCACTTCTGACTTCCTCGTAAATGGTACCTGAGATACGCTTGACACCTCCGCGACGAGCGAGACGTCGGATGTCTGGCTTGGCTGTAATAGGGACGGAAAGGTTAGCTGGTGGTCAAGATGTGCAATTTGGCTGCGACGATACGAAATCACGTACTTATTCCCAAGATATTGTCACGTAGAATATTGCTGTGGGAGAAGTCAGCAACGCTGCGCTGGAGTAAATCGGTCCTCAAGGACGATTTACCGGTGGCGCTTTGCCCCTGTCTTGCCCTTACCATCCCCGAGGTCTTGAGCGCCCTTGCCCATGCCAAAGGGCCCTCTACCCATCGGCATTTGAGGTACAGGAGGTATGGCTGTTGTAGCGGTGGTTTTGATGAGAGATGCAGTATGGAAGATGATAAACAAAGTTGCGATGGTGCATGTATTTGAAGTCGTCGAGAAGGTTCGCGATGTCGACTTTTTTGGAGTTTAGCTGGGATGAATGCGGTGGGAGTGGGGCAGGCAACGGAGCCGTGCTAACAGTGACCACTGGTGCAGGCTAAACAAAGGCGTTGAAGTTGTTGGTGTACGTGAAGCGCTCTCCTGTTGCTGAGTCACACATTAGATCCCACGAACAGTTGTCTTTCCTAGGTAGGTCTTTCCCTTTGGCGCTGGTATTCCGCTATTCCTGCCTTCACTTAGTTGAAGGTTGTTGTGGTTCTACGATCTGTACAAGTGAATGGTGTTTTCCAACGCTCAAACCTCATCTTTCCCATCTTGACGAGAAACTTTACTTCAAGCCGTTGCAGTGTCAACTTGAAACAGAAAATATCGAGCTTGTGACACGACCAGGCCTGGAAACCAGACACCTCTCATAGTCCGCATTCCTGTGCACCAGAAGAGCGCCTCCAGGGGACATATGACACAAGTAGTAACGTGATAATTGGAAAGCCGTCTAAGCCGGCGCACTTGCATCACGCCAAATCCTTATCCTCCTTAAGTGCAGAGTCAACAATCGCCTCATCTCTAGCCCTAAGCATCCGAGGCACACCCTCTCCATAGCCCTCAAACATCCCCACAGCCCCCTCCGTCATATCCTCCTTACTCTCATCATCAAGCTCGGACTTATGCTCCTACAGGTCCTTTCTCTGCACATCCGCCGGCGGCCCCAAATGCTCCAGGCCCCTTCTACACCTCCAAGACCACTCCAGCCCGTAAGACTCAAGTTCATGAACGGCCCGCTCATAGCCCAGCGTAGGTCGAATTCACCGGTAATAGCAACGTCCAGATCACCCGGGGAAATCATCCCGTGGCAGACGAGCGAGTATGCCTAATAGATGGGCGCTACCTGCAATTAGTTGAGCACGAAACCCGGCGTCTCAACTTTAATGAGGAAGGGCTGCTGGCCGATGGCTCAGCAAAGATCCATGGCTTGCTCAATGATCTTGGGATCGGCGCCGGGGTGCGGGACGACTTCACGGACGGGATGAGGTAAGGCGGGTTGTGCTTACAATCCGAGATAGACTTGGAGCTCGGGAATCTAGACGAGGAAGAGGCCAGCGGGACGTGGGACGGGGCCTTTGCATCGAGTTCCGCGAACATCTTAATCTCGTAGTCCAGGTTCTCGGGGCCGTTCTGTGATATATAGCACACCTCTTGCACGAAATCAAGCCGATCTAGATAATCCAAAACATTTCACGAACTCAAGATTCGACTGACTGGCCCTTCCGCGAGGCCCATCTTCTCCAACACTGACTATGCTTTAGCCACGGCAGCTTTCAGCTTACGAATGCCGCTTTCTGTCAAGGGCGAGGAACAAGCCAGTTTAGCTGGATACAATTATGCCCGTTCCCACGATGGTGAACGTCTTGACTCTTGTTGCCGTAGGCATGTTCTAAAATTCCTGAAGTTTGATCTCGACAATGAACGTGTAAGCCGACCATTGAGAGAGGAAAAGATGCTGGTCGGGCCGCTTTAAAGATACCGAAGCTGCGACCTATAATTGTTCCACAAAGGGAAGCGCAGCCGAGGGAACGTTGATGGATCAGAGTCAAAATAAGCCGATCTTTGATAAAGTTGTGCCTTACTTAAAATTCCGAGGTAAAGAAGGTTTCATGGTTTTCATTGTATACATATTTGCTGACTTACTTCGCATATTGCGCTTGTGGCGTGTAATGCGGCTGCGTATCTTCGTACTCACCTAGCGGGTGCTTGTCTATTGACGAGTCAGGTCCAGTCTTCTAGCTTAACATACGCCCACGTCGACTTTGTTAGCGATACCATGAAAGCAATAGCACCCACCGTATCTGTGTTCAAACATGGAGTAAGTTCCACAACATGCATTGCACTTGTGTGAGTGAGACTATGCAGAAATATGGGTTGATCTAGTCATGATTAAAATCGTATACACGAGCTGATAGCCTCGCCAATGATGCTCCTCCCTATATGATTCATGACAAAGCACCCAGCGAGTGTCGTTGCCCGTTCTCCTCTTAAACACCTGTGACCATTAAACCAAGCCATTGTATATAGGCTTCCTACCAACTGAATGCGCCTCAAGTAGACTAACGGCAAAACACCTAAACCCAAATGTGTGTCACGCAATTTCTCACGGTTGCCTGCCATGCAAGGTTGAGTTGCTATCGCTTCCAGGCCAACTGAGCTGCAACGACGGAACTATGACTTCGTGGCCTCGTTTGCATCCTTTGTTCCAGAAAGGAAGGTTGCCTCAGTGAAAAGTATCCCTTGTTCTGAAACCACTTCATCTCCAATCTTCATCTTCAACGTGACGGGAGTCGTACGAGGGGAGCACTTGTAGATCGTTAGATTCGCCTTGTAGAGCACGGCAGATTTTCTTCCATACCTGATAGATGTAGGGCCTGGTTCCGGCAGTACCGGCGATGATCTTCTTGACAAATGCAGGAACCTCAGCCATAATGTCGACCCGGTCCTGTCGCTCCTCAAGCGGAGTCTCGAGCACAGCTTCCACTGACTTGCCATCCTTCGTTGTTCCGTTCCAGGAGAATTTGACTTCTTTAGGTTCTGGCCATTGCGTGTCTGGGTCGGTCGTCGCCTTGGCGTGCAGCGCTTTGACCGTGTTCTCGCCGGCACCGGCGGTGATGATCTCGCCATCCTTAGCGATACCCCCTACACCTACGATGGTCGAACCGTACGAAGGAGGTGTGGTAAATTCCATCATAATCGCGGAATATGTCGGGCCCTGGAAATCGACAAAGTTCCAGCGAGCGGCGGCATGGTGGGGCTTCATGCCCTGCAGGGCGTGGGTAAAAAAGGCCTTTCCCTTGAAGTCGACGGGGCCGTCCTTTGTCAGCATGGTGCCTTCGGCAACGCACCGCGGCCAGAAGGCATGTCTCATGCTTCCCCATGGGTGAGCCAGATCCGTACCGAACAGTGTCTTGCCGTTCTTCCCGGCAACGAAACCCGGCGCCGTCTTTGTTACCTTCAAGTTGACGATACAGCGCTGATCGGTCATCGATTTGATGGTGTACGAGTTTCCATCCTCGGATAACTGCAGGGCGCAATCTTTGGCAAAGAAGTCGAGTTTATCATCGCTGAAGGATGTGTCGCTGAGTTGTGTAGAGCAGTAAAGGTGAGGCTTGGTGCGGTCGACATAGAAGATCTTCGAGTTGAACTGGCAGGTCGTATGGATACCGCTTCATCTTGGTCAGCTGTTGGGGATATTCCGTGGGTGGTGGGAACTCAGGAGTTTCCATACGCCACGTTACTATATATGACCTGAGCGAGACCGAGGTGTCCGCTGTCGGCCATGAAGTAAAAGCTCTGGGTCTCGACCGAGGTCGAGGTCATGGCCTCCCACTTCAGGTCATTTCGCGCGAGTTCGGTGTAGGGAGTCTTTGCGGAATCTTCGGCGACCGACTTGATGGCTGAAGGGCCATATATGGGCTCCTCGGTACCCAAGGTTTGCGCCAGACTTCGTTGTTACTTTCATGTCAGTTCATTTCCCACAAGTTATGTGCTTGAGAAGCTCACGTTTGCTTGGCCCAGTTGAACATCTTGATGAGTTCTTTCTCCCTTAAGCCGAACCGAATTCTGCGGCAAAAGTCTGCGTATTCTCAGCGGTAGAGAAAAGGCGGTGTTGACCCTAGTGTATGGAGCGTAAGTCCAGCAGATCCGCGGATGTCAAGGCTTATTAAGTACGTTTTGGTTATTTTAGTGGAATGATGAGCAGCTCAAAGCAGCCCACTGCCAAGAGGTCATATGGCGGGGTGATAGAAGTCAGAGCCTGCTTTCCGCAACGGCCGAAGTGCGACAGTGGATGAGCTCACTACTGTGGCGGTGCGTACAAGGATCACATCAGTTTGATTCATACAGGATATGATTGATGTGACTGCCAAAAAATCACCGATTCGGGCTTAGAGAGCTTGAGTTTAATTCCGAGTCACGACTGTCAGTGAAATTCAGCCCGGAACGAGTTGATTCGCATTCGCGCCGCGTTCAATCTACCAGTTTATCCACTTCGTGTAAGCATACACGAAAATGTCGAAGGCACGCGCCGGTGTAGACCAGGTCGTCAAGCTCATCGTGGGAGCGGGCCAGGCCAGCCCAAGTCCGCCTGTCGGTCCTGCGCTTGGTTCCAAGGGTGTCAAATCGATGGACTTTTGCAAAGTGAGTGCGGCTTGGCAACGATTGCGGCAGTCATCCAGATTCAATACTGATCAACCGCTCAGGAGTTTAACGCACGAACAGCACACATCCTCCCCGGAACGCCAATGCCCACTCGAGTCACTGTTCGAGCGGACCGAACTTTCCACTTCGATATCCGAACACCACAAACGTCATGGCTCTTGCGCAATGCCGCAGACTGCCCCATGGGAAAGAAGGGAAAGAGGAAGGGCGCAAGCAGGCCCGGTCATGAGGTAGCCGGCACCGTCACCCTGAAGCACGTCTATGAAATCGCAAAGATCAAGCAGTCCGAGCTGCGCCTGTCTGGCCTCTCCTTGGAGGGCCTCGTCAGATCAGTAATATACCAGTCAAAGTCGATAGGCATAGCCGTTGTCGCATGAATATTGGGTCGGGAAGATGAGTGCTTCAGGGAGCAACATGGACGGGTTTGGGAAGGGGGGTGGAATAGGAGTTGATTGCACCTTCAACGCTGTGGAATCTATCCTCTGGAGCGCTGGACGGATCTCTGCAGTCTCCTTTCGGCCACAAACCAAAGATGGTTTGTTGTTTGCCTAGGGTCTTTGGTGTGTAGGTATTATCCATGTAAATTACTGAATATGGCAGAGTCAAGGTTAATTGCTGATGAGGCTGCTGAGACTCGGACAACGCCTATCCCCAAACTGCATTATTGCGTTGACTTTTGTAGCGGTGCTTGCTATATCTGCAGGCGCGGGGCGTATCGGATCCTTTTGTACCACTTTCTTGCCCCGAAAGGGTACCATCAAAGATCTAGCGTTTTAAATGGCCACTTACAATCATGTTCCCAACTACAGATATGGCAGCAAGCCGTGATATGAAGACAGCATGGATCGAACAGCACCAGGAGTATCTAATATTGGGACTATACTGTGCCTTTTCCCCCTCCTCAGACCCAAGGGAGACTCTGTCTCAGTCACGATGGGACTTCCACTTCAGGCTTTAGTTGACGGGCCAAGCATGATGAACATATGGGCAACTGTCAAGAAATGAAGCTTGGTTCTCACGCAGACTTGGTTCTGAGTGACTGGTATGAGAGCCAGTCCTTTTTTGATTGAAAAGGAGAAGTGTCTGTAAAAGCCAAAAAGCAGTATCTATTGGATAGGATGAGTTGAATCTATGACTATTCTTCCTGTCGCCTCTCTTTTATTAGAGTCCTAGTCCACTGGATGTTTTGAGCTTTTGGGACTCTCAATACGTCTCTCACATTCGATTCGGAATTACATCATGTTTTGTCCACAAATCAAAGGCAAAACCCAGACGCCTGCCTTAGATCATTTTCGCGATTGCCTCTCTAGAACCACCAAGTATTGCAAAATACATTGTTGCCTTGCAAGGTCCTGGGCGTTTGCAAGCTCAGACATCACGAAAAGTACATCCTTTTACTTTCCCTCCACTCCCTAGGAATATTCCAGGAACTTCCATAATCACCCATCCACATCATAAGCATAGTACCATCCCTGATCATTGTCGAGAAATAAAAAAACTCCACGAACATGACTTCCGACGACCATCAACAATCACCTGATAACCACACATCCCAGAATGCCAGTGAGGCAGCACATAACAAGCAGATCATCGCCGACTTTCGACGCCATCATCTGCAGATGCAACACGAAAATATCCAGCACTCTCCCCCCGAACCATCGGGCCCTCAGCGTGACACCTCTGTCACTGACCATGGAGACGCGCTCAATACAAAGCCTAAAGTCAAGACAAAGAATTGTCTCGCGGAAATCATCAAGGCTAAGCTTAAAGTGGAGCTCAAGAAAGAGCTGAAGGCGGAGCTGAAGGCTGAACTCAAGGAAGAAGTTAAGGACGAGTTGAAGGCTGAGCTGAAGAACGATCTGAAGACCAAGCAGTAGGCTGACGACAAGATGGAGATTGGGATTCAGGACAAGATAGCATTGGCATGGATAATAAAGTGGGCCAAGGCGATTTGTGGACGGACCTAGAGATACTGCAAGATTTCTGCAATGAGGTATCGGCTGTGATGTGGGTTTGGAGTTTCTATGATGCCCCTGAACTGAAGTGCGGTTGTCTCATATGGCAAATACATTACTAATACCAAAACCTGACACATCTTAACGCTGATGATCGTGACTATTGCCAACTCCTAACTACGTGGAGAAATGGCATGAATCATGGTTATTGATGCCTGGCCAACTAGAAGAACTCACTTGTATCCCAATTAGTCGTATCAGCATAAATGCAAGGCTCTACATCTTGAGTTTTGACGGCTTACATGTAGAGGTAAGGTTGAGGTGGTGTCTCTCCTCGGACAGTACAACGATTCGTACACTTCTACATGGTCATCTTCATATGCGGCAGGACTTGGGAAAGGTGTTTGTACCAGTTATGTCGTTTGATAGAAGTGGACATACTAAGAAAATGGGCACTATGGACACCAGGCGCTAGAGCCTGGACATACTTTACCAGCCAAAAATAGAACAAAGATGCTCACAATCTGGGGAGTGGAGGTCACTAGCTTTTATGCTCGAGGCCTGAACTCGACCTTGAGTAGTTGTTTCCAGTGGATCCAGTGGAACCGATGAAAGGCTGCCCAGGCGACCTCATACTGAAGCTAAGCTATATTGAAGACAGTTATAACAAGCCATCCGCGGAGACTTGTTGAGTCGGTGGTCCTGTTAATAGTTGAGATTAGTCTCGCGTATATCCAAATCTAGAAGTATAGAGGACGATGTATTTTTTTCCCGGAAAACGGCACAACTCAGCCCGAGGCTGCGTGTCGAAGAGTCTTCGAAACACAAGTAGCAAGTTGATAACTCTTCCCAGTGGTCCACCACAGCTCTCTCGGATCATATTGCCATTCCACAAACTTCGAATTCACAGTCCACCACCTATTACACTAGCTTCTGTTGTCAAACGTCTAGAATCACGTATAAAATGGTGATGTTTGCCTTAGAAGGCTGAAAACATGGCGTCTTGAACATGCATACTGGCTGTGGAGCTCGAGACGGAAGATCCACGCCTCTGGAGTTTTCAAGCGAGCATCTCCATTTTTTATTCAGTATTGACCTTGATTCTAGAACATTTGGCATCTTTGATATCACCACGTTATTCATCGGCTGTGGATTTTGCCAGCCTGCGGAACGCGACTTGTGTGAAGCCTTCCGGGTAGTGTATTTTTGGTGTTACCGTTAGACGATTACTTGCATGCTGGCTGGCATGAGGCGAACCCCCGTTTTAGCCTTGTGAACCGCATGAGACGCCCTCAACTGTGCGACTTGCATCTGCTGGATCAGGTACACAGCAAATTACCGTTTGAGAAATAGCTGGTTGTTGGGACGATGGTGTTCAGTTCACTCTCATACTTAGATTTTCACGACTGTGGTTCATAGGTCTGCCGGCGCCAAGTACCGTCTTGGGTCATGCAAGCACGATTGCAAGCTACTCTGAAGTAGATCCGAGCATAGCCGGATGACCAGTCGTTCAAGAGATTCCAGGCAAAATTATGGGACCTGCTCGTCCGACTATCCCGTGCCTGCCGGCAGCAGTAAGAATGCGGGAGAAAAAATATCGCCCTCCTCCAGTTGATTGTTTGTCCGGGCTGTTTTATTACCGCACGAGTCTTTTCGAGGGATCGGGCTGTTGCATGTAGTTGGCGTGCGATCGGGAAGACGACCCCATGCAGTGGCCTCTGTGATTCGTCGCAGCGATACCAACATTGAGAAGTAGAATGGTTGCGCATGGGTTTTAGTAACAACTGGCGCTTACTTGGGCCGATATCGTTGTCGAGTCAAGATTCGCGCTCTTCGCGACCACGGCATGCGGGCTGCAGATACTGTATCTGATGAAGACTTGCTACTGATGCTGGTGATCACGACGAAGAGCGAACGGCCGAAAAAGAGCCTTCTCCCACAGGGTAAGCAGCTTGAGGTTAAGTCCAAATCGAAGTTGTCCGTTAGTTCTGGTTGAGGCGTCATAGCACTTGATTACTATTGCACCACCGCTGAGTTGTCGCAGGATAATCTGAACTGATCAGTCACGTACATAGATAGTTGTAGTTCCTGTAAACTTGCCGATTTAAACGACCACTGGATGGAGCTCGTTAAATCTCCTCAACTTGGCAGTTCCATTGACCGGATCCCAACCGATCTTGGCACTGTCTCCCGCTTCGGGTTCGGTTCAGTTGTCATAGTTCAGGCGAGTGGACCCCACCTGCGAACCGGGTCAACCCATCAAGGACATCCCGATCGCTCTGGCCGGCAGAGACTCCCGCGGTACCTGCCCAGACGGTATGTATCAAGTTTTTCTAGTCAAGCTCAGTCGAAGTGGTACGTACCAAGGCAGCTAGAGACGTAATTTGAGACCTAAAGTGCGCTGTAAGAACTTTAAGCACGCAAGAATTACTCAATGAAAGCAAGGTGATGTCAACGTACTGTAACCGACGAGAAACAGCGATTCTTTGAGGGTGGAAACGACCTTGAAGTGGGCGATTCCACTGCTCTTGCGCACTCCTATTCCAGTTACAGCGTCATCATGTAGCTCGCGGGTAGCTCGAAAAGCCTTTTACACACGGGTTTGCCAGCTTCGACTTGGGCCCCACCATCAATTCTGTTTGTCGCCCGGGGACAATCTCAACGTCTTGCAGGCATCGCTATCATCATTCAGTCTTGTTTTCCGTAATCGTCGCTTATTCGGGGCTATCTTCACTTCTATACATTCGCTTCTCCGTCGAATTTCCTCCCATTACGCCTTTACGAATTAGATGCTACAACTATAACCGACCATGGAGACCCAAAATCTCCATTCACGGGAGCTTGCGCAAGGTATGCAGGCTATCACGACTCTCTTTCGTTTGACAACCCCACCATCAATCATGACATGGCAAGCACGCGAGCGCATTGAAAGGATACAGTCCATGAAGCGGTACCAACTAGAATCACCATGCAAATGGTTGCTTCAAACTGGTTGTACTGTCGGGCGAATCAAGTGGTTTCACATGCCTGTGCTAGAGGGAGTGCTATGCGAATGGACGATCTAGGTTGATCTATTCCTGTACCTACGAGTTCCGTCCTTGTTGCTGCCAATATCGCCTTCATTCTTTGTTCGGTTCGCTAACATATACCTTCAACAACATAGGCAGCCCCAACAAGACTTCCGAGAACTCCGACGAGCAGGCCACAGTACGTGAGACTGCACCATCGGCCGTTCGATTTGCTTCCACTGTCCAAGAGATCGCTCCGGCCGCCGTATCGACGTGTATTGAGCCGGCCGGAGCAAACTCCCCTGAAATACGCATCCCAAACGCTAGGAACGAAGAGATCGCCGCCTTGTCCAACTCACTCCATGGCACGCATCTGGCAGAGCAACGCATGAAGAACTACTCCTTCCAAGCCTTCTCGCTTCCAGCTTCTAGGGTATGGCGTCTTAACTTGTCTTATATTCTTCCTTTTTTTCGGCAGCAACACGTTGCCGAACGCTAGGGCAGATGTCGGTGGCCATAAGGGTTGTTTGCGTACTAATCTAACCTGCCATTTCAGGTTCCTTCAAATGACGACTCACACAGTACCACTCCCCAACAGAGCCACAGCCCACGGGGTAATCTATCACCAACATTGAGTCCCAGGCCGGATATGGTGTCGCCCCCTCTGACGCCCTCTGGTACTAGCGGGCCTGAATCTCTCCCACACCGAGGACTGAAGCCTGGAAATACTCAGTCAGACGGAGGATTTGACTCGCAAGCTATTACACCACAAGCCTCAGGCCAAGAATCCGCGCAAATGTCACCGCGTATCGGGCTCCCACATCGACCGGCATCTGCCGAGAACATGTCTCAAAGGACCACGGCAGCGGATGATGGAGAGGGGGGCCGTCCACACCGGAAGGGAATGTTCTCCATTGGCCCGGGTGGGAATTCAGTACCCGTTTCACGAGAGTCAAGTCCTAATAGACTCCGAGCTGCGGAGATCTACTCCCGACCCTTTACTCCCGCTGGAGATGTCAATGATCCGTATGCTGCAAGCAAGCGGGCACCCCAATCCAGGAGCGCCGCAAATATCGACCAACGATTCGTTTTCTCCCGCAGAAAGGGTCGGGGGTCTCCGGGATCATCCTCGACAAGTCTAGCGAGGACGGACAAGGCTGAGAAGAGACATTCGGGATTTCTTGGAGTATTGAATAAGAGCACTTATGAGCTCCATCCCACAGGCACCGAGTCTACTACACACAGTCGCCAGGCTTCCATGTCTGACCTACGGCGGTTCTTCAAGGGCAGTAGTAAAGTGAAGAAAACGGTTTCTCCGGCCCCTAAGCCAGTCAGGCCGCCTCTTGTCAGCACTCGATCGACCACTTCAGTCCCCTTTGCCGATGATCACGGACTTACTTCCAAGTACGGCAAGATGGCAAGAGTTCTCGGGTCTGGGGCTGGCGGGTCTGTCAAATTGATGAAGAGAAACGAGGACAACACCGTGTTCGCAGCAAAAGAGTTCCGACCACGCCACTCGTACGAGACAGAAAAAGAATATGTGAAGAAATTAACTGCAGAATTTTGCATAGGGTCGACACTTCATCATGGCAACATCATAGAGACACTCGACATCGTGCAAGAGAAGGGAAAGTGGTATGAGGTCATGGAATATGCCCCGTATGATCTCTTCGCAATAGTAATGACCGGACGGATGTCTAGGCCCGAAGTCACCTGCTGTTTCCTGCAAATCCTGAGCGGCGTCACATACCTCCACAGCATGGGACTGTCTCATCGGGATCTCAAGCTTGACAACGTCGTTGTTAGTGAACATGGCATTATGAAAATTATTGACTTTGGAAGTGCACATGTTTTCAAGTATCCATTTGAAAATGACATTGTGCCCGCAAGTGGTAAGTTGGAATTCTTGTGTGACGTAGAAATATGCTAAAACGCAATACAGGTGTCGTGGGTTCGGACCCATATTTGGCCCCCGAGGTTTATGATGAACGCAAGTACGATCCTCAGGCTGTAGACATCTGGTCCCTCGCCATCATCTTCTGCTGCATGTCATTGCGAAGGTTTCCCTGGAAGATTCCGAGGACCACCGACAACAGTTACAAACTCTTCGCTGCAGAGCCAACCCCTGGGCATGACCCAAGGAAATTGGTTCTTCCATCTAAGCCAACGGGTGAATTGGCCAAGGTTCCTTCTGGAGACATGATTTCAGAAGAACAAGGGAAAGCCCCGAAGCCCAGTCAACCGCCCAAACCTGAAGCCCCTTCGTCGACAGGAACCGATCACAATGGGGAGAGGAACAAGGAAGTGATCAGAGGCCCCTGGAGGCTGCTCAGGTTATTGCCAAGGGAGAGCAGACACATTATTTACCGCATGCTTATGATCGACCCGCGAAACCGAGCCAAGATGTCAGAAATACTCGAAGAACCCTGGGTATCCAACACGGTTATCTGTAGGCAGGTCGGTCCAGGATCACAAGGCGTCGTGAAAGCTAGCGACCACACTCACGTTCTCGAGCCACCCGCTCCTGCGAAACAGTAGGGTGCATTAGATTAGGCACGCAGATCTCATCGCACTCGGATGATGCCACGATTTGGGATTAGACGTTGATGGATCATGTTATGGATTAGAATTTTGTAATCGGACGCGGGGATAGTTTTTGTTTGCTTGCGGTTGGGCGTTGAGAGGACCATTTCTGGAGCGAACCCAGCGTAACACAGCGGTATAGACTTGCATTTCGTTGTCATAGACGCTAGAGTAGTCTGAAGTAGCATGTTGATTCTCTGGAATCTCTTAATTGGGCTACTTGTACAAGCACTAGGCTTTGACGGGTGCCTTTGGAAGCGTTGTTGAATACAACTTGGGAATATCGCACTGTTGTAGGGGTTTATGGCGTGGTTCAAAATTAGTGCAAGGCAGCGCCAGTGTCATTTTCAGTTTCTGAGTTCATGTATCACCAAACGGAACTGCGAACAGACTTATTCGAACATGCTGATAAGATGCCTATAACCCATCAATCATCGATCCCATAATTTGGCAGCACACATTTTCTGTATGCCCTTTTTTGAACAGAAACTGGCTGCAATTCTTATCCGGGTCCGATTCTCGGCTCTTGATTCTGCTACCTCTAGCCTCTAGCCGGGGGTCTGGGCCTCGGCGTGTACTTCGGAATCGGATAAACTCGTGGAAAAAAAAAGGGTCGAGTGCGTTATGAATAAGCTTCGAGAGCTTTCTAAACAGTTCGTGAATAGCTTCACAGAAAACACCCACCAGCTGCAGAGTTTTTTTCCGCAATCAACACCAGACTTCCCCAGTTGAACTGCATCCATACAGTCACAATGGTGAGTTGAATACACTCGCTGGCAACTGCAGCGCCCTATTACTCGAGTATCTACTTGCTGTTGCGGGAAGGCACGGGTGGCTTTGGACACACTATCTAGGTTTTCAGCTGAGGACGAAAACTAACAATTGAACCCTGTAGTCTACCTCCATCCGATCGATCAAGTCCCTTGTCCCCCTGTTGGACCGCGTTCTCATCCAGCGCATCAAGGCGGATACGAAGACTGCCAGCGGCATCTTTTTGCCCGAGTCGAGTGTTAAGGAGCTCAACGAGGGCAAGGTCCTGGCTGTTGGCCCCGGTGGACTGAATAAGGATGGCCAGCGTGTGCCCATGGGGGTGGCCAAAGGCGATAGAGTCCTGATTCCTCAGGTAGGTCCAATTTCTAGATCTCTAGGTCAAGCATGAAAATTGGAAGGGCGAATGGGAATCGATTCTACCTTCTGTGCATACGAATAGGAATGGCTGCTAACGACCCATTATAGTACGGTGGCTCCCCAGTCAAGGTTGGCGAGGACGAGTTTCACCTCTTCCGCGACAGCGAGTAAGTTGACCCTCAGCACTGCAGACTTCCTGCAGGCTTCCGGCCTCGGGGTCATCAGCTTACAAGTACTTCCAGAATTCTGGCCAAGATCAACGAATAAAGATACCCACAACTAATGACACTATCAATGTACCATACCGAACATGTACAACAAATGGAGACGTATAAAGCAGGAGCCCGGGATCGATATTGTATAGAACGGCGTATCACCTGGGAGCGGCTGGTGGAGTGGGAGGCGTCCTTTAGCTGTTTGTAGTGCAGCCTCTCCCCGACGGAAGAGGTGAAAAACAATTCTCCACTTTCTGGCCTCACAACAATCAACAATCTTCGTGATCTGCAGTCCGTTCTGGTCAACTTGCGTCATTGGCGCTGCAACGCTTTGAGCTGTGCCGGTTCCTTCTTGTATACTTAAGGGCCAGACGCAGTGCAAAACGACGACCGCGGAATTCCAAAACTGATCGACACGCCAGCTTCTTGACTCCTCCAGCCGCCTCCTGCAGTTGCTCTCGAGTCAGGCCAACCCGGCAATCTCGTGGCAGAAGTAGGCTAGAAGACGCATCAGGAAATCTCATGAGCAATTCCCAAGAGGCCCAAGCCAGACTTGACGAGCGAATTGACGCCATACCAAAGACGTGAGCGTTCGGCCGAGCGAAGAATATTCGTAAAATAGACGCTAGTTGACTCGAGCGCCTCTACTGAATGGCTGCCAGGTGGGATGCGGTGGACCCTGTGATAGTTCAGGGGCTCTCAGCTGCGGGAGGGGCTGCAGTCGCGAACAGAGTTTGACCAATCAGTCGGAATCTGTAGACTTGCGACGAAACATCTTGGCCACGATGGACATTCTATGTTTGGTCCAGGTCGAGATCTGCTACGTACTGCCTGCCTGTGACCTACTGCTCGTTGGCGCAGATGTTGGTTTTGTCTTCCGAACCTTGCAGTTTAGCTTGCACAGGTACACGGCCTTAATTACCCCCTCTGACTGTTAACAGATCCTTCACATCATCTTATTTATTTTCAAACCCAGGAGGCGTACGCCGGCTCCTGTGGGAGGAATGTTAGGTGTAATAAGTCCCCCCAACTTGTCATCCCTCATCTCATCATGTTAGGACGGTTTTCAGGCATCCAGAGATAGGAAGATTAGACTCAAGGGTTCGAAACGTGCTTTTATTTCTTCATGGCTGAACAATTACAATCTAGAAGCGCTGACGAAGACTTCCTTGGCAGCTCATCTCTCTAGCAGCAATAGTGGGTCGCGGCATAACTGTGCGCACAAACGCCAGGGCTGTGCTTGGTCCCATCCCATCGCCATCCGTTTGGCTCACGACGGGTGGACCCTCCTCGCGCGCTTGGGACTCGCATACACGATGGCTAGATGATCCATGGTCCTTTGGTCACGTCAACGGTATTGGTTCCTGACAGCTCTTCCAGACATATCGCTGCAGCCAGGCGTCTACCTGGTTTAAAAATGTACCCCGCGCCATGACGGGACGTTCCTGAAAGTCTGCAATGCTCCTTTCAACAGGGGATTGATTCGGCGTCCGTCAGCGATCGACACGACAACTCGACTGGGGCAATGGGCGGTAATTGGCAAATTACTCTTCAGCATTCGGTCATTAGTTCCGTGGCTCGCACTAGACCAGGCTCTAGAGATGGGGCTGCGACTAGGATCGAAGCTGAGCTTGTCTCTCAACGTCCCGGTTGGTGGTAGGACTTTTTTTTTGGAGACCATGGCCATTCTTTGTCCTGCCACCCTCCCTGCATCGTCCTATGATATAATAAGACGGCCAGGCCAGCTCCCCGGATTTTTTTTCTTTCACCATCAGCCCAGCCGCCATCACAGGGGGACTTCCACTCATTCATTTTCTTTGGGGCTTTCTTGACGAGAGCTTGTTGAAAACGCCATTCCCTCTTGACAAGTGGTCTATTTAAAACCTCAATCCTGGCATTGTTGGCCGTTCCGTTCATTCATACATTCATTCATTCATTCATTCAACCAAGTCATTCCTTCTCACGAGAGGCCCTCAATATCCTCTCTTTTGGCACCAAGACACGATCAGATTATACGAAAAGCTGACTCTATCATCATCATGAAGCAATCAGTTTTCATGGCTTTGGCCGGCCCACTGGCGGCCATGGTCGACGCCCACTCCATCTTCAGCACTCTCTTCGTGGATGATGTATCTCAGGGCGATGCTACTTGCGTTCGAATGAATCCCGATTCCGACCAGGCCACGGCCCCTGTTATTGATCTCGCAAGCGACGACATGGCCTGCGGTAAGTCTACGTAGCGCTGTATAATCCTGACGGACAAAGCCTAACGGGCATTATAGGCTTTGGCGGGCAAACCGCTGTCGAATACACCTGCCCAGCATCGGCAGGCAGCAAGCTGACTTTCGAGTGGCGTTTGTATGCCGATGGCTCGCAGTCAGGCTCGATAGACGCCAACCACAAGGGCCCGTGTGCGGTATATGCCAAGAAGGTTGACAACATGGCGACTGACTCTGCTGCGGGGGCCGGGTGGTTCAAGCTATGGGATGAAGGCTACAACGAAGATACCGGCAAATGGTGCACTGAGAATTTGATCGAGAACAACGGCCTGATGTCGATTGTGATCCCTCCTGGTCTGCCTGGGGGCAACTACCTCTTTCGCCCCGAGCTGCTCGCCTTGCATGCCGTAGCCGACTTGCACCAACCTCAGTGGTATACTGGATGCGCACAGATATTTGTCGACAGCAGCAACACGGAAGCTCTGGAAGTGCCGGAAGAGTACAGCACATCCATCCCGGGCTATACTACTGCCGACAATGCTAGCCTCACTCTCAACATCTGGACCACATTTCCTCTACCTTACTACGTACCCGGCCCTCACACCTACATCGTCCCTTCGACTTACGCAAACACGGGTGGAGATGCTTTGGTTCAAACCGAAGGTGTAATCCCTGAGGATTGCCTCATCAAGAACGGCAACTGGTGCGGGGCCGAAGTGTCTTCGTACACCACCCAAGACGGCTGCTACAGCGCCTCGGAGGAGTGCTATAGCCAAGGCCAAACGTGCTACGATACGGCCCCGCCAACAGGTAACAAGAATTGCGAGACCTGGGAGAACAAGTGCAAGGCTATCCAGGATCAATGCGATGCCGGAAACTGGAACGGACCGCCCGACAAGGGAGTGAAGCTCACCGATGCATACCCGTCAATCACTGTGGCCATCCCCGCCGCGCTGAATGCCGACTACTATTCGGGCAGCGACAGTGACAGCAGCGACAACGACAGCAGTGACACGCAGGCAACGGCAGTTGCTTCTGCCTCTGTAGCTGTCGTTCAAAATCAGTATAGTGCCGCTGGGGAAGGATATGCTACTGCTACCTCGTTCGCAACTTCTGTCGCTACGACTCCAACAGCAGCTTCTACCGCCGCTGCCACGCCTACCACGGCTTATGGTGGCAAGAAGTCCCAGTGCAAGAACACCAAGAGACATTTCCGACAAAAGGCGCGCGAGGCGGCCCAGAGGCAGAAGCGTCAAGCCTTGTAGGTAGTTCACGTGCCTGGGAAACTAGAGTGATACCTTTACTTTTTCTTCGGGGAATATCGTGACAGAAAATATTGAAACGGCATGACTTTATGATGAGCCAATATCAGGGCTTTTTTTTTCTCACATGCGTTTTGGCTCCAGCAGCCAATTCAGCTGTATACAGATTTGGTTAACACTTTTACTTCATGTATATATAATATTATTTGCAACGAGTAGGGCACGGGAGCATCCATATGGATAGAAGGAATATACTCCGGCTTTGCATGACGGATTCGTTTCGTCCACGACATTGAACATTTATGTACTTGAGGCTACAAAAATCGCTTGTAAAACTTTACATTGTAACTCAGCATGGCTGTCATTGTAGTCTCGGCATATTTTTCAGAATTCCTCATTTTCTGTCTTTTCTCAAAACCTTCGACACTTTCACATCCCTCAAATACATACTCTTCCTTGTTCTCCCTTAACTCTTCCACCAAATCATCCCTCTTGATTCGCCACCCACCACTGTGCGCATGCGGCCTCACAATCTCATCTCGCACCCCTTTCATTTCTCCTAGGAGCCTCTCAGCCTCCCCCTTCTTCGCCTTGTCAACAAGCCACCTCTCCATAAAGATAACCGGACTGTTGAGAACTGGCACCAACCTTCCGCCGTTTTCTGGGAATGAGGAAAAAGATAGCGTTGAGTGATCGGAAGAAAACATCTCCACCCCCTCAACGTGGAAATACCGCACCCGGTCCAACACAACATATTCCCGGAGTTGAGGAAAATACGTCTGGTTCTCTTCGCTTGCTATCCAGGATTCGTGCTCGGAGACGGACGCCCAATGGGCGGTTAGCAGCATTGTTGTTGCCTTCGTTCCCGCTGCGTTGGAGTCGTTGGCTGCGGAGTTGGCGATTTGTTGGAACATGCCTACGCCCCGGGGCTCAAGACCGTTTGGTACCGAGGGCAGATGGGACGCGCACCAGACGTCCTGGACTTGTATGCATTCTTCTGCCAGGGCGCGAAATGAGGGGGATGGAGAAGCGGTGGAGAGGGGGAGGAAGGCTAGTTCTATTACTGGCATTTTGGGCTTGGGGTCGATTGTCTTATTATGGTTATTATCTTTGAGAAATACTGCAATTAAGCTCTGTAGGTGTGTTTTTAAAACTGTCGTTGTGGATTGGCCGACTTATGTGACTTTTGAGGATCGAAGGGGAGACTCGGGATGCGCTGGTTGACGTTGGCGGTGTCTGCCTACCTAGGTATTCATTAGGTATCACTGGGAGCGCGCCAACTCGTAGTTTCGGGGATATTACAGCATCGTACCTTTTGAAAGATTTATAAAAGACCGCATGGACGTTTACCGCCTTTAGTAATTTTTTTCTATAACATTGCTTTTGAGCAAATGGCACATGTACATCAGCGGTTGCTTTATAGCCAAGCGTCCGCAAAGCTCGCGTCTTGATCTTCTCTAGCTCTTGTCCATGTACATTCCGACCAGGCAATCAACCATCTCTACCATGATCCCCTGAAATTTGTACAGCTCTGCAGCAACAGTCTTTGTCTTGGCCCAAATCTGGTACCAGCCCTATTTAGTGGGTAATGTGAGAAATACAACCTCAAGAAAGCAATTTAGAGATGTCGGCCATGCGCGTCTCCTTGGCTTTTCCGCCCTTCGTCTTCTCCTGGAACGCAGCGCTGACGAGCTGTCTCTTTTCGGATTGAATGTCAAGCACGCGCTCCTCAATTGAGTCCTCGATAACTAGCCGCCACACCGTCGTCTCGCGCGTCTGGCCAAGGCGGTGCACTCGGTCTACGGCCTGATCCTCAATGGCCGGCGCCCACCACGAATCGGCTAGGACCACCGTATCTGCAGAAACCAGGTTGAGGCCGACACTGCACACGCTCAAACTGGCCAGCAGAATGCGGGTCTTGGGATCCGTGTTCAAGGATTCGATGGCAGCATCACGGTGCTTTTTGGCCATGCTTCCGTCGATTCGGGTGCATGCTAAGTTTGCCTGTTTCAGTCTCATCTGGATGATGTTCAGGAACGAAGTCCATTGACTGAAGATGACGACCTTAGAACCTTCCTTGTGAAGTGTGGCTTCAAGAATCTTGACGAGCGCCTCCGTCTTTGAGCTTCGGCATGTATCGTCCGCCTCAAACTCCTCCTCCTGGGTCTCGGGTATTGGATCTACAAGGGATTCGGCCTGCAGTTCGGAGCGGCACATAGGGCACTTGCCTTGCATTTCAATGGCTTTGGCGATGCAGGGCTTCCCGAAAACATGCTTGCAAGCGGTGATGCAGGGCTCATGAATACTAATTGATTCGTAGCAGATAGCACACTCCTCTTGGCTGTCGATCATGAGTTGTAGGGCTTGCTGGAGAATTGGAACATTCTTGTCGTCTAGAGCAACGACTTTCTGGTCCTCGAAGAGAGCAAGAAGATCATCCACCCGGTCCTTGCACAAAGCCCAATGGTTGCAAATCTGGCGCAGTCGCAGTAGTCTCTCCAAAATACTTGTGTACCTGCCCTTCTGTCCGTGCGAGGACTTGGATTGGTACTTTTCCAACTCTCCCTGAGCCTCTGACATCATGGCGTCGTACTTGATTTGTTCACTCTTACCAAATTTGATGCGATGAATGTATTCGGTCTTTGGGGGTAAATTGAGATCGATGAACATCATATCCTTCTTGCGGCGCAGACACAAATCCTGCATTAAGTGACCTAACACCTTTATCGCCTTAATCTTGTCAGGGTGGCTATGATGAAGCTGTTTCATGGGTCTGGTGATGACCTGAGAGAACAGGCCATCATCTTCGAGTCCTCCAGAAAGCTTGAGGAAACGCAGAATGGATAGAAAATCACGGACGCTGTTGATGATCGGGGTTCCTGTAAGTACCCATCGAGACTGGGCCTTCAAATTGCAGACGGCTGCTGCCACCCGAGACTTGGGGTTTCGAATCGTGTGACCTTCATCCAGCACGACTCTGCGCCAATCGACCGCAAGGAGACGCTGTCCGCTTGACTTGGACTCTTGGCCGACCATGCCGTAGGAGGTGATGACAACGTCAAATTTACGGAGTTCTGCGCCCGACATCGGCTTGCAGCCATGATAGACAACGATGTGAGGAATCTGGTCCTTGTTCACATGGAACCGAATTTGCTGCTCCCAGTTGCTTAGAACGCTCACGGGTGCTACAATTAATGTAGGGCCGCCATCCGTACCTTCAGCTAGCACCAGGCTGATGATCTGAAGAGTTTTGCCTAAGCCCATGTCGTCAGCAAGGATGCCACCTGAGATTAGGCTTGGTGCCGAGGTCGATATGAAGCCCGTCGCCAAATTGGTGTATCGAGTAGCGCTACTACGTTTCCACAACTGGACGGAGTTGTCCGAGTTAGGTGCAGGAAGCTGTGGCTTTTCTCTGGCGGCCATCCATGCCAACCCCTAGAATGCATATCAGTATCAGAAATTCACTTTCGGGGTAGCATCGACGTCAGTGTACCTGAAGTTGATAGGGCAGAAGTTGCGACTTCAGGATGGTAGGTTGATCAGCCTTGGGCATTGCCTTCAGTGTCTCTTCATTTGAAGCGAAAACATCGGTCAGGTCGTCTGTTCTTTGTGTTTCCAGGGTTTCGCTGGTTGCCACGAGCTGCTGAAGTGCCGTCTCCTGCTCCTGGCATACAGCAGTGGCGAGCCCTGCGCTGGACGTACCACTTTGGAGGCCGGTTGCCTTCCTGCGAGCCTCAGATTCTTTCCGTGTCTGCTTCAGCTGCGTAGCCTTGAGAAGTCTATCTGCCTTAAGTCTCTCTTCCAGTCGTAGCCGAGTTAAAGGGTGGCTGGTGCCGTAGAGAAAGAGTCGCATGGGACAGTCCCACAGTCCCTTTTCACCAGTGAGCACCCCTTCGAGAACTAACTCGTTGCGATCAACGTAACCAGCTAGTTTCTCGACGACCTTTCGACCCAAGTGGCCGATTTGAGCACCCATGACATTGTCGATACGAATTGCGTTTTCGTCGTATGGGTTACCAGGTTCTCTTCTGACGGCCACAAGCTCGTGGGGGGTTGCTACGCCATTGTAGTACCTCACACCAACAATCTTGGTATCCATGGTGCCATAAAGCTCCAGGGAAGGCCCTTCATCATCCTGGGTAAGGTCAATTGCTTCATCGTCATCTGCGTTGAGTACCTGGAACGATGCAGGATATCGAGAATTGCCGAGTGAGGAAGATGGTGTTGACCAGGAATCACGCGATCCTTGTGATTGTCTGGGCGCTGTACTCTGACTTGATGAAGACGTTCCATGACTTGGCACTCGGGCATTCTTCGTTCGGGGCTCAGCATCGTCGGTGAGGTCAATAACCTCACGGCCCCGTTTAGTTGGCGCCATTGCGTCTTTCCCCGTGCTGCAACTGATCAAATAAGTCAAGGTGGATCCACGGGCCTCAGGACGGATCAATCAGCTCCAAGCCCTCCGGGAATGCGATCGATGTGTGATCGAGTTTCCGCATATGACTTGTCTAGGTGGCGCTTGCCCAAGAATGAGACACACAGGTACTGGACGCGTCGAATACCGAGTCGAAACATTCAAGAGCTTAGGCCACCTCTCATGTCGCGGTATCAGCTGATCACCTTGCATCGCGGGCGGAATTCGGTGCGGCTAGGCGGCTACCGCTGACCGGCTGGACCGTTCAGATCTGAGCAATTGGCAAGGGTGATGGTGCAATCCGCACTAAGCCTATTCTGGGGTCAAGCGAGCTAAGTGCCTGCGTATTGTTCACCCAAGAGGCTCACACGACGACATATTTTTCTCTCCTCAACTTCATATCTAGTATTTATGTCTCGTTTACACCTCAGGCGTCCTTTTACAGTGCTGTCTGCGATTTCTTTGTTATTCGCGCCGCAGTTCTCTGTGCGGCAGCCCGTAGATGGGTTTTCCGCACCGCATCAGGTGGCAGGCATCAGACTCAGCGAGAAGCAGTCCAAGATAAGTTCCAATCATTTCATCATTCTCTATTCAAGGAAAATTCTCATACAAAAAGGGCATCGCTTGCTCATTATCCAAACATGTTGGCTGGTAACCATCTCATCATATCTTCCCTTCTCATCCCTCCCCTTTCTACCTTTCATTCTTTCAACAGGCGGCCAAACGCAGAGTAGTAGCCACATTTGGGAACGTGGCTCGTCTTGCTTGTCTTCGGGTCGAAGATATGGCAACCCCCTTTGGCGACATTTGGAGGAGTATACACTATTCTAGGTCAGCCAAGTGCTGTTAATCGATGCGACATGGGCATGGGGACGTACGGTGCAATGATACGGCGAAGTCGCTACCCTCGTTCGACACCCGATGAACACCCAGTTCATCTGCCATGTATGCAACGGAACCTTCTTCATGGACCGCTTGAGACTTAACCTTCATTGGTTTCGTCTCGTCATTATCAGGAAAATCGTACCGGGTCTCGGTCAGGTTGCCGCGGAGTATTTTCATCAGACAATGCGCATTGCCGTGGTCATGGATCGGGGAACCTTTGCCTGGGGTCCAGACGAGCACGAGCTGTAATACCAAAAGGGTCAGCAACACTCTATTGCAGCACTTCTATCACGGTTTGGGAGCAAGCTTACCAAGTTGCTCTTGCCGTTGCCTTCGTCAACCAAGTTTCGGGTGTATCCCCGGCTGGCATCTGCCATGGCATACTGTTGCCACTCGGCGATATTCGACTTGTACCGGGCCATGGCCTCAGTCAAGAGGTCCACGTCGACATCGTCCGAGGTTAAACCTGACGATTCCCCGAGAGCGTCTTTTAGTGATATCACCAATTCATCGAAACGATTCATCGTGGACTTGGACGGAAACTTGGTTTGGTGTTCTGAACGGACGGACGAGACTGAGCACGTCATGTTGTATGATGGTATGGATTTGATGTTGCGTGGTTGTTGTTGTTGTTGTTGTTGTTGTCTGTTGTCGGCGTTGCTGTCGAGTGTTAAGATGGAGGATCGTGGGAAAAGCGGTGTCTGCGCGGGCTAACTCCGCTTTTGACCGTGGACGATAGTACCGATGATCGGCTGCGGCGGACCTCCCTGCAGCAATTCCACAACGTCCCAGAGGACGATGCGCAACTCAAGACAGGCCGGAAAGCTTCCAATTGGTCACCAGACAATACAGGAGAGGAGTGGCCCCATGCCTATCTTTGTGAGCACGTTTTGTCTATCGCATTGTCGGCTAGCACATGACGACGGGTTTACGTTGCCCCAAGGCTGGCAGAGTGGACCAAGGCTTGGAATTTGGTAGCACTAGGTGGGCAACAAAAAGATGGTTTTGCTTGTCCTACACAGCCAAACCTTGACACAATTGGGGCAAGGTGTGAACAATTGATTCTTGGAGCTTGCCCGTAGTGTCCGACGGGACTTGGAATCGGCGATATTCTCGGGGACCAAAATACCCCACCCGATTACGGGTCCGGGCACTTCCCCGCGAGTCAGAACACCAGCATGAGTGCGAATAACTTGCGTACAAAAGCGGGCTTCATGAGACCGAACAACTTGGAATCAGCTGCGGGAAAGTCGAGGTGTTACACATGAGCGGGTCGAAACTTGGGAGAGAGCTAATAAAGAGGCCCAGCACCGACTACCGGTGACGAGTTGCTGGCCACGTTCACAACTCTCAGTGTTTAAGAGTTGTGGGTTGCACTTCACTCTTTGCTACGTTCCTGCATGATAATCATATTGAGTTACGCGTCGCAGAATCTTGTTTGGGCAGCGACCCCTCGCCATGTTCTCTGCAACATGCGAGATGGCATAATTTCATTTCCGTCACAACTAACATCAAACGACATACTCGCGTGGCTCGTTATGCAGAACAGAGCCCTAGATCTGCATTGTGGACAGTTGAGAGAAAGCGGGTTCAGCCAGGACTATAGTTAAAGCACAGTTTTCGATTTTCTTAGTTACCAGGCCAAATGTTAGTTAATGTCCGAAGGAACGCCCTCCACGATACCATCCATATCCAAAGACTTCATCCAACGGCTGCAGTAGGAAGTGGACTTACCTCGAACTAGAGCTTACCATCTTTTGAAACGACAAACTTGTGTCTCGTCAACTACGAGCAAGGCTACCCTTATTCATTCATTACACATCACTGTTTCTTACGTTCCTTCAATACTTGAGGTTATACGCGATACGCATGTCGCCCAAAGCAAACTCATCCAATCATCAACCCACCCTTTCACATTAGCTCGGTCTATTGGAATCTTGGCAGGAGTTTTGCTAGCCGTCGCCCAAGTTGGACAAGTAATGCCCCGCATCGCGCCAGACAGCTTCCTCAAGCGGTTTATGGTCCTCCTCATCTGGCATCCAAGAGTGGCCGTTCAGCCAGACAAACTCGCACGCGGTCTGTGCACATAGCTCCAACTTTTGGTTACTCCAGCTTCGGACCGTCCTCATACCGGATTTGGCTCGCTCAAACAGGGCGGCATCGTAATGGTTATCGTCGAATGGAGGCTGGTCCAATCCCTCTTTCTCAGTGGTCGAGTCATTGAGGAACAGGGAGCTCATATAGAAGAGAAGTTCGGAGGCCGAGATGCCTAGGGTCGGCCAGCAGCATTGAGACCATGGGATCGAGTTCGGGCCGTCCTCAGTGTGCCAGCGGTCCCAGAGGGCGGTGAAAAGGCGCACATCGTGGATCCATGAGCCCCTCCCCTGGGGGAGGTTCTGAAAGGCTGGGGGTACCCGAAAATCTGGATCGTTTAGCTTCTCTATGCACCAGTCGAAGCAGTTGAGGATGCAGGATATCACGTCGCTCTCCCCGGAGTCGTCGTCGTTATTGAAGCATGGCTGGTTCTTGAGGATGGTTTCCATCATGACTGCGACTGACTGTGGGTCGAGATTGTCGAAATTGGAGATGATGCATTGGACTGAGATGAGATCCAAGGAGAATCCATCCATTGATAAGTTAATGTGTTCGAGTTGGCTGCTAGCAATGTGAGAGCAGTGAGCAGCGGCACCACCTTTGCTTTGGCCCCATGTGTCTCTCGCTCCCTCGCCTTGACTGTGTCTCTGCAGTCTGTCCTTTAGAAGACAATATCGGCAGCTTTTGGGGCACGAGAGATCGCAAGTCCGGGGATGCATTCCTTTTAGACATCCGAGTGCTTTGTTTTTTTGCTCGACTGTGGTGGCACATCGTGCAAGAGGGACGACGACACGATCTCGCCAGATTGGATCCAGGTCTTCCAGGAGGTTGACGTATCTCTCAAACGCGGCATTGTGGTTGAACAGAGCAAGGTCAAAGTCGGCTTTATGCAGCGCTGGGGGTTCTTGTGGTCGTTGGGGTTCGCCTCCCCCTTGAAGCTTGGCCGGTTTATATTTCGACCATCGCCAACGCTCATAGAGCTGGTAGTGATATTGCCTTTTACTTCAGACATGCGTAAGTACGTTGTAGTGTGCGTAGCCTTCGGGCGAAGACAATAGACCTACGTGGGCGCGAAGCCGTCCTCATTCTCCATCATGGTCTTCAATTCGTCCATGCTCGTGTCTTTGATCATGTACAGTCGGTGCAGTTTGGGTTTATGCCTGTCCCAATCTCCGGATGATACTCGAGCGGTACCCATCATCGAAGCAGGTGAGGTTCACGATGAAATGTCGTAGTCCTTTGCACCGCAGTAATTCTGGATGGGAAGGGCGGCAGGGAAAACGAATGCAAACGACCTCGGTCAAATATTCAAAGTAAAGTAGGGCACCGGGGGTTCTCGTATAAGTTATATGAAATTTACCCGGCTAGTAGTTGACTCGGAAAACGAAATACATGTGCATTTTTGCGCAGGAAAGTACTGGAAGTTATCGTGGGAGGCAAAGCTCTATATCTAAGTATCTCATCGTATTGATCGCCTTCTGCAAATCAGCCCACGGGCAAATTCCAAACATATTAACGAAATCACAATGATGCGATGGGCAAGTAGCTTCGAATAACATGGAATGGAGATAGCACTAATGCAGCACCCGCCACTTTGCAGCAGTGAACGGCATTATGGATTTTGGGCAGCAATTGTATTTGTAAATGGAGTATTTATGGGAAATATGCCTTGGCCAGGGGCTAGGGGCCAAAGAGCCAAATCACAAAAGTAGCTTTTAGCGCTGCCTAGGTAGCCGTACCTGGTGATCAATTACGGTTTCTCCAGCGGGTGACATACGATATAAATCGAGCACTTGGTGCCCAACATTTTATAAAAACTTCACATATGCGAGCAAATAATCAGTTTTCGAACAGCAACCTACATCAAAACATGTCAGAATACATCAAGAAAGAACCCACCAAGGAGACAACAGACTGGCGCGTTGTCGGTGTCGGTCAATGGGTCCCCAACGACATTGACGAGAATCTCAGGGAGTACTTCCGGAATGGCAACCAGCTAGAACGAGCGCCCAGCAGCAAATTCAGGGAGGATGGACGGCACCAGATAGGGTGTGATTTTGCAGACCGGCAGCAGCAGCAGCAGGATGCTCGGGGTAGTCAATGGAACGCTTACAGCGAAAAGCTGACACGCCGCTCGAGGCAGACACACGACAGTGTCAGCGGCGAGCCAATTCCCATCGCAAGTCAGAAAACAAAACGCCCACGGAGGAGACCCACACACCACTGCGAGGTGCCGTCGCAAGGCTCCCCGAAGGGATTTGCTTCAAGGCAGAAAAGTACGCCGATATATACGGACAGGTTGGCGGACGTGAGACAGGCTATACGTTGTAATAATCTACTGTGGTACTGAGGTTCGTGGTTCAATTCAACACAATCGGTGTCTTTCGAGAGAGCGCGCTGACAAGATGACAGGAAAGGAATGGGCTCGTCAGCATTCATACACAGGAACGGGATTTCCCGCGACTCACTAGGACAGCATTACGAGGTTCGTTCGGTGAACAACAGATTGATACCCAACGTTAGGAAAGATAAAAGTTGTTGCTTGTATTTAGGGGTTTTGGCTGAGAGCAGGCTGTGCTTACAAACGGCAGGATAGAGACTGATTTGAAAATTGCAATTTTGAGGTTTGGAGGTTTGTCCAGCTTGAATGTGCAATTCTCGTAGTCGCCGTGTGGCTATGCTTTGGCTGTCTGTCTGCCTTTCGACAGTTCTTGCGTCTCAATTATTCTATATGGAATATGACGGGCTTCAAATCATTTCCATTTCCATTGGCGGGCGTTGGTCAATCTCCTTGGGTCCTCGACCTGGGTACATTGTACAAACTCTGAGCCGGAGGTGGCTGATGAGTGCCTGATCTAGGGCACTCTTTCTGTTGACCACGAACTGACATACATGAGGCTCACTTGGCTGGCCAGTACGTGACAGACTGCAGCTTATCAACTATTGAAATAGCGCAACACCAATACTCAAACATTCGAAGTTAACTAATATAGTCAAGACTCATGCAAGGTCAACACTAGTCGGCTTGTTACATTGGAACTGCAGTAGAACGAACCTGGAACAAAGTGCTCGAGAGACGACGTTTTGCCTCTGATGGATTCCAAGCAACCGAAGGATGGGATTTGGAGATTCGACTGATGGAAATAGCATCCTTGTCAAAGCAGTTGGCGTTGTCGATCGGTGGGGTACGAGGTTAGAGACGCACTGGCAAATGACTTCAAAGTCCCTGAACCCCGCAAGAAGGTGCAGGGATGGTGTGCTGCAAGTGCCCCTCAAGGTATAAATGAACCGTCCGGACCATTCACTCCCTGTGCCTTGATCCTGGTATTGATTGTATCACACAGGATGGATCTCGTCTGACTGTTTGGGCCGGTTATAAAATTTGTTGCCTCGACTTTGGCTGAAACAGTTGTAACCATTTATGATCGTGATGGCCTCGGTTGCTCTCTCTTTCGATTGACTTGTCATCGTAGCACGCAAAACCGTGTTCAGGGGACACCGCTCTTGTGATAAACGCAATGGCCCGGAATTGGGTGGAATTGAGTGCTCCCAATGGTCGGCTGGAGGCAGGCTTCTTGTTCCTCGTGATGCTGTAAAGCGATCTCGATCAGTTCATAATTCATACGCATACTTGACCAGTAGGTACGTCGTGGCGCAAAAAAGTCGATCCCCTGCGCTTGATTGGTGTCATTTCTCTCAGGTTGGTGCGGCGCATTGGAATGGCACAATGCCATGTAAGCTTGGTGCATGGGGCCACTTTGGTACTCTTTCCCGAGGTCTCACAAACCAAGATGATTCGCCCGTTAAGTCCCGATGACGGACCTATCTATCTCTGTTTCATGAGAAACATGGAGAGCTCGTTCGACTTTTTGCAGAAGGTTTGATGATGGGCTGAAGCGCCCAGGCTAGGCAACAGCTTCGTCTGATTATGGTAAATTGAGTGAATCACATACAAGCCCGCGAGCGCTTGAGGCGCCATACTTCGTGCCGACGGTTTGTTTTACGAGGACCTGATGTCGCCTAGGAAGGAGAGAGGCTTGCTGTTCCAAGTTTCCAAGCTTCCTTCCAACTCGCCTTTCTGAAGCTGGTTCCAGGCAAGCGCGCACCTGCGGACGTCACTCTTTTCGTTGCTTTCCCCGCAATGCATGCAGCAGTTTACAGGTTCCGCAGACCTGCCCCACCATACTTCAGTACGTACATCACGGTTGGCCGTGTTCTAGCTAACACCTACCTTTAAAATGCACGAGTAAAATGCACGAGGATCTGATCTTGTAAATTTCTTTTCTTTTCCATTTCACCACCATTACCTTATCTCGGAACCTCTGCAATTTCAAGCCCCGGCTGAAGCTTGGTAGAGATCAAAATGGAACGAGTTCACCAAGGTTCGTAGAGTCTTCTCTATTCTCCAGAAACCCACCTGCCTAGATGGATGTCCTGGCCCGACTTACACCCAGCTATCCTTCGTGGCTAACACCGTAAGCAGTCAACCCGTTCGCCAAGCGCGACTCCCACAGCAAGAACTCGGTGATCGTGTACAAGGTCCTCACGATTCTGACCTGGCTTCTTTCGGTCATCATCAGCTTCTACTATTCGGTCAACCGCCCTAGCGATGGCCACTGGATCAAGAACACCATTTGGGGCCAGAACGACCTGTACTTGACGGCCTTCCGACTCAATAAGATCATCGCCAGCATCTACTGGATTGTCCTCTTCGTTCTACAAGTCGGCTACGTTGCCCACCTGTTCTCCGGAAATGTCGAGAGGCTTAACGCGGCGTGCGCCGTTGGTAGCCATTTCATTCTCAACAACCTCTTCCACTTCGCATTTGTGATGCTCTTTGTGCGAGGTGCATTCGGTTGGGCGGAGTTAATCGTCATCCTGAACTTTATCAACCTGACTTCTCTCTACTTCCGCCACCCCAGCTCCGACCGCTTCATCCACGAAGCTGTCGTCTCTGGACCGCTCGCCTGGACATTCATTGCTATCTACTGGAACGGAGCTATCATGGTCCCCCACCCCGCGAGCTTGGTTTCTCGCATTTTTGGCAACATCTTCATATGGTCCATCCTGGTCTATGGACTGTTCTTCATCGTGACCTACAAGGTAAGATCTTCGTATAGCCTGTGTTGTTCTTCTTGCTCACATCATCTAGGATTATACCATGGGCTTTAACTTGAGCGTTCTTGCTGCAGCCATTGGTGTTTCGCAATTCTTCCGACAGATCATTGCCTTCCAGTGGATCTTTGCCTTTACTATAATGGCAGTCCTGTTTGTTGCCACTATTGCCGTTGCGATCCCGGCAGCTACCGGCAAAGACTTCAGTTTCCGAAGAGAGAGACAACCTGACAGCGAGCGCGCACCTCTTCTCTCAGACAACTAAAAACATTGGACGCTGATCGAGGTCGCTGCGATCCTGGTGGATCGAAACTCTCCATCATACTGCGAAACTTGTGAAGGGTGTAGAAGTAAAGATGTTGACAGTCCTATTTTGTTAACAAACCATCAAACTGTCATTCAGGCCTACGGGGTTATCAGTAGCGGCGTTTGATGGGTTGGCAAAAGTCGGCTGTTTTGGACTTCATTCATGAGCTTTCTTGGGCAGTGGCGACCAGGCTGGCGTCCCTGGTTGAGGGTGGTGAGCTAATGCATAAGCGTAAGTTGTTTAATCAAGACTGTGGTGGTAATCACAGAATAACATCGAGGCGTCTGGAAATCATGAAAAAGGCATTGCAACAGGGTTGAAGTAAAAGCACGGAAGAATTATTACGTGCGCCGATAAAGATGCGATAGTGCGTCTCATCAATTGACATCTCATTTCAAACAACTGACACTTATCAATCAATTGCACTTGACTCACTGGACCTTTTCATCCTATTTTTCAGGATTACCAACTCCGTTCTTGGTTGATGATTGTATCTCATCATGGTCAATCGCAGTTTCCAGTTTCCTCTAGGAATTGGAACCGACATATGCAAAATATCCAGGATTTACAATATTTTGGCATCCAAACAAGGTCCCAAATTTGTAAACAAACTCCTCACAGAGCAAGAACGGCAGCAGCCTAGGTCACAACAAATTCTTAATGACGCCTTCTCGGTTATGCATGATCAGATGAAGTCGCTAGATCAACCGTTTGTTTTTCGGTTTACCAGAAGCGAACAGGAACGGTTCATTCCAGCATTGCAGAAGGCTGCCGAGTTCATAGCTGGCCGGTAGGTTCCTTTAACACATTTATCACTGGCAGCGGATGACAACCACCACCACTTCATCTACCTATATACTTAGCGGCGCCCAAATAACACGTGAGTTATTGCAGTTTCGCGGCCAAGGAAGCAGCTATCAAGGCGCATACCAGCCGGAAGCTGTCTTTTCACAGCATTGAGATACGACGTCAGGCGCTGGCGGAACCAGAGAGCACGATGGCCGACTTGCGGGGAGAGGATGGCGCCGCATCGGAACCGCAGACCTCGGAGCAGCAGCTGTCGAGTGGGCCTCCTATTGCGGTTATACGAGGGAGAAAAGATGGAGACAAGGACCAGGTCGCGTTGCTGAGTATCAGTCATGATGGAGACTATGCTACGGCTGTGTGTTTGGCTTACTTGGGGGAAAACGCTTCATGAGAGAGGCGCGTGGAACTAGTCTAGTCATTGAGATTCCAAGTCCCATGAGATGGCTACTGCAATGAGCTTGTAAGGCAGTGAGTCTCGGTCAACTCAAGGGCAACCACACTTCGTCTTACAAGTGCTAGGCAGAATGCAAGCACAATTTGTCCAGAGTTGAGCCAGCTGCATGCATTCGGTATGGGGTATGGAGATGACTCGAAGTCCACAGCCTACAGACAAAGTTGAAGCAATATACGAGAGCAAGCTTTCTTGGATGGTGCGATATTGACTCAAGATGTTTTGTGAGAGTTTTTATTTCCCGTCTCACTCAACTCCGAGGCATGTCTCTCTCACACAAAGCACTCGAGCTTACAACTCTTGATCCAAGATGCTAGCCGCAGACCCCTGTCCTCGTCTCCACCGCCCGTCGAAGGTTTCGAAGTTACTAGAGTACTTCGTCCTCACCAACATTCTCCCAATAATACCGGGTATGATAAGAATAGCTACTTCCTCAGCTGTACACTGCAGACTCAGTTGGTAGCAATTTGCCACATCTTTTATAGCAGAAATAGGCCTAGCATTACACATGTCCCGACCAAAGTACTTACATTGCCCAAATTGCATGCAACTGCACATGCAAATGCCGCTTAGCTGCCCTAAAACTTGCATCAAATACTAAAGTCTGCAGCCACCGAGTCTTGTCTTGCCAGTACTATAGTAGCAAACCCCGATCTATTTCCTACATGCTCCACACAAGAGGTGCCCACTTGCCCACTTAGTAAGTTCGTTGACGCCAAAGGAACTTGTCATAATGCACAATAAAATCGAACTTTTCCATCCAGACATGAGCTGGCCGCTTAGCGCAGTAAGACACTCCCCCGGGTTTCCACACCTACCACGGTGAACTAACAAAGTTGTTTAGATGGTAGCGCGTGGTCCTCCTACCAATCACGTATGGGATAGACTGAGGTTGCGGGTTCGAGTCCCGTGGTGGTCGCCATATATTTTACTTTTTCGATTATTTTCCGTCGGGGATGCTAAATAACTCTGAACGATGGCTGCGGGTTCGAGTTGTGTGGTGGTCACCTTCCATTCGTTGCAGTACTTACACCCATGCATTGATGTAGCCCAGGTGGTAGGTATAACGCAGTTTGTGGAAGAATCAGTCATAGTTTGTGCGATGTGCCGTCCACTTTTGCTAGCGAAAATAACATGGATCGATAATGCGCCATTCCGCGCAGTAGATGGGGAAGAGGTGTCGGTCGGGCGGTGGTGCCCAGCGCCGGTTGAGACGACTTCATGGCAGCTCCACAACACACACTGCATGTTTGGGACAGGCAAAGTTGAAGCCAATTGAAAGCGGTAACACGTCTTCAAGACGTGCTTGCAATTTTATGTTTTGCTCTCAAGTCTCAAAGAGTACTGGTTTCAATGAAGCTTTGAGAAGGAAATATCAACTGCTTCAAGTTCGATAAGCCAGAAACATATGTAGGTCAACCCTTACTTAGGAAGGTAAGTATTCATTCACTGTACTAGAAGGGCCAAGTGGGAAAATAAGGCTTCAGTTGGTCGGTATCATCACATTCACACATCACCAGACTATGCCTATTGAGTAGCTATCCCATAAGGAACCTGTTATGGCGTATTCAAGCCCGAAGTGAGTGTATGAATATGAGCGATACCGCCTCAAATAACCATTCTGCATTATATACGTGGTAGGGTTGCCAATATGGGAGGTCCTTTGATAACTGTCGGTTGCATACTTACAAGTTCCTGGGTATAGGGTAAGGTGTCCGTCCGCTATCCCGAGCCCTTGAAGGTGCACCAGCTTGCTGCCCCGCATGGAAAGACGATCGCCCCTGCCCCTGCACGCATATGGAGTTGTCGCGACGTGAACCATGCTTGGCTTTGAGCTTTTTGGGATCCAAAGTAAAGTCTCACCTTTTATTTCGTATTGAACATCTATGCATTTCATCAATGCATTGACGCAGAGACAATACCTACTTGTGTACAAAACCACTCTGTTCGGGTATTACCCTTCACCATGGCATCCGATTTAGAAAAACGGGAAGGCACCCCTCTGCCTACTTCCGGCCCAACTAGCATTCCGCAAAAGCGAGTACTGGACGACGACCACGTCCCAGCTATTTCCTCGCCACTCAACCCGAATCCAGACCCAAAACTCACAAAAGCGCAATCGCATGACGACATACCAGCCATGGCCCGCGAAAAGCGAACGAAGAAGGAGTCGCTGAAAAAGCGCGAGTCCAAAGGCGTCTCTGCCCCAGACAGCGTCAGAGCTACCCCAGATCCCAAGCTCGTCAGCAACGAACCTACGCTGAAGGATTCGTCGCCATTGAGATACAAGCTGGCGCCTCCGAAACCCTCAGACTTTGAACCAGCTCGTGCTCCCGTCTTCACTCATCACCACGATGTGCCGGCCCTTGATGGGACCACCATTAGTTTCTATGAGACTTCCGAACAGTAAGTCGCAAATAAGGTGATGCTGTCGCATTACAATACTAACCTGCAATTAGTGTATATAACAAGAAGAACTTCCATTACACCCATTGCATAGCCGATCCCAACTTTCCGTCCTCCTTCTACTATCGCCAAACAGAGCCAGAACCTCACGGCTCACATATCAGCTTCGAAGATGCCGCCACCCACATGTATCTGGACCAATCGGGACGGCATATTACGACGGACAAAGGCTTCAGAATGGCAAGAGCAAATATCGGGGTGCGCCAAGGCCGGTGGTATTGGGAATGTAAGATTACGAGGGGAATGGTGAAGACGGCAGAGGGTGGGAAAATCGAATCGCATGGACACGTGCGGCTAGGTTTCGCAAGACGGGAAGCTTCGCTAGATGCACCAGTGGGGTTTGATGCGTACAGCTATGGTATCCGAGACGTCGAGGGCCAGAAGGTGCACATGTCGCGACCGAAGGACTTCTTCCCGACTGGCGAAGATATCAAGGAAGGCGACGTGATTGGTCTCGAGATCCAGCTTCCCTCAGAAAACCTTCATCGGAAAGTGGTACAAGGACAGTATAATCCTGCCGTGGATATTTTAGATGACGAGACACCGAGTGCGGAGGGCCCAAACATTGTGCGAGACCGTATACCCATCCGATTCAAAGCCCACATCTACTTCGAGAAGATCGACTATCACACTAGCAAGGAATTGGAGGACCTGATGAACCCATCGCCTGTTGGTGCATCGGGCACTGCCAACAGCGCAGCTGAGCCACCGAATCCTAATCATCAGGTCCCGTCCCTGCGAACGCTGCCGAATTCATACATCAAGGTGTACAAGAATGGCGTTCTTATGGGAACACCATTCACGAATCTCCTCGCCTTCCTTCCACCTGCTTCAAAACCACAAGCGCAGGTAGGCGCAAGAGAAGGCATGGACGACGGCATGCTCGGGTACTATCCTGCCATTAGTGTGTTCCGAGGTGGCGCCGCAGAGTGTAACTTTGGTCCCGACTTCTGGTATCCACCACCGGGTTACGGGACCAAAGACACAGATGGGGATGTAGAGATGACGGGCACAGATGGCGACACCGTAACAGTCGTCTCCGAGAAGCCAGCAGGAAACGTCTGCCCCCTGTCCAAGCGCTACGATGAACAGATTGTCGAGGACATTGTGGCGGACATCGTAGACGAGGTCGACTTCTGGATGCAGGACGGTTGCCGAGTCATTGACAGAACCGGCGGCCGCGACGAGAAGGCAGACGTGACAGTTGACATTGCACCTGGCCGGGAGGAGATCAAGGAGCTCGTGCAGGACGATTAACACCATCGGCGCTCAATGCCTTTTTCTAATGACGAGTGGACCTACAGCAAGGAGCCGTAAAAAGGGTCACATGAATATGGAAATGGCGTTTAGCTTTGACCTTGTACTCATTATTCGTGGTCTTGCCTATACGCTGCGGTTGTACAAACGGGACTTTGGTATAGCGTAAACCCGTAAATCAGAATATCGAAACTGTTAAATGTCCAACGACATACCTAAGGATCAAGGCCTCAAGCCTGAAGTTTTGGTTTTGCTGTCGTGATATAGCACGGCGATTGAATGCCGATTTGAAGAGTTAAGACATTGACTCTCATTCAATCATGTGATCTGCTATATCACCACTGGCACGAGGGTAAATATTCATGCATCTGTTCCCTTATTACGCGGGTATTTACTTGCGCGAAACTCTCTCTCAAATCCTCAAACATGACCTACTTTCTCTACTCAGCACCCGGTACCTCAACTACTCTCCTCATTAATTCGTGAAAGAGTGGTATCATTGTCATTTACTGTGCATTCCCAATCCCGGCTTCATTTCCTGCTCTTCTCCTTACGCTTGCCCTTGCTTGATTCAAGATATAGGCGAGGCATTGGCGTTCTCACCCGCAGGCGCGGGAGACAAGTTCATCTGACTCCTCACGGATTCCTGACCCGGAGCAGGCAACTGCGGGTCGTCAGGCAGCTCCTCGATGCGAGTGCTGCCATCGATGGGACCCTCTTTATCCGCGCCTTCTTTAAGAAGACGTTCCTCGCGACCGCGCTTGTGGCAGTACCAGAGGACGGATAGGAGCACTGATAATTGTAATGTTAGTAGTTCTTGAGTTTACCCAGCCGGAAGAAAGATGGGGATTCGACTTACAGAAAATAGCTACACTCCAAAGAACATTAGTTCCGATGAAAGCCGGCCATCTGGTCTTCAGCACATTTACTATGCCCTTCAACATTCCCACTACAGCCCCAGGCTTCGTAACGAGCTCCTGCAGGTTCTTGGGCTGCATAAAATGTTTCGCAGCGCCCTTTAAACCATCCTTGCTCGCCTCCGCAGCATTCAAACCCTGCGCCTCAGCCGCTACCGCCAAAAGCTCCGGCGCAAGCGTCGTCGTCAGTTTGTTCGGCAGCGTAGTGACCAATTTCTTGAGCCCATTAGGCAACCGTTCGTAGTTCTTCGCCAGAAGGCCATCGCGATCTTCAATTAGATCTACCAGGTCCTGGTACGCCGTCGGCACGCCGTTGACCAGATCCTTCAGCACGAGTGTAAACTTGCGCACCATCTCCGTAGAATCGGCCGAGAGCGAGAACGCCTTGTTGTTTGACGCCGAGAGATTCAGGTCTTCGAGCACGGCAGAGATGTCCGTCTCCTCTCTGCGCACCTCGCCCTCGGGCACAGCGAGGTGCGTCGGATGCAGGCTGTCCTTGTTGACGGGCTTGCGTTGCACGCGGAGCGAGATGGTACGGCCAAGATTGGTGATCGTGGAGAAGCGGTTCGATTTCTTGTCATCGGCGGCAGTGGTGGTGGCAGCCTTGCCTTTGCCTTTGGCGTTCTTCTCGTCTTTGCTCACGAAGCTTTCGGTGTCGCTATCCCAGGTGACGACAGGGGTTGCGACCCGTGGGGGCAGAGGTGGAGGCGGACCCGCGTCATCGTCATCGAGTACAGTTGCGTCGGGGGAGGTGAGGCGTTCAAGGAATTTCTCGTCCTCTTGGTTGAGGACTGGGGTGCCGACGGGTTCGGGTTTTGAGATGACGGTTCTAGGAGGTGTTGCTGCTCTATTAGATTCCTCGTGCTTGGTTTCTTGCTTGTCATGTTCCTGGCGCTTTTTTGATTCCTTGTCATCCCTGTTCTTTTTCACTTTCTTGTAAGCGAAATACTCAAGCATGATGGTCGGTTGTGTACAGGTCAGGCCCAGGAGTTGGAGATGTCGTTTGGTGAATATAGTTGAGGACTTGGGGTTTGGATGAACACAAACAGAAACGACTCTGGGTCCTAAATTGTCCGTCTCCTTGGTTTTATTGACGTGTTGGACGGCAAAACTGACGAAATCAATGTGACTTGTTGGGCCAGTTGGGAGGCCTGTCGTCCTGTTTCACCTTCACATGCGCGGCGATGTCATATTAACACAGCCACTGTGGCGCCGACAGGGATAAAGCTCGGGGCTTAGAATGCTCCTGGGGCTTGGCGGCTAAAGCACCCACGATTGCCGAGACCCGTTGAGGCTTAACTAGCTTAGCGCAGATTGTACCTTTGTAACCCATTTACGCGTCTTCCCAATCGCAAACGCGTCTCACCAAAACGGTGACAGTATGCTATTTTGAGAAAAGCAGCCGAAGATCGGCTTTCTCAAGAGAGCAAAAGAGCTGCTCCATATCTACTGCAAATATCACGCCAAACCAGAGAACACCATCAATATGGAGGACGATAGAGTTCTCCCCGGCGACTTCAACGATGGCAACCGCGCCTTCCTCCAAGCCTTCATGGCCAGAGGGACCCTCACCCTCCGGGAAGCACAACCAATCATAGCCGGCATATTCACGGCGCAAGGACGCCAATTTGAACCAGACCAAGTAACGTCGGAGCACATGGCATCTTTCATCGGTGCCGCAGCTGAGGCCGTCTCCCACTTCGACTACGAGGTTCGAAGCACCATGCACCAGAAGCTTAAGCAGCGTTTGTGGGCTATCGTGAACACCACGTCCGACCCCCAGACCCAGCTCGCGACGTTACACACGCCCGATGAGATCGCCTTTGTCAAGCGCGTGCTCGACGGTATGTTCGAGAAGTACAACACCCCGCGCATGGAGGTCATGTGTCTGGATGAGATGCAGGCCAACAAGCTGCGTAGTGTGCCGAGGGTTGTGAATGAGGAAGATGTGGATGATGGCGAGGGAGCCGAGAGCCAAACGCAGCTCAAGGGACTCAAGCCGAGCGAGGCTGAGGCTATGATGCGGAGTATGGTCGAGGCGGGCTGGTTTGAGAGGAGCCCCGAGGGACTGTACGGTTTGAGCCCGCGGGCGCTGCTGGAGCTTCGAGGCTGGCTTATCGAGGCATACAATGATCCCGATGCTGAGCCGGATGAGTGGCAGCGGATCAAAATGTGCGAGGCGTGCAAGGAGATCGTTACGGTGGGCCAGAGGTGTGCGGACAGGGATTGCAATATCCGTTTGCACGATATTTGCGAGGATGCTTTCTGGCGCACGCGTAGGGAGAAGAAGTGTCCCAAGTGCGAGACGCCGTGGTCGGGGAAGCACTTTGTAGGGGAGAGGGCTGTTACGGAAACGGAGGCATACCAGCGCGGCAGAAGACGAAGTGGGAAAGGCCGCAGTTCCAATTTGATGGAGCAGATCATGGGCAATGATGAGAATGAAGAAGATGAGAACGGCTTCATTGAGGAGGAGTGACAGGGGCGCTTGTGGTCTTCTCTCCAGAAGCCTACCCAACATATTAATGCTTGCATGAGCAAGATCGGAGGCCCCTCATTCTCACATCGCTAAGCAGTATGAAAGTCGTTGGTGTCATTACCCGATGGAGCATTTAAATTGCTTCGAGAGCTGGTACTTCCCGCTGCATTCTTGTCCGGCACTGCTGCGGGAAGATTAGGAGCAGAGTTCGTGGTAGAAGTCAACTCTTGGCATCTAACCTACATTCCTGTTTCTGTTCGTCGTTTGCAAAGATTCGAGCCTGATAGAGCCTGCTCTGCTACGCTGGCCAGAACAGAAACAACGGACGATGGCACTTTCGAGCAGAAGCTCCCAACCTTTTGTTTACACACAGGCCAAACTTAAAGTCATGTTCTGAGAGAGTTAAGAACCGCCCTCGTCCAAAAGAGTCTCGGGACGTCTTCGGTTTGGGGACTGAGATTCGACATGCTCCTAAACAATCTTTATTCTTTGGAGTATTCTGTGCTCAATCAGGCCACTGGACCATGCATGGCCCGAGGAGATTTCTTTGGATAGCAGCCTTTCTGTGTAGGCCAACTCCGAGTTATCATAAATCCCACCCAATCACAGTAGGATTTATTAGTTATAATGCGAACAACACAAACTATGATGAAGGCTGGAATAAGTTTCGCTTGTTATGCAGGAGAGACAATTGACAGGATACAATGTCGACAAGTTTGCATGCAGTAGGAAAACTAGTAGACATATTATGCCAGCTATATGTTGCAATACTACAACTTAGTTTAACAGCACCGGTATACTCGATGTTGAAACAAATCCCTTGTCGATGAGTAGGCAGAAACATGAGATTATCAGTGCACGAACTCTAGAGTCTCGCAGGTCTCAAAGCCTTGGGTACAAATACCCCTAGCACCTCACATGGGTCCCCCTTTTCTCATCACCCAAATATCACGATACAACCCGAAAACAAACTCTCAGCGATAACAGAGCAGAATCACTTATGATGCCATCCTCTTGCATGTATCAACCCACGACATTCAAAACTCAGTCAAGACGGGTATTTCGTGGTCCAACCTCAGGGCTATCTTCCGCCCGGCCCGGCCAGGCCCAGAGCCCCCTCCCTCTCCTTCTCCTCCCTCTCCCGGGTCGGAATAATTTGGGACAAGCGTCTAATGGGGTCTGAAGGGTGGCGCGGAATGCGCGCGATGGCGATCAGAAGTTAATCGGGCGGCATGTGGAGGCGGGTCCCGGGATGAGGGAGGCCTTTTGGTATGGGCACAAGTATGGGATTGCTAATATGGGTCAGCAGGGAGTGAGAGGAAGCGGAAGTGAGACAGTAAGTGAGGGAAGAGGTTTGGGGAGGAATGAAGAATGTGACCGTTTCTGTCCCTTGAGAAACAGAGAAAAAGAAAGCAAAGCAAAGAGACCTGCGGCTGAGTTCTTCCTGCTCAGCCCGGCATTTAAATGGCGTTTGCATGGCATCAATGAAAGTATTGTAGTGTCAACAAGAGTCTGACTAAATGATTATTTAAATAAGGGGACAAGGGATGTTTTGTTCTGTTTGGTTATACTTGCTGTAATAACTAGCAGCTCCTCCTCTCCCCTCAGCCCTCCCCTCCGACGACACATAGGTATACTAAAGGGGTTAGAGACGGACAGGACAAGGATAAGTCTGGCTGACTCACCTGCTTTTAGCCAGAGAATTCCAGTCAATGATTGTCTTTGTGTTTCCGGGTGTCGAATGATGCTACCACAAAGGCATTCCTGTGTAATACTTTACTCTGGGAAAGTCAACCTTTAGTTAAATTTTCGTGAAATACATGTATCTGTACAACATGCACTCGTTTTACTTTGAACAATACATCATGTGAAAGTTACTTGACCATAAATTCGAGGTGCCATGCTCCTCTAGCCACCTGTTGATTAAGCCATACTTAAGAAGAAAATTCCCCACGAATCGTGGGCCAGAAAGTTAATCCAGATGGCTTGGGTAGAGTCAGACCCCCCACCTGGTGTTTAAGGCAAAGAAGATGAAGTCGATTTACATGACGTGTCAGCCCAGTACTGTTGACAGGATTATAAGGGTCCCCCAGGATGCCGCTCTTGTATTACTGACCGCAGTCTCGTTATAATCAATGCTGTACCTATGTATGAAGCCCCTGGCACAAATTCTGGACTTTAACTAGTCTAATCCGCCGGTAGAGAGAAACTTCTCTCTCAGCATCCACTTGGCATATATGAGATGGCCGCGAACGGCCTTAGATTTATCGCAGAAGTGGATTTACCCTTTTCAAGAACGACCTTTCTTGATCTCGGCAAAGATGGACTGCATACATTCGCTTGCGTTAGGGCTGTTAGGCATTTCTCGCTGGGTGGCTCGGCGGGATGTTGAACACGCAGCAGTAGGTAAGTTTCCGACGCTCCTAGCATGGCGGTCAAAAAATCCCATCTCTTTCTTGAGTTAGTAGATCGAATAACATAATATTCATGTAGCAGTGGTCCGATCCGCCGTAGAAATCGTCAACATCATGCTCAATGTCACTACTGCTGTGTATCCAGATATCTGCCACCGTCAAGTAGCTAGAGTCGGTGGCTGTGTTCTCCGACCTATTCAAGGAAAATAGCCTTAACCACTCGGGGCTCAAACTTTCCTCGGTGACTCTCTTCGTTGAGTCAGCATGGACCAATGTCAATGATCCGGGGATGCATAGGTTGGCGTTGTACGGCTTGTACTTGCCCGGGGGTTCGGTCCTTGGTGAAAACAGTCGTAGGGGGTCAGGCCCTTCCGTGTTGAAGTGCCGGAGCGATTGATTATGTACGTTGTACAGCCCAGTACGCCATTCAAGAGGTATAACGGAGTATTGCCTTGAATGCTCACAGCCCTGGTGGCGTTCTGCATATACCGAAGGAGCGCTTCACCGTGTCATTCTGGTACTGGTTATGGGGTGTGAACACCAGAAGATCATGCCTTCCTCGTTGCAGAGGGTTTCGAGATCCTCGAGTTTGAAGTCCTGTGATCCGTCGATTTTGATGACCCTACAACGCAGAGGTGGATTATGTGCGGTCAGACTAGCCTGAACTCCGACTACGTCACGTTTCAGACTGCCGGGAATATCACTTTTGTGCTTGTGGTGGGTGTTTACATGCAGTAACAGCTCTTCCCATCCATCTTCAAGTCGAAGTAGCGCTTGCCTTCAACGGACTCTGGCTTTCTCTCTTCCAGATCGCGGTAAATGACTTCGACGACGTACTCTGGCTGATATCAGGGATCACGAGAGGGAATATTTGTGCTCTTTGCTTGATGGCACGCAACGCACAGTAGCGCTTCAATGAGGCTCTCCTATGGGTATATGTCGTCAGGGTGGCGAATCATCCATGTCAAGCGTTGGGGGCTTGGATGAGATAGCCTTCGGTGCCACAGAATCAGCTGGCACATCAACTCCTCGGTCATGGCAACGAATCTGTCGACGGCCGTGGCCCGACAGACGGCCGCCATGAGGTTTTCGATTTTGGTATCTGTAAAGTCTAGCCAGGCAGCTATGCCCTCTGACACTGCGTCTGATCCATAGATGGAATCTGTGCGGCGTTTGCGGTTAGATTGAGTTGCTTCTGGCCGTGTTGCCATAGAATTCGTCTCCAAGAGTTTCCTCGAGGCCAGATGGCGCAGCGAATTCTTGCTGGCCGTTTTTTGGGTTGGCGCCGCTCTTTCTGTTATCACCGTTGTTATTATTATTGGCAGGGCTGCGGTAATCTTGCTTGAAGTGACCCTTTTGGCCGCAGTTGTAGCAATGGCTTTTCCAGCCTGGCTGCCCTTCTTCTGGTTGCCACCTCCGTATTTCTTGGTACTGTTGCCCTTACTTCTTCTCTGCGCATTATGGGCGTTGGTCCCTACATTGTCGTTGCCACAGTTCTTGTTGTTACCATGCTGTGCTTGTTCTTCAACTTATGGTAGAAGGCGTTAGAAAACTCTTCCATAAGTTCCGACGGCTTCATATCATGGTGACGGAGGAACTGATTTTGCTGCCGAGTCCAGCCCAAAGCCTTATCTTCGGTGGCGATGAGGAAAATTATGATCTGTTGACTGTTACATATCTCCATGCCTGCGTCTTGACATTCAGAAACGGCCTTGCGGAACTTGGTGTTGAACGTGACGGGACAGCCGCCGTCGTACTTGCTAATAGGCCTTTCCATAGTGCCTTCTGAATCTTTCCGACGGAATGGTCGAATTTGGCCTTCGATGTCTTCAGCAGATTCGTGCCTTTGCTCAGCGTAGTCGTCGAGTGCACCATCAGACCGTGTCCTGCGTGTGGAAGCGTTTGATTCTGTGAAGGGAAGCCCAGATTCTTCAGCCACGAGATGCTAGCATCAAAGATTTGATCCTTCCTGAATACTATGGTTTCTCAATGGTATGAATCGCTACTTGTGTTGCATGGCTGATCGTACTTGCGAGGCCCCAAGCTGACCATAATCTATCTCATAGTATGTTCACGCTTTGGTAGGCGTGCAGGCCTCCATATCTTATCTAATCCTCCGTATTAGACCGGCATACTATCCAACAGTAAGTACGTCTTTCAGGGTAGACGACATTCCCGCTTTCCGCCACCGAGTGGGCCGATGTAGAAAGTAAACACAAGTGTGTACTTCTGATGCTGAAGATGTGATTGACCGTAGAGAGGTGGACGATTTAGGCCGGTTTGACCGTATATAGATAGGTAGATGAAATTGAAGACGAGTAAGTCGTAACCCCTGATTTGTGTTTCGGTTAGTTCTATTTCTTCAAATCTAAAGTAGCTAACTAGTTTCGGCTTAATGAGCTGACCAGAAAAAGGAAAGTTCATTTCGATTTGATCTTCCTTATATAAGGTATCAAGCACATATATACTCATCTCTGCATACTTATTAGTAATCCATGTTATTTCTCACCATGAAGCCAACACTACTCAAAGTGGCCCCTCCAACTTTCCTGCAAATCAACCTGCAAGATTGTAGGTATTCTATGTCTTTCTACATAATGTCTTCCCACTCCTAGTTATTACCCACCGGCAGCAAACGGACTCCTCTTCCTCAATCTCTCCCCATAGATCCACAACAACACCGGACTCGGCCAGCCTATAGCCACACCCAGAAACGCCAATAACGTATTCCCCCACCCGAGTCCCAGATTATCATACAAGCTCGGCGTAAACAGCGGAAACCCAAAAGCGGCCAAACTGCGCATCACCGTCGCCGCCCCGACCGCACTCGCCGCATACCGCGTATAAGAATCGACCAAATAAGTCCGCACGCACTGAAACCCCACGATCGAGCCCGCCGAGAACAAGCAAGCCCCTACATTGGGCCAGATCCAATGCGTCTTGTACTCTGCCGTCCAGCCGTAGATCACCAAGCCAATCGGAACGAGGAGTGCGCCGGGGATCATCATGGGAACGCGGTATTCCGGCCGTCCCGGCTCTTTATACCGTCTTTTAAGAGCAGCATAGATGCGGTCTTGTAGCAGGGCACAGATCTGAGCCCCTAGTCCGAAGCCAAGGCCTAGGGAGACATAGTTCAGCCCGCCGATGCCTACACTCTCCCCGTAGCCTCGGGGTTGGGGCGAGGACCAGAGGTTAGGGAAGGAGACGAGGACAATGTACATGAGGCCATAGAGGTACATCATGTAGAGCGAGAGTACTTGGACGATGATCTGGGTGGCGAGGAGACGGAAGGGTCGCGTGAAGGCCATGTGGAGCATCTTGCCAACCGTGCGGTCCGGTTCATCGTAGGGCGTGTGGAAGTCGTCTTTGCCGGTGTCCTTTTGGAGTTTGCGTTTCTTCCAGGCGAGAAGAACTGGGCCGTAAGTCTCGCGGAGGAAGAGCAGGCCGAAGCATTGGATGGCAGCGTCGGCGATGGTAGTTGCCCAGAAACTCCAGCGCCATGTTGTGTGCTCGGTTATGAATGCACCAGCTGAGTTGGAGGTCAGTTACGAGGTAAGGAGATATCTTGGCTCGCGGGACACGTACCTATGGGGCCTATAGCCGGCCCAAGAAGGGGCATAAGAGAGTAGAGCGACATAGCCCTCCCACGCTGCTCAGCCACGAACAGGTCACTCAATACCCCTCCACCTATCGCTAAGGAAGCGGAACCCCCCAGACCAGAAAGAAACCTAAACGCAATAAGCTGCCCCTTTGTCCTCGCAAGTCCACACCCGAGATTGAAGAAAAGGTAAATCAAATTAGTGTACTGCAGCACCACGACCCTCCCATAGAGTTCAGAAAGCGGTCCCGACGCCAGCGGCCCAATCGCATAGCCCAGAACGAAAATCGACAAGACGAGCGATCGCTGAAACGACTCCGTGATGTTCAGCTCCTCGCCGATAGCGATCAATGAGGGCGCAACCATGGACGACGAGACAGGCGATATGAGGGTGAACGTCGACACGACGAAAACAGCGCCCCATTTTCGGGCGAAGGACCAGTTCTTAGGGTTATCTGGGTCGTCAGGCCCTGTCCAGGTGACGAGGTTGGGGTCATTTGGATCCGGGGCCGTCGTGGTGGTTTTTTCTTCTATGGGCGGGCCGAATTCCTCGTCGCGCTTGTAGATGCCATCTCGCACTTCTGAGACGGTTCCGGATAGAACGCCGGTTGAGCCTGCGGGTGGTTGGTGGGGTGATGTTGAGGAAAGGCTGGAATTGCCGTCGTCTTCCTCGCCAATCTGACGACTGGAGCGACTACTTGGTTTCTCATCCTTCTCTCCGCTGCCCGTGGGCTGAGCTGGTAATTCTTGTAATACGCACTGGGCTTTCCCCGATTCCTGACTAGGGGTATTACGCAGCATCACTGACCCTTTAGCATAGAGGAGCTGCTTGGGAACTGACACGTAGGCAGGTCGCTGTAAGCAGAGAAAGGTGGAAATAACCAAGATTAATAACGAATGAGAAGTCCGAAGTTAGGACCGATTATGACGGTATGAATGATTGCTTCGGTGCCGATCAAGCGCACTTATGAGTTCGCGGCAAGCGCCACCGGCAATACAGATAGATGATTGATAGAGTGGTGATGGTTGTTTGAGCCCGGAGAGTAATCGGAGTGAATCTTGTCATTCTCGCAGCGCGGGTAATACACACCAGTTTACGTTCACCAATGGCCAACCTGATTAGCAAACCGCCCGGTAATCATCCATCACAATCAGAAAGGACAACATGGAGCTCATTAAACCCGCCAGGTTGGGGCATCCTCGTGAACTAGACCCATAATCTTAAGGCCGAAACAGATTTCGAATCCATACAGAGGCCGCGCATCCATCGGACTAGGCAGGTAGAGCATAGTGACGGCCCAAATAGGCCATGTGCAATAAGTGGGTGTGACGCGATACGCCCGACCGGAGCGTTTGGTGGTATGGTACAAACAACGGCTATGCGGTTGTCGTTCCAACGGCATCGTCTCACACAGCTTATTCATTACAGTCATTACAGTGCTAATTGGTCAGCACCTTTCATGACAAACTGACGCTCTGATCCACTGGTCTAAGTCCGACAGGATGACGTACAACCACTCCCAAGCATCCCGTGCACACCTCCTGGCGCGTTGAGTTTACAGGTTCCCGTTGCATTCGCCGGAGATCCGTTCTCCGTCGTGGCAAGACTTATATCCTCCATCCTGACGTTGTAGCACGGATGTCGTGCCGAACAACTCACCGCCGCCGTGCGGTTGCCCGAGGTGCTGTTGGTCCACCCGGTGAAGTTGACAAAGGCGATATTTGAAACCTTCATATTGGACGTGCCCGAAAAAGAGCCTGGGCTTATCAGTCACATTATCATCCCAAACCCCGAATCCTGTGCATGCTCACCGTTATTCCCACTATCCTGATCGACCTGCATCCCAATAGCCGCCCCTTCGACGTAAAAGTTCTCGAACCGAATGTTCTCTACCACGCCCCATCCACCTCCTCGAGGCAAGTAGTCACTTTCGTAATCATCCTGCGGAGCCAGTTCGCCGATCCACGTCTTGATGTACGCTGAATTGTGCATATCCTCGTTGACGGTAAGGATATCCACGTCTTTGATGTGCACGTCGACGACGGAAGAGTCTTCGAGGTACTGTCCCAGACTGCCTATGGCGATGCCGTTGCCGCCTTGGCATGTTACCTGGTTTGAGGTTAGTACTCTTTGCTCTACGCTAACGCAGCAGCTATCAGTAGCGCAAAGCAGGACTGACATTTTGAATAGAAATGTTGTACGACCTCGGCTTGATGGCAATACAGTCGTCGCCCCCGCGGTAGCGAAAATTAGTCAGCACAATGTTATTAGCATCCATTGTGTCAAACCCGTCAGTATTCTGGACCCAGTTGGCACCATATGGTGCATTGGCAGCTGTCGAATTGACTTCGATGTCGTCGAACCACATGTTGGTCCCGTTCATAATGTTGAGCGCCCAAAGTGGTGAGTCCTTGACGTAGACTGTGAAGACGGGTAAGCTTCCACGAGTGCTAAACAGGATAAAAATAAGAATGAAGGGGCTCAAGGCACTTACAGTGCTCCACGACAACCTCACTCACATTCCAAAACACGAACGGCATCGGCCGCCCCGGCTGCGTGTCCCCGCCCTCGGCGGTGTACCAGGTGTTTCCGCTGCCATTGATGCCGCCCGTGCCGTAGCCGTTGATGGCGATGCGGTCGCCGGTGATGACGAAGCCGGCGTTGTGGTTCTGGAAGGCAATGGAGTACGAGTTATTGCGCCAGTAATTTGGGTTGTGCGAGTACTGTATTCGTTCATCCGTGTTGGGCTGGCTTCATTTGGTTCGGGCCGCTCGATATTATGACTTACCGTCCACAGCCCACGCCATTCAATCGTCACATCGTATATGATGGGATTGAGCCTCGTGGCAATGTAGTAATTCTCTCCTTCTGGGAAAACGACAGTGCCACCGTTGTTGCATTCCTCGAATGCCTCCAGAATCTGAGTGACATCATCTTCTTGGTTGCCAAGTGCCGTGACCGTGCATTTTCTGCCATTGCTAGATGGCTTGACTGGCTTTGGAATGCTAGGTATGGGAACGGGGCTCGCAGTAGCAAAGATTCCGAGGAACCCGAAGCAGGCTAATAGCAGAGGAGTGGACAACCACATCTCGCGAGTCTATAATCTTGAAGTGAAGCTAAGGAAGTGGTAATCCAGCTTTCTCAACTACGACGTGGCCTTGGCAGCATCATATACAGCCCACCAGGGTCTCTCTCTAGGTGCGGGGATACCAGAATCATCCATAGAGAAAATGGGAAAATACCGAATGCCGATTTATGATTCGAGTTGTCATGATGCATTTCCCCACAGGGCAGCCATAATCTTCCCCAACTCGTGGGGCCGTCAAAGGGAGAGTATGCAGAGAGTGTGGATGCGGGGAGCTGCAGGGACAATCATATTCGCTATGAATTTGGCCGAGTTTCCTTCTACCGACGGCCAAGTCATTAAAAGCTGAGTAAGCGAAGTTCTAAGTCCAGTTTGCAGAAATTCTGTGGCCTATTTCCGTGTCCCCTTATGCGTGGGTTTGGGGGTGTCTCTCTAGTGTTAGCTCGTCTAGCTCAGATGGACGAGTATAGCCGTGGGCTAATTACGCTTTATAGCTTCATTGGCTGTATCAAGTCGTCGAATACTAGTCATTTTGATCTCTCATCTTGAGGGAAATGTGTAGAGATCAATCTTAGTATTTGGTTGGGGGTGGCAACAAGGTGTAGCAGTACTCCAAGTAATTCTTTGTAGGGAATCCAACGAAGAGTTCCAGAAGATATTTGTCACATAAATTCTGCAGAAACTCTGTGAATAGTACCAAACGCATTCACCACTACTCCAAAGGCTGCCCCTAGTAATGCGGGAAGTGCCCATACATAGATTCGCTACGGCGAACTAGTTCCTAGCTGACCTTCGTTCTAGTAAAGTAACCTGTCTGTGATTTCTCCTTTAAAGTTTGGTATGGTTATCAGCCCAGTCATTCAGGATAACACGTGTGTCCTATGCTTGGCCATCATCCACTTTGAACTGAAGCAGTCGCGTTTATGACTCTCCTAAAGATATCCTTCGGGCCCCTAGTGACCTAGTAGCCGCTTATAGCATCACTAATACCAGCCCCAGTGTCGGCCGTATGCATGTCAACAGCATCGCGGACAACGTCCGCAACATCCAAATTGCAGATTCCGTACGCTTGAGGAAGTAGATTAGCACCCGATCCAGGACGACGAAAAAAGAAGGACATAGAAGGAAAATATAAAACTCATGTTTCAAGGGGCAGTTAGATAGTTGTGAGGAAGGAAGGTACTCACTGCGCCTCTTGAAGTTGTTTCCAACCCAATAGCCAGAGTATCGCCAATTAGCTCCGCGAGCAGTTACAGTCCGAGACGCTAGCTTTGGGCGTTTTCGGCCATTCATGGAAGGAAGAGAGAGACCGTACATTGTGGCTAGGGTCTCGGGTCATAGATATCTGACATTCAATACGCTATGAATTATCTATGGAGGGAAGCTACGACATTTCTCATGGAAGGGAGGCAATGGTCGAGGCAAACAGTATCCTGAGTTACTCAACAGCCCGTTCATCCCCTGCAGCATGAACATACCAAGACGCATACCTCTATTAAATTTATAACAAGGAAGTATACCACCCGCCAACATATCCGTTCCTCATATATAACCTCTGTACACCCCCGCCCCAGAGTCCAACAATAGTTTTCTAACCGGAGCGCTTCCGCTCAGCGAGGGTGGTTGTTATCCCTAAGCCTAATAAAACGACAGCTCAGAAGCAGACCCCTGGCGTCTGGCGCCCCATTGCCCTGCTTAGCACGGTAGGGAAGGTAATAGAGACGGCGATGAGCCAGCCTATCACCAAAGTAGCTGAGGCGGCCGGCCTACTACCAAACGGCCAAATGGGTAACCGCGCTGGGAGGTCCACCGAACTGGCAATACGTATAGTTGAGGACGTGGTCTATACGGCGTGGAGACGCGGGGGCATCGCCTCGCTGCTACAGCTAGACATCAAGGGGCATTCGATACGGTCAATTACAGACGGCTGATTTCCATATTAGCCCGGAAAGGCTACCCGAAGTGGGTTCAGGAGTGGGTACGCAGCTTCGTGGAGGATAGGACGGTACGCCTCCGGTTCGATGGCAAGGAGGCAGAGCCAATCCCCCTACGAGCTGGCGTCCCCCAGGGGTCACCGCTATCCCCGATACTGTTTATATTATACATTTCAACGCTGTACGAGGAGCTAGCGGAGCAGCACCCACTACTTTTGGTAGTCGGGTTCGCGGACGACACGAACCTGCTAAGCGTCGGCACCGATCCAGACACGACCTGCCGCCGGTTGGAGAGCGCATGGGCTACGTGTCAGCGGTGGGCAGTGAGGCACGGGATGGAGTTCGCTCCTGACAAGAGTGAGCTAATGCACTTTACTAGGGCCCGAGAGCCCTTGCCGCAAAGTATTCGCCTTGGGGACGCCACAGTGTCGCCGGTAGTCTCAGCGAGGTTCCTAGGAGTCTGGTTCGACCGCAAACTGACGTGGCACGCCCATGTTGAGCGTGTTAAAACAAAAATGGCAACTCAAAAGCTAGCCCTGACAAAGCTAGACAATATGTCGTGGGGCTGCGATCTTATACGGGCGAGGCTGTTATATACGGTGGTTATCCGTAGCGCGATCGCCTTCGGGGCGACTGCGTGGCATACTATAAGTGAGGAACCGGCAGGGCCAGCTAAGAGCCTGATGGGGATACAGAACGAGTGCCTCCGGGTAGTCTGTGGCGCCCACAAAGCGACGCCGGTTCGCCACCTGGAAGCAGAAGCAGCAATCCCGCCACTAGGCCTCTATCTTAGTGCACGGGCTGCTAAGTTTGAAGAACGGCTACGGCTTAGCGGGAAGAGAAATCTGCTTCGCAGCGCGAGCGCTAAAGCGTCACATATACTCCGGCAGGATAGGCCGGCGAAGAGGAAGCAGGCGTCGCAGTTACTCCGACCGGCAGGGTACACTATGGAGAAGGAGGCCCGGGGCTCCGAGTGGATGAGTGAGGAAAAGGAGGTCCCGGCTGCCCTCCTCAGCCACTGGAGGAAGAGATGGCTCACCGGAGCAGAGCATCACGATCGCCAGCGACGCGCTATCGCTGAGGAACCGGAGGGCCCTTCGATGCAGATACCGAAAGGGGGCAAGTATTTCGGCCTGAACCGACTGGAGGCGTCTACGCTGTGCCAGATCAGGACGGAAAAAATAGGACTAGCAGCCTTCTTATTCAAGACAGGGGCTTTTGGCATGTACTCGCCGCTATGCCGCTGTGGCGACGCCCCTGAGACGGCAGAGCACGTAATCCTCTTTTGCGGGCTGTTGGAAGGACCGAGGGAACGATTACGGGCCGCTATCGCACCACGGCCACTATACTCTAGCAGAGACCTCGCAACGGCAACAGGAGAACCAGTAGTTAGTGGGACTGTTGTAAGGTGGCTGCTAGGGACGGGTCGGACAGCTTCAAGGCCCAGATAGCATCGATCTTCTCAGGGGGGACTTTGTTGGTAGGTTGAGAACCAACGTAGTATGGTAGTGAACGCAACGCAGTCGCCAATAGGGCGAACCGACGACGCAGCGTATGTATTTAGTCCAGCCATTAGGGCACGGTTTGACATACGGGAGTACTAGTAGAGGTACCGGGGGCTTCGAGCCTACGGCGTATTTAATAATAATTTTCTAATTTTCTGCCCTGTGTACAATCAGATAGTGTCGTCGTTCCCAGCAAAGCCCAGCCCTTGTTATAATAAAAACGAGCATTTTTGACGAGTGGGAGATTTGGAAGGGACCAAACATGTTCACGATAATGAAATACTCAAAATACTCAAAATGCTCACAAGGTTCACAGTATCCTTCGAGCTTGCCTAATGGGTATCCCACACCATCAAACACTCCAATCCTACTTGAGGAGATCCAAATGTAAACGCAGCTCAGGCAAAAGCGCCAGAACAGCAGCGAGACCAGTGACGAGACACTGCTGCCACCATCCCTATCCGCAGTCCCCAACCTAGTGCGTTCCCCAGGCCACAAGCCAGCCAGCTCCAAGTGGGTTATATCCCCAGTCCCGTAAGTACATATACAATCTCAGACTCTGCCATTCCAAATCCCAATAGATAAATAAAGCAGTTCTGTCCCTTTTTGGGGATGCAGAAAAGAAAACAAAAATCGCATTGTCTAGCTATCGTGATATCATTATCGTGACATACTCATCACTCCCCCTCATCAGTCCAAACCAGGTAACGAGTCCCATCCGTTCATCGAGTTGGCCAGAGTATTCAGACTGTCGTAGTCAAAATTGGTCGCCGGAGAGCTCCTTGCCTCGGCGTTGCCCGGAGTCGCTATATTGCCGGTAAACAGGAACATCGAGGAGTCCCCTAGGCTGCTGCTATTTCCGTTGGCACCGGTTCCCATGTTCCACGCATCGAAACCCGATTGCCAATTTACGCCATCTTTCAGGTACCAGTCTCCAGCGTCGATTGCGTACACTGAACTAGGGGTCACGTTGCGAGTGCCGTTTTGCGTGGTCTGACCAGAGCTACCACTGTTGGAAATGGGGACGTGCGATCGAGCGTAATTCCGTACCGGCTGTGGCACTTGGGCCGGCCTCCACGACGGGTCTAATGCTATGGAATTCCCCATCACAGAATCGTTAAGTGTTGACATGTTCGCCAGGTTCTGGAAACTGGTCGGTGGAGTGATATTATTCATCAGTTCGGGGGACACAGCCGTTCCGGTAAACGTGTGAGGACCTGAAGCACCAGGCGGTTGTGCGATCATACTTGAAGGACTGTATTGCTCTTGGTGTGATGTTGGAGAAACAGTACCCATCTCTGGGGGTGAGGGTGACGTAATCAAGTGTGATCGAGGAGATGGCACATCAGATGTGCTGAACGTGCCCCATTTTTCGTCAGTGCGCTGTAACACTTGAGCAGCTTCTTCCGGAAGCTCGACGTTCCATTTGCGGGCCAATACACTGATGATGCTTAAAGTACGTCGCCCGCAAAGCCAGTCTTCGGCGATTTCTTCGAGGTGTTTGATGCCATGTATGACGTCTCTCTTAGCTGTCATTTCAGGAAGATTAAGCAGATGGATGGTTACAGCTGAATGGACCATGTACACAGCGATGTTGCATATCTGGCGCAGATTGTAGAGCTTCTTGTATAGCCGCATCAATTTGGAAATGGCACCAGCGTTGGCCGTGCAGATCCTGCGCGGAGATACATGAGGTGGTAGAGGGGAGTTGGAAGGTGCATATCTGAGAAAGGGGCGGAACAGATGGATGTATTGTAGGTGGAAGAACATGCTAAAGTCCCATGTAAGCAGCCGACCCCGTGGGGGGAGCATGAGGATATAACTTACTGCATTAGAATCGCGTTGGGCAACTGACCCTCCTTGGGCTCAAGCTCTCTAGGCAACTCTTTCCGCCAACTTTCAAGACGTCCGTGTAATTCACTGAGCTTCTTCAGTTCCACCGATTTGCCACTTGACCTGCCAATGTGGTTTGGGTGGTAGAAGAACAGCAGAAGATCGCTACTGATTTCACACAGCTGGGACAGTTGGAGCCCAATCGTACGGATCCGTGATGGTTGTTTGCACGACTGATCGGATCCGAAATCCGTGTATGGGGACCAGTCCTCAGCATCTTCGTCTGGGAAGACGTCATACTTGGGGACGTTGTAAGAGTTCTTCGGAAGTTGGGGGAGACGTCCAAGATAGTTGGACCAGCATTTGTCAAATAAAAAGCAGCCCCAGAAAGTGACCCTTCTCGCATCGACTTCCAGCTCGTCCAATTTGTCTTCGTCGGTATTGATCCCACCAATGTCGAGGTTGAGGCCAAGATCCTGGGCCATGCGAAAGCTCATCCCGCTGTATACCCAGCCTTTGGCTTCCCGGCCGCAGCCCGCCTCTCGTACAGACATCAAAGCGAGCGCCTGGACTGTCGTCAAGCGAGGCTTTTCATATTCGTCATTCTCAACGATGAGCCGTTTGCATTCGGCAAAGAAGAGATCGCCCTTGGTCCAGCTGTCGCCAGAAGTGGCATACGCTCCTGCAACGTTGGTAAAATGACAACCCAGAGCAAGCATCGCATTGACCAATAAAGAAGAGCAGTAAGCTGTCTTATAGGGTATGCTATGCGGCTTACCCCTGAAAAAGTCGCGGTAGAAGAGGTCCTTGCTTAGGGTTACGAAGTAGGGATAATGCCAACTGAAGTACATGTTCATCAGATGAACGACTAATTCAGTGTCCTTGGTGACGTCTGACCAGCTGGTAATGGGATCCATGCTGACATCGAATTCCTGGGACTCTGGTTCCGGGGGTATGACGGGATTGCCCAAGTATAGCAGGTGAGATGTGCCGCCAATGAAGCGAACGGAACCGTTCTCCAACCTCAACTCGCCCATCTTCCGGGCCAGATCTCTCTCGCCTTCAACAGGCATGTCTGTGGTATAGTCTTGTTCGAGTACCTTATCCTCGTCAACGTCCTCGTTGCCATATTCCTGCTTGAGTATTGATTCGGCCACAACGTCGAGACTGTCGCAGGTGCGAATCTTCTTGACAATGCCGGGTAAGTCGTCCTCGGCAGCATTCAGTATCGCTTCGATGAGTATTTGCAACGTCGAGTTCCGAGCCTTCATGCTATCGACCTTCTCGCGGTAAACGCCCTTCCTTCGATGGTCCGAGTTCGGATCGTAGACGCACTCGGTGCCATAAACGCTGGCGCAAGCTGCACAACTGGGCAGTGCGCCATCGCACTTCGACTTCCTCTTGCGGCATGCGATGCAGGCGGTACTGACACACCGACGCTTCTGGTTGGCGACGTCACCGCCTCGACGCGACTTCTTGGTGGGGGCAGAGCCTGAGTCGTGAAACGTGGGGTTCGCCTTGCCAAATGCCTTGGATGGCAACGCAGACAGGTTCGAGTTCAAATTGGAAGCCTCCATGGCTCCAGAAGGGTGAACGGCGGCACTTCGCGAGAGCCGTCGATGCGCAATGGGACCTTACAGAGAGCGGAATATGACTTGGGCGGAGTCGAACACTTTGCGGGCGGCGCGGGTTGGGGTTTCTAGACTGCAGTCAAATCATCCGACATCAGTCCATGAAAAGGCTACACATACATAGCCCAAGCTGACTTGATTTTACGTCGCCAAGAATGATTTTCCGGGGTAGTTGTAGATTACTTGGCGAACGAACATGGCCCTCTCGAGTCAAGCAAGCCTGGGGTAGAGGGTAGCGAGCGACCTGACAATCTGCCCACTCAATGCTAGCTTAAGGCTGAAAGACGGACCAGGCTGTGGATACGGAGTAGCCAAGCCGGAGGGTTTCGCGGAGACTTGGAGAACGAAGTATGAACCACAATGATCGCAAGACGTCATGAGATGCCCTGGTAGGTGACGATGTATCCTTCACCAGAAGATGAGGCAAGCTGATGATGGTGCCAAAGCAACCAGTTCGCGAGGTAATCATGGGTTTGTCTCCCCGCAAGTTGAGCGGATCTGCGATGGAGATACTGCGCAATCGCGGGGATAAAAACCGGCCAAGCTAGAGTACATCCCGTCAATGGGTTTCACTACCATGGCGCGGTTGTTTCCCTAGTTGAGCACGGGGGAAAAGCAATGTCAGAGAAAGCATGCGCCAATGAAACGGTCGTGGCAGGCTGCGAGATAAGATCGAGAGTCGACGAGCAGGTGGAGAGATAAGCGTTGTGGTCTATTCGTGCATCCGTCCACTCCTCCGTCTCCCGGCACGCGCCTGCCCGCCCCGCCGCCAGTGCAGATCCTGTCAAGTCCTTGATATTTCCAACGCCTTCCTATTCCACTTGAGCAATGCATATGTTTCTATCACAACTGTCGGATAATACGCCAACAGTATAATGGGCTTAGATAAGACATAGAGGCCTGCGCATCTGCCAAAGCGTGGACAATTGTGAGACGGATTTGGCCCAATTGGGACCTCGCAAGTACGGTTAACCTTGCAACACCAGTAATGATTCATAGCACGGAGAAACCAGAGTATCCACGAAGCGTCGAATCCTTCAAAAACTACCCAAATATGAGGAATAGACCAAAGATTGCCACCAGCCAATCTCAAGAGAACCCGTCGCCTCTTGTACTATCCATAACCCGCCTTCTTGACTGGTTTCCTAAGTCAGCTGCTAACCCAGGAATCGGCAAGAAATCTGATTTGCTTCCATCAGGTCTCATTTCAATAATTCGAAGCCCATTAGTCACATATATTTAATAATATTAAATACGCCGTAGGTGTTAACCCTCGGTACCTCTACAAGTACTCCCTTAAGGGGCTATAGATGATATAGCGGGCCCTTAAGCCGCGTCGGGCGGTTATACAGGTAAACTTGTAGCCAAACGACTACTAAACCTCCTGTCCCTCCCTAAGTCTGTGCTACAACCCCTGCCTGAACTACCGATAAGCGTGGTAATGTGGCACTTAAATTCGTCCTCAGGGGTGGGATGCTGCTGATGTGCAGAAGATGCTCGACTATTTTTTTGTCGCGACAAGTCGTAGTATCTGCTAATTGGGGTTCTCGTCGAGCGTATACATCTCAACCATACGCTCAAGTGGATAGACCGTAACGTGGTCTAGACGCTCGCAAGAATCGCGGCGAGGGGGCGTGCTGCGCGCCTTCTATCGTGAGGGGACGGGTTCGCCGACGAGCGTTATCGGATAGGCGAGGTCCGATAAGGGGTCGGATTAACGATTCGAATTCTGGACCGGCACATATATTTAAGAGTTGAACGGCTCTCTTCAATGCAGCAACTTAAGTCAATTTCGGATGAGCAGAGAGCAGTCCCTTCTCCAGCCAATCAACGATGGATATGTCCCAATTGAATTCCTTTTCAGGAATTCTAGGTGTCACTGAGTCATGGAAGTGACTTACAAGTAGCAAGTAATTATCGGACCTGAATTTTGAAACCTGTGGCTCAGATATTGGTTTAGAAATTGTAGGCTCTTGTTTTATTCATATATAAATGGTTTGTTAACAGAAGAATCGAAGGCCCTTACCCCTTTAATTGCCTAGCATCAACCTACCGGCCAGGTAACTGGATAATGTGGCAGACTCGAGTAGAAAAACCCCCGAGTTACTATAAACCGCCACATTTAACAATCAGCATTAGTTACAACTTGAAAAGCGACAAGGCATGATCATAAACTTGGGAAGCGACATATGGATCAAGTGTCTTATTCTTGCCTCACAAGATAGTACTACTCACCTGTTTGCTTAAGTCTATACTCGATACTCAAGTCTACCAGGGTTCATAGATACCCGGGGCGAGCCCGCTTTCTCTTTACAAAAGGTATTCATGCACAGAACGAGCTCTATGACAAATAGGAATCCAATATTGTATGAGTCAATGATATTGGACGATGAGCACATCATCTTCTCATCTAACCATGACATAAGGGGACGCTGATGTACAGAGCACATGAACTCCAAACATAGGACCTGAGTTATAGAGCCCCAAAATCGTACCTCGTATGTAGGTGTCTGCCTGACTTTAAATCCATGCCTCCTGCTTAAAGAGCCTATTCCACTTCTTCTGGATCAACCAGTTAAGGACACCCCAGATAGTACATTTGGAATCTGGCACCTACCTAAGTCGAATAAGAGACCATTAGGAAAAAGCCACGATGCTGCTTGAGGAGCCGAAGTCACTAAGCCTAAGTCGAATAAGTTCTAAACCTCCTTGAGCTGTAGACTGTCTGCCCGTTTACTCCCATCGTGGTACTTATTCGCAGGGCATTAAGTGAGTGAGACATAAGTTATGCTCTAAGAAAATATCTACTTATAGCGCCCGTTATCTTCAGCACATTTCTAGTCCTCTAGCTCATGACTACTGCCTCCCAACAGCACCGCGCCCTTCAGCAACCGATGATCTAGCAAGTGCAATGACCAGAGCACAAAGCGGATAACATATGATAACGTTCAAAATCACATGGAGGGGATCCTATATTGTGTTGGCGACACTTTCGAACAGAAGGGACACCAGGAGCAGCTATGGATTCCATCTCCACGAAGGATTGCCCTGAGTTCCATCAATATTGATTGAATCTAGAGTTAGACGGATATACTGGATAGCAGATAAGGTTAAGTATAGGATTGGCCAGAAAGTGGTGAGTGTGAATGGTGTATTTCTTTTCCTCTATGCCCAAGCCTTTTAGACTTTGATATTTTAGGAGTTTGTCGATGATTTCACATTCTCTGTTCCAGGGATAGGCAGTTCAGTGTTGGCGAATACGCAGGGGTCCCAACCCCCTTTCCGTGCTAACTCTCCTATTTTCAATGAAATGTCAAAGTTGGATGTGGCACAAGCATGGTCTACAAATTTCAGGCTTGCTTTGGAAGAACGACCCCTCGCGAAGATTCGATACACAGAGAGATAGCAGGGTTTGAGAGCAGAAACAGTATTGGTACATCCCATATTAGGTGAAGTCTGATAGCATCCAGAGAGAGATGAAGAACCTACTAGCACAAAATGTCAACATATTCCGAATTATCGTACAGCAAGCCTGAATGTGCCTAGGCGAAGACAACGAATCTTGTAGCATTACGGATCACACACGCAGACACGGTAATCCGTATATCACTAGCCAATGAAAATGTGTTTGTTTGTATGTCAATTAACTTTCTGTGGACGCCTTTTCCATTTAATCTCCGCGTAAAACTACTAAGTAGCCTCTGTATACGTTCGAATCATGGGATAGTTTGCCAACTGGTCCGTCCGAAGCGGACAAACCATCACTACATCAGATAAAGCTAGCATTGCCTCCAACTCATGGAAGAAGAGATCCCGCGTCAGTCCAAAGGATGAAGGTGGAACGAACCCGTCTCCCTGCTGCTTCCTATTCAAAATATGCGGGATAACAGCAGCTCTGTTTTCCCGTGTCTCATGCTCATGATGGACCGGAACCAAGCGCCTCCGTCCTTCTCCTGACGGACACAAATCTGCATCCGGGCATGCAAGTGCCACCGAAGACAAGTTTTATTTGGGTTGGAATGAGACGGCATTGACGAGCTTTAAAACAACAACAAACTTCGGAAGGAATAAGCTGGGACTCGGATGACGTGGGCAGCGTTCCACAAGACAGATGATGATACTGTCGCTTCAACCCTTGCCATACTCTATATGCCGTGCATTATAAAGAGGTATTGCTTATCAAAAAACGAATCATGTCCAGTTCGATTATTGTGCTATATGTTCGTCTGGTGGTAATTTACCAGCCGCTATTCTCAAACAATTATGATACACAGTGCCATAAAACGGCAAGTTCATCTCATCTATTTACAAGTAAATCATGCCAAATTCAAAATCACACAAGCCCTGTCTCAATTTTCCGAAGATAAGACACGTTTGCAATGAGTAGAGTTGAGTTATAGACCAAAGATAACCAAAACTTTCGGAACTACACGAATAAGAAAGAGCATGTCATTTGAGATTGTACAAACTGAGCAGACCATAAAGCCATCTACAAACGGAAGAGATTGGCAAGCATACCCCTGCGTTGCTGTGCCTAGAAATACAGCATTTTTGATCCAATCAACTGGTGACGTTTCTTAAGTGTCGGAGGCCAGCTTCGGAGTCTCAGACATCAATAAGAGCGATCTTTTATGCTCTTGGAGTTCCTCCGTGACTTTTCGAGTGTCCGAAGTCTGAGGCACCACAACACCAAAAGGCACGGCCTGTATCAGCAACAAAGACCATGAATATCGAACGATTCACCGAAAATCGCTGGACCACAGACTTGGTTCTTGTAGTCGCAGCTAAGATGCACTAGGAAGTTGAAAGCACTTCTTGTCCGGCCTGTTTATGGAGGCATCTGACAACTAGGCAGGATGTGGGCAAATGATTGAAACATGCTTAGCTCCTGCCAGATCCGGTACTCAGCTATCAGGCTCCGTCTAATTATGGCATTTCTGATCGAA